GCGAAGCACACTGAACGCCTTGCGTTTTCTAACTTTGTATCTTTGCTAAACTGAGTCAGGCGCACTCGACTCAGCCGACATACTTCGGACTAACCATGGCTCTCTGCAGTACCTGCTCCGACTGACTTCATAGAAAACGCCCCGTTTCCGCGGGTGGATCTTCGGTGTCCGCATGTGGACCGTCTCCTGTTCCTCTCCAATTGCTAATTGCACACTGGTGTAAGCCAGCGCTGTAAGCCTGCAATTGATCCTGGAATATCACATTGTTGCCTCGATCGAATAGCGCGTGAAGGTACCGCCCCTGGGGCACAGAATCCTCCTTCACGTTTGGTACGTTGCCTTCAAGGCACTCGAACTTCTCGGTGCCTCGATGTTTCTCCCAGGCAACATTGCTCAGATGATCTTGTCCTCGGTACGTGGAATGTCCATCCAAAAGTCGTCTGGTGACGAGTTGCAATTGCGAACTAATTATCGACCCCACCCTCTTGGAACGCTTCCAGGCCTGTTTTGGGGCGGTATACGCCGTTGGACTGCGTACCTGCGGATGCTCGAGCGTCTGCGAAACTGCTCCCGGGTTGGGGCTGGCAACATTCGTGTCCGATTGTTAGGCGTTCTTTGATACCCCACAAGACCCGGTTCCTCTCGTAACGATCAAGGATCGGGAGCCTAACAGAGGGGCCTTGCACTGCTTGTGCTTCTTGAAATCTGATCTCCGCTTGCGTCCTGACCCGACGTAACGGAGCTTTGGATTCGATATCGGTTGCGGCAAGGTGTACAGCGGTCGATCTCCCTTAGCTTGTCGTGCGAGAGCTGCGGGCCGTGCCATAGTGGAGGTGACTGTTGGGGCCATATGGTTCCAATCCCGTATCCTACTCTTTCCCAAACATGCTAGGCCGTAACCCTATGACCAACATGGCCCCAAAGATTGGGGGCATATGCCTCCGGCAGGGAATGGCGGCTGGTTCCGAGAAACAAGCATCAGTGACCACCATCATTGCAAGGTTCTTGCGTACACCGCCTGGCCGACTCTTTCCATCCTGCTGTCCCTCAGGTCCGATTCTCCGTCTGTTCTTGCTCCCGGAAAACGCGCTTCGCAATGTCCTTCCGCTCATGGGAACCGGAATGCATATTAACTTCCCTGGTCGATTATTGAGATGGTCGTCTTTCGTCCAGGTACCGGGTACCATATGGATGCTTGCTCCCATGTACAATCTTGCCATGTTCGACGACCGCCGGTATCGGAAAGAAGATGACCACACCCTCTCCCCTTCACATCTGTGTCTCTAGCCCGCTGTATACGTGCTGGCCAATTTGGTGGCACTCACCTGGTCTTACGTGGCGCGGGTGCACGCTAGAATGCCATCCTTTGTCATCGGTGGCTCCCATTGAATTGTTGGAAGCACATGGGGTGCAGTGGTCGTACTTAGGACCGAAAATCTACCGACTGAACACCATTTTCGGTCTCACTCTGCACCGCCTACATACGCTACGGTTGCGTTGACCGTCGTTTCACAAATGGGGGCTCTGCAAACTTGGTGTATGCCTTCCTGTAGAGTCTCAGGCATCTTTTAGCTTGGCTAGGGTGTCGAGGTATGTTGTCTGTACATGGTGTCTGGTTGCCTGAGTCGATGATGAATGGGTGGACGCAGGTAGCTTCAGCTGCGCTGGTGTCCTGGATTTCCGTGACGGACACCTCGGGTGTCTCCCCAACTTGTCTCAAACTTCAATATCTCTTCTACGAAACATCGGGCTCCCTGTGTCTTGCACCTCTCATTGAGATCTGAACAATATCCTAGAGAAGGCGCCTACTTTCCAAGGTAGCAACCCGCACTCGTCACGCGTGTAGGGCTGCTGATGATTCACCATCATCTCCTTGGATCTCTTTGTGGTCATTCCCTGCCATACTCGCGATCATCAAAAGTACCCGCTGCAAATCAGTCTGATGGTACAGCACAACCAATCAAGCTCGAATCCGTCGACGGTGCAATGCTGTGACCTTCCATCGACGTTTGCCTGGAGTGGACAGATCGATGCCGAGTACTGTACGGACCTCCTATCTTAGAACCTATACGGGTAGGCGGTGCTCCATCATATATTTGACAGCCCTGTTTGAATGACACTTTCCCACATATGGAACCAGTGCTGACACTGGCGGGCCGAAACGGCAGGAGGCTAGGGACATCTGGAAGCGCAAGCGACGAACTCTGCCATGCATGACTCTTGAACATCCGTTCGCGTAGATGTATGCTCATGGATCTATCTGTGGAACCGTAATTCGTGACATGCAAATGTGGAGAAGATGAGGGTACCCGAGTCGCGTTGATCGCACATTCGGTGCACCGAACGATCGCGCGTTGAACTGCCGAAATGACTAAACGAACGAATGACGCTGGACGTCAAAACAAGAATGAACCTTCCTTCCGCCTCCATTTATACTTCTCTTCGCTGACCGCAAGCCACGACCGCGGCAGCGCTTACAGAGCCTCCCCAGGTTTCCGAAACGGTCAGCGGGGGATCCACCACATCAGATGCGCCGGGTGCACGATCCGTAAGGCTGTACGTTCCAGCGACCCGGTAGTTCTTTCTGGTTTCCGCTGGTATTCTAATCTACCGGTCCCGCTTTGTCCGTGAGCTTACTTATGGTGGCTTGCAGGATTTATTCTGTTGGGCAGCGAATACACCGTGCATAATGAATGAGCCGGATGAGCGGCGCATTCAAGCTCTCTCAAGATTCCATGCGATTTAAGAAGTGTCTCGCCCGCGTCGGTGAGTGTGAAAGTATTTGGATGCGGAAAAAGGATGAGGTCCAAGCGACGCTGATCGAGAAGAAAGCTCAGGGGTGTGATACATAGATGCAGTGCCTGAGGTTCGAAGCTGACACAGTTCGAAGATTCAGAGTGATCTGGAGCGTGCCTCGGTTCTGGCGGCTGCTTCGCTATGAGTGAGGCTATAACTCGCTGTCGCCCTAACAGAAGGTGTGTGATGCTTGGAGCAGACTCAGTTTGGGCGGACCATCGGCCGTAACTTCTGTATTGTACGCTAATATAGCGAGCCGTGAGCCTGCGGATGTCTTACGCCGGCTAGCCTGGGGGCGTTCCATTTTTAGTGCACTCACAATCTCGTCTGAGATCGTGACATTGTCCACTTAAAAACAAAGAGCTTTTCTTCTAGAGAGTTTCTCGTAGAGGCGATGTTGTTCCTGTATTTTGAAGAGGCTCTTACCGTCGTGGACAGATGGACGCGCAGAGGGTCGCACACCACCGTGAACTTCTGCAACCAACGGTTGAGCTACACTAAGGGTGTGAACCGATCAATAAATACGTAGTGTCTCCTGTTCCCACTTCTCTGATCTCCACTATTTTTTGAGTTGTCACAGCCTTCCCTGGCCGATCGTTACCTAGGTATGCACAATTCTTCGTTGCCAACGGTTTTTCAGGTGCACCATGTCTTGAGACAAGTCATGATCTAAGTCCGGTTAGCAAAATATCCGTACTGTTGCTAACTTCATAGCCATAGTAGAGCGGCGATGGAAGAAACTCTACGCCTCCATTGGCTCAATGGGGGACTTAACCCGGGCATTTTTGCGCCCTTCTCCTTTTCGCTCAAGCCCCGCCTCCAGTCCAGTCTACCTTGTCATTGCAGCGTCCATTGTGATGATGCGGTGCGCCACATTCCCAAGCCCGGAGTTGGAGGCCTAATGGCGGAATATTGCAGAATTATAGACTCTCGAATCTTCAAGGTCGAGTTCGATCAAACAACGAACGGCATTATAGATGGAGGTATCTGTAATCAATTCAGTTGATTACATCGATGTCGCGGCGCGGGCCTATGTCCTATCTAATGGGCGGCTTTCTTTTCCGTAAACAGTTTCGTCATATTTAGAGCCACTAAACGCGTTTGTTGTTACTTGGTGCTCATCGCCCCATGCAGTGCTGGAAATCAAAACAATTGTCTTTGCACGTTGGCACATCTACGATCATAGCCATCTACAGTCAAAAGCCGCGCGGTTTTCATAACTTTTCTTCCATCAAACCACAGAGGCCGCGAAATCAATGCTCGTACGTACCGCAAATGTTGCCACATCGCAGATCTCTGTTCATCATAATCCTCCGAATTCTGATTGGCGCACAACCAAATCATTCCTAGGATGCAACATCGCCTGGACGTAAGATTTCATCGGAACGACTGTGGCCTTTTCACACAGGATACAGATCCCGCCTTATCCGTATACCTCTTTCTCCGATCTTGTGACATTGCCGGCTGCCAGAATCAGCTTGACTCCGCCACGTGCATGGGAAGAGAGCAAACCTAGCCATAAATTCTAGACGATCAATGACTCAGGGAAGACAGCCAACCTATATGCGAACATACCATGAAGATGCCTCGGATCGATCATCAGACGTCTCGCTAAAACCTTCATCTGCACGGTGAATTGGTCAAGGATGGAATTCTCGGCAACGAACTTCGATCACACCCCACGACACCGAGAACAACAGATCGTCTATATCCCAACAACAACATACACTCGTCCATGACGAAGCTCGTGCATCCACCTTCGATCATTGTATCATCTTTTTCACCTACTTGACAACTTTGAACTTTTCAATACTGACAAAACTTGATCACGTAATGGTTCTACGTTATTGCCCCGGGACCACACATGTACAACAACTGCTACATGCACATCAGAGCCGACAACAAGACCAAAGGCGACATAATCTGAAGTCATCTATTCGCTCTTAATACTATTCGGTATATCAATCATAATTCGTGACCATCCAAGACGCCAAGACGATGCCGGTGCAACACCCACCCAAACACTTTCGGTTCGCAAAACGAAGAACCCCCAAACAGCACGAAATATGCCTATATAGAGTCGCCAAAACGACCAACACCACGCTATTCCAGATGCTAAATGTATGACCAATCCAAATACTGAGAACGCCGGAAGAATGCACTGCGCTCATGAGCCAGCTTTTCCCCTATAATCCAAGGAGAACCTAGTTCACGTCCATGCCGTCATCTTCCACTTCGTCATCGCCTTCCTCTTCGCCAGCGGTAAGGACACCTGCGCTGCCGAGGCTACGCTTTCGATTGGTGGCAAACGGGCGGTTGAGCTGACCCAACAACTCAAGCTCCTCACCACCAACAACGCGCGAGTCGACATCTGCCTCAGCGCAAAGATCCATGATGGCCAAGGGACCAAGAGCTCGGAACCCAGCTGTGCGGACAATCTTGCCCCAGTTGTTCAAGCAGAATGCTGCTGCCCGACGCTTCAACCACTCTTCGTTAGCGGTCCCAGCGCGCTCCCAAATGATAGCTGCGTGTTCAATATCAAGTTCACGGCTTAGCCGATTGACGCAAAGTAGACGTAAGCGCGGCATGTCGTATATATTCGACATGACTAGCATACCGGCGACATCGTTAAGTGTCGGTCCGTTTGTTGGGTGCGGTGCGATGCTGTCTGTGTATAGATAGAAGAGGAAAGCCCGAACTGCGGAGTAGGGCTCAGGGATGTGCATTTTCTTTGAATGAAACTCGGCCATCTGGGCACTCCAGAGTCGAGCGAAATGTGGCCAACGAGCATGTAGGATGAGTCTGTGGACGTGGATGGGTTGCGAAACAGGCGCAACTGCGGTCGATGACCCCGACTCATCTGTCGGCGAGATAATATCTTCTAGGTCGTCCGGATCCGCTGTGACAATGAAGTCAGCTCCACTGCCCGACTCGGGGGGCTTATCGAAAGTTAAGGATAGATCAGCGCCGATGCCCGTTAGATGAGACGTTACGTTCGCATCAGAAGAAGGCAACTTAGACCGAGGATCTGTCGCTAGCTCATTGCCGAGGATCCCATATTTGCGCAAGTCAATGGCCAGCACATCGCTCAGGTATTCTCCAGGGCTCACACCATTGCCGTCGGCGGCAGGCTCAGCTGGGCTGCCAAGAAGCCAAGCGTGCGTACCTTCTGCGTTGGTAGTGCAGTAGTGCCAGCGGTAATTCGAGTTGTACATGTCCTTCCCGTCTGCTAATTTCTGCCATCGAAGAACATCGAGCTCCAGACTGGAAAGGCTTGTCTCGCAACTCAGCTCCGCGGGTGTGACAAAGTCAAGCATACAGCCCGAGGAGAATACATGGAAATGCATGCCTGCAGCCTGCGACGGGAGATTTGGACTTGAATGAAACTTCAGAGAGGATATGGACCCGGGAGCTGTGCTATACGGAGATCGAGAAGGACCTAGAGAGCTGGACTGGATGCTGGAGTTCGCGGTGTAGCCAGTACTACCGGTAGCAAGCGAGGTCGATCCCAAATTCGCAAATCGGTGTCGTGAAGAGAGCAATGTCCGATCCACTGTGCCGTAGTTCATAGCGGTCTCAAAGCCTGGGCTACCACGTAGGTCCAACCACCAGATCTCATTGTTCTTCTCCATCTCGTCGTTGATACCTCCAAATATCCAGATGCGGCCATTCCAGATCCAGCTTGCATGGTCGTAACGAGGCACGAACCTCCAAGTCCGCGACCAAGTCCATGTCTTCAAATCCAAGAAACAGATGTCGTCCAGCACACTGTCATGTCCGGTTTGGCCTCCGCTGATGTACAATTTCTCGTCGTATATTACTGCGGAATGGCGAGCCCTGCCACGAGGGGTAGGGCCGTGCAGTTCGGGCTGGTTCCAGTGAGCCGTCTTGAGGTCAAATACGATGACGTCGGCAAGGTGTTGTCGGTGCTCATTCTCACCACCGAACACCAGTAACTTGTCACCCTGCCAAAGGCAGGCAGTGTGACCCATACGAACGCCGGGGATGTCGCCATAGTTGTCGACGAGGTTCCATTGGCGAGTGACGAGGTTAAGGCGGAGTACATGATTGTACACTAATAATCGCTGTTAGCCAAGTGGGCTCTCTCAATATACGTGATACCAGGTACTCACCTTCGTCGGTGAATTGGTCGAAACCACCGAAAGCGTAAATCTCATCTTTGCCCACATACGTTACCGACGCATTGACAAGGCACGCGGGCTTCGCGCCAACTGTGGTTATGAGCTTGGGCTTGTAGCCCTCCGTCGTGGATCTCCGATTCCGTGTGGGGCTTGCAGACATGACAAAGGTGTTATTGGCGGAATTGCCGGTGCTCAGCGTCGTGGAGGTGAGGGCGACTTGAGGCGTGTTCGGTGCAACCTGGTTACCAGCGAACAGAGAGACAGGCAGTTGAGGTTGCGCCATTGGTATTGTTATGCACAGACACTCGAAAGTGGGGACAAAGGATTCATGTGGATTCGTCGCAGACGGCTCGTTTCTGTGTAGTGCACCCTATCGGCACCGACAAGGCACTTGTGAGCCCGGCAATGGCGACAGGGATAACCTGCGGTAGTAGAGTATATCGAATCGGCCTTAAGAGAGCGAGTACAGCAGTCGAGCATGAAGCGGGTGTAGAATGTGGGTCCTCGATCCTGGCTGCAAAGCCAGACTTGGCGGAGTGTCGGCAGGAGGAACGATCTTCCGAAACAAGAAGTCGCGCCCAAGCGCCTTGGCACAATTATGTCATCGTTGCTCGACTGCACCAGCGCCGTTGCTCGGCAACAGAGTAAACAAACTATATAATCCACTCTCCATACCCGCTACCTCTCACTGTCTCACACACCGCTCAACACACCTTCGAATCAATACTTCCAAACATCGATTACGCGCATTGTATAATACTAATATTCGTTCATCAACACCAAAGATTACAGGAAAACCACAGGTAGGATAGCTCACGTGCCCCACATGCATCTGCCCGGGTGATGTACTGATGCTCCATAGTACGAGAGCTCGCAGTCATGGCCAGCCCAGCCGTCTTGACCCCGGCCAAGAACCGCTCATCAGTCTTCTCCACCCGCGCCGCCGGCGGCCGGATGCCATTGACGCCCTCTCCACGCACACCCCGCAACCAGGCTCCAGATGCGCTGGCGCAAGAGTCTATCCATGGTGGTAACTTCATGGCCCGCCTCCAACGCTCCGTCTCCAAGACCACCCGTGACTCACCAAAGTCAAACATCGCCCGCAGCTCGCCGCGCCGGTTAGAGCTTGGTGTCTCGGAGTGGGCGTTGACGGGTACGGGCACCACAACATCGACCAAGACCCCCAGGGCAAAGAAGGATGTTACCGTCCGATCACGACCCACCAAAACCAGGATAGCATACAACTCCGCTGACCGTTTTATCCCCAACCGGACAGCAAGCGAGGCTACCTGCAACGTTGGCACAGGCAAGATCGATCTTGAGCAGCGCCCAAAGTCAAGCTCAACTGGTGAGGGGTCGTCAGTGTTGGCCAATGCCGCAAGCACGTTCGACCTGAACGGACGTACATCAGATGAGGAGCCTACCCTTTCCTTGGAAGGTCTCAGCCTGGAGGACGATGATGAGGAGCGCTCGCAATCGAAGAAGCCTGCCCCGGACGCAGTAGCATACCAATCTTCACTCGCCTCAGCATGCGGTGTCAACCTCAACACTCGCATCCTCGCCTTCAAGCCTGCGCCCCCAGAGTCGTCGAAACCCATCGACCTCCGCTCGCAGTATAACCGTCCTCTCAAGCCCGCTAGCAGCGTCAACGCCCAGAGCCGCCGCCGCATTCCCTCAGCACCCGAGCGGGTGCTCGATGCCCCCGGCCTCGTTGACGACTACTACTTGAACCTGCTTGACTGGTCTTCTGGCAACCAAGTCGCCATTGGCCTCGAGCGTTCCGTCTACGTCTGGTCCGCTGACTCCGGCTCCGTTTCGTCTCTCTTGGAGTGCCCGACCGATACCTACATTTCGTCTGTCAAGTGGTCTGGTGACGGCGCTTACGTTGGTGTTGGTCTTGGATCTGGTGAAGTCCAAATTTGGGATGTTGAGGAGGGCACCAAGCTTCGAAGCATGTTCGGCCACGAGACTCGCGTCGGTGTAATGGGATGGAACAAGCACATCTTGTCAACCGGTGCTCGTTCCGGTCTCGTATACAATCACGATGTGCGCATTGCTCAGCACAAGGTCGCCGAACTCGTCTCCCACACGGGTGAAGTTTGCGGGCTCGAATGGCGCGCCGACGGAGCCCAGCTTGCCACTGGCGCTAATGACAATCTGGTCTCGATCTGGGACGCTCGTTCTCTTGTTGCTCCCAAGTTCACCAAGACCAATCATCGTGCTGCTGTCAAGGCCATCTCATGGTGCCCGTGGCAGTCTAACCTCCTCGCAACTGGCGGTGGTTCCAACGATCGTCAAATCAACTTCTGGAACACTACCACCGGAGCTCGCATCAACAACATCTCCACCGACTCTCAGGTTACCAGCCTGCGGTGGAGCACCCACTACAAGGAGATCGTCAGCACTGGCGGCTTTCCTGACAACTCTCTCAGCATCTGGAGCTACCCGTCCGGTGTGAAAACCATGGAGGTTCCGGCCCACGAGTCTCGTGTTCTCCACAGCTGCCTCAGCCCTGACGGACAGATGCTTGCCACCGCCGCTGCCGACGAGTCTCTCAAGTTCTGGAAGATCTTTGAGAAGAAGCCCGGCCAGCCTTCCATTGCCGCCGCTGGTGCTGCGTCTATGAAGACCGCTAGCACTGTCAAGTCGGCGACGATCCGCTAAGTAGGTGTCGAAGCATCGTATGAAGGAGGAAGAAGAAGTAGAAGAAGACGTGAAGCGCAGGCGGCTTATGCAAATTTTCATGTCCAACACAGCCATTTTGGCATGTGTTCCGACATCCAACCACCGGCTTGCGCAATGGAGCCTATCACCCGACTCTACGCGCAACGGTAAGTTGGTAAGTATCACATCTCGTTTGGGCATGTAACGCGGATCCTAAGGACCCTACACATCTACCCTCGGAAACGGATTCTCGACTCAGTTTTGAACTCCATTTGTCGACTTTAAGCGAAGGCGTCTCGGAAGCATATTGCATGGAAGGTGTTGGTGGAGTCTTTCGAGCGTTTCTTTTGACAGATATGAGTTCATGACGACATGACTACTGGCTACAGTCGAGACCATTGGAAAACATTGTTTTCGAGGGGTTTTGATTTTGGCGGAAAGACTGGATACGTCTGTGTTGCGAAATTAAAAACATGTTCAAACATTCACTCGTGTTCCTTGATAGTACTTCGTGATGATTCCGTGTCAAGTGAGGACCGATACTTCGGCTCTTCGTCTGCAGAGGAGTGAGAGTGTGGTTCGAGATGAGTTCGTGTGTCCATAGACGTTGCCCCGTACTGGGAAAAGTTATCTATTCAGTGTAGGAAATATCGAGATTAAAGTTGTGAACATGTTATAATCTCGTATGCTGCATTACTTGCGAGTGAAGTCTTCTATAATGCCAGAAAGCCATATGTCATAAAACCAATCTCTCACAGGCCCATTGAATCAGGTGGATGCACATGGCCTAAACGTCTGTTCGGGCGTAAATTTAGGCTTGGTCGGCTTTTCAGCGGAAGGAGTATGAAAGCCCTTGCTCCGCGGCGCGTGGGGTGTTCACGGAAAGCTGACTTTGTCATGCTGGATTGATACGACTTGTGGTCTTAGTCGTCGTTGTCGCCTTCAGAATCTGAGTAGTCTTTGTAGACTTTACGGTCATGGAGATGATTGTGGTGTCAATATCTTTGGAAGTCTTCGTCGCCTTCGTAATCTTGGATGATGTTGCTTTTGTAGCCTTTGTCACCATGCTACTCTTCTTACTTGTTGAAGAGTGAGATTCCTTGACGATCGTCTTTGCTTCATCGCCGTCGGCTCTACCGGCGACGCCACTATGTGGCATCGTACCATCACTCATTTTGACTTCGACGCGCGCGTACTTGTTTGTCCCGTACGTCGAGTTCAACATCACTCGTCCAGAGACCTCGCCATTTTCGAGCCGGTTCCAGGTCTCGATAGCATTGTCGCCTTCGAGCGCATTCTCGTAAATGGCAATGTGCCGTCCGCCTCGCATGACCTCTGAATAACCGCCATATCCGGTGTGCCTGCCGAAGCATACATTGAGTCCAGCGCCTTGATCAGCAGAAGGCCAATTCACAGGCACTGGCTTAGGAGTCTTCGTCCATTTCATACACCTAGAATGTTTAGCATCATTCCTCATTTTGGCAAATGGGAGATGAGCTACCAATCAGTATTATGGTCGTGTCCAGAGAAAACTCCCAGCAGTCCCGGCGTGTCAACAAGCGCTTGCATGAACACGTTTCCCTTTTTGTCGTCCTGTACCCCAAGCTCTTCATTGAATTGTATGCCTGGTGTTCGGGTTGCGCTGATCAGTCCGGCACGGCTGTAGCTGTCTGTTATGGATATGGGAATGTGGACGAATACAAGGCTCGGAATAGTCTTGCCGCCGTGATCGCTCTCAAGTTGGGCGCGAGTACGCTTGCTATAGATCGCTGTCATTAGTACACTGCTCAATCTTATGGTTGCAAATTGAGCAACTCACAACCAGTTGATCACCTATTCTGTCAGCACAGCATTGAACGTATGACAAAGCGTACTCACATCAGGATGAACATAACTGTAGACCTCCTGCTTGTTATCGCCGTTACCTGTATATCCAAATCCTCCCTTGCTGTCGAAGAACCACAGGATCATCTTGAGGATCTTTTTTCCATTGCCCTTGGAATATAGCGGAATGAAGTAGTTTGTCGTGCCGACCATATTCGGGTTGCCGGCCACTGAACTCGTAGTGAATGTAAGCTGGCCGCCATTCTTGGGATCATTTGCCGTTCTCCAAATGTGCTCCGACATCCAGCGTGTGTTGCACGTTGCGCTCCAGTCATGGTTTCCGAACGTCGCAGCAAAGGGCAGCTTGCGACTAAGGAAAGGCGACATGGCCTTGTCGAGAAAACTATAGGAGTCCTTTTCGGCGAGCCATTCGCAAGTCGTGATGTCGCCATTGAGCACAGCTAGGTTGGTGGCGGACTCGTAGTTCAGCACCTTGTTTAGGACACCCATGGTAAGATCATCGGACCAGACGCCTTTTTGGATACCATCCTGAATTCCGAAGTCACCCATGTGGAGATCGTTGAACATAGTAATCTCGAACTTGCCGTTCGAGAAATAAAGGCCAGGGTAATCGAACGGACGCGACACAAGCGGCACCGCGCGAGCGGCCACGGCGACCGCGGAGAGGACCTGTTTCAGCTTCATGATAGTTCGGTCCGAAGACGCAGATGGTGAAGGAAAGATTATTGCGAGAAAGCGCCGCAGGACACGTGTAAAAAGAGAGAGAAGGAGCGACAGAAAGCGAGCGATCAAGCGGAATGAGGTTGCGAGTGCAATTTAGGAAGCAAAGTGAAGGTCGACTCGCTGTCGTGGAAGGAACTCCACGTATGCCCCTATCGGGCTAGCGAGGTGATAGTGACACTGTCACCACAGGTCCGAAGCTTAACAACGACTGTTCACAATCGTCAGCACTTGTTAACAGGCAAGCAATAATCTTGCTCCTTCTGTAGGCGGAAACGATCGAGTCTTGATTTCCACAAGTTCAAGTTGTAGTACTTGCGCTACGTCGTGGGAAGTGCAGCTACTTTGCCTTACAATATGCCCAAAATATCTTCTACAATTTCTCAGTCGCTGCCTTTATCTTTAGATCTCGGCGTGCCTCGAATCAAGTGGTGTAGGTAGCTCGACAGCTTCTTCATTGAGCGCTGCCACTTCATAGCACCATTCTTGTACCGGCAAATAATCAGGATTCCTCTTGCCATGAGCTTTAAACCAACCCTCTCCTTTCTTCACTCCTGTGTCGTTGAGCTCTGGTCTTTGGAATCTTTATCTGAAACGTCTTCTTCCCGGCCATCTTTATGTGTTTTCATGAGCCCGAACAATGCGGCAAGAAACGTGACGGCGCCATGCCAGTACCGATTTTAATCTTTACACTTGTGGATGTACCGCGCTTGTTCGAATCTTGATTTATTTTTATGGGCAAGGGTAAACTGCTGAGAGTGGAAAATGGCAAACACTAGTAAGCATATTAACCTTCTAAAAAATATCGTGAGGGTAGTCGTTGTTTTAAAGGAACCTCTCGCGATATCTGGGGGAGGTCGTCGAACCAGGTCCAATCAGCGCCAACCCAAGCCAGCTCACTCCGAATCCACTTCCCGCTCCGCAACCCACGCATCTCACCACCACTGAAGCTCCGCTCGCGTAGCAAAGCTCAATCAGCTCTACCATTGTCGCAATTGCTCCCGCTCCACGACCGTTCGACTCGCCATACACTCTCATCGCGCGAGCATGGCCATGGCGACTCCAGCAGACTCCAGCATACCGCCAGCCGAAGCCCCAATACGCCTTCCCTCGAATCCCACTCCCCTCTCCGCACCACAGGAACAGCAAGTCCGAGATCTATATTACAAAAACGTGCGCGCAAAATGCGCTGCTGAGATAGCAGGTACGCTCTACCACGTTGCGCAGAATTGCGCCTTCAGAGTGAAGGCCTCTAAGCTTTTCCAATGCCCTACATATACTCCACGCTTTGCGCTACACAACTCTCCTCCCGCCCACTTCCCCTTTCTTACCCACTGACACACACATTGCTCACTACGTCCGCAGCCTTCGCCACCTGCGCTACCGGGCGCACCTTCACCATGATCTACGCATGTCGTCCTCAAAAACTCGCCATGAACACGTGCATGTTGCAATACCAGGGGCAGGACGAACTTGATAAAGCTCGCGCAGAGTGGTTCGCGCTCGCCGGAGAGCGGCGCCGAGAGAAAGAAGAAAGGGCGAGATTGGTGGAGGAGAGCAAGAAGAGGCATAAGGATTGGTGGGGCTTGGACGAGAAGGGGAGGTTGCAGGGAAAAAGGTTGGAGGAGAAGCTGGAGCGGGACAAGGAGGAGGGGCGATGATGGGTAGGGGTTAAAGGAAGATGGAAGAGAAAGAGGACAAGGTATTTGGCTTGCATTTGCACGGCGTTTTAGGAGGATCTGCGTTAACATTGTATGCATATGGCATTACAAGGACAACAAACAGCACGCTTGTTGTATCACTAAAGACAGGTATTTTTGTATAGCATGTTGTACGATACTGAGTGCCTCGCCAGGGAAGCTCCTTGAGTGTGGGTGCTAGGCAAGTGGATGGAAAAGATTTCAGCTCTGGTATACCCATAATCATACCCGCACCCGTGATAACCCCTCGTACTTGTACGCCGCAAAATGCATCAAGCCTATAACGCCGGTATCGGAATTGTTTTTTACGGTTCCCCGCGGCGAATCAAATCCATGATCTTCTCGGGCTGCTCGGAAATCCGGCTGTGCACTCGATGAGACCGTCTCGTAGAAAGCTCCCTCTCCCTCACATCCGGGCTCGTCATAATCGTGACTGGGATCTCATCCGCCTGCACCGTCTCGAGGCTCTCTGTTTCGACATCAACTTGCGTCACACTCAGCCACTGGTATCCATCTTATTCCCCGAGCCCATCACTTCTTCGAACTCATCCTCATTGACCTCCTCATCCTCCACGCCTCCCATAGCCGTATCACCCCACCCACAGGCCCGCCAGTAAGCCCCGCAACCCCATCCATCTCCTCGCCCACCTCCTCATCTTCCTCCCAGCTCTCCTTCATACCCCACCCTACACCCGTGAAGCAGTACCGCTCCGGCGGCAGGCGTAATCCCCATTCGCGCTCCACTCTCGGTAGCGCAACCTTGTTTCTCTCCGCCGCGACCTCGCTCATGAACTCCTTCGGCAGCACAGAGCTAAACTGCTGCTGCGCACGCGCATGGATCGCCGTGCGCAGCGCATTCAGACTGATGCCATCATCGTCCTTCGGCGCGGCTTTCTTTCCGACGTTGGTCTGAGGTCCTTCGTACGAGAGCGCATCGGACAAGATGCCGTTCGTGTAGCGGTATGCGAAGTCGAGGAGCTGCAGTGGCACGCGCTCCGTATAGGCGTGTACACCCATGTTAGCGAGAATAAGGTGAATGAGGCGCGCGTCACGAGGTCGTTTAGATGTGCCACTATCTTGGAGAGAGGTAGAGGGGAATGATGCGCTCATAGGTGCCGGCGCGGTGCCGTTCATTTGTGCGGGTTGGGTGGTTTGCGTGTTAGGTTGTGTTGAGGAGGCGGTGGGTGGACTGGGATTCGGTGCGCCGGTGGCCGTCGTGGGAGGCGTTGAGAGCATGTTCTCGCCGCCTGGAGAAGCCATGACGGGCTGTTCGTGGGGCGCTGGCGTAGGTGAGAAGTCGTGGGGGCTGCTTTCGGTGAAAGGAAGCTGCGGTGGTTGAGGTCGGACCTCCGACGCTTGGCACGAACCAGAGATGACGACGTCACGCCCCAAAGTGGGTAGAAACCTAATACTTGAAGAAGGATTTATTCACATACGCCTCGCTATGCTATGACATTATGGTGCATATGATTGCGATCACTGAGTCACAACGCCCAGTCCTTCAGCTGCTTCCTCATCCTCGTCTCCCGTAGTCTCACTTGCGACGCTCTCATGCAAGCTGGGCGTCTTGTCGCCCCTCTTGCCTATGCGCTTGATGGAACTCCAACTCAGGGCACTACTCTTATCCTTTGGCGTTCCAATACTCGGACTTGCTCCAGGGCTATCCGTAGTCCTCACTGAAAGTCCACCGCCATCTTCATCAGTCTCGTCAGGCGTAACCGCCTCACTGGACTTCTTGGAAAAAAGAGACCTTTGACCCTTGCCGAACTGTAGGAATTGGCTGGAACTGCTCTTCCTAGACAGCTTCTGCATGAAAGATTCCTTACCGAAAGAAGCGGGTGGCTGTAGTTCAGAAGTGGTCTGAGAGCCGGACTGGTCGAGTGACTCGCGTGGAGAGGTTTCAGAATAGTCTGCGGTGGATAAGGAGTAATTATCTCTCGAGAAGCGCGCGGCTATCGGAGAGCTTGATTGCTCCGATACCGCGACTTCGGGGATGGTAGACTGCTTGCGGGATGACTTATCCACTTTCGCCGCCTTCTTCTCTGCTCTCTTTGCTTCCTTGTCCGCGGCCTTCTCAGCCTTCTCAGCTGCCTTCTTCGCCTTTACATCCTTATCTCCAAACCCGAATGTAAATGTGGGGGCGTCCGGATTGAGCATTTTGGGTGGAGTTGGAGGTACAAAAGGCGCCATGTGCGAGGCCGACGATTGCGGTCTTGTCCCGATGGGTGCTTGCGTGGGAGAGCGTGTCGTGGACGGAAAGTCAGGTATATCGTCATGAAGCAGGCCGTCGTTCAACAAGCTCACCGTTGAGCCGTGTTGAATGGAAGGTCGCCGGGAAGGCATACGTGACCAGGAAGAACTGTTGGTATTATTGATGCTCCAGTCCACGCCAAGTGGGCTACTTCGCGCATTGAAAGCATCGACATTCCAACCGAAGCGTGTCTGGCTCTCCGTACTAGGCCTCGGTAAGACGTTGGCTTCGCCCGATTTGGTCGATCCCTGACGAGGCGAAGAAGGCCTATCAGATCCTAACGTAGAGGTCGACCAAGGGTCGCCTTTCGTTCCAAACATGTTGAATGCCCGCTTTCGCGTGGCTACGTGTTTCGGGCTACTCGAGGACTCCTCAGGCTGTGCTTTGCCAGGTATAAATGCGTTGTACCAAGCACCTCCAGAATGGCTTCCGCGCCGTCGTCGTGTGCCAATAGGATCCAAGTCCTCGTGGTCCTGTCGAGGAAGAGATTGACTTTGGGATGACTTCAGGGAACCTAGAGGCGGCCCTTGATCGAATGTCTTACCACGTTGTCTGTGCAAGCCAAACAGGCTGCCAAATCGCGTGGTGGGAGGGTTCTTGAACGAACTCGAAGTGGAGCGGATCGACCGCCTGTCGCTGTCCAATGCATTCTCGTTGCTCGGGTAGAAGCCTAGCTGGCCAACACTCTCGCGGGGACTGGCGAAAGGAGAACGGCTTTGCACAGATACAGGTGAGCTAGGGCTCTGTACCTGTTCCAATGTCCCGGGAGCTCCCAGGCCAGGTAAAATATGGCGAAGATTTGGCGATGGGTCTAACGATGGAAGTGGAGGACCTGGGTCATCTTCATCTGTCAGTCCGTCATCGGTCGTTCCATCACCAAACAGTCCTGACGGCAGCAGGGCTCCTGCGGTCGGACTCATTGGTGCTCCACCAGTCAGACTTTCAATATCCGCTTGAGAAAAAGACGAGGCATGAGCACTGGGTGGAGGAAGAGCCATGCCATTGACAGGATTGAAGTACGGCGTTGGATTTGTATATGAAGGGGAAGTGCTCGCAATGCCGCTGTTGAAAGGTGCTGCCGTCGAGGGAATAAAACCTCCGAGGTTGGCGGAGGTCAACGGTTCGCGCATACTGAGTGGTCGCGAGCGCACGCCACTGTTTCTTCTGGCCGGCACAAACTCAGGCGCCGTAACGGACATGACCTGCGGCTGGCTCATGCGGCGCTGCTGTAAGTACGCTAATCGCGCAGAGGCTTCCTTGTTGATATGCTCGGCTTCGTTGAATTGTTGCCAGGCTTCCGCGTATCGTTGCTGGAGGCTGCTGTAGAGCTCCATCCACCTCCGGTCTTCAGCCTCTGTCTCAACACCGTCTTGAGCATCACCGACATCCTCGCCGTCTTCCAAAAGTTTCCTTTCCTCTTCAAGAGTCTTGATCTGTATTCCTTTCTCACGAATGACATCCTCTAGACTTTTGTTTGTCTGCAGCTCTTCCTCGTGCTTCCCCTTGAGCTCTTTGATGCGGTTCTCTGACAATGCCTCGTATTCGGTACGTTCTTTTTGAATACCTTGAGCAGCAGTTCGGAGTTCCCCCGCCTCGCGTTCCCACTTGGCCATGTCATCCTTCAACTTTTTCCTCTCGGCTTCCTTCTTTTGCAGCAAGCGCTCCTGATTCGATCTTTTGGCCTGAGCCGAGGCGTTTGCGCGTTCCAAAATCGCCACTTCCTTTCTCAAATCGCGGCTAGCGTCCTCCTTTTCCTTCAAAGAAGCCCTTTTCTCGTCCCGTTTCTCGACCAAAAGTGCTTTCTGCGTGACAAACTCCTGCTCTTCGTCCTGGATCTGCTTCTCCATATCCTCCAGTTCGCGCCTCAGACTGTCCAGTTTTTCCGTCAACTGTTTGATCGTCTCTTGTGAGTCCACCGCCTCTTGCGCAGCGCGTGCCTGCTCCGCTGTCCCCGAGGCTGGAGAATTACGCCTTCCCGGTTCAGAGCGTCGGTGTCGAGATACACTGTTACTGTGCTCGCGTGTCATGGCTGGTGCAGTAATGGACGGAACAATGAAATCGACAAGATTCTTGTTCGGCCGGATGATAGGCGTAGGGTTATAGTCGTCACCTTGCGCTCCATCTCGGATTTCCTTATGCGGTCCAGTACCGTAGAACTGCTCGGACTCAGTGGGGAGGGTTCGGAGGCGGATTGGGACGCTGGGGGCTTGAAAGTTGGCAGTATTCAGTGTTACGATACGGATAACGTAGTGGTGGTCTGGCTGTAGGTTCTCGATAGTGACGGATGTTTCTTGGGGCGAGACATCGCCAACTGTCGGACGTGAGCTTCTGTGGATCTTCTGGAGAGGATTGCCATACTGTCAATTCCATTTATGCGTATTACATATTTTACGACCGAGGATCGCTGATCCGGGGGTTTCCAGTGCAGCAGCACGCCGTCAGCCTTGATGCCCGCAAGCGACACGAGGGGCGCAACGGGCACCTCGAGGCCCAGCAGGTTGATGAGCTCTTCGACGGGCTTGGAGAGCACGCGGTAGGCGCGGAACGCCACCCTGCACAGTCAGTTTGTCAGAAGCTGTGTCTATATATCTTGCTTGTCGCGTGCCGCACGTACCAGAAGAGGGCAAGCAGCACGCATGCCGTCTTCAGCCAGCCCGAGGACAGGAAGACGAGGGCCTCCATGTTGTAGCGGGCCACATCCGGCGGCCAGTACAGCGAGTGAGCGGTGTCGGGAAACATGGCGACGTTTCGCAGGCGTCGCCGGCCTGTTTGTGTCGTGCTTGGTGGAGGAGGAGGCGGCAGCGTCTTCATGCGCCGCAAGCCTTGGCCGACTCGGGCCGATAGAAGGAATTAGGCCAGCTGCACGTCGTTCGACCCCATCCCCTCCTCCGCAGCTTGCAGCAACGGTGCGGGCGCTGACTCCCGACGTTTGCTGCGATTGCTGTCTGACGTGTAGTGGATCAATGCCATGTACCGCGCCGTCGAGCGCATCCTCCAGCGCTACTGTGGGGTGGTGCTTCCTCCCTGGGACAGACCGGCGGCGCGGTGCAGCTCAACAACACGCAGAGCATGCTCCCAATGCCAGGCCGAGGTGCACATGCGTGCACAGGAGAAGTTTCAACGACTCGTTCTGCGCCGCACGATCCCGCCTGATCCCGGTCCTGCGTATTGATCCCATGACAATCCTATGACAGCCCATGCGATTCTGAACAAGTCTTTAGTGCGTCCGTGACCTCGGTGACCGCGCGCATAGCCTTGAATGCGAGCAGCTGCTTCCTGATAGCCTTACTCCTGCCTCCTACACATACACACGTCTTATCGCTGCGAAACCTTGGCCTAGGCTATCCCAGAGCTCAAACATCTGCCCACCGCCGACTCGCTCGTGAACAGATCCTCGCGCATCGAAGCTTCATTGACACTAATTCCACGCCGAACCGACCGCACCGCATCAGGATCATTGCTACAGCCATAAGCGAAACCGACCGGCACAAGCCGCCCTCATACCGTCCATCCTAAAGAAATACACAGTACACGGACGTTTGGCAAATCGCTATATCAGGCGCTCCGGTGCGCAGAGAGCCTCCGGGCCAGGCAGCTATGAACTACGTGCGCTCGCTCACCAGCGGCGTGTCCAAGGGGTGGAACTCGATAAACCCCGCAACTCTGAGCGGTGCTATAGATGTCATAGTCGTTGAACAAGAAGATGGCAGCCTGGCTTGTTCGCCGTTCCACGTCCGCTTCGGGAAATACCAGATACTGCGGCCTTCAGACAAGAAGGTGGTATTCAGAGTCAATGGCGAGCAGCAAAATTATGCCATGAAGCTCGGAGAGGGCGGCGAAGCTTTCTTCGTCTTCGAGACAACGGCGTCGATCCCCGAAGACATGCAGACCTCGCCGCTCGCATCCCCAGCGTCAAGTCCCGAGCAAAAGCCCACCGATGAGCCCATCAATACCCTCCCTGAACCCGATCCTCTCGAGCTAGACGGTACCAGCGGAGCGAGACGGTCGACACTGCAAGGCCGAGTCCCACGGCCGGACCTGCTTGGGGAGCGACCGAAATCAGGCGACTGGTCCGGCTTGCAGACGTGGCGCTCCAACAGTGACGAAGTGCTGCCCTCCGCAAAGACTCAATTTGCGAAATCATTCGAGGACAAGGAACACGAACCTATATTGCTTAGCAGAGACGAGGCTACAGCATGGAACATTCAGAAACGATCAACTAGTCCGCCGCCCGTGAGTTACCATTACCTCACCATGCAATATCACTACGAAGCTGACCAGAATTTAGATATCACCCAGCGAAGCCATGGCCCGTGCTATCAACCTTTCCAAGAAGCTTTTCACTTCCAACATTCCAAACAAAGTCACCGAGAGCGGCGACTTGATGTTGGATATGACCGGCTACAAGAGCAGCGAACAGGAAGCTTTGCGCGCCGAAGTGGTCGCCAGGAAGATACTATCAGATGAGCTGGAGGGGAACTACGACATTGGCGCTTTGATCGGCGCTGATGAACATGGCAATCTATGGATTTACAGCAGTGAGGAGTCCAAGGCTGCTGCTATGCAGAGGTCAGGCATCGCAGCCTTAAATGACGTAAGCCGATGCATTGTATGTTTCTTCCAAGTTTTGTACTTACACTCGTTCAGGAAGCACTGCGATCAACAGATGCCATATCAGATCCCGGCTATCATAGCGATGACGCCCAGAGCGACACAACCGCAGAATATCCGCCACACATGCGTAGGGACTCTGACAGCGCTATCGGTTTGACTACCCCACCAAAATCACCTGAGACGGATAGGGAAACTCGTAGCTTTGCAAAGACGCTACGCCTCACGAGCGACCAGCTGAAGTCTCTGAATCTGAAACCAGGGTGGGTTGCTTCAAGTATGCTAATCAGTGGGCTTGGTCGCTAATCTATATATCAGTTCCAATACGTGCAGCTTCACCGTCAACCGATCAACGTGCAACGCATACATGTTCTACTGGAAGCACGACGTCCCCATCGTCATCTCAGATATCGATGGCACAATCACCAAATCGGACGCTCTGGGCCATGTCCTGAACATGATCGGTCGAGACTGGACCCACGAAGGAGTGGCGAAATTATACACTGACATTGTTAACAACGGATACAATATCTTCTACCTGACAAGCCGCTCTGTGGGCCTAGCAGACACAACGAGGACGTACATGAACGGTGTAGTACAAGAGGGCTACCGATTACCGAAAGGGCCGGTGATCATGAGTCCAGATCGGACAATAGCAGCATTGCGCCGAGAAGTATACTTACGAAAGCCGGAAGTGTTCAAGATGGCCTGTCTTCGGGATATCATGAACCTATTTGGTAAGCCATCAGGACAGACACCCTTTTATGCTGGGTTCGGAAACCGGTTCACCGATGCTCTCTCCTACCGCTCCGTCAACATCCCCTCCACCCGCATCTTCACCATAAACTCGAACGCCGAAGTCTCCCTCGACGTCCTCTCCCTCAACTCCTACCGCACTGGATACGCCTCCATGCGCGAAATTGTAGACCACTTCTTCCCTCCCGTCGGCCTCCTTGTGCCACCCGGCGGCGAACAGTTCACTGACTTCAACTACTGGCGCGAACGCCCGCTCGACATTGAGGACTTTACTGATAGTGAAGATGAAAGTCCTGAGGCGGCAAGCGTGCCTAGTGAGGACGAGGGGAGCGAGGTCGGCGAGGATCTGGAGGCGAGTTATCTTACGCAGGCGAGTGTTGATGAGACAGGCGGGCTGCAAGACTCCATCGTTGAAAGCATTGAGGGCGACGAGTACGCGGAGGCGGAGTCGGATGAGGAGGGCGAGGTTGATGACGAGGAATATGACGACGTTGAGGACGACGACGATGAAGAAGAAGAAATCGAAAGAACAGAGGTGCAGCGGACGCCGACTAGAAACATGCAAGGGCTGAATCATGGGGTGCCGGATAAGGGACGGAAGGAGCAGACACCGACGCCACCACAGGCAAGTCCTGCCGCCAGGCGAAGAAACTCTTAGCACAGCGAGACAACTTTCCGGAGCACAGGCTACTTAAATGTCGATCACATTCTAGATAGACTATTCTTTTGAGTGTAAGACATGCGGTAATGCATCATCATGGCGTAGCGCAGCGTTGATTTGATGCATCAGCCGGGTTCGTGCGTGGACATTACAAGAATCAACATTTATAACCTACCCCACCCTACAAATGTGACTCTACGCATTCTTCGTCATGGCTATCAGGAAAAGTTAAATCGGCTCTCATTCAGTACCAATACAGAAGCACGTTTTACTACCGCACCATGCGGGGTCCTCCCCATCCCCCTTTCCTGTCATCTCGACGCGATTCCGCAGCCCTACCAACTCCCACCCTGATGCCAATCATCTCTTTTCCTCGCCCGGTCATCCGCCTTGATTAAGAAATTGAGCTTCCGGATCTCAGTCCACCGACTCAGTGCTCCAAGCTCAAGCACACTCATCCTCCTCATCTTCCCACTCGGATTTCCGATGACCACCGCCTTCCACTCACTTCCCCTGCCTTCCTTTTCCAACTCTCTGAACTCCTGCCACGCGGCCGTATCCCGTCTGGTCCCAAATGTGTGATTTGGAATGACCTGGACTTCCTTGAAGCGCCACAGGACAAGAGTAAGCAGCAGCGTCAGAAAGAGCAGGATGCCGGCGGTTACACCGGTCGAGGCCTGCGCGCCAATGTGCCTGGTCATTATGCCGCCTACTTCTGTGGCAATGGCCGCGCCGAAGAAGGATAGAGCGTGTGAGGCGAAGATGCCGGCGCTGACGCGCGGGAAGGAGGAGTAATTTGTGCGGCGGCGGCGGTCTTGTACGGCCATGCTTTGAAGTCTATGGCGCGTGTTCACACCAGGCTGGAGATCGCAGGTATCGAAAGTCTCCATGATCAGACCATAGCATTCCGCGATGGCGAGAATCGAGAGAAAGCCCACTGCGCCAGCGAAGACTATGGGGACCGCGAAGGGCTTCGGACGGCTAGCCGAAGAAACAGTATACGCGAGGCCCATAAGCGGCAGCACTAAGGTGAAGATGCATCGCCGGATGAGATGACTCGACCAACTGACTTGCTTCTGGAACGTCATACTATCTGTACGAAAGGCATTTTTTCGCTCGCGGGAGAAGATGCTGGCTTTGGTCAAGGGAATAGCGACGAGGGCACCAATGGCGATGGACATAACACCCAGGCCGACCATCTGTGAGTGCCACTTGTAGTCCCGTGAGAGGAGGGCGCCGAGCAGGACGATGACAAGGACGATCTGGGCGTATATCCAACCAAGGTACAAGGAGAGAACAAGAAAGCCAGGTTGGCAGAGCATCTTGATGGAGAGTTTTAAGCCAGCCCACACTTCTTCGAACCAGTATTTTGGACCTTCAGTAGATATGTGGAGCTTAATTTCGCCTCGAGCGACACGTCGAGTGATGTAATTCTCGTCACGGTCATAGACCTCTGTGACAGAGTGACGATAAGCAGAGCGCCGTGTTTCAGGCGCCATGACATTGATGACGAGCGCTCCAGCGAGGATCATGATTGTGATGTAGAACCCCCAATCTGGAGTCAGCGAGTCGATTATGCCAGCACCGATCTGGAAGCCTCCAGCAAGCGAGCCAACCCAGCACCAAGACCAAATACCGAGCCAGATGCCCATGCCACCTCCATGTCTACGAACATCGCTGGCTGTTGTAAACTCTTGATGGGGGTGCTGACTCTGCAAGGAAGCGCCAAAGAGATCAAGTAGGATACTTATGAAATTGACATTGGCAAAGCCAAGAACAAGGCCAGTAAAGCCGCGAGCAATTAAGAGACCGGCAAGCCAGCGGTGCTCGATTGGCGAGCGCTCCTGGCTGATGACAAGTGCCTGTGGGAATTGAAGCGGCATCGCAAGAGCCAATGAGGCGAGAATGTACGGTTTTCGGCCGTGAAGAAGGGGTAGAGGCCAAAAGACAAATGTCGAAAGTGCGAGTCCAAAGTACAAGCTGATAGTCGATCAGATTCAGTTGCAGCAAGGTAACCCATCCTGACTTACGCTACATTACCGACGATCACATGGTGATTCTCATCTGCCAACACATACTGAATTCGAGGAACTTCTCCAGCCTAGCAACGATTAGCTTCAGTGCTACATTCTGGAGATTCACTTACATATATCCCCACAATAATCCCAAGCACAGCGGTATTGGCACACGCAATGAAGGCGCAGATCCGCTTCTTTCCTGTTCTCCAATTTCTAGCGACCGGTTGCCGGCGATGATTGCGATGCAAGCTGAAGGTGTGGTGGTGAGCGTCCCGTACATGATTTTCTTCACCGCACCGTCTGATACCCTCTGGCCTACCAACAGCGCCTAGTTCTTCTTCGTCGAACGAGGTGCCAAATTCAGAAGATACACGATGGCGACGATGTTTGCGCGGTGAGTGCGATGTTGTATCTGCGCTTCCCCAGCTACAGCGATACCGGCGAGGTCTCCGATAATCCTCGGGACTGCCTCTTCGTCGGCGCGATCGGCCTCGAGAGTGTGAGCGAGATATTATAGGACGCAATACGTGGTCTACATGATCGCGGGGAGCCGTTGCGACGGTCTCAGGAGGAAGTAGCTGCAGAAGGTCGCTGCCAGAGCTGAAATGGGAAGGCCGTCTGTGACGAGACCTTGAGGAAGTTGATGTAGTAGACGAGGATGATGACCGACAGAGTTGCTGGTGATGCTTGGTATCCTTTACATTGCGGTAAGCCCAGTCGATTGTTTCTAACTCCCTGCGCTCAACGCTGCGCGGGTGTGTTTTAGGTGAGGTGTGGAACACAACGTCTTCAACAACAACCTTTGGATGGTTTCCTAGCGGGGAGGAAAACTGACAAACCTCCTTGGCAGAGACTTGCAGAGGAGACGAAGTTCTCATCAAAAGTCGAGCGGGCTCTAAAGAGGCGTCCTGGACGGCAATGCTTGCGTCCTCGATGATCGTGTATATCTGTTTAACGTGCTCTGGTCGCTCCATCAGTTCAGCTGTGACAACAGCATCCTCTACAAGATCTTCCAAGCCTTCAATCGCGTTACTGAGTCCCCGATGGCTATGGCGCTCGAAAAAGCTAGGTCTGGGGACTGGCTGGCTCGGTGATCTTTGGACAGTCTGGATGACTCTGGGAGGAGACTCGTGGACAAGACGCTTAACTGGACGGAGGATCGAATCTGGCGTTTCGATACGCTCAAGATGGTCTGGTACAGGAGCCAAGCTGTCTGCTCTGGATCGTACATCCATAAAGACGTCCGGCTCGTCTATGTGAACCATCGACAGTCTCTTCTTTGGTTCTGGGAGGCCCACTAAGGTCGGCACGGATTGCGCCACCGATGGACGACGAACCTTCGACTCTATCACCCTTCCCACGGCGCTGCTGGATCCCCCAACCGGCTCGAAAGCAGACTCTAAAGGCGCTAATGTCGGCTGTCTCGACAACGGTGATATCGAACCCTCGCGCTGTGGAGTAGAGGCATGTCCAGTTGGCGAAACTAGCGGAGAGGATGCTATAGAAGACTTGCCATCGAGCCAAGGTAGTTTTTTCCTTGTAAGACCAGGCTGCACTCTATTTGGCCGTCTCGCGGGTGCTTTCTTCTCCTGTTGTTCTATTTTCGCCTCCATTCCAGGGCCTTTTCGTAGAAAGGGCTGGTGCAGCTCTCGAGATCGCCGATATGTACAAGGGTGCGTGTCGCTGCCTTGAAACTTATTGCGCGCCGGGCCGAGCCGTTATCGGGCAAGTAACGGAGAGCCGGCGAGGAGGTGTGCGTGTTATGAGAAGAGAGCGATGTGATAAGGAACGACCAGCTTCGGGAGAGTACGGTCAGAAGGACAAATGGGCGTGGAGGAGGGGTTCAGAATGAAGCTGGCCGTGGGAGATATCGAATTTCAGGAAATAGGCGATATGAGAGGTATGAATGAGATGAATGTTATGGCAGGGACGGTAACAAGGGTCAACGGACGTGGTGAGTGCATGGCCTGTTATTTTACGGTTGAAGGTACCTATGGTAGTCGCTTCCTCCTACACTTCGCACTTACCGGGTAAGATAGTGGCGGGCTTGATGGCGTTGTCCCGACCATGATCAATCAAGAATTGGATACCCATCTCCCACATCGTCTAGATGTCTTATGCTTTGTGACGGTTATGACTGCAATGGATGTGATGCCGACAAAAATGCTGTGTGCTCAACATATTCTATAAGAAGAACTGGTGCCTAAGTGTTATTAATGCGCAGGGCAGATGATTTACGATGAATGGGGTGTCGAAACTGACGCGGCAACGAGACCTCGAGTTACGCGATGACTCAACAGAACTCACCCACAGCCCAGCCCTGGAGCCAGCCTTTCTACTACTAGACACGGTCCTCTTTGCTATATACCACAACTCAACGCCTCAACGAGCCATAGTGTTCAAGACAGCCTTGGCCTGGTTGTAGTATCGTATATCTTTGTGCTACATAAGACATCCAAGACTTGCCCTACTACTACGTCCCCGGCTTCTGCGATACACTATATACACACAGCTTAGGTAATATCGACTGCTCCGATCATAACACTCTGTCAAAACGTTGAGTGCTCTGCTGATTTCCAAGAAAACGAACAACAAACGCTGAGCATGGACAATGTCCGTCCAAACCTTCGTTCCTCGATCTGTCGAAAGAAGCCTTCGCAGCGAAGCTGAAGGCCTCGTTGATATTCAAAGAACGATCGTCGAGAAGGTTGCTCAATATCACTGGCCTGAACTAAATGCCAGGCTTGTTTTGCACTCAAGTACAGTCCACCTTTGAGCCAGATGAGCGACGCACGCGACGACCCTTATGTTTCACAGCCCGACCTTTCGAATACTTCCAGGATTGAAGTCATATACCTCGAAAAATCCACGCTTGAATGCTTGAAACCCATGGCGAAATCAACCAATTTGGATCGCCTGGCGAAAGAAGGTACAGCATGGAATGCGGGCTGTGGCGGCGACAAGAGCGAGAACGTCAATTACCGACTTTGCGACGAATAAAATGGCATGCATCTTCCACTGGAGTCCTATTGTGATGTAAGACAATGGGTTCTAGTATCCGGCACCAACGATCTTCGGCCGAGGAAACCGTTTCGCATCAATGGCGTCGAGTTATATCGTGTTGGCTATGCTCAGATGATAGCCTCTAGCCATCATATCGCCTGTTGCTGGAGGCCTGCGCCAGGATAGCTCCAAAGAGTAAGAATTCCGCTTGCGACATGTTTTATTGATAGGAAATACCTGATGCCATCGTGGACGAGAGCATCGAGGTGTTGAAAGCAGTTATGCAAGAGACCAATCGGACTGTATCGGGCTGTATAGGAGGACTGGAGCGAGATCTCTCGGTTTCATGCAAGTGTTCTCGTTTGAGTCGCTCTGGTATCTTCTATGTTTGAATAGTTCCCACTGAATCCTTGTAGCCATCCAGTGGTTGGAGGCTCGAATCCGATTTGGGAAAGAGCTGCTAGTTGTTTACCATGGGTATGTACATCTGACAGAAGAAGAGTATGCAAAGTGGAATCAGGAATTACGGCCATACGTCCAGGATCACATGAAGAGCTTCAAGACAAGAAGCAGAGTGTAGTGATTTCATTGAACTGCCGAAGCAAGGCTCAGATGCTTAAATCTTGGCTTTGATCCTCGAAATTATAGACGCCATGGCGGAGGGGGATATAGCTTGCAAGACCGTTTCTGTCATTGCAAGAACCTTTTCTTCCTCAAGCCTCTTCGCGACGAGTCTCCAGTAAGGTTAGCGAAACTTGCCTATGCTTTTGTGATGACAGATCACTTACTGTAAGCTGACGGGCATGCCGTCAATTTCCTCTGGATTGTCTGATTGATTTCAGGGACCGAGTACATTGAATGTTGCAGCGCCTTACTTACATTTTGCATGCACAGTCTGACACATTTCGCTCAGACGCTTGTGGTTCGAAGGACGATCTTTCTTCCTGTCGACAGTCACTCCGCTTGGAAATGATACGGCCGAATAGTCAACGACATTGTATACGCCAGTGTAGCCCACATAATCAAAGTCACCATGCGCGACGGCTGCATAGGGACATGTCGGTGCTGTATGCAGCCGTCAGTCGATCTATTGCATCTTGCTTGAGATAGTAATTACCCAATATAGCATCCAGACCATCATAAGACATCCACTGCTCCAGATATTGCTTCTGCACCTCAGATCGTTGCAGATGGAGTTGCCACATGTCGTACGTCCCGAGCTCAGGAGCCTCCGAATAGTTCCGCATCTCGGGACGCCACGGCTCATCGGTCGGTGCTAGCAGTTTTCTCACGCTCTTTCCGCCATCAGCGACAAACATACGACCCTAACTTTCGTTAGAAAGACGACTTTCAGTGTAGACCAGTAGTTTACCAGAAGCTCTATAGCTTTGAGATGCTGGAGGGGGTCCCAAGCTCCGACAATCTCATGCCCAGCCACCTGCAACTTCTCCACCGTCTCTTTCAACGCTCTCGTCACAGGGGGAGTCGGCTGGACGATCCCGTCGTTCCACAAGACTGCTATCTTGAGCTTACTTTTACGTTCTGCTGGCCTCCACGGAATAGGAAGGCATTTCGGGTCTATTAGCCACGGCTGTGCGTCTACCACAGCTTTGGAATAGAAGGTTATATCCTCCAGACTTTTTGCCATCGGACCGTTGACACTCATGACTGCTTCTTGACCTGCTAATCCGGAGCGACAGTCTTGGGTCGTGAACCTTCCGAAAGATGGCCGTAAAGTGAAGATACCTGTGCAAGCTGCTGGGATGCGAAGACTTCCACCCTGCAAGCAATGTCAGCTGCTGTTATTTACCACAGTCGAGCTTCTCCCATACAATATCAGTTCCAACTCCCAGAACGCTTCCACCGAATGCTATCAAAGCTGATTCGCCACCGCTCGAGCCTCCAGATGTCAACTTTCGGTTTCGTGGATTTAGTGTGCGCCCGAATACATTGTTCACCGACTCGGGCTATGCACAATTAGCCGCTCCCATCTTCTCCAGCAAGGAGGATTCTACTTACGATCATCATCGCTGTTGGCACGTTGGTTTTACAGTATCGCACAGCTCCCAGCTTTTCTAATAGCTCAACCAGCGTAGCATTGTACGCTGCTGGCTCATCGACTAAAGAAGCAAATCCGATTGTACTATCTTTCCCAACAATGTTGAAGTTGTCTTTCAACGAGACGGGCAACCCATGGAGAGGGCCAACGAGCTTTCCAGTTTTTTGGAAGAGTTCGTCAAGCGATTTCGCAATACTAATGGCTTCAGTAGGGAAAAAGTCTGTTAAACAGTTCGTCTATAAAACATGCATTAGTATCAAAACTCGCAAGATACGCGACCCGAGGGTCACACCAGTTGCTGTGCTGCTGCGGCACGTTTGAGGAACGCTCGTGTAACCTCTTCTGACGTCCATGAATTTGAAGCGATCTTCTTCAGAATCTGCGTTGCGCTACTTTCTGTGATTTCCAATTCCTTCTGGTCAAACCATCCCGATTCTTTCGGAAACGTTGTCACATCAAGCTGATCATCAGAGGGCAACAACTGCTGTGGTATGCGATATTCCAGTGGGATCTGTTCCGCGAGGGCCGCCCTCTTGGTGGCTGCGATCTTTTCCCAATTCAGTTCTGAAGAGGTCGTCATAGCACGAATCGCAGAGTCTCTCATCAATCTGCAAATAAGGAGGCGGGAAAGCGATGTCTCCGGTCACCTTGTTATTCCACGCAGAAGGCAGCCTTTTAACCCCAATCAAAAGCTAACGCCACCAAGCCCCCACTTCACGCATGAAGCTACGAAGGCATCAGATGTCCTCCATGACGACGATGGGGGTCCCAGCATCACTAGCTCGGATTCGGCTCAACCCCGCAATCTCGGCAACACACTTCGCTACACGCCCGAGAAGGTCTTAGCGCGCGCCGAAATCGTCTCTTCTCCTCCAAGATGAACCTCCTCCTTGCGCGATCCAGGTTTTGGAACTTGTACGTCGGCACGCTTGTCGTTGCGAATTCTTTTCGGCCAAGGTCGGGCTGCAGTTATCAATTCTTATCTCAACGTTAGTGCAACATGGAATGATACGCCGTATCTATCTCCATTCGGGTATCAGAGTCCGCAGGATCAGCTAGCCTAAGGTGGAAACTCCTTCGTACATCGGGTCCACCTCTCCCAGTACTGTATCATCAAGTCGGACCTTTCGACACTCTCGCTCAAGAGTCACAGTCAACAATATCGGCTGACACGGTTCCAGACTGCCTCGTGCGATTCTCCTCGTTTTGTTCGCAGCACATAACATACCATGGCCTCTTTCATGCAGTATCTTCGTGGGGATCCACGAGCGCCAGGCGAACGGAAGTTGGTCGTTAAACTCGACCTTTTTATCCTTACCTTCTGCTGTTTGATGTACTTCCTGAATTATCTGGATCGGTCCAACCTCAATAACGCGTACGTGAGTGGAATGAAGGAAGAGCTTGGATTTCGCGGGAACCAGCTCAACCAAATCAACACTGTCTTCACGGTTGGGTACACAATCGGACAAGTACCCTGCAACCTAGCACTTTACTACGTGAAACCAAAGATCTTCTTTCCAACTTGTATGGTGAGTATTGTACATGATGGAAAACAGTGAAACCACTGACGTGTTCTAGGTGGTATGGGCTGGCCTCACAATGGCGACAGCCGGCGCGCATCATCCACGAGACATCATGGCCATTCGATTCTTCCAGGCTATATTTGAAGCTTCCACATTTGTTGGGACCCACTACATTCTAGGGTCGTGGTGAGTGGTTCGATATATGCAGTATGTGTAATCTTGAACCAATATATGCGCAGGTATACCGGACGCGAGCTTGGCAAACGATCGGGCATTTTCACAGCTTCTGGACTCGCTGGGACCATGATTGGAGGTTTCATACAAACCGGAATTCACTCTAGCATGGATGGATTGAGTGGTCTGTCGGGCTGGCGCTGGCTCTTTATAGTTGATGGCAAGTCTCCCGGGCACAAAGTGGATGCGTTATTCCCGCCAAGCGAAACAAAAGGCCATCTTTGTCTGCTTACAACATAAGAAAAGAGTCTTTCTTTGCTTAGCTAAGACATAAGATTACGTACCATCCCCCACATCTTTAAGACATACACTGACTTTGTACCTTCGCGTTTGGCAGGCATTATAACACTCCCAGTTGCAGTATACGGGTTTTTCCTCTTTCCGGATACACCGAGAACCACCAAAGCGCCGTATTTTACTGCAGATGAGAAAGCTCTTGCTATCTCTCGCGTACCCGAGATCCCAGAACGCACGCCAATCTCCTGGGGCTTTCTCAAACACTGCTTCTCCACCTGGTTTTGGTACTTCTTCGTTGTTCTTTGGATGATCGCAGGCGAGACGGAATCGTTCAGCTCAAACGCGCTGCTGTCACTTTATATGAAAACACATCCGACCAAGAAGTATACTGTCTCGCAGCTTAATAATTACCCAACTGGTGTGCCGGCCGTTGGGATTGTGTCCACCTTGTTCTGGGCGACACTGACAGATTTCTGGGGTGGAAGACGTTATCTAGGTAAGTTTCCTCTTCTGAATCGTGTAACAGACTAACCCTGCATAGTGGGATATTGGATCGGCATCACAGGCGTGGTAACCAGCGCTCTCATCCTAGCCTACCCAGAAAGCACCAGCATCAACTTTGGTATGTATTACTGGGCGGGAAGCGTCTATGCGTGTCAAGCAACATTCTTCGCATGGGCCAACGACGTTTTGCGCTATGAGGAAGACAGTCTGCGAGCTGTGGTCATAGCTTCTATGAACATGGGAAACAACGCCATCAATGCGTGGTGGAGCATTGTGTTCTATGGCGCAAACTTCGCACCTTATTTCACAAAGGGCATGTACGCGATGATCGCTACTAGCATTGCTTGTAAGTATGAGTCAACTGTTTGATCCAGTGACTAAGCTAACATAAAGAAGTGGCAATCTGGACGGCACTGCTCGTGTGGATGCAGAGACGGACAGATCGGAGACGAGAACACGAAGGCGTCTACGCGAGTAGAGAGGAAAAAGATCCTGTATCTGTGCAGGATGAGCCCGATGAGAACAAACATGTTAATTTGAAAGCCTGATTCAATCGAATAAGCAATACATCCGACGCAGAACAACGATTTCTAGTGCATGATCCACGGAACATCATCGTTTTGCGCCATACGAACTGCAACAGCCGTCCACTCATCGAGACACTCAACCGGTAGCCCAAGCAATTCATTAGCAAGCCCGCGGGAAGTCTCGTGGTCAGCATCCCCATTCGGAAACCAAGCTCGACTATACAGCATCTTCGTGAAAGCGCCGAAGTTGCCCTTCTTTATCTCGCCCATACTGTCTTTCCAGCGCTGCTCCGAGGTCTCGTGACTGATGCTCCAATCAGCATCTGTCGTTCTTGTAACACGCTTCACACTCTCGAACATGTCGCGTTGAGTTACCCGGAAGCTGGAAATATATACTGGGCTGTTTCGGAACCGCGAAAGCGCGGGGGACCGATCTTCTGCATTATCAGGAGCAATCTTCAAGCTCAGCAAAATCGCAATCGCTCTCCCACTCTGAGGCCATGTCGTTGTGTTCATTGGCGTCTCACCGCCGTCGAACAAGACTAGAGAACGCTTCTTGATATCGAATCCATAGCGATCCGGCCCCCCGGACAAACTCCATTCATACCAAAATCCACTTGCCAGCAGGAAGTACGAGCTTACACCCAGCTTCTTCACCTCATTACACGCTGCGTCGCGATTTTGAGCCAGTAGACTGTCCTCACACAAGTTGTCATTTTTGGGATCGTGGCCGTACCAGTTGGGAAGGATGAACTGGACTTTCGCTTTTGCGGCGGCGCGGATGAGCTTGAGCACGGTGTCGCGAGGGGCGGTGACGGACATAGTAATGACGAGGGCCTGTTGGCCTTCGAGGGCGGCTACCAAGGCCGCGTCATCGTCACTGGTGTAGTCCACATGGACGATGCGGATCTCGTCTGTAATCGAGGCGGTACTGTCGGGACGGGTGATGGCGGTGAGGCTATGCTTCCCGATTTTGAGGAGTTGAGAGACGATGTGACGACCCAAGTGGCCACCAGCCTGTGGCACGATTAGACTCGAGCTCTAGAGCGCTCCGGGCTTGGAACAAAAAGTTCAAATGGAAGGAAGAAGGGTTTAGGTCTAGGAACATACCCCAATGATGGCCACTCTTATGATGCGGTTGGAAGAGCTATCGGACTGGCCATTGGCAGTTTCGCTGGTCATGATGTTTAATTGTCTTCCACCAGTATTCTACTCCGGTTCAAAATTCGGACGGAAGGCCAAGAGGGCGATACAGTTACACTTCTAAGATGGTTGCCATAATCTTGCAATCCTTTCCTTCTTATAATGAAAACATACCGTGCGAGTATTGAGCTGGAATGATCCAATTCTGCGGACTATGCGGACTTGAGAGGCTAGAATATACATTAGATGTAAAGAAGGTAAGCCCTGACGTTCTTGGACCCGAGGAATACGATTTTGGGTTAGTCTGTCGCACTTGGCTCGGGGAAGACACTATGAGCTTATCATTGTATCGCTGCAGTGCGATCTTTTCTACGGTCCTAGCGTAGTTTATTATAGTGTTTATCTTATCATTTAAATCGAGGCGAAGGTCGTCGCACGTTATTGGTAGTTTTGCCCGACGAGGTAAGTCAATGGTTCCTGTGAAAGACGAAGGTATGAAATGTGGGTAGATCACGGCCGGTAACCCTGAATGTGAATCAGTGAGTGGCTCGAGTCTCTGAGGAGTATTTTCCTTGTCCCATCCGCGAAAACAACGAGTCATCCAGAACCGTATCGCACACACCCACCGCAGATAGCGAAGAGCAATCGAGACAGAGGTCGAAAGTGATGAAGATTGGGCCGGGAAGGCGCTGAGGTGGAATTGTCGAAAAGACCTAAATGAAACAGCATTTTAGAAGGACCAACCCTGCAATGCCCAGCACATTTTGTCTGTTTCAATCGGATGAGATATATATCCGCGCCCTGAGACAACGCTAATACTAGGATGAGATTGCATATGACTGCAATCGTTCCTCCGCCCATTGCCATAGCTTCTTCGCCAATGCGTCGTCCTTAGCAAGAGCACTTGCACCGCTCTGAGAGCCTACTCCAACCTGCATCACTCCAAGACAGGTCTCCGGTGCATACCACTCGCCGCTCTTCACGTCCTTTCCCACAGACGCCCAAAGCTGATTTCTCGCTCCTTTCTCCAGAGATGTCGCCGCAAGGGGAGACATTGCCATGAGTAGGTTTGCGAAACCTCCAGTTCCAGTCGCACTTGCACCCAAGCCTGTTCCCCCCACGAGCCCAGGATGCGCCGCCGCAAACGTGATGTTAGGATGAAGAGTAGCCCCATGGCGCACCCAGAGAATCTGAGCGAGTTTGCTGGAGCCATAACGTTCGAAAGGTCCGAATTTTGAGCAATCCGTCTTTAGCTGGTCAAAGGGGATGCCCTCTTTCGGTGCCAGTTGGTGGCCCACGGATGTCACCATGATGGCTCGTACATCCGCGTCTGGCAGCTGACTCGTTTTCTCCAACAACGGGCACAGAAGCTGAAATAGGAGCGCGTGCCCGAGGTAGTTCACACCGAATTGCATCTCATACCCATTCTCAGTAAGTCCCGGAGCTGCAGCCATGATGCCCGCGTTCATCATCAAAATATCAAGGCGGAACTCTTGCTCGAGCAACTTTTCGGTGGCATTCTTGACTGAATCTAGGGATGATAGTTCGAGTTCGAGGAACTTAATCGGTGTAGAACTTGAGGCACCGAGTTGTTGCTTGATCTCGTTTATGGCGGCTTGAGCTTTGCCTGCGCTGCGTGCTGCGAGGTAGATGCAAGCGGGGTCGTGCCGTGCATATTCGAGGATGCATTGTTTTCCTAGGCCGATGTTGCCGCCGGTCACGAGGATTACTTTGCCACTAAGGGGGGGGATGTCGCGGGTCGGGTCGAAGGATACCATGGCTGTATGTTTGCGATAGGGGTAGAGAGATGAAGAATGAGATGGTACGAGATGAAACAGACTGAAGTACCAACGGACGTAATTGACTGATGTGGAACTGATGCTGAGTATGAGCTGAAGGTGCGCAACGGGCTGTATTTAACCTTATCCATTTCTTGTTCTGATGCTCCGTGGAAATACATGGCGGCGTGATTCTATGCCGGCGGTCATTTCATTGTTGCGTAAATACGGTTTGCCTTCTCGTCAGTCGCGCCTTGTTCAAGCAGCGTTTTGCGTAGTAGTCCTAGGATGTTCGTAATGGGCCAGTAACAAGGGTCGGTATTGAGCAAGCGAGCGGAATTCCGCCCAGACCGAAACGCAAAGCCAATCGGAATCGATACAGCGTATAGACGGACGAAGGATAGAGGCGACATGCAGCTTATCATCAAGGGCATTGGGACACCATTCTCAATGCCTTAGACATGAGTTGGAGATGTCCACTGCTGCGGTGCAATAGCGTTACATAATCCACGCTAAGTCTACGTCTGGTTAGCGTAAATACGCGTAGATCTTATCGCTGCGATCTCCCAAATTCAGAATGTTCATCCCGCAATCGCACAACGAAACCACACGACTCGACCACCAAAATGTCGTCCATGCGAAATGCCGTTCAGCGGCGCAACCATAAAGGAGCGCGCGCAGCCCGAGGAGCGCAAAAAATGGGGTCTTCTCGAGAAGCGCAAGGTCTGTACCGCTTTCCCTACACCGGTGCACGCCCAACTGACAGCATGAAGGACTACAAACTCCGCGCGCACGATCACAAAGCCAAGCAAGCACGCCTCAAGATCCTCAAAGAGAAAGCTATGGAGCGCAACCCCGATGAGTTCTCCTTTGGTATGATGAGCAGCACGGTCGACAAGTCGGGCAGAAAAGTTGCAGATCGTGGGAACAAGAGTCTAGATATGGATGTGGTGAAGCTTCTGAAGACTCAGGACGCCGGGTATATACGGACTATGCTGCAGATGGTCCGGAAAGAGAGAGAAGATTTGGAGAGGAGGCTGGTGTTGGGGGGATGACGAAGTTAGGGTGCTGAGGGATGGGGAAGACGAGAGGAAGGGAAGACACACTGTATATGTGGGCAAGAAGGAGGAGCAGGACGAGTTCGACGACGATGAGTGGTTTGGAAAGGGTGGGGAACTGCCGAGGAGGGTGGGCAGCACGGAGAAGGACGAGGACGACGAGGACAAGGCGACACCAAAGGAACGGAAGAGGCTGTCGAAGAAGCAACAAGAAGCTCAAGAACTGGCACGAAAAGACCAGCGGACCTTCATGAGCAAGAGACAAAGGACACAAGAGCGGGCTGCAACACATCTGGAAGCGGTCAAAGCTCGAGAGCGCGCTCTTATGGCTGCCGAAGAGGAGTTGGAGATTCAGCGTGCTAAGATGAATCACACGGTTGGTGGAGTCAACAAGAATGGCGTTAAATTCAAGATCCGGGAGCGGAAGCGATGATCGGTGGAAGAATCTGAAATGGAATGATTATACTACAACCTGGCCGGCATCCTCATAGCGCCGTCTAAACGTATAACCGTGCCATTTAGCATGCTGTTCTCTATCGAGTCCCGCACCATCCTCGCAAACTCCGGCGCCTGTCCCGCCCTCTTTGGGAATTCCATCGCATTCTCCAAGCTCTGCTTGACCTTGCCCGACAACAACTTGGTCATATTGGACTCAAACAATGCTGGCGCAATTGTCACCGCACGGATGCCGTGCTTCGATAGATCGCGTGCTAATGGTAGTGTCAAGCTCGCCACCGCACCCTTACTCGCTGCATACGCGACCTGTCCCATCTGCCCGTCGAACGCTGCAGAACTTGCCACCATGATTATCACTCCGCGTTCGCCGTCCGGGCCATCAGGTTGCGCTGTCGTCATGTGCGGCAGTGCTTGCCTGATCAGATCCAAAGTCCCTCTTAGGTTGATATTCAGCACAAAGTCAATGTTTGATATTGACAGCGGCTCATTCTTCTTATCGATTATCAGACCCGGCATTCCGACTCCTGCACCGGCTACTACGCCGCCGATTGGCTTTCCCGTTTTTTTAAGCCATGCCACGGTGCCTTCAATCGCTTTCGCTATTGCGTCTGTGTCTGAGACATCAACTTCGAAGAATTTGGCGTGGTTTCCGAGCTCCGATACGATTTCCGAACCGGCGTCGCTGTTAAGGTCGAGGAGAGCGACGTAGGCGCCATGGGCGTGAAGGTCGCGGGCTGTTGCGAGACCAAGGCCGGATGCGCCGCCTGAGATGATGAAGGTGCGGTTGGCGATCTTCATGGTATAGTCAAATTTAAAGGGAACAGTCGTGAACGCGGTTTTCTGCACGTGTGTACGCTGTTAAAAGTGACGATTGGGTGGCATGTGTTCATGACATGCATTCGCGCTAACAAAAGGAACCTCGGCAGAGTCAGAGCATTTGCACACCGCTGCCAATCTGGAACTTTGACAGAAGACCCTAGTTTGGCGCCAAGATTTCGCGCCAAACCCCACAATTTTTGCCTGGCGTGCATCCATCCTTCGTACAGCCTCTTCCTTTAATTGCAAGTCTCGCTCGTTCGCGGAATATTTGTTTGATGAATGCTGAAGGCCTCCTCCGTAGGCAAGGCTGGCGTGGCGCCGGCTTCTCCCTCGACACCTCTGACCGCGGCATTAAAAAGCCGCTCCTCATCAGCCACAAGCAGGACCAACTGGGCTTGGGCAAGAAGAAAGCGAGCCACACGACAGACGATCAGTGGTGGATGAGAGCTTTTGACGAATCCCTACAGAACTTAGGAACCGGTCAAACGAGCACGCTTAGCCAGATCCAAGAGAAAGGAATCAACCGAGGTGGTCTCTACGGATTCTTTGTGAAGGGCGAGGGTCTGATCGGAACAATTGGCGATGAGAGTTCAACGCCTACGAGCAGGACGAGCACGCCGCCTACCACTGCGAAAGGCGACGACAGTACCGACGAGAGCGACAGCGACTCGGAGTCTACGAGCAGTAACGACGCTGCATCCGATGCTGCGAAAATAACAAAGTCGAAGAAAGGCCAGAATAAGCGGAAGTGCGAAGCGGAGGACGATCTGCTGGTCACCAAGAAGTTGAAACAAGAAACCGATGGGAGGAAGGTGAACGCACGGGCTGTGGCAAAAGCAGAGGGTGAAGTGCGGACAGCATTTGGTACTATCAACGCAGATGATTGGCCAAAGCTATGTGCTTTGACGTCCCGGATTAGCAAGCAAATCAAAGCGAGGGCCAAGAATGACGAGAAGGCTGGTGCATACGGTGATGCGGCGAACGTAGAAGACCCGAAGAACCCTGGCAAGAAGCTCGCAAAGAAAGCCGCGAAGGTCGAACACCAGAAGGTCATACGGGCTGCAAAGAAGCGTATGGTCAAGGAGTCGGTTGTAGAAGCTATCGTGAAGGGCGAACTGCCGATGCTGAATTCCGAGAACTGGTCAAGAGAAGAGATCTTGAAGAACTACGGCGAAATTAAGAAGGTCATCAAAGCCGTCGAGAACGCCAACAAGATGTCGAACAAGGCACAACGACAAACTAGGAGAGGACAGAGAAGAGAGGCAAAAGCAAAGAGGGCTCGCGGCAAGATCCGCGAAAAGACCGATGCGCTACGCCAGTCTACTTTCGACACGCACCTCGCTCAACTGTCGCCGGAAAAGCAGATCGACTACGCAGCTCGCGCAGCAGAGAAGGGGCAAACGCTGGAAGAATATACGCTCCGACGCATGGAAAAGAAGGAAGCTAAACGTTTGGAGAAGAAACCAGACAAGCAAGATAAGAAGATAGCTCTTGTTGAGTCAAAAGGCGAACCTCACAATATCGCGCCTTGGAGAACCCAGAAGAAGGCGCAGAGGAAGGTTGACCAGGAGCAGAAAGACAAGAGTACGAAATTGGCCGGTAAGCTAGAGACGAAACATAAGGTTAGTCAGAAAGCAAAGGCGAAGAATGCGGAGAAGACTGAGGGGACGAACGAGGAGGGGCCAGGGTACGGGGAATGACAAGATATTCATGGAGAAGGCTGCGAGATTTGGGGCTGTTGCTACCCCGATTGCTGCCTCCGCTTGAAGCACCGCGTGAGACGGTTCGATGACATGTCTGGAACATTCGGGGAAAGCGATGTACGCAGATGGTTTGGCTCTTCAGCGGCATGGCATGGCATTTGCAGGTTCAATATGAACAAGTCACTTCGTGATCTATCCATAACTTTTCAGTTTGGATGCAACTGTGAAATTTGAAGATGCATACAAGGCCGTTGGTGCTAGGTGGAAGTGAAGTGTATGTCGAAGCTAACTTCGCCACGGATGTATACATCCGACGAGCTCAAGCCCAATTCGGTACCAAGAGAGCAAAGCTGAGTCGTCATGCATGGCGCAATCGCATTGCCTATATGCGGTCGAAGTAAGAAGCCTTGAAACCACGTCCGATGGGCATTTCCAGAGCTTGACAGCCGGCCGGGAGCCATGGCGATGTCCAGATCTGAGGGACCCAAGGCCAGCCGCCGTGGCGCACCGAGCTGGGGCAGAGGAACAGGCGGGCCATGGCATGGCCAACGTGGGTGCACTTGTCGCCGGGCAGCGTACGCCAAGCGCGCGACGTCGAGCAGTGTCTCATGCGAAGCACATGGTGGGCATCGTGTGCAGCGTGCGAGCCGCAACAGTGACTCTCGCGGGGCTAACAAGTGCGGGTCGCAACGCCAAAATTTGGATGGCGCGCTTTCGACCCCAACGTTGCTCAGAACACAGCTCGCCCGGCTGTGGCGTCTGGCTTTTCAAACTGAGTCTTGTGCGAGCCCGATCGCTGCCGTGTCACAGTTCGTAAATTTAGGTAGGCCCGAGGTGCATGGCCTGCGTTTCATCTCGAACCGGGAGCCTGTTCAGCCTCGAACTCTGTCTTTCTTCTCGCTGCTGACGTCCATACACTCCACTCTCGATGCCTGCCGTGCCTCGACGTTGAGGTGTCTTCACTTGTTTGCGATGCTCTGCGGCCGGGAAGCTACGAGGTGACACTTGCATACCTCGCCATCACAATGGCAAATTCAAAGTGAGTCTAGATACGCGCAAGCGCTCGCGAGGCCTGCGACAGCGAACCGCCAACCGGACGAATGCAGACTGACGAGCCCGCTAGGTACGAATACGTGCGCAGCTTTGAGCAGCCTGATAACCTCTTGCCCAACACCTTCATCGTGGTACGCATAGATGGCCGCGGCTTTACAAAGTACGATTCCTATCAGCACTGCATCTTTCTCAGCTCCCGCACGCACAGCTTCTTTCCGCTTTGGGCGTCCCGGCGGGTTGCCCGCATATACGGTCGAAAGAAGTGTTTCGAGAAGCGAGAAGCCATTACCCGACGTATGCTGACATGCTCGCTACTGCAGACTTACCACAAAGTACAACTTTGTCAAGCCCAATGACCGCAGGGCACTGCACTTGATGAACGCTGCGGCTGAGGCCGTTATGAAAGATTTGCCGGACCTCGTGTTGGCTTACGGTCAGAGCGACGAATTCAGGTATGTGTTTCCGTCTTCCCTTCGTCCATGTTTGATGAAGATTGCAACATCTGCACGGAAACTATCTTGTCGGGCTGGAATTCGCCATGTGAGCGTTGGAAAAGAGCGAAACTAAGCTGACGAACCATGTAGTTTCGTCTTTCACAAGGACTGCATGCTATTTGAGCGCCGGGCTAGGTATGGACTTTCGTATCCTCACCACTCACCATAGTGCATGTTGAGTTCTAACAATCCTCAGCAAGCTCGTGACAACGATTGTATCGACATTCACAGCCAGCTACGTGCTTGGGTGGGCTAGGTCCTTCCCGGACGCACCTCTGACGGCCCCTTTACCCTCATTCGACGGGCGAGCAGTGTGCTACCCCAGCAACACTAATTTAAGAGACTACCTAAGCTGGCGGCAAGCTGACTGTAAGTTTTGTTACTATTGGCTCTGTTGAGCGATCGTGCATGCATACATCCGAAACCCTTATGTACCCCATGTCGGGCCTTCTTCAGCTCGAGCATGTAACTCACTCTGCACAGGTCACATAAATAATCTCTACAACACTACATTCTGGGCTCTCGTCCAACAAGGCGGTCTCGACAATCGGGTTGCAGAGAAAGAACTCAAGGGCACTGTCTCGGGTGATAAGAACGAGATCCTGTTCAAGAGGTTCGGCATCAATTATAACAACGAACCGGAAATCTTCAAGAAGGGTAGCGTGCTCTACCGAGATGTAACTTTCCCATAGGCTTCACTCCTTCGTCCCCTGGCTGAAAGTAGCAGTTCTTCCCAACATCAACAAAATCATCGCCGACACCCGCGAAGTCGCCAACAATACAGCACCCAACACCGCAATCGATAGCAAGACCAATGTCTCAACCACTGGAACGCACACATCATGATCTCTTCCGCTCTTCACCTGCCTCCGGAACATCAACAGCGACGGCATCAACGCCTCGTGGACCGACTTTCCTTTCTACATCTACAACTCCCTCGCCTCCCCCGTCACCACCGACGATCCCAATGCCCTTGTTCACCAATGCTTTTGAAGACCGGTCATCCGTTGGCTACCCTTCAACGTTTTCGCACCCTACATTTCTCCCCATTTCAACGTCCGCCAACGCTTCTGCCCCACGCCATGCTCTTCAAGCGCTGATGCCCATACCCCTTCCTCCGCCAACTCTCAAACCCAGCACACGCCCGCCTCTATCGTTGAACCCACCAAATCCGATTACGCACACCAACACCTCACCGATGCCCTCCCCTTACGTACTGACGCCAGCTGCACACCCTTCACCTACCATATCGAACTCGAAGAAACCTGTGAAACCCATCTCACACTCCGCCAGCGCCTCTCTTTCAACACATCCGAAGACTTTAGGCCCATCATACAGACCTTCCCCAAAACGCAGCCCCAGCATGTCCGTCCTCGAAGGCGGTCTCTCCCACGGCCCACCCCAAATCCCCAACGCTTCTCTTCCATACCCCGAACCAATCTCCCGAAAACTCTCCCTCCCCTCTCAAAAATCCTACACTCTCCTTCGTCAAGAGGCCGCAGAAAACCCCACCGGAAGCAACCCCGCGAACACGTCCTCACAGCGCGGGGGAAGATCACGGACGCCGCCCCACCAACTCATGACTATGAAGGAACTTCCTAGTCCACCGACGGGCGATGACGATGATGTCGGTGTCCGTACTTCAGTCATGGGCTCTGGGCCGCAGCCCTGGGCCCAGAGTCCCCCACCGCCACCTACGAGAGGGTCGGAGTTTTCAGCGGGCGGTTCGAGCGGACACGGCGAGATGGAGAGTCTGATCGTGAACCCGGTGATTCCGCCGAGTCCGCCGGGGGGCTCAATACGCTCGCACTCACGTACTGGGTCGAGTTATTCACGAGCTTATTCGTTTCCTGCGCCGCCTTCAGGACCGTCTATTGGTGGTGGGATGGGCGTGGAACAATTCGCAGCCTTCGATTGGGGAAGCAAGGAAGAAGTGGGAGAGGCGCCGCCCGAGGTGCCGAAGAAGTCGAAGGGGAGGGCGAAGAAGGGCGAAAAGGGGAAGAAGGTTCTGGGAATCGAAGATAGTGGGTGGACGGCCGAATTAGAGGGACGGCCGAAGCAGCCAAGTAAGACGCAGAAGGAAAAGGAGAGGAAGAAGAGAGGGAAGGCGAAGATTGTCACGGAGCATGTGGATATTATTGGGGACACATTTTGGGAGAGACGGCCGTGGATCTTGAGTGGCAGGGCGGGGTAACGGTGAGAAGTAATGTCGACGAGGGGTGTGAGGGTAGGCATGGGTGATTCAGGTTATGCATAGCGCAGGGTTGAAATGAATGGGTGTAATATATTTTCACTTCATGGATGTATTGGTTACGAAAACATATGGAGAAGTTGTAAACGGTAACATTCTTATTCAGTTGTGGCGCCGACGCATGTACTGTTCTACGTAGGGTCCAAGTGTTCTATGATCGGAGCCGCTTGGTCTTTCAATGTGTCTAGTCAAGGTAGGTTAGATTACGTATGATGAAATATAGTTCAAAGTTCCATATCGATCTGACGCGTAGGTCGATGCTTACGCTGAAGATCTGGCATGCCGTTGAATTTGGCACAGCACGTGGCGAGGCTGCATGGGGGCCTAGAACAGGCAATTGACGGAACAACAGCCACTGCTCCCAGACTTTCAACCTCACAGTATGCCTGATGTGCATGAACATGATCACAGACTTGAGTTCTTCCAATTTGCCTAGTACTGTTCCTACACCCAATTTTGGATTGTGGCATAAAGAAGGGACGCTCACTTGCCGGAGAAGCAGCGTTTCTCTTCTAGAGTTCCTTGCTCACAGAAGAAGATCTCCATACGCAGCGACGACAAAGTCCCACCTCATCCTCGAGATACCCTCAGTTGCTGGCGCGGAAAGTACAGCAACTCGGGGTTTTGTGTCTATCAGCTGACGTAGGTGAAGCTAATTCAACATTTTCGACAACGAAGGCGTTGCAAAAGATATTGTAAACAATTCGTTTTACGTGAAGGGGCGCATATCGTGCGTAATTGAAGGGAAGCGCCTCAGCAATGCGTTGGACGAGGTGTTTGAAAGCGATGGTGTCTAGCAGGCTCGAGTTTGTGAAGTAATACTCTACTCGAATTATTCATGTGTACTTCTCTCGCCGTGCATGTAGCTCAAGATCATTCCGCATGCCTTCGCCCTCACCGTCGTCACTGAGTAACGATACTTCAGCCCGCCTTGCTTATCTTAGCTCTGCCATCGTCACGGTCGTCGTCCTCGTCATCCCCAACCACTATGGTGAGCTTGCGTTTGCGCCCCTTAGTCTCGGGCCGTGCTGCGTCTGCCTCTGTAGAAGCCTCATATTTCGATGTGGTTTGAGCTGAAGCGGGTTGCGGATCGGAAAGCATGCCATCTATAGTAGCATGCTGAGTGGCGGAGTCTTGCGAGAGGGTCTTGTCGAATTTCCCTCTTTCCAAGGCTTTCTTGTCAGCAAGCACTTCTGTTGAGCAAACTTAGCGTCGCACTTCTTTTGGTTGCAGGGAAACGCATACTTGCTCGCGGATCAGTGGCGATGTCCTCTGCAGCGGCGTCTGCACTTCCATCAGCGGCTTTCGCCCCTTCTGTTCGCATTCCTGGTACGTTCTTCAGCGCTTTATGTCATGTTTCGAGGCGGACATAAATACTGCTCAATCCCCGATCAACGCGAGCTTTCGCATTCACCGGTAACGCCACTGCAAAGTCATAGTGCTCCTCATGTACGACCTCCACAGTGAACCTGCCACCTAGCTCCTGTAGAGAAGGCTCGTGGCCGGTCTGCTGTAGCATCGCCTGCTGGAGTGCTTTCCCTCGCAACCTCCGCTCCCCGTAGAACCGTATGTCTTCGTACCTGATAAGATGCTCTTGGTACGTCATGATATGCTCTGCGCTGTAGCCGAACAGATTTTCGAAGAACGCGATCTTCCTATCGCGGTCGTCGAGCTCGTCGAGCAGAATACCGATGGCAGAGGACACTGCATCGGGATCTGCGTTGCATCTAAGCTTCCTCGCGGCGGAGTCAAGGTCGACATCAGCCACAAAGCTGTCAGTGAGGAGGCCTTCGGTGCAAGCGTCCTGGGCAGTCGCGTTGGTAAGAGGTTCATTTTCTAGGAATGCGCGCTGTTGAGGACCAAGATCGGTAGACGCGCTCTCGATCGTTTCACCGTCAGAGTGGGCTCCACACATGGTGCCTACGTTATTTAGTCCGTAAGGTTCAGAACTGTGCTCAGAGTGATCATCTGAGACTTACCGTTGGGATTGACTAAAGCGCGGTAGTGGAGAGCGACTGCAGGAGTATGTGAGATATAAAACAGACAGACCAGGTTTTCGACTTGCCCTAAATATTGTCTAGTAAAAGATCCAAGCTTGAAACATGTTGATGTATGACATAAGTGGAGCTGGCAAAGGCATTGGCCTATTTTCCACACCGGAATGCGGCGAGATGGTGTCCGTTCTGCTTGCTTGCTTCACTGCACCTCAAGGTAACGCACCGGCCATTGCGAGCTTCGCCGTTGCCTTCACCTGAGCAGCCCGCTCGCCCGCCAGCCCGCATCCAACATTATGTGACCGCGCTCGGACCCGCACCCTCTTGCCGTATATAAAGCGGACGCCCCGCTCCTCTCTCTCACTTCTACTTATCATCAACAATCTTGTTCCTTCACGTACAAACTGAGCCTCTGCTGACAGGGACGATGACGAAGACCCCAACCAAGACGCGGCGTGAGGCGCTTGGTAAAGATGCCTGCGATATTGAGTGGCTTCGGCTCTCTGATAGGTCGAAAGGCCCATGGCTTCGATGTCAAAAGTTGATTCAGGGAGGCGTGATAGTTCTTGGTACGCTCGTGTTCGTACACCGTTGGCCTGACTACTTTTGCCAGAGGGAGAGCCTGCAGTTTTGGGACTGCGGAAGTCATGAAGAGGATACTGCGTCCTGGTGTGTGTCGGTGTTGGCGCGGTTCCTCTGGAGGGGCTCACCATGTGCTGCGGGGAGGTGCGGTACATCTAGTCTGGCTTAAGATTTTTCATTGACTGCTTTGGCGTTGCCAGGCTTTCGAGGAAGAAGGATATGGTGAAACCTTTGGCCCGCACATACTGGAGAGAAGCGCATGAGTCTGGCTTGGTTTGCGTTGCAATCTTGCGCTTGCAAATATCTCAAGTCCTCAACAGACTGTTGATGATGGCAATCGCTTTGATGCCTTATGCATTGGATGTATAGATTGCTCAATCAGCACCACACAATTTGGGCAGTTGCGAGACTGACCCTGGTCCGGTCGGCGTCGCCGCGGGCCTTCAAGTCCACAAACTATGATGATCTAGTACCACTTCACACCGCCTTCTCGTAGTCTCGACGTGGTGGGTCAGAGTCTCTGCCTGTCGTTCGCTTTTACCGTCACCAAGGAACCGCGGCCACTACTCTACCACCTAGTCGCGCCCGCGTCGTCTCCCTCTTCTGCTGAACTTTTCACCTACTTCTCTTACCTCGTCGCTTTCCCTCTTTTGCCGCCGAACCCACCCGTCGCCTCCTCCGCCTCCAGGTACGTTCCGCGGTGTACCTTCTCTCTTGCTGCAGGCGGTACCGCCCACCTCATTTTCAGCTCGTTGAATCTCGGTATCGCGCGCTGAGAGCTTGGTTAGATGCCTTCGATTTACGAGAGCTTGCTCTCGAAGACAGACCGAGAGGTCCATGGCTCATTAATGCAGCCGTATAATCTGTATGGCCCAAGGGTTGCTGTGCTCGACCGGTATTATTGTTCTAGGGTCTTGGTGCCCAATGAGTTCCAAGGCCACAGAGGAATTTTGTCGGCCGATCCTACCTTCGTACGTAACTACGCAAAATGGAGGGAGGATTCGCAACCGAACGTGAGTATGGAATATGAGCTTTAACCATGGGTACAGGTGGCCCTCGAAGACGGGCTCTGCACTTTACGTAGTGGGGGCTACGAACGAGGACTTGAATATGCTCATTGTCCCAACCAAAGCAGAAACGCGACCATGTCCGTAGCGCCTATCCTAGTCAACTTCCAAGGGAACACTGTCGGTACTGTAACACTGAAATCGTAATTTCCACGTTATAGGATACCTTAGAAGGCCGGTGCAGACACGCACAGAGCGTGTTGCGTCTTCAAAGCCACGGGGAACTGAACCCCGCGAGACCACATGCTTGTGCAATGGTAATGGATCGAAGCCTCAGTTTTTTGGCTCATGAAGTGCTATCCGTGCTCTTGCCTGCCTCCCAGCAGCCCAAGAGAACGTGTCATCTTGATCTGACGTATCATATCAACGCCATATTCGGAATCCTATCTTCGGGCGGAGGGCGGATGCGGTCAGTTTCTCCAGAACGTGCAACAATCATGCTCATAGACTAAGCAACGAAACCAAATCTGCAGTTGGGCGGATGGCGATTCAGCAGATCATCCTGGAGGGCTGGAGTAGCAAAGGGACATCCTGAATTAATTAGATGCAATGGTGGTTGAAGGCCACGCAAGGATCGATGTAGGAAGATACGGCACTCGGCTGAACCTTTCTTCCGACCCCCAACGAACATGATTCCCCACCTTGCGCCGTTCCACATCACTCTCACATTGCTCAACGGCAACGGATCGTAGAGAGATCAGGCGACCATGGCTTGCTTCTGCGTGGCTACTTGTTCGCACGAATCAGGATGTTTGGTCAGTCCAGCCATCCTGCCTCAGCCTGAGTCGTGTCAAGAAACCGATCGTACACAGGGCTATTCACCGCCTGCATGCCACGCTCAAAACTTTTGTCGTCCATTGGGATAACGTTGCTCGACGTGCCAGAAGAACGCACGTGGTCCAACCACCCAGTCGGGTTCCCGCATCTATTGTGTCGTTGAAACTAACATTGTCACAATACCAGCGTATTCTCGTGTACGATGTCAAATCAAAGCCTCTGAGCTGTTTGTTCTATACAAAAGTAAACTTGATACTCGTTTCCCTGATTGCAGCGCTGCATTGGATAGCTCACGCGACTATATCGGCAGGTCCTGCCCAAGCATGGAAGGCGCAGGAACCCGCTGCACCTTCCACTGGTAGATTCAGAGTCCAATTTGCGCACATTCCGTTCACTTTTCCACTGGAGATGCTCACTGTTCCACTTTCTCTACTATTTTATGTGCATTTAGCTTATCTGGTATCTCACTCGTTGTGTCTCCCACCGCAAGCCAGGAGCCATTTGAGTATATGCTCGCCAGCACTCGACTGGAGCACGCGAAACCAGGGTGCTGCGGGAGCCTAAGTAGAGTCGTTGGCTCCATAGCAACAGGCTTCACCTCAACGCCCTGTGCCCACGGGTAGGTACATACAAACACACGCCGCCCTACAGAGCGCCGACGCGACACATTGACACCGCTTCAACCGCAAATTTACCTCAACCTCCCACGAACCCCACATACCACGATACCCACTACGTCTGAGTAAATGCCGCCGCGTGTTCAACCCAGCTTGTCCGAGGCACGGGCATTGGACGCTGAAGGCTTGGGTAGAGAGATCGCACAACAGGTGAACCGCACACTGAGTGGCTATCTAGATCAGATCCGAGAGCGTGTCCGGGAGACTATGAGCGCCGAGATAGATCAGTTCCGTGAACGCGTTCGAGAACGTATGGTCGCCATTGGAGGCCCTCCCCCGGTGCTTGCAACGATTCCCACCGCGGCTACCATCCCCACGGCTCTACACGAAACTGGAGAACAGATTATTGCCGAGTTTCGGGACCAGATGGATTCTTTGAGGATTACTAGGTTTGTCAAACAAGGCGTTTGCTTGTCTCAATCAGATATAAATCGCTAACAACACAGGGCCACACGCCGCGCCCGCATTGCGCCCGTCAACAGTCAGACCGCCATGCCCGACGACACCGATTACGAGCTCATTGTCCAAGGATCTCGCGCTCAGGCCGTCCACTATGGCCGTGGAGTTCACAACCGTTGGCCACGGTCACGAGTCCACCCCCCTTACCTCCCAGCCCGCGAGATCCCACTGAGCTGCCAGGACGCGTGTCGATGTGCCCACCTCTACTACGAAACTGCACCTCATCGGTTCCAAAGCTTGCAGCTCGGTGACGTGATGCAGGACTACGACAGGGACTTGAGGCGTAGAGTTCGCCGTCAAGCTTTGGGCGAGACTGGTCTCTTCAGCACGACGCCGGACCGAGCTCTCGTAGAGCTGCGACAGGCTCGATCACTTGCTGGAATCGACGTGAGCGAGTACGATGTAGAGATTACAAGGAGAATTCTAGCGGATCCGTCAGGGTGGGGACAGGCCGGATCTGTGATGAGGCGGCGAGGATGGGTAGATGAGGTGCTCAATGATGGGGAGAACTATGTGTTGCATTGATTGAAAGAAATCGTGAGCTTGGAGTATTGGCTGTTGGAATGTAGTGAGACTCTATGCGTGGGAGTACGTCAAGACTCGTGGTTGACTATGGAACTGGGCTTGATCGAATGGGGCATTGTCAATTGATTGCGCTTCTATACCCCTGTAATGCAGCTATACTAGGCTTGCGGCTTGATCTAAGGCCAGCAACAATCGTCTAAGTATTCATATATGCCATGCTCCCCAGGGCCCCGGGGCGTCGAATGATCACGTGACGCCTCAGCGACGTCATTAGTTCGGGTGAACAGCGAAAGTCTGATGGAATTTCGCAGCGCCGAGAAGAAGGCAATGTGTAGGATCTGCGTGATGTCGCGATGCGGTTGTCGACGACGGAGCAAGAGGGAAAGACGACATGTCAGCGCTGTGCGCCCTTGACACGGGTCGTGGTAGTGCAGGCGTCGCGAAGTGTTCGCGACATGGATTATCGGGACTAGACTGTGTTTGGTATGGCGATGCACGCTTCAAGGCAGCGGCGTTTGGACACCCCCGGACGCTCTATTCTTTTCGAGATCACCCACGACACCGTCGAAGAAACGTTTCGGCTTCCACGGCGCCTTTGAGACGTGTCAGAGCAGATTTGACCACACCAGCGTACTCGCCAGACCGTTGCCATCCGTGCGACATCACATCTGGGCTGATTCATGTTGATTTCGGGTGGCGCGCGGTGGTCCCCTTGCTGTGACCTGTTGTGAGGCTTCCTCCAGCGCGGCCCTCGTGTGTTGGTGATGGCCTCCGACCCACCGCAACAGCCCGAACACGCCCACGACGATGACAACCCCGCCGCGACGCACGACGTGCAGCCTGTCGATGGCAATCAGACGCTCGGGATAAAGGAAGAGGAAGAGACATCGGCGCAGAATGGTGATGGCGATGATGGAATCCAGGCGTCGCGCCCTACAAAGCGACGGAAGCTCGAGAGCCTCACGCCGCGCCGGTCATTATCACGCGCCGCGTCGCCCCCGTGGAAGTCGTTCGCAGCGGATGGGCCGACGACTGTCTTCGATAATGGTGTAAGGAAGTCGTCGCGTGTGAACCGAGAGGCACCGACGCCGCCAGAGCCGCTCATAAAGAAAAGCTCGCGCATTGGTGTCGCGAAGGGAACACAGACAAATGGCACGTCCAAGAGCAGCAGCAAGCAGAGTTCGCGCGCAGTCTCAATAGCTGCAACGTCGGCTAAGGCCAAAACATCATCGGCAACGAAGAAGAAGGCTCCAGCACCGCCGCTGCAGTCGCCGACGCGCAAGTCTGAGCGCAACAAGAAAGCTTCGGCCGCCACCCTCGCGACTTCTCCCCTGTCGCCAGCCCTCGCAAAGGCATCTCCAGAAAGTACGCGAAAGCGTCCTGGACGCGCTCGCAAGTCCACTCTGATCTCGACCGATGACGCAGTCCAATTGTTCGATCTAGCCGAAGACCCTCAAAACACATACGACGATCAGTGGAATTCCGTAGACATGTCAAACTCCACAAACTCCGCCGCACCCCGCATTCGACTACGATTTCGAAGACTCACCCCACCGACCCGCCATCCCCACCACCTGCCACCCGCTCGAAAACACGCTTCGTTCGCCGAATGGTTACATCATGACGACGCGCTGGAAGGAGAAGAAGGCCACAAGATAACGGAGGAGAAGGCTAAAGAGGAGGCTTATCGCCGGCTGCAGATTGCTGATGCTGCTGAACGGGGCGTGCTGAGTCTGGGGCGGTGTAGCGTATTCCAGCCTGAACCGGCCGATGAACCACCGCCGAAATATCGTCATTGGGACCATGTCGTCAATCATGCTCTTACTTTCAACAAGCTCCTGAGGGAGGAGAATTCTTACCACCGGAAAATGGCAAAGACGCTCGCGAGAGAGGCTCACGAATACTGGAAAGACAAGTACAAGCGGAAGTCGCAAGACGAGATCGACCAGGAAGAGGCAGATCGCACTCTGCTCCGGTACAAACAGCTTGTCAAGGACGTCAAGGATACATGGGCGAATGTCAGAGTGGAGATTGACAAGGAGCGTGTGGCAAAATGGGAAGCGGAGCAGGTCCAGCTTGGTCACAAGGCCATGGACGACATGTTCAATCAAGCTCAAGAAATCTTAGGCCGCACCGTCGTAGACTCTGCCTCGTCTTTTGTTAGCGACGACCGCGACACGGAGGGCGAAGGTGGAGATTTTGGAAGCGGCACATCGCAGGTCTCGGGCGAAGAGGACGTGGATCATCAAATGACCTCTGATTCCGAAAGCGACGAAGGTCACGACGATGACGAGGATGCCAATCTGACTGCTGAACAATTGCGCGCTAAATACGAACAGCTACCAGACCTTCCAGACAACAATTCTAGCGTTGATGACGAACAAGAAGTAGGCGAAGATGAAGATGAAGATAAGGCCATGGATGATGATCGAGGTACACCTGAGCCAACTCCGGATCCGGACCTGCAAACGGAAATGCATATTGAAATGGAGAACGGCGATGAACCACCGGACGATCCCTTTACCCATGCGAACGGATTCCATGGCGAAGATGTGAATGGCGATGAGAAGAAGTCAGATTACATTGATCCGGCTACCGTCGAACTCGACGCAGTAGATGAAGCCCTGTTAGATTCTGACGACGATGCATCTGGATCTGGTAGCGAGGAGTGGTCGAGCGACGAGGACGAAGATTCTGATCAAGTCGGTGAAGACGATGAAGGACAATCAGCCTCCGTTTCAGAGCTAGGAGATGATGACGTTGGCGTAATGGGCTTCCTGACCCCGGCTGAGATCAAGAAGCTGAAAGCGTCTGCTAAGACGATTGTGGACGATGTCAACGCAGATAACGAAATACCTGTGAATGGAACGCACGACACGAATGGTACGAATGGAATCCACAGAGAAGAGGAAGAGGACGTCAAAGTTATCTCTGATACCAACGGTACGACAGAAGATGTTGATACCGCAGACATGGGCTGCATTTTACGTGAGGATACCTCTGAAGCTGCGCCAGCCCCCATAGAAATTGACGCGGGTGGCTTCGAGAAGGAGGACGAGACTGTACCAGAAAAGGCCGTCCTTAGAAGTCGCTCTCGGCATCCGTCTGAACCTCCGCGCGTCGAAGTACCATCTCTCCTACGAGGTACACTGCGCGAATATCAGCATGATGGCCTCGATTGGCTTGCCAACCTGTACGATTCAGACACAAACGGAATCTTAGCTGACGAGATGGGACTTGGCAAGACTATCCAGACGATCTCAGTGTTAGCGTACGTTGCTTTGCATCGACAAAAGTGGGGGCCACATTTGGTTGTCGTTCCTACCAGCGTAATGCTCAACTGGGAGATGGAGTTCAAGAAGTTTTTGCCAGGTTTCAAGATCCTTACCTACTACGGTGACATCGCCGAGCGCAAGAGAAAGCGTATTGGCTGGCGCAACACAGGACGAGATATGATCAACGTCGTCATCACCTCGTACCAGCTCATCCTCCAAGACGCAGCAGCATTCAAGATGCGCGCGTGGCAATACCTCGTTCTTGACGAGGCTCACAACATCAAGAACTTCAAATCCCAACGATGGCAGACTATGCTGAACCTGCGCACAGAGCGGCGATTGCTTTTGACGGGTACGCCTCTCCAGAACAACATTGACGAGCTCTGGTCCTTGCTCTATTTCCTGATGCCAGCTGGCTTCGCTGGCGAAGGTCGCATTGCCGGCCTAGAAGAGTTTACAATGGCCCTCAAGAACCCAACCTCGCAAATTCTGGAACAAGGACGGCAACAGCTGGACGCGGAGGCTCAGAGAATCGTCAAGAAACTCCATGAGGTTTTACGTCCTTATCTTCTCCGCAGACTGAAGGCGGACGTTGAGAAGCAGATGCCGGGAAAGTACGAACACGTGGTATACTGCAAGCTGTCCAAGCGACAGCGACAATTGTATGACGGGTTCATGGGCCGCGCATCGACCAAGGAGATTCTGTCATCCGGTAACTACATGTCAATTATCAACTGCTTAATGTCACTTCGAAAAGTCTGCAACCACCCTGACCTGTTCGAGACCAGAGCCATTGTGACCTCCATGGCCATGTCGAAGTCAGTCGCTGCCCGGTTCGAAATAAAAGACTTTCTCATCCGGAAACGGTTGTCAGAGGGTATGGAAGATAAGGTTGTTAGCTTAGAGGCTCTGAATCTGGTATTTGCGCACCGTGAGCGTACTTCGACGCTGCAAGCCCGAAGGGCACAGCAAATTCGCGCTACACGTCCGCTGGAAGACCTCATTGAAGTCCAAACACGCCGTATCAACCAAGCTGCCGAGGCGGTGCCGTCCTCTATCCAATCCACCCTGGCGGCCATGGCGAACAGGGAACGAACTGCAGTCCGAGAACACCTGCGAACATGTCTCAAGCTTACCCGTGCCCGGACGCAGTTCTTACCCATTTACGGCAAAGGTCTAATCGATCGGTTGACCATGGATTACGAGAGTTATGCATTCGGCGCGCGCGAACCAGATGAGCAGATCACCAGGCCTCCGCAGCCATCGTATAATAATCCGGCATATGGACCTCCAGGTATGCAGTATCATCAGCCAAACCCATTCGGACATGGGCCTGTATCACTACCACCTGTCATTGGGACCAAAGAGGGTCGTCGCGGGAGGTTAGGTTTTCGTCAACCACTTCACCCAGCGTTTGCTTCGTTGTGGCATCAACAGAAGATCAATGCTTTTACTGACATGATACCCACCCTTGAGCAACGCGCCGAGGCTCTCGAGCCGCTTGTCACACGCTTCACTTGCGTCACTCCGGCAGTTGCAGCCGAGGAGTTGGCTCCTTTGACGTTGTCAAACACTGGTGTACAGCTTGTACGGTCGTCGGATATGGCCTACCGACGGGACCCTTTCCACGAAAGTCGCATCCGGCAGTCCATTGCTTTCCCCGACAAACGCCTTCTGCAATACGACTGCGGCAAATTACAACGATTGGCCACTCTTCTACGAGATCTCCAAGCAGGCGGCCACCGCGCTCTCATCTTCACCCAGATGACGAAGGTCCTCGACATTCTCGAGCAGTTCCTCAACATCCACGGCCACCGCTACCTCCGTCTCGATGGCGCAACAAAGGTCGAGCAGCGCCAGATTTTAACCGACCGCTTCAACAACGACCCGCGCATCCTCTGCTTCATCCTCTCCTCTCGCTCCGGCGGTCTCGGCATCAATCTTACAGGCGCAGATACCGTCATCTTCTATGACCTCGACTGGAACCCCGCAATGGACAAACAATGCCAGGATCGCTCCCATCGCATCGGCCAAACGCGCGACGTCCACATCTACAAGTTCGTCTCTGAGTACACCATCGAAGCTAATATCCTACGCAAGAGCAACCAGAAGCGTCTTCTGGATGATGTCATCATCCAGAAAGGCGATTTCACAACCGACACCTTCAACCGCGTCACTTGGCGTGACGCCCTCGACGACGGTCTCGGCGACGAAGCAGGTGCAGCCATGGACCGCGTGTTGGGCGAAAAGGCAGGTCTCCTTGGTGATGCGCGCGTCATGGGTACTGTCGAAGACACAGAGGACATGGCTGCTGCTACGGTTGCGCAGAAAGAGATCGTGGATGAAATTCACGATGATCAGGTTGACTTTAGCGAAAGCGCTGCGGCGACGCCCGGGGGAGCAACAAGAGCGGGGAGTGAATTGGGCGAGGAGATGCCGGGAGGTGTTGATGGGGAGAGGCTGAGACGGCATGTCGATGAGTATATGCTAGGGAGGTTCAGGGATGAGTACGGGAGGGAGCCGTATAAGCCGCCGACGGATCGGCAGAGGAGGCATAGGAAGGGTGGAGATGTGCATCGCACGCATAAGAAAAAGAGGTACTGAAATTTTGGCTCGCGCTTTCGTCGCGGGTATGGCAGGCTAATACGGGGGAGGCTTTCGGACGTGGGAATTTCAGTGTATTGTATCAGTAGTGTGGTCTAGAATGCTGCATTTCGCGAGGCGTATGGTGTCACGGGCAAGGGAAACGGGAGCGTAAGGGGAAATGTACGAACAGGTGTGTTTGGGACGCACAGGCAGCACGAAGTATGCATGGGTGGCGTCTGTGGGCGTGATTGATCGAATAAAAATTGAGAACATCGTGAACAATGTTCGCCGTTTACTACATATGTATCGAATTGCACTGAACATGTATGCACCTTCTGCCGCTAGTCGAACGTTCAGCAGCGGCCTCATTGCTCACCAAAGGTCCTACAGGGTGTGTAAGTACTTTGAGGGAATTTAGATAAGAACTTGTTGGAAGACTATCAACCTACAGTCGAGGCGAACTCGCATTCTCGAGCGATGTATTCAATCTTCCGCTTTGGTTGATGTTCGCAGCGCACATGAAGTAGAATATTGGTTGTCGTGAGCCAAACTGCCTAGATCGGCAACACCGAAAACCCCAGAACCCTGTCAAAATTTCTAGAACCCAGTCTGCGCATCCCATCACCGAACCTCCACAATTGCCTTCCACCCACAAACACGAACATGACCTCTCCCTTACCCAAGATTCGCAAAAGCGCGCCAACCTCGGTTGCAGAATTCTCCATCCTCCCGCTCACGCTCCCCACATATCCCGGCCTCCCATCCTCATGCACCGATGCGAAGCATTACCTCTACGTCAAGGCGCACGCACCCGCCATATGCACCGAATCCACCGCACGCTCGCTCTTCCTCGCAAATGTCCCGATCGACGCCTCAGAAGCGAATCTGCGCGCCCTCTTCGCGGAGCAGCTGGGTGGTGCACGAGTCGAAAGTGTAGAGTTCGATGCCAGCGTTCCGGCGGAAGTTTCGCATAAGCATTTTAAGGTGAAGGAAGTGGAAGAAAAGGATGGGAAGAAAGATGCGAGACCTGATAGGGGGACGAAAAGGAAGAGAGAGGAGGGGAAGGGGAGGGCGATGGTTGCAGAAGGCGTGATAGCGGATGGAGAGAGTGCGCTGCCGCGGATATGGAGCAGCGCGGCGCGAAAGAGCGGATCGGGCGCTGTGGTTGTTTTTCTGGACAAGGCGAGTATGCGAGGCGCGCTGAAAGAGGTACAGAAGGTCGTAAAGGACCACGCAGCAATACACTGGAAGGGCGGCGAGGCGCTGGGCGTTGAACGTATGTCTCCCTTACTTACAGCCTCCAGATCTCGAACAGGCGATGCTAACACAGGATAGGCTACAGATCCCACCTCTCTCTCCTCCATCCACCACCTACCCTGCTCTCCTCCACCACAAACGCCTACCTCACTCAATTCGACGCCGCCGCCTCCCAACGCAACCGCGCCCTTGCACACCTCCGCTCCGTCCCCGACGAAGACGGCTTCGTCACCGTGACCCGGGGCGGCGGGCGCAGCGCCCCGGCTGCCAGGCTCGAGATCGCGCAGCAGAAACAGTCTGAGCTGGAGGACAGGAAAAGGAAAAAGGGTAGTCTGGACGGCTTCTATAGGTTCCAGAACAGAGAGAAGAGGAAGGAGGAGGAGGGGAGGTTGAGAAAGCAGTTTGAGAAGGATAGGAGGAGGGTGCAGGAGATGAGGGAGAGGAGGGGCAAGCTTAGGCTGGAGAGCTAAATGAGAGGGGTGGTGTGGTGGGATGGGTTGGGGTGGACGTTCGGAAAAAGTAAAGGGATACCCTATGGATGTATCTTTGGCAAACACGATCTCATGTTATGATGAGGATTATGCGTGACGTCGTGTCATGGAGCATGCGGATTGTTCTTCTGCGAAGTTTTAGCTTTGATATTGACATGTCCTCGGTGGACTCCGTTCAATGTCTACAGTGAGCTGTCTGCATAGAGTCCTAGAAGAAGCCAAAGCTTGATCAAACATCCCTTGTGGGTGTCAGAAAGACGTCACATATGCAAAACGATCCTAAGTTCACAATTCAAGGTCCGCATTGGAACCGCCTCTTGTAGGCACAGGTACGTCCAACTACATAAGAAAAGTAGGTGTTGACAACTTCTACACTCAAAATCGAGTGCTAGACTATCACATCCTCATCGTCATCATTCTCCATCCTCACAACCCCATTCTTCCCATACAGTCCTTCGTCACCGGTTCCATTACCTCGGTCTCCAACCCCATTCGTACAATCATCTAAACCAGCGCGATCATCCACAAGGCGGGATCGCATTGCCCCAGCGGCGCCGCTAGTCCGAGTTGCAGTCGCAAGCTGGAGCTGCGTTTGAGCGGCCTCCATAGAGTCACCGATCCCATCTCCTTCCTTCCGAATGTACTGACAATCTCGCTGTATATGCGGAGAAAAGTCGCGTTGCGCTTGATGAGGCGTCGCCATCTTTCCAAAGCCTTTCGCCTTATTCGCGCATGGGGCGCCTTGCCCGTTGGCGTTGCACTCGGTCACTTTTCCGGCGATGTCGTTGGTGGTTCCTGTGCCTTCCACTTCGAACTTCCAGTGTTTGTGCATGCCATCGTGGTTAGGGCCTGATGGATTGGATATGACGGAGAGCAGGTCTGCACGCGTATGTACCTTTTCCCAAAGAAGAGAAGACAGCGCGTGGCGGAACGATTCAAGTCCTCGGGGGAATGTCTCGCTGGCCTTGAGCGCATTGCACTCCCAATACATCTGCTCTTCGCCGAGATGTAGGAACCTACGCGAAAGAAGACGTTCCTGTAGTGACCACGCCCTCGTATCCCAGGCAAAACCTGGCGTTAGGTAAGTGCTAAGGGGGAGGACAGCGGCTTGAAGCGCTTGTTGATCGACACCCTTTTGTGTTGCTACGATGGTAAGGGCCGCGTTGCGATACACGTCTGCCATGGCGCGGGATTCGCGTTCTTTGTCTTCATCCGAATCTTGGAGTACGCAAAGATTGTCTACCCAGAGGTACCGGAAGCCGATGTCTTGCGCCTTGGTGATGGCTTCGTTGATAGCCTTGGGTAGGATGTCACGAGGAAGATCGCTTTGCATTGCTTCCAGACGAGCAGTTGAGAGCTTCAGCTCATCATCTGCCCAAACATAGCTGAGTGCTGTGTAGTCTGGACGGTTGTGTTCATCTAGATCCGCTCCGTTAACGACGCGCACGGAGAAGCCTGCTTTTCCATCTGGTAAAATGTCAATCAGACGTGTGGGTAAGGTCTTGCCAGCAACATGTCCATGGTGGATGTGGCGGCAAGCTTCGTGATCGTGTGAACACTCCTCTAGCCAGCGCTTGGCATTGGTCACAGTGTCGCTTTGCTGCTTCTGTTGGTCATCGACATCATGCAGATGAGCACTGCCATCCCTGCCATCTTCCTGGAAAAAGGTCTTCACTGTTTGAAGCTCTTCGGAGGGTCCAGGATATGCGACCTTTTCGTTGGGCCAGCTCAGACAGCAAGGTGCGGGTGTAAACACCATGGTCAGCTTAGGCGCAGTTGGACGTTCAGCTGGCTTGGAGCTGAGCATTTCCTTAACAGTGCTCGTCGCATTGGCTTCATTTCGAGTTGCTGCTTGTTCGAGAGATTGGGTCAGCAGGCCTTGCAGTGCAGGGACATCTTGCCAGTAGTATTTGCCCTTGCGACCACCGAATACTTGGCGGAGATCAAGCCAGCGCGGGTTATCATCCTTGTATGCGACTGTGAGCATCTCAAGGAAGACACAACCGAGAGACCAGATGTCAGACGCAAGTTCGCGTGAGACACCCTCAGATACTTCGGGCGCGCAATATTGGCGTGTAAGCGGCATCGTCTTGCTGTTTCTGGTAATCTCGCCGATCGAGCTGACGCCGAAGTCGCTCAAGAAAACATGTGGAGCCTCCTCGCCTTGTTTGACAAGGATGTTCTGGGGCTTGATGTCCATGTGCTTCACGACTGGTCGTTGCTCATGAAGGTAGCGGATCGATGAGGCAAGGCAGCCCATCATCGTGATGATGGTCTCACTTAGTCCGTCCGGCTTGTTCTGCAGCTTTGTATCGAGCCATGCGGCAAGTGTCGTCTCTGCAACGGGTGAAAGAAGGATCGACATCCTGTCACCCTTTTGAACGCTGTCCACGAACCGGATGATGTGAGGATGACGAAGTTTCTTGAGAACGTCGACCTCGTTCTTTAGTTCTTCGATGGCCGAGCGCTCCCGATTCTTCAGCGTCTTGCGGGCGAAGCGTAGGCTCGTCTCGCGATGGACGACTTCGTCAACCGTACTAAAGCCGCCGGCACCGAGGAGCTTGAGACTACCGAGAAGGTCTTGCGTCTCTCGGGTCAGTGATCCTGCTCGGTGGTTAAATCTGTGAAGTTCTCCTGAATGCGTAATACACATACCAGTGGTCACTGGCGTCAGTGCCTTCAGACGATCTGGCGCGGGATCCCCATCGCTTGGAGGAACGCGGGGCGGTATCGTCTGAAGCTGGACGATATCAGAGCTTAGGAGGGCGACATCATCTCCGGCCACAGTCTGCGAGTCATCCCTCGTTGTCGCGTCGTACCTGCCATGCACGGAGCATGAATCGGTGGGTATTTCAGACTCTGTTGTGTTGGTGCTGCGCGTTGCACTATCCAATTCGAGGGCTCGTTTAATATGCTGCTTGCCCGAGAGATCTCGTTGAATGTGCTGCTCGACTCTTGGCGATGCGCCTCTACTATCGCTGTCCGCGAATTGTGAAACCTGGAACTGGTAGAAGCCGCTCTGCGGAGGCTGAGAGCCGTTGCCTTCATTGCCGTTGTCCTTGGGTCCAGAGCCAGAGCCACGTGGATCGTTCTGCGGCGGGAACAAAGGCTTGCCGTTGCCGAAGCCACCGCTATCAGGTCGGTCGTCGTCATCGTCATCGTCATTCATATCATCGGAATCCTTGGACTCATCCTCATTCCAGTCAAGCATGCACTTGCCGTTCTTGAAATGCTCCGCGATGTGGTCGATGCGATCCTGTCGCGACACGAACCGGTGGCTGCAGAAGCCGCATTTCCTAGCGGCCTGCGGCAGGCTTGTGTCAGAGTGTCTGTAAGAAGTCAGCCATGTACAAGTGCGCGCGAGTGGGCAAACAATTTTGTCCAGCCTTGGACTACTTCGACGATGGAGAAGGTTAAGCTAGGCTATCATTACTTACACCACGGAAGACTCCTCGTAGTCAGCAGAATTCAACCCAGGGTGGATATTCCTAAAGTGCTGAGAGAAATGGTATTTCCGGAAACATGGCTTTACACGCTCGACGCCCTCGGTAACACAGAGGCCTACGGAAAGTTAGCAAGCATTCAGCAAGAGGAGGCTGAGAACTGTTGGCATATCGTAGCGCAGATGCCCTCGGTCGCGCCACACGAGGCCGACTATACGCAAGCGGTATATCCCGGTGCATGCTATCCTTCGAACTGACGGCCTTCGTGCGCTTCTCCTGGAATAGCGAAATGATTTCAACCCATGTTAAGAAAAAGGAATCACTTACTGCACAGCCAGCTTTTCGAGGGATAACCTTCCTCTTCATTCCGTTTCCAGTCACATTTCCGTCCATACCGCTTTCCGCACTTTCGTGTGCACTGGTAGATTTTGTTTGGGTCCCGCTTTAGTAGCTCTGGATCTTCTGTTGGGTTGCAACCTTTCTTGCCACCCCGCAAAGGTGACTGAGACACCGTCGTTGTCGCCGCCTGTGTCTCGTGGTTACATGAAATGTCTGGAATTGCAAGTTGTTGTGATGTGATTGCGGCTGTGGTAGTAGCTAACTGTGGGAACAATATTGGGTCCTGCGTAAAGCCCGTTTGTGACTTGTATGCAGAATCCTGACCGGTCATCCCCTGCTTCAAAGCCTGACCGAACCATTGCCGGATGGCTGTTGCTGACTCGCCGGTGAGCTGGGCTAGTGAGTCGATATGTCTGTCACTGTGACGCAGTCAGATCTTGTAGGAGCGACATAGGTATACAAGCCGATTCACCTTGGGAGCACATTGTACTTGCTGAACCATGTCGCACAGACGTCAGCAGCTTCGTCACTCAAGCCAGTACCATCAGAGCTGGCTGCTGGAGTAGGCTGGGTCTCGAGCGCCCAGTTGCTCGATCCCGTGATGGAAGCCGTGGTAAAGGGAGAGAATGCCTCACGGCGCTTCGCCTGGGGAAAGTCATTGACCTCTAGCTGAAGTGGCCTCTTATTGAGTTGAGGTGTGTATAATGACTCGAAGGACTGTGCAGGCGTTGTGGGGAACGTAGTGCTCCATGAAGCACCCATGGCGGTGTTATCCAGACCCTGTCAAGGTCAGCTAGGCACCGTGCGATGACCAGATTGCCTCGACGAAGGGTAAAAGCTATATGAAATGCGAACATACAAGGGGCTCCATTCCAAACGCTGTGCCGTTCATATCACCGACGGGCGCAAACATCGAGTCAAATGAATGATCGAATGCCGTGGTAGCCGTGTCGATGCCCTCGTCGCCGAAGAAGAAGGCCGAAGAAGTGTCACCTCCTCCAGCACCCTTCAAGTCATTAAAGGCAGGCTGCATTCCGAATCCTGTAAAGTCGATGCCAGCGCCCGCGTTGAAGTCGAAGTTACCGTTATTGCCGCCCTGAGAAGCCATTGCTGATTACGATTTCGGTTGCGTTGGGACGGCGAAGGGCGCCTCGTTCGTACAGATGTGAATTACAACTCGAATATTCGAGAGGAGAATGAGCGAAGATGAGTCAAGGGCCTCAGGCCGGGTTGGTCCCGACTTTTAGATCTTACGGTGGTTGCTCGTATGGGTCGTTCGGAGTCATAAGCTAGTGCACCAGTGCAAGGTGCGAAGGGCGGATGGCGACAAGATCGGACTAGCTCAGACCCGCGGAGGCTTGGACGAAGGATGGCAGGTGCGGTGTGTGCTAGCGGGCTTTGGGGTCTATGGCAGGCACGGCCGGTATTAAACGCAGCTAGCGCTTGCGGCTTCCACGCAGCCAAGTACAATTGCGCGTGTCGAAGGCTAGACGGACTGGACTATTGTTCCCGGGTGAACACCTCCTCTACTTCTACAACTTCGATACGTTGTTTCTTCAAGTCTATTGTCTCGAATTTGGAGGACGTTGGCTTTTGTTATATTGCAGGTGCAAGTCTCGCGCTGCTGCCGCGAAAGTGATCACGTAACGCGGAAAGCCGATGCTTATCCAAATTACGCACCTAAACCCCATACTCAAAGGGCGCTCCACCTCGCCCTTCTCTCTGAGGCGCAGTGCCAATCATGCACCGGTCCTAGCATCCACTCCCATGGCTCAGTGGCTCAGCGGCTCAGCCTGCTGCGGAACCAGGGCCTCCACCTTTCGGTAGCACTGACTCGAAAGTCAGGGCCCCTTGGCAGATGCTTGACGTTGGTGTCGCATTTGGTGACTTCTTGTGTGCGGCCTCAAGTTGTCAATGGCAATGGACTATTGATAAGTGACAACATTGGTCTGCTCATTACATCAAGCGCTTGTCCAAAAGCATGCTCAAAAGGAGATTGGGGGGTATCTAGAAGAAATACACGTGCAGAATCAAATATGTCCACCTTGTCCGATTGCCAAAGGCTGGAAGTGTGGTGTACAGGGTAGAAAGGTCGCTTATTGGCAGTCTTGCGGCAATCAATTCGTGCCCTTGATAAACCAATCAGAGCTAGCATCCACCATATAATTCGTAATGTTGAACTCGTTGACCGGTTGCCCATCGGGCATTCCAGTCGAGATCGACCCGTCGGACGCTACATAGCCGTTCGCGCTATCCATGGTAACAGGTAGTCTTGGCATGTTGAAGAAGTCGAATACATCTAGATACTCCAACTCATTCGGTGCTGGGGTGCGAGCTGGAGTCGGTTGGTGGCTGGGATGCATCTTGGGCTGTCGCGCAATCAGGAAATCGAGGTCGAATGCACAGCGACGCATGTCGGCGAGTATCTTCACGGTGGATGGAGTGATGCGCTCGCCGTTAACGCCCACGCTCTGTTGCGACTCTTGATATTCTAGCAGCACGCGGGAGAGTAGGCTGGCGTAGCGAGACCCAACTTCCCAATATTGACCCATCTCTCGGAGAGTCAAGACCAGTAGGTTGATGGATTCGTCCACGCGGTGAGCTATGGTCGAACCATGGACTAAGAGAACGCGAGCCGCAACCCACAGGGAGAAAGCGAAAGGCGGGCCGAGCTTTGTCAAGAGGCCATGCTCCCGGATGCATTGGCAAAGCGCCACGATGCTCTCAACGGCACTGAGACACCTCTGGCTTGCGCTGAACGAAGGTGCAAATATCGGGGAGCGATGGGTCGGGTATGCCGCAGAGGAGTGGAGGCGAATCACGGTACTATACATGTCAGAAGAGCTAAAGGCATAAGAGTAGTGCACTCACGTGTGAAAGGCGGCGTGCAACATGATCAAGCTACTGTTAAGATCTTTGCTGGCCGCCGGTCCCGCGAAGACGCGCGATGCATTGCCGTACTCAGGTGGCAGATTGTATTTCCATTGCTCGAGAGTGCTGTCCAGTGCACGATACTCGCTTTGCCACTGCTCGACATCAGTCAAAGATGTGATATCCACAGGCTGTTTGAGGAAGTTGTGAACCCGGGAAAGTATCTCCAATATCTCCACATAGTACGAGAAGGCACCCAGATTCTCTGGTCGGTTCATGGTATGGTTCGTGCGCGTTGACGTACGGAACCAACGAGTCTCCACTGATGCATTGCGTGTGAAGAACTCGTCACGGCACGGAAGCTGACGGTCAATCTCCTTTTCGTCGAGCGCAAATTCAAAGGCAGTTGCTACCGTAGCATATCGATCAAGGACGTAGATCATCCAGAAAAGTCGTCTTCGGCTCTCTTCCATGATCCAATCGGTCGGTTCGGGAAGGACGATCGCTCGTAGTGTATAGATGGACGCATATTGAGGAGCTATTTTTGGCGAAGAATTCTCCACAGAAAGCCCTAGATTTACAATCGATCGGGTAATGAGGGCCAGTAGATTCCAGCCAGGAGGGCCGTTCGAGCATCCCACGACATCTACTGACAGAATGACGAGTGCCTGCAGTGATTTGACTGAACTGTTCTGGATTCCATATAACAGCACTTTCTCTTTCGAGTTTTGATGGTAATGCTCTCGTTTCTCTGCGGTCAAGCGAGGGTCGGTTGAAAATCTTAGGGTGGTTGCAACCATGGCATGAAGAAGAATCCTATCCGCTTCCTCTAAGCTAGTGTCCCCAAAAAGTGAGTTGAGGGTCGCTTGACGGTGAAGAATCGGACACCAAGGGTAAATGTGCTTGAAGAAGAGGTCCACCAAGCCGTACAGCAAGTCGTAAGGTGGGAAGTCCTGATCACCTCGCGCCAATGCTCCCGCCATCGATGGTGGGGCAAAACGATCGTTGTTGAAGGCAAATGCATCTCTTTGTTGCATTCCACTCATATTAGACGCAGCATCCTCGGGGGAATTGTGATAACCACTGCTACCGACAGATGGCGCCTGCCGCGCGTCGGATATCCCCCCGGGAAAGCTTGGCTGCAGAGGGGTTGCAGTCGCAGTAGAGAAACTACCTGGCTTCTGTATGAAGAGAGCTGTTTCAGGCCGTGGAACGTGCGTTGTCTGCTGCAGAATGGTCGGGCTCCGGAAGACGGGCCCGGCCTGCGGGGACGTGACTGCCGGCGTGGCCTGGTTGCTAGAAAGCTGGTTGATCTGATTCTGCTGTTGGTGGAGCAATGACTCCAGCTTGTCTACTCCGAGTCAGCCCATATCCCACGCTCGCTCTATAGTTTTTCCGTCTCGGATCATGTGAAATTGATTGAAACATGGAACAAGAATCGCCGAAGAAGCATCCTCTGGTCACATTAGGATGACGATGGCCTTTCTCTCATTCCATTGAATCGGGGTGACTGGGGCGGAGCGTCAGTGAAGGAAAATCCACTTACCGAGACGTGACTCTAATTCTCGACCATACCCAGCGCGCAGACCTGGCTTCTTTCGCGGAAGATATATGCAGCCAGAGTGGTTTTTAACACACCAGCCGCAGCTTGGCTGGCCACGGTCGCACTTGACCTGCAGCGCCGTTAGCAAGAATGAAGGCGTTAACAAGAGACTCGCAATCCCAGCATGGCCAGTGGAGGTTTCCGCAGTGTGCCACCCGAACATAGACCTGCAAAGGCAGGGAATGCAGGAAGGGGTACCGTTGTGTAGCGAGCATCCCAGGTGACACACGACAGAAAACAATTGTGGACCCCAGAGAGCTCGAGACGCTGTGCTTCGGTCGACTCACCTTGCGTTGTTTACATATTTCGCAGCTGACGGAAAGGGGGCGTTTGCGCTTCGTTGCGCCGCTGGCCTGGATGGCTTCGTCGCCGCTGGACCCCTCTCCGCTCCAGCCGTCTTGCTCATCGGTCGGCGAATGCTGCGACAGCTTCGCGTGACTCTCCGGGCTGGCGTACGGTCGCGCGCCGTTGCCGTTGACTGAAGGCGTATCCATATTTGATAACGATCCTGTGGGACTGGATATAGGATGCAAAGATCGCTCGACAATAGCCCGAGGAAACGAGGGATCGATGTTCCCCGCATCTGCCCCGGATTTTGAGCTTGTGGGCTTGCCTCGGAAGACGGGGCGAATCATCGCAGTGCACGGAGCCCCGAATGAAAACGGCGGCTTCGGACCACGGACCCAGGGGTAGCTTGCACCTTCGATTGGATCGCACACCGGTGCCATGCGCAAGCTGCGGCGCACTTTCGTACCATCGTGGTCAGCTTCATGCAGCCCCTTCGAACCGCCGTGTGTTGCTGACGGTGACTCCCCTTGCCCATCAAAACGGCAAAGCCACGGACGGGCCCCACTCTCTACAGCTCCTCGGGGTATCATTGAGGTTTCGCTGTGAGATACCCCGAGACGCCCCTCACATGACCAGCGATTCGTTTATAAACATGGGTGATACTCATGCTCTGTTACCCCCACGATCCTACCCCTCACTTGATTCTCTCGTCCAACTCTGAGAGTCATCTTCGTCCAGTGTCGCCACCTCGTTCCGCATCAAGATGCCTTCCAACGTCGAGGGAAGCGCCGCGCGTGGCTTTCCCACGATCAAACATGTCCGCACCTTCATCACGCAAGGGCCAGGGTCTGGCGGCGACTACCACAATGTGCACGGCGGCCATTGGCTGATAGACAGCAAGATCTCCACGCCCATGTCCCAGTACGAGAAGTACAGGAAGTCGCGCACAAGTTGGGGCATCAATGTGCTTGGCTCCTTCTGTGTGGAGCTCGAGGCAACTGATGGGACCAAGGGCTTCGCGACTGGTTTCGGAGGTCCGCCAGCATGCTGGCTTGTTGCGGAGCACTTTGAGCGGTTCCTGGTCGGGCAAGGTGAGCTCTGACCTACATCGCAGCAAACCATCGTACTGACGGGCGGCAGACCCCCGGGACACGAACCACATCTTCGAGCAGATGTATCGCGGATCAATGTTCTACGGCCGAAAAGGTCTACCAGTCGCCGTCATCTCCGTCATCGATCTTGCCATCTGGGATCTCCTAGGCAAGATCCGAAACGAGCCTGTATACAAGCTGATTGGCGGCGCGACACGGGAGAGGTTGAACTTCTACTGCACTGGCCCTGAGCCGTCGGCAGCCAAGGAGATGGGTTTCTGGGGTGCAAAGGTTCCTCTGCCATATGGCCCTGGAGAGGGTTCCGAGGGACTGAAGAAGAACGTGGAATTCCTCACAAAACACCGTGAGAGCGTTGGTCCCGACTTCCCCATCATGGTCGACTGCTACATGAGCCTGAACGTACAATATACCATCGAGGTTGTGAAGGCGACAGAACACCTCAACCTTAATTGGTGGGAGGAATGTCTTTCACCTGACGACACGGACGGCTTCGAATTGATCAAGCGTGCACATCCGCGGATGAAGTTCACTACCGGCGAGCACGAATACTCAAGGTACGGATTCAGGAAGCTGATCGAGGGTCGCAACCTGGACATACTCCAGCCGGACGTGATGTGGGTAGGAGGCATGACTGAGCTACTGAAGATTTCGTCAATGGCTGCCGCATACGATATCCCCGTCGTCCCGCATGCCAGCGGACCATATTCATACCACTTTGTCGTCAGCCAGGCAAACTCACCATTCCAGGAGTATCTTGCAAACTCTCCAGACGGCAAGTCCGTGCTGCCAGTGTTCGGTGATCTCTTCCTCAATGAGCCTATCCCTACCAAGGGTTACCTCGATGTATCCATTTTGGATAAGCCTGGGTTTGGTCTCGAACTCAACCCGAACGCTCGGTTGATTGATGCTACGAACATCTTGAACCCAGCACCGGCCAAGTCATTGAAGGCTCCGGAGCAGGCACCCGTCAAGGCTGGAGAGGCCGAGGCCAATGGCGTGCAAGCAAACGGCCACGCTGCGTAAAGAAGCAATAATGCACGCAGGGCGAAGGACGCTGCATGTTTTCTCTTACATCTTTCAGCTACACTGCATTGGCTCGGCTATCTGCGTTTCTCGCGTCGCATCTTTCCCTTACTATCTAGAAGGATCTGGCGCATCCTATCGTGGAGACACTTAGGGTTTGCAGGATGCAAACTCTTCCACAATTTGAACGGTCATGTAGATGCGATACTCGACCATGTACGATTCATGAATTGATCTGTTGTGAGCCCTATTTTTAGTGGTCGATGATGGTTTTCAGCCGCTTGCGACGAGCCGTTTTGTTGCCTGTGCTTTGAGGCGCGGACAGGGACCGTAAGACAGGGACAGTGGGGCAGGGCGGCGTTAGCACACCGCAGCTTGGTCTCCTAGTCTTTCCAATAAACATTGTTTGAAGCCTCGACATCGTGCAAAGTCTTCACTTACCATCCCATACTTTTTCGATTGTATCAGCCGCGCTTCTTTCTTGACGTTGCTTCTGCCATTGCCCCTTCCCCGCTAGAGTACCCCGCTTACATCATGGACGCCATCAAGGATGCCGTTTCTTCCACGCTCGAGAAGCTGAACCTCACTGGTGGTCAGGGCGTTCCCGCAAAGGAGCCTACCGAGGAGCAGCTCAATGAACTCAAGTCCAAGTACGCCAAAGCAGGACAAGAGCAGGTCTTCGCCTTCTACGACAAGCTCTCGTCTGCTGAGAAGGCGGGGCTGTACGAGCAGCTTGAGAACTTCAACCCTGACTACATCAATGAGATCACAGACAGGGCCCTTAATCCTCCGCAGACCGAGTCCACCGAATCTAAGATCGAGCCTCTCCCCGAGAATGCCACTTCGTCGGTCCTCGATTCGAGCGCGGAAGACCTGCAGAAGTGGTACGACAGCGGCCTTGAGCTGATTGCGGAGAACAAGGTGGCAGTGGTTTTGATGGCCGGTGGACAAGGCACACGATTGGGCAGCTCTGACCCCAAGGGCTGTTTCAACATCGGGCTTCCCAGTAGCAAGTCGCTGTTCCAGCTTCAGGGTGAACGGATAGCCAAGGCGGAGAAGCTGGCAAAGAAGAAGCACGGTAAGGAAGGTGTGACAATCCCTTGGTATGTCATGACCAGCGGACCCACGCGGGCCCCTACACAGAAGTTCTTTGAGGAGAAGAACTACTTTGGCTTGAAGAAGGAGAATGTGATCATCTTTGAGCAGGGTGTGCTTCCTTGCATCTCGAACGAAGGCAAGATCCTCCTCGAGAGCAAGTCAAAGGTAATATCCGCACTATTGTGGTATTTGACTTTTGCTGAACCTCTAGGTTGCTGTTGCGCCAGATGGCAACGGTGGTCTTTACCAAGCGCTCATCAACGCTGGCGTCGTCTCGGACATGGGCCAGCGCGGCATCAAGCACATCCACGCGTACTGCGTCGACAATTGCCTAGTCAAGGTCGCCGATCCCGCCTTCATTGGATTCTCTGCCGCTAAGAATGTCGACATCGCCACAAAGGTCGTCCGTAAGCGTGACGCCAAGGAGTCTGTCGGGCTCATCCTCCAGAAGAACGGCCGCCCAGACGTCGTCGAATACTCTGAGATCTCTACCGAAGATGCGGAGGCCAAAGAATCTTCTGGTCTTCTCAAGTTCCGCGCCGCAAACATCGTCAACCACTACTACTCGTACGAGTTCCTCGAGAGCATCCCCGAGTGGGCAAAGAAGCTGCCTCACCACGTCGCCCGCAAGAAGATCCCGTACGTCAACACCGAGACGGGCGAGACAGTCAAGCCGGAGAAGCCCAACGGCATCAAGCTTGAGCAATTCGTCTTTGACTGCTTCCCGTTCTTGCCGCTCGATAAGTTTGCCTGCATGGAGGTCAAGCGTGAGGATGAGTTCTCGCCCCTAAAGAATGCATCCGGTGAGGACAGCCCGCAGAGCAGCAAGAAGGACATTATGGCGCAGGGCAAGAAGTGGGTGGAGGTTGCGGGTGCTACCGTGGTCAGCGAAAACCCTGAGGAAGGCGTCGAGGTGTCGCCTCTGATCTCATACGTAGGTGTTTTCGGGAGTTTACTGATGGATCGTGCTAATCATATGTGCAGGGCGGCGAAGGTCTCGATTTCGTCAAGAACACCACGATTACCGCACCTGCTGTCATCGAGAATGAGCCTTAGGAGCTGTTCGATGGTATGCTACTGGCGGAGCGCAATATCCTAATTGCCACGCCAGTCAGTGTTGTACACAACAAAAAGGGACCCTACCGGATCACGAATATAACGAAGTATAAGCATGTGTATACTGGTCAGATATTGGGTATGATGGATTCTGTTTATCAACCAGAACGATTTCCGTGAGTGCCGTTGCGTGTGATTGCCCCGATGCAACAGTTCGCAGACTGGTGATACCAACGGGGCCTGCGCCTCGGGTACTGCTCCCAATTCTTCTCACAAGCGACTATTGTTTTGCCAAGCACAAAGCAAACCCCCAGTCCGGGGCCTACGTGAACATCACGAGTCATAGAATAAGCTCACAGGTACTTAGCCGTCGTGTCTGCAATCGCTCTCGCCCTTCAAGAACAAAAAGCGCGGTTGTGCTGCTCCCAGCGCGAGGCGCCCTACAGCGAATAGGGCCGCATACAGTAACGTTAGTTTCGGCAAAGCGGGCGAGCATTGTCCCACGTGCAACACCCAGAGCTCCTGACGGTGAGAGACTTTTCTGGTAAGAAGGCGCGTGCGGCAAAAGCAAGTCTGAAGGCGTTTGCGGGTCGCAGCTGGATCTGGCACCAAAGGTCGAGGTAGCGGCCAGCTCAGACGTCAAGTTGGGCTCGGACAATCATCGCGCATTGTGTCATTTCGCGGGGTGCTAGGATGCAGAGGGCAGCTCGTGGCTTCGTCGGCTTGCGTGCAGGCGGCTGAGGCGGACAGGCAAATTCGAAAAGGGGCCCGTTCCCGTGCGAATGGCCATTCACGTCGGTGTGATGGCGCTGCTAGTGGCAAAGCAGGGGCGCTTCTGGACCCTGTCGCGAGCATGCGCAATTTTGGGTTGGGTAGTAGTGGACCCGAGGGAACGTGGAATCGCCGCAGCCTTGATCTCTCAACCCATAAAGCACCGCACATCACCAACATAACGCGGAGGACGGACGCAGCCGAGTCGCTGAGGGAAGGACTGGAGATTCGATTGTATTGGTACGTTTGCGCCTCCCATCGTCCGCGGGACCCCCCGGTGCCTGTGAGCGCGCCGCCACGTTTCTCGGATCCCACATTTCATCACCCCTCTACGACTCGAAAATTCTGCGCTAACACTCGGACAGAGGAAAGGTCCTGAAGAAGCAAAGGAAGAAGGTGTGTGCGCCCATTTACACACTACCACCTCACCATCCTGCGCCCAACCTTGCCAACGGCAATCGCGCAAGCGTCGTTGCAAACGAAAGCACCCTTACGAGCCTCCTACACCTCCCGCCGCCCCTTTTCGCTTTTACCCCGCGATCCGTTATATACTCATACGTTTCATGCAGATATATCAGGAGGAATTATCAACATGTCTTCTCTATCTCGTCGTGCGTGCTTCAAGTGCGGCAACGTTGGGCACTATGCCGGTAAGCTGCCCTTCTGTCCCGCTGCCACAAGAGACTTTATCGGAACTGTCGTCGCAAGACCGCGCGTTTCACGGTTCCTACGTCGCGCAGACACGCGCTGTGCAACACGGCTGCCGGAACACAATACTGACGTAGACCGATAGAGGTGTGCTCATCGTCTGAGAGGCTCTGCTACAACTGTAAGTCCTCTCCATGCACAACACAACTGCAGCGGTTCCTGATGCAACTACAGGCAAGCAGCCCGGACACGAGTCGAACGGATGCCCTCACCCGCGCACCACTGAGACCAAGCAGTGCTACCACTGCCAGGGTCTTGGCCACGTCCAGGCCGACTGCCCGACTCTGCGCCTGAGCGGCGCCGGCACCAGCGGACGATGCTACTCTTGCGGCCTCACCGGCCACTTGGCACGTAACTGCCCCAACCCAGGCGCTGGGATTGGACGCGGTGCTGGCGCTCCCCGCGGTGGATACGGCGGCTTCAGGGGCGGATTCGGTGGCGGTCGCCCTGCTACCTGCTACAAGTGCGGCGGTCCCAACCACTTTGCGCGCGACTGCCAGGCTCAGGCTATGAAGTGCTACGCCTGCGGAAAGTTGGGCCACATCTCCCGCGACTGCACGGCCCCTAACGGCGGACCGCTCAACACCGCGGGCAAGACCTGCTACCGTTGTGGCGAGACTGGCCACATCTCTCGCGACTGCACCCAGGCCGAGGTCAACGGTGATGGCGTCGCGCAAGCTCCTGCTGCCGTTGCTCCGGTCGTCCCGACGCCCGCCGCTGCTTAGATGGCATTGGAATACGCTGCTACGCGTCGAGTGCGAGTGAGATCGCCCTAACGAATATCGTGATATTCGACATCGACTGTTTCAATCCTGTTCTTTTGTTTTTGCTGCCCACTTATCGTTAAATTTGCCTTTCCGGCATCATTCGGCAAACTTCACGCATCACGAGTTACTGTCATCGAGAAAGGAGAAAAGTTTTCACGAATCCTATGCTGATACCCACGGACGTTATATCCCTTTACGCGGAAACTCTATCATACCATTACTTCGGACAACAAAACGGCTTGGCGACACTTGAGGGACGGCAACTTTCTATCTCACCTTGTATTTCTTGTCGAGATCTTGTCTGAACCCTTTTCTGGGCTTGGCGAGGGAAGACAGACTTGGATAGGCCAGAATTTGTCGGGGACAACCTAGGGAAGGCGGCTGTGGTGGTTTGGTAGTGGAAAGTTAGTTGGAGGGATTGGGAGGGGGCTTTGGAGGACTGAGAACGGCATGGATGGGAACGTGTACGGAAGATGTAGTGTGTGGGTTTGTCGGAGGAGAGTTGGTCGGCATTGCCCCTGTCCCCTTGGTTTTTCTTTGTGTTTGTCTACCTACCCGAACTTGTTCTTCGCTCTGGCGAGCTGCATAGCATGGCATGCCTCATCAATCATACACTTCTCAACTCATTTGTCCTCTTCAAGAGCCTCGCTAAAGCTACATGCAGGCGAAGCGTATAGCTCGGGTTGGGTTCTTAGTACACTCATATCCAGGAGGCAGTGGCCACCCATAGTTTGTGCTCGCAATTCGCACGCAAATGCTCATTTGCCCTCTCGGGTGTTATCCATGCTTACACTGCGGCAGCTCATGCATCTCGATGGATTGGTTAGGTGCCTCCGGCGCTCCTGCCTCCCAACCTGACCACGCGGCTTAGCGCGAGCGTGTCCGCTCTTTCCTTCGCAACATGACATTGAAAATATTACGTCACCCCTTCACTCTTATGCTTATCATCTAAAGCCCTTCCCACTGTGTATTCTTTCGCTCGTCGCTCATTCCCCTTACCTTTCACCCTTCTCCCTCTAGCTACACCCACAGCAATGGCGCCATCTTCAGTTGCGAGCGACGAATCAGGCCATGATGTGCGTGCCCTGGAATGCCCCTGCATTACCATGGATGGACGATGATCTGACTGCGATATGCAACAGGAAGGCTTCATTGTTGACATCGATGCGATTCAAGCGCACGGTATTGGCGCAGTGGATATCGCGAAGTTGAAGGCCAACGGTTACTACACCATCACGAGCGTGCATGCAGCTACGAGGCGGAGTCTTGCAAAGATCAAAGGGTTCAGTGAGATCAAGGTCGACAAGGTCAAGGATGCTCTCGCAAAGTGTCAGGTGTGCAGCGTTCTACAGAGTGCATCCATGCTCGGCGATCAGCGACTGATTTTGCACATAGCCATCCGGCGGCGGCTTCCAGACTGCACACGACCTTGGTCAACAACGTAAGAGGGTTCTCAAGATCTCGACCGGGAGTAAGCAGTTCGATGCTATTCTCGGAGGGTAAGTGTTCGATTCTTCTGGACGAATTCTGCTGATCGTGGTAGTGGCTTCGCAACGATGAGCATCAGTGAGGTGTTCGGCGAGTTTCGTTGCGGGAAGACCCAGCTATCTCATACCATGTCCGTGATTTCCCAGCTTCCGAAAGACCTTGGAGGTGCCGAGGGCAAGGTTGCTTTCATTGGTGAGAGTGCGAGTCTCAGTAACGCAACGCATGGACTGACCGTCGGTATCAGATACGGAAGGCACCTTCAGACCTGAGAGGATTACACAGATTGCCGAACGTTTCGGGTTGGATCCCGAACAGAGTACGTACATCGTCAGGGCTACATTCAATGCTAATGTTACTCAGCCCTCGAGAACATCACCTATGCCCGCGCTGTCAACTCTGAACATCAGATGGAGCTTCTCAACAAGGTCGCCGAGTATTTTGTGAACAACGAGTACCGCCTCCTCATCATCGACAGCATCATGGCCTTGTTTCGCGTTGATTATGTGGGTCGCGGCGAACTCAATGAGCGCCAGCAGAAGCTCAACCAGTTCCTCTCCAAGCTGACACATGTTGCCGAAGGTGAGACATTGAATATTCGAGATCGATGCCTATGCAATTACTGACGTGTCTAGAATTCAACGTCGCTGTGTTCATGACAAACCAAGTGCAGAGTGATCCCGGAGCCAGCGCGCTCTTCGCCGGCGCAGATGGTCGCAAACCTGTCGGGGGCCATATTCTCGCCCACGCTTCTGCCACTCGCATCTTGCTTCGCAAGGGTCGTGGAGAAGAACGAGTCGCGAAGATCCAAGACTCCCCCGGTAGGCACAAACCTCTCCTGTAAGACTTGTCTTACTGCTGACTAGGACTTAGACATGCCTGAGAAAGAAGCGACCTACATCATCACCAGTGGTGGCATAAACGACGCTGAGAAGGCGTGATGTATATGTGCGCATATCTGGATGGAAACATCTATCGATTTCATGCAAAGTACGTCGTGTTGTGCGAAGTAGGAAGATTTTCTATGCTAAGTCATATTCCTGTTATCACTCGTGGCATGTTAAAATCATGTACAAGTCGGTGTGAAAGCAATTGTTCGGATCATAATACATTAGCTAATATACCATATCATCGTGCTGCCAAGGACTGAACATTCAAAAAAGCAGAGTTGCGCAGAACCGGTTCAGGATTCACTCTACCCACCACTACGCCAGATTCTCCACCAAAACCCATACCGCTTCGCTAGCATCATAACCTGTTTCTACTGCAGCCTTCCCTCTGCGTTCACTCCGGTCCGTTTTCCTCGCTTCCCTGAATTGCCTCCGGACGTCATTCTTCTCGTGTCTCAAACCTTTCTTCTTCTCCTGATGGCGCTTCTTCTGCTCTTTCCATTCTTTGCTCTTCTTTCCCAGTCCCTTCCTCTTCAGTTCCTTCCTCGTCTGTCGATGGTCGCGCTTCATATCTCTGCGTTGATGTTTGAACTCCCGCATGACGGCGCGCTTCGTACGCTTCTGGTCGATCCACTCTTCCACCGCTGCCTTGTCCTTCGCCGCTTTTTCAATGGCAGCAGCGCGCTCACACTCAATTGCTGCGGGAGCCTTCTTCCCTTTCGCACGTGAGGCGTCGGCTGTCGCGTTGATCTCACGGATGCGATTAGTGAAGTGTCTGGATGCATTCATGTAAGCTTTTTCATCGTTCTCGTCGTCATCGTCATCGTCAGATTCACTATCTGAGGAGCTGTCGGAGGAGAACGAAGATGCATCATCATCGTCATGCTTCTGGGTCGCTTTCTTTGCCGCCTGCTTCTCCAGCTCGATCGCGAAGTGGCTGTCGGCGGGAGTGCTTGACTCCTCCCGGTGAACGCCTGTTTCTTGAGCATCGCGCGTGGCAGTCTCTGCACCATGGAGTCTGCTCGAAAATGATGCCGTAGCCGCTCCCTGCGTACTAGGCCCTGCAGTCCCACATCCAGTGCCACCGCCACTGAACTGCTTTCCAAAATCGTTGCCCCAGGCCGCAGTTTCTTTGCCGAACTGATCGCCCCATGCTTCCATCCTCTTGCCGAACTCCTCGCCCCATTTTCCTATGCTCTGCCCGAGGGCTTCCCAGCTGTTGCCTCCTGCACCTGGGCCGCCTCGAGGACCCCAACTACCCCGACCTGGGCCGAAATCACCACGGCCGAAGGGTCCAAAGCCTCTAGGTCCATGGGGTCCGAAGCCAGGAGGGCCATAGACTCCATGACCTGGGGGGCCGAAGGGAGTGTGACCTGGAGGGCCAAATGGGCCGTAACCGGGTGGACCGAAAGGGGACCCAGGGTCGCCTCGACCGCGCCGTCCTCCACGTCCTCGCCAGCCTCCGGACGGTGAGTGTGGACCCTCATTGCTGTGTGGGAACTCTCCTGGGATGGAATGGGGTGGGTCATCATCGTCCGCTGCAGCTGCGCCGCGGTCTCTTTCAGCGTATTCCCTTTCCAAGCGTGTCTTCTCGGTTTCAGGAATATGGGCACCTCTATTGGTTGTTGCTACGCTCAGCGACGGAGCAATGTTCTTGAACTTCTCGCCCATTTCCTTAAGCGTGACCGCCGCAATACTCGGCTCATTGACAGTCGTCTCTAGTGCCTCGACCCACGGATGCAACGCCTGCGCTCTCTTTGCCGGCGTGGCACAAGGATCAAAAGCACCCGCCACAGCGCCGGCACGTTGACCTCGCTCTTCGGGGATCTGGGCGGTGGCTAGCAGCGAGGCGAAAGAGCGCAGCGAGATCTTCAACCCCCGAGGTGCGAAGAACGCTTCATTCGAAGCATTTACGTAATGCCTCACGAGCTCGGTGTTGGGATTCGACGAGGTAGATGGCTGTATGAGGTCTGCAGGCTTGCACCCCACGGTGGCACATAGCGCGTTTAGTCCATCGAGGAAATCGAGAAACTCTGCAGGTCGAATGGAGTGCGCATGTAGTGCCTTTGCATAGGCTCTGAGGAACTGAGCCGGTTCTTCGGATGCGATGGGAAGCGTGTCTGTAGACGTGCCCGGCCGTGCACCAAGGACGTGTGCGTCGGACTGGCCTCTCCGATCCGCTCTCCTTTCCTCGCGGCGAGCGCGAGCTTTGCCTTTTCTTGCAGCGGCAGTGTTGGGGACATTCTGTGGAATAGCGATGCAGCGCGTGAGACGCGGTGCGTAACGGGCATCTGTATCAGGTTCATGCCTTGTAAATTGCAAAGCTGCATCCAGCAGCGCAGACTGATCCAGCGGTGCTGGCATCCTCGAAGTCGTACTTCCGACTCTTCCTATAGGCACATTCTCACTACTTTGGACGTGGTGAACCGGCACACTCCTCCCGCCTTCTCTGGCAAGCTCCTCGGCCGTAGCGCGATGCGCGTGCATCTCTGCACCAGAAGGTATCTCATAGTCGGGAGTTGCGTCATCGAGATGCAGCCGACCTAGGTCCAGCTGCACAGGATCCAGCGGTAAAACGCCATTCCGGGCATCGTGAAGCGCTTGCTGCTGCGCTTCATGGTACGAAGGCGGGAGGTCGTCGTAGTGGGGGCCGCCAGGGCTGTGCACGGGTGTTGGGTCGAAGACGTCTTCGGAGTCGGAGTCTATGTTGTCTGGGAAGGAGGAGGAGCGGGGTGTGAAGGCTGGATTGGAGGTTGTTGATGAGGGGAGGGGGTTGCAGGAGGGTGGTGGTGTAGGTTTTCCGGCCATGATGGTGCCCACAATGAACACCTGAGAAGCCACTTGCTAATTGTACAATACGGCAGATTAGTACGAAGGAAGAAGCAGATGGGACATTGCAGCTAGCTAAAGCTTATATCGACATGGCATCGTCGCCTGACGTTAGACTAGCTTCGGCGACGCAACGCACCGCTTCTCGAAGCCGCCATTGCAGAAGCGAATGCGATTGTACCTCGCCATAGGCAGAGCTAACGTCCCGTGTTGCTGCTGCCTGTGCGGGCTGCCAATGAGGCAGTGCTGACCGCTGGAGCTTGCGCGGCCTACCTGTTGCTGCCAGCCGAGCACTGAGCGGGGTGAGGTGAGGCTGTGCGAGGCTGTGTGTGGGGAAGAGGAGCTTGAGCTTGACGAGCACGCATTCCACAGTCACAACATGTGCACATTCTCTCGGTCCAGACGTGGAGGCCGGTTGCTTGGATGCTTTGGCACTGTGAAGTTGTCTTGACCAGTGTTGCGCTGCGCGGGGCAGTCGCCACTCCGCGCGTTCGCTGACCGGTTGGTGCCTGGAGGCGCTGAAGCTTGCGACGACTGTGACTCTCAGCTCAGAAGTGGCATACCAAGCGATTGATCGAAGAAGAAAACATCATCGCGTTCATCATGCTCAGTCACAGGACCAGAGGGCAGGGCCTCTGTGGCTCGTAGTGAGGGGCAGTCGACGGTGCGGTGCGTTCCTCCACGTCTAGCTCTTTGCTCCTCCTCCGCACGCCCCTATTGCAGACCAAGACCTCTACAGGCTCTTTACCGCAAGCACAGCATGCCGTCATCATGTTTCAGGTATCGCGAATCTGACGCGCATCGATTGGGTGGGGGCAGATAGGCGCTAGCCAAACGCAAGCGAGACGGTATCCGGGGTGACAGCGCGGGCGTAAACAACATTGGCACGCCCGACATTGATTGCTGGCGCTCCATTCACACCTCGACTTCACCTTCCCCATTTACGAAACTACTCGCCGCCCGTATTGTCCTGTCCTCTTCTTCTTCATCTCCTTGAACTCAACCATCAAACAGGACTGCAGTTGGGTGGTTCTGCGATAACTTTGGAGGCATTTTTCAGCATCCAATAAACCAGAACATCGAGACAAGAGCATAATGGCACTCTCGTCCGGAGCCCGCACCAACGGCAGCGGCGGCGCAACTGTCGCGCAACGGTATGCTTTCCTTGGCCTCCCACTGCCTATTCCACATACTGAACCTTGCGTAGCCTTCAGAAGGAGCTCATGGACATCATGATGAAGCCTACGCCCGGCATCACCGCGTTCCCCGACGACGAGAACATGAGCCGCTGGACCGCCACCATCGACGGCCCATCCTCAACGCCCTACGAGAACTTGGTCTTTAAGCTCAGCATGGAGTTTGGTCCCACATACCCTTACGCTCCACCCACGGTGCTCTTCAAGACGCCCATCTACCACCCGAACGTCGACTTCAGCGGCAGGATTTGCCTCGACATTCTGAAGGATAAGTGGAGTGCCGTGTACAACATCGGAACTGTCCTGCTGAGCTTGCAGAGTCTCCTTGGGGAGCCCAACAAGTGAGTTGACAGTCCGCAGAGGAACCGGATGAATGTACTGACAGGATTATAGCTCGAGTCCGCTCAATGGCCAGGCCGCGGATCTGTGGGACAAGGACATGGATGAGTTCAAGCGTCTCGTCCTTGCTCGCCACAAGACGCCCGAGGAGCTTGATGCGGCAGACCTCTAGGCAGCTTTCACCTGTTTATGCGATCGCCAAAACATCCCAAAACACTTCAGCGCCAGCAGGTCGGTCTGTTTGGCTACGAAACGGACCTGTTTCTTCCACTTGGTCTGCCTTGAATAACCTGGACGCAGCGGTAGCTCTTGCATTGCATGTCTCGGGCAACAATAGGGGCGGCATGTTTCATGTACCCGGGCATTGGGATCACAAAGGGGCGAACCAACCAGTCTCATGCTCATACAGTCGTGACTAAGTTTTCTTCTTTCTTTTCGATTTTGCATCGCAACGGCACGGCATGGGTGGCGTTTGGACGGGGCATTTGAGCGTAGGTGTTCAGCTTGGCTGTCCGGTCTGCAATTCCTAGATATCCGGTGCCAACTTTCTTCCAGAACACGACATTTCGCACATGTCTCTCATGATGTACAGACGCATTGTGTTCTGATGTATGACGATCATTACACTGACAGGCACATCACCAACCGGAGACCAAAACATTCGTAACACCATAAACCAAACCCCTATCAGCCCACCGTGTCATTGATAGATATAAGAACGGCCGTTTCGTTGCTTTTACTCCCCAAGTTACAACGACCCACCATCCGTGTTACTACCCATCCCTTGCCCTTGGTTTTCCACTTTTCTCCTGAGCCAGCTGAGTACAATCTAAACTCTCTCCGCGTGCCCAATTGCTCCCTAACGCACTAAAATCAAAAAGTAAAGCTATACCCAGATATCTTCATATACCATTCAGTGTGAATGACCTGCTCTCTTCCCGCCTCGCCGCAAGTGTCAGCACATCGAGATCTACGTACGAACACACATGGTCTCTTTTGTGCTGCGCTTTGCACTCGTCGACCTTAGCTTCGAAGGCATGCTGCGCAGTCAGTCTGTCGTTCGAGATGACAACGACGACGATGTTGCGGTCCTACATGTTCGGGTAAGTACTAAAGCATGACTTGAAAACTGATGTGTATCCCCTTCTCTCTCCCCGTTACTTCCGGTGGATGCGCTATGCCGATACTATTGAGCATAAAAGTTGGTGTCCAAGATGGGCAGACATCTGACGCCTTCACGACCAGCCATCCATCTGGCAGAGGCACAGGATCCTCCTTCCAGACCACGATGCCATATAAGCCAGGCTTGTCGATGCTGGTGTAGATCGGTATCCAGACGTTGCGAGTGCCCTGGATACCGACGTACATTCTAGTAGGTGGTGGCGGAGGGTGAGAAAGAGGAACGTTGCGGGGATTCCCTCTGTACATGGCGAGGATGCTGTGCGGTATCTCTATAACGGATACTGTTGATTGGAAGCGAGGGAAAGTTTTGTAGCGAGTGGGAGTTGGGATTCTGGTATTGTTTGATGCAGCGCTTGACACTTGCAAAGTTTGTGCGATCATGCGGAGGATGGCAATGATAGAAGGAGCGTTTAGTCGGCAAACGAAGACGTGTATAACCTATTGGATTCCCAACGATTCTCGCGTCTGATAGAAAGTGACACTCACCTACGCGCACTTCCACCCAAAGCAATCATGTCTTCCACCGCCTTCACCACCCCGCCTCGGAAGATATTCATCAGTATCCTCCGCGTGAGCGCCGGTCCCACAAGGCCCGACCTGAATGGCATGATCATCTTTGACACATCTCAAGACACCGACGGCGAGCTGCGCAACTCCTCCACAAGCCCCTACAATGGCTGGACTATGATCCTCGGGAAGAATGAAGGGGATGAATTCTCGAACGTGGCAATCGCTTACCCTGAGTACCCCAAAGATTCGGAGGACTACATCGATGTCAGTGGTTGGGCATTCGATGAAGAAGCTGCCGAGAAGTTGCTTATGGTGCATACTGCGCAGGTTACTAATGATAACAACTTCGTGCCGTATGGAGGTGCCACCGCACGAGTCGAACTACAGGAAGCAGCAGCCAGGAAGTGCGTGTTAAACGTCACATGCGTTGACGGAGCGATAAGATGGGTATTCTATGACCTAGTGGAGTGTGATGTGGTGCATCGTAGGGAGGTGACTGAATAGTTTCTGTTCCAAACGCTGTACCCCAGGTTTTGAAATCATATTGGCGGTCTGAGACCTGTGTCCACAACGGTGAACGAGCTTGGGGAGTCACGAGTGGATGAGAAGGTTGGTAAACGATGGCAACAATTACCAATCGCAAACATATCCTATCATGAGTCCTCATAAGCCCAAGTGCCGCCTTCCGTGAGGACGCAGGCTCAATCGCATCGAAGTCGAAATGCCAACATGTGTCATAATGGAGCGAGGCCTGATTCGACTTTAATAGATACGTTTTCGACAGGTCTGCATCTTCTGTACTGCTACGCACGCACTCGTGTGGATATCAGAGCAATGCCAGGCGATCAAGGCTCACCCGCGAAATGCACACTGCTGAGAACACGAGGTCAACATAGTATAGTTGCTGGGTACGCAGAATAGAGCAAAACTGCAACAAAGCCACCTGAGTCTGCAGACCCCTCTAGAGGCAGCGATGGCAGTACTTAGCACTTGACTGTATTTCAGAGGTGAGATGGCGAGCTATTCTCGCATGTGCGATTTCAAAGCGCAATGACACGTTGTAAGCGCAGGGAGTGCCCACCCACACTGATGACGTCTGTCCATCACCCGCTCTACCGCCCGTCCACCTCAGCAACACCCTCGGACCATAATTTCTACCCAGCAAACTTGGCTCTTTGCTCGTGAACAGCAAGTCGATAAACCATACCAGAGCGAGGGAATGTGGAAGGCCAAAAGACGGTCCGCGGTCAAGGCACGGTACCTGTGGATAGCCAACGGCTGCCATGCGCAGAGATGGGCCCTGCAGCGTTAGGGTTGACGATCTCGGGCCTCGTGCGCCACTGCCGCCTCCTCCCCAATTTTTGGCCACGGTGCGCTGCGCCGCACGTCGAAACCACACCGAAACATGGCAGGATCAGCGCCGCAGCACTGAGCGCCGATCAACTGTGTTTCGGCAGATCTGCTGACGATCTGATGTCTGTGGCTTCGACGTGCAAAACTAAGTGGTGCTGAGTGAGCGCGTCTGCGTGATACGTGCATCTAATAGTGAGTAATTGCGTCGTTGGCTGTCGCTTGAGTAAGCAGCGAAGTGCCTGGAGGCGACTTTGGAACTGCCAAACATAGGCTAGACGTATGAGTGCTGGCTGAGATGGGTGACATGCCGGCGTAGCGTCGAGTGGTCCTACAAACTCGCAACGCCTCGGAACGCGTTAGATGGCACCTGATCGAGTGCTCTTGAAGAGGCGGGGTGCACGCGGAGTAATTTGGGTGGTGGTGGAGGGTGTGCCTGGCAGGATGGCATGGGACGGTCGATCAGCAGGGGTGGAGATAGCAGGACCGTTGTGATAATTTGGGATATTATGAACTGCTGCACACTTCTTCGTGAATCCATCATGGTACTAGGACTGGTGCTACCGTTATAGAACGTGCAGATGATAATCAATCGAGTTCGTATCCAGCACCATGTACCGGCGGGATTTGTGGGGAAGACGCGCTTAACAGCCTCGCAAAGCGAAGGAGGCGCCAGATGTTAATATAATCAGGATGGCATATACGCCTGAACGAGACCAAGGTCCGCGGTCGCGTCGAATGTTGGATTTATGGGGTTCTGTAAGAATTCCCGCCCAATGAGTGGTCATGTGCGGGTACGAAACAGGATACTCATACGGTTCCTGCATGGTCGCACTGGAGTGGAGAATTCACTCTGTGCTGCCCTTGTGTAGGTAGGATTAACTATTCCTCACGACTGGTGGCGCGTCTTGTGCGACTCAATCAATGTACCCCGGTCAACGTCAACAGCAATCTAGCAAAGGGAGAGATCCAGGGTTCACATATTGCAGCGCAGAAGGTTTCCAGAAGACGGGAGGGGGCTAGGGCATATCGAGGGGACTTGGGTTCGGTGGGCATGGCCCAATGCAGCTGCAGACAATGGAGTGTAGTTTGCCGTGAGGGGCTTCGTGCGAGCGTGGAGGGTTCGGCAGAAGCGGTTCGTGGTTGCCAGGAGGGCAGGAGAGCAATTGGAGGTGGTTCATGCAGGCCGGCGTCGGCGTCGGTCGGCTTGGATGCAGGAGGGGACGACCACGAGCACGTCGTCTGCAGGTGTGGTTACTATGCACACGCCGTGGCATGCCGGCTAATCCTGCTGGCCGTCGAGCCGACAGTCAGATGGCAGATGGCGCATACGTTTCCGGATCGGCTTTCTGGTCGCTCGCTAGTGCGTCTTTTCCAGTGCGGTGCTGCAGGACGGTGGGTAGGCGAGGCTTCGACACGGGCGTCTTCGCATCAGGACTGGAGGCGACTCGGGGCCTGTTGGGTGTGGACCAGGACAGCCGGAACGACACGCTTTGGAGCAACAGAGTGGGGTGGAGTCGCTGCCTCGCCTGCGCTTGCCCCGAGTGGGCTCTCTCTGCAAGTGCAAAGCTGCGTGCAGACGGAGGCCTCCCAGGCTGTCTCGCCCCCAGCGCTGTCTGGGAGACGAAGACGGCGCGGTGCGGGAGTGTCGTGGAGCCGTGGTGCTCGGTGGGTGTTTCCGCACGACTGCGGGGCCTAGGGACAAGGGCTGGAGCGTAGCTCGAGCTGGCGCTGGTCGTTGCCGTGGCGCTCCCGATGGAGCGCCGCGGTGCTGCGAACCGCCCTGGCGGATGACAGCACCCCCCAGCCCAGCCAGCCCACCCTCGAAGCCCTGGGCATCTGCCTCTCCTGGTCAGCCGACGCCGCCCGTCCCTTCCCAAGGCTGCGCGAGCAGAGCAGCGCAGCGCAGAGCGTCGGAGGAGACGGCAGGGCAGCGGGACGGCGGTGCTTGGGGCTCAAAGCGCTCGCACAGCGCGCACTCGAAACAGGCACGCCAGCGCATCCTGGGCGGATGGATGGGCCAGGGTGCAGTGCAGCGCAGCAGGGCCCGGCACCCAAATTCCGCCGCTGTCGTTTTCTAAACGCGGAGCCAGGCCTGCCACGCCTCGGCGGACCCAGAGCCAGAGCCAGCGCCAGAGCCAGCGCCAGAGCCAGCGCCAGAGCCAGCCTCAGCACACGTCGTCGCCGTGCTCGGTCAGCGACTGCCGGCGCGCGCCTGTCTCAGGCCCTGCGCTCGACACGACAGTACGGTGACTGTGTTCGCGGATGGGGGCAGCCCGGGCGCGGAATGGGCGCAATGCCTTGCAGCGGGCAGCCAGCGCGAGGTAGCACGAGGTACCTTGGACGCGGCCCGCGCTGGATTCGCCCTCCAGAATTGGCCAAATCGCTCTAGTCGCTATGCCTCGACCGCCCTCTCCGGCGCCCACCGCTAGAGAGGCACGCAGCCATGCACGCTGGCCCAACACCCGCCCGCCTGCTTGTCTGCCACCAGCGTGCCCCTTCCGCTCCTCACCTCACCCTCACACTTGTCGTGCACCATCGTGCTGTCAAGACTGAATGACATCGCCGCCTTCATTCCCTTCGTGACAGCCAATCGTTTCACCACCGTACCTTAGTACCCGTGCGCCCACCCTGCCTCGATTCCGGGACCATCGCGCGCTATGACAGTCTGACCTGGTCTGACGGTCCTCCGAGCTGCGAGCCCTTTGTTCGTTCCTCCGCCCTCCTAACATCCCACACAGCAAACGGGGCTTCTGTGACGGCCGCACTTCCCGACCTTGTCTGTTGCTGTGCTTGCTGCAGAGTGCCTGGGTGCTCTCTCCATGCTGCGTTTCCCTTGACCACATCAGGGTGCGAGCACACACCTGCTTCCGCTTTCTGTTCACTCGTCGTCCACGGCCCGACACTCCAGCCTCACCATGGCGACCTCGCTGCTTCCCTCGGGGGGGATTGCCCTCTTCGGCGCCCCGGACAGCGAAATCGGCTCGAGGGTAGCCAAAACCACGCCCATCCAGGCAATGCAGGTGGACATGGCACAGGACATTGTCGACGAGCTTCTCGAGAGCGTACGGAGCGGGAAACCCCCACAGATCCTCTTCGGACGCACGCCTGTACGTTACAAACTCGCCACACGAGCTTCGTTGCCATTGTCTTCGCTTCGTGTGTTGATGGTGGAATGCAGAGAAGAACCATGGCTGACAAGCACACAGCAACTCAAATGCGGCGACAAGACCCTTACTCTGCAGTCGGCCTCCGAGACCACCAGGAACGAATTGTACCACTCCAGCGGGACTGGTAGCGACGACGACGACCTCGAGTTCACCAGCTTGGTCAAACACAGCCTCGTTGTGCATAAGGCGGAAAATGTGACTGCTGGGGTGGATTCGGCGTTGGAGCAGCTGAAGAACAGCATGGCGGCTGTGAAAGAGATGAAGGAAGCCAACAAGTATGCCCTCCCGGTGTCCCTCGGGCTGCCCATCTTTGACGCTTTGCTGTCGTACTGCTGGCTACGAACTGGAGCTTCTTCGTGACCATGAGACTGACAAGTGCTGCCGTGTAGGACTGTCGTTGGCGAAATGCGTAATGCAGGACACCGCCGCGTCCCTTCAAAAGGCTTCATGCCGAGCCATCTCGCTCCTTCCGGCACCGGGTCGCCGCTACTCAGCGTGCCTTCCTCGCCGATGACGAAAAGACCACCCACATCGCAACCCGGTGGCGCAAATCAGGCAATTCTCACTGCTCTCCGCGTTCCTCTCATTCACCTGCTTGCTATGCAGCCGGCCAAAGACTCTCACCTGGCCCAAACATGTCGGACCTCGGTAGCAAACATTCGAGATCTCCTGCCCAAGATCGCCAAACACACCGCAGATGACGCAGAGAAGTGGCAGCTTACTGACAAGTCTTTCCGTGAAATCGACCCTTACAGATTCCCCTACAAGAGTCAGGGAGACCGAGAGCAGGCCATCAACAGTGCCATCAAGTCGTTCGACCGCCTGCGATTGTCAAAGGAGGACAAGCTTTGGCAGATTCTCTTGCCACGTGACGAGCGAGGACAGGGCAAGTGCCTTTCACGCCTCAACGTAAAGGCCGTCGAGAAGCCTCAAAAGGCTACGACGCCGCTTCACAAGATGTCCAAGTTGACGGAGAAGAAGCCCCCCGCGAAGAAAGCTGCTGAAAAGGAGGTCGAGAGGAAGGCGAAGGATGTTGAAGCCAAACCGAAGAAGGCAGTCAAGGAGAGGGTTATGAAGCCGTTGAGGGAACCTGCGCCAGCAAAGAATTCACCGCTACCCGCGAAGAACTCACCTGCACCGGCTGCAACCTCAACGCCTAAACTTTCCGCCGCTGCTCCTTCTAAACGCACTGCTCCCACCGACGCCAACAAGATCCGCCCGAAGAAAGCCGCGCCTGCCGCCGAAACTTCCTCTCCCCGCGTCAAGCCTAAGATGGCCTCCCGCGATCTTCACCAAAATCGCCCCTTCAGGCCGACCAAACCTGTTAATACCAAGCCCAAGAACCCGTCACCGCTGTCCGCCTCCCCGCCCGTCAATGCTAGTGACTTTGAAGACAGCCACCCCGTTCACAAGGCCCTCTCTGGCGCTCCCTCTCCCGCAAAGAACCTGTCTGGCAACTCGGATCGCTCACTTAAGCGCAAGGCGAACGACCTCAACAGCGACCTCCACAATCACAACCTCGCCGTCAAAAAGCCTCACGTCGACCGCTCTACCCCTAACGGCACGCCCGCTGGCGCCAACGGTCGGCCAAACGGCAACACTCCCTCTACAACCAATTCGCTCAAACGCCGGTCCGACGGCTCCTCTACCTCTTCCACACCATCCACAAAAGTTCGCAAAGTCAACAACATCGATACCTCGCTTGCATCTCGCTATCCGCAAAGCACGCAGATTTCCCCGGGCGACTCATCGTCCTCCCAAACCTCTCCTACTGTACCTAGTCTCAGCTTCCGCCAGACCGTCGAGCTCAGTCAGAGGTTCCAGAAGTACTACAAGAAGTATGAAGCTCTGTACTGGAAGTTGACCGAGTCGGCCACGCCTCCTACCCAGTCCCAGCGTGACGATCTGCTCAAGATGCACAAGAAGCTTGAAGAGATGAAGCGAGAGATCAAGGCTGGCGCCGGCGCGCACCGCTGAGTGTTCATCACTTTCACACGACATATACCACCCATCACGGCCTGTCTTTGTCCATGAGACAAATTGCATAAAATTTTGGTGTTGGAGGATTCAGTGTTTACTTCGGGATGTTTCATATCTGTGTTTTGGAGCATGGAATGTCTTTCTCCTTTGCATATACTCTATCTGCCCGAGGACGGGCTTTGCATATGGGTCCTGGAGTTCTGCTGCTTACCTCAGCTCATACATATCTTAGCGGTGCTCAGCTGGAGCTTACCAATGCCTACAAACGATGACGATGCATAATGGATAAACAAAACAAGTTTGCTGTTGCAACGATGCGTGTAAAACACCGATCAAAAGCCATCTATCCCAATTGATCTGATCTATCTTGTGCAATTTGGTCTTGTATTGGACGTCTTGAGGGAAACGCTAGCTCCATTGACACACTAAACACATTGGGTGTTTTCCGTCGCCGAACCCGTGAGCCGACTTGGCGCAAGGACCCCGTTACGTAGCGCAGCCGGAAAAGTGGGTTCGGGCGCGAACGCCAGGCAGCATCTGGACGCGAAGTCCACACAAGCTGTCGCGTGAGATGCTCAGGGCATACCAAGGTCACTCAGTCTTGCACAGTACATAGATGTCACTACCAAACTCTCATCCGAGATCCGAGATCAGCTTGGCCCTGACCCGTTCCACCGATCGCCCCTTCATCGCCTGGCGATCCACTCAACATCCCTGCTTATTTTCGCTTCGCGAACGTCATTCAGCCCTATGCTCCTCACGTCATGTCCACGTTTAGACCCTCCCATTTGCCCAAATCACAGCATCACCACATACTACAACTCCCTACCCACCCATGCGCTTGTTCAAGAATTCCCTCACGAACATCACAAAGAGACGGTACGCGAAGGTGCACGACGTACAGATCAAGTTTGTTCAAGAGAAGGAAGCTCAGACCACCATGGAGAAAAACGGTGAGTTGCGGAGTTCGCGTTTCAGGTGGGCGTGAAGGTGCGTGGGCGGCCCCTGCGTTCGGCGCGGTGCTGTGCATGTTTCTTGGCAAGGCAAGAATGTATCGTTTGCCTGGTTTTTGGGGTTGGAAGGCGGTTTCGCTGCTGCATATTCATGTTTCCAGCGCATTATGCGTGAAACAACTTGGGTGCTACACGGACGTCTCACTCCCCCCAGCTTTCAGATCAGACATGGAAAGGCGACGAAGAGCACACAGCACGTGGACGTAGACGACCCGCCTTACGCACATACACCCTCACCTTACCTTGCACTATTCCCGCCTTATCTCCCTCGCTATACATAGGATCCATCCTTGCCCTACCACACCTCCCCATCTACCCGCCAATCTTCACCATCACCGCCCCCACTAACTTACCACACAGTCCACAACCAACCCCTTACCCTCCATTCCACGCGGCCCCTCACCGGCTTCCTCCGTACAGGCTACTGCGAAGCGCCGCGCTCAGATACAGGCAACCACTCTGTGGCCGGCATCATGACCAACGAGTTCCTGGATTTCTCCGCTGCCAGGGGGAATGATCTGAGGCAGGCGGGGCTGAGCGACGGGTGTAAGTGGTGTCTTTGTGTGGCTCGATGGAAGGAGGCGTTTGATGCGAGGAGTGGGGATAATGATAGGAAGGTGCCGAAGGTGGTGCTGAGTGCGACGAACAAGAGGGCGTTGGAAGGGGCGACGATGGAGGAGTTGAGGAAGTTTGCTGCGGAGGAGAAGAATTAGGAAGAGAGCGGGGTGGTCGCGGTGCAGAAGTTGAGTGTCAATACATGTATATTGGGCTAAAAATACACGTCCTTGCATAAGCTGTAACAAAGCTAGATAAGCGTGGACGAACAGGAAACCGTCGATATCGGGCTTACCTGGCTATGCGTGTATGGATGTGACCAGAACTATTGACTAACCACGAAGAGCCTATAGTACGGAATCTGGAATATACATGGAGGCACCTACGGCATACGTACTTCGTCGCAAGCGAGCTGCATAATACGTTCATATTCCGCGTCTTCTCACCTGCTTTTCGCTGACCGCACGAAGACGAGGTGCTGGTTACACTCAACATTACTTTGTCTCCTCTCCAAGTGGCCTTTACTCTACGCGTCGCAAACTAAGCTCGTGCGGCTAGTACAACTACATCAATGGCGACACATTGGCACGCGGCTCTCATGAGCATTCTTCTTCCATAATCTTCAATGCTGCATCGACGTTGACAGACCTGCTTGATCCGATAGATATCGTAGTCATTCATCTTCCTTGCCGTTCAAATCGTAACAAGATTTGGTCCTTCCCAAGGCTAAAGGCTGACAACGTTAGGCTTTTGACGCGCGTCTCCAGGAGTATGGCAATCTGGCTTTGCATGAGGTCGTAATACAGGCGTGGCAGTCCGATAAGCCCTCTAATAGATCCAGGCACCACAGTATGGAGTTGTTAGTATGGATAGCAGGATACAGAGAGATGTCGGACGGGTTCCTCTTTCAAGTTTCCTAATCTGAAATCTTCTAAAAGAGTTTGATTGCGGGAGTACCATAGGTAAGGTTCAACCAATCCGAACATCACCGGCCAATCAGACAAGGACTTGACGGAACGAGAGCAGTGGCCCAAGCTCCTGGTCGCGCGACCGATGACAGCATCGCACCATCTGGGATCGTGATATGCGCTCCTCTCTACCTGCCAGGTTGAGTATTTACCATGTCACAGTACTCAGTCCAATCGCTTAGATACCACGACCGATAAAGCGCGATGGTACTCGATCTCCTCACACTGACCGCTATACCTACTGCTGTCGGCGCTTCCGAAGCCGTACACCAGCAGCGTCTGCTGGACGAGGAAGCTGAGTCCGAAGAACGCCAAACGCCTTTCTATCTTGACGTCTTCTGTGATGCGCAATCACGGAAGAAAGACGAGGTACATGATACTATCATAGTATTGAAAAATGGGAAGGTACGTCATGCCGTCCCAGGTGCAGGCACTTGCGCTGATTGGGCGCGACAAAACAGCTCCGATTCTGGCCCAAAGACACGCGTACGAAACTCCCAAAGAGAATCAACGGCAGTGATACAGCGCCGCGTCCGTTCACTGGCTTCTACCTCCCTTTCCCAACCGAAGACTTGCCTCATGACAAGCGGTCTATACCCGCGCCGCCCATCCTCGGTCTGGTCAGCACGGTGCCTTCCGATGCGAAAGGCAAAGCTAAGTCGGAGAAGCCGAAGCTCAATTGGATATACGCGGATAAGAAAACACGAGAGTTACGATATGGACCGCGCGTCGAAGCACGAGAGCACGTCGTAGGTCCCTGGGATTGGACGGAAGACGACGAACAGGGACTAACGCTAAATGGGGAGGAGTGTCTGGTAGCGGTGGAGGAAGAGGAGGGCGGATCTGGGTGGGCTGTATACTGGGATGAGGATGATGATCGATTGAAGGGGTACGGCATCGCACAAAAGCACAGGGTGCTACGATGCAGTCTAGAGAGAAGACTGGTAGAAGATGACAGGAGGATGATTGAAGTAGAATGAGAACTTCTACTCTTGAAGATGTTCATGTTCGATTCTGCCTCCCTCCCAGTAGCATACGACCTTCCCCTTTACTCGTGGTAGAACGGGCTGCCTTTGCATCCACGTCGACCGCACTTTGTGACGTCGAACAGCCACTTCGGATCCCTGCACTGCCTTCTCCCATACCCAAAGCTATCCCAAGCCCCTTTCCCGACTCCATCGCTAAACTCAACTGTATCATCCGCACCACACAAAACCACCTGCCTCAGGTAATCGAAGCAATGCTCCCAACCCCGTGCGGTCTCCACCCCATCGTGATCAACTACTACAAAATCCTTCCTCTTTCCTTTGCCCTTTTCATCCCCACCTCCCCTTCCAGACTCCCGCATCGCCTTCCTCATCTGGTACAAGCACTCAAGCTGATGGAACATCCCAAGCCGAGCCTCCTTCACCCCACCGTCCGACATCGTGTACACGTACCCATCACTCCCACCGAGCAGATCTCGCCAGTAGTGGTCATACATGCCATCTAACCTTTCGTACCTGTCCACTCTGTAGAAGTCCGTCTTCTGCCTGTGAAAGCACGTGTAGTTCCGACCCAGTTCCTTGATCTGGAATGCGTCGTGCGGCACGGTAGCGTAATGCCTTTCACGTCCTTCGAATAGCAGGAATGCATTGACTGTGACGGAGAGTAGGAGTAGTAAGGATACTATAAGTACCCAGTTGGTGTAGGGAGGCGAGGGAGGCAAGGGAGTGTCGGCCCAATGGATGTGACGGCGGCGCGGTTTGCGCTCGTAGCCTTGGCTTTCGTTGTCGATATCCTTGTCCTCATCGTTGGAGTGTGGGTTGGAGAGATGATTATAGGTGAAGCGGTGTAGAAAGGAGGCAAGGTAGGATGTGAGCTTACTTCCTGGGTTTACGACGGGAGTTTTGGATGTCAAGGAGGAGGGTGGAAGCGAGAAATCCTCGCAGAAGGGAGAAGGCATGTTTAGGAAGCCCTCGTCGAGACTTGGTGTGTTCTGGTGATGTTCGGAGGTTGTTGGGGTCATGATGTCAAGGTTACGTTGGCTTTTGGAGAGCTATGTAGAGATGATGGCACAAGGCGACATCTAAGGCAGGAAAGGGCTGTGGCCAAGCATTCATTGGTATTACTGTCTATTGAAGACCGTTTTAGGATACAACGATTGTTGGAAGGGTTATCGCCTACCTTTATTGTTATCGAGTAGCTTGTAATTTCTTTCATGCAGGGCCAGGGTACGAGAACCGCGTATTAGATGACGAAGACTGACAGTCTATAGTCTACAGTCGAAACAGCCGCTGACTCCGCCTCGTTCAACCCGATAACGACTGTATGAGAGGGTGAGGCTCCCAAACCTGGGGGCTGAGTTATCTTCCGACAGCGTTCGACAGTTGGATTTGGTTTGTTATGGGAACAGAGAAAATAAATTCGATCCTCGCATCCTCCCAGCGGCTTGCGACTTCCCCTCGTAGACGGGCCTCGATGCTCCTGTAGAGCAGCTGTTTGGGCCTCCTTTCTCAGCTTCACGATCGAACACAGATCACACGCTTGAGGCTATTCAGGGAACGCTGCAAGATCTTGCTACTTAAAGGACTCAGCTGCTTCACTTGTACAGCTCTTCTCTGTAGGCTTGCATTACCTCGTGTTCGCAAACCTGAAAGCTTTGTTTCGGCCTCGCAGCGTAACGTTAGCCACAACCCGCTCTGTGGTCCAGGCAAGGAGAGGAAGAACGTCATATGAAAACCAGAGGCGCGCTCTTTCTGGCAAGAATTGTGCCCAATGTAGTGCGAAGGAGAAACCCTAGCGTTGCTACTGACACAGCCTGGCATCACAGCCTGTCCATCGCATCTCGTCTCCCCTCCGCAGCCGATGTTATAATATTTGCACCCTTTTGGTTCTCATCAATATGATCGAATTGCGACCATATTGCGTAATGGTTTCCGACTAGGCCAAGCGATAGTACTTGAACCTCCATTTCTCCGATCCCCCCTTCCAATAAACATCATGAAGCCCATCGGCGCTACGACTGCCTTCGCATTTCTAAACAGTGCTTTTCGAATCACCTACTTCTTCGTCCGGATCGCCGAAGTCGGATCTGAAAACGAAGTCTTCGTTCGCACCATAACGGTTGTGCGCAACGACTTCCTCGAAGTCGAGCGCCTCCTGTCCCACTCATCCGTACAAGCCAGGTTGCTCCCCACACCGAACAAGCTCGTTTGGATCAAGGGCTCCCTTCAGAGCACCAAGTCAGTCCTCAACGAGATAGGAAGGAGGGTGGAGAAAGCAAGGATGGAGCAACAAGCACTCGGTTCAGTAAAGTTTGAGATCAGGCTTAAGTGGATCTTCAATGATCACGAGAAGTTGGTGAATAGGCAGACTGAGTTACCAACTTGCCATCATCAATTGTCGAACGTGTTGGCGAACTTAGTGGGCATGGAGGACGTTGTTGCCGCGACGGATCCACCGAAGTATAAAGATGCGACGTGTTGTCTCCGAGGCAAAGAAGACGCAGTTCGCAGCCTGCTAAAGACAACCTCACTATCGATAGTATATCTCGAAACATAGTATACGATCCATGAAGGTACCAACAATGCCGTATCGGAACCCGGTATCAGTCCATGTGCCGTGCCTTCGTCGATGAAGACCACCTACATTCCACCGCCACGCTCTGACGAGCGCGTCTCCATGCAGCAGCAGCAGCATTGGAGCCCACCGTCACCCATTGCGTTTGACCAGCAAAGTCACTTTCGAACTGGTATTTATTTTGTCCCTCCAAGCAGTCCAACCCCTTCCTACACCACCGTTGTAGGCGCGACCCAGCCAACAATTTCCTCTCCCCGCAGAGACAAGGACCCTCCATATCCGATGGACACGAGCTGGGGGTACAGATACGTTGCTCATCCTCCACAACCAACCGAACTACAGGAAAGTGTGCCTCCATCATTTAGTCCCATTCACTATGCTGGTGAGAGGACACAGGAGCAGCAGCCATTTACCTTCAGCAACACGCAACTATCGGAGCTACAAGAAGGCACCTCAAGTCTTTTTGCAATAAACTCTACCGGCCTTGTTGATCCGTTTGAACTCTATGGTCCCACTCCTCTCACTCCTCAGACGCGTACCGACATCGCTTCAACACCAGACCAACGTCTGCGTCTAGGACAGACGTTCGGAGAACTGTCGGGGCACACGTATCACTTAGCCGAGCTCTCTGGCGGTAGCCACGTACCTCAGCAACGATTTTCAGTCCCACACTCCAACTCAACCTGGGAGAGAAGCCGTATAACGGCAACTGGAGTCGCAGACCTATCCTAAAGCGCAGTTTCAACATCGCCGCCTATCGAGCATCAGGCCTCGTTCCACAATTCCGATGTCAATTCCGAAAGCTCACATTCAGACCATGAGGTGGCGTCGTACATTGCGCGACTAATGCATAGTCAAAAGGCCTGCAGATATCTATTCGAATATTTGGAGTAGTTATAATCGAGATAAACAAGACACTCTCAGTTCTCTTCACTCGCGTTTCTTCCTATTCTCTTTCTAGTCCACCTTGACTGCCGCATAAATCCTCCTGACGAAAACATAACTCGCCACGAATCCTATCGTGCCCACTAATAATCCGTACACCACGCATGCCAACGCGCCATACGCGAAGAACAGCATGCTCGATATGAATCCGCTGATGTGCAATTTGGTATAGAAGTAGTAGACAAGGTACGCGAAGATCCAAAATGCGGACGAAAAGCCGACGAGGAAGGATTGCCACCACCAGTGATAGTTCTGTCTCGGAGTTAGCGAGGATTGTGGGGGAATGTGACAGAAGTAGGATGCGGCGCCATAAGTACAGCATAAGAGAATCACCAAGCTCTCGAGATCCCATCGCGCGCAATAGAGAATAGGTTGTACTTACCTCGACACAAAGCTGCACGTACGTCGCCACGACCGCCACCTCTACTACCGTGACCCCCAAGATAACCCCCACCACACTTAGAAACCCAAACATATAGTAGTACCCACTTTTATCCAACCACAAGCTCTTGAACACGAACATTAATTCAATAAACACAACCATGAACGGGATGAACCCGGCAAGTAAAATTGCCTGCACGCTCCTAGTGTACCCCTGCTGTGGGACTTTTCTTGGGATGACGTTCGCTTTGATGGGCTGAGCGTAAGCGCCGACTTGTGTATATCCGTACCAGCCGCCGATGTAGACGAGTGGGAGTTGTATGAATAGCCATAGGGCGACGAGGGCAATGAGCGTGGTCAAGGGGAGCGCGGTGCTAGAGGCTTGGATCCAAACGAAGAGGTTGAGAATGAAGATTGTTGCGAAGAGGAGACCAGGGACGAGGGACGCTGTACGGAAGACGTTTTGTTGCCAGTGCTGGAGATCGAAAGTTTTGTATAGGCGCGAGGAGAAGTAGCCCGAGAAAAGACCTGCGAAAAGCCAGAGGCCGATGCCGACGCTGACATAGCCGCCGCGGAAGCTTGGGTTCAGGATACCGACGGCGGAGAGGACGAGAATGCCGACTATTGCAAAAAGAAGTTGGGTACCGGATCCGATGAGTGCAGAGAGAAGACTGGCATGGGCAGGGGCGCGGAAGACGTCTCCGTGGACAAGCTTCCATCCTGCGATGTCCTCGTCTTCATCGTCTGAAACATCAGCCGCACCCTCGATATCGTCGATTGAGCCCAATAGACCACTGCCTTTCTTGGCTGAGCCTGCTGGCCGTTGCTTCGTGGGCTTGAGCCTGATACTGTCATCCTTGAGTTCACCCCGGATGGTGCGAGTCAAGATCACGGCCACAACAGCTGTGAGGAGGCCAGCAATGACGAGCGAATTCAAAATCGCAAGCCAATGTACGTTTGAGCTGTCGTCCGATGCCACAAAGTACATGTCCCACCGGTTCTTCCACTCGAGCTTCTCGTCTTCACGCCAGTACACTGAGTAGGTGAACGGGATTGTGATACTTGCGTCTGGTGTATCGCGCACGTCTGTTGTATTAGAGGGTACAGTAAGGATGAAGGGATCGTGAGTAACGTCACCGGATGGTGGTAGCCCGTCAATCTTTCGGCCATTCGCGGAGATACTCTTCGGAAAGACTTCGAATCCCACAATGACCTTCTTCCCCTTCTCGCCGGTTTTTCCTGGCGCACGATGCCATCTCAGAACAAGCGTGACATGGTTGTAGATGGCAAATTCAGGACTGCCATCCGTATTCTTCACCACCTCTCCAATCTTGAATCCCGCAGCATAATATTTCCTACTCTTGTCGGTGCTCATGAAGCTGGTCGCGCCGGGCAAATTGTCCACGATCCACTCCGCCCTGTACTCATTTTGGATAAGCAACCTTGTCTTCTGTATAGCAGCAGCATCAATTTCTTTCGAGCATAAGTATTTAGCCTCTTCATCACGGCCCAACGCGAGTCGGTAATCCGAGACTGTTATTCGATCGCCGCGCAGTACTTCGCCTAAATTCAATGAAATGCTGGCTCCGCTCGAAAATCGGCCTGCCCGCACGCGGCCGGTGGGGGGGCAAGCGAATGGGAGCTCGGTGTACGCGTATTGGAGTTCCGATTCCTCGCTGTAAACCTTGTTCACCAGGAGCGGTACTGTTTCGCCGTCTTGGTAGGATCTGAACGTGACACCTAAAAGTAATTGGCAAGCTTTCGGTAGAACCTCTAGCGGCATCCTGTACCTGGCACGTAGAAAGCGTTCGTGAACGCGAGGAGCGTGCAAGCTAGCGCGCTGTACCGAACGTCTGCGTGCATGGTGCGCGGGCAGGAGGCTTATGCCCTTGAGGAAGTCCAATAATTCTAATGTGTTGAATAGAGAATCGCGCGAATGTGAGGGGCTTGGGCAGGAGTGTGAAGGAATGTGATTGTGGAGATGGTTGAGTGACCAGTGACGTATGCGCGGAACATCGAAGGATGTGGCTCACGCATGGGCAAGGGCGCACGACCGAAGTTCACCATGGAACCGCAGACCCTGTAACGCGATTCAGAAATCGGGACTCCGATAAGAATGACAAGACGAGTGAATGCTTGGAGGCAGTGGAATCGCGAACACCCATCCTCCAAGTGGGGCCAGCCAATCGGGGTGCCAGCGCCTAGCAGGGATTCTCCAGGCGTTGAACGGCGGCAACAGCTCCACTTGGCTTCACACTATTCCAACGCCGACAGCGGCGCACAACGTGTCAGACATCGGAAGCCTGCTTGCTCAAGGTGCGGAGATGACAGTCTTTGGCGGACCGGCAAAAGCCAAAGATAAACAAAAAATAAATAGAAAGCAGAGAAAGCAAGGGAAACCGAGAACACGAGGCCGAAGGGTTCGGAGCAACGTAAACATGATACTGAGTTCCTGCGGTAAACCTCTGTCCCAAGCTCTTCAACATGGAAATTCTCAGTGGCCCAAACCTGCCGGGACTATGTGGACGGGGGAGAGGTGCTGCCAAGGAAACTTCATTGACTTGATATCAGAATCATGCTCTCTAAAATAAGTACGGCCACAACAGCAGTCAATGCAGCGTTCGCATTACCCACTCAACTCTTGAATATAAAATGGGAATAGCAACTCATCTCTCTAGATTGTTCCAATACGTATCTCTTACTTCCTAGAAAGGTCTCTTCGTTTCTAGGTACATGCTTCCTCTCCAGAATAGAGTATGCACGATGTAATAGGAGAGCACCCTACCCTGTCTGTACCGCAAGTGACCGGTAGGAATCTTGACTCCTCGATTTGGCCTGCCTTTCGGCTAACCTGCTTCCTACAATTCAACGAAGATGACGGTTCTATTGCCTTGACTTATGTCATTATTAAAACAGTGTTTGACATGTTTGTCTTAGCCAAGTGTCTCGGGGCAAACACTTAGAGCATGCAGGCCTCGCCAATCCCATACCCTTCCTTACGGTGGGCTATTCACTTTCTCAACTCCAATAGTAAAACTGACCCAGACATGATCCCAAACATGATGCCAACTGATGGCTTGTGAAAAACGCCCGATCCCATGCGTGTGCATTGCTTTTGGCAACATCCACCAACGCCGTGCTTTAATAGAAGACAACTGTTGCTGAGCAGACAAGAAAAAAAATTATACGGCCATTAAGTATTCGTACGGCCCGCAAGTATGGGAGATAGGATGCATCGGACGCTCAGATAAAGAGAGAAGATTGAAAGGAGTGTGCGGAAGTTCGCTACGGATTTGGGGACTGTGGAAGCTTCTTCTATGACTGCGTCAGTGGGGATATCGCGGGAGATTCTCTGTGTTCGACAGTTGCGACAGGAGTGTTCACAACACCACTGGTTGCGGGTGGACGCGCCTGCACAGGTGCAGTGACGCCTCCGTTTGCTTTCGCTCCCGAGCCTTGCGTAGGTGGGGGTGTTGTTTCTCCATCCTCCTCCTCAGGTATAGGAGGGCAATAGGTCTTCAACACATGCTTTAGTGCTGGACGGCGAATGGGTTTAGACAAAAAGAAATTCATGCCAGAGTCGAGGCACTCTTTGACGTTCTGCTCTTCTGCGTACTTTTGAAACTGTTAGTAAAGATTGCAGAGACTGAAAATGCAGTACTTACAGCGGTCAAAGCTACAATGGGTGCGTCAAACCCAGATTGTCGTATCAGTCGAGTAGATTGTAGACCATCCAAGTTTGGCATCTGAACGTCCATGAAGATAAGATTGTATGGAGTCTGGCGCTCCATGCTCTCTTTCACCTTATCCAGGGCTTCTTGGCCATCTTTAGCTACTGTTACATCATACACATCCTCAAGCTTGAGCATGCGCAATACGACCTCTTGGTTGGTTTTATTGTCTTCAGCCACAAGAACCCTGACTTTGTCGCCCCTTTGGGTCGCCTCGGCTTCCACACGCGCCATTGCCTTTTGCTGAGAATTCGGAGATTCTAGGGGAGGATTGGACGCAAAAAATGGCTGACTTAGGCCTACCAGGCGGGGCTTCGAGTCGCTTTCGAAAGTGACCGGTCCGCTCGCTGGCGCAGGTCCTGTTACAATGGGCACACTGTTTGCTGAGTGCACTGACCGACCTGAGAGCGCATCATCGTTCTTTATCAGCTGATTTGGATCCTCTGTAGATATGCTCTGGCGGCCGCTATTAGACCCAAGGTTGATGTTGCTTGAGCTTGCTGTGCTGTCGGCACGGTTGGTAAGATGTTTGAGAGGGATAGCCATGGTGAACACGCTTCCTTCCCCAACCTCACTCTGGAGTGAAATGGTACCCTTCATCAGCCCTGCCAGCTGAGAGCAAATGCTGAGACCTAAGCCTGTGCCGCCGTATTTCTTGCTGAGACCAAGATCTCCTTGCACAAACTACACTCCAGTTAGCCAATGATACCTGAAGATGTAAGACTCAGATCCTTACCGGTTCAAAGATCTTGTCGTGCAGGTCCTCCGGGATACCGGGACCTGTGTCCTGGACCTCAAATTCAAATGCTAACCATCTACCCGGGGGCGGCGTTGGAGCTCGATCTAGACCCATCAAGTGTTGGTATCCTAACGCTTTGTCATGTGCGTTAATGACGTTGGCGGTGTTGAAGCGGTCCTGGGAGCCCTTTACTGATATAGACCCAATCTCTGAACTGGAACCACGAGCTCGCCTAGAGCCGCGTGTTGAGCTGTGTCTCGACTGTAGAGAAGCTTTCCTACTGTCCGACATTTGAGCTTCCCCCAGGCACCGAATGGAAATGGTGACGGAACCGCCTGCTGGTGTGAATTTCAAGGAGTTGGAGACCAGATTGATGACCACCTGCAATATTCGATGTTGATCGCCATAGAGAATCATGTCCTTAAGACGACCAAGACCGAAAGGCCCAAGATCTCCCTTCCCAGTGGGTCGACCGCTCTCGTCTAAATTCGCATCGTAGGGTCCTTCAAATTGCACACTTAAGTTGATGCCCCCCTCCTTTGCTTGTCGCTCGAAGATGGCTATGACTTGCGAACTGATATCCCGCAACCGGAATTCTTTCTCGTCTAGACTTATCTGCTGACCGACTTGGTTTTTGCTGTTCTCGCTGTCAGTGGAATCAGGTAATAGGCCAAGTGAGGATACATGCCTGAAAGTCAATAGATCAGTCAATAGGTTGAGAAGCAAATCGCCGCTCTTGTAGATAATACCGAGTGATCGTTTCAGTTTGATGGGGTCATCTTCCGACATGCACACGGCGCACATGCCTAGAATGCCGTTCAATGGCGTCTTTAGCTCGTGCGAGATATTTGCGATGAATAACGTCTTGCTCTCGTTAGCTGCTTCGGCTGCTTTCTTGCTTTGCTCTAGTTCAGCCGTCCTCTGCTGGACCCTCTCTTCAAGCCTTTCATATTGCATCATCAATTCGTCGGTCATCTCATTGAAAGTCTTTGTGAGATCTGTGAGCTCATCGTGAATGAAATGTTTCCGATCTTTTACTTTTGACGGGATCCGGAATTGCCGTCTCCTTTCAGCTTCTCTTCTTTCAGCACGGCTAGCTTTTTGATTGCGACGGTAATGAATGATGGAGCCTATCCAGCCTTCTTTACGGGCAAGTGCTGCATCAGCCCCATCGTCGTCTGCTCCGTCCGCTTCGGAACCGAGGCTGGACTCGTCAAGTACAGCTGGTGACACCGACCTCTTAGTCGCGTCTCTGAGGCGCCGGATGGGTCGGCTGGAATAGTGCGCGACGGGAAACACCAGAAGCAATAAAGCGCCCATAGTGCCGAAAACGCAGGCCAAGATCAAAGTGCGGAGGTGATTGATTGGCGCCCAGACCTCGCCATGTGACATCTCCAGCATAAGCATCCAGTCCACCAAGGAGCTTTGGACTAACGCAAAACCGACTGCAACATCATTGCCCAACTCGTTCTTGACAGATATATCACTCCCAGCGTTACTTGCTGCACCGGTTCGTTTAGTAAAACCTTGTCGAACTGTTTTAAAGTTGGTCCAATCGAAGGGTGCGTCGGGCTCAGCGTTGTCATTATTGCCGTGCCGTTTCAGAGCGCCACGTTTTGTAGGAGGTAGCACGAACCGAATCGATTCATGTTCAGGCGCATCCTCGTTGTACACGACACCGGCTGGGAAGGTATTCGTAGCGTTGTTTGGGCCTAGTAACTAAGGCACACAATTGAAGTTAGCATTGTCTATTCAAAATGGCAAATCTTGCTGCGCGTCCTGCATATCCATATAACGAATGATCGGCTCGAAGCAATGCAAATCGCAGGAATCAGGTGCTGTGTACTTACCATGGTGAGCCCACTCTCGTCCAAGCCTTCTAGAGCGTTGACAACTTTCTGAATAAGATTCGCGTCCAAAACAGTGGTCAACCATCCGAGCGTGTCAATACTGGACGTGTTGTTGATGATAGGCATCGTAATAGACATGAGGCTGAGCGAATCGTTGACAGCATACGGGCCGCTAATCAAGAAGCTGTTTGCGTTGATTGCCCTCCCGTCGTATTCGGCGAACCATTGGTCGAAAGAGTCATTAACTCCTCTTGAGTAGGTTCGAAACTTGGGGTAGAGCTCTGGGATGAAGGAGGAATTGTCACCGAATAGTACTGGTTGACCGTTCGGTCCATCGTAGGGCAATTGCAGGCCCTGGAGGGTGTTTTTGGTCATGGCGATGAGCGCTATGTCCGACGAGTTCTTGGGATACAATTTGGCCTGGACAGCCAAACGAGCATCTCCATCCCCAGTGAAGATGGCATCAAAGTCATCTCTTGCCCGCGACCAGTTATCGGCTGAGTTATTACCATAATCATCGTAATGTTGCAGGGCGCTTTGGATTGCGAGACGGGAGGCTGTTTGGCGCACAGACGTCTCCATGACAAGCAGATTGGAGGCCACCTGTGCTGCCTTGAGCGACGCTCTCAGCGAGAGCGCATTCGAGCGAACGTCCAGCACGAAGTTGTGGTTGGTGATCCACGTTGCAACCGCTATGACAGCCAGGCCGATCAAAGAGGACAACAAGACCAAGCACCCGAGCTGCTCACGAATGGGTATGCGCATCTTGACCATGGCTCCCCGTCGCGGAGCACCCACGCGCAGCTACTCGAGGCGTGTCGGCTGAGATGGGTGCGTTCTGATGGACGGGCTGAAACGATGCAGTGGAGGCAATTGCGACACGTCAGCTTCCCATTCCTCGTGGTCCGCTCCAGAGACTGCCTGCCTATCGCGGGCGGCGATGGCGGAGCCTTGTGGCGTGCTGTTGCTGTCCGATCTGATGCGGGCTCGGAGGAAGGAGCGGCGTGGTGGTGAGGGTGCGGGCGCGCGGAGCGAAGCAGGCAGGCTCCGTCGTAGGGTTGAGGGAGACACGGCAGACGCCCTTCAGGCCACGGGCATAAACGCGAAAGGAAGGGACGAGCTGTTTGCTCTTGGGATGTGCGGAGGGTCGCGAGTGGAGCGTGGAACGTGGAGCGCGGAGGGTTGGTAGATCCGGAGAGGCTAAAGCTGGATGGAAGAACAAAAGGACGAGCCGCGCGCGCACCACCAAGACGGCAGCCGTGGATGCTCAACGGGGGCGCGACAGGGCTAAGACAGTGCAATTTGGGCTTGGAGTGGTCCATGGCAGCGACGCGGCCTGGCTGAACAGAAGCACCACACCCCGGCTGCTTGCTCTCCCCCCCCGGTCAGTCTGGTCTGGCTAGTCGCTCGCGCGAGGGCCGTTCATGCAATTCCGCACTTTCGCATGTCTCGCGCTGTGTCTCTGCGTTTCCCCACCGGTCAAACTCTGCTGAGCGCGATCGGCACGAAACATGCGACTCTTTGCTTCACGAAACCAGGCGATACATTGCCAACAGACGCCAGCCGAGGCCCGGACCCGCCGCGCGACGCTCTCATCGGATCGGGCGCTGTAGAATCGCTGTCGGTCGAGAACGCCGTCGATTTTGCTTCCCTGCTCATCCATGTTTCCTCGCTTAGGGAACCCCTGGCGCGCTTAGCCAGTCTCCAGCAGAGACTCATTTCCACGCCCGGCAGGCCTCAAAAACCATGGCAACCGCTTCTGACAATCTCACAAAGCGTACTTCGCACCTCTCAAGTCGACGAGCTGCTGCCTCGTGTCAGGTGGCCCTGCATCCTGCACCATGATGCTACCGTTTTCTCACATTGATCAAGCCGTCTCGGGATTTTACTCGACCATCGACTACGTAGACTCGAGACAGCATCGCTTTTGATGTGGCATTCCGACGGTTGCGGCGTACCACGACTACAATACAATGCGACAAGAGACAATAGGCTGAAGCCTTGCTTCCGATCATGGACTCGATCATCACATTGGCTACACTATAACGTTGTCGCACGCTCCATATCACAGCTTTTCTGCGACCGAAACAAGGTCGAACGAGCGGCTTACATTGACCCAAGACCAACGAAAACGGCTCTTGGGCTCCACAAACACAGACCGCACCATTGACTCCTATTCCATTATCGAATTTCCTTTCAGCCTTGTTGATACGACCAAAATTGCCCTACCGCGGTTCGGTGCAGAGGGACTCGCTCCTCGGGCAACGATGCAGCACGCTCCGGGACAGCACCGGGCTCGTTCTTATAGTGTCTCCCCATCTTCTTGAATTGCAAGAGGGCTGTGACCAGGCCGCACAGGATCACATCCACGCCTGCTCTGTCTTGCGACAGTCTATCTTGGTAAATTGTCAAATCGCCAACTTCAGCCCCACCAGTCGCAACAAGTCCGTGGATCGAGAAGTTGAAGCGCGCAACCGTATCTTGCCTCCCATTTTGACGAAGGACTAGCGAGAAAGGTTTTGCTTCAAGAAGCCAGGTATACAGCGTTCCGTCCACTGATACGGTCCAGTCTGAAAAGTTCCGCGCTTCCATCTTGAACATTCGGTTGCCTTCCGTCGGGTCTTGACGGACAAAGCGTGCGCGGGGACACCAGGGTAACGGCCCGTCTGTGTCGAACCATATGCCAGCTACATATTCATCATCGGTGGCTGGCAGGCTCGCACGAACTGTGCGCCAGACCTCCATCTCCGGCTTCTTGGAGAATGGACGGCAGCTACGCGAAGTAATCTTGAACGAGCCGGACGATGACGGACCGTATGGCACGACCATGAGGCTCTTCTTGTCCGGCGCGCGAAGGTAGTATGTGTGCACTGGCGCTTCGTATGTTTCGCGGCCGTACGAGGGCGCAGGCTCCTCGTAGTCGGGCAATTCATCCCTCTGCGATGCATCGTATGAAGGCGCATGCTGCTGCGAAAGGACGGCAGAGTGTGTACTGGGCTCATCGAGCTGCCGGTGCAGAATGGTGTTCGCAGACATGCTCGATGGTATAGTTGAATACCCAGATCGGATGCGCAGTCGTTAGTCGAAGGGCTGTGGCATATATAGGTAGACTTTTGCCATCGTACCGCCGCGAATACCTGGCCCGGGCAGCTGAAAGAAGTGGCAGCAAAGCGCAGGTGGGTGGTATGACGATCGCGAACGCCTGAAGTCCCATGACAGAGTGGGTGACTAACCAATCACTCGCGTCTAGATCTCCACAAAAGGTAAAGATCCGGCCCATGTTGGGGCGATGGTGTGGTGTTCGCAGAGCAGCCTCGTCTGACAGACTCGTCTACTAGACTTTACGAATGAGAATGCTCACTCACAAGCACCCTGTCGGCAAAACGGTATGGAGCTCAATAGACGCGTCTCCGCGGCTACCATACTTGGCCGTTTCTTTTTGGTTGATTATCAGAACTTTATGATTCGATTCCATGGGAATGCTGATCAGTTTCAAAAGTCCAGTTCCGGCTCGCTTTCTTCCCGAGTGTGTACTTTGATTCTCATCACAGCTCTAATCATCGATGTAAAGCTCGATGAAGACCGTTACTAGCGCATGCAAGTGCGGAGACGCGGGGCGATGCCGTTACCGACAAAACATCACTGTCAAATCAGCAGTCGCGGAGACTCCGCACAACGAGCGCTTCATCAGGGTGTTCAAGTGAAATCTGATAAGATTGATCAACCATCTAAACTTGATCTTAACATTGACATCATTCCTTCCCTTTGATCTTGAAGCAGAACAGCATGCCTATCAGCAAGCCCATCTGGAACCTCAGTGCCAAATGGGCGCGCCTGCACGATGCAGAGCGCCTGCGCCGCTCGTCGCAGGTTCTCTCAGTCATTGAAGATACAGCGTACATCTTCGGCGGTGAGGTGCAGCCTCGGCAGCCCGTCGATAATAAGATCGATGTACTGCCTCTTCGCGCAGGTACACAGTCCCTATTATCTTCAAGTATTGCCCCGCTCACGAAGACTACCGTAGGTACAGATGCCTCCAAACTCGACACCAAGTCCGCCAGCGAGGCGCCCTCGCCCCGTGTAGGCTCCGCCTCCGCCGTTCTCTCGGGTTGCATGTATCTCTTCTCCGGCCGCGGCGGCACCGACATGGCTCCCGTAGAGGAAAATGGCGCCGTCTGGTCCTTCGACCCATCTTCCACCTCGTGGAAGCTGCTCAAACCCGCCGACGCCTCGAAACCCTACCCACTCGCGCGCTCCTATCACTGCGCCACCTCCGACGGAAACAGAACCTTCTTCGTCCACGCCGGATGTCCCGAAAAGGGTCGACTATCCGACCTTTGGAGGTTCGACGTGAAGAAGAGGGAGTGGTCCAAGGGTGCTGATGCGCCGGCGCCACAGAGGGGAGGCACGAGTATCGCGTACAGCGGGGGCAAAATTTACAGGATGAACGGGTTCGACGGAACGACGGAGCAGGGTGGTAGCATAGACATCTACGACGTGGCTTCTGATGCGTGGTCTGCCGAGACGTTTCAGGCAGATGGGAATGACGGGCCTGAGGCGCGCAGCGTGTGCGTTCTGCTTCCGGTGCGCATAGCTCAGAAGGAGAAATTGTTGACGCTGTTTGGAGAGAGGGACCCGAGTAGTCTGGGACATGCCGGGGCGGGGAAGATGCTGAGCGATATGTGGATCTACGATATTGCGGAGAAGTGGTGGACGAAGCTGGAACCATCTGGTAGCGAGCGATTGCCGGACCCGCGAGGATGGTTTGACGCTGATGTCGTGAAGGCTGCGGAGGGGAACGATAGTGTCGTGGTGCATGGAGGGCTCAGTGAGAACAACGAGCGGCTTAAAGATGTGTGGGTGCTGTCTTTCTAGACACGTCCGACATAAGCTTGTTTCAGTAGGGTTATGTAGTAGAATGCAATCCTGAACTTAGTAAATGAGATGCATCATGCGAAGAAAGGGTATCATGCAGACTCGCCCATCACTTTGTCCCCTGCGCTCCATGCGGCGCCCCAGCTCTCCGTCTCCCTATCCTCTGCCCAATCGCATTCCTCACCTCTGGCTCCTGGTGAATCACATTCTGCACCATGTACGTCTTCATCGCCTCTCTCAGCGCCCCCTTCGCCCTCTCATTCTCTTTAAATATCGTAGACTCCAGCTCCAAGATCCTCGTGACATCCTGGTTCCCAGCTTGTACTACAGCATCCAGCCGGTCAAGCTGCTTGTGCCTCGATTCCTCTGAGTCGTCCGTGACCTTTGCAGATTTTTGTGGGTCGTCGCGGTATAAAGGGACGAGGAGACCGAGAAACTGCGCTGCGGAAATGCTCGCTTTTTTCACGATGATTGTGACCTGGAATGGCAGGTATGCTGGGCGAAGCTTCAACCCCGTCATTAGCGGATTCAACCACTTGGTGATGAATAGAGGATGGTCCGGGCGCATTGCTGTGCGAAAATCATATGCGGCCACAGCCAGTATAGCCAGGTACCGCCAGTACGCGCCATCCTTGAGAAATCCGAGGGCGTTCGCGCCGATAAGGAAGAGGAGGAGCGCTCCGTATGTGCCCATCGCTACGACCAGCGCGCTGTCTGTGTATTCCTTAATCGTAACGCACTTCGCACATGCCCTCAGCCCATCCGGTCCAAATCGATCGTAGGCCCACCTCTTGGCCGGATCCAATATAACATCTTTCGCAGCCGTTAAATGCGACATAAACTCATTTGCCCGATCCCTATTCTTCGGCGCTACTTTATCGGGATGGTATTTCAGCGCGAGTCTTCGGAAGCGGGAATTCAATGTGTTCTCAGTAACGTCAATAGGCACACCAAGGTCGTTGTATGCGTTGCTGGATTTCTGAAGGTTGAAGTCGACTTCATAAATGGTGAAGGCGAAGTAGGCAAGGTAGGTTGCGATAAGAATTTGGCGGCGGTGCTTCATGAAGCGTGGGCTACCGGGCATGGGTTTGGGTTCGCCAGCGCGGATGAAGATCGAGTAGAGGATTGTTTGAAGCCATGACGCTGCCTGTGTTCGCGTTAGGATCGTAAATGGATGGGACTAAGTGATTTGCGCACGTAGGGTATGAGGAACTGCCAGACTATGAAGGGCCCGAGAGTGTCCCATGAGAAATTTGCGGTACGTGCCATGGTGCTGTGAGTGGGCACATGCGGTTTCCATGCATGTATCAGTTGCTCGGAATTGACAGGTGGTGTAGGACGCGCTAGCGGAGCTTAGTCATTGGCCGCACCGTTGGATTTAACCCAATATGGATCTGGGTAAGACATGCGTCTTCAAATGTTTTTCTAGTGCCATCAATTCGATACTATGTACGCCCTTTGATGTCGCACCTGTGCCTACGAGACAACTTCATACAAACGCTCTAAGAGAAATGAACTAGTAAATGCATTCGCCGGCATACCTAGGTATATGTTTGCGCATCGCCTCTTCGGGCATGAATCAAGCCGCAAGGCAGGTATAGAGACCGAAGGGCAACTCAAACCCGTAAGATTCTGGCACAAAGAGCTCAGCAGCTTGCCGACCTCAACATGAAGGTAGTAGAAGATGAAGACGGGAAGTTACAGGAAGGATTTAGGAAAACATCAGCGGTGACCACGCACCAGAACACTACAAACATATCAGGAACGAACCATGGCACTCAAGCAGGAGGAACTTATGGACCTATTACCTTTGGAAAGAAATAGCGTTGATAAAGCCGAGCCTGCATGAGCTTGGAGGCTTTCCACATCACCCAGTGGCTGGATGTATAAGTCGTAGCAAACTGCAATGTATTTTGTCATGTTACTTGAACAGAGCACTCCTTAGAATATTGAGTACTATCGATCATGTGAAGTCCACATCGAAATGACATTGGGTATTCAGAATCCGCCCAGAATTTGCAAATTTGGATCAAGCGACCAAACTCAAGCCGTGACGATGTCATCATGTCATGTTTCTCCTCCTTCACCGGATCGTTCATCAATCCTCTTCGTCGCTCTCCTTCATAAGTGCCTTTCACCAATCTATTCCGGGACCCTCATGCCTTCTCGTACGGACGGTGATGCCGATATCCTGAATCTTCTATATTGTCACTCCGTACAACTCCGTAATCTTTTCATCCACGTAGTCCATATCGACGAACGTGCTGCGAGCTCCCTGTCGATTGTAATAATCGCATAGGATGTTGAGGCCATGGGAGACGTGCAATTTGGTCTTCCATGCGACCTCCTGGAAAGCACGGCAGTCGGTATCTCTAGATTCATATTCGAGCGGGACCGCAGAGAGTGTGTTTAGCCACAAGTGCTGCAGCGCTGCCATTTTTGCGAGGGTCAGGAAGATGACTCTCCACGGGTAGTCGCCGAGATCGGTCCACAAGAGGCAGACGTTCTTCAACTCAACACGCTGGAGCGTCTTCGAGTGTGCATTGAGAAAGTCGTTGAGCTCTAAGCTGTCGGTCTTTGCGTTCGTGATCCGAACGTTTGCAAGTCGATCATAGTGACGGAGATGAAGGCCAGGAGCATCAGGAGCCTCCCAGGCACCCAAGTCGTAGTCCAGGTTCAGAGTCATGGGGTTGATCTTGCTGAGCCAGTCGACGTTCTCTCGGGAGTCCACGTAGGTATCCACATTGGTAGAAAAATGTGCGGCGGAAGACAGAACATGTAGGAAAAGGGGCTGTGCTGTGGGAGAAAGTGGACGGGGTGCATTACCTTCGAGAACCATCCTCAGCTCAACGTGAACCGGAAGTTTAGCGTTCGCCATGCCGATAAGGGCAGCCTCGAAAGCCTTAATCCGAGTGGACCACACCTTCAAGTCGTCAGGGTATTGGTACCCAATGACCACCGCCTTGCCGCGTTTAAACGTAACGAGTCGATTGAGATCCTTGATACCCCATGCGGGTGGCTCCCTATCATCTGAGGGCCAATATGTGCTACCATTGCTGAAATCCGAGATAGTCAACGACTTCAGGGCGGTAGTCTTCTTCAGTACGTCGGTGATCGCTTGTGCCGCAGATCTGAGGATGAACGACTTTTCTTCTTCAAAGGGTTTGACGCCTGTTCAAGTATAAGCTGGTCCTAATAAGGGTGTCTGAAAAGGGAAGAAGACTTACTTGACCCCTTGCGGCGATCAGTACCATCACGAAGCACATAGGTAGATATGGTGACGTGCTCAATGAGAGTGGCGTAGAATGGGTCGTTAGCCAAGCGATGTAGCTTTTCGAAGCTCGTGGGGTGAAGAAAGACGTGAATGTGGGTCAAGTAGCGCTTAGCATAAGCGTACTTGGTCTTCTCGAAGAGCGCCTTGTTAACAGCGTGAAGCGATGCAACGTCGATGTCGATGAGCTCGCGTGCGATGTTGTTGACAATCTCGCCAGGTAGACCTGGGAGTGTTGGCTTTCCTTTGTCGGCCATGCTGGGTGACTGGACTTGACTGTTGTGAGTAGGTGAAGAGTGTAGAGGAAAAGGCGGAAGCCAGCCGTTGCGAGGAAAGAAAGCCGTTTGCTTTGGTTTGCTGCCTAATTACGCGACGACCCTAATTTTAGCGAAACGCGTGACATTCGCGTCAAATCAGTCCCAGGTGAACGGCGAGTAGAGGGAAACCCAAATTTCGCGTCCGTCCTCTCACACTCACCGCCTACTGGAGCCCAGCAAATGAGCGGAGTATATGCGGATTAGCAAGTGAAATTGAAATATACACGAAAGAAACTTAACTTTCCATCTTAGGAATAGGATTCGTGGAGTAGACTCGTCTTATAGGGAAGTCAGAGTAGGTGGTTTTGGTCGGCCATAAGTAGTACAGCGGTATGTGATTGAGAACAGCAAGACTACCTCATTTGTTCAGACGAATGACTCTCCGAGAAAGACACATCAGTTGCAACGTCTTGTATGATGCCTCCGACGCTAATGTCCCTGTTGTCTTGATGAAGGCACCGGGTGCTTCAGAGTCTTCGTCATCGGGCCATACTCAATGAACTTTTAAGAAGATAAACACAGACAATATCGTGAGCCAGACAGCAGAAGCTCCAGTTATTGCGTAATGGTTAGGGGCTATTGTACTCTGTCCGTGTTGCGGTGTTGAGCGATGTTCGTTGCGGTCTTGGGATTAGGAAGGAGCGATCAGGGCTAGCACCGAATGGGGAATGCGTACTGGGCCCAATGCGCGCGAGGTACGATCAAGCACTTCCGAGGGCAGACATTCTTGCTTTTATCAAGAATCTCACGACGTTTTGTCGCGGCGCAATGCAAAAGACATGATCTACTCGCGGCTTGCTCTGGCCACTGATGCTGCAGAGCTGGTCGATTCGCCAGACTACTCCCTCACAACTGAGCAAGTCTATGCAAGCTTCGCCGTAAACCATGTGACCAAGTCTGGCTCACTGGACGTTCTGACTTATTCAATAAGCTCGACTGCCGCTCGAATGGGTTGCGCCGAAACGGATGTAAATTTGCCGAGCTGGATCCCAGACTGGACGCTTCGAGATAAATGGGACAACAACGGCATCTGGAAATCGCTGATAATACGGGAGGTTAACCACGCTTCCATGACTGCTATTACGTGGGAAAAGGCATGCCCGCCATACGTTCGCTAGGAATGACATCTTCGAATTCGGATCAGGAGGAGTACAAATTCATGGCCATGTTCATATTTCGGTCTTGGACACCGTAAGATAGCCTCCCCCATATCTCAAGTGTATCATCCTCAAGAAGCAGCTTTAGAGGCAAACGTACGCGTTCGCCATGCGACCTATGAATAAGAAATACTGTGCGTCAAAATCATGAGTGCTGTGTGTATTACTAGGGTTTTCCTGCGGCGAGTCTTCCTATTAGGATCAACTTTATGATCTGGAAGTTTATTATGGTATTGCGAAGGACCAATTCAGGTATCAGTCTGGCCCGTACCGCAATCTTGATGAGAGACATTACGAAGATCCAGAGAACGATTCGAGTAGACCAGAGAGATCGCAAGAACGTCCTGATTATTCAAAGGTAGCTTTGACGACGACTGACCCATTGGCAGTTCTGTAGTAGATTGCATAGACAATTGTATGATGCAAATCGAGCACTTGCGGTCGTGCGGAGGTCATGCTAGATTTGACTAATTTATGAACCTCGGCCTGGGCCGCCTGGCTGTACCGGACAGATGGCCAGCTTTTGTGTCTATCGAGCGATATTCGAATTTCAGAACTCTTAATCTCGCGTTGAGCCTTCTGTCGGTTTCTGTTCCTGGCGCGAACCTGGAGACGAGGAGACTGAAAGTCTTCAGAGGATGTGCGGAAGGATTGCCGTTCACGGCGCGGGGAGACTGCCTCAACAGGGTTATCGCAGTTGCCACACAGAACCCGACGTACACGATCTCTAAGGTACCGCCAGTTCACTGCACATAACACAACGCAGTCTTGATCCGCTATCACGACTAAGTACGTGCGCAATGGCAGCGCTGCGACCATCACAAAACTTGACATGCGGGCTGCTACCCCCAGCACCATCACCATAGACTACTAACATCGCAAAACCTCCATCAAGGCAGATCTGAACGATTGTATGAAGAGACGGTTCGTACTCTTGAATCATCCAATATTCACGGATACCTTTTCAATATGGAAAAAGGCCCCGCACCCAGGGATTGCCCGTCCCATCCATATCCAGCATGCACGCACGAGCATCCGACAGGGATACTCGCCCCCGCATCCACAGCACACACATACGCCCTTGACATGATAACAGTTGTCTTATCGCACTCATTGGGCGTGCTTAAGTGTGCGACGGGCCATGCATAAAGTGGGGATTGGGGACGCTGTGTTACCTTTTCTTTCCCTCACGACCGATTTTGAGAAAGTGGGTAGACAGTAAAAACTATGGCGACCGGAAAGAATGAAGAAGAAGTCCCTGCCGAAGTGCGCAAACTCTCGATACATGCTGAACATGCGGACGAAATCGTGGAGGCGGTGGCAGTCGAGCACACGCTCTCTTTCTGGGAAGCCGTCAAGCTCTACCCCAAAGCTATCGGATGGTCGATGTACTTCAGTATGGGAGTAATAATGCTCTGTACGCCTTCCTTTCCTCTTGCCCCCCAGCCCTATCAATCTTGCACGACACTATCCTTCTACCCACCGCTGACAATGACTTAGCATTTGATCCACAACTTCTAGGCAACCTCTACGCTATGCCCGCCTTCCAGCGCGACTTCGGCTACCTCTTCAACGACTCCTACATAATCTCCGCGGCATGGCAAACCGGTCTCTCTATGGGGAACCCCATCGGCCAAGTCGTCGGCGCCCTCGCAGCTGGGTACCCCATGGAATGGTACGGGCGCAAAAAGACGTTCAATGCGTGCGTCGTGCTTGTCGCGGGGCTTGTGTTCATCCAGTTCTTTGCGAGGTCACTCAGAACCCTGTTGGCAGGAGAGCTCCTAGGCGGGCTAGTGTTAGGCGCGTTTGTAGTTATTGCGCCCAGCTATGCGAGTGAGGTCACGCCTCTGGCGATGCGCAGCGTGTCGACGAGCTACGTGAATTTGTGCTTTGTCACAGGGCAGTTACTGGGGAATGGTGTTACGGCTGCAACGAAAGATTTGCACAGCCACTGGGCGTACTCGATTCCCTTCGCGCTGCAGTGGTTCTGGATCTTGCTCATCATCCCAGGGATGTTCTTCGCGCCGGAATCACCCTGGTGGCTCGCACGACAAGGCCGCTTCAACGAAGCGGAAATATCGCTCCGACGTCTATCTAGCAGGGGCGTGAACGTCAAGGCTGTACTCGCTCAACTCATCGAAACAGATAGACTCGAAACGCAGATGGAGGCCGGATCCACCTACACCGACGTCTTCCGCGCCGTGAACTGGCGCAGGACGGAAATCGCCATCGGCGTGTACGCCACACAAGTCCTCTGTGGAATTTACCTTATCAATTACGGCACCTACTTCTTCAGTCTTGCAGGGCTGAACACCGAGCAAGCATACGATATGGGTGTCGGATTCATGGCTGTGGGATGGGTCAGCACTATATTCAGCTGGTATCTAATGCAGAAATTTGGAAGGAGAATGCTGTATAACACGGGTCTGACGATTCTAATGATTGTTATGTTTTTAGTAGGGATTCTGGATGTGGTGCCGACGAAAGGCGCAGTCTGGACGCAGAGTACGCTACTCCTCGTGTGGAACTTTACGTTTGATTGGAGGTGAGTTACGATTTTTCTATCGCGAGTGGGGTTTACTGAAGAGATATAGCGTCGGACCCGTAGCGTACGCCATCTTCTGTGAAGTCTCGGCGACTCGTGTACGGTCTAAGACGATTGCTGTTGCGACTGCCATTCAGGCTTTGGTCGGAATTATCATGAGTGTCGCGATTCCGTATCTTATCAATCCCGACCAGGCGGCGCTGAGGGGGAAGCTTGGGTTCATTTTCGGGGGCTTGAGTGTACCGTGTCTCATATGGTGCTGGTATAGGGTGCCGGAGATGAAGGGGAGGACGTACGAGGAGCTGGATATCATGTTCGAGCGGGGCGTAAAGACGAGGGAGTTCAAGACGTATGTGATCCAATAAAAACTGCGAAGCGGGGCTAGAGACCTCACCGTTGCTGGGGTACGATATGGGCCGAAACTGAAATTTAACGTTTGATTGCTGTGGTATCATCGCTTACAATCGCCTCAAAATGTGGTCTACGTAACTGACACTGCCCCTTCTACTCCTTGTTGATATCCGCAAGCTGCAACACCGCCTTACCAAAGTTCTCTCCCTTGAGCATGCCGAGGAAGCCATCAATACCGTTGTCAATGCCTTCGGTAACGCTCAACTTCGCCTTGAATGAGCCATCAGCGAGCCACTTCTGCACCTTCTCTTGGTGCTGCTGGTAGTGTTTGGGACCCATGTTCTCGTCGCCGACAATAAACCCACGCATAGTAAGGCGCTTGCCCACAACCTGGATGAGGTTGCGGATAGGGTACTGGTCCTGTGGGGGAGTGTTGTATTGGGATATCATTCCGCAAGCGACTGTCTGCTTGTCAGTAACTGCTGCTGGGACAGAAACGGGTGGCGAGGCGGGGGATCATACCAATACGTCCAAAGTTGTTCATCGCAGTGATAGCAGCCTCGAGGTGCTCGCCACCAACATTCTCATAGTAGATATCAATACCTTCTGGCGCGAGGCGCTGAAGCGCCTCGCTCGGCTTCTCCTTCTTGTAGTTGAAACCCGCATCGAACTTCAACTCCTTTAAGATAAAGTCCAGCTTCTCGTCTTTCCCAACGCTGCCAATGACCTTTAGACCCTCGTGCTTGGCAAGCTGTCCAACAAGCTGGCCAACTGCTCCGGACGCCGCGGAGATGAAAATGGTCTCTCCCTTCTTCGGCTGTCCGATCTCATAGAATGATGACCAAGCGGTGAGACCAGGCATACCGAGGGCGCCAAGGAAGTGCTTAGGGTCCAAGTTGTGCGGATTCTGCAATTTTCGGATCTGAGCAGCCTCGTCTTCCTTGAGCACGGAGTACTCCTCAATAGGGGACACACCAGACGAGATGACGACATCGCCAGGTTGGAATTTGTCGGTGTTGGACTTGAGCACCTTCATAATTGTGCGGTTAGTGATGGGCTGGCCGAGTTCGAAAGGTGGTGCGTAGGACTTGGTGTGGGCCGCACGCATGCGTCCACGTTGGTAGGGATCGAACGAGGCATAGTAGGTCCTGACTGTTACGCCACCCTCTGGAGGAGTCTGCTCAACATCGAAATCGCGAGCCTCAACGGTCAAGTGCTTGCCCTGCTCGGGCCATCCGCTGGGGATGTCCTTGAAGATGATGCCTTTGTTCTGTACCATGGTGGGCATTACGGTGATGAAATATGGAAAAAAGGTGATCAGGAATTGATGCGGGATATATGTGAGAGCTTTAATAAGGGTCTGGATGGAAGGATTGATGTGAAGGTGAGCTCCTCTCGTTTATGTAGTAAACGGTGTAGCCGCTTATAAATGTACATCTACACCGCAAGACCCTGCACGTTCAAAGCACAGAAGAATTGCATCATGATGAAACTGTGCTCTTCGGTCGTTAGCTTCAATCCGGCCAATTGCGGGCAAAAAATTCCAGCCGATGTGCATGCGAAATGGGGCGTTTCAGCTCATCCGTCGTCTGGAGGGGAATGTTCGTTCTTTGGTTCGGAACTGGCGATATGTCCTGATCGGGAAGGGTGTGCAGCAAGTGGCCAGTGAAGATTACTTGCAGGCTCGAGAGGCATTACCATGACCTATCACGGATCATGCATCTTTTCGCCGCAAGAGAAACGAAGCGGGGCTAGCAGGAAAGCCATGACGGAGTGGTGCCGGCTTTAGCTCTGAAAGAGTTAGAAGCTGCCGCACAACATGCCTCGGTTCGAGGCCGGACGAGGTGGGTGTATTAGTAACCGTGGCGACAGCAACGAAGGAGGTCGCATAACGCATAGGCGAATGCGGATATCTCGAAGGCGGCGCCTGAGTTTGACGCGACGCAACTGCTTCCGTGGTACGAAGGTCGAAATTCGACAAATGCTAACATCGTCAAAAACCATCAACAACGTCCGAAGGGCATTGTTTGACGTCGTCGCAGTCCATGTAAACTTTCGAGATGGTTCCAGAGAAAAATTGATCGACCCGGAAAACCTTAACCCTGGTTGTGCGCTGCATCTCGGCGGAGTGTCAAATTGAGGCATCCGTAACTCGTACGGCACCGAGGCTTCAATGTCAGACGTTGGAAGAGCGGTACACCTAGATGGCCACGTATATGCACGTCCCGCCAACCTCTTCTGGCCATTCTCCGAGCCCCCGCATCCTGATACTTCGTGTGAGATACATAGGATGATCTGTCATGCCCAGCAGCGTTTCGCAGACGGAGATGGCAGTGACCATATTGTCCTTTGTAGCAGCTCGGATGAGTATGAAATCAATATCTCCCAGGACCCGAGTCGAAGCCGAAGCAAATCGATATCTTCAAGATATGGGAATCCGATAGTCGATAGCTGAGTCAGGATCGTGTTGGAAGCACTAGGGCGAAGAGGTACGAAGTGAGGCTAAATATAGCGAATTCAATGTTCCATCGCTTCAGATCACAAGGAGATGAGTATGGCCAGGACCATCTTTGGACAGCCAACTGATGAATGGCGTCGTGGAGAACAGAATGGTCGACTTTGAGAGGGCGATCGCTCCCAGCGGTGCCTTGCTCATGGGTGAAGCTCGGGCTTCCTCACGTGCTACCAGCGCCGGCAAGAGCAATGGAGCAGCACCGCCGACTTTTGGCTATCGAAACGCGATTGTATAAACACGCGATATTCCTCCAGGCGCCCGTTGCATTACACAGATAACATTCCAAAGTGCAGCGCAATCTTCTTGACCCCTCGCTATTTCCGCATTCCCGCAGTTGACCCCGCCATGGCCAGCCAGCCGTCCGATCCACCGCCTTCCTACGAAGAGTCGCGAAACATCCCCACGCCCATCAGTGCCAGCGCCACAGCCAATGCTGCCCCAGAAGCGGTGCGGTCGCCTCGGAGACCACCAGGGCCGCTACCTTTACTTCCGCTCGACCTGCCGCCTTTGAACCAGCTGCGGAACAAGCGCGTAGTACTGGCCTCTGCATCACCTAGGAGGAAACAGCTACTGAGCATTGCAAGTATGCTCCTACCCATGCCAACAGTCTCAAGCTAAACGCCCACAGCTCGGCCTCAAGCAGGTCGATATCGTCCCATCTACGTTCAAAGAGGACCTCTCGAAATCGCTATCACCTTACGAATATGTGCTCGAGACAGCGTCCGAGAAATGTCGCGAAGTCTACACGCGCGAAGTCAACAATGAGGAAAAGGGCGAGCCGGCGCTCGTCATAGCGGCAGACACCATCATCATAAGCTCTAAGGGCCGGATACTGGAGAAGCCGCGGAATCCGCAAGATCACCTCGACATGTTGAAGATGCTAAGGGACGAAGGCGCACATAAGGTGGCGACAGCCGTGGCGGTCATGAAGCCGCTGGAGAACCCAGTTGACCCGGGCTACGCCATGGAGACGCACGTGGAGATGACCGTGGTCAAGTTTGACCCGAATGGTGCGTATGAGCTTGCTGCATGGCGGTCGGTCGAGTCTGCTAATCAGAACAGCGTCGGACGCGACTCTAGTAGCCTATGTACGAACTCGCGATGGTAACGACAAGGCGGGAGGCTACGGCATACAGAGCGCAGGATCTATTCTTATCGAGAAGATCGAGGGCTCACACGACAACGTAATAGGATTACCGTTACGCACAACGCTGGGCCTGATCGAGAAGGTCATGGTGCCGGAGGAAGGTCTGGATGACAACATGGACAACATGTTTGGCGACGAGGAATAGGACTTCAGCGACGATGGTCAAGATGCCGAAGCTCTTCTAGCTTTTACGGCCCTGGCGGTGACAGTGTCGAGCTGGAAATACGGGCTCTGGGAAGCTGAACAGCCTTGATTGACAGGGTCATATTCCTCCACAATCTCCCACAAAGGCACAGAGAGCTCCTATTCACTGGCACCGCATGTAGGACCTTATCCGGCAATAACAGACATGTCTGAGGTTGAAGACTGCTTAGACAATGTGAAGTACACTCCTGCTGCAGGGAAAGTTCTCGCAAATGTCTGTATCAGAGATATCCAAAGCACGCTTTCCATGACGCGTGTTCATTCAGCCTTGCGAATAATCGGCGCTTAGTCCCTTGAGTATACATCCCACCTTGCTTTCGCCCCTCCCTCCTTTCCTCCCTGACTACCCGCACACCCCGCGTTCTCATATCCTGATCTATAGCATCTGCACCGCCACGCGGTCCAACGTACCGGCCCTTCAATCTCTAGCACACTATTGCTCGGAAGCAATACCAATGTGGAAAAGAAGGCAAAGCGGGGCAAGGTGTAAGCTGAGCTGCAAGGGTTACACTATCGTTTTTCTAGCTAGGGATACGAGCATGTGGGGGCTGCTGGCTGTACAGTAGGGTACACGGAGGAAAGGGTGCAGGTTCTGGAATGTGCTTGTCTCTTGGCCACCTTGAAATGTATCAGGCTCAATTCTCGTACCGCCGGAGGTCGGACGCGACCTTATATGCAATGACCTGAAGACAATTCATGTTTTGATGATGCGCGTCCTCAGCCTGACGGGCCTGGTCACCCACGCGCTCCTCGTATCGACAACGACAGCAGCGAAATGCGCCTCACCGCCCATCAACCTTCCGTACCGCTCCATCTCCACGGTCCCAGGAGTCCTTTCTCCTGGTATCCCGCTACAAATCGGGTCGCCATGGCAGTCCATCGCCATCGTCCCCTCACTGCAAATCGACGACACCTTCTTACCGCGCTACACAAATACTTGCATTTACGACACCCCAATTAATACTACATCTACGCAACCGCAGACAAATCGTACGATACAAAGTCATGTGGCGCTTACGGACCTGCATGCGCGCGATGCCTCGCCTGGAAGTTTCTCCACCCTCAATGAAAATGGTGCAGGAATCGGCGAAGACTGGTTCACCCGCTGCGCGCAAACCTACGGCGGCGCTTACCAACCCAGCCTCTCACCCAGCTTTCAGGAAAACCGCACGAATAATCAAGCATTCCATTTCTTCACCGACATATGGCGCTTTGGGGACTATGCCGACGCGTACGCGACCACAAACGATGCCCTACCCCTTCGCAAGAACCTCTCCTCCTCCTTTCAAATAGCAGAAGAAGGAAAAACATTTAGCGGGTATGGCAGCGCGCTACTCGGACTAACGCCTAACTCCACCATTTTGAATGCGTTAAGGCAGGCAGACATGATACCCAGCACTTCCTGGTCCCTCACAAACGACTCGCTGTGTCTAGGCTGCGAAGATCGCGCCGCGAGTACAGGGGCGTGGCATACCTTTCACCCTTCAAACCGCTATGTGAACCCCGACCTACCATGCCTGATCAAAGCGAAGGTCGAGGCGCTGAATTGGCGTCCAAGGGAGCATGGGGTGGAGGGCGCGACGCTCATACAGGAAACGTTTACCGCATGCGTTGATCCGGGGGTACAATTTTTGGTCCTGCCTACCAATGCGACGAGCGCGTTTGAGAAGATTGTAGGGGGAAATGTGAGCGCAGAGTATGATGATTATACTGTATTTGAAGGGTCGGGCGGGAATGATACGGGTGTGCTGACGTTCCGTATTGAGGGAGGCCTGGAGGTTAATGTGACTATTCCTGGACCTGGGGATGTCGCCCCGGAAAAGGAAGGAGAGTGGACGGTGCCGGTTGGCAAGGGTGGCTGGGGCGCGTATGGGAATCAGACGTGGGTATTGGGGAAGGTGTTTACGGACCGTGTGGTGTTGAGGTGGGATGGTGAGCAGCAAGAGTATGGGATTGCCAATAGGAACACTAATCCCGCAGCTAAAATTGACTTGCAGCCACTTGGATGCGACGAGTTTCTTAAACTCGAGAAGAGTATCACCTTAACACCGGGCACGGGTATCTTGGTTGGTTCCGTCGTCGGCGGCTTCATAGGCGGGCTGGCTTTTGCATTTGCAGGCTTCTGGTTTTTCAAGTGGGGCCAGAAGGGTGTGAGGTCGAAGTACGCACAGTTGGACGAGGACACCGTGCCTATGTGTACAATGTCGCATGGGAGGGACAGCACCGCCGGAGCGCTCAGCCCACCGCCACCGAGTATACACGAGAGTCTAAGATCACAGCGGTTGAGGGATACGCGACCAGGAGCGCAGAGTGGACGGGGTTTTGAAATTGCTGATGGCCAGATGTTTGAGGCTCCCGAAGGCGGTACAATATATCCCACTAAGAGAGGACGAAATGAGATGTGAGGGAGCCGTATGCTGTTAACGAGGAACAATTGCAATGACGAAAGCATGTTCACACGTGCACCGCAGAAAGATGATGCACCTCGATAAAGGTGCTGGTCTTGGGTATTCATTAGATTGTGCTAGAATGTCAGATACTAAATTGCTACAACAATCCTCACAGATGCGGAAAATATTCGCTCCACTCCGGTGTCTTGTATATGTTCTCAGGCTGCCGTCGTAAACTGATGAACGCCTCCACCACGATGAATATCCGCGCTGTAAGAAACAACGGCGTGACAATTGACGCGCTAGTCCATTTGATAGCCTTACTGTTTCGGATGAAGTGCTCGAGATATTCGAAAGCTTTCACCTTCTGCGATGCAAGGAAGAACAAGGCGAGCAAAACGCCCGAGGCCCCCGTTGCCAGAGCGCAAGCCATCCAGAGCCACCTCTCTGCTACGGTAGGAAAGAAGTCGTTCCAGGCCGCGAGATGCAGGCCTCCGTACGCGGCACCAGCGAAAGCGACCACGGATTTCAGAGCGTCCCGATGAACGTTGACAGAGCCGAGATAGCCTAAACCAGGGAAATTCGGGACGTGATCGGCGACGTATGCGAGTTCGCCAACGAACTTCGTCGCCATAACCGAGTCATCTTTGGTTTTCGAGCCGAGAGTGGACAAGGTGAAGAAGTATTCCAGGAATTCAGGGCGCCTTTCGCAGGCACTCCAGAGATCGTCAACTGCAAGACAGGCCAGTTCCCAGCGCCTGATAGCTGCACAGGAAAGCTCTTCGTGAAAGTCGCAATCTCTGAGAGCGCGTCGACAGTAGACTGCGGAATGATGCAGGCTATGATGTGGCTTCTGAAGCTGGAAGAAGATGGCGTGTTCTCGAGCCATCTTGAACGACTTCTTCCCATGGACTACATAGCCAACGTTGTGGTCCATTGCTTTCCCATCAGTACCCTGTTGAAACTGCTCTAATGGTCCGATAAATTTGATTGGATCTTGCGCGCCAATAGAGCCTACGGAGAAATGTGTCTTTTGTGGCTTTTGCTCGATCGGCGAACTTGGCGTATTGATCGCATTCTCTTCGATGTTGACTGACGGTGATCTGCTCGGCGCGTTTCTTTCGGAGGGTGGTGTGTACTGTAGGCAACGGACCTCGCTAATAAAATCATCGTCGTGCCAGCAGATTGGACTGCACATCCACATCAAAGACACAAGTCGGTCTTGCCAATCCTCGTTGACAACGATTGTCGGATCTTTGATATCGAGCGGCTTACTCCACCAGAGTCCATAAAGAGCAAAGGCACATACGACGTGCCCCATAGTGTTGATTTCGAGCAGGGTTACGGGAAGCTTTTGGTGAACCCGAGCGAGGGTCTGTATAATCATCCAGCCTGCCTGGAGTACTACCAAAAACTTCGCGAGTCCGTCAGCCTTGCTCTTATCTTCGATCTGGCCTTCGTCAATTTCAGGAAGGCGACCTAGGAACGACAGCATGCGCACGCCTTCTGCTGTTAATGAAAGTCGACCATGAGTTGGGATAATTTCGCTGTTAGTCTGGAGGCGAATGCCACCCATGACCGCGTAATAGCACTGCGTTATGCTCCATTCTTGTAGCTGCTGTTCTGAGGACCAGGCTGGATCGGTACCCTGGTGTTGTCAGTCCCTATGTAGAAAGTATTCGTGCTTTCGGTACCAACCTACATGCTCCTTGCGATATTGAACGTCTTTCCGAATCTCTCGACTTAGCCACCTGGCCGTCAGAAACTGGCCGAATGCAGTCGACACCACCAGTTCAGGCGCGAACAAGCCCAAAACAATCCATCGCGCTCGTCTGTAATTCCTTTCTGTGAGCTTCGAATCCTCGGTGGGCAAGTTAAGATGCAGAGCCGACCAAACGCAGATGGTCAATGTCAGGATGCAAGAAATTATGATGTCCCAGGTGCCTCTTTTGTTCGGCGGCTCGTACCATCCCATCAGCGGGGGGTCCCCTTCGGCGGAAGCACCTCTACGCGCGAAAAGGAAAGCGACCAAGCACAAGATGAACATAGCGACGCAGAACTTTGCATTGCGAAGAGTGTAGAAGGCTGCAAGGAGAAGTTCTAGAAGATCTGGGGTCGAAGGTTGAAGGATTCACGGCTGAAGCGCACGTCAGAGCCTGAGGTGCCCTGCTGCAGGGGGCTGAATGCAGGACATGTTATTCGCTCGCATCATGGCAGTGTCAAAAGGAACGAGATGAGTGAGTGAATTTGGGGTCCGTTTGGTGAACATCTGACATCTTGATCAGAGCGGCAAGCTCTTCCGATGGCCTTGGAGGTATTGGAGTGTGGGCGACGTCTGGGTGGGGGCTTCCGGCAATGCGGCAACATGGGAAGCAAGGGGTGTGACAGCGCGACAGGATTCTGCGACGAGTTGACTTGATATTGGCAGCTGGCAGAGACGCAGGGGTCGTCATTTTCGCAACGTCAAGGCGATGAACGAGTCGTCGTGATGTTGCTGCGTGATGTCCTTGCGGTTGCCAGCCGGAACCCCAATGCTCTTGCCCGCCGGACGTGGTCTGTGCACCTTTCCTCTTCCGGCATTCACAGAAACAACCGCTGTAGTCTACCGAGTAGAGGTCCGGTGTTGATGTGCTTGGTATGAAGTTATCTTTGGATAGCAACAATAGCACCAAATTGCGTTTACGGTAGATTGCCAGGCTAGGTATAAGACCTGCAAATGCAGCCAGCTTACAGAGATAAGCAAGCAAGCAAGCAAGCAAGCAGTCATCAAGTAGACAATCAAGTAGGGGAAGTGCAATGATTTCCAGAAATCGGCGAGTATCTTTAGACACAGGCGCCCGCGCAGCTGGATTGGGCATCGGCCCCTTGCATACCGCAGAGAGCGTGAGAGACGCTGGACAGCGAGACCCTTGACCGAGACAATCGGAGGCCGATTGTGAAGTGGGGAGCCGGCCAACGTGCGCAACACGCGAGCAGCATCAGATTGGTATAAGAGAAGATGCGCAGATTCATAGCAGCATTATCCACGAGTTAATCATTCGAAGGATATACACAACGATACCTCCCCAGAGTTGGACTGCATACGCACATCCGAGCCCAGCCATGGCTACGCAACAAAAGCTTACCTTTGAGGGCACGTGGCAGAATCAACGTTTTGATGCTGCGAGACTGACGGCACACAGATGTGATGGGCTGCCAGTCGGCGTGCTACGAGTGGGCAGACAGCTACGACAGCAAGGTAGGACAGTCCTCTAGTGATGATGCACAGTGTCTCATCCCACGCAGGATTGGGACCGCCTACGCAAATGCATCGCACCCAGCCTGAAGATCGACTACACCTCGTTCCTCAACAAGGCGTGGGAGGCGATGCCGGCCGATGAGTTTGTCGCCATGGCCTCTGACCCCGCGGTTCTCGGGAACCCGCTCTTGAAGACGCAGCACTTCATCGGTGGCACCCGGTGGGAGAAGACGGCGGAGGATGCGATCACGGGCTATCACCAGCTCCGTGTGCCGCATCAGCGGTACACAGACGCGACACGCTCAAAGGTGGCTGTCAAGGGCCACGCGCACAGCTTCAACATGCACTGGTACAGGAAGGTGGACGGCGAGTGGAAGTTTGCGGGTCTCTGTCCCGACATCAGGTGGTTCGAGTATGACTTCGACAAGGTGTTCGCAGAGGGGCGCGGTGCCTTTGGGGAGGAGCAGCAGCAGGTAGAGGCCGCACACGCAACCGGGATACCGGCGAAATAGGGCGCTGCGATGCCAACGAGGGGTTGTTGGATGCGCGTAGGATACCTGACGAAGCGAGCATTTGACCAGGGCTGTTCCCGTGCTCGACGTGCAGTGACAAGGCTGATTACTGTCCATGCATTGATACTATGTACCATAGTATGTGGTCGATGCAACGGTGGTGCGCCCACGGCTCCGTCCAAGCTGCTTGGCTGCCGAGTGGGCCGCTAGCTGCCAAGTCGAGCAGCGGGCGGTGGGCAGCCAGTCGCAGTGCATGGAGAGGTCCAACGGCGCGGCCTCGAGGTTGTTTCCGGCCCAATTGCTGCAACCTCTGGGAGCCAAACGGGGCACAGCACATGCAATCTCTGCAGCCACGGGTCCCAAGTGGCTTGTTGACGAGCGAAGACGGCGGTACCGTGCGATGCGAGGCTCGAGCCAATGCCCGCGATGCGACGGCCAGATCAGATCTCGTCTGCAGCAGGCCGCAGGGCTGCCACGCTGGCCGGCGGTGGGACGAGCCAGTGGTCATGGAGGGATAGATTCGAACTGTGAAGATCCCAAAAGCTTGATTCAGCCCGGCCGCTTTGCGCCATCGCTCCCCAGGTTCGGCTTAGGGGACCTGGTTCCTCTCGTTACCGAATTCCAAGTCCCGCCACATGACTTTTGCGGGTTCGCCGGCAGCGCTGAGTTGTTGAAAGGGCCGGGGTGCTGCGTACATCATCGCCTGCACGCCCTCACTCTTCTACCCCACCTCCTTCAGCCATCCTTCTGCATCAAGCCTCAGCCGTCGCGTGCCGTGTGCTCCTGTTCTCTTTGCGTCTTGCTGGTGTTTGCTTTGCGGCTGCGGGGATCTCTCTTCAAGCGTCTTCTCTCACCACACCTTCCGGTACGTCCTCTCGCAATTTTCTTCACGCTTGGCGTCCGCCTGCTGCACCCGCCTGCTGCATCCGCTGCTGCTCCCCCGTCACGCTGCAGCCGGCGGTGACGCGCATGCTGGCCTCTGCTCCAGCCTCTGCTGCCGTCGTCCCTCCGTTGCCTGGCGGCTCTGCGCCGCGTCTGTTTCGCTCGACGCGCGCCATCGGCGGCCGTTGCGTTTGTCGCACACGGCATCACCACGAGCAGAAGCACAAAGGCGCGCGTCTAGTTGGCTGCCTCTGCTGCCGTCGCCTGCCTCGTGTGACCGCTTGTCACGCCCGCGCATGTGATTGCCCGGTGCTACCATTGCCCACCTGGCCTGCCTTGGCCGGTTGACTGACTGCCGCCCGCAGATTCGCGAGATCTCTATCTCTCTCTCCATCGCTCACCACACCTCGACGGCCTCTCCTTCACCTCAAGTCCGCTTCTGGCGCGTCCTCGGCGTTTGTCGCACCTTGTCTGCCTCTCTTCGGCTTCTGCTCTCCAGCCCGCTTTCCCTGTCTTCTAGAGGAAGCTTCTTTGCGCCTGTTCGCCCTCGCACCTCCTTCACCAACCTGCAGTGATAGACAAAAATTTTGTCGTGTGATTTGGTAAGCGCAACCAGACCTTGGCTCCCAACACCCGCCCCTCATCCGTGGTCGCGCGCTATCGTCGCCCAGCTTCACCGACGCTAACAGAGCTCTTGCGCAGGTCTACTTGAACCCCGCCACCTTCCGTCACATATTTAGACAGCACTCTTAGCTCAACTTCAGCTTTCCACGCTATACCAGCTTTCGTTCTTAGCAATCCAGTATGAGCTTCAACAACGACTTCGCCCAGCAGGGCCAGCCGACTGGCGAACAGGCTGGCGGTTTCGCGCCCCAGGCCGACCTTGGACAGCCCATGGATACATCTGCGCCTGGTTTCCCCGCCGGAAACATCGGCGGTCCTACTGGAACCCCGCAAGACGGACAGCAGGACGGAAATAACAAGACAACCCTCTGGTAAGCTTTCCCTGCGCGCCGAGATGGGCGTATTCTCAGCACTCGCGCAAACAGTTATCGTGCGAACATGTACTAATCCTGGGCAGGATGGGGGAACTCGAGCCATGGATCGACGAGAACTTCGTGCGCAGCATCTGGTACAACATGGGCGAGCAGGTCAACGTGAAGATGATTCGCGACAAGTTCTCTGGGTAAGCGGCGCAAAATATATGCATTGCCCGAAGTACATCTAACATGACAGCAGCTCCAATGCCGGCTACTGCTTCGTCGACTTCTCCAGCGCTCAAGCTGCGTCCAAGGCCCTTGCGCTCAATGGACAGCTGATCCCGAACTCGAACCGCCCGTTCAAGCTGAACTGGGCTTCTGGTGGTGGTCTCGCTGATCGAAGGTTCGTGATCCACAATATTTTGACTGTGCGCTTGTTCGGACCGAACTAACATCCTAGCCCCAGCCGCGATGACCGCGGTCCGGAGTATAGCATCTTCGTTGGCGACCTGGGCCCTGAGGTGAACGAGTTTGTCCTCGTACAACTGTTTCAAAACAAGTACCAGAGCTGCAAGTCTGCTAAGATCATGTCCGACCCCATCAGCGGCATGTCGCGCGGCTATGGATTCGTTCGTTTCACCGACGAAGCCGATCAACAGAAGGCCCTCACTGAGATGCAAGGCGTCTACTGCGGCAACCGACCCATGCGCATCAGCACTGCCACCCCGAAGAACAAGAGCGGCGGTCCTGGTGGCCCCGCTATGGGTGGCATGCCACCTGGCGGCGGGCCTTTAGGTATGTACTCCATGGGTGCACCCCCACAGATGGGAGGCGGTGGCGGCGGCGGTGGCGGCTACTACGGTGCTCCCCAGCCCATGAACCAGTTCACCGATCCGAACAACACCACTGTCTTCGTTGGTGGTCTAAGTGGCTACGTCACCGAAGATGAGCTTCGTTCTTTCTTCCAGGGCTTCGGAGAGATCACCTACGTCAAGATTCCTCCCGGCAAGGGCTGTGGCTTCGTACAGTTCGTGCAGCGTCACGCCGCCGAGATGGCCATCAACCAGATGCAAGGATATCCGATCGGCAACTCTCGCGTTCGACTTAGCTGGGGACGCAGCCAGAACAACTCTGGCCCCGCAGGCACCCTTACCGCCCCGCGCCGCCGCCCCCTGTCTACCCGCAGATGGGTATGGCGCCCCAACATCCTTACGGCAACTTTGCTCCTATGAAGGTAAGTGACGCGCTCGGCTTGGAAACCCGCAATTACTGACTTGTCCTTGCAGTAAGCACATTCTTTCTCTCTCATTGCATGGCGTATGATTCACCCGGTTGGCTCTTTCACGACCTTCACGACTGCCTGTAATGACTTAGCGATCTGGTTTGCTTTCTTCCTGGGCGGTCTTCTCAAAAAGCTTCCCTTTGTATGACGCCTTTTCCGGATGTCTAGAGCCTTCTGTATAACAGCTACCGCCAGTTCATTACTGGTCTCGTATGGAATTTGGGTTGTAGCTAGTTCTTTCTACGGTTCGGATGCTCTCTGCCTTTCTTTACGAGTGCGCTTTGATTGGCATTCCAATCTACAATTCTTTTCAATGTTTCGGGTGCTTGACGACTTGCCTTCACTTATTTGCAGCAGCTGCCTTGCTTCTGTTGGTCGTCATATTGAGCGGTGTTGATGGAAAGGGCGATTTCCATGTTCCTTATTCAATTGCCTCGAATTAACTTGTTGCCTTGCTAACATGGTCTTTTTACAGTTACGGTGGGGGTGCGCCTCAGATGCAGAGCCCGTACCAGCCCGTTCTACCTATGGGTGGCGCGAATGGTCACGGCCTGCCTGGGTCCTCTGACGGCCACAACGGATCGAGCTTCTCGCACGACCCGACGAACGGCGACGGACACGACGGCGCATTCTCTCAGCAGCTTCCTTAGATTCATCGCCTGCTATCTCCTTCGCCCGTATCACGCCTGATAGACGCGGCTCGAACATACTTTCCGCACGCTTATTGTTATCCGAGATCATGGAATAAAAGCCAAAGGCGTTGTCACGGCTCCTGCATAGTCTGTTTCGATGCGAAGTTGACTCTTCGTCTGTCCATTTAGCATGGCGTCCGGCGCGAATGGTTATACCCATAAAAGCGTGGCTGGCGGTTTGCACTTTGCATGGTAGCTTGCGCTTCTTTTCCTACCTCACCTTGCTGATGGCCTTTGCATTAGCCTGATGTCTTTGGCGGACTTGTATCTCTCTATCTATCCTTCTTTGTTCTTGATTATCTATGAATCAATTGCATTTGCAGTGGGCATCGGGTAGGGAGTTTGGTGCAGTCTTATGACGGGAATGAGCCGTCTGTGTTGTAGCCTTCGATTCACCTAATTTTCAAATCTTACGCTTCGTAGAGCTGTCTTGATAATGCGTTTCGTTCAGTTTATTGATGGTGCCAATTCCGCAACAAGTCACGGAAATCTTGTTCCTTAGAACCTGTTCCTTTGCGTTTAATGCAGAGTCGGCATGCGAAACACCCAGGGGTACGGCCTCAAAAGCCCGCATGACCGCGCCTTCTTTGTGAGCAGACGAGGCAACACTAGACGCCATGGCCGCTGCCCGAGAAGCCAAACAAACACTCTTTGTGCTTCTTCTTCTTCTTCCACCCTGCAAAGATGTCGGTTGTGGATTGACGTAGAGCTCTCGCCTGCCATGCGATACGACGATTGGGACGTGATCCTCTTTCCCAAGGACTCGGCCGTGCCCATCCAGGAGTTCCGGACAACCTGCTACACCACCCAAGACAATAGTGAGTCCCATTATCCTGCCTCCCGTTGTACGTGCCTTACTCATGTTGTTCACAGATGGCCACCAGCTACCCACGCTGACGTGCTATATCACTTCACTCCCAGCCGCCGCTCCGTTTCGCATCTCCATCCACTCCTGGACTGCACCTGCGAAGTCCTCTTCTCTAATTGAGTCTCGCCAAAGAAGCTCTCAGAAAATGGTCTTTGCAGTTCAGGTCATTGTCGATGGCATTCGAATCTTGTAAGCTGTCTCAAGGAGACGCTGCAGAAGCCTGTGCTGATGACGGCGCAGTCATGGTTTCTACGATGCTGTGTCCCGATGGCCACAAGAGATTGGTACGCTTCTTTGATAACTCGCCCTTCCCTGCATTGGTCTAATGGTTTGATAGCAAATGAGAAACGATCTGTCACCGACCCACGGTTACAGCCGACGAGCCAACGAGGCCCTTTCCTCACATTCCCACCATTCCATCAGACCGTCCTTACACAACCATCATGGAATGCACGAGAGCACAATGGAAGGATCAAAGTGCTGCTGTCAGAGCAGCTGGTGGGCAAGAATAAGAACCTAGGAGAGCCGGACTTGGGCATTGCCAACGACATAGTCTGCTTCGCGTTTCAACATGCCCCACAAGGTGAGCATCTAACCGTAATGCTGTGCGGTATCGGATGTACCGCTCCTTGTTCTCGTACTGATACAGGCAGATATTCTTGAGCAAGCGGGCATCTCCTGGCCAATTCGCAACCCGTTATATCTAGCATCGGACATTCGAGGGCTCCGGATTTCGCAACTGCCTGGACCGCAGGCGGCCTACGATCTGGCCGCTGAGAACCGCGCACGATCTTTATTGTCGCAGCACTCTCCGACTATGTTTGTGCGACCGCGCAATCCCGACCCCTTCCCCCGACCTGGCGCAGATCCTCCTCATCTCTCACAATTCCCCAGACCCACGATGGGAGGGAAGCCCAAACCAACAGGGCTCTGGGACTCGTCGTTGGAGGATTTCCCAGGGGGTTATGATAACATGAGTACAGACACTTGGTCGACGAAGCGCACAAGCTCTCACTCCACCTTAGACACTTCGATGCCGGACATGTTGTATGCATCGCCGATCAACGGGCAGCCTGGAGATCCATGGACTATATTGAATGCACCTCACGAGTTACAGGCGGGCAAGAATGAAGCTGGCAAGCAGACACGACGGGAAAAGGGAAATCGACAGGTGGTTGTAACATTGCGGGAGGACCAATTGGGCCGGCTGGTATGAATTGATATGATGATCTTACACATGCAGATTGATACTGACGAAGAAATTCCGCTTCTAGATCGAAGCAATGAGTCCACCAAAGAAAGCTCGCGATCGCGAGCCAAGTAACCAGCGTCCTTTTACTGGGGCATTTGCAGCTCATCCAATGGCACAACCACCAGTCGCGAATATGAGAGGACCAGCATCCACACGCCCATCCGCTGCCGCACTTGCTCGCAAGGCTTCCTATCAAGTACTTCAGCAGAAGAAGTCGAACAAGACATTCGTGGTCAGCGAGAGTCTATCACCTTCTCAAGTGCGAGATGGTCCTCGTTTATTGAGCGGTTTCTCGCACGCAGATCGCGTTCCTACGCCACACCCATTTGCTATACCACAAGCGCAGATGAACCGAATGAATTCTGAAATATCAATGCGCGATACCTCTTCTATGCTTTCTGGGCTGTCACGGTAAGCCGTCATTATCTTGAGTCTGCTTGTGGAAACATGGCTAACAAGATCTCGCTTAGCCGCCCGCGTTCGAAAGAGGGCAGGACTAGCCCTGTACGATTTCCTACAGCTAGCGGTAGCATCAAATCTAGGAAAGAAGGTTTCAACGCACTCCCCTCTTCTTCGCCTCTCGATGTCCGACATGATCAGAGCCTGCTTGCGGGAGCTGTACCCACCTCAAAGCCCGACGGTGTTCCCCACAACACGTCCAACATCACCCCGCCGCATGCCCATATTGAAGACATCATTGACATAGATGCTGTCGATAACACCTTTGTTCCCGGACACAAGGGGGGAATGTCCAGCATCGACAGTACTGGTCGCATTGAGCGCAAGCTTTACTCTGCTTTAGGCGAGGAGCTTAGTTTCCATGCCGATGCAGATCCAATGCCCCGCGTGGAGAACGAAGTAATCACCAGTGGAACAAGTTTGGCGGGCCCTGGACTTGACATTCCAGTCACCAAAAGGAAGAGACAAGGTACCTTGGGCGGCGAGAGAGACCGTAGTCCAATCGCAAAGATGGTAAGGGAGCAGACCAACGACAGTCAACTTGGAGAATCGCCGGGCATGCCTCACCTACGGGGAGGAAAGTGAGCCTTTCTTTTCTTTGACCTTGCATGATCACCGTACTCGATGTTGTCCGCGGATGCAACTGTGAAGAAGGGTTTATCATTTGGCACATCATCGTGCATACCTCGCTTGGTCTGTATTTTCTCTATGGCGATGACGGAAGATTATTGGATTACTAGAGAACACAACTTTTGAGATAGGTTTGAGAGAAGTCATACAACGTACATCTTTGCCCGGTCGGATGCTCAGGAAAGCATTGCACAAACTCGCAAACGTGGAAATGATGCCGCTAGAAGAGCACGCTAGCGAACCCCACTTGTTCACGGACTCGTGCCTCCAACTGTGACTGCGGCTGAGCCCCGGACATTTGTTCGCATGAACCAATTGCTATCAGAGCTAATCCACGATCCGATGTCAATCTGTTCTCATACAGAAGTAGAAGGTACGCCCGCGTTACTTTGGTTTGTCTAGGCAACCCCTGATGCGTCGGCGACGGAGTCTTCTTCTCCGTCGGGGAGTGTAACAAGAAAGCCGACATGCGGAGCCCACCTCGACAAAATGGTTTGACGTGGAGGTCGGTGTTATCGCGAACGTTGAATACTCACTGACTCACTGGAGTCCCTCTAGCACCATTGACTGAAGCACAATCATCACAAATTTCACCTAGTATTCACCGCAATGGCCTCAAACGACGGAAATAAATTCATAGTCCTCGGCGCGGGCGTCATTGGCCTTTCCACCGCCCTGACCCTACGCGAAGCATATCCTTCGGCAGACATCACGACCGTAGCAAAGCACTTCCCCGGCGACCGCTCTATCGAGTACACGTCCCCCTGGGCTGGTGCAAACTGGTCGAGTATGGCGACCGACAACGGTGTGCTTGAAAGTTACGATCGTGTGACTTTCAACCGATTTGCTAAGATGGTTGGTGAGGGATTGGGCGGAGAGGATGGAGGTGTGGTTGGATTGGGAAGGATGGGCTTGACGGCCATTTTTGATGCAAAGATTGAAGATGTGGGGATTTTGAGTCCGGCGACGGGGAAATTGTGGTACGAGGAGTTGGTGGGTGGGATGAGGTATCTTGAGAAGAACGAGTTGCCAGAGGGAGCGGTGTTTGGACTGGATTTCAAGAGCACATTTAGATTAAACACGCAGGTTTATTTGAACTGGTATGTTTAATCATCCTTCCCTTTTTCCTTCCCTGAGATTCATTTCTAGATGGAGGGAGCTCAAGGGTGGTGGCTGACGTGGAAGGTAGGCTCCAAGACCAAGTCATTCGGAAGGACATCAAGACCGTGAGGAGGCATTACCCGTCGATAAAGGCGATGCTGAAGGACTTTCCTGACACCACCGCGCTGATAAACTGCTCCGCGCTCGGATCGCTTCACCTGAAAGATGTTAAAGACACAAATATGTATCCTACGCGTGGGCAAACCATTCTCGTCGCTGAGCCGAAAAAGCCCATCAAGCGTATGTACCTACGTACACCGAAACGCATCGACCCGACGGTCACATATGTTGTAAGCCCTACTCTAAGCTCATCAAGTTAAAGTGTTACACGTGTATGTCCATCCGACGTGCAGACAGGAACTCGGAACGCAGCATAGGGCCAGGGTGAGACAGAGATGTCCCCAAAGGCTAAATTAATCCGCGGTTGTAATAGAGCATTTGCTGACATGACGACTTCGTATAGTTTCCCCGTCCCAACGGTGGCGGCGTAATCCTCGGCGGTAGCCGACAAGACAACGACTGGTCTGGGGAGCCGGACATGGAGCTTGCGCAGACCATTATGGAGCGGTGCTGCGAACTGTGTCCGGAGCTGGGCAGGCCGGAAGATCTGCAGGTCATTTCGCATAATGTGGGTTTGAGGCCGACTAGGACAGGCGGCACGAGGATTGAGTTGGAGAGATGGGCAGATGGGACGCCTGTGGTGCATAATTATGGACACGCGGGCGCAGGCTATCAAAGTTCATGGTAGGTATACTCTATAGACATTATCCTGGGAGCACGAACGCGACATGCTAATGACACTTAGGGGCACGGCGGAGAAAGCGGTCGAGCTGGTGAGGAAGGCGCTTGAGACGAAGGCAAGGCTTTGATTGGTACGGGAATTGCACCATACTGTAGAAGCAAGAATCTGTGAGGAGACGTCGTGTCGCGTTGTTCTGAATGCCTGTTCTCGTTCGCATGTACTCACTTTCACCTTCACTGAAACTCAATTAAAGTTGCTACTCGCGATTAGGCACTTGGGAGCGGAGATGTAAAATTCGTTTCAGTTCGCCCGAGCTCCTGAGTCCTTGACACATTGTCGTTGTCGCATAGGTAAGTACAAGTATAACCTCCAGCGATTATTCGTGACTGATACACTGCAGATGTGCGCCAATTACCTCCTCTGCCTCCAGGCTGCGTCGTTCATTCCACGGTTGGTAGCGGACGCCCGTTCTACATGCAGTTGACGATAAAGGGTCGCAGGGGGAGTTTCCTATACCCGTACCCGCACCGGTAAGCTATCAGCCCGTTCAGGCGCCTTTACCGTATCTTCCAGCGGCACCGCACTAGATATAATGGCATCTTACTCCTTCGTACCTCAGTCGAGTTATGACTAAAGCAACGACCAATCTTAGTTCTGAACAGGTTAGATGGACTTTAAACTTCTGGTGCACTTCAGCGTGTCCTCCAATGCTAGCGTACCATTAGTGACTTCCATACCACCAAACAAGCCCGCTGCCGTTAGGTGCTCCGAAGAGACAAGTCTGTGCGGAGTGTGCCAGGCAGGATGCAAATATTAGGATATCTGCACATTTCCGAGGCCTCTTCAGTGCGACACGAACAAGCTGTTCCCTCAGCAGCTCCAAGTTAGAACCCAGACAGGGAGACGCCTCTTTCTCCACTTGTCTTAAAACTACAGCAAGGCGGGCTCCAGGTATAAACTTGTCAATGAAGTATCCGTCAGCTTCGGTAAGTGCGCCATCGCCGTCGATCCGGAGTGGGATCGTATGCGTGTAGATACTCGTAGAGAAATTGAAGACTTGAATCTAAGCTCAGCGGGAAAGTGTAGAAGTTGGATGGTCGAAGTTTTTTCGTATCTGACTGGGTTTCGTCTGGGATCTGGAATAGGAGCATGATCTCCGGTCCACCCCGGCCCCCGCTTTCAAAGTCTGCAATTCAAAATTGACTACTGACCTCATGCTTTCGGATCAGGTCTACTATGCGTTGAAGTTGCTTGCTGTGCTTAGGTGCCAACTCTCTTCGAACCAGGAATCGAAACGGGTCAAGGGAAAGCCCGATGCTTTCAAGTTGCTGTAGGGATCACTCTTAGGCATCACCTAGTTGAAATAGCTTCTCTTTGTGAAAATAACACATTGGTATAGCGGGATCCAAATCTATTGGACCCTCGTCATTATCCTCAGGCGCTTCTTGCCAGCAACCCCGGATGAGTTGAGATTTTGGGCGTCAATTGACGAGACCGAATCTTGGAACAGGTGAACAGACGTTAGTAGATGTCAGATCGTAGTCATCCAGTCGGAAAGGCTGAAATGGTTCTATGCTGATGGCTATCTTGAACTCGATATTCAGTGCGTATTTCTTAACGTAAGCCACAATGGCCGTGATGTCTGTGAATACGTGCCAGTTCTCCGCACCCTTGAGTTTCGATCTGCGCGAACTCAGGACTTGGTGAAGTTTTCTGAGACTAAGATCCGCCCGGCGATTCGCCAAGTGTTGCTTCATGGACCGCCCCGGCGAGTATCGTTTCGGATGCATAGACAGGTTAGTCTCTTTTTGCTCAGCGGGATCGTACCATGCGATGATGATAACATTAGACAGGGTGAGAAGAGGACCTTCCGCAAACTTTCGCCGCAGGCGTTCATTTAACGGACACCGAACATCCTATACTTGTGCAGATCTTGTCTTGTCACGTCGCAAGGCATCGCGCCCACCAATAGGTTCGATCGTTACTGGAAGCACCTTGGTGGTGGCATCCTCCCATTGTAAGATGTGTCCACGGATACCAAGCTTGGTTATAGGAGCCTCTTCCCTTCTGTTGTAGTAATGGCGCCCATTGCCGAAAACCGAATCGGACTGGAATCACAAGTCCAACCTGCAAACTGTTGACTACCTGTGTATCATGTGGTAGATTGTAACAAGGTCCTACCTCCTTGTCTGCCAAGGGAAGCCTGGGATATGATATCCATGCTACGCTCTATGCAATTGTCAGTTTGGCGAGCCCACTCCGCCATTGCCCGTAATTTATCTCGTTCTTCCCAATCAGCAGCATCTGTTGGTAGTAGTGGGTATAGCTGGCGCGAGACGTCTATGACTGTATCCATCCGCGGCCCAAATACACTCCTTGTCGGGTGTCTCCACGTGGTACGGGGATATGTCGAGTTCGATTCCATTGGTTGAGGATAAGATTTCGACACATGGCTAGATAAGCCTCGTATCTTGCGAATTGCCATGGACTAGGAAACTGTCTATCGGAATGTAGAAGTGGCTTTCTCCAAAGTCATAAGCACCGTAGGAAATTCTCGGTCTAGTCCTCATATTCCTAGTCCTCGTTTACTGCTTTCGCGGATGTTGCAGTCTCGTGTCTTCTACAGTCTCACTTTAAAAGCGTCAGAGAACGGTCCCTGCGTCATGTAATGCTGTAAAAGGCACGGCATAGGATGGCCCTCTGAGACAGTGACCTAGTGCAAAAGCCATGCTAGAAGGTGTAACACATCAGCACACGTAGGCAAAGAAGAATGAATGCTACAAGGACACTGCAAGGACAGTGCCCGTCTTACTATGCCTTCAATGGACATTCTCGTGGGTTGTCAAGAAACGCACAAAATCCCTTATCTGGTATAATCTTTCTTAATTTGAATTTTTATCAGCATCGAAGCGCTTCAGTGCCGCATATGTTGACTTGTTTCATATCTCAAATCCAACATGAGGCTTCGTATTGACGGCAACAGTACTACTTAAAGCTCCGAGGAACCGGCACGAGACTTGGACATTATGCTTTGATCACAGGCCAAAGCCGGGAAAGTTGAAGTCCAGCTCCCCGGGCTGAATGCTCAAGAAGCTTGAAGTTCCCAAACCGAAATCGTCTTCAAAACCGTTGTTCAGAGGATCGCCCTCATAAAACCCGTTCGATGCTGCCATGGATGTCATGTGTGGAGAGTGGTCGAAAGCTAGACCAGCTTGGCTAGTAGCGGGCATAGTGCGTTGATCAGGATGTGTAGTCGGGTTGGTAGTCCTTGATGCGACAAGCTTTTCAAGCCCTTCCGCCATCATGTGCACCAAGTGCCATTTGCCTACCGATGTAGCCCTGAATTGCTGCACCGCTTTGGTAGTGAGATCATATACTACAGTATCGTCGATGTATTGACCACTGTGCTGTGAGGCGACTTTTAGGAGGAAGACGCAGGCGAATGCAATCATAGAGATTAAGTAATGAGGTATACCGACTAAGCTCTCCCGGATGTCATAGTCAGCTAAAAGCATTTCAACGGTAGATGTTGCAGCGGCAACGGCTGCTGATGCGCTACCTTGAAAATGGGGCGGCACCGGTGCGCCTTTGAGTCCACGGAAAACGTGCGAATGTAGATGTAGCTTTGCAAGATGGTGGTGGAGAATGACGCCTTTCGTAGGAAATTCTCCAATGTGCTGATGAAGTTCTATCGACTTTAGCGGTGTACTCTGTCGGTGGGTGACTCGACTTACTTAGTAGCTCTGTCGTCCAGTATCCCATCCATTGGTCGATCTGTCGGCTATAGTTGGTTAATTGAGGCGCGAAAGCCTGTGGAACAGGCTCGCCTGTATCTGGTCCAAACAGTTCTCGAACATTGCTCATCATGGTAAGCAGAGCCATCTGGCTCACTAAACGCTTGTCGCTTTCTGCGAATCCGGGTACCTTCATTAACTTCTCCCAACCAGAGATGGTGATATCCTCGCGGACGATGGATGGCCGCCCGTACAATATTGAAAGATGGTGGTCGCAGATGTAGAGGACATACCAAATTCGCATACTGTCTAGAGCCTCTTCCCCACCTTTCGACAATAGCCGATGGTAGTTGGCGCTGAGGTTCGCTTCTGTCGCACGTCGGATGGCATAACCGGAAAGCGTCCAAGAGATATCATGTAGCCAATATGCGCCTACAGTGATATCAGTAAGATTAGCCCAAATTTCATCCTAGATTTTCGAATTTTCGTACCTATGCACATGGCTCGCAGGTGGTCCCGGTCTACCCTTCGGTCAAACATAGACGCGGCCATAAGTCGCTGGAATTCGCGTTTGCACACTCCGTATAGATGATTGCTCAAAGGGTCATGCAGTGCCGCCACCGTGCATATACATGCCGTCAACAAAGGCGAGCCACGACGCAACGTCTCGAAGTCACGATACCTCCCGCGGCCGATCTTATACATGAAATGATCTATCCTATTTAAATAAAACTCCACTAGACGTTTGACATCCTCAATGCTGACTAGTCCGTTTGAGATGAAGTCGGTGAAGGATTGGTTTGGGCTGTTCGAAAGGGCCGGTCTCGTCTCCTCAGTGTCATCTGAACGGAGTGCTCGTAGCCTGGTAATCTGATACAAGGATTCGATAGGAACATGGGGTACGGCATCTTGACGAGGAGAAAGTCGAGGTGAGTTATCACAAGATGGCCCTGCTTCTTCTTTTTCCATAGCGTAGTCATGTGACGAGGTTTCGTTCTGATCAGGAGAGTCCGTTTGGAGTGGTGGAAGCACTGGGAGGTTAAGCTTGCCAAGAACCTGTTGCAATGCGGAGTGCATGCGATCCAAGTCTTGGATCACAGTGCTTTTCCATTGCGAGCGCTCTTCAATCAGTGTTTGTAGGCTCTTGTTCAGGACACAAGACAGATTTCGCTCGGCACATCTCTGACAAGGTGGTCCATCTTTCATGATGCATTTTATCTGCACTCGATTAGCCAGCGACATCTAGAAGAGTCTGGTGCGCGACCTTTTGTTTCCTGCACGCGGCGCAAGCTTTGACTTTCCGCGATATACTTGGCGCGAAGCCAGACCCGTCAACGGTGGGCTCGGATAGCCTTGGTCGCGTCGTCGGCGATGCTGACAAGCCATCACCTTCATTGGCCTGCGACCACGTCCGCTTAGGTGGCATCGTGACGTTCGACAAAGGTGCAACGCCTCGGCAGGTCTGGATGACTGTATGCGCGATCGACTGCACCGTGCCAGAGTGGGGATGGTCGCAATGTGGGGAACACGTGCGGACTAAAATAGTCGACTTCTAATTGGTCGATTCTGCCTCTTGCAGCTCGCAGGGGCTATACGAGAGCACGAAAACCGGAGTCTTGCAGCAACGTCACTTCTCTGCATCGCTGCGTGGTGCACGACGATAGATTACGGGACTAGGATGAGTAGATCTCAGTAGTGGTAAGCCATCTGTGAACTCGGTCACATGCAAGCTTTTACCAAACCAAACACCAAAGAACCTATCGAGTCACCGACGGATCGCAGACCCCAATGCCTCGTCTTACTATAAGCCATCCGTTTTGAGAAGATGTAAACCTGACGACCGTATTGCGCATGAGGCTCTTCGAGGGGCGCAGGGCGGTCTGATGACGTGGCACTGTTGAGTCCAGGCCTGATCTTCAGATGTTCTCCAACGCACGATACTTTTCGTGTTGAGATCAAGTTTACTGGCGGACAGATTTTAGCAAGCGCAAATTTTAGTAAGCTGCACACAGGATCATGTATCTCAGGTTGCCTCTATGCATATCATGAGCGTCCATTTGTGACGTGATATCGTATCGTCGGTGTTCATACGCAAGAGGGTTGCCACTTAGATCTCCGAGTCATATTCTCGGCCACTGTGCTGCCCTAAATCAAATGCACCGTCCAATACACGGCGGGCAGAGGGATGTAACATTCTTCAATAGGCAATTCCGTATTCACAGCCACTTTCATTACATTGTGCATTGCAAGATAATTCCGTCCACCAGCATTCCATTGGAGTTCAACACTGCTGCAATTGTAAACATATTCGTGGCAGAATTCTCATGTTGTTTCTCATCGCACTGCCAACCACCCATTGTTGACCTTGATTAGGAAATGATTTTGCGATGGGGTCGCACAAAGGCGCTTGTGGTGGCTGACGTCAAGTGCCGCTGGACGATCTTTAGGCACCCAGGCGCCCCAGCCCTTTGATGCACTCAACACACCAACAAGACCGCATACATCTCACAGCCCTGCGCGTTCCTGCTCGTTCATCTGCATTGTTTAGCTCCACTTCGAAGACACGTCCAAGCCTCAGGATTGTGGCTCGCTCTTCATTGCGATTTCGCCTTTTTCGTCTAAGCCACTCGGCACTGTGTCCGTTGCAGGAGCCTGGGGCCAAATCCTTCCGGATTTCCTGCTTAGCATATCGTCTCTGTTTGGCCTTATGTAGTCCATCAAGTCTCACACACAGACAGTGAGTCGACTTCTGTCGCATGTTGCATATGGTAATCATGGAGCCGAACCAGTATCAATATACAGGCTACGCTGAACATCTTCCGCCGTATCAGTCCTTTTCTACTGCACAGGACCCCAAACACCGTTCTACGCAACGCATTCCGAACGGATACGATAATTTTGCTACACGCGGTTCTTACATCCAACCTCAATATGGGGCACCACTCATTGCAGAGCCTCCTGCCGCCTTTATGGCGGAACTTCCTGCGGCGCTTCCGCCAGCGCCGCAGACTTCGACTTCTCCGCAGCAACTAAACGAGGACGAACTTCTCGCGCACAAGCTCCAGAACATTGAAGTGGAGGAAGCGAGGCGAAGATCAAGCAGCATTGTGAGCCATCAAGCATCGAGTTACTCGTTACGCGACGCTGCTTCCTTGGCCCCACGAACGTCGCAAGGCCAGTCGGATGCACTTCTACCAGCATTACCACCTAGGCCGCATTCTGAAAGCTTTTCATCAATACCATTCTATGGACCAGACTCTTTTGGGCCTCCACCGGCATCATTTGAAACAACAACTGATGGAAGGATGCTGATGGCTCACTCTGGTGTCGGCGATCAACCGCCCCCAACCCCACAGGACCTTCCAGAAGTCGTTCTTCCAGCGCGTCCATATTCTAATGCCGGGTTTGAACAAGGACTCGAATATGCACCTACAATGAGTAGTACCGCTTTTCCGGCACCCGCAGCGTCATCACCGATGGATCCTGTTTCACTGGCATCGTATCTAGAGTTGCACCGAGAAGTCCCTTACCCACATCAATGGAAACTTCCTCCGCTAGTTGATACTCTCTATGGGTCGAGCACAAGAGCACCAAAAGCGACAGATTGGTTGGATGTTCCCTCGAGTCGAGGATGGAGAAGAGTCCGTGCGTCTCAGCATGCATCAACGCCGACCGAGCCAGCATACTCCTTCACTTTCAGGTCCAGAGGCGCTAGCTTACTAGATGCGAGACATTCGTGGTCAATGCTTCCTGGGCATTGGACTTACAACCTCAGATTAGATAACATGACTGGCATGCGAAAAAGCGAGCTACTCACGCCGCCCAAAGGGAATGATCTCATAACAACCTACATTCCCGCCCAAAACTACGATAGCCTACGTTTTATAGGCCCCGATGGAAGTGTGTTTCTATGGGTCGCCCATGCGCCTCTAAGTTCCGCTCAGGGGGGCCAGATACGATGCCCTTCGGCACGCGCTCTTTATGGCACCCAAAGGCTGTGATCCGCTTTACGGCGAGATTGTAGCAGATCACGCATACTGGGATGGCTTTATCGACTATTCTGAGGTGCATCGAGTAATGTGCGCTGGTTGCGGTGCATCGCCCATCAACGGGCTGTGCTGGAAGTGCAAGTCGTGCAAGGATCATGATATCTGCGAGCAGTGCCGCCTTGCCAACAGATCCGTCAAGTCCACCTGTTCTTTTACACTCGTCAATCTACCCGACGAGGCTCTGTATATCCGGTCTTCCGAGGTGGATCCCGCGCTCATTTGTGCCACGTTCCAAATCATGAGGGACTGGGAATTTCACATGCTAAGGGTCCAAAGAAACAGGGATCCTAAGGGCTTCAAGATGAGCGAAGATAAAGCACGAGAGGGCGACCTAGGCAAGTCGACATATTGGAGACTAGGAGATAAACCTAGCCAAGGCGCAACAGTTGTGCAACAGGAGGTGAAGCCGGTGAAGAACGCAAAGGTTGAAAAGGCTAAGGCGAAGGAGTCAGAGAAACTACAAAAAGCTAAGGCGAAGGAGTCAGAGAAACTACAAAAGGCGAACAAGAAGGAGAAAGCGAAGGAAAAGAAGAAAGAGAAGAAGAATGACAAACGAGGATCAGTTGTTGGTATCAGTGAACTGATCAGAGGCTCTGCGCAAGTTGGTGGTTCTGTAGGGGATGTTGGGGAAGCACTACGAAGAAACTCCGAGGACTCTACAGGCACTTTAAAGTGACTACGTCTCATTTTGTTTTACTCTTGATGATCTTGCATCTTTATACCCACAATGAACAGCTTCTATTGTTACACAATGACTGCTATAACTTTTCACAGATGTTGCACGTTATAGTTCGACCGCACATTCATTACGTGGAATCTTTATTGCTATCGCGAGCAACATCCGACTCTTTCCTGGTCTGCCTGAGCTTAGCGATGATGCACAAGACCTGCGGTGCGCTGTCAAAAGGGTTGATGCCTCGTATTACCCCAGGCCGAGCATTGCGGTATCCAGATGTATGGGGAAGTGGTCGCTCTCGTTGAATTAGAGATTTGCAAGATTCGTATCTGCTTCATACAGCGATCCATGCATCCGTCAATTTTGGCCGCGCCCCTGTCGTGGACAATAATAGGTTTCTTCGATGTAGTCGTCTTCCTCCTATGGCCAATATAATATATTTTTCTTGCTTTCCGATCTCTCCTGCGTTCCTGAAGAGGTGGGGAAAGTTCGTCAGCATTAGGTAGAGGCCTGTCCCAAGTAGTTCGCGCGAGTGTGTGGCTTACATGGTACAGCTTTCTGGTTTCAGAATCTTGCGTGAGTTCCCAGCCTAGTGGTAGGGGCTCCTGGCTTTACTCAATTGGTTTCGAGGCGTGGTTTCGTCTGCGGACTCGGCCTGCCCTTGCTTATTCTAGTTCAATTGCCCAAATCATGTCATGAAATACCTCGCAATAGACTGCAGGACGTTTGCAAGATTCTGAACTGTGCGTAAGGCGGCTGTTACGGCAGGGAAGGCAAGGGAGCGGAGAAGTCTGGTGGTGGGTTGACGCTTGGGCCAGTGACATTGCGAAGTATCCATTGAAGCGCACTACGTGGCGACAGTGAATTTCAAAAGGCGTGTCGAATCGGGAACGAGGCGTATCTAGGTCTATTCTTCGCTCTGAACTAAAAAGGTCGCAGATGATGTGTATGTCATGCGAGACTATCTTTCTTTGAATGGTGCCATCTTGATCAATATTGAAGTTTGAATTGGGCGTATATGTGCCTGTTGCTTGCACACGTTTCGTGACCAGGGGTTGTGAAGCCACTCACTCTCTAGAAGTTGCACTTCCTTTTGAACATCTTTCAAGAGTTGAACTTTTACATGCCATGTCAACAGAAAATCGGAGCCACCGTCGAGGGAGCAAGATGACAGCTTATATGTTTTCACCTGGGGAAAAGTAATCTAAAATCTGGCAGAAGGGTGTGAGTCCTCTGGTCACAGTTGCTCACATACAGAATCGAACACATATATGTGCAACACTGGCATCATCCGAGGTAACTTTATACATACCATTTCTTACAATGCAAGTAGTTGTCTCGCTTCTACAAGCTCGGCTTCGCAAAGTGGTCCACGTAGTGTGTACCTTGGGGTAACGTACCTTGTGATACTGCACGGAAACATTCTCTTATGCGCCAACCCCTTGCTGAAAGATGTCTCGAAAACCGAAAGAAATAGCTTACTCATGTATTTGTTCGTGAAAAGTACTATAATAGTCGTTGAGGGAAGATCGAGCTTTGTCGCTCGCTTCGTGGCCTACGCTTGTGCTTATCGCGTTCGAAGCGAGAACATAGGATATTGAAAACTCTTCCCTACTGCCCACTATTACAGCTTGAGGGTCACTAAGGCTTGATCCTCCCGGATCTCTCGTTGAAGTGCGAAACCTTAGAAGAAGAGCCGCCGACAGGTGAGGTGGGATGTCGTTTTCATTGGCGTACCATTCCTGCGAAATGCCGTTACAGACACTGTCACCATCGAGGTAATACCTGAAGATTTGTTCGTAATGAGCGGTGAGCACTAAGGCGACCAGGTAGTTAATAGGTGTGCTACGTCAGGCATTTGAAGAGTAGGACAGAGAATGTTGCTTGCCCGGGCATGTCATCCGCACATGACGTACTTACGGGCAGAAGGAACGTGGCTCAACAAAAAACAACTCAAATAACATCGGGACACTGTTCATTGGGTTTCGTAGGCGCTGAATCCGAGTTGTTTTCCGTACCGTGTGCGTGGCTATCATGGTGGTGCGTTCGGCTACTCAGCCGATGCTGGTCGGAAGCCGTTCCGATGCAGATTTTCGAACGTTCGTGGCTTTAGATGTCTTGATTCGCATCGATGTCAGCAAATAGGTAGATAAAGCCACAGAAAGTTCAAACTCGAACAGCCTGAGGCCTTTCATCGTGTTCGTAGTCGTTCTCACTGTTTTGCCCCAATGCAACAGCAACCACGGCGCGGCCTTCCGGGGCCTGTGACCTAATCCGGCAATACGATGCGGCTCCGCAACCACAAACACGCACCGTGTGAGCAGCTTCGTGGGGACAGCAATGGCGCCATTGAAGGAATCCTCGTTCGTCGCATTCAACTCGGGACCCTGCCGCAAGGTTAGTGAGGGGTCTTGCAGCCGTATATATTTGGGCACATGCGCCTGCGCGGCGCCCTTCACCAATGTCAACCCTCCCTCAACGCTTCTTCACATACATCCACAACGCATTCACCATGGCACCCTCTCTCCACCCCTCAATCGACAATGGCATTAAGAAGGGTGACGCCAACTTTGCCGGCGGAAAGCTGTATTGCCACTGCCCCTCCAACAAGGTCGAGGTCACGCTGGGTTCGAATGTTCTTCACAACCACGCCTGCGGCTGCTCAAAGTGCTGGAAGCCCAAGTCGGCGCTGTTCTCCGTCGTCGGCGTCATCCCCACCGACAAGCTCAGCGTGACGGCCAACGAGCAGAAACTGCACATCATCGACGAGAGCGCGGCGATTCAGAGGAATGCATGCAGGGAGTGCGGCGTGCACCTGTTCGGTCGCATCGTGGTAGATCACCCATTCAAGGGTCTTGACTTTGTTCACACTGAGCTTTCCGACAAAAGTGGGTGGCAAGAGCCTCAATTTGCGGCTTTCGTAAGCTCGATTATTGAGCAGGGCTTTCCTCCGGACCAGATCGATGGTGTACGGTCCAAGTTCAAGAGCGTCGGACTGGAGTCGTATGACGTTCTGAGTCCACCGCTGATGGATGCCATTGCGACGCACACTGCACAGAAAAACAAGGCGAAGTTGTAGAGAAGGGAATCGGACGTGTGGAGGAAGAAAACCCGGGGTGTTCCCATGAGGCTCGTTTATGAGCGTAACGAAAGATCAAGTAAAACAGCATACGAATGAAATGCAATACAAATTCGAACGAAGAGTGACGACGGCCATGTGTATATGCATCGCTAAGGAGCACCATGTTGGATAGTACCGTACCATGTTGGACACTACGTACCTGCTGCTACATGAACGGATTGACGAATTGCATATTCGTGGTGACGAATACCCCCGATGATATTGATGCGTCGTTGTGAAGATAATTTCGAGCGGTGATATAGCATGGGAGGTTTCCCGCGCCTCAAAACGTCCATCAAATACGGTGTGCTAGGCCAAATGCGACTGACAATGCGGCTCATTCAAGTGGCACCAAGTGGCACAGCATCTGTGTGACGGATCGTCGACAGATTGGGCTCGCAAGGTAGCAATCGCTGTCATTGTGCTTGGGAATGGTGTCTTCGGCATCGGAGGAAGCAACCACAGCGGCCGACACAAAGAACCGAACTAACCAGCCTCATACAAATCGACCCCTGCGGTTAACATCAAGGCTAGCTGTACGTCTATAATCAGGATAGTACGAGTTCAAAGCCGCGAACTGACGCGAGAATCGATTCAGTTTTTAGTGTCGGCCGCTGTGAGCGGGAGAGACCGATGACGTTATCGATAGCTTGGCGCGTAGAGAGCTCCACCAAGCTCGAACCAGCGGATCCAACATCCTACGTTTCCTTTCCCCGGCCGTTCACTCCCACCCTTGATATCGCCTCCCCAATATCAATTCCTTTCGTCATGTTCGCTCAACGGGTTTTCCGGCCAGCAAACACGCTGAGCCAGGTTCGTTGGCCTTTTTCGCCATCCCGGCTGCATTACAAAGCTAACAAACCCACAGCAGGTGCGCCGTTACGCGTCGGCCGATGCGCCCAAGAGCGGCGGCAATGGGCTGCTCTACACTGGTGTCGCCCTTGCCGCCGTGTCTGGTGGCTACTTCTACATGCGTCGAAACACACCCACGGGTCAAGCCGGTGATGCGCCGCCCTCAGCAGAGGCCGAAAAGATCCCAGCGTCATCGGGACAGCCTGCGAAGGCTGCTTTCACGGGGGGCGAGCAGGGCTTCCTCTCGCTGAAGCTCGACAAGTCGGAGATCATCAATCACAACACCAAGAAGCTCACCTTCTTGCTGCCCGAGGAGGACATGGAGAGCGGTCTGCACGTCGCCTGTACGTCAGCACGCACCTACTAAAGGGAAAAGATACTGACACGTGCACAGCTGCCGTCATTACCAAGTACAAGGGCCCTGAGATGCAGAAGCCTGTCATCCGCCCATATACCCCCACGAGCGATGTCGACCAGAAGGGAACCGTTGACTTCATCATCAAGAAATACCCTAATGGGCCCATGTCGGAACATCTGCATAACCTGGAGCCTGGACAGCGCCTCGATATCAAGGGTCCGATCCCAAAGTACCAGTGGACGGCCAATAAACAGTCAGGACGCCCTTTCCTTCTCATAAAGCATCTTCGCAACGCTCCTTAAGTGAGCGATCATTCTATACGAACAACGTTTGCTGACTTCGCTCCCCAATATCTAGTGACCATGTCGCCATGATTGCGGGTGGAACCGGTATCACGCCCATGTGGCAAGTTGCCAACGCTATCTTCAAGAGTGCGTTTCATATGCTCACAACGTGTGCGCAGCCCAACTAACAGTCGCACAGACCCTGAGGATAAGACCAAGGTCACCCTTGTCTTTGGCAACATCTCTGAAAAGGACATCCTTCTGAAGCGGGAACTTGAGCACCTCGAAAATACGTATCCCCAACGTTTCAGGCAAGACATTCCCCTGCTCTGCGTTGGTTCATCATGCTAACTTTTGAACAGGGCCTTCTACGTTCTGGACAACCCTCCTGAGCAATGGCAAGGCGGTAAGGGCCATGTGACCAAGGAGCTCCTGAAGACGGTTCTTCCCGAGCCGAAGGAAGGCGAGAAAATCAAGATCTTCGTATGCGGCCCTCCTGGATTGTACAAGGCTATAAGCGGCGGCAAGAAGAGCCCGCAAGATCAAGGCGAACTTGCAGGTTATCTGAAAGATCTCGGTTACTCAAAGGACCAGGTGTACAAGTTCTAGAGACTTGCTAAGTTTAGGAGCCTGTACGATACACTTAGACCATAGAACCCCCGAATGAACAGCATGTTTGGTTGACAGCAACACAGCGTTCCAACAACCCCCTACTGCGACATTAAAAATCACGTGTAATCAAAATCTCCAGGGCTTAGCCCGTTTCAACATCTGTTCGTTCCTTACAGTCGCACAATGCAACGTCTCAAGCAGCTGACGTGCTTTCCTGCGCTACCCCTAATTAGGAACAACCGCCCAGAGCACAAAGATCCAGCCACTGTGTATGAAGTAAGACAATGGCGGGCTTTCTGAGAACCATGAGCTTAGTAGCATAGAAATCTCCACGGCGGCTATCTTCCGTTGCGCAAGACCAACCTCCCTGCTCCAGCGCCTCTTTCCCACGAACCCCAGCTTCTGCCCCAAGGCAGTCCAGTCCTGCAGGACATCGGCCAATGTCTTTCGAAACGTTCATTTACCTCGAATGTTACACACACTGCGGATACACAACCAACACAAAACACCCTGACCTTTTGAAAAGCTGGCAGGATAAAGTCAAGATTCTAACAAACTTCTACTTCGAGAACTACGTCCTGCGCGACGGGCCGACTTCGATAAAATATCCTACGTTATCAGCTGGGGGGCGTAGGGGCGTTTGGAGCGAGCCTGTGGACCCTAAAGAATGGGGACGTCATGTTAGACACCACTTTTAGTTAGAAGTTTTGGCGAACAAGTTTTGGGGAACCCGCTTTTGCCAGCGTACTGCCCTGTAGGTTATCGCAAAATGCGAATTCCGTTGAAACACTGGTAGGTGTATTGGATTTGTCGGACACCAAAGCGAGTATATGCGGTCGGTCTTATCATGCTCTGTATGATGAGTTGTCTCTACATCGAGTCGAAACCTAGTCTGAAAACCTCGCCCATCTCAGGTCTACGTAGCAATGCACGTCTCTACACCTCTTTGCCGGATAGTCCCCTTTGTTCACCAAGAGACTAGACTTGCTGCTGGCTGGCGCACAAATCCAGTAGCCTTGTTCGCCAAAACTTGTTCGCCCATCGCAACAGCTCGGATCAGGAAACATCGTGCATACAATTCATAGTATATGCAGCGTGTTCTGGGCTTTTTGAAGCCGCCAGCGGCATGCTTATTCAGTTATAGAACGGCTGACAAAGGACGTGATTGGTGCGCCGCCGCTCGCCAGATAGATAAATGCAGATCCAGTAGCGCCTATGCACGAGGCTCCGTGGAACGCCGGGCCCTACTATCCCACACGACGGGATTGTTTGGGGTCTTGTTCTGGGGGCACAACCTGCAACCACACAATACAGAGAAGGAAGAACAAGAACCGTTGTAGCGTCACATTTACATCCTGGACTCTATAATACCGGATCTTTACCCAAGCAGGTATTCCTAAGCTCCGCTCCCATTGGTTTGAAAGCGCTCTAAATAGCGCGCCCGACTTTTCGTCAGCAGTACGAGACATAACCAGAGGAAGAATGGGCATAACAGTCTCGCACTCAACGCTTGCCCCCATCTATCCTCATCGGCAGGCGCGCTGGATGAAATTACAGACTACCTTTCGAACCTAAAGCAATCATTGCTCGAGGAGCGAGGACATCTGAGGAAGGTGAGGAAACGTAAGAGGAGAGGGCCGGGCAGGGATGATCCGCGGGACTGGGGTGGGAGCGGGGCGGTGGCGGTGGGGAAAAGGCGGGAGGAGTAGGAGCAGGAGGCGAAGTGGTGGTGCTGGGGCGAAGGGACCAAGAAGTTATTTCGAAAGAGATGAGCAAGCCTTTCGCTCGCAGGGAGAGAGCGAAGCGTTAAGAGTGATGAGAAACGCGATTCGGGACATTAGTTCGCTTGAAGAGACCCGCGTGTATACAGATGTTTATGCGATTGGAGATGGTGGAATGACTAGTGGATCATGGGATCCTCTGGGTTCTCACAGAAGAGGCCGTCGATCAAGCTCAGCGCACCCTTGGTCCCTCGAAGGCGGTCCGAGATTTCGAGATGTAGTTTGTGCACCAGACCCTGCAGGAACCAGTACCCGCACTGCTCGGCACGGGATACGAGCGCCGACACCCAGAAAGCGACTACGACGAGAGCTGCTGGTTCGTGTCGTGAGACCATATGTTTAAAGTCCTCCGGTACTTTGCTTAGCCACTGTACCTGTCATACCCTTGGGTTAGTTACAGCGTGCGACTACTCCTATGGTAACTCACCATACTATGCCATACAGCATTGACTGAAGGTACATCAATGTCGGGCGTGAATCTTGCACTGTAATGTTCGACTAGTGTCGCGATTGCTGCCAGCGTGGCCATAACATCTCTCAAATTGTCTGGCCTGCCAAAGACGTTGGACATTCGAGAAGGTAGCTTGTCCAAGCGATCGAGCAGTGCGATGTTCTTTCTACTCTCATGCGAAACCTCAGACTGACCCCTGCGTCTGAATATCTGACTCGCGCGGGCAAACACCTCTTCTGGCGTGCTATAGTTGCCATTGCGTTCGACGAGGGTGAAGCTTCGGAGAGCAGTGAGGAAATTGTGCAAATTGAAAGGGAACGAGGTGAACGAAGTCGAACGCTGACTACCGAGCATAGGCTTCATCAGGGCCCAGTGAGCACACCGTAGGACACACATTATCTGACCGCCCACTCTCCTCTCTTCGTCCTTGTCTTCGGGATCGCGTACAGTCCCACGCACAGGGAGACTCGCTGCCCTACGCCCTGCGAGAAATCCTGCGAAGAACCGCATTGCTCGCTCACTGTGACCCTTTACCATTGACTCGTCATCTGCCAGCGCGACCACGTGAAAGTCGGATATAGCCAGCAGTCCAGACATCATCCAGGGCCTTGATAACGCTAGGGGGAGAACGTTTGCCTTCCAGTAGCTTTCCCCGATGTTAACGCCTGGACTAGGAAGGGTAAAGCGGGTGGATGAACAGAAGTTGTGGAATGTCATGAGTAACTCAAAGTCAAAGTCGATGGGAGGTGGCTCGGATAAAGAGTATTCAGGCTTGAACAACATCTTGGACATAACATCCTCCATGGGTATATCGGCTTCCTCGGCATCGCTTGCTCGCTCGTCCTCACTTTCTCGGGAGTCGCTGGAGTGTTTCTCGCTCTCCTCGAGTAGGTCTTCTTCTCCGGTTGCCTCTTTTTCGTCCGTTGTCTGGTCCGCCAATTCTGGGGCTGGTACTAATAAGCGAATGTATATCTTCTACAACCACCTCGGAATGACCTACAGATTTCGAAGTAGCGAATCTTTGTTCCGCGGAAGAAGGTCTGCATTTTGACTTCCCGTGCCATCGAGTCAAAGTCCTCTGCTCCGCCGTGGATATCTACCCAGTGCCGTCTCATGCGCTTTGCGCTAGCACACAGGTTGCGGCAGCCATGGTGCAGGCAACGATATCCGTCGAGAACAGGCAGTGCAGCGATCGGACCGGTGGCCGGATCTGGTAGCGAAACATCGTCGGGTTCGCGGAGCTCTGTGCGATCGGTTAGCGAAGGGGAGTCGGTAGGCTTGTCCGCCGACTACATGCCAAAACGAGTGATTGAGGAGAGCAGATTCTGGCGTTCGCCACGATAAATCTTGTGTCGCAGTAAGTGGCTTTGTACCTAGTCAAGTTCAATGTCGTATCCCCGAGGTATGACTTGAGAGCACTTACTGCACTCTTCTGTATTGCGTACTCGCAATCTCGACAGATTAGAACGCCGTATTCCGGGTTGTACTCCAGCAGATTGCTCGAGCCTAATGTGATGCGCGACATGGTTGGCGATGTGCTTTTGGGGGTTTTCCAGTATTTGATGAGGTTACATGGACAGAACGTAGATCGATGTTCACTACTTCGTCAACTGCTCTGCTGTACACATCTCTCTGAGCAGGCTTTCACCTGATTCTTATGTCGGTCAAGGTGTACCGCATGGCTAGTGATCGGTCAACGCTAAGCCCAGAATGCGCCATGGTGCAAATAGTCGAGGTTCACTAGTGGCCATGCAGTCATCTTATAGGCCGGTTTCATCCTCCCTCGCACGCAGAACGGCACATGCGGTTCCCCCAACTCCTTTCCCAGCGGTACCGCATGGTGTTGTTCCTCAGAGCCTCAACTCTCGATTAATCAGACTGTCCCAGACATCGTCCAATCGTGCGCCTCGAGTGTCTTGCGCAGGTATACATTTCCGCGCACTTCCCTATACGCTTTGAAATAGCATTGGAAATCATGTCTCTATGTCGCTCCGGTTGTCTCCATAACACAGCGTATTTAAGCTGTGTCGCTGCCGTGAGTAGTAGATTTTCCATCGCGCAGCTTCCACGTTCGTTCTTTGAACAATAAATCCGACTTTGAAAATCGACACCCGAAAATGGCAGCTCCGAAAAATCAAGCTGCATGGCTCAAAGAAGCCGGCGAAGCCCTTGAGGTCTCTGACGCCCCTCTACCCACGGCCGGTTCTGGCGAGATCGTTGTGAAGAATGCTGCCGTTGCAATCAACCCGCTAGATTGGTACGCAACGTCCGGGTACAAAGTGGGTGTTCATGTTGGGCGATTGTCTAAGACTTAAGGCTTTGCACCTTTAGGTCTGAAACCTTGCATTAGCAGCTGGCCGGAACATCTACTACATCCACTTCCCTGATCTGTGAACGGCACACTGACTTTGTACCACCATCTTTAGGCATATGCAGGACTCTGGTGTCTTCATCCAGCAGTGGCCTGCAGTATTCGGGTGCGACGTGGCAGGTGAGGTGTTCGAAGTTGGACACGGCGTGGATCGTTTCAAGGAAGGAGACCGCGTCATCGGGTAAGTTTGTTCGATGCCACAATAGCACTCCCAACTTCTGCAGTTTAGTTGTGGCCTGATCTAATCGTGGGCTGTCATGTTGCAAGGCTGATAATCCTAGGCACACCGTCAACCTTGTCAGTGGACGCCCTCAGGATGGCGCATATGCTCTCTATACTGTCGTTCCGGCCAACAAGGCAGCTATACTTCCCAGCTCCATCTCTTTCACCGATGGCGTCGTTGTACCCTTTGCATTGGAAGCTGCCGTTTGTGCTCTCTCGGTCAAGGCACCCGGCCCATGCATGCCAGGGGTTCTGACGCCCGCTCTTGGTCTACCATACCCCTCAATCGAACCCATGCCTTCGACAGGCAAGACACTCGTGGTCTATGGCGGCTCTTCTTCAGTAGGATCTATGACTACTCAAATAGCTATCGCCGCTGGCATCAACGTTATCGCTATCTCTGGCGCTCACAATCTCGAACTCAGCAAACGTTGCGGAGCCGCTGATACATTCGATCACAAAGACCCTTCTCTTGTGGAAAAGGTCGTTGCGGCCGTGGGAACATCACACTTTGTGGGCATTTTCGACGCCATCTCGATCCCTGAGACGTACGCCCATAGTCTCGGCATACTTGCGAAGCTTGGCGGGGGTCACCTCGCTTGCGTACACCCTCCTCCCTCGGATGTACCTGACAATGTCCAGGTAGGTATGATCTTCGCCGTCAACGAGATCGCATCGCCGGTCTGGGAAGACTTTGTCACGCCAGCGCTACGATCGGGGAAGCTGCAATGCATCCCACCATCCACGATCGTCGGAAAGGGGCTCGACTATGTCAATGAGGGACTAAAGAGGTCCAAAGCAGGTGTCAGTGCGACGAAGCTAGTTGTTGAGCTGTGAGAGCGCGGCAGTGCTCGCCTATCTGACAGAGGGCTTCGAGTCAGTGGCTGGAATAGCATCCATCAAAGATAATATTTTCTCCTCATCTTATATATGTGTAGCGTGTTAAAGTGTAATCATGTATCTGCAGTGATGTTTGGTCGCCCGAAAGCCTTGAATGGCTGAGCGTCGGATATGGAGCAGGCGCACTAGGCCAAAGAGGGATGCGTTTCCCTACCCCGGATCACAGTGACGTCCACACGTGCGAAGCGGCATCGTTCATCGTCCACTTCACTTCCCGGCCATCGTCTCCTTCACCACGCACAGACGCATTATTGATCTCCATCGTGTAGTAGGATGGAGCGCATTTGGCGAGATTTTGCCAGTGCATGTAACTCGTCAAAAGGACGCAAGTGCCCTTTAGACAACCCATCGTTTCCATATTCGAGAAGCAAGCGTCTGGGTCTATTAAACTTGGCTACTGGAGCAGCACACGGAGGGGTAAGGATGAAATAGTATTGCAGCCAGATTAGGTACGTGTGTATGCTAATATTGTCTTTCATTATCTTCGCAGATCTGTGTCTGTCTATGATGACCCGGGAACCTCAATGAGTTTCTTCTCGGAACTGAGGTAGTACCACCAGTGGTACTTCTCCGGCTTTTCAGCGGGTTCCTGTGGCTTCGAACCCTTCTTCGGGATATTTAGCTTCTTCCTGGCGTCCTTGCAGGGGATCCAGCTTGACAGATTGATCTGAGATGTTTGCACTATTGAGATTTTCCCTGGATCCTCCTTACCACTGACTAGGTCTTGCCAATACTTGTGGCTCTCCTCAACTGTGTCTACCACAAATGAAACGTTCTGATACGTCTCTCCAATGATAGGAATAATATCATCCCCACGTGCGACCTTGTAGTAGGTGAACCAATCGCGAAACGCCTGAACTGTACCAGGACGATACTTCTCGACATCCTCATAGGTGTTGACGAGCGCGGCTAACGGATCCTTCACGTCGATACCCAGCATCTTCCAATCGGTCTCATCACCATCGTTCACAGCAAGACCGCCAAGGAGCTTGACCTGCTTGATCTGACCAGTGTAACCATCGTCTCTGCTAATGTCGAAGAGGTCCATAGGATCCTTATCTCCGGGAAACCCGGTGAAGGTGTGGTTCAAGTTGGGATTCTCCCAGGTTTGCGGGATGCTGCCGTACAGGAATGGATAGCTTTTGTGCGGCCATACGCTCTCAACATATCGCGGTGCGCCGTCCTTTTCATCATGGAATATCGGGTTCAAAGCTTCCGGGCGACGAGTTTCGATTTTCCCATCTGTCCATCTAGGGATCTCGACTACGAAATTGATGATGTTCTTGTTGCTTGGATCTGGATATAGAGGAACATCGTGCCAGAAGGAAATGGGTTCATCTCGGTGCAAAAGGTACATGCGCCAATCCTGCATACATCAGAGAAAGATTCTATTCACGGGATGTGCGACTTACAAGGGTGTTCCTCTGACCGATCTCTCGCAGGCTCAACTTCTCATAATCAAACTCTGCACACTTCTTTTCCGGCTTGGGAGCCTTCTCCTTTGTAATCCTGACCTCCAACGGGTTCGCGCTGGTGATAGCCAGGAGAGCGAGTGAAGAAACAAAGGTCTTACCAAACATGGTTGCTCTCGAAACACAGGATTGGTCTCGCACAACACTGCAGTCCCTTGCACCACCCTTTACTTTATACCATTTCTCCATGACGCCATCACCTTTTTCGATAGTTCAATGCCCCAATTATCCAAGCCACCTCCAAGACGATATTTGAGGCCGCCTCTGATCCATGTACTCACCTGCCCACTGTAGTATACAGACACGTGCCCACGTGTTGATCATCTCCACGCCACCAGGACTATCCAGCAACCAGATGTCTTCCCAAACACACGTGGGGTTCGGACTATCCATTCGCGAAGGATGTAGCGATCTTGGTGCCTCGGCGCCAAGTGTGGAGTGGATCGCAAGTCAGTATATCGGAATTAGGCACTCTAGCCTACAGTCCGGTTCTCCCTCGACGAACGCAATAATACCAGATTAGTTTCCTGTCAACGTTGAGGGATTCGGCAGCGCTCTCTGGCATGCGGCATTCGGAACAGCAAATATGCGCCTGCACGTCCAGTCCTCTGTCACATTAGCTCTCATCCCGCTAAGAACCCTTGGCAAAATGAAGAGGCCTCCAGCACCTGCTATTAAAGATTGCGGCATGCTCTTCTAAATTACCTGCTAGGAGGTATCTTGCAAGACACATAGTATTGGCCTCAGAAGCGAAACTTAGGCGGCTTTACCCTAAAGACAGCCTGTGGCAACCACATCAAGAGCTTACACTACAAAGAGCACCAGTTTCGTGGCGCTCACAACAATCTCCCCACACTATCCAAAGGTTCCCTGTAGGAAGATGGGATGGTTATCGACCTGTGCGGTCCCAGCTCGTATGTACTCTGGCAATTTCGTGGATGCCGATGTTCATTCGGCCATCGATACTTTCCTGTCCTCGAGGCCCGGCTTGCAATAGCACATACTACTAATTATATTATACGGTCCATACTAAGTTTTTAAGTATACGTAATATTCTAAGATTACAACTATACTATATTTCTACTATACTATAGTAAGATCCTTACTATTGTTATTCCTCTCCAAGTATTAAGCTAATTATTATAGATGGTATAGATAGTAGTAGCATTATTTACTACTACACTGTATCTGTATAGTACAACCCCATTATCTAAACGTACGGTAATAGTACTAGGCTGTTTGAGCCGTACTACAGACTGTTGCAAGCGCTGCATCGACGTGCCTTACCACAAAGAGACAATCATGTGCTATTTCCAGCGTTTCCATACATATGTACTGTTGTCGTCTTTGTCGTCAACGACTAAATTGTAGGAATTTGCCTTGTCCCTATTGTCTTCATCCCTTCCATCACGCACACAATGCCCGCTGATAAGAGGTCTACACAATGTAGCGCGCAGTACATATCTCACAGGATTTCTGCCTCAGGTTCTACTCGTTGTCCCAACCGTCCTCGGGGTCCACAGTTCAAGCTCGACTGACAGGTTTCTGATCCCGGAGATCAGATTGAAAGAAGTTTCTACCTCAACTCACAAGTCGCTTGAACTCACGACATTATAGCCATATTAGTCTCCAAGATGGCTTTCTCCGTCGCTAATTTAGTCAGGAAGGCACCGGCGGCCCCCTCCAAGTTCACCTCCACCAGGAAGCTGCTCGAAAAGTACGCCGAGTACGATATCAACACATCGAACATGGCTAAAGGTGAGCGCGGGATCGTGGTAATCTCCCTCAGTGGCGACGAGCCAATCTATGCTACAGTGGAGGAGTACTACACTGGCGATGGTAACAGGAAGAGCTCGAAGCGAGCTAAAAAGGGCCTCGCTGGTACTGCGAGTCAGTATCAAGTTGAGCAGACACAGCTCGCGGCTTTGACTGCTGAGGCCCGGAACGTGAGCTTCGATATCCTTTTCGACGCGGAGAGCCCTGAGGAGAGCAGTCCTTTTTTAAGGGCAAGCTCCCAGTAGTTTGGGAGCTTAGTTCTCTTTTTGGGAAAGAGGAAGAAGTGTCTGACGAAGAATGTTATGAGATGGCGGAGGAATTTAAGACACCTGAGACCCAGAGTGACGATAGTCTTGCCCGACATAAGATCGCTCGAGCATCTAACTCATTTGTCAGGAACGTGGATAAAGTGTCTGACATCCAAGGCTACGAGATGAAGGACCTTGTGGTAGAAGATAAGGCACAAAAGACCAAGACTGAAGGTGCTTCCGCTCGGAGCGAGCCCGCTCGAGAATCTGTGGATCTATCAACTTTGCCTTTACATCACCTCATTCCAGGCCTTGAATTCCTCCCAGGAATAGATTCCTTGAATCGTATCGAAGTGGGCATGGTGCAGGTTGAGTACAGACAAGAGCCGCTACCCCCTGTACAATCCTATCTCTACGACGATGAAAGGGACCTAGAAGAGATCTACAGTGAATATGAAAGCCTTGAAAACTATGTTTACCCTTCCCTATTCGCTACTGACGCGCAGAAGCAGGACAGTTCGGACGTCTCAACTCAATCTTTGAACGATTCCGACTACGAGACAAGGCCCCAGCTCTACCATACCTCGCTTTACGGATCTGAGGAGCGCAAGCACAGCCAAGCAGTCTACTTTTACGATTCTGCGACAGGTCGCGCTATTGGCTTCACAGTCATGAACCTCCTTCTACACCCTCCAGAGCGCGAACGACAACTCCGCCGCGCAGGGGATGACTGCGAAGACGAGGATTTGGAGGTCGCTGAGTTCATCTACGATCAAACAAACGCTGGTCTTGAGGACTTCGTTATGTACTTCGACGACAATCAGCCGGACGGGTTGAACCCTGTTTTGTACGAAGATGTACAGCGAGACGCCGAGGAAGAATTATATGCGGGGAATATCTCCGACGATGTGCAGCCAATGATGTATAGCAGTTATTATGAGCCACCTCGTGGAAGCAAGAGCATCTACCGCGAGCCACCCGAGCTTCGCGGACCTATGCGTCGTCCTGTGTGGAAGGCGCTTGACGACACGATGCTCCAGATCGCCGAAGTAATGACTCCACCTGCGCATTTTGTTAGTTTCTCATGGTCACAACTTCAGCTGCCTGACTATGTCCTGGATGCAGAAGCAGTATTTGATGGCGATGTCTGGCGTAACAACGTCCTGGTAGAGCTGTCATTTCCCATCAGTGAGACACAGAGGACACATCTCCTTAAAGCGGTCGAGACTTCCTCTGCGCTTCCAAACTCTTCTTCAGATGCCGGTGACGCAGAGTCCTTGAGACCATGCAACAGTAAGCGTATCTGCTTCGAGTCCGTCCACGGGTTCGATGTTACGGCGCAAGCGATTACTGACTTCACCATGGACTACGTCTCACAGATCCGTGAGTGCAACGCTGTTCATATGTTGGTAACGCGCGCAAGGATCATGAAGGATCAAGACAGTAAGATAGTCTTCGGATTTGGAGAGAAGTCGATGAACGACATGGCATTATTTGTGCAGGCGCTGTACAAAGCCTCGTCAGCCTCGGCCGCTGGTGCGCAAGACGCAGTCTACATCCTACGGATTCTGCTTGATGTCGTCGTCGAGGTAGCAGGTAGCCTGGAATATGGTCAGCAAGATATTGAGATACAGACATCGGTTGAGCGCATGTGGGAGACGACTTTTTCTTGCATGGACGCTATTGAGAGTGCTCATGAGGAGATGTTGACAAAGCCTGGTATGCAGCTTTTTAAGCAGAAGCTGGCCGACGAAGTAGCAGAAACCGAACGACTTGTGTGGGGCGATTGGTTGCGCAATATGGGAGATTCGGCCGCGGAGGAAGGAGAAGGTTCGAAGACTCCCTCTGTGATACAGCAATTCTCGTGGTCAAGTGCTCTATGGTGGCACGCGAAGATTTGCGAGGCGATTCGGCGCCTTGATGGGCATTTGTCGACCTGAGCATCCTAGACGCTGTTGTCAGACCTATAGGGTGACCAACTCCTTGGAGTTCCAATAATACGTACCCATGAGATAGATCGCTTCTTTGGTAATTTAGAAGTGAGGATGATATCAGATCGTAGTATCCAAATCCTCACGAGTAGTCTAGAGGCAAAATGAGCGTTTGCCAACAAAACACGCCCCTTACAAAGTGATGTGAAGTCTCTGCCTACTATCGGTGAGTTGCTGACGCCTTTCTCGTCACAGTGGCTAGTGTCGCGTCGTGTTCTCTACGCTGCTAAAAAGCTACTCAACATAATAAACACCTGAATCAAAGAACGTTCAGCTATCGGGTAAGAAGCTGAAGCAATCTCGGCTATGTCGACAATCCATGTGTCCGCTCCATAACGTGCGTGATAGAGGCGCTGACGCAAAGCCGCAGATCGTGTTCAGCCGCCAGTGGCGCTATTGGACGGTGAGGAGTCGACCAGTAGCACCACACTCTCCGTAATTATGATGTTCACTGAGTTGTTTTGCTCTTTGATGAAGTCAGAGCCATGTCAGTGGAGATGGCCAAGTTGACTGTGGTGAGATTCGCTAACTAAAATGCATCCGCTTCTTTGGAAAACTCCTATTCAGGGGTGCTCCTCGGTAGATGCCCCCATGAAGATTAGATTCAATAAGTGGGATGCTCGATAAGAACATGCTGCTCGGGTCCCCATGCTGATCTGTAAAGATGGTTTCGGCACCAAGAGCAGCCGTATTGCCGTGGATTACCTCTTGAAGTCGTGTTGCAGGAATGTCGTTGTGGGCCTCGTTTAGTCTGAGTGTTTGCAGGGCGACGGCGACACAGATGGGTTGCCGACGCGCGGTATTGAGGGCGTCTTATTCTGACTTGTTGGGCGCCTGTATCGTTTACCCGTCCGCAAGACAAATCGGAATGGCGCGGCTGTTGCAAATACAAAGCGGGTCTAGTGACGCTGAGAAGGCGTTGCTGGAGCGGAGTGAGCCGGCAACCGTGATGGATTGTTGGCCGATATAGAAGCAGCGCATGTTAGGTCCCTTGTTGGAGGCCCACGGCTGTACTCAGTTCTGGAAGCCGAACATGAGGCTCCGTGGGCCAGGTCAGCAGCGAAGGTGACATGAGCGCATGCATGGAAGACGGGCAGTCGTCGGATGCAAGTGCCCAATGCTTGCATTGTGTTGATGCGCGGTTTGCGCTAGTCCCTTTCCGCGTTGACATGCCCGATCCGGGCTGGCGCATGTCTGCCGAGGTGAATAAGCGGCGGCCCTAACCATCGGCCGGTGAAGTATCGGGCGACAGCGTGCCGTGATTGTGCACGCTGCGACATGACGATAACATGGTCAAGCATTGCCAAAGCAACGAGAGTCGTTGTCCTGCGCCACATTGAGGTTAGATGGGCAGGCTGGAAGCGTGCAAGACGCTGGTCAAAGAAGCAACCGGGGGGATCTCGGCCTGACCAGCCAGGACCCTCCCTTTACCTGAACACACCGACAATAGGGCTGTGGCGTGAGCGTGTGGACCATGACGAACGTGGGTCTTCAAGGCGATAAAAATGTGTGTATTCCACGAGCAGCTGGAGGAGAGCAGCGCTGTAACCCTGTGCAACATCAGCGGCTGGACTGCCCGAAAGGGAAGCGGCTAGGCGGGTTGCAGCCAGGCGCATGGCTTTGTGTTAAAATTAGCCGCGCCCCACGGTCCAGCCGACACCGAGTAAACGGGCGACTCCACAACGCCCTCTCCACTCGTGCTGTTCGCCCACGCTGCTGGACATGCTGCTCTCCAGCCACAGCCCGATAGGGCCCTTCGTTGCCATGACCAATCCAAGACAGGATCAGCGTGCCCAAGAGCGTAGGGCAGCCACCACGTTATTACGGTAGGGCTATGCTTTGCCGACTCTCTCAGCTGCCCCTGTCCAGCGCTATTGATTCACCGTATTCTCCAGCGCGTTGCCTCCGTGCTGTCCATTTTTCGAGCAAATGACTCCGGGCCACTACTGGCACAATGTCACGCTATGCTGCTTGCCGGTGGACATTGCTACGAGGGGGAGAGTCTTCATTTGTATAAAGGATCTGGCTCCTGTCGCCCATCTACTCCCCCATCATCACAGATCAATAATCTAATACCCTTTCCTAGCCACGTTCGCTTTTGCTAGCTACGCCTTAATATCAGTCGTTCGCTCCAGATCGCCTCCAGACATCTCAGAGAACCCCTAATACTCAATTCGAGACAGTCACCAGCACAGAACTTCAACCCCCCTCAACATGCGTTCCGTCTCCATCGCGGCCGCTGCCATGATCGGCGCTGCCGTCGCCAAGCCTCTTGAACGCCGTGACGGTTACAATGCTGGCTACAACCCCCAGCCTTACCCCACGGGTGGTTCCTCGTCTGCCCCCGCGCCGTCTTCAACCCCTGGATATTCTGTCCCGGCTCCTTCCACGACTCCTGGTTACCCTATCTACACCCCAAGCCCGTCCAGCTCGAAGGGCTACGAGACTCCTTCCAGCTCGAAGGGCTATGAGACCCCTTCAAGCTCCTCTGTCAAGCCCTCGAGCTCTGTTTACCCGCATGAAAGCAGCTCCAGCGTGAAGCCTTCAAGCTCTGGCTACCCAACAGGAAGCAGCTCCTCCATGGGTTACCCCACGGGAAGCAGCTCTTCCTCTATGAGTTACCCAACTGGAAGCTCTTCCAAGTCCGAGCACAGTGGCTATCCTACCAAGTCCTCCTCGGAGCACAGTGGATATCCCACTCACACTTCCAGCTCCAAGTCCGAGCACAGCGGCTATTACCCTACGGGAAGCAGCTCTTCCTCTATGGGTTACCCAACTGGAAGCTCTTCTAAGTCCGAGCACAGCGGCTATCCTACCAAGTCCTCCTCGGAGCACAGCGGATATCCCACTCACACTTCCAGCTCCAAGTCCGAGCACAGCGGCTATTACCCTACGGGAAGCAGCTCTTCCTCTATGGGTTACCCAACTGGAAGCTCTTCTAAGTCCGAGCACAGCGGCTATCCTACCAAGTCCTCCTCGGAGCACAGCGGATATCCTACCCACACCCCCAGCTCTAAGTCTTCGCACGTGTGGTACCCAACTGGCCACAGCCACAGCTCCAAGCCGACCCCTTCGGCCTACTCGACTGCTACTCCCATCACGGACACGGTCACGAGCTACATGACTGAAACCAAGACCGTCACGACCAGCACCTACTCTTGGGTGCCTCACTCCACTCCTGTGAGCCACAACGGATACTCCACGTTCTACTCAACCTACCTCACCCCAACTTACTTTCCAACCGTCTACACCACCACGTACGTCACTCCCAAGCCTACTGGCGGCTACCCTGTTGGCCCCCAGCCTCCGCACGCATCCGAGTGTGCTCCGCCATCCACGGTGACAGTCTACAAGGTTCCCCAGTACGAAACAAAGACCTACACCGTGACCGAAAACGGCCACCCGCAGACCGTGACCGTGACCGTTCTGCCCCCCAAGCCTACCTACCACGTTGAGACGTCCTACGGTCCGGGCCCTGCTCCTTCAAGCTCCTATCCCGTCGAGCACTCTTCGATCCACACCCCTGGCCCTAAGCCCCCGGTTTCTACGCCAATTTACCCAACCGGCCCCATTGGCCACTCTTCGGTCCCAAGCGGTACCGGCTATCCAGTCAAGCCCACGTCTTCTGCATGCCCGGCACCCGGTTCGACCGACAGTAAGGGACGCTACAGCTGCAACCCAGCTCACCAGTACCCAACAGGCCAGCAATGCAAACTCATCGACGGCTGCTACTACTTGACTCCCACCGGCCCTGCTTCCTCTTCCAAGGGATACGAGACTCCTTCCAGCTCCAGCTCTTACCCTGTGAAGCCTACTTCTCCGTCCTCTTCCAAGGGATACGAGACTCCTTCAAGCTCCAGCTCTTATCCGGTCAAGCCTACCTCTTCGTCTTCTTCCAAGGGCTATGAGACTCCTTCCAGCTCGTCTAAGGGTTATGAGGTTCCCTCCAGCTCCTCGACCATGGTCTACCCCACCGAGACGCCTTCCAGCAGCAAGGGCTACGAGGTTCCCTCCAGCACACCCGGCTACGTCGTCCCCTCAAGCACTCCGGTGGCTCCCTCCAGCACTCCCGGCTACGTTGAGCCCTCTTCTGAGCCCGGTTATGCTGTGCCCACCCCTGCCACCGGCTACAAGACCTACTAAGCCATAAATAAACCTACTTTAGCGTTCTGGACATACTTACCCACATTGGGTCCCACATTCCTTTTGTTCACGACTTTCCTTGACTTCAACGCTTCGCAGGCACTCTTCTTTCTGGCATAGCCGCGACGTCACGACTTTTAGACTACTGAGTATTTATTGTAATTCTTCATTTGGATGCGCTTGGGATGATGCTTGGAAGACTCGTGGAATAGATTGAGATACGGAGGATTGGAGATGAGTGAAGGAACATATAGGATAGTTCGTGGAATTGAATCCAACTTTAAACACTCCTTATTCTGCAGTGCTTTTCAAGCTTTGTCACGAGCTTACTGCTGATAAGCGCAGGATTCAGACTCCCTCGACCAGGAAAATCATCAGTTATATACCTCAGACCTGTTCAATGTCTATGTTGGCCGGTGTGCCGTTGTCGTCGACAATCGTGTAGTCAGCCGAGTAATAAGTACTCAAATAGCATGTTACTAGTAACCCCTGTACATACGGTTGGTGCATCGGGTCTTTCAGCATTCGAGGTACCAGAGACATGACAAGTCAGCGGAACTCAAGCAAACCAGGGATGGACATAGTGGATAGTTCCACTTGTGTCCGGGGCTTACGCACGTCGATGGCTTGCTGCAGTGGTGCTAGCATCTTTTTGATGATCGAACCATTGTCGATATGCGTGATCAACAACTAGCGTAGCTTTACTTGCGGCATGTCGTGCACTTGATCATTCTATTGTCGAATTACTATGAACGTGTACGTCACCATTGCCCTTGAATCAAACATGGGCCTCTGGGGGCACGAGCGGAGCTTTATGACGTAGTCTTGGTGAACAAGGTTTCGATAGTTTCGGCCACCTAGTTCGGGTTCGCAGTTGCTCGCATGTGCTCCATGTTTAGCTGAAGTTCACGAAACCCCGCTCCCCAATGCACTCGACCGATCGGTGCTGTTCATATCCACAGTAGCGGTAGGTGCTAGTGGATTACGGTACTTAGGTAGGCTTGTCCGGGCTACGCCATTGAAGAATGCGGCGGGGCGCCTAGAGGGGTTACAGGAGGTTGCGGCGATAGTTCAATGACCTGTAGGGGCCTGCGTGGGCCCGCCGGGGCAAGGAACTGCAGTCGCAGTGGTATATCTGTGTTGTGCTATCTGTTGCCTGGAATGGGGAGCAGGACGGGCGCGAGTGAAGACTCTATCAATGGGCCTCAAGACGGCTAGCGTGGCGCAATCGATACCACGTGGACGTGGGGTGTGACCTGGGTGAAGGCAGACACGTAGCCATTAGCATGGTAGTCATCAACATAGTAGATACTATCAAAGACAATTGCGAGCTGCGCTAACGCAACATTGCTTCCATCAAATGGTCCATAAATAAAATGACAATCTGGGTCGCATTCGCCTGTGCTATCAACCACAACATGCCGACAACGATGCTCCGAAAAGCTCAGAATACTGGATGCTGGTCAATTCAGAAGGAAAGCCTACTCCTCATTATCCAAACTTTCCCTTTCCATATAACGCGGTAATCTCCCATTTGTACATAATGAACAGCCATCCTCGCCTAGGAACAGTCAGCGCATGGAAAACACATTCAATTAAGATTGATCACTGACCCTAAGATGGGGATTTTTCCAGAACCTCAAGGAAGGTTGGAACAACATCTTCATATGCCACCAAACCCTCGTGCTCGTCCTCGTGAGGCGCGACTTTGACAAGGAAGACATCTCCCTTATATGAATGAATTCTCTCCCGATCTTCATTGATCCAGCTCCGAGCATCCTTATTCTGGGGTAGATCATCCAAAGCGAAACTCCAGAACATATAGTAGACGCCTGCACAGGAGGCATAATGTTCCTGTAGTAAAATTCGCTGCGTTGGTACGCGCAATCGCTGTCTTGGATGAAGGCCTTTCCAAAGATAAAACATGGGAAGAAGATTATATGGTTGTAAGAACTCTTACATTTCCTGAACTTCTAATCTGTGTATGTCGCGAAATTGGGACCCGTCTCTTGTGACCCAGTACTTGCGCACGTCGGGAATGCGGATGAGAAATGAGTCTGTAGCATCATCTGCTGCGGGCCGGGTATCGAGGCTGACGAGGTGTGGTGGGGTGCCATCGGCAGGGATTCGGGAGCCGGTGATTGTGACGTTCGGGGGAGGTGCATGCCGTGGTAGTTCTTTCGCGAAAGACGAGATTGAGGAAAGCATTTTGTGGACGGGAAAGGCTAGTGAATTAGACTCGCGGGAGTAAAATGTTAGCTCGTCGTTGCTTATCGAAGCGGCTCAGCAGGTGCGGGGAACCTTGGCCGCTGGTGAGATGGACTGTCGATTGTGTCTACCATGGTATCTTCGAGCTGATGCCTATACCTAATATCAGTGTCATGTGACATGGGAAAGCACCGCTCCGCTGCGCAGCGCTGATGCGAGACGGTCCGAAAGGTTCATCGCTACTGCTCAAATGACGATGCTCTTTATTCTGCCTTGCGTTGTGGGTATGCCGATGGTTCTTCAAAGTGAGTGATTGCAAATAGACATAGGATTCTCCCATACTGTTTGTTGCTCGCTCTAGCACCAAGCTGACAATCGGGCAAGGTACTGTGTTCTGGGTCTACTCAGAACACCACAGGTGGGAGGCGGCGTACGGATCCGAGTGTGGGCTTTCCCCCGAGGATTTTACCTGCGTCCAGAGGGTTTTCTTTAATACAGTGCATCGGTACTCGATCTGGCTTCGCCATCTGATGTTCACAAATTGAAGCCCGACCCCAATGCATCTGCCCAGTCCCAAAGTATCCCCCTGATTCAGATCCGCTGTGAAGTCTATGTCATACGGATCCGGCCCTAGCTCAGAAAACATTGAATACTGATTGCTATCGAGAAGCTCTGCATGCGACGATACACCCTCTGGGCCATGTAACGGAGCCGTATTCGTCTCATCAACTCGCGGCCCGATCTGGCCCGTGGCATCAGCAACTCTCATAGTACTCGTCTGTGTCGCTGTATTGTCCCCATCGGAGTGCTCTTCGCTAGGTACTGGGCGCGCGCGGAAGTCGACTTCCACCGAAGCCTTCTGAGCAGGTAGAGGAGCATCAGGCTCGTCAATGCTTCGCAGCATATTTCGGATATCGTTGACATAGATAGTGTACCTAGGGAAGTACCGTAGCAGACTTTGCAGCGTCGCTATAAATGCGACAAAATAACGTCGGGCGGTTTCCGCGCTCATCGTGTAGGCCGGGCTATCGCGGTGACAGGCGTACAGAATCGCGCACGACGCCTGATACAGAATGACGAAACACGCACTGTCTGTTACCCAGGGATCATTCTCGGTTAGCTCGTATGTCGTCGCAACGATCTGCCCAATAGAGAGCGCGTGTTCTAAGCATTTGGCATGCGCGTATGCAACAAGATCAGGCGATGTTGAGGATACAACGGCTTGAGGTAGAGCTTCACGGTATCCTGGGTTCAGTAGTCGGTAGAGCTCGCAATGGCAGTGGTGGAAGTGGAGATGCAAGACGATGTATGTCGTACGCTCGGGTGAGAATGCACGGAGTTGGTAGGCTCGCGGACTGAATGCGAATTCGGTGGGAAGAGATTGTTCTATGACTTTGAGCTCCCGCTCGAAAGTCTGGAACTGCACCAAAGAGCTTTCTGGACTAGAAGAAGTATCCAAGAGCCGTTTCGTGTATTGGAGAATGCGGTTGCGGACATCCAAGACGCGTAGGATGAAGGTGGAAATTGGTTGCTCAGATCTGGTCTCTGCTTCATCATAAAGGCGTGGCGTGCTGACCGGCATATCCAATAAAAAGTACCGATCCAGGCACGGTAGCTGCACTTGCATGGTCGTCGCCGGTAAAAGAATGAACTCCGGTACACCGCCTCCGTAAAATCGGTCCAGCGTGAATAAACACCAAATTGTCCGTCGACGACTTTCTTGTTCGAGGAAGGCTAGTTTTGTGTTCTCCTTGTGCAACTTGAGGAGGTACGCCATACGAACCGCCAACGCCACGTATTGGAAGCTCTTGCCATTCTGATGATTATGAGCATGATATTGTGCCAAAATGATCAGGGTTTGGATAGTAGCAAGGCTGGTCTTCCCCAGACTCTGAAAAACCATGATCTCTGCTAGTTCAGCCCATGACTTGACCTGAATAGCACTCTCATGTGCTGAGGACAAGAAGCGTGATGAGACGCTGCAAACTGCGAGCAAAAGCGCAGTGGATGCAGCTCCCGACGCATACTGGGCTAGCAGGTCGGCTCGATGAAGGAAACCGAAGATTGGTATCGGGAATATATGCTCGAAGTAGGCGTCGATATGGTGTCGAATCACTGCCCTAGAGCACCCCAGAGACCTAGAGCTCATAAGTGGGAGGTGCTTCATACATCGTGAAGCACTTACCTATCCAGGCGCTCCGATGCGGAAGTTGCGGGGCTTGCTACTAACTCACTGCCGGTTGTCGGCGTGCTATGCACAGATTTTTCGACCTCATCCTGCAGGTCCGGAGCCGGTGCATTCGTTGAAGAAACACGCCTGCGACGGCGCTCCTCTCCTCGGTATTGGCGAATGGACAAGGTATAGCTACACTGAAGGCTGAGTTGCCGACAGCGAGAGCAGCTCGGTGTCTCGCCCGAGCACCGCGACCTCTGCGAGCGACAGGTATCGCAGGCTCGTGCACCTCGCTGCTGAGGGGCAGTCGGGACAGGTGCGCTGCCAGTTCCGGATGAAGGTGTAGTTGCCAGCCCCATTGAGCATTGAAACCCCAGTCGTGTGCATGCATCACAGGTGATTGGACCGCCCTGGCAGCGAACCTAATGTGGAAGATTAGTTGAGACCTGCTGGTTATGGAATGAGACATGCCTTTCTCTGTCTGCACTGGGCACATGCGACCATGACTGAAAAGGGGCATTGATGGACGAGTCTGAATGGAGATGACCGCGCCCTTCGTCTCAGTGTGTGCGTGGTATTCGCTCTCCGGGATAGCAGTCATGGTTGTGCGGTGGTGGTCGCAATGGCATCCATCTGCGGTACCAGAGAAGACTAGCTGTGAGCGTCCGTTTGTCGGCATCCTTTCCGCCCGATTGGTCAAAATCCAGCTCGACGGCTCGTTCACGCCCCACAATCACATGACTGGGAAGAGCGACCATGCTCAGGAGCGCGCCCTGTAGATTTCGTCATTACCGATATAGTTGCGTGTGGGGAACATGCTTGACCATCCCTCGTTTAGGTGTAAGCGTCGACTATACGGTACATCTATGGATTGCATAGTTCGAGACGTGTTACGACTCAAGTCAACCTGCGATCTATCTCGACTATCCGACCTTGTAGAATATTCGAGCTGGAACGCTCCTAGTGAGACTTTAATTTAACACGTTGATGATTAGACGGTAGTAGTTCAGTGCATTGACAGCATTGTATAAACAGTCTTGCTTGTCTTAGATGAATTGACAAGCAGACGCATGTCTGCTAAAAGAATGACTAGCATCACACAGTCCGCTATTTCCCAGGGCATCGGACAGGACTACTGGAAGCGCGCCGCCTCCTTCTTGAACTTGCGCGCTGGCACCTTCTCATGAAACAACTTGTCCAGAGTTTCTGGCGTCATACCCTTCGTTTCAGGCAGCCGGAAGAAAGCCCACAGCAACAAGCAAACATTTAGAATAGCAGCAGGAAAAGCAGCCTTCCCCTTGAGATCCCACCTACTCGGATTGAGCATATACGGCGAGATGGTCACGTTGACAATGGACAGGAAGTAGTACATGTTTCGACCAAGCGCTATCGTCTTGTAGCGCAACTGAACAGCACCAACCTCAGCGGCGATAGCGTATGGAATTGGGCCGATGGTGATACCTGAGTCAGGGAAGTGAGAGCTTGTGCAGAGAAATTAGACAGTCACATACCGTAGGTGAAGAACCAGATCATCAAGATGGAAGACTGAACCCATTTGATGCCTGAGTTGGTGGCCGCGTTGGGCGCAAATTCAAGAAAAGCAACGATCCACATGATTGGCAGCATAATGGCAAGGCCAGCGATGTAGATGGTACGACGCCCCATGCGAGGCTGGAGAAACCACGATAAGCAAGTACCGACGAATGCCATACCGTACGTCCCAAGCGTCAGGCTGAAAGAATCACTCGATGGGAGTCCTGCTAGAGTGAAAAAGTACGTGGTGTAACTCTGAATGACGAAGCCTGGGAGGATCTGTCCTCCCCAAGATATCATGGCAATCTCCGTACGGCGGAGGTTCGTGCCCCTGAAGCAATCGATGAACGATCCACCGACCTTAAGCTTGCGCTCAATCTCGATAGTGTGTTGCATCATGGCGAGTCTGTGGTCGTTGTTGACGGCTCCGACAGGTGCGCTATCGAGTCGATCCAGTGTCTTTCTCGCTTCTTCGATGCGTCCCTTACGTATGAGCCACCACGGGCTCTCAGGAGCGAACCAAGTTGCGGCGATCAGGAACGGTGGCCACATCCACTGGAGCGCAAAGGGTATTCTGTAGGACCACTCCGACTGGATGGGTAGCATGCCCCGCAAGACGCCGGTCGCGAGAATGCGGCCAATAACCCAGCAGAGATTGACATAGGTGGTGAGGTAGCCTCGTAAAGCCATTGGAACGATCTCTGCTGCGTAGGTCGGAGTTGCTGCAGCAAAGAGACCCCACATGCAGGCGCTGAATTATGTTAGTGTAGCCCTAGTGCGACTTCAGAAGTAAGACTCACCACAAAATCTCACCTGCGAACAGAATCTCAATATTTGGGGCCGTGAAAATAATTGCAATGAAAGCCGTAAGAATGCAATGGGCGGCGATCATGACATAACGGGGACCAAGTTTGTCGCCTAAGTATCCACTCGCGAAGACACCAAAGATGAGGCCTATCAGCGAGGCGAAACTTAAACCCAGCTGCCAATTCGCGTCGACTTGATATGTGCCGTTAGGAAGCTGCGTGCCGTATTTGCGGTTAAACTGGGGAAAAGCATAGAAGGAGCTGATAAGCTGCATATCATAGGCCTCCATGATGGTGGCCATGGCTCGCGGCATGTTAGTACTACAGAAGGTCACGTGGAGTGCTCACGTACAGATCGTGATGGACCATATGGCAGCTTTCCTGTAGTGCTTGAAAGCTGTCCCGAGAGGCATATCTTTCTCTTGTTGGGTACCGAGAGCGGCGTCATTCTCGAAGCCGGTTACCTCCTTGGGTGACTCAACGCCCTCGATCATGGTGATGTTGTTCTTGACGTCGCTCACTGTGTTCGTGTTGGTACATTCGGGCTTCGACATGGTGGTGATTTCCCGCGTCTGTCAGAGGCGATACGTCTTAGGAAAACAAGCAAACTGTTTCGTGATGGATTTTCTGGAACGAAGGATGGCCTAAGGCTTATGTACAACCAGAATCTCGGGAAATTGTAGCCATGCTTTCGTTTTATGAGTTTGCTACATAGTTGTAGAGGTAATATCTGGGGTTGTGGGGTTGCGGGGAAAAGGCTAGGACGGCTCCGTTGTCAGTGATTGTTGGGTGCCGTGGTTGGCCGCCACATGGTATATTCAAGCCGTGCTTCTTGGCCAGATGGCAAGATTCGGTCTAAAATGAGTCGTATTGGGCTAACACAGTCATGTGGAGAGGTATAACCGAATTGCGGCGTTGTGATTGAACTTTTCGCGTTCGGGCTGGTGCCGACAGGCGCCGGATGCCATTGTGGGAAATCGCCGACAGCCGTAGCGTCGCCCTGCTCCACCTCAGATCCGCGCCTCCATCGACAACCTCAGATCCGTAGTATGAAATCGTGGTTACTGTAGACTGTTCCTGTCGATTAGTTTCTCGCGAATCGAGCTATGATCGCGCTCAAAATACGCAGACTGTCGTTAAGTCCAGCAACGTCTGCCTCATCACTATCGGCTCCATATAGGTTGCAGTAATTATGAGCTTAACAGTCATATGTTGATGGTTGCTGCGAAAGCCCTGATAATACTGCACTTCAGCGCTTCGCCGAACCCTAGCAGTGGTGCAATGTGAAAAAACATTCGCTCGGCTGACTGACCCGTGGCAGACCCAGCTGAAGGGGTGGCATGCGGATGAATTGTTCCTGGACTACATGATAACAGGTGATTGTCCGCGAGTTCTTGCGAATAGACTTGATTGTAACCGAGATAGTTGGATTCGGCGTTGTCTTGTACACAGCGAAAGACGGGTTTGAGGAACAACTTACAGGCATGCTTGAGGCGCTCGCCGGCGGGACGACCACCATAGTAGATCATGCACATAACGTTTACTCACCGAATTTTGTCGGCATCTCAGCAACGACGCCTTCCGGTATGCACGTAGTGTACTGCTATGATCCGAACATTCGACCTAAGTCTTTGACGGAACTCACTTGAGGATTGGGTCATGGAAACGTTTTCTGCGTTGGCTGCCTAAACTCCCTTTTGAGGTCGTAGAGTGACCCTGGGCTTCGCGTAAGATATGTGGTTTCTGCCGTAAGAAGTTACCCGAGGCGTGGTTAACCAAGGGAAGGCGAAGAACATCCGGACGATGACCGCACAATCTGTCTTGCAGGCGAGCGCCATCCGGAATCTAAACAGCTCGGGTATCCTGGACGAATGGTATCTGATTTGCATAGCGGTGCATCTACGAAAGAAGGCGCTGAGATTATCAGGAAGACGAGCGCTCATGTATCGTTGACACCTAGCATCGAGCTGCAGATATCTCTCGGAGGAAAACCAATCTGCTTTAACGCGTCTTTTACAGAAGGGCAAAGTCGAACAAACGTCCAGGAAAGTGCAAATTTCGGAGTGAAATGCTATACCAATCAGTCTGGCTCGATCATCTTCGAGGCCCACATTGGGCTGCCAGACGCGAGAATGGACTTTCACCTGGATGTACAGGGAAAGACCGCGCGCAAGCTTCCTGATAGCCTCAGGGTCAAAGCTGCGTTCAATTTTGTAACAATCAAAAGAGCAGAGGCAGTGAGAACGGAGAACGAAATCGCACGCATTGCTGACGGCTATCGTGCCGATGTCGTAGTCTTCGACGGCTCAAGTCCAGCGATGGTCTGCGTAGCCCACTAAGACCCTATCGCAGGCAGCAATCATCTCCCATTCCAGTCCAGGAGAGATCGACTTGGTATTCGTCGATGGTGTTGTACGAAAGAAGGATGGCGCGTTATCGCCAGATAGTACACTAGTGTATCAATACCTGGTCTAGGTAAAGAGGCGATGCCCGCGATGTCGCCGACATGGAAGGAGATTGCGAGGGAGAGCAGAGAAGCCCCGTGAAGCTGGCAGATTAGGTAAATGTCGGTGAGGGCGTGGCCATTGTGAAGGAGATGTGGTATCTAGATAAATCGGCCTTCGCAGACGAATTTGAGGTGTAGGGTGAACAGATGCAGATATGTCTTGGCTGCAGGCGGCGGCCTTGGGACCTCTTGCCCGCTCTAGGTAGTGTGTGATTATGTAGCGGTAGTTCAGCCATCCTTCATGGTTCGATTCCACAATGTCTCTCGATGTTTTGTTCTCAGCTGATATTCCTAAGATCATTATCTGATCTAGCATATCCGTCACGCCCGCTGCCTTCTTGTCTCTTGCTTACGGTCGCATGGATGTCGTGTGAGCAGCGTTGGCTATCTATGGTATATCTTCGATGCGAGTTCATCCTCTCTTCTTTGTATCGGTGCTTTGCGAAAGGAATTCCCCCACCCTACCATGGTACGGCTTCCCCTTTTTTGTAAGTATTTTATATATCTACTCTACTATTAGTTTAAATACGTTAGTACGCCACTTCTAATAGCTAGGTACCCTATTTTAACGTCTACTACAACCAAATTTAGCTATTCAACAAGATCTACCTAGTAATAGAGTGAAAATATTATACAATTGATGAAAGTTAAGGATCTGTACCATGGTAGGGTGGGGGCATTTTATTCGCAAACGATAATATAAGCCGAACAATGTATGATCTACCGAATGCACAGCAACGTCATCAGATGTCATCGTTCCAGGATGGTTGGCGTGGTAGGAGCGACTCGGGTCCCATGTTCCTGCCTACACGACGCAGAGTGCTTGCCTGGTAACGTAGGCCCGCCAAGGGACATAGATAGAGGAAAATACTCGTTTGCTTCAGCAGTGATATTCTTAAAACCTCACTTCCACAACGCTCATAGAGTCATCGCATTTTTTGCAATGCACCTTCCTTGCCTTAGAATAAAATTGCTGAAGAGCCACGCATCGCTCGCCATTGCCTGCGCTAGTTGTGTATTCCTTCTTGTTGTCACGGGCTTCATCTTGGATACGCGTCCTAGCGGATATTCCATCCCGTCATTCTTCGGTGGGCGGCCCCTCCCATCCGAACGTGACCAAGCTCCCACCCCATCACCCCCAACAACACAGCACGCGAACGAGAGCGTCGCAAGCCAAGCGCCAATTCCTCTGGAGGTATTACAAAAGTTCTCAAAATTCGATGGTTATGGCCTTGCCTCATCAGAATGCGACGCAGAATTTAAAGTCCTATTCGGGGAGATTGAGCGCTCAATGACACACAGGAAGAGTATTGGGACTGTGGCTTCGTCGGATATCAGTCTGCATTGGAAGAAGGACGGTGCTGTGAGGGCGATGATTTGGAGGCAAAAGGTACTGGCAACTACACATGCTAGTAGACCGGGTATTGACCTCCGGATAGCTCTTCATTCTTGAGGCCAAACTCGACGATGACTACTATCCTTCACGCGTGCTTTCTGTTCTGCACCAGATCGATCGCGCCATCATCGCAAGCCCAGAACCGGTTCCTGACATCGAATTCTCTATTGTCATCACAGATCTACCCGATGAACACACCACCGAAACGCATTCACATCACACTTTCTGGGCACTTTCTAGGCTACCACATGACAGAAACATATGGCTGCTCCCGGATTTTGGTTATTGGTCATGGCCGCTAGACCTCGTGGGCTCGTATGAACAGATCCGTGTCGAGATGATACAGAACCAGTTGGCGTGGGAAGACAAGGTTCCGAAGATGTTATGGCGAGGTGCGTTGAAGACGAATAAACTACGTCAGACCATGTACTGGGCCACACGAAACAAAGTTTGGGCCGACGTCGAAGAGGTCAAGTGGCAGAACAGAACCGAGGTTTCGGCAGGTTCCACTGCGTCGGCAATTTCAATGGTGGACCACTGCAACTACCAGTACCTCATGCATACTGAGGGGAGAAGCTACTCCGGTCGTGGAAAATATCTCCTTAATTGCGGCTCGGTAGTCATCATGCACAAGAGCGAATGGATTGAGCCTCAACAGGATGTCTACGTCAAGTCTGGTGCTGATCAGAACATCGTCGAGGTTGAGCGCGACTTTTCTGACCTAGACGGGAAGATACAGCAGCTTTTGAAGGACCCCAAGCTTGCAAGATCGATTGCGAAGAACAGCCAGAAGACGTTCCGGAACAGGTACCTGACGCCAGCAGCACAGGCGTGCTACTGGAGGAAGCTCTTCCGTGCCTGGGAAGAAGTGAGCTTCCGACCAGAGCCATTCGAAACAGTCAATGGAAGAGCAAGACTGCGCGGTATCCCGTTCGAAACCTTTGTGTAAGTGTAATCACGACTGAACACAATGGAAGGGTCATGATTGATTTCGATGCAGGATCAAAGCACTGTCTAAGCCTACCGCAGAGTGCCCATTCTGGGAGAAGCTGACCTTTCAGTGCTGATGATCTAACCCTCAAGCATCGTTGACGGCAATATGAGAATAAATGCAACTCACTCATACCGCGAGAACTGCGCGCCAGGTGGAAGAAGATAACGCAAACGAAACGAGTTACGTAAGATGTATCGGGCAGAATCATCAATTTCCTATGGACAGAGGAGCTACGGTAGTCAAAGGCCTAGGGCAGTGCGAAAGGAGCGCGCGACTGGAGCATGCATCTTCGGGAGAAGAAGGCGTCGGCGGGATCGCACTCGGGCAATCATCCAGGTGCCACGAGAAGCCGTATATCCAAACGATCCGAGGGTCCTCGCATTGTCATATTAGCTGAAAATTATACGAAGGTATCCTCATCCAGCTATGTCGACTGGCCCTTCACGATCTAAAGCTGTCGAACGGTCTGTATTTTCTTGACTATATATCACTCTCACAAGCACATCAGTTGAAGGTATGAAGTTACCTGTCAAGGCCGATTGACCCAGTAAGGGCGGTGGGCAGGTAGTATGACGTGATATTGATGCTACTCATACATTTATTAGGCCTCTCTCATCAGCTCAGAGCAACGTCCGGTTGCAAGGCCGCTGGAACGCCTTCGTGGTGTTGTCGTTGAGAGGCGGGCCAAGCATTTCCCATCCGGAATAAGATGGGCCCCACCCGCTTGACTGTGATTGGCAGGAGCCGGACGATGCTTGTCCCCACGTGCCCTGCTCCTCTTCAGCAATTCATTCACATTCTGGCGGCATCTTCGTTTGCCATGGGCTCGCCTCTAGTTTCTTTCCTATATAAGAGATGCAAGCTGCGAGATGCGTGTCGATGTACGCGGTCTGCTTCGTCTGCACAGCCTTCACACTCTCTCAATTGTTCGGAACAGACATGCGGGTTCCTAGGGCTCTTATTTCAGGCTGGCTCCCCTTAGCTGCTGCGCAGAACTCAACGTTAGATCTCTCCTGGCATCCGCCTAACAAGACCTGGATCAATGACTTGAACCAAATCCTGAACGGCTCCGGAACCCATGGCTTCTACTTCAATGGCTCTGCTCTGCCGTCGACCGTTCCCTATGGGAGCTATAACTGGTGCAACATGCCGTAAGCCATGTATTTGCCCACCCTGTCTTGACTCGCACTGACGCGCCTTAGCCATGTACGACGTGAAGAGTACCCTAAACCAAGCGAAGAAAACACGCTGCAATACGTCGAGGTGTAATTGGGCCCCCTGCACCATTGTGCGCCATACCAAGCTAACGCAGATCGCAGCATTCACCGCCACCACAAGAGGACGCCTTACGCCTCGAATACTTTTCCAAAAGAAAGTTACAGGTGGGACTGCAACGATGAGGGACTGTTCTATTATGGTCAGCCTCTGAACCCTGCGGGCAATACTTCCGCAAGCGCATTCTGGAGCGTCTTCACTTCGGACACGAACCCATTTGCACCCAACGGTTTCAATGGTACCTGCCAGTTCCCGCAGATTTCCAGGGAAGGTCTCGATGACTCCTGGCAACATGGTCAAGATTTATTCGGCGTGTACCACGACCTTCTTGGCTTCCTCCCCAACGAGATCGGCGACAAAGTAACGTATCGCGTGACAAACAACGTGATCACGAGTCAAGTCGCTGGCATGCTCATTGACGGCATGTACTCTCCAGAATCTCCGACACCTCTTCGCATTCAGCCGACAGGCATAGACTCTCTGGAGCCCCAGTATTCCTGCCCTGCCGCCTCATCTCTGTACTCGTCGTATGGCGTAGGCGGTACTGCGGCGAACTGGACCAAGCACCTTACCGAAGCCAAACCACTCTACAACTCATTGGATGCCATTTCTGGAGTTGCAAGTGACTCAACAGACTGGCACAAGTCGTTCGACCATTACTACGATAACCTTTCTGCTCGTCAGTGCCACGCGAAACCTCTACCTTGCATCATCAACGACCCTTCCAAATGCGTGACGCAAAAGCAAGCAGATACTGTGTACAGACTGGGACAGTACGAGTACTCTTTCATTCACCGCGACTCGCCTCAATCACTCCAAGCAGCCGTGGGATCGTACGGCGTGTGGCTCGCGGAGCTAGCACAGAACATCCGGGACTTTGCTTCAGGAAAGTCGCCTGTGATTTACCGGCACAACGTCGCACACGATGGGAGCGTGTCTAGACTCTTGAGCATTTTGCAGGTAGATGTCATGGTGTGGGTGGGCATGGGGTCCGAAGTCGTCTTCGAAGTCTACTCGAGAGGCTATGGCGAGAAGAAGTACATCCGGATCCTTTGGGGTGGGCAGATCTTGCAAAGTTCCAGTCCAACGCTGGGCAAGGTCGATATGCTGGACCTCGATGTGTTCTTGGATTACATCGAGGGGTTAGTAGGTTCGAAAGCGAGCAAAGTGGTAGACTATTGTGACTCGTAGTGTATTTGCGGATTGACAACGCTGCCTGTTCGCACGATCAAAGTAATACAATCGAGATGGATCCGTGTACTTCAGCTATCTAAGTGTTCAAACACCTAACCCGCTGGCCGGATGCACTTGATAGTTGTGGAACCCTTTCCATGACAAACCGAACAGGCATAACCACCCCGTATCCTTGATGTTCGAACTGATGCCGTCTTTCGTGCTCGCCCACCCTGCTGTAGCTTCCTATATAATACCGTTAGCAAGTGTCCCCACGTTACACACAGGTAAACAACAACCCACTTCGATGTTCTACCGCAAGTAGGAGGTTACGGCAAAGTTCACTTCGAACCATCGCCCTTCTTGCCGCCATCAACCTTGCCAGCGCCATCCTCCGTTGTGAAATCGGCATGGCTGGCGCTATCAGCACCAGTTGCCTGTCCCTCTTGAGTCTCCTTCAAGAACTGCTCGAGCGTGATATGGTCCGAGTTCTTCGCCTTGCTCGCCTCAGCCTTCTTGGCCTCCTTGGAGTCATCGCGGGGCAGCTTCTTCTCCTGCAACTTGGAGTTCGAACCCGTATTATTGGGCGTTGAGGACATGGTGGAGTTCTTGTGACGACTCGAGTCAAGTTGGGCGGGTGGGTGGTAACAGATGCCTTTGACGGGCTTGGCGTGATCTCGAGGATTTGATAGGTGATCTGTGTCAATTAGTCGAGCTCGATCGGAATGCTTTGGGGATTGTCGAAGTGGAGAGTACAAAGGTCGAGGACAGGCGTGAACTTATACGCACTGTCAAGGCAGATGGCGTTGTCGCAGACGAACTATCTACAATGGCGTGGCTAGGCACAATAGCAGAGCAAACGATCACAATAGCAAGCGCTGAGAGTTCGTCTCGTCAATACGAACGACGAGAGTGTAAGGTGTGGCTGCCTGGGCGAGTGAATGGTAGTAGTCAATAGAGCGAGCGCAACAGCGAACAGGCAGCATGTGCGAATAACCACGTGGTATTTTAACCTTTTACCTACCAAATCTCGGGTGGCAGTAGCGCTCAAGTATGTGAATTCAGAGGTCGAGTGTAGGAAGGCTTCTTTCGAGATGGGATATGATGAGGCGGAGGCTATGTGGGTATAACAAAACTTGAGGTCCTTGTCGCCGGCCCGCAGCGGAAAGGACAAACGATATAAAAAGCAAGCACAAGTGATGGGTGTAATCAGACGAGGTTGTAATCAAAGAAATGACGCAATGGCCGACACTACAAGCTGAATTTCTAGGTGCCGGACCCTACCTCTGATATCAAGTATTCAACAAGGGTATAAGTCCACAGCCTAGAATGGCTTACTCCATAATACAAACGGTTATAGCCTGACAGTCTATGGCCGAAAATCATACTGATGCGAGAGCACGCCTAAGCGTTTCACTTTCAAATTTCAATGGCGGCCACTGTGGGCTGATTGTGCATCATACTATGACATAAGAACTATCGAGCTTTGAGACTATAACCTTCCTACCTAAACACGACAGCATTACGCTGTGTCATCTCGGCTACGCAGTCGCTTGGGTTTGTAATCTTTGTTAGACCTCGTCTTCCCTCTCCGATCGAAGGTCATGGTGCTTGCAAGTTCGCGGTCTTCGGCAGATATGCGCTTGGGCTTTTTGATCGCGCTCTTTGTAGGCGTGGCCTTCTTGCTTGGAGTTGCCTTCGTGGCTGGCTCAGGCTCTTCTCCCGCGAATTCGACATGCGATGAAGACACAGGACTTTTCTTCTTGGTCCCCCTGAGCTTCTTGGCCTTCTTGCTCGACTCCTTGAAGTCCAAATTCTCATCTCGCTTCCTCTTCGTGGGAGTTACAGGACTTTGCCCGGGTCTGTAACTCGGGTCTGTAGAACCCTTATGAGAGCGTTTATGTGGACGTTTAGCAGACCCAGGATCATTCAGATCGTCGATCTCTGCCTCGAGGGTCGACCTGTCTGGAGTTGTTGGCGAACTGACATCTTGGCTTTGGCGACGCGGAGGATGATAAGACGGATCATGTGGCTTGCTGGCAGGGCGGACCCGCTTCCGTCTTGCAGGCTCAGCATTGACGAGATCGTTGGTATCTTCCTTGAGAGTTGAATAATCCAGGATGGTTGGTAGTTCTGCATCATGACTCTTGTGACGCGGAGGATATGATGGGTCTTGCGGCTTGTTAGGGGTGCGGTCTTGCTTCCGTTTGACGAGCGTAGGGCCAGCCGATGGCCTTGCTGTGGCTCGCGTCTCGGGGGTGGGAGTAGTAGCGAGAGCGGCTCTGGTCCGAAGCACTGCCTTCTCGCGCGGACTGAGCGTCTCGGACTTGTCTCTGCGGGCCGCTGCCTCGCGCTTGCTATTGAATTTCCTCAAATTCGTCTCAGGAAGTCGTGGTCGTGAATAACTTGAAGACTCCCACCGCGAGCGTTGTGAGTGCGTATGAAGGCCCTCGTTGGGAACCTCGATGACTGGCACCTCCCACTTTCCCTTGCCTTCGCTTATGCGTCGCCCCTCGCTAGCTTGACCACTCGAAGCTCTAGTCAGCTTTGTGAAGGGTTTGATGAAAACTTCGCTGACGAGGGGTAGTATCATACGAGGAGCGTATTTCTTGTCCCCTTGCTGCGCATCAGAATCCTGCAATCCATTATTAAACGCCCTTAGTATGGAAGGCCACAATCCCTGTATCCTAGCATGTTCTTCTTCGTTACGAGACCAGGCATATGAGCGACCAGCCGGCAGCTTGTACTGGGACCCAGAATCGTAGATGTCGGTTCGTTCGAAATCCCGTGGGCCCTCGAGCTTCTTGGGAGACCTTCCCCAATACCCAACAAGATCGTAGTTGATCTTTGCGCTTTCCCACTTCTCTGTGTAGGGTGTCTCACCGATGGATAGAATAGGTGGTAGATCTTTGTACCACACTTCCGGGTCATTGTTCGGTCCGCCGTACAAGAAGCATTTCTCGATCACATCGTCGTCAATTGAGGTACGAACGTTTCCTGAAAAGCGCACTTGCTCCTTGTCCTTGCTGGGAGCTTTCGAAGAATCCAAGGTTTTCATTGTCTTGATGATCGGTCGGGGTGCTGAGGAACTAGCAACGACGGTGCGTTCGTCCTTGTCCAGTATTATGGATGGCGCGGCGGCAGAAACATCTACACCATGAACCTCGAGCTCGTTATCAACGTCCATGCCCTTGTAGAGCGCCTCGATGCTCGAATCGCTGTTGAAGTCCAGCGAGCTCTCTTCTTGGTGGATGGCCTGTACATCGTCTTGGACTTCTCGAGTCAGAGATCGTAAGCGCCGATAGAGGCTGGGATCGAAGGATTTGCCTTGTGCCGGGAGCTGCTGTAGTATATGTTCGTCGATCGCTTGAATGCGGGCAATATACAATTCGATCGGGTCGCCACTGCCCTCGGTTACCAGGTATTGAATGGCCTTCTGAAGCCGCTCGTCGTTGAAATCTCGGTCGGTCATATTGTTAACCTGAGTATGGTCTGTAGGTCACCGTGTTGCGTTGTCTTCGTCGTGTGGGATATTGAACAACTGAAGTGTATCAGCATAATGCCACATGTTATTAGATCCGATCATACATACGCGAGATGTTAACTAAATTTCGAGAGAGAATGTATTCACACAAGCCGTCTGGAGGGAGTTTATGTACTGGGGGCGCGGTGGACGATTGGGTACACGAACAATGAAAGAGAAGTTGGCGTCATTGAGACAAAGGGCTCTCAGAAGCTGACGGCGATCAAAACCCGCAAACAGTAACAAGCGCCGCGTAGCTAGACGTGGCCAATCATGTTTCGCATTCTACGTTTGATACGTTTCGGATCGCCTTTGTCCATAAGTTGCTATAGACGGTCGACTTGCATTGCATTGAGGCTTGCGCATTGCAGATCGGGTACGCTTGGTAGATGTATTTTGCATTATATTATAAGATGCTACAAGTCGACAACTTAGTGTTGTCGGGGGTATCCTTGGTTGAAGTAGTGCTCCAATGGAGGCGTAAGAGTGCCTTCGTCGGGGGAAACGTGGATTGTGGGCGGTGTAGGCTCCGATGTCGCATAGGACGGAGGTATTTTCTGATACACGTTCTCACCCGACATTTCAGCAGGGCTTGGGTCATCTCCCTGCATCTCGTAGATGCGCTCTGAGTTGCCTTCAGCCTCGACTGGTTTTTGCGGACCGTAAGATGAAAGCTCAGCCTTGGGATCCATGTCTCCGGCAATCTCGTGCGACATTCCTCCGCCCATTTCAACCTTGAGTTGTTCTCCAGATACTTCATGAGTGGCATGGTGCATAACATCCGTATCCGCGAGCTCATGCTTCGAAGGTTTGGCCTTCCTCCGGCGGTACATAATAAAGGCTACGGCGGCGATTACTCCGACAAGTACAGCGAGACCAACCGAAATGCCTGCGATCGCGCCTGTGCTCATAGACTTGTCGGAGTGGGAACCAGAGCCTCCGGAGTTGTTGCCGGTCCCTGGATTGCCAGGGCTGCCGGCTCCTGGAGTGGTCTCTTCAAGGGGAGGGAGAACTGCGACAATCTCTTCGGCGGTCGAAGACGAGGGATATAGCGCCTGTGACAGATTGAATGTATTTCGCTCGTAATCCGCGGAGAGGTGAGCGCTCTGCAGGAAGGCTCTGCCAAGCACGTATTGGCTGTCGTTTGCTGCACGCTTCAATGGAAAATACATCTTCGATGAAGAAGCGTTGGTTAATTCGGTGGATGCTGTCAGGTAGAAATTGAAATACGGCATGTTGATTGTCACGCCACCGCCGGAGACCTCAGGGCCAATTGTGAAGGTTACGGAAGGATCCTGCTCGAGCAGCGTCTGGTGCAAGCTTGTGCTCATCAAATACAGTGCGGTCGCGTTGTCCCAAGTCAGATTGAACGCCTTTTCGAACTTCTCACACACGCTTTCGGGGAGCCAGATGTCCGGGACCAAAGTGCTGACGTACGCAATGATGCCTGTGTCGAGAAGAGGGTCGTCTGCCAAAGTAGTAGCGATGCTCTGAACTGCGACCTGGAAATCAAATGATTGATCACTCCCAAACGGAAACGTCACGGCATTCGGCCTGAATCGCGTGGAGTCATAACCTCCCAAGACCAAGCTTCCGAGAACTTTTGGGGCTTGGTTATAGGCACCTGCAGTATATGACCAGGACAGGCTCGGAATGGGATCGTCGGTCTTGTTGCGTAGATTCTGCATGAGGCTCGGTATAGGAGTGTTGTAGTCGGTGAAGTTGACTGGACGCGGATTCAAGGACAAAGACCCGAGCCAGAAGCTGTCTGTAACGATGCCGGCAACGGACTGGTTTTTGAGGGTAGGCATATTATCTCCCGCCCAGCCAAGGGTGATGTCGTCCCATCCATAGAGTCCATCGCCATCTTGACCGACGCGCCTCTCCAGCCACGGCTCCAGCCCGTAGAAGTTTTTCTCTTGCCACGTCGAAGAGTTGTCTCGCGCATATAATCGACCGCGATCTTCGGCGCAGTCTTGGTCGTTATTGCTGCAGGCTTCGCTGAGCACCAGCCATGTGGTGGATTGATCGTGGGCGGGCAAGACGCGAAACTGCTGGGCAGGCGTGCCAGCTTGGATGCGAAAAGAACTCCACGGACCTTCTTTGCCGTCCCTGCGGTCAAGGTTAGATGGTTGGAAGCACTGTCGAGGGTTTGCGGGTGAAGCGCGACTACGCAGACTAACCATTCCTGGCTCGGCCTTATCGAGAGGGGCGTCGCTGCATGAGCCACTAGTGCAAGCACCGAAAACACCACGATGAGGACCGCGATGGGCGGTCGCTCGTGGACCATGGTCGCGACGGAGGGCACTCCGAGGAGGAGGAGGAGGTGAGGTCTGACTGACTACGGGCCCAGCGCTCGGGCGATCACATGTGGGTGGGAATATATTGACTCGCAACCTTGGAAAGCAGTTGGCCCCAGGAGACGCGAGGCACCGCACCCTGCGCCCCGCTGACTTGCCGTGCATGGCGACGCCCTAGGACAACAAGGGGAGGTGCGACCATGCGCGTCTACAATATTGGACATGGACGCCTCCGCCGTTGACACGGGGCGTGAGCAGCCGAATACGAGCCCCAGCCCAGCGCCCACTCATGCGCATCGCGGGAGCTTGCGCCAGGGGTTCGACTTTCATTTCCTCCGAGCTTGGGACATCGTGGGGTCGACCAGGGACGGACTGATACAAGTCGCGTCCGTCCTGATCCTCCGCTCTCCCCCCTCCGCGACGCGCCGCGATGCTTCCTCAGGCCGTCTTCGCGCAGGTGCTCCTGGCGACTACGGCTCTTGCGATACCCCAAGGTCAGTCTGACGTCGATCCGCAACTCGCGCCTGCCTGACGTATGCAGCCTCCCTAATAATACAAAACCTCACCCCTACCGACAGCACCACCCATTCGGATCCCACTACCGCCCCAGCAAGGGCCCACCCAGAAAGTACCGTGGATGGATGGGGCGATGGCATCACGGAAACAGCGACAGGCACTTGCGACTCTCCCGACACATGTCCTCCATTCTTAGTTCATGTGGAGACGACGGTGACGGGCTTCGAGGATCTGGCCACCACCACAGCACTGGAATCATTCATACGCGTACAAACTTCGCAACATGGCAGGGCGGACGTCGTTACGACAAGTACACCAAGCCTCGTAAACATACACACCGAGGTGGTGCCAACGACACAGCAACGACTCGGAAGACCCAGCGAGACGCCTGTCGGCATACCGACGCGGCCAGAGGACAGTCCTACACCCGGCGTGCCCCAAGCGACTCCATCTCCAGATTCTTTGTTGCTTGACATTGTATCGCGCATAGCCATATCTGCATCGTCTACTGGGAGCGGATCGAACCCACCCAACAATCGCCTTCCGGCAACGAGTGAGACCGGCCTAAGCAACAATGATGATCCCACTCCTCAAACTCACGCAAATGCGCAATCCCAACAAGCAACAGAAGCTGGTTCAAGCGCATCCATCGCCCCTGTTGGTTCAGCACCCGAGATAACTGCTGGTGGCCAGATAACCTTGGGGTCCGCTATTCTTACTCTTACGCCTGGCTTATCCTCCACGCTCGGTGACGGTGCTACCGCGACATATGTTGAGATCACTACAAATGATGCTGGGCAAACATTGATCACTGTTTCTTCAAACGGTACCGCTGTTATTGCGACCGTCACAGAAGCGCCCGCTGCTGTTACCAAACCAAAAACAGGGTTCGAGGCTAGCATCACGACCGCAGCTCGTCCAGCAACTCTCGACAGTACGGGAGATGACAACACAGTTCCAACGACCTCGAGTAGGGGATCGGCAGTGCCTCAGAAGGCCGCAGACATGGGGCAGTGGTTGTACGTAGGCTTGGGGCTTGTTGGACTTCGACTTGTCGCGGGATGAAATCGGAGCCTGTACATGAGTGCAAAGCTATGCAACCCTCTCCACGGTGGCTAAACGCGCCGGCCCTACTATTTAACACCAGTATGCATCCTCGCCCGACGGAAAGCTACTCGAAGCGTTACAGCGCATGTCTACGCCGTCTCTGCACATGTTCAGGACAGGGTCCATTCCGATGCGTCAAATAGGTCCGGAAAACCATCTTGGGACTTCCTGATCAGAGGGAATATCATACGACTTGTAAGAATTGAGGTTGCGTGCGGAGCAGGTTTCTAAGAGATGAAGAAGCGACATACCGCGGGTCGGCGATGTGTCGCGCAGCGGTAAGATACCCTAATGTATAATATATTCAGTGGAGCGCTATTAGTCTCCAGAGCTACACCTCATGTTAATTGAGAACTCGGATAACAGGCGCCGATCAGGGCTCGCATTGAATACCGAGACGTCCCGTAAGAGTATGCTAAGAGAGGGGGTCGTAGCAACACCTAGACATCTTGATACCCACGTAGCTGTGCAAAGATGTTCAAACGAAGTCTATATGTTTCCGTTCATGTGAGCATGCGTAACAGATTACAACCCGGCACTAAAGACTGAACTTCGCACCAAACCCTACATATCATGTATGAGCATTAGAGATATAGTTTGAAGTTACAACTTAGATGCCTAATCTAGCTGAATTTACCCTGGGACAGATTGTGCAAAAGCTCGCTCTACATATCGTGCGCTGGCCTCTAAGAGAGCCTACCGAAATCAGTCCTGTTTTTCATCACCACCACCGTGTATCTTGAACACCAATACGTACGCTTTGTATGCTTACTGCGACGTTCAGATCCTGCGCATCACTCTGCGATAGCAATTCTCAATCACTGGAGGCAGCTGCATCCCGGCCCAGCACCTTCTTGTTCTACTACTTGCCTACTTTGGTTCCCGAGCACCTTCCCAGCATGCGGCAGTGTTACCTTTGGTAGACAATAAACTCACTTCTCTCTTGTTTACCACCATTCACTTCAGCTCTAGCTATCACAACATCGTTCTCACGCGCAATCTATCCATATTTCCATCTTACACGCAGCTATTCATTACACGTGCAGCATACCGTTCGATACGACTTTGAGCGTTACCAGACGGTGTGATTGACCAACATGCCGAGCAGTGCGAAGAGGAAGTCGGCGAGAGCGGCCAAAGCCCTCGGTATTGCGGCCCAGACTGATTGTACGAATGTGTCAAATCAGCGTTCGGGCCAAGAAGTCATTCCCATACTAATTGACGGGTTGCAAGACGCCAACCCAGAGTGCGAGAAAAGGATGATTTCGGCGTTAGTCAAGACGATGCACATCAACAATGGCTCACGGGACAATACTGCTGCCGGGCCTTCGAGGTCGAAGGTGACTAAGCGAAAGGGCAAGCAGAACGCAGTTGTGCAGGCCTCACAAGATTTGACCGCCAGGTTCTCGAGTCACAAGCAAAGCGGGCAGAAACATGTTGAGCAGGCCTTACCAAAGTTCACCGCTACAAGATCCTCAAAGCTAGAGGATAACAAGAACAACGCAGCTAAACAGGCCTTGCACGACGACGAGACTACCATTCACATGCCCAATGACGTGTAGGAGCACGGCAATACCCCAGAGTGGGAGAAAGCAATGAACAGGATGCTATTCCGGTTGATGCAAACGGTCAATCACTCACAGGACGGTACCGCTGCAAAGCGTCAGCAGTCGAAGGTAACGAACCGGAAGGGCAAGGAGAAGCCAGCCTCGCTGTCTTCACAACACGGTCTCATTGCTGGCTTCTCGCATTACGAGCAGAAGAAGCAGGAGGAAGCCGAGCAGGCCTCACCGAATGTTGCCGCTGCAGGATATTCAAAGTCAGAGGAAAGCAACATGAAGGCAGTTGCGCAGGCCCCAGGTGACGTTACAGTTGCCGAATGCTTGGATTCCAAGCCAAGCAAGCACAAGAAGATTGAGCAGGTCCCACATAATGTTACCGCTGTCGGGCCCTCGAGGTCCAAGCAAAGCATGCAGGAGGAAGCTGAGCAGGATCCAGAGACCGTGACAATTGCTGGGTCCTCGAAGGATATGACCGGACCGGAGCTCATCCACAAACCCGAAACGCGACCACTAACCTGGCCCAAAGGATTTTCGGATGAGTCCATTCACCAACTGAAACGGCATTCCCTCGAACACTTCTCGCGAAAACCTAAGAAAGACCCGACAATTGTCTTGAAACCCGGTCAGCTGGTTCGCACAACCTATCCGAACGTCAACACAGTCTACGATGCCAACTTATTCAAATACATACTCGAGGCAGAAGCACGAGCCGGCCGCATCGAAGCAATAAAGAATAGCGCCATGGTTTTTGAGATGGAGAAGAAGCCTGACAAGCTACAGCAACAGGCCCTTGACCATTTTGAGAAGCAGTGTCGACTATGCTCCCAGGTCAAGATTTTGCGAAGAGAAATGGAGACGCGGATCACCAGGTTGGCTTGTGCCAGTTCCAGAAGTGAACAGGTTCAGCCTTGAGTCACTCGCGCTGATGCAAGGATTGGACTTGAAAGTAGGTAGTTCACACATCGCTATCTTGAACACTCTTGTCCTGGAACGCCTTGTCTATGACAGGCAGACAGTAATACCGTCCTTCCCATCGCCTTTGCGCCCTTGTAAACCCACATATTTGCCAGATCGATACCCGAAGTTCCAATTCTCAGATTGCTTGTACCGTGGTCCTAGGATCTCTTCTCTAACACAGTCGCTCACCTTACGCCCCTATTGTCGCCTACGCAATAGCAAACTTACTTCTCTGCCTCAAGACCTTACCCCATTTATAGATCGCCCAAATTCCAAACATACAAAGCACCATCAGCCCAGCCAAGAAGCTTACACCGCCGTCAATACCCAGCTTCTCGAACATGGGCCGCGCAATGAGGATGGCGGCGAAAGCAAGCAGACTGCGCGCCAGACTGTTGGCCGCGAAGATGGAAGCTGCGTAGCGGGGATAGATATTGGGGATGTAAAGCAAAATAGACTGGAAAATGAAGTAGACACCTTAACGTCCATTAGCTGAGGTGACAGAGATGAAAAGTGGAGGGAGCAGGGCGTCAAGGTGGCTTACCGATGATGATCAGGCCGAAACCGATGGTAGGTGCGATCCAGTGGGAGTGTTCTGCGCGGGCGGTCCATGCGTAGATGAAGAGACCGATTGGCATGAGTGGAGATGCGACAACACCAGGGAGCAAATGATTCTCTAGTTCGCCAAATTTGCCAGAGAAAAGCGCGGGGAAGACGCGATACTTGAGGTAGAAGTACTGGATTATGAAGGCGATAGTTCCGGCAGGAAGCACAGTGAGGAAGACGAGACCGGTGGAGGTGGAGCTGAAGCCAAAGTCGGTCGGGTAGACGATGGGGAGAGACTGCACACCGTCAGCGTCGATCTTGTCGCGGCTAGGAGGGTGGAGAAATGCTCACCTCGAAGAACGAATAGAAGATACCATACGCAAGACCGAGGTACAGCGTCGTAAACCCCAGAGCCGGATCCTTGACATTGAGCACCCAGGGCTTGACTAACGCATCCCACAGCAGCGCGCTAACATGCAGATCCCTCTGCTTGAGTTCCGCCTCGCTGACCAACGCCTTGTTGCCCGTCTCCTCTCTCCGCCTCTTCGCCTCATAGTACAGAATTGTAGGCGCGCTAGTCTCGGGCAGAAGGAAGACCATCAGGATATAGAAAGGTCCCGAGATCATAAGAAGCTCCCAGCTTGAGAACCTCCAGCCCATAGCTTCGACAGCGTAGGAAGATAGCGTAGGACCCATGGCGGGACCTGCGGTGGCAGCCATGGACCAGAGGGCAATGGAGTAGCAGAAAGGGGCCGGGGACCAGATGTCGCCGAAGGAGGCGCCTACGATGCCTAGGCATGGACCGCACATGAAGCCGAGAAGAAAGCGGAGAATCATAAGACCCGGGTAGTTGTTGACTAACGCGGTGGGAATGCAGAGGATTATGAAGAAGAAGCCTGATATTGCGTAGGAGGGACTGCGGCCGATGGCTGGGACTTCACTGAGCGGTGAGAAGAGGAGAGAACCGGCGCCGTAGCCCTGTCATCAAAGGTCAGTGTGATCAAAGATATGTGAGTTTGGGAGGGAACCCACTAAAACGTAGAGAGCGATACCAAGCGCACCCTCAGCATGTGTGACGCCGAAGATCTCGATGACATGTTGTTGGCTGGAAGTATAGATGGATGAGCCAACATACAGTGCGAAGGTCCAAAAGCTATGCACGGTCAACTTGAGGACTCACTGCCTGTATGATTATACATACCAGAGCACGGCTGTGATGATCAGCTTCTGATGGAAAGGCCAATTTTGCGGATTACTCGGATCTTCAGGCCCACTCCAGTCCACAAGGTTCGTTACTGCGATACCAGCCTCTTCTTTTCCCTGGCTAGAAACGTTTTCCTTGGAACCGCTAGGTCTAGGTGTAGCAGAGTTGACCGAAGTCGACGCAGGCGAAATGTTCTTTGGTGCTGCTCCTCTTCGATACGAGATCTTTCCCGTAGTAACAAAACGTAGGAGCGTGCCAACAGCGGAGTGCTTAATGAGGTAGGACATTGTTAGATCAACAGTAATGGTACAAGTTGAAGTTGCCACCACCAATTCCTCTGCTGGAGACTTTCAAGCTCGAGGACTGCTAAGAGATGGAAATCAGTGGAAATGGACGGGACCACATCAAGGTATAGGAACTGCTCTCTATGACGAACATTGTCCCACCTTGTCTGCCTGGCTATGCGACGGAACGGACTTAGCCAAGTCCGTATTCATTAGTCCTCAGCTCTGCGGCTAGGTGCATGGAAAACGTGGATTCTGGTAGCACATAGCATGACTTGGCGTTGTGTACCTGTCAGGAATCTGACAAGTTACATAGTCATGTGACCGCACATGCGGCTATTGTCGTCGATCAGCCTCTAATTGAATAGCATCTGTTTCAGGCCATATACCATAGATGCGTAACGGTCCTGTCGCTGCAATGTCCGTCCAATCGATTGTGATAGATCATGATACTGATGCGGAGAGAAGGACTCCGTAGGTGAGGCATCGAGTAATTGTTCGCTTGGAAGAACTCTTGCTATATGATCGACGAACTGTGTTTCAGTCACAAAACTGGTTCTGGTGTTCATATATGGCAGAACGAGACGACTGTGATTTAAGCTAGACATTAGGGTGTTATCGTCCTGGAAGATGCTTGTTTGGGAGTGAGTCGCTTACAAATGGCCTCCCGCGCCCCCCACTGTCAGATATCTGACCCCCACCCAGCTGGCTCTTTTGCATCAAGCGCGAGCTGTGTATTAGCCATGCTCCGCGGATATGTAAAACTCAGGAAGCCTAGCTCGGACTTTCGCTCTTTCCGTGGTTGTTGCGATATTGTCGAGATCCCGAAGTATGCTATCTGCGGTACAGGCATCGTAGGCCGCTGACCCGCTGAGTAGCAAGCAAGTGCGATTGTAGATCGTAGCAAAATTTAGCGAAGAGATATTCTACTTTTACGAGAGAAGTGGTGACCGCATGACTGTGGGGCTGCAGGGTATCGTGACGCTCACATTTGCTTGACAGCGACCCAGGTAATGCGTTCTGCGCCAACACTGGTTTTAATGATACAGAAGCCTTGCCATTGTAGCTTTCTACAAGGTACGCACCACTGCGGTAGTATTTCGATCGAAACAAGTGATACGCCGTTGTTCGGCACACTTAGGTGTTCCAATACTAGCTCTTCTTCGCAAGTGAAATCCGCGATATAGATGGCTCCTTCAACGGATGCGGACTTGACAAAAGCAACGTCACGGGCAAGGATAAAAATTGTAGCTCGAAGTGTTATTTCTTCATCGACAGCCAGACCACCCAGCGAATGGCTCTAAACAAAGGAAAGAGCATGTAGCCGTAGCCGTTGCTGTAAAGAGTGTAACGATGCCAAGTTTCAACTCGTGCATCATCCAAAAGTGTACAAGGAATACCTCTCGTTCCAAGAGAAGAGACTAAAGCACAGAATGAAATATAACCTTCCAAGCCACAGTACGCCTGGACGAACCTGTCCACTATGAGAAACGCCACCAAAAGCCTGCAATGCAAGGAAAAGGTGATCATGTACAGTGGCCTGCTTTTTACGCCAGTAAAGAATGATGCGGCGCACAAGAGGACAAAACGCTAACAGATTGTATGAGGGTATGTATGGTTCGGTTCGTGGATATGGAGTCGTTTCGACCATGTGTGCGTTCGTGATAGGCTGCGTCGCGGTTGTCCGCTTTGGTGATAGTCGTCCATTTCCATGTCGTGCAACGTCGTTCTGGTCCCAGCCGCCCAAACAGATCATCAACTTCAGTGTTGCAGTTGTTCAACACGAGCGACTGATCAAACCGATGTAGCCGTGGTTTCAATGCCAACGTCTTCTTGTGATACAACGATGCGTCCGTAAAGGTCGACCCTGGTCGCTCTGCGGTGTGCGAGTTGTTGATTACTATGCCAAAGCTTGCAGCTTGTCCCGGTTCCGACGTCCGATACGCGCCGCGGCATGCTTCCTTTGTAGTGCTATAGCCAGAGGCCTCTTCACCGGTCAACCTTTGGATACTCATTGAGCCAGGCCATCACAGCCACACCCAGGGCTACGACTGTAAGCATTGATATTGCCGGTGCACCATGGAGGAGAGCTAGATCGTTTCGATTGGAGCGTCTCGCGAGAGCCTGAGTTGTCTTATTGGTCCCTGCCGTAAGCTCATGCTCGGATGGACGACCATTCTGGCCCTTTTGTACCAGAGTTCCATGGGCGTCTTCAGCTGGATCTCTCTCCTTGATGATCGTGATCTCGCCCTCTTCTGCGTCCTCGGCGTCCACAGAATGTTCGATCTTGTCGTCGATCGCCTCCTGGCCTAATCCACTGTGGCTGCGACGACGCTTCGCTTCCTTGCCTGCCGTTTTTGCGTCATCATTGCGGATGTTCTCAATCATCTCCGCCAGGCTCTTGCGATCAGCCTCTGCAGTTTCGGCGCGCTGCCGGTACTTCTCCATCTGCAACTTCATCTCGGACATCTCGGACATCATCGTGTCGAGTCGCTGTTGGAGGCGTGCCGTGGCAACATCAGTAAGATTCGAAGAGGCAGAGCCATTGGCAATGATTGTGTCGGTCTCATCTGTCTCCTCATGGCTTTCATCCTTGTGGAAGTCTCCATTAGCAGACTCTGATTCAGCGGAATGTCGCTCACGTTCGAGCCGGTTGGCTCTCTCCTCGGCATCCTCCCTTGCACGGCGCTCTTCCGTCAACATAGCTTCAAGATCCCTAAGTCGAACGCCCTGAGACTCTATCTCCCTCTTTGCAGTCTGTAGAGCATCGTTCAATATCGTCATTTGCGCATCAGACCTCACAGGCGATCCAGTGGTCTTCAGCTTCTCGGTGTCCGTCCTCTTCAGTAAGGGGGCATCAGGCTTTTCGGGTAAGGGTTGCTGTGGCGGGGGTGCCGGCGGAGCAGAAAACCTGGCCTTGAGGTTGCCATCTTTAATGGGGGAGATCTTTGTAGAATTGATAGGCGAATGTTTGGTAGAATCCTTCTTTGGATCTGCGGTAAGGATAGCGTTGATGTATGAATGAGTTTGTTGGAGGTCTTGCGACTGTTGTCGCGCAGCTTTCATCTCTGCCTACGGATAAATTAGTACGTGCTCAAGGCGTGCGTATAGTACTTGTCGATGTGTTGACTCACATTCAGTTTCTTGACGACTTGCTCCATTGTAATTGGCTGTAGCCAGAAGTTGGGGTGCCGCGGCTGCTGCATGGCGGCAACGTTGCTTCCCATTACGGCGGGCCCGGGCAGGCGTTGGCCGTTCATCGAACCTTGACTCGGTGTGCGACCTCGCATGTTGATCATCTGTTGCTGACCACCTGGCCCCACCATGTTTGACAGCTGTTGTCCGTCCATCTCGCCAAAGTTGAGGTCCACCATATTGTTACCAGTATTGGAATAAATACCAGCGTGCTCAACGCGGGCAGCAACCTTGTGGTGTACGATGGTCTTCTGGTCCTCGCTCACGATATCGATACCCAGTTCCAGCATGTCTTGTTCACGCAGCTCGTGTGGGTCTGAGTCACGGTTCTCTTGAGACAGCCGCTGGCCATTGACGAAGGTGCCATTGGACGACTTGACGTCGCGGATCCAGATTTTGCCGTTTCGGTCGGCCCATATCTCTGCGTGCTGACGCGAGAGAACTTTCGAGTCGAAGTACCCGTTCTGCGGTGTGGGTATGGTCTTATTGTTTGTCTGTCGGCCAATGCGGAGAACATCTGGGAAGAACGGCACGGTGATGGTCTTCCGTTCGAAAGTGCCGTTCATAGGAATAAGATGCAGTATCGCTTGTGCCTCTTGCATCGGAGTGCGCGGGGCGCCGTTGGTCTGCGACTGGGTGGTGCCGTTGTGCTGCGACGGCAACGGCGCAGGGGAGTGTAACTGTGTCATGGCGGCGGCAGCTGACGGGCCTTGGCCAGCGGAGGTGAGAGATTGAGGACGAGTGTTGGTGATGCCAGCAACAGGTTCCGTTTTTGTCGCAGGCCATAACCCTCTTGGCGCCTTTTTCCGCGCAGCCCAGGTCGAGCCGTCGGCGGTGGGTGAAGCTCCCACGCCGCTCGTTTGTGAAGAGGAAGCGGTCGAGACGGTAGATGTGGACGATGCCTGCGACGATAGCGACGAGGACGAGTTGGAGCGTTGTGCACTTTTCCGGGGCATGAACATCCTAAATTCGTCGCTCATGGGGGCAGCTCCGTTGGGGACGCCGTTAGGCCCGCTCCATCTGTTCTGGAAGTTTACAGGAGGAGCAACTGCCGTCATCACAGTGAATGTGCAGCGCGGCTGCCCGGGTGGACGTTTGCAGGCGCGTGTTTGGCGTGTGCCGTCACTTTTCCCTCATGCAACCCCCGTGGCTGTTGTTGGCTCGTTCTAGCGGGGGACCCACAGCGCGAGCGCCGCCGAGTATCGACAGCAGCGACGGCGATGCAGCAGGCGTCTTCACGCACGCATGGGCTGTGCGAGCGCCTCGGGGGCAGGCAGGCAGGCGGCTTGGGTCGCGATCGTGGGCGCCGGGTTGTCGTGTCGTGTGCTTTTCGTGGAAAGCCCGTGCGACGTCGTCAGGGCAGGCTCGCCGTCAAGGAATGTGCTGCGGAAAAGGAGAGGGTGGAAACCGGACGGATGACGGACGCAGCGATGGAGGTCTGCGATGGGCTGCTGCTCGTGAGATGCACGGCTACGATGTGGAGTCTGGCGTTTTGAGAAGCGGATGAAGTGAGGCCTTGTCCTTCTCCACACGCTGCTCCGAGCGCCGTCGGCAGCCCGAAACGTGATATAAACGGAAGGGCACAAACACCCACAACACAGTACGGCGCAGCAGGAAATTCGAGTGCAGAAGCAGACAAGCCTATACTGGTAGGATACTAGACATTAGCATGTTTCTTGACATCTACATTCCTGGACCGTGTGTCCCTACATGTGTCATGTGACTTATTCCGCATCCATATTAGCTCGCCGACGTGCATGCAGCGTGCGTGGGACCACTGTGACCGACGACAGCCCGCAACCGATTCGACTTCTTTCTACATACATACTCGAGACGCACAGATCACAATGCCTGTCCCAGTAGGAGCAATGCCAGGCGGCCAACATGGCCCATCCACCCTCGACAAACGTGAATGACTAAACCTTGCTCGCACCGGCGCTTCGCTAACAGCATGTAGTCAAGATGGGTGGCATGATGGGAGGATCTGTAGGCCTTATCATCGGCTTCATTTTCGGTGCGCACCATCTCCACGTATGTTTCTCTTAGCTCATGGTATCAGGCTTCACAAACATCGTGCGCTTCGGTCCTGGTCCTAACGGTATGCTTCGGACGCTGGGGCAATATATGGTCGGCTCAGCAGCCACTTTCGGGTAAGCAAACTTATCGCGCAAGGAGAGGAAGCAGCCTGCTAATTGGACACTGTGAAGCTTCTTCATGGCCATCGGTACCACCATCCGCACCGACAGCTCTCCCATCGCCGCCGAGGCCTTCGCGAAGATTCACAGACGGCCAATGATCCTTCCACGTCAATACCAGCACCCACAGACATCTCGCGAGGAGAAGAACTAGGAGGAAAGCATGTACATATATAACAAAGGGGGCTTAAACGGCACTCCCTGCTCTCAGAGCGTGTAAAACATTACGAAGCATCGAGCAGACGGCTATGTAAAATAAAAGGCTGGCGAGCCTATTGATGGCGAGATAGGAATGGGAGCTCGAGGTGCGCTCGTGGCGCATTGATCGTACGCAACCACATTCATCATAAGTTTTGTGTTGACTTTCACCTCAAGATTATAAACTCCGCCCAAAAAAACCTCGCACCCCGCCCAAAAAACCCCTTGCACTCTACCCAAAATCCCCCTTGCACTCTTCCCAAAAAGACCCAAGCACTCTACTAAGCACGTCGAACTTCTCAACTACACTTCTTTTGGACACTGTCGTGTTTGTTGATTACCCCCAGTACCAACCCCAGCTCCGATGGGTTCACGCCACCGCAGTCGAAAATATGACGCGCCCAAATTTATGGCCTCGGAGATCCGATCTCCCCCAAGCGGCTCTTATGCACCTACTCGCGTCTCGAAAAGACAGGCGCCACCAGCCGAATTGTCAGGGTACAAAATCTCATCGCGCAGAGAGACTTCCGCCATAATCGAATTGGCCTCCGCGCTGAGCACGCCGGGGAAATCTAGGCAGCCAAACAACTTCTTGTATTCGGGCGAACTCCACAAGGTCGGCCTCCAACTTGCCTCTAAGATCAGCCAGTCAAAGGCAGCTGGGAAAGCTAAGGCTGAGGTACCTAAACCCGGGAAACTCCAAGTCACAGTCCTCGAGAAGGGTTCCTCGTCTGCGCCGCTGTTTACTCCCCTAAAGGAGATCCAGAAGAGCATGCTGGAGACGCAGGATAGCCTCGAGAAGCTTGATGACATCGATTCAGTCTCCGTCCTCGACGTTGTGCGGCAATGGGAATATGCTATTCGTAGAATCGCGCAGAAGTTCGAGAAGGTTGAGGAACAGCGCATATTCGATCTTGCAGCAGCGATCGACCGCGACAAGAAGCGCGAACAAGTACACAAGCAGCAACTAGCTGCAAAGGATGCAGAATTCGCCGAGACCTTTGAACAGTGTATCGCGGAACTCGCCAAGTGCGATAAAGAGAACACGACCTTGCGAGAGAGCCTCGAGAGGCATGAAGAGAGGCAGTCGGGCTCCGAGAAGCAGATAGTCGCCTTGAAGGGGGGTTTTGAAAAGAGCGCCATCCTCGAGCAGGAAGATATCGAGCGTCATATCAAGAAGAAATATGAGAAGACACTGGCGCATGAACTCGGAAAGAGAGACGAAGAGATGGAGAAGAAGTCAGAGTACCAACAGGTTGCAATCAGGAAAGAAATGGAGGAGATTTTTGACCTGAAGACGACGGCCTGGTTTGGCAAGAAGCAAAGTGCAATGCCACCGCTTCCGACACAATCGCCTTCAGCCACACCTGAGCCGAAGGTCAAACAGGTAGCGTTCACGCCAGAGTCTATCGAGCATAACGTGAACAAGAAGTACGTAAAGCAAATCGAGCATAACCTTCAGAAGAAGGATGAAGAGATGAGGCCGGGGTCAGACAAGCAGAAAGAAGAGATGAAGGCAGACTTCGGAGCGAAGATAACAGACTTGAAGCAGGAGTACGAGAAGAAGCAAAAAGAGCATATAGCGACTGCCACACAAACCGTACCGTTGCCTTCAACCTTACCTGTGCCAGAGATCGACCCGGGAGCGATCACGCCAGAACTCGAGCCTTCATCGACTCTTCAGGCCTTGCCGCCTTCAGCATTGGTATCGTCCGTGGCTCCTGGCAGGAAGCGTGATCCTATGCCATTAACAGGAAAAAGAGCTTACGACCACTTCAATATCTCGCAGACATCTAATCGTGTACTACGGGAGAAGCTATGGAAGAAGGAAGCCAACTCCCACCTGCGCCAACAGATCAAGGAGCTTGAGAAGGCAGTGCCGCCAACCGAGACTAATCCACATGAGCACTACTCTTCCTCTTCGAAGCCTGAGCACCGCAAAACTGACGACGACCCCAACGTTATCGACAGTGCCCAACCGAAGCGCAAGCTGGTTGCAGATGACGGCGCATCTACTACGACCGACACTGCTTCGCTCAAGCGCAAGCGGACCGCAGACAATGATGAACCCGCTGCCATCGACACGCTCTCGCCGAAGAGACCTCGCACGTTGCTCAAGCAGACCGGACTAAAGTCAGAAGCTCGAGCTATTTCTATTCCCGCAAGCCAGCCTCTTACTACGGCTTCGTCCGAATTTGCGCTCCCCACTCCACCAGATAATGCATCTACTGATGCTTCCGATCTTGATCAAGGATTCAATGGCATCATTAGCACTGCGCAGCTACAGAAGCCTCATATATGTGACAAGCCCACATCATTGGCCCCAACGCCAGTCGACCGTAAAGAGTACCCCGTGCGATTACAAGCGGCAAAGAAGGCTAGGCAGCAAGAAAAAGTGAAGATTACACTCTTTCAGAATACCCCGGCACCGACACCGGCTGCTTCGAAATCCGTACTTGCGCCAGAAGTTGCAGCAACTGATGAGAACGGCCAACTCACAGAGAGGGTCATCAAGGTTGAGGGTCTATGGTCAACATCCTACCACGGTCTTCTTCGGTGGAAGACGCTCAAGGACGACATGAGCGAGGACGAAATATATGAACTCTCGCCGTTCTACAACCCACCACCTCCGTCCGTGACCTATCATAGTCTTCCTCAGTGGCAGACTGTTGAGGAAGACGAGGAGCTCTAGGACCTCAACGCTGTGGCGACTTCGATGCAGCGGCCTTTCACGCGAACTCACAGATGTCTTGTACTTTTTGCCGATCTTGAATCTTTTGCAGGTTCCGCGCATCTGAGGAATTGTCTTGCGCTTTACTTGTTCACAGTCTGTCTTCATTCTACTTTGCCTTGCTCAATTCTCCATATCACTGTTGTCCAAGCCAGCCGAGGAGAGAGTGCATGCTCGAATCGGTGCGTCCGCGATCGAAAGCTAGGAGGGAAACGCCCACGCTTAAAGGTTGCTTTTGGCTTAACTTTCTTTCTTTCGTGTGGCTTTTTGTTTAATCAAGACATAATAATGTGGACTGGCACAGACGGCATGATCAAGGTTTCTTTCTTAGTACGCTATCGCGAGACAGAGTAGTAAATAAGCTGGGTGAGCAGCGTGGTATCGAACATTTCGCATGGCAGAACGGTGGTACTTGGCTAGGACGGTGCGTCTAGGATTCGAATCGGCGTCTCAATTGCGTTGCTATTGCATCATTTTCTTTGGCATACGTCCAGGCGTATGTTTAGGCCTGCGGACTTCTCATTTCAAAGATAGTTCTCCTTACATTACGTTAGCTCTAAATGATAATCGAATCTCAGATCACGTGAGCCACCCATACCGTGGACCCGTGGACCCGTGGACGTGCGTTTTCTTTGTCTTACTCTTTGTTTAAGTGCATGAAAGGCTGTCGTGATGTCAAGCATTGGGAAACATGAAGAAATGAACACACGAGAGTAATTTATGCGATTCATTCAAAGATTGAGAGACAAATATCACCAGGAAGCAAAAAGACTAGGAGATTTTCAAAGTAAAACAGTCCTTGTTCGTAAATTGTGCTAGGCTACAATTAATATCCTGACTCTGGTTCCTAGCCCGTCCACACCTTGGGTCCCGGTGGAGTATACGAGGTGGGCACAGGGTAGTAAATATTGATCATGATTCCAGGGTCAGTCGCCTTGTAAGCTCCCGGGAACGACACGAGAGGGCCTGGCGAGCCGCTACCACCGCCCTGTTGACAGTCAGTCTACCCGCAACCAAGGACTTCGAAATTGTGCAAGCACTCACCGTAACCTTAACCTGCGCACAACTAATATAGAATTGCGCACCCCCCGCACTCCCCGCGCTATGCAGCGCAATGTGCTCCACCCTGAAAAGATACTCCCCACTTGGCAAGCTCTTCGGAATCGGCACCGTGACCTGACTCTTCCCCTGGCTGGGCCAAGTCAGACCACCACCAGTGATCGTGGGACCCTGTTCGAAAATCTTGAACCACACGTTGCCGCTGCCGTCCCAGGTGGAGGCGGTCTCTCCGCTAGGCACCTTCGCCATGTAAAATTGGAGAGTGCCCGGGTGCGAGATGGAGGATTGTGCGGTGAAGCCGAGGGTGGAGCCGGCCGCGACTTCGTAGGTTCCTTGGGCGGGGGCGCCGGGGGAGAGCTCGTAGCAGCGGATTTGGTTGGAGGTTACCTGGCATAGAGTGAGTGTGCGTTGCTTGAGTACCATCTGGAAGGTATAGAACGAGGAAAGGGGAAGCATACGTCTGTGACTAAAGGTGGGAGTACAAAGTCAGTGTAATGCTCAGCAATCAGGGAAGTGGGTGAAGTATTACCTGGCCCATTGCTCTGATAGTTTGTCGTCTTACGAACATATTGCCATGCGCCAGTTGCTGAACCGGATGCTACAAGAGCGGGGAAGGTGTAGTGTGCTGAGGCTGTAGCAACGAGGAAAACGGTACTGAAGAACTTCATTTTCTATTGGAAAGGAGGTAATACAGGAGAGTTATGTGAATCCCTGGCTTCGCATCCGTGGCAGATCAAGAACGGGCACTTTATATGCCTTTCAGCTTGTTCCGGGTTCCCTTAACGTTCTCAGCCATGCGCCCACGCATTCGTAGACCCTATCCAAAACGGTCGCACTATGCATGCACCCCAGATGAACGCAGATACGGTAGGTTATCGTACGTTGGGTACGTGCGCGGTGCCGGCGGGTAAAACGCATCCCAATGCCGAGCTTGCAAATTCTATCCGTAGATTAAGCCAATTTGTTGTAGATGAGAACAGTCACGTTTCGAGAGTATGGATTGATTAAGTACCTGATCAGTGTTCGCAACGTGGGAGGCCAGGATTATATTAAGATGGGTTTGGGCTCAATGGCGAAACACCGCGTTTCCCAGGCGAAGAGAGAAGACCACCCTGCGAGCGCGGGAGAAACCGCGGAACTAAGTGTTTCTAGATTCTAGTTCTGCACTTGCTTGCTTGTGTGCAATCATAGCTGATTGCGTCTACGTGTTGTTCGTTCCGAAGCAGCAGTTTCGCGAGTAGGAGTTGCAATTCAGATATGGGGCTGGGTGACACGCTAAATTCGGTCAGCTAGCTCGTTGACAGCAAGATGGCAGACACCGAATCAATATGGATACTATGACGCAGTCCAAGGGCTGCCCAAATCAGACAATCAACAGTGAAAAGGATGTAGGAACGGTGTTGGGTACCGTACACACAGCGGAAGTTGATTGTATTGTTTCATTTGGCAGCACTCTTCTATGACGTGCGTATACATAGGCGAATGAGCTTGGTGGGCGAGTGCTTAATGCAGTAGTCCAGACCCGTCGTGATGACAGTACATGCTATAATACAGCTGATATTGCGACAACATCTAGGGAATCTGTCAGCTCAATTCCGAAAACCAGGTCATATCGAGTTCGCTCAAGCAGGCAGTCGAGGCCCGAAGACAGGACGCATGCACGCCACTTACAAACGTAACAAAAGAACGTACCCCACGCCTTACGCAGCACTCCTTCGTTCCACAAGAGCCTTCAATTTCTCTTCCTCTTCTTCGAGCTCCCCAACCTCGTAGTATAGTTCATCCCCTTCATCCGGGTATCCAAATATGCTCCTCCAGACGCGCTCCCCCAACCCCTTCTTCTGCGCCATAGCCAATACCATCACAATCGGCAGATGCCATACACTGGCCCAGAAAAGTCCTCTCGCAGTTCCCTTGTGTCCCTGTTCGCGCCAAAACTCCACAGCCTTCCACGCCATCCAGCCATTTACCAAGCTGCTCGTAGCGATGAAGCTCCAATCCGTGACACCACAGAATGAGAGCCCAATGCAAACAGGAAACATGAGGATGGCGTAGCGGAGGGCCACGCGGCCGTTCTGCGCAGGATTGACCCAAGCCAGCATGCGGTAACCGGCGTGCTTGTATTCCTCGCGGATGGACCACGAGAGGGAATTGAAATGCGGAAATTGCCAGGCGAAGAGGAGCGCAGCGCAGAGCCAGCCTCCTGCACTTCCTTCTCCGAAAAGTAGTTCCTGCCATGTGCCGTCGTGGGCACATTGTCCCGCTGCAGCGGTCCAACCCATCAGGGGGGGAATGCCGCCTACTACAGCTCCGATCCAGGTATTAAGAACGTGCATCCGCTTCAAGGGAGTGTAGCAGCCAGCGTAAAGCACGATGTTCGTAAAGCCCAGGAAAGTGGTGGTAGGGTTAACGCCATAATACAAGGCACCGGTACCAACTACTCCGCATGTAATAGCAAAGGCCATGGCACCTCTTGTGCTAATCAGTTTGCGCACGAGAGGACGGTTCCGCGTACGGCTCATTTTGGCGTCGTGTTCGGGCTCCATGAGCATGTTGAAAGCATTGGCCGAGGCTGAGCATAGCGCTGTTCCTGATGTAAGGAAGAACAGCGTGAGCGTAGAGAGCGAAGGCGTAGCGGTTGCGGCCGGAGCAAGGAGACCGGGTACGGGGTATAAAGAGTATGCGGCGGTGGCAGTAAGCACAACAAGGAAGGAAAGTCTAGGTTTCGATAAAGAGAGGTAGGTCGTAAAGACTCGTTTGAATGACCGTTGAGGCAGCTGCGAGGAGATGTCTGCTAATTGCGCTGATGCGTCCAGCGCTATAGGATAACGTTTTTCTGCAATTTCGCCGGCATCTCCTTCCCGTCGTCTTTTGCGCCGCCGATGCGGAAGCGCATCTTCTACAGACGTCCCCACAGGTTCAGATTGCGGAGCGCTGCTGGCTGGCGCTGCCTCGCCTGCCCTAGCCGAAGCAATCGAACTTTGTATGTCCCTTCTGGACCGCGCCAGCGACTGACCAAGAGTCTCTCTGAGTGTAGAATTGGTCCAGAAGTAATCTTTGCTGAACGAATTCCTGCTCTTCCCTACCGCGACCGCGTGCCGGCTAGATGACATGTTCGAGAACGGCTGCCGGCGGGGCATCGGCGCTCGAAGAAGCTTGCGCCAACATTGTGAACACACGGAGCTTGTGTCCTGCGTGTTAATCGATCGAATTGGCGGCGCTCGGAGGCCCATTGCGGGTTGGGTTGAACTGTAACTTTTCTGCCGGATGCAAGTTGCACATGGAGTGACACGCGCCAAGGATCGGTGCGAGTCGGGCCGAGTCGCGACTATGCGCGATTATGCATCCATGGATAGGTAAGAATCACGCGCAATTAGAGAAGACCATAGATAGTGATAAAAGGCACTGCACAAGTCACCAGCAGCATAAGATACATATTGAACTGTAGACCGCAACGGCTATTATACATTGCTCAATCGAGTCTAAACGGGCGGGCAGAACACCCCTCTCTTGCCTCCCAGTGCCTGAATCAATACATGGCGAACAGCTCAATGATGATGGTACAAAACGTTCACTGGTCTTCTCCAACGGACACCTAGTCTTCATCACCTTCCCCAGTGTCTGAAATGTACTCGAACTCCCCGGGTACTGATGCCTCTGCGTCTCCTTCTTCCACCAGGTTGTCATCTACATCTTCTGCTTCAGGACCAGCTTGTACTCCGGCCGGTGCGTGGTCGCCTGACGAACCTGTTGCACCAGGTGCGGGAGCTTGCACTGCCTTTTTGACCTTCAGCTCGAGCAGACTTTTCGGCTCTGAAGGCTTCGTATCATGAACAAGTACAACACCACCAGTAGGCTGCTTATTGTTAGATGGAAATAACTAGAAACGTTTTGCGTGCAACTCACCTTCTTGACAGGAATAAATCGCTCTTCGGGGAAGCTGATGTACTTCACCTGACCGGGCAATACGCGCGACATGTTCTCAAGGTCGTAGCCAACCTTCTCCTTCTCGGCCTTCTTCTTTGACGACTCCGCAGCCGGAGTGCCCTCTTTCTCTTTATCGTCTTTCTTCTCCTCATCTATGTCCATCTTATCATCGTCTGAAGCTTGGATCTTGGGTGTCGTGGGTGATTGGTCGACATCCATGCTCTCTCGTCGTTGTTGTCGCGCCTTCACTGCTTTTCGTCGCTTATCTTGGGCAGTCGTGGACAAAACCGCCGTCTTGATCGCTTTCGGTGCTTCTTCCGCCTTGACCTCCTGCTCAGGTGGGTAATCGAACATGCTTGGCCGGGTGTTGCTATGGAACTTGAAAGTCGGAATCTCGAGATCCTGGTCCACGCCAATGATAGCCGTGGGCGTGAAACTGAGGGAAAGGAAGTGTGTCAACGGGAACCAGTACCAGTATTGCGTGAAGACTGCCATGCCTACGATAGCAGTCATGTTCAAGTTGCCGGTCTGTGTCTGAAGGCCGATTGTGCAATTCCGGCCACCTGCGTCAATGATGCCCAGGGCAAGTGCGCAACCGAACTTGGCCATGGCGTCCTCGTGTCGGTCGCCAATGATCTTGGTGAGTGTCTTACGAATCGTGGCCACCTTGGGGTTCATGGCCTCGTTCTGTTGTACCATTATCATGGCGAGAGAAATGAGAGCACCTTGTCGGACAAAGTCGGTCGAGTCCTTCATCATCGGCTCCAGGAGATCGATAGCTTCGTCGAGACCAGTACCTGCGCAGGCAATACCGAGAGCCATGGTAGCACCGTACCTGACGTGAGGGTTGTACGACTCGGCCAGAAGCTCAACCATACGGGGTACGCTTCCAGGTTTCCTGAATAATACAAATCCCAAACTCATAACTGCGACCCGGCGAACATCGTCGTTGACATCGCTGACAGCAACATGGAGCAACCTACGCACCGCCTTGTTGCTGCTTGTGCCGCAGTATGCAAGAGCAAGGGTCATTATACCTCCATAACGTAGGGTCGGGTCGGGGTCATCAAGTAGGCCGTTGATGAGTTCGTCAGCGGCCTCCTCCCGAGCATACATAATCAGAGCCATGCCCATAGCCAGACCTCGAACAATCTTCTCGTGCTGAGTGTCGTGAGCATATTGAATCATATCTTCGAGCGCCTTGATGTTTCCGGTGCCGAGCATGACAAGACCCATGGAAAGACCGACGGCTTCTCCGTTGATGGCTGAGTCGGTGTAGAGAATGGCCTTGAAGGCCTCAAAGATCTCCTCTGAACCTGTGCCCATGCCGGCGACACCCAGGCCAAGGGCACCGCCATGCTGAATGACCTCTTCCGAGGCATTTTGGAATTGTTTCAGCAGGTAGTCCAGCACGTGGGTTCCGTGGTTTGAGTAAATCAAACCCAAAGCGTAAAGTGATCCGCCCTGCTCGTAGTGACTACCTGACGATACGGTATCCTTGGGCAGGTAAGGGTCGAGCAACTTCTGTCCTTGGGTGATGTTACCGCGGTGGATTACACCCAAAGCAGCTGTAGCAGTGAATTTGGACCAGTTGACAGCCTTGCCCAGCCAATCTAAGTTCTCCCGGAAGAAAGTATCGTTGGTTGTACCGGCATTCATGAACGCATTTGCGAAAGTAACGCCGGTGTGGAAGATGGAATTCCTTGACTCCAAGCTGTCCCGGATCTTGTTGAGAATGTTCTTGTCCGCATGATTATTCCGGTACAAGAATTCAAGATTGAGCTCAATGCTCTTGGTACCTTGAAGCACCTCACGTACCGATGTGAAAGCTTTCATTTCTTCTTCTGACGCGGTTTGCTGCTTTGTGCGTGAGACAACAGTAGATACGTTGCTCGTGTCGATGTTCGAGAGAAGTCCTTCGGTCTCTCCAGCCTCTTCAGACTGAGGTTTCTGTGAGGCGTCACCGTTAGCCGAGGGTTTGTCCTCATTCTTCTCCTCCTTTGGTAGCTCTTCGATCACTTTTGCCAGGAATTCCTGCGTGCCATTTTCATATATGTCGAATGCGATTTGGTAGGCGATAGCGAGCGACTTGCTGTCACCGCGCTTAATGAGTTGCTGGATGAGGTTCGACGCCAAAGTATGTTGGTTTAGATAGACGACGCATTTCGCGATAGAGAAATAATCCGGATTGGCGATCTCGTTCAACAGATCGAGTATGAGGCGCAAGATCTAGGTCGCATTAGCTCATTTTTTCTAAGAAGCCGGATATTCTTACCTCATTCCTCAGACCCCGTTCCTGCACTACATTCATGCATATGTCCAGAACGTACTCCATCAACTCTTCGCTCTTGCTAGGCGAGCCGGCTGGCTTCTTGCCCTGCTTCTTCTCTTCTTGGCTCGCTTGGAGGAAACATTCTCGTAGAACTTCCAGATTTCTAGCTTCAATGGCTATTCCGACGACCTGCTTGTAATCGCCGTTCTCATAGCAGCTTTCGAAGATTCGCCGTATGGTCGCTTGGAGGTTCTTCTGTACGCTCCGCTGCAGGACAAGAGGAGTAGGATGGGCTCCTGCAATACCGGCATTGCCGCCACCAGGAAGGTTAGGATCGAATGTGGACGAATCCTCGCGGGACAGTAACGACTTCGAAGGCAAAGCCGACTGTGAGAAAGGCGTTATTGGAGATGTCAGGCCTGCTGATGTACTAGCGCCTCCCGCGGCGTTGCGGTCGAAAGACGTCGTTAGCTGGGGTGGGGCTTGGTTCGCTCTGCTTATCGGTGTCGGAGGGTTATGCATGGCGGACAAGGCGATATACGTATCTAGACATTTGGCTATCGCCACCGTTAGTCTCGCGTATGACAGTGGAATGGAACCCTTGGGCAATATAGAAAGAAAGTCGTTGTCCGAAGGTGGGCTTTCTGTAATTGCGGGGACCGCTCACCCAAGATTGTCTCCTCAAACTCCCCCGCATGATGGATATCGAACAGCTTGCCAGCACCGAGCGCAAAGACCATACTTTCGTTGTATTCTTGCAGCTGATAGTAGACCTTTGCCGCAACGAGAGCTGCGAGTTCTCGCTCCGGGAACGACTCATCCTCGTAGAGGGCCTCACTATGACGGTTAGCATCGATGTCTCTGATCTTACATGTATCGGCCAATGTCTGGGGGCGCTTACATTTGACTGACAGAGCCAGCGACTTCCGGCCACAGCAGGTCGATTTCCTCGTTCAACCGATGTAGAGCGAAGGACCGCAAGGCCGGATCTGGTTCGGAAAGAAAGCCGACAACGCCGGCAGCTGAGGTGAGGCCGACCATGTTACGATATACTTTGCGGTTTGTGGGTATATCTCAGCAGGATGGAAGGTAGCCCGCGATGCTGGTGTTGCAGGTGCGAGCTGGCGAAGGCGGTAGAAGGAGACGGAGCTGGGAGTGGCGCCCCAGCAGGCGAGCTCTCGGAACCGAAGTTCAGCGGCAGTGTCGTTCAAGGCGTCGGAAAAGACCTGCGGGGTGAGGGGCACGCGGTCAAAGGAGGGAGCGTGTAGAATGAAGATGGCAGTTGTGGGTGGGTAAGATTTGGTGATCCACGCGCGCGAGGTCTCAAGACAACACAGTCGGAGCTTCTGCTTCTGACGACAGGGGTCCGTGCGCGCTTTCCGATTACCAAAGCTAGGCAGCACGATCCCGTTTGTCCTGAGAAGTCTCAACCAGTTCGAGGCTGGTCAACAAGTTTGGAGCCCATCATTACCTTTTCTACATACAAGCGTCTTTGGTGGCAGTCTGTCCATACGATGCACTACCGGAGTAAGGTCGGCTATCCAACACATAATCGGCATATTCTATATCCCCGATGCAGATGTTAGAGTCGCGACAGGTGGGGTCACTATTGGTGCAGTCAGTTGCTTGTGACTCGTCGAAAAATGTCCAGATTCAGATAATAGTAGGAAGCACGCGTTCACCGATGTCGGAAGCCAAATGTTTCTCGCAAAAAAGGGGGGTATCATTGACTTTCAAACTCCGTACTCGATGCTATCAGAAACCCCGGTAGACCAGACTCGTGACCGAAGCCCAGGATGCTCGAACAGCCCAAGGCTCGGAAGAGTACAAATACTAATAATACGTGCCGTCGCTGCGAGCTAATCTGGCAACTCGTCGGTAGCCTTGCGCACCGGCAAGCCCAGCACTTTGAATCAGAGCCTCAACGTCAACATGACAGTTGCCAGTCTTCGCTCCCACCGCGTCAATGGTACACTACCGCTTGGGAGGTGTAACTTCGCGCGACAGGACCCTCAGATTGTTGATCATCCCGTTGATCAGAGGCTCGAAGTCGTTTGGCTGCTGATTCCTCACTCGGTCACCCTGCTCAAGGAGGACATTTGAGTCCAACTCCAGCTCAAGTTCGTGGATCCTTTGATTATCCTGCGTGACCTGGGTCAAATCGATCTGAAACGCATCTTGGTATGAGTACGACATGCGGTCTTTGTAGCGCTTCATCGCTTCAACCCCTCTGCCCTTCTCAACCACCTCCTGCAGGCCACCTAAAGGCCCTGGGAAGACTATTTCGATGTTGACACCAATTCGATAGTCCCATTCCGTTTGTGGCGAACTAATCTCGAGGTTGTTCACTTTGTGCTTGATGATCGCTGCGACAATCTCACCCGTCTTCTGGTCGCGCGACACGCGTATGCGTTCTTGCTTGCTGCTGGCCCTGAGGATGTTCTGTGCCGCGGGAGAAAGCCGAGACAAAGCCTCTGAGTCAAGTTCATATTGCTGGTCAACGAGTCTAGTGTGTTTATATTGGATTTCCGGTCGGTTATTTGGGTTGCCAGGTTTGGATTGGAATACCTGCTTGTTCAGGTACTTGTTCATTTGCTGATGCTGTTGGAGGTCCATCGTGCTCTCAAACTTGGTCTTTTGGCTGACTCCGGGATGGAGCACACATTCAGTGCTGTGGACTCCTGTGAGGCGCAGATCTGATTCGCGCCAAACAATATGTCCCCAACGGGCCTCCACTTCCACAGTCGTATCTGGCGCCTCCTGAAGCAGCGCCCGTATTCGATCATTGACGATGATGTTTGTAAAGAGGAAATCACATACTTTACGTTGTATCTCGTCGTAGACGCGCGGATCGTGGGATATGGGCCGCTCGAAGCCTGCTAGAGCCGCAGACGCTGTAGGGTGCGGAGTACTCGACGGTTGGGCTTGCGACTGGCCATTGCGCGATGCGACTGGCGGTGGTTGTGATTGGGAGGGCTGCGGTCGCGGTGGAGGTTGCGATTGCGATTGCGGATGCGGTTTGGGAGGTTGCTGGCGCTGGCGTTCGTTGATATCTTGTTGGAGTGTCTTGCCGTCGTAGACTTCGTCCTCGCGAACGGCCCAGATGGGCTTTGGGTCGTGTCGCTTGCGTTTGCGACTCATAAGGCTGGTGTGTGACTGTCTAGGAGTGGCCGGGAGAGTCGCGCTCGAGAGCGCAGGGCTCGGCGCTAGTATGGTGTTATGCGAACCCGACGGCGAGCGCCGCGGGAGTGCCTCTGACACAGGGTTAACTAAGGCGGCAATGTCCATGTTGGCGGAGTTGTGTGGGCGGCACAAGTATGGCTTGTGCCAGTGTTCTTTGTAGTCGCAACACTGCTTGGCACCTGCCTGAAGCCGCGCCGGGTGACTAAGCTAAGCCTCGCCGGGTCTTTGTAGTGAATGAAGGAACTTTGAGATGACACATGGGCCATATTGCGAAAGACACCTCACGAATCTGCAAGCATGAAAGGTTGAAATTTCCATGTGTTCATCTCATTTACTACGCTATCATGATCCCCGTTTGTCCATTACGCCTGTTGGTCCTCATCTCCTCCTTCACAGTCTAGCTCGAATCATCTCATGTTAGACGTGACTTACATGCAAACATTACGCAAGGCCGAAATTCCGTATCTAAGCCTCCTGGTCAAGACCCAAGTCCTCGGTAGCGGGAACAATGCGGAGGGTGTTGGTGTGACCCATTCCGCCTCTCCAGCCTTGAACGCAGACGACAGCATCGCCCTTGCTGAGCACGCCGAGCTTGACTGCATTCATAATACCCCACTTGAGGCGGCGATCAACATCCTCCTGCCATGGAGATGACTTGAAGTCGGGCTTCTCTTCAGGGAAGTAAAAGGGATACACGCCGCGGTAAAGGTGGGAATACTATCATGATTAGCTTTAGACTATCGAAAAGTGGGTGTGGTGGTCATACCCGGGCGGCCATCGCGTTACGCGTAACCATGATGATGGGACAGACGGGTCGGTACTTCGATACAAGACGGGCAGTGGTACCACTAGATTTGTTAGCTTTGTGAGGGTTGAAGTACACATCTCAATTTACCTGGTGGTAAGAACGAGGATCGCGCCAGCATTCTGCTCCAGGGACGCGCTGACAGCTGCCATTGCGCAAGTCTCGGTGGTCGGGCAAGGAACAGGGGCCAATTTCCTCAGCTCATCGAAGGCGTTCACATAGGGGATAGCGACTTCAGCGAGCAGACAAGTCTCGTGCATCATAGTCACTGCTTCCACGGGGTAGTTGCCCTTGGCGGTCTCACCAGACAACATGACACAGTCTGCACCATCGAGAACGGCGTTGCCGACGTCACTCACTTCGGCGCGGGTAGGGCGGGGGTTGTAGGTCATGGACTCCAACATCTGTGTAGCGCAAATGACGGGCTTTCCGGCGATGTTGCACTTGGTGATCATCATCTTCTGCGCAATGAAAACCTGGCTCGGGGGGATCTCGATACCCAAGTCACCACGGGCCACCATGACACCGTCCGTCTCCTTTAGAATCTCGTCGAAGTTGTTCACACCCTGCTGGTTCTCGACCTTGGCGATGATCTGAATATCCTTGCCATCCTCACCGAGAACCTCACGGATGGCAGTGATGTCGCTACCTCGACGAATAAATGATGCGAAGACCATGTCGACCTTGTTCTTGACACCAAACCTCAGATCGGCCTTGTCCTTCTCGGAGAGCGGGGGAAGATCAATGTCGGTCTTGGGAAGATTGACGCCCTTTTTAGAAGAGATCTTGCCGTTGTTCACACACTCGACCTTGAGCGTTTGTTCGTCGGTGATCTCCAGAACCTTGAACGAGAGGACTCCGTCATCGACGTAGATGATGCGGCCAGGCTCGATCACCTTGGTGATGTTCTTGTAGTCGACATACATGTTCTTGTTGTCACTCTTGGTAGCGTAGGCATCGTCGGTGGTGATGTTCATGACATCGCCCGCGCCGATTGGGATATCCTCGTCGCCAGGCGTGTTACCGGTACGGATTTCAGGGCCCTTGGTGTCAAGGGCAATGGCCAGCGGCCGGCCCGCCTGGGTGCTTTCGGCCTTGCGCGCATTGTCAATGACAGACTGGTGGTAGTCGTAGGAGCCGTGCGAGAAGTTCATGCGCACGACGTTGAGACCAGCCCGGCGGAGGGCATTGATCTTCTCGGCAGAGTTGGTCTTGGGACCAATCGTGCCGATGATGGATGTGCGGCGGTACTCCTTCGCGGGCGCATACTCGGTGTTCAGCTGCGAGAGCCATTCGATCCTGGTGCGGCCGGCGTTGAGGTGGTCGAGCGCGTTGGCCATGGTGGGAGCGGAAGTCTCGGGATTCTGGGTGCTACGGAAAGAGGGGGTTCGGCACCTTTGGAGAAAATCAGACAAAGGCCAATTGTGGTGGTGTAGGGGATCGTGGGGCCGAACTCACCAGCGAAGTGTTGGACTGTTGGGAGGGGTCGAGCAGCTAGAGCTCTCACTTTATTTTGGAGCGTCGTAGTGGGGCAGCGCGAGTTCACAGGGTCAGTGCGACAGCGTGCAGAAAGGCAGAGTTTGATAGGAGCTCTGCGACCGCGGGATTATGTGCGTCTTATACCAAGTGACATCCAGCCTGTACTAAGCAACATTGGACAGGATGCAGGGCCGTCGGCGCCGTGTTACGCTCATTGTTTTTGCTGCCATTCGCACCCCACCCACGCGTTGCATCACGGCGCAGCCAAGATGCTCAGATAAGCCCACACTCGCCAGGACAACATCTTTTTGCTCATGGCGACCCCCGTCCAGTGTTTCCACGGCCGGCTGTCATGGAACAGATTTGTTTCGCGCGGCGGCGCTACTAGTAGATTCCGATGTTGGTGGGTAGCTTGTGGGCGGCGAAAGCGGAGCGAGCACGGTGGACGAACGGCCAGGCAACCCAGATCCTTGAAGAGACTGCCGTCATGTTGTGTGTCCTGGGCCAACGAACCGTGTGAAACAGACTATCAGTCCATGGCTAAGCGATGGGGTTCTTGCTCAAGTTTTGCCGTGAGCAGCTTGCGGGCGCGGCATGAGTGGGCGACATCGTGAGCAGTTTCGCGGATGTATACAGTGGGGAGCTCATCGTCTATACAACTGCAGCATGGCATCCGAGGGTTTATATATGTCTGCTCGTGCTCGGGAGAGTCCCCGTTCCTAACTCACCCGCATCCGCTCGCCCACCGCGCTGGGACCCATTATTGGAGAAGGGTCCCATACCGCTTCAGATGACATGTGACTCTCAGCTCCCCGGCGCCGCAGAGCCCCAGCCACGCTTTCACCTGCATCAGGCACCTCGATCTTGGACCTTGCGCACGCGATCTACCACGACCCCTCGTACCACTCGACACCTTTGCACCTTTTGCACTAGAACATCTCCTCTGGCCGCGCCGCAAACATGGTTGTACGTAATTCCATGATGCCCGAGGCCCGCTCTGAACGTGTCCACCCGGTGTACCTCGATAGCTCACACCTCCGCAGCTCGGCAAGGTTGCCCACTATGCCTTCGATGCAGTCTTGAGTACACATACAAAGGATATGGATTCCAGTCTTCCGAAAGCTGACGTTCGCAGTATCCGCCTTCCTTGCCGGCGTGCGACGCTCCACTGGCCTCACGTACGTTCCCTCTCCAAGCGCATGCCCAATCCGCATACCAAATTCCCTCCGTAGTCCTCCTATCTACAAAGAACGTGAAGCTAACATACGGGCTCCCCGCTGATAGTCCCAGTGTGAAATCAGAGAACTTTACCGAGACACCCGGCCTGAAGAAGTGGATCGACAACTACCTCTGGGTGGGCGAGTGGACCATGGACCAGAGCGTCGCTGTTTTCGGCACGTCAGGATACTTCGAGCGGAAGCGTTGAGGAAAGCACCCTGAAGAACCGGCGACAAAGATGCAGGCATGCAGGAGTGGGCTTTGATACCAACTAGGGAGCCTTGATGTGTTATGGATCAGCATGGATGCAGGCTTTTCGACTTCATGGATCAATTTAAACAGGAAGGATGGCGTTGGGTGCTTCAGGCTGGTCAACCTGGTTAGATGCATGCACTATACTCAATTCATTATGTCCTACAGAGAGTTTTTGGTATATACCGGTTGCTTTCGTCTAAAGTGTGACTATCCCTTAGCTCTCTTCCTGAATCTAAAGCCACCCTCCTCTTCATCACTATCCTCGTTCCCAATCCGGCTCTTCTTGGCTGATGGCTGACCAGCTGCAACGGTTAGAGTGCCACCTGCACGCTTCTTTGATTGCCTCTGAATTTGGGTGTCTTCGAATTGAGTCTCAACCACACGTTGCGTCCGACCACTCTTTCTGATCATGGATCCACTAGCCCTCGGCGATTCCTCCTCGTCTGGCCCGCTGTCTTCAACGTCGACAGCTTCTGTTGGCTTGGCACGTCTCCTTCTCTGGAAACCGATCGGTCTTTCGTCGTCGTTTTCTGGTAGTCGACCACCAAGTCTGCGCCTCAGTAGTTTCTCATCCTCTGCGGTCCTGACGGGTGCTACCTCATCCATGACCATAGAGTCACCAAAACCCTTTCTCGGCGGGGCCGGTTTCAGCGTAACAATCACTTTCTGCGACTGTGTCCTTGCGTCCTTGTCGGTGCCACGACGTCTGAATTTCTTGAAATTCTTCCTCCCATCCCACTCGGGGTGCCATCCCTCACCATGAAGCTGGGTCCGCACGAAGGTTCTATCTTCGCGGGGACGAATCTTCATGTCTAGAATCTCGATGTCTATGTGCAGTGTGGATATGTCGACGCCTTCTAAGTCTGCTCTCGTCTGCTCCTCTTCAGCTCTGCGTCTTTCTTCTTCTTCGGCCATACGTTTGCGGGTTTCTTCTTTGACATTGATATGTTGCTTCATTTTCTCATCTCGCTGCTCTTGCATGACTTTTAGTCGCTCAAGACGCATTTGTGTCTTGTCCGGGGCAGGTTCGGTTAAAGTTTCAGGTTGGACCGACGCAGCGGCAGCAGGAGCTTGAGTAGCTTCCCGCTTTTTCCTGAAACGAGCAGAAGCGGGGAACATTTGGTCTATCTTACTCGACGCGTCTACAGTGTTTTGTGGTTGTGAACGAGAAGTGCGCTGCGTCTGATCCGCTAGCGGAATTTGTGATTGCATTGCAGGCTCATACTCCGGTACGGACTGTTGTTTAGGGCGTTGAACATCTTCCATGGGTGTATCCTGTACCTGGGTGTGTTCGGTCTTCTGCATCTTAGGAGGCGGCTCGTAATCATCAAAACCAGTGAAGCGACTAGTAACAGCACGTCGAGCAGGTCGTTTACGTGGATTAGTCCTGACTGGCCCATCTGCTGGAAGCGAGCTAGGCTCGAGATCTTGCGATTGAGCTCGAGACTGCGATGATGGGATCGGCTCGCGCAAGGATTGTTGTGTTGGTGTGGTTTCCGGCACGCTAGGACTGATCTCTGTGTCGGTGGGAGGTTGACGTAAGGAGGATGCGTCGTTGGCGATGATGGCATCAAGAAACTCGTTTTGCAGAATGGAACGTTGATTCAAAGATCGATCCACGCCAGTAACGAAGGTAGTTGCCCAGTCTTCTAGTTCCTCTGGATAAGTGGGAAGGCGAATGGTAACCACCGGAAGGCCATCCTTGCTGGCCCTCCCACGACGCTTCTGGCCTACAACGCTTCTCACGTAGCCAACATACTCTTCCACCGTCGATTCGCCCAGACGTATATCAAACAATAACGCCTTTCCACCGCCGCCAGCAACAACCTGGTGCAAGCTAGTATGCTGTGCTTCATTCAGGAAAATGAACGTCAGTCCCGAAAAGACTTCCGAGCGAGCTGGGTCCGGGGCGAGCATCTGATCGGGACGGGGAATTGGCTCCTGGCCAGCGGGTGGGATATATTCCTTCTCTTGAGGCCACCACGTTTCGAAGTCTTCCTCCAGTTGCGAAGGTATATAGTTGCCCTCTGGATCCGTGATCTGTGCTGCTGCGCTCAGGACGGCATCAATATAGTCAACCGTGACTACAGGCGTGCCAGAGACTAATGCCTGCAGGACCTTCGGCAGGTTCCTCTTCTGCGATACCACATGGGTGGTCTTGCCATATAAAAACTCAGTCGATGTCTTGATATCCATTGCATGTAATTCGGCGTTGCGTGTACTGCCTTGCGACTGGGAGGCGCCTTTCTTTTCTTTTGAGGCATACGTGAAGATGATATCTTGCCATTTTATCGTAAATGGAGGATACGAACTTGACAGTCTGATCGTGTGCTCGGTGCCGTTGAGCGTGGTAGTGTCCTCCGCGATGCTGCCGTCCGGCTGCTTGCAGCTTTTCAACGTTCTGTCACCATCGACCACTGTACCTTGTCTGCAGCTGAAGTCTGTGATCTCAATTTGGGACCTCTTGTGCACTTTCGTCCCGTCCGCAGGTGGGACGTCCATGACTTTGATCATCATGTGCTTGCGTGACACATTCTTGTTATCTATGAAGACGTTCTTGCCCGCTGAGCCATCTCCATCGGTGCTCTTTGTACGACCGAAAAGCTGCTGCGATCCAGGCCGCAACCAGACGCCCTTTCCTCCAAAGAGGATCTCGTGCTCGAGGAACCACATCATGTGCCGCGCACAACGGGTATCGCGATGGGCGGGTGGTTGAGGGAGGCGTCACGGTAAGGGTTGAGTGCACGGAGTGGCGCTCTTGTGAGCTGAACTGTGCAGGATCATGTGGGCCGGATCGCAGGCGAGCGGGCAGGGCGCGGCGAGCCGCCTTTCACGTTGGGGACATGTTCGGGTGTGGTGATGGAAGCCTGGGCGGTGCGCTTCGCGAGCGCGACGGGAAACCACGTGCACGCCCGGCCACCTGGGCACCTGCAGGGCTGCTCCTGCCCTAGAGCCATCTGGGTGGCACCCTCGTAGATCGTTAGCAACTCTTGCTCTACCATCTTCCCCAGCTTTCCACACAAGTCTTCAAATCTGGAGTGCGCCTGTCCGTTTTCCTGCTTTGTTTGTTCAACGCAGTTGCGCGTAGACGGCCCACTGATGGAGAACATGCGCGGCTTTGGCCGCCGCGAGACGCCTCTGCAAGGTACTTTGTGTCTTCAGGTCACGGTGTACATCCGCTAGCACCGAGATCGATTTCTGCCGCGCCTCAACTGTTTGGACACTTACATATCTCAATGCACCATTCCCCTGGTTCAAGCTCTGTCGTGATGCGCGCTCGAAGAGAGGCTGTTCCACGGTTCTGCAAAAAGCCTACCACATATGCCCTCTCATTTCCAAAGTTTTCCTCGTATTGGTCTGGATTGGTTTTGGATTTCTTTTCAACCAACGGTATCAGCATGCCGATGAGCACCGCTCAACTCAGCCATCGCTGTGCCCGAGGGATTCAGCCTTACACCTGCTTAGCCTCCCTTCCGTGTATCTTGATAGCACTCAAGCACCTTTTTTCTGGAGCTTTAAGCTACATCCATCTCTGTCTTTCAGATTAACTCATGCTATACCTCTTGTTGTTGCTTCCGCGGAGAATGTGGGATTATGGTATTGAATTGTCAAGACAGCTTGTTGGCTACGCATATCCTTGGAGATCACACGGTGAGAACAGTCCAAAAGGACAAACGCGACGTCCGGACCCTAGCCGGAGGGCTGTGAGCCAGATAGGGGTGGCGTTCACCGATACGAAGACATCGGCTACACGCCTAGAGACCATTGGGAGCTGTTCGTCTAGTAGCACCAAACCCTCTCGCATCTCTCCTGCCAGCAAGTTCTTGAAGCGTTCGCTCCTTGAACAACCGCCCTCAACTTCACCCAGTTCTCCGGACTTGCTGTCAAGGAATTCTATTGATTCTTTCACGAGTGAAGATCGGGCGTCGCTCCTGCCAATTCTTCAACAACCTCCTGCATCGCATGAAGTACCGACCGTCTCGAGCCCACGCTTCACCGCACCATCTGCCGGCGTAGATTTTGGTCTCTCACCTCGTTTGGCGTTTGTCTCTCGACCGGGCGAGGCAGCGCCGTCACCTGGGAGCTACAAGGCTGGCTCACCGTCTCTCCCGGTGCTCATCCAGTCCTCCGAACTGCAAGACTCGCTCTCGAACCATAGTAGGGTACGTTCGACCTCCGCTTGCCTACAACCTTCGGAGACGCCATCACTATCGACATCTGAGCAATCTGCCTTGGAGGTCAAAAACATGGATCAGGAATGCCCCAAACGAAGGCGCGCTATCAGAGAAAGGACGAATCCTATCACAGATCGACGACAGAGCAAGGAGAAGAAGCGAAGATCTACTTACCGTCAAGCTGAAGATGTCGCAGACCCAGGGCCGCATGATAGTTCTATTCCTGCTTCATCAAAGCCTGTTCAAGCACTCTCAGGTCTAGGCCAAATATCGGTCAATAATACAGATATCCGCCGCACAGAGGCCTCAGAGCAGACCTCGTCACCGGGCCGGTCTATGCGGCAGTCCTTCAATCTTTCTCGCATGGGTAGCCGCTCATCTTCGACATTTGCGGAACAATCGACGCCGGTAAAGCTTGAGAGACTGTCTGCTATAGATCAGCAGTCCACCGATAAAAAGATAGCTGAACGTCTTCAGACCCTTGACGATGAATTTCATGTTCAAGGTGAAAAGATGAAGGCTGTAGACGACGGAGGTTTGATGCAGTATATCACATTACATTCACCCCAAGCAAGCGTCCCTTCACCCTCTCGAGATTACCGTGCGACGGGAGAAGACCTGCAAAGACTCATGAACCCTCCTCCGCCGTCCCAACCCTTTCGCACAACGATAGGAGACCTACAAAGGCTATTTCAGGGTTCGCCTAGCTATGAGCAATCGATGCTTCGACACCACCCTGATAGCGGGAGGCGTGATCTTCCGCACACATCCCATGGGAAGGACCCAATCTCTCGAGACTATCGTGCAATCAGAGAAGATCTGCACTTGCTCTTCAAGGGTTCGCCTAGCTTTGAACAAGCTATGCTTCTCCATGACCCAAGTAGCGGAAGGTATGATCCGCACATACCTCTGGAGCATGGAAACAAAAGCCATCTAGACTTTCGAAGCCCGACCAGCGAAGGGAGCACTGTCCGAAATTTAGCGTCAAAGAGACCGCCATACTTGAGCGTGAGTCGAAGCTCGTTGATGCCAGCATTCAACGCATCAACACTGCGTCACCTAGTCGGCCAAGGCACTCCAGACGATCCTATTGAATTGAGCTCCGATTCTGAAATAGTAGATGGAGACATGGTTTATGACTGTAATGCTGCTCCAGCCTTGAAAAATCCACCGGCCCTGATGCATGACTGCGCAGTCTGCAGTGAATGTATTCATATAGCTGATGTTCCCTCCTTATCGAAGTGTGCGCATCAACCCGAAACCTGCGCTGCGTGCTTCGCCCGCTGGATTGAATCAGAACTGACAACAAAAGGCTGGAAAGGGATCACATGCCCTGATGCCTCATGTAACGTCATCCTCACACACCATGAGGTTCAAGCCTATGCAAGTCCGGGAGTTTTCTTTCAGTATGATACGTTTGCCATGCGGGACGCGCTTGGTCAAGTCGCCAATTTCAGGTGGTGCAGCAACCCGGCCTGCACCTCAGGGCAAGAACACGATGATTATGGCTATATATTCACATGCGTGGCCTGCGGCCACAAAGCTTGCCTTACTCATAATGTTGACTGGCACGAAGGCGAGACTTGCCATGATTATACCTACAGGGTGAACGGCGCGAACGAGCGCGAGAAAAAAACTCAAGAAGAAGCCAGCATCGCAGCCATAAACAAGCTTAGTAAGAAATGCCCGGGGCCTAACTGTGCTTTCAACATTCAGAAGAACCAAGGTTGCGATCATATGACATGTAAGTCATACTAATTCGTATGTTGAAACCGCAGTCCTGACGTGTACTTTCAGGTTCACGGTGCCGCTACGAATTTTGCTGGGAGTGTTTGGCCGACTATCAGCAGATCCGAAGCAAGGGAAACACCGCCCATAAGAGGGCGTGCAAGTATCACACCAGCAGAATAATGTGACGGCATTTATTTGGAATTGGAGACGCGTTAAAGATAAGAAATCGGTCACAGTGGTGTACAGGACCCAAGCAGGTACGGGCCTCGGAACATCTCTGCAGTCCTCCGGCAATTCTTCGGACTAGCCTGTGAGACAAGTCAACTGTTTCCAGGAGTCCTGGGCCAGGTGCCGGAAGAAGTGGTTTCGCTTCACGTATGACCGTAAGCGTACTAGACTCCGACTTCCTCCAGCATCTGCAATTGGTCCCGCGCGGTGTGATCCCGGTAGCCCAACATATTCGGGATCTAGTCCTGTTCGAGACGGCGACAATCACATCGTCTTGGGTTCTTCTCTTGGATCGAAGACTCCTGAGGCAAGTATGTGATACAGGAGCATGTATATAAAGACCACATCGCTCTGAACGAAGAGATTCTAAAATCCATGACATCATTGCGAGAGCATCTTTCCTGATCGGTAGTGCCCGCCGCCGTCCATACCCCACCCTGATTGGTTCATCCGAAACTCATTTTAATTTTTAGCGATGTATACAAACACTGTCGCTGTTCGCCCTTGCATTCCAGCAATTGCGAACCCAAAGTCGCTGCTCAGCGCTCACGGCCATGTGTTGAAGCCCTCTTTGCGGTGTTCTTGTACCTGTGTTGACTGCTTCCAATTGAACCCCTCCACCGTCCTTACCTTGTCGTGCGCCACCAAGTGTACCTGCAGCACCCCTGACGCGTGCAATTCCGCCGCAGACATGTCTGAACGCATGACACGCAGCAAGACGGGGAAGACACCCAGGTGAGTCGCTGCGCAGCCTGGTAATCCATATACCTCGTGGCTAACATGCACAATTACAGCAAACCTTATAACCCAGGGTTTGTGGAGACTCCCGGTCGCAAGAAATACACGCGCAAGTCCATCATCTCGAATGGCGACAGCGAATACGAGTCTACGCCCGAGCCCGAAGCGATTTGGAAGCTTTCGTTCAGAGAGACCAAGGCTGCGAATGGAGACGCAACGCTCAATGGCAATGGGAAGCTTAACGGACGTCCCACTGGCATCCACGGTGCTGCAAATAGGCTTCACGACCGCACAAATGGACAATTGAACGGCAATACCAACGGACACGCCAACGGCAATGCGAATGAGAAAAGGGTCACGACAGCAAGTGAGCAGCATGAAGAATTTGGCCCGTACGATACCTCTGGCGAGACTGAGTTCGGTGGAACCCTCGGCATGTCTGCTATGATGATCGGCTTTCCTGCTCTCATGTACTACATGTGGATCGGCGCGTACTTCTACGATGGCAAGCTCCCAGCACCTGCTGACGGCGAAAGCTGGGGTCAATTCGCACAGCACATGTGGGATTTGATTAAAACCGAGGCGTACCCCAATGCTCGCGCGTGGAGGATATACTGGGTATTTGGACTTGTTCAGATGGCCTTTTACATGCTCTTACCAGGCGTGTACCGGAAGGGCAAGCCGCTCCCTCACTTAGGAGGCAAGATGCTAGACTATTACTGCTCAGGCATGTGGTCCCTGTACACCAGCGTTGCCATCGCGTTGGCCTTGCACTTTACGGGTGTGTTCAAGCTGTACACCCTTGTTGATGAGTTTGGTCACATTATGAGTGTCGCCATTATCTCCGGTTTCCTCTGCGCTACCCTTTGCTACTTCCAAGCCGTTGTTCGTGGTAAGACCATCCGCATGACTGGCTATCCCATCTACGACTTCTTCCTTGGTGCGGAACTGAACCCTCGCCTCTTTGGTATCCTTGATTTCAAGATGTTTCTTGAAGTTCGTATTCCATGGTACATTCTTCTCTTCCTTTCTCTCGGCACCTGCTTGAAGCAGTATGAGCAGTATGGCTATGTCTCAGTGGAGGCTATCTTCCTGTTATTCGCGCATTACCTCTACGCAGGCGCTTGCTCAAAGGGTGAGCATCTGATCATCACCACCTGGTAAGTCTCCCGCTGCAAGTATGCTCCCGCAAAAAGTTGATTTCCCTAGGGATATGTACTACGAGAAATTGGGATTCATGCTGATCTTCTGGAACATGGCCGGTGTCCCTCTCACCTACTGCCACTGTACCCTCTTCATTGCCCGCCACCATCCCTCTGAGTACCAGTGGCCTGTGTGGTTCACTGCTCTTCTCACCGTTGCCTACCTCGGTGTCTACTACATCTGGGACACGACCAATAGCCAGAAGAATCAATTTCGCCAAGAAGAGCGTGGTGCGGTGGACGAACGTACGACTTTCCCTTACTTCAAGTATGGCAAAATCCACAGCCCTAAGACCATCCCAACGAAGCGCGGTAACAGTATTCTGTGCGATGGCTGGTACGGAAAGGCACGCAAGATCCATTACACATGCGACTTGTTCTTCGCCGTATCGTGGGGTCTCATAACTGGGTTTAAAAGCCCATTCCCCTGGTTCTACTCCGTTTTCTTCGCTGGTATGATCATCCATCGCGCGAGACGCGATATTGAGAAGTGCAGGAAGACGTACGGGGAGGCTTGGACCGAGTACGAGAAGAGGGTGCCGTATCTCTTCATTCCTGTAAGTGCATTGCTGCCCGTCTCATCCTGGAGGCATGAAGTAACAACATTACAGGGTGTCTATTGATTCTCCTGTCTCGAATACCCCCCTGTTAATCACGCTTGCTGGTTGGCCTTGGGTTTTTGAGACGTGTTGTTGCGGCGCTACGTTGGAGTGGCTCTGCAAGCGACTCGGAAAGGCTCACTTGTAACATTCTTTGCACATTCTTGTCATAATATTCCTCCCATTGTTAGTCTAGTTACGTGAAAACGTGGCACCTCGGTGTATTCGAGGACACCCCAAAGTAATAGTAATGATTTATCGATTGATTCGACCAGTGCCTCCCGCATCCCTCACATCACGACCACCCTGATACGATTCGATACTTGTTCTCGCTTTTGTCATCTGTACATGATTGTTCATTTCAGAACTCCGCATAAATTGAAACGGACCTTTGTGCACAGCAGCACTAGCGGGCGGCAAATCAATCTGAGCCACTACGACCAGGAGTATCCTTCATCCGCCCTTCACAAAACGCCACTTAGTCGCCTGCCAATCCCAATATCTTCCTTTCTCTTAGACAAATTAATGATAAGAGTCAAGCTCGTAGTAGGGCACAATGGCGTCGCGCCACGCCGTAGCCGCTCAACATTCCTTAAACATTCAGCCAATGAGATCGCGTATCAGGCACTTCCCCTGTGAAAACGACTATTATAGTTGTGCATACGATCACACGTGTACAGAGGCCTTGTCCAACGAAATTCATGCATTTGTCTCTCCGGAATGTGCTCGCTATGTAATGTCCGCGTGGCTTGATCCGCGGACTTGCATTCACCGCGCTTACTGTTTTAGGATTGAGTCAAACTAGTTACGGCGCCAGTTCGCATTTACTTAATTGACGAGGTAACACATTAGAACGTTCAACAACAGAAATTGATTTTCAGGTCCACAGTCACTGATTCCACAATCATTCGACATGATTAATTTGCTGTCGCTCATTTCAGTTTGCTTGCTTTGCGTGGGTGCTGTTCCGGCTCTAAAGTCGACAAGAGGTAAGCCAACTAACATCAACCAACAATTCACCGCTTGAAACTACTCAGTGCTGAATACAAGCAGCCGTGGCTGCTGTTAGCGATGATGTGCTTGCAAGTTTCAATCTGGTCGAACAGTATGCTTCGGCGGCCTACTGCAGGTCCAACTACAATTCCCCTGGAGACCAGATCAAGTGTAACGATGGGACTTGTCCTCTTGTTCAAGCTGCGAATGCTACGAGTGTGGTTGAGTACAACAGGTGAGTCAAATGTTCTGAACTCCCTCACCGGCTCAATGTTGATGATTATGCGATTTCCGACGCCACGCACCTGTCACTCCGTATATGTCTGTTCTTCTACTCACAGCCTCACAGCGACCTTGCGACCGACGTAACCGGATACGTCGCTCTCGACTCCACCCACAAGCTTATCGTTGTCGCCTTCCGCGGCAGCGCTTCGATTCAGAACTGGTTTACAAACCTGGACTTCAAGGCCGTGTCGACTAATTTGTGTACCGGCTGCACAGCTCACAAAGGCTTCTGGCAGTCCTGGCTCGATTCCCGGCCCGCCGTCGCCGCAGTCATAAAAAGTCTGTCAGCTTCCAACCCATCTTACCAAATCATAACAACAGGTCATTCTCTTGGTGGTGCCATCGCCACCCTCGCTGCGGCCGATCTGCGTAGTTCAGGCTATCCTGTTACTTTGTACTCCTTCGGCGCGCCCCGAGTCTCTAGCTCCAGGCTCGCAAACTACATCACTGCCCAACCCGGCGGTAATTACCGTATTACGCACTGTAAGCAAAACAGCAGGTACAAGGTGGATGTGTGTTTCGGCCAGAAGAAAGATTCCTTTCTCGCTAGGCTGAGACATGCGCAAAGTATTCGCTAAACCTGTCTTAACTCACACTGACTTTGTGACCGCATATTAGGGAACGATCCCGTACCAAACATTCCTCCTATCGTTATGAACTTTGCTCATGTGAGTCCAGAATACTACATCAACAGACCCAACAATCAGGCGGTGAGGGCGACAGACTTTAAGATCTACGAAGGAGCTACGAATTTGAAAGGCAATGCCGCTTGGATATATACTGATATTCTGGCACATTTATGGTACTTTGGGGCATTTTCGGTGAAGTGTGCACTATAGATAAATAGCAGGAGGATAGATGAATAAATCACTGCACAGGAGATCAGTCTCTCTAGTTTTAGCAATCGAATATCGACGAACGAAGCTACGTATTGTCTTGACCCGAACCTGCTACGAACAAAGCCGCGCTAGTCACATCGTACTCACAATAACTCACAGCTGATTGCCACTTCGCCGTGCGGAATCTGTGGTTCTTTGAATAATGGGCTTTAGAATCGATCAGAAACCTGTGCGAAAGTTCCGAAGCCGTCGTCTTCGCATAGCGCGGCATGTTTCCGCGAATGTGTAAACACTTTACTAATCGTTACAGAAATGTTCGAAAGCGGCAAATCGAGATGTGAACTCCGTAATTTCCCTTCATGTACCAAATCATGTTTCTATAAAGGAGGTTCAGGATTCCTTTTTCAGGAGGAAGGTAAGAAGCATGGCTCCCAAGTCGGCGATCTTGGAGCGCACTGTGCGGTTTCTGATCACAGATTCTCGCGACGTCCGGACTCGACATCTCTTAAAGCATCTTGACCACAACGACTCTTCGACGCACCTACAAATCCTTAAACACCTTCTTTGCATCCGGTCACCGTATCCACAGCTGTCCAGTAATGTGTTACAAGATATCGATGATATCTTGCTTCACGAGCGCAATCATCGCGTGCTCACCCCAGTAAGTCCCTCTGTATACGAATGTTGACAATACTATTAGCTTACCGAGCTTAGATGAGCAGCACATTCTGTCTAGCCACCATTCCACGAGAAGAAGGCAGGCCACCCGTAACCATAAGGCTATGGAAAGGCGACATAACCACCCTTGCGCCTGGTACAACAGCCGTTACCAACGCAGCGAATTCCCAAATGCTCGGTTGCTTCCAGCCTACGCATAGATGCATTGATAACGTGATACACTCCTGGGCCGGCCCTCGCTTACGACAGGAATGCTTCGATATTGCTTCAGCGAAACAAGATTATCAGGACGCCTTGCCCGTGGGTGACGCTGTCACCACAAAAGCTTATTGCTTGCCTTGCGACTATGTCATACACACTGTCGGGCCACAGCTTGAGCGGGGCTCGTATCCGAGCGATGTTGAGAGACGACAGCTTAGTCAATGCTACTACTCAGTCCTCGATGAGGCGGACAGGTTACCCGAATCATCGGAAGGTAAAAGCGTGGCTCTTTGTGGTATCTCGACAGGCCTATTCGCTTTTCCGTCTAGGCTTGCGGCTAGTATTGCGGTAGGAACAGTTGCAGCCTGGTTCGCCCACCATCCGGAGGCAACCGTCTCGGACGTCCTTTTCGTGACCTACACTGAGGATGACCACGAAATATACAAAACCCTTCTTGACCAACCCCGACCTCCCTGGATTGTGAACACTGGCGAGCCTGCAAGAGCATTCTCACTCACGAGTTCGACAATAGAAACGGCTCGCTCCTGGCTCGCTGAAGCCGAGATCATCATCGTCAGTGCAGGTGCCGGCCTTTCTGCCGCAGATGGACTCGATTACACTTCCCGCACATTGTTTCAGAAACACTTTCCCGCGTTCCTCCAGTACGGTCTCGAACGCTTGTATGACGTGTTTGGTTTCGTGGATTGGCCCTCAGACCGTGTCAAATGGGGCTATTACTTCACACATCTCGAGATGATACGGAATTGGCAACGGTCCAAGCTGTACGGGCAGCTCCTCGGATGGCTGGACCCGTTTGGCGACAATGTCCATGTCAGGACATCGAATGCAGACGGACTCTTCGTTGCAAATGGCTGGGACGAGGCGAAGTTGTCTACACCACAAGGGCAATATTACTACTTCCAATGCGTGGCTAAGTGCACGCCAGAATCGTACTGGGCGTCAACACCATATCTCGACAAGGCGCTGCCACTAATAGATCCAGTCACACAGTCCTTGAAAGATGATTCTGCCGTGCCGAGGTGCGAGAACTGCGGCGGGGATCTGTTCATTTGCGTCAGAGCAGCGGACTGGTTTAATCAAAACCCCTACCAAGCTGGAGAGACGTGCTGGAAGAAGTTCAAAAGACGTGTCTTGAGCGGTGACGGGGGAAAGACAGTCATTCTTGAACTAGGTGTCGGCATGAATACGCCGGGGATTTTGAAATGGCCCAATGAGGATCTTGTCCGTCAAGGCAATGGAAAGGTGAAGCTCGTCCGATTAGCAGTGGGAAGCCATGCTGAGGTACCATGGGATCTCGAAGAAGCGGAGTTGGCAACCAGCATTGACGGCAACATCAGCGTTACGCTTCCTTCAATCCTCCTAGCTGGCCGTTCCTGATCGTGAGGTGTAAGGAGGAGGGGCCCCAATCGGCGTACAGTGTATGACTAGCAGGCACCCAATATTTGTAGTATAGAAAGTCAAATTGATGGGTGATAGCATGCCCAGCTTTCGAGTAATTTCTCGATGCATCGGCTCAACTTCCCCCAGAACCCTCCCTGCGAATGACGCAATCGCATCATTCCGAATTCCGAGCGACAATTCACGGCCATCCCACCGCACCTCCACACCCTATGCTCTTCCCCCGCCACCTTGCACCCTCCAATATTGTAACGCTCTACCGTTCCCACATCATGGCCGCCGCCGCGCCACCATCGCGACCCATCAAGATCCTCATGATTCACGGCTTCACCCAATCCGGTTCAAACTTCCACGCTAAAACGCGCGCCCTGGAAAAGAACCTTCAGAAAGCCTTTCCTGCTGGGATCGCACTCTCCTACCCAACTGCGCCCATTCGTCTTGCGCACGCAGATATTCCGTTTCCGACTGCCGCGGCCGAAGCAAAAGAGAACGGAGAGCCAGAGGAGACCGATGCGTGGGCATGGTGGAGACGGAAAGGCGACGGCGAGCCATACGTGTACGAGGGGATAGAGCTAGGGCTAGAGGCGCTAGCGCGCGTATTGAAGGAGGAGGGACCGTTCGACGGTGTAATAGGGTTTTCACAAGGCGGCGCAATGGCTGCGATGGTGGCCTCGCTGCTTGAACCCGAGCGGCGGAAGGCCTTTGAGAGGCTTTATCCTGAGGGCGGCATGTCGTATCCGCAGTCGTTCGAAGCGGATACAGGGTACATTGAAGAGACTATTCACCCTCCGCTCAAGTTTGCGGTCAGCTACTCGGGGTTCGCAGCGAGGGGCGTGGAGCTGTATCGTGGGTTTTACGAGCCGAAAATCACAACGCCCATGCTGCATTTCATTGGGACACTTGATACCGTTGTGGAGGAGGCGCGGAGCTTAGCGCTGGTGGAGCGGTGCGTGGAGACCAAAGGACGGGTGGTGCATCATCCTGGTGGCCACTTCGTAACTCTGCAGAAGACGTATGTCGCAGCACTGGTGGGCTTCATTAAAGAGACTTTACACAAGGCGGACAATGGCGAGAAAAAAGAGGAGAGCGTAGAAGATATGGATGTGCCTTTCTAGAGCATTGGGCAAAGACCGGTTACACTTGGGCTTAGCATGGCGTTGCATATAGAAGATAGAGTACACAACACGGCACGGAAGTCGATGTTCGGAAGCCTATATTACAAGCGCAGTGTATGCGCGAGCCGGTATCATAGAGGCTCGGCTATGTCTAGACTAATCATGATCCTTCTTCAGCGAATTTTATGTTGAGCACTGCCCTCACTTCGCCTTTCCCTTAGAGAGTTTGCTACTCTTGTCAAGCTTTGCTCCTTGGATGCGGGCCATCATCTCTTCCTTGGTGATCAGATGATCAATGCGCTCCAGGAGTCCAAGCAAGCTCTTCATGTTCCCGCTCCACTCGTTCAACACATCATCAGCGTCTCTAGGCTTAGCGAAGCTGACGATGCGGGCTGGTCGGTCGATCTTGGCGTAGATGGTCTTTGCCGTGACCAGTTCGCTGATGTACTTCTCCGTCTCATCCTCAGTCAGATCAAGCAGCTCGGTTAACCGGGGGATCTGAATGCGTGTGTAATACTTGGCCACTACACGAACGTTGTGTTCGATCACTCGCTTGCGCAGGTCCTGCCACCTCTTGTGTGCCTTGGGGTCGTCCGAATCGTCCGCCTCGGCGTCAAACACATCCGTCTCCGTGAGATGAGGACCGAATTGCTTAGCCACCATAGGCCACCGCATCAGCTCGGGGACGGTGAACAACTTGATCAGTTGCGCATCCTGCGGTATCATTGAATTACGCGAGTCTCGTTGGATGCGGTGAATAAGGTCGGACTGCTCGTTGTCATACGGCGCAAGGATGATGAAGTAAATGACGCGTTGGAGGATCTGCAGTTATTAGGTGCGCCACCAGATATAAATTCAGGTCACGTACAGCCTTCAGTTTGTTCGGGTCCTCCTCCACAGCCTCAGTATCCAACACCTGTCGGTAGTGCTTGCATACGTCGAGGTACTTGTCTTCGTGCTTGGCAAGAGTGATCTGCTGTTCGTAGTAGCGGAGCTTCAGGTCGGTCACATCGTCTTCTGGCTCCACTGGTGGGTCATCAGCGCTCCGCGCCTTCTCTTTCTCCTCTCGCTCTTTCTGCTCCTTCTCCAGCTGCTCCGCCGTCTTCTTGGGCTTGCGCGTGAAATACCGGGTGCTGACCTTCCTAGCAAGAATGCCAGCCTGTGTCCAGTCGCCTTTCTGTATGCATAGCGATACCTGCTGTAGGATAAACTCAGTCTTCTCGCGGCGCGTCATGGAACCGAAGGTCTCGACCTGCAACTCGCACAGAATGTCGGTGGCAGCATTGATATCGCCCTGTTCCTTTTTGATGTTCGATAGTATCCGCGTGATCCTAGCCCGCTCAACCTCGACAAAGATCTATCATGAAAAGTCAGCTTCGCCACGCCTCTTGAAACGTATGCGCCACACACCTTGCCCTCGGTGACCGTCCGCAATGTCTCAATGACTGAAAGCTTTGTCTCCAGACTTGGGGTGTCATCCAAGAATCCCATCACGGTCTGGACCATCTTGGTGGTGGCCTGCTTCAGCTGACCATGCTTCTTCGAGAGCAAGAGCACCTGCTCGTTGAGCAAACTCCAATCTCCCGCATTCTTAGCTATTGTGCATATCGCTATAAGGATCCGAGAGGTCGACGCGAGATCGGAGGCCTTCTCGCTGTCAGTGGATCAAAAATAGTGCCAATCCGAGAAAGTGGCCATACCTGGCGGGTCTGCTTTTCAAGCAGAAGTAGCTTCTCGATTGCCGCCTGCGGGTTGCTCTACAGCTCCTGTCAGTTCCGCCTTCACCACAGAAGGTCCAGACGTACAGTTCCGAGCTTCTCTGCCTCGGGAATCGCCTTGTCGACCTCCTTCGTGAAGTCCTTCTCGGCCTTGAGCACCTGCCCGCTCGACATGGTGGCGGGGTCGGGATGGAGTCGAAGGCCGCTCGGTGTATTTTCTACAGCGCAAAGGGCGGTGATCAAGAAACGTTCGGGATTCTGCGGGGCCGCCGTAGGGACGTCAGAGGGTACGTATGGTTGATGGAGCTGTCAGGCTCGTGTTGCAATCGCTCATCAACTAAGCCGTCGGCGTCGGAGATACTGCACGGGCCGTCTACACCACGTGACGTGGCTTCAGCCTTTTACCACGAAGTATAGGTACATACCCATTGTGCCATTGTACACTCAGACTTTCGCTCAGGCATATTGAAAATGAAAGCTTAGCAGGGAAATGTAATCGATGTAACGAGTTAAAAACCCCCTACGTAGTCTGTTTGTCGCTGCCTTCAGTGTATGATACTATGACAGTCGCACGGAGCGAACTCGATGCAGGAAGAATGAGTGCATAGCACGTCCACTGGTCTCATGTCATTGTATTATTACAAGGATCATGATTGGTAAATAATGAGTCGTAATGGGTATCTACGTTCTGCACGTATCCTCATCTTCTTGGAGCCCGAGCGTCTGCAAGTTGGTGTTATGACGAAGCGCCTAAGCATGGCTAGTTATTTCATTGCGTGCATCCAGTGTGGGCTCAATGACTAGCTGAATAGTCCTATTGCATTGCACCTCACACATGCCTCCAAACTTTCTCGTGAATGGCCCGCATCTCATTGACAAGGCAATATCCGCCCCGTTCAACTTCAGTGGGATGTCTCTTTTTCCATCTCTGTAACCTTCGACGAAGTTCTCATTCTTCAAAGGCAGGGGACGAGTACCGCCGCAGTATTCTATTCTTCCGTACGCCTGTCCAGATGTCCAATATTGCTCATGCTCATACTGGCAAGGGATCACGTCGAAAGCCGTTGCATTGCACCCTCCGCGAACATTAGGGTTGAGAAAGACGCCATTAGTGGCTGACGGAGGATTGTCGCATGTATGAGGTAGCATTCAGAACCTTCTAGGTGATGTTCACCAAGCGTGTCCGACATTGCACGGAAGCGTGTAGGATTTGGAGAGAGGAAAGGCGCAACTGGCATGGCTACATGGATTGCCGAGCGTAGGGCTAATGCGGAGATTAATTGATGCGCTAATGATACCATAAATACGTTGCCAAGGTGCTAAGCAGTCCAGGTTAGCTAGCTGGAGTGGAACGCGTCGCGAACGCTGGGCTTATTGCCCAGGTGATACCCACCTGGTTTCTCAAGCTGCACGCTAGCCACAGATGACTCCAGGTTTAGTGACACATATCTTGAACTCTTTGCATTTCCTTGCACTAATGCGATACTTGCAGCTACAGCGAGACGCTACTCCTCCCGTACGAAATCAATCTCAGGTTCACGAGCAACTTATGTAGTCCACTGAATACTACGCATGCGAGCAGGATGCAACAGTGTCTACTCTCTTACTATTCAATTCCCTCTGTTTCTCTGCCCAATTAATTCAATCCACTATGTTAGTGAAGTGGTATCAGCTATACCTGCTTGCACAATCAGCGGAAAAACTGGGATAGCATGTCCACATCTTTCCTAACTCAATGCATTATGGGCGCATAAGCAAGGGTTCTGAGTAGCGTCGGTTGTCCAAGAATTAAAAATGAAGCTCAGGTACTCAAGAGGCCTGTTCGTTAGCGGTTGGACATCTCTTGGTTCGTGATTTCGCTTGCACGCCGTAAGCCATAGAAGGAGGCAGGACACATATGGTATCTATCAAAATGGAGCTCTGTCCCCAATTCAGAGGGCGAACGCTCTACGCCCTCATAGAGATTGTATGCGGAACTTCTTTCATGATGTACGGCGTAAGTCTTAGAGCATCATTTCATTTTCTCCCGCACGCCCAGGGACTTTGCCGGTGTCCTTGGAGACATTCTTCTGCATCCACCCTCTTTAGACGCCATCAGTCGTCCTACACACGTATTCACAATTCTATGACACAAACCTCCTAAGACTTCGCTGCTTGTGTTGCTGCTTTGGCTATGATCCCTTTCACGTTCCACATCGGTCGATGAGGCACGATTTTCCTCGGCAATTTGGCTGCTGTCTTTACAGCCATAGTGAAGCTTCGTCGTATTCTCTCATCATGGGCCGGCTGATCACTGGGTTCGCAATTGGATGAATTAGCTCAGCTGCGCCGACGTATCTCAGTGTGACTGGCTTGGAGGTAGGAGCATGTGGACCAGGGAATGCGCTCAATGTTATTTTGCCCATCAGCGAAGTGCCATTGGCGTGTTGGATCGACTATGGCTTCACGAAGATGTACAATCAGGCCATTTGGCGCATCCCAATTGTGATGCATGTCATTTTCGCGTTCATCTCTGGAGGCTGCTTGTGGTCTCTGCCAGTTATGAAGTCAAGCATTCGTCTCAACCTCCTAGAGCCGACGCTAAGAGATTGTCCAAGATACACCCCATTGGTGCAACGTTTGAAAAAGCTGGGAAGAGGGTGATGCCGTACTTGCACAGCTCAACGACGCGTTTGTTGGCTCAGACAGGTTCAAAACACCCCGCCGAGAAATTTCGGTTGTTATTGAGGCAAAGCTGGAACCTAGTTCGAGATTAAATTGGAAGCATTTCCTAGCCATGGGCACTATCGACAAATTATGCACAAAATTGATTCGTTGTGTGTGTGTGTGCGTTTCTGGCTGCATACAATCCATGATTGGACGGTGTCGTCCTAGCTGCATACTACACAACGTCTCCCGTGTTTCCCTTCAGTTCTTACTCTGCTAAATGGCCCTGATAGGCTCCGTGATCTTCTCTACATTCGCCAATCCTTCACTCGTCTCGCTATTCTCCAGCGCAATCAACATGTTCTTCGCGCTTAAATGTGTACCATTGTGTTTTACCATCAAGGTGGTGGTCGCCGCAGTGTCCTCTATAGCGCCACTCCCATAACAGTCATGCCCACTATATGTATGTATCATGCTTGGCGCGCTGTCTACTGACGCGTTACGTTGGGCAACTATCGGTATCATCTTCTACTTTCTGTTCGTCTTCGGCTACGCATGACAAGGTTGCGTGTGGTTGTACTGCGACGAGCGGTGAGACGCTCAATCAAGTGTGTTATTTATTCATGGATATGGGCTTGGCGGCCCTCAGAAGAACCTTTAATATTAATGTTCAGGGAACGGATTTGCGGAATGGAAGGAGAAGGAAAAGGAGATGGAGACAAAGGAGGTTGTACCCTAAGGTGTGGAGGGCGCAAAGTTTAACGGCGTGTTTCCCAGGCTTAACTTGCACGACATACAACAGCACAAATCATGTCACACAGTACTTTTGGTCTCACTACGAGTAGTGTCCCACCTGTGAGAATATCTAACTAGCTTGAATGACCCCTGAAATGAGAGCAGAACCTTGGGATGGTAGACATTACCATGGTTATGGTCAGGCAGCAGAGTCCAGCTCCCATTAAAGAGTGAGTCTTCCTCCACATACACATTAAAATTCTGTCCTCATACATCCACAGCTACTGACCAAAGAATTTCCCTTCTCACAACACATCATGGCGACCCAAGCTTCGCTCAAGCGTTCTCACGGGCTGTGCGCGTCCACCACTGAGGAGGAAAACATCTCAAAACAACCTCGATCAGCTTCTTCAAGCTCGTCCGGCTTGATTAAGGCTTCTCTTCCTGTTCGCTTCCTCATTATGTCCGATACTCACGATCGACAAAACGAAATCCTCCCGTCCACCCCGCAAAGCGACGTGCTCCTTCACTGCGGCGATTTGACCGAGGATGGATCACCAGAAGCCATCGCGCGGGCAATTGATGCATTTCTTCAAGTTGATGCCGAGCTGAAACTGTTCATCGCTGGCAACCACGAGATTTCGCTCGATAAAGAGTATTACCTTTCCGAAGGCGGCACAGAAGAGAATCATCTCAAAGCACGCTCAGCCATCTCCATACCGAGAATCCGCTTTCTCGAAGAGGGAACACACGAGTTCACGCTTAAATCTGGAGCACACTTCAAGATCTTTGTGTCGCCGTGGACACCCAAGTATGGCTCTTCAGCCTTTCAATATCGCAGCGACGAGGATCGTTTTAACGGAGCGAATATCACTCCATCGTGGGCGAGAAATGTTGGCAAAGAGGATTCAGTTATACCCGATGGGGTTGATATCGTCATGACCCATGGGCCGCCAAAATATGTCCTTGATAAAACAGCAGATGGCAGCAGTCCAGGATGTGAACATCTTCGCCGGGCGATCGCAAGAGTACGGCCACGGCTGCATTGCTTTGGGCATGTACACAAGGGTTATGGGGCACAGAGAGTTCGTTACGACAATAAGAAGAAGCTGGCAGAAGAAGGTGACGATCGCATGGACTTGCTGCCTCAAGAGTGGGTAGGCAAGAATCAAGCAAAGAGAAAGGGTTACGCTAGTCTCCCACCCAGCTCCGCTGAAGCTTTCAGAAAGAATCAGGAGGAGACTCTGATGGTAAATGCTGCATCCATGGATGACGAGAACGAACCGAAGAACAAGCCTTGGCTGGTTGAGCTGAGCCTTCCCATGGACGAACGGGCGCATGACTGTAATCGAAGCGTGCATGCGCCAGAAGCTTCGGGATACCGTAGCGCCAAAATGAATATGCAGCTCTGAACAGTCAGATTGGAGGCTGACAATACTCGAAGCACTTTACAGTAGCTGGACCCCGGCTAAGTCTGACTGCGTTGAGTAAAGCCTTCGGTGCGAAGGAGCAAGGTAACACGAAGCAGATTTTGAGTCTATTTGCGCTGCCTTAAAGTACTCCAAATATGTCGAGAGCTTTCGGGTTAGGTGGGTGGTTCTGAGGGAAGGAATGAACCAGTGACAGCCCGGGTCAATATTGACATAGATGAATCCATCTGCGCCAGCATCACAGCATCACAGCATCGCATTGCATCATATTTCATCTGTCCCACAACATAACATACATAATATAATATCATGGCTCCCATCACGTCCGCCCACTTCGCTGCCGTCGAGGAAGCCTTCGCGGCCGCCTCGTCGCTCGTGCCCCCTCTCCTCCGTCCCGACTTCATTCTGGTTGGGAGTGGGGCTATGGTGTACCATGGCTCCAGGCGTCGACCTGGGGACATCGACGTTGTAAGCACGATTGCCGCCCTCTGGGCGTTTCGTGAAGAAGCGCGCAAGGATGGGTAGTGTTCCGTGGTGTTGGACGGCTGTGACTATACCTTTATTCTCATACTCTCACGCACTACCTGCCATGCTGATTGGATGCCTTAATAGTTGCGATTCAGTATACCGCGCGTCTTGGCTGGCGCCAATGTCACAATTTCTCTAGATTTGATAGAGCTAGGTAACAAGGTGTGCCCGGCGCTGAAGTATGCGCCGATAGATTTTCAAGGGGTTTAGATGGCCTCAATGCCAGAGCCTTCATGAATCGGGACGCGGAGAACGATGTCGACCGCCGAGACTTTGAATGGCTGACAGCACAAATGAGTGCGAAAGATGTCGAGTACGATCCAGTTGAGCTCCTCGACGAAAGCAAGACGCGCCAAGGGACGTAATGTCGCGTCGCGTCCCCGGGCGACTCGCCAGAAAAAGTTCCCCGCTCAAATGCTCCGCGCTCTCTGTACCACCCCACCATGTCCCTCAGCCAACGCCGTATGCATCGCACATCCAATGAGCCTGGACGTCAACCAAGATGTCATTGTTTGGTGGTGACGAAAGCAATCCAACCGCGCCCTCGCAGTCGCTATCAGGACGCTCGTCAAGCCCTCAAAACGCGCAAGATCCACCTCCACTATCGTTCGCATATGTGCCCGAACCCGACGACTCGCTCGACGAAGATTTTCAGCCCAGCTCTCCAGATGCCGATTCGGCCCCTCTCGAGCGCCGCACTATCAAGCCACAGTCATGGCGGAGATACACAGAAGCAGATCGTGAGATTGTAGAGTCGTTGGAAAACCTAGAATCCGCGGACCTTGCTGCACACCTTTACAATGCGCATAGTCTCAAGCGTCGTTTACGGCGCCCTATCAAGGAGCTGGAGAAGGTCAAGGACTGGCAGAGCAAGGACGCATGGCTGAAGAAGGGCGAAGAGCTGCAATATAACGACCCCTTTACCGGCGATTTGGAGACGGAGTTGGTGCCGTCGAAGCTATGGACTGCGTGGCCTTTACCAACTAAGCGCCTTCTGTTAAAGGGATCTGCAACGGGTAAAACAGAAGACAAAGATGATGGATGGTACATCGGCAGGTCTACAGATCAGAGCTGCGGAGAAGTCATGCGAGAAGAAGTTCTTGCGTTATTCCTACGAACGGCAAAAAGCAATTGGACAAGGCGCCGAACTAGTGCTGAGGACACGAACTCGTACATTGAACATGTGGCCATCTCCTCCTCATCTCTGTCTAGCTCGGACTCAGAGGCTGGCGTAGCACATGCGATCAGAAGCAGCAAAGCTCAAGACCTAGGCAAGAGCACTATAAAGAAGAAGGTAAAAGGTTCCAGTTCGAAGCTATATCCTTCCGAAACGGATGGTGCGGAGACTACGAGGCAGCTAGACGACTTGAACGTAGATCAGGAAGACGACGGGACAAAAGGGACGTCAGATGACTTGCGTGTCGACACTGAGTCAGAAAGCGCATCACAGAGTCAGACGAGGCACCGAGGCTCAGATGTTACTGAGGCTGCTTTTCTTGCTGATGATGACGAGGCCAGACGTATACTGGAGCCTTCTGTCAACTCGCTCCTTTCGAGAGTTAATAATTTGGTATTAGCAGTTCGTCGAAATCGATCAAATCACGCCGGCGACGGTCTCCGTCGCGCTGGTTCTGGAAGCGATTGTTTCACGGACAGAGAAACACCAGCACCGCATGCTAAACCTCCGTCAAGATCTCGATCGCGCTTCCACGTGCCCAAGAGAAAGCAGATAGGCAAACCTCGTAGACCGAGCCACGAAGCGCTCAATGCTGCGGAGAGCGACTCTGCGTCAATTTATGGCGCCGATTGCGAAAACGAAGATGAATACCCACCGTACACGCGAGAGGAACCACAAAAAGCACGTACCCATTCAACTTCGAGCAACAGTAGTCATCGTAGCGATGCTTCTAGTATTCCAGAGGTCCACAGGAGCGTTGGTCTGATAGATTGGAGCGAGATGCTCGGTCTAGCAGCCATCGCCGGTTTCGATAAGCAGGTGGCTGCCAAAGCGGCTCAACGGTGCGCATCTCTTTTTGATGAAGGTATGAACTTTCGGACTTTCGATGAAAGCCTGGCTGCGCAGCCCATCTCAAAATCGGAGCAATATACGCCTTCCAAGTTTCTGGCATCCGACGAAGTGCAACCTGCCCCTAATGATGTTCGCGAACCAGTGCTCTCTGAAGGAGACAGGAGACCTTTGGTAAAGCGCCCATACTTCGATTCTGGTAGCCTGCGATGCCCACATACAGACTGTCCTGGTAGCTTAAGAGATTTCAGCGGATCTAGTCGTCTCACAGAGCATGTTCGGCGTAAGCATGGATATGATCCTCGAACGAACGACTCCGACAACGAGGAGCGTACGGTCGGAGGCGTGCACATTGATGGCTACTTACAGCCCATTTGGGCTAAGCCAGGGTGGCTAGGGCACGGCAGAGCAAAGAGTGAAGCTACAGATGTTGAAACGCAGATACCAAAGCGCAAAAGACAGAGACTGGATTCCAAGCCCACCTCGACTGTTACAAGTGCCTATACTACACAAGATGAAAGAGAAGACGAAGAGCAGATGTTAGCGGCGCGCACGCCAGACATGTTTTTGAATCCCACACCACGAGTAATGGCTAAAAAGACTTGTACGAATTGCTCTCGCAGAAAGAAACTCTGTGACGGAGATAGACCATGCGGAAGATGTCGTAGACTGGGAGAGGGAGAGACATGCGAGTATCAGACGACTTCGGCTAGGCCGGCGTGTTTGAACTGCAGGCGTAGGAAGCAGAGGTGTGACTACGACCAGCCATGCGCCAGGTGTCGGCAGAATGGTCAAGAGGGTAGTTGCCAGTATCCTGTGTAGCTTGATCTCCATATAATCTGCTAGCAGCGCGGAGGATTGTATATAAAAATGCTTAACCCAGTAATCAATAGCACTGGTTCATTTGCAATTCCTTGTTCCATGAATCAGTACGTTCCTTGACTACATATTGCACAATGTCTGATAGGGCTGATCTAGCGCGTGACGTCGCGTAACTTCACGCGTTCCCGGGTCCCAATTCGCTTACGCGCTATTTCGCACCTCTCCCCTTTCACCATGTGTACCCTCTCTCGGCGCCACTCGCGCTACGTCTTAGGTTTTCTAATATTCTTGTATATGTGAACTCGCGTCGAGACCCTTTGCGCCCGCGCTCTGCACCCAAAAGTTTGCAGCTCTTCGCATAGATCACCTTCCTCCAATGTTAAGTCAACTTCGACATCGCAAGATCCCCACTGTACGCCAGACATACCGTCGCACCCCAATCGCATACATCAGCCATACGCCGAGCCACACACGACGCCTCGCACGATCAGGAGCAGCAGAACCGGCAAGAGAATGGTGCAACGGCAACAGGTGTTTCCATGGCAGAATATCGGAATGCGTGCAGATGCAGCTCCCCCAATACCCGCCAACAAGCTCGGCGCGAGACTTCAGAAAGAAAATCAGAGGAAACGGCAAAGAGAAACCGCAAGCCCACACCAACCGCCACCCAAGAGACATCATACTTCTGCATCAAGGTCACCGGCAGGGAGTCGCAAAAAGTCTGTGGAAGTCATCAACTTGTTGGACGATGAAGATGATGATCCGCCACCGCTGCCAGATATCAGAGAACAGCCGCCTAGAGACTACGGGCAGCAACCTATTTATTATCCGCAATTACCCGCCGTGGGTACCCAAATAAATCCATTGGAGTTAGATTCGCCGCCTGTGCCAGGACAATATCCGCAGACCCAAGATGGCGCATCTTGTTCGATTCCCGAATTCAAAAGATTGGTTAAAGCTTTCAACAATACTGCCCATGTATCTCAGCTTGATCGGACAGTTGCGCCGCTTGACAATCCAGTGGTAGATATCGTACCCATTGTGGAACCAACACTGTGCAAGGAGCAGGCCGATTTGGTAGACCTAATCCTTAGCGGAAGAAACGTATTCTATACAGGTTCTGCTGGGTGCGGAAAGTCTACAGTGCTGAAGGCTTTCGTGAAGCGCTTTGCAGAGAGGGGCATGAAAGTCAATATTATTGCCCCCACGGGTCGAGCTGCGCTCGATATCAACGGATCTACGACGTGGACATACGCTGGCTGGACCCCTGATCATCACAAAAAGCCTTTGAAAGAGTTAAAAGCGGGTTCGCATGGCAAATTCGTGCACAAACGTCTAAATGAAACTGACGTCCTTGTGATCGATGAGGTCAGCATGGTCGAAAACCATCATTTTGAGCGTATCAACCATCTCCTGAAAGAGGCGAGGGGCAAAGAAACTGCTTTTGGTGGCGTACAGATCGTCGTGACAGGCGATTTCTGTCAGCTGCCTCCAGTCAAGCCTTTCAGATATTGTATCGAATGTGGTAGAGAAACGATTATGAACAAGGAAGAGACCGAGTACAAGTGCAGAGCACATGGCACATTCTACGACAAGGACAAATGGGCTTTCCGGTCCACAGCTTGGCAAGAATGTGACTTTGCTCATGTTAACCTCACACAAATCCATCGGCAAAGTGACAGGTCCTTTATCAATATATTGAACAAACTCAGAATGGGCATTCGACTGTTTCCGACAGAAACAGAACTTCTGTTGAATCACAAGTCAGAAACCCGAAATGCCATCCAACTCTTCGCAACGAGGGCTGAGGTCAATCGAGTCAACGAGGAGAGATTCAGGGCACTGCGCTCTGTCGAACGAACGTACCAATGTCTCGACCATTTTAAATGGAATGAAGCCCATGGTAACCTCAGAACGAAGGGTGAATTCAAAGCGCCCGATGGCTCCTTGCAGGCTCTGGCCGAGCATCGATTCGAGAGTCGAATAAGATTGAAGAAAGGCATGCTTGTAGTGCTCCTACACAATCTTGATATCGGCGCGGGCCTTGTCAATGGTTCTCAGGGTACCATCCAGGGCTTTGAAGACTATGATCCAAAAAACCTACCAAAAGCTCTTAACAATCGCGACAAGCGGGATGGCTTTCCAATGTCCGGTGTTCAGGTGCTGCAGGGCGACCACGCTGTGTTCCGCGAATGTCAATTGCGAGAGTATGCCAAGAGCATGGAGTACAAGGCTTGGCCCATCGTTCGGTGAGTTACCTTGAAGTCAACAACCCCAAGGGTTTGGGACTGATTGTACGTCACGTGTAGTTTCTTGAACGGCGTTCAGCGGACGATCTATGCAGACTGCACGGTCAACTCACTTGGGGATAGTGCACCTCACAGTTTGTTATCAAGAACGCAGATTCCTCTCATGGCTGCTTGGGCTATGACTACACATAAAAGTCAGGTAAGTGGTCAGGAACGATGGTGCAGGGCTAAGAAAGAGGCTGACATGAGCAGGGCATGACGTTGAACCGGGTTGTTGTGGACTTATCAAAGTCTTTCGAACAAGGCCAAGCATACGTAGCTCGTGAGTACTCCTGCTATCCTATGTGTATTCAGACTATTGATGCTTTCACAGTCAGTCGCGCGCGATCACTGGACGGCTTGAAGGTCGTGTCCTTTCCGGTTTCCGCGCAAGGCTCCGGAAACCCGCAAGTGAAAGAATTCCTACAGGAAAGGTTTAGCACACAATTCGGCTCACAGTGAATCTATCGGCTTGTTTTCTTTTACGATTTGATGCATGCGGACCTGGAGGGCTATAGTCCGCATTTTACGCTTCGGACACGATCGGCTTTGGACTATTTTCTTGAGCATTGCTACCCATGCTTGGAGTCTGGAAATCATTGACGAAGATCTCCACTGTATAATGGAGGGATGCTGTACCTGAACGCTGTGTGATCAGAAGTTGCAGTGCGTCGCTCACTCGTCTCGTCTACTACAGCACGAACTCTACCAATCTCGCTAAATTCCTTCGGATCCCCAACCGTGTCCATTCTTCGCTAATCCCCGCATCCCGTGCGATGGCAGGTTTTGGCGGCGCCTCCAGGGCTGTCATCCCTGGCCGAAACCTGGTCGAGTGACGCGGATGACGTATGCGTCATGGGATGCACCAGGCGTCGGCGAACGATACAGCCCTTGCATGATCTGCGAAGCTTTTCGAGTTCTGAATCTGAATTCAACGATTTTACTCCCGTAGAGAACAATACCATGTCGGCTGTGGACCAGTTGAAGCAGCAGAACGCCGCGCTCCAGGGTATGTCGCGTGCAAACTACACATCTGCTTGCTCAGAGTGTTCGCAATGTGGTTCTAACCGTCGCAGCTGGGGTAACGAATCTTCAAAAGGTCGCGCAAGGAACTTCTTCGACGGCGAAGAAGGCGCCCTCCTCAGCTACCAAGACCACCTCTCTAGCAACACAGAAAGCCGCGACACCCGTTAAGAAGACTGCACCCGCCGCAACAAAGACAACGGGAACTACCACTACGCCAGTTCGAAAAGCACCTGCAAAACTCACGAGAACGTCCACTCCGGCATCGTCGACTACGACAACCGCCGCGAAGAGTACGTCTGTGAAGCCTACAACCCCCACGGCTGCAAAGAAAACAGTACCTTCCACATCCGGTCTCTCTAACGTAACACCCGCGAAGAAAACACCCGTCGCTGCGAGTAAAACGGCTAGCGATGTATCCAAGCCCGCCACTAAGACGCCCACCTCTACGAAAAAGACTACACCTGCATCGACAACATCTTTGCCAGCAGTAAAAGGCCCTAACCTCAAGAACCAAGCTAGCTCGGCGCCCAAAATCAATGTGACCAAGACTACTCCTGCAAAACCCGCATCAAATACAGCCTCGACGACTTCGAAAGCAACGCCTGTCAAGAAAACACCAGTGAACCCAGCCGTCAACGCCGACGGCACGCAACCCACACCCACAGCAGTGAAGAAAGCTACTCCAGCTACGACTCCGAAGAAGCCCGGTGTCGTCGGTTCGGCATCGAATGCGGTCACTGGTGGAGTAAACAAAGGCGTTGGTGTCACGACGGGAACCGTGAACACAGTGGCTGACAGTGCTACTACCGGGCTGAATAGCACGGTCAACGGTATTACGGGCGTAGCAGGAAAGGGACTTGATAAAGTACCCGCCGGCGTCGGCAAGCCGGTCAAACACATCACAGATAACGTAGGCAAGACAGCCACCGGGACAGTAGACGGCCTATACAACACTACAGGATATGCTACGAAGGCAAGTTCTTCTCTAATCGTTCCGGTTCAACCTTACTTCGTATTGACCCGCTTCCAGGGCGTCCAAGGCACTGTCAGCAAAACAACCAACGCCCTCGGCAAAGGTGACCTCAAAGGCACAGCCGGCGGGCTTAGTTCAGGGGTCGGAAACACAGTCGGCGGAGTCGGCAAGGTGTGTGTCTCCCAGAGCGTTTCCTTCGTCACCCTCCGTCGTTTGTCTGCAAAGCTAAGTCGCGACTTTCACAGGGCCTCGGCAACACCGTCGATGGCGCGGTCGGAGGATTGGGGCGTACTGTCGGGGGACCACTCGGTGATGTCGTGGGAGGAGTTGGGAAAGGAGCGGGGGACGCGGTCGGAGGGATCACTGGTGGATTGGGTGATGGCGTAGGGAAGTTTGGGAAAGGCGATTTTGTTGGCGGCATGGGGAGCACGCTTGGAGGTGTCCACAAGGGTGTTGGCGGTCTCTTGGGCGGTGTGTTGGGTGGTGTTGGTGGGAAAGAGGAAGAGAAGACGTGAGAAGAGATGCAGAGTTGAACATCATGTCACGATATTGACATGATTGATGCAAAATTTGCAAAGTTCCTTGGGTAGGTATTCCTAGCTGGGTCTATGAAACGGTCGCCAACAAATAATGATACAGTCATTCCATCATAACATCCAGAATAGCTTCTTCAGGTCCCTGCACAGGCTGACTCGCAGCCATATTGCACTGCCTGAAGATCCTAACCTCCTCTGGCAGAAAGCTCCCCGTAACAGAGTGTAACACGCCCCTGTTATTGAAAATCGCAAAGTCGCCCTCTTCCCAATCAATAGGGAACACCAATTCAGGTGCAATACCAGGTCTTTGCAGCCTGTACACAATCTCCCTCGCTTCCTTTAGACCACCTACCATCGTGCCATCCTTCAACACGAGCTTTTGCACCGCGCTGGGATGGATCTGCAGCGCCAGCTTTCCTGTAACAGGGTTCCGCCAGCACATAGGCAGAGTCTTGATCTTCCCCTGTTCGATAGGCGGAAGTTGCGCTGCGTCGAGCTCCAGCCCTTCAGACACCATACCCAGCCCCGTACTTCGTGAGCGCGCGCCGCTCATCCAAATATACGGGTGTGGCGCATACTGTACCTTCGTTTCTCTTGCAAACTTCTTATCCTCTTCAGAAAGCAGGTCGTACATCGTTTCCCCACTCACAAACACCGTGCTGCCCCTCGGCACCTTAACCTCATCACCCGTCCTATCATCATATCTCAGCGTCTGGTACTCCGTCTTGGGCACTCTGACAGCAAGCAGACTAGTCACCATAGGCGGTTCCAAATCATACAGCGCGGCATCGATATGCCACCGATAGAACCTCGTATTCTCACGATCATCTTCTTCACTGATGACGTCCTTATGGAACGTTTTATGATGCGGATGCCTCAGCGTAATATCTTTCAGCCCTTCAAACTCCGGAACGAAGCCATTCCCGATGACCTGGACCTGCGGCTGGTGCGGGATAGTCTTGAGATCGGGATGTAGGATGGAGCGCTTTGCATCGAGGGTTTTGCCGTGGCCGTAGGAGGTTGCGACAAGGTCGAATAGGCGGGTTACATTGTATTGAGCGAAGGGAGTGAGGGAATCCTGCTTCTTGAAGATTATGACTTGGTTTTCGTAAAGGGCTTTTTTTATGATCTCCTCGTCCGAGGGGGTGAGGGATTCGAGGTTGGCGTTGCGAAGTTCGGCACCGATGGTGTAGGTGGAGCCGAGACGGCGGGGGAGAGGGTGAACTGTGATGTTGGAAAGGGTTGCGTGTGGCATGTTGTTGAATTTTGGATAATGCTGTCCAGTAAGGGTGATTTTGCGGGTTCGTAGTGCGAAGCTCTGGGCTTTCAATGTTCACGGAGGCTTCCCATCTCTTATATCTCCAGTACGGCCGTCTGTGAAAGCGGACAGCGGCGATACAGTGATTCGGATCATACCGATGCTGCCAATCAAGTACATTCGCGTTATTGTGGCGGAGGTCGTGATCTGGAGCACATGTGGTTGATGATAAGGAATGGCCGGCGTACCGCGGGTCAGCCGCGGCGACTTCTGAGCAATGCATCTCCGACCATCTGTGTGACGTACACTCTCGCTCTGCGCGCTGCATTCGTCTTATGGTAATTTCACTGCAAACGAATACTTGCTAGCATGCAAACGTCTGCATTATTCAATCAACCGTCCTTCACGCAGAAGCCTAGGAAAGGCGAATTTCACATGTAGTAACTACCATAGGTATGAAATCTATAATAAGAATCTTTCGCCTCTGATGCACTGCCGTGATGATATGACTAGAACAACATAGACTATGTAAAGCAAATCTCCCAAATTACGAGCGGTCCTGTTCAGCATAGGACAAGTATAGGCGAGCACATTGTATCTCGTGTACACCTAGCTTTCACATGATCAAAGTGTTTCCCAGCGGCTATGTCGCCATTTACTTTGGAATATCATGTAGGCCACCAAGGCCACCCGCATTTGGCCCCAGACCTACGCCCCTCCCATCAAAGCTGCATTCAGGTACGACTTAACCTTGCGTATATTAAATGCGGTAGCATTACAAATGCTTTCGTTCCGCTTCGTGCGAATGGGTTTCCGTGTCAACGATTTTCCTGGCTGTAGTACGATGATAGTTTGATCGCCATTGTACGTTTACGCAGCCACATAAGATTGGCATCGTTGGCATTTGCCAAAAGATTTGTGTGTATAGAGAGAGTCGCGTGGTTGGCAATCAGATACACCATGCTTGAAACTGACGGATCAACGAAAGCGCCACGGCGGTTGGGGATCGGGCGATCTGATCTGCATCGCTTCTTTCAGGCAGCGCTGCTTCGACTTCTCCTTGATTACAAGTATAGTGGCTCTGACTTCGGTCGGTGATGCGTTGTACAGCTGTCTTTGGGCTGATGAAAAAGGCGCTCAGGCACCTGGGCTTGCTAGGATCATCGACTAAATATCCACGTCTTGATTATGAAATCGTGAACTACACCGCATTGGAGAAGTGTCTCTCACTGCTAGCTCAGCTCGTGATGTCTGAGGCGTTATTCAGGATGCCTGTGGGTTACCCTTAGGACCGGCGAGCCTGGCTGGCCTGAATGTCTTATATCAGGTAGGTTAGGAGCCATTGCAGCAAACCGTAGAAACAAGATCACGTATATATTCCACCACGATGTCCATGAAAACATATCATCCTGTCATCCTACAACGCACTTGAGTATCTCTACTGAGCATCGTACTTTCTCGAACACTCAGCCATCATGGTCAAGCTACTTCCCATCTTTGGGCTCTTCACTTTAGCAGCCGCAGTCCCTGCACCGGACTCTACGGAGCCCAAAGTGGTTCATTCGAATTTCTCTTGGGAGAAATGGGTCGAGGATATTGAGGCTAATCCCGACACAGCGGCTACCCCGGAAGAGGCCTGGGCATCTTTCAATGCTACCGTTCTTGCTAGTCAGTCTCCATGCCCCTAATATCTGGATATGCAAATACTGAATTTGAGAGCATCAGGGAGCCTCACGGAGAAAAGGCAGAGCGGTGTCAACTGCGATGTTCTAACCCACCGGGCAAAGGTCTGTCAATCTTACACCCATCTATCTCCCCACGACTGGATATATTCTGAGCTATGGTACTGTAGGGATCGGCTTGCGTGAATTGCATCAATACGTTGGCCCGACGTGGAGGTAACGGGAAGAAATGCGGCGTGGGTGTCGCGGGACCTACTATCGGCTGTAAAAATGCTGGCTGCACTATATCTGCGCAGACAAGTCCGACTTCCCGTGGAAAGATCAACTGGTATGTGTGACCTCCCTGTGTATTCAGACTGAGGGGTTGTTCGCTGATTGATGCGTAGCAATGCGCTTGCGCGGGCTGCTGGTGCCGTTATGGATAAATGTTTTCGCGCTGATCAGACTGTCGCGGGTAATGCGTATGCACCTGCGCCGAATCAGTGGGCATACATTCATGTCCAGGGAGGCTAGAGCAAGGGCTCAGGGCTCGTCTGCGAGGTTTTGAGCGGTGAAGTAAGTTTCGTTCAAAATTTGGACGCGGTAGCGTACCATAGGTAGCATCAGGAAAGCGTAAACTGCCATCGAGCAGTCAACCACTTATCTGCCAAGCAGCAGCACGAGCTGCCCTTTTGTTGGGGTGGCATAGTGCTCGCTGGATTTGAGCACTAGGTGTAGGTGACTTTGTCGTGGTGCGAGTCTAGGCTCGATCCTTTCGCTCTTTCCTCTTCTTCTTCTAGGGAAGCACTCGCATTTTGTCCGATAAACATTAGTCAGTCAATATTAAATGCAGCGAAGCCGATATGGATTTTCTCAAATAAATTGAATTTGTATTTCGATCGAACTCTTGCAGTACTGGTGCTTTTCTAAGCCGCAACCGGGTCGTATTCTTACGATGTCCTAGATAAGGCTCTCCGCCTTCAGCGTCTCTTGCACAGCAGACCGCATAGTGAACTACCTAATGATACGCGCATAGTTTAGGAAATACGGTCTTAACACCTTAGTAGTAGATGTTGGACATGTAAGCCTCCATAGCTCTGAATTTATAATCTATTGCCTACCTCTTAGCCTTTGGCTTTCCCTCATGTCTTTGTAGTAGCCTTCGAAAATATACTTCCCCCTTGCTAGCGTGTTTTTTTTTTTTACGTCGAATCTATCTTCTACATTAGTCTAGCATTCTCGATATTGGAACGATCCATACGCTTTCGTACAAAGCGATAAGAACATGTTTTCAAGCTACTCATATACGCGAACGGTTTGGAATGGCGTCTTGCCGAAGCAGTTGTTCGAGGGGTGACGTGGAGTACGTGTAGCTGCTGATAAAAACGACCGCTGCGGGTTCCGAGCGATGTATCCTGACAACTTATGATGGCAGCTTTTCAATTTCGATATCATGTGGGTTCGGAATCATATTTTGATTTGAAGTCTTTCATGCTACCTCGTGCTTTTACTCCGCTAACTTCACATCGTCCAAGTTCCTCCTGACAAACTGTGTTGCCTTGTCCAGACCCTCCTTCACGCCCTCGGTGTGGTTGACATAGCCAATACGCACATAGCCTTTGTACTCTTCACCAAAACACTCGCTTCCAGGCACAAACATCACGCCGGTTTTCTCCAGTAGCTTCTCACAGAAGTCGACTGAGTCGACGGGCTTTCCATCGCGGTGGAATCGGACGAACGCCGTGGTGCCCGCAACAGGTTTCACCCAGTCACACGCATCGTCGTTCTTCAATACGAATTTTTCCAGGATGTCAATGTTCATCTTAGCCAAAGCAATGTTGCGCGCTAGCAGGCTGTGAATTGTCGAAGGGTCCAGCGCGAAAGCAGCGACCTGCTCGTCCAACATGCTGACAGAGATCAACGTGTAATGTCTCGCCTCAGCAATCTCTTCAATGATGTTGGAGTCCCGGGATGCAATCCAGCCCACGCGAATGCCTGCAAGCGAGTACGCCTTTGACATGGATCCCGTTGCGATGACACGGTCGTATCCCATGGATACGATAGAAGGAGGAAACTCTGCGTTCATGGGTGTGATGCCGTGGAAAATGGGTCGGTAGACCTCGTCGCTGTGGATAATGATGTTTCGTTCTGACGCAACTTCAATGACTTGTTGGAGGAAGGTTTTGCCTAAGACAGCGCCGGTGGGATTGTGCGGGTTGTTGATGATAATCATCTTGGTGTTAGGCTTGATGAGAGTCTTGAGCTCGCCGATTGAGGGGTTCCAGTTATTTTCAGGGGTGGCTTTCCAGAGTGAGACTTCAGCGCCGAGTTGCTTGGGTATCTCATAGAGTGATTGATCTATCATCTTGTAAGCTCAGATCGGCAGGACCAAGAAGCATATAGCGAACGTACATGTAGGGTAGTGACATATCACATGGTCTCCGGGGCCGAGCAAGGTGTATGCGACCAAATAATTTGCTTGGATCGCTCCATTTGTGGTGATGATGTTATCACGCGGTAAGGCTTTTCCAGAGCGGGCAGAGTACAGTCGGGAGAGATTGTCACGTAAAACATCAGAGCCTCGTATTGCACCGTACGTAAGAGCTGTGGAGGTCTGGAAAATCTCGCGACCTTTGACCTCAGAAAGCTCGCGCAACTGGTCAATGGAAACAGAAGCGCAGCATGTTTCAGCTATGTTGTACTTGCAGTTGCGCTCGTACTTGTCCATCCACTGTGGTCTGTCAGTCTGGTTCTCTTACGACGAGACGTCTTGGGTGTGGTGTTGGCGATGGCAAAGGATGGCAACTGGCATGCGCAATACTCACAGCTTCGACGGAAAACTTTGCGATCCTAACCATTATGAAATCGCTGATCTAGAAGGCTACCGAGAAGAGCAATGTTGATGATTGTACGAAGCCTTGCACCGTGACTTGAATCTATTCATCGAGGGCAATTGACATAGGGCGTCGTGCTATCGGAGGCTAACGCGACCTGCATCCGCCCACGTGCAGTACCTGGATCGGCGCCGTCTTACATACAACCGCATCATGCGCGCAATAGAACTTGGGACTTCAGGCCGGCGGCTTATGAGGAGCTGCTTACCAGACACAGGTCCTATTGATGGAGGGTGCTCACCGCTGAAGGAGCGCCGGATGACGCCTGCTCGAACGGGCCACGGATGGTTGCTCCTCGGCTCGCGTGAGGCAGGCGCGCCCTCTTGGCGACCATTACGACCAGCCTCGCCCCCGCAACTCACCTGCTCGCGCGATGCGATAACAGTCCAGCTCCGGGTCTCTCTGACGAATCCCTGTTGCCGCCATTCTTTTGGCTATTGTTTCTTCTCTCCACCCTCCCGACTTCCTTCCCCACGCTCTACCACGTGCGACCCTTGCTTGCGCCGACGTCACCAAGGCAACAGCTAAGCTCCGAGAAGGTTGCTGCATCTCCACCGCACCGCCATTGAGTGGAGCGCGACATGCGACGCACGCCATGGACCGCCGCGCTTCTGGTCTCGCTGTCGCTCGCGGGACTAGCCACAGCTCGCAAGACCTTTGCTAATTATTCCGCCGCCGAAGTACCTCTCGACCTGTTCTCGCTGTACGACGACCGACCCGATGGCTGTCCGCCATGCTTCAACTGCAACCTCGACGACTTTCAATGCCATCAGTTCGCTAAATGCGTTAAAGGGAACGGAAAGTGCGACTGTACGCCTGGCTTCGGAGGAGAGGACTGCTCAACGCCACTGTGTGGCGCGCTGCCAGATGGCAACCGGAACAGAGCCCCAAGAAGTGGCGATAAGTGCGAATGCAAAGAGGGCTGGGGAGGCATCAACTGCAATGTCTGCCAAACGAACCAAGCATGCAACGCCATGATGCCCGAAGGCAAGGGTGGTATCTGTTTCAAGGAAGGCCAGCTGGTCAAAGAGAACTATCAGATGTGCGACATCACCAACAGGAAGATCCTGGACACGCTCAAAGATAAGAAGCCTCAGGCGACCTTCTCCTGCAACGCTGAAACCGAAGAATGCAATTTTCAATGTAAGCTTGGTCCTACCTTGATTGCACATACATGGGCTGACAGAACCACAGTCTGGGTCGACCAGAAAGAATCCTTCTACTGCGCCCTCGATACCTGCAGCGCAGATTTCCAAGCCCTTCCCGATCGTAACATTTCCAAATACAACTGCGACAACATCAAATGCGCCTGTGTGCCGGGCAGGATGCTCTGCGGAGAAGAGGGCTCCATTGACATTGGAGATTTCCTCAAGGAGTCTATAAAAGGCCCAGCCGAATTCAAGTCGGTCTCCTCCGTGGAGCCCAGCGAGGATAGTGGCAGCATCTTTTCGGAACCTGCCATGAACGATCTGATCTCCAGCGTCTTCGGCGACGAGAGCATCTTCCTCAAGTGCAACGCTGGGGAGTGTCTTTATGAGACCGAAGTACCCGGATACGAAAGGCCAGTCAAGGTTATCAATACTCCACTGATTGCCGGTGTTATTGCAGGATGCGCTTTGTTTATCGTGGCTGTCGTCCTGGTGATCTGGTATCTTGCCCGAAGAGCCGAAAAGCGGAAATGGGGCCCGATCCACCTGTCCGACGACGAGGAAGACGAAAATGCGAAACTCTTGGCCGACCACAAACCCGCTTCGTTGACGTTTGAAGATGTGTCCTACCGACTGAAGGGCAAACAGATCCTCACCGGCATCACCGGTGCTGTACATCCAGGAGAACTCCTGGCTATCATGGGTGCCTCAGGCGCTGGCAAGACAACCTTCCTCGACATCCTTGCTCGTAAGAACAAGATTGGTGTCACAGGAGGGCATTCTTACCTCAATGGAGAGCAGGTCCGCGATGACGAGTTCCGCAGTGTTATCGGGTTCGTGGACCAAGAGGACACCATGCTGCCTACATTAACTGTACACGAAACGATTCTGGATTCGGCATTGTTGCGCCTTCCTAAAGAGATGAGCCGCGCATCAAAAGAGCAGCGTGCAGACGATGTGGAGCGCCAACTAGGTATTCACCACATTCGTCACCAGAAGATCGGATCTGAAGAAAGCGGTCGTGGTATTTCGGGTGGTGAGAAGCGTCGCGTCGGAATCGCCTGTGAACTCGTTACGTCACCCAGCATTCTTTTCTTGGATGAGCCAACCAGTGGTCTCGATGCCTTCAATGCCTTCAACGTGGTCGAGTGCTTGGTCAACCTCGTCAAGACCTACAACCGAACCGTTGTTTTCACCATCCACCAACCCCGCTCTAACATTGTAGCTCTTTTCGACCAGCTTATCTTGCTTGCCAAAGGCAGGACCGTATATTCTGGGCCGTTCGAAGACTGCCAGGCCTATTTTGATAACATCGGATACACGTGCCCGCCTGGGTTCAATATTGCCGATTACTTGGTAGATCTTACCATGCACGCCAGTGCCATCACGCATTCTATAGATGATGATAACTCGCTCTTCTCAAGACAAGGCCTGGGCACAAGGGCAAGCAGTGCCATTGCAGTCAAATCCATCCGAAGTGTTAACACCGATTTGGACACGGTGGGCAGCCCCAGCGTTTCCAGTATTCGACCGAACGGCAAGCGCAGGACATCGATTAAGCAACAACAGGAGCGTGAGCTCTTCACTAGGAAGAAGAGCACAGCTGTGAATGACGGTACGACGTCCCCCAAATCTGACGATGGTGGCCCCTATCAACCTCGCGAGGGTAGTAATGGTCAGTGGCTAAAACTTTCGCGTCAACAAGGTGCTGCGCCTCCCCAGATCCTAGAAGATCCGGACGAGCTGCCCCCTCCGGCCGATGACGGGACAGGAACGAATCTGGATACGCTTGTGCACGCATATGCGGCCTCAGATGTGGCTGCTGCTCTACGCCAAGATATCGCCAGTGCCATTTCATCAGCTAACGAGGCGAATGGCAACACCGGTGATAGCCACCATGCCAATGGTTTCGTGGCCGCTGGTAAAGTCAGAGGCTTCCGGAAAGTTGGACTGCTTGGCCAATTCATCATCCTTTCGAGACGTACCTGGCGCAACCTCTACAGAAACCCGATGCTCATGTTGACGCACTACGCTATCGCAATTGTTCTCGCCGTATTCCTAGGGTTCTTATTCTTCGGTCTGACCGACGATATAAAGGGTTTCCAGAACCGTCTGGGTCTCTTCTTCTTCGTGCTGGCACTATTCGGTTTCAGCACCCTCACTGTTCTCACGGTCTTTGCACCTGAGCGACTACTCTTCACGCGTGAACGAGCGAAGGGCTACTATTCGCCACTTTCTTACTTTGCTTCCAAAGTCTTCTTCGACATTGTACCACTACGCTTGATCCCGCCAATCATCCTCGGTATTATCGTCTATCCGATGACCGGACTGGTTCCTAAGTGGCCCGAGTTCCTCGTGTTTGTTCTGTTCTTGGTTTTGTTCAACCTAGCAGCCGCGGCTGTCTGCTTGTTCATCGGTATCGTCTTCCGCAACGGAGGAGTCGCGAATCTCATCGGCGTACTTGTTATGCTGTTCAGCTTGCTCTTCTCTGGATTCTTCTTGAACAAGGACAGTATCCCTCCGGCGGCGAAGTGGTTACAAACCGTAAGTTTCCAAAACGCTCTCACTCGAAACTATTACTGACGGGTGAAATCAGCTCTCTATATTTCATTACGCGTTCGAAGGCCTCATCGTCAACGAAGTCAGATACCTCTCGCTCGTCGATCACAAATACGGCCTTGACATTGAAGTCCCTGGCTCCGCAATTCTGAGCTCATTCGGCTTCGACGTACTCGCGTGGAAGAAGGACTGCATCGGCCTCGCCGTTTTTGGTGGTGCCTTTGTTGTACTAGCATACCTTGCCATGCACATACTGCTCGTAGAGAGGCGGTAGCATATTTCCGCTTTGCCGGAGCTCTGCTCGGCGACTCAGTCGCTAGCTGTGTAGATATAGGCCAATGCTTCATTAGCTGCGGTTGTTTTTGCGGCATTTTGCATATGTCCGTTTTCGTTTGTCTCATAGTCACTGTTCGTACATGGGAATGCGCCTTGCATAGATGGCGTTTCTGGGATACAGGGCAAGGCGAGTTTTGCGACTTCGCTAATATATTAAACATTTTTCATAACATTGGACACGGCCAGTGCATCTTGACACGTTTCTGAACGCTCGTCCGTAACTCCGCAAGATACTGTTAGCCGTTTACGCGCTCTAGGCATCGCACTTGCAACATATAACGCGCTGGAAACAGAAGAATGACATTTCAGTGCAGCGTTATAAGTCGATTGGGTTATACATAACTTCGCCGTTTAAGCTCACCACTTGACTCGTGAGGCGGGGCGCTCCACATGTACAAGTACATACTCTAGCCTGGAGCGTCGATATCAGATCACTCTCGATACATACAAATGAGAATCGTCTCTCCACAAAAAGTAGTCGAAGTTTCCGGCGCTCTACGGTGCTCGGTCAGTATGGTAGTTCATCCGCTCCCGCGAACAGTTAAGCTAAGCCAGCTAGCCGTGTCCAGAATATGCTCGGTTGTTCGGCGGCCGGGTGAGAGCAGTTCGCCTGAATCGCTAGCGTTAGGCGGGTTTGCCCGTGGCGTTCGGAGCTGTTTCGAGGGCAGTCAGTGGGTCAGGTCCCGCTGCTTTTCGGGAATGGTTCCGAGATTGTACGTGTGTTGTCGTTAGGGATGGATGGGTTAAATCGGGGTAACTCGGGATACATACGATAATCTTCCGTATGTGTGTAAATTACTGTAAATCCCGTGAATTGTCAGACGTCTATCTCTGGGGATGAGTAAACAGGATCCTAATAAGATGCCTCAAGATCATGCCGTATTATTACCACAGCCCGTCCTCAGTGACCAGCGTCTCATACTTATCGTGAAGACACGTAATTGACGTGTATTTCATTCATTGTAAGTTGGTAAGTGGCCATCCCTAGTCGTTGTGCGCGGCGATGGAGAACAGAGGTGCAGATCGCGTGCACATCCGGATGGGTCCGCATATAGAGACCTCCGTGGCATCATGGCAGGCAACCTCCCCTGCCTCAAGCCCCTCTTCCGTACTGTCCTCGGCTCCACATATGGTCGCGGGTCGATAGGAAGGACCGGCGGTACGGGCACAACGCCGCGATATCTCTCGAGAGCGTACGGCGTGGGGACGAATGCGCACTCCGCGAAAGCTAACGGCTTCAACAGCCTTACCTCGAGCAAAGCCGGCAGGCCCCCGCACGACCATTACGAGATGACCTCCATAGGATTTGGCGAGGGCGAGAGCCGGGCAATGAGTGCGGCAAGCAACAGGGAAGACGGCAGAAGCGAGAAGAGCAGCCAGGGGAGTGTCGAGCTGCTGGATACAAAGGGTGCGAATCCAAAACTGGGTGGTATCTTGAAGACAGCCGAAGTCATACAGTCCCTTGAGTCCACGAGAGTCGTATCGCCGCTGCCAAGGGCCGCGGAACAGGATATCAGACCTGAGAGAAGTGTGATGAACCTGGTCTGAACTTTAGGCGAGCGGCTATTGTGTTTTTCCTCCATCGTTCGATACCATAGGGCTTCAGTCGTCAGATTAGACAACTGCAGGGAAAAGTTTGAAAGTAGGCTTCATGTGTTTTATCAATCGCTGTAAACTCCTAGTCAAACCTGCTAACCAAATTGCTATTTCAGAGGCGGACAGGCTGCTCCTGTTTTCCGCCTAGACTTAATACCTCTTGGGCCTCGGCGGCGGGCCACCTTTCCACTTCGGTACATTCCCTAGGTTCGGCTTGTACTGCTTCTGCGGCCTCTCCGGCTGGCTCATCATGGCCAGTCGTGCAGGGTGGATGCCACCATTGTCCGGCTCGTCAACCGCAGGTTCACCTTCAGCCTCGCCTTCTTTGCCCTTAGCTGCTGCTTCCTTCTTGTCCTTACGATCCTTTTGCTTGCCCTCGATCTCAGCGCGCTTGTCGTGGTTGCGCTGGCGCTCGTTGGCCAGCTTCTCATTCTTGGCGTGAATCTTCTGCACGCGGGCTTCTGTGTTGCCGCCTCCGCCAGCACTGTTCGCATGTCAGGATCTACAGAACGCGGGGTTTGTTGGGTATGGAGCATACCTAAGCTCGACGTTGATCTTACGCCCCTCCTTCTTCTTCGGGTCAGGAACGACGGAGTGGTGGTACTTCATCAGCGCGGTCTGCATATGGTCGAAGCGCTCGAACTCGATGAAGCCACAACCCATAGACTTGCCGGAGTCCTTGTATGTGCGGAGACGGACTTCGAAGGGTTTGAGCTTGGCGAAGTGTTCCTCGATCTGCTCCTTTGTGGTGCTAAAGGGGAGGTTGCCTGTAGACATAAGAAAATGGTCCGAAGGTGCAAGATGAAGACTTACCAATGAAAACAATGAAGCGGCCCTGCGGACCAGCTTCCTCCTGTTCGGCGTCCACTGCGTCATCCCCTTCACCCTCTGCCTGCTCGTCTTGGTCTTCGGTACCGTTGGCAGTTGGCGTTGACTCTACCGCGCCAGAGGGTTCGTCGGCGGAGTCCTTCTTCTTTTTCTTCTCTTTCTTTGACTTCTTGTCCCTCTTAGATTTCTTGTCGGAAAGCTGCTCTGTAACAGTTACTGCAGCTGACTCTTCGTCCGCGCCATCTACATCCATGGGCTCAGCGGCCTCGTCATTGTCCTTGCTCTTTTTCGACTTCTTCTCTTTCTTTTCCTTCTTCGACTTCTTGTCCTTTTTTGCTGGTGTAAGATCACCATCCACAGCGCTCCCGACAAGGTCAGTCTCTATATTCCTATCCTTGGACTTCTTATCCTTCTTGGACTTGCTCTTCTCAGCCGGTGCCTCTGCGCTCGCTGCAACCTCCGCCTGCGCTGATGTCTCATCCGCCACGACGTCCTTTGACTTCTTTGACTTCTTCTCCTTTTCGTCCTTTCTTTTCTCTTTCTTGCGTTCCTCTCCTGAGATTGTCCCGTTCATTGCTCCTGTGAACGTATCGGGCATGGGCGCATCGTCGAAGGCTATAAAATCTTTCTCGGCGGCATTGACCGTCGCAGCGGGAGTCGCATCGTCGCTCGCTTCACCCTTCTTCGATTTCTTCGTCTTTTTATTCTTCTTCGCGTTTTTCTGGTCTGCGACCGGCGCGTTGTCTACCTCCGCATCGTTAGATGATTTCGACTTCTTGGACTTCTTGGGCACGTCGGTAGCCTCCTCTTCCTGTCTCTTGCGCTTCTTCTTCTCGTCCTTGAGCTCCGACTTGGACATGGTGGGCGGACTAGGTGAATAATGAGGACTGTAGTGTCGCGAGAGGAAGCGCGGAGCGCGAACTCGAAATTCTCGTAAGGTAACTTTTTCTGCCGGGCGGTGGCCACGCGACTAGCTTGGCGGTGAACGCGAACATCGCATCCATGTTACTGACTTAATCAACAGCTACCGTCTCATCCCGAAAGCCCACGATGCGGCCCCAGACAAATCGCATACGTTTGCTTGAGCGCTCAATACGGAATGCACCGACTACACACAGCGTAGAATCGCAATGTCCCCGCCATTTCTCTCATAGGCCTCCCCGCCTTCTCCTCGTCTCGCACCGAAGCCTGCCGCGACCGCAACTGCCTTTCCTCTACCCTTCCGGCGCATACCTCTCCAACGCTCAACTGTCACGTCTGTTCTCCATTAGTGCGAACCAGAAGAAGTTCATCAAAGAGACGGCACGGGAAACGGTCAAATGGACGTTGCTCATTTTCTTCGCAACATCGTGCTTCAGCATTGCAAGCCTGGGCATCTTGAGCGAAAGGCAGGAGCGCGCATTTCCGTCACCACACGAATGGAGCTTGATCACAAGGTTCAGATTTCGGAGAGGGAAGTGGTGGCAGGTGCCGGAGAACAATGAAGAGGAAGGTTTCCCAAACTGGGCTAGGGTCTATGACGAATTAGAGCGGGCAATGAAGCGGCTGGAGAACCCAGACAAGGATGGCGCCGGGATAGAAGAGCAAGAAGAAGGTGGACTGCTGGTACCTGGCGTAGGAAAGGCAGGCTTCGACCTCACGGCTAAGAGCGAGGAATGGCGGCAAGGCTACTACGAGGTCCTGATGGGCATGGCCACAGCAGCTGAAAGATTAGAGGGCTGGGTCACAACCAAATCGCGCCGCTACGTCTGGGCACCTGAATTTGTTCCCTCACCTAGCAATCCGCGACCCAAAGCCACGCTTCCATCCCAGCTCCCTATCCCCGACGAGGAGGACCGCATACCTGCCGCCGATCTACCAGAGACTTTCTATCTCAAGATCATAACCTCTAAAGGCTTCACTACGAACCAACGCATGACCGCAGCCCTCGGCTATGCAGATTGGCTTGCCTTCAAGCAGCTCCCCGACTCTGCAGAAGAAATGTACAAATGGGCCCTCGACATCGCCACCTCCGGCCTCCCCACGCCCGACTCGTCTACAGCCATCGACCCTAGAGCACATGTTCTTTCCTCCACATCCCCCAAAGAATTGATAACGCCCAACATCGTCTATGCTGCGACAAACCTCGCCACCTTCCACGCTTCCCAAGGACATACCACAACCGCTCTCCCCATCCTCGTCTCCCTCCTCCGCGCCCGTCTAGCCGCTGACTCTGCACCTCCAAAAGGCGACAACAAGCCTCAAGATTCCAGCTTCGTCGGCACAGTCTTGAGTCTACTATCCGAGCCCGCGTACCCTGATCTTCCACCTACCGGCGATGAAGTTCTCCTCCGCCGTCCCGAGGACCGCTGCGAAGAAGCAGCGCTAAAGTCTTACATCGGAGAGATACTCTTCGCGGTCGCTACTTCCCCATCCGGGCGGTCTCAAGGCCTTTCCTGGGTGCGAGACGCCGTTTCAACAGCTAAAACCGCGCAATTAGACATACCCAGCATACAGAGTAACCCAACGCTGCGCAAGAAGTGCGAGCAGTGCGAAGAGGTCGGACTTGAGGCGTGGGGAAAGATTATGACGTACCTCGCGGCTGATGCGCGTGAGAAACGCGACTCCGTGGAGTCAAGTATCATGAAGAAGCTGTGGTGGAAGCTGTGGCCGGGGGCGACGCAGAAGTTGCGTGAGGACGTTGAGGCTAAGGAAGGTGAAGAAGAGGGCGTTGTCATGCGGTTGAATAAGCTACGGGGAAAGATGCTGAAGGAGGAGTATGAGGAGATGGATAGGAAGTATGCGAGGACGTTCGTCTTCTAGAAAGGCTTATATGTTGGTTGTACGATGTATATGTACTATATTGGGCTTTGATACCTCCAGAGCAATTAGGAGTAGATTGTAGAGCTGGCTGTACTGATGCTAGTCTGCTTTTTGTTTACAAGAAGAGGAGCAAACGTTGCAGCACCATACATCGATTAACTCTATCACGCCTTGTACGTGGCGTACGATCCTTCCACAATGCGGCCAGTTTTGGCGTGCGGCATAGTATTTGAACAGTCACGCAATCATATTTCAAGGGCAAGATTCGATCAGATCATATTGACGACTACCTGTTCATAATCATCCTGAGTGAAGAGATGGTGCCAGTACCCGCAGCACATCCGCGGCTAAGCCACCGTCAAAGATGATCGCACATTGCTCAGACTCTCATTTTCTCCGATTTCGAGCAGAGATCGCAGCCGTCATGACGTGAACACGTCGCTTAGCGAAGGTGTTGTTCAGTCAGCCACCATCCTCGTGACCTCAAGCATTTTGATGGAAGGTCCCCATGCAGTTGAGCCCTACCGTCAAGCATGCTCTTACCAGCCATCAACCTTGTTCTCGGCGCCATCCGGCTGAAAGTCATCGCCACCGCCGGATCTATCACCGCCGTCACTGAAGCCGACAGTATCACCACCACCAAAGACGGCATCACCACCGAATCCAGCGTTGGGTTCGAAGCCAGCACCAGCACCAGCACCAACATCAGTGTCAGCACCACCGAAACCGCCCCCAAAGTCACCACCAAAGTCGCCAGCCTCAGACTCGTCATCAGTGCCATCGTGCCACTCGATGTTGTCCGGATCCTCAGGCTTATGCATTTCGAGGAAGTCGGGAACCTCCTGCTTGGCCTCCAGCAGAAGCTTCACGAGCTTCGGCGCCAAGTCGTCGTTGCGGTCATTGTAGAAGGAAGTTGCTTTGCCTTCGTTGCCAATACGCGCAGTACGGCCGATTCGGTGAACGTACTCCGTGATGCCATCATGCATCGTCGAAGGAAGATCGTAGTTGATAACGTGCTTGACGAGAGCCACATCCAAGCCCTTGAAGGAACTGTCAGTGTGATTGTCTTTAGGATACCAAGCGTCTACTTACCCGCGCAGTGACACCAGTGGCAACCAGGAGAGGGCATCGGCCGATGCGGAAGGAGCGCCTGGTCGATCATTAGCAATGGATAGCAGGCGTAAACAGTCGATTAACTCACAAAGCGTCCTCCCTCTCACGCTGAGTGCGGTCAGAGTGGATAGACGTGGACGGGAGGCCCTTGTTGTACAAGAAGTCGTCAACGATGTCGCACTTGGCCTTCGAGTTAACGAAGATCAGAGTGCGCTGGGGACCCTCGGAGAAGATAAGGTCGAAAAGCGCTTGATTCTTCTGCTGATCCTCCACCTGTAAACATCGTTAGAAGGTCGCACACTTAGTGTCAATGAATCTAATGTTACTTACGTAGATGATCGACTGCTTGATGTTGCTGTGTGTGCTACCGATACGACCGACCTTGATACGTACGAAGTCCTCTTCCATGTGTTCACGGGCAAGCTTGCGGGCTTCCTTCGAGAACGTAGCCGAGAACATCATGTAGGTGTGGTCAGCGTCGACGTTGGTGTCAGAACCAGCACCGAAGAGACTATCGATGGTCTCCTCCCAACCAGAAGACAACAGCTCATCGGCTTCGTCGATGACGGTGAACCTATAATGGTTAGCAACAGGAAGATTAACTCGATGGTGTCTAACTCACTTGAGGCGAGCTAGAGAGAGGAGGTTCGGGTTCTTCATAAAGTCCATGAGGCGACCGGGTGTGGCGATCAGGATGTCGCAGCCCTTCTCCAGCTGTTCACGCTGGTTTCTAGTCGGTGCCCCACCGTAGATGACACAAGGACGCAGGAGAGTGCGATAGCACAGGCGGCGCGCCTCGTCAAAAATCTGGCAAGCCAGCTCGCGAGTCGGACAGACGACAAGCACGAGCGGCTCAGCGCGGACGCGAGGGTTCTGCGGTGTGGCACGCGGTGCTGCGAGGATGCGAGCCTTACCCATCAGCTTGGAAAGCATGGGCAGTAGGAAAGCCGCAGTCTTGCCAGAACCTGCTGGGGTGAGCATCGAGCAGAAGTAGGACTAGGCTTGATACTAACCAGTCTGAGCAATGCCAACAACATCGTGGCCAGTCAAGACAGCCGGGATGCAGTAGGCCTGGATTGGTGTCGGTGAGTCGTACTGGCAACGCTGCACATTCTCAAGAACGGCAGGGTGCAAACCAGCGTCTTCGAACTGTGATCAAGGTGAGCAACAAGCGAAGCAGTTGCGATAGTTGACTTACGTTGCGGAAAGGCGCGATCTTCTCCGGGCCGTCTATCTTGATCTCGAAAGACAGGTTCTTCATACCAGCTTCAGTACCACGGCGCTGCATGTCAGGGTCTTCGAAGAGTTGCTTCTCAAGCGCCAGATCAGGAGCGCCCACTTCTCCGATGTCGTCGATGAACTCGTAGACGACGGCGTCCGACAGCCACTTGACATTCTCAGGCTCGTCATCAGGTCCAGCAGCACCGCCAGCAGCCTGGTACTCGAAGGGTATAGGCTTCTGCCAGCCGGCCTCGGTGGCGCGCTGGAGGTCATCGGCCTTTTTGCTGAGCCTTAGTGGCAGAAGCATCGTCAACAACGGCCACGCCATTGGTCTGCGCACGCGGGTTAGCACGTCTTACGAAGGTAGAGCGAGCAGAGAACTTACGCCGGCGTCAGACATGTTGAAGCGTTGTTGTGAGGTAAGCTCAGTGAGGGTGTAGTACGTGTGCAAGCGAGCACAAGACTGGCCTCGAGAAAAGCGAAAAGGTTATGGGGGAGAATGGGGGGGAGAGGCCAGCTGCGCAGGTGTTCATAAAGGGGAGCGTGGTGCTCGCTTAGCGGCGTTGCTGCGTGCGGGTGCTGCCGTGAGTGCTCTGATTGCTGAGGACGAGGAAGGAAGGAGCAGGGCGCTAGAGCGTTCTATAGCCCTATGCCAACACTTGAACAAGTGAGAGAGGACACGCGGCAGTGAAGGCGGCGAACATTGACACAGCAAAGTCTGAGGAGGGATGAGGAAGCGCGAAGCAGCAGACGCGGAGCTGCGTAAGAGAGATGCTCGTGAAGACATAAGGCAAGGTGTAGCTACGCAAGTAGGACGGCCCGAACCTGCTGCGCGAGAGGCTGGACGGCGAGCGGCACCAGATGTCGACGAGTATGCTTAGTATAAGCAGACCGGGCTCCGTGAACGCCGAGGAATAGACACTACGAGAGCTGTAGCGTGGCAAGTATTGGCTTTGCTAGATGAGATGCCAGAAGTGGCCGGTATGGAGAAGCCCAGCATTACCTAGGTAGCGTTCCGTGGATGGCGGAGGTTTGGCTGTAGCATAGGCCTACTCGCTACGTAGAACATCGATACCGATGGCTCGTCTCCTCGACGTGAAGCCCGATCGGCATCTCTTGTCTAGCTAGCTAGACAGGTGGTGTCGCGTAGTTCACAGCACAACCACCCGCAGAGGGCGAGCTGCATTCGAGGCGAGACACAACCCAGCACAGCACGTCGAGAGCCACGGCCGCGCAAACAGCTTCTACCGCGTCCCCCGCAAGCCCTTGCGGAGTGTCCAGTGTACTGATGCTGGAATACCGCAGCATCGTGTCCGGAGAGAATGCTTGCTGTGCACCGACATGACTCCATGTTCGTCATATGGGACCAACACATGAGACGAGCGCGTGTCGGACACGGATGGGGACCTCTTGGGATAGAAACAATTCAAAGAGAATAATACATGCCTCAGCTATCTCTTTAATAATCCACGCATGCGAGCCTTGGACTACTGCTAGCAATCACTTCATCTCTTGCTGCTGTGTTTTGACCACAATAGCGCGCAACTAGGTCGAGAAGGATGCTTGAATATAGCCAATGGATAAGATAGCTCTAGAATCTCGAGGGGTAGGAGGACACAGAGCGGGATTGATACTGACGCAAGTTGAGCTGGCTTGGCTCGCGATTTGAAGGAAGCACTCAGTGGGAAGTGTATCATGTAAAAGACATGACGATAAGAAGGGAGCACCTGCAGCTAGGTAATGTCCTTGCGCGTGGGTAGGAAGGGTATTTGCAATGCGTACTTTGTTTGTCCCTTGATGTGACGTTGTGACGCCGAACAAACAGGGCCGACTTCGAGTACAGATGCACTGGCATAATTGCACTGATCAGGCTGCGTACGTCCACCGCAGAGCATGCATAATGTGATACAGCCCCGCAGTCGAGATGGTTGCTTCCCAGTCCATATAAGCACAGCGGAAAATAGGAGGTAGGAAACTTGCAACATGTCGTCGTGCGCTTAGACATTCGTAAATGCGGAGGATGTTTAGGGGTCTAGACCCGTTGCAGCTGGTGTCCCTTGCGTGTCTTCATTCGCGGATTAAGCGGATGATTGTGCGAACCATGGCTAGCTGCCGGCAGGCTGTGGAGTCTCAAGCCTACAGCACCTTTCTTCATTGTGCAGCATGCCATTTTGAGTGGCAGCCACGAAACGCTTCCAAAGGCTGCTCGGCAATGAAGCTTCACGTAGGCAATATGCAGCCGGACGCCGGCAGAGCCTCCGTCATGCCCCTCGCGACGACCAACCACGTCGCCGCCCGCACCACCACGAAGTACCCATCGACAATGTCCAGCGCTCTGCTTACGCATCTGCAGCTGCAAGTTTGCGAGCTTGTTCCTCGACCCCTAGCGACCGCCGCCCTGCTCACAACGTGATTGGTCCTCCCTATCATCCTCGACGCCGCACTCCTGCCGATAATTCTGCCACATCAGCGCCGAGGAACATAAGCAAAGGACTCGGAGGAGTTAAGGAAAGGCAGTGCGTTACTCTGTGTTTGAGGTGCATCAGCTGCTCGACGGGGTGGCAAGCCTTGCGAGCCGGGCATCGCTACACTATGGTGGCTCGGACGGCGAACGACTCCACGCTCTGGTCACTCGAGCTCAGAACACCACGACCGGGCTGCGAGAACAAACGACACAGCGGCGCTCAATGCCGTTGGTATCCCCTCGCGCAGCTAACTCTGTCCAGGCAATTGCAATGCGCAGAAAAATGTAGCGATGAGCGCAAGGATGGAGGGAGGTGAAGCGCCGCACATTGGTACTAATGCTACCACCACCAGCACCTGCTTCGTCCTTGACTCGGCGCGAGTAGGTACAAAAATTGAGTCTCGTCTTCGCAGGTAGCCTCATGCGTTTGCCTACACGGTGTTTGGCCTTCAAGCTTCTCCAGCGGATCACCGACTGCAGCATACAGCGCGAATCGGTTTATCCAGGCGATGTTTCGCACGCGAAAGTCTGGAAGCGGAAAGCTCGAGGGTTGGGACCCCCAAAGCAGACACCAGAAGCTGGAGGTAGAGAACATATTGCAGCATCCGTTTTGTTCGCCTTTGAAGAAGGCGTCGATGTGAGAGCCTGTGCTCGATAATAGAGACGACGGTCAGATCTTCCGGTACAGAACCAGCAGCATTTGAAGCAGTAGCAGCTGTATACTGCATGGGAAACATGGCCGTAAACATGGCGACGGGGGAAGCGACTCTTGACAGCAACAGGCCTCGCTTTGCTTGGTTCGATCGAAATGGAGCACCCGATTTACAAGCGCCTGGGAAGAGTACAGTCGGACAACTTGAGGCTGGAATGGCTACTAGATCAGTCCTGAAGCCTTGTTAGGCATTACACTTCTTGGCTGATATGACGTTGGTATGGAGGCCCTCACGCTCGAGCATGAGAAAGTCAACTCAAGCAGTAACAAACCTTAGACCCAGCAGGTCACTGCAGGAGTTGCCTCAGTTCCTGTTATGGAAAATGTTGGGCATGGCAGTGGAAACATGGCTCAGGTCTCTCATACCACGCTCGTACTGAAGAGCCTTGTTTCGTTCAGTACGGACGAGTCAATATCAGAACTCTGTCAGGTCCATGACCTGGAAGCAAAGGCTGATCAGCAACCGCGAGAGCGCCAGCAAGAGCTAGTATCTGGGTGTGTTTTGTAGATGGTTAATCGGCACTCTGGACCTCCTTGGACGACTTGCCTCGGCGGACTTCAGCTGGACAGAGAAGGCGGACAAGATTGCGCATGCGAGGAGCCAAGTGAAGTCGATTGACCTTGGTGTTGGCCTGATACTGGGCCCGACCGAGGACGCATTCAGTTTCACACTCTGTTGGAGGCAACGACTGGTTTCAAATTCCTGCCGACGTGCTCAGCTATCACCTGCTGGTGACGAATGTCCAGCAGCATTGAGCCTGGAGTCGTGGTCGCATTAGCTTTGCGCGTATCCTTCTATGAGGTTTAATATGCACCATGAACTGGGCATCGTACCTCCTCGATGCTGCAAGACTGGATTTTGCATCGTCCAGCTCCTTAAAAAGGCCTGCGGTAGACGTACCGGACCATCAACCAGCTCCATTGCATCAGACCCCGTAAGACTGCGTACCACCGAGGTCTCTTTGCATCATGTCATGTGTAGAGCTGCTTCGGTCATTGCGACGCGCTTGTTCTTCGGTACCGAACCAGGGGTATTGCCAGTCCTGGTATCTTCGTCTCGGCAGGACAGCATACCTGCGACGGAGGCGACTTGAGCGTTCTGGTGCTTAGGTCCCAGGATACTGTGACCACCGCTAGATACGCACATATCGCTACCTTGGTTGGGCCGAGTATGGCTGCGCCATGTAACTACACAGGTTATTCGCGTCAAAGCAAAGGCTTGCATATTGCCCATTGACAGGTCTCCGACTTGTCATTTCTCTTGTCTGGGTGCCTTGCACAACCATGACGCGCATGCGCAGGCATCGAGTAGCGTGGAAAGCTTCGCCAAGATAAACTCGAGGTGGCTTTACGCTGAAGCTCGTGCCTGGCTGGGTGTTATCCTTCCCTCGCATAGATGAGCGACAAGAAGCGGTGATCTACCTATTGTGTGTCAACGGTTGTGGCATCGATTCAGACCTTTTCTCGCGGCTAAGAGCAGCGTGGTGCAGGCATTGGTCGTAAGTTTACGTGTCGACGTCGCGTCCGGCATTGCTGTCAAGACACGAATGAACGTTCTACCCGCGTCACTCTTGCCGGAGCCCTGGCTTCGTTCCCAGCGGCAGCCGCGCTCAGCTTGATCGCATGTCATCGCACTGCTGAAGCTGGAGTTACATGTCACAGCCTTTCTTATATCGAACGTTCTCCTCCTTTTGTAACCAGCGCGCGCTAAGCATCAACCTCAGGGTCGGAGTGGAGAGCCTTGCTAGGAGCGGAGCGGTCTCTCATACCGATCGCAGTGGAGAATATGCCTTAGGCTGTGCGAAGAACGGAGCTTCCCCCTTTTCGCAGTCATTGCGCCGCATTCTCCTCCGTCCCCCACTGTGTCCGGCTTGTTGAGTATGTTTTTTCTCGGCCGCATCAACGACCGGAGATCGGGTGGGGATATCCGAGGTGGAGACGTAGTAGCAGTCACGCGCCGATACCTTTGCTGCAAGCCTTCCGCATTCCGGATTGCGTTGCTTCCCGCTCGTACTTCTTGAGCTTGTCCGTATAGCAAGCAACGCCCACACAATGCGGAAGTCCGGCGGATCGAACAGAAAGCCACAGCGGATGTTCTGAGACGGGAGATGTAGCGCGCCACCCTCGATCGGCTGCTGCGGGCCGTGGTGGCCACTGCCCTATGATACGGAATCCGTGGTGTCGGGCTTAGCGAACTGGTTGCTAATACAGCGCCTGGGCCACGGAGGTTCGAACTCGCAATACGTTCGATGCTATCCGGGGCTCGCGCAGCTGCTATCAAGTCCGCTCATCTGGCATGTCAGCTTGTCATCGTCGAAGTGTCTGGCGACGTGTGTGCGAGATGTCCGGAGCTTGTGTGACAACGCCTCCGCCTCCGCCTTCAACGCCCTGCGACTGGTACCGATCGTAGCGCTTGGAAGTTCCCATGTTGTCAGATCACGCTCGTATTACCCTATTCGTTGTCCGCAGGCGCGCGCAGTCAGGATGCTGTCATCTTGGGTTATCTCTGTGAGCATATGAAGGCTCCAGTCATGATATCGCTCGTTGTCCTTGATAGCTTCAATAGAATCGCGGCGAAGCGGCGCTGTGCTCGCCAAGATACTGTCAGCCACGATGACAACAGGGTCCTTGCTTCCTTTGGGACAGCAAATCACTCCGAACCCCGTTGTGAAGTGTTAGAGTTGGAGCGGCGTGTTGACGCAGGCAGACCAATGCCCAGGGTCACGGACACAGACCGCATCAGCCCTCCAAAACCAGTTTCCAAATGCACAAGAGCTCAACTACCTCTGCAGTTGCTAAACTCAACCTAAGAGAAGTGTGGCAAGTATGTATGAGCTCGTATTGGCCTACCTAGTCTCTAATTCCTGGCCTAGGGCAGAATGCACGCTTCTGCCCTCACCAACGGCGCGTCCCGCAACACAACAAAAAGATGACCTCGCTTTCTAAGTTGCCCACAACCATACTCGAACCCCCGCGAAAAAGAAAACCCCGGGCGGTGGGGAAAGGGAAAAGTCTTAACATTTTACCCTTTTGAAACACAAAGTGGGAATACGTACCTGATTACCACTGCACCACCTGCAGTCCCTTGGGCCTGGTTACCCAAGGGTGATGGTCAACCTAACCCACCACTTCATATACCGGAGCAAAAAGGAGGAGAAATTTAATTGGTGAGTGGAAATGGTTCACAAGCAGGCAGACGCGCGTTCACTCAATGACCATGCTCATGCCTCGAGCACAGGCCTGTCCTCAGGTGAGAGGCTCGCTGGCAGGTCTTGGGAGCTTGTTGTTGCGGTGTAGACACGCATGCGTGGTTGCCAGTCGGCATTTGGCGGTACATACCGCCTTCAGATCGAGTCCTTGAGCACGCACCGTCTGAGGTTAGCTCTACATGACGATCCCGACAAGTCTCAATCCGCCCAGGGATATTAACGTACGGGCCGTTTCTTATTCGAGGTAAGCAGCGCTGCAGCAACCGACTTCTGTAGCGTGAAGCACATAGCGAATATTCATCCATATTGGAGAGTCGCTCCGACAATTGTTAGCTACGGGCTCTCTGAAGGAGCAACATAGATGCACAATCGGCGAGTGGCGACTGCACTGTATTGCCTGCCCGGCCATGACACAACATCCGACACGTCTGATCTCCGGGCTCGATGCGCCTTATTGACCTTGTTTTGTAGCTTTGGAGAAGCAACGCAACTGCGGCGAACATATAAAGAACTTAGGTACTCGTGTACCTCTTAGGCGAGCGCAATTGAGCCTTGCTATACTACTCCTGAATAAGGATGTCAAGGCCGAACAATGATAATCGCCTATGCAACATAGCTTCATTGACAATCCAATGTCAGTCACATGGGTAGGCTATCATCTTCACCTCCCTCCACTCCTGGATCCACTATGCATGGTGCGATGGAGAGTGCGCCAACAAAATCGGCTTGCGCATCGATTCCACAAGGCAGAGAAGCGCAGTTTCGTAAGGAAACAGAACAAAGCCACAAGCTACACAATCGAAATGCGTCTATAGCGTCTGAATACGATGATAATTCTCGATTGACAAGCTTTCGTTATCAACCATTCGCATGAGGTTGCCCCCAAGCTCTGCCAAGGCAATCCGCCCAATGACGGAGGTGTCGACCCCAGATTGACGGATGGGAGGCATGACCCACCCCTGCTTCGCTCTTCCACCAACCAGGTGCAGCCGTGCGCATGCCAACGTCATTCCGCTCGCGTGTTTGTCCCATGCGCCTCGTACCGCATCCAGACCATCATTGCCTTGATCGTTGCTGCCCCGTGCACAATTAATCTCTCGCCAGGACCATGTGCTACTCCCCGCCGACCTCGACTTCATTGTCAAACCATTCACAGCCTCAGCTTTGGAACCATGAATGACCCTGGTCTTGACGGACCTGCGCAGCAGGCGGCGGAAGACGTGGAGGAGAACGTTTATGAGGCTGACAAACAGAAGGCGGAGGCTGAGGAGCAGGACTTCCTCGATCCTAGGTATGCAGCGTGCGCATTGCATGCATGGTGGAATCCGAACTAATTGGGACCCAGTCGGTGGTGGTTCGCTTCAACCGCGTGCCCTCTTATCGCAGGTACCTTTGGTCCCATTGCGAACGCTTTCTCTATATGCGCGCTTGTCGAGAAATGGAGAGTGTATATCCCACCAGGGGGCGACGAGGGTCACGGCTCGAAAGTGGAGGACCCCAAGTGGCTTGTAGCCGTCAACTCGATATCCTTGGTCTTCGCTCTTGTCGCGAACATGGCGTTGCTACTCAACATGACAAGACGACTGTCATTTGCAATCGCGCAGCCTATTACCATTATCGGATGGTTCTTGGCTTCCTTCATGCTGATCGCCCTTGTCGTAGTGGCTTCAACATCCGTCTTTCGCATTCAACCGATGACAGAGCATGCCTTGAGCCAAGCGTTCTACTACGGTATTATGGCCGCTGGACTCTACTTCATCATTGCATCGCTCATGATACTCACCGTTTGGGGCGCCTATCGCGGACATTATCCGAAAGAATTTCGACTCACGGCTAGCCAGCGCACATTGATGCTACAGACGATCAGCTTCATGTTCTACTTACTTGTTGGCGCACTGATATTTTCCAAGGTCGAGGGCTGGAACTTTCTCGATGCCGTGTACTGGGCCGATTTCACACTACTGACTGTCGGCCTTGGTGGAGAATTCGTTCCGAAATCACACACAGGTCGGTCGTTGCTTTTCTTCTATGCGATCGGAGGAGTGGTGTCGCTGGGTCTGGTCATTGGTTCGGTGCGGTCTCTAGTGCTCGAAAGGGGCAAGGAAAAGATGTCAGCTCGTTTCATGGAAATGAAGAGGCGCAGAGTGCTTGATTCTATGGACGAAGAGAAAAGGACGATTAAGCTAGGCTTGTGGGAAAGGATCGAATTCTCTGAGCAAGGATTGAGTGAGGCTCAGAGAAGAGAACAAGAGTTTAACGTTATGAGGCGAGTCCAGGAGAAGGCCGAGCGCAAGAGGCGGTATACTGCACTAGCGATGTCGTCTATGGCCGCTCTCCTCCTTTGGTTCCTCGGTGCCCTGGTATTCATGCATTCCGAGAGACCCCAGGGATGGAGTTACTTTGTCTCGCTTTATTTCTCCTATACCTCTTTGTTGACCATTGGTTACGGCGACTATTCTCCTACGAGCAATTCCGGTAAAGCTTTCTTCGTCTTCTGGAGCTTGCTCGCAGTGCCCACCCTCACGATCTTGATCAGCAATATGGGGGACACCGTCATCAAAGCGTTCCGGGATCTGACCATTTGGGTTGGCTCGCTTACTGTGCTTCCTGGCGAGCATGGCGTTACTGGAACATTGAAGACTGGTATCCAACAATTGAAGACCGGAAAAATCTATCGCGACGACAAAGAAACAGAAAAAGGCCTGACAGGACGAGGAGCTGCGGAACAGACAATGCAGGATCGTCTCGCAGAACATATCGAAGAAGACGAACTTGCAGAAGCAGAGGAGGCTGGTGAACACGGCGAGAAGCTTCTACGCGACATTCATTTTTATCACTATATCCTGGCCAAAGAACTACGGAAAGTTATGCATGCTGTGGACGCTTCACCACCAAAACAATACACGTATCAAGAATGGAACTACTACCTTAGATTGGTTGGGCAGGACGAGAACGATGCATCTGCTCATCGCAAACCAAAGGTGCATCATGAGCGACAACCGCACAGCCAGCCTGATCTCGGCACCGCAGACGAAGGCGAACATAACGCCTGGAGTTGGCTTGGTGTTAGGAGCCCGCTTATGGGTAACAGGACGGAGGCACAGTGGCTTCTGCAAAGACTGACCGCAACACTTGAGCGCGAGATGTATATGATGCGAGATCCTAAGGCAAAGCGCGAGCCTCCTCCGATATCGATGGCTGATTTGAGAAACAGCGAAGGTCGGTCCGATTCCGATCGTGAGCAAGGTTTGAAGAAAGATGTCGGTGCGGCTGAAATCAGGAGGAGGGCCAAGCATGATATCTGAAGAGGAAAAGTACAAACACCGATAATTGAATGCAATAAGTACCCGCATAAGCTGATCGTCACCTGAGCTTTCACAGCCAAGTGTCCGTTCGATCCGCAGACGCTATCGCTCAACGTACAAGTACAGCGCTGTGTCCAGCTATGAATGACCATATGTTCACCAAAACAAGTAAGAATCATTCGATACATCAAAGGTCCCCGACATGGCATTTCCAGCCCCTTCTTCTCGGACGCTCATCGCGAAGTTCAGCGCCTTGTCGACAGTCACCCTCGCACCGCCGCCTGGGCTGGTGCCTTCTCGCTCCCTCCACGTACATCCCCTTGCATTGATACCATTCATCGTTAGTTGCCTCATAATTGGGGTAACCGCAACCTACGTTTGGATATTGTGGCATCGGGAAGACAAGTACTACGTCGAAAAGCATTATTCTGATGAGGAGTACGAGGATTGCGAAGCGACGGCCATTGACCCTAGCACTATGCGTGGGACTGATCTTGATGCTACAGTTCGCGAGAGGCGACCGGTTACGCCGGAGAGCTTGGTAGCGGCCCGCGAAGAAGCCCGAGCGGCGGTTTTGCGATATGGTATCTCTAGGCCACTCGCTACAAGAACGATGCCCCTTGACATAGAAGACCCTGCGTGGACTCATATGCACAGCCAGGAGCATGGCGCTTCCAGTGTTGCGATGCCCGTTCATGTACCGGACCAAATCGCTTCTCCACCTGCAATGCTACGGGTTTCCTCCGCTGTTGGAAACCCAGTACTGGCTACCGACGACGCTGCTTCCTTCAATTCTACCGAAACCTGGGAGCATGATAGCAATAGATCTCTAGATACCAGCATTCACCCCAACGATGCACAGCCACCTCAGATCTATGTCCAGGAAGGCCATTTTGGCGGTCCTTCAGGTTCCCCGAACAACAACAAGCTTCGACAGCCTGCTCGAACTCCCAATGCCGGATCAGAATCGGAGGAGTTTTCCGCTGCGGACTATGGCGTTCATCGGCAGAGCGGAATTGATTGGAAGGACGATGGAAGCATATTCCAACGCAGCGATCTCACCAAGTATGGTTTTAGCGAGTTCGGCCGTAGCAGCTATACCAATCGCTATGAGGACTACTAAACAGAGGAAGCCGACGAAACAGTTCCCAGCAGGTACACGTGAGCCAGTGATTCAGAAACTAGTCACAACTGACAGCGGGCAGTGTAGCGCAAGAGGTTGGACGAGTATTGTGCCTAGCGTAATTCAGCAATCCCAACCGTCAGGCAGACCGAGCCGGTTGACATGTGTGATCTCTGCAAACTTGAGTCCGTTGCCGCCACACTGTGGCCCTTTGCGTCGAACAGTCACTCAAGCTACCCTTGCTAGCTAATGGCTGCTCTACATCATTGTTTTACAGTCATCATGGTCTTTACGTTTAATGCGCTAAAGATCATTTTCTCTCGGGCACCCTAGAGAAATCTTAAAGAGGGTGAATCTGGAGACACTGCGCATATCAACATGATACGGTATAATGCTGAGCTTAGAGCATTCGTTCCGCAATCCATTACAAAGGTGAACGGCACCAGTCACAGCGATGCCGACTTCAACACCGAACAAATTGGCTATCGTGAGTCTCAGTCATCTCGTTCTACGAACAAGCCAATCAAAGGGCTCACCTTTGCTACGACTCATTCCCAGGCATTGGGTTTTCAAGATGCTATCGAAGCGTTTGACATCAAATGGACTGTTGAACAAGGTGGGCGGCCTGGAATGGAAGGTCTCACAACGACACGGTTGAAATGCAACATTACAAGGTAATGAGGCCCCACAGTCATGGTGGCAAGAGACATACCAAGATGTCGAGGATGCAGATCCAACGGCGGACGGCGCAGAGGAGAGCGAAGGACACAGGGCGAAGAAGAGGACTGTTTGTAAGTTGTAGCTGAATCTCATTATGCGTATTGCGACTGTGAAGGTGCCATCAGGAAATCGATCCCATAGTGGCCACCTGCCGCAATCGAGATGATGGAAGGAGGATACACAAGTTTATGTCAAGTGTGAATCTTAGCGACCATAGATACAAACACCCAACAGCCGAGACTGCAGTGACTGTACTCCGGTAGTGCACGAAAGGCCTGGCCGAATTTGCGTGTCACAGATGGTTGTAGGAGAGTCGAGCTTGAGGTCAATGGCCAGAATACTTGTAAGATTCTTCGATGGTTGCTGTGTAAACCGTGATGAGCTTCATCTGCAGAACTACATCTGAACAGCCTTGATGTAGTTCGACTTCGGCAGCAACGTGGCAACGAGCACAAGATAAGAGGCTTTTCGCGCTTGAAAGTACCAAGACTGGTGACTCCTGGAATTGCGATGCCCAAACGAGGGCGCGGTCGGCTCGGCGCAATCTGTTAGATGCAGAATTCGGAGAAAGCTTGGCACACAACGCGTGTTTTTCCCCCCATTTTCTGCTAAAACACGCCTCTGTTTCACAGCCACGCAATTAAGACGCTTGTAAATTCCTAGAAAGATAGCATTTCATATTGTCAATCTAGATCTTTATGAATTTTTATGCTATCTCTTAGCGTTGTAAAGATGTAGGTTGATGAAAAATCGCGTTTTGTTAAAAATAAGCTAAAAGCTTAGGCCACTTCACATGCAGAATTCGAAGAAAGCTTGGCATTTTTGAAATATTTACATTTCTGTTAATTTCTCAACAGCACAGAACTATTATGTCAAAATTCAATAGAATCTAGATTTGCTACATAAAAAGCTATCTTCTTAGGAATTTATAGGCTTTTTGACTATGTGGTTACCAAAATAGAGAGGTTTGTTGAAAGTTGGGGGAAATTTTCGCGTTGCGTGCCAAGCTTTCTCCGAATTCTGCATCTAACAGATTTAACGAGGCTCGTGCGCAAAATGTGGAGAGTACACATGCAGCATTTTGTCGACCACACGACGCGCGCCTCCAGGGACCTCTCACTCCCTTTTCCCCCTTCAATTGATACCCCGCCCTGACCCGGCACCCTTTCACGACCTCTGTTAATATAGCGCCGCTCCTGGTGTCCTTTTAGCTAAGCGATACCCCCCATCTCCCCACAGCACCCGCTCTCCCTTACCTCGTTAATCTCAACCACTCGTCACCCGCAATCATGCCGGGTGTCAAGGATCTGGCTTACTACGCTGTCCACCCTAAGGAGCTGCGCTCAATCATTCAATGGTAAGCCATCTGCGACGCGCGCATCTTTTGTAATCTGTACCTTAGTATACTTACTCTGCTGCAGGAAGGTGTGGCACAACCCCGTTCATGAGCGCGACGACTCCAAGGAGAGCGAGTCGCTGAAGCGATGCATGTACTTCCTTTCCCAAACGAGCCGCAGCTTTGTCGCTGTCATTCTCGAGTTGCATCCCGACATTCTCGTCTCTGTCGCCATATTCTACCTAGTCCTCCGCGGCCTGGATACTATCGAGGACGACATGACGATACCGTTGGCTACGAAGGAGCCTATCTTACGCGATTTCCACAACATCATCGAGCAGGATGGTTGGACATTCACCGAGAACGGGCCCGACGAGAAGGATAGGCAACTGTGTGTTGAGTTCAACGTTGTGATCGAGGAGTTTAAGAAGCTGAAGCCTGCGCACCAGGCCATCATCAAGGACATCACCAAGCGGATGGGCAATGGTATGGCAGACTATGTGAAGAATGCCGAGCTTGGCGTCGAAAACAATGGCGTCAACAGCGTCAAGGACTACGAGAAATATTGCCATTACGTAGCGGGACTTGTCGGCGAAGGTTGCACGCGCTTATTCGTCGAGGAGGGCAAGGCGAACCCAGCTCTTCTGAAGAGGACAGAGCTCCACGAGTCGATGGGCCAATTTCTGCAGCAGGTCAACATCATCCGTGACATTAAGGAAGACTTCGACGACAAGCGACGCTTCTGGCCGAAGGAGATCTGGTCCAAGCATGTGGACAATTTCGAAGACCTTTTCAAGCCGGAGAACAAGGACAAGGCCCTTGCCTGCAGCTCAGAGATGATCCTGACGGCATTGAGGCGCGCCGACGACTGCCTCTTCTATCTCGCTGGTATCAAGGAGCAGAGTGTGTTCAACTTTTGCGCTATTCCCCAGTCCATGGCCATTGCGACACTCGATGCCTGCTTCCAGAACCACGACATCTTCAAGCGAAATGTCAAGATTACGAAGGGTGACGCTTGTCAGCTGATGCTTGAATCAACACAAAACCTGCAATTGGTGTGCGATGTGTTCAAGCGCTACACACGCAAGATCCATCAGAAGAACAATCCCCACGATCCGAACTTTCTTCAGATTAGCATTGCATGCGGCAAGGTAAGCAGTTCCGCAACGGAGATGGTGCCGTGCTAAACACACTGATGCAGGTTGAGCAATTCATCGAGAGCATCTTCCCTTCGCAGAAGCCGCCCGTGGATGAGAAGAAGAACCCAGCCAGTGCGGAAGAAGCCGCAAGGCTGAAGAAGGAGGCAGATGACAACAAGTGGGAGACATTCTACATGATCTCAGCCGTCATAGGCACCATTGTATTCATTTCCGGCATAATGGTGAGTAACCCTTCTGTTGCTTCGTACGTAGATATTGACATTGATGCCAGTTGGTCGTTGCCTGGTTTGCGGGCGCGCGGTTCGACATTGCTCTTGGCCAAGCCAAAGAGCAACTAGGGCAACTCTTCGGCACGGTGGGCTCCGACAACGCCAGTGCGCCATTGGATGGCAAGCCGTCGACGGATCACAGCGAACTGTAGTCGCGTGCGGCGACGGTTCGAACGTTCATCATGTCTATATGTACTTATAATACTCGGCGGGTCCTTTCTTCTGGACAGGTACGATGCCTGTAAGCGAACACTAATTTGCAGCTCCCCGGGTGTCCTCGCACCTGTCTCTGCTTTCTTCAACGTGATGCCTCAGCACGGATGTCAAATTGCAATTCTGCCACTCAATGGCTGTAGTTGTGCCGCTTTAGAAGTGCTTATATCATAACACGCCTTGCTCGGCGACGAGGCTGCTCCTAGCCTGGCTCCCTACATGGGTTAGGTCTGGAGTGGTGGCGCGGACATGTCCTCATGGAGGCCAAGGGCAGTCGAATCAAAACATTTCCTTTCCTCTGTCTCGCTCGAATCATATGCATGTCTGATCTGAACCTGTGAGTGACGTCTTGTGAGTCAGCGAGGTTATGATATGCATCGAGTTTCACAATCGTTTGGATCGCTAGCGCCGCCAAGACTGGCGGCAACCGCAGCACCTGCATTTTCTTCGTGAGCGCGCAGAAGGCACACAGGCAGAAAGACAAACGCGCCGGCCCACACGACGACTCTTCGCTTCCCTTTATCTCGGCGCTGCAAACAAACAGTGAGCGCCCCGCGACTGCTCTCTTACTTATTCGCCCGGTGCGAACCCAAAAGCCCCGCCTTCGACCCAACCTACACGTCCACACCACTCTCAACTGCAATCTATCCTGTCCGCAGCCGCTCGCTGTCAACACAAACTTCCCCACCCCGCTACATATCTCCATTTGTCACAATGGCCGACGTTGCGACCGCGCCCAACCCGAACCAGCAGGTTCCGCTCGACACCATTCCCATCTCTCCGTCCGATGACAACTCTGGCGAGTCCAAGGACCAGGGCTCCACCGCAGCCGCCTCCGACAGCGAGATCCGGACTGTTTTCCACGACCCCGAGAACTTCAATGTCAAGCATCCGCTTATGAACACATGGACCCTGTGGTTCACCAAGCCCCCGAGCGGCAAGGTACGCTTCTGTGGTGACGGTTCCTGCGGCTCCGCTAACATGACCAGGGCGACAACTGGAATGAGCTGCTGAAGGAGGTCATTTCCTTCGATTCGGTCGAAGAGTTCTGGGGAATTTACGTGAGGAGCAGTCTCACCTATCGACGAAAGGTTCGCTAACGATCTAGTAGAACAACATCACGCCCACCTCGGATCTTGCATTGAAGTCAGACTACCACCTTTTCAAACAGGGTGTGCGCCCCGAGTGGGAAGATGCCCAGAACAAGCATGGCGGCAAGTGGGCCTTCCAATTCAAGGACAAGAAGGCCATCAACATCGATGCGCTGTGGCTGCACGTTATGCTCGCTGCGATCGGCGAGAACCTGGAGGACGAAGACGACAACGAAGTGATGGGCGTCGTTGTCAATGTTCGCCGTGGCTTCTATCGTATTGGTCTTTGGACAAGGACGGTTGGCAAGGCTCTCCCTAGTGACCAGAACAAGGGCCGCACGTTCGAGCAAGGCAAGGAGACGCTGAGCAAGATCGGCAACCGCTTCAAGCAGGCTCTGCAGCTCAAGGAGAACGACCCGGTCGAATTCTCGGGTCACACGGACGCCGCTCACGCCGGTAGCACCCGAGCGAAGGCCAAGTTCGTGGTCTAAAAGCCCTCGAAATGGTTGTTCGATCGCTTTTGGTTCTGAAGCTACTGGATATCATGCCGTGCGCGTTGTTCGGTCTTCCACAGCAGCCTGCCCGGGCGGTGTTTTTTTTTGGTTATGCCATCTACATAATTTCCTTTGCACGGGTTCAGACAAAAATTCCGTACCGGCACATCTTGGCTGGTTGGTTCTAGCATGGCGTCTACGTAGCATGGGCGGCGACGGGTGTGACATTGGGTTTTAGCATGATTTACGGGCACCACGAGTATACCCTAAGATCAAGGGGATGGATTGTGCTTGATAGACGACTGTGTCTTATGCAAATATATCTACGATAAGAGCCATTTCTGAGTCCATCTTGTTATTCATGAGAAAGCCTTTTTGCTGAAAATCATATATCTCGCCTCGACACGGACATGTGAGATGAGTATGTGCTCTACTAGTATTCTCATCGAGATTGTATACAAAGCTCGTCTGCGTTACTTCACACGTCAGCTTGTGGTCATGCAACCGTTGGTAAAAGCTGTCGTGCGAGGTTTTTTGGTCCGCTGTTCCGCCCGCGATTCCGGATGAAGCTTGGCGAACCGCGTGGGCGGTGACGTTGTGAGGTGGCAGTGGCTGCGGCGGTGCAAAAATAATACAGGTGCTGCCTCGCGTCAACGCTCAAAACAACCCCACCTCGCTCCCACCACCCTTCAACCTATATACACCCTGTTCCTTTGATACCGCCGCCATGGTCAAGGAAACGGCATATTACGATGCACTCCAGGTGCCGCCCACGGCGACCGAACTCGAGATCAAGAAGGCATACCGCAAGCTGGCCATCAAGCTGCACCCCGACAAGAACCCCGGCGACGAGACAGCGCACGAGAAGTTCCAGGCTATCGGCGAGGCCTATCAAGTCCTCAGTGATGAGACGCTGCGCAAGAACTACGACCAGTATGGTAAGGAGGGTGCTATACCGAGCAGTGGGTTCGAGGACCCCGCCGAGTTCTTCACCATGATCTTCGGGGGTGAGGCTTTCATGGACTGGATCGGTGAGATCTCGCTTATGAAGGATTTGACCAAGACCATGGAGATCTCCATGCGAGAAATGGAAGAACAGGAAGCAGCTCAAGCCGAGGCTGCAGCTGCAGCCTCTACGGCTGAGGATTCCGCTGCTGGCGCCCCGACAGCTGCAGGACCATCGACTACTGACAAGACGACCGAACCCTCAGGCGCTGCTGAAGCCAAGGCGACCGAGGCTGCCGCTGAAGCTGCAAATGCCCCCGGAGGAGGTGCTGCCCCTCCCTCATACGATGCTCCTCCGCCAGCCTACGTAGAGACACACGCTGAGCCCGCCGCGGCTTCTTCCGGGCCGGCGCAGCCCGTACCTTCTGGATCTAGCTCGCCACAGTCTGGTCGAGGGATCCCGATTCGAGCCGCCATAATGGATAAGTCAGAAGAGGATGCACGGCTGGAAGCGGCGGGTGTTACAGACGCCGAGAAAGAATTAAGAGAGAAGCAGAAGAAGAAGGGCGGCCTGACCAAGGAACAGCGCGAAGAATTGGCAGCGTACGAGCTAGAGCGAAAGCGCATCCGGGATGAGCGTGTCCAGACTCTGGCTAAAAAATTGGTCGACCGCATTTCTATATGGACAGAGACAGACAAAGGTGCTGATGTGACTGCGGCCTTTAAGGAGAAAACCCAGCTCGAGATTGAAAACCTTAAGATGGAGTCCTTCGGCCTCGAAATCCTTCACTCCATTGGTGCAACTTACCTGTCCAAAGCAACGTCTTTCATTAAGTCGCAGAAGTTCCTTGGAATTTCAGGCTTCTTCTCCCGCGTCAAGGATAAGGGTACCCTGGTCAAGGAGACATGGAATACTATGTCGGCAGCCATTGACGCCCAGCTCACCATGGAGGAAATGGCCAAGCTGGAAGAGAAGGGCGGCGAAGACTGGACGGACGAGAAGAAGGCCGAGTACGAGAAGAAAGTCACAGGCAAGATTCTTGCAGCTGCTTGGCGAGGAAGCAAGTTCGAGATTCAGAGCGTGCTGCGCGATGTTTGCGATCAGGTGCTTAACGATAAGAAAATTAAGCTGGAGAAGCGCGTCGAGCGAGCACATGCTCTTGTCATTATTGGTGAGATGTTCTCCAAGGTAAAATGATATCCTGACTCTTCGAATCTGACGGACGAACGCTAATCAATGCTAGGCTGAGCGTGATCCAGAAGAAGAAGGCGATTTCATGGCCTTCGAGCAACTCATGGCTGAAGCCGCGGCGAAGAAGGATACCAAGACAGACAAGGAGAAAAAAAAGCACAAGCATCATTCGCATCACCATGAAAAGGAGAAGGCATGAGTACACCCTCATCTCCCATCTCATGCCTCTTTTCATGACCGTTTATGAAGCGTTGCATCTTTCTTTCCTTGTACTGGTTTCTTTCACGATATCCATAGATTCACTTCACGATCAAGAGCGCGGAATGATTAGAGATGGCGGCCGTTGCTGACAAGAGTCGTGTAGACGAGGTCGCATTCGAGATCGCATTCAGCGTCCTTGTCACAGGAGCAAGGAGATGAGTAGCAGCACATGCAGTGAGCGGAGAGCACGGCAGACGACCTCACGCTGCCTGGTATGAGGCTTTGCCAGCAGTTGTGACAGGGGTATGAGCGATCTTATGTGATTCTCTATCAGGAGCAACAGGGTTGGTCGGAGGTTTGCAGCATGCGGCAAGAAAGAGCAAGTCGTAGTCACAGGGTCCTGGAAGTATACGCCAAGCGGACGGAAAATTAAAGTCGATTCGTTCGCAAGCCCATGATTCCTTGCTTTTGTCGATTGCATTGCTTCAGGTCTCTCATCAGATCTCGATCTCCACTCGCCCCCTTTTGCCTTGGATCAAAGTGCAAATTGCGACTGAGTGCGCTTACTCTTGCGATGATCTCCGTTGGCAGCTTGGTACAAGCTAGCGGCTTGTAACACGCAACGTTGACTGAGCTAAGCTACGTGCCGTGTGCGGACTAAAACCCAACAGCAGCACGAGACCGAACATGCGGCTGCGGTAAGAGGGGCAGTACACAAGTCCAAGATAGAGAAGCAATATCTAAAGCTCGTGCGTTCTCTCTCTCTGATGTAAGCATCGTCGTCATCGAACATATAGCCGCAACACTACCGCCTGCCCCTACAGATGAAAAACGCATCGTTCACGATGCCCTCCCCAACGCCTACGATCAAGAAATTCCTCGATCGAAACAAAGACAACGCGACCACTAATCTCCTCATTACCTTTCCGTCCGGCACCCAAATCCAAGCTCCAGCCACCAAAGCAAATAAGCCCAGCACATCGCAACAACCCACATTCTCCCTCGCGCACTCCTGCCTCCGCACCCACGCCCCAGGCGCAAAATACCTCGCCGTCTCCCTCGATCTCGACGCGCCCAGCCCCTCCCTCCAACTCGCCTCCCCATCCTGCACTACCTCCACACCGACCTCACAGCCGCAATCACCTCGCTCTTCGCAGCGCCCCAGCCCCGAGCCCCATCTATAAAACGGACACCGCGACAGACACCTGGGTACAGCTGACGGCCTCGACTGTTGCGGCGGGGGCAAGGGTACCCTGGAGAAGCCACTTGCGTCATGGGCTGCGCCTGCGCCGCCCGGGTTTAGCGCGCCGCATCGCTATTTGTTTTTGGTGTGGGAGCAGCCTGAGAAGATGAGCGGGGAGCAGGTGAGGGAGAAGCTGGGGTTGGGAAAGGGTGAGGCGGGGTTGTGGGGAGGATTCGGTGGGATGTGGAGGACTTCGTGAGGAGGTTGAAGTTGGGCGAGGTTGTAGCGGGGACGTGGATGCTTGTTGGGAGTTAAGGGGTGCAGCATAGTTAACGAGGAGGCAGCGTCAAAGCTCGGAGGCAGGGGTGTTTAGAGCGGGTGGTATTCTCGGGTCTTTTAGGGCTTTATGTGAAGTGAGGTTTTGCCAACATGAGCATGCAAGTGCACTTGTTCCAGATGATTAAAAGTGATGTATACCACTAGGAAACGGTTCACGATGCGTACAGGTTATTGGTTCTCAATCTCATCTGTCATCATTCATATCTACATTCGTTCGTCAAGGGTATACCACCACATTATGCGCACTTTGTTGACCATTACCAGCATGTTCCAACTCCGCTTCCACCGAGATGTGGTAACAATGTACCACCATCCCACTAGTAGATGGCTCGCGCCAATCTGTATGATATAGGGTACTGCTGTGTGCAGTCTATTCCACCATCGCTATGCAGTGAGCGAGAAAACAAATGAGGGTATAGAAACCGCTTGAACGCAGCAAAAAGCCGATAACGCCGCAAAGAAGAAAAGCCCATTAGTAAAATTAACGTATGTGTGAAAATCGGCCTCCTGGACCTACAAGAGCCCAGCTCAGATGAAAGGGAATTGTCAAACGCTCACGGTGCGGCGTACTCCAACCTCGGGCTTCTGCGCATATCCAATGAGCAGCCTGAAGCTAGTGCCACGCTTCTCACACTCGTTAATGAGGCTCTCGTCGCGCCAGATGCTGCTCCGAAGAATGTCGCCGGAGTTCGCGGCGTCTGGTTCGCCAGCTTCAGGGAGGACAAGGGACTCGTAGCAGCGCGAATACCACCAGCGGCCCACGCGCGCCACCATATCGGTTATGGTGTTGTCTGTAGATTCGGAAGATGCGCGTGTGTTGAGAAGATCTGAGAACGAGACCTCGGGCTTGGGCTTTTTGGTGGCCTTAGTAGTGGCTCCGGTCGGCTTGTTGATAGAGCTGGCGGTGCTCCCTTTCCTCTTCTTCGACGCAGCGTCGGTGTCGTCTGGGCTGGGCAGATTGCCTGCAACAGGAACACCTACGAAGCATCTGTTGCACTCGGTGAAGCCTTTCTTTCCGACAAGACCCATGATCTCATCGCTGATGTTGCGAAGAGACACGTCCTCGTCCGCGACCTGCATCTTGACTTTGAGACCGCGAACGGCACGTCGAGCGCGATTGCCCATGTTGACGAGGTCGAGATCGAGAACGCTGAGCTCCAAATAGCCCCCAGGCCTCAGTACCCGCTTGCACTCTGATATCACAGAGCGGTGAACAGATGTAGGGACAGCGGATGGAAACCGGAGTACAACGCATGCGAAGAAGCCTTTCGGAAAAGGAAACGGGTCACCGAGGGCAGTATGGTTGAAGTGACGGTGGTTACTGAGTGTGGACCACGGTTCAGGCGCATTGCTCGTAGTCGCTGTCAAGGACGGTTGACCAGGACCAAGGTTGTAAACGGTTGCTTCGGGGTATGTGAGAGCGCAATAGTACGACCAGTCTTTACCAAGGCCATCAATGACGAGGATGCGATCATGCTCGGGATTCTTGAACTCGAAGTGCGCGGGGCTGAAAATGACACGGCCAAAAGACAGCCACTTGCTGGTCATCAAAGCACCAAAACGAAGATTGGCCATTGACGACAGCCCGTCTGCTTGTGTCTCAGCCATCTCCATAAGCCGGGTGTCTCTATACTTGTTCGCACTGGCGCTATTGCGGTCCCTCTCAGAGCTAGAGGCAAGAGTAGCCTTAGATTGGCGAGCGCTCAAGTTCAGAGACGCTGGCAGACTGGAGCGGTTCGAGCTCGCACGATTACGTGGAGCTGAACTAATGGACATGCGGGCAGTGGATGGAAAGCTGAGACGTCCACTTATCGGGTCGACTACGCTAATGCTCCTTTCTCCATACTCTTGAAGGAACTCGGACAAAGATATCGATGATGTGGGTGACTGGGAGTGCAATACAGCAAGTAGTCGGGAGCGGCGTAGATGCAATGAGGGATTTGAGACGCCTGTAGTGGAAGCTGCCGAATGTGAAGACGCCCTGGAGTGCTTTAGCTTAAGTGGAAGTGGCTCCAGAGACGGCCGTCTCTGTCCAGATTCGCCACCAACAACATTTTGCGAGTCTACAGGAGAAAGAACCTCGTCAATAAGGTCATCGTACTCGTTCCAGACCTCGTCTTCAGATTGAGGTGCACCACGAATGGGAACGATTGCAGTTCCAGCGGTTGCAGGAAAGCTCCATGTCCCCGAACTGCTGGAGTACGACACCTCAGAACCCTTCCTGGACGAGAAGACGAAAAACTCTCCTTGGCGTACGGATGCCTCCGCACTCGGGCTCATAGTAGCAATAGCCGTGCCGTGGGTGAGCGCGTTAAGCCCATGAAGAATAGGATACGGCTCGGCTGGACCAGCTGTTGCGGTCATAGAACCAATAGAGCCATGCGAAGTGTGCGAAGACGCGGTCGGTTGGTTCATCGCAAAAGGACGAGAGAAGGATCGGGAATGAGGACGGTGTGACTTTTGGCGAGTTGAGACTACTTGAGGTATGCGACCTACTTGAGCTAGGCGGCTGGGCCTTGGTGGAGGATCCGAAGGCGGTGGTCCCAGAGGAGATAGTGTAGCAGGCGTTGACGGTAGGAAGACTGGTACAAGAGTCTTAGGCGAAACGAAAGGCTCGGAAAGTTGCACGGGTGATAGCGGACTGACTGGAGACGATGTGGGAGAAAGATCTGTCACTGGAGTCAAGTCGGCCACTGAGGGCGGCACACGATGAGCCTGCTCGGTAACACTCGTATCCAGAGTAAGCTTTGGCGGAGACTCCGGCATGGGTCGCAGAAAGACCTTTGGCGAAGCTGGACGGGCAGGTGCTGTGAAAATGTCAGGCAAGATGGGCTTCGGTGGCAGTAACATGGATGGTAGACGCTCCGTATCCTTATATTGAGGATTAGAAATTACAGTCTCATCCTGCTGCACTGATGATGATGCTTCTTCGGGCGTGCTGTCTGCCTCTTGCATAATCTTTTCAATGTCGTCGGCGTCGAGTCCAGATTGCGAGTCAACTATTGCGTAGTGGGCCATGGACCGCGAGACTGCTACACGAGCAGGAGAAGAACTTGGTGCTTCCACAGCTGGAGTGGGTAGACGCGGGGCACCGTGAGCCCGCTGGAAAAAGTTCCACTTTCTGGGAGGCTTGGAAGACTCTTGTAAAGTTTTCTCCTTCTTAGATGACTTGAGCCAACTCCCTTCTTTGCCTTCTGAAGTAGCCCCACTGAAGGAGCCCTTACGTGTTTTACTCAAATTGTTCCTCACCGATGGTGTTGCATCAACCACTTTCGAAGTTCGGGACGCGCGCTTGGTAGCAAGGGATGGGATGAAGGATCTCTTCACCTCATCTTCACTCTCTGATGGACGTCGTAAGCCGAGGGGCATTTTCTTCATCGGCGAGATGCCCTGAACGGAATCGGACATCGCTGAGGGCAATAGTGCAGGAGATGCGCTTTCCAAGCAAGTTCTCGAGGAGTTGCTGATAGTCGTGTTTAGCTGGGAAAGTCGAGGGCTCGAGACGTCAAGGCTGCTCGTGCTCTGTAGCGGGTCCGGACTCATTGTAAGTTCGGTATTGCTTCCATTCCCGCGTATAACGACAGGATTGAGTCGCTCAAGGAAGAAATCGTCCATTTCCGTACTAGTCGTACTTGTTACACTGCTCTTGCGGGTAGAAGGGGTCCTGTCCAAGCTCTCGGTGGTGGTTGCAGCACTTGGCGACTTTCCGATACTTGATCCGCTAGCTGCACTTCCATTTCTCGTCCTGACAGCATGCCGTCCGTACCCTTCGTGGCCTGTACCAGCAGCTGGTCCCCGGCGGTGGAGCTTTTTGTCTGGCTTGACAGCGGGCCCGGCTGGCTCTGTTTTGGCACGTCTCGAAAAGAAGCCAAACCGAGATGTTTTACTTGGGCTCGGGGCAGGAGCAGGCGTAGGTACCGTTGATGACCGTTGTTTCTCCAGAGGCAGATCCGGTGTAGGTCCTCGAGTGGGAATGCGTGATGTTGGGGCCAAGCTTGAAGTAAGGCTCGGGTTGGGGGACGGATTGCGAGACGCTTGCTTCGACGACATGATGCCGAATCTGGTTTTGCTGTTCGTCGCTATGCTTGCAGTCGATCCGGTGGATGTTGTTCGTTGATGTGAGGACGGAAACCTGTTCATGTTACTGTGAATGACAGGTGAAGGTCCACAGAACCCAATCATTTCAGGTGTTCCATCCCTGCTTGGTCGCGTGGGTCTTCGTGGAGCTGCCATTACTGACGGCTGCTGATCTGCCAAGTGGGCCAACTCAGGAGGTGCCTGTACTTGGGATGTCTCTTCGGTAGTTTGTGATGGACGTCGGAGCCCTCGGGTCACTCCATTCTTGGCTACATCCGCTGGTCGCTGCGATGTTGGAAGGCGCGTCTGTGTCGTCTTTGATAATGAGCCAGAGGACGAAGAGATCATCGGTTCCGGCACCAACCCAAGTGCACGCTCTTCGGGCGTTCTATATCTGACTACCGGAGGTTTACCTTGTAACGGGCTTACTTGTCGCGTACGTATTGTGCTCTTTGTCGATATCACGATTCCTGGGGAATAAGAAGACATTGAAGTCGGAGTCGACGAGACACTGAATGGACCAGGTGATTCCGAATATCGCGTGGAAGGAGTGGTGGAAAGGGCATATTGAGGAACGGGTGGTGATAAAACTTCCGTAGGCCCCAATTCGAAGTCATAAGGAGGATTTTCTGGCAGCTCCAGCTCTGCTTGTGAGTGAGCGGGTACCGTAGAAGTTGTTGGTATTGATATGCCCAGCACTGTCTCAGAGAAAGGATCCTTGTAACCTCCAGGGATGCCTGTGGCCAAATAAATCTTCTCCTGGGCAGCCCTTGTATCTCCCTGCGTGTGACCAACTTCTCTCCCACCTCCGACTCCAATGCTTGTTTGTTTGCGTCTCAGAAGATTCGATCGTGGGCTATCGACGGTAGAGGCGGAGGATCCTGACACAAGGGATGGCGTGCGCGTGCTCGTTGAAATCTCAGTTTTCGGCAAGCGAGAAGAGCCCTGTAAAGCATGTTTAGGAGCCGTTGAGCGTGGAAAAGAACGGACTATAGGTACAGTGGAGGTTGCGCCAACTTGGCGTGACCCGACGGGAACCGGTGCTTTTGGCGTCGGCGCTCTTTGACCAGTAACTCCTCTAGTGAGATGTACGTCATCTCTCGAAGGCCTCCTCTTCTGGAGTTTTGACGGTCCGGGCCCGGGCACCTGAGAGATGGTCGCAGTAGGCGTGATAGACCGTTGTGGTAGCTTGGCGGAAGGCGTATGATGGAGGTACGGTGGTTGATCCTCCGACCTTTTTGGAAGATTGGAATATGATTTATAGGAAGCCATGTTAGGCAGTTCGGTGCGACACAGATCAAGAGTGTGCGCAACGGTAGACCGGGCCTTGTATGACAGAAGCTTGTACGTGCTGGACAATTCATGAAGACATCGGTATGGTCAACGAGAAAGGGTCCCCGGGCGCCACCAGAATCGATGTTGCAGTATGTTGGTCGAAATTGTTCTTGGTGTTGTCAGCAATCTTCAGCTCGGGGTGCTTCCGGATGATTATTTGGTGTGTGCTGCGTGTAGCTTTCGGGCTACCCAAAGTGCTGGAAGCCTGGGGGTGGCAAATCTGACTAGACTTCAGGTACATGGGACGGGAGCCGGGCCATTTAAGATAGCTAACTCTTTTACTACGCAATTCCCAAGTGTCTAGCAGAGACTCGGTGAGGACTGGCTGTTCTTGCTCATGTACTACGCCACTCCACGGTGATTCCGAGTGAGTCGTGGCGTTCGGTTAGTCCGATCCTGGGTATAGTCTGTGGCGGTGCCTGCATCCAAGATACAAGGGTAGCGCAACCGTTTACAAGGCGAGTAGACGTTGCAGGTTGGGCCAGCGACAGGAAATATAACTTCCAAGATGCAGCTCACGCGTCCGTGTTCGTCTCCACGGGCCTTCGTCGGCCGTGGGTGAGTTGCCGCTGTGTCCGAGTGACTCCGTCCTAAGCGAAAAGGCAAACCAGGAGCTTCAAGGGACTCCTGGTTCGTAGACCAAAAGGGCGCCAGGGGACAATCTAGGTCGTTGGATGAGCGCGTCCGGACTTGCTGACTCTGCTGTCTGACAAGTTCAAGCGGAGTCTAGGTCTGATATATGGCGTGCGGCCCAACGCGACCTAAGGAACGAGACGCGCCGCTCTCCTGGTCAAGGAAGAAGGCTCGCGGACGCGGAGCATTGCCGTCTGGCAAAGCGCTTGCGCTTAGAGGGCGGTTCGAGGTCTGAGAAAGAGAGGCCATGGACCAGTGAGGCGCCGGGCCCGTGGTGGAGGGCGACGATTCGTAACGGATCCCTGTAGCAAAAGCGCACAGACGGGATGGTGGAGGCGTGACTAGACGAGAGGCAAGTGCCAGCGATTGGGCGTCAGCACTTCTGCTAAGCATCGTTTTTCCCACACGCTCATGCGGCTACCGACGATCGAAGCCATGGCCATGTCGAAAGCCCGCTTTTTGCTCGCTACGGTGGAGACGAAACGGCTCCATCGCAGCTGAGGCATGATAATTGACTACTTCAGTGAGGCCACTGCTCCGTCCAGCTAACGTGCGAAGAAGGCCCAATCCACCCCGTCCACCGGCCGACTCTCCACAGATTATCCGCGGCTTGTCACAGATGGTGCGTATAGATGGTGTGAGAGGGATGTGGCTCCAGGATGCGCAAAGAGAGTGTCGGACCAATGCACTCTTGAAAGCTCGTCTGCAGCTCACCTAAACCAGCCGGAGGGGCCGTTGGTTGGGAGGCCTGCGCGGCCTGTACTGAGATGCCATCCGGGTCGATATGGGTCAATAACGAATGATGCGCACGCCGAGGAGTCATCGGTCTTGATGCGCGTTTCCCGCCATGCGCACCCAATGCTGGAGGATCTGATGATATTCTCGTGACCGTCGGTCGCTACACCGGCCGACGACGGTTGCGAATTCCGGGGAGACCGCGCAAGCTGAAGGGTGGCTAGGTGCATTAGCTTTAGCAGATGAGGCTGGTGCCTCGCCACTGTTGCACTGCCTCTTGCCAGCGCAGCAGAGGCGAACCATTCCCCTGAGATAGGTGACGTGATGTTCAACGAGAGCACGCTATGTGTACGTGAACGTTTACCGTCTCTTGCTCGACGAGATGATTGTGGTCTTTGCAGAGGTTGCGCCCCAACAGGTCAGGCCCGGCATCCGGGTTGCCTGCAAGCCACTTCGACGTCTGATGCCTCTTCTGCACCCTCATTGGTCCGTTACACGCGTGATTCGTGTAAACCCTGCCACATGAGCTTCCAGTCATGTGATCAACTTATACCACAACAGGTAAACTATGCTTTGGTCCTTCACCAATGGTTGAGCGAGATGGCACCTTTGGGGCCACCGCTCGCTGCGGCTCTATGCAGGGGGGCGCCGCCATTTCTTGCTCCCACCATTGTCGACAAGCGTCTGCGTTGCTGTGAGACATGTCGGTATTGCAGCATGGGCGAACGGCGACCATCTGAGTTCACCATCGAGGCGTTCTAGCTGGATGGATGCGCCTTGCATGATGTAACAGTGATAGACGATGGCACACCGACTAATCAGCGCAAGCAACTTGGACCCAGTCGAACTGTACGTCGTCTCTCCTCGGTACATTTTAGCTCGGCTCTCGACCGCAAATTTGACCGTTCACCTGATAGTTCTAATCGCGTGATGCATCTTGATCCGTTCTCTGTTTACCCTGCTGCCGGAGGGCATGCAACACGACAATAGCATCTTTGTCTTATTGCCAGGATATATCGACCGTCCATTGAATCATGGGATCGGTGAGCAGCTTTGAATCGAGTGCGAATGCTCAATTTCGATTCCGCCGTCTGGCTTGACGTGGACTGCCGCATCTTGATACCCGGTCCTTCGATGTTGACGGTCTGGAGCTTTGACAAGCATGCCTTACCTTCGCATTTACGTTAGTTGCGGGTGGAACGGGAACGGCAGACGGGGCGTCCCCAAGCGTACCACTCCTCAGCACCGCGAATCAGATCGCGGACCACACCTGAAGTGCAAGTGCCCCTGTGCAGACTAATTGGGGCCATATCAAAGCAACCCCCGCGGAGACTTCATGAGCAGTATGCGAGAGTATATCGCTCTTGATAATGGCGTGTTGGCAACACTCTTGCTTGGAACCGAGCCTAAGCTTATGGTCCACTATCAATATACGGCACGTTTTATCTCCGCATACTAAGATAGCTTTGATTGCAAGTTTGGATTCTTCGTGCAGACGTTGATGACGATAGCTCCGGCGCTTAGTGTGAGGATACCGTCACTGCCTGGGTGTTAGAGTGCCAATAGTATTCAGGCGTCATGATGCAAGCAGTCGAGCAGCAAACTATTATCTCGTATCAAAACACAGGTCGGCTAGAACCTCTGTGGATGTTGAACTTGTAGAGACCGGTTATTGAACAGCATATCGTAAGGTGACTTAGGCTATGTGAAGCCTCCGAAAGTGCAATGTGAGAGTGCACGGCCGAAATCACGTTTGCGGAAGATATAAATCTGGATATAGAGACCTTGAGCTTTCGACAGTGGAATCATGTGCAGGCGTGATCCTCTCCATTCTTGCTGTTATGGCTTTCATAGCAAAGCATCGCGAAGACCTAGGTGAGGAGTTGTGCGGTACATCCTGCTGAGAACGATGTTCGAGCTGCAGATGATCCATCTACAGATTTAATGTCATAGTCCGGCTCGTCAACGACGTGTTATAAACATTTGACGATAAGAGGCTTGTTTGTGCCTTCCTATTCCTGCATGAATGCGGAAGGCACGGACAACCTTACGGGATGGAAACGTAAACCGTAGATGAACGCATACACCACTCATACCGAGCGTGAGCCACCTCTGGAGTGTGCCGACCGACGAGAGATCGAGTTTCGAGTACCGCACATATGGTATATCTCTCTGCAAAACAAGTGAGGCGGTGCATTGATTACATAGTCGGAATTGTGGCTAGTGGCTTGGCACGATGTGCCGTTCCTCCTTTCACCTTTGTCTACGTGTCGGTCCTTCACGACGCCAACGCTCTGTGGACTCAGACACCGTCGCAAACCTCAGTCCACATCCGAGGTCGCCCATACTTCCATTACTGCCCGTTGCGCAGGACTGTTATCGAGCTTACATCGCGCGCTCCGCCGCTCTCAACAGGAACCCCTTTCACGACGCGTTTCACCTGCAATCGCGCTCAACATGTCCCAATACGCCAAATTGAAGAACGATGAGCTTCAGACAATGCTCAGGGAGCGTGGTCTACCGACTACGGGCAAGAAAGCAGATATGGTGGACCGTCTCAGCAAGGATGATGAACAGAAAGCCTCTGATGCTGCGCCTGCGCCTGCGCCTTCGAACGCGCATCCTGAAGACGAGATTGACTGGGATGATGGCGATGATGCCGCGAAACAAGAAGAGAATCCAGACAAGGAGACGGAATCTAAGGAGCCCGCTGTCACCACCCAGTCAGAGACCGTCGCTAAAGCAGGTGGCACTGGGCAGCCGCCGAATCCGCAGGCCGTACCCAATCAGAAAGTCGACATCGATCCCTCGAAGACTGACGATCTTTCGGTAAAGCCGGCTGGCGAAGAGGCGGAGGGCGGCGTCGAAGCAAATGCGGAAGAGGACAAGGAGCCCGCTCCGAGCTATGCAGCGGGCATCGCTGCGACCGACCTCGATGCCGAGATTGAGAAGCGCAAAAAGCGCGCTGCGAAGTTTGGCATGAAGATCGAGGACGACGAGACCCTCAAGAAGTTGGAGCGCGCAAAGAAGTTTGGCGAGGCTGGAGCACTTAAGGGTCTCGACGAGGCTCTTCCCGAGCGCAAAGAGCGAGAGCGAAAGCGAGGACGTGAGGACAACGAGGATGGCGGCAGGAACAAACGCCGTGGCGGCGGACGCGCTGGCGGAAACCGAGGAGGCAATCGCGAAGGTGACAGGAGACGGGACAACCGAGATAACCGAGACAACAGGAGAGATGACAGGCGCATCGACAATGGGTCCAATTGGATGAGCACTGCAGACCGAGAGCGGGCAGACGCACGCAAGGCAAAGTGGACGAAGCCGGCATCTAGCTCTTGAAGATCGGGGAAGATTGCTTGTTTGCACGTTCGAGAGAAGCTGGGGTTGGGGTTGAGGCTTCAGGATTTAGAAGACTCGCTTCCTTCAGCGACGTAGGCCAGGGCCCGCGGAACACGGACACAGAGCCTGTATACCACGTCTTTAACGATCGTAATCGGGTCAGATTGCCAGAACAGCTTGGGGCTTCATTTCATACAGAATTCCAGGATAATTGCATTAAATCATTGGGCCAGTCTACCGGTTATTCTTCTTACCTCGTTTCTGGTTTCGCGCTGTTTGCAAATCCTCAGATCCGGCGCCTGGGAATACACAATCATGTCTTGATCGAACGAAGCACCCTCCCTATGCTTCTATCGCCGGGCTGCCAGCTGCTTCGAACCTTTTTTATCGTGACAAGATGAGCGTTTCTTCAGGACCTCATCCCGGTGCTTAGACAGTTATGGCATGATTAGCGATTGCGGATGCGGATACAGCTGCTATCGATGTCTGTCTTGTGGAGAGACAAGGATTATTTGTACTTTTATTATCAACAAGCCACTCTGCCAAAACGCTGCGAACCTGCAACTTAATACTGGGTCGTCAGCGCCCGATGGTCTTTTTTTTTGGACACGAAGAGACAGCTGCTATGAAGTAAAGTCGAATATGAGAAGTTCCAACGTCGATTGTGTGATAAGGATCGTGATTGACTTCTACTCTGTGACCAACGGCAGGAAATAATGTATACTCAGTCGAATGTACATGAGTAGAACAAGTAGAAGACATCCTGCTCGCGTCCTGGGCTACTTTGGAATATCGAATATATGTTGATTTGCTATGCCGAGGTGTACTAGCCGATCGAACCCTCTGACATCGTCAACATGTCCTGAGGCTGTCAAGGGTGGAGCGCGTCGAGTCACAGATGGCCGTGGGGTCGTATAGGTAATCGCGTAATCATGCTTTCTCGCGATTCACGTGCATCTAGACCCTGTCGAAGACACGAAGAAGGCCTGCCGACCGCGTCTCAGTCTGGGGATGATGCGGGCCTCCACAGTTCCGACGCATTTGGACGCAGCTGATTGTCAGCTTCACGGGCTTGTGAAGATGCATGGTACGTGCGCCTGCCCGAAACAGCACTGCCTCGGCATGTTTGCGCATGACGTCGGCCGCGTTTACCTTCTTCACACGAGCAAGTGAGCCGGCCACCAATCACGCAGCTTCGAAAGCGCTCACGAGGTCTGTGAATCTCGGGCGCGTCACCGAAGCCATCTCCACACGCTTGCTGCGACTCCTGGCCGTCAGATGTCGCATGCCTAGCGTGGCCCGACGGCATGTGAAAGCCCTCAACTTCCGTGACAAGTCATTCATCCTCGGCAGCCGGCATTGTTCTTCTCTCTGTAACACCTTTTGGTAGCAGTGTACTCTCTCTTTCTTTCCTCCAATCTTCCGTTCATTGCATCGCAACAGTCATGTCGCAGCGATTCTCCACCGCCGACGTTGCGTCGCACAACAAGGCCGACAACCTTTGGATCGTTGTCGACGAGGATGTGTATGATGTGACCAAGTTCCAGGACGATCACCCTGGTGGCAAGAAGAGTATGTCTGTTGTTCAATGCACCCTTCAGCTTAATGGCTAACAATGCAAAGTTCTGCAACGTGTCGCAGGCAAGGACGCCTCAAAGCAGTTCTGGAAGTACCACAATGAGAGCATCCTTAAAAAGTACCAGAAACAACTTCAGGTCGGCTCATTGGACTCCAAGGCAGCTCCCCCAACGCCTCCAGCCACCCCTCCTCCCCAAGAAAAGGAGCTAGTTAAGCCGGAGGCGAACTCTGGGGTCGTTGCTCCCCAGCCAACTGCAGAGGCCGAGGAAGCCGAGGCATTAGACCCGTACGGCGATCTGATTCCATACGCTGATCCTTCATGGTACCAGTCGTACCACTCACCCTACTTCAACGAGTCCCATGCAGCGCTCCGCGAGGAAGTCCGACAGTGGGTAGACGAGGAGATACAACCCAACGTGACCGAGTGGGATGAGGCGAAGAAGGTGCCGGACGAGATCTTCAAACAAATGGGCGACCGCGGATATCTCGCAGGTCTGCTTGGTATGCATTACCCTACGCATTTGACGGATAAGCGTGTAAAGAGCGTCCCTCCGGAAAAGTGGGATCTGTTTCACGAGCTGCTGCTCACGGACGAGCTTTCGCGCAGCGGTAGCGGTGGTCTCGTATGGAATCTTATCGGTGGATATGGCATCGGTGCTCCGCCACTTTTCAAGTTCGGCAAGAAGGAGCTTGTCCAGCGTATCGGTCCCAAGATTCTCAGCGGTGAAAAGCGCATCTGTCTTGCTATTACTGAACCTGGTACGTTGATCTTCTGTGGCTGCGAAGCATCCCAAACTAATTTCAATCAGATGCTGGTAGCGACGTTGCGAACCTGACCTGCGAAGCCAAGCTTTCCGAAGACGGCAAACACTACATCGTCAACGGCGAGAAGAAGTGGATCACGAACGGTATCTGGTGCGACTACTTCACCACCGCCGTGCGAACAAGTGACAAGGGCATGAATGGTGTTTCCGTGCTCCTCATCGAGCGTGAGGCTGGCGGTGTCTCAACGCGAAGGATGGACTGCCAAGGTGTATGGTCAAGCGGTACCACCTACATTACCTTTGAAGACGTCAAGGTTCCGGTCGAGAATCTGATTGGCAAAGAGAACCAGGGCTTCAAGGTTGTCATGACGAACTTTAACCACGAGCGTATCGGTATAATCATCCAATGTCTCCGCTTCTCCCGCGTCTGCTACGAAGAGTCGATCAAGTACGCACACAAGCGAAAGACCTTTGGCAAGCGGCTTGTCGATCACCCTGTCATCCGCCTCAAACTCGCACATATGGCTCGCCAAATTGAAGCCTCGTACAACTGGTTGGAGAATCTTATCTTCCAATGCCAAAAAATGGGTGAGATGGAGGCTATGTTGAAGCTTGGTGGTGCCATCGCCAGTCTGAAGGCCCAGAGCACAACAACGTTCGAGTTCTGTGCAAGAGAAGCGAGCCAGATCTTTGGTGGTCTAAGCTACAGCCGAGGTGGTCAAGGTGCGAAGGTGGAGAGGCTGTATAGGGATGTAAGGGCGTACGCTATTCCCGGTGGTAGCGAGGAAATTATGCTGGATTTGAGCATTAGGCAAGCACTTAGGGTACACAAGGCGCTTGGCATGAAGTTGTAAGATGTATTATATCTATGTTTGTAGAGGACTACTATCAAGAGGAACATTGGAACACCTTTCGATGATTTTCTACATTGCAAATCGCACACTAATACTAGGCTTGAGAGAAGTATTACATACAGTCCCCAATGTGTGCCACAGAGCATACACACACACGGAATTACAGCCCGCTGCAATTAACATCAACCACATCTAGTAACTCCCCATTGATCGCAGCCGTGGAAGTGAACGAGCGGAAGCCAGCCAACATGACCCTAAAAGCTGAATCAGTTCTGTGTGCACGGCGAATGATCTTTATCCGTAGCCGTCCAATCAGCTCGAGCGGGTTTTCCTGACATCGTTCCCTACAATTCATTCCCTTCGAGCGGTCTCATTTGGGCCATAGGATTTTGACCCAGCGATCCTGGTTCTGGAAGTAGTGCCCTTGAGCCCAATCGCAATGAGCCGTATACATTGTTGGTTTCGCTTGCATGCTCGACTCGACTGCCATCAACTTACAATTCCACCCGAGAAGTTCGCCGCGACCAACAATCTATCGAGAAACGACATACAATTACCCTCAAGTGACTCGTACCAATTCGACACCGGACCAGCAATGCTGCTACATAATGACACGGCACCGACAAAGATGGCCCACCCTAACATGAACGAAACCTTCCTGTATTGGTATGCGTTCGCAGCGAGATCAGCTGACACCCCGGAAACAACGAATGCAAAGACGATTTGCACAGTGCGTCGTGTTATGCCTCAGACAGTGCCCATAACGTATCATATCGTGAGGTAGGTGGAGGATCTTCCGTAAGAGGTTTGTTGCTGAGGTCGAAGTTATTTCGTGGGGAAGAGCGAAGAATGTGCATTGTTGTGTAGAAAGAAACATCGTATTCGTCCGTAGAGTGCCAATCTCGCCGGACTGTCTCTTCTATTAATCAACGGGAATAGCTTCGAGGAAACAAGTGGATATAGACATCAATCATACGCCTGTGGGTATCTAACGAGGGACAAGAAAAATCTGCGAGCGAGACGTAAGCCAATACCATGGGCGACCACACCATATCAATCGTTCTCGTCGGCCCCTCTCGCTGCAAGCCCAAATCATTACACGATAGTTAGTCGCGACGCCATATCCCTGCCTCTTGCCCATCCCACACATCTCTTGCTGCTATCCGTCCGCCGATCACTCCGCCACTCTCTTCACGTCTCCTCTTTCCTGCTTAGTAGCCTCTCTTCGTGCGCAAGAAAGTCATCGTCACCGCAACAAGCAAGACCGCAGCAGTGAACCACAAGAATACGGTATCAGCCTGCGCCTCTTTGCACCTCTCATTCAAGTGGTCCAGACGATCTCCACCGTTCCAGCACTGCTCCTCGCCATCCTCTTTGCCGTAGCAGCCACCATTGAAAAGATGGTTCTTGAACAACTCCCTGCGATTCTCGGGGCTTGTGTCACTGCATTTGGGGACGCCGATCTGGATAGCTAGTAGCTGTTATGATGACATAGGTCAGTAATGCTTCCAAAATTGAGGGCGAAGACATTCGGAATAACATACCACACCACCAGCAATGTTCAGCAGTATGATCAGGCCGTCAATAATCAGCCCGACCATGCCTTGCAAGACAGAGACCCACTCCGCAGCGATACCGACGAACCCTGTCAGGAAAGAGACGCCGCCAACGAATGCGGTGTAGCGAAGTGATATTGGTGAGCTAAGAAACGGTCCTTGGCCCTTGATCATGCCGACGGACAGTCCAAGGACGACAGCCGCGAAAACAATCTGAAAGCCGCGGATGGCGAAATTGAGGACCGGTGATGGAGAAGACATTGTGAGATATGATTGTGGGTCGTGAGCCAGTGAAGACAGGCGTGATGGTTGTCGAGCACTTTGCGAGTGTAACACGGTGCCAGTTGTTTGTTTGTACGTGCGACGGGTATGGTGACGATGGTGTCGTTCTCAAGGGACTGTTTTTCGTGAAATACTGCTTCCAGGTTTAAACAAGGTCTATGGGTCGCAATGCTCTTCAGCGCAAAGCAAAATTGTGAGTAGGATTTGTGAAGAAGGAATCGAAACCAGACTCAAGAAGCGATACCAGCGCACTCTATATGTCCCCCAAAGCAAGCTTTCAGTGCCGCACAAGCCCCGCGCTGCCGCCTGTGCCTCCCTCAGATCACCCCGAATGTGTTCGACCGCACGTTCATCGTGCAGCGGCACACAGCCCTGCACTCTCCGTCAATGACTGTGTGCAAATCCGATTAGGCACCCAGATGCAGCAACTGCAGTCGTTGCCTGAAGCATCCTTGTCGGCCCCCAAGGGGACCTGGCCAACCACATCGCAAGGATAATTTCGGTAGCCGAGCCTTCTGAAGCACCTGCATAGATCCATAAGGCTGTGGCGGGAAATGGTGTCACGCCTTGAAACTGCTGTCCTGCTGCGCCGTTGTTGTCGCAGGCTGGTTCGCATGTCCGGATAGCGCAGCGCCCCCAGTACCCGCCCACTTCAGCATGATACCAGAATAGCAACGACGAGACCAATCGTGCCGTGCGGGCCTTTTGAAAGCTGTGGTGGAGACAGTGTAGGATAACTACGTGGGTGACTTCAACTGTTCTAAATCGGCGGGGAAGCTTGGGATCATTTCACAAGTGCCGCAGAACTAGGCCAGGCATGGCTAGCGGTTGCCTGCTTTTAGACGGCCTGAACGAGGCTGAGTTCTGGCGCACGCGGGTCTCGGCAGCTTTTTCACTCACCGGTATTTGGCATCCAGGTGCAACATGAAGAGAGTCTAGAATTGCAACGTACCGGGGTTGGTCCATCGATATTGTCTATCAGATTTCCACAAGCTCACCGCATGTTTTCAGGTGTGCCGAGGTTGATATGCTATCATACAGCTTTCACCGGCTCAATGTACCTGCCATTGGGTCGATGGATGTTTGGCCAAAAAGGACAACAATGCGCAAAAGTTGGGCTAGTGCATCCCCCACACCTATCAACCGATGCATATGAGGTCTTCTCCTCTTAGTCACAGTGACTACCATAGAGGAAACTCATTCAGTCCTGCGTTGTTACAACTTTTGTGTCGTTTCTCGATGATCTACTATCGGCATTGAAACTTGTTTCCCCTCAGCAGGACGGTGTCTGAATACAGGGCATTCATGTCTTCCAACGTGAATCTTTCGTGTAGAACCTTGATCAAATGCATCCCTTTCGCGTCTCAGAGCTTCTATCAGCGCACAGCTATTCCAAATATACGGGAATCCCGTAAACAACAGCAGCAGCCCCATTCAAATACCTCAACACACACGCTTGCCTTGCATCTCTGACCGCCTCATCCAAACCAATACCCCTTTTTCTTCTTCCTACCCTAACGCTAGTATCCTCACTGGCACTACCCTTCCGGGACTTGCTCGCTGCCATCGGAGCATCCACCTCTTCTACAAGCTGCGCAACCCTCCCTTTCCCCTTTCTTTTCTTAATCGTAGGCGGCGGCTCAATGCTGGCTTCGTTCTCAGGCTCCGGCTCCGGCCAAAGACCCCACAGCTCGCCAGCCCTGACAGCAAGTCGATCGCAATCCTTATCAGTGACATCCCACAGCATGCCTAGCACGGCCGGCGCTCCCGCAGTGAGGTAGCTCGACAGCATGCCCGAGGGCTCGTATATCCCATTGTCGGAGAGGTGCACACTCGAGCATCCGAACAGGAACGTGGTTGCACAGCCGGGCTTCTCCTTGTCGCCTTCTGATTGCGCTTTGCCATTCAGATATAGTCGTCGCACGGCCTGTGAGCGTATGTACTGTGCTCCGCTGCCGTGTCCAAAGAATAGCACGAGCTCGTCATTCTTCAGACAGTCTTCAAATTCCTGCTCCAAGGGCGGACGGTTGGTGATGTGTGTCCATGTACCTTGCATATCATCCAGACAAGGTTTGATCGTTTTGCATGTGTGGCCCAAGTCTCCCGAAGGATTTAGCATGCTCGTACCTCCTGCCTTGGTAGAGATGTAGTGGCCCGCAGGTGCATTCTGAGTCACACTCGGCGACCTGGCTGCAAGGAGGCGTTCACGCAACGCAGCTAGGGAAGGAAGCCTGGATATTGAGAGCTTTTCAAGGCGTGGGAGTGACTCCCATGGAAGCATGTGCAGATTCTTGTCAAGTATGAGAATGGTGTGGGCGGCTCCTGGAGACGCCTTTTGTGCACTATCATGGTAAGCGCGCAACGCTTCGTACGTCTCGATGACCATTGAGTCAAAATCGATCTCATCGTAAGCGTTCGGCTCGCCGTTGAAATGGAGAATGTCGACGACGAAGTAGATGAGGTCTGTGAGTGCTTCGTCAAAGTCGAGCTCCGGATCCGAGGCATCACCCAGGCCGATGAACAAGTCCAATACTCTTGGATCAAGGTTCGGTCTCTTTTGCTGGCTCTTCTTCTGCCGCGAAGGTAAGTGGCGAGCTAGGACATTGTCGAAAGACTTGCGAAAGCGCGCCAGGAGAGCCGGTTGATGGGTGTGGTCCGAAAAGATGCCCTTGAAGCCACCCAGCCAAATCTTCTCAATATTAAGCAGCAACTCTCGGAGTTTAGTATCGAGTGCCTGGCGATCATCCCACCATTGTTTCCTGCCCTCTCTTGAAGTTAAGTCCTTCGCATTTCGCGTGGTGAAATCGCTAAGCTCAATGATTTCTTCGAGCTCCCGCCTGCCGTCTGCGAAAGTAAATTCCTCCTCGTCCAAGTCGCGGGAAGAATGACGAGACAGCGGTAAGCGCAACACAAATGGCGATGTGTTTCTTTGGTAACGAGTGATGTACAACTCGTCTTGTTCCTCACTCAGTGCTAAAGATACAGCGGTCCATGTTTCGGGGATGATGTCGATGTAATCATGTTGGAACTCGGCTGGTGATGCTGTAGGTGGCTCATTCTCAATGAATTTCGGCCACTGCAAACACACTTCTCGCGACATCGTCTCTTGGTCGACCTCAACAGAGCCTTGAGCGGATGCTAAAGCATGATGCTTTGGGATTTCTAAGTTCCGTGAGCAATGCTTACGCGTATATTGAGATGATACGTACCGCTCATATATGCAGAATACAATGGGTGAATAGACCCACGTATGCGACCTTGAGAGACAGCGGAGAGTAGAACCGTAGCATGGCTTAGAGCTGCACACAGCTGCCGGAAGACATGATTGCTGGCAACAGTGGCGTGCTGAGCATGTGCCTCAACCAGCCTTTCGCGAGCGTCCTCGACCAGTTTAACAAAATCGTCTCCAGCTTGTTTCTTACCACGCGACAATTTCGTGACAGCCTTGACAGCTGGGCGCTTGGCGGCAACTCCGTCAGACGACTGACGTTCTTTTGGCGGTATAGAGGGAAATGCGATCGTAGACTCGGGTAAAGTGTTGAAGGTGAAATCATTAGATATACTTCTGATCGCCTGTGCTAACATTGCCTTGAAGCGCACCCAAGCATGAGACCCTTCTCGGTCACGTTCTGACTTCTCGGCCTTACTCAGAACATCCATAGCTTTCACAACGTCACTCTGCAAGAGATACGTAGCGACTCGTCTGTACAAGACGTCGGCTTGTAGTGCATCCAGTGATGTGCAGTGCTCACTGGCGCTCTGTTTCTCGTAGGCAGGCGAAGTAGTGGCTTTCTTCGAGACTCTCGGAACGGCTGTGGGTTCGCTCGTGAGAGGTGCTTTGCGAGTCGTGCGGGTTGTCATCCTCGTAACAGTATTGGGGACGGCCTTGACAGCTGTGGTTCGCGCCCTTACTCTTCGCGTCTGTTGAACATCTGCAGGCTTTGATTCTTCCAGAGTGAGCGCAGATACGTTGTCGGTCACAACATCCAGATTGGGCGTAAATCTTACCGTCGATCTTACGTATGAAGGTGATGATAAGTGGTGTAGCAGCTTTTCCAACACATCGTATTGAGCAATCTCATCATCGAATCTCTGGCTTACGTGATGCATTCTCGCGAGCGACAGATGATAGGAAATAGTGCTCAAATGCTTGACCGACTGAGACACATCTAGACCATCAAACAGGGGCTGTGCTTTATCGGGTCGGCCACTCTGAATCCATAGATCTGCAAGACGGCTGGCGTGGTCTACAAGCATTGTCCGGGAACCGATAGCAGAAACCACCTTTTCTGCTTGCTGAAGTACGTAAACAGCCTCTTCAAGCATCCCTTGGCTCGCTATGACAATCGAATGTTGTGTCAAGGCTCTATATAGAGACGGAACGAGCGACCAGAACTCCGGTCCTTTGAGCGCCTCGTGAGTGATAGAGCTGGTGAGAGATGCGCCTTTCTCGTGGCGCATGGAACTTGATAAATCAGAATGCGCGCTGATGGGGGCTTCTGTCAACTTGTAACTGTTCGCCGCAACAGCTTTGCGAGTATTGGCATTGCCCTCTCGCGCAGCCCAGATACGTCGATTGAGCACGACAGCCTGTCGAGCATGTCTTGCCGCGTTCTTGTAGTCTCCTCTACTGGAACAGAGAAGGGATGAGACATAGCAAGCTTCTGCTATAACTTTGTTGAACTTCATACGCCCAGAAAGGCTTGTGGAGGACTTCGACAGGTCGGTAAAAGTGCTATTGTTCCGAGCAAGTGTCTCTGCGGCGGACAGTGTACTTTCACTATTGTGTGTAAGTTAAAGTGACATAGAACGGTTAGGAGATATTTTACCATTTCGAGGCATTACCGATGCTCAAGAGATACTCAGCGTAGCCTATGTGCCATCGCAACTTCGCCTCGACCGAGGCGGTCTGGTTCAACAGCACTTCAGCTTTTGCAAAAGCCAGCCCTGCTTTGCCAGAATAGCCTAGTCGCAAGGATTGTAAGCCCAGGGTGCTCAAGGCTAGGATTAGTTCCGATCGGTCTGAGGCTGTCTGGAGCTCTAGAATTCGAACAAGCAGATGAAGCACTGGAAGTGCTTCGTATTCTTCGCCCTTAGCGCAGAGGAAGTCCACACTTGCTTGGATCGCGGCCAGCCAGTTGTCAGTATTATCAACTTGACCTTCCACCTCAACCCAAGATGCTGTAGTGTCAAGTATAGACTCCCAGATACTGAAGCAGTTGCGAAGCTTTTGGAGCGACAGGTCACCTTGGTGTAGTAGAGTCTTAAGGGTTATCATGGCTTTTAGATGATCTCCGAATCGGGACAGATCGCGATCCTTCGTTTGGTTGATGTCCACATCGCTTCCATGCTGGTAATCTTCTGAAGTGTAGGCATCTGATATGATGTTCGGGTACATCTGTGATAGTTGCAGAAGTAGCAGGTGTAGCCTTTTTCGTCTCACCGGAAACTGTTCAGGCGTATACATGTTGACAAGGCGGTCCACGATAGCTTGAACCGACGAATTGAGAGTAGCATCCCAACTGCGGTGTTTCGATAAGGTTTGTTCGTAAGTTCCTAGCTGCCATTCGAGCAATGCCCCGCGCACAACAGCTGTGTATTCGACGTTGTCGAAGAAAGCGAGCTCGTCAGATTTGCGTAGACCGTTTTTCATGTACGAGCGATGATACAATCGGAGAACTCGCCCCAAATCACTGACAGAAGGATCCGTTCCAAACACATGCACAACAGGGAAGTTGGACGAGGCTTCAGCGATCGCTTCGCATAGGTCGTCATTTAGTGATACCCGAATACATTCCGCGTACGCCTCACGGGACTCCTGAACGCGATCAAGCCTGTCTAGCTCTTCGCCTAGTCGTTCTAATTTCAAGCTGAGGTGCCCGGCTTCCTTCTCCGCTTGTGATCTTGAATGAAGAAGCGCGGTAGATCGTTGCATAGCCGTTATATCGGGTGCGGAGTCAGAACCCAATTTTTTGTAACTGTCGCCGCAAGGTCCAGTACGAGTTAGAGAACTTGACAAAGAGAGACTGCGTGCCTTCTTGCGAGCCAAAGCCCGCATAATCATTGTCTACCGACTCTTCCTCAAGCTGCGATGTGAAGCGCACGCAGTCTTGGATCAATACGTCGAGCTCTTCCCATGCGGCATCTGATGTCAATGGCAGTCTGCAACAGACTGACACAGCATCAACAGTACTCCTCACAAGCTTAGCAGCAATGGCTAGACGTGCTTGGTATGATTTTATCTTTCCAGGAGAGGAATCTTCGGTAGGCCGGCTTCCCATGAATCTCCTAGAAAAGTGTATGCTAATTGCGACGATGCGTACACACTGCTCGCGAAGCGTTGGTGACCATTTTGTATTGCCTACTGAAGCAATCAATGATAGGATACGGCTTGCTACGCGCCGTAATGCGTGGACCTCTAGCAGTAGCGTTTCCAGATCCCTGGCTGTTCCATCCAAGCTACCGGAAAGCCTTTCGAGAGCAGTGTCGATGGTGGCGTCTTGGTCCGGCTTTGATGAGCCCTTCAGGCAAGCTTCGAGGGAAATGGAGGCGACGCGAACCGATCGAACCGTAATTGCTGCCGAAGAATCTTTCGTGAGAAAAGAAGAAGATTGACTTCCCAACCACCGGAACGCTTCCTCGGGAAGATCTGCAGCACGTGCGAGTGATGCGAGCGTCGAATTCTTGAGTTCGGACAAGCCCTGTCCATCTCTTTGGGAAAAGTCAGTGGTTTTGCCCGTACCCAGCAAGTTCGAATACAAGGACTCGGCAATCCTATACTGCTTTGCGGCAGGTAAGGTTGACCGTCTCGTAAAAGCTACGAGACATTTTCCAAAAGGCTCGATGAGCTCCTTGTCTTTATTGCCCTGGTGTTGAGCCAATCCCCACCATCGTTGTCGAACCCCAAACGCGAGATGTTGCAAGCATAGAACGATATCTGGAGACGGTTGTGGCTGCTCATCGTCATCTGAGGGGGAGATACTAGGACAAAGATTGAGGATCGTCTGCGCGAGTGATTCCAGCTGGCGTGCTGCTTTAGGCTGTTGTGCCTTCTCTTTCGCAGTGTGCAAGATGAGGCTAGTGGGGTTCGAAGGATGCGACAGCTTGAGATAGTTCCAGACCGCTTCTACATGTCGTGGACGTTTGAGTCTTCCAATCACACGCAGCACGTAGATCTGCAAATTGATGATGATGGGAATAGCCGCATTGGTGCGATCCACGTCACCAAAGTCTAAGAGTGCTGCCAGACTTTCCTTTTCCGGTGGGGGTACCTGCTGAGACGCGGACCGACTAGAGGCAGGTCGTAACTCCTCTGTTCCATTCTTCCGCAGAGTATATGTGTCCAGCCTCTTCTTCAATAAGCGCATTTCTTTTACTGCAAGGCTGTCCAAGCCATGAGTCACCAGCTTTCCAACCAGTGACAGCCGTCCATTCTCCAATGCCAGTTCAGGCGAATTTTTCCCTACGAATTGAGCACCCTCTGATGTGCTCAGATATGCGAATCCTAGCCTAGCGCATTCGGCAGTCGCAAGCAGGCTTGCGTCGGGGTCTGTGAAGGTCGGGTAGGACGAGGAGCGGCGCAATCCCTTTGGTCTTGTCGACGAGTTGGTGGCCTGGCTGACTGAGCGCTCTTTCAGTGGGTGATTTGTGACAGATGAGCTCTTTGCGTGAGGCTTTTGCGCATTCGTCGCAACGGTCGGAGAGGGCTTTGATGCTGGCGGCGATTTGGCTGTTCGTTGCGTCACTGGTGTCTTCAGGGCGTCGGTAAGAGACTTGAGGGTGGCGTTCACTGTCTGTGTCGCCAGTATGTATCGTTGTCGCGGAGAGAGGCCGTGCTCCGCCTTCGCTGCAGTAGCTGTGCCGGGTCGTCGACGAATTGTTGATTGGGCGCTGGTCGTTCTTGCGCTTTTGGCGCGTACGTTCTCTTTCTGCGACTGCGCCGTGTCAATAGAAAGCAAGTTTTGGAGCTTCGCGACGGTCGTGGCTGTACATGTTGCTATCGACTGCAACTCGGTTTCGATGTTTTCTAGGCGCGTTGCCGTCGCGTCCTCGTTGGCCATATTTTCAGGGTATCGAAGTTCGTATGCATACACGATCATTCATAGAGGCGATAGTATATACATCATAGGAAGAGGAAGCCAAGGCTGGAGAGTTGCACGAGACGTATGTTCTGGTGGGTTGAATCGTCCCGTCCAACGTAAACAGTCTAGGTGATTTCCGATTTAGCGCAATTGCAGGGGTTCGCGTCACGGCAGCTTTGATGACGACGTACCACAACGCTTTGCGCCCAGATCCATGATACTTCTTGGCTGAGCTTCCTCTTATCGCACATGTTGCTTACGACAGACACATATAAGGAGACCTAGCTCTTGACGACCGCGCTGCCTGGCGGCAAGGTAGGCAAGAAACGAATGCCTTTGTTGAGAAGCAAGCATACCTACTCGCGGAAATGAAACAGTGTAGTCATCTGCGCAATCGCACGGCTACCGTCTCTAATTATTGTATGTCTCCGAAATCAACAGCTCCTCTATAACTATCAAAAGGCAGGTACGCGATGTGTGTAGTGTACAGCCACACCAGTATGCCTCGCTTTTCCAAATTGGGGCAAAATCTTGGTGGCTTTGGTAGCGCTGTGCTCCGCCTCACAAGGCTGTTATTGCTACCCATTTCGTGGAGCAACCAACGAGACATATATCAGTGGACAAGAACTTCTTCTGCCATTGTTTTCTATTATTTACGTACCATTGATCACGAGCATTCGAGAATTTGCACAGCCAGACTTGATTCGAAACCAACTACTCCCACATCAGCACCACATCCGCAGACAACTTCATCAGCAGCACCTACAAGTCTCGCTCCCTTGCGCAATTTGTTCCAAAACCTCTCAAGATGAGAATTCCCGAGAAGCCCGCAACTTTTAACAGCCCCAACGCCGCAGAGCCGGAACCTCCCGCATACAATGACTTGCAACCGTCACGTACTGGGGATGGGAAGCAGCAGCCACCTCCAGAATACAGCCACAGCGAGTCTTCAATAGCGCAGCCATCAAATCATGTTTCACAACACCTACGGTCATCGCGATTCCCAACCCAATTCAACGTCTACATGCATTTCAGCACGTTTTCTTTAGGTCCCCACGAAGACAATAAACTCTTCACAGTCGTGCAAACTGGTTTGAGAAAACCCATGAAGCTCATTCAGGGCTCTGAGAAGAAAGCATCTCCGCTTTCAACACTCAAGATGAAAGGTATGGGAAGTACCTCGAACTTGACTATATTCCCACACGATGGTGGCGAGCTTATCTATCCGCTGGAAATCACTATCGAGAACCACTCCACAAGGCACTGCTTTTGCATTGGCCTGCCCAACAAAGCCCCTCAATACTTTGAATGGCGCAGCTCCAAGAGCGAGGAGGTGCAGGCATTGGGTGCGTACAAGCGCGGCTGGAAGCTCGTCTGGCTACGGAAAGACGGAAGGAAAGATGAAATTGTCGCCGCAAGTGCTCTGAACAACACAATGAGCATGAAGAAGGGGCTTAAGTTCGGCTTCTTTAATGCTGGGCTTGATGGGACACTCGGCGATACTTTTCAAATTGCCGCTGTTACGACGGCGATGAGCGATTTTGAAGTGTTTATGAGTACAAATGTTGCGATTGCAGGGAGTGCGAGTGCGGCTGCGAGTTCAGCCTCGGTGGCTGCGGCCGCGACGTCTACTTAAGGGAGGTATCAGGTGTTCTTGGTCGTGTGATAGTTCGGAGATAGAAAACCATTCTCTACAGTTTACATGATACTTGGTCATTCAAGTCTTTAACTAAGTGAAAGGGGCATAAACTCAAGTACAAAAGAAGTGTCAAGCCATTCAGCTTACATATTCCGAGAGCGACCGGGATAGACCCCACCCAACGTACAGCCCAACCCAAAAGTACCGGAACGCCTCGCTATGTGGTATGAATAGTTCCTGACTCCGATCAGCCGTGGAATTTGTTTCGAACCCGTACATCGGTATCAGAATCAGCAACAAAGCCCAGCTACCGACTTTGCATTGGCAATACCTTGCCAGAATCGACAATGATCTGTTCGTCCAGTCGAGCAGCAATATCGCCATACTCTAGTCTTTTCCATGTGGAAATCCGCGCTTGGTTGGTGTCGACTTCGAAAAGGCGAATCCGTCGGTGAAAGCCGCCGTAGCCACCGTATCCTCCAAAGCCACTTCCGCCAGCGTAGCACATCCACAGCTCAGGATCGCTCTGCTGGCTCTTCGAGAGCATGCAGTAGTCGTTCGCATGGTCGTGACCGCAAGATACAACCTTAATGCCCTGTTCCACCAAAGCGTCTTTGAAGTGTGTGTTGAAACGTGGCGCCGTGACACGCTCTGGACTCTGACCGAGACGTTCGTTCTCTACAATGGCGTATTCTGGGAGAGGGATGTGGATGAAGGCCATGTCTAGATGGATATGGGTGTACTTCATGTGCGATTCTTTCAAGCTATCGGCAGCCTTCTTGAACCATTGGATCTGGTTAGGTTTGAGCCAGTCGTAGCCTTTGTACTTCTTCTCATCTTTGGAGTAGGCGTGAGTATCGAGGAAGTAGAGTGTGAGGGCGGAATGTCGGTTGGCTCCGTGGGCGAGGACTTCGACGTAGTAATTGCCGACACCCATACTGCCATCAATAGACGTAGGTCCGGCCTCGGAAACCGAATAGGGGAGCGACTCATAAAGCTGCATCTGACTAGCACGGCTGAGTACGCCTCCTTCGTCATCGTGGTTGCCAAAGATGGCGGCATACGGGATCTTGCGCTCAATGAGAACAGCGGTAATCTTGAAAAGCGCCTATAACGTGTTAATGATGTCTTTGTCAAACAGCAGCCCAGACTTACGCTGGGAACATCGGGTGCTGTGCCGCCATTAACTTGGTCGCCGGATAGGACCACCATATCAGGCTTCTCATCATCCAGCAGTCTCTCCACAAACTCCAGGGTCCTGGTGTCGGCGTCACAATGTCCGCCATTGTAGTCTTTCGGCTCTGGGTCTCTACAGGGCCGTACTCCGGTGCTGAGATGCAGATCTGATATTTGCATGATCTTAAATTTACCATCCTTCGTGATTCTAGGGACAGGTTTCGTGACCGCCTCCGGTTGTCCTCTGCGAATCGATAAATGCGGCACCTTGTCGTCACCACCGGTATCCAGGTGTACAGCCCCATTGGGGACCAGTTGCCATCCAGGGCGAGACTCTGTCGCGTCCGCGCCGAAGAGTACATCTACAGCAGTAATGGTCTTCTTCGAGTCGCTTGCGTGCCGCCTGGCCGACCGCTTGATCCATATGCCGGCCGGGCGCGACTCCCATTTCTCGGATGCTTGCGACTGGTCTGCCATGGCAGGGTCCAGCTTTCCTGTGCGCACGTCCAGAATGACTTTGTCTTCGTCTGTGAGCTCCTCCTCTTTCTTGCGCTTGATGTGAACATATGCCTTCGACACCCAGCCCGTGCCCAGGTACAAGTCCTTTTCCACACGATGCCATTGTTGTTGGTCGAGATGGCACTTCGCTATCGGGTTCAGCGATGAGCACGTCTGTATAGTAATGTCTGTGATTACGAGGCCTTCGTGGTGGAGCGGTAGGTGGTTGTGCACAGCTTGCGGGAGCACGCTGTAGCGGCTGTCGAGAAATAACACCAGGAGAACGACGATGACTACGAGCAGACCGAGCTGGACCGATGTCCGAACCTGAACTGTAGTTAGTACCCTCGAGTGGCTACAGCGTGGGAGACGTGCGATTCTGCGCGGCGCAGGCATGGCGCTCTGAGAGACCTCCGCGGGGAAACAGCTGGACTCACACCAGGGGTGCGGTCATTAAACGATATCAAAGAGACTCTGTACAACAGATAGCCATAGTCGCATGCGTTAGTGTGTTTGGGTCTCGGATGGAGCGTGAACCGTAGTCGTGCAGGTGACATGTTTCAACGTCTGCAAGCCGACGGGTGTACTGGCCTTGTCGGCTTGGCCTCAAGCTCAGTGCCACTTCCGGGCTCACCTCCGCTCCGCCGTCAACCCCCCTCCCTTGCTTGTACATGCAAGCCATGCGTTTTTCAAGGTCAATTGAACGCGCATCTGCTCAGCTACAATCGCGCTCGATTAAGAGGAGCTTCGCGACCGGCACCTCCCTCAGGCGAGCTTTCCAAGGCATGCGCCCTGTCCGTTCTTACCCGCCGACCAGATGCTAACGATTCCACAGAAGGCGATGTCGTACTTCTGAAAGAGAAGAAGAATGCAGGCCATGACGGGATTTTAGTGAAACTTCAGACCACAAAGCAAACGCACACCCATCGTGGGAACCTAGCACATGCGGACATTATCGGGAAAGAATCGCGACAGCTTGTACACTCGGCGCGAGGAAATGCGTACCGCATCCACGAGCCCACGCTTGCAGAGTACGTCCGTCTGACGCCACGACTGGTTACTCCTGTGCGTCCACTGCATCGAACGCGCTCCAACGCCTTCGAGACGAGTGAAGGGCGCCTAACAGAAGCTAGATTTATCCTTCCGATGCGAACCTGATCGTGTCTCTACTAGACATCCACGTCGACACGCCCTCCCCTAGCATAAACGGTAGCCCACCCGTGGAAATACTCGAGGCTGGTACTGGTCATGGTGCGCTGACCTTACATCTCGCTCGTGCAATACATGCTGCGAATCCGCCTCTTCCAAAGCTCCACAACTATGCCTCAGAACAGGAAGCGGAAGACCCGGTCTACCTAGGGGAATCCATTGCGGACCTACAGGACGCGAATAATGAGTCCTGGCGGACATGCCGGGGTGCCATCGTACACACGCTTGACATCTCCAGCAAGCACTCGGAGCATGCGAAAAAGATTGTGGAAGGCTTCAAGAATGGCATATATGCCGGCAGTGTCGACTTCCACCTTGGAGACCCTGGCTCTTGGATCAAGGAACAGCAAAAAGCTAGGAAGACCCAAGACCCATTCCTATCCCATGTCATTTTGGACCTCCCAGGTGCAGACACGTATTTGGACGTCGTGGCATCAGCGCTACATATCGACGGTCTGCTTGCAGTTTTCAATCCCAGCATCACCCAGATAGTGGAATGTGTCGAGAAGATTCGTAAAGACAGGATGCCCTACCTGCTCGACCGAGTCGTCGAGCTGGGCGCGAGCACCATCCGTGAATGGGATGTGAGAGCTGTACGCCCCAGAGCAGCGCTGAAGAAAGCGGAGCAGAAGGCTGCGCCAGATGCGTCATCTGGCGCGGAGTCGAGTGACGTTATCAAGGGACAGGAGGCCAGGGACGACGAGCTGGCACAAGACCTTGGCAAGAATGAAGAGAAGTGGGCAATGGTCTGTCGGCCCAAAGCAGGACAGGAGGTAGTCGGCGGTGGCTTCATAGCTCTATGGCGGAAAATGGAGCCTGCAAATCTCTCCGAGTCGCCGGAGCCCTCTGCGGCGGCTACGGAGCAGGCCTAGAGCTTCTGGGTACGAATAGATCAAAAGTACAACGTAACACGTTCACCGCTGTACCACTTGGCTCGGCTTCAAGCTGTTCACTCGATGCGTAGATTAACGCGCGCCACGTGATGTCTGCGGCACCTGGACTCTGCCCCGCGGTAAGCTTGGAGCTCTCTCGTCCAGCAGTTGGAGCAAGCAGCTCAGCACTAACGCGCACGCGGCAATGGCCTGTACAGAGGCAGTGGATTTTGTGCGTTGTCAAGAGCTCGACGCCGAGCATGATTGGCTCAGCATCGGAGTTTATTAACGCTGGGCCAATCATGCACAGACAGTCGCGCTTTCCGCTTTCACTGGGTGCGCATTTAACAGTACCTCCGCCCTTCCACTCATCCCCACCCCACCTGTTTCCTTCTGAGCCTTGGAAGCGAAAAATGAGCGGTGCGGGCGAGAATCGGTAAGCTTCCTCCGACGCGTTTCGTGGACGCATCTGGTCTGACAGCAGATAGGAGTAGCTGGCAGCGGCCGCAGGGACGAGGCAACCGTGCCTCTGGCTCGAACAACCCAGGCAAAGATGGCGGGAGGCAGCAGGCCATGTCGGCGCTGTCTGGCAACGCGTGGAAGGGAAAAGGACAGGGCGGCGGTGAGCGGGCGCAGGCGCAGACACCCAGTGTCCCCGCAGAACAGCACGTACCTGTGAAGGACTTCAATGCTGGCGAAGTCAAGGAGTTCTTGAAAAAGAGTAAGCGCGCATAGCTTGTAGCGGGCCATCACTCGGAGTGTAGAGCTCCTCGATGTCCTCCAAAGCTTCCCCGCCAATTGAAGGGCTGCATCTGACGTGCGTCGCAGAATACCTTGAAAGCGTCGCAGGTACATCTGCCTCGAACAACGCGCTCGCAACAGACATGGGGACTAATGGCAAACCTCTAGACCAACCATCCGCATACCACAAGGTACAAGGGGATTCTGTAGCAAAGAGGAGCAGCGGTGCTTGGGGCTCTCGAGGTATGCCTAAATTGCGCAGGTCTAATTTGGCTGGAGTAACATGAATGCAGGCAACATGCCACACCTCATGCCCAGTGGGCAGGACTTCTTCACGCAGCTCAAGAAGCAGCTGGCGTCCCTCGATCAGGCCAAGCCTTCGTAACCGCAATACGGTTGTCACGCGTTTCCTTCCAGCGGCATTCTAGGGCATAACGGGAGTTCACGGGCCATCGCATTCTTCTCACTACACTATACTCTGTCCTACGGTGGCTGTTTACGAAGACGGTTCGGTTCTTGTTCAAAAGATCGGTAACATGTGTAAATCAAGGACGGGCATTGCAGCACATGGCGTTGGCGGAGCATGGCAATTACGATTCCTGGTATTGTAAGGATACCCATCTATTTGGACTCTTCTAAGGGGCGTCGTTCTGTGCTTGGGAAAGGACGACAAAGACTCCGTACGGTCCCACGAAATGGCTCGTACTTGATCTGTATATAGTCGTAATAGACTGGCTCTTGCGATAAAGTGCAGGTCGGTGGGCGTCAGCAACTGCTTGCATGATAAGTTTTCAGATGGTGACTGTGATGGCCATTCTGGACGTGTTGGGGGTATATGTGCTGGGATGTTTATAGTTTCGGATGTGACGAGAAGAAAGGCGACGACGGCGTTGTCACGGAGCTTGCACCCTCGATTCGGTCAACAAACATACGTGCGGCCCCGCAGCTCGCGCCTTCACTCCACATACCACATTCTTCGCTTGCTATTGCGCCTCGTGCATTGTGACAACCAGTCCAGAAGCCTACTTTGCGCTATTGTGCCATTACATTCATTCGCTGCATCGTTGCAGACAGCCAAGACCGGCGACCACAACGCATCACATTCCACACCCCAAGGCTCACCACCCAACGCACGCGTCGCTACCCCTCATTTGCGGCGGCAACCTGGTCCACGGACCTGGAAACATACGACGCAGGGCATACCAAGGGACCGCACGCCGCTACATGCCTGCAGCGTAAAGCCGTCTCATATCCGCACACGGATGCGTACCTTCACCGGCCACCACAGCAGACCCACCGCCTCTGTCCTCTCCCGTCTCCCCGCCATCAGCGCTCTGCATCTTCTAGAGTGCAAATCACAGCTGAAACGACATGTCTTCGCCGCCGCAAACACCCACACACAGACCTAATTCGTCTCACCGCCGCCGCCCCTCGAGTCTTGACATGTCCCATACCACGCCCTCGTCCAATCGAAACTCTTTACGTCGACGCTCTTCCGGATACTCGTCAATAACGCCACGATTGTCGCAGGAATTCGAACATCAAAATTTCGATGGCGGTGGAGACGGCGGTCTGGGGAATCTGGCCGACGAACTAGGGGAACTTGATGATTGGGACGAGGACGACGAAGGAGTCGAAGGTGAATACGAGGACGAAGACGATCTGCCGCACGAGGGCGCGAACAACATCGGCGTAGCGGTGGATCACGACGGAGGCGTCGGCACCGTGAACGGTGTTAGGGACAGCGGCGTCGCAATGCAGACTTCTTCGCCTGCGGCTACGAGGCTCAGTCCACAGTCTGCAGTCAAGAGTAGGAAACATCAGAGGCAGCATTCATTATACGACGGATCGGACTACGGGGACGATTCAGACCTGGAATCAAACGAGGGCATCTCACCTGCCCTCGAAAATCGCATGGCTGCTATCGAAAGCCTAGCACGGCGGGGCATGGAAGAGAATGGCAGCGCGGCGGACGGTGTAGTCAAGCGGGTGACAGAACAATTACGAGACCTCGGAAGCCAGATCGGTATCGAGAACGGAGCCACAAGGTGAGTCGCTTCCTGATATCCGAAGAAGTCCACCCTAACCCGAACCGCAGACTAAAGACCGCCCACGACGCCCTGACTACACACCTCACCCATCAATCTCGAACATTGAACTCCGCCACTGCTATCATGACTGGGCCCCGTGCCATCATGCCTCCTGCCGAAGAGATCGAAGTTCTCCTCCCACTTATAGCTAGCACCCTCGAGCTCCTCCCACATTCCTCCCCACAAGCCCTGATCGCCCTCTCTCAGCTTACGCTATCAACACGCGAACTGCTTGAGCACTTTTCAAATGTATCAGATAGCTTGCATATGTCGCGACAGAAGGCGAATGAGGCGAGTCGAAAGCTCAGATCGAGCAAAGACCAGCTAGCAGAGTGGAAGAAAGATATGGATCTACGGGAATTGGGTATGGGCTACATTGACAATGGAGACTGGGACAGGCGGTTACGAGATCGAGAAGTTGGCGCCGCTTGCGGTGACGTTGTCAATGGTTTCGAAGAAGTTTGTGGCATGTGGAGGAAGAAACTTTGTGAGGGGTTAGGTGTTGCGAGTGCGTAAGATTCTTGCGCAACGTCATTGATTTTCTTATGTTGTAGACTTGATATCAAGTAGCTGACGGGCTTGACGCGTAGGTGAAGATTACCCAGAAGAGACGGCATGCTCTCCTAGAGGGAACACAGAGACGGAATTGGAAGACAAGGGGAAGAAGAATAAGCCCCAAAACTTCAGTAGCCCATTTCGGACGCAGTATAGGAACTTCGACTCCGGAGTGCATGACTGCGATTGATGGATTGCTGGGAGATGATATCTAGCAAAGGCTGTCAAGGCTTTAGATCCCTGGCACTGGCTTCCGCATTTGAAGGTATTTTAGCGTGAACATGTTGGGATTTTTGTGCGTCACACGTAATACCCCTACACATCGATATCAAGGGTCTGGCGTTCGTAGGTCTCGTTTATTAGGGCGACGGAAGAATACACCGAAGTTGATAAATAGATCAGGCGATACCACCGTCAATATATAAGACCACTGGATGCATATAAGGGGTGCTTTCTTTGTCTTTGGTTAGACTACTGGCAGATAGAGACTTGTGTGACTGCGTTGCTAGATAATCAGCTCAAGGCAGATATTTGTGCAGAAGGCCGGGTGTGTTAATCAACTCGAGGCATGATTTTCGATACAGCTTAACACACCATCAACTAGTTCTATTTAATACCGATTATCGTGTGCATCACTGTGAGCTGTGTATTCGGCGTTTGTTGCGGCAATTCACTGCGAGCTTTTGACCGGATCAGACACTGCTAGCTTTGCAATTCGACGTGTTATGTTTGGCCATGGCCAGACTCTTAGGGTGCTAAGTGACAGCAAGGTGTACCCTTCGCCTTTGTTTACTTTCTCATCTTTCACACAATCTTCCGTCCCGATTAGCTCACACAACAGTACCACGTCCTGCGTGGTATTTATAGACTAGCACCGAAGAATTGTTGCGGTTCAAAACGAACACGTCAACACATTCTGAAGTGTTGCTATAAATGTTAGCGGCGTCGAGCATGGCTTTCGCTACAAACCCAACTTCGACAATGCTGGGTGCGGTATTGGTTGGCGATGTAAGTATTATTCGCGTTTAAAATTGTTTTAACGGTACTAATACAATATCTCCAGAGCCCTTAAATCTAGAGGAGTTGAAATGGCATCTTCTTGTCGAAGGCTACTTGCACTGAATTATTGGCTAGACCTGCTTTTGTCCTCTATGCCCACTGGGATGATGATGTTAAAACGATGACCTATCTATGTACAAGAGCCGCCGCGGCAATTGCACACCCCGGCCCCAACGCGACATGCAACGAGCTGGTAATGTATGGTGAGGCCGAAATTCCTACTGTGCGCCTGTTCCTCGTAGAAGCTTCGCAAGTATAAAGCTTTGTAAATGACATCCAGATACGCTAGGAGTTCTTCTACTTCTCGGTGAAGCGAAGCCACTCTAACATGATTGACGAGACCTTGGGAACAATCGCATGGTTGACTGAGTTCCATTGTGTCTTACACTTGTTGACTTTAGAATTTCAGGCAACTAGGTTCATTCCCAATAGGAAGCCGCCGTAAAGTGGTACAGTAACTAGAAGTACGACTGGATCACCCTAAATATCGGATATCGTCATGGATATGGCCAAGGTTAGGCGTCGATGAACTGTATCGCTGGTCACAGTGGATCTGAAACGGCTTTACTGAAAGCTATTCTGGGTAACTTAGGAATAAAGGAAGGGCAGCAGATCAACCAAACGGAGGTTGCGGGTATTCTGGAGAACTGAAATAAGGAGGAGGCTGATGTCGTGTGGAATGCATGGGATGAGCAGAAGCGTGATCAGTATATCAAGTTACTCGTCCCTTTCTACCAATTCGTTCGTTTTGGCGAATGCCGACTATAACAGACTTGTCAAACCCACTCTTCATTGCTGCTGTCCTCGTAAGCTCAACGGCCATACACACAGCCCTCCGCAATCCGCTCCACCATACAATGGATCGCAGTCGTCACGCGGATCATCCTCACATACTTGATCCTTGATGTCGCAAGCGGTTCCTGCAAATCCACCGCATAACTTGTTCTTCACACAGATACCCGATTGATCGCACGCTGGCCCACATCCGCCTTTGTATGGGTCTTTGATGCAGACTTCGTCAGAGCCGCACTCGCCATAGTTGCTACGGCCGCCGCCGCATGGAGCGTGCGTGCCGGTTGGCCTGGGAATGGATGCTGCATTGAAGGCTGGGGTGGATATGGGGACGAGTGAGGGTGTCTGCATGGGAGGACATGCCTGGTTGCAGGTCAGTGGCCTCTCAGAAGACGCAGGCGACTAGTCGTTATGTACCTGCATATCCGGCTGTACGCCTCCGCACTTGTCAAAACAACGCTGCTTCTGTGCATTTGCGCAATAGCATGAATCTGGCCACATTTGCGCACAGAAACCCTGTTCGCACTTGCACGCTGCATCGGCGTGCACTCCTGGGTTGGGCGGTGAAGTGGGCGGACTCGTCGAACAGGGCTACGCGATGTCAATTTATACTGTTTCGCCATAGAAGAAATTGAGGACTGACAAGGTAAGTAGGTTTGTAAGTTGGACAGGTCTTCTCGCACATTGTTTCGCGGGAGTTGAGGCATCGGCAGAGATCCTGAACGAACATCAGCATCTCATACACATATTGGACCAAGAAGCGTACGACGGCATTGCTAGCTGAACATTTGACAAGTGGACACTCGCAGGCCGACGTAGGTGTTTGCGCCGATGCGAGGGCTCCTAGTAGAGACAGGAGTAGGAATGCCTTCATGGTGGTGACGTAGGATGTCGTGGTATTGCACGCCGAGCCAAGCTTGTAAAGACCCAAGGCAAACGTGCTGAAGAATGAGCAGGTACACCCATCCGCTCTTCCCCGCAGTCCACCTATATAGTAGCTGTATGGCTTGCCGCCAAGCCTCATGCACACCCCTAAATTGGCCATTGACCTCTTTGCACGAGCTATGCGATACCGAGTTGGCTTTATTCTTTTCCAACCTGGGTAATTGTGTCCCAGCTTGGAACAGCTAGTGGCTGCGCTGCATTCCAGGACGCGAAATTAACCCTGAGGGGAATAACACGCGTTGAGCTAGGAATGCTGACGCCAAAGCAAATGCTGGGGAAGCAACGAAAGGGCTGGCTAAGAATAGATCGAAAGAATAGTTTAAGCTGGCCTCGTATCTGCGTAACCCATCCTACTCGTCCAGAGGAATTTGCCTGGCTGAGGACGATTTATACATGCCTGTGAGCGGCGTTAGCTGATGCTTGTGTCCATAGTTCAGATCATCCCCAATAGATATCTCATTTCTCTAATGAAGGGACCTGACGTGGTAATTGGCCAAGCCGTGGCGCTCTCAATCTTGACAACACGAGCTCGCCGAGTTCGCTGATATTTCCCCCTGGCGCCGATTGATCGGTAGGAAGTTTTCTGAAATGCTTGGTAGTCCGTAGAAGCAAAGTTGAGGGAATATTACCGCTAGAGGCAAATCGGCGAACGTGTGACACAAGAACGCAGTCACGGACACGGCGGATTCTGTCGTGTTGCGCAAAGTGAACATTAGATGATATCGGGATGAACCAAAAGATTGATTTGGTCCCTATTTGTGCGAACCTCGCCGCAACGTACTCAAAGCTCTTGCTCTTGCCCGCATGCCTTGGGTGGTACGTCGTGTGCCGACTTGCATTGTCCCCGTGAAAGCCAAAACACAAGCTGATGAGACTTGATTTCTCAGCTGCTCAGGGCATCTATACTTGTCTTTACAATGCTTTGAACTTGCTTCCAGCGCCGTAGTAGGGTATCTTTCTGTGCTGTCTTTACTTCTCCACCAGCCTTCAGCTCTTCCACCTCCTCCATAATCTCCATAATCTGCCTCTCGTATTTGACTAAAAGCCCAACAACGTATCCATTTACCTTTCCTTGGTCGCCCACTCCTTCATCGGTCCCGCTCACGAAAGCCGTGTATCGCCGCGAGGGCAGCGTCAACAAACGTACGACGGCCTGAGTGCGATGGCATATTGTCGGGGTCGTCGGTGAGAGCGTATAGGATCCGTAGAAACCATCTTCCCTGAGTATCTCGGCCTGCTCAGACGAGAGTTGCGAGAGTATAAGGTGGTCCAGAGGTAAGGAGTCACATCCGTTGGTGTCCAGTATGAAGCCATACTCCACGAGCAGGAAATCATTCGAATGTGAGCCATACGAGACGTAGACTTCTTCGCCGGCTTTGTAGGCGCGATCGGCAGTGACCGAGTAGCCTTTTGCATCAGCCTTAGGGTCGCAACCTTTATCAGAGTGATTGAAGTAATCCATGAAGGGACACATGGCGTAGCAGTCGTCTGCTGTCAGCTGTTGGCGCTTTTTCGGAAGGCGCGGATGCGCATTTGGAAGATCAGGGTATTCCCAGTAGAAAGTACGTGTGTTGACGATAAGCCATGTGTAGGTGAAGAGAACTTTTGGGATGGAAGGGTGGATGGCGTGAATATTAACAAAGTCTCTCTCGAGATTCGAGCGCTGGGCTGTGAGAAGCACTGCAATGTATTAGCTGATCGCTGTTTCAACCGTCATTGTCAAGTGAAGTCAAGTGAAGTCAAGTGTAGCCTAACAACATCTTATCTATGCCAATAGTGCACCGCTGTAGAACTAATATGGCTCGACATATCTTACCAGTCGCAGCATGTGGTAGCAGATCCTGCAGCTTCCTCGACCAGTGCAGTGGAAGAATATGAATGAATTCATCCTGACTTGGCCAGACCTCCCGCCAAGGTTGATGTTGGCAGTCCTCGTCTGCGTAGTGAAGAGCTAGATACGCAGCTAGACGGGCATGTATTGAAGTCTTGGTCGGGAACTTGAGCGCTTGTATGGCGTGTTGCGCAACGGTGATTAGTGATGTGTTGCGCACGTGCACTATTTGCTCTCCTTTCTTGAACACTTAGTAGATGGTCTCCAATTCAGCAGCGGCTGCAGGAAAGGTGCTTTGTGCAGCCCATCGATCTTGAGATGACTCGCTACATGATAACCGACTTTTCGCAACCCTTGATAACATAGAAAACTGACCTTGATATCAGATGCGGCTACGATCCCCATGCCGCGATCCTTGAATTTAGCAGGAGCGATACCATTGATGTCCACGCCGTGAGATTGTGCCCACTCAATGAAACGAGTGTGCTCCTCTCCTGGGTCCATAGCTGCGGCCATGGTTCGCGGAAAGGTTCGTGTGGGTATCGTGGACCTGGAGAAAGACGGAACACAATCTGTCACCAGGCTTCCGTTCAAACCTCGTGACGCCCAAGATATAATACCTCCTAATTACCTAAAGGACTCGGGCTTTTCTTTCAGTTAGGCTTCAGTGAACCACTGACGATGGCTTCTGGGCGGAGAAATCCCGTTCTTCAAATCCATGCGAAGTGACCCAGTGTGGTATGCTCTGAAGCTGGCACTTTGTGTTCTGGAAGTCGAGCGTGCTGGATTAGACTGTGAGTCAAGGGAAGAGTGAAAGTTGTGACATCGAAATGTGGCGTAATCCGTGGCGCGTGCTATCGATAAGAAGTGGCTGAAGCTGTTGGACCACCTTCGGGGCGTGTCACGATGCATGATGCAAGTTTCGCATTGCCTCTTTCACCTCCACCTCGCTCTCGATGGCGGGATCTTTGAAGCGGTCTACTGCGGCCTTGGTTTCTGCCCCTCCCAAGGTTGCCTCTCACGCTTTACACCTGGCTTGTAGTTACCGATGCTTCTCTGTGCTCAATCGGCCGCAGCCGAACTATGAAGGCCACATGCCGCTCACACGGACAGAGAGACTGGGATTGGCAGTAGGCTCAGGGCTGATGAGCTTTCTGGACCCTCGAAGAGGAGGTCAGGTCCTTGATCAGACGGGCGACGGCGTCCAATTGGCTAAATCTCTTAGATCTCATTGCGGCATTTGGCGAAGCCACTGCGCAACCGTACTTCATTAATCGTCTTCGTGACCGCATGCTCCTACATCCGACGGGCCGAAGAATCCTGCGCGACAGGCCACGTTTGACGTCCACCTCGCTCGACATCCCACGACTCCGTTCATTACCCAAGAATACCGTAGGCTATGTCTACACCGAATGGCTGGATCGCGAGGGCGTATCACCCGACACACGAGCCCAGGTACGATACATAGATGACGAGGAATGCGCATATGTTATGCAGCGTTACCGCGAGTGCCATGACTTCTACCACGCACTTGTTGGCCTTCCTGTCTTTCGTGAAGGCGAAGTCGCGCTCAAGGCTTTTGAATTTGCCAACACGGGACTACCTATGACTGGACTAGCTGTCTTAAGCGCTTTCACACTCAAGAAAGGCGAGTGGAGAAGATTTTGGGACATTTATGGGCCTTGGGCGGTACGGAATGGCGCAAAAAGTGAAGATGTGATAAACGTGTACTGGGAGGAAGAGCTCGAGACCGACGTGGATGAGCTCAGGACAAGGCTCGGAATCGAGAAGCCACCGGACCTCAGAGATTTGAGGAAAGCTGCACGCGAGGCGAGGAAGAAGGAGAAGACTGCTACGGAAGCTGCTACTGGTGCTGCTGTATAATACCTCCTGTTTGATGAAGTTTACTTACTGAAGGTCTAATAATTGGTTTACAACGAAACCTGTAAAAGGGGTGAATAGCTGCCAGAGCATGAATATGGGATCACTCTCAACCTCATCAAGGAACTTTGTGAATCCTTGTCTTGTTAGCGTTTTGTTCTACCATCCCTAAGCCTGTCATACTGTTGAATGAGAAGAGGTTAAACCCATTGATTGGTGATCTATGTACAAAAGGTAGACTTTATAGTCTTAGGCATTGTTTGTAGGAGTCTTGTGATGGGCTTCCAACCAACACATACACGTAGACCTTCATCTGTAACTACGAAACCAGTCGAACTTTGCAACCGTAATGTCTGACCTACACGTATGTTAGCACTATGCGGGTCAGGCGAGCTCACCTCTCGACTGTCTTTGTCTCCAAAGCTGAAATTATAGATCCAAATAGATATGAAGGCTGTCTGGATGTCGGTTCGACCTCGTAGGCTGCTCGCACTAGGCAAGGCAAGGAGAAGTCTGAACGTACCGGGCGCTCCAGGCTCAGACTAGAACGCTATTCAATGTAAGCAAATAAAAAAGAGCTTGTCGTTGCTGGATAAGACTTGGTCAAAGAAGAACTCACCTGTTATATCCTTTAATATATTTTTCAATGAATATCGGGTAAACGGCGTGTTAGTGCCTCACGGTTGCGCTCTATGGTTGTGGTAATTCATGAGAAGCATGCTTCTTATAAACTGGTAGAAGTTGTAACAGTGTGGTGTCAATGAATGAACGCTCTCTCAGCTAACAATGTGTTTTGCTAAATGTAGCGATAACACTTAGAAACCTTCGTACAATGCAAGGCACCTTTCAACATGGGCTTTGTTCGCAGGACGTTTGCATACATAGTGTAAACACAATACGAGGATGGCTTGTTCCGCGGACCACGGAGGAAGTGAGAAGGAGCTAGCTTGTATCTGTCAAATGCAGAATTTAGAGAAAGCTTAGCACACCTTCTTAGAATTTATATATATACTTTAGCTATCATTCTAACTTTGACTGGCTAGTGCACCAGACTGCGCGACAGAGGGCCAAATGAAGAACATGGTAACATATCCAACGTGGGTGAAGCCTGAGCTCAATGTTCTCCGTGCGTGTAGTGAATCTGAACGGCGTTCAAGACAGCATTCGAACGGTCTCCACGCTGACAATGACATGGACATCGTTTGATGACCGGAAGTGGACCGGACCAAGACAACAGGGAAATACCTCATGGGTGGGAAGATGTCACAAGGGGCCAATGGGGCAAGATGCGGGGAGCGCCAAACGCCAGCGCCAACCTACCTAACCCAACCTTCGCAACCGGGCGGAGGTAGGCGGACGGGACGGCTGCCAGGTGCCGACCAAATACCTCCAAAGCTCAGCTCTGCGCCGGCCACAGCGCCTGCAGACATCATCTCCAGTGAAGAGACCCATGGCCACCAAGCGAAAACATGATGACTCGCCACCATCCGACGCGTCGGGAGCTGGCCCAGAGAATAGTATTGCTTCCACCCGCCCGCAGACGGCGCCCGTGCCAAATAATTATCCCCGAAAACGCATAGCAATTGCTGTCAGTCTTGCCTGCGTGCTCTACAAGATCCCTGGAGAGGCCTAACGCGCTCTAGTGCAATGTGTGTCGGTTCAGGAAAACAAGATGCGATGCACAAAAACCATCCTGCGGGTTCTGCACGGATCTGGGCATTGAGTGCACGTATCGCAAACCAACAGTAGGCGACAGGTTCGTATGCGCTCACAGCCCGGGTCACGACAAGAGATTCCTGGTGTGAAATGCTACTAGAGCTGACCACATGACAGGGCTAAAGCCACTGGTCCCCCTTCAGAGGTTTTGGAAAATATTGAGCGCCGACTTTCCGAACTAGAGTCGCGCCTGGAAGCAACGGAGCACCAAGTGCAAGTGCAAGATGTTGCTGTGATCTCACCGAACGCATCACATCATAGCGAGATGCTACCGCCACTGGAACCACCCCCACGAAGATCAAGTGTAAACAGGCATGCCGTGGATTACCTTACCTCTGCGTATGCAGAGTCAAATGGCTCGGTGGGAACGCCAGTGACGTACGACTTCGCCTATAGACAAACAGCCACAGAAAGCCAGACAGCAAGACCTAGCCTGTTGACCTTCCGCGCACCACCATATATGCACGTGGAGAGCTGGGACTTCACAAGGGACTTCTACGATGACGAGATCCTCGCCGGCGAACATCTATCAGAGCAGCTAGATGCAATGCTTGATCAGCCAGTCGACCTGTCCAGGAGAACTACGAGACAACTGCAGCAAAGCTTCGTGGAAAACTTCCTTCGTTGGACTCCTATTTTTGATCAGCAGACGTGTGTGAACGCTGTCGAGCAAGCAATCTCGGATAGTTTCGTCGGATCTTCACCTTCTACTTGTCTGGCACTCTTCTTGTTGGCTGTGGGTGCTGTTACAGAAGATAAAGGTAAGACTGCCAAGGACACACTTCCAGGTCTTGATTATCTGGCTCGATGCAGTCAAATTTTGGAGCGCCTCTCACTAAGGAACGGAAACCTTATGACGCTCCAGTGCCGCGTGCTGCAAGCGTCGTACTTCAAATTCGCCATCAGACCCCTGCAAACCTGGAACTCTATCACGCAAGCAGGAAGAGATTGTATGCATATTTGCAGCTCCAGGATGAGGGATCACTTGTCTCCGACGGAGCAAGAAGCCTTCAGTCGCGCGTTTTGGGCTACATCGACCATCATTCACGAGTTGGAAGCTACGATGAAGATGTTTCCAGTTGGCATACGCCAATTTCATGATATGGTACCACTTCCCCAGTTTGAGGAAGAGGACTCAAGTATCTACTACTTCCTTGCCCAGATAAGCCTCCGCAAATTCTTGACGCAGTCACTTGAAGTAGTGGGATATCACAGCGGGCGCGTTATTTACGCGCCTGTAGTGACACGAGAGTTGAGAAAACAGGTTCGCGAGTGGTACGATCATCTTCCTGCTGTTGTTCGATTTCCATTGGACACAACTCCAGTCTTCGACCCTCGAAAATCTTTTCTCAGAGGCCAGTATGTCGCATTGTTCGTTGTCCTAGGATGGCCGTCCGTGCTAAAGATTATGGAACACGGAATTGGTGAGGGAGCGCCTTTCGATCAGAATGCTATCGCTGTCATGAAAGATCAAGCAGCTGGATGTATAAGAGGATGCTGTTTATACTTAAGCGTCGCTGATGAGCAGCTAATGGGTCGCACGATGGGCACACATTTCTCTATGTGGGCGTGAGTCGGTCCAAGAGAGATATGCATTGATAGTGCTGACATGTCAAGCAGGGCCTTCGCTATGTTTGCAACGCTTGTCATAACTTTCAAGTGCCCATCCCTATCATTTGTGGAAGAGACGAAGCAAGAGCATCACATACGCAACGCGTATGAAGCACTTAGACCTTGGGACCATCTTCCATTGATACGTAGAGGTTTGGATCAGGCACGAATCCTGATGCACCAAGCTGGCCTATCAGATGGTATGCCTAATTACCCTGCCACTTCATCTAGCTTCGTCACTCTAGTTCCAGTCCTAACGCAGCTTGACTGGTGTCCTCCGCATAGTAGTGCGAAGACGTGATGTGCATGCTAAACTCTTCCAGGATCGATCTAGTGGAATTCAATAACCGAGACCCCGCAAAACCTTTGCCTGTGGTGCATACACAACGGACCTATCAAAGCCGCAATATCAGCCAGACCAGTTCGGATTAAGAGATTTACATTCGTACCGTATCTGTACTTCTTGAAACAGTATCACTGCCATGGGCAGTCACAGGAACATGTCTTCTTCACAGATGACGAGAGCGTATCCAAAGTTCTCAGAGCTACCTCTTGATCCATCTCATCCTCCACACTCGGCTTGGGGCCTTTGGGGCAAGGACGATGAGCTCGGGAGTCTCAACCATCTTACACCTGAGCGTGTCGTCGCAGCCGCAAAAGAAGTGAAGACTGGTGTGCGCTTCGGCCTCAACTGGGCGTTAGAACAGATGGAATATACTGGTGGCTTCCGTGAAACTATCAAGCATGAGATATTCCAGCTAGCAGAGAATATGAATGTATGACTCCCAGGATCTGGTATGATGCGCTACTGACACCTTCCAGGATGACCGTATAACATTCAACACACAAACAAGCACTCAGTGGGACGGCTTACGGCATTGGGGATTCGATGATGGCCGCTTTTATAACGGCTTCACACAAAGAGAGATCATCGAGAATAAAACCTCACGGCTGGGTATACAAGGTACGATGAGACTTGCTTTCTCAACGTTGCGAAGTCCCTGACAATTCTAGCCTGGGCCAAGCATGGTCTAGTAGGGCGTGGAGTCCTCATAGATTTCGTCTCTTATGCGGCGAAAAACAACATACACTACGATCCTCTAGACTTCCATGCTGTACCTTTGAAGACTGCGAAACAAATCGCCAAAGAATCCAACTTTGATTTCCATGCCGGGGACATCGTCCTGTTGCGAACAGGTATGCACCATCTTGATAACAGGAGGCCTGCTTTAACAGTGATTAGGCTTTACTACCGCCTTCGAAAAGGCAAGTCTTGAAGCCAAGAAAAAGATCATGGCCAAAAGACCCTTCAAATATCCAGGAATGGAAAGTAATTTCGAAGTACTCGGCTGGCTGTGGGATACACAAATAGCTGCTGTTGCAGGAGACTGTCCTGGTTTCGAAGCCTGGCCTCCATCCGAGCATGCCTTACACCAGATCTTGCTCGCTGGGTTTGGAATGGCAAGTCCCTCAGGTACAAAGTGGATGTGTCTTCCAGCAAAGGCGGAGAAAACCCTCTTGTTTGTGTATTTAAAACACAAGAAAAGAGTCTTTTGTTCGCTTATCTGAGACACGAGCGAAGGTACCATCCCCACTTCTTGGAGACATACACTGACTTTGTACCTTCGGGGTTGACAGCCTATCGGTGAAATGTTTGCGCTCGATGAACTTGCGAAAGAATGTGAGAAGCAGAAGCGCTGGACTTTTATGCTCACGAGCGAGCCGTTGAATGTCAAAGGAGGTGTCGCAAGCCCTCCGAATGCACTCGCTATCATGTGAACGAAGCTTCGAACTATTAGATACTGCACGGTATCTTTAACGAGGCTCTCTCTGAAATGGTAGCAATTCCTTTGAGACGGCCATGAAATTACTAGCATGACACTCGGTTCGAGAAGTAGCCTTATCCGTTGCCTGAGAGATGAGAAGGCACTGGATGGACATGATGTACAAGCAGCCAATCATTGCTTGCGACGATCTTAGTACGGTAAACGATATCCCTCCATCGGGAACCTCGGCCGTAAGTCTCCTTCACACCTGGACTCTGTCTATCGTGCAAACCCTCTTAGATAATATCAGACGAAGTGCTTCAGTGGATATCGTGGCGTAATCACAATGTGCTTTCTCGGCTACATCCAAGCGAATGGTAGATCTCTCTGTGCTATGAGCCAACAGTGTGACATCGCTAAGCCATGAACTGATCGCAGCCATGCAGAGGGCCATCGGCACTGGGTCACTCGTGCTGCCGAGCAACCGCGATGAGCCATCGAAAGGATTCACAGCCTGGACGGGGAATTAGAAAAATGTCTGAGCGAAGTATAGCACGATTCAAGGATGGAGTTCTTTCGGTATCTACGTGGCCGCTGGCGTCGTCTAACCCTATATATCGGTCAGCCTCCCGCAGGTTTGCTTCGAAATCGTCCAAACAGCCTGGGTCAGCAGGTCTTTTACATTCTTCTTGCAATGTCCTGGATCTTCAAGCTTTCACCATGTCCACTGGAATGGAAAAGATCGAGATGGATCACATGGAGATGACGGAGAACTCCAGTTCTTCGCATGTTTCCGAGCTTGAGAAGAGCGCTTCACTCAACGGCAATCACATTCCCAATGAAGCTCGAAACGAAGATTTGGTTACCCTAACGACATGGATGGTAATAGTCGTACGTACTTGAGATTCTTCGTTCTGCATCTGTCAGATTTTAAAGTAGGCAGGTCCTCTCTTGTTCCTATGGTCTTGTATTTGGATGGCGCTGACCGTGGGGACAACCCAGAAACTAAGTAGCAGCTGAGCTAGGCAACGCGTCCAATACCTCATAATGGACTACCATGTAAGTCCATAACCATGTACTCGTTACAATCCCTGGACACCCACTAATGATGTCTGTAGAAACACTATGTGCACAGCCAGTAAGCAAAGCCGGGGTAAAAAGGTGGGTGTTCAGGCTGGGCGATTGTCTAAGACTCCAGGCCTTACAGTTCTGATTCTGAAATCTACAGACATTAGTAGCTGGCTTGAACACCTAAGTCACCCACTCTCCTGAGTTGGGAACATTACACTGACTTGATAATCCCACCTTTAGTCTCGTTTATGATCTTTGGTGGGAACTCGGATCTCTTCGGGCGACGTTGGTTCGTCATCGGTAGTAACGTCTTCGTCGGTGCAGGTTATATCGCTATCGGTGCCGCTAAAAAAAATGAGACCTGTGTCCTCCGGAGATCTTTGCGAAAGACAAGGGTCGAGAATTGTGAGTTGCATTCCTATTGCCTTTCTCTTATATCTCGCAGGAATTATGCTAATTACCTCAGTACGTACCCATTCATCACTTGATTCTGTCAACATCGTCTACCCAACCATGATCAACGTTCTCTGGACCAACGCGACCATCCCGCTTTCTATCGCTCAAGTACACTCTTCCTCAGAACCCGGGTCTCATATTTGGTTCTATGCTTTTGTGGTTCTTCGGAATCAAGATTGGACATTGGAAGTGTCAATTCATTGGCTCGTTCACTGTCATGACACTATTTGGGTCTTTACTGGCGCTCGGTAATACTGGAAACATGGCCATGATCATGGTCTTCTGCTTCATCGTCCAAGGAACGTACGGGTGGGCGCAAACGCTGAGCATCACGTGGATTCAGCTGAGCGCCCCACAGACACAGCTGGGTATCTCAGGTGCACTTGCAGGTGTGGCCCGCTGGACCGGGGGCGCCATGTCCTCGTCCATCTACCTCGCTATCCTTCCCAATGTTCAAGCTGGGCAATTCTCACGCCTTGGAACCAACGCCCTCGCTGCTACAGGCGGCTCCGAGACCACCGCCACAAAACTTCTCGCTGCGCTACCGCTCGGCGCAGAGGCAATATCGAAGGTGCCCGGAACAACTGAAGCTATGATCGCTGCTGCTAGCCCGGCATAGACGCAGAGCTGCGTAGTAGCGTTAAGGACAGTGTGTTTGACGAGCATTGCGTTTGGCGTAGTAGGTACAACATGTTGCTGCCTCTCGAACGACATTGAGCCTAAGATGAACGATAAAATCGAAGTGTTCCTGGAGAACGATGTACAGGCGGATAAGAACCGGTTCCATTGAAGGAGATTCTAGGCTCGCATTGTTAGCGAGAAACAATGAGACAATGGGTGATTGCAGTGTAATAAATGATGCGAGAGGCGAGTATTATTTCCCGTAAACGCATATTTTATGTCATATTAGTGATGCATAGGAAGCCCTTCTCAATATTACGTATTCAATACCGACACATTCTTGTAGCGCGGAAATACAGAATGGACCACTTAACATTTCTCATTCTGTAAAGGTTATTGCTCGTAGACATGAAATTCATTTTTTAAAGAGCGCGAGTTCGACCGCGGGCGCAAGGCTCGAGAAAATCCAGACGATGAAGCTGGGGTGGTCAAGGGACACGACGATCTGAACACATCAGCCAGCAAACTCTTAGAGGTTGAATCAAGGAGACAATCCAGCTATGAAGGGTTTTGTCAGAATTTCCTTACTCTGTGTGATCTTAAACTGGACATTGCATTGACTAAAGCCATTCTATCACTGTAGAAAACTAGGTAGAATAGTTAGACCGCACACACATTGCTTCTCTGGTAATCATCCTCAGGTTAAGTATAGAAATTGGAACGCTCGAGACTATGCATATCATGCATCTCTCAACCGTCCATACTTTCATTCGAAGCAAGCGAGTGCACACGTACGCAGTCAGGCATAAAAATACATCGTGGCAGGCTGGTGCAATCTATCTACGAACGACCGCAATGCACGTGACGACGTGGCTATGTAAGCATGATCAGCCGATATCGGAGTATGAGCTACGGAAGCTCCTCACACTGTCTCCTCGTCGACCTCCCACTACGATGGGAAAGGCAGCACGACTACCCTGATGAATATGCGCGTAATCTCTCCGCTTTCGCACCGCTTCGAATTCGGCGTCGACTTCGGAGGGTGGCCGTGACGTATAAAGCTGCCCTCCGCCCTTTATAGCAACGCGCTTGCTCTGATCAGACAAGGCTACTAATTCAGCTTACAGCTCTATGACATAGCTACCTGCCTCAATTGATCTGCCCAGAGCGTGAACACATTCACAGCAGTAGCTCAGTTTTCGTACTCGTCGGCGATGGCATCAGGTCCCTACCTTCACGGGCACCACGCTTCAGTCCTCCGCTCCCATAGTTGGCGCACGGTCGAAAATTCGTGCCCACACCTCATACCACACCTCAGCAAATCGTCTCTGAAGATCCTCGACGTAGGCTGCGGCCCCGGCACCATCTCAGTTGATCTCGCTACGCGCATCCCGCAAGGTTCCATCCTCGCCATCGACCCTTCCGCAGAAGTCATACATAAGGCGCGGAAACATGCCGAGGAGAAAGGCGTTACAAACGTGCGTTTCGAGGTTGGAGACATCTTCAATTGGGAGATCATCGAAGGTGTCGAGGAGGGCGGCTTTGACATTGTGCATGCGCACCAGGTGCTACAGCATCTACAGGATCCACTCAGCGCAATGAAAGAGATGAAGAAGCTCACCCGAAGAGGCGGTATTGTCGCCGTGCGCGATTGCGATTACAGTGCCATGAGCCATTACCCTCCTCACCAGGGCATGGACAAGTGGCTTGACCTGTACAGATCAGTCGCGAAGAGTATCAAATGCGACCCAGACATTGGAAAGAGGCTACATGCAATAGCCATCCAGGCTGGCTTCTCTAGAGGTGATATTGATGCGAGTGTCAGTGCGTGGACATTCAGCACACCTGATGAGCGAGCGTGGTGGTGCGGCTTATGGGCCGAACGCAGCACCAAAAGCGACTACACGGCTAGGGTACTGGAGAGTGGGCTAGGGACTGAGCAAGACTTGCACCAAATCGCGCGGACGTGGAGGGAGATGGAGGGGAAAGAGGATGGGTGGTTCGCTGTTATCAACGGTGAAGTGATAGCCCACAACAAGTCTTAGGAAACCAAGTAATTATCCTTCCAAGACAGCAAACCTGGGTCTCCATTTGGACACTGCACATATATATCATGACTACTACGCCTCTTCTGTACGGTCCCACTCCTAGCGTCAGCACACCTCTCCGCGATAGCCACGACCGCACCTCGCCAATCACAGCCTAACCCGCTCTACCCGCGCGACCATCATCTGACCGCGCGCATTAGCTCTTTCCCTGCGTGCTGCAAAGTTGCAAACGACCCCTCCTCAAAAGCTATTATTTATCGACCCCACCACCCCGCCGCGAACAAGCCCAACAGCAGAACCTTCACCGCAACCCACCTTCAATATCCCTAAAGCATACCGTCAACATGGCACATAGCACCTGCCCCAAGTGCAGCGCCTCCATCAGCGATGGCACCAAGACCTGTGGATCCTGCGGCAGCGTGAGTCCTTCCACACCTTTAATGTGTAGGCTGGAGCTGAGAAATGCTGGTTCGTGTTAGACCTGCCCTGTCTAATCGATCGCTACGGAATACTCTTACGATGACTTGCGAGACTAGGCAGGGGCGCAATTCCAGTGGATAAGTCCGGCTGCGAATGATCGGTCGACTGCGCGGTGGAGTTGAAGGATCGCTTTCGGGTTGGGGCCTCAAGGACGTGGTGCCTGTCAGGTACACTGCAATGGAAAGAATATCAATCGTGATCTACTTTGACGTCCAGGGTACTTGCATCCGATTCTGTTTTCATGCTGACACAGCATCTTCGCTCGTGAGCATGTTTCACTTCTTGATTGGCGCGTAGTCAGCAGCCTTTGTTTGGAAGGTCCGGCCTTCGCTTTGTACCTCGTCTTTGCAACGGCTCTCATAGTCGCTGAAGCTTTGATAATGGGCGTTGTCTAATTTCCGTCGCAATAGGATCGAGATTGGAAACGGGCGGAATGAATGGGTAGTGTCAAAGGATGGCAAGGAAAGTACTCAAGGCGTCGCATCTCGCATGTCGGACTTGAATCGTTCAATGGCTCTCTGCTTTGTCTCCTTCCAGTCGACGTGCGGTTTCGGATATCCTAGCTTCTCAAACTCTTCTTTGCTGAGTCGGTCGTACGGCGCGAAGATCGCCTTACCCTTGACGTCTTTAAGCTCAGGAACCCCTGCGCATAATCAGTCATAAGTTTGATTTTAAACCCGTAGCCAAAACCCACATCTCCTAATGTACTCTCCATCAGGATCGTTCTTCTCTGCCTGTGATACTGGATTGAACACCGTGTAGCTTGGCTCCCAGCCTTGCGTATTGTTTGAGAGATCCCAATCAATTAGCGTCTCTGCGAAGTACCGCTCACCTCTCCGGTAATCGAGGAGCAGGTTGCAATACAGATAGCTGGAAACATTCATACGCAATCTGTTGTGCATGTATGCTTCTCTGTTCAATTGTCGCATTCCAGCATCAATAAACGGCTCGCCTGTGATCGTCAGTCAACGGTAGTACTTCAGATGATAGCCTGTCATCATTACCTGTCGTCCCGTTATACCACTTTTCCCATCCTTCCTCATCGTCCTCCCACTTTACGAAGTCGAACTTTAAGTTCTGGGGGAGATTCATAGCCGTGTGCGGTGTTGTCATAAGTGTTTGGCGATACAATTCTCGGAAGACGATTTCGCGCACCCAAGAGTATACCCTGTCGGCGCTGAAGTCAGAGCTACCTTCGTTGTACTCGCGGACCTTGGATAGTGCCTCCCGCACGGACACCATGCCTGCAGAGAAATAAGCTGACATCCGAGAGGTGCTGTTTGCAGCGGGATTCGAGCGAGTGGCTGCGTAGTTGTCAATTTGGGAGATGAAAGCAGTCATGCGCTTCAGGCCGGCGGCATGCCCTGCGGGCCATAGTTTGCGGACACGCTTCTTATCTTCATCTGAAGCGAATTGCTTGTCTTCGCCGACTTTTGGTGGCTTAGAATCGAAGAGCGATTTGAGGTCTTTGGTGGCCGAGGCCGCATTCTTCGCTGGCGCAGGCTGAGTGTCCAGTAACCCCGGTTCCTCCTTCACTTTATCGAGCCATGCGCGATGATAAGGAGTGAAGACCTTCATCGGCTTACCGCTACCTGTGAGCATCGAGCCCGGCTCGACCACTGTTTGGTCGTGGTAGATGGAGACTTGCACATTGCTGTCGACTTCCTTCACGAGTCCGATGTCGCGACGAATCTCATCGACCTCGTACTCAAAGTTGGCGAAGACGTGCGAAGCGTTGTTATCTTTCAAAAACTTTGCAATAGTGGGAATGTGATTCTTCCGCTCTTCTGTCTGTAAGAACACAAGGGGAATGTTCAGCTCTTTGAGCTCCTCTTGCATCAATTTCAGGCCTTCTATCATGAAGTCCATGCGGGCTGGGCTTGTACCGTGCCAGCTCTCTTCTGCAGGGCAATGTAGATAGATGCATACCAGTGGTTTCCCAGAGCTCTGGGCGAGGTGCGAGGCGTGGTGGAGACCAGTGTTGTCATGAATGCGGAGATCCTTGGGACGGAACCAATGGACTACCTTTGTGACTTCCTTTTTCTCTTCTTGCGCTTCAAGCAACTTGGTGAGCCTGTCGAAAGGTAAGTCCTCGTCAATCTGCTTGGCGCGTTTGGTGGAGGGATGACCGAGCTCGGATCGTTCGTATGAAGTGCGCTTCGACATGTTGGACAAACGTTCCGGGTTGCTTTGTTTTGATTTCGCAGATGTATCGTCGATTACTGTTGCGCGTTTTGTCTGGGAGTCTCTTTTCGTCGCAAAAGTTCGGATGGGTACGGCCGCGTGCTCACACCTTTGTGATGACACTGCGCGGATTGACAATGGTATTGTTGCAATGGAAGAGATTATTCTAGTGCTAGGGCCTCTTGCGGAGATCATGGAAGCTGAAATAAAATAAAATTACTGTACCTACATCTATATACCTACCAGCTCGTGAAAGGGATCGCAAGTGGTGACGTCTTTAGTCGGCAGCGCCAAACCCAATGCGGGTCCATTCATCGATTAGAGCCGCATCCATCAGCCAGCTCTGATCGATGCACGGCCGCCATGCAAGTCTGGTCTGAGCCTCAGGATGTGAAGATGCCGTTGCCTTTGATAGAACGAGAGTCACAGCAAGGCCTCTCTCTCTATTGGTATCCTTGCTTCCCGAGACAAAGCTAATCTATACTGCAGGGCGGAACCAGGGGGTCGGGTACGCTAAGGCAATACCACGACCATGGAGGAGCATGCGGGCATTCGAGCGCACGCGACCTCATCAGCATGATACGTGCGGAATACGATGAAAGAAAAACAGTCATCGCATCGCAAGATAGGCCTCAAGGGTAGCATACAAGCTCGACAAGCTCTCGCGGAAGACGTGCTGCAATGCTGAGGGAAGCGCCACTGGCGTTGAGGGCGCAGCTTCGCGTGCAGACTGCTCCGTCCGTGTAGCCGTCCTCGGGGGCTGCGAGACCAATCGCTCCACCGCGCGTACAACACGCGATGATGACTTCCATGGAGATGAGAGATTCCGCCAAGTGTGCCAAGCAGGCCAAGACGCATCCACAACGCGTGGGGAGCGATGCCTCTGCGAATCATAACCACCCCGCGATACACGTTTTGGCCAAGACAGGTCTTCGACTTCGAGGAGCTTGGCGAAAGCCGGCTGGAAGAGGCAGCTCGGTCGCCTGCCTTCATGACCGACAGCCAGGCACCGCCATAGCGGGCAAGGCTGGTGGACCCGGTTCCTGGCGCAGCTAGCAAACGGAGCAGTGAAAGCAGGTGAACGTGCCACGAGGGTGTCTAGTCGCATCAAAGGACCCAGCATCCTGCGTATGCGGCGCAGGCCGACATGTCAATGTGTAAATTCTGGCAAATGAAAGACTTGGGCCTGACCAGGAGCTAGCTCGACAACGGCCAGCTCCTCGGGTTGAATTCGAATGCAAGGTCGAGGTCCCTGGCAAGCGTATAAAAGCTGCATATGCAGCTCCCAGAAGCTCGAGACGCGTCGCGACTCTCACCTCCACCTCCACCTTCACTGCACTTGTCAACATACGAGACATGGCCGTCTTCTCCAAGGTTGTTGGTGTCGCGGCAGCTGCCCTTGTGAGCGCTGTCTCGGCGCAGTCGTTCCAAAGATTGGGCACTTGCCCAACTCTTGGTATGCTTCCCGAATTGAGTGACGGGGATAGCAACTAACAGATCCTAGGTTGCGTCTTCCCGCCTGACCAGTAAGCATTGATGTGGTGAAGCTCGTTCGGAGCTCCAGCTAATCAATTGGTTCCAGGGCCGACTTCCTCGCTGGCCAGTACTTCGACATTCGTCTAGAGGTCCATGCTCCTCAGAACGGCTCCGAGGCGATTGGCCTCCCGGCGGATGAGGCCTTCACCTTCACCATTGCCAAGGGTGATGGCGAGGCAAAGCCAGTGACCGATTTCTTCGGCGTGGAGGATGCGAAGCTTGAGAACTGGACCTTTACTTACTTTGAGGGTAAGAGGGATCAATACTTACGACATGGAATGCAATTGACCATGGCCAGACTACTTCGCTCGCGATGCGAAGACTCCTTCGCTCGTTGATGTGCGATCCAAGGCGTACCGTCGCCTCGCACTCTACGAACCGGGCGAGTACACCGCAACGCTCAACTACAACAACGGCAGCAGTACCAAAGCCACATGGCTCGTACGCGACCTTGCAGAGGAGCGCAAAGCCAAGAATATCATCCTCTTCATTGGTGACGGCATGACGACCAATATGATCACCGCTGCCCGCTTGATCGGTCACAAGACCATCAACGGAAAGTACCAGACCAGAATGCAGATGGACAAGTTCCCAGTTCTTGGCCACCAGATGACACACTCAATCGACTCTTTCATCACCGACTCGGCCAACTCCGCGTCTGCTCTTTACACTGGCCACAAGAGCTCCGTGAACGCTCTTGGGGTTTATGCGGACAGCAGCAAAGATCCCTTCGATGACCCCAAGGTCGAGACCATCGCCGAAATCTTCCACCGTCTGACTGGTGGACACGTCGGTATCGTCTCCACTGCCTTCCTTGCCGATGCTACTCCGGCCGGTCTCACTGCTCATACGCGTGCCCGCAGCGAGTACGGTGCTGTTGTCGACTCTTTCCTCAACGGAATCACCAACTACACCTGGACCGAGTGGGATGGCCCTGATGTCCTGTTTGGTGGAGGTGCTGAGCAGTTTTACTCTCCCGAACTCGGCGGTGTCACCTACCAGAACAAGACGTACTATGACGAGTTCGCGAAGAAGGGCTACCAGGTTCTCCAGAACCGCACTGCACTCTTGGCTGCTCCGAGCAACGAGAAGGCTCTTGGTGTCTTCACGTACTCTAACATGGCCAAGTGGCTCGACCGCAACGTCTACCGCGAGAACCTTAACCAGTCGCTATCTCCTACCGGTGACAAGACCGCTGCTCTTGACCAGCCCGGCCTCAAGGATATGACCCTGAAGGCTATCGACATCCTATCCGAGCGCTCCGGCGACAAGGGTTTCTTCTTGATGTCTGAGGCGGCCTCGATCGACAAGATGATGCACGTTCTCGACTATGACCGCGCTCTCGGTGAGCTTCTCGAGCTTGACGACACCATCAAGGCTACCGTCAACAAGCTTAACGAAACTGGCTGCCTCGAGGAGACACTCATCCTCGTTACTGCCGACCACGGTCACGGTTTCGACGTCATGGGATCTGTGGACACTAAGTACCTTGCTGCCCAGGACGATCAGCGCAAGAAGCGCAACGCTATCGGCACCTACCAGAACTCGGGCCTGTCGCAGTACCAGAGCACCGGTAATCTTACCTACGTTGACTCCAACTTCCCGCGCAACTGGGATCCCCGATACACTCTCTTTTCTGGCTTGACTGCCAACCCTGACCACCGTGAGAACTACACGGTGCACAAGGACGGCCCACGTGAGCCGGCTGTGGAGCTCGAGGAGGACTCTGACGACTACTACGTCAATCCAGAGGATGCCGAGAACGGTATCGAGATCAACGGCAACCTTCCTGTGAGCAACGACCAGGGTGTGCACTCGCTTACCGACGTACCTGTGTTCGCTATGGGACCGTGCCAGGACAAATTTTCTGGTGTTTACAACAGCATCGATATCTTTTTCAGCATGGCGGAGTGCTTCGGTCTTGCGAGGGGCAGGGCGACGAACGGAACCGGTTACTCAACGGGTAACTAAGCGGTGATGTTTTGGTGTAATGACCGTGTATGTTCATACAGACGGGCACGCTGCCTGAAAATGTAAATGTTTAATGTTATTGCAACGTGTAAGTTTGCTCGTGTGCGGGCTCGTGAAGTGATTTGTGGGTGCCATGGAGGCTTTACAAGACGTTTTATAACAGCGTGTGGACAATGAGGTGCTCACCTGGGCTAGATACACTCCGGGAGCACCTCGTGCCATGGAGCTGGAGTGGTTATTGGCTAGTTGAGATGGCTTAGGTAGAACACCAGGGGTGATACACGGAGGCTTTCGTTAGAGTACCATGTTGTACAGGGTTAGCGAAGCAATACTGCACCGACAGGCGCTTGCGTCTCTGTGAGGCTGTTGGGTCATGTCGAGCCCAGACGGAGGCAATGACGGATGACCGAGGCGGAGTGCCAAGCCGCTCGGAGCGGAAGGCACGTTCCACGCTGGGGTTGACGCACATGCGGCGTCCCAGCTTGCCTGCCTGCCTGCTTAACAGCTCCGTACTTCGTCTCAACGCAATGGATCTCGGCGACGAAGGGAGCTCGCCATGGGGCGGTACGTCGCATGCTTTAGGTCTCGACGTGCAAAACCAGTACTGACTTCGTGCGCAGATGTGCCCTCGCGGTCTCCGCCCCCTCAGGTACCCAAGATAACCCAAGAGAACGAGTCTGGTACGAAAGGCGCAGCGCAAAATATAGGACAGAGCTGATGAAACAAAGCACCGCAGTCCGATTCGCAACCCGCCACCTCATCTGCGTCCAATGCCTCGGCCGCACCCCGCTCACCCGTCGGACGAGGGCCGCGAAGGAAGCAGTACGGCGCGCAGGCAACTAAGCTCGAGGCTGTTGAGGATCCCTTGGGGCCTCTCGGTGCGCCTCTTGCAGACTCGACTCCGGGACCAGAGGCGCCACCAGCACCGCCGCAGAAAGAACAGGCAGGACGGAACGCTCCTCCACCACCAGCCGCATCAATACCCTCCCTGCAGGGGACCCTCGACTCCGTGGATCTAGACGACGATGACGACGAAAGGCCCCTCGCGCGAGGCCCACGAGTACCGCCTCCCGTTCAGCCAGCCACTGCAGCCGCGCCAATCCGCCCGACACAACCAAGCGTAAGTGTGGAACAGGCAGCGAAGCCGACATTCAGCATCTATGTGGGAGATCCGCACAAGGTCGGTGATCTGACGAGCTCGCATACCGAGTATTCCGTCATGACCAAGGTAAGCGCACCTTGCTACCTAGCATGGGTCGTCAATGTGCTCATCGACCATCAGACCACCTCCAAAGGGTATCGCAACTCCGAATTCACCGTCTCTCGTCGCTACCGTGACTTCCTATGGTTGTATAATCAGCTACACAACAACAACCCCGGTATAATCGTCCCCCCACCTCCGGAGAAGCAGGCAGTCGGTCGGTTCGACACCGATTTTGTGGAGTCAAGACGTGCAGCTTTAGAGCGCATGCTAAACAAGATTGCCGCGCACTCCGTTCTGCAACACGACGGCGACCTGAAGATATTCCTTGAGAGTGATGCGTTTAACGTTGATATCAAAAATAAGGAACGGAAGGACCCCGGCCTCGGAGAGAGCAAAGGCATGTTCGGTTCAATGCTAGGCGGAAGCAGTGGCAAGTTTGTTGAGCATGACGACGTAGGTACCCATTCAACCTGATTCGATGTTTTATGTTGACGATTTCAGTGGTTTCACGACCGAAAGATTTATCTCGACGCGCTTGAGAACCAATTGAAGGCTCTGCTCAAAGCTACCGACACGGTGGTGGCACAACGCAAAGGCTTGGCTGAAGCATGCGGTGACTTCTCTGCCTCGCTACACTCTTTGTCAACCGTCGAATTATCCCCGTCGCTGTCCGGTCCGCTCGACAGCTTATCAGATATTCAGATTCGGATACGAGAACTCTACGAACGCCAAGCTCAGCAAGATGTGCTCACTATGGGCATTGTCATTGATGAGTATATTCGCTTAATAGGCTCAGTGAAGCAAGCGTTCCTACAACGGCAAAAATCGTACCACACATGGCACAATGCGGAAGCCGAACTTCACAAGCGCAAGACAACACAGGATAAGTTACTAAGGCAAGGGCGCTCACAGCAAGATCGTTTGAACCAACTCAGCGCCGACGTTGCTGACGCCGAGCGACGTGTTCACCAGGCAAGATTATTGTTCGAGGATATGGGTCGCTTGATGAGGAGCGAATTGGAGCGATTCGAACGAGAAAAGGTCGAAGATTTCAAGTCTGGGGTGGAGACTTATTTGGAAAGCGCTGTGGAGGCACAGAAAGAGGTAAGCGAGGGGTGCGACATCGCCATTGTTTGGCTGTACTGACGCGTTCCCCAGCTCATCGAAATCTGGGAAACTTTCCTTATGCAACTCGACACTGAAGACGGTGACACTTTCGTCCCGCCCGCTGGTGTCGTCGCATCGCCAAATTCGGAACAAACGCCATCTGTGGATGATGGACCAGCTACCGCAGAGTCAGAATCTTCGGACGCAAGGGCAGCAGCGGAGGTGACGCGAGAGATTGAAGAGTGATTAGTGCACCCTAATATATATCTTATCTAACACCTTTGACCTAACGTCTGTGGCGTTGGCTAACATGATCTTGTGAGCTGGACAAGTGCGTCTGACTAGACGTGTTTCGGGCAATGTTCGCGATCCTCCCGGGAAAGTTCGTAGGAGGGAACATAAGTCACGACAAGATTCGGTGCAATGGATCTGTCGATGGCCAAGTTTTGATTGTACAAAGAGCGTAAGACGATTCGTCAATTGTCCTAACGATACCATTATCAACGTTGTACTACTAGAGGGTGTGCTTGCGTTTTAGCAGCGAACTCGGTAATGGTCACCAGGTCATTCCAAAAAGCCTCAGGCGAGAGTCAGGAGCTCTTGCTATTCAGCATCATATAACATCTTGCCTTCGTGTATCACACGAACTTTGATGCTGTCGTAAGCCTTTCCCTGCAATTGACCAGGTCGCGAGTAAGGTGTCGATCGCGGTGCAACCCACATGCTCCTCCGGAGGATGACGCACTCTGATTGGACGAGCGGGCCCCCCTGTCACCTAGTGTACCGGTAGTTCCCCAAAAGTTTCTCGAGTTTCGAGGTCGCGTCGCATCCCATTTCAACATCCGAACCACATCTCTCGCAAGCATGGACACGCGCGTCCTTCTCCGCCAGCTCCTGCGCCATCCGCATACCTCGCGCACCCTCCTCACCCCAGCCACCCGCCCGCAATCCCGCACCTTCGCCCTACTCTCTCCACATCACGCCCATGCGCGACACCTTACCATACCAACCATACTGCGGCCCTCTTTCTGGAAATCCATGATACCGCGCCCCTTGCGATCCGGCGAGACACTCTCCTCAACCTCGGACGTTCCGCGCCGCGAATGGAATCCCGCGACGCCGTATATTGTGCTGGCGCTGCTGGTGGGCAGCCAAGCGATTCAGATCCTGTGGCTTAAGCAAGAAAAATCACTGTCGACTCGTCGAGCGGAGGCGAAGATTGGGCTGCTTCGGGAGGTGGTCGAGAGGGTGCAAAGAGGGGAGGACGTGGATGTTGAAGGTATACTGGGGGCGGGCGTGGAGGGATGGGAGAAGGAGTGGGCTGGGTGTAAGTTTAACAATGGTTTTGGTGCAGATGTAAGGGGAAATCAATTGCTGACTTGTGTGCAGTGCTGCAGGAGATTGAGGACGAGGAATTGTTGTTTCAGAGCTCGTTGGAGAAGAAGAGGAAAAAGAACGCGAAGGCGAAGGAGCAGGAGGTGGGGGCAGGAAAGGATGGTAGGGCACAAGAGCAGTCGAGGCTGAAGGTTGAATCTCTTGGTGGAGCGAAATTCTACTAGAGGGTATCTAGAAAGTGGGGCGCGAGCGACAGTTCGTTGTAAAGAGCTTTTTAGTTGTTGATGCGAACATGTCAGGCTATGCCAAGGTCCCAGGCTGTTGATCGCATGAGCAAACCCACTCAGTGGATCCGTTGTAGACGAGGCACCCAATTATGCGAAGACTGCATGCTTCCTAGGCCATTCACTTACATATTGAAGCCTTCCGGTACATGTTGCCTGGACTGAGTGATCGGCAACAGGGTGGTATGTATGAACATTGCGAAAATGTAGACAGGAAAATGCGACATAGACTTCTGAGAGATGCTGTATGAAAGAGCTAGATCTTCGACCGCGTTTTACTCTTCTCCTCCATCAACTTCCTTTTCTCCGCAAACCTCCTTGTCGGTGCGTCCTCGACGAAACGCTCTGCCAAAGCATCGACTGCATTGACAACTGCCATCATCCGCTCCTCTCTCACACCTACATTTTGCAACCTCTTTGTCTCCATCATGCTCTTCCCGTCATTGACTTCTAGCTGACCCTCCAGGAACTTAATGACCTCGGCTTGGAAATCATCGCCCGTTTTGTCCCACACGTAGTTGTACATACCAGCATCGAGTAATTCTCGTGGGGATAGCTTACGGCCGAACATCAGGAAGTCGTTTGCGCGGTGAATACCGATGTGCTGTGCGAAAGAGAGAGCAGATCCGTTTTCAGGGACGAGGCCCAGCGCGCTGAAAGGGCATTGAAGCCATGCGGAAGAAGACGCCAGCACAATGTCTGCGATCCCTGGAAACCAGGCGGCACCACCTCCGACGCCGGGACCGTTCAGTGCGAGAATGAGTACTTTGCGGTGGTCGATCATGCTTCTCAAGAGCTCGTGAGCTGTAGATGATCACGTATCAGTGGCTAATCGAATCTAGTGTTGTGGTGTCATGCCTACATACCATAAGTGAAATTCCGTAAGAACGCCAACTTCTTCTCGCCCGCGTTCTTATATTCCTTCGGCTGCACGATGCACTTAGTCGCTACTTGAAATCGCCAACAGCCCAAACTCGACCATAGAATCAGGAATGGAAAGAGAAATTACCTGCGACAAAGTGCCTGCACCTCGAACATCTGCACCGGCGGAGAAAAAACGACCCTCGCCAGTCAGGACAGTGAAGACGGTGTCTGGGTGCTCGTTGAGCTCGCGAAGAGCGGCGATGACATCGAGGATGAGAGTGCCACCAAACGAATTGAGAGCTTTAGGGCGGTTAAACTATGCGATGAGTTGTTAACTCTCCTTGAGAAAAAGTAGAGTATTCAAGAGTAGAGTACCTTAATAACACCGATTTTCCCTTTGATCTCGAATTTGATGTCGTTGTATTGAGAAGTCATGGTGACTGCTAATTCGGAAATTAGTCCAAGCGAATTGTCGATAAGACAGACTGTGATTGTATATATCGCGAAACAGTGTGGAGTTGAATGCACGCATGTTGCTAGTGTCCCCGCAATACCTTACCCGTTATGCTGTGCCTCGGCCCCTCGGCGAAGGTCCCTGGGATGTAGGAGGGGACTGCCAATCAACAAGTCGGAAAAGTAGGCTCTCAGCGTTGGTGGCTGGGTGTGGATATAACGCTATCCAGGTACTTTGTGATCATAGACGACAGTTGCACATTGTTGTTGCTGCGTATAGCTAAGGTCGCTGACATGTTGAAGCGTTGCGCCTCCAAGCTTACCTCGGCAAATCCGTAAAGGTGAGATCACGTGTTTAACAATCAGCCCTGGTACCTAGTATGTATGTCCAAAAAGCCTAGCATAACTAGGTCACTCCGCAGAAGACGTTTACCATCATCTTGTGTAGCTGAATTCGATGTTCTAGGAATACAATGGTGGCTACCGGTAACGTTGACTCGCTTATGCAGTCGAGCTTCTGGGGCCACCAACATTGGGCCCCGGTTTCACGACCATGGGGATCATCAGCAGGGTCGTCATCGGCCCGAACCGCGACACTGACAGCCTGCTCTGCAGCTGCAACACTGATTCCACAACTGTCACGCTCAACACGGCTCGCGGTCAATCGTTACTCCACAGCCTCATCGCGTTTGCATGTTTCGAGCTCTCGTAACGACATGCGTGTTGGCTATATGCATGCCGGCTGACCGTGTTGGGAAACTGAAGACAAGATTATTCACCAAATCCAGCGTTGCGACCTGATCTAATACTGTATCGCCGAAATATACGTGTAGGTTTAGGCGAGAGCCACCGCGTCATGTTACTCAGTCACAGGCGATGACGTCGTCATGCTCGCCGCGGGAAGCGTTTGCAGCCAAACCAGCTATAGCAAGATCGTGGAAGAGCTACATTGCGGTGACCCTAGATCCTATAACCTAATCCCTCATATTAATACCAAATTCGTCGGTTTAGCTGCCTCCAAACCTTGGAAACCCCTACCGCACGTGGCAGGACTCACGGCAGCGGCGACATGCAAGCACGACAGGACCCCGTTCTGGTCGATGAGTTTGAGGTGGGACTCGACCGAGCCAAGATAACCAAAGCGGCGCAGATACAGATCCCTGAACCGCACGAGACGCCGAGTGAAGACTCTGATGACCAGTGTCAATCTGGTAGCCCGCACACGTCCTCGCACAGTGTTGTCGAGTCAATCAAGGCGAAAAAGCATCGAGCAGGCTTGAAAATCAGGAAGACTCTACATATAGGGAAAGCATCGGATGACCTTGAATACACGACGGCAGCGCTTGCGGGTGCTGGCACCTCTTCAGAATCACGATACGTAACTGATGCGCCAGAGCCAGACAAGCCGACTATGAAAGACTTCCTTCACAATCCTCTCGACACCGTCAGGTCTAAAATATCAGAACAAACCGACCAGCAAGTAGCGGGTCAGATCACAGCAAAGGAAGTTCCTCATGGCGATGAAGTAGACCTGATACATGCTTCTGAAGCAGTTGAACGCGCACAAGACGATGCGCAGCGACTTCTTGCGATCAAAGATCTTTCCAAGCTGCTGAAGGAGCGCCAAGCTACGTACGCGCGATGGACCTTGGATCGCCACGTTACCAAGATCAGGCGTCTGCCGCGAGATGAGATCAAGTTGAGACCAAGATCAGACTTCGAGAAGCAGGATCCACGAAAAGGTCTGATCACTGATTGGAGAGCATACGGACAGAATGTAGGCCAATGGGTTCCTTTTTCCGGCTCTGGGAGCTTTCCGCGAAGCCATCTAACGCATGACAGCTGCTCATTTACTGTGCACATCAATACGGAGGGCAGTACATCGGATATGGTTCCGATCCACCAGCACCATCGAAGCAAACCATCTTGCCGAACATAGAACGCTTCTTGTTGGCTTCTTCCCCGCTTCAAGAACTCATCATGACATCACGTAGAGTCTATCGTTGGGAGCAACCGGCTACAACGGCAAAGTACTTACTGGTATACTTAGTGCTTTGGTACTTCGATATGTTGCTTCCAGGTTGTGTAAGTCCTCTATGTTGAACCTTACGAAATTTAGTACATACTCACTATAATAGCTCGCGGCATGCCTGTATCTCGTTGTACAACGACGCACTCATGGCAACACGATGAAAGACTTGCGCGAAGATATTGAACATCGGGAAAACCAACGCGCGACTGCTCTTTCTCTAACAGAGTTAATCGTCAAGGAAGGTGACGAAAATTGGTCCGACCAACTTGTCGAGGGCTTGGGACCATGGCTCATGGTGCAGCTGGCGGATCTAGCCAACTTCTTCGAAAGCTTACGCAAGTAGGTGTCCCCAGCTATACTTGAGGCATAATAACTGACACGCATAAAGCTTCTACGAATGGCGAGTTCCCCATCGGACACTGCGTGCTATGATTGTTCTCGGTATTACTACGCTAGCTACCGCTCTGGTCCCGATGTGGTTGTTCGTCAAAACCGTAACATTTCTTATGGGTCTGACATACTTTGCTCTATACCCGATCGCTGTCAATTTTCCAGAGTACAGACTATTAGTATCGCCTGCCAAGCGTTTTCTTTGGAATATTCCAACACACGGTTAGTTGCATGCTGCTTGTTTGGACTGTTTGCTCACTGAACCACAGCGGAGTGGGCCGTCAAATACGCCCAAGCCGAAGGTACTCTACTGGCTCAGAAATCCGTGCCAGTGCCCTCCGAAGTGGCATCAATCTCTCCTACTTTCGATCCGGAACACGACTACAACAGCTATACCGCGACCGAGGACAAGACCACCGGTCGTCTTGTCGTCAGTCCTAGCGGAATAAGGTTTATAACAAACTTTGGCCATAATGTCCTCTGGTCTCTCCAATACAACCAACTCGAAAGAATCGAGAAGGTGGATCGCATTGTTACAAGGAACATTCCAGGCAAATTACAAAAGGATCCAGGTCAAGACTTGATGTTCGTTAGCAGGGACGGTAAGCGACGCATACTGAGGAAATTTGACAAGCGTGATGAGGCATTCTCCCAGATCGTTGGCTTCTCGAATACTACGTGGCAGGTTGTCTGGTGAGGCTTGGAATTTGATCTTCCACCGTGCTACTGTGCCGCGTTGCGAGTTGCAGTACAAAGGCTTGCACAGCTTTAAGATGAACAAGATCACTCTAGCGCGTGGGGCAACAGGTCACTCTCAATGCCGGCACGTTCCGAGTCCGATAGCCCTAAACATCGACCATTCCACACTAAGCACTAAGATCGCGACAAGTGTGATAGAGCGCAAGCGAATTTTCGAAGTCTTCGAAAGGACCAACCCAGTATCTAGCTAAGGCTGAAGAACTCTCAGAGAGGAAAGCGGTCGCGGAAACAAAACGCCTCTTCTCCCTGCAACAAGCGCAAAGTGTAGCAGGCGGCGAGCTTCGAAGAGAGCTTTTCCAGGGTGCTATCGAAGAAGTGAAATGGTTTGTCGACTCTATTAGATAGACGTCAATAGTTTGGCGCGGGCAAAATAGAGTTTATCAGCGTAGCCACCAACTCCATTACTTCACTTTGCAAGGGTATGTTACCCTGCCTAATAGGTAAAATCTATCTGGGAGAAAATTTAAAACGCCCAAACGTCTCTTCAATCTCATACGATTTACGTATGTAGGTTTACTGTAGCCTCTGGATAATTACAAGTTCCCACCCTTTACTACTCCTGAAGAGATTGTTGGTTACCGGAGCTTCCGGCGCTTTAACACAACATGGACGATTCTGTAGTAACCTTATAGTATCCTTGAGGCTTGCTCCCGTGAGCATGCGAGACTCAGTCGTCGTCGTCGCGATCTTGACCGCAATGTTTACTGTTTCTTGATTTTTAAGAGTGGTCAACACAGGAGCGCTTGAGCTTAGGCACCATCAACACATACCTGTCGTTGATTCGCTTCCTTCAACTCTCCCAGAATCGCTTCGTTGACGCTCACGTGGATTCCTTTTCGAATTTTCCACAGCCTCCATGAGATCCCTCTTTTATCCGGGCTCTCCAAACCTGAATATCTGAGCGATAAATGGTTTCTACCTATTATTCCCTCGTTCGCCCGTACGATCGCAATCGCAGTCTAAAGCACTCCACTTACTCTGAAACGCCTCATCCATAAACCCAAACTGATGGCAACATCTGAATGCAAGTTGCACGTCTCATCCGCTCCGTAAGTCAGTCTAGCCATTCCTGCCTTTACATGAGTAGAATGATTGAGGAACATTCAGATGTTCATTGGTGTACAAGAACTATAAACAGTAGATGCCCTACTGAGTGTACACATATTCGAAGGGATGGCCCAAGACTTCGTTGTCGGCATGGGAATTCTTATGCAGCACATAATAGCACTAGCAGACGACCTTCGAGACAGGTTCAGCACACAGAACAATGTGAGGCTGGCTTCGAAAGTTCATCTTCTTGGTATCATCTCCCTGTCTACTTCAACGCCTCCACACATAATTTATTTGCTCAGGTCTGCTCCCCACATCTCCTTCGCAATCTCCACCTCCAACCTGACCTTCGCCCACTGCTCCTCCTCACTCAACTCATTCCCCTCTACCGTACTACTAAAGCCACACTGATGGCTCAGCGCAAGCTGCTCCAAGCCCTTCGGCGTAATCTCTGAGGCCTGCTTCAACCTCTGCACAATTTCCTCCTTCTCATCCAGACCCGCCTTCTTCGAGCTCATAAGCCCCAGCACAACAACCTTGTGCTCAGGAAGGTGGCGGAGCGGCTTGAAGTCTCCTGATCGCGCGTCATCGTACTCAAGGAAGTACGCGTCGACGTTGAGTTCTTTGAAGAGGACTTCGGCTACGGGCTCGTATCCGCCGGATGCGAACCACTTGGATCGGTAGTTTCCGCGGCAGAGGTGGATGCCAATTTTCATGTCGGAGGGGCGCTTGCAGATGGCTTTGTTGATGAGCTCGGCGTATTTGCGCGGAAGGGTTGAGAGATCCTCGTTGCGGTCTTCGGCCTGCTTGCGCATGTCGGGGTCGCACAGGTACGCGAGGTTCGTATCGTCGAGCTGGACGAAGCGGCAGCCTGCCTGGTATAGGCTGTCCAACTCCTCCTGGTAGACACGGGCGAGGTCCTCGAAGAATTCGTCCAGGTCGGGGTACGCTTCAATGTCGATGCTTGCCCTGCCGCCGCGGAAGTGCACCATAGTGGGTGAAGGGATGCACACTTTTGTGGTCGCGCCGCCGCCGTGCTTCTTGATTTGCTCTTCAAGGAATTTAAAATCGTCGACTTGAATGGGCTTGGGGTGACCGAGTTTGCCAGTCACGGCGAGCACGGGGGGCGAGAAGCCGTGCGGGCGGATGAGGCCGGTTTGACCTTTGATCTCGATGCCGCTCAGATGTTGGAGAAAGTCCAAGTGAAAGTATGCACGGCGAAATTCGCCATCGGTTACGGAGCGTAGGCCATTTTCGATTTGCTTCTGCGCAACGTCTGCGACGGCGGCGTCTTCGACTTTGCGGAGCTCGGTGATGGTGGACTTTTCGTTGGCGACAGCTTCACGGGCGTCGAGCACGGTCTTAGGACGTAGGAAGGAGCCTACGTGGTCGGCTCTATATACACCAAATGGAAGAGGCATCGTGTGTATTCTGTCTACGGATCGACGTCAGCTTTGGATATCCTTCGGAGAGTTTTGCAGGTCCATTCTCACCCACCTCAAGGTTTCAATATACATAAAACGTCCAGCGTCCCTTCAGAAGAATACGGGATTAAAGACAGTTGTACAGAAGCTCACCTCGGGCCCTAATAGTTGCCCTGATACGAAAAAATCTCTTGGCCCGAACCATCATGAGGTACCCCACCGCGGCAGTTGAGATGGAGGGGCTAACGAAGCTATGCGAGGCCGAGGAGACGCACCAGGACCCTGGAAAGGTACTTGTCGTGCCAATCTCGCTGCACACGTGCCATCTCGTGAAGGGACACCTGGTTTATGATGGGCTGAATGCAGGCGAGACGGCGGCCTGCATCGGAGCTCACCTCAGGTGCTGCAGACATGGCGACATGTGTTGGAGAAGCTGACGGCCGGGATGACGACAGGAGGGGTACCTATCCCGGCCGTGCGGAGACGTTGTTCCGACGGAGCTGTAAACGAACGCCAACAGGCAAATCACACAACTTGCAAGTAGAGGTATGAGGAAACGGACTGTGACAATAACATTGGGGTATCAATCTTCCTAGCGCGACTGTGCGCAAAAGCACTGCCCTTGTGCCACAAGTGCAAGGTCCCTCGTAAAACGACATTTGATGTACTACAGCCGCCTAAAACAACCCTGAGTCAGGGGAGTATATTGCTCCATGCCATGGTCCCTAATGCGCAGCTTTCAGCAGCTTTGGCTCCACCAGCTCACCAAAAGTGCCCTCCCAAATGCTGTCGTCTTCGTCATCTTCCTCGTTGCTCATCCTGAAGGCACCGACGCCGCTCTTGGCTGGATTGCCCGTATCCGTTTCGCTCGCCTTTTGCCGGACATCACGGTCAGCAAGCTTCAACCTGAACGTCCCCGCCCCGTTGCCTGAGTCACCCTCCTTCTCAACGACTGCTGTCTTGTAGTCGCTGATGTGTGGAGTGACGGTCATGGGATCGATGTCGTAGATCCTGAACACAACAACCGCACCAACTCGAATATCATGTGGCTGCAAGAGTGGAAGCGACTCGACATCCTCAGGTAGAGGTGGCAGATCAGTTTTCGCAGCAAGCTCCACGTCCTGTAGAATCTGACATTCTATGGCATCTGTTGGGTCGGAACCTGCCTTCATAGTCTCGGGTGAGTCGTCATAGTCGAGCATGGGTGTTTCCTCGGGCTCTTGATCCTCGTTGTCTTCATACGGCGCTGCAGTCTGCTGTTTGTTCTTCTTGGTTTTCTTTTTCTTCGCGTTCTGTTGGTTCTCGCGCATCAACTTGCTGGCCGGATCCCAGTGCTGCTCGAACGGAAAAGGAGGGGCGCTAAGCTCGTGGTCTTCATCCCAGCACTCGAACGCGGACAGATTGATACGCTGCTTCCAAAAGTCGGGATCGGAAGCGCCCTCGGGTTCAGGAGGCTCTTCAACTACAAGTTTTCTTGACGTTGTTCGCTCAACGTTCACAGCCTGGCGCTGGAGAATGCGGCCAATGGCCGAAACATTGGGTCGAAGCCGTTTCGTGGGTGGTGTTGGCGTAGCGGTACTTCTCTTGGACGCGGGACCTGGTGTGACCGCTGGTGAAGCGCTCACGCTTGCAGTTTCCTCCACCTGTTGTTCTACGGTAGAATTTGATGAATCGACTGGGGTCATCTCGACATCAGGTGCATCATCTGCAAAGCGCGCCATGAGCTCTTGCCTACGTCGCTCAAGCTCGGCGGATTCATCCGCGAGTGTCTGCGTCTCATGGTCCTCTACTTCGTCGTCTAATCGCTTTCTCTTGCCAGTCGCTTTAGATATAGGGTGCGCAAGTGTCAGTTTCGGTGAGTCAGGCTCGGTAGGTGTTCCAAGATATTGCTGTAGGTCGGCATACGTAGCGTCTGGATATAGCTTCCCTTCCGCCTTGAGTTGTTTGAGCTTCACTAATTGTTTTCGCCTGAAATTTCTCCTTCGCGTCTGCTTCGAGCCTGACCACGGTGGTACGGTAGGTTTCGAGGAAAGAACGTCTGGCGCAGAGCTATCGCTGTCACTATCAGAGTCTGAATCGGTTGAGTCTGAATCACTGTCACTGTCACTGTCGGAGTCAGAGTCTGCGCTAGCCTCAGCTTGCATATCTGTTTCTGACTGAGAGTCGCTTTCAGAATCCGAAGATGACCCTGAGCTGCTGTCGGTCTCGACTACCGATGATGTGTCCGAGGCTTCGTCTTCGGCAGAGCGGCCACGCGTGTCTGGTTTCGTAGGCTGGACAGAAGCTTCCGAAGCCGCAGATGAACTGTCATCCTCGCTTCCCGAGTCTATCGAGCCTTCGCTGACATGTCCGGGCACAAAATCTTCGTCCTCTTCACTATCGTCGGATCCTGCATCGTCTGCCTGATCAAAGCGCACTCTGTTCCTGCTCCCCTCCGCTCCAGCGCTTTTTACAGGGGACGGCGCGTCCTCGGCTGCTGTGATGAATCCTGCAGATTCTGGCACCTCACTTCCTCCTGCAGTGTCGTCTTCGATCCGGCGGCGTTTAGGAGGCGGAATTGTCACGGCGGGTCGGGAGGGTTGCCTGAGATACGGTCGACCGAACGGAATGCCGTCGATAAGATGGCGACCGTCCTCGGAGATCTGTGTGCGGCCGCAGAGCGTGCGAGAGCGGACTTCGGCGGTCAGAAGAGGTCGGATACTGCCATGAACGATTAGCAGGCCTATCCAAGTGTGCACGAAGTCAACTTACGAAATGTGGTCGTCTTCTTTTAACGTCTGCGGCACAGGCGAGAAATGGAGGCACTCGAAGCCATCAAGCTCGACAATGTAGTCCTCCAAACCCCATTGCTCCGCTTCTAGCGGCAGAATGCGGTTGACGTCTTCAAGTAGTCGCGCAAACGTGTATGCCTGCGAGCTCGCTATATCCGGCACGCTCCATAGAATGTTGGACACGGGGAGGTTGTTTCGCTGCACTGATAGCCGCAGCCGCATTTTAGCGACTTCTCGCGGGGTGGAATTGTGGTATCGTTGCGCTTTTGCGGATGTAAGTGGTGATGAACTGTTGGAGAGCTTGGCCGGGGTCCACTGCAGCATGTGACTTGGCGTCATAGCCTTTCTTCTTTGAGATGGCGCGCTTTTCTTCCACGTCAGGAGGCAGCTCGCCTGCAACTGCACAACCCTAGGCCCTTGATCTGCTTATCCTACAGGTTTTATAGACTTGTACCATCTACTAGTACCTCCCACGATGTCTAGGGCAACTCTCTTTCGATATAGAGTGATAGAGACAACGGTTAGTCATCAAATGAAGTATAGGGCTTGTGGTCTAGTGGTATGATTTTCCCTTAGCATAGCGATTGCATCTTCTGTATATTGTCTATCGACGATGGGAGAGGTCCGGGGTTCAATTCCCCGCGAGTCCAGCTTTTTTTCGGCTCTCTAGTCCTGTTTTTTTCGGTGGAAATATCTTTTTTCTTGACCCACCTACCTACCTACAACCTCTCGACGGGCAAAGACATCAAAAGCGAGCGACCCAGTCGAACATGGCATACATCACTCTGTCAGATGTCCATGCAAAACACTATGGTAGTCATGTAGCATTTTCTGCTCAATCCCAAAAGAGTGATGCATCGTTGATATGCGTGAAGAGTGCGCTCTTCGTATCCTGCCATGACCGATCCAAGGCGATCCCTCGAACCGATTTTCATGCGCTTTGCTGGTCGAGCCACCTTTCACGTCCACACGCTCTCATAAAAGTAGTACGCAGTGCGTCGGTTCAAATCGATAAGCCTGGGAAGTCTGGATGAGCTGGAGCCCTCCACTGTGAACATGGATCATGCGCGCCCAGCACTCCAGCTCGAATAGCTTTCATACGCAGAGTAAACTTATTGAAGGATCGTCTGTACGCAGATGGTACAAATGTAAGTTCCGGAAGAACGATCAATGCCACCTATGTCAGAGGCTGGACGGAGAGAAGACTGCGGGTGGCTGAGGATTCTCATCGTACTGCTGCTAGTGCAAAATTATTTCGCCCGCGAGCACAAACATCCATGGGAAATCGCTCAGGAGTGCAGTTGCCGGAAAGAGAGAGGAAGCGATTTGCCAGCAGTACTTCTCTAAGACTGTCTGGTTAGATGCTCCGGTAAACTGGGGACTCTCGGAAAAAGTCATTACAGGACGCGTCGACGAGATAACATCTCCAGATCTTGGCTGGCCCCTTACAAACTAATATGACTGAGATACCGTCGTCCGAGTGGGCCGCACAGTAGATCAACGCAGGGCGAGAAATTTGTGGGTGCCATCCGATGTCGGGCCCCTGTCAGTAGTCAACGGTCGGTCTCCCCACGGGCTCCAATTGGCTTGCTTCCCCACAGCCAACGCCGATAACAATGTAGAAGGACCGACCTCGATGCGATGTCATGTCCACTGGGCTGAGCATCGTATTTTGTTATCTCTTGGTACAGCAGCAAGTCTGGTAACGATGTATCAGCTAGTTGAGCATACAAGGTTTTCGATAAGAGGATGAAGAATTCAAATTGTAGCCGGCGCCCGCCGAATACTTGTTTCGCGCACGCAACTGCCATATCTTGATTCATTGATCTTCAACCGCTGAAATATCTTGCTTCCGTGTAGTCCGAATTCGCCAATCATGCAGGTGACGACCACGGATACCAAGCATGCTGACCAGGCCAGTGTTGAGCAAGATGTCGCGGTTGGAACAACATACGTGCCAGACTTGAACGACAAAGCTATGGAGAGGCGCGTCGTCCGCAAGATTGATATGTGGATTCTTCCGTTCATCTGCATATCGTACTTGATCAACTACCTCGATCGCGTATGTGCATACATTCTGATGCGTCCGCAAGATGCTAACGATCCATAGGTGAACCTGGGTAATGCGCGAACGCTCAACAACAATACGCCTGAGAGCAACCTCGTCAAGGAGCTCGATCTTACCGGCAACCGCTACAACATTGCCGTCGCCGTCTTCTTCGTACCTTATGTCATCTTCGAGGCGCCCAGCAATTTCGCCATGAAGTTCTTTTCGCCTTCAGTCTGGATCGGTCGAATCATGATCAGTTGGGGTATTATCACCATTTGCACATGTGCCGTGAAGAGTTTCGGAGGTCTGCTCGCCATCCGATTCTTCCTTGGAGTTGCAGAGGCTGGATTCTTCCCTGGTGTTGTCATGTACCTCTGCTACTGGTACAAACCCTCGGAGCGCGCGACTCGTTTGGCCATTTTCGCCGGTTCAGTTGCGGTTGCCGGAGCCTTCAGCGGTCTACTAGCGACTGGTATCTCGTTCCTGAACGGCAAGGCCGGTCTCGCTGGCTGGCAATGGCTTTTCGTTCTCACCGGCATACCCGCTGTTATCTTTGGTGTCATTGTCTGGAGATATATGCCAAACTATCCCCAGGATGCCAAATTTTTCACCGAAGAGGAGCGTGCCTTCGCCGTCGCCCGCATGGGACCCTTCGCACCGAACAAGGAGGACAAAACATTCAGCGCGGAAATCGCTAAGCAAACACTCCTGGATCCGCTTTTCTGGACGTACGCAATCAGCTATTTCTTCATGGTGAACAGCTTGAACGCCTTCTCCTACTTCAGCCCGACAATCATTGCGAACCTGGGCTTCAAGGGCTACACTGGACAACTGCTCACGGTGCCGCCGAACGTTTTCGGTCTGATCATAATTCTCGCTAACTGCATTCACTCCGACTACTCCAGGGAGCGTATTCGTCATGCACTTGCTGGACTGGCTCTTGTTGGATCCGGCTACCTCATCCTGGCTTTGGTAACAAACTGGATCGGCCGCTATGTCGCCGTTTTCCTGATCGCTTGCACCAACTCAGCCGTCATGCCGTTCCTGGCTCATCGCACTGCTACTGTATCAGGCTCGACAGCGACCGCTTTGGCTACCGGTGTTACCATCGCCATCTCGAACTGTGGAGGTATTAGTGCACCGTTCCTGTTTCCGGGAACCGACGGCCCAAACTACCCTATGGGCAATGTAAGTGAACCTTCCGTAGCAAACTTCCCATTGTCACTGACAAAGTTTTAGTGGACCGTCTTTGGTATGCTTTGTGCTACCTTCCTCATGACTATCTACCTCGGCTTCAGGCTTGGAACAAGCTCTGAGTACCGTGATTTCGCGCCTGGAGCGGCGGAGCAGTTGGCTGCGAGAACGAGCATCGAAGGCAAGCTTCCGAACGAGGCGAGGGATTCGCGCGAATTTCCTCCCCGCAAGCCGGACAGCGAGACGAACGTTGGTAATGCGTTATAGATGATCTTTCAAGCGATCTACGTAACCTGCAAATCGATGACATCTTGACAGAACTTCCGGTGCTTGACGAGTGAAGAGTTCTACAGAGACTTCATCACATACGAGTGCAGGCTAGGACGCGATGTTTCAAATTCTATTGATAGTTGTTGGCTCCAAACTCTTTTAATGCTTTCTGGCGCCTACTTGACACACCGTCGCCAAACCTTTTCGTCGAGGTCGTCTTATCATGTGAATTTCGACGCGTGTAAAGGCGACTGCGAATCGCAATATTTAGCTCTAACGTTTTCTCACTTGGTAAGTCTATGTAGGTTGGGGCTCTCGGTCGTAACCATTTGAAGGGCTGATCTGAGGACCGCTTTATCATCTTGAGGACAAGGCCCTGGCGGAGAATCATCGTGGCAGTGAATTGCTAATTTGAAAGGTCGACCTCGGACCGAAAGAGGAAATAAGCTAGATGCATACATTACCGAAGGGCGTAGGAAACGAAACATAATTGGTAGGGCGCATACTATGTTTCCAAGCCTTCGTGGGTCTTAACCGCCTTGCCGTCGTCGGCCCATAGTCAGCATGTCGAGTTCGGCATTGACAGGCCTTGAACTCTTTTTGGATATATTGAAGACCGATGTAGGTAACCATACCAAGATATCCCTTATTTTGATTGTTTGAGCCTCTCAGATGGATTTCAAGCGCCATCTGGGATCCTAAGTTTGTTCGTTTTTAATTGTATTTCGCGCAGTGATCTATAGTCGATTGAATGAGTCAGCAAGCTGAATGATTAGACTTCGACATCAATCACATAAACAAATGTTCTGATGGACGCAAAGAGCGCCGCATCTAACGTACTGAGACCTTCCATTATGCTTACTTAGCGGTTTAGTATTGGCCTTGCCAAATAAACTTATAGATAGCAAACTGATATACAAGACGCCTACGATCAAGTTGATGATCAAGTTGAGTAGTTTTGACGCTCTTAGAATACTGAGACTTCCGCATGGGCATACTGTGTAATGATATGCTGGGAAATCTGTCTATTGCATCGTTGATCTCCCAGGTGCCATGTCTGTCTTTTTCTGCAGCTCAGCGCGCGATGCCCGAAGATCGTGATCCCGGATCGCGGCGCATGCGATAATGATCCGACAAAGGGCGCAGTAAAGCGAGGATGGCATTGTGGGGAACGGACAAGCAAGCGAGAAGCCACATGTTCTTACGCCATTCATAGGACGGCCTAAGGATGTAGGTCTGCTCTCCTGGGGGGAGAGCGCGCGAGGTGCCCGAACTGCGGAGAGCGTATACGGAACAAACTCAAGATCGTCCATCCTCAAAAGGCCAAAAGGTACCATGCTGTTAAGCGAAACCGCCTGGGACACAATGCGGCCACAATTCTGTCTGATGAGGTTGGCAAGGTAGTCTATTCATGTGAATAGCTCCCATTTATCGATGTCCTTGTATAGGGAGACGCGCCGCGGTGCGCTAACAATGATACTGGTATTGTAATATCCAAATTCTCAGTTCGGGTAGCAAAGGCCCAACAATGTTGGAATCTCCGTCCAATCCACTCGTCTTGATAGGAAAATAAGTGCGGATCGCCTTTCTTTAGGTATTGGTCAGGTACTTTACGATCAACGTCGACGCAAGATATCGGTGCTTTGCGAAAAGAATGCCCCCACCCCTACCATGGTACAGCTCCCTATTTTAATTAATTGTATTACTCATAGTACATATCTACTTAACGATTAGTTAAAATGCGTTGGTACATCTATTTTGATAGCTTGGTGCCCTATTTTAACGTCTACTACAACTAGATCTTGCTATTCAACAGATCTAGCTAGCATTCAACAAGATCTAGCCAGTAATAGAGTGAATGTATCATACAATTGATAAAAGCTGGGGATCTGTACCATGGTCGGGTGGGGGCATTCTTTTCGCAAACGATAATAGTAGTGGCTGATCCTTAAACTTTGTGTTGATTTTGGCGAAAGGAATACTAAATACAGTTCCTCCGGACGACAACGCTTTGTCTTGTACTAGTCTCCTTTGTTTGCGGTGGAGTCACAGTGTGGGTTGGACCCGTGCAAAAATAACACAACGTGTAGAAGAGCAGTGTCCCCTCCAGTATACCGCATCAAGATCCCCCAGTGGGGGCGCGCAAGAGCAAAGGGCTGGCCGTTGTCCTATTCGAGTCCTACAGGTATCGCACTTCGCATCTTCACGGCGCATCGGTTAGTAACTACATCGGGTTACAGACGTTATTGGGTGGCTCGCGCTAACACGGCCATGCTTTTCATCTCGGCGAGATCGTGGGCAGTACGCTCCTCAGGTGGCCAATTTTTGGCAGTGGATCGCCCCTCGTAAAGCTTCCTGAGCTGTGGTTTGAACGCGTAGAACTGTCGAGTGAGATCAATGACAAGGCCTTGCTTCTCAGGCATCATTGTGCCCTGTGTGTAGGAGCTTCCATCGTTGATGTCGAAGTCGGTGACGCCAACTTCCAGCAGTGGCCTTCTTGGTGGTAAGCCAGGGTGCACTGCGTCTACTGGCTGGCCCATGAGGTGAAGCCATTCCCGAAGAAAGACGTTTGCAAATAATGCGTGGAATACCACAACACGTGTGTTCTCCTTCCTACGTACGACTCTTCGGAGTGGTGTAAAGTAACGCTGCGACATCCCAATCATCAGGTTACTGTCAATGAATATCAAAGAGGGCCTAGACAAGAGTGGTTATGCAACAGATAATGAACAGAACACGTGCATTGTATGTTTGACATACAACTACGGCCACATGTATTATACTAATACAAAGTAGACGCCATTCAATTTCATACACCCAGTCTCAAGACAGAGCTCCTCGTTGACCACTAATGGCTCCAACCCTGTGTATAGTCGGGAGTCTGGTCGGTCGTCCCTTGACGGGTGTGTTGTCCTAACAATCTCAGAATCTTCGGCGTCATCATTACGGATGTTATCTCCGTCTAGGGACTCGTGATCGATGGAGCTGATATCGCCGTATTCGTCATCATCGTCAGGCGACGTGTCACCACCGAAGTCGTACTCCGATGACTCGGGCGAATCGTACTCGACTAGCTCGTCGTATGTCCGCTTGCGCATGTCGGGCTTGGTCGTTCGGATCAATTCGAGATAGAGGATAGAGAGGCTTGTCGCACTTAAGTGAGGTGGAAGAAGGACGGCTAAGGGACGGCACTAGGTACTAGGTGCAGAGACGCGCCTTCCGCCAGAAGGACGCCAGTCTTCCACACTCATTAGCAACAACGCCCCATCCTAAGCCTATAGTGTAGTAGAAAGCTTACACATGAGGAGTGTATTACTCGAATTGCTTAAGACAACGAGGTGAAGGAACAGAAGCTTTAGATTACAAAGTCACTGCTACTATTATGGTAATAGCAGCGCGGCTACATGCTATTAGATCGACCACACACTGGCCGACATGGATTCAGAAGAGCAAGCTGGTAAGTTCCACAGACAGGCGTTTGAACTCTTCACACCATCGCGATACAACCACCGCATCCACCAAGCCATCACGCCCCTGCAGCCCATCTCTCCCACCAACCATTAATACCCAACAGCAACGCGAAGGTCTTGACGCGAAGGCCAATCGTTCGGTGGACAAGACGCGAAGGTCAAGTTAGGGATGAAACTCTGCGGCTGCAGTTGGGCAGATGACATGTATACACATGGGGCAGGCGCAGGCGGGGGCACTTCATCTTTCCCTCCGCCAACACGTACCTGCTCCACCCCGGAGCGCGTCATCATTTGTGGCTCCTTCAACCGAAGAGGGCGACGACTGACAACTACACTGCATTCGCTTACAGACTCGTTGGCCGGTATTGAGCAGGATGCCACCCGCAGCGCGCAGCAAGGAGCCGATCAACGATATTTTGTTCATGTGTAGCATCATTCAGCACTGATCTCGGAGAATTAAAGCAGAAGTTGAGTGAAGCAAATCGGCTACTCTTCATACCAGTACCATCTCCATGGACATCGGTGCCTCAAGCCGCCCGAGCGATAGAGAATCAGCTAGAATGGCAGAATTTCAAACCCCCTTATGGGAAGGGATTCTTCAGTCAACGTAGGGGGAAGTTTACCCGTAAACTTGTCTTTTATCTACTGGGCAAAAAACTACTGAAGTTCGGAAAGCCACCTGTCGCAGCTTTCCCTGAAGCCTCGCTGTCGCGACAGACAGAGCAAACGATCCCCGAGCACCCCGACACAAAGAGTGACCATACGACAGCCCAAGGACCTCCTGATCGTCAAATTGGCGATCTTCTATACCATAGCGATCTTCAACATAATGGCATTCAACGCGACCGCACTCAACCCAACACCCACCAGCGCAACAGCGGTCCAGATCTGGCTCATCATGTTCTCACAACTAAACGTTCAACTGCGATTATGAAGATGTCTCGTCGGATTGAGAATGGGGGAGCGGATAAAGAGGCCTTCGCAGAATGTGAGGCAAGTCCCGAACTACATCCAAATCTGGCGTCTCCCGTTGTCTCAGACCATAACGGTACTACGTCCCTGCGAGATCTCGAGTCGAATAGCGGAGGCAGTCCCACCTAAAAAGAGATAATAGATATGGAGACTGCTATTCTATCGGGCTAAAACTATAGAACTAGGTCTAGTTCTTATAAGGCTAGTTAGCTAGGACGAGGTGCACGTACGCAAGAAGATATAGTTTCTAGTATCCTTATAGCTAAAGGTGTAGCTGCGACTAGAAAAAGGGCACGTTAAGCTAGGAAGACGCTGGTGAAGACTAAGGCTGCAGCGAAACCGCCCTAAACGACAAATGATTGTCGGAAGCGTGCGTCGAAGAAGTCACGCTATAACGTAGCTTATCTACCCACCGATGATGAAGAGCACGAGGACTTTGAACCCTAGGTATATTAGGGCCCAATCTTGAAGAATGCATGTTCTTGGCTGATTGGTATTGCTTGCACTTAAAGTTGTGTGTAAAGCCCACACTGTGATTAAGGATGTGTAGCAAGAACCAGCACTGCTACGTTCATCCACTGAGCACCTATTCCAGGATATGTTGCTAGACTTCTCTGCCGATACCGTCTTCAACTGCTTGGGGAAGAGGTGATCGCTTATCCCATGTTCTGAATCGTGGTGTTGGACTCTGCTCGAAGAGGTTGCTAAATGATCCGAGGCTGCAGTTCCCCGCACCCGCCCCACTTTGGACTACGGAACACCTGATCGGGATCCACATGGCAAGCACGCAAGACTTCATGGATCTGTTGCAATGTCTACACGCTCACTATTGGCAGCAAATTCTGATCAGTATTTCACTCTATACCTTGTCCACCACACAGCTATTTCAATCGGATCGTCAGGTCTGCATTACCGGGCAGCATCATATTAACCGACCTCACAACCAGAGAATCCGTTTCGAATAAACACACATCGACAACATCGATAATGACATCAGAACTATCATCAACACCGACCCCATCGGGCCATGACCATTACCACGATCAAGAGCACCACCATTCGGGCCCAGAAGATGCCTGGAAAACAACCGGCGTCCGTGTGATTCCAGCAGACTCCCTCGAGCCTGTAGGAGGCCAACACATGACACCAGGCATGGATCGCGCAGCCGCAATAAACTTCGCACGTGTGGGTGCGCAGAAACTATGGGCTGGCACAGTGCACATTCACGCCGGCGCCAAAACCGGAGCACACCACCACGGCCACCTGGAATCGGTCATCTACGTACTGAAAGGCAAGGCAAGGATGCGGTGGGGAGAAAAGCTTGAGTTCACAGCTGAGGCTGGGCCTGGGGATTTCATCTTCGTGCCCCCGTACGTGCCGCACCAGGAGATCAATGCCAATGACAACGAGAAGCTAGAATGTGTGTTGATGCGCAGCGATAGCGAGGCCGTTGCAATTAATCTACCGGGACTGGAGCCCGTAGAGAGACCAGAGACAGTGAAATGGATAGATCCCACGCATCCGGATGGAGCGGGGGCGTAACATATCTGAAGCGGTGCTGGGCGCAATAGGTTAGCTTCTGTCAGTGTGCAAGATACTGAAACTGAGTTTTAATATGCTATCTACTTTGCACACAACAAATTGCGCTCAGAATAAGCCAAGCAAAATCGCCATCGAAACTTGAGCAATCATGGAGTGATAACTACCATCTAACTGATCGGCTCATACTCATATAAAGCCGGAGACCTATGCTTGCTGTGACTTTCAAACCAACCACAGTATTTCGTAGCACAGTTAATGATTGTTCTTGAAGAGGGGATATAAATACGCCTCATGGCGGCGTAGAAACTAATCAGAATGTACGGGGAGATCATCGGCGAGTGGCTTATTCACAAGACAAGCAGCATGGTAGCTTTAGTTCACACCATCAAGATTTAGACTTCTCGGTCACTTTTCCAGAAGTTAGTCCCAGAGAGTCCTACAAAGATGTTCGTCAATGCTCAGGCCGATCTAGGCCCACCTTTACTCGGTCCAAGTGAAGGAATTGTGCATGCTAATCCAGTGAAAACCCTAGTGCTGCAGAGGGAGAAGTTTTAATTCAGAACAAAATTTAGTGCTTGGATCACTATGAGCCATGCTCAGCAGATCGAACATCTGCCCATTTTCCACGCGAAAGGATCCCACTGCAAGGATACTATGACAATCTTATGAGATCAGTGCGGTGACGTCATTATAGGAGTGTTTACACGAAGGCTGCTGGCGCGTTCGGAGAACGAGGGACTCGAGTGTGTCTCCGATCTCACCTGGGCACCGACGCGAACTCCCTCGGCGGTGTCGGGAAGGGAAAAAAGCTAAAAACAATGATTCTAACTGTCGGTAATGAGAAAGTGTTTCAGCGACACCGTAAGAGATGTGAGTTTCGTCAGTCAAATCCTACAGTTCCGAGTTCTGGCCTGTGACATTCAGTAACAGAGTTCGAACCACAATCATGAACTCTCCTCTGGACATGTACAAACGTTTTCCACGAGCCTCACAGACAGGGACTTCTAGAAGCCGAAAGGACGATGGTGAAACGCAAGTTCTTGATAATATCGGTCCGACACTGGATGGGTCTCCAAGTGATCTGCAGGAGAAGGTGTCGAGCAGATGTAGTATTGTGAGGTGAACGTGATAGTGTCTGTTACGAATACCGTGCTACTCGAAGATTATATTGGTCGGGATTGGGAAAAGTTTAGGGGACGCCATAAGAGATCGACTCAATAGCCGAGAGTATTCTACTTCTCGTACGCTTCTGGAGTGCGTCAAAAAGGTTTTACTGACTTAGTTTATGAGATTGACTACAGCTTGCAAATGCTACTTGAGTACCTAAGATGTGATACCGAAAAACTTGAGCAGTACAGGCTCTACTGGAGGTGCAATGTGCCCTACGCCCTGTCCAAAATATCCTACCAATTTGTTTGAATCACCGTAGATCATCTTCGTGTACGCTGCGCCTTCGTCCACGGAACTTCCAGTCTGGTTGGCCGTGTTCGTAACGCCAAGGACCGTGGACCACTGCTTGAGCTGCTCGTATCCGCACGTCGGACGAACGAGTGAGTCAGCTAGACCATGGGCGACCAGGAAGCGTGGCCGTTTTCCAGTGTAGCCAGGATAGGCGTTATACACGAATTGAGCCCACTGTGCCGGGGTATGAGTGAGCCCTTGGGCACAGGTTTGGTTTGAGCCCATAGGCGTAGGGTCACCTTTGGAGCCTGCAAAACAGCCGAAAGCGGTACCGGAATAGGCTGCGCCAGCTTCGAAAACATCCGGATAGGAGCCCACCATAACTAAAGGTGGGGGTGCAAAGTCAGTGTGATGTTCAGCAATCAGGAAAGTGGGTGAAGTAGGTGTTCTGGCCAGCTGCTCATGTCTGACACTTTCAGACTTAGAGTTGTAACCCTCGGAGTCTTAGACAACCGCCAGCATGAACACCCACTTTGTACCCCGACATTGCGTACCGTTGGTCATCATTGCACCAGAAGAGCCGCCCATGACGTAGACCTTTGCCTTGTCGCCGTTGTACTTGGTGAGTGTGTAGTTGACCATGCTGATGATGCCGAGGGCATCCCCATTGCCCCCATGGGTAAGAGATCCGGCATTGTTGACATCCCAGCAATTAGAGTACTTTGTTGTTTGGGGATAAATGAGGATGAAGCCTTGACTTTCCGAGTACGACGGCAACTTGGTGCCACTGTACCATTGAGAAGCGCTGCCAAGGCAAGGATGCAGCTTCAAGGCCCCTTAGCTTACGTTTCATTTTATGATTGAGGGAGCGATGATACGTACAGCAACAATGATGGCTGGATTTGAAGCAACTTTGGCTGGGACAGAGAGGTACATCTGTATGTTCGTGGGATTTGTGCCGAAGCCAGTCACCTGCGTCAAAGCTCCAAAGACTGCCCCAGTGCAGGCCGACAGGCCGAGAACGTGCTCTAGTACTTTCATGTTATGAATTGAAAATGTCAAAGACTTCGCGCGCAAGCAAATAGGATGCGGATATTGTCTGTCTTCGAATGTTGCAAAAGGACATCCAGTGGCTTTTTAAACATGCTTTCAGCCTCGTCACAGACTCTGGACGTGCTAGAACGGAAGATACCACGTGCATGCTGCCAAACTTCATTGACGCCGGATGCTTTGGCAAATAAGGATCTGTGTTAAAGTCACTTTGGAAGGACGTTAAATGCGACCCGAAATGCTTTAGATCCAGCTAAACTCAATGTCAAGAGAATACAAAGGTTTGACTGTCAATGGTGGAAAGCGAGAATTTGTTTAGCGATTCGCACTTACAACGAGGCTGTAACTATAGCCGGTGGGGCAGTAGATTGCTGCCCCGGGCGGCAGCTCAATTCGGGATCTGCGCCTCCATGAAAGGAATTCGGTCGCTTGGTACGGCAGCCATCGAATTATCCGGGAACCTGGTTCGACAAGAATAGGAGACAACGGTAGCCTGGTTCGGCAGCGATTTCATCAACGAAACGAACGTCTAAGCCTCTATTTAATCCAAGACTTCCACAACGTTCTATCTATGCAGAAACATGACGCGACCGCTCCGGTCATCATGATGAGTGTTGGAGCAGTGTCCTGAAGCATGATCTACTGTGGCGATTAGGAATTCATGCGCAGGAACTAATCGGAGAGCCGTGTTGGCTGGGGGCCTAGCCCGGTTTTGTCATGTTGATCGTTCTCCCAGATGAAACGTCCCTTCTATCTCCACGATATCATCATCATTCAATCGCTGGACCTCTAAGATCGTTCTCGCAGGATAATTGGGTGCCACGTTCTTCCAAAGCTCTTGCGTCACGTTGTTTACGAGCGGTCTCCAACGATACATGTCCGTTACAAAGACTGTCAGCCTGATGCAGTCGGTCTACGCGTGTTTAGTCCAACGATGCATGTTCGGACGTCATTTAGCTTACAAGATTAGCACCGCCAAGTTTAGCGAGCTGCTCCATGTTGGAGAAGGCTTGCTGGACGCGTGGCATACCGACTGGGGCGAGCGTCGTGTTGGTAGGGTAGAAGCCGCGCATACCTTAACAACAGTGAGTATGATCTTGGAAAAGGGAAAATTGGTATACTTGCCAGAGATGTATAAAGTGTTCCCGGCTTTGGTCATTAGACTCCAGGGTCCGCTCACGGTGAAGGACTGGTCCGGGTTGTACACCTCTACACCAAGCGGTGATGTGTAGTTCGGACTAGCTTGGCTGGAGACAAAGCCGATACAAAGATACCACAGACCAGAGATGATAGAGAACTTCATGTCTAAGAGAATCAAATGCGGATGTAATTGTTGATATGGGCATCTGAAAGGAACTATGTCGACATTCCACAGGTTAAATACCTACGGTAGACTTACACTGGTGGTGTTATACGTAGCCTGCCATGCAGTAATGGGCATTACGTTCATCATCTTGAGCCGAGTAGTGGTTCGTGATGGATGCTCGGAGGTAGGCTATCAAAAGCGGGGTCTCTAGCTGTAGAAGGTCGCACAATGCTTGGCAAGGCGGGCAAATGCCTTACGAAAAGTGGATCGCGTACGTCATACAGGCACGACAACTCAAACTCAAGACGTGAAGTGCGCATTTGTTTCAAAGGGTGAGTTTTGTGACAATGCTAGACATGCAAAGTCACTTTTTAGGATCACTGTCGACAATTCTAGTCGAGTTGCATACCTCTTAACCTGTGCAATACTCCTTACCAGAAAGATGCCGTTTCAAATTTCTAGGATCTAGATAAGATGTTAGAAAAGCGATGGATAACCAGACAATCTTCACGAGCGAAACAAATCATTACCGATCTAAATCCTGCAAACATGCTACAATCCATCCTCCAGGCCAGGCAACTATGTCTAGAGGTAGCATCAGTCTCGCGTAATCTTATCCCTTCCGATGTAGCCGAATTGGGGCCAAGTTCCTCTTGCACCTAACATACGTCAAGTTGCGGAACGTCTACCAGTCCATGCATATGTGTCGATTCGCTGCTGCAATTTTTGCCGTTGCCTTGTGAGCCGGTTGTGTTTCATGCAGGGCGTATGTAGTGAGCTGACAAGTCTAGCCCCAGTAGGTGGACATTGCTCGTATGAAGAGTATAGCGCATACTGGATTAGGGCAAAAGGATGCAGGGTGCAAAGCTTGTAGGTTCATCGACAACACTCGACATCAAAGCGCGATACATGATGTCTTCTTCCAACCTTTTGCTTTCGCAGTCTCATACTCCTCTAGAATGGGCAACCAACCGTCAGTCCCCGTACCAGGCACCGAATTGCAAGTCATCGGCGCAGGCCTTCCACGCACAGGAACAGCTTCTTTCAGCGAAGCGCTGCGCATCATTCTAAAAGGACCAGTGTACCACGGTGGCACACAAGCTACCTTAGCGCCACCCCACGAAATCAAGTCATGGATCAAACTTTTGTCGCATTGGCCGCCCAAGGATGCATCGGAGGAGAAGCTTGGTATATGTCCTAGAATCTCCACCAGGTTAGGTTGCTGATGGGCACGCAGTGAACACCCTGCTTGCGGCACGTCTCGAAGGCTACGCAGCAGTGACGGACATGCCAGCCGCAGGATTGGTGAAGGAGATGCTGGAGCTGTATCCGGATGCCAAAGTCATTTGTACCGTACGAGACCCGGATGCCTGGGTTAAGAGCATGGACACTGTAGCCAATGCGGCAACGCTGTGGTTTCTCGGTGTGGTCTTACTTCCTCTTCCTGGTATGTACCTTGCTCATCTGCGTTTGACTAAACGTTCTTGGCAAAGCCGTTGACATCTTAGGGATGCGCCATTTCCCCTCTTACATCAATGTACTGCGAAAACAATGGGGGGCATCTCTATGACGAGCGCGAGCCTGTGACGGTCCAGTCTTACCATCGGCACATCGAAATGCTGAAACAGATTGTACCCTCCGAACGATTAGTCTTTTTAATGTAAAGGAGGGATGGGAACCATTGTGCAAAGCACTTGGGGAGGAAGTGCCTGATGTGCCGTTCCCCAACATCAATGATGGGAAGGCGATCGACGCGCTAGCTGAGCGAATGGTGAAGAAAGGTTTGATCAGATGGGTTGCGCTTCTGGTGACTATCGGGGTTGGTGCCGTCTCATTGCTGATAAGGAGGAATGCAAAATGATGAACAAAGAAAAACGAATGAAGTAACATTAGTCTACCAGAGGTAAAGCTAGCGTCGCGGAACAATTGTAATACCCCCTCACAATCGTTCGATAGCTTCGAGTGCCTCCCGGACGCCAAAGGCTTCTTGATCTGCCAGTGTCTCGCTCCAGAGTCGTTCCATTACTTCCTCTCCCTCTTTAGTGTACATCAAAGGGTGAAAACTACGCACTCATGAGTATACGTTAACTGCAAACCTCGTGCAAGCAACTTACGGGAACATATCCCAACCGAACACGAACGAGCCGTGAGACTCCTCGCCTTTGATAGCAGCTGCATCAATGTACGTCCAAGCACCCTGCTCAGCCGTTCGACCTAGAACAGCCTGCATGATACCCATGAGGATTCTAGGCGCGCCCTTGGGTACTTCACGTCCGAGCGCTGTGTATGCGCTGAAGCCAGGGCAGAAGTTGTTGATTGTGACCTCGGAGGATGGGACTAATTGGCTCAACTTATGGACAAGCATTTGCACCAAGGTTTTCGACGTGCTGTATCTTTCTGAACCCACTGTGATGCCCGACCATTCTTTATCGAATTCGTTGAGCAACGGAATCGCGGTACGCTCAGTGAATCTGGAGCTATAACCCTGTGAAGAGCCAACAATAGTCAAGCGACCAGGTGAGGTTGAGGGGGCTCTTCGCCATGAGGGTCGGTAACAAAAGTATAGAGAGGAGTGCGGTGGAAAGGTAATTGACTTGTATCGTTTCCTCGTGCCCAGTTGAAGGAGACTTCGCAAATCTATCTATCATTAGAGTGTATATAACATGTACTGGTCATTTAGTTTGACATACTCGAGCTTCGTAACTCCGGCGTTGAGAATAGCAACGTCCAGGTTCGGAAGCCCTGCGCAACGGTGCGCAAAAGCCTGCACAGACTCGTACGAAAGCATGTCCAGCTCCCATGTTTCAATGTTGCAGCCAGGGCTTGCGCTTCTTATTGGCTTTGCCGCCTCTTCGCCTCTTTGCGTCGAACGTACACCTAGTATCAGACGTGTAACCCCGAGTGATGGGAGAATTCCGGCTGTTGCAAGGCCGAATCCACTGCTACCACCAGTAAGAACGACCGTTTGTCCTGTGAGAGATGGCAATGGTCCCGCAGGCCGATCTCTTTGCCGCGCCTTCGATATGACCCTCAGCAGGGAAAGATTAGGTTTGAGTGTAATGGATCCCATTTTGAACTATTTGGAGCAAAGCGATAGCATGCCAATGGAGCCCATGGCATCCCATGAACAAATCAATTTGTATAGATCCATCGGACGAATATCAAAATGCCAATGCAGGTATGGATGCCACGCTCAACCACGGCGTTTGCTGTTTTAGACCAGGCCGGATACCTGTATGCAGAATCCCTCAGGCGCGCGTCTGGTGTATAGTCGCTGACTGTGTCCACGAGCCATTGAGCCACTGTCGGTGCTCTTGCCGAAGGGGTGTTGGACGCTAGGGGTCGCCTAGTCCCAAAACGGAAGCCACTGTGGTCAGACTTGCCCGCCGTCAGTACGAGTACGCCCGCTGATGCAACCCTTTTCAGCTGCTACGACCTGCGAAGATGCCGACTGCTCGTCCGCATCCTGTTCCCCTGTGATTGTCTCCAGCAACGCAATGTTTTGGGAAGTCGCTCTGGTTTGTGAACTTCCCACACAATGTTCGAGTTCGTGTCCATGGACCCTGCTGGTCGAGCATTGCCCGCAGACAGGCTGCGCATCCGGAGCCGGGCTGCCAAGGACAAGAATAAACGTCCAGATTCACGCCGCTCTCGCAGGGAAGCTAAACGTCTTGCATTGCTAGAGAAAGAGGCTGCGGCGTGTGCAAGCCTCCCATCCCCGCCTCCTCACGACCTGCAGCTTGTCCCGTTCGCAGAGAAGCTAGGTGGCGATTCTCAAGAACTTCTATACAAGAGTGCGCGTAGCCTTTCGAAAGGCGATCGACGTGTCGCTAACCATTTCAGTATTCTCCTTCAAGAAATTAGAGCAAGGAAAGCCTCCGTTGGAACGATGCATTGACTTTACCCTTTGGGACGCCGCTTGCTTTGAGTGGTTGCAACAAGACATTGCGTTCCTGCAGTCGGTACTTACTTCGGCAGCCATGGTGGACGATGCCAATCGACTCTCAAAGAAAGAACCTGGCAATAAAATGTGGTATCACCTCCACCGTACTATTACTATTCTGAACAGCAGATTGAGCGAAGAAGATACCCATCTGCAAGATTCAACGCTCAATGTGGTTCTCACGCTCTCCATCTTGGCATGTGCCTTGGGTGATCGTGTTGGCCTGAGAACACATCTTTCAGGCCTTTGCAAGATCGTGCAACTAAGAGGTGGTATTGCTTTCCTTCTTGATCGACCGATGCTCCACTTTAGAATCAATCAGTAAGTACTCTACTCCCTCCAATCTTCCTAGACTGACCTACCCATAGCATTGATCTCACGTGGACCTTGATGTCAGGCGAACATCCCTTCTTTCTACCTGCCTTCACATCTTGGACAAGGGTGTTCCCTAACAATCGAATCGTGGATCCCAGGAAGAGCAGTCTCTCGGCCACCAGATTTATTGTTGATGAGCGACTAGTTGCTGTGTTCCAAGACATGCAACATGCAGTACGGCTGCTCAACCAAGGTGTAGACACGAAAAAAAGACACACTGGCGACACGTTCCAGCCGATACTGAATTCTGTACAATCACGCCTGTTACGTCTGGAAGGTCAAATTGATGATACATTTTCCGAATGCATGCGACTAGCTATGCTGGCTTTCCATTCACATGCGATGAACTTCCCTTCCGTTCAATTTCGCGCTACTTACTTGGAGACGCGCCTCAAGTACACGTGGAAGCTCCTAGACCAGGATGATGACTATAAGGAGAAGGACCGCCTCGCTTTAGAATTCTGGATTGCGGTGGTAGCTGCAGGCTCACTGTCAGGATTTCGCAATGACTGGCTTACGCAACGCTTTATTGCCACAGTGCGTGAGCACATACCAACTTGGAAGGAGGCCAACAAGCGGCTCATGAGTGTCATGTGGATTGAGGGCATACATGATGTGCCAGGAGAGATAACCTTCCGACGCTTGTTCCAGCACGACCAGGAGAAGGACTCACAACCGCTTCAATCACCACGAGACAATTGACACAATGGTGTCTCTTCCTATCGCTACGGATCGAAAACCCAGGCGCTTGAACTCAGCGTTGAAACCGACCCAGTAAAAAGCAGCACGACATGCTACACTATCTCGAGATATCGCTTGACCTCCCAGTCTGTCACTGCTTCTTCCCACAGCTTGCATTCGTGGTACCTCGAGCCGGCGTAGTGATCCACGAATTCGTCGCCAAAAAGCTTTCTTGCAATCGAATCCTTTGCTGACATCGCGTCCGTCGCTTCTCGCAAGTTCCTAGCAAGGCGCTTGCCTGGGTCTGCCGTGCTTGCATCCAGAGGTAATAGGTCAACGTCCAGCTTTTCCGTTACACCATACCATCCAGCTGCGAAAATTGCAGCCAGAACGAGCGCTCCATTTGAATCTGCACTTGGCACTCGGACCTCAAATCTTGTGGCTTCGGGGGCGCAGGTTGGCGGCATGATAACACGCACACTCGCCGCGCGGTGTTCGAGGCCCCAGGACACCGTCACAGGCGCCCACATATTCTCCACAAGTCGCTTGTAGCTATTAACGGTTGGAGCGAGCAGCGGCAGTATGCTTGGCAGCGACATCAAAATGCCTGCTAGGAAATGTCTGCCTATGTCTGAGAGGTCTCTCAGTGCCTTCATGGGCACGTTCTCGTCAGGAGCTGCACGAAACAGCAAGTTTTTGTCAGATCCTAGCCTCCTATCCATGAGAGATATGTGGACGTGGCTGCTGCAGCCCGGCGAATTGGCAATTGGTTTGGCCATGAAGGACGGTTTAATCGAGTGCTTGATCGCAACTGATTTCACAGCCAGCCTGTGGAGCACGTCAATAGCGTTCTCCCAAAAGGATCGACTTACTTAAAGAGCGCCGCCCGATCAGCCATTTCGCAGATTTCGTCGAAAGCCAACGCCTACCAAAATCTTAGTCTGTGGTTCTAGCGCAACCGGTGTAAATACGTACTGCCTCATACATTCCTGGCCCAACTTCGGCATGCCATCCTTCAAGAGGACACTGAAATCTTCCGCAAGTCTTGAAGATATCGTAATAGTAGGCCTTGTTGTGAACGGGGCGTGCGATACTGTACCCAAACTTGCCTTCCTCGAGCGGTTTGGGCTTGTCGGAGACGCTCATATGGGTGGCAACACCGGCCTCAGGCAACTGAAAATGGCTAAACTCGTATTCCACTAGACGTGGTGTTCAGCAAAAAGTTGCCGCTGCCGGTTCATGTATTTTCGGATATCCTCACCTCCTGCCATTGCTGTAACCCCCGTTGCGCCAACTTTCTGTGCAATGCGCTTCAACAGACTGCGGGGACACCCGCTGATGCTCTCCTTGGTCTTTGGGTCCAGGAAGTTCACGAGAAAGAAGGGGACATCGTCTTCCCATGGTATTCTTCGAAAGCTACGCAGGTCTGGTACGGCCAACAGATCATTGTAGCCATTCTGGGCATGGCTAATGAGTGGACCCTCGGTGTATCTGCGAGAGGTTACTTCCTTGTTCGTCTAGTTGAGGATGTTGCCAACATTTGATCCTGGAGGTCCCATGCAAACAACACACTTGCGAACCCAAATCCCTCCTGCGCGATGCACAGAAACTTGTCCTTGCTCATCAACTTGCCGCGCAGGACGCCATCAATATCGATTCCTGCAACCTTCACACAGTCATCGTTGGCAAGCAGCGAGGCAAGTTCGTCAAGACGAATGGCCTTTGGCTTGAGCTTTCGCTCGCTGTACAGTTGGTCCTCGTTCATGGTCAGCGTGTGCTTCGTCGTTTACCACTGTTTCTGATTGGTCGCTATGATCGCTCGTCCTTCGAGGCCGGTCACCCACACTAATGACAAATCCTCACGGGAATATTTAGATGCTCTTGTCAAGATACGAAGGTCCTTCCGTCGATGTTCCGTTTATCAAACAACTGAACAACACTCGCAGCTCGATCCTGACAAGCATGCAGGGCACCAAGCAGTATGAAACTGTCGTGATGTGCTGATTTGTGCAAAGATTCCGGAGAGAGCACTAGATGTTGAAGGCATCGAGTACGGAGGTCTATTGGCAGAGGCTTGTGATTTTCTGCGAACACTGCATACCATTTACAGGGGGGAAGTAAGCGCTACCGGGGCTCGAACTGACGTGCCTACCTCGTCATATCAGAGAGCCGCTCCCGCAGGAAGTCGAGGAGGAAATTAACCTTACCATTGGATTCGGTACCTGGCCGACGATCGGGGCTCTTTCCCTGGTTGGAAGCCTTAAAATACTTGCCACGGTCTTGAATGGTACTCCATGGGATGGCTTCGCAATGTACTGCTTCCGCTACTGTATCTTGCGCCGCTTGCCCGCAAACTGGGGCGGAGGATTAGCACCGCAGCATGAGCATTCACCGGATGAAACGGTCGTCGAGGCGACTATCTGGCAGTGTCGCCTTTATCTTGACTTGAAATTCTCCTCCTTGTCCTGCCACAGCATCCCTCATCGTTAAATTTTAGACACGAAAGCAGCCATGGCTTCGGAGACAGGACAGCACTCATTACATTCCAAAACCTCGGGCGAGAAGACGGGTCTGCGTGCGACCCAACATGATGAGATCCACTTCTCCTTTCAACTTCCTGCAGCCGACCACGAGTCGCCTGCAGATGACCACAGTCTGCCTGCATTAGACCACGGAAAAGATGCATGGCTCTTTCTCGCCAGCGCGGTCATGCTCGAAGCGCTCATCTGGGGCTTCCCAAGCGTATTCGGGGTTTTCCAGGATTACTATACCACCCATGCTCCGTTTGCTGGGTCGCAAAGCATTGCCGTCGTTGGAACATGCGCGATGGGCATCATGTACTTGGAGATGCCTATCATTTACGCCATCAACAGAGCCTGGCCGAGCATGCGACGGTGGATGAGTGTATGCGGCGTCTGCGTCATGTGTCTTGCCCTTGGACTCGGCTCTTTCTCGACCAGCGTTCCGCAACTCATTGCGACTCAAGGCGTTGTCTACGCTATCGGAGGCGGCTTCGCTTGGACGGTGCGTGCTACAATGCAAGCAATGACGAAAGTCTGACATAACATAGCCGCTCTTGCAGTACTTGCCGGAGTGGTTCGACCAAAGACTGAGCCTCGCGTATGGCATTGTGCTGGTGAGTTGCATCTGGGTATCCCCAACTCTTTCGGAAAGAAAAACTTAAGTTGCGGGTAGGCCGGGTCGGCATTTGCTGGAGTCGCTTTTCCGCTCCTCATCGAGTGGCTCCTGTCGACGTACGGATACCAGACCACACTACGAGTCTGCGCCATATTCATGTTCCTTCTCACTGCGCCCATGCTTCTGTTCTTCAAACCACGTCTTCACGTGCCACCCAACTCCAGGTCCAGCCGCTGGGGCTTGTCGCTGTCCCACTGTGTTTCTCCAGTGTTCCTCATTGCGCAGACTGGCAACATCATTGAGGCGCTCGGTTACTTCATTCCTTTCGTTTACTTGCCATCCCACGCACGTCTGCTCGGCGCAAACCACTTTCTCAGCGGTCTGACGATAATCCTGTTGAATGGAGCGGCTTGCGTGGGGTGTGTCGGAATGGGAGCTTTGATGGATCGATATCACTTCAGCATCGGCGTCTTCATTTCGTCGATTGGTACGATCATCTCGGTGCTTTGCTTCTGGGGTTGCTCGTATAACCTACCGATGCTTTACGTCTTCAGCATACTCTATGGTCTATTTGCGTGTTCTTGGCCATGCACATGGTCTGGAGTCATGAAGGAGGTGCAAAAGCAGGGGAATATAAAGGACCCAGGCCTGGTCTTCGCGACCCTCGCGGCTGGGAAGGGTATCGGTAGCATTGCCAGTGGCCCGTTGAGTGAAGCCCTCATTCGAGGCATCTCGTGGCGACATGCAGCTTTTGCATATGGCAGCGGCTATGGCGCAGCAATTATCTTTACGGGCGCCACTGCATTTCTTGGCAGCTGTAGCTTCGTGGCCAGGTTGGCTGGTTGGCTCTGATTTCAACCCCGAGCTCTCGCTGGAGTGGGACAGCTCATCCCGTCCCCACTTGTACGATCCAGCCGAACAGCTGGAGTATCCAGTTTCGTTCTTCGTATAAAGCGAAAACGGGGTACAAACAAGCTGACCTTGAGAGCCAAACGACGGCTCAATGTTTAACAGTTTAATGGCTGATGCAGTTGGTAGTCTTTTCTCTCTTCTCCAATTTTGCACCATCTGTTCATTGTCTACTCGGTAATACCTCTCGCCTGGTCTTATCCCTCCTCCACTCGACAGGCCCGCCTTCTCTACGCATAAACATAACAAAACGGTCCCGCAGTTGTCGAGAAAAGCTGATCACTCGAGATCCCGTCCTGTCCGGCTGGAGCGACTACATTGAGCCACTGCCTATCCGTCGACTTGCCCTTTGCCGAGTTTGGATTCATCCAGTTCGTACCACCTACACCACAGAGATTAGCGCTCTTCTCCAAGCCCTAATCGCACTCCACACTAGTTCCCAGATACATTTTAAGAGGACAGTGACTTACCTTCATACATGCTGGTCCTCGCCTTGACCTGATCCGCCAAATAGTTCGCCCACATCCACCAATGTCTGTCCAACTGCCCATGATGCAGCCAAAATACGGGTTCCCCGGGGCTCACAAATATATCACCGCCTGGATCACCAAAAATACTGTAATGCCCTGAGCTATGAATCGCCATCTTACTCCCTTGATCGTTCTGCACGGTATCCTGGAATTTGCCGATAGCAGAGTTAGACGTGATGTGGGAGGCGAGTTCGGTGGGTGTGAGAGAGACCGTGACGAGGTTGTTATTCACGTCGCGCCTCAGACAGCGCGTGTTATCACCGTACCCGTCGCGAGAGGGGTTGGGCTTGATGTTTAGTTTGGGGTCCATGGTATTCATCAAAGGTCCCAACGATATTGTCAGACTACCACGCATCTCAAGTCAGCACATCAATCGACGAGAGCCCAGATCATGGAAGAAGGGAGAGAGGGAACGTACTTTCCAAGCGGTCCTTTCGTCACGCAGCCTCCACCATTACCCGCTGGGAAGGGGCGCCCCATAAGACCGCCAGCGTGTTGCACGTAGTCGCCGTTTCCGCCCAGTGAGGTCTCGCCGCCGTCGAAGATGGGGGATTGAGGCAGGTCGGTGTACTTGCCCCAGTTCCAGTAGGGCTGGGCGCCATTGAAAGAACATTCGGTTTTGAGGGCGGTTTCGTAGGCCCTGTTTCCATCAACATCAGCAAGACCATGGCATGTTGATGTATTGATGTGCAAGAGGGTGAGAGGTAGAGAGGAAGGGACACACCAGATATAGTACCTGTGCCAATGCATAAAGTTCGCAGTCGAGTGCACAGAAGGCGTCATATTCATGTGGACAACGACGAAGTCATCGTAGCGGGACTTCGCACCGGGGAATTTGCCAGCGGGGAGTTTGCTAGGTTGTTTGCGGATGCAGTTGACGGCGCGGATGTACTCGAGTTTTTCTTCTTTGACGAGGTCACCACTGCGTAGTCTGTCAATGACGTTTGTTTTTCAACATAATCAGACGAACTGGAACACGGGTGCACGCACTATTCCTTTCGCACGGACACGGTGTTCTTGTTGCAGGTAGACGTGCGTGTTATGCCATCGGAGAGCGTGCCATCGAGGACTTTGTACGCATTGTTGAGGGCCTGCTTCTGGATATCGTCGATAGACAACGACTGCCGCTTCAAAAATGGGAATGCCGACGCGCTTGAGAACAGGCACAACGCCGTGAGGAGGCTGATGACCGCGTGGCCGGCCATGCTGTGTGGTGTGTTGCTCACTCGGCTGAGGGTTCTCCAAGGCAGTAACCCCCTTTTTAGCACAATCCTGCTTTATACTACTGTAGACACACTTGCTAGCATAAACCCTAGTCCTTCACATTCACCCCTCGCAAGGTGCATAGTACCTTGAATGAGATTATCGTATAATTAGATCACTGGATCCCTTGTTCGGAAGGTTCCTCCGAGTCATCCTGCTCTTGTATAGCACGGCTGGCCAGAGGGTGGTGCTGGGGTATTGCGATCCGGATGCAAGCCTGTCCATCTGCCGTGAATGAGGTCTGGACACGTGCATATGGCGAATGATGATCGATGTTCCCGGGGTTGAGTTTAGAATTGAGATGACAACCAGATGGAAGAAGGTTCTGATGCTGCGGTCAGTATTGGTATACCCAATATGAAGCGCGATCGTCCTGGATTGAAGCTTCCGTAAGTACATAACATGATCGTCTATTGTAACGGCGCTGGTAGGATTTAGCCATGAGAAGCATGCATTCTGGAGTGATTGAGGTTCTTTCGACGTTCACTGTCTTTCGAGTGCTCTCATACAACTGTTGTCGTCATGGCAGCGTATTCACCATGCCTGGAATGCTAATTCACACTCACCACCGAAATCACCGCCATCCAAACCCCTCATGAGTCACAAGTTACATCATTGTAGCACGGTCGTCGGCTACTGTGAGGTTGCACCAAAAAACTTCATATACCGACCTGTTGTATGCTCCAGCTTCCTTTCTGCCGGAAGCAACCACCCAATCTAAAGCGAGATTGTAAAATGCCAATCTCGTGCACCTGCACCCCAGGTCTTGGCAGAAAAGTCATGCAGTATGTAATATCACTCAAAAGCCGGTGAGACGATCGGCAGTGCGCTGGGCACTATGTGTGTTACTTGCGCAACCCTCGCGCAGAATTGTTCATTGTGTCGTGGCGTGGGAAACGTACTGTGTAGGACAGCGGGAAACGTCGTTTAAGCAAGAGAAAAAAGGTATACCTCGACGCTACCATAACCACCCTACTAATGATAACGACTTATTTCTTGAGTGCGCCACCTACGACGATGGAATATTGGCGTTCCCGCACCCTGACTCCACCGCATCTGGGCTGAAAGCAGTCCATTGGAGTGACCGTCATCGGCGTGCCTGTTGGAGAAAGACTACTCATCGGACTTCATCTCGGCGTCGCCGTCTTTATCCTCCTCCTTTTCCCCGCTTCTTTTATCAGGCTCTGGTTTTGAATCGTCTTCTTTCATCTCTTCGTCTATGGGTTCAGGGACGGGCTGTGGGCTTCTGCTCGAACGCTCGATGCTCGGCCGGCCGACCGCGCCCTCAATGTCCAGGTGTGCGGATTGATTCTGCGGCCCTGTATCTTCCATGCCGATGAGCTCGGGACCGCGCGCATGTGGCTGCTCTTCCTCCCCTTCAACGGTCTCCATGACCGTGCCTCCTCCGTCGGCCTCCCCTACCGTAGTCCGGGCGGGGTTCGCCGTAAGTGAATGCGGGTTGTTGAGGACAATGCCAGCTTCCTGCTCTTGACGTAGTATCTCGCCTTGCGTGACAGGGCCTGTGGATGGCAGTGTCTCCCCATCAGGATGTGAGGACGCAATCTGTGACACTCCATTCGAACTTGTCGGTGATGTAGCTTGTGGCGCCCCGTTATTGCCATTGGTACCGCTCAGCATGCCCACTGTGACCGTCTCTATCCTGCCGGCACCATTTGGCCCATCGACCATCTCGGTGCTCTCAGATATGAGCTCGTTTTGGCCACGATTCTGTAGCCACGGTATTGGCGTAAGCAATGCTCCACCGAGAGACTCATCAGAGCCGAGGGACGCCTGAGCTGAGTTTGTAGATGTTGTTCCATTGAAAAGGCCGGTTGCCGTTGGGAGGACAGCCTGAGGGAGGGGAAAGACGGTGTTGGGCGAGGAAACGGAGACTACGCGGTCGAGCGCGCGGAGGTACGGTGAGAGGAACCTGTACCGTCTTTTTGGTTCGAGGATAAGCTCTGCAAGCCTTTGAATCGTGTGGGGTGCGCCATTGGGGAAATTGGTCGACAAAGCATTCCGTATCGATGAATAGAAAGTTATCGTCTCTGGCGGCAGATCTTGAAAGTCCGAATTCGTGAAGGCTGGCACCGGAGGGCGAGATGTTGTCTTGGGCGCTGCATTTTCCTTGTCGCCTGACTGCGAATCCTGGCTAGAGGCTTGCGGCTGTTGTTTTGAGGGTGTAGTCGGGGCGGAGGCTGAGGCAGAATCGGGAGGCTTGGGGAAATCGGCGATTATCTGGCTAGCATTAGCAAGCGGACGAGATTAGACGATGCTCAACCGTGGTTTTACCTCGTCTAGGCGGTCAAGAATATACTTGAGCGTGTTGGGCCAGTCCGCTCTACGAATGGTTTTAGTGATTTCGCTCTACGATGCGACAGCGGTCGGAGGGGCACCTACGCATCGAGCGAACCGTCCTCTGCCGCCTTCTGCAGGACTTGCTCTGCTGTCTAAACGTTAGTTAATAGCAGCCATGGCGACGTATATTGACGTACGAGACGATGCCATGTAAAATAATTTATAGTTGCAGCATGCGACACGCCGCGAGGAAGAGCGGCGCTGGCGCGCAGTTGAACGCGCTAGCCATGCAGCACGTATGACGTAAGCGAGCGCAGTTTAGGGAAGTTGCAAACGAGAAGCCATTGGCGAACTACAGGTGAGCGCCTTTCCTTCGTAGATGTTACTACTGCTATCTAGGAGGGCTATCACAAGTTTCAAGTATGGTATGACGGCTTTCAAGGCGGTTTTATTGACTCAAAAATGTCCAAAGTTTAGCGTAATCGTCACATATAAAGGTCATCATATATACAAGTGGTAGGCCGCGTATGTCTCAGCTACACCTCGACCCTTGTTTACAACACCGCCGATTTTGCGCGCCTGAAAGAATGTAAAATGGGGTATATCGCACGAATGACCAACACCGGAAAAACCCAAGTCTTCGAATAGAAGTCGAAATGTCGAAGCGAAATAACAAACAGATGCTGCGCTGCGTCACACATTACGCATTAATGATGAGATTGCGTTGCCCGGCATCCTCTGGGAAAGCGCCGAACACAAAGCGGTAGAGATCGGACATCCAGCTGAAGCTCTTGCTTCGCGCCATCCACTGAACCGCTCTGCCAATCTCGATTGCGGTTAGCCTTCGAAGAGGCTGCGTGTGGATGTTGCGAAGTGTGGGATCGGTGAGAACGAGGTGCTTGTAGTGCTCGAAAAGAGCACTTTGCCAAGGCAGGGATCCGAAGCTGTTTGAGGGTAGGGACCGAACGAAGTCAGGGAGGGGGTTTTGCCGCGAGTATCCTGTGTTGATTGCGGCTTTGACGATGAGACCTTTGAGGCGAATAAGATTGGGGTCTTCCCGACCCGCTGTGGCTGTAGAGGAGCTGTGAATGGATTGGGAAGTGTCCGAGTAAGTGGAGAGATTCGAGGACGAAGACGACCAACGGTCATGTGTTCGCGTTTGCCCTGCTTCTGGGCCGAGAATCAGGATGTTCGGGACGTTAGGCTCTTCCGCAGGTGAGAATTCTTCTCGCTCGTCGAATATCGTGGTAGGTGTTTCGGGGTGCATGAGGAGCTGTTTTCCCATCGACACGGCGGAGTGGTAAGATTCGTTGAGGCTTGACGATCGGCCAGACGTATCGGAATAGGTAGTTTGCGAGTGTGCGACAGAAGCGGGGGCGGCAGTGAACGTGTACTGCGACGGGCGGGGTGTTCCACGTTCCGGTCGTACCTGTGTCCACCCTTCTCGGAAAAGGTCACACAACTCCCAGCATGCTTGGATCGCCGATCCAAAAATCTCTTCGTCGGCTGGCTTGTTGTCGCGGCTGTTCTGACGGATGCTGAACAGCATCTCGGCCAAAGACCAGCAAGCATGTAGTAGTGCATCGGTCTCCTCGGGAAGCGATGTCCTTTGCTTCATCAATCGATGACACAGGGTCAGATAAAATTCCAAAGTGCGCTCTTGAAATGCCTCCGGCAAGTTGCGGTCGTGTGCATTGTACAAGTGATTATTAAGTTCGAAGCTCACTCTCAGCACTGAATCCGCAGCTTCATCGCCGCGTTGGCGCACGTCGAACAGGGCCTGGCAGAAGTCGCGGCAAAGTTCCAGAGTCGGCTTGATTTGGGTAGTCGGATCCTCGTCTCGACTCTCGTATAGCCTTTGGCAAAGGCGCCAACAAGTTCTCCATGCGTGTTCTTGGACTTGGCCGTGGGAACCGGAATAGTAAAACATTTTCTGGCGGTGGGTCTGGCTAAGCTTCGCCAGGGTGTTACACAGGGTCCAGCACTCGTGCAAAGCATTGCGGAGGGCTGCGATTTCCTTTTCAGATTCGTTGATGCCGTGCAGAACTTCGCCCATGGTTTGAGTGCCTGCGCTTGCGGCCATGGTAGCGAGCGGTGATTCGGGCTTTTGTACATCGCCATCCGGGCTCTCGTCGTTCTCGAATGTGGAACTCGAGGCTGTCTCCGATATGCTGATGTCTTCCGTTTCGGCAATGTCTACAGAATTAAGCTTTGAAAATCGGACAGATGTTGGGGACGAACCTGCAAGGCTAACGCTGACGCGGGCACTGCGTCGTTTGCCATCATCTTCGTAGTCTTGACGCGTCTGGGCGCGTGGCGTGGAACGGTCTGGCGCGGCAGAGGAAGGAACGGCAGTATCAATTGGGTGTGTATAAGTAGACGAATGCTGTGGACGTTCAGCCATCACAATCCGGGACAGAGCTACATGTGCACGACGGACCTTCTCGTCGGGGATCATGTTTGCTTCTGGTGTTTGTGGAGACACCACAGCAGTGTTATCGGAGGTCGTCTCATTCGATGATGGGACAGACACGCTCGACCGATTCTGTTGTTTGTCGTGTTAGCGCCCATGTGGTGCAACCACAACTACGCGACACGTACAAATGTTTTGAAGTTGGTGGGCGCATGAATGACCGACTGCGGTGCATCGTCCGAGTCGGCGCGCAACCGCACAGGCAGTGAGGTGTCTAGTCGCGAAGGCTGCACGCTGTTAGCTGCATCCACACATAATATATGATCATCCTGCAGGGAGGCGTACCTTGGCCTGGCTCTCGAAGCTCACAGGGCTGATGATGTCGTCCAGAGGCGACTTGATGTGGATGTCGCTTCCCTCATCATCGCTAGGTTGGTTCACCTGCGCGTCATCCTCGATCTGCATGTCCCGTCAGCGCTGTCTTCTGCCCTGGCCCCAGCCTTATGTACCTCAGTTCCGCTGGTTCCATTGCTGTCGACTGGTGAGGGGTCCACAGTGGAGGGATAGGGACTCGGCGGGGGCTGCAGATGGTCCGAGGCATTCGAGGACCTTGCCGTTTCCGTTAGCGCTGCGTTATCAATGCCTTGTGGACGGCGCACCTGTTGGAGAAGACCTGGGAGAAGGGAGCTGGCGAGGAGGGCGAGTCGGTGTACGGGCTGAACGAGGACTTCAGGCCGTTGGTGGTAGGAGACGGCATGAGCTGCGTCGCGGTGGCCATCACTCGATGCGCGTCCCCTCAGGCACTCTGTGCACGGCGAGACAGCGCCGTGATGAGAGCCCTTTGTATGGCCCTCGCGGTCTCCAAAGCGGCCGCTGGTCGAGGGCGCAGCGGAGGCTCTCTGGTCGCAAGGCTGAACGCAGGCAGGATGCGCGGCGTAGGAAGGAGCGTTGGGGCAGCGGCCGGCAGCGACGTCTGAGGTAGAGGGAAATAGCAGCCGGCTGCTAAGACGCAAGGCGCGGTCTGTGGAGGATGCAGCTGCGTTTCGTTTCGCCGATCCGACTGACTGACTGCGGATGCGCGCCTGGCTCGCGTGGAGACGAGGTGAGATGTGCGATGTTGTCCACACCCTGAACCTCTCCTCCTCCGCCGCCTACTCCACCTGCTCGCGGCCCCAGCAGGCGGGCCCCCTGCTTAGCCCTGCCGCCCGCTTGGCTGTATCTCCCCAATCACACGCGGTACCAGGGGCTGCTCTAAGCGCCGCAACGACGCGCTACTGCACGGGATCCGCGAGCCTTCGTCCACGGCTGCGCGTTGCGCACTCTCACGGGTCCCAGAGCTCACTGCAAGACCCATCCAGCTGGATAACAAAGACCTCTAGGTCCAGTCCGAAAGCCGCCTAAACACGTCAAGCGTCCAGCCGTCGCGAACACTTACCGAGCGTGGTTGGCATGGTAAGCATCGTAAACCTCCGAACTGGCAATGCCACTCAACAGACACCAGATGTCATCGCCATGCATTTCTTTTACGCTATCTATCACACCTACCCAGTCCAGGATTCGCCGACAGCTGCCAGTGTCTCAGGCTCCTTAGCGTCACGTCCCTCACCGGCCTGCACTAATGCACTTGTGTCCCCGCCCGACTTGTACACCGGCTGATTCAGATGTCCGCTTAGGAACTGCACAGTTGAGGCGTAGAAGCCCACTATAACCTGGATCCGCCGGCCTCTGACCTTCTGGGCCTCGCTCGCTGGGCCGACGTGGCCGACTCCCACCAAATGACGCGAACGCGACTGTGACCGAATCCTCCGGCATGCACGATCTTTGCGGCCCCCAAATCGCTGCGGGGATTTCGTCCCACGTTGATCGACAAAGGCCACTGCAACGGCGACATCTCTCGCTAACACCGCACCGGCGTACCTAGGAATCGCTACTAGGGTCCAGTGCCTCGTCACCGGAAGCCATCATCCCGCAGTCGTCACACCTCGAGCGTGAAGATGTGATATGAACCCCACGTCGTCTATTGCCGGCCATTCTCTCCGACGGTCCAATGTGTTACGAATTTTATCAATTGGGACAAGTGGCGGTCCTCGACCACGAACTGTGCCTCTAACGCGCAGGATTATCCGCGTCAAAGTCCCAATTCAGGACACAGCACGCTCCCTGCCGGTCTGTCTCGTGCTTCCAAGGGCCGGCCAGCCTCACCTTGAAGCTTTGCGTCAGTGACCTCTACTTCGTGCGTTGTTCGAGAGTTGCCATCGACACCACTCATAACTTGATCAGAGAACACTGACAGCGTCGACCTCTTCATATCGCGGGATACGATCTCGAGCAAACTCGTGGAGATCGCATTGACGGCTTCTGGTTGAAGCATGCTTCACTATATCGTGCATTTGCCCGCGGGCTCTTCCTCCACGACTGCTATGCTGCTCCGCCATGTCTGGTCGCCGATCTTGCTATCCCATCGCCGTGCAGCTACTTTACATCCATGCCCTTCTTTCTGAAGGACCTGTATAGTTGCAAGCCTACAGCGCACTAATGTCAGGCTAGGATGGTGGGCGCGTATTTGGGACATACCTTTGGCGAAAGCCCCCCTGACCAACCCATGAAAGGCTTCCAGCAGGCCACAACCTACAACGAATCCTTCAGATTCACTCTAGAGATTACACTTCCTTTCGATCGCAGTCAAAGCTTCGAGACATTGTGCACAACACTCTTCTACGAAGCACTCGCCAACACGGCTGCGGCCATGTAAGGCCACCAGCACCAGCGCCATCACCTCGGAAGGATCGAACCTCTAGCCTACGCTACTAGGCCGCGAACATATGGTCCATGTCGACTTGTAAGCATAGTCCTCTGGTTGAAAACATCTGCCGATACGCTCGGAAGACAACAGAAGAGAAGACACTAGGGGCGTAGAGAGCTGCGCCGTAAGCCGTCGCAATTACGACCGCCACCACCATAGCGGGTCATGTATCCTGCTTTGTACCGACATCGTAGTTCGCCCACTGTGCTGGATAACTTACAAAGGACATTCTAAGATACGATATCATAAGGCTGTCATGGTGTGGCTTTGCCGCGACACGCGCCGCAAACGCCGCTACGGGCGTATCAACTCCCCGATCAGAGAGCGTTATAAAAATACCTTGATGAAGTCCTGGTAGGGATAGGAACCTTTTGACTGGTTCTGGAAATACCATCACCACGCTAGCCCGATACCGTCTGTGCATCTCTAAGTGTATATTCGCCTCGTGCACTTAAGCGCCGCCTGCTCCACCACCAACTTGAGCCTCCATGTTTCAAGTGTCGTTTCTGACTTTGCAAAGCCTCTGCCGCACTCGTGCGTATTGTTGCATAGAATCTGCCTCGCCAACGCATTCATTCCTCAAGCCCATTGATCGTCATTGAGTAGCTAACGCGTAAGGCCGCCCATCGTTGACTTCCACACCGTTTTATACGTAGTCCTCACGCTCGCAAAAGCGATCAAGAACTTGGCCGCAACGAGGCTGTGGCCGGTAAAGCGTGGCCGGTAAAGCGCGACCGAGGAATCATGGCGACCTGAGGGTTGAGGTGGTCGCGTGAATGTCATTCTTTGGTACGCTAACACGACCGTCCGTACTAGCATGGGACGGTCGCACGTCACTTTGCCAATGGGCCATGTCAACCCAACGTCTGCTATCACAGCAAGAATTTGCCTCGCCGCTGCAACAGTTGGCTCGCCAAAACCTTCTCAGCTGATTGCATGGACCTCCCTGAAGCATCCAACATTGACTGTGCCTTCCTAGGATTCTCGAATTGCCGAGCAGCCGTGGGCTACAGATGGAGAAACGTGCTGCTTCCTCGGCACTTCATCGAACATGTGCATGTTGCAGCGTTGGCTTTCGGATCATTCTAGGGAAGTCCGCCTGACAGTGCCCGTCGATGGCATGTAAAGATTCTGGTCTTCGATGCCAACAATGCCGGACATACGACCGAGCTCCACCCTTGTTAACGCCCAGAGCGAATGCAAGAATCAATTCATTAAGCCACGCCCACCACGAGGGCATTATCTCAGAGAGGTTCCCAGAACTGGACAAGACAAACCCACCCATGCCCCACTGTCATCCCAGCACGATGTGAAGACTCTTCGACCTTGTGTCGCGACCCCGACGTAATACCCGGCGATTTCTGTTGCGCAAATGATTAAGATCTTCGTCTCATTATAGTATTATACATAGTAATCTGGTGGTCGCGTCCCCAATCCCCAAAAAAAGACATGTCGATCATCTATCCGCGATCCGCGCCCAATCATCGCGCTGATCCAACCGCCCGGCTTTGTATCCCTGCCCATTAGTCTACCTGTGACGCCGCATGCTCACGGTCCACGATCCGATGTCCTTCTCGTTCTTACTGTCGTCCTTCAAGAATCAATCCTCCTGTGATCGCGATACCTACAGCACTTCATAGGATTATCTTCGTAGAAATCGATGCACAGTCTTGATCTTTAGGTCAGCAGGAGTGAGAGGTGAGGTCCAATCCACAGACCCGAGAAACGATACGAAGCGCGCAGGATCGGGTCTACTGCACGACATCTTTCGCGAGCAACGTTGTACTCGCGTGGTTTGTGTACTTCGTCTCGCTTGTCTTCTTCTTTGAGACTACGGCGCAGGCACTACCGTGCCCACGAGCAGGTTTGCGACTCACGACTAACGTCGACGAAGTTCTCCGGATACGTAAGGGTTTGTTTATGGAATTGAATGTATGAAGTCGGTGACTACCTTCCTAGCTTATCGCTTCGAGTGAGCCCCTTTGGATGGCTCCACTAGATGCGACAAGATCCCGTCCTGATTAAGTCTCGTTTTTCCTTCTGTTGCTTGTGTTCGAACCAGAGTCGACCACGCCTCGCCATTGGCTTCATAAGTCATATGCAAAAGCGTACTGGAGCTCGACTTCCAAAATGGCGCATCTGCTGTGGCGACTATCGCTGCAATGAGGAAGACAGCGAAAGCCCCATACAATACGCTGGGTAGACGCACTAGTACAAATCGAAGGACGCGAGGAGAACCTCCTATTCAAATTAGCCCAGAGCCTAGAAACAGTCAAGCGAGAAGCGAAATTGGACCGAGGTGTGTACACGTGGAAATGATCGGTCGAGCAAGCTCATCGAACAGATGCGCAGCGAAAGGGCTTAGCAACAGCAGCTGTGACACCATATCAACCGTCAATTTGGTGTACGATAATTTGCAGATGGTGATCAACACGTTCGGAACCGCCCTTTAAGTTCGTCTATCGCAGGCACGTTAAGCTCGAACATGAAAATGATGTTGCCAGAAGCCTACTTTCGGCGTAAAGCTCACTGCGATGAGGAAGCCTTCCCACGTCTCGATTGCGCGTCGTGTTAGTCTAACGGCCTGCTTGCTCCTTCTGCAACACCTTTTCAAGCGAGGAGCACTGACTATACGATACTGTTATCAGTTTCGGGTGAGAAGGCAACTTGATTCCTGGAAAGGTTTTGGTTTCAGTGTTGACCAGTATGCTATTACTTGTAACCGCAGAGCCGACTCAATTTTAGAGCTTTTCACAATCTTATAAGTCCGTCGAGAGGCAGGGTCGACATGGAACAGTCTACCAACACGGATCTTGTCGGGACATTCCTGTAGTCAAAGCTCCTGCCACACCACACTGCTCTTGGTTTGACTAGCGTGCCATGCGAATGCTTGTCTTGAAGAGTAGCACGGACTAGTCCTGCTTCTCACTCCTGTGTCCACTCTCGCAACCCCGCTGCACCTTCTCAAGGCCTTCAGAAGACCTTGACGTTAGAGTTAAGAGTTCCCTTTTATTCTATTCCACCGAAGGTTGACTCCGATTCCTTGAATAGTCATGGCGACGTCCCTCAATCACCCCATTCACAGCTGTGACGGTCCGCAATGTCGCTTCTGTGAGATCTTGAAGGGCCTGATCAGTTATCTGCGCGATCCAACCCCTTAGCCTTCCTTCCTGAACCTGAACGGCGATGCCACTTTTGCCAGTCTCAACCCGTTCGCGGAGAGTACAAAGCACCAGCGCGTCACCTTGCAAGCATTTACGAAAACACTCGCCACGTCGCCCAGCAACATTTGAAGCACTCTTTCGTCAACGGACTATGCGCTGTTCTCCAGGACAGTTTGAAGAAGAACGCCATCCAGAGGGACTATCATCTCGGTCTCCGATTCGCGATAGGCGGAAAGCGCAAGACAGAATGCGAAGCTACTCGCTGGATACCATAAGAACCAGCAGGTCTTGGTGGCAGAAATCAAGTTGGCCAGGGTGGACAAGCTTGCGCGAATGCAGGCTTTTGTAGAGGAAGGCCTCCCAGAGGTACGCGAAGAGATAGGCGAGCTTCTAGCTGCCAATACACCAGAGGTCAAGCAGCTCATTGAGGCCTATCGCAAGGCGTGCAGTTTCTAGCCGTCTCTTTCAATGCTTGCTGCCGCACTTATTATGAAGTCAGGACCTTTATACGGCGTGCTGTTTCCAACACAAAGGTAAACTCGACCACGTTGCTTAATAATGTAGACACTGACATAATAAACTTGTTGCTCATTCCGGGCGCACTCTTAGGGAAGAAAGTGGTAATAAGACATGGACAAAAATTCCATGGCTATGAAGATAGCAAAAGATTACTCTTGCTTTTAGCTTTTAAAATGGTGAACGAAAGGATCAATACCTCTGAGCGATTTCCACGGCCGACATCATCAGAAACCTTCGTGTACTACACATAATCATGATAAAATGATGAATGGCGCTTATGTACCCAACTTGTTGGCTCTTGCCTTGCCTGTCGAGTGTCTCTGGGTTTTTGACTTCGTGTCTCGCCTCCTCCTGGTGGACTGGTGGATACTAACCTCGCCTTCACTTGTATTAGTGCTTTCCGCTCTTATAAGAGCTATCGCGACCTCCATGCGCCTGGATTTCCTCTCTCCTGCGGACGGACATTCGGATACATCGGCAGCATGTATCAGCGACAACGCAATGCCTCTCCGTACTTGGCTGATTCCATCTACTGTGTACGCGCTTTCGCGATGGTTCTGGGAATGTTCTAGAAGAGGAGCTGGTCCGTTGTCGCGGTGACGTCGGCCGTGGTTCGAGCAACAGCAACGACCAGGAGCGCCCCGGCCGCACTGGCCAATCATGGCGCACCTGCCGAATTGCGATTCACGGGCGCAACTGCTGCATCGAATTTCCTCGAAAACACCACAAACACACAGAAACAAAGCTTGCTACTTCACCACCGCCGCCTTGACTCGCGCTACACCACCGCCGCCGGCCCTCGTACCATCCGTTTCACTTCACACCACCGCTCGTTGGCCGCAGCATGGCCGCGCAAACACTCCACGGCTCCTGTGCATGCGGGCGCAACCGCTACGTCGTCGAGATACCTCAGCAGCAAACGCAGCTGGCCGAGCTGAGATACGACAACACTTCAGCTTCAAGTGAGTCCTTGCCTTTGCTGTAGGAGTGCTCTTCGTTGCCATCTTTGCATCACGTCATTCGTTGCGCATGCAGTCTTACAGCCCCTCCATATACAATAGCTGACCCAACCAGGACACCATTCCGCTAACCCACTCACCCTTTGGCTGCGTGTGCCTCTCAATTGGTACACTAGCGCTACCTTCGCACAGTTCCCCGACGAGGAACGGACGAGCATCCAGCGCACCTTCGTCTCGCCCTTTGCTTCCAATTCGCGCCGCCAGTTTTGCGGATACTGCGGCACCCAACTCACATCATGGCACGAGCGCACCAGGGAGGATGCTGAGCACATCTGCCTTACGGTCGGCAGTCTGCTGGACGAGGACCAGGCTCTGCTTGGTGAGCTGGGATACCTGCCGGGAGGAGAGAGCAGCGACGAGGATGCAATTACCGCCGGGCCCTCGCGATCGACACAAGCCGTGGCCCGATCAGATCAGCAGCTGCGTGGAGCACCATGGTTCGAGGAGATCGTCAAGAATACCGCTCTGGGACATTTCAAGCAGCAGCGAGGCGGACACACATCGCGCGACGGCAGCGTCAAGGTGGAGTGGGAGGTCGTAGAGTGGACCGAGGGTGACGATGCAGACGACGAGGGAAGCGTCACGCCCAACAAGAGGAAGATTGGCCAGGTCGAGGAGGAGGATATCGAGATGCGAAGCGCGTGAGTTTCGCTTGTTTGGTGCACATGTTCAGTTGTTAGATTGGGATGCTCACGCTTTTTGGGGATTGAGGATAAAGTTCACGAAGACGAATGATAGGTGGGAGCGGCGCATCATGTCACGGCGCAAAATGGCTGACTTATTCTGGGCTCAAAAAGCTATTCAAACAAGCTGTATCATATGTCAAGCTTCCTACAGCACAGCATCTGTGCTGGATAGGATCAGTACTTCTACAAATATAGGTGTTCAAGTAAAAATTGACCAGGATTTGGATTAGCTGGTGAACTTGCGCCCTGCGACGCCTTACATACGGCCCACTTGGTTCGCTATCTGGAGGATGCTAATGCAGCACCGTTGCAACGGCTTCTAGCGCATCCTCGCCATGTCCAGTCAATCTGCCTGACCAACCTAATCGCGTCCCCAGCGAAACGATTGTACTTGCTCTCCTTCTGCCGTTGCCTTTTTCCATCGCTGCTGTCTTCCTACTCATCATGTATGAGCCGGCGAGCGAAAAGGAACACCAGGATTGCATCCTCAATTTCTTCACCGCGCTATTTGCCACTGCCTTTTCGTCCTTTTCATATTTCCCAGGTTCCCTTTGGCATCATTTTCTTCAACGAGCAGTCGACCGTACTCTCTCGCACTTTCCCACAATTTTTTGGCCCTCTAGGTGCATGACGTCTACGCATCCATTTAAATCATCCCGCTCCGCATGCGGGTGGCTGTGCAACATACCAGTACTAGACTGCTATGCTACAACCAGATATCTTCTAGCGAGGCCCCGGCAGGTTTACTATAGCTCGTCGCCTTCGCAAGGTCCGGAAGTTTGCTTTGACACCTCATAGAATGGGGTCCCCTAGGCATCACCAAACATCATGTTTCCTGAGAATATACCGCACCAGCAGCGTCATTGTCTATACTTCAGTCTTCCTAGTTTGATTTGATAAACCAATGGACGGCGACCGTGTCGGTGCATGCCAGCAATACGAGCGGCTGTGCATTCAAGGGCACGTTGGCGTGGTATACGATTACTCGATAGGCTTTCTACAGACCCAGCCACAACTGCGTGGAATCGACATCTTAGACAGTTCAAGTTTCACATCAGCAGTTCGGACACTCGGTCCAACGGGAACGTACGGGTAATGGCGGTGAAACACGTATGTACGTGTGCGGCGCGGTGCATGTGGCACAAGTGTCCGGCGGGCTGCCAGGAAAACATCCGTGACTGCGCTTGCGTACACCGTGCCCATCTTTATCTGCTTGTATGGGTTTGTTTTCCATGGAAAACAACTCGTTTTCCTCTTCGCATCCTCGAACTACGTTCAGTTGAGGACCTTCAGAGAAAAGAAGATCTTCATGTCAGTATGAGAACCTTCGGGAACTTTCGCATGTATTGGTCTTGTGACTCAACCGTCTAACGTCACGACTTTTCTGCGTAAGTTTTCAGAGTCTACCAAAATTACAGGACTAATGTGACTAGTTTCTAGGAATTTTCTAGCAGCCGTTCCAGTATGGTTCGTCAGACTCCATCACTGTCCACTGCAAAGGTATTGTCGTGAACACCAGGTCTGCCAATATGGCGCCTTTAGGTAGTATACCTTAGCTTCTTTAGATTGTTCTCTAGCCGGACAAAGTATGTGCAATCGGACTACTGTATATGTATGGGCAGCCAATCAATACTAGGAATGCCACACCAAATGCGATCTCAACCGTACTGCCGAGCTGCGTGAAGAACAGCCCAAACCAGAGCTAATGGCCCTCAAGAGACCGAAAGGGTTGCAGGAACTACCTCGAGTGGCTCGTCAGAAGCTGGCCTTTCCAAAAGCGCAAAGGCAATAATTGGCGTGGGTGTTCCACTGTTCGTGGCGATGTGGGTCATATCCGAATACCTTCTGCCGAAGAGAAAGAGGCGGTCTAATATGGCACTCCAGACCGAAGCAGACTTATCCGAATACTTTCCCCCGCATGAAGTTTGCCAGGACCAACATCGTCCGCACGATTCACCGGAAGTATAGACTTTTTTGGGGCCTTGAACGCGCATACGATCCTGTGGCGATCAGAGTGCGGTCCCTATCACATGTTCTGTCTTCACAACTGGAGACAAGCTTAGTATCTCACATCCGACCATTTCCTTTTTCACATTCCGTTTTGTATCCACATGTTTCCAACAGAATCAATGGCGAGGAAAGTGTGCGTACATTCAGTACAGTTTGTGGATTCAGAATTGGCAATTTAACGTACTCCTTTAACCAGATCGGTACTCAGTGCGCGTCCTGCTCGGAACGCTAGCTTCCGACGTTGTTCGTTCTGGCTCAGATGCTTAATAAAAATGGAGATATGCAAGAATTGAATGTTATGGCGAGTCAACGCGCAAAGGGTCCTGCTTCTGTCATTATCACATTTCAATTCCTCGTCTGAATAGTCTATATCCTCGTCAAATCTAACCCACCTCACGCTTCCACCTTGTCAAACCATATCAGGTCTCCTGTCTCCGCATACAAATCCACCCCGAATTTCTTCGCCTGCCCACCACCATCGACTTCGAACGTACACTTGAATGTCCTCTTCTCCTCGCTCGCAGGGTCAATGTTCTCGCATACATACCAGTACCCATACGCGCGCTCTTTGATGACCCAGATGAAGGAGTACGACCGGTCCGAACAATCAACTTGCAGCTGCTTCTTACCCGCGTTGAACGCGAGCTCAATCTCGTGATACCCCTTGTTCGTGTACTTGCCGGTGAGTGTTTGCAACGCGGGGTCCTCGTGCGGTTCATCGTCTTTGTGCTCGTCCAGTTCGGGGAAAAGCTCGTCTTTCGTCTTGACGTGCGCCCACTCTTGCATCTTCTTATCATAGTGTGCGCGCCAGTCAAACCTCTTCTCGTCAGGAACTTGCAGGAGCGTGTCTATGAGGTGGAAGAGAATCTCCGTCTCCACCGGAGACGCATCTTCACTGTTCCCCAAAAGTACGACACCCCATTCTTTCTCGGGGAGATACAGCATGATAGATACGAAGCCCGCCCAGCTCCCATCATGCCGTACGATCTCGTAGCCATGATACCAACTCACTTCCCACCCAAGGCAGTAGAACGAGGGCGACATGCCGCGCTGTCCTTCGATAGGGACGTCCTGCAGGATGCGCGGCGCGCGTAGGTCGTCGTAGGACTGGGAAGAGAGGGGTGGGAGGCGGTAAATTTGCGCGTGAATCCAGCGCGCCACGTCTTCCACGTTCGACTGAATACTTCCCGCGCCGAAACCCTCGGGCTCGGGAATATGCGGTAGCTGCAACATAATCTTCTTCTTAGTCGAATAAATCGACCCCAACGCCATGTGTTGTGCTTCGGAGGAGGGAACGTTATCCGGACCTAGCCATGTGCGGCTCATGTTAAGTTTGTCCCAGAAATTCGTCTCGAGGTAAGAGGGGAAGGACGAGCCAGAGAGTCTCTCCACCAAATGCGCAGCGCAACTGTAGAGGAGGTTGTTGTATTCGTACTTTGTGCGGAGGGGATAGGCGAAGGGTAGGTTTCTCATATTCCTAACCACGCTCGCTAGCGTATCTGCATGAGGGTGATTAACACCTCTTACACTCTCCTCATGTCCCTGTAATCCCGTCCGATGGCTCAATATATCCTCCACACTAATGCTCCTCGTCTTTTCCTCGTCTTTAAACCTCAAGTCCGGATCCAATCTGCTCACAGGCGTTTCCCATTTGACCTCTTTGAGCGTTTCATCTTCTTCATCCTGCACTAAAAGCGCCATACTACTCGCCGTAAAACTCTTGCTCATACTCGCAATATCGAAGATCGTGGCAGGCGTCACATCTGGCGCGTCGCTCCCCACACGTGAGGAACCGTAGCCGTGAGAGATTACGGTGTGGTGGTCTACGATTGCGAGAGCGAGTCCAGGGACGCGCCAGTGTCGTAGCGCTTCCTCTACTTTCTTGTTGAATGATTCACCATGGTTGTTGCTGGCGAAGGGGTTGCGACTAGCATCTCCTGCAGGTGAGGGCGCATTGGGATCAAGGACGATGGTGGAATGGCATGAGGTAGATGACATGATTGAGACTTTGGTCTTGGTGGTAGTGGCTTGGTCGCTCAGGATGTACAGAACTATGTAGTGACCGATTGTATGGCTAGTGTGCTAAACTTTCATACGATTGAGTAGGAGCTGAAGTAAGATTAGTATGCGTCGTCCACCTCGTTGGTTCGGGGTATAAGCGCTAGCATTGACCGGACTACGGTACTCATAATGAGTCTTTTCAGCTGTCTGGTATGACGTCTGGATGCAGGTGTATTTGGGTTGTTTGGACGAAGAAGCGCGAATGTAGTTCGCAAACTACGTCAAAGGCCTTTGAGTCACAAATTGCAGCTAGGCTCACACGTTGCGACAAACCATGTCAATTTCGATATTATCTATCTGACTCATCAACCATCCATTGCCCAAGCCTGACCGTTCACATAGGTATCACCAATCCAGCGCAAATTTTCTAAACCCTCACTGGCAACCCTTAGGCCCCAATCGCGCAATTTAGCGGGCCACACAGCCAATCTAAAACGCAGAAACACTGAATAACAGAGAATTTCGAAATGTGAAAGAAAGCCCAACCATGCCCTGGACGCCTCGCATTTTGTGCAGAAGGGTCGTGCCCCATCGTCAAATACCAAATCAAAAAACAGGACGCCGTGAACCCCCGGATATGGTGGTTCGTGTATGTAATGCAGACGGGATAGGGACATCTTTTTGCGGTTTGGGGCTTAGTGTGCTGTCGAAGCACAAGTCGCTCGTTTGTTGTACATCGTAGAAACAAAACATTAGATAATCGAAGAGGCCAGCTGCATCAGTCGTGCGTGTTGGTGTAGACGTGGGCCTAGTTAAAGGTACGCCGACGCCGTGACGCGATCGTGACTGGTGGTGGCCGTGCTGTGTGCAAATTGAACGGACTAGGCAGACTTGTTCGGATCGGCGCTACCCATCACCGATGTCAGCCTTCACGTTCAAAAGAGCGAAAAGGACAAATTTTGTACAAAGCGAGGCAAGAACCTGCTTACATGAAAAATATTCACGAGTGTGTAAATCACTGCTGAGGCGAACTGTTGATCGTTAGTATTCCGTTGCCTTGATGGGGATTATACAACTATGACCTGTGACTTACGTTGGAGAGTACTTGGGCGACGTCGGCGAGTACTGCGGAGACGTCGGCGAGGTGGGAGAGTATTTGGGTGATGTCGGACTGTACTGGCCCATGGGGCTTGTCGGGCTGTACGAAGGCGACGTTGGTGAAGCAGGCGAACGCCTGTCACCGCTGTTGAACTGTGGGCTCGTCGGGCTGTACATTGGAGAGGTTGGACTATATTGTGGAGATGTGGGGCTCCAGCCGCCACCCGGAGAGGTGGCGCTACGAGCGGCAGCTTGCGCAGGCGAGGTAGGGCTCCATTGCGGAGACGTAGGCGAGTATCCCGGGGATGTAGGCGAGTAGCTTGGAGACGTCGGAGAGAATCCTCCAGGTGACGTCGGCGAGAATTGAGGCGAAGTGGGCGAGTACGGGCTCGTGGGGTTGTAGCCGGGGGAGGTGGCGCCAAAACGTGGACTGGTCATGCCTGGAGACGTGGGCGAGTACTGAGGGGAGGATGGAGAGAAGGATGGCGAAGAGGGGCTTGCGCCACCGCTGAAGGGACTCATAGCGCCTGCCATGCCAGGGCTGCGAGTTCCAGCATACGGGCTGAAACCACCGTCACCGTACTGCGGAGCGTACTCGCTCATACCACCAAAGTTCCCTTCTGGAGCTGCCAGAGGCGAGAACTCCGCGCTGTAAGACGGACCACTCATGCCGCCTTCGTAAGTTGGAGAGCCAAGATCGTAAGGAGTTGCAGCGCCGTTGTCATAATAGTTTCCAGTGGCACCGGTGCGCATACGAGAGTTGTCCTCGACCATAGTGAGCAACATTTGGCTATCCATGACAACCTCGAACTCTCCTGTGCCCATTGGTGCAAGCTGGCCAAGCATGATATTTTCGGACACACCGCGGCAGTCGTCCAGCTCACCGTAGCCAGCGGCTTCGAGCAGGATCTCTACCGTCTCTTCGAAGGAGCAGCGCATGAGTGCGCCAGTGTCACCGCGATTAATGCCGTGGCGCGTGATGGCCATGAGGAGACCACGTTGGGTCATGATGTCGACGAGAATAGCCATGTGACGATGGTTGACGTACGAACCGTCAAACTCCAAGACGTTCGACAGTTCCTTCAAGAGACCAGCCCGCGCAGCTTCGATACCGAGAACGCCGAGAACCTCGATGAACGAGTTGGAGTAAGAGCTAGATGCGTCTACGCCCTCTACGGACAGCACCTCGGCCAGGGCGATACCTGTGGTATCCAAGACCCATTCCACGCAGCGATCATCATCCTTCTTTAGAATCAGAGACTCGTCCTCTTGTTCGAAAACCTTCTGCTCGGTACGGATAAAGGCACGCTCGATGCCCTTGACTCCGCGCAGCGTAACATCGTCCAACAAATGAACGGCGAGCTTGCGCATCCATCGTTCATCCCGGTCTTCTTCGTCGTCCTCGTCTTTCCTGAGATGTTGATCCCATTTAAACCGTACGCGCAACACCTGCTCGTCATCGTTGGGATCTGCTGTGATGACAGCGATGTTGGGAGCAAATTCTTCTTGGATCCTTGCAGATACTTCCCGTATATCGAGGTTTTTATCCAGCAGATGCTTCCGGTCCAGAACAATACGAAGCAGCCATTTGGACTGTGACGCCGTGTCTTCGTCATCAACCAAGAAAGCTGTTTCGAGCAAATCTTGATCGGCCTCGATCAATGTAATCCTTGGATCAGGGTCATAATATAACTCAACAGAGTGCGTCAACGATCGAAGAGTTGTATGTTCGATCCGGCTTCGAAGTTCCTTCGCAGTCTGTTGCGAATGTTGCGGGTGGCTCTGCTTGATCAACATACTGGGCGTCTTGATGTTGGCGGCAATGTTGAGGATTTCTTTCAGGCGAGGAACACCAAGAGTGACATTCTTAGAAGACACACCAGCAAAATGGAAGGTATTCAGAGTCATCTGTGTTGCAGGTTCTCCGATGGATTGGGCTGCAATCACACCCACCATTTCTCCAGGGTGAACGGCAGCCCTCAGGAAGCGATCCGCAATTTCGCCAATGATGTGATTGAAGGCGAGCTTATTCAAGTGATCCTGGGTGACCAGGCGCTTGAAGGCTAAACGAGACCGCAGAAGACATTTGAAGAGCATAGTAGCGCTCTTCTGGGCCTCCAAAGTGAGCAGATCGTCACCTCGAATGACGATGAGCTTCTCGAGCAGGTCGCGGACACCATTGATAACCTCTATCGGGTGGAGATCACTTCGTTGAGAATTCTTGATCGCGAATCGAGTCTTGGCATTGTCCACAATGCGGCTGATGTGGAGAGGTAGGTAGACTTCCTTCTTATCGGTCTTCATTCCCTGTCGCAAGAATTTGCGATCCTCTTCAAGCTGAGCGAATTCTTCATCCAGGTATTGGCCAACCTCAGTATCGCCTTGGATCTCGTTGGCAACCTCCAGCACATCGGCAGGGATAGGTGGCTTGTCACTCATCACATCCATCCTGTAGTCATTTTCAAACTTCTTTCGAGAAAGTGGCACCGTGTCAATGGTCTGTTTCTCGACCTTTGCACCGTCGAGACCGTCTTCACCGTAAACAAATTCGACAATGTCACCCATGGAATTACGAACAGTGCCGTCATACTTGACCATGACGTCTTCAAGTGCTTTGACCAAACGACGCTGGATGTAACCAGTTTCTGCGGTCTTGACTGCAGTGTCAATGAGACCCTCACGACCGGCCATGGCGTGGAAGAAGAACTCAGTCGGAGTAAGTCCACGTAGATAAGAGTTCTCAATGAACCCTCGCGATTCGGGGGAGTAATCGTCCTTTGTAAAATGTGGAAGCGTGCGGTATTTGAATCCGAAGGGAATACGATTACCTTCGACGGCCTGTTGACCGACAAGGGACACCATCTGGGCGATGTTGACGTTCGAACCCTTGGAACCAGAAGTGACTGTTTGGACGACGTTGTTGAAGGGCTTCAGGTTGTCCTTGGCTGCAGTACCACCAGCCTCACGTCCTTCATTGAGAGCTTTCTGTGCTTTGGCTTCGAATGTGCCTCGTAGAGTCATACCAGGGTTCGGTTCTAGTTTGTCCGAAGTTGCGAGCTTCAGAACCTCTGCGACTTCAGCCTTGGCTTTGTTTACAGCCTCCACAATCTTATCGGACGTAGCCTTGTCGGGGACAGCATCTCCAACACCGATACTGAATCCATTGTGAAGGAACCAGTAGGCGACGATGCGCTGCGCAGCATTGAAGAAGTCCACCGCTGCCTGCGGGCCGTGTTCGTTGTATACTATGTGGACGACACCACCAGGAGAAGCGCCGACTTGCTTCTTGACAATTTGGCCCATTACCACTTCACCTCCATGGACAATGACAGATTTACCGCTAAAATCGTTGAACTTATCATCCGCAGAATCACTCGATTGCACGAGGTTGAGGTCGTCCTTGAACGCGAAGCTGATGATCTGCTTACCGGTCCAACGAGGTTTCGGTCTCAGAATAGCCGGAGGAGGAAGAAGGCCATCCCAGTCTGGTACCCACATCATGAGAGGCATGACTTGCTCTCGGGTGAGGAAGACATCTGTGTGAGTCATCTTGAAGATACCACACAAGGTATCTTGCACAATACCCATGAGTGGTTTATTTCCCTGAGGTGAGACGATTTGTAGCGGAACCATGCACAGATTCTTAACCTCAGCGCGCGTTTCATCGCTCTGCGGTACGTGCAGGTTCATCTCGTCACCATCGAAATCAGCATTGTAGGGTGACGTGACGGACAGATTCAAGCGGAAAGTCGAATATGGCATGACCTTGACACGATGGCCCATCATGGATTCCTTGTGCAGAGATGGCTGTCGGTTGAAGATGATGACATCGTCGTCGTTGATATGACGTTCAACCTTCCAGCCATATGCCAATTGCAACTCGCTCAGGTTTTTGTTGTGTTTGAGATCAAGGCGTACACCGTCGGATTTGATGACGAAATTGGCTCCGGGATGGTTGGTAGGGCCGTTGCGCACCAGCTGCGACAATTTGCCGATGTTGAACTTGGTTACAGTTTCGGGATACGTCAAAGTCCTAGCAATTGAGCGCGGCACGCCAACCTGATCCAACGACAAATTGGGATCGCCCGTGATGACAGTGCGAGCCGAAAAGTCTACACGCTTGCCCATCAAGTTGCCTCGTAGACGACCCTCCTTGCCCTTTAAGCGGCCACGAATGGTTTTAAGCGGGCGACCAGACTTTTGCATCGCCTGGGGTACACCGTTCGCGTCATTGTCCATGTAAGTCGCAATGTGATATTGCAGTAGCTGCTCGTACTCCTGTATAGCGTGCTGCGCAGCACCTTCTGCATGCGCCTTCTTCACGTTGCTGTTGGCACGGATAATGTCGCCCAATTTGTAGGTCAGATCGTCTTCACCACGCGCACCTTGGCCAGTGCCATCTACCGAAATACTAGGACGGACTGGAGGCGGGGGCACGGGAAGCACGGTGAGGATCATCCACTCAGGGCGGGCATAGTCGACATTCAGGCCGAGCAGACCGAGTGTGTTGTCGCTGAGGTGTCGGAATGTGTTGAGCGCATCTTGCGGTCTGATTTCCTTCTTCTCGGTGTCTTTGCTCTCTTCCTCGTCTTTCCGCGGCTTGTACGAGGCAGTCAACTTCATACCCTCCTTCTTGATAGAATCGGGCATCCGGTTACCACAACCACCGTGGGGCTGCTTCGGGTTCTTATCAGCTGAGTCCGCTGGGTTGTTCTCGCAGTTCTTCCGCCCCTTGGAAAGTCGCCAGATCATGTCAAAGCGCTTTTTGGGGTCCTTGATCTTGATAGCGGTATTCCAATCTGGGTGATTCTAGTGCTGAGGTTAGCCAAAGCACTCCACTAGGCCGCGATGTTCGTCTTCCATCAGGGAAGACTTACGAAGTCAGCCAAGATTAGACCACAGTTGTGGCACACTGTCTCGAGTAGCTTTTTGATCTTCACAACAAAACCTGAACAAAGTCAGACAAAGCTTTATGAGATGACGATCGTAAGATACTCACCAACATGGAACACGGGCACGGCCAACTCAATGTGGCCAAAATGCCCTGGGCAGGTCTGCATGTCTTCCTGGCATGTGCCACAGACAAAACTGCGATCGATGCTTCCAAGCCGGCTATCATTAAGACCTTGGACACGAGCCTGCTGCTTTTCTTCGTCCATGGTCTCAGGGTAGAGGATGTGAACGACACTCATGGACTTGATCTCCTCGGGTGAGAGCAGCCCGAACTGAATCTCCTTGATAGTGCGCAGCGGGCACTTCGAGACGACGGGGGCTCCCGGAGGCATAATGGCGGATGTGTAGGTTAAGTGCGGCGATTCGCAGTTGACGTACGCAGAGAGCGTAGAGAGCTGGCTATACCGTGTCACCGGTGAGCGCGGGCTGCAGGGCGAGCCGTGAGTGAGGGAACGGCCGCGGTGGCCACGCCGGGGCTGGCGCCTCCTCGGTTGCAAAAAAAAGTGTCTAAATGTACGTAGAAGGGTATGCCACGGGTAGGTATAGTATCGCTGATGCGCCGATGCGCGCGGTGTGATGCGGTCGAAGAATACAGCCTGCGGACAAAGGCTGAGCGGGTCGTGGGCTCGCTATCGGTCACGCGTCGCTGCAGCAGGCAGCGCGGAAAATTTGCGCAGTGGCGGGAGCGCAGACGGGTGCGGCGAGATGTTTGACGCGCTCGCAGGCACCACAGCGGTCGGGATAGATGGGGTGGTGGTGTTGAAGGGGGGGAGTGCAGGAGCGAGAGGCGTTTCAGGCCGCAGAGCAGAACAAGAGGAAGCGGCGAACAAAGGAGCCAAGCCGCGCTATACCTGTTGCATCTAGCGCCAGAATCGCACAACGGCGCACCACTACAGCCCTAGCTGTGTGGCTGTCAATCGCAGCACGCGCGGGCCTCTCCAAGATCGCGATCACGAAGGCATGGAGCGCGCAGACGCAAGATGTGCAGCAAATTGAACGCGCGCGCTACCCTCTACGCTCCAGCCCGCAGCCATGAACCTGTCGCTGGTTGATCCCTTTATCCTCGCGCAGGATTGCCCCGAGGTCATCACCGGCCGTCTGCGTGAGTCCCCCAATATCATCATGCCTCTCATCGTCACCGTGACTGACTCACCCCGCGTGTAGGCAGCGGCCACTCGACGTCGATCCGTTTCAGTCACCGCGGCGACTTGTTAGCCTCTGGCCGGGTAGGCAGCAGTATCAATCAGCATGGGGCTTACGGCTAACGCCGCCAGCACGACGGCATTGTCGTCGTCTTCGACATTGAGACCAACGGCGTCGCCCGCAAGCTGCGCGGCCACACGCGCCAGATCCAATCTCTGAGCTGGTCCACCAACGACCGCTTCCTGCTCAGCGCCGGCCAGGACTGGAAATGCGTGCTGTGGGACCTCAAGGATGGGTCGCGCGTGCGCACCGTCCGCTTCCAGTCGGCCATCTTCATCGCAGAGCTGCACCCGAAAAATCAGTACGGTATCCCGACGATATCATGTATGACGGCTAACACCGCGCAGCATGATCTTCGCAGCTGCTCTGTTCGAAGACCAGCCTGTACTCGTGGACATATCTGCAGAAGTTCCCGTCAAGCACACGCTTCCCACCGTCCCCCGCCGCTCGCAGACTGGACGTGAGAAGGCCACCGAGAAACAGGCAGCACAGGACGCCAAACAGACGACGACCGTAACCGTATTCACTCCCTCCGGCGAACACATCCTCACAGGCACGAACAAGGGCTGGTTAAACATAATTGATGCGAGAACGTACGACACACTATACTCATACAGAGTCACGAACTCACTCATCGTCCTGATACGCATGACGCAGTCAGGCCGCGATGTTGTGTTGAATTCCAGCGATAGGATCATCCGGACATTCCTTCTTCCTGATCTTTGCGATCCAAAGCTCGACTTCGACATGCTGGAGCTCAAAGTCCAACACAAATTCCAAGATCTAGTCCAACGATTGTCTTGGAATGCAGTCACCTTCAGTTCAGCTGGTGATTACGTCGCAGCGACAACGTACATGAATCACCACGTTTACATCTGGGAACGCGGCCAAGGCAGCCTTGTGAAGATCTTGGAGGGAACCAAGGAAGAACTGTCTGTGTTAGAGTGGCATCCTTTCCGGCCTTTTGTTGCCGCTATCGGCGTCGACTCTGGTCGCGTCTGGCTGTGGTCCATTTTACAACCTCAGCGCTGGTCTGCGCTCGCACCGGACTTCGTTGAGGTCGAGGAGAACGTGGAGTACATTGAAAAGGAGGACGAGTTTGATATCCAACCACTAGAGGAGCTGCACAAGCGGAGGCTCGATCAGGAAGATGAAGAGGTCGATGTGCTAACTGTTGACCCTGTCAAGACCAACGCTCAACATGAACCTGGCGAGTTTAGAATGCCTGTGTTGCTAGATATTGAGGCAAGCGACAGCGAGGATGAGATTGTGGCCGTTGGAGCTGGACAGTTCAGACGGCGGAGTCCTGGAGCGGGGAGGGAATACATGAACGATGATGAGGTAACAGCCAGTGGTGATGAGGCAAGGAGGGCCAATGGCTCTACAGCGAGCGGGACAAAAAGGCGAAGGGCGTGAGTCTTTCTAGCTGCTTTTGCCCACCATCAACATGAGATGCGTCGTCGTCCTGGGTGCGAAACCGAGTTTCTAAGAGCAGTGTGGAGCTCAAACACAACGGCAATGGCCGTCAACCACATGGGTCAACCACATGGGTCAACCACATGGGTCAACCACATGGGTCAACCACATGGGTCAACCACATGGGTCCGCCACTCGGCGCGAACCGTCTATAACGAGAGACAATACCCACAGGTTCTTGATATAGCAGTGCAAAGGAGGCAAATGCAAGATAAAAGGCCTGCAGCGATCCATTTTTTTTTTTTAGTGAAAGACGAATAAGTAAAAGGGTGTAGTAATCATTATCATCTCATATTAATTTACCATCCAGTCTTCTATCTCGAACTACTTTAGCTGTTCAGCACCCCAAGCCATGTGTGAAGCTACAGCCCTACGAACCCCAAAATAGCTACCACGTTGATCGGCGCCACACCTAATTATAACAGGCGCCCTCCCCTTCCAATGAACTTCGCATATGACGCAACACTGGTATCTAGCCATTGTGCGGTAGGAGTACAGTTTCCACGAAGTGCGACGAGTCCCTCGGGTTTATGAGATTTTTGTTTCTTTGTTGAGGGACAAGTTCAAATAATAAGACTTCGTATCGTAAGTAGAAGAGCGCGCAGCTGGGATGGTGTGGGTGTGCCTGTGAAGCGAAAGAAGCTGCATACGCTCTTCAGCAGGACTAGCGATCGACTTTGCAGCATGAGCAGCATTTATGATCAGACAGCTCGAATTCGACGTTGTTCCCACAAAACAGTGTCGATCGTACAGTCTTTCACATGTTCTAGCCCGCCGTGAGGTTGCGATAGGCGTACCGATCTTGTACTATTACCCGACCGTCGCAACGCCACTCCCAACTACCTACACACCACAAGCGGCCTCGCATGTTGCACACCGCGTCCCCCTATCTTTCGTATCGCGACCAGCTCTCCTCTCCCGGGTTTATCCAAGAACTTGCCGGCAACGCCATGCACAAACACGACATGTTTCAGATGCTGAACCAGCCACCGGCGAGGCTAGCAGATTCCCCTGTTCGCTCACCTCCAAATCGAGCATGGCGAGAATACCTAGTTTAGCACCGCGGCCGTGCATGCATGATGTAGCCATCCCTTCTTTTAACCGAGTGAGAAGGTCTGCAGGGTCCAAGATCTGAGACTGTGACGGACGGTCGAGAACAGCAAAGTGGATAAGTCCACTGCGACTCTTAAAAGCTCCGTCAGCCTCCGTACTCGGTCCTTCGTTCTTACCTCATCGTAGTTCTTCTTGGTCGCGAAGTGTGTGTTGTCACTCGTTCTTTCCATGTTCTGAGTTTTCGCCGCACAATATATATCCTTACCCTAGGGCCACGCTCGCTTCTCCTACTGGCCATCTGCCTTGCTCGACGGGGTATCTTACTTGCTGCGATCCTTGCTATCATCTTAAAAGGCATCTTAACGGACATCGAATACTTCTGGTTGCTCAGCTTGGTCGACGTTGCCACATCCGGCGCTTTTGTCTGGTCTATACCCCACGCAAGGGACGCATTCTTCATTCTTCAACAGTGCATTGTGCAACCGCACACTTCTTCCTTCAAAATACTTGTTATTCGAGCAGACTCTATCGTTACGTTATGCTTTTGAAGCGCGTGCTGGCTGCGGCCCTGGCTTGTGGGTTTGCGGCGGCGGCTCCTGCGTGAGTGTTTTCTTAGTTATCCGTAAGCACATGCGCGTAGAATGTGCTTGCGCAAGCCTGTTTGGAGCAGGAGCAGAGTGTCACACGCGCCCCCTCCGCACCACAGAACAAGATCCCTCTCGTAACAGACAGCTAACCAGATCTAGCTCCAAACGTGGCGTCGCCTTCGCTTGGGGGTCCGAGAAAGTAAAAGGTGTAAATATCGGCGGATGGCTCGTTCTGGAGCCTTGGATAACGCCATCTCTCTTTGATAAACTCGGTCGCAGCGATATCCTCGATGAGTTTACTCTAGGTCAAAAGCTTGGGAAGGCTGCTGCACTTAAGATTCTGCAAGAGCACTGGGATTCTTGGGTTACGTTTGAAGACTTCCAGAAGATCAAGGATTCAGGATTCAATCTTGTGAGGATACCGATTGGGTATTGGGCGTATGATACACTGGACTCGCCGTATGTCAAGGGCGCCGCACCTTACAGTATGTGACTCCCCAGTGCGAAAAGACGATGTCATCTCCCTCCTCGCTCGCGTAGCACACGCTGACTCTGTCCACAGTCGATGCCGCCATCGACTGGGCCCGAGGCCTCGGCCTGAAAGTAATGATAGACCTCCACGGTGCTCCAGGGTCCCAAAATGGCTTCGACAACTCCGGCGAACGCATCTCCGCTCCGACTTGGACAACCGGCGACACAGTCCAACAGACCCTGGAAATCTTCTCCACTATCTCAACCAAGTACGCCCAACCGGAATACCAAGACGTGATCGTGGGCATCGAGCTCCTCAACGAGCCTTTAATCCCTAAATTAGATGAAGGTACCGTCCGCCAATTCTTCCGGGACGGCTTTGGGAGGTTGAGAGAGACGTCGGACACCCCCATCGTCCTGCACGACGGTTTCCTCCCCACATCAAACTGGAACGGCTTTCTGACCCCATCCGATAACAACGCGCAAAACGTCGTAATGGACCACCATGAATACCAAGTCTTCACCGACGCCCTCGTCGCGCTCTCTCCCGATGCCCACGTCTCTGCTGTTTGCTCTGCCTCCGGCAGCTACTCCGGCGCCGACAAGTGGACCGTCGTGGGTGAATGGACGGGCGCAATGACCGACTGCGCGAAGTACCTGAACGGCCTCGGCATCGGGGCCCGATACGATGGGACGTATCCCGGCTCGACCAAGGTTGGGGATTGCAAGTGGCAGAACGACATCTCCAAGTGGCCTCAAGAGTACAAGGACCAGACGAGGAAGTATATTGAGGCGCAGATGGGGGCATTTGAGACGAGGGCGAATGGGTGGGTGTGGTGGAACTTCAAAACCGAGAGTGCACATGAATGGGACGCTTTCGCGCTCATTGATGCAGGGGTGATGCCGCAGCCATTAGAAAGTAGGAAATTTGAGGTCATATGTTGAGATAACGGGGGGGTTTTTGGAAATACATAATGAGTCTAGAGGTGTTCGCGGGTGTCGGTGTACCACGGGACATAGTTGGGTAGACCGACTTCTATTCGTAGTGTGTATTGTGGCGGATAGTGGACATAGTATAACGTACATAGAGAATCTCACAACGTATACGCTTGGTGACCGCTCTCTATACGCTGGGTGAGGCATTATTGCTTCCTAGAGTGTCAAATAATGGCAATCTGCTCGGAGTGCGATTACTCAGCCTAAGAGTGGGACTCAAGGCGTGAAGAAAGACTCGACACCTATGGGTTCATGTTTAGGGCTACAGGTAACGATGTTTGCAATAGCAATCATATTGAAGAGATGTTCGATATCCTCCATTTTGATGCATACATGTCAAGGCACGTGTGATAGTAGGCCAAGCTCAAGACGGCGGACAAGAGTTCGTGGTGGTCATAGAAGGCGAAGTACATCGTGAAGCGCCAGCCGCTTATTGCGGTCCCCGAAGACACAGACAGTGGCCGTATGCCCACAGCGCTGGCTTGCGGTGCGCGGGTGCCTCCAGAATTACCCCGATATTGCGAGTCTGCTGCGCACGATACGCGAAACAAGTCCAGTACGGAGGCCGCATTGCAGTAGTCCAACACATCGACGAGAACGTACTCATATAGACGTCGCTCTGAATCCTGGAGCCACTCGCTCTAGAGGACCCGCGTGCCTTCGCGCATGCGCGTTGCTGGAATCGTACGGATCATTTGGAAGTCGGAACGAGGAGCTACAGGCTGAGACCACCTATGTAGCTTAGCAGATCGTTAAGGATGCCACAAGAGCAACTGTGCGACTATAATTCAATTGTCATGATGGTTGATGGAAGCACCGTGGACATCCGGACGCGCGCTGCTTGCTGCTTTAGGCGTAGGGCAATTGTACCCCTCCTTGTCGCTCGACACTTTCCCTGCCTTCCTTCTTTCTTATTCCTTTCCATCGGCTTCGCATCTGTTTAATCAATGGTCTGATCGCCAATGAAGAAACAATACTTGTTCGCATGCCGTCAACTTCCAACACATCCTAGTTCCAGCAATGTAGTCGCGACGCGGAAACTTTCCGCCGAGCCTGTATCAGGCTATATATCACATTGGTGGCCGACACAGTAGTTTCTCCGTCCGAGACTGCTCCGGATCGTCGGTGCATCCCAGGGTTACTTTGCACGTCATGGAATAGATCTACCCCTCAAATAAGGGCAGTTGATGGAAACGGCAGGTAGAGATGTTGCGCTATCTGTGTGATGGTGTATATCAGTGTCAATGCCTTCTAGAATGGTTCACGGCGGCGCAGTATCGCTCAACGCCTGCTCTGTTTTTGTGCAGCACGCATTCCCAGGATGTTACTCTCGACTTTGAGAGTGTTCCTAGCGGGAAGCCTCGCGGCTTTCGCAGCTGGGCAGGATAATCTCGGGCTCTCAGGTGGCTATACTAACTTACAGTCTACTGATTTCAAGGGCACGATCGTCAAATCTTCCGGGACGCTTGCATCCCTCAATTCAAGCCGCACAGGCTTCAACTTCTTGCCAACAGATCTGATATCGCAGCTAGCTCAAAATGGTGCCCACCACCTTGGAGATGTTACTTTTCGATATCGGACCTCAAGTAGCGCATCCTGGACTAGTGTCGATACAGCCAGCTCTAGGAAAGCGGTCACACAGTTGACAAGCCTGGGAGCTGGAGTGATCGCTGGTGCAGACCTAGCACCCACGCTTGGAACGGCCCGTCCATTTAAGGTCACCCGAGAATGGCTTACCTCCGGCAGTGGTCTTGCCTTGAGGTTCAACTTTACGAACACCGGTACAACCTCCATCGAGCTCGGAAGCTTGGGTCTGCCAGTCGCTATCAACAACATCTTCACCAACCGCCTCGCAACCGATACGCAAGCGAAGTGCTCTTTCGCCGACCCTTACATTGGCCTTGATGCAGGATTCATCCGAGTAACACCGTTGTCGGGAACTGGAAATGCGCTTGTCCTTGCTCCGCTGGGTTCAAGCAATTTCGAGGCGTGGCGCTTCCTATCAGAATCGTCGGGCGCTTTCGGCTACCAGGGACAGACCTATGAAGGCAACTATGAGTGGCAAGTCCACAGCCTGGCATATGCACAGAATGAGTGGAAGAGTACTACACCCTGGAACAGTGCTACATCAAAGACGCTCGCTGCTGGAGAAGTTTACTCTGTAGGAGTCAAGTTCGTCCTGGCTGACTCCATCCAAACCATTGAAGATGCCGTGGTAAAGAGCGGCACGCCCCTCGCAGTTGGTCTACCCGGCTATGTCGTACCTGCAGACCTCACCGCAAGGCTGTACCTCAACTACTCGTCCGCGGTCAAGAGTATCGATGCAGCTGACTTCACCATCACGGGACCCTTAAACACATCAGCCGGTGCACAGTACTCGCTTACACCCAAAAGCTCAGCATGGGGAAGGTCGCGCGTCACTGTTACATACGCGGATGAGAAGAAACAGACAGTACATTACCACATCACGAAGACCGCAGCTTCGACACTCGCAGATATGGGTAACTTCTTCACGACCAAAGCGTACTTCAACAAAACAGATCCGTTCAACAGGGCACCGTCCATCATGACATATGATCACGAAGTTGGTGCTATCGTAGAACAAGATAGCCGCGTTTGGATTGCCGGCATTAGCGACGAGGGTGGAACTGGTGCCTATGTCGCAACGGCGATGAAAGAGTTCATACAGCCCAACGCCAAGGAGGTCTCGCTGTTTGATGACTTTATCCAAGACACCGTTGTGGGCACGCTTCAGCAGAACGCAAGCTTGGGTGTCGTTGCCAGTGCTTTCTACTACCAGCCTGGCGCAGTTTCCTACACGTACGACTCAGCTTTGGATTGGACTACCTGGACGTCCTGGGATAAGACACGCGCTTACACGACGCGAAGAGCGTACAACTACGTTCACCCCGTGGCTGCGTACTGGTCCATGTATCGTGTTGCAAGGAATTACCCCGAACAAAAGCTTCGGCAAGATTGGTCATGGTATCTGAACCGAGCTTATAACACCACGCAATACTGCCTTTCGAACCAGTCCGCAAATTGCGACTATGGCCTTGTTGGGCTGATGGGCGAATGGGTGCTCGGCGAACTTCTGGAAGACCTGAAGCGCGAAGGTCTGACCACCCAAGTGACCGCCCTAGAAACGACAATGCGCTACCGCGCTAACCTATGGGAAACCGAAGCCGTCCCCTTCGGCAGTGAAATGGCCTGGGATTCTACGGGGCAAGAAGGCGTGTACTATTGGACCAAGTAACCTGCCCCATATCGCCCATACTGCCCTTACTAACGCTCCCTAGCTACTTCAAGCTCGCTACTACCCCTACCAAAGCTATAAACTCTATCTTTGGCTACATGCCTACCGTCGCTCACTGGGGCTGGAATGGCAACGCGCGCCGGTACTGGGACTTCAACTACGCCGCGAAAATCGCACAAACAGAGCGTCAACTCCACCACTACGGGTCTGGTCTGAACTCGCTCCCCGTGCTCAACTACTATGAACAGCATCCTGCAGATCTGTATGCGCTAAGAGTGGGCTTTGGAGGTAATATGGCGCCCCTAACGAACATCCACCAGGATGGGTTTGCGAGCGCGGCGTTCCATAGTTTCCCAGAGCTGCTCAAGTGGGATCCATATAGTGGAGATTATGGACCAGGATTCTTGGGACTAAGTTTGGGACAGTGTGTATACGTTCTTACTGGAACGAAGTATGGAGACGTTGCGTTCGGCGGGAACCTCCTTTCCACGTCCGGGGCTTCTACAATCTCGGTGGCGCCCAGGGATGCCGTCAAACGCCGCGTGTTCGTCGCAGACCTAGGGCTTAAGGCTGAGATTAGCGCTGGTATCATCTCCAAAGTGGACTTTGATAAGACCGGCAGCACGGTTACACTGACGCTTGCAAGTGCGGCGCAAACGGCGGACCTGCAGGCTAAGGCGGCGATTGTTTGGCTGAAGAAGCCAGCAAGTTCGACTGTAGGCTATAAGGTTGATGGGGCGAGTACGGCTAGGGGCGGATGGAGTGTGGACTTGTCGAGTGGGAAGGCGACGGTGAAAATTGTGAAGGTGTAGGTGGTGGTAGTATGTTAGCTAGAGAGTGACGGAAGTGATATAACGCCACCATATGCTTATCGTTGAGTCAATTTTCGCTTGATTGCTGGTGGAGCTTTGGCCTCGTATTGCTCGCTTGCTTTTCTTGTGTTGGTGCTTCGCTGGAGCACATATACAAGCAGCTTGCACATTGGGCGTGGGATTTTTTTGTTCCAGACATATAGACGCATGGTGCTTCTCCCGCCAATCTCTCCGCATATCTTGTCGGAAATTATATAGATCGAAGCTCCTGGTCTCGCTATCTTTTGGTGGGCATTCTGAAAAGGTTTATCAGTGATTATTTGCGTAGGCGATGTCCGTTCACAGCACCAATTCAAAGACAGGTGGTATCGGATTAACCGCCTATAATGTACATAATGTGTTTATCAAAAGAGTCAAAAACCCGAGTAGAACTCGAGGAAAAGCACGGATTTCCTACTACGACTGTGTAGGCTAGTTGATCACCAAGAGTTACCACGGTGCACGGATCTTGAACCTGTGTGTGAACACTTCGCTAACGATGGCTCGTGTCCTATCGTCTGTGGCCTATGATGTATATCCGTCGTCCACAGTCCCAAAAGGACCTCACTCCACTCTGCAATCGAATTGCAGAGGTCAACATGCCGTTCACTGGATTACTGGTGGAGCCCAAAGACGATATGATCGCGCATTTCGTGCGAAATGTCAGTGTCGTATGCGCGTGGTCTGTTCAGTCTACCTCGAGTATCGGTGCTTTTTGAAAAGAAACGTGCTACCTCCCACAGTATTGAGTGAGATATGTATACTTTCCCGATAAGCTAATTAGCTATATAGCGGTAAGATGAGCTTCTTAGTAGTAGGTATCCCTAGAGCTTTACTAACCAAGGAGTCTGATTAGTTAGATAGTCGATGGGTCACATCTACTCGCCCCGAAAGCAATTCCAGCACCGTGGGAGGTCGCAGATTCCTTTCGTAAGCGATAACAATCCAGTGGAGAGAATCCTGTGCATTTGTGAAATTAACTCGATTCAGAGGATTTCGGAAACCCCATTCACAAGGAGATCATTGACCACGCACCGATGGAAGCCTTCCGAGTCAAGAGCCCATGAAAATCAGGTACGACTTGCGATCGTTCTACCGGCTCAAATCCTATCGTTACATTGAATACAAAACAAAGCAGAATTAATGTTGCGGGCTGGATAATTTGCTGGCAATCATCTATCACACGCCTACCAGCGGTCGTACGATGATCGCAGGCGAGGAACGAAGACAAGCTGGCTACTATCGAGCAGTTAATAAAGCACATTGTGGTTTGCCACAATATACGACTTTTGATGCTTATTTGAGAAGTCTAGTGTATCAATTATTTCTGAATAACAGCGCTGCGGTATTAAAAGTACAGTAAATAAACAATGCGCCAATCTTACAAGCTGCAGAGACGGAAACCCTTGCGGGACCTGTTCTACTAGTCTCAAACTCCGGACCCCGGACGTTGTATGTGAGTCTGCTATGCAGCCTTCGTCTTCTTCTTGTTCTTAGGCACTCTGCATAGCCAATACAAGGCCGTAGCTGCCGCAACATTGAAGACGACATACACCCACAACAGCCCAAAGTCTCTCCACCGATTGTCCCAGGTAGCATTGATCTGCTGCAAGAACTGATCAGTGCTTGATAGCTGACAGAAGCCACAGGTATCGGTCGCGCTTGGATCCTGAAGATATCCACCAGCCATATTGATGTAGTCCTGCATGTACTGACCGCAGGATTGGTTTGGCGGCGGCGAAAAATTCTGGAACTCGTTCGGCGAGCAATACACGTCCGCCTGTCCTAGCGCTGTGCTCATGAGAGAGCTCACCAGATAGGTGAAAGGGTTTGCGCGGTACATAAAGATCCAAAAGCGAGGGAGCTTGTCCGGTCCAGACAGGATGCCACAGAAGGCGTAGAGCATGATGCTCATCAACGTTGCGATACCTCCCGCAACTTCTTCGCTGGGTGCGCCAGCAATCAGCATGTGAGCAAACGAGCTAGCAAAAAGGAATGTCGCAACGATGATGAGGAGGATTCCGAAGCTTCGGATGTTCACAGCATCTGTAGGCTCCGCGTTGCGGTACAGGCCTACAGGATAGAACCATACTAGGAAGCAGAAGATACCCATGATCTAGATTGAATTAGCAGGCATGACAGCAAGAACGATGATGCAAAAGTGGCTTACAAGATTCCAAAACATCTCAACGAAGATGTTGGAGAAGAGAAAGACTTGCCACATGTAGGTCTTCGATTGACGTTCACGCGCCTCATACAAGGTTCGCTGCACAACGAAGTTGGGCATGATCTGATACAGAAGCTGGATGACGACGAAGAGAAACACAAAGATTCCAAACATCTGTTCAAGTTCACACTTAATACAAAAACATCTTCGTAGTCTTTGAAGTGCTTACCTGGTTCTGGAGTCCTTGGATTGTGTTCTCCATCTTGAAGAACGAGAAGCCGATGAACAGGGACTAGTAATAGTCTGTTAGCACCAGATTCATGATTACAGTGTGACCGTCAACTTACGCAGCCGATGGAGAGCAGAGCTTTAGAGTAGATGTACGAAGGAGTTCGCCAGTATTGCTGAGCACACCGATTGGCAACAACGAGGAACTGTGTGGTAAACGGCGCGGCAAACTCTTGGTAGCTGGAATCATCTGTATCCATGACTGCGGATGGCTCCTTCCGGAGCTCCCTAAGCCTTGCAAGTTCTGTGTGGATCTCCGCATACTCGGCGGAAGACTTCCATACCGTAGGCCAATCGATGTCTGTGTGAGTCGAACCTGGGGTCGCACCTATAGCGTCTAGCATGTACTCGGCAGGATTCATACTCAGGTCGTACTTCGCTCCACCATTGCGTTGGAAATAGTCGATGAGAGTGTGCGACTCGCGCCCAATGTCTCCGAAGTAGACCGTACGGCCGCCCCTGGCCAGTAGAAGGAGGCGATCGAAGCGTTGAAACAACATCGCGCTGGGCTGATGGATAGTACAGAGAATCCTACATTGGTCAGCTCGCGCTTGGTCTGTTAGTAAGAGCAACACTAACGCCTGTCCATTCTTCGTCAACTTCTCCATCAGGTCGCAGATCGACCACGAAGTCTGACTGTCCAGACCAGAGGTCGGCTCATCAAGGAAGAGTAGAAGCTTTGGTCTGGCAGCGATCTCAACTCCAATGGTAAGTCTCTTTCGCTGTTCAACGTTAAGACCTTCACCTGGCACACCGACAACAGCATCGGCGTAGTCCTCCATGTCTAAGAGACGAATGACCTGGTGCAGGTCAGCGCAAGCACTTGCTTACATCAAGCTAGATGGAAGCCTACCTCGTCGACATATGCCAGTTTCTCTTGTCGGGAGTAGTCTGCTGGCTGGCGTAGCAGGGCGCTGAACTCGAGTGCCTCGCGTACAGTGCTGCTATGAAGGTGTATGTCTTGCTATTGGTGGGTCAGTCTCTGTGGTATATTCACTGCGCTTGTTGACGTACCTGCATGACGTATCCCGTCTGTCTCTGGAATGACCCATCTCGTTCCCGACCGTCGACGAACATTGATCCGGAGATGACACCCATAGTCGTGCGGCTCGCGAGGACATCCAGTAATGTAGTTTTTCCGGCTCCACTCACACCCACTGTACCTAATAAGCCAAGATTAATAGTGTGGTGTCGGCTGCTTACTCAAGGCTGTCAGAGTACCTGGCTTTACCCAGCCGTCGACGTTCTGCAGAATCTTCCTAGTTTCGCCCTTGATTTGCACCTCATAGCAGACATCTTCCCAATGGAAGATACTCCGCTGCTTCTCCACCTTTGAGGCAGCGTCGCTGTCACTGCTATATTTATCGGTTTGTACGGCAGTATCTCTCCCGGTTTCTTCATCAAGTCTATGACGCTTTGCCAGGGCTTGAAGATTCTTGCGCCGAAAAACGAGGACTTCTCCCTTAGAGCGAGCAGAAGCAACTAGCTCGGACGTGATAAGGTGCAGTGCGGCGAGACCGATAATGAACACAACGATGATCCCAAAGTTGCGCCACCGGTGGGCGTACTGATAGTCATACGTAGTGCTCGCGAATGCCGTCCCGTTGACATAGTTGGCGCCGGCAACGGCACCTTTGACGGCGCAGGCTCGCTGACTGGGAGTAATACCCTCGTACGAGGGTCCGGATGGAATGAACTGCGCGCACGGAAATTGACGGCCATTGAACTCATTCACAATCACGCTTTCGAAGCCGTAGGATATGGGGTTGAGATAGCGGATCCAACTGGCCCAGCTATACTTGGTTAGCTCTCGAGCTCCAGTACTGCGACAATGACTCACCCTCTCATATCGGCTACGGGGATAGCGAATCCGGTGTACAACACGAGTCCCATCAAAATGATAGACGACGGGGCTAGCGCTTGAGCAATAGTCTTGGTGATGGAAGCAAAAAACCTAACGTGGTCAGTGAGGCGGCAATTGTTTGGGCGGACACCCTACCTGAAGAACATTGACATCGAAAGCAACATCGAGAAGGCGATAAGAAAAAAGAAGAAGAAAGCTCCTGCATCGCGGCGGAGATTTGCCATGAAGTACAAAGTTGTGTTGACGAGTGTTGCATTCGTGATCTTGTAGGGTAACTCCACGATCATACTAGCCATGGCTTCGGCACTCGGGTGATATAAAGCGTAACGATTGTGCTAGACATCTGGTCAGCTCATGATAGTTCACGGGCCACGAAGTCTGTCGCACCTTCTCCACGATCTCTCGCTTTGCATACAGAGAGAATATCTCTAGCATGCTGCCAAAAGCATTCAGGAGCACCTGCAAGTGTCAGTTACCGGGACTCAAGGGCTAGCGGCCCAGGCAGCAACGTTTAGCAAGGTACTGACCATCATGAAAAGGACAGCGCCTCGGGAGAAGAAAGAAGAAGTGTCGCCTGCCAGGTTGAAAAAGATGCTCGCGATTATCAAAGCCTCGACAAGATTGATGACAAGCATTGAGATTGGCACCGCTGGGTCAGCCTTCAGGCGTTGCACGTCTCGCCACATGCAGAGCTTAATTTGGCCAAAATATGACAGCGTATATGGCGAGCGCTCGCGCTGAGCTTTGGACTTCTCCAACTTCCTCGCCGCGGCGAAATTGCTGTGACCGACACCGTCCAGAGGGTGCTCACGACTGTACTCATCGATCTGTGCCCAGAGAAGCTTCCGTTCATCACTTTGTTGCCAGCATCTTGCGAATTCATCGGAGGTCCTTGGAACGCGATCCTCGAATCCGGATTTGACGATCCGCTCGGATGGAGAGGTCATAGACGTGAGAAAGTCGGGGACAGTCTGTGCATCGGGGCACACAAAGCCAAGTTGCTCAAAGTAGCCTTTAGCGCTTTGTGCGGGTCCGAAATAGATCTGTCGGCCCTCATACAGAACGGTGACCTTGTTGAATAGCTAGATGGAATATATCAGCGATGATACACCATAACAGATTTAGACTGGCTCACATCGTAAGCGGCTTGTGGTGCTTGGTAGATCGCCACGAAGGTGGAAGATGCGAAGACGTCGCATTGGGTGCGAAGCGTTTTGCAAAATTCAACGGCGTTCGCAGAGTCCAGACCACGAGTGGAATTATCCCTACACCTCTGTTAGACCAAATGAACGCACCCGTAGCTTTCGTAGATGCCGCATCGTGGACGACTTACCAACATTGAAGGGGCGCGTAACTCAGAGCGGCTTCGGCAATGGTAACCCGCTTCCGCTCCCCTCCGCTCACTCCACGTACAAAGTCGTTTCCGACGCGGGTGTTCATCGTGTGGCTGATGCCAAACATGGCCATGATGACGTCTCGAAGATGCTCCGCATATTGTTCGCGAGAGACACCGCCTGGAATCGTGCGAGGCGTGCGGGCGAGACTGCAATACGCTCCATGTCAGCAATTTACTTATGGGGTAGAGGTCACTTACGCGGCAAAGTACAATGTGTCTCCCACCGTTAATTGAGGGTAGTGCCTGTCAACCTCCGCTGTGTATATGGCTTCCCCACGAAACTGTTTGTGCATCTCTGCTGGTGCGATGCCTTGGTAGTTGATCACCGAATCAGGGCTGACCTTGAAGCCATGGGTCTCCCCAGATATTGTCTTGAGTAGCGTAGAGCAGCCGCTGCCGGGTGGTCCCAGTACGCAGCATTGTTCTCCAGGAAGTACTAGTCCATCCAGGTCACGAAGAATATCGATCTTCTGCGCACCTCTCCCAAAGATCGCAGGTAGCTTGAGAACAGCATTGGCAACACTGGACTGAAAGTCGGTAGGCGAGCCAATGCCCGAGACATTTAGGTTCTTGAAGGCTACGCCAGCTACGCGCGCTGGTACATCTGAGCTATATCTAACGTTGTAGAAAGCCTTCGCCCAGGATCGGGCATTGAATGTGGGAGAGTTTGGATCGAGATTGGAGCCTTTGCTCGCTTGGAATGGTGATTCGTGGTGAGACTGATGGGACTGTGCAGTGAACTTGCGCGCTAGCGAGACAACAGCATTCTCATGTTGCTGTTCTTCCTCTTGTGGTGAGCGGACATCGACATTGGAACTCGATCTTGATTCATTGCAACCCTGTTCAACCCACTCCTGCTCCTGCTCCTCCACCTCTTCGTGTACCCTGAGGCCCGCAGACATTGCGAAGCAACGCGTCACACTGGACGCAAGAACAAAGGGAGGAAGCTGGTCGTGGGGTCTCAAGAGACGCTCAGCTTGTACAGATTTGGGAACAGATGCGGAAACAGTTTGCGAGAATGAGTCGAAGTGATGCAAAGTAGCTGCAAGCCAAAGAAGAAGCACCAACACGAAGTGGATGATGGTAACGTTCTGACTACAAGCTTATAACCGTTTCAAGGAAAGTTTTGATCGCTGATTGATACGGAGGCCAAGTTTCGCACGCGTTGCGCGCGCACCGAGCGCCAAGGCATGTTGTTTGCCCAAGAGAGCAAGCGACGAGGCTGGACATGAACTCGTCACGTCTTTCATCTGACATGCCTATAGATCAGCGAGTCCACCATTGACTGGCGCTGTGGCGCAGAACAAGCTTCTTGGAAGCGGAAGTCGACCGATGGAAACCTTGGTGAAGCCAGACGGTTGTTGGTGGGCCTTCGGGGGGCGGTGCCAGTAAGAGAATTGTTCGCGGCGCCCGAGGACACCGGCCCGGGTTTCCATCGGGTGTCCGTGCACTCGGAGTCTAAACTCAAACAGCAACAAAGAAGGGACGATGTAGGAAATTCGTGCTGGCGGAACTACGTAATGGGCACGGAGAGAGCCATCAATGGAAGACGAAGGCGAAGTCTGCACAATCAGCGGTACCTACTACCTACGGCACCAGTCCATTTTGCGCATGCAAGGAGCCCATGCTAGTCTTTCACCCTTTACGGTACACCGCTTATGAGTTCTTTAAAGCATTCAGCGTCGAGGCTAATGCGTTTATCACGCTTGTATGAGTCCACCGGCCCCAACTCGTGGTCGTGGTCGTATAACCGTGTCGAATACAGGTGTCAATATTGAAACAGAAGATGTGTAGTAGAAACACACACATCGCCCATAGTTGTGACCTCTTGAAGCCAATCTTCTGAAGAGTCTTGAATGATACATAGCGGGTCGATCCAAGGATAATACATTCCAAGATTACAGACGGCATCTATAGCATTTGCAAGGTCTTGGAACATGTCTAGAGCTGCGGCCAGATGTTAGAGCTTTGACACTAGTCTTGAGGAGTTTCGTTGGTGGGTGAGATCCCCGACGGTGACTGAGTGTCATGTATGGTTTCTGAGACCCGAAGGTATGCTGCTCGGAGAAAATATGTACAAGAGTCGCGTCGGCTGCCAAACGCCATGCATTGTTCGTGATTGTGTAAGCATTCGGAGAGCCACAGCAAGACATACAAGGCCCTGCGACTCACACCATCCGCTGGGCGATGACAAAACAAACTATCGACTTCGGCTGACCTTGGTATTAGTGAGCCACGACTCAGGACATTAATTACCGAGAAGTGTACCGAACACCCGCCACAGTTCAAAAGTAAATCCACCGATTCTTAAGAAAACTTTGGCAAATAGAAAAGATCAAAGTTCCCACCAGCAATCTGCTGTCTCGTTCGTGGTCTGATTGGGAATGTGCGTTCAGAGTGAAAGATATAGAAGTAGGGCAATCCTTCATTACAGCTCCGTTATTTGACTGACTCCCTAATCCTGGAACACACGAAGCATCCTGCCTCTGCCGGAATGCGAAGGTCGCAGAGGCATGGGTAGTGCCCCTTGCCCCTGAAGCGCTGTGGGAGCCCCCGCCCCCTTTGAAGATGGTTGCACACCTGTCGCAGAGCAGGCTAGAGAACGCAGGGCCGAGTCAATCCCAACATTAGCTTGCATCAGGCAGATAGGTAGGCCCGTGCTAAGCTGCGGTCGACCAACCACACATTGGCTTAAGTAACGACGCTGGGGACTAATTTCTGCCGCTCGGGATCATCGTCGTGATACAGCACAACTTTCCGCTTCTGAAAGCTTGCATACTTGGCTGTTTCAAGGCGTCACGGGAGAGATCTCGTCCTTATCGCGAGTTTGTGGTAACGGCGCCGACGCAAAGTCATAAGATCCCACTTGGGCAAAATCATCCCTCCCGGAAACCTCCAGCTTTAAGCCCTTGGTAGGCGAATCTCCCGATCCCTTGCTCACAAAATGGGATTCGATCAGTGTCGGACACTGCGTGTCCTGACTGCCAATGCTGGTAACCGCCAATCGATCCCGGCGAGTATGAGCAGTCGGCATGGACGGCCCAGTCGCCTGAGACATCCGTGCGTTATTGCTATGCGTCGTAGTCCGCGAGGCTGGGTAATACGACCACGGCTGAGGGCTTGAACCGTTAAAATCGTCTATCTCGAAAAGCTCGCGAAGGATGGTCCATGTGAAAGGTATGTTGGCGACTATGATGGCCATAGAGAGTTCTCGAAGGTACCAGGACAACCAAGTGTGTATGTACGGGTCGTGAATTCCGTAGTAAGCGCTCAACACCGCTGCCGCTATGGTGAATAAGCCCAGCGAGAAGATGAAGCAAAGGACAAGTTTTCGCTTGAGTGGGAAAGAAGACCGGACAAGCATCTGGAGTGCGATGCATAACATGATGAGATCCGAGGATATGTTGAACACGGTCTTGGTGATGCGATGGTCGACTAAGGTATCGCATTGCTTGGAAGCAGTCGGCGTCGCGTAATATTCGGTAAACGGACGACACCAGGCGACGAAGTAGAGAACCTCCATAACAACGAAGCCAAGAACTACGTAGGCCGCTAGAAGCTTAATTGCGATGTGCTCTTGATGCAGCGCTGTGCGTGTCAAGCGGTGGTACATGACGAGGAGGCACCCCTTGCAGGCCCAGATGACAAGGACTAGCATCTGCTCCACGACGATCATGAGTCTGCTACCGTAAACGCGTCGAGAGATATCATACACGCTTAGTGCGCTCCAGTCGAAGCCAGGCGGCTCGAGGTTCGAGCCGGCTTTGAGATACTTGTTAGAAATCACAATGAAAGTCGTGTAGCACGTCGTGACGAACAAGCCCATAACCCAATCGTCAATCTGGAGATGGTTGATAGAGCGCAAGAGTAGTCTTCTGGATATTCTGCGAAAGATCAGTCAGTTGCAGTCTCGGTCGTTGACTTATTGAGGAAGTCACTTACAGCCTCGCGCCTATCATGGCAAGAACGACAATCCACCATATCCATGATTCTCCGCTATATGGTGTCTTCGACATGGCAGGCTTTATCCGTCCGGTCGCCTATAGTCGCGAGGTTGTCGTGGGTGCATATTGTAATGTAATCGGGGGAGGACTATCTGCGGCAGGCTGGGTGGTCGTTTGCCTTATGAGCAGGACTCGAGGGTGCCAACCACGGGAGAAGGTGAAGGTGAAGGTGAATGCGGGCGTGTTATCGATACACGGCGTCTCGTCGAGCGAGGCTTTGGGCTCGGACGTGCAAGCAGTGACTGAGATCAGGTGTTGTGCAGGAACCCGACGTGGACCCCGGAGGATCCGCTCTACTGTTTGCGGGGTACTTCCACGCTACGGGTCACTACGGCCACCTTCCCGGCGACACATCATTTACTGTATTCTTACGCGTGGTCTCGGATGCTTGAGCGCTTCGAAGTGCCAGGCCTAAGAAATGGTTGCTTATCGTGCTCGAAGCGGTATACCATGCATCGACAAGCCAGGCGAGAAGGCGATGACAAGGCTGATTTGCACCAAGTGGGGAACTTGCTAGTGTAAGAGAAGCCATGGGGGTACCAGGTACGTGGCTTTGAGCTACGTGTGGGCTTCGACTGCCAAACATCTCAAAGCGTGGCCTGAGACGGTGCTGGCTGCGATTGAGGTTACTGCAAGGAGCGTGAGAATGCGAAATTGAGGTTACTGCAAGGAGCGTGACCGGGCAGGAGCAGCCGTTCGGCGCGGAACTACGAATCGCGAGCTTACATAGCAGCGACGTGCTGGACATTGCGCGGGCATGTCGCTGAAGTTTCGTGCTACACAGACAAGGCGTGACCCGTGGGTCTTGAAAAGCTTTGGTGCTACGGGTGTAGTTGTTGAGAGAAACACGAGAGGCGGCAAATTCCGCCTTGCAACACCTGCAACAGCCAGCATCGTCCTCCGGACTCCGGAGAAAACTGCATCTTGCATCTGATATGGCGATGTCTAGAATCCAACAGCCGAGGGCGCGACATGCGCAAGATCGTAATCGAGCAGACGATGAGCTGTTTGACCAAGCCACTGATGGCGGCACTGGCCAATAAGAAGCTGGAACGACCGCGCTTCAACAGGGACAGGGCCCGCACTTGAAGGTTACGCTTGCGAGAGCTGCCCTACGTAACTGGTCTGCTGGCCTGGCCTTCCTACCTATCCTATTGCTTCTTTTCACGAAACTCCTAACGTCCTTTCTTGAGATTTCTCCATGATACCCCTACGACTTTGTTGTTAACGTTGCGCACAATGACGCATGACGAGCGACCGCCCAACAGCGGGGAAGCGCAGCGCGACAATTCCCCGCCCCCACAACAACCACCGCCGTACAATGAGAACACCCCGGAGCTGCCAGGCGACGCACCCGGGAGCTCAGCGCAGCAACATGGTGCTACTGGCAATGAGGAAGTGCCGGAGAGGCCGCGGACGAAGCCTGAGGGCTCGACTTACGCCGGCTCGTACCGTCCAGGAGAAGGGCAGAGTCTCTCTCGCCCAGCGTACGTATACTTACGCTTCTTGTCCTCCTAGTACTGATTCGCTGCTAGGACTGCTGCACAAAGCCAACACGGTTTGAACAATCTCGACCACGACGACCACTCTGCCCCTGCCGACCATCCTCCACCAGCATACAGCGAGTTTCCAGGCACGCTGCAAGACGAAGGCGGCCAGCTCGGCGCGAACGCTACAGTAGCGGATGACGGTCGAGTCAATATTCGCATCGACCAGAAGAGCCGCGGCTTGTCGCAGCTCATCGTACCACAACTCCAACGGCAGCTCACCCGCGTTCAGCACGAACCCGCACCACCTCCTCCCTATATCCCAGAGTCGCTCGGGGGTGCCCCCGGCCAGAAGCCCCCTCCTCCTTTCAACATCGTCATACAAGTCGTGGGCTCAAGGGGAGACGTGCAGCCTTTTGTTGCGCTCGGAAAAGTGCTCAAGGATACGTATGGCCATCGCGTGCGATTGGCGACACACGCAACCTTCAAAGACTTTGTGACTGAGAATGGGCTGGAATTCTTCAGCATTGGCGGCGACCCTGCCGAGCTCATGGCCTTCATGGTCAAGAACCCGGGGCTGATGCCAGGTTTCGATACGCTGCGCAGCGGCGAGGTGGGCAAGCGCCGAAGAGGTATCGCCGAAATACTGCGCGGCACATGGCGATCGTGCATCGAGACTGGCGACGGGCTGGGTGTGGATCCACTCAAGCAAACCATCGAAGAATGGATGGGCGTCGAGGATCAGCTACCGGACGAGCTCAAAAAGCCTTTTGTGGCCGACGCCATCATCGCGAATCCGCCCAGCTTTGGCCACTTGCACTGTGCAGAGAAATTGGGTATACCCCTACACATGATGTTCACGTGAGATTCTCACTTTCATCTTATTGCAACAGCTGACAATGATAGTATGCCATGGTCCCCAACGCAATCGTTTCCGCATCCGCTTGCCAATATCCAAACCTCCAACGCAGACGCAACCATCACCAACTTCATGTCGTATATCCTTGTTGATATGCTGACATGGCAAGGCTTAGGAGATTTGATCAACAAGTTCCGCAAAGATGTCCTTAGCTTAGATCCCATCAGTCTACTCTGGAGTCCTGCTATGATGGAAAGGATGAAAATCCCACACACCTACTGCTGGTAACGCTCATCTGTCTATATCTTCCACTAACATATGCTAATGCAAATGTCAGGTCTCCTGCATTGATCCCGAAACCCAAGGACTGGGGGAACCATATATCGATCGCAGGTTTCTTCTTCCTCTCCTTGGCACACAACTATACTCCAGCTCCAGATCTTGCAGAATTTCTAGCAGCAGGCGAACCACCGGTTTACATCGGCTTTGGTTCAATTGTTGTTGACGATCCCAACGCTATGACGACGCTCATCTTTGACGCAGTCAAGGCAACTGGAAAACGAGCCTTAGTCTCGAAAGGTTGGGGTGGCCTGGGAGGTGACGATCTCAACGTACCCGAAGGTGTCTTCATGCTTGGTAATGTTCCACATGACTGGTTGTTTCAGCACGTCGCAGCTGTCGTTCATCACGGTGGTGCTGGTACCACTGCTGCAGGTATAGCAGCAGGTCGACCTACGGTTGTGGTACCGTTCTTTGGTGACCAACCTTTCTGGGGCTCCATGGTAGCCAAAGCTGGCGCTGGGCCCGAGCCCATTCCATACAAAGACCTCACGGCGGAGAAGCTGGCCGATGCTATAAGAGAGGCTTTGAAACCCGAGTCCCTTGCCAAAGCCGCGGAGCTCTCGGCCAAGATCGCAAAGGAACAAGGAGCCCAAGTCGGAGCTCAGTCATTCCACCAAATGCTCAAGTACGATGATCTAAGGTGTGCGGTCGCTCCGGATCACCCAGCTGTTTGGAGAGTCAAGCGCACTCAGGTGCGCTTAAGCGCCAAAGCTGCAACTGTCTTGACCCAGGAGGGCGAACTCAGCTTTTCTGATCTCAAACTGCAAGTCTGAAACTACACATCATCAAATATTTGCTTACCATGATAGGTTCCGCCCGCGCGAATACATGCCGGATGAAGGGCCTTGGGATCCGATCACTGGCGCTGCCTCTGCCCTCGTCGGTACTGCCGGACAAATGATGATGGGCGTAGCGGATTTCCCTATTGAGACTTTGAAACTTCTCAACATCCATCCCGACTCCTCACGCAAAGGCAAAGGCAAAGCGAAGCAAACTGAAAATGACAGCACAACCGAATCCGGTTCGCAAGCTGGCCGCGGGCAGGCATCACGGACTACCACGAACGTGGGATCAGGGACCGCGGGCAGCAGTACTTCAATCACTCCAATACAAGAACCTAGCACGCCCGACGGTCGCAGTGGTAGCTTATCTCAGGCCCCGAGTGCATCTAATCCTACCAGTCCCCGCACAGACACCGAACGGTCTGGTTTCATGGCTCAAGCAATGGCTCAATCTTCTGAAGTATCACATTCTCGGTCGCCATCGCGAGATCGCACCCGTCTCCAACCAGGATCCAGCCGCAGCCGTAGATCAAGTCAAGGCCGTGCGGCGTCGGTGTCAGCGTCGGAGCTACGCGATAGGTCAGGCTCTGTCTTCTCTGATAAGACCAGCCTCGGAGACAGGCTCGGCGGCATGGACAAAGACTCCATCGTTGGCACGGGCAAAGGCGTTGGTAGAATTGTTGGCGCTGGCTTCAAGTCGCCTTTAGACTTCTCAATGAACGTTGCGCAGGGGTTCCACAATGTGCCGAAGTTGTATGGCGGTGACGTGAGACAGGTCGATAAGGTCACCAACTTGCAGAGCGGCCTGAAGGTTGCTGCGAAGGTGACACACGTCTCCCCATTAATGTTTGAGTATCTAACAACGATTCTAGCAATTCGGGTTCGGTCTCTACGATGGCATAGCCGGACTCGCCCTTGACCCTTATAAAGGCGCTAAGAAAGAAGGTGGCTTGGGTTTTGTCAAAGGCGTCGGCCGCGGCATCTTCAGCGTCCCCTTCCGCGTCATGGGCGGCGCCTTCTCCGTTCCGGCGTACGCGATGAAAGGCCTCTACCAGGAAATGCTCAAAAACCAGGGCTCGGGAGTGCAAAATTACGTCATTGCAGCGCGCATCTCGCAGGGCTACGATGAGGCATCAGTGTTGTCGACGGCCGAGAAGCAAGATATTGTCAATAGATGGAGATGCATCAAGACCAACGTCAAGAAGAAGAAGAACCCAGGCGAGGAACAATTTCAAGCCTTACACAGCTACATGTCGGAGAGAAGGGAGAAGAAGGAGAAAGGCCGTTGGGCGAAGTCTAGGAGGCAAGAGACCGCTCCTGGTGCTGACGATCCCCGTCTGTACATGACGGACGGCAGAGGCTCTCTGGACCTCCCAGAACCCCTTATTCGTTCGGAGACTGCGGCGAGTACGGCTATCACGAGGAGTCATAGAGGGATCCACGACCCCATACATCTGCTTCACCATGCTCGTACTTACCCTGAACCTGCACACCCGCACAACAATGTACCAGCTCCCCATCAAGTCCAACTGGTTAACAACGACGAAGCAGCCGAGCGCCACGAACTCGAGACAGCAATCAAAGCTTCCGTTGCCGAGACCTCGCGCGGCAACTCCGAGGAAGACGAGCTCATCGCGCGCGCGATCCGCGCCTCAATGGTCGAACTCCAGCGTGAGCCAGAGAGCGGTGAAACGGAAGAACAAGCGCTGCAACGCGCGATGACAGCCAGCATGGAGGAAGCACAAAAGAGTGGCGTGTCCGAGGAAGAACAACGCATTCTCGAAGACACGCTGCGCTCTTCTATGTTGGAAACGTCACGTGCACGCCGCGAGCACGGCTCAGACTCGGAGTGGGATTCCTCCGATACTGAAGACGATGAAGAGTATCAACGCATTCTCGCTGAGTCTGAGAAACTGCACCATCTCCATTCGAAGGAGGAGAACCACGATGAGTACTTTTCTAGCATAGTGGGCGCGCGCGAGGCTGTCGACACGCAGGAAGAAGCGACTAGAAAGGAGGAGGAAGAAGCATTACGCAAAGCGATCGAGGAGAGCGAGCGCCAGGACAGAGAGCATAAACTTAACCTCGAGAAACAGAGAACTGAGGAGGATATCGTCATGGAGTATGTGAAGAAGCAAAGCTTGGCGGAGGCGCAGCATAGTCAGAGGCTGAAGCAGGGGAGGGATGTTGGTGGTGAGAGCTCGGGTGCTGGAGGGAGTGGGCCGGCGTAGTATGTTTGTGTGAAGGGTGTATGGTGTTGAGTTGGGATTCGAATGATACATATGGTTGATACCCACGGCACTAAAAACACACATCTATGATATTGATTCTATTTCTGCTTAGTCTACATTTTTCTGTCTCCTAAAGGGGAAAGTCTTCCACATTGGGAACGTAGGCGTTCCATAGAAAGAAGATAAGCTAGGTGCGTAGAAGTGGCTTGTAGTTATAGACAACCCCACGGTCGCAAATCCTGCGAATCAAATCTGCTTCACGGACAACAACTCCATGGTACCTTAACATTACACTGTCTCCTAGAGTCAAAGGCTATGGACCTGCTGGAGAAGAGAATCAATGTATTGCAATTGTGTTTTCGAACTTCAGATGTGCACAGATGTGTACCAACCCGTACCATCCTCGGACAATCGGTACTTGTTTTGTAAGATAGCTCAAAGCTGCCTAAGGTCCATTACCCCTTTCTCGGATATCTAAAGCTACGCTTGCATTACCAATCTTGTCTCGTTCAACGGCGGCACCGACACCACCTCTGTAGCATTCATACTCCCCCCCCTAAAAGCATATGTGAAAGTCCAACCCGATCCTGCCCCTCCATGCTCGCCATACTTATCGACCACCACAATCCCATACGAACCCTCAGGATACTTCCTTAGAATGCGTTTAACCGCATCCTCGGCCGCTAGCTTCGGGCTCATACCCTGCCGCAGGTTCTCCACAGCCTGGTAGCACGGGAGGAACCGCATCATGATGTCGCCGTCACCCGTAGCGCCACAGCCGCCAATGTCTCCGTCAACGTAGGATCCAGAGCCTGTTATTGGGCCGTCACCGACGCGTCCAGGGACTTTCCAGGTTGCACCGTTCGTTGAAGTTCCGGCTGCCATGATACCAGAGGCGTGGATTGCGATCATGGAGATGGTATCGTGGGATGTTTGACTTGCGTCGGGTGTGATCGCTCTTTTGTAAGCTGGCGATGTCGAATTAAGTGCGGTACCCGTGTAAGGCCCACACGATGACTTCGGATCCGGAGTCACGTTAATCCTATAGTTCGGTTGGCAGTTGTCTTCCCTCCACGCTGTGCATCTCGCTGCCTGCTCGGCCGTCGTAAGATTGCTCAAGGGAAAGCCATTTGAGACAGCGAATTGCGTGGCCAGATCGCCTGCGAGAAGAGTGTGCGTCGTGTATTCCAGTACGTAGCGTGCGACCGCGATGGCGTCTTTAATCCGTCGCAAACCTGCTACCGCACCAGATTTCATTGTTGTGCCGTCCATAATCATGGCGTCCAGGGTTGTCTCGCAATTTTCGTCGGGCGATCCACCAAAGCCAACGGACCCATCACATTGATTTCGCTCGCATGTGGAACAACCGACCTGTACAGCGTCGAGAGCTGAAGTGGCAGGATTTTGCAACGAGAGATAGGCGGCGTCGGTGGCTGCGGTGAAGGGTCCTCCCCACGTGTTGATGATGAAGGGAAGGCCTGATGACGCTTGCGCGGGAAGACTTAATGCAAGTAGACCAGCAATTGCTGCGGTTCGTGTCATTCTGGCAGTGCTCGTAGATCGCGTTCCGCGATTTCTGCAAATGGCGAACATATGTCAATGGGTATCAGTGCCTAAGTCCTGGCGTCGGCGTTTGAGACGCACATATATTCTTGTACCGACGATAAGCCTTTAATCGCACGAAAATGATAAGCCGAATTGATGTACACAATGTAACTTTAATTAACTATTTCCGGTAGGTGCCGAGCTTTTCAGAGCGGGCAGATGTCTAGTGCTAAACACATCGGGACTAGTAAAGCTTAATGGGATGAAATACTCCCACGCCTCTGAGTGGTCGAGCTCCGAACATTCAGCTAAGAGGGCCATCGCATTATTATAGCCTCCTATGTCACATATACGCAACTCTCAGCTTACTGCTCGTCCCGAAGGCAAGGCCGTGATTATGGTATGTTCGTGCTGCATTAAAAACGCCAAGTGGCAAGTAAATTAAGATGAGGTGCCCGAGATGCGAGCCGTTCTCGCGCTGCTGCGCTCACTGAGCGTACTACAATGGGACTTTGGCATCGTGAGTATCTATGCTTTCCAAAAGCTCCTTCCCCACCTTCCACGGCTCGGTTACCCTTTTCGTCATCTGCAATCTTCAGCCGATCTATGTACTATAGGAGGCTGGCTATTGGCTAGATTCTGATGAGTTTATATTTCTGCGCCTAGTAGACGTTAGAAAAGACTTACTAAAATGAACAGGCCGACAGCTAGCGATCATTACATATGTTGACTGATGATTTACGAAAAGGGTACCCAGGGCCATGAAAAGGTGGGGGAAGAACTTTTGTAAGACATCGATAACGCGATTGGGCATGACCGACGCCTATGGCGTTCAGAATTAACAATGCGGTGTTTGAGACAAGAAAGCAAGTGGGTGGGTTGAAGCCTTCGAAGGTTTGGTTGAATACACCGGAGCAGGGACAACGTTGTCAAACTTTTCAAAGTTCAGCTGGAGTGAACTCGCAGTGGGGAAGCATTGTCGTTTTGGTGTGCAGATTGCTAGGCCTTGGGCTTAACATGGAAGCCCAATGTATTGACTTCTATATGACGCTTGTATGATCACATCCATACCGTAACCCAGCATTTACTCAGTAACCTTGGTTCCTATGAACTATCAAACACCTTTGTTCTCGAAAATTGGATACCTGAACAAGCAACATGTGAAAACGTCATATGGTGTATAGCATTGGCACAGCACACATCACGTTCCCACCAGAGGTAGCAAACAATCGTGATATATAAAAGGATTATGTGTTCCTCTCCAACTATCTGCAATATCAATGCTTTCGCGATTTTTAAGGAATGGTGCTCACATTCACCTTCACCGCGGGGTTGCCCCGCAAACAGGCACGCAAAATTCATATGCGCAATCGCTTTTCGAACGTCCCTTCTCTCCTCAGAGACAGACTTCAACTATATACACCTCCTCTACGCTAGATCCTCATCAAAGTACACCTTCATAAACCGCATGTAGCACCAATCATGTCTCGGCAGTTCGTCTTCTACCATTCAACTGGTGACTGGTGGGCATCACCAACGCATATCGAGGATTCAACACCGGATCGTAAGCTTCTACGTAATGTTTACTTCGACCCCGGCGTGTTTCGATTCCCAAAGCAAAGACAAAGCGCCTCCAACGGCATACTCTGGCTTCCATTAGGCTCCATCGTCGCTGCATTCGCGTCTGGCCATAACACATATCCACCTGCCGGAAAGCTCGTTCCCTACGTGTATATATACAAGTTCTGGCATCAAGAGCCGAATCAGCACTGCACGATGCAGCTTGGCTGGCAAGATGAGCATGGGTAATGCCATTCGAACGTGCACCGGAAGAAGGTGGCTGACCTGTCATAGGAACAACGTGAGAACATTCGGAAAAGCACACGTACACCGAAAATGGACTTGAGTCCATTCGCGATTGTAGCACGGGTGGCCTTTTGGTGAGGCCGTATGGACAGGCAGGGTATGATTGGCATCCACCGGCTGCGTTTGTGCAGGCAGTCCCGATTCAGCAAGCGGCACAGGCACCGGCACCAGCGGCTTCATATTGGACTACGTCAGACGATGAGGCAGATGCAGAAGGATGGGGCAAGCGAGTAATCACTGGGGAGTAAGCTGCAGGAGTTCTCTGGGTCTGCGAGATTGATCGAGTTACCCTGGGAAGGGATTCCATTGCGACAGAAGATACAGTGGGAACGATGAGCACTTATAAGCTAGTAGCATCACATTTGAGAATATCACCAAAGGACCATTGTATTGTGAAGATTTGATCATGAAACCCTGTAGATACCCTCTTTGGCCCGGCCTCGTATCGCCGGACAATCGACTTTGACATGAAGAAAGATGTTTATTTCAGGCGAGTCCGAAGATGTGGCACCACCACTTTCTTCGATACCCTGTCAATCCGGGCCCATGACTCCTTTGCAGTGAGGAGCAAAAGCCCGAAGATCTGCTCAAGGATATTCCCTAAACGAATCGCGTACGACCTTCCGAATTGCTGTCTCACCTGCCATTTCATTAGCACTTGAATCCTCGATTCGAAGTTTTGATACTTACCACAAGTGCGGCCACACAGTCACATCCAGTCGACCGCCCTCCACCTTAACATCGCCAACCTTCTCCACACATCTAGTCGACCACGGCAGATCATGAGGTGAGACCTTAGCAGCTGCCTCAACGTTCCCGAGTGAGTGCTTGACGAGCCAAATGAGCTGGTTTCGGCGAGCGGCCTTGTCATCGCGGTCCTTCTCTTTCATGGTCTTGTAGATGTTGGGTGCAACCGACTGTGCCTGCTGAAGGATCTGGCTGATGCGTGCCTTGCTGCATAATACCGAACTGGTGGTCAAGATTCGGGCGGGTAGACGAGGTGAGCGCATACGGGCGCCGGTGGTGTTGAAGGCGTACCGGATCATCTCGAGGAATCGCTTTCTGGGTCGTTGTTGGGGTGAGAAAGGATAGCTGCTGTCAACAGTGGATAGTGAGGTGAGAGGACTTGAGAGATTAAGGGCAAATTGATAAGGTGGCGGGAGATTAAGTCTATTCTCTATGGCGTGGCAGATACCGAAGGCGCAAGCTGAACGGTCAGTGTCTTGCTTCATAATCTCCCTTATGGAAGGAATACGCTCTTCTCCACGTGGGCTAAAATTACTTCTGATATGGCCCAGATTGGTTGCAATCGCGGCCGGTCGTTCATTGTTGGCTGCTCTTTCCGTTTGTCAGTCAGCTGCTTCAGGGTGGCGAGCCTTGTTCCAAAAAGACCATCTTGCCGTGAAAACTCCGGCCAAAGAAGTATTCGGCATTCCATGATCTGAAATGAGAGCATGTACTGCTGTTTTCTCGAGATGTTTCAATGTGGTGTTTGCATGGGTAAAAGTGGGAAGGAACGTTGAAGGTCGTCCCCTAACAGTTAGCTCGTCCTGTCCCTGCAGCAATCGGGAGCTTGGGCCCCTGTGCGTCATCCATCCCAGCTGCAACAACAACGTCCAACTACAGAGAACCGCTACAATAGGAGGCTTTAGTCTATTGCTTGAGCGCATGGGGATCGTCGCGCTGTAGACTCAAGCACTCACCTTCTGCGTACGCACGTTGCAGGTTCCATGTTAATGCTAAGCGCTGGCTCACGCCCTCCTCGCGCAGTTCCAAGCCTACTTCATATCTTCGAAATGCAAATCTTGACTTTGATAGGGCTGTTCTTGGCTTCAGCATCAGCCTGGAATATAGATGGTATGCGCCTTTCCTCGTCGTGGGCACCACTGCTAACATTGCACAGTACATAACCAGATCGGCTTCATGGCCGAACAGTTCCTCGAGCCATACACCGTCTCTGTCCTTGCGAACATTCTCGAACCACAATATAATGGATCAATAGGCCGCGCCGCAGCATGGGCTGACGGCTACGCGCACACAGACGAGGGTCGCTTCTCCTACCAGTGGCACTGGATCGATTCCCACGACTACCCGCCACATCATTGCGATCTTTACTATAACAGAGACTGTGCAAAAGGGGGGTTGCGTAGTCTCTGCTATCGATAACCAGACGAGCATACTCAAGGGCTGCATTTCGGATGTAAAGGCTGGCAGCCTTGACAACGGCGCAAACTTGACGTGCTCGTACGCGCTCAAGTGGGTATCGCATTTCCTGGGCGACATTGCGCAGCCACTGCATGCATCCGGCCGCGCTGCAGGAGGCAACTTCGTCAGGGTGAAGTTTGGCAACGTGTCGACTGAGCTCCACGCCGTAAGGTTCCACTCCATATTTATTGACTATAGCTAACAGTCAGCTCAGGTATGGGACCACTACATTCCCTATACAGCAGCTAAGGCCACCCAACCCTTCTCGAACGAGACCATTGCCCCTTTCTTCGAATACCTCGTATCTCGCATCCGGAAAGATCTCTTTTTGGGAAGCTCCATATATGTGGCTAGCATGTAGTGATCCATCCAAGGCTGTAGACTGTGCGATGCGTTGGGCACGAGAAAGCAACAAGTGGACGTGCGACTATGTGTATAGACGATTAAACGCCACCAGCGACCTGGCTGCAGATGGGTATGCCGCAGGCGGAGTACCTATCGTAGAGTTGCAGATTAGCAAGGCGGCGCTTAGGCTTGCCACTTGGCTGAACAAGTTGGTCGGAGAAGAGCGCCAAAAGCAGTTCGACCAGGTAGAATTATGATGAGTATATCGTACTCTCCCGTATCCCAGCATCTCAGTACACTATGTAATCACCGGATCTAGAGGTCAGCCTTCAAGGTCCCGCTCTTCTGAACACTTAGCGCGGCACCCCACATCAGCAAGTCCGTCGGCATCTGGCTGCTCCTCCCCACATGGTCGGTACATGAATATCATCGCCACCAACATGGGAACTCTTAAATCCAGGTGGTTAAACGTTTTCAACCACGGTAGGGAACAACAATTCATGACGTGGTAATGGCTTTTGAAGATCTGCAAGAGAAAATGACACCCAACGTACGGCAAGCCCCACATGAAATTCGAGTATTAAGAAATCTTACGACAACGCTTGGAGCCAAAGATTGGGCATCCTGACTGATATACGCTGCAGCACCCGAGTCGCGAAACCTCACCTGCCCGCGGCGCAACTATTCCCCAGGATGCCGCCGTTCCCGCCGACCGCAAACTCCTCCGAGAATGGCAAGCATCGCAACATATAGACCGCGATGCTCAAGTCAAGATAACTAAAGTTTCGCACATGCGATATCAGCACCCTGATCTCGCCGAGATAACAACATTCTTGCGCGACTTTGGCATGAGCGTGGCGCAGAAAGCAGAAGGGAAAAGATGGTTCAAGGGATACGGTACGGATCAATACTTATACTATGCGCAACAAGGTGAGAAGAAGTTCCTAGGCGGTGCGTTTGAGGTCGAGAGCTATGCAGAGCTAGAAAAGTGCGTACACCCACTGGAACCCGAAAGAAGAAGAACACGCATGTTGACGACACGTATGCAGGGCAGCGGGAATACCAGGAGCATCCGCAATCCAGGGCTTGACGGACGCTCCAGGAGGTGGATACATGGTCACCGTCTACGATCCCGAGGGTTTCCCAATCAACCTCATCTACGGGCAAATACCTAAATCTTCCGGTCCTATGCCCGAAGTCCTCCAAACTAATTACGAAGTGCAAAAGCCCCGGGTCGCCGCCTTTCAGCGCTTCAAGCCCGGCCCGGCCGCAGTGCACAAACTAGGTCACTACGGCCTCTGCGTCACGCAATTCCCCGCCCAGCTCGCATTCTACACGCGTTCCTTCAACTTCGCCCCCACAGACTTTCTTTATGTTCAGGACGAAGAAGGGGAAAAGAAAGATGTCGCTACTTTCCTTCACATCGACATCGGCCCCAACTTCACAGACCACCACACTTTCTTCATGTCGTCGAATCCTACGGCACACGTGCATCACTGTTCTTTTGAGGTGCACGACTTCGACGCGCAAAATCTGGGCCACGAGTGGCTCGCGAAGAAAGGGTATAAGAGCGTGTGGGGCGTCGGGCGGCATATTCTAGGGAGTCAAATATTCGATTACTGGTGGGATACCACTGGGAATATGATCGAGCACTATGCGGACGGGGATCTGGTGAATGAAGAGACTCCGGTGGGTTGGGGAGCGGCTGGAGATGAGAGTTTGGCCGTTTGGGGACCCGAGGTTCCAGGTTGGTTTTTGGATTGATAGGTCAGATTGACAGGTTTTTAGGTTGTGGTAAGGATGGATTACCGTGCTCAAATGTTTGTGTTCTTGGGGTGGTTTTCTCATATGCTGGATTGAAGGAGAGGCTGAACAGCTTGACTGTGGTCTTTTTCCAACAAAGGTATGGAGCGATTCCTGTCTCAATCTCATCTCAAAAAACCACGAAGTCGGATTTCAGAAAGAGAAATTACGCGATATCAACGCGCGCACCCGTACCCGTACTGCCATTATGTATGGATGTGCTTGTAGATTTTTGTATCTATGTGCAGGATTTCCAGTAAGACATGTTTAAACTGCTGGAGATGATGGCCATATGAATTTGCATAGTGACGCCTGGGTTCTGGTTCGAGGTGACACAGCATCCGCAGTACATGCACGTTGTAGAATGCAACCCGGCTTCCGGCTTCCACAACGACTTACATTCTTCCTTTTAATCTGAACGCTCAACGATAGGCTACCTATAGCGCGAAGACAGGACATTGTAATCAGTAGCAGAAAGATACCCGCACCGAGGCGAGACATTGGCGGTGCGTCGTACGATGGTGGTGATGTGCCTCGTTTGGCAGCGTTCAGACTGGCATTTGCTAGTGGCGTAATGGCTCCTCCTGCGAGATTGGCTCCTACCACATATGATGGACATCACTGCTCGAGGTACTCAAGAGCCGATAATAACAGGACCAGGTTGCATAGTCCTTTTCAGAACTGCTCGAATGCAGTAAGTGGCAATAAACAGCAAGTCCCTCACAAGTACTATTGCATTGGCATTGCAAAGACGAAAGAGGTCAAGTAAAGGTGCGTATGTCGATCTCTACCTAGGTCTAGAACCTGGTGCAAGATACTGTAGATTAATAAGCCACCGGTTGGGGTTCCAAAGGTCCCCATTGTCGCAAACCTCCGCACCCTGGAACCGCGATCAACGCCAATTTTTTTAGCTCCCCTGTCTTACCACAACACCTGTTGAGTACGAACACTGTACATTGTTGATCCATCAACACGTATCGGTACTTCGGCTCATTCCGGTAAGATCAGCAAAGCATTTCAAGGCGGCCCTTGTGGTAGGGTAAGAAAAGCGGGAGATACTCGATAGAAAGAGATAAGGTGGTACCATAAGTAGAAGGCGCTCTTTTCTTTCGCTCGAATTACTAAATGTAGAAGGAACTTCACGATAAATCGCAAGTTGAGCGTTTTTGCATGAATCTCGACGCGTAAACTGCCAATGAGGATTTTGAACGTCATCGCATTTCTACTTAGTTAGTTCGATGCGACAAGATGTCTCCCAAACGGCGAACAGCCAGAGAAATGAGCGCTTTGTGGCAACAAGCAGCTCGAAAAGATCGACCGGTTCGAAGGTATCATCCTTTCGGTAATGCCCTTGTGCTCCGCGAGTCAGGTGATATCATACCATATACATACCTGGTACCTGATTTTCCCCAGTTTCCGAGTACTGGCCAACCAGACCTTGCAGATATGCTCTTTTATGCACGCAATATTCTATATCGGGGAAGTGAGTATGCTAACCGCACAGAACACTCTAGTGCCTCCGCTGCCCGCTGCAGCAAAGCTACATACGTACCCCGCAACCATCACCCAGGCACGGCAAGCGTGCTCGTTATAGGACCTCTGCCGACACATGCACGAGTGTTTCGGCTATATCACCCAGAGGCGTAATGTGATGATATACCTCCGATCCCATGGTCTGCAGGGCCTTCACGTGTAGCCCAAGCTTTCAACGAGTAGCCGATCTCCATCCATAGCCCCACCTTTCTGCAAAGACATTTCGTATGCGCAAGCAAGGGGATTGGTCCTTACCTGAGTAAGTGTCAGGTAGAGTACCCTTGGCCTGGACATCGTGGGGTCGTGACGGGCAATCCCGCACGCTGATATAGATGTCGTACAGGGGCGCAACGTATGGAAGTGTGCCGTGTCCTTAAGAAGTACCTCGGTGCTCCACTCTTGAGTTTGGTTCATATCAAGATCTGTGCGGTATGGTGACCCTACATTTAGCGGTACTTTTGCTGCTTGGAGCGGTGGGCGCGGTGGAGGTACCGAAGACGGGGCGCAACGTTGCGCGCGCAGTTGACACGGGGCTGGTGAGCATCATCAATGAGATTCCTAAGTGTGCTGTAAGTTGGCCTTTCTTGAACCTGGCGTGGGAGATAGAAGGGTCGCTCACTGTCGTGTAGTTGACTTGTCTAGGACAAGAAGCCAGCTCGATAGGCTGCTCACTGCTGGACGTAGAATGCCAGTGCGCTTCGAAGAATTCCACCGAAATTCTCCAACCATGCATGAAGGCGAATTGTACATATGAAGAGACGTTCAGTAAGTGTGCAACACTAGGCTTTTGAACCAACCCCAGCATCAGGCTCGTCACCCGTCGAAACGTAATCTCACCGGCGAACAGAGCTTCTCCACGTACAAGCTGATCTGTGCGACAAGCCTCACGACAACAAGTCGTCAAGTGTCAAGCTAGTAGCATGGTCAACCGGCATCATCTCCATCGCAGCGGTTGTCCTGCGCTTCGTATCGCGGCATCTGGGCGGAAGTCAGCTTTGGTGGGATGACTGGTTGCATTTGGTCTCTGTTGTGAGCGCGAAGCGTCTTCCATTAGTATTGCAGGCTATGCTGACCGACATCAGATATTGGTGATTCCAATGACAGTCGCTACACTCCTAAGTAAGAAAGAGAAAACATTCGTCAGCTAGAGGTTCGGAACTAAGCTCTTCAACAGACGCCGAAGCTGGAATAGGCCACCATATCTGGGACCTGACTTACCATCAGGTTGAGAGTATCGGCAGGTGGAGTATGAATCCACTTCTTGCCCGGTTTTCTGCATCAGCTAATCTCATTCCAGCGTACATAACCACCATCTTGTGGGCGCTGGAGCTGCTCATCCTGAAATTCAGTATCCTCTGTTTGTATATGCGCATCTTTCCGAATCCTTGGTTAAAGCGCGCCGTTGTGATCTTTACCGTCTTTACGATCTTCTACACCGGGCCGCTCATCTTTCTTGCGGCACTTCAGTGTATTCCTGTGCACGCTATATGGGATCTTGAAGCGCAGAAGACGGCTAAGTGTATCGATTGGATTGCGGTTCTCAGAGCAACAATCGTATTTGAAGTCATCGCGGAGGTGCTAATATTCGTGCTGCCTGTGCCAGTAGTTCTCAGGTTGAAGTTGAGGCGATCGAAGAAGATACAACTGCTCACTTTCTTCGGTCTTGGCATCTGGTGAGTCTGATAAAAGACGCCTATATCTAGTTGACTGGTTAATGCCGTGTAGTATCATAGGCATCTCCGCTGCACGCCTTCCGACCCTCCCTGGTGTAGTCTCCTCAGATGACCAGCCTTACACCACTGTCGACGCCACTATCCTAGGCTTTGTCGCAAGCGTATTCGGTCACGTCTGTGCCGCCGTACCCACGATTCGCGCTCTCGTTCGTCTTTGGTGCGGCTCACTCGACGACTCATCGTCGCGTTCGCGCCCGTCGCGCTTTGGCAAAGGCTGGGACAGTTCAACAGCTTTGAGCGGCAGGCGGTCTTCATGGTTATCCAAGAGCGGGAATAGCCAGTATAACCATTCGAATAATCTCCTGTCATTGCAAGTCACTGGTAAGGAGAAGAGTGCTGATAGCAACGTCCAACACCACTTCGGCGTGCAACCCGTGATCGAAGCCCAGGATAGCGTGCTATTGTCAGACTTGCAGCCTATTCGCGAGCGCGCGTACCAGCCTTCGCGGCCCCAGCGCGGCGTGGAACACTGGAATTCAGGGCGGCCTAGATGGGCTCCACAAGAGGAGCAAGAGCCTGCGCTTATCCGTGAGCCTTGGAAAGAAGCTGATATTGATGATTCGTCCTCGGAGAAGGATATACTGCCAGATAGAGGCCTGGCGAGGACTCCTTCTGTTCGTGCGATAGAGGTGCACATTCAGTCAATGGAGGCTAGGATGGCTGAGTTGGAGGCAGAGATACAGTTTTATCGGGGGGAGATCGGCACGTGGACATGGGTCGAGGATGTGATGCTCCGAGAAGTTCGTTGTTCTGTAGTATCTGTAGAATTTAGTATTTAGTGCTGTTAGATGATTAGACCACAGGACACCTGACGATGACTGAACGATGTCAAGTTCTCCTGTGGGCCTGGCACTTTGGCATTCTCCACGGTCTCATCAATTTGCAAAGCTTCTTCATAAGTTTCATGACATGGGTCAACCTATCTTGGACGATAGAGAACCCAGACTTCTGATCTATAACTGTACATGGCCTGCATGCATATCTTTATCGTGTTTACCCACGTTGATGACGCCTGGGTGAACAGCAAGGTAGCAAGCCAGCAATACTGATACCAAGAAACGGGAAAATATCAAAAAACGCTCTTCGGCCTCAATCTAGTTTGTACCGACAATGGGAGGCAATGATGGAGTCGTTGTGGGGTTGGGTCTCGTCCACGCTACCCCGGACTTGGCAACATCACGTGGGGCTTTCACATGCCTCGGCCCATGTAGCATGCATCGTCGCTCACAGAGCTGATTGCATATGACAGACAATAATGCCAATGCCGACTTCTTCAATGCCCGAGACATGAAAATCCTCTGCCAGAGGATCCCCATGGCCTACAATGGCCGCACAATCTACTCTACGACAACCGCATGATCCGCTCCTCGCCCTTTACAACCACTGTGCGGCCATTCTCCGCACCCGCGTCCGCGACGCCTCGAAGCTCACGAAGCTCTTCTCTACGATCACCCTCGCGCTTACCATCATTGGCACGGGCTATGGAGCGCGAAGATGGTACAAGAAAACCCGCGCAGAGAAAGAAACCGGGCAGCGGTTGATGAGGAGGAACTCGGGCTTGAGAGGAAAAGATGGGTCAAGAACGATATACGTGCCGTACCGGGATTCGACATCCAAGGTGGTCATTAACCCTACGAAGCCCACCACATTCGATGCGCACCGTCGTCTTTTCCTCCAGCCGCCTCGCGCCGCCCGCATGGCAGATGCGAGCAGCTCGCAAACTCCTCCACCGCAAACCAAACCTGGTCTGAACCTCGCCTTCCTGCACCAGTTCCTTAGCCTCCTCAATATCATGATACCGCGATGGAACAGCAAGGAATCTGGCTTGCTCATTAGCCATAGTGTCTTTTTGATGCTGAGAACGTATCTGTCGCTGGTCGTTGCGAGACTGGATGGAGAGATTGTGCGAGACCTGGTTGCAGGCAACGGCAAGGCATTCCTGTGGGGCATTGTCAAATGGCTGGGTGTTGGAACCTTCTCATCATACACGAACGCGATGATTAAATTCCTGCAGTCGAAGGTATCGATTGCATTTCGCACACGACTCACGAGATACATTCACGACCTGTATCTTAACGACCACCTCAATTACTACAAGCTGTCAAACTTGGATGGAGGAGTGGGCCAGGGAGCAGATCAGTTCATCACGCAAGACCTTACGTTGTTCTGCGCGTCTGCCGCATCACTCTACTCTTCGCTCGGGAAACCGTTCGTCGATATCTGTGTCTTCAACTACCAACTTATCCAATCGCTGGGTCCGCTGGCTTTCACTGGGCTGTTGAGTAACTACTTCCTTACCGCAACAATTCTGCGACGCTTGTCGCCTCCATTCGGCAAGCTCAAAGCTGTTGAAGGGCGTAGAGAAGGAGACTTCCGCGCGCTGCATTCACGCTTGATAGCAAACGCGGAAGAGGTCGCCTTCTACGGCGGAGATGTCATGGAGAAGCATTTTCTAGACAAAGGCTTTAAGGATCTGAAGCATTGGATGGAAGGCATATATAGCTTGAAGATCCGCTACAACATGTTGGAGGACTTCGTGCTCAAGTATTCCTGGTCAGCCTTTGGCTACCTGATCACATCGCTCCCTGTTTTCCTCCCCGCTTGGGGTGGATTGGGCAGTGCGCAAGAGCTATCAGGAGGCGAGAAGCGAAGCAGAGAGCGAAATCGCATGAAGGACTTCATCACTAACAAGCGGCTCATGCTTTCGCTTGCCGATGCAGGAGGACGCATGATGTACTCGATCAAAGATCTCTCGGAACTTGCTGGCTATACGTCGCGCGTGTATACCCTTATCAGCACGTTGCACCGTGTACACTCAGACGCATACCACCCTACCCCAGGCACCAGACCAGAACTCTACTCCCTCTCAGACATTCAAGGCACAGTCCACAAAGGCTTCGACGGCCTCCGTCTCGAGCACGTCCCCGTCGTCGCGCCAGCTCTCTACCCTATGGGCGGCGACGAGCTCATCGAGTCTCTCTCCTTCATTGTCCACTCAGGCGAACACCTCCTCATCGCAGGTCCCAATGGCGTCGGGAAGTCCGCCGTCGCACGCATAGTCGCCGGTCTTTGGCCTACCTACCGGGGCCTCGTCAGCCGCCCGCGCACCATCGGCACAGATGGCATTATGTTCCTTCCTCAACGGTCGTATCTCAGCACAGGCACCCTGCGCGACCAGGTCATCTACCCGCACACTGAGGTGGACATGAAGGCCGCCGGGCGCCGCGACATCGAGCTCAGCCAAATCCTCGAGGAGGCAAAGCTCGGCTATATCCCCGACCGCGAAGGCGGCTGGGATACAAAGAAGATGTGGAAAGACGTCTTCAGCGGCGGTGAGAAGCAGCGCATGGGCATCGCGCGTTTGCTGTACCATGAGCCTAGGTACGCGTTTATCGATGAGGGCACGAGCGCTGTATCTTCGGACGTGGAGGGCTTGTTGTACGAGGGCGCAAAGGCGAAAGGGATAAGTAAGTCACCCTTACCACCGTTCCATATATCTTGAAATGCTGCTAATGCATAAAAGCGCTCATCACAATCTCCACGCGCGCCTCCCTCAAGCGGTACCACACGTACACCCTGACCCTCGGCCAGGGCGAGCAAGGCGACGAGTGGGAGTTCCAGCGCATCGGCACCGAGAGCGAGAAGTCGAGCGTCGAGAAGGAACTCGCGGAGCTGCGCGAGCGGCTTGCTAAGGTCGAGGACTGGAAGAAGAGGAAGCAGGAGATTGACGAAGAGCTGGGGAGGGTGTGGCTCGAGGGCGGTGACGAGCTTGCGCCGCCGGCGTACGCTGAAGTAGAGGGGGAGCAACAGGCCGTTGAAGAAGTGGAAGTGGATGAGACGGGCGATGCATAACGAAGGGTAGTAAACTAAGGGAAACTGCTCTTGTACTCATATATTTACATTATTGCGTGTAGAACTGACTAAGAATACTGAAACAAATTCTTCGCAGCCCTCTTCTTCGCCTCCTTCCATTTAACACTGCTTCCACCGGATATACAATTGACTCGCAAACCTGCCCGTCTCTTTATTCACCGCCAGCTGGCCGCTCGCATAGCTTCCCAGCGGCGTGAGCGCCACCTCAGCATTCACATTCAGCAGCGACTGCTGGCCGCAGGGACTCCACACGCTGACGGCGACGTCGTCTTTCTTGACGTACTTGCCGGTGAATGGGCCTTGGAGAGTGAGGCTTGTTGAGCCCTGGGGTTGTGTCAGCCTTATATCTTGAGTAGGCACATGGATGGGTAGGGAGTGGGGACGTAAGGGGAGGCGCGGGGAGGAATAGAAGGAAGAAAGAGGATTAGTTACAGTAGCCTGCTCTCCGGAAAAATAGTAATGCGCCACGACGGTGCCCTTCACGCCGCTGTCGATGTCCGCCCAGCCTGTGTAGTCGGCGCTGTAGACGCTGTAGCTGTAACCAGCGCTGTAGGAGATGTCGAGGTTGATCTGGCAGTTTTTGCGGCTTTGATCGGCGGTCACGCTGGGACCGACGGTAGCTGTGAAGTCTTTGCTGAAGTCTGGTGGGTGTGGTTAGAATGTGTGATGAAAGGTGTTAAGAGGGGCGAGATGGAGTGGGAGAAGGTGTAATGATGCGACGTACAAATGGGCAGGATGCCGTTGTTAGTCCAGTCGATGTCGATGCTGCCTTGAGGACAACCGGAGCCGCCGGAAACGACTTTGTTAATCTTGAAAGCTGGAGGTGCGGACAAGGTGTCTGCTACGAGTGGTGCGGAGAGGGCGAGAGCAGGGAGAGAGAGTGCGACGAGGGACTTCATTGTTGCTATTGCTGCGGTCTGTTGTATGCCGTTATTGTTGCAATGAGGTCTTAAAGTAGATAAGGATTTGAGTCCTAGCGAGGTTCAATGATGTAGACTTCTTAATCTCGATGATGAGGTAGTGTGGCGAATGATGAAAGATTTAGATTACATATGGAAGTGGCGGCGTATGTGTAGAGAAGTGTGGACAAGAAAGGAAGCGAGCGACCCAAGTTTTATATGCCCACTTTGTTGAACCGGGTACGAGAGAGAGATCAGCTCTTAGTGATGGTTCATGAAAACTTTCTCGATCTTGTGGGTCATTCGAAGCGAGACCCTGCAGCTTTACTATCCACTATCACGTCTTCTCCGGACTCGTATAGTACTGCACCCCAAAAAAGTATATCGCTACCGACATCCGAGATGGTGATCCATGCTAGCAGGCTCTGGAAGCCTGATCCAGATGTCTTTGACTTGGTCTACTGGCGTGCTTTGCACGAAGTCGTAGATAAACTTCATTTCGCGGATGCAGCTAACTAAGGAAAGCCAAATGCTGCATGCTCGATCACGAAGAGAACACGTTCGCTCAAGAGAGTCGAAAAATCCGGGGTATTTTGAGGGCCGTTATCCAAGAATAGCATGCGATAATTGGGAATGGAAGCATGATGGCAAGATACTGAGCTCGAAAGAGGACGGCGTTGTATATAATAGATTGGAAGACCTTGGTCGAGGTCGCGACTCGCGAGGTGAACGGCAACGGTTAATTACAAGCCGGAAACTTGCAGATTGTCTTAGAAATCTAGCGTGAAGAGGCTTGCATATAAACCAACGGTCCTGCCGAACATAGGTAAAAAGCTTTTGCCTTTCGTATCGCTCATCAAGCAGATATTAATTCCTTCGCCATCGAAGTGAAAAGGGCAGGCTGTCGAGACGTCTCATTGAAAGGCAAACGACGGACTAGATGCGCTGCGAGGTTCCTGAGTCGACTTTTGTTGTTTCCTACTGGGCGAGACAATGTTCGAAAAGGCTTCTGTCTGGCTATTGTTGGAACGCGATGCTTGATCAACATGGTTGGCGAGAGATGAACCTGGAGGCAAAGCAGTCAGCTGGTACCTACTATCACTAGCTCACGTGCTTTTCCGCAGGCCAGAAAATCACGCTGACACGGCGACGAAGAGAAAATTGGATTCCAACAATTGCTTCTTGTCAACGAGGACGCGTCCCTTTGTTGAGTACTTTGCCCGAGTCAGTTTTTGCGGAGTCACTAAGATAGTGGTCCCAATTAGCGGCCTTGGAGGGTACAAAACAGGGTGATTACAAAAACTGCAAGCACCCAAAGCAGCAGACATAGTGTACATCATATAGGTCGAAGCTCGAAGTCGAGCAGAATGACAGCCCTAGTGTCGCTTCCCGAGACGGGCAGCGTGCGCATTTGTGGATCTAGCTCGTCTCAGGGTCTTTCTAGGGGTCCTCTTTCGGGTGGGGTGGACGAGGGACATGGCTGTCTATCCTCTTTTCTGTGTCCACCGTACTTTGCTATCGTGTTCATTTTCGGTGCATCCAGGCGTCTTCGGACCGAATTGGTGGCTTCCAGGCCGCGTTAGGGTGGTCCTCCGGCGTCTGAACAAGGCCTCGTGCTACTCACTGGCTTGGCACAGCGCGCTCGCGGCAGTAAGAGGAGGCTGTTGCTGGCGCCAGCACCTGCCATTGCGGGCTTGATGGGGCGACCAAGCAATGTGCGACGATGCGCATGTCGGAGTCCTCGGGTCGTCCCACGATGAGCCGGCACTTGGCCAAGGGAAAGCCGTCGGTTCCCACTGCGCGACTCTGTGTTGATGATGTTTGGGTGTCAGCGTCGTCGGTAGTCAGCGCTGACCGGACGATGGAAGCGGAAGCGGAAGCGTTCGATTCATCGTTCGCGACATGATGCATAGTACGCCACACAGGCAACTCGAGCATCGAAGGTGCCCTCTGCGGTGGTGGAGGTTGCCCCGCGGGAAGCAGAGGCGACTGCCCCGCCCGCATCATCGCGCTTTCACTAGTGTACATTCGGCGAAACTACCGAGACGCTGATCGTGTGGCATCCAAACGGGCCTTGTACTCACCTTGACTTAAATATCACGGCAGCCTTCGCCCCTTGCCCAATTCCTCATCTCTCCCTTTGCCTCCTCCACATACATCCGTCTCAAGAATGTCTCCCTCAAAGGTACCCACTGTCGAGTTCGACAAGTTCTACAACATCATCGACGGCAAGCAGCGCGGCAGTGACAACGTCCACCATGGCATCAATCCCGCCACCGGCCAAGACAACTGGCCGGTGCCCATTGGCAGCGAGAAGGATCTAAACGACGCCGTTGAGGCCGCGAAGAAGGCGTTCCCTGCGTGGAGAGACACTCCGATTCAGAAGAGGAAGGACACCCTGCTCAAGTTCACCGAATACTTCGGCCAATTCACAGATGACCTCGTCACCCTGCTCTGCAAAGAGACGGGCAAGCCGGTATGTGGCGCGGATACTCTTTGCCCCGTGTGGCGTAGCTAACGGTTCGGTAGAGGAAGTTTGCAGCCATTGAAGTCGGTGGAATCGCTGGCTTCATCCAGTACCACTGTGAGTGGTCCGTCGGCTGCACATGAGCGGCGTACGCTGACCATCATCAAGGCTCGCTAGAGATCCCTGAGGATAAGATCGACGACGACGAGAAGACTATCTACACCGAGTACACTCCTCTCGGTGTCTGTGGAGGTATCATTCCGTGGAACTTCCCCTTGATCTTGGCTATTGGAAAGGTCGCTCCTGCGCTCTTGACCGGCAATGCCATCATCGTCAAACCATCGCCGTTCACGCCCTACACAGGTCTCAAGGTCGTCGAGATCATGCAAGAGTTCTTCCCCCCTGGTCTTGTGCAGGCGGTAGGCGGCAACAACGAGCTCGGCGCGCAGATGTGCGCGCACCCAGACATTGCTAAGATCTCTTTCACCGGATCCATCGCAACTGGCAAGAAGGTCATGGAGACCTCGGCGAAGACATTGAAGCGCGTTACCCTAGAGCTCGGTGGCAACGATGCCTCAATCATCCTTCCCGATGTCGACATCAAGAAGGTCGCGCCGGAGGTCGTCATGGGCGCGTTCCAGAACTCCGGTCAGGTTTGCGTCGCAACAAAGCGCATCTACATCCACGAGTCCATCTACAAGGAGTTCTTGGAAGAGATGGTCAACTTCACCAAGACCGTCAAGGTCGGGAACCCGGATGACGGTGACAACCTGCTCGGCCCTATCCAGAACCCCATGCAATACGAGAAGGTCAAGGAGTTCTTCGCGGACAGCAAGGCCAAGGGCTACAAGTTCGCAGTTGGTGAACCCGATATCGCGGCCGGCAAGGGCTTCTTTATCCAACCTACTATCATCGACAACCCACCCAACGACTCGCGCATCATAGCCGAGGAGCCGTTCGGCCCCATCGTACCTACTCAGCCGTGGTCCGACATCGACGAAGTCGTTGCGCGTGCCAACAACACCAACACTGGTCTCGGTGCGTGTGTTTGGGGCAAGGATGTTGAGAAGGCGTCCAAGGTCGCACGCCGCCTCGAAGCTGGATCCGTCTTCGTCAACTCCTGGGAGAAGCCTACACCGCAGGCCATTTTCGGCGGTCACAAGGAGTCTGGTATCGGCGGTGAGTGGGGCAAGACTGGTCTCCTCGCATTCATGAACGCCCACGTCATCCATGTGTACAAGTCATGACTCGACAACGATTCGAAAGGCACAGCGAAACTGTAAACATATTGATGCAGAGAGAAACTGCTTCGGCAGACTTGTGAGATTGCACGTCTAGAGAGTATTCCCAATGTAGGACTAGCAAATGATAACATGAATGAATAACTCCATTACATTGTGCTAATACTAACGTTGGCACGCAGGTACGATGTGGTGTGCTGATAGTGGATCAATACTTCGCGACCAACTTTGACTACTCAACACAATGTTGTCCTCGCGCTCACCAAGAATCTATCAGCACATTACATAGAGTGCCAAGCTCTGTCTCATACCATTCTGTGTTCCAACCTGTAACCTTTATCAAGAGGACTCAAGCCAACGTGTTTGCCGTGCCAAGTGCTTTTGGAACCAAAAAGCCACCTTGGTCTTGGAACTGCCTTCAGCGTTTGTTGATTGCCCGTGGAAGCGAGCATTGAGCCTGTCATAATCGTGTGTAACTGCTTTCTCCGCGGCCACATCCATCTGGATACACGAACAAGAGGGGTAGTGGCCAACTTCCATTGAGAGCGGTTGGGCCCATGAGAGCGCGCACTGAAGAGGCTGACGTGCATCCGATATTTTCCCAACCTCTTGGGGTTTCCACGCTGCCTCTGAAGAAATTCTCGGATCCCAGCTTTGCCTCGAAGAGCTTCCAAATGCGAAGGAGCGGAAGACCGTTGATATCAACAGTTCATCGGAACGGACAAAGGCTGAACCGAGCGTTCAGGTTAATTGAAAGGCTGTACTTGGGCACACATGGTGGAAAGGTTGCACATTGCCCCGAGAAGCTGAGAGGAAGATTCTAGTGTCAAAAGCGTATCACTGCAGACGCTTACGGTGTATCCCGGGAAGTCTGAACCTGGAGTCAGGGATGTGCGGGAAAACCGTACAACCATCATGCACCGAGGCCGGTGATGTTGGGACGATGTGGTGGTGGACGGGTGCTTTCCGGCGATGCGAACAGTGCACGAAGATTTTAGTGCTGCCTAGGTAGGCTTGGGACGCTTAGCATGAGCAAAATACAAACCGGCTCAATAGATTTATGCAGGTTCAAAACTCGTCTTCACGCCCTCAAAGCTGCCCCGCTCCGCGTGACCTCTATTCCAAACGCCTCCACACGCCTTGCACCCCATGCGTATCCAACGCCATATGAGCATCGCACATTTCCGTTTCTGCTTTCATAGTTTACTCCTCGGGTCCCTCGATCAAAATCTTAATGCCCTTCCCAGCCTTTACGTCCCTAAACGCCTCCTCCGCATCATCAAACTTGACCTTGTTCGTGATAAGCTCCTTGATTGAGATACGCTTCGTAGCAACGAGGTCAACGGCAGTCTGGTAGTCGCCCGAGCCGTAGCGGAACGAGCCCTTGACGTTGAGTTCCTTGGTGCACATGGCCATGATGGGAAAGTTGATGTCAGGTTTGCCCATGCCGCCCTGTTTTTCTTGTTAGTATATGTAATTTGGAGAAGAAGGCAGAGCGGCATGAGATGGAATGGGTGGGAAACATACCTGGACGTATGTTCCGCCCATGCGCAGGGCATGGATGGCCGTTTGTATGCACGGCTCGGCACCGCTCGCATCGATGATGATGTCCGCGCCAGGACCTAGCTCACACTCCTTGATCATGTTCTGTGCATTCTCCTCTGCGCTGACTCTCGCGCTCTTGAAGCTCGTTGTCGCCGCAAACTTTAGCGCAAATTGTAGTCTCTCGTCGTTAATGTCGACTGTGACGATCTTGGTTGCGCCGTATGCCTTCGCAACCGCGCAGCAGAGCAGACCTACGGGGCCAGCGCCGAAGACGACCACCGAGTCACCGGGCTTGACACCCGCTTGACGTGTAATGTGCACCGCGACAGCAGTCGGCTCAATGAGCGCGCCCTCTTCCAGGCTCATGCTCTCGGGAAGCTTGTAACAGTAGTCCTCAGGCAGAGCATAGTATCTTGCAAGTGTGCCGTCGAAGGGCGGGGTAGCTGCGAAACGCATATCCGGGCAAAGGTTGTACTTGCCCTCCTTGCAGCGGACGCAGCGACGGCAGGGTACGCCTGGTTCCATTGCGACGCGATCACCGACTTTCAGAGTGGCTACCTTGTCGCCGACCGAATGCACGATACCTGCCGATTCGTGACCCAGAACCATTGGCTTCTCAACGACGAAATGTCCGATGCGTCCTTCAACCCAGTAGTGTACGTCTGAGCCGCAGATGCCCGTCCATCGTGGTTTGACAATGACGTCGTACGGTGAGGGAAGCTCAGGGACGGGACGGTCCTCGTAGATAATCTCATTTGGCGCTTTGAGAATGAAGGAGGGGTTCTGCGACTGAACTTAGCATCGACACCACATAGAAGAATGTTGTCTTCGCGGTTGTATTTGGTGGTACTGTCATTGTCGCGTAGCGCGTGGCGGGGTTTGGTGAATGGCGGGGTAGCTCTACCTTCTGCGTCTTCGTTTGTGTCGTCATCCTGGGCGGCGTGGGCTTCTCTTCTTTTCGTTCCTCGACCACGGGCGTCACTGCAGATTTATTCTTCGAGGAGAAGACGTGACGGAAGCATAGGCAGGACGACATGGGGAGCTAGCTGTAGCACTAGCAGCACTAGACGGCGGAGTGACCATTGTTAAACCGCGGAAAGCTGGTGGAGCTTGGGAGGAGCTCTGGCCTCGGTCCCGCGCCGAATCGCGCATTGTTAGCTCCAGGAACACGCTGTAAACATGCAGGCGGCATCTGGAAGCTCGGAATTTAGCCGATTAATTTATCCGAAGACGCATTTGGTGCTGTCTATCGTGGGTACTGCTGTCTATCGATACTGCCGTTGTCGCCAATTGGCACGCTGCGCCGTGCTGAATGACTAAAACCCACAACGGAAGACGCTATCAAGACGTCGGAGCTGAACGCCACGCAAACGCCCCCACGGAACATCGTGGACGGGCGGGATAATCTACCAAGCCTAGTTAGAGTTTGTCGGACCGGTGTGAAAGAGGCTGTTATGAGTCTTGTCCTGGTAGGTTTTTCCCCCAGCATGACCACCAACAGGTCACCAGAGCATCTTCGTCCTTGCTAGCATCGCCCCAATCGTCGAAGCCCTTCTCTTCACCTTCGTTCAGTATCTGCAGACCTATCATGGTCATCTGCTTACGGAAACTGGCGATCTCGGGTAGATATGCGGCTCTGTAGGGAAATTCTACGATCACTTTTGAATCTACGTCTTCCGAAAGCCAAGCCGCAATGGTATTCACGAGCATTTGCGGGTGATCGGGAGAATAGAGAGAATCCGCAGCCAGGATCAGTGGAAACTTCTCAGAGAGTGCGTCGCCGTCGCCGTTGGTATCAACAACATCTTCTGGGAACAGTGTGCACGAATGTGGGCTTGTCCAGTCCAGTACTCCGGTCCGTATGATTCCTCGATTCTGCTCCACGATGGATGCATTCGTTTTAGCATTGCGAGCAAGGTTGGTATAGATGCTCGGCAGATCTGTCAACACAACGTCTGCACCGAGGCCGGCCATCGCCAGACCAACTAATCCCGTCCCCGAACCGAGCTCGAGAACTCTCGCCTTATCGCGCTGTCCCGGCGGGATAAGGTCAAACAAGTGGAGTCTTTTTGCAAGAAGGTAAGAGGCTGCCCACGTCTTCAAGCCCAGGTCGTCTCCCGTCAGCGCAGGTTCGTGGATGTTGAGCTCGAAGGATCCGTCTCGTGTTGGTATAGTGAACCGGCGATTTAGATCGCCCATTGCTGTACGACCAGATCTCTCACTGAGTCGAAGACTGGCCTGGTTCCATATCTCTTCCTTGACCTCTTCGTCTGGTATCCACTTGAGACTGTTGCTCACGATGCTTGTGAGGTACCGTGCAACTCCTTCCGAATCGATTTGTACACGCTCGACTTCTCCTTGTGTATCTAGATCTAACCCATCTTTTGTGTCGGGATCGGCATTGTAATCCCAGGATGAAGGCGCGGAGGTGAGCAGAGCGAGTGTGTCGAGGAGGGCTTTGGCAGAGGGCTTGGTGTAAAGCTGGGGCAAATCTAGCACTACAATGAGGTGATTAGCATCAATCAAGGAGACTTTCTGGGCAGACTTACCACTAAGAGGCGACATATCTTGGTCTGAACGCTGCAGCAGCGGGGTGACAGGCGCCGATGTACCCGCAGAAATAATGTGGCCCGTGCACGTTCAGATCTCGACTTGAGCACGAGATACTGTTTGTGTCGCGAGACTACCCAAGATGCAGCATACTTGCAATCGATTCACGCAGCATGAATCGCTAATGTCGCCAGAACGGGGTCAGGATGTCATGGGAAAGAACGTGTCACACTGGCTTGCAGCCCCGCCCCCGCACTCCGCGTTCAGTCTTTCTTAAGTGTTGCCTTGAAGCCGTGGTATGCACTGTCCATGTCGAACTGGAACTCCCGAGCTTGATCATCGTCGAGCTTTTCCGCTGCGCGCATTTGGTTCAACGTGATGAGCCATTGAACAATCTTGCCTTTACTTTCGAAGTCTATGTCCGTAACCTTGTTGACTGCCTGGATGATCTCGACCAACAGCGGATGCAGCGTGTCCTTCTCGACGAGACCTATCCTGATGGCATCTAACAGCGTAATGAAGTTTTCGGTCGCATTGATCACGAGTGTCGCGTCGGCCGAATCGCCTTGCTGTGCCGGCTTGTGCGAGGGACCTTGCTCCACAGTAGCTGGTATTCCAACCCTCAGACGCTCGGTAGCTCTCGGGCACTCCATATCCCACTCGCGCTTGAAAGTCTCAAGATCGCCGAACGCGCGCGCAACTGTCTCATCGGCCAGATTCGACTTGTATTGCTTCAGAAGGCGGCTGCATGTCTCGGTGTAGTCAGCTTCAGATATCGAGTCTTTCAGATAGCCCTTCTCGAGTGCGTCCAGGGTGATGATTATGCTGTAGATCTCGGCGAGAGAGTCGTACAGGTCGCGTTCGGTGCTCGTCGAGGATAGCTTAACCTCCTACAAGCAGGCTATCAGTATCGACAGCGCATCTGACGCGTAACGTTATTTACCTCATCGAGATTGATGGTTGCAGAAAGCGTTGACCGCGGAATATATGGCGTGGGCGCATAGGCCAGCTGGCGGTTGCTATACATGATGGTGCTCGGTGCGTTGATGCTAGAGCCTAAGCTTCGCTCATCGCTCATCGCTCGGTGGTGCTCGCTCGGCCCAAGGTTGCTGCTATGTGGGGAAGGCGCCGAACTCTTGGCTGCGCTAACACTTTTTCCGCTGTAACTTTTTGCAACAACATCTCGCGACTTTTGCACCCGCCAATCCTACGCCGACGGCGCAGTGGACACTTTCACAATGCCGGTCTCAAAAGCAACCAAGAAGTTTGAGAAGAACAAGCTGAGTCAGGTGCTCAAAAAGCGGAAAGATGTCGCAAAGATCAAGCAGAGGAAGCAGATGGACCTGAAGCGCAAGCAACGAAAAGCCTTGGACAATGCGCCCGCTGACGGTGTCGAGAACGACGCCAGCAAGAAGGCAACAAGCAACGGAACCAAGGAAGATGCGTTCGGTGAAATGTCTATGGACCAATTCTTCCAGGGCGGTTTCCAAGTGCCCGAAATGAAAAAGAAGTCCACAAAACCGAAGACGGGAAAGCGCAAGCGGACGCCGGTCGAAGACGGCGCCTCGGACGATTCAGATGTCGACCTGGCGGAGGCGGCGGAAGGCGCAGAAGATGCTGGCTCAGACAGTGAATCTGGCGATGACATGGAGGCACACAAGAAACAGCTAGCAGGGTTGGCAGAAAAGGACCCCGAGTTCTACAAGCACTTGAAGGAACACGACCCAGAACTGCTTGATTTCGAGGACGACGATCTGGAGGGGCTTGAGCTCAGTGCCAGCGAGGACGAGAAGACGCCACGAAAGAAGCGCAAGTCGGACAAGGGTGCAAAGGACGACGAAGCCGGATCAGCGGGCAACGAAGTGACTAAGAAGCTTATTCAGAAGTGGAAATCTTCCATGGAGGAGAGCTCATCGCTTAGAGCGACGAGAGAGGTCGTGCTTGCTTTTCGGTCTGCTGCCCACCTTGACGAGGAGAAGAAAGAGAAGTATAAGTATACCATATCGGATTCAACTGGTTTGTCGACCCCATTCCGCAGCATATTGATACAGTCTGACTTGAAATAGTGTACCACGAGCTTCTCATTACCGCCTTGAAGCTGATTCCGAAAGTCCTTCAGCATCACCTGCCAGTCAAGGAGTCTGCATCCGGCAGAGTGTAAGTCGCACGTTTCCCGTAGCAGTCAATCTCGTGCTAACAATTCAGACACTTGTCGACGGACTCCAAGAAGTTCCGCAACCTTGCACCTTTGCTCAAATCGCACGCAGTCTCAATAAACCATCTCCTAGACAATCTTTCGGACGCTCCTACACAGCGTATGACGCTTGACTCGCTACTTGCGCTCCTTCCCTATATCCTGTCGTTCAAGAAGATCGTACGAGACGTTGCAAAGACGGTCTCGTCTGTCTGGGCGGATTCTTCCAACACTGAAGCAACGAGGCTGTCTGCATTCCTTGTACTTCGCCGACTGGTCGTCATCTCAGATGCTGGCATTCGGGAAGCAGTTCTCAAGCAGACCTACCAAGGTCTTATTAAGGGTGCCAGAAACACAACAGTGCACAACATCCAGGGTATAAATCTCATGAAGAATACTGCCTCTGAGCTATGGGGCTTGGATCCCAATATCGGTTACACGACAGGCTTCGGTTTCATTAGACAGCTTGCCGTCCATTTACGACAAAGCATTACCAACAAAACGAAGGATTCTTACAAGACGGTCTACAACTGGCAGTACATCCACTCGCTAGATTTCTGGTCGCGAGTAGTCTCCGTGCACTGCGAGTCTCTCCGGGAAGCAGAATCGGGTAAGCAATCTGCTCTACGGCCTCTCATCTACCCCATCGTCCAGGTCACTCTCGGGGCCATGCGTCTGATACCGACGTCGCAATATTTCCCTCTTCGCTTCCAGCTCGTTCGCTCCCTCCTCCGCATATCGTCCGCTACATCGACCTACATCCCGCTCGCCCCAGCCCTGATAGAGGTACTCAATTCTGCCGAGATGAAGAAGATGCCTAAGCCCAGCACGCTGAAAGCTTTGGACTTCAGCACCAACATTCGCGCCACCAAAGCCTACTTGCGCACTCGTATCTACCAAGACGGTGTCGGTGAGCAGGTCGCAGAGCTTCTCTCTGAATTCTTCGTTCTTTGGAGCAAGAACATTGCTTTCCCTGAACTCGCGCTCCCGGTCAGCGTCATGCTCAAGCGCTGGGTGAAGACCATGGCCAAGAAGTCAAGTGGCAACCGCAACGCCAAGATCAACTCGCTGCTCGCGCTTTTGGTGCAGAAACTCGAGGCAAACTCAAAGTGGGTAGAAGAGCGGAGAGCGAAGATCGACTTTGCGCCCAACGACCGCGCGGGTGTGGAAGGCTTCCTCAAGGAAGTGGAGTGGGAGAAGACACCATTAGGTGCGTTCGTGATCGGTCAAAGAAAGACGAGGGAGCAGAAGGAAAAGATCGAAGAGGCGGCGAGGAAGACGCAGGACAAGAAGAGAAGAGAGGCTGAGAAGGCTGAAGCAGAGGAGAACGCGGAGAAGTTCAGTGATGCCGAGAGCGAGGAAGAAGATGAGGAAGCAGAGGAGGGGGCAGATGGGGTTAGCGCGGAGGATGTTGACGACTCCGAGGATGAGGAGTAGGAACCGAGTCGGTTTAGTGTTGGATACCTCGAATGCATATGCTAATTACAAGCACCCTGTTGGCTGCCTGCTAAGCCTTCCATTGTGTGAGCTGTAGATCAAGAATGCGCTCGGTGTTTTCCTTCCTTTACATCACTACCCATGCCACTTCTAACACTCACCTCCCATCGTCGTGCCCCAATGCGAGCAATGCGAAGGCTTGTTCATCATGAACCCCTCACCCAATGACGTCACAAACATACACCACTGTACCAGCACCGTAACTTCACAATCACGACGCTCGCCACCAAATTCGACATCTTCCTTCGACTGTCACAAAGCTCTTCGCCCATATCAAGCCTAGTTCTCTGCGAATCTAAAACCGTCACCAAGCTCTCAGCCTGGCTGCACTTATAACAACATGACCAAGCCAGTACCAACTTCCTCCGCCCGTCTGACCTGCCTCTGCGGTGCGATCTCCCTCCCTGGCACCTACCTCGCGGAGACCAGCTTTCCTTTTTCCTCCATAGTATGCCACTGCAATCCGTGCCGCTACACCACTGGCGCTCTCCTGCCGACCTTCGCAGACCTGAAAGGGGCGCCTCCCCCAGAGATCAGAAAGCATCTCACAGCGTACCAATTCACGCCTTTCTGCGTGCGGTATTTTTGCAGCACGTGCGGCTCTCATTGCTTCGTGGAGCATCCTCAGGCGGAAAAGGAGGAGTGGTATTGCACTGCGGGGATTATTGAGCCCAAGGAGGATGAGGGTGTTAAAGATGTGGTCCAGCTCGTGGGGCATATGTACATCGACGACTTAGGCGATGGAGGATGTGTCCCACTCTTCCTACCCATCACAACGAACGGCGAGTCGGAACTTTACGACGCTCGATCCGGGACGCAAAAGCTCAGCCCGCAAGCTCTTTACGCCCGCGTGCAGAGTTCTCGCCAGCATCCCGCACCTGGTCAGGAGGAAATGCTCGAAGCACGGTGTCACTGCGGCGGTGTCGATTTGAGGATCAGGAGAGCGGAGTACCCAACAGAACCTGAGGGCGTGAGGAGCTTGATGAAGACGGACGAACCGCACAAGTACCTCGCGCGTTTCTGCTCATGCCGCTCTTGTCGCCTATCCATGGGCGTCTCACTTAGCCCGTGGACGTACGTCGCGCTGTCTTCTGTCCTTAATGTCCACACATCCAGACCTGTACGCTTCGGCGCCGACGCAGAAAATGGTGGTGCGAATGAGGGGCTGGATCTGAAGCATCAACACAGCAGTGAAGGGGTTTGGAGAAGTTTCTGTGGTAGTTGTGGAGCGAGCGTGTTCTACTATACAAGCGATGAGACGAGGAGCCATGTAGTCGATGTCGCTGTTGGATTGCTACGAGCGAAGAGTGGCAGTATGGCGAGGGAGTGGGTGGGGTGGGCAGATAAGGAAGTTAGTCATGGAGACGAGTGCACCGATCACAGCCAGGTTGAGTGTATCAAACAGCACGGGGAGAGGATATGATCAGACGAAGGGATGCGGTTGGGAGTAAGTGGGATGGTTGTGAAATAATACTTGCGCTGCTCACCTGTTGGAAAGTCGAAGTGTCCTTTGGAAGCGTTGAGCACGGGGATACCCAGGCATTGGGAAGGATCGAACGTAACCGTGGTACTAAATTCATATTCGTGACTGTGTCAACCTTCCGACCACTCAAGCACAAGATAAAATAAGTCTCTGGAGTCATGCAACAGTCAAGTCATATCTACACATATCTCATGTTTATAGAATATATATCCCTCTCTTGACGTTTGCTGAATCTCCAAATTAGACTACGATCCCGACTCTGAACACCATGTCGTCACTCATATCATTTGCAGCTTTATACACGAAGGAAGGCCGGTCGAAAGTCCTCAATGCGCCCATCAGTCAGTGGCAAATCCGGCATATCGTGCAGTACCTTGGACTGAAGCACAAGCCTTGCAGGAGCTTGACTTTATTCACTAAAGGGAAAGTCAACGCTCTTGCACTGGATATCCGGCGAACAGTCCGCGAAATTTTATCCCTTATTTACGGCCCTGAAGAACCATCTAAACCTGGATCGGCGCCTACAAAGTTTGAACTCAGGGACGAGCCAGCATTTATCGACATTGCCAGGACGATCAGCATGGAATACGGACCGTTGCTATGGGGTTCCGAAGCGAGAGAGCATCTATATGAACCACCAAAAGTCCGAGCATATCGGGGTTTATACTGGGATAGGCCGGCTGATGCTGAAGTGGTTCGGTTTCTCATCCGATGTTGGCTGATCAGGCACGCGCACTCTCGCCGCAGACATCTAAAAAGATACCGACGAACAGCGCTATGTCCAGAGAAAATTACGAAGAGACTTGAGATAACTGCAGCAATAACAACATACCGATCACGAAATATTAGACCGAAGTTTGCTGTAGGCAACGACAGCGACAGCGATGACGTACCGCCAGTCCGAAGACATACACGCATCCAAACCAAGCATGCAGATGATCTGAACGACAGCGACAGCGACGATGTACCTCTAATTCAGAGGTGTGTACGTTTTCGAACCCAAGATGCAAAGGCCGACACCGACAGCGACGACATGTCGCTCATCCGAAGGCAAACACGCACCCGACCCAAGACTGCAGATGATCCTGATGCCGACTATAAGCCAAGCGATGATGGAAGTCCACCACCATCTTCTCAACGACCAATGGAGAGTGAGTCCGATCGTACGTCTTCAAGGGAGAGTTCAACGTTCTCAGACCTTTGTCGCGAACACTCCTTCAGTATCTACTCAAACGACATCGAGAACAGTTACGAAAGCCAAGTCGAAGCTCAGAGAAACCCTCCAAGATAAACCTATCTTTGGAAGCCCCATGCCCCAGTCGATCCGGACATAACAGACGACAGCACGGTACCAAAGCTCCTCCAAGATCTCGGTATGATTCTGAAACACCAGGAAAACCAGAAGCTGGGGATCTCCGAGGTCATTGACTTAGGCTCTAGCCCTCCTTGCAGCCCAGACAACAGTCCTTGAAGAGAGAGTAGTATCAGGCATGTGATACCGAGCATGAGTCGCGATTTGATGTTGAAAATCAAGAAGCGGGTGAACTCGGGAGCCAGAGACTTAGACATGAGTTCAGATAATAGCACGAATAGCGGTTCTACGAAGAACGGTAGCAGGAAGGCGACATTGGTTGTACGTGCCATGTCGGAGGAGGAGGAAGAAAGAGAGGGCGAGACTTGAATCTTGAATCTGCTGTGTGGGATAGAGGCGAGCTATAGGTGTAGAACTCCAGATGTTTTAAAGGTGTTGTCGTGCCCTAAGCATAAAACAAGGCCGGATTGAACGGTTGGCCTGCCTAAAGGAAGGGGGGGGGATAGTTGGTGGACGTTGAATTAAAGGCACAACATATAAAAGATACATGCAGAGATGGCCTGCTCTCAGGTGTATTGTAATGAATCAAAGTGGCAATTGGCAGACTAGAGTTGACTAAGAGCGTAGTTCATAGTTGCAATTCTCAGTTTCTATGTTTCCAGAGTACAAGGCTACGCTTCAATCGCCCTCAATTGTCCTTTACACCGAATATACATCTCGAGCATTATCCGCAAATAATGAAAGATCAACCACGCCGCACCACTGCAAACCCATCCGCCACCCAACACATCGGATACGCCATTTATTCAACTACGCTTTGATATTCACATACCCCTACCTATAACTCCCTGCCTTACCACCTTTTTTTCTAACAACACATGCACCACTCTCCACTCATCTGCCAAAAGCCCCACAACACAATATCACTTCGGCGCGGAGATGATCTACTACATCTCCACGGCACTCTTCCTCCCGGCCTGAGGCCATCCTCCGTACGAGCCTCACACCACCATCCTCCCTGGAACCCTGCAGGCGTTTCACGTATCGCCACCGGTAGGAAGAAGACCCGAACGACACTTGACACATGACACATGACTGGCACCTTGGCGCTTGGCCACGGCTGAGGCAGGCAGGCAGGTAGGCATGCAGGCAGCATGTATGTGCGGCTCTGCGAGTTTCGTCGCGTGGCGGTCCGAGTTCGAGCTTGGTCGGCTGGTAGAAGTCAAGGCAATGACGCGATGTGCAATCATCATGGCACAGCACAAATGAGGCAACAAGCTATTGTCATGGCGAGCACTGATTCAATTGATGCGAAGATACGCGACATACATACGAGGCTAAAGTAGCACACTCGTTCATACAAGTAAAAAAAAACGTACAAACCCTCTCCCACAAGCGAAGGGGAAAAGCGTAGGTATTTCCATAGCGTAGGTATTTCCGTTTCCGACTCTCTCGCCATCAGCCGTCTAGTCCGGCTGGCGCCCCTATCTTCCTGCATCGTACACAGTAAATAGCATCTAGAAATGCTCCTTCCAGAACTTGAAGTTGACCTCCTGGCATTTCGCCGACTTGCACGCCCTCTTGATGTCACGTGCTGCCACGTTAGGACCGCAGAAGTACACACCGACGTCGGTGCGCAGAGTGCTCTCGAGGCCGCCAATGTACGTTCTATCGAGGATACCATCGCGCATGCCGCAGAGCAAGCGCTGGAAGTCGGGACGTCCAAAGTTAGTGCGGGACTTGAGCTCGGTGAGGGGATCCTTGTCCGTGCCAACTGAGTTGAGCACAATGTTTTGCGCTGTGTTGGAGTCGATCTTCTGCGTGAGGTATGTGTGGATGCGCAGGAACTGCTCGTTCTCGTTGCCGCCCATGGACTGTGCTTCAAGCGACGAGAGAAGCGTCTGGAACCATTCGAATGAGGATGTGTCTTTGCAGACCCAGATGAACTCGACACGGCGGAGACGCTTAGGCGGGTTGGGGCTGAGGCGCATGTGGTAGATGGACTTGAGGATGGAGGCCCAGGGAGTGACACCAATACCGGTACCGATAAGCACGGCAATTTCATTCTCGAAAACGTCCTCAGCGGGTGCTCCGTAAGGCCCATCAATCCGGAGAGCGGGCATCTTCTGGCCGTGTTGCAGAGCGATCTCGTACATGCCCATAGGGTCGAGGTCGTCGTAGAGCTTGGATTGCGACATACCCGCACCGAGAGCATCGGCAAGAGAGCGCGTGAAATCACCAACCTGGCGCACGTGGACAGAGATGTACGGGTCCTGTGGGCAGGAGGTAATGGTGAAAGGATGCCACTGGTGGTAGCTGACTTCTGGGCAGTTGAGGAAGAGCCACTGTCCAGGCTTGTACTTCATGCTGGGCTTAGTAAATTGGATCTCAACAGCATCTGTTGACCGTTAGTCTCAGCTCGAAACTCGCTAGCGATTGACTTACCATAGGGATGGCGGACGACCTTGACGATCTGGGTCTGCCTTCTGCAACGGACCTCTCGGTACAGACGGTCGAGCAAGTACAGTCCTCCTCCGACAAGCTCCCATCGCCAGCCTTCATAGCCGAGGCAGTGGCCCCAGAAGTTGTCGTGATCGAATGGCGAAAAGGGAGCAGCGGTATCACGCACGAAGCAACTAGTGGCGTGCGTATACATGCCGAGCAGGAATGGAATGAACAGGTGGTGGGTATACCAGAAGGTTTCGAACGACTGCTGTCGAATCCTGTGGTGGGCGGTGGTGTAGATGAGCAGCATCATCAGCAACATGAGATGGCCAGTGACACCGCCGGCCTGGGTGTAGTGAATCTCGAGAGCAATCTCCGGACGAACTTGTGTTCTTTCGACGTTGAAGAAGCTGGCACAATTAGCTACATGCAGCCAGACTGCGAGGTGATACGTACTTGACATAATGCGCCGAGGTGTGAATGATGGTGAAGAAAACCATAGCGTAAGCGACTTGTCGGTGGAACCACATGGACTCGTCCAGAGGTAGCCATCTAATCTTAGGTCGAATCATTCGTAGTATATTTCGGCACATGGGCATGACGATGACCATGGTGTCTACTGACAACACCAAACCCGCACCACGAGACGTCCACACGGAGAACTGAAGGGCGTTCAAAGGTGCAAGTCGAGGTTCGGCTGCCTGTTTCCACCTGCGGTAGGTTAGTGCTTGCCCAGGGACCATGGTGAACGGCAACGTACCATCCTATGCCAAATATCGCCCAGTGGAATCCCCAGAAGAAGAAGTTGAACGCCAGCTTCTTTGGCGCGAAGAAGCCGCGCCAAATCGATCCGCCTCCGGCCATGATTACTTTTCAAGTGTCGATAATAATACGTCTTATATCCTGCACCAAGCGCGGAGCATCAATCGCAATCCAAGAGGGCCGGCCGTTCAACGGTGATTACAAGCTATTAAAGAGCGTACGAGGTAGAAAAGCGAATGTCGACCGGAGAGCAAGGGACCCAGTCGACTTCAAACCGGCCAGCCAGATACGAAGTGAAGAAAAGAATGTCGGCGTCAAGCGACGGTGGAGGGAGTTGGGATGTTGTAGGAGGGAGCGGAGGTAGAGATGACGACCAAGGCTTCCGGGCACCCAGGGTTAAAGAGGGTAAGCTTTCGGGGCTCGCTAGTGGCTGTCGCGCAGATCAGGTGGATCTCGGAAGAGCAGTGCGGTTTAGGAGGACGGCACGCTGTGATGAAACCAACAGGCGCGTTCGGAACGGGCGTGGCTCAAACCGAAGCCCTGATGGTTTGCTGCATACAAGATGCAATAAGGTGGATTACAATTTGCAGCCTCCAGAATAGGGATGGCGATCCAGGCAGAGATGAAGCGGCACGAAACCTGGAATGGCTCGGCAGGTGCGATGGCTTCCCGAGTGTGTTGTTGGGGTGTGCACCTATGCGATGTGTGCCTAATGTATGAGGAACGTCTCAAACCTGAAGCGACAGGCACAGAACCATTTTTCCTTGTAGCGGGATTGACTGATGGGGGAAGAGAGGGCCGTTCACCCTGGAGTATGCACGGTTATGCGGCAAAGCGCGCGGGAAGCACGGGTGGTGTTCAATGTAATCGTTGGGTCCGCGTTCGACGACGGTACAATCAATTCTACAGCGGGTTTTTGGACACGTTCTTCACAATCTTGTTGCGTGCCTGACCCGCCGATGTCGTCTTGACAGCTGCTCTGTGCTGGGGGACTTGGGCTTGTCGCCGTGAGCGAGAGGCGGTTCGATGATACGCAGGGGTTCGCTGAGACAGTTCACGTTGGAGCTCGGACAAGGTGACGTGAGGGAAGACGTGGCGCGCGCAAATGGAGAGAAGCACAGAGGGCAATGTGCTTCCAACAGCAATTGTCAAGCAACAGCAGTGTATGCGACGGAGGTGGAAGAAGTGAAGCTAGATTATGTGCAGCATTGCGCAGAGGCGCCACGACGCTGGCGAGGGACAGCGGTGTCTTGGAGTGGATCCACATGCAAGGTGCAGCAATCGAGAGGCTGCTGGGTAACATTTGCTGGAGGCGCCGAGGCGTGAAGTCGCGTACAGGATGGATATTCTCAGGGCGTGTGCAGGCTGTGGTTGGCAGCACGACTTTGGAGGGGGCTGGACGCCGGGCGTGGCGTCACCGTGTGAGCCAATGTGCGTGGGCTTGTAACCGCTCAGGACCCTGCACTAGACCCCCCGCAGCGGGCGAGCCAGACGGTGAGCGCCCATCGACGACTGCGTCCAGGTCCCACCGCGGCCACGCGGTATCTACACAGTGCTGTGGTAGTCGAGCTACCGTGTGAATGGAAAGGCATCGCGAGTGGGGCTTTGCGTTAGGGCTGTGATGGCGATGCTTGTGGCGAGCTGCGAGCACCAGTTGTCTCGGCTGTCGGGTGCCCTCTGAGCCTCCTCGATCGGCTGCAGCGGGCAGATGCTGTGCGACAAAGATCTCACCGAGGCTCGAATCCTGCGCTGCCGAGTCGTGCATGGTTCAACGAGAGCGCAGACGGACTCGAACGGGCCGAGGGTGTATCGTGCACTGCCCGATCGGGAAGGGCAATGGCAGTGTGATATCAGCATTGCGGGCCTTCCAGAAAGCCACTCCCTCTCCGACGGCTGCGGTCTGAAAACAACCTCAGGCCATTGTTTGGGGCATCCGTCGCTCGCACCTCGCAGACAGATGCATACCCCAACCTGGCGCGTCCGCAACCTTGGCGTTGAAAGCTTGACAGCCGTTGCAGCAAACAAAGTCATACGAGACTCGCTCAGTATCAGCCCATATTGTTTTGACAGCACCTGTCAAGCTTCTGGTGGATCGCTGTCGCGGGCGTCGACGCCAGCTTCATGCCTGAGCATCCAGCATCCGGAGGCGGCTTCCCGGGCCTGCAGCTTCTGATGTAAACGTTGTCGTACGATGTTGTTTGATGATCCTGCAATGACCTGCCTGGTCTGCTTCTGCCGCGCCGGGGAGGCATTTGTGTATCCTGAGGCGTTTCTTAAACCGGGACTGAGGCATCCGGCACGGGCCCATGGCGGCTTTGGGCATGGTGGACTGTGGAGGTCATTCACCGCATCTTGCCAGCCATGGCATCATCCAACGTCTTCCAAGGTTCTCGTGGCTGCACGTGGGATGAGCATTCCAGCGGGTCTCGACTGCGCGTCTTGGAAATGCGATGGAAGATGCACCGACGAACCAGACGTCGACGCGCGACTACCGAGCCATCTCGCACCACGGCATCTGCTTGGCCCCGCCGCCACGTGACGCTGCGGTATGCCCATGGACTCAGTATGGATTCGCACTCGCAGCCAAGGGCGAGCACGGCGACGCTCACTGGCGGCGTGCAGGTTGCGGCTTCAGGCCGGTGCTGGTGGCTGCAGGCGAGAGGCAGGGATGCGCCCGCCGTGGCACAAGACACGCATCAGCGCCCCCCGCCACGGCCAATCAGCCCCATTCACTCTACGCGGCGGGGCCCGGCAGCGGCTAGAGGGCAGCGCATCCCAGCTCGGGCTGCCCCAGCGCATGACATGTCTTTGCATTTACGGCCGTCCTGCCCTCCCCATCCATCGTCGTGATACACCACCCGTAGCATAACCGCACCCTTTCTGCCTCGAACACTGCCTGAGCCCTCTGCTCCACCGTCGCAGGACAGCCTCAGCCCGCAATCGTCCCTTCCCGTGCCTGAGTCTCATCCCATCGCCGCTTGGACGACACTAAGCCTGAACCGCCTGCCCGTGACCGACGAACGCCTCGACGCCTGGTATAACAAAACCCTAGACCCGCCCTGGGCTGCCAGTTGCTCTCTGGTCTGTAGCTACTGGTAGCTCGCTGCGCGATACAGTCGTTTACCTTTCCGTTCTCTTCGCCTTCTGCCGCCGGGTCGGTCTTGCAACTCGTCCTTTCTTTTAATACCTTTTGCGAACCTCGGAGCCATGGGAAAGTTAATTAAGAATCATTGGGCGCGCCTCATCGTCCTGACCGCCGCTGCCTGTGCGTGTTCCTGAGAAGTCAATTCGGCACTTCGCCATTACTGACTGCGTGACAGACCAGATAGCTGCAGCGATTGAGGCCTTCTTCTGGCCCAAGATCTTCTGGGATTTCTTGACAAAGAACCTCGATGGCGCCGTCAAGCCTGTTCCCGCGCTTCAGATCATCAACATCATCATGGGCGTGGTGGGACTGGCGTGGGAGTGGGCCCGTTGGTTTCCTCGCCGGCTCTGGCCTACACCGATCCATCGAAGCCCGCCTGATCATCTATCCCATCAGCGCTCTCGTCGCGCTCTTGATTTACCAAGGCACCAACGCCGGTCTTTACTACATCATCGGCATGATGGCATACTTCTGGGCCTACAGCGAAGGCGAGGTACGTTCTCATCCAGCATTACATCTTGCATCCCATACTGACATGCAAAAGGTTGTCTGCCCCGAGCCATGGACCCTCCCCAAGCGTGGCTCGACGCGTCGTGGTGTATAGACCCACCCAACAGACTTCACTTCGCAGTCGATGATTATCACGCGGCGGGCACCATTGAGCGACTGATACCATTTTTCTCATCTACCTATTTCCCGCGCAAAGTGCGCGGAGGCGTTTGGGATGCATGACCTGACCTGACTATCGGACTGGATAAAGACGCATCGCGACGCAACTTTCTCACGATTATGCTTTTTAACTACGCATGGTAATCTGACCAAAGCAGCGAGTATTGCACTCGCTAGCTATGTAGCAATACAACACCAAATCAAGCAAAAACATTGGAATACTATTGATTCGCTGCCCCTCTTGAAGACCATCGTGAAGATCCTAATGATTCGCTTTCGCAACCTTGATTGTCGCATGAATTCCGTCTCCTATGATTTGCGCGCCCAAACACTGAGGCAGGCCTCTGAGGCAGCTTAGTGTGTCTGAGGCTTGTGCTGAGGCTGCGCGGGTTTCAGGCCTACCCGCGCGCTCGCGTATTCACATAGTTCACTACTACACCCAATAGCCTCCGACGGTGTAGGCCCTTTCGTCTCTTCGTTCCTCAAGGCACAAGGAACCGCCTCGTCGGAACTCTGCGTCGGAGCGAAAGCTAAAGATCCGGATGATTTGCTACTGGACGTCGTTGAGATGGTTCTATGTTGGCGGAGCAAGAGGTTGTTATGGCCGTGAAGGTTGGAACACGAACCAATTTTTCGGGAATTATATACCAACATGCTCTGCCTCGAAGCAGTGACTCTTACTATATGCGCGTGTGCTTCGCCAGACCGAAGGGCACTCAACTATCAATCTATTGCTAGAAGATGCGAAGATATCAGACTTCTCGTCGGATTATCTTGAACTTCATGTTCTTTTGCTTGACGAAGCACACATATTCGCACTCAAGCTCCGCATTCGCATCTGCGCGTTCAAAATCATACTTTCGCAGCAGCTGTGGCACAGCCTTCGAAATCTCCATCGGACTGATATTCTTGCCTAAGCAAGTCCTAGAACCGTGACCGAACTGCAATCAGATCAGAGATCGTATCCCAACGATTGTGGTTCTCTGCAGAAAGTGCGATTCACTTACAGGGATCCAATATCTGTTCATGGCGGAGACGGTCTCCTTGTCGGCGAGCCACCTCTCCGGTCTGAATTGATCGGCGTCCTCACCGAAGACGGCTTGGTTGGCGTGTGCAACCCAACAGTTGATTCCGACGGACACCTTCAAACTCGATTAGAAATCTCTACCGGAAGACTCAACATGTCGTAAACGTCTCTGCACGTGCTACTCACTCCTTCCGGGAAGAATCGCCCAGCGATATGGGCACCTCCCTTTGGCACAATTCTAACCAGGGGGAAAGCAGCAGCCGGGTGGATCCTCAGACCTTCCAAAATGACGGCTTGGAAATATGGCATGGTCTGGGTCTCTGCAAACGTTGGAGGGTCCGAAAGCTGGCCGTCAGCCGTTTTCTCGTCAATCTCGGCGCGCAACTGTCGTGCTATTGTCAGACATGGTACTGCAGGACGGGGAGGAAGAAATAAATTTGCCTTAGCGAGAACTCTGCGGTCCATTATTACGTTCCATAAGATGGCGCTCAGGCTGATGCTTGTCGTATCTGTACCAGCTCCGATGTTCTGAAGGCAAGTCAAGAAGACCTTCTCCATGGGAAACTTGGCTGGGTCCTCGCGGTGCAGCCGCAGCACACTAGTCAAGAAATCGTCTCCACTCTCTCCGGTCTCTTCATCTTGCCATTTCGATAGCCGTTCTTGGATTTGCTTTCCTGCGAAATCCATGACCGCCGCGAAGCCGCTGTTGCCAAAGAAACTGGACAGCTTGAAGATGACTCGGTGCCATTCCGGGTACACGCCAATCCGGGCAACGTATAGAAGACTTTGGTGGATGTTGGAGATCATGTTCATACAATCTTCCCCCTTTTTTAGGAACCCGAAACGCTTGGCAACCTGCAATATTTGGTCAGACGTGTGCTCTCCTTGTTATTCACTGTTGAGTGAGAGTGGTGCTTGCGAACAGTTATGGCGCCTATTACGTCAAAAGCGTAGCACTGAACCCACCACTGCAAATCAATCACTTCGCCGGAACTGTGTTAAGGTCAATTGATTGACAAATCCAAAGTTTCCAGCTGCGTCCTTACCGAGAGATCTCTGAGAGCCTTTGATCGAACTCTTTGATGCATTCATCTACCGCGTCCTCCATCTTCCGTAGTGTCTTTATAGAGTAGAATTGAGCAATTTGACGCCGATGTGTAGCGTGCTTTTTCGCATCCAGTTCCGTGAAGACGTCGCGAATGGGCATGTCGGGACTCGCACTGACGGAGTACCATTCTCCCTTGGCGAAAGTAGATCTAGCGCCGTAGAGGATTTGCACAGCAGATGGATCGTCGATGGAATAGTGATTCGGTGCTATCCGGACAATGGGCCCTTAACCTTTCAGTCAGTAGCGTGATCTACATCAAATTTCCTTCCCAATTGAGATATACATCGAAAAATAACTGAGGGACATACCATACTTGCGGTGTTGCTTTACAATCACCTTGTGCCAGTCACCGCGCCAAACCTGACGCAAATACCAAAGACGAGATAGACGGGAGGCAAAAGGCCCAGGTACTGAACGAAGAGGACTCAAAATGGGCCTTGTGATATAGTGCACCAGCAAGACCCCTACCAATGCCGCAACCAAGCACAACCCAAGACTTGTCGGAGAGAGCAAAAAAGTATGGGCTAGGTCGATCTCGGAAGCCATGTTGATCAGAATTCAAGAGCGCAGTATATATCCAGAAAGAAGGAGAGATAAGGAAGCCCTGGAGTTTCTAAGTAACATCAAAGGCTGCGATACTCTTTTTTATATACAAATCGGGTGGCCAAGACGGGGTGCGTTGTAAGTCCAGTGTTATAAATCGTGAGTACCTACCTATGGTACTCTCTACCAATGAGGTCGCTGTCGATCGAGTCCATAAGCCGCGCACGGACTCTACAAGGGAGTGTTAGAAATTACTAACGCTCTATTACAGGTAGCGTGATCTATTGTTCAACCCGACAATGAGCTTGTAAAAGCGGGGCCACTCCTCCGGGGCAGATGAACGGGGAGTCTGGCACGCCCCGTCGATTTCGCCCTCCACCTCATATTGGGTGTAGTAGATACAAATACCACAACCCCATCAGCTACTGCGAACGTTAAACTTAAAAGGGTTCTCTGCATTTGCAAGCACCTCCTGTACGCGTCCGATGCTGCGTCGTTGCGCTGGGCTGAGTGCGTACATGTACATGGTAGGCTTGGTTGACAAAAGTATTGGGAACCCTATATGTATCATCTGCGCCTCGCTCGCGATGCGAGATGGAGTGGTACAACAATCCGAGCACCAACATTGTATAGTCAGTGCATATATTACTGCTGTGCGCCTGTATTGAGCAGCATGTCGACGTGAACAGTTAGTGTTCGTGCGTGAATATGTTGAGATAGATGGCGTTGCTTCTCGCGCGGCGTATTGTTGGATACAACAACCCTACAGACCTACACACTGTCTACCCCTCAGGTGGATACACCACGATCTTCTCTATATCCGCGCCCTTCACATCAAAGCCATTGCTCAACCCTCCAATCTTGATCTCGTTGGTTCCCTTCTTCAACTTCAGCTTCAACGGCGTACTAAGAATTATCCCTTTGTGCGTGTCTCTTTGGTACAGCGACTCCACATTCTGCGTGTCTCCGTTCAAGACAACGCTCGCAATCCTCCTCAGCTGCCAGGCTCCGCCGATCCGGTCCGGCGTGCCCCCCGGTTGGTCCCCGAAGCCCATGTCGTCCGTGTTCTGGTAGTAGAAGCTGACCCACTGGCCGTCCTTCGCGCCGTTGCCCTGCACATTGGAGAATGTTACGGTGGAATCGTTGCCGTAGATGCCGGTTAGGAGGGAGCCGGTGTCGCTGAAGGTGGCTTCCTGTTTGAACGCACTGCCTGCTGTCTTTGCCGACGGCGCTTGATAGATGGTCCCCTTTACTTCACGATACTCGCCGGTCTTGACGTTGAGATCGTAGATGTCGTACCATTCTAGCTGCAGCGACTTCTTCTGCTCATTGATTGAGACGGGCAGCCATATGTATCGCGACTCCCAGAGGGAATTGGAGTCCCATTGGTCGCCAAGGTAAAGGTAGGTGGTTTGCTTGCGGCCTTTGATGCGCAAGCTGAAGCCGGATTGCGAGTTGAAAGTGCGTGTGTTGAGGGGTGCGACGATGAAGGGTTGGGACCATGGCCCGGAGAGCTTGTCTGCGCGGAAAGCGACGACGTTATTGGGGCGGTAGCCAGTTTTGTGACTCATGAGGGCGAAGTAGCTTTTCTCTGTTTGGATGATAGTAGGTGCCTCAAGGTCAAACTTGTCGAAGCGGTGGACGACCGAATCGAGGGCGGTTTTGTTGTCATTATAGCTTGTGAGGTAGACATCGCGGGCTTCTTTCCGGTCTCCGTTGGAGTAGAGGGCGTAGGAGCGACCGTCTTTGTAGTCGGTGAAGAGGCCGAAGTCTTGGGACCAGTTTCCTAGCGGGGAGGTTGCGTCTACAAAGCTGTACGGACCGGTGATGTTGTCGGCTTGGGCGAAGCCTTGTAAGAGCAGCCCGTAGGTGGAGTTGTCGGCGTGCCAGAACATCTTTTCCTGTCAGTGTACTGTTCTTGCGAATGCGCATGGTCACATACTTGGTATTTCTCGGTGGCATCGCTGTATATGACCTTTGGTCTTTGGATGATCATTTTCGGGTCGAGGTACGGGTGTCCTTCTTCGGGCTCTGGTTTTTACTTAATATCACACACAAATTCAGCAGACCAGCTCTCACATACTCAAAGCCAACCCATGCGATTCCCAAGTCGCCAAATCGTCGGAGCTGTAGACAGCCACTCCACCACCCTCAACCTGCCCTTGAACTTTGTACTCGCCGAACAAGAAGAACTTGCCCGAGTCTTCGTCCACCGTCACGCACCCAGCATGTGCATTGACCAAGTTCCCATCAGTATCGCTCCATCGTGCGCCCGGAACGATCCATTTCGCGCTCGCTAGCCCAGCAGCCAGCAACAATTGGCTCGACAGCCATGAAACATACATTGTCCGATTACCCTTACACGAGATGCGTCCTCAGTGGCAAGAGGTACCTTCTCAATTGTAATATGGGAAGTTTTCTTATATGAACACGAGCCAAGACGGTTCCGGGCGCAATTACCCCGAATCCAGGAACGGCGCGGGGCTCCGCATCTTGGAGCGAGCGACGATCATCGTGTTTCTCCAGGTTAAGGAACGCGCCTTCGATTCTCGGTTTTGGACGCGGAGAAATTGGTGCTGCAATGTCGGTCGAAGGGCCTTGGTGATTATATACTCTTCTCATGTCATAGGGCCAAGTACCAATGGTATGGTACATATGATAAAAGCTCATCGTCCCGGTTTCCGGGTTTCGGGGGATGTTGCTACCGAAGGCGAACGTGTTATATCCTATAACTTTGTCTTGGGAATTTTGTGTAATAGCTTGAGTCAGGAACGTTGGCAATGTTCGTTCCTCTTCGCCTTAGGGTTTTGTCGCACCTGCACTAACCGCATTATCCCAATTTCCACTCATTCACATCCAAAATCAACCTCGACATGAGACATAAACAAAAGTCTTAGGACCAGCGGTCACAGGTTTTGCAGAAAATCTGCGCCAACTTTTTTTTGCATATAATGCGCAAGGTCCTTCGAGAATTCGCAGCTTGAGAACACCCGGAGCAAAGAGGTTTAATACGTTGCTCGTCCGCGGTACATGGTATGCCGACCTTCTAAGCACGTAGCTCTTGCTTGCTTGGAAGCAAGACTCTGCGAATAGTATTTTGAAATAGGCATAACTATGTATCCTAGCGACGAGGATTCTTTCCCATTTCTTGTCTTATATTACGACTTTATGCTTTACGTTATCTAGGCTATCAATTAGTTGTCGCAAAATAATATCTGGTTTAGCAATCGGCGCATTCAGTTGCCATCGGAGAGGTCCCGTAGAGATATTCTAGCAGTGTTCTGTCAACTTAGGTTACCGCGATGTAGAGCAACTAATCTTCATGCGTCCAAGCGGGGCATTCTCAAGTGTCGCCACAGACACAGGCCCCCCAAACCGCTGATCCTACGTGCGCTGAGTCACTCAGTAATCGATAGGGAGTGTTACCTTCGGTCTTCCGACCTTCTTCAACCTTCAACCTTACAGGGTACTCAAGCATTTGAGACACCCCGCACTCAAACACTCCCTAATCTCCCTACCTTCACCATGACTCAACCCTACACCGGTCCTCCCTCTCGCATCTCCCTCCACGTAATATTCCACATCGACCCCTCCAACATATCCGCCTTCTTGAAAGCCCTCAAGCCGGCCTACGACGCCGTGACTGCAGAGCCCGAGTGTGTCTTCTTCGAGGTCTACCAATCGCCCGATACACCTGGCAGGATCAAGTTCGTCGAAAACTGGAACGCGAGTGTGGAGTGGTTAATGAATGTAAGCTCTACCTCGACTCATAGAGATTCAGTACTAGTTGAAGACGCTTTACCGTACCGCACGTTATAGATAATGTGAGAGGGCACAACGGGGAAGAATGTTGGCAGGGCCGGTATTCGATGGAAATGCTGACAATAGCACAGGTGCAGATTCCGAAAGAGTACTACAAAGAGTATCAGACAACTACGAAGCCGATGTGGTTGAAGCCTGTTGAGTTCGAGGTATTTCAGAGAATGCCGGAGAACGAGTGGGTCACTGTGAAGGATGCGATGTTGAAGTGATCATCCCAGCAAAATCAGCAGGCCAGTAGCACCGGCAGAAAACCATAAATCTGATATTACTCCTGCGATACAGCGTACTTGCTCTTCGCCCTTATCCTCGTGCCGTAGACGTGGAACAGACGCGGCGCGGTCACCAGCCATGCGCTTGTTAATCTATGATGCTTAAAGTCCAGTCTATACATATTATTAGAGAACGGAAAGCCTACGATGACTATCCTTCCAGAGACGAATAGCTGATAATGGTGAAGACTGCGGTGGCTGATGCGGAGTCCCGTCCGCGTGAGTCGCTACCGTATTGGTACAAGCTGATGAAGATGTAGACGATGCCGTGCCTGGGAAAAGCGCGCGGCAAGCGGAGACTAGGTTGATATCTCTGATAGCGAAGATGCGCTGAACAGAGTAGATGCTTGAGACTGGCTGGAGTTTTGTAGATGTTGTCGGCACGGACGAACATCCCTTGGGGCAGATTCGGAGGCTTGTTCAGGTAGACAACCGATCTGTTTGCGAAACCTGCGACTCTGGAGAAGTGAAGGTAGGGATGGGAACAACACGGTCAAGGGGCGAGTGGGGGATGCGTAAATGAAGTATTCGGTTTCCCCCAGGCGCTGTATTCCACATTGCTGTGTCATATCCCATCGTCTTTGTGAATTCGTTGGATATCCGCATGCATAGCATAGCGTTAACCTGAAAGCTGTCCCCGCCATGAAGTCCGCCGCAGCGATCTGCTACGGTCCATCCTCGTTGGCGTTTAGACGAGTCCAACCAATCCTCGCTTACTCTCATCGCGGGTGGTGGGAATGGGAACGAGCTTCCTAGCCAGACATTTTCGAAGTCCATTTAATCGGCGGAAATGGCCCGCTAGAACGACATGCAAGCGCGCATTTGTATATTCCTTACTCGGAACTAGCGGTGGTGACGTCAAGACAAGAACTGAATACTTTCCTAGCGTATGATGTTGATACATAACTGATCGTACCGGTGCAATGAAGGTTCAATGAGGAAAGCGAGCCTTCCGTCTGATGCTCTGCGTTGAAGGAAGCCATGAGTACGGCGCTGGGTTGCAGCGGAGGTCCAAGGGATTCGCCAAACTCCGGAATGGATGGCATAGCAGGGTGTAGCGGTTTCAGCACACTCGAAGAGCGTTCATTGAGTTTTTCGTACTGCGAAGTTGATAGCTTCCAGAAGCTGGGTGTATGTCGAGGGTCATCCCGAGCTTTCGGAACGGTAAGCGCACTAGACCCGATCCGGAGTCTTGTTTACACGTTCTCTCGCGAAACGCCGTTTGAGAGTCGCAACAACTTCCGATCTCACGACACTCCAACGCCGCGATGGAGGGCACCTTCAACCTAAAGACGGCTTCCGAATACATCAACAATTTACTACTCGCACGCGGCTTACTACGCGATGGCAAGAAAATACAGTTTGCGCATCCGTCACGAGGAGAGGGAGGGAAGGAAGTCACAATGGCCCAGATAATCAACCTGGTGCACGATCTGTTGTTGAAGCGAGACGTAAGTTCTTGTATGGATAATTTACGTTTGCCTGTTGCTTATGCATCGTCTTTGCAGCGTGATCAAGAACAGCGAGAGACAGTTGCCGGCACCCTTCGAAACCTGCGCAGCGAAGCTACGCGCCAGACGCTCGCCATCGAGAGGCTCCAGACGAAGAATGCAGACCTGGCGCGACAAGTTTCCCTCGCTCAATCGCAAGAGCGCTCTGCACGCGCTGCCCTCCGAACCGCCGAATCGTCTGCCCGCAGTCTACGCGAAGAGATGGTGCGACTCAAGACTACAGTTCAACAAGTGCGAACTAGCTGCGCGAATGATATACGAAAACGTGAGGTCCAAATACAGCGGTTGAAGACGCATTTGACCAGCCAGCAGCGTGGGAACAAGACAGGTCTAGTCGGCGCGAGCATTACGATCAATCCTGGCATTACAGGCGCGGGAGGGCTGACATCCAGTATGCGTGACGATGCGCCCAATGTCGATGACCCTCAATACAGTCTAAAGCAAGAAACGACCGAGTTCCTTACGCAACTTAGCCAGACTCTGAGCGATGAGAACGACAACCTGATTGGTTTGGTGAGGACAGCCATCACTACCCTCAAGGAGCTACAAGGCATACCAGAAGAACGAAACGAAGGCGAGGATTTGTCGGTCATCAAAGAGGAGGAGGACAGGACATCACAAGGGATGCTTCACGCGCTACCCACAAGCTACGAGGCATTGGCTACCGAATTAGACACGCTGCTGGAGAATCTAAAGCACCTTCTGACGAACCCCAATTTCGTGTCCATCGATGAGGTAGAGTCGCGAGAAGAGGAGATACATAGGCTGAGAGCAGGCTGGGAGAAGATGGAGACCAGACTAAGGGAAGCTTTCATGCTGATGGAGACATGGAGAAGACGCATGGCTAGTGGAGGAGATACAATTAACCTCGACGAGCTCAAGATGGGTCTTGGTCTGGGCCTGGGACTGGAGTCAGTAAACAGGGAGGACATGTCCTTGATCGCAGAGGACGATGAAGAAGACTTTGAAGAGGAGGGCACGAGCTCTGTCTTCGACGAGGATGTAGATGAAGCAGAGGATGCAGATGAACCCCAAGATCCACCATTTCTAGAGGCGCCATTACGCGAAAAGACACCGGCCTCAGAGATATTCAACTTGAAGCTGCAACCAAATCCTGCAGCGCTTAAGTTGACCAACGGCAATCCCAAATCACCCTCTAGATCGCCCCGCAAAGTCGCATTCTCAGCGTCGATCCCCAACACACCTTCTCAGGTGGAGGACGAGAACACAGAGGCATCCGAGCTCAACCTTGTCGGTGTGGAAAAGCCCACGCGCCCAACATCCCGTTCTGATGAGCGCACATCCCGGTCGATAAGCAAGGATGAACGGCCACCTCGTAGCGTACGTTGCGACCTCATTGTGGACAAGCTCTGCAAACTGGCGAGCAAAGACACATTCTCTTCCTCTCCCTCATTCTCAACACTCGACGCAATAACCGCTCTCGCTTCTAACGAAGACTGGCAGGCAAAGAAGCGGCACTCGAGCCCACATGCGCACCCAGACGAACCGTCGCCCAAGCTGACCGTGCAGGATAAGCTCAAAGTCGCGCAGGCGGAGGCGGCAGCAGCCGCTACTGCCGAAGCATTGCAGGTCAGGTCGGCCAAGAAAGAAAGGCATGATGCTGAAGGTGTGGAGCGAGAGCGAAAGCAGAGGCGGCCAAGTCGGTCGTCGCCAATGAAGACTCGTATCGGTGGGCGACCCAAGCGGAGAAAGAGCACACTTACGCCTGAAGAGCTAGATACTCTGCTCGGAGTATAGGGTGCAAGCGAAGCTCGAGCTGAGTTACATACCATGATACGATGTACGAATACATGCATACCTAATCTCTTCACGAGTCGGTGGAGCTCATGACGTTGGTGCCTGGTGCCCTACTCTAGCACGGCCAACTTGTTGGGCTGGACCTTCCAGTCTACGGGCGTTGGTTGGTGTGAGACCCACTAAAGCAAGTTTTTGGATGGTGTTGCGTGAACGAGTACGCATGATCACTGGCCAGGGATGGCGCGTAAGCATGAGATATCTCCGATCGAGCTCCACTGCCGATAAATTGGGGGCTGGAAGGTCATCTTGGTGAACGAATCAACAACAGTATACCAGGAAGTACGATTCAGTCACGTACGAGTTCTACTGGACTTGAGCAACGTCTCCCTAGGCAGCAAACATTGAGTGAGACCAGCGAGCAGGAAGGACCGTGAGACTTTTAGGTTTCGGCCACGGTGCCGCGATATTGCAAAGGGAGCCTGATGTGGGCTTCCACGGTGGTTCTTCGTCCAGCCAGGGTTCATAATCATGTCACGGCGTCGCAACGTTGGCCGCTCGAATGGCTGGGTTGCTCGAGCCGCTGTGCCCTTGGATCCCCCTAGAGAAGTCGTCATGCTCCCTTCACAACTGTGCTGCACATCATCAAGCCTATCTTTCACGCGATCTCTTGCTCGCGATAGCACCGTGGGCACACTCTTCGAAGGCAGCAGGTCGTGGTGGTTGCACCGGCAAGCCACCGAGCTATTAGGCGCCGAGTCCCACTCTGGTGAATTTTGTGTTCAGATGACCGCCGTCTGCGCACGCGATTGGAGGCGATGCTCAGCTGGGCTAGTGGAGGTGTGAAAAGGCCGCAAATTAATGCAGATGCAGCAGGGAGGGGAGTGCAAAAAGACGCGAATGCGGCAGGGAGCAGGGACGCGCAGACGGCATAATATGACCCGCAACGGCCAGTTGGTGACTCGTTTGGGGGGTTTGCTGCAGTGTGATGGACGCGGGCTGCAGGCTCTCGCGAGGAATCACAGAGTGGTGGGCTTCGGGCGCCGTGGTTGGCTGCATGTTTTCACTCGGCAACCGTGCACGACAGCCGACCCACTCTCCACGACCCCGCCCAGCGCAGCCAATGGCAGTGCTCCTCGCCAACGCCCGGCTACACAACCCTTGGGCTCCACCACTCTCGCATCGCGGTCAAGCGCTGGCCTACATTCGATAGACTGCAACCCACGGCGCCTTCCCTGCCCGCTCCCTGCGATGCAGCTGCACAAGCAATCAATGGCACCCGGGAGGAGCGAGACCTCTTCCGAACTCTGTGTAGTGCGAGTGCAGCCAATATGCCGGTCGGTAAGCCCATCCCACCCTGCCAACCGGCGAGGGCCCGATAAATAAAGGCCTTGCGGCCCCTCATCCAGCGTTCTCTCTCCAGCAAGCGTGTGAAATTCCAAGAGCTGTGTATCGTTGTTTCCTTGTACCCTTTTTTTCTCTTCGTTTCTTTCCCCTCCTACACTACACATCCGCCTTCGGCCTGGTGCCCATAATACCATCTTTACCGCCAACCTCACTTTTTGCATATTTACGACCGTCTTTGTCTCGAAAGAGGAGAGACAGTTCTTTTACGCTAATTCGATTCGATACTGTGGCCGGTCCACAACACACAACGTAATACCAGTTCTCTTGCTCAGGACGCCATCACCATCTGCCTCAGTTTAGTGCTTGAGACAGCACTTCGACCGACCGGCAATTGCGCAACCTCGCTTTCTTCACGCTCTCTTCACGCTCTACTCAGCAATCCGACGTCTATCCATTAGCTTGGCCGGGACCAAAGGAAAAAGAGTATCATAATTTGCAAACCTTTCCCCAATTGACAGAAAGAGTTGGATCCAATCTCTACAATGGCAGCTATCCAGCTCAACTTTTCGCTCCGTACGTCGAGCGGCTGCAAGACGGTGCACCTACTAGGATCGTGGGATAACTACGCGGGACAGCTTCCGCTCTCCAAGGACCCAAAGAAGAGCGGTGGCTGGTTGGGATGCTTCAAATTCCAGGGAGCGACTCTGAAGCAGGGCCAGCGGTATTGGTACTACGTGCGTATTCCCATTCTCTTCGCTGCACACGACCTCGATCTAACAACCGCAGTATATCATCGACGGCTACCACGTCTCGCACGACCCAGCCAAAGACCACACCACAGAGCCCACCACTGGCCGCAAGCTCAACATCCTCGACATCCCCAGCAAGACGTCCAAATCTTCATCAACATCGCACCACACATCTTCCCGCTCCTCTGGTACAAGTCGCGAACAGCGCCGCGTAAGCTCCCAGTCCATCCCCAAGGGTCGCTCCATTTCGCCATCCAAGATCGTCGCGCCCAAGCCGAACCGCCCGTATCAAACCCGCGAAGTCATCCAAACACAGTACGACAAGGCGACGCTCGACGCGTTGTCCTCCCGCTTCGCACGTCACACTATAAGCCCTGCTTCCTCAGCCACCTCAATTTCGGAAGACGACGAATCGGAGTTCGACTCTGATGACTCCGGCTCGGACGTGCCGTCTCTCACCTCGCGGTCCACCAACTCGTCGTCTCCATCAAGTGTCTCCTCGGGAAGTAGCTGTTGCACGTGCGAGCGGTACGGCATCACGCGCTCGGGAGATAGAGTCAAGCTCGACTGCGGTGGTTCCCGCTGCGGATACAGCGACGATAGCTCTGAGTGTTCATCGGAAGATGAGCACATGTACGAGCAGAAGACTACCCGGAGGCAGGGTGTCGTAATCCGATCTTGATCACCCTTGCCAACCCGTCAACCTGGCGTTGTCATTGTTCGATCCAACTTCTTTTCTTTCTGTCCATATTCATGATACCTTTTTCCTTTCCTTGTTTGACTCATATCACTTTGGGGTTATGATTATGATTGCTACGGCTATACACGCTCATTGGATAGAACGACTACGTTTTGTTGCTGCTGGTGTTGGAGCGTAGGAAAGGAGAGAGGAAAGCAGGCAGCAGTGCGCGCGAGAAGGCACGCCATGGGAATACTCTTTTCAGTACCATAGGTATGAAGAATCTATGATTCGCATGGCTCGTGCGTGAAACGAATCTTTTGGCCCGACGATGCTATGATGCGATATGTGATGCCCTGTGACGGGTGCATTGACTGGGCGGTGGTTGTGGGATTGCTCCATCGCGATCGCCAGTGAGACGTCGGAGCAGTAAACAGGACGAAGACCCCCGTGCCCTTGGTGTCATAGACACCTCGATCGACGGGCCAAATCTACTGCCCGATTGGGTATTTTACGCAGGCTGCATCATCTTCAAGACGTAATCAGAGTTCGACGAGGCTCAACCAGCGACTCTGCTGTAGTTGTGATTTCATCGTCCAGTGCGCAGAAGGTGATACAGCCACGAAGTCCAGCCGAGAAGAGGCTGGTCCGTGATGGCAAGTGTTATCAGATGCGATCGTTTTGATAGCAGCTTCCTTGATGCGAACCGTTCTCCTACCACCTGCTCTGGCAAAACGAAGTCCACACCTTGCTTTATGACTAGCAGTCACTTGCAAAGGTACAGCCAGTACTATCTAGACACTAATCGCAATCCAGGCCCCTTGATTTCTGCACGGGATTGTGGGCGGCCACGCTGCGACCGCCGCCAGATCGAACCGCCGTCAGCGCGGTTCGCGGCGGGACTTATGCGCTGCAATCCATGGTTTGGAGTGTTGCCGCTTTGGGTATGTTGAGCAGTGTGGGGTGAGGTAGGGGCCGAAGTTTCGCAACGAGCTCGATTTTGGAGCGATTAAGCCATCGGGTCAAAGTCTACGGTGCGCTATGATTTGAACTTGTTTTGTATCGCCCGCATGTACCTATTGTGTGCTTGTAGTGAGAAAGAAGTTCGTTACATCGGGCAGATCGCCCGAACGATCGTGCAGGATCTCCACGAGGAGCAATGCAAGGGGGAGGATGGCATCCTCAGACAGAGCCAGGGAGAGGTGTGCATCGGCGAAGGCATTCCAAAAGGTAGGCGGTTGAATAATCTGTTCGATGATGCGGTGTAGGAAAAGTCCGTCGTACAGTTGCTTGACGGCTGGGTCTGCCTGATATCGAAGTACCGAGGTCGTAGGCCCGTTTAGGAAGGCGCTATCCCCAGAAAAGCGAAACGCCTTGGCAGTAGCTGGCAAGCCTCCAGTAGACGCGACGATGCTTTCCACACACTTGACCGCGTCTTTCTGCACAGCCAAAGCCTCCAAGAATCGCTTACCATCTGCCAGACTCTTGACTTCCCGATGACCGTGGATCACCGCGTTGTACAGCTTTGTCAAGCCGGCGAGCCGCTTTTCGGCTGCCTCGTCAGCCATCTTCGTCGGGTTAGAGGCTGCAGAAGAGAAAAAGCAGCTTCTGGCGAACGAGATCACTAGTGGCAGGTCCAAGTAGGCGATCCAAATGCTGTCCGGAGGTTCGAATACGGGCGTTTGTCTATTTGACGTGACAGTCCTCTTCGAGGAGAATACGCAGCGATAAGAAACAACGCGAGCGATTGGAACAAGATGTGGTTCGTGTGTGGCAGGCTGTGTAGTGATGATTGTCCGCATACTTCGGAACATCTCCAAAAATCGACATTGGTCACGCTGATGCTGTACCACCTGCGCAAACAACAAACAAGCCAAACCCCCACTCAGGCTTGCTTGCTCGGGCATCATCCTGGGCTTTGTAAGACGGGCCTCTCTCAACTTGACACATCAGAGACAGCTTCCTTCTATATCTCATTCGAAATCATTTCAACTGAAAAAGACCATCACAACAGTTTTTGTGGACTATCGACCCCATCTGTACATTGATTCCCCTAGTGCACCCGAACCAAGCCTGAGCGTGAGGACCCCTCTGGTGTTGGTTCCGCTCCGGTACCCTACGCAGACAGCACCATAGGAGACAACGCCAGCATGTCCTTTCCTCTTGCGCAAGCATACGCAAGAGGTGGCTTTGCTCCACGCCGAGGACGAGGACGAGGTGGAGCACGTCCTTTTGTTAAACGTACGGTTGTAAAGCCTGCTATTACGAAGCGTCCGCTCGGACAACTTTTACAAACACTCAAAGTATCCGATCTGCAGTCTCCTGATCGCGCAGTAGACGTCGATAAGATCACGAATTGCGAGTATGTTGCTTCGTACAATTGGATAGATGCGAGATCTCCCACCATCCTGGTGCCTGGCAAGTATATTGAGTATCTCGACGCAATTCGCTGCTGACTTCCAGGAAGGCAAGCCTCCTCTATGGATGCCCCTTCAGCAATCACAACCTCTCAACGAAGACGGCGATGTCTACTTCCGTGATCCCAACTCGGCGAAGTTTCCTAACTATCCGACCGAGCCAGCCGTTCGCGCGCTGTTTGATACCGATCCAGCCTTCCCTACTGGGGAAGTAGATGTATTTGCGTGTGGCAGTACGATGGGTAACCTCCTTCGTTTCGCTCTTTCGGTCGATAAGCCTTTTCGGTTCAGTGTTGAACTCGTCGGCTCTACTGTATTTTTAGTTCGCAAAGAAGACGATCCCCGAGAGACGATCGAAGGCGTCCATGGTTTCGGTAATACTTTCCCCGAAGCGTATACCACTTGGGAGAAGGAGGTGGAAGGTTCAGAGACACACCAACGCATGTGCCGATACGATCTTGGGCGCTTCAATTGTGTGATTCGATTCGAATGCGATGGCTACCTTCCTACTGGCTCGGAGAAAATCGCGAGCTCAACAGTTGAAACGAAGTCAAGCAACATTGACGATCTTCTTAATAACCTCAAGAACGTCATTGTGGGTCAAGGAACAACTTACGATGTTAACCTATTGTCTCTTAAGCAAGGAGGCACAGTTATCCCGCAGCACAACATCTTCGACCTGAAGACTCGATCAGCTCGGTCCAGAAAATTCATTGACATGGACGAAATTTACCCCCAGCTTTGGATCAAGCAAATTCCGAACTTTATCGTTGCATACCATGACGGTGCTGGAACCTTCCCTACATCAGATATACATGTCCAGAATGTCAGCTACAACATCCAAGCCTGGGAGCGGCAGAACCAAGCTGGCATCCAGCGCCTCCTGGTTCTCCTTGACAAGATCGTCGACCTGGCGAGGCAGGATGGCGCAGGCCTCCTGGAAGTGCATTGCCCATCGGTCGATCGCTTGGAGGTTCGCAGGCAGTATGGACAAGGCGTACATGCTTTGCCATCTGAACTAAGAGCAAAATGGAAAGCTTTGAAGGAGGCTCAGCTTGTTCAGACTACGAGCATGACGACAAGGATCAAGGTGGGCTGAAGCCCGATTTCGACTCGGATGAGGATCCTGACTACACTGCCTGCGGTGACGACTATGGTTACTGTGGCAAGTGTACATACGAGAGCTAAGAGTGCGATGATAGTCCGATTGAAATAGGTCTTATGTGCGCTGCTTTTCTCATGTTGACAACGCGTGCTTTGAGTACTAGACCCGAAAACTGATCACTACATTTCTCATCCTGGAGTAAGTAAAGGTACCAACTTATGGACGCGGCGCATGTGCCTGTCTTCTTGATTCTGTTTCCTTGGCAGATTATTTACCCGATGCGCAGAGAGTGCGAGTCTAAGCCATCTTTAACCCTTGGCAAATGGAAGGGGTGATATGGGATGAACATTGAATAGCTCAGCATGCCGCAATTCTGTCAAGGCTCATATCCTCAGCTGTACTAAACGATCTGCTGCTGACGCTTAGACATGATGCTATTCTACGTATAGCAACACATTCTGGGCAATCGCCCTCGTCATTCGCTCGTACTGGATTACCAGTTACCGCTCGCTTCTCACGTGACATTCATCTGCAAGGAACAGACCGTAAGCTTACCCTTGAGGCGTTCGCATCACAGGCTCACCGCACTGACGTTGGATCCTCGACAGAACGCTGCCTTTCAGAGACTGCGCCTCAACGTTCTGACAATGGGAACGTGCTCTCTTGTTGTCGGGTCATTATCTGCGAAGCAATGATTGACCGTGATTACTCTTGCCAAGCATCTACAGCAACTGCAGTCCTCTAATGTACGAAGCGCCATGTCTAGTCATCATTCGTAGACCAGCTGACGCAGAGATGCCTGATATCTCTACCAAAAGCCGTGAAACACTTACAGTTGACAACAAACAAGTGACACTTGGAGGTTAGATCACACCGTACAGTGCTCGAACATTAAGGGCTGTATACAAGAACATGTTCATTAGTTTAGTCAAGAAACCACGATAACGTATGGTACGTATACGCAACGTCGGACAAGCCCGGTATGGCTGCGGCGAGAATTCAGTGACCTCGGCGCCTCATGGCTTGTGCGCATCCTTCACGATCAGCTTACGTGAAGAAAATGCTGGATGCATCGAAAGATGCCGTCACGCGTTCTCTAAATCTGAGCCAAGTTGTTCAGCTGTGTGGGTGATGAGTTCAGGTAATGCCTTCATTTTCCGAGACATTCTTCTCTTGTCTGGGTATAAGAGAGGCTGAAGACTGCGATGCACAGAGTCCTCCACAGCAACGACTAGATTACCAAGCTTCACTCATCGAATACTTTCCATACTACAACCTGAAGATGGCATCTGCAAATGGATCCAATGGCGTGGGATCGACTGCTGAAGGTAGTTCTTCCCCATATTATGACCCATGTTTTTACTGAGAGCCTTCTCAGATCCAGTCTTGATTGATCCCCGGACTCGATTTAGCGACCTCAAATTGGAACTTCCTCCCCAGAGCTTTCCACAATTGCAAAGAGACTTTCCAACGAAGCCTGACTGTGGCGAAACCAGCTACAAAGGTTACGGTCGCCTGGCCGGACGTCGTGCCCTGATCACTGGCGGCGATTCAGGAATTGGGCGGGCAGTGACTATTGCCATGGCACGTGAGGGAGCAAAGGTAGCCATCAATTACCTTCCGGCCGAAGAGCCAGATGCCGAAGATGTCGCGAACCTGCTTGCTAAAGAAGGCATCAAGATCACCAGAATCCCAGGTGATTTATTAGACGAAGAGTTTTGCAGTCAGTTGGTTCTGAGGGCGCAGCGAGCTTTGGGAGGTATAGACATCTTGGTCAACAACGCTGGGTAAGGCTATGAGTGTTCATTTGAGGACCAAGAAGCTAAACCCTTACAGAACGGGTGGCGATTTCAATCCTGATATCACCACCTACACCACAAAGCAGTGGGATAGAACCTTCCGCACCAATGTCTACGCCGGCTTCTTCCTCGCGCGCGCAGCGATTCCTAACATGCCGCCCGGTTCCTCTATCATCTGGACCGTATCGGATGTTGTTGCCAACCCTGTCAACAATGTTCATGACTACGCTGCGACCAAAGGCGCAGTGGCAAGTCTCGTCCAGACGCTCGGCATCTCGCTCGCCAGCAAAGGCATCCGAGTAAATGGCGTAGCGCCTGGATTAACATACACACCACTTATTGCTGAAGTAGGCATGACAACGGAGCAACTCCTTGCATTCACTCAGACGATTCCAATTAAACGTCCGGCGCAACCAGTTGAGATGGCTCCGCTCTATGTTAATTTCGCGGACAAGAACGTTACTTACCTAAGCGGTGGGATCTTGCAGAACAATGGTGGAACTACAGCTTACATCCTTGAGTAATAGATATGCAGAGGACGCGGGGTTGAACAGTATGGGTGAATTCGTTGTAGATGGTATAGCAATTGATGATGCATCATCATTCACAGCCAACACGTTCGGCACTCAGTATGCAGAGTCAATTTCAGGCGTGCTAGCATCCAATTGGACGTTAATACTCTTGCGCAAGGCCATAAGGTTCTATCGTTGTGAGGTTCTATCGTTGTGAGGTTCTATCGTTGTGGCTGGACAAGCATCAGTGATATGGACAAGAAGATTAGCCTTGCATAGAGCCCTGCAAGATCTACATCCAACATCCGCAGAAACTCTCGTAGGAGAGGAAGATTTAGTGTTGTGTCCTCATTCACGTAGTCAAGTTCAATGTCGCTTCAATGTAATGATGTATTTGTAGCCCGAGATAGCGTCCCCGGGTGTATCTGTGGATTCACAACCAGCGTTTTTGTTACCAGAGTTGTAGCATCGTGCAAATTTCGCCGCGCTGGCTTGTTGGTAACTGCGAGTTCCGACCCAATATCTTCAGGCTTGTGCAGGGATCCCCACTCCCAAGGTCCACTTAGAATAACGCTTCTAAGGTTGTTCTTTTGGTACCGGTACCGCGAGCGACGCGGCTGTCATACGAAGTAACTCCAATATTAACTTGCAGACATTATCTTGTTCTTGTAGGCAACAAAAGCTGTTATGACCAATGTGATGACGAAAATACCCTGGCCTCAAGCCACATCGATACGCAAGCTTAAACCCGCGCGAGAATGCGGCTTTAGATGCGTAACAGATGCAGAATGATGCATTATTGACAGCTGAATATGACCGCCTAGACTCCATACTCATGATTTTAGGGCGCGTGTACCGCCGGTGCCATGCTGTGATATTTGAAGATGCAAAGCACTTGCAACAGTTTAGGTTAATATCTGCATTATCCGGACACAAGCTCTCAACCTACCTTCAATCACATCGCTTCCACGAAATTCCGCCACCATGAGCATGAGACAGATGAACATTCCCCTCTTCGTCTCCACTCTGCCAGAAGAGATGACACTCACCATCGACGAGATCACCAAGGACGTACCCTCTAGAACGTGAGCCAACATCAGCCTACCAAACAAAATGTCATTCCCACACACCTTCACAACACAAAAGATGAAGGATGTAACCCGTCCAACAATCGTGACGCAAGAGTGGCCGAACACCAGCTTCGTACAGACGGCGCGTTCGACAATGGCAATGGCGGCTCTTTCCTAGTCAATTTTACCATCAAAGGTCGACCGGATGAATATCCCGATGCAGATTTGTAGGACACAAAAGGCCAGCTCACCGTTGGGACTTCACACTGGGGAGTATTTTCTCGGCCCGATTAGACAAATTTCTCTTGGACCATCGACAAGAGAAGCCAAACTTACACAGCTAAGACACCGACTTTGACTTATATCGATGACTCCTGTATGTTGGTATCGTGCGTGCCGGAAAAGAAGGCATACGTTTTTGGGGTATCGAATCAACAAGGACTCATTGTCAAGGTGATTCAGGGCGCCGTAAGTGCCATCATTGCCGGTCATGAGGCTTTGTATACTACTGCTTCCGGTTGGTTCTGCGTCATTGGGGGCGCGGCGGTTGCTGTTGTTGCTTTCGGAGCAAGCTTCGTAGATGGAAATCAGCATAATCCTAATTCGAAATACACTATCACAACGACCGTACTGTTGCTTTCCGCTCAATGAAGGTCTTGTTGGTATCGACAGGGCAGCGGTTATGCCGTACTATCAGGGTATCACGTAGATGTTGTCGGCCCACTTGTAGTCCCCTATGACGCTTCCGTTAACATCGGAAGCGACAGGCAACCGTCATGCATCAGTTGATACTTCTGATGTGTTATATATGAAAAGACCAGATAACCCATCTATTGACACTGACGTGCGTTCATCGTGCTGCTGATGATAAGCAGACTTTGCGGTCGTATTTCAGCTTAGCCAAACTACACAAATGCTGGTATTCTCAACGGCACGACGACGACCTCACTTATAGCAGGTGAAGGCAGTTATCATGTGCTATAAGGATTATGCATTCCTCGACATTGATGTTTGAGGGTTATGTCTTCTTAGCTAAGCCCCGACACCCTTTGATTATTGCCTCCTTTCTTTCCTTCACAATGACAACTAATCTTAAAGGACGTCAAAATCTAGGGTGCTCATGAAATGGGCGCATAGAAACTAAACTTTCCATCCGGATCATACTTTTTCTTCAGAGCTAACAGTTTCTCCTGGCGCCAAAACTCATTACCGTAGATTTCTTCGACGCTCTCGGTGCCGAATGCATAGTTGACATAAGTACGCTTGATATTATGGCGATTGTCTTCACCTTCATGAAGGATGTCCCGAAGCGCCTCACCCAAGGTCTTCGCCTTTCTTGTGAGTTCTTCTCCATTTTCGTTGAACCTGACGACGGGAGAGACGAGGAGGTTGCTGCCACGGAAAGGATATGCCGAGTCCTGGCTAGGTATAGCTTTGACACCCTGCTGCGAATAGCCTTCGAAAAGGATGATGGACCTGTTCAGGGCTGGTACTTCATTCATCGTGGATCTCAAGAGGTCATGCACACGTCGCTGAGCAATGACATTGTACTTCTGAAGTTCGATCGGGAATCGAGTATTGGCGAGGCCGGAATTCTGGCAAGTTGCAGCAGCATTCGCCCAACCTATCCACCCGGGTAGCTCTGGGTAGTCCCCACTGCCCTTGAACGTCGCGAAGGGTTCAAGGGCTAGAAATGGGGCAACGACGGCTTCTCGGACGGCGTCTACACCTTCCTGCAGGATGTAGAAGAATATCGCGGGCTTGGAAAAGTCAGTTTACTACTGACATCGTGGACCATATAGAATGAACACATACGCTGTCTGCATCGATAGCAGCATTCTTTGAGAAGAAGGAATAGTGAAAGAGATCCGTCGGTTGCGTGCCGTTCCTCAGTAGATGCTCGTTGATGTTGGAATAGAGTGCTTCCACTTTATCTCCAGTGAAAGTGAAGTTTTGGAAGGCCCATGTTGGGTATTTGGTGTCGTAGATCCTCGAAGTAATCGACGTCACTATCCCAAAATTGTGCCCAGCTCCTCGCAATGCCCACCAAAGCTCATGGGTATGGTCAATAATTTCAAGGGTGCCGTCTGCCATGACCATATTTAGGGAGACGAACTGATCCGAAACCAGACCGTGTCGCGCCTGCAACAAGCCATGGCCGCCGCCTAACCCAGGTCCTATCACGCTCACACATTCGCACCCCCCAGTCACTGGTCCCGTTAATATGCCAAGTGGCGTAAATCACAGTGAAACAGATTACCTGTCTGCTTTCCTACGGCCCAGAGTGCGTCTGTGACAGCCTTGTCTAGGATGCCTCCGCCAAAAGTCGCTGTATGGCCATCTTCTCCAACTTGGACCGAATCGAGTTGGCGCATCCATATCATAATTCCGTTTTTCACTCGACCGACCGTGGTAATCGCACCATGAGCGTTGTTGACAGCCAGGAATGGGATTTGTTGTTCGTTAGCATACTTCACCACTTCGATCACATCACCCTCCGTCGCCACTTCAACCGTCATTCTAAACGTCGGCGCTTCGAGAATAGACCATCTCTGTGTCGAAGTTTCAAACTCCTCGGAATTGGGACAGTAGATGTTTGCTTGGTCAGACAATCGTTGTGCAAGGCGCTCTCCGCATGCCGCTGTTCGAAGCAGGTCACCTTCCGCGGATTTTAGCAAATGATCGCACAAGGACTCTGTCGCCGCTAAGACAACACCGAGTATGTAATAACTGAAGATGGATGTCAAGACCATAACGGAAGTTAGGTAGGAAGATCTTGAGGAGCATTGTGCAACAGTGATCGGGCTGAATATATCGCCGGAGCTGGAAGTTCAAACCCCGCACTCGATGGTGTTGCAAGGCTTATTACATGTCGACCCCTGCTGCTTCTGTCAGCAAGTCGATATGAACGGTGAGCACAACAGGTGCACGGTCTCGTCAAAGATCTTCTCGGTTCGTGAATTGTTGAGCTCTAGGTAAGTCAGAGTAGATTGACGTGTGTTTGTGCTCTCGCATGAACAGCTGACAAAGAAGTGGACAGTGGGAAGCTGTTGGCGGTGAACTAAATAGCGTTTCTGTCCCACTTTCTGAGCCTCGGTACAGCTACTGGAGTAGTTTAGCGTTGTTCTGGGCTTACGTCCATCAACAGTCCGTGGGTACATTCACCATCTCAAATTCCTTACCGACACGTTACTTTCATCTCCCAGTCTCCTTTTGCACCTTTGCCTCTAGCAGACTATCTAGAAGACCGGGTTGCCTCTCCAATGCCGTCCATAAGCTCAATCAGCTCCTCTGAAGAGAAGTCGATCGTCGGTTGAACCTTGTCTCCCTAGAATATCGTACGGCAGCTAAGACGATTATCTCCCGAACGGCCCACAAGTGGGTGCAGGCAAAGCATGCCCAGCCATGTGGATAATGTGAGAACGTGCTCTGCGACACCATCAAGTCGGCCTGGTATCGGCATGAAGCGGAAGCGCTAGCAGAACGAAATCATGGCGAACCACGACCCTGTCGCAAATTTGCTCGCAAGTCTTCACAAAGGCAAACCTTTTAGCAAAAATCTCACGACGAAGCCCTGCATGTATTGGTTTACAAAGGGCTGATTTGGGCTCACTGCACCCTTTTCACGTTACATTGCCCGGGTTGTCGAAGCAAACAACATTGGAAAAGAACTCCGCTGCATATTCCGTTGTGATAAGGAGGCTTACTAGCCGGAACATCTGACTACAACGTCATGCCGGCGGGCCCTGCGCCTTTCCCGCGAACGATGTCTGCACCACTGCGCACTAAGTGGAGCTCCGCAGAGCCTCAACGCGACTTTATCTGTCAACAACTGTTGCCAAGGGTGCTGGCAGACATGCAATTTTTACTGCAATGACGCATGTCGGTGAGTTTATCGGACATTCGGACGATGATACACTGGCCTCCATAATTAATAAGATGGCTATGTTTGCTTTAAAACCTCCAATCATCAGTACACGCCACAGACAATCACAGCGTTGCTTCTGTACAAACCACGATGTCTTACTATGGCAAATCTTTCAAAGCCCCTCCATCGAGGCCATCTTCTCTGGCCGCAACCAGAGCGAACTCTGTCGGCTACTTCGCCCCGCGCACACCACAGCAAAGCAGACCAACCACTCCAATACCACGAGCGGCTTCTATGTCTATGGCACCAACGCCTGTAACAAATTTGTCACGGACGACCAGCAAAACCAACGAGGCGGCGGACACATCTGAGGCAACTTCGCTCAACTCGGCACAGTACAATGAAAAGGGCGAATCTAAGATCGGACGAATCGTGGGCGGAAAATACCTCGATGAGGCAAATCAAGATATCGATGCAGATTGTGGGCCCATCAAAACAGTGGATATCGACATGCCGCTTACCCTCACTGAAATAGTTGAACACAACGGCAAAGACTACATTGTCCTTACCTTCGCAACTGGCGACTCGCAAAACCCGTTCAACTGGAATCCATGGTATAAACGAAGTATCAGCACGATGCTTAATCTGATGACACTGTTTATCGGATTAGCCACGACAGCGTACAGCTCGGGCATCAGCAGCATGTGCGCCGAGTTCGGGGTACCCACCATCCTCGGTCAGCTCGGCCTTTTCACTTTCAACATGGCGTGCGCTGTCACACCAATGATACTAGCCCCCCTCTGTGAGCTTGCAGGACGCAAGGTTGTCTACGCCGGAGCATTCCTCTGCTTTTCGCTCATGTTCATTGGATTGGCTTTAGCGAAGGATATCGGCACTATTATTGGACTGCGTCTACTACTTGGCTTGTTCGGCTGTGTTGGGACTATCTTGGTCGGCGGTACCTTCGACGACATGTACGAGCCACATAAGCGAGGACGTCCGATGGCGATGTTTAGTTTTGTTGCGATATTTGGGACGGTTGCAGCACCGATCTATGCCGGTTTCATCGACCAAGCCATCGGATGGCGATGGATCGAAGGTATCCAAGGATTGGCCAACGTGCCGCTTCTGATCGCCGTCTTCCTCTTCTTCCCTGAGACGCGCGGAGGTGTGGCTTTACACAAGCGTGCTAAAGAGCTTCGCAAGGCTACCAACGACGAACGCTATGTCGCCGAGGACGATATCTACACACCTGATGTGAAGTCCATGCTTCGAGCTTCTTCTGTCAAGGCGATACGCATGCTCGTTACCGAGCCTGTAGTTTTCGCGTTCGGACTGTGGATCGCCTTCTGCTGGGCCGTCGTTTTCCTCTTCTTGTCGGTCATCCCGATCACCTTCTCCGAGAAGCGCGGCTGGTCCGAGGGTGTCAGCGGACTTCCGTACATCTCGCTCGCAGTCGGAACATTCTTGGGATGGGCCGCGCATCACCTTCAAATGCGCAAGTACGATCGTCTGCAGGCTGATCCCAATGTTCAGATCGTGCCTGAATACCGCCTGTACGGCGCCATGTTTGGCGCGGTTTGGCTTCCTATTGGCCTTTTCATTTATTCATTCACTCAATACGGGTACTTGATCTGGGTTGGCCCAGTAATCGGGCTTGCACCAATCGCGTTCGGCATCTTCTTTGTATTCGAGAGCACCTACAGCTATACTGCAGACTGTTATGGTGAGAACTCTTCGTCGGCGATTGCAGGGCAGGGTCTGATGAGGAACACTCTCGGTGCAGTCACGCCGCTATTCGCCAATGCTTTCTTTCACAATGTGGGCAGTCAGTACGCTGGGCTTATCCTGGCCTTGTTCGGCACAGCGCTCAGCATGATACCTTTCGTCATGTTCAAGTTCGGACACAAGCTTAGAGCGAGAAGTAAGCTGGCGAGAGAGTACAACGGGCATTAAGTAGGCCATATGGTACACGTAGCTACTAATGATGATCTCATCTTTTCTTTACCAACATCTGATGGCTCACCTGCTTGAACAAATACTGACTACAGTCCCTACATTTCTAATTTGTACCTTCTTCGACTTTCCAAAAACGCAACAGAGTACCAGTACCAGGCAGCTCCGATGATCTACCAAAGCCAGTCCAATGGCTACGCGCTAGATCATGTTCCTGTCTCGAGACGTACTGGATTTGCATCAGCCACTCTTCCCACGACAATGATATCTGCACCCTCTTCAAGACCCTTGGCAATCTCTTGTGCTTCGAGATACACGTTTGCGCTAACGATGGGCTTTTCTCCTTCACCAGATCGAGCATATGATGCATACTGCAATTTGCTATTATCAAAATCTAGATGTGGCGGCAATCCCTTCAATCTAATATGCTTCATATCCTCAAGCAACTTCTCTCCAACAACATAAGCGACTTTTAGATCGAGTCCCTTGCTAGACACTAGCTGTTGTACCTTCTCAGCAAGGCGGTCAGGATTATGCGCACCGCCCTTGAGCACGACTCTTATCGTCTTTTTCGCTAGCAAGTCTATAGTCTGCTCGATGCTATCCCAGCATGTCTGCTCCCATCCTGGATGCTGACCAGCTGCATGTGCTTGTGCATTCTCTCCGACATTAACTTGAGCTAGGCAGTCGCCTGTGACGAAGCCCACGTCGCTTAACTCGGCCTGGTATCTCATGTCGTAGCCGGGATCAGCTGGCGACGAGGTTGTGCTACACTTCGCGCGATGAACCGTATTTGGTAACGCGCCTTTGTAGCCAGAACAATTGGCAATACGTACGGAACACGTGCCACGTTGTGAGGTCCATCTCGTGTTGTAGTCTGATGGAGCTATCCAATCACTATTAGTGTACTATTGTGAAACCAGTAAAGTGAACGAAGATGTGGAGTCAAATGTGGGGGCTTGCAATGACTTTGTGTTGTTTCTCACTACGGGTGATCGGTCGATTGATCACAATACAATCCTTCTAGACTCCACGAAACGTTGGCTTGAGGCCAATTCCTGTCTGATGTACCTCGCGTCCAAGTCTTGGTTAGTGTCATACTGCGAGACTCCACTTCAGTGCGGGGACGATAGCGTACTGACTCGGCCCATCCCGGCTGTTGAGAGTCGCAAGCAAAAACTCGTAGACGACTCGAACACTGTAGCATACAATCTTACCGGAGGTAGAACCACAGAGCGTTCGAGCGTGTAAGATTTGCTCGCTTCAAGAGACCGAGGACGCTTGTCGACAGTACCAAGTTGCACTCCTGCCTCGGTCGCGTTTGGCCGAAGAGGAAGCGACTACGCCTCACCCGAAACAAAGAACAACACTGTGACAACGTTGCTCAGGCTATCGTATTCTCTCTCAAGATGGCAACAAACGGAGGGAATGGGCGCTCACAGGATGCGGCAACATACTCCATTCCACGCGAAACCAAGAAGGTATTTCGAGAAGGCATCCTGAACAATCCCCTCGTCGCATCATCGCTCCCCCAAGAGATCGAAGAATGCGCGCAAAAGGTCGAATTTGTCGGCACCGACAAGCCCAGCATTCCCATCAACTGGCGCTTCGCGGAAAGCATCGCATCGCTCAAAGGTCTAGAGGCAGCTATGATCAACGTCCTCTTGAAACGGAAGTACGGCCTCGAACCACAGAAAGCTGTCATTAATACCGACCACGCCCAACTGTTCATCATGTCCATTCTTCTCTGGACCATCGACCCCGAGGGGAAAGCTGTTAGCTTCTCGTCCATCTACACTCCGGAAGGCAAAGCCGACTTCGACAAGTGCTTCAAGGACTGCGATCTATTCGAGCGCGGACCCAGCCTGTATAAGAATTCGGCAACGAATATCTATCGCTGTAAAGATGGTCGCTATTTCCACATCCATGGTAGTATGAACTCTGCTCCTACGCAAGATAGCCTCGGCCTTCCGCACTCTAACTCGAATATCAAGACGGCGGAAGAGTCGTGGAAGCCGTACGAAGAGAAGATAGCTCAGCTTGATTCAGGTGAGCTGCAAAAGCTCGCAAGCGACGTATATAAGCAGGCTGGTACAATCTGCTGGACGATTAACGAGTACAAGAACAGTGGGCACGGAAAGGCAAATGCGCACGTGGGTCTATACGAGGTACATCCTGCGAGGAACGAGATGCAACCACCATCTTGGTGGCCAAAGGTTCCGGAGACATCCGCTGCGCGGCCTCTTGCTGGACTTAAGGTCGTCGATCTGACTAGGGTCATTGCTGCACCTGCTGTTACTCGCGGCCTAGCCGAGTTGGGAGCGAGTGTGATGAGGGTCACTGCTTCCCACATTACAGACATGTCGGTGTTGCATTGCGACCTCAATTGGGGCAAATGGAACGCTCATCTGGATTTCCGGGAGGAATCAGACCGTGAAAAGCTTCGTGCGCTCGTACGCGAAGCCGATGTCGTCGTCCAAGGCTATCGACCTGGTGTGCTTGACAAATACGGCTTCTCACTTGACGGATTACTAGATCTGACCAAAGATCGTGAGCGTGGCTTGATTGTGGTCAGAGAGAATTGCTACGGCTGGAGTGGTCCATGGTCATATCGCAGTGGCTGGCAGCAGATCTCGGACGCTAACGTGGGTGTATCGATGGAATTTGGTCGAGCAATGGGGAACGATGAGCCGGTCACGCCAGTCTTTCCCAACTCAGACTTCTGTACTGGTACCGCTGGAGTGATCGCGGTTCTAGATGCTATCCTTAGACGCGGCGCTGAAGGCGGCTCTTACAAAGTCGATGTGAGTCTACTGCCAATTTTTGAGACAGCAAGTGCTGACTTTTCAGATTGCTTTGAATTACTACTCCCAATGGCTCGTCAACAGCGTCGGCACGTACCCAACACCCGTCTGGGAGGATGTCTGGGTCCGCAACGGCAAGCAAGTCTTCCGTCACTACCACAACATGCCTTACACGTTGGGACGTCTTCTCGCAATGCTAAAGCAAAATGCCGGTCCGGTCATCTTCAACCCAGGATTTTTTGAGATGAGGCATTCTGGCGCAATCGGAAAGAATATAATGACTCCGAAACCGATCATCCAGTTTCCCGAGGGCACGGTGCAGCTGAGGTTCAATGTCGGAACAAGAGGAAATGGGGTTGATCAGGCGAAGTGGCCAGAGGATCTGCTGACAGAAGTGGTTGTGTGACAGGTTACGTAAGGATAGCTACATATGTAATGTACCTGTGGAGTTACATAATCTATATGTTTGGCCTACATCTTGCCCCTCCAAATACTTTCGAAGTGCCAAGTGCTGTCTGGGTGCTGTGAGTGAGGAAGAGGTGTCAGTTGTTACAGCTCATCTGAAATACGGAGTACGAGGGAACCTCACATCTGCCCCGCTTTACCAACGCGCGCTAAATTGCTACACGCGACACGCTTCACGTTTTCACGTGCCCTCATTCCGTATTCCGTATCCCGTACTACACCGAACTCCTAAGGCTAGTTAGGCAGCAAAGCACCAGCGATGCAAAAATCACAGCGATATGGAAGCGAAGCCATACACCTCTCAGTGTGACATTGCGCGATCAGCCTAACTTCCTCATAAGGGATTTACATGAGTCAAAGAATGAGTCAGGATCAATCTTTAATCATTCAATATAAAAATCGGGACCATTCTAGAGATAGCTTCAGCTACCATTGGCAACGAGGCCATCAAAGAATTAAACCTACCACAAAATGAGCCCTCCAACAAAAGAAGTCATCGAGACGGAGCGCCTCCGCCTAATCCGCATATCAGACACCTCTTTTGACGGCGACCACCTGAAATGGTTTCACGCAAACTGGGTGGACCCAGTGGCAACAAGTTGGAGGTACACTCTCCCCTCTCATCCTGCATCCCACCCCAATTGTTCCAAGCTGACTTCCTCAGCCTCCACGGCAAATGTAACACCCTCGAAGAATCCCAAGCTTGGTTCACCGAGCACCTTGAAAAATACGACAACATAATCTACATCGTGTTCTCTCGCTTCGACGCCGAAGACAAAGAGTTGGAATATCCCGGCGAGGTACTGGGCAATATCGGCCTCCGTACACAAGCCAAAGGGGCCGAACTTCCCCCCTTCCCTCGGGACACCGCAGCACCGACATCAGACCAGACGCCCACCAACCCCTCGGCGCCCCATCTCTCCTCACTAGCTACTGACAAGCCATTCAACCTCCGGTCTCTGGGGTACTCCTTTCTGCAAGTCGCATGGGGAAAAGGGTATGCAACCGAGGCTGGACGCGCGGTGGTAGATGCGTATCGGGAAGGGACTAGGGAGGCGAGGGAGAAGGGAGAGGAGGTGTACTATGTGGAGGCTATTTGGTCGCCGGAGAATGCGGCGAGTGGGAAGGTGTTAGGAAAGTTGGGGTTCCGGACGATTGGGTATAAAGAGGAGGAGAGGGTGTGGTTGGCGGGGGACTGGAGGTATGGGTATTATGTTAGTGGGTTGTACGTTTGATGCAGCGTGGGGAAAGGGTAGAAAGTAAGGAGGATATTGTGGCCTCGACGGCGCGCGCAGAGCCGGCCTGCCGTTCGACCAGGTGGCATGCGTTGACTGGAGGGCAAGAGACAAATCCTTTCACGTTATGTCACGTCTTGCCCACTGATGGGTAATCTGCTGTATTCTGAGGCATCCTTCACGCCGTTTATTCAAGGATTCTGCTCTCCCCATTCCCCACATCTTCAAAGTGGACGTCAGCAAACTCATTGCCGGCTTTGCCTTCGCTCTCGCTATCAACCACGGCTTTTGCCTCCTTTAACGCTTCCTCAAGCGTCCAGACCTTGCGCCGCAGAAACCACGACACCAGACCGCCGCCCTTCTTCACTTCGTCGTGGGTGCCAACCCAGTATTTTGCGTGCAGTACACGTTGCGCAAGCACACCATTTTTAGCACCAAGGTTCAACTGCTGCGCCGCCGATATCGAGACATCGTGTAGACCATGCAAGAATGCAAGTGTGTGTAATGGCGGGTCTGCCTTCGCGATTGGCTCGAGCGAATTGTAAGGAATGCCATGCGGAGTGTAGATGACACACTCAGCTGCGTCTGAATCGGCTAAGAAGGACTCTTCTTCGCCGTATATAGAGAGTGATGCACGCTTCTTCGGCGTCGCGGGGGAGAAAGCATGCGATGCGAAGGTTATGAGGAGCGCGGAATGGTAGTAGAGCGCGTCGCCCGAGGCTGTGAGTCGGGATATGCTGAGCCATGAGGGTAATGGTAGCAAAGAGTAGTCGCGCCAGTCGGGGTCCGCGGGCGTAAACGTGGGGGTATTGATGACGGTGCGGAAGTGATTGAAGCTTGAGACAAGCTTCGCCGCTTGCTACGCGTACACTATTAGCTAACCCTGCTGATGATACTGGAGAATATCAGACGCACCTCTGTCGCGAACACAGGCACATCCGGGTGCACCTCCAGCAAGGTATCCTTGTGGCAATGATCCGTAAACTCATGGCTTATTGCCACAGCATCAATGAAGGTTTCCACGCCGGGCGCAACCTCGAGATTACTTGTCCTCCTCTTTCTTCCCAGCCGTAAACCCCCTGCCATGATCTCAATCTGCCGGGCCACTTCTTCCACCTCGGCAATCGTCTTCACCGCGCTCTCTGTTGCATGCCATTGCTGCGAAAACCACCGCGCAACATCCGACTGCCCGCCCTGCAGCCACGGATCAATCAGGATGTTGTAGTATATGCGGCTACCGTGCTTCACTGCGGAGGCGGGTCGCGGGATTTGAAGCAGCCAGGACGTGTCGGCGTTCAGATGGTGGAGGATCGGCCGCCGCGACGCAAGGTTGCGAACCATCGCATCGCGAATTTCGAGGTGTAGTTGCGCCGATGGCGCATCGTCGTGCGCATCCATGGTGGATTGTCACGGAGGCATCGCGTAGGGAGGCGTGGAGAAGAGGGTGACGCGTGCATGTAGGTGTTCGGAGGTTCAGGTGCGCTAGTGTGTGAATTGAGTGCCGGTACATGACGCACGGATGGATGGGGCAGGTGCGAACGCTTGTCTTGACGTCGGCATCAATGATTTGTCTTCGGTCTCTGCATCAAGATGGATCGTTTCAATGTACATTACAATCTTTCCCTTGTATTCTTGCACTCTTGATGTATCTTCTACGTCACCAAATTGTGTTGGTGGTCTCCAGCCAGCGAGCATATGCCCGCTGGGATGAATTCAGTAACACGCCCAAGACGACGCCTTTTTATCAAAACCAACATCCGTCATGTTCACATCTCCGGGGCAGCACAGGTCGCCCTTGTACTTCTCGACGTACGCGTGGGTGCCGTTGCACCCTGCATCTCTACACTGTCATCAACATCCGTCCAACTTCCATGCTATGCTGGTATACTTACTCGTAAAGGTAACAACCATTCGCAAGTCCAGAAGATACGTAAGCCCACGATATGTTCTTGTCTAGTCCCGGCTCTATAAGTTCGTGGCCTGGAAGTCGTAAGCCGTTGAGGTGCGAAGCGGGCACGAGAGAACGTACAAACCCAACGATCAGTGACCCATGATTTCTGAATGCCCTTGTTTCCGGGCTCAGTGGACACCATGAAGACAAGACTGCCATGGGCTGTAGCTGCTAGAAAAGCAACGGCGGAAGTGACAGTGTACTTCATCTTGAACGATAGTGTATATGGTGCAAAGCGAGAGAAGGCTCAGCTGAATGTTGCTACCCTCCAAACTCCTAAGCGCATCCTTTATACACAGGAATGTTGCTGGCACCAATGAGCTATGGTCTCCAACGATACTACCTGTCTGCGTCATGAGCTGAAGGGTGTTTCACAAATCCTCAGGCTGGCTTAACCTTGGCCAATATTTTGACCCGAGAGGGTTGTCTGTGTTCAGTGCACCGGGTGGCCGTATCAGCGTTCTCGTATACCCTGACCAATATAATAGCAACCCTCGAGTCATGGACACGCAGGTTGAAGTGGCAAGCTCCCGCTGTGCTCACACTGTAGACTAGGCTAGCCAGGCCTACCGTCTACCAATAGAGCTCCGTGAAATTCCCCACTAGAGCGCAAAAACAAGATCAATGAATGCAGTAATATATGGAGGCTAAATTTGGAAGCTTATTGCAGCCCTGTTATATATCCATAACGATCTTGTTGGGAGAATGTGGATAAACGAGTGCGAACGTAAGATACGATTTGAGTCGATGCGAGATGGAAGTTGCCAATTCCGCAGATGCGGAAAGGGCAACGCGCTAAGCGACCAATGACGCAGCGGTGAATGTAGGCACGTGGCGGGGTACAGCGCAGCCACAACTCTTAACGCTCAACACGTCCATGAACGATTAGTTGCTCTGCTGCTTTGCTACGCATCGTGTTGAAGGTGTCCATTACTGTGAACACCCTCAGAGCTAGCTTTTGGCGCTACGGGTTGATGACATTGTTCGTGCAACACCCCGGATAGAGACGTCAGAGTCAGCAATCTTTACCAAATCAGGCTGCATCATCATGTTCAAGAAGTTCAAAGACAAGCTGAAGGGCGACGATCATTCCGAGCCGCAGCAACAACAGGAAAAGCAACAGCAAGGCTCCTCGTACCAACAGTCAACCCTTCATTCTAATAACCCGTTCCACCCCAATAACTACACATCACTCCAACAGCAACAGCAACAGCAAACCGGAAGTCACAACATCACCCCGAACGAGAAGTACCAGCCCCCTTCAGGGCCTCCTCCAAGCCATGCCGGCGCAAGCTCAAGCTCAGGATACGCACCGCCTCCAGGCCCACCACCCTCCAAAGATATGCCACAACAACCTCCGCCCAGCTGGGAGCCTCCGCCATACCACGACTGGACAATAATCCCAGACACAGCTCTACTGCCTCCTCCACCATCCATCGGCTATGAGACCTCACCCACAGCCAACGCCACAGAGGAAGACGGCGAGCGCGCAGACCACTGGTGCAAGGCGAACCCACTGTGGCCACCCCAAAGCCTCACACCCCCAACGCACGCCGCAATACAAAATGGCCAGCTCGCTATCCTTAAGCCTCCCACCTACTCCGGCGATGTATTTCCCATGCAGCAAGCCGGCCACTGGAGATGTCGCACACATCCACAATGCCGCGACTCCGCCCTCCTAACCAATCTCCCCATGTACTCAGTCTCCTGGGACTCGCCCCTGAACACACAGCGTCCCAAGACAATCTACTTTGAGCTCAAAGTCCTCGGCATAGGACACGGCGGATACTCACTCTCAGAAGCAGACGCGGGCATCGCAATTGGGTTTATCGCGCCTCCGTACCCGACGTTCCGTCTCCCAGGGTGGCAACGCGGTAGTATGGGTGTGCATGGCGACGACGGACGCAAGTACGTGAACGACACGTACGGCGGCGTGGACTTCACGACTGCGTTTCAACCTGGCGAGACAGTCGGGATTGGTCTTACATTTTCGCTGCCGAGGGAGCCGCCCAGCTATGAGCAAAGTCAGATGGGGAAGGTCATGGACATCGATGTATTTATAACGCGGAACGGGCAAAGAGAGAAAGGGTGGGATGGGAATGAGGAGCTGGATGAGAGGAGTGAGGGGGGCACGGTGGGGCTGAGGGGTGAGTGTGATTTGTTCCCTGCGGTGGGGGTGTTTGGGGGTGTGGATTTCGAAGTTTTCTTTCATCCCAGTCAGTGGCTGTATAGGCCCTTTTAGAGGGTATGACAGGAGGCTAGTGGATGATGGAGTTTGTCCCTCGAGTATACCTCAGATTCCCATTGAGCGGTACTACTGAGTCTCGCTGTCTCAATGCATGCATGTCATTAACCCATACGGAACCAGGATAGGCTGGCAACCCTCTTCTGCCGTTGCTCCCTGAATACCGCGCCATTGTACGCAACTCTCAGCTCTACATGCTACATGACCGGACGCGTGACATTGCTGTGCACGTCCGCCTGCTTTTCGCCAGCGAAGGCCACGGCGACAACTGGCCCAGAAACCTTGGTCGCCACCTCAATGCCCACAGCCCGCTCGATGGTCTTGTTCGGTGCCCTATAGATCCTCTCTAGATCGCTATTTGGCGGGGCAGAAGCAGGTTCCTTCGCCCACAGATCCACAGTATGTGGCAGACGCGCGTCTTCGAATTGAATCTCGGCATGACTAGATGCTGAGACGTCGTGGCCTCCGTGATCAAGATATTCGAAGAACAGGGCATCCGATGCGCTACGGGAATGCTGAAACCAGAGGAACCCAGGGACGCCGGCATCGGCACGAGGAGACTCAAGACTAGATACGAACTGCTTGCAGACGAATTTATGGATAGACCAGTTTTTCTTCTGGCCTTCTGCGCCGCAATAGTTGATGTCTTTGTACGCACCGCAGCGGAGCTCTGCGCCTGGTGTCACGCACGTAGCGCAGTTCGGAGATGCCTTGCGGTCGAGCAGCGCATGAGTGTGGTCAGGCTTGACCTTCTCAACGAGGAACTACGGAGCGGGCTGTTGAAGTCTGTGGAAGATGTGAGTGTTATCTTTGTTGTCTGGAGTCTGGAGTACTCACCGATTTCTTTGCCTATCCACGACATAGCTATGTCTTCAAGGAAGGGTCGTTAAGTTGGCGATCTCAGGGTGAGTGTGAGTAGACATCGGTGGGTGGCTTTGTATGTGGCGATGAGCTGCGCGCTTTGTCTATGGAAGGTATGTAGGTTGACTTTTTGACCATACTACAAATACGCCATGGAGAGCGCTCTAAGCTATAAGCAAAGCCAGTAGATCTCGTATATAGACCCTACATATCCTACACTCCCAATCAATATCTACCACTTCGCTACCTCGCCAGGCTTCGGCGCGCTCGCACGAACAATCTTATCGCAGTTCAGCAAACATAGCGGATCGAACGCCCTCTTAAGCTGCCTCATCGCATCAACCGAGCTCGTCCCCAGCTCATGCTCTAGGTAGTCTCTCTTGACGAGTCCAACGCCGTGCTCGCCTGTTGCTGTGCCCTCGAGCTCGATGGCGCGCTTGACCATGTCGTGCACGAGGTGCTTGGCTTTTTCGTATTCGGTTTTCTTGTTATACAAAATGATTGCTGGTCGCGTGTTAGCAGGGAGCACAAGGCCGAGAAGGAGAAGGAGCTTACAGTGGAAGTTTCCGTCGCCAACGTGGCCGACGATGCTGCCCAGTAACCCACTCTTTGAGATCTCGTCCTTCGCTTCTTCGATGATTCGAGGGAGCTTTGATAGCGGGACAGCGACATCGGTCGTCCATACGCCCACATCATCACTTCCCTCACCCTTGGCCATGACGCTCCATAGGGCTTCCTTACGGGCTTGCCACAAATCCGTCTTCTCTTCCTCGCTCTTTGCAAACTCGAAGCTTACACTGCCAGTCTTCTTCGCCAAACCTTGTACCTGGCTTATCTGCTCTTTAACGCTGTTAGGCGTGCCTGCAAACTTGAAAAAGAGCGTTGGCGCGTTCTTCCACGTCTTGTTCGTCTGGCCGGCATCATTGATACATTGCATTTGCACATCGTCAAGAATCTCAATGGCAGCGATCGGGACCCCTGCGCCGACAACTTTGAAAACGCAGTCGGCGGCGTGGCGGACGGTGGGGAAAGCGCAGACAGCTACGCTGGTGTGTTGAGGTTTCACGGTGACTTTGAGGGTGGCTTCAGTGACTAGGCCTAGGGTGCCCTCCGAGCCGATGAACATCCGTGTGAGGTCATACCCCGCTGATGATTTTCGTGGTCTTTGTCGAGTCTTGATAACTGTGCCGTCTGCAAGGACAACGGTCAGTGAGAGCACCCAATCCTTCATCGTGCCATAGCGGTACGCATTTGTGCCCGAGCAACCCGTGCCCACCATACCCCCGATCATGGCGCCTGGGCCCGGATCCGGAGGGAAGAACAAGTTGTCCTTGGCTAGTTCTTCGTTGAGCAATTCCCATCCTACAGCCGGTTGGACCACCACATCCAGGTCGTCCTTGTGTAGCTTCAGAATGTTATTCATGCGCGAAAAGTCGATGCAGATACCACCTCTTGTCGCCGCGAAGTGGCCCTCCAGACTGGTTCCTCCGCTATATGGAGTGACCGGAATCTTCCTCTCGTGGCACACCTTCATGATTGCACTGACTTCCTGGGTGTTGCCGGGCTTCACGACGCAGAATGGTACGTCTCCTGGCTCGGCAGGGTGCGATGACCATGACGATCCAGAGTGCGATTCTAACTCCGACTTTTCTAGCGATAAATTCTCCTTGCCGACGATGTCGCGGAAGTCGGTCCATGCAGCCTCCATGTTTGCTTCTGATATGTTGTGTTTTGGCGGGACTATGGTCGCTAGGGGGGCGGTTGAGGATGTAGATTCCGGCTTGGGGGAGGTCGCCTGACCAAACCAGTAACCAATACTGCCAGTAACGATGACAGCTGCACAGAGTTTTAGCATTGATACGTGTTAATGAACCAATGACAATGCATACCAAACAAAGTTGCGAAGAACCGCCCTCGCGCAGTACGCTGGTGCAACTGCGCCTGCCGTATCTCCTCTTCTTTCGCCTTCTGCACACGCGCAGTCACACTCTCAAACAATTGTAGGTTAAAAGGCACCTCGGGCTTCTTATCCCCATCATCGCTCTTCCACCTCCTCTGCGCCCGCCACCCATCTCTTCTCCGTGCTACAGCGCATGGTGAAAGTCTGTATGCCGGGTTCAGCAAACCGGGTCGAGCACTGCGCAGGACCGTCGCAGCTCTGGGAAAGCTTCGTAGAGACATTGCGGCGTGTAGCAGGAGCGTGGGCTCAGGTCATGGTGCGACTGACCGAGGTTGATCTCGATTTGCGGGGGAGCTTGGTGGTAGCTCTAACTCTTGGAGATGCTGCATACAAGCTCGGTCGGTTTTCGGATGGAATGGCGCTTGAGTTCCGACGCCACGCGGAGTCATGTGACCGGACTGAAAGGGAATGGATCCATGTAGTCGCCAACATGCTCCGCAATCGCGCAATACAACATAGTGGAACTGTGATTCCCTGCGCCCATGTTCAGACAAAGAGTCTGCTCAGCGCCAAAAAGATGGATCTAGTTGAGGCTCTCTCGAATGACATCTTTACCATCAGTTGAACAATCTACAGTCCAACTACCTGTACATGTGCATCATAACAAGCGGAATGACAGTCTACTCACTCAAGTCTGATGATGGATCATGATTACTTGATCTCTGTTGTGCAGTCCTGGAGGAGCATGCCCCTCTACCATATGTTTTCCACATTCACATCCTACCTTGCGCAATTTTGTGCATAAGCCCAACGCCTATGAAGTACACATGACTGCTAGGACTGACCATCGTGCGATGAATAGCGCAACACCCGAAAGTATCGATATGGTGGTATGCTGTTTATGTCTTTGGTTTTTAGAAAAAGCTCAATCCGTGAAAGAGTCGTGCATGACCATTGCCGTAGCCTTGTGCAACTCATCCTCTGATCGGATATCTCCCCGACCCGGCACAGTGCTCAGGGTCCCGATAGATCGGTTATCTATCAGGGTCATCACTAAGCAACGACACACTTACCAAATATATCAGCCGCTCGGGAACATGAGAGAATACTGATTGGTTTGGTGTACGAAACTTGAAGTGGTCCTCGAACGTGTTCGGCTACATGGCATGATTGCGTGACTCTGTGCTGCGACAGCGGTGCAAAGAATGAGTGCGATCTTCTACTTCTCGACATTCCGTCTGGCCGCTCGCTTATAAGGTAGATCGTTTGTGGTCCTGTGCCTTTCACAAGTGGTGCACTGAGGGATGAAGCGACATGCCCAAATCTCGGTAGATACACCCAATAGTTCTTCCGCCAATTTGAACCTCTGCCAAGTACACGCGCGGGTCCATCGGTCGATCAATCGAAACGCGATCCTGAGACGTCACTCCTGTAATAATGTGGGTTTTATGATCAGCCCGCGACGTTGAAGACATGTATGTATTCTGCGGTCATCCATGTGAGCGTTGTGATGATGTCGTTCGGCTCGGTGTGGAGACGGTCCAAGTTCATGCTGGCGATCCTCAGATCACAGTGGGGATGCTGGCATCGAGGCGACGCCGGCACCTGTTTCGCGGAGAAGGACAGGCCACGGCAGCCAACCAGCGAGCATGGCGCGGCCAGAGATGCCGCCGCGCGCGTGGGATATGAGCGCCAGCGGAGCTGGCTTGCAAGTCAGCAAGAGGCCGCTGAGCAGAGACGCAGCACCGTGTCTCATCAGGGCCGGCTGGGCGACTACGGGAAGCGGCGTGTCGGAGGAAGCGGGGAAGACGTCTACGTGCGACTCGTCGTGTTGGGAGGCACAGCAGGCAGAGTGCACAGCTCGTATAGCAGATACACGGCGAAGCGAAGGCTGATGGGAGAGCCGCAGCGCGCCGAGGACGCCTGGGCTTTTGTGGCGTCGAGATACGCTTGCGGCGGTGGGAGCGGACGCTCGGGTGCCCGTGGATGGCTTCATTCACAGCGCGGGCTTTGGGCTAGACTGGGCCGCTCTGTGCTGCTGCGCGGTGAGGGCAGCATTAGCATCCGCATTAGCCCTTGAAGGATGCATCGTCTGCCGCCGAGGCACGACGAAGCTACACTGTCAGCCCGCCAGACTCCGTGACCGCTTCTTCTTCTCATATATCTCAGGCCTCGCCGTCTTATCTCGTTCCAGATACACGGCCGGATCCCTCGCCCCTCACTCCGCCAGTGCCCCGAGTGTGCCGCGTGTTGCGTATAAGACGTATCGCATCGGCACTGCCGTTGTCGCCGCAGTGGAGCTCGATTACGCCGTCATCGTGTTTTGCGAGCTGAGCCCACTTGGCTGCCACAACAACCAGCTCCCACCGTCCCCGGATCGTCCGCACCAGCAGGCGCCGCCTCCCGGCCCGCGGCTGCAGCTGCCAGAGAGTCGTCACTGCGATTCCCATCAGTCCGCGGTAGCAGCATCTCTTATGGACCGTGTTCCCGGCGGTTGCACACGCTACTAACGTCGCCTCGGTGATCTTGTCGCTGTGTACCACCATCTTTTCACCTGGAATGCCTCGACACGCCGCCTGCTGCCCCCCACCACCATGTCCAGTTCGCGCTCCCACAACGGCTATGGCGCATCCAAACACGGCCGTCTTCACAGGCGCGGCAACTCCGCTTCGTCCATGACAAGTCCTCTGAGCCCCGGCCAGTTCACCTTCAGTCGCTCCGAGACGCCCGTTACCTACCAAGAGCCCTGGACCGACATTACACAACCCATGCCCGCCGCAACGTCGCACTCCCACAAGATCAAGCCCTACTTGCGCAAGCTGTCCTCCAAGGACAACAACGACCTCGACCTCTCACGGCCTGCCGCGGAAAATGAGCGCCTCGCTGGCTTGGGCATCCTCGAGTATGGCGGATACGCGCGAACGGTAAGCGATGTCAATTTTGCGCCCGTCAAGTCGCGCAATCACGCCCGCAGCACCTCCAACACGTCACAATTCTCTACCTCGTCGAGTCTCCAGCGGCCCATGCCGTCCATCCGCCAGAGCCCGCGCCCCTATACACCTCCGATATCCAAGTCAACACCCGCTTCCACGCTACTCAACGGTGACAACGAGCCCGAAGACAATATCATGAGCGACGAAGAGTTTCGTATGCGCCAGGCGGCGTACGACCCCGCACGAAAATCTGGCTCGCTATCCAGCTCGACGCCCGCTCAAGCTGCGCCAGCGCTGCGCATACATACCACAGGATCCTCTTCGTTTTTGGCGGGGAGCTACTCTCAGTCCACAGTCTCACTCACATCGCCCGTTGCACAGTCCAGGCCCAGAGGAGACACCGTAAAGTCCATGGACACCACTTCGCCCAGTTCCCGCACATCGTTCGACAAAGCCTTTGGCTTCATTCGCCCAGGCCGAGACTCTCCAATCGATGCACAGTCACGTGCCGCATCCATCCGTGCTGCGCGGCAAGCCTTCGAAGAGAAGGAAGCCGCCAAGGAACGCAAGCACGATCGCGAGGTACATAAGCAGGCTGAGCGAGACACCAAGAAACAATGCAAGAAAGACGAGCGCGAGAGACGCAAGTCCGAATCAAATGAGAAGAAGCGCTCTCGCAGCATTTCCGATGCAACCAGCCACGAAAGAACCTCGCGCCCTTCTGTAGGCGCCAGACAGTACTCTGACCACCGAGAAGCGCACACCAGCATGTTGCCCAATATTGTAGCCACCGTCGATCCGGAGAAGAGTGGCTATGCACCGACCCCCAAGGTGACCAAGAGCCGGCAGGCTAAGGGAAGGTGGCTCAGATTCCTCATTTGGTTCAAGACGAGGTTCTTGCGTATGGGGACGAAGCTGCATGTGCAGTCGTGAGAGGTTGGATCTGGGTCTCGTTGATCGGCAACGTCCCACATCGATTCGCTAACCTGCAGTAACATCCCCGCTCAGCCTCTTTGGTCTACGTAAACCGTTGATCACGTGGGGCAACCTGCATATTACTCACATCATCCTTACACCCTTTATTGGACCCACGTCCACATCGCTACATCTTTTCTTGGGCACACATATACCCCGCCCGCATGTCTTTCGTTTTATGTTTCACGTTCAGCATGGTGTACGGCTTCCACTTTACGATTTCACGGTTCCTATTCCTGCACTGCATATATCGCGGGCATTCTAGGGTTTGCATATTTCTACTTCTCCTAGGGGCGCATTGGGCCGGATTTTGGTTCAGGATACTCCCCACACTGTTTTGCATGGTGCTCTCCATGGTTATGGAATAGGCGTTTCGGTCGCTATCCGGTTTAGGGCCCTGAGTGATTGGGTAGGTCAGCACTGAGCTGTACTCACTGGCTTTGGGTCTTCGGACTTGCTTGCTCTGGCTTGGTCAAGCCATCGAGCTGAATTGAATGCCATGTTCCCATTGCATCAACATCGCACTTTTCTTAATTGCTCTTGTTCGGTGATACAAATGTACTGACCCGAAAACACAATTTTTGACAGTCTTCGTCAACATTCTTCGTGCCCTTGCGCAGCACTCCCATGGTAAACTCACAAGTTGCATAGTTCACATTGACTCAGGAATCGACATGTTTCTGTATAGATACCACAAGTCAAGACGTTCGGTCAGCTCGTCTTCCTCCGGTCACCAGAAATAACCCAATTCTACGTATCTCAACTGCAACCGGTGAATTTGCATGAAGCAACCGGACTGACCTGGGTTCGAAACAACCCTACCGACGCCACCATACGGACTGTGGCTTTCACTTGAAGCCGTGCTCATATACTCGAGACCAGGCGCATTACAGCTTTCGTAATGAGCACCGCAGCGATTTCTGCATTGTCGGCCAGGTTCAAACACCCACCTGAGCTAAGCCGCGAAAATGGAAGACGACAAATTGAAGGGCATAAACTCGCCAATCTTGGTTACATACGGTCACCACGAATTTCCTCTAGGGGAGGCGGTCAGAGAAGAGATGTGTGCGCAATGACAAGTGGCTTCCTTTTCGCCACGATTCATTCCTTCTCCTGGACCAATCGCTCCAACACCACCCCTACACACCTCCTTGTCCTCACTCTCGCCTACGTTCATACGCTCAAGGTGATGGTCCTCTATTGTACATAGAAATGGTATCTGAAAGGAAGCTCTCGGCATGTCAATAGAGACTCAGCTCTTTCAGCCCTGCTACCGCATTCTCGCTGAAGGTCGTCGGTACCATGCTTTCGTAGTTACGCGGTTGTCTCGCACTCAGAAATATTACTGTTTTTGTTAATCTACAGTCCTAGGGCCCTTCTGGTGAGGTTCGATAGGCTTTTAATCCATCGGGGGTCACCTGTGCAAGTCACGCCTCTTTTGCTGATTGTCGGGTAACTTCTTGATCAAGATGAAAACATTAGACACAAGAAGCTTCCTATGGGCGTGACAATGCCTCTCGTTCTTTTCTTGCGTGAACCAAAGGAACGCTTGTATCTATAAGATTTCAAAGAAAAGAGGGAGCATACCGAAAGGTACCAGCAACCAGAATGATCCCGCTTCTTCATTGTTACAGGAGAGGATTCTTTCTTGAACAATATCGATACGGGGTCTGCAATCAATCCACAATCCCAGGTGCCGGAATAACACGGGGTATAAAACTTCTGATGATTCATTGTATGCGTTCCTACCAATCATGGGTGCTGTTGCCCGGGACAGAGCGAGTCTGTTCATGTCCCTGCGTCTTGGGCGCCAAAAGTCGGGGTTTCGATAGTAGACCGCGGGATGGCTTGAGCCAGTGATGAGTATTCAGGTTTAAGATCTGATAGCCCATCGTCTACGTTCATGTGTACGCGAGAGCCTGCCCGGGTCGTAACAGGCTTTTGATACTCGTTATTGGATTCTTCTGTCACGCTCACAAGTTGTCGTCGGAACTGATAACTCAGTTGCCTTGGTGAGGGATAGCGCGCTCCTGTCATTCACTAAATGCTATTGCCTGTTACGGAACAAGTATGTTTACCTTCAACCTCTTCGTTGCTCCAAGCGGCCGTGCTCTCCTTGAAAACATCGTCCGTCAAGCTCTCAGCTCGAGTTTCTTTACCCTCTACTCATACATTGCACATCCCTCACCATGCCCCTCAAATTTGCAGATTTGCTTCTTGAGGCGCAGGGTGTGAAACCCGTGACGTGGGCATCAGACGCCAAGGAGCCAGCTAGCGTGAGTCGGGACGAGGCTACGCACGAGCCCGCCCAAAAGTTATCCCCAGTGCCTTTGTTGTGCTCCGCAACGGCATCCAACTCCGACTCGACACGTCAGTCACCACCACCCGGCATGTCGAGCAACAAGCGTGGGAGCGAGTACAAGCACGGCCAACCGGGTCGCGAGTTCGAGGAAGAGCGTCCCGATGAGCCTGCCGACGAGCCCAAAAAGGCGACGGCCGCGCAGATGGCACAGCGCAAGTAAGTGCACATCCTCACTCTGACCCACCTTGTCTCGTACTTCTTTGCTGACGCCCCTTTCAGGATCAAAACGTTGAAGAACCCACGGAGAGCCAACGTTAGCTCTGTAAGTCACGTCAACCCGCTGCCGATCATGGGCGCAACCCTCCACATCTACCGAGTCGCGCTCGCGACAGTGGCTCGCGCCGCGCGCGACCACCTCAGCTAATATATGCGCGCAGGGCCTCGTAGCCTTCAACCCTAATCCGCCCTCGGCGAGCTCCTTCAATTTTGGCCCCGACCCCAGCGCCGGCGCCGCCCCCTCAAATCCTTTCGCGCAGCAGCAGAGCACACCGGGCGGAAGCATGTTCGGGCAATCGCAACAACAGAACTCGTCCGATGGAAGCCTCTTCGCTTTCGGTAGCAACGCTGCCAGCAGCTTTCCTCCCGCTCAATCTTCAACGCCGAACAACCTATTCGCGCAATCTACGAACTCATCGTTCCCGCCAGCCTCAGGCTTCGGCGGAAACAACGCCGGCTCTGCGTCCCCCTTCAACCCTCAACCGGATATGAACTTTGGGAACAGTACGACCAACTTTGGCGCCTCGGCTCCTGCTCCTGCCAACGGCTTCACGTTCGGTGCGCAGTCATCGCAAGCGCCAGCCTTCGGCGCTTCACAGAACACTGCCGCGAGCACGCCAGCTTCCACTAGCTTCAGCTTTCTCGGTGCAGCAGCAAAGAACAACGAGAGCACGCCTGCCTCCAGCGGTTTGTCTATGAGTAACAACAACGCCTCGACATCCGCCACCTCGGGCGGGCTTTTCGGCACGAGCGCCACCACCCAGAACAACACGTTTGGCGGTTTCGGTCCGAACGCGAATAATAGCACTGCTGCGCCTACCTCACCATTTGGGAATCCGTTTGACAAGGCGAATGATACTTCAACGCCGTTCCAGTTCGGCGCGAGCACAACACCGACAACCGCGGCGCAGGACAATGCATCGACACCAAAGCCTCTGTTCGGCGGTTTTGGATCTGCTTCGCAACCGAACGCAAACTCACAAGCACCCGCAAGTCCTTTCAATTCACATACCGCGACTGCGGGCGGTTCTAATATGTTCCGCGCAAGCTCGCCAGGATTTGCATTCGGAGCTCAGTCGAACGGCCTCAATAGCCTGGCCGCGAGCACACAAGGCGAGTCGGCTGCCACTCCAGCATTCTCTTTCGGGAATTCAACAGTGAACCCTGCCACGCCTGCGCCTTCGAATAATTTGTTTGGATACCTGGGCGCGAGCACACAAGCATCTACGAGCACCCCAGCTCCGGTGAGCTTTGGAGGCTTTGGCCAGTCATTGCAGGCACAGTTCCCAAGCGCGCCTGCTATGTCAGGCCTATTTACAGAATCACAGGTGCAAGCTCCAACTGGACCGATCGCGACACCCATATCGAAGTCGTCTAACAAAGGTCCCTCAACTGCTCCGGCCAAGAAGCGAGCAATGTTCAGTAACTATCAGTATGTTAAGTTTTCTCTTCTCCGTCCAAATGGCAATCCATGTCTTCTTCCTCCCCCCAAAGATCGCAAGCAAACGGATCAAGAGTCCAAAAAGTGGTTCCAGGACATCTACAAAATCATGTCCCCTACCTTTGTAGATGTCGGCCTTCCATTGAAGACCAAGAACAAGTATCCTCTGAAGAATCAAGACCTCAACAACCAAGAGAAGAAGCCTAACATATCCAGAAGATCCGCGACGGACCCCAACCCTACCCAAACCTCACAAGAGGAGACCACCACGACCGAAACTACTGCGCAGACCATCTTCAAGCAGGCGCCCTTCGAAGCACCCCAACTTGCTCAGTCGGCCCAAAGCGAGAAGCAGGCGCCCAACTCTTTTGCAAGCTTGTCGTCATCTGTGCCAGCTTCAAGCTCATCCAGCAACAGCTTGTTTCCATCAGCGAAGCCCGCTGCATCAACACAAAAGCCTGCATTGACAGCCACTCTCACACCTGCAACGGAGCCCGCTGAGACGGTCCCGGCACCGCAAATCCCCAAGGTCACCGTCCCTCCGAGTTGGACCGTGCCAGATGACAACAGCGACGATCTGCGTGAGCACACCAAGCTTCTTGAACAGATCAACGACATCTATCGCACCAAACTCGCCCAGCTTCCCACGAGAGCTGATTGGTCCGCCTTGTCCAAATGGCACTGGCAAGAATCTTCTAAGCTGAAGAAGAAGATCGACGACCTCAAGAAGCAAGCCGCGACCGCGAAGGGTATCACTGGAGAAGAGTCGGTCTTGTCTACGAAACGGAAAACTGATGCTACAGTTCAGCTTGAATCTCCTTTCAAGAAGGCACGCAGTGGCGAGGCACCCACTACTCCCAATGCTAAGGTGCCGCCCATGGCCAGCACAAGTCCCAAGGCCAATCCTCCCTCGAAGCCATTCAACCTGTTCGCAAGTGCTTCTACGCAGCAAACATCATCTACGGCCGACGAACCTGCGCAAGCCAAGGCAACCGAAAGTAAGGTTACTGGATCAGGTACCACCATGGCAACTCAAGACGGTTTCAAACCCAATTTTGGCACATCTGCATCTTCCAGTGCAACCGGTTTCAAACCAAGCTTTGGAGCATCTTCAAAGACAAGTGGCTCCAGCAGTAGCGGATTCTTCGGTCAATTTGGCGGAAAGACGATGGAGCAGCTGCGAGAAGAGCGCATGAAGAAGGCTATGGATGACGGCTATGAGTCCCCTACGACTTCCGAAGAAGCAGAAGGCGACTATGAGACCAGGGAGCAATGGTTAGCTCGCTGGAATAAGGAAGAGAATGAGCGCCAGGCCGCTCTTGATGCTGCAACCAGCAACACGACGCTCAAGTTTGCACCCACGGCGACAGGCAAGAAGATTGATACTCCTGCATTCAAGTTCAATGCTGCCTCAAGCAATGCGGCTTCATCCTCAGACAGCATCGTCGCGTCACAGGGTCTTGCAAGCGGTGCATCTACTCCAGGCTTCTTTGGCTCCAGGGTCAGCAGTCCGGCGCCTTCAGTGCTGAATACGCCACTGGGTGCACAGACCCCGTCTTCGAATTTGTTCGGCCACTTGTCCGCTGCTTCTTCACGGCACCAAGACGATAGCGATGATGAAGCCGACGATGAAGCTGCTGCTAGGCCTTCTGTTGAGGAAGAATCAAAGAAGCGCAAGCTGGGCGATTCTGGGGACGCGGAATCCGAATCATCTGAGACATTGGAAGAATCGATGAGGCGCAAGAAGCCTACAACCCAGAAGTCCAGCTTCTTCGATCGCATCACTAGGGACAATTCGGATGTCGAGCAAGAAGCCACAGACACTACCAAGAAGCCCAGTCTTCTCGACCGCATGACTCGGGATAATTCGGAGGCTGCATCAGATGCGGCAGGCAAAGAAGCTAGCCAGCCTAGCTTGAACTCCATCAATTCCAAGCTCTACAATATCAATGGTTCGCAGACCCCAGCACCGAAGAAGCCGTTTACATTCGATTTCGCTGCAGCTGCGAAATCAGCACCTCAGTCTGCGCCCCCCAAGCAAAATATCTTTGCTGGAGATCAGACCTTCAAGTTTGGAGACCCTATCAAGTTTGGCTCAAGCACCAACACCAACACGCCATTCACTATCACACCCGCGACGCCTACGCCGGCCTCGCCCGCTGCATCGTCCGCCGCACTTCCGAAGGCTGTCAACTCTCCGTTTGCCTTCCTTTCTGCAGCTCCTTCCGCTACTACGTCAGCGATGTCTTCGCGTGCTGCGACCCCAGCGTCAGATGCGGACGCTAGCGCTACCGAGGGGGCAGCTGTGAACGAAGACGAAGGTCAGACTCACGTGGAGAGTGACAAATCGATCCTCTCCAACGAGGAGCAAGATGAATTCGATGTCCTCTTCGAGGCCGAACAAGTCATCGCCAACAAGCAGATCCACAAGGAGGGTGCCCCCAAAGCTGAGTGGGTGAAGATCGCAAATGGCAGGCTGTGGATCTTGAAGAGCAAGGCAGATAACCATGTCATCCTACGCTTGCGTATGAAGAGCGGCGCTGTGCGCGTTAACTACCGCATCCCGCCCATTATCAAGTCTTCGATCATGGGAGCCAACAAGACGCAGGTCCTTACCAAAGAGGCCTCTGTAAAAGATGGCAAGACTGTGCTTGAGAATATGGTCTTTGCGTTCAACCACAAGGATAAGGCCACAAAGCAAGAGCTGGCCAAGACGTTCTCGGAGACTTATAACGACAACGTCGCAGGTGCGTGAGCGTGTTGAACAGTCACTTTTACTGTACTCCCAACTTATTGCTCACCCTGCCGATATACAACTACCAAAAAGTCGACTTTCTAATTCTTGCTGGTTCACTTACACTACCCGTTTTGACCGACTGCGTACCAATTCGAACATATCTTCTTATTGTACGAGTACGGCGTCTAATCGGTCTGTTGCTTTTTCTGCCGATTGTCTTATGGCATTTCACTGCATTGCGAAGGTGTTTTTGGGACCCACAACAACTAATGTGGGTGGACGGCATGGCGCCATGCGCTAAGTGGGGACAATTGTATTTGAATGACCTCTGTTGCCTCCGAATTCCGAGCCAGGCTAGGGTTCTGCGTTGTATAGTATAGTTTCGAGTCTTCTGCTTGGCATGTATAGATGTGTGAAATGCGATTTGCGGACAATGAAAGTTACATGTACTTCCAGTGTACTGTGTAATGTCATTTTGGCAATGTGACAGTAGATTTGTAATGGTGCAACAATGTGTTTGCGACAAAGGACTTTTGGACATGACGTCGCGCTACACTACGGACTTCGCTTCTCCACGGCGGACCTCCGTCCGCCCAATATTCTTGCCCTACCCCGCGTTTTCTAGATTCTGCAAGATGTTGCGCAGACGACCGAGACAGGATCGATTCGCAATGTGTCACATTACTGTGTTATTGTCTATCTAGAGTGTAGGACGAGACATTCACGAAGGCCACTGTTGGCGTGCTCGAGTATACGCACGCTGTTCTAGAGCGTCCCATACCTACGTATGGTGGCGCGGCACCTTGACAACGACGGTGAGGTCTTGATTCAATGTCAGCGCTCTCGTATACCTTTTTTGCCACCAGCGTCTCCCTTGGACCACGATATACGCGAAGTGGGCAGCGCGATGCTATCTTCGTCGTCCATCCGGAAACACATTCCGCGACCTTGGCATCTCGCTGTGCCCGGAAAGAACCAGGACCAGCACTACAATACTGCGCAGCTAGGCAACATCATGAAGTCCGACGCAGCACTGAAAATGTCGCACATACTCCTGGCTGAGTAGTGTGACGTCGCATGTTACCATCGAGACGCGCTGCTGACGGAGACTGTTTGGGCCGAAAGCGCGAGGCTGCACTTGATGCACCCCGCACGGCCTGTTTCTGCACGTCAAAATCTCTCCTTTCATCGTGTCCGTATCTCGGAGAGAGCTTCGTTTCTTTTCATCGGATTCTCGTCTCTCTTTTTACTATCATCTGCTTTGCGAGTTGATAGCTGTTGGCCAACTGAAACATGCCTACATCGCACCTTCCCGTGGAGATTCACAATATCATCTCCTCCCACCTCGCCAGGGATGACATACTTAGATATCGGAGTGCAAGCAAACGTCTCGCTGATATTGGCGCACAGTATCTATTCAAAAGTCTCGTATTCCACGCCAGTTATCACAGCCTGGGCTGCATCGAGAGCATAGGGTACCGCGAACACCTGAGACATTTCGTTGAGACTATCACGTGGGACACTAGTTCGCTGGGCTTAGATGTACTGAGCTTCGATGAATGGAAGCATCGAATCGGCAGCCTGACACCGCACCAGCTATGGATGCTGCGAGAGACGTGGGAGCGCGCGCAATCCTCAGAACACGAGGACATTGGAAAATGTAATAATCGGTTTCTACGGGACCAGTATGAGCGGTACAGAAACCTAGTCGCTGAAGGGCAGGAAGTACAAGACCTCCACCTGGCCGAACTCGCGGACCTCCTCGCCCCGTTTCCTAGGCTCACAAGCATCATCGTGGAGAAAAAGAGGTACCACGTCGCCAATGCCACTTCAGAGAGGCTCGAAATCTATTCCAACGAAGGATTATTAAAGAGGAGCATGTTGCACCACCACCGTTGGATGCCGTACAAGCACTCGACAGACATGTTTCCGCTCGTCGCTGCATTAAATGCCGCACAAGCTTCGGCATGCCAGCTTGAAACGCGGAACATCAACTTTCATGTCTTTAGTCAGCCTAATTACATGGAGCATCTGCAGCATATCCGGGTCTCGCAGATCACACGACTGGATCTCCGCTTTGCACTGCACGATGCTACTTTCGACCCCCAAGAATCCAGCATGAACATCATGAATTGCAAAACCGTCCTACGGCAAGGCTATCTTCGTGACTTCCTCCGAAAGTTCGTAAGCCTGCGATCGCTTAGCGTGGATTTCGGGACCAGATCTCTTGGTAACGGGCGTGCGCCAGTTAATCTACAGGATGTTTTCTCCATGGATCAAAGACACTCCTGGCCGCATCTTCGCGAGCTCGCAATCCACCACGCCGACACGCCAAGTCACACCATCTCCGCCCTTCTCTCCTCTCACGCATCCTCTTTGCGAGTCCTCTCTCTAGGCGACATATGCCTCGATCCACCCGCTTCGTGGGAATCCCTCTTCACCAGCCTCCAGCCTACCCTCTCGCTCTCCTCCGCCGCATTCTCATACTTCCTGTTCGACGCGCGGATCGAGAGTTTTCTGCGGGGAAGAAGTGCGATGTTAGGGTGGTACTGCGATAACGAGGAGTGTGTGGAGGAGTCGTCTGAGCTAGGGCCGCGGTTAGAGGCGTTCATGGTTAAGGGCGGGGTTTGCCCGTTGAGTGAGGAGAGGAAGGTCGTGAGGGTTGTTGGGCGGTTGGACGATGGAAGGGTGGAGGACTGGGTTGCGGGTAGGAGGGTTAGCGTCGTTACTTGAGGAGTTAAGTGAGGGCTCTATTGTTGATATCGAGCTCAAAGCACTGAATCTTCAATGACTTTCCGCTCCGCCTCACCGACCCATGTCCTGTATCGCTCTAACCGCTCAGACACTACAGCTCCGTTACACAACACTCTTCCATCCCCCCTCTGTACATCCGGCAACCCAATTTGCTTAAGCGCTCGGAAACCTCGATCCATGCGTTTTGGTTGAGGCCCTTTCAAATAGAACGCATTCTGCTCGAGTCCTGCAGGTAGCGTGTTGTGACAAACAGTACGTTAATTCTAGGTTGATGCAGCAGACGCACCAAGTGAATGACGTAATGAGATCGCAAGTCAGGAGTATCGAGACTGTTAAAAAGTGATGCTCTTGTAGCGGGGTGATGTTCAGAATTCGCCATGACAAGAATTGCACTCATTCAACATCCCTCTCACCATCAGGCAAGGTCTAGGCACCAGTACCTCATGGCTTCAAATGAGCCCGAATGTTGGAGGTTCTATGACGGGTTGGTTCTTTGGACTGAGGCGCGGAGGGGCCGGGCCATTTGGCGGGGTTGCTTCCTTTACGGCGTGAACAGTAAAAAATGCTAAGCATGATGTGCAGAAGGGCAAGATCAAGCAGACATGGAAATATCCAATATAATACATGGCTTCTATATCCACAGGATGGGTCCACTCATGATAGAAACCAAAAAGGCACTTCGTTCACGAATTAATGTCACCACCTCATAGGTGGTTCAGTCCAAGGAATTCGTACCCTCAGCTATACCGCTATACCCAAGCACAAGGTAAGTCAGTCTGGTTTGGATCCCAAGTCTCCTCTTACATTCTCGCAGCAGTTCAGAAGTTGAAATGCAACATACACCTCTCACTCCCTTCAGCACTCGTAGAGCAATTCCTTGAACATTCAGTTGCGGCCTCCAAAGTTTTTCTCAGACATAATGATGATCGCCTATTCAGTCCACTCTTCTTCGTCTGAAACGTACGATCCTCACTTCGAACTCCGTAGAGCGCACGGTCCAAATCGGAGATGTGGGACTGTAACGTGGGGATGTTGGACTATAATGTGGGGATGTTGGACTGTAGTCGTCCAAACTTGGAGACGCGGGACTGTACGCTGGAGATGTTGAGCTGTTCGGATACGAATTGAGATGCTCAGTATATTCTGTCGAATCAAGCCCGACGTCGGGTTCGGAATAGTCACCAGGGGCCAGTGGAGAGAGAAGGTGCCTAACGGGTGCCGTACTGTTGTTCGCTTGAGGCCCGATCCTGGATGGTCCTGGCCCGCCTACAGTGGTATCCAACCGCAAGCCCTGGTTGTATCGCATAAATGATGACGGGAGAGTTGAGCCAGTGTCAGCCATCTCCGCGTCTTCATTGACAACATCATGCATTCGTTCCCCGGCATTTACCCCGTCCTCGACATCCTGCATGTCTTCGTCTTCATTTGCTGCCTCCTTGCCAGTCTCTGCATCTTCACTTTGCTCGGAAGAAGGGATGGTGTTCCCTTCGAGGTCCATCTCTTCGCTTTCATGCTCGGTTTCCGTTTCCCAGCCATCTTTTTCATTGGCCGCATTGGCCCAGTGTAGATTCTCCACTTTCCCGTCGCAGGCTAACTCGTATTGTGTGTGCCGCAACGGGAACTTCCAAGCTCGGGCACAATCGACTACAGCTTCAAGCTGCCCCTTCTTCTTCGTAAACGTTTCGAGGATGAGTTCGAAGGTCTTCAGATCTGGAAGATTGCCGATGGCCGCTCCCCACGAGCCATCGGATACTGGGTGCTGGCCCTCACGCCGCTGTGCTGCCAAGGAAAGCATGTCGGCCAATAGTGGTCTCGATGTCACACCGCAGGCGGGATCCAGAGCGAGTTGTTCCTCTTTGTCCTTAGTGTTCGGATCGTCAGTCCAGGTCCACCAGTCTGTACGCGACCTGCGGAACAACCAAGTCAGCCATGTAAAGTATATTAAGCGTTGTGAGTGTACATACATGCGAACAGTAAGATGAGTTAGCGGGCGAGCCACCATTGCGCGAGCGATGAAGTTGTCTTGCGTTTGTAGATAATAGCGACCGATATCTTGGTCATAATCGCGCGATTGGCAAGCATTCGGGAGGGTCACCTTGTCTCCATCTTTTGGGTTCCAACCCTCAACATCCTCACCGAATGTTGTGAGGCCGAAGTTATGTGACGCTATCACCCCGTCAGTACGATACGTAGGGCGGGAAATGCTGTAGAAGTGAGGTGCAACGTAGGCACCTGAATGCCGCAGTGTTGCGTGCCATTCATTGAGCTCATTTTGAAGGCCACCTTGTTCCAAACCGACTTGCTGCACGCTGAGATCAAGTCGTTGAATCAAGGCAAACTGCCACTGGATATCTCATGAGCTTGGCAAAGGTTACTGTGCATATTGCATCTACTTACTGGTGCAAGGCGCGCCAGATCAGGACGCTACGGCCCGGAATCGCGGTACGATAGATAGCCTAGAGGTTCAATAGAGTCAGCAGGATGTATCACATAGTTGAAAGCACCAATATCGGTCCGCTTGTGTATTTACAAGAGCATATGTACCATTGAGCAGCATTGGAAGACGATACGTCTCCAGATACACAGCTTTGCATGTCCGAAGCAGTGCGCATGCTATATCGACCTGTGCAACGTCCGCCCTGCCGCCGTGCTCTCTTCTCAATATGTTGTCACTGTCAGGCGTAGGCGCACCGTTGTCTGCTAAAGCGTATTCGAAGATCAGATCACGGATCTCCTTGGGTGTCACTCCGTATAATGGGCATTGCTTCTGTTGGCTCACGTCGGAGAAAGGCGGCAGATGGAAGGCGAGAGGTTCTATGGGGCGTCCAAAGAAAGCACAATCTTCTTGGGCTCTGGAATGTATGCTCATACACTCGCAGTTGTCCAGTCCATCGCTGTTGTGGCAGTAGTAGCTGTACCGTCGCTGCGACGCTATAAGTGCTGCTCGACAAACGTGAACGGTCCTGCCATGCGCACCTTCCACGTCTTTGGATATTCCTTTGGAATTCCGAGTCGCAAGCTGAACTCTTGGTCCGCCATAGCGACGGTTGAGTGACGGTATGAAGTTTGAAAAGTGGAATAATCGAGCCGCAATGGGGCTTAAGTGTTGTTGGAGAGGCTGTGCCGCAGAGGCCGCCCGGTGGAGGTGTGCACCGTGTGTAAGGAACACTGAAGGCACCGATAGTGTGTTTGACGCTTACCCTGTATGTACAAGCGCGACGGTAAATAGACAAGCCTGCCCGGGAAGGCAAGAATGGCTCTTACGACGCATTTTATCACGATACTGGTGCACCACTGGGTATCGTTGCCTGGAATAGTGGGTACACGTCGGATCGGAACGCCGCTGGGGGTTAGCGGAAGATATCCTGGCTCCCTGAACCACTAACCGGGCTAATAATGCACCTTCTCCGGCCCACTCTACACCCACAGCCTTTCGTTGAGGCTGGACGATGGGCCACTCGATTGCAGGATCAGACTCGACCATTGATGCTCTAACTGGACGGCGGATAGCGCCCGTCCAAGCCGTCGATGACAGTGAGCGGATATCGTGGACTTAGGTTTTCGACGCATCCACGGAGCTCTAGCAATTGTTCCGACGAAGAGGGTGAGCTCGCCATGTTGCATAGCACCTATTGCACTAAGCGCAGGCACGGAATCTAGCGATATATAGCAGAATCTTTGTCTCCCAACCTAAAGAGCACAGCATTCATTCATCTGTTCCTTTATTCAGCCTCCCACTTGCTTCTCCTTCACTTGGTCAGCTCTTTGCTGTTTTGTAAACACTCTATTTCATCACACCTTCCTGTATCCACTTCTGCGGACCTCTCTGGTCTCTGATCTCGCATCTATGCAATGCGTAGTGCATTCATAGTCAACGAGGATCAAAAGTGCTTGCGAATGTTGTATGTAACACCGAGGCGATTCTCGGTGCCACCAGCACCAGCTCAACTGTTGTCCTCCATGAGTCTACTCAAGCTTGCCCCGAACAATTTTTTGCACCACTGTCCACCAATTTGGTCTAGAGGAGACTGGGGGCTACGCCAGTGATCGATGCGAATCGATCGAGGTGAGTATCACTCAGATCGACGACGAGTTACCACCAGACGTGGACTCATGCATCGCTCAATTTGCTGGTATCATCGATCAGTGCACAGTCGGCGGTCATAAACTCTCCGCTAACGCACTATATCCAGTTGGCGGACGCGGAAGAGGAGGACTGCGATGTTATTGCTGCGTGCAAACTAGATGGAAAGTAGGCTGATTCCGACTTCCGATCCCGAACTATGATCACCTGATTAGACACTCCATCGAATAGGTACGGGTTCATGGAGGCCTAAGTGACACTCTCGTCGGATGGTGTCAGCTGTATCCTTGCTTGCGAAGATAACAAATACTGCACGAGTGTGTCATAGCTGCAGACGAGCAAAGTTATTAATGTGCACGTTTTCATTATCAATTTCACTCTCCAGAGTATACCATAGATATGAGCTCGCATGGGCGCCCGTAGGAACGCACCTCGAAACATCGTAAGCCGAGCTATCTTAAACATGGATAGAACCTAACACCTCTTGCACAATATAGAACAATCTCTTCACGCTGAATTTCAGTAATAAAACAGGCGCAAATGGTCAACATGATGAACGTGACCGAACAATAGGAAACCAACGTCCCAATTCGGTTAGCGTTTCGTCCGGAGGAGCCCCCACACTGGTGCACTACTCTTACGTCCCAGCATCAAATCTCATCGTCGCATCCACGAATGCATTATTGATGTACTTCTCATAACGTGTCGCTCCTAGAGAAGGGACGAAGATGTTCATCCGCAGTTCGACTCGAAACGCGGTTGAGCTCACAGTATGCGGCTGAAATACCCCCTTCTGACCCAGCAGTCGTCCCACCCTCAGGCCGCGTACGACGGACTTCATTCCGGTTGTGCGGCAGTATGGAACTGTCCAAGCATTCGTGAGTGCGAAGCGACGATACGCAGTGACTGTCAGAATCGTTCTCTCTTCTCCTCCAAGCACTTCCGACTTGCACTTTCTATCTCTTTGCGCCATTTTCATGTGCGGATTACTTCTCAGGGTTACGTATGTGGCTTTTCTCATCCAAAATCTTCATTGCTCACAAAAAAAAGTTTTCCATCGCAGGGTTGCACGTTTCAGGCAAAAAGCAGCGGGTGCTTTCCACACATTCGGCAATATGAGCTTCTAAAACAACACCCAGAGCCTTCCATCAATGCAAACATATTCCAGAGCGATTCATCTCCACGAGCTTCAGCCTATACGGGACCCGCAACAAGCGGTCACACTTCATCTCATCAAGGCTCAGCCCACACAGGTCTCGGCAGCCTCATATTCCACGACATATGCGAAAAGTACCCTGCGCCACTGGTAGAACAATTAGTGGCAGAATGCGCGAGATATGCGCCGCCTTCCACCTGACGCAGTCCTAGTTTCTATGGTAAGGAATCGCCTGGCGACCAATCGATTTCCATCGGATGTAGCAGGGATACAACACTATGCAACCACCACACCAACGTTTCCAGATTTCAGATCTACTGCCCAAGCGACGCATGTGCTGCAGCTGGTCTGCATTTCGAATTTCCTTCGCATCGCTTGTCAAACTCTATTGTAGCTGTATGTTGTCGATCTCGTAATGATGGTTTCTAGTATCAGTGTAATGGTCTGGCTGTGTTGGATCGCGGTTTTGGGGTCGAGAGGTGTTGAGGCGCAGGATAACGGTGGTGGAAGCGGTGCCTTGTCTGGAAACGCGAATGCAAATTTCGGAGGTGGCGGTGGAAGGTTTGGGGATGGCAACAGAGGCGGGAGACAATTCGGACACAGACCGGTGAGTTTTGGCTATGCAATATACTCTCTGGTCAACAGCTGCTCACCTTTGACGTAGGGCTTTCGGAAAGGCGGTCGATTCGGAAATGGTAGAAAAGGTGGCCAGCAAGGTAGTGACCAGGCGGCGACGAACAACCCGACCGGCGAAGGTGATGACGAAGAAGCAGCAGATACTTCGACTTCACCTTCGCCTCCATCGGATCTTGCGCCCGTGGCAGCATCGGCAGCTCTAGCAAGTGCCGATCCAGAAACCTCGGTGGCTTTGCCAGAAGCAAACACCACTCTGGTTGCAGCGTCTGCAACACCTACGGAATCCTTCGAGCAGCCTACCAGCGTTGCCGATGCATTCCCCCGAGCCTCAATCTACCTTTGCAACTCTCGTTGGAATACCTTACGTTGCTCCCTCTAGCACTGCGATCATCGAAAGTCTGTCGTCATTGGCTTTACCAGCGCCAACCTCTTCTCTCGTTCCAGTCTCTGCTCTTACGACGAAACGACTTACAGCAACGTCTTCAAGAACCGTCTACGTGACCTCTGCTGTTCTTCCTCTACCGACTTCTATACCAGCAGAAGAAGACTCCTCTGCCTCAACACAAGCGACGCAAGCTCCATCGCTGGACCTTGCACCTCTTCCCGCTTCTTCAGTGAAGCCGCTCAGCCCGGGCGAGAAAGCCGGTGTGGGCGTTGGCATTACATTTGCAGTGCTCGTCATCGCGGGCGCAATCGCATACGAACTATTTCGCCGTCGCAAAATGAAGGCTCGAGAACGTCGCGGAGGCGAGACTGACAGTCAAGATCCTGGACCTCCCCGCCGCAATTTTGCGCTCAAAAGTTTCTTTGGCCCGAACAACAACCACGAGAAAAGGAGCGATCCCGAATGGAGCATTGAGTCCGCGGAGGAGATGTCCATCGTCCGCGCTGGGAGCGTAAAGTCTGTGGAATCGCAGGCGCGGCCCATAACTCCTCCGCTACCCAGCCTACCGTCTGGGCCGAGATTTGGGCTTGCAGGTAGCGGGACGGAAGTTGTGAAAGTGGGCATGACGGTTCCGGAGCGAAAGCCAACCCCAAAACTTGCGGATATGGCGCTGAGGAGTAATCCTCCGGTGTCGCCGAGTTCATTCCCGAGTCCGCCGCGAGCCGGCAAGACTGGGAGCTGGCCGTTGCCGGAGTAAGACGTCTTCATTCTTGTATTCAAAACTTCGTCTTGGGACTTGGCTTCGCAAATGGATGGCATTAGGCGTACGGTATGCTTACATGGGATGCAGAACCCAAAGATCGGACTTGGCGTACTGGTTTGCGTCGTTTGATACCTCTGACAATGGCTGCGTTGCAGGTAAGAAGGCACTGTCCAGTTCTACTATGAAAGGAGGAGGAACATATGCTGTAGCGTTGTCTTGCTATCTATAGAGGAAGTGCCGAGCAGTCTTCCGTGCTCCTGGTGAGCTTCAATTTTGTTTCACGCGCGTCACATCTCCAAAATTAGCTCGCGCGCCCCAAATAAGAATCCTGGCATTTGAAGGCCAAGAACGCAACGAAACTGTGGGACTAGCTATTTCTCAAATTGTGGGGAGCCGAATCGCACTTACAATGCATCTCTTTGTATCTAGTAATGTCACATACTCTGCCACAAGTCAGATGAATTTCGATTGAGGACGAATGTTTCATTCCTGCAGCCATACTTTAGCTGTCTCTTCGAGCCACTACGCAAAAGCACTCGGCTTTTTGACAAGCAATATGACCTGGTTTCGATACCCAGAAGCTTGCAACTACGGGTGTCTCCATATGACGACCTGCGCAACAATGATCGTCTGGCTCGGTCGAACGGCTTCGAACGTCGATTCGTCACTGATAGAACCTGGACATAACTCGTGTTCCAAATCTAATTCTGCTGTAATCGTTTGCAGGACCACTGAGCTTGTCTACGCAACACAAAGGCCGATTGTACGCAAATCTTTGACCCAGCACTGGGTCTACATGCGTGACACAAATTCCGGTAGCTGGTGTCTCCTGTGCAATCCAGGCAACAGAGGTTCTAAGACTCCGCGTGACATTACAAGTTGAGGTGCTGTTTCGCTTCTCTGTGGGCTGAATAAGGAAAAGGCCCGTGCTGAATAAGGGTAGGCTAGGAAAAGCCCCCACGTGGCCCCTTCGGTTTGGTGGCGAGTCCACAAACGCCCTGTCGATTACCTTTTGTGGGAGCTGAACGTCGTTGTAGCATATGTCGCAAGTGGACGATGGGAACAAATGTGTCACACGGTGGATACACATGGTATTATATGTTTAGTCATACAATTTCAACAAATATGCTAATCTGGTAACGTATCCTAAGAGTGGTTTGGGATCACTGGGATATCTGACATATAAATAACAACGTAGAACCCGCGTCTAGGTCATAGAGGGCAGATCTTTCAATCGTTTGTCGAACATTGAGGTTTCGAACCTTACTGCTTCGCCTTCTCATCTACCGATTCAGTAGGCGGCGACTCGAGCCCTTCTCCTTGGGAGACCGCAGGCTTCGTCCGCCCCTTTCCAGTGATATCCCTGAACATAGCCTTGAATGTCCTCATACTGGTCTTTCGTCCTTCCCAGAGCGGATACAGTCCCACACAGAAAGAACTGCAGAACATCCAAAGAATACCGACGACGACCCATCCGGTGAAGAACTTCTTGCTAAAAACGTAGCCAGAGCCGTACATGGGCATAGGCCAGAGAACCAGGAATGCGAGCGTCATGAATACAGTCATCCATCGCGCAATCTTCGAGGCCTTGAGAAGCTTGGCTTGCTCTTCTTCCTCCTCGACGGAGGTGTGCAGTCGCTCGCCCGGGACAAGCTCTAGATCGACATGGGCAGCGTTCGCGAGATCGTGATCGTCGCCCCTGCGGATGGCTTTCATTGAGATCCAGTCGTAGTTTTGGGGGCCAAACGTGTATGTCAGAACGGGCACGAAGATGACCGGAGAGAGGAGTGCAACAACATTTCCGGCAAGCATAGGGTTGTTTGCGCCGGTGGTAGCGACGGTAAGCTCGCCACTTTCTTTCTTCGCGGTGACGAGCCATGCGATGAGCGAGCAGGCGAAACCCAGAGGCGGTGAGAATGTTGCGGCGTACCAATTTTGCTTGCTCCACATCAAAGTTAGGGTGGCAGGAAGAACGGCAGAAGAGATGATGACGCCCATCAGGAGATAGAGATAACCCATGGAAATACCAATGTAATGTAGTCCTGTGGACCAGGCAGCCATGGCGACAGCGAACGCAATGACCATCATGTGAGACATGTAGATAAGCTGCTTTCCGGTAGCGCGAGGGTTGATGTATGTCTGATAGAAATCGTAGGTCCAGATACTGGAGACAGCGATAAGCTCAGCGGACATGGCAGATGTAACAGCCATGAATACGAGGAGGAGAGTCGCAACTGCGCCCCCGCTTCCTAGCATGGCTACAGCAGCATTCGGTAATACGAGCCCCGCAGAGACATCAGCAGCGGGAAGACGGTTGGGATAAGTCGGGAAAACGGGGTTGCTCTCCAAGGCTAGAGCAGCAAGACCCATGGTAGTGGCCGCTAGCCATGGAATGGCGAACCAGGACAGACCGCCCATGATGTAGCCAGGTAGGGCATCAACGGGGCTAGCAGCGATAGCCTTGTTGTAGTATCCGTTGTCGCAAAAGACAGTTCCAAAGTTTCCAACGATATTGATGACGAAGAAGATAGCGCCTTCTTTGGAACGCATTGTAAGGTAAGAACCTCCAGCGTTGCCTAACATATGCGGTCAGTCGAGGTGATCATACAATCAGTGAGGAGACATACCCTCAACTGGATGTTTCTTGGCGGCTTCGACTAATAGATCGAACACTTTGGAAGGGCTTCCGAGGTTGGCGTTTGTGGCATAGGCGGTGAAGGCGAACATGAGGAGGATGATCAGGATGACGACCGTATGCGCATAATCGGTGAGGAAGGTTGCTTTGATACCGCCGAACATCGTATACAAGCAGACGCCAACAGGCAAAAGAAAGCAGGCTGCAGCAGTGGGCACGCCTGTGAGCGTTGTGACTACCGCAGAGCCCCCGGTGAGCAGCATGGACGTGACCAAAATATTCGTGAACAACCCGAAGACCATAAATACGACATGCGTAACCGCTCCATAGCGCGCTCGAATGACTTCAAGAAAGGTGTGCGCATTGGGTGCTCTTCGCTTCAATTCGATCGCGATTGTTGCGAAAAGGATGATTTGAACGGTTGCACCTGATGCGTACCAGAACGGACCTGAAACCCCGTAGTTATACGCGACAGCACTGCTCTGAAGTAGTGTTGCGGCCCATGTCCAGGAGGAAACGACGGCGGAGGCAACGAGACCAGACTTTACGGAGCGGCCAGCAGTGGAGAACATTTCCGACGTCTGTAGCTCATAGTTGTATCGTTTCAGGACAAAAGTGGTGAGAATCATGAAGAAGCTACCATACGTGTCAGCATCAAAAGTCGAGTTGGCCGTGATTCAACCAAACTTACGCGAAGGCAAAGCCTAGCCCAATGACCACTCCATAGCCGACAGCTTGTGACAGCGGAGGAGGGTTTGCCATGGTCCTTCTGTTTCAATTGTGCTATCCAATGGCTACAGTCCAGCTCTTGCTGTTAAGGTTGGTGAGAACCTGCGACTGGAATTGCAGCTCAAGATCCGGAGGAGTGGCGATTATATACGCGCTTTCTGCCGAGAAAGCGCAAGGACTTGTCAAGAGTTGCTACGCCCTAGCGCACCCGTAAGCGGAGACGATGGCGTGAAGCTTGTGAAGATAAAGAGAGACGGCAAGCTCGAGTGGCGGCCCCGGCAGGTATACACAGTAATGATGCTGCGACATGATCGGCGTGCAGCGAATTGTACATGACTCTTGCTACAAAATTCCCCGTATTGGTTGTAAACGCCCTCGAGTGGATCCGTGGGGTAGTTCACTATGGCTGGAAGAGCAACGATACGTTGGGTTGGGCGTGACCCTGGCTGGAAACTGATAAGGAAGCGAGATGTGGTCGAGATAAGGTGTGCAACCGTGAGCGGACATGTTTAGTCACGCTGCAGATGCTCCTCCACTTCATTGTGAGCATGTACTGATGGATGAATCGTATTTTTGCGTAGTGCGCGGAGGTCTTGTGTTGCAGTACTCCTGAAAGCGCTTGTAGCTCTTCTGTGCGTTGCATTCCAAGCGGTGGAGAGGCTCGGGGCAGATGCAATGAGCGTGTGGAGGAGACTCGTCCCTTCAGCGCTGTAGGACATGGGCGCCATGTCAAAAGCAAGTAAAGCAGGCATCTCCGCGAGGGTTGAGGGTTTGGTCAAGGTGGTCGCGTAACGTTTCGTGGAGAGACAGCGATTGTGGGTCCAGCGGCCGTTGCGCTATCATTGCCAAGCGTATGATTGGTGCATCCCAGACACCCTTATCTCCAGCCTGCGCGCCCATCGGAAGTGTACCGCTGTGGGCGAATCGGGAGTTCATAGTACTCGATCGCGTTGCTAATTGTACCATGGGAGGCCGATAGTGTGCATCTCTGTGCCGACATCGCTTCGGTGAACACGGCGGCCATGATCTAATCAGAAAGGCTTGACGGGGACATGTCACAGTGCACCCAAACGTACCACAAACCACATCCGACGGAGCGATAGTTCCTTCTGGCTGTTCTGCAGATGCGCAAGGAAAGGACCATCCTGGCCGGAGTTGAAGGTAGCACGTGACAACGCGCCTTCCAAGGGTCCGCAGACGCGTCGGACACGCGACACGGGAAGGGAACAACTCTAATCCACGTGCCACCACTTCCCAGTAGCCTTACAACGCACGAAAGATGCAATCTCACGTTCTAAGTCGCCCTCCAGAGCTGGAAAGGATCCGGCAAACCTCAAGTTCTGTCGTCCATCAGGGCATAACCTCATCGCCTAAGCACAATCGCGAGGACATGTTGTGTATACGTGCGGAAGCGGAGGCAACCAACAATCCTAGCAACGACGCGTGTAGTCATCTAGTTTGCCAAGCTCAAACGACATTTTACGGGAAATAACCTAACGCGTAGCCGCTCCGTGTAAAAGGGCGCGCGCCAAGCAGGAGGGCGCATGGCCAGCCGAACTTCATCTCGACCTTTCTCTTCCACTTCTTCAGACGTTTTCTCAATTCTTTCCAAACGTCGTCCACGACATCGTGCTCGCACATGCAAACTCTCTATCTCAAATGTCAAGTGAAGTTGATGCAAGAGCAGACCGGCGTCACCGCCTTGACACACTTGTCACAATAATGTTCGGAATCTATCATTGAATAATTGCGAGCCTGTTTCAGGGTATCTCATCAATCGGCCAACTCTGGCCATTTTTTCAACACACATTACGCATTCAACACCAGCCCCGGCGCACGACACCAAAGCATCTAAGAAGAAGTAGTCACCGCAGTGAATTTCGCCTACAAGGGTTAGTTCTGCTGACACAAGAGCTGAAGGAACGAAGCTTACCTGGTCGCTGACAACCAAGCCGGCAATGCTGGCACTGGTCAAGGTGGAGACGACGCCGGAAATCAGTGCACTAACAGCAAGACGCGAGACGTCACCGCTGCGACCTGGACTGATCTGACTGAGCACACCAATCTGCGTTCCCAGCGATCCAATGTTACCAAAACCGCAGACGGCATAAGTGGCAATGAGTCTGGCACGGGGCGACAGATTGGCATAGGCTGGCTCGGTTTGCAAGCTGTTGAAGGCCACAAACTCGTTGGCAATGACCTTGACACCAATCAATCGTCCGACAAGAAGGAGCTCGTGCTTGCTGCGAGGTACACCAATCAAGAATGCGATCGGGAAGCAAAGGTAGCCAAGGATAAGCTCCAAAGTAAGGTCGTAGTCTCCGTCGAGGTTGATGTATCGGCCCCACCAAGTCAAGAGTCCGTCAACAAGATTCAAAAGCGCAATGATGACGAGAAGTGTGGTGATAATCATGCCAGCGATCTTGAGACCCAGCCACGCACCGTTGGCAAAGGCGTGCAGAGCATTGGCGGCTTTGTGTTCCTCGTCGTCGGGAATGACAACCCGTCCAGCAGTGAGAGTCTCCTCTTCTTCGGGGTACCGAAGTTTACTAATGGCGAGAGAGGCAGGAATACTCATGACACAGGACGATATAAGCGCCTGCGGATTGATGCCCATGCCAATGTAGGCCACGAGAACACTACCAGCGATAGTAGCGAACCCAGAAGTCATGACTTGGTGCATTTCTGCCATGGTCAAATGTGCGACGAATGGCCGAATCAACATAGCGGACTCTCCTTGCCCAATAAAGGGTGACGCAGCAGCAACAACGGCCTCAGCACCGGAGACGCGCATAGACCAGAAGAAGAAGACCGCAAACTTGCCAATGAACCACTGCACGATACCCCAGTAGTAGAGTAGCTGCACAAAAGCGACGAAGAAGATGATCGCCGGGATGACGCTGAAGAAGAAATAGTTGTTGGCAGCGATCTCGTCAGTGGTCAAAAACGCCACACCGTCCTTGGCAAAACCCAAGAGCTCGCGAGCAAGGGTTGAGATGAAGTTGAAGATATCGTAACCAGCCTGGGTCCTGAGGACGAAGAGTGCGATGATAAATTGCGTGAGCATGCCGACGATGACCGTATGCCACACGATCTTCTTTCTATTCCGCGACGTGGCCCAGAAAAAGAAGATGAAGACAACCAGGCCGAACAGACTGATGGCACGATTTGATCGGCTGTTGTCCTCGGATTCCGCGCTTGCGAATGTTCCGACAAGCATAACGGCAATGGTCAAGGCGGCACCAGCGTAGATACGCATCTTTTCCGGGATCAGCGCAACGAATCGTACACCCGTGTTGTTCCACACAAAGTGCATTGGGCGCGTGACAATGGTAATCGGGACATGGAAGAAGATGAGTCGGAGCATAATGGCCAACCAGAGCAGGAATGGGATGACCCAATTCTTGTCATGTCGGTGCACTACGACGCTGGCAATCCACCAACTGGTACGCGTCAGTACATGTTCTCGGCAACAGCAAGTATTGTGCAAAGCGTACCCGGTGAAGAACATCCCAATGAAGATGTGAACGAAGATGCGGTATCTTCGGTAGTACCCAGAGATCCTGTGTCTTTTAGGGTCCGCCTCTTCGGCGACGCCATTGGTATGCGAATCTTTCTCCAAGCTGCCGTGTTCAGTCTCATAGTAGCCGCCAGACTTTTCGACGTCAATTTCTTGTCGCTCCGGGTGGCCGTGCCGATGAAGCGCATCGTCATTCGGGTCCTGCGCTGGTATTACGCTCGGTTCATTGAGCGTGGTACCTTTGGTGTACGCCTTGTCGTCGTTGACTTCTGCGTGCGCGTTCGCGCCATGGTGGAGGTGATGGTGGTGGTGCTCGTGTGCAACGTCCAAGGCAGGGTCAGGATTCCGGACCACGCCCGGTATCGTGGAGATCAGCGACGAAGGGTCGCGCGACACGTCGGCCATGTTGAAGGTTGGCACGATGGCAATTCCTCTGATGCAGTTGAGGGCAAGGAACTGTAACCACCCACCGGGCCGCCAGGCGGATTTTATTTGTGGTCGCACTACACGCTACGAAATGGGGGGGCGGACCACATCTTCGGCCTAGACGACGCTTCGAAGTTCTGTGCGCTGTGGATCCTTGGCCGTGCAATGGCAGCTGCCTCTTCCAGGCTGGTGGAGACGCCGCGACTTCGGCTGGATTGGCAGGCCGGCCTCGTCCGCCACTCCCTCTCACCAGAGCCCGCCGTGTGGCCGCGCCAAGTCCTCCACTGCTGCTCCGGACCCCCCTGCAGCGCCGCCTGGATTCTTATCACGAGGAATGGGGCCGCCCGTCTCATTTGCTGGTCGTTTGGATATCGCAGCTGGGGTAAGAGATAAGCGCGGCGAATCCGCGCTAAATCAACGCGGGGCTTCGGTTGAGGCTCCTTTTGCGGCTGGCGTGGCGGGCGCTTTATCGTCGTGGACCCCGAGCAGCAGCAGCCTCTGGGCAGCCTCTGAGCAGCCTCTTCGACGGGAGCACTCGGCGCAGCTTACAGCACTCAGAAACACAAAGCCCAAAGCATCGCCCGCAGCAAACGACGGGCAGCCTTTGCATGGCTTTGCACGCAGCGCTGTGCGAGGACCATCAGCATGGGTACAACCGGTGCCACCCCGCCGCGTCCTCTCGTGCCCACCTCCCGCTTGTGGAAACTGGAGAGAAATAGGCCCGGACACGGCTCCCAATCCACAGAGCCCGTCTCTCCACCAAGATACCCGTCGCGTCTGAACGCAAGTAATCGCCCACTTGGAACTTTCGTTAGCTTCCGATAACCAGGGCCACGGTGCTGTCAACGCGTGGTCTTGTCTCACGCGACATCTGCAGTCGCTCTCCCTAGACGGCTCGCAGGTTGGCGGCTGGTTGCCATGCGCCTTCATTACCGAGACAGTGGTTCGGAAGTCGCCTGTGTGCGAACCCTCATGCATCGCGCTGCGCATCGCTCGAACAATTGCGAAGTTCATATTGTACGACAGCCAATAACGCTGTTCCAGCTCGCTTCCCTCGACCTTATCACGAGCGCCGTAACAGTCGGACACGTGCTCTCTGCTTACGGTGAGCAACAGAGCGTGTTGATGGAGCAGTTCGCCTCCAACGCCGACAACGCAACAGCATTTGCCTGCACCGTACACTCTTACACGCTGATAGAACTTTGGATAGGAAGTCACTGCCTCTGCACACGTTTACACGTGCGCGTGTTGCGCAAGTACGACCATATGCACGTACAGTACCTTAGGCTGCCCAGATGAGCAAGTGCTCCTCGGAACTCGGCCATTTCAGTATCAGTCTTGGACGATTATCACGCCCAGACCTTCCTCTGATAAGGTCCAGTTCGCACTGCCCCGAGCCAGCTGCAGTAGCTCGCCTTCCAGGCGATCTGTACGCATGTGGGTCACCGTAGGGCGCGTCCACGATAGCGGTACTGTGCACGCGGCTTTGTCTCTTTCACGACAGCGCGAGTCCATCGTCAAGTCACCATTCCCGCACGTTTTCGAAGGCAACTAGCTCTTCTTCTGCTCGACTATGCCTAAGTTGTCAGTGTAGGTCACGCTCACAGGTGCACAAATTACCACCTTAAGACCGGAGATCGCGGCTTATTCTCAACGCGCTCCTCGCGGAGATCCTATCGTATGCGATCGTCCTGCTTAATCAGTGTTATTGAAAAGGCGGACGTCTATACGAGATCTCCCAAGCGCCTGGAGCATCCGAAAGCTCGGCGGGCGAATCCGACCGGCACATTGGCAAATACCAACACGTTCCCAGTCTGTCGAGCAAGCGTACGCAAAATGTTGCGAGCCCATGTATCCACACCTGTGCGGCTCAAGTAATCACAGCAGCGTTTAACTAATACGAGACACCCCGATGCGTAGATCAATCAGATTTCAGCTGACTTGTGGCGTTCTTGCTGATAGGCCAGTTTAAATTGCGCGCGGTGGTTGTTGGGCAGCAAGTACCGAAAGGTCTATGTCTTTCCAGTATATCTTAGTGACCAATTATAGATTCCAAGAGAAGCGACCATCACTGAGTAGCCTAACACAGAATCACCCCCCTTCCTCCAACCCTCACTATCTTCCCGCTGCTACAGAGGCATCTTCTGATAGCTCTGAGCTACTGTCGTTCTTTCCAACACGCAATAGATGTGAACTGCTTGGCATTGGTGGAACCATCTCCCCTCGGAAGGGAACTCCCTGCTCTTTTCTCCATCGCTAAGTCGACTAAGACTGCGATTATTCGATCCGATTGTATCTTCAAGGATGTCGGGGATCTTCACCATTGGTTTTTTCTCGCCTGGTTGCTTGTTTAGGATATAGACACTTGAGTCGGACGATGACGATACTGCCGTCTGTTAGCACTCGTTCCGACGTCGAGGTGCCTGATCAAGTCAACCTACTCCTCGAATGCAATGTCGGTGGTGCACGAGATCCAGCTGCTAGATCATGTACGGCTCCACGAAGTGGCGCCGACGTCATATACTGTGTCGACGCTTCACTGTCTGGGGCACGCTCCGCTTTTGACATGAGCTGCAGCTTTCCCTGACGGATCTGTTTGAGAGCGCAGAGGCATGGTGGTACCGCAAGAGCTAGAGCCAAAAAGCCGATGATCAGGCCGCAGATTGCCGCTGGGTCCCAGCGAGTTGGGTCTGTGCCCAAATGTTCTGGGATAGTAGATGGTGTGGCGGTCGGTGTGGCTGCCGTTGTTGCGGCTGCTTCAAGTGCGGACGAGTGGTCGGCAATATACATGACTACGAGCAAAGAAGAGCCAGCGATCAACGATTCAGAACTCACGCTCAGCATGAGCACGAATCTTAGTATGCGAGCAACCATTCTTCAACATGCTGTGCGAAACCGATTTCAATGCCGAAGACGATGGAAATGCTTTTCAAAAAGGCTTAGCGCGAAATCGATTCTACGTCTTTCCAACCCTCGGCCGCAACAACAATATGAAGTTTCAGCCTCGCACTCACGATGTCACTCCCGAAACAATTAGGTTTATTGCTCGAACGGTATCAACGACACAAATGGAAGACCCGCAGCTATCAGATGACTCCCTCTTGCTTCAACTGTCAACCGTCGAACGGGGCCAGAGTCCCTCGATCGGCAGCCGCGCAACCTGCTTTAGGTCCTCCATGAATCTTGTTCTCCATCTGACGTAGTACCTTCAGTATGTTATGAGCGCCTACGTGACATAAGGGTTCTCTTTGTCTCCCGAGGACGGTAATGACACGGGACGAGATCACGATACTACAAATCCGAGAGCGATAAAAAAACCAGCATCGTACCTTTGATACTGAACAGCCAGGAAAGAGCTTCTCCAGATCACGTGCCACCGGTTGTGCAGGTGGTGTAGAAGAAACACGGAAGGAGTCCGCGCCAAAAACGGCTAGCGCAAAACCGATTCGATGCTTTTCCATGACAGCTCAGCCTCGCATGCTGCAATCAACAAGATGAACTCAGTTTGGCCACAATTCCGTCACAATAATTCACTCGTTACCGTAGCACTAGGCGGATCAGTACCACACTCAATTTCCAAGCCTCACCATGGATCATCAGCTTCAGCAACTACGTCAATGGCTCACACCAAGGGATGGACCTTCGGATCCTGAGGAGCCTGACCACCTTGTGCATCTCTATGACACCGCCGAAGCTACCGACCCTCCTCCGTTGAATGGCTGCATCAACCCGCGCTATCTCTTCGCTCAGACCGCATCCTCAGGGCTTGTTCAAGAATTACCGACACGGCCCTCTAGGTATACCAAATTTATCGAGGAGCCAACTTCTGGCGCTAGAAGTCTCAAGAGGGTTTCTCCTAGCGCAAGAGAATTAGACACAGATCTGCCCAACCTACAAGGTCTCTACACAAGCGATACACCGACTGAGGTTATTAACGTGAAGAAAGGCGACAAGGCCTGCCACTACTGTGGAAAATGCTTCGTAGGAGGGGCTGCTGCAGTGCGGAAGGTGGGAGCATCAATCCATATTGGGACATAAATTGACTCAACCAGCATATCAAAAGTATTCACATCGAAAAGGGCAAAATGCATGGCAAGATACTTTGTTCAAGCCCTGGTCGGTCGAAGAAGACGACGACTAAGGATGAAGCATCAATCAAAACCAGACACACGCAGCGCGGACTGGCGAAGAGGCAGCCTCGCTCAGTCGGTCCCACGAAATCATCCGGCTCATCCTACGCTACAAGCACGGAACTCCGCGAGCTACAAGACGATATACTGACACTACAGCAAGTAGTTAGCGCGCTAGACGCTCAAAGGAGGATGCTCGCTCAACAACACAAGGAAGTCGCCCTTTTAATCAACAGACGACGAGAAAGGCATCATGCTGTGATCCAGGCCCGAGAAGACCATTTCTTCCTCCAATGCGGCGGAGATGAGTTCTTGTTACATACCACGACGTTCCAATCCAAGCTTCATATTACTGGAGAGATAGCTGAATTCTCGTTCCCAACGATCAGTTATAAAGTACACAAACATGGTTTACCCTTCCGACTCTCAGTACCACTTAACGATAGTACTGTCGATCTTCAAGCATATACATCTTGTCATGATTACTTGAAGTGCAATCTCATCAACATCAAGACCACTACCTTAGTGAGGAACCCTGATGACGATGAGCCGGTATTCACCGTTCACGAATCAATACAGTGAGTAACGTATATACCAATTCCAGTATCTAAGTCTCGATGTAGCAACACCGAAGCGCACGAGACCGATGTACACTGACAGAACTGACGTGTCCTGTAAGAACTTTTCATATGCGGCACACACCGTGTCCACTGCAGCCTCTGCCCATAACAGACTCCATAGACGCTGTCCACCTTATATGCGGCCTGAATACGCTGGTTTGTCCGTGTTGTTACAACAAAAGCGGACGAACACGCGGCAGCGAGGTTGTACGGTAAATGTGGAGTTACATGTATTTATCGTCGCATATAGCTATGTATACAAGCTAAGTGGTCATTGAGATTCAAAATTGAGCGGAGTCAGGAATTCACTCCCTTCCTTTCCATGACCTCTGCAGCCGATTCAGCATCATAACGATGAGGGCACTCACTCCAGTTCTCTAACTGGCAGCTCACTGGTATGCATCCGCATCTGTCGAAGTGTTCTTGGCTCACGTCGTCGACGTTTTCCACAATGTTTCCAATATGCATATCAGCATCGCTTCTCAGGTTTCCGTCTGTCGCCTAAAGAACACTAGAAGGGCACGTCCCGTGAAAGTCGATGATTATTTGCATGTGCATGACGAAGACTTGGAGGTTACGAACGGCACGCACATTACTAGTATTGAACTAATCGCGCCCCGCATCTCCATCTTCCCGGAACTTTAAATACCCCGCAAACTCCACTTGCAGTCGCATGCTGCTCGTATAAAGCCGTGCAAAGATGAAAGTGCTCACAACGAACCATGACCACTTTACCCGAGCCGTCGACCCGTTCCTGATTTCCAACTGCACCTTCTAGAAATTACGTAGACAAAGGAAACAGACCATGCCCACAAAGCCTACGATCCTCTTCGTCCCTGGCGCATGGCACGTCCCAGAGAGCTACGACCTTGTCGCTGAGCAGCTCAAGGCCGCAGGCTACCCGACCGTCTACGTCTCCTTGCCGTCAGTATCCTCAACGCCAATTGACAATTTCGAACCAGACGTCGACGCGATCCGGGCCCAACTCGAGCCTCTCGTCGAAGCAGGCTCTGACGTAGTCGTAGTCGCACATTCCTACGGCAGCATGCCGACCAACGAAGCCATCAAAGGACTTACTCGCGCCGACCGTGCAGCCGCCGGTGGAAAGGGCGGCGTGGCGCACTACGTCTTCTGCTCGGCCTTCATCACGCCTGTGGGCGTGTCACTCATGGATGCGCTGCAAGGCAAAGATTTGCCATGGTTCATCGTATCGCCCGACAAAAAGGTTGTGCACCCGGATAATCCACGGGATATCTTTTATGCGGATTTGGATGATGCCACTGCTACACGGTGGGTTGAGAGGCTGTTGCCGTTCAGTTATCAGACGTACTTCAGCAAGACGAGGTATGCGGCGTATGTGGACGTGCCGAGCACGTTTCTTTTTTGTACAGATGACAAGGCGATCCCGCCTCCTGTGCAGGAAATGATGGTTGCCGGTGCCGAACAGCAGGGTGTCAAGTTTGCGCGGACGACGATAGGAGCGAGCCATTCACCTATGATTAGCCGGCCTGGCGAGGTTTTTGAGGCGATTAAGACGGCGGCCGATTCAATTGCCACTCGAGACACAATCAATGTATAGCATGTTCTCCAAGTCAGTCGACCGCTGGATCTCTTTTGTCTAGCGCGCTCACGGTCATCTAAGTGTGTTGCAATGTGTAGAGCACCTACAACAGGCTAAAGCTCACTTTGCCTCTAAGGTTCTTAAAAGAGTGAGTCCTACAGAAGGCTGCTGAGCTTCGACTCGATCATCTTATACCACCGACCTCGAATCAAATCCTGTCAACAGTTGAAAGCTTCTCTAGACCAGGTGACATCAGTTGTAAACGCAGAAGAGCACGGTAGAAATGTCCGCCGGACAGGGTTAGCGCAAACCCAATTTGATATCTTTTCATGCACTGACAGCTCAGCCTCATGTGCTCTGCAGACGATAAAACAACAATACATTGAACGGATGTTTCGAGTTCTACTTCTCCAGATCTGCAACACGACACGAACTGATGTTTCGATCTGGAAAACGAAATGGACTAGCAGCTCTAGCGTTCGAATCCCTGGCCTATGCCAATGCCTTTTTGTTAGCTAATTCTAGAAGCCTTTGATAACTCGATAGCAACGACTAAGAGTTCACTAATCCACCATAGAATGACTGCCTGGACCTGCGTCAGTCCTTTACTTCAGCGGCGGCTTCACCAGAATCAGTACAGGAAATAGCGAAGCTTCCTTCTCAGTATCCCGAACCCAATGATGAGGATTTTATTGTTCACGACGCACTAGGCTTTGACGTTGAGATGAGCCTAGGCGTACAACACCTCGACGTCAGCATAGGCGTATCTGGCGCGACAAGTTTTCGACCGCTTGTGTACAGTGATGCACCGATTGCTGCGGATCTGTCTACTCTGGAAAGTGCCAATAGTATTTGTCCACTTCCAGGAGACATCGACGTAAAGAAAGGCGAAGATACATGCCTATCATGCCGGAAACATCATACAGGGGGGGCTGCTGCTGTGAGAAAGGCTGTCGAAAATAGTCTATATAAGGGTTCATACTTACTGAGTTAGCAAATTGATACTACCCAAATGCAGAAGGTCATAATAAACGTCAAGATAATCAAGTCAAGCCCTGGTCGAGCAAAGACAGTGTCGGCCAAGCATGGGGCGCTGATTAAGAAAGCACGCAAAAGTGTCAGATTTTCCGTGGCCTATGCAACTATCAAGGAACTCTGCGAGCTTAGGATTAAGCTGCTCTTTCTATAGCAAGTAGCAAAGGTACTAGAAACCGAAAGGAGGATTCTAACTCATAAGCACGACGAAACCACCCGTTTATTAGCCGAAAGACGAACACGTTCCATTTAGTCGTTGATTTTGGCAAAATCCATTTCACTATCAGATGCAGCAACTACGATTTCTTATTGCAGACCCCTTCTGTCCAAACCATGATTCATGCAACAGAAGAATCTGCTCCAGCTGTTTGGTTCTACGGAAGGCCAATATAGACTCATCGTTGCGTTCTTTGTCGAACTTAGGCTTTAAATAGGTTATGTAGATTACTGCGAACTGGGCAGAGGCCCTCCGGGAAAGTGGAGGTTTTTATGTCTCTGGTCCAACAGATGGTGAGTCATGTGTATCCTGCATCCAGTCGTAGCCTTTCTTTGTAAAACAACATTGACTATACGAACTCCAGTCCTTATTTATCGAGGTAACGAGCTATTAAGATTCACTCCAAGAGTTGATTTGGCATGATACTGGGACCTTGCTACGGGTCGAATACAGCCCAGAAACGCATCTAAACCTCGGAATCCGGTGTTCAGTATCACAAGCCCTTCCGAAATTCATCTAGCGTCACAAAGGTCATAGAAAGTACCCCAGCGGACGGCGAGTACAAAACGTACGGACACGTCGTGACGTTCGCAGAATCGACGTGTTCTTATATTGGGTTTTAGGCGGAAGAAGAATAACCAAGCAGGAGTTCCATCCCTGTGCGCGTCCCACTAGAAACAATAACGAAAACATCAAAGATGCGAGACACAAGATTGCAAGGTGACGCAGATGCATAATTCCGTTTCTTTCGTAGGATGATCGATAGCGTCGTGAAAGAACCTCGTGGAGAAACGCCATGGATAATCGCGAGCGCGCCGGCTCGCATCTGTCCAGTACGCCGCTCCATATCCAAACCGAGATGCTCTAGGCCGAGAATTGGGACAACACCATCACTCCGATCTCGGATTGATGGAAGAATTTTTCTATACGATCTTCGTCGGAGTCGTACTCAACCTCGAATTGATCGATCTCATCTTCTTCAAGCTCCTCCTTATCCATAACTTCTCCACCGTATTCTCTATCCTTGTTGCTATCCTTTTCAAGAACTTCGGGAGGATTATCGAGCCAATGCTACCTCCACTTGGTTGAGCGATCCCATTCATCAACATTGTCAACTCACACACCAAAGCTCTCGTTGTGTAACATCCCAAGAAACGATACCTCCATGGCAACAATCTCGTCGTTGAGGAGCCTCCGCCTAAAGCCATGCCAGCCCCTTTGCAAACCGGACACCCTATACCTTGCAGCTTCGTACCCTTTTCTCACATCGTCTTTCGCGATTGAAATCCTATAATCGTACTTTCCTTGCGTCGCGAGGGTGACTTTCCATGGGGCAGTAGGGGCATTTGAAGCGCGTGCCTTTCGAGATGCGGTCAAGGGATTCTTGTGCTATGACGTGGCCGCAGGGCATCATCATGGGCGGGTTGGCGTCGGTGGATTGCTCTTTGGAGACAGGGCAGACGAAAATCGAGTGGAAGTGGTAGGTCGGTGGGAGGGGTATCTCGACCTGTTCATCCATGTTAGCGACGTTCCTCGAGAGATTGGTTCATAGACTCACCGGAAGCTCGTTCTGCGTTGTCCACTCTGTGCGCGTCTTCTCCATGATATTCTGCAGCTTCAATAGATGCGGAAGAGCTATAGCGCCAGCCGTGGCGGCGATGTACAGCGGCGAGTCGGCCGAGAGTCCGAGCAGTGAGCAGAACTCGCGAGTAAAGGAGGTAGCGACTTCTTCCCATGCTGTGTTGTTGTAAAAGAATCTCCGGTATGGCGAGTCCACAACGTTCTGCCAGTATGCCATGGCACCTATTAGTTGTTGGATCTCATGTGAGTATCTCCCTCTGAAGTGCGCAAACTCGCGCCGTGCGTATCTGTATGCTGCCAGCGGGCCTTGTGGATCTTCTTCCATAGGCTCATCCTCGTTGTGCTTTAGCCCGTGACCCACGAACAAACACACGAATTGCAGCCTGCACAATTCGAATTCCAAATTGCTCCCTCGCGCTTCTAATAAATCGCTTCGCTGCCGTGCCCACCGTATAGCCGGCTCAAGGTTCCTCTCTTGTCGCAGCTCGTGTAGTATGAGGTACATCTCCTGGAACTGTCCTTGAAGCTTCTCTGAATTGAAAGCCTCCTCTGCTAGATCCGTTTCCCAAGAATTATTCATCGAAGGGTTCGGTGTGCTGGCGGTGGGTTCGGGACGCGGAGGGTTGCGGTGCGCTTCTTGGATAAAGGTAGACGCTACCGAGAACTCGCCTTCGCGGAGCAAGTGCATGGAGATGGCGCGATTGACGAGCTGCGGGTGCGAAGAAAGCGCATCGTTGGAGGCGGATGGGATGGGCTTGTCTTTGAACTTCTGTTTTCATATCAGTCCTCGCATGTTGTTACGACGTGCGGACTCAACGCACCTTGTCCAGAGCTTTGCCATATTTGTTCAGGCCAGAATATATAGGCTTGATGTCTTTCTGCGCTTGTTCGAGGCTCCTCTTCACAGGATCTTGGAGCTTCGCGAGGGTCAATGGTGCTGTCTGCGGGTCTACACGGCCATGATTAGGCAGTGCTCATAGTTCAGAGACGCGAACCGGGCACGCACCTGCAGCGATCTTATCCCGAGCTGTGGTGAGCAGATCGATGACGTTCTGGACATCGTTGATGCTCGCCGAGAGGTTTGCCGACTTCTCCAGCACGTCTAACTGCTCCAGCAGCTCGTGCATGCCCGTCGGTGGCGGTGGCGCCATGATTCAGCGAGGGATGTGACTATAAGCGAAAGGTATTAAGAGTGCGCAGGGCAGTGGAAGTGGTCCAGTAGTGAATAGAAGATCAGAGAGCCCGCCCATGGCGTGGTGGTGAGGGCGCCGGTATGGGGTCGTGTTGGTAGAGCTCGGAGATCGGAGCAGGGATGTTGGCGTGTGACGTGTGGGGGAGACAGGAAGGCGCGACCGCAACCACAGCTCCGCGCCGACCCGTCTTTAGCTTCGCTCATCTTCGACCAAATGCTTATTGACTTCGCGAATCATGCATAGCGCTCCGCTCCTACTCAGTCGCCATATTACGTTCTGCCACCGGCTTCCTGAAGGACGCCGCGGTCTTACGTCGGAGCTTGCGCGCGCATCATGAAGCAGTTGCCACTCCTACGCAAGGACAACTCGAGAAGAGAGCAACGACACCTAGCTTGTGACTGCAAGCAAACGCCGACATGTCGTATAATCTGCCAACTATGACCGCAGCAACGCGCGACATGGACAAAGAGAGGGAAAGGGAGAAGGATCACCGCAGACGACCGCCTACATCTTCGCCCATCGACACCGAGCCCGCTTCCGTTGCGCCAGCTTTCAAGCACATGAAATCGAACACTCCCGATCTATCCAGAGCAACCACAGCCATCGACGACGACGCTACGCAGTTGGCTTCTACAAGCCACCAACGCTTCGTCTTGACCGACAACGTAGCCGCTCGATACTTAGAGGAAGATGCCGCTACGCAGGTGCTGTCTCGCCGCGAGAAGCTTGAGGGATACGAGATATATCTGGTGGAGCAGTGGGCATGCTCGCGCATCCACCCAACCTTCATCATCACCAACTATACTGGAGATCCGAAGGATGTCGTTTACGGATACGTGCTTAGCGTGCCCAAAGACGAGACACAGTGGTCGCCGCAGCTGAGAACCTATTTTAGAGCTTTGGATGAGTTTCATGCGCGAAGAAGAGAGACAAGCTTGGGAACAATCATGGTTACGAATCTAAGCAGTTTCCCCTCCTCTCTAACCATCATTCCCATACCAGACGGCGATCTGAAGAAGAACCGAGAGTACTTCTTTGTGAATGAGAATCTTAAAAGGCTTGGGTGCTCTGGTCGTACTGGAATCAAGCTTGCCCCAGCGAGTGGTGCCACGCAGGCAAAGTTCCACCAACTCTACCGGACCAGCGACAAAATTTCCCTAAACAGCTCCGTCATCGAGTTGGTGAAGCTGTGTCAGGTCGCACTAGTGCTCTTTGGCAAGCTCGAGCCCGAGTATGCAGATGGTTTGTTGTGTGATGTGACGGAAAAGGCGATCAACGACTGGTGGGTCGAGTTTGGCAATGAGTACTACACAGTGGAGCCACACGACGGTGTCCTTGGCCCTACAACTGTCGCTGCCCTGCTTGGCATGCTTATGGGTGCACGTAACAGATTGCGAGCCTACAATGCACCTGTTTCTAAAGACGTATTCGACATTGAGAGTACCCGCCGAGGCATCTCCTACTTTCAGAAGGATCAGAGGATTGCGAAGACTCGTCAGCTTGACCGGCAAACTCTGGAGAGACTGCGCCGTGCAACCGCTAAAGCTGCAAGCAAAGAGAGTTGGGCGGTACCGCGGGCATTCAAAGGTGCAGTAGCCGAACTTGGAGGGAAGGGCGGCGAAATGGTCATGGGCATGGTAGGAGCAGGCGAAAAGGCCGGAATCGCCGACATCGAAACCACAGACATCGACCGCTTCGTCGAGCTTGTATCCGGAGAGCGCGCGAAATGGCTATGGCATGGAAAACCTCGCAAGACGGGAAGTGGCGACATGTTCAGCCGCCTGCCTCGAGAAGAACGGTCGCCCTCACCTGAAGATCGAGGCTCAACGCATATTGCGGGCCTCATCAAAAGAGAGTCGACGCTCGAAGGCCATAGCTTCTCAGCACGCGATAGTCGAGACGTTAAGCGCACCGATTCTCATCTGACAGTCGACAGTTATGACAAAGAGAAAGACCCCAACTCAAAGCGCGCAGCCATAAAACGAGCTACAGAGAGAATCGAGACAGGTAGTGGTTTTCATCGCATCAAGGATGTGGTTGGCCGGCGCAATCACCAACCCAAACCCTCAAAAGATGAGTCGCACCGCGACTCATTACATCTACAACATACCAAGTCAGACCTTTGGCATCCGGACTCTCAGAGCGCAAATGGAAACACTACGCCAAAGATAACAGAATCCAAACAGAATCACAACTTACGACGAGAAGCTCTAGTTGCACGTCGAACGGTGAGCAATCACGGTCCAACAATTACAAAGGCTCTGACCGAAACACCGACTGCATCAGCTAGCAATCTCGACTTGAGTCGTATGAGCAGATTTCAGTTGGATGGCGCCCATGAATCGACAGCAACGACGGCAGCAGACAACCAGAACGCATCCAAGCCGCATACCGCTGAGCCCTCTATAGCAGGTTCCATCTACCACGGCATCGATCTCAACGACAAGCTTCCCATCGACGAAACCCAGGACATTCCTCCATTGCTTCGCCGTACCCAGAGCTCCGATCAACTCGATCCCTACCACCGGACGCACCGCAATGACGATTGGTGGCCGCGGCATCTTTCCTTCAGCATTGCAGAGGAAAGCGTATTACGGTGGAAAAACGCGGTGGCACTTGATCCTATAAACCCAGACCAAAAGCAGGAACTCCCGGAGGCATTGGCTACTACTACGCTAGTCAGCGAGGAAGCGAAGAGATTACATCACAAGCTCGCTCTTCTATCCTCCCTCGATGCGCAATGGGCCACGTCGCACATCTCTACTATAACATCCTTGGATTCTGCTGCCGAGCAAGACGCCATGCAGCTCGACACGCTGTACTATCCAGCGCTCGAAAGCTATCAATCCCTACGTGAAGATGCGCATGAGATCATATCGGGTAATCGCGCGATCCTGCAGGAGCAAGTCAGGGATCTGACTATGTTGAGCGACAAGCTGGACTACGAGGTCGGAAGTCTAAGGAGTAAGGTGGACGATGTAGAGGACGGCGTAGAAGAATTAGAGCGCCTTGTCGAAAGCCTAGAGAGCAGGGTAGACGAAGTCGAAGGCGTGCTTGGCGGGCACAAAGAAGGTTGGCTTGGATGGGCATTACGAATGGTTACAGGGCTTTGAGACGGTGAAGATGTTCACGAATATCCCTAGTTTGTCGGGAGCGTGGAGTTGCAGGATTAATGTCGACTTTCGTGGCAAGTTGCATGTAGAGCACTGCTGTGCATTTTGTTGAACATATACTATTATCAGAAAATGCTACCGCCTTGAGACCAACACCCACCGTATGTCTAGGGATTGGTCAAGAGCCAGCTCGACCCCTAGCACATTCGGCATGGCACCCTCGTTTTCCACTCTGGTGAAAGGTAGCCCGCCCATTATTTGCGCTGATGCAGCAAGCCTTATAAAAAAATTCACGACGCCAATTTCGACCTCAACGGTATCGTCTCATCTCCAGTTCCAAAACTTCGATTGGTTCCCGCACCTCCACTTCGTTTGAGGTCACGGCCCTCAGGAAACGGTTCACATTCCGCCTTCTGTGAGTAAGTACTGACACTTCATCAATGCTCGTGCACAGTCAATCAAACATAGATCTGATAGCAAAGTTTTAGCTGAGCGAGCTACAAGGTATCCGGTCGACATGGCATCAGCCTTCATCTTAGCGCTCCTCACTGTCACCACGATGCGCGCGTTGGTTGCTCCTACTTCTCCGGGCAGCTCAACACTACTGTCGCGTCTCCCAAACTCTCCAATGGTGTCTCCGGGTCTAGACTTGGTCTTAAAACCAACGTGAGCGCTAATGTTATGCCCAACGGCACGATTGTCATTGCAATGGGCGAGGTCACACCTGGGGTAGCATCATCGTGACATCGACATTGAACTTCAAAATGGACACGCACCTGTGAGGTAGTTATGCCCCTTGAACCAGCGTAAGTCTGGATATGGGTCTCATCTGATGGATGTTGCAACTGATGTCAGTCAAAGGGGCTCGTATTTCCAGCTTCCTGAAAAACTGTATGTGGGTATTTGCTGTGGTGATTGAAGATACCAGGAAGCGTATCAAGATGGTTCTTGTCACATTCTTCTCTTCTCTAAATTGAAGCCATACCTCACCACGCATCGTTCGAGGTATCTCTTCGGATGTGTATGTGTAAATTCACCCTTTCACTATTACGTCCATTTGCAGCGTGATGCTCATACCAGGTGAAGAACCTCAACGCTCGAAACGCACCCATTCCGCCTCCCAGTGCTAAACATAAGCGATTCACAATAATTGGGAGTCCCGTGCGCTGTCCCCACGGTGGCTCTCTGTATAGTACAACTGCTTCCGCCGAAGCTTTGACATAACCCATCTGCCCCAAAGCTCTTGCCTCAACCGTACTTGCTACTGTACTTCCCCTTTGGGTTATTGAGCGAAGCTTTGCCGAAGCGAAGCCTAACTCCTGGTTTATGAAACTTCTGTCGCCTTCTTCCAAGTTACCACATCAATGCATCCGCACCTCACCTTTGGCTTCAGCTCGACACACATGAACCATCGTCAGCGTCAAGTATTGCGTAGCATCATAGAACTCCAGACATGCTTTGAAGAAGCTAGCCGTCCTTGCTGCGCAATTAACTTTCCCGTTTCTATAAATCTACTCATCTACCCAAATGTACCCACGCAGACCTCCACGCCATCGGTCCGATCTCACTTGTTGGCCCCCACATTTCAGGGGGGAAAGCTTTGTCGACTATTCCTGCAACACGACATTACCGTTGGGCATAGCTTGCATAATATCCTGAAGTCAGTATCTGAAGAGTTAGGCACGTGTATAATCATTTGACGGAGTTCATTCGTAATTTTTCAGAAGTTGACCAGAAGACTACACCACACCAAGTTTTCCAACGCATCATGTCGACCATTCTACCAAACGATCCAGCTTCTCATTCAAAGCCTTCGGAAACCCTAGATCAATGTCCACTATCGCCCAGGGAAGATCAGCCTGTCCGTCCAGAACCAATTCCCCTCTACTTAAGTAATTATTCCGAGCTTAATAATGCTTATAGCTTCCGTATCTACCGGACCACATCCGGTGATGACGAGAAGTGGAACCGGTTTAAGGCCTATTTGAAAGACAATGTGGAGCGAAGTCTGGGGAGAGACGAGAAGTGCGAACATCAACTCCCACGAGTAGACTGGACGGTGCAGTCAATCCCAGATCTGCAAGATGCTAACGTCAATCAAGCGCGGAAGTAAGTCATCTCACAAACATAGCTTCGTACCGCCTTCCCGACTTCTCGCTACGAGACTAAACTATGTGTAGTCAATTTTTGGAGTGGATTGCTTCCGGTGAAGAACAACCTGACAACAGCTCACGCTTCCTCGCTTGCGTTGTAGTCGATGACGATAGCTTTGAATCAGTCATAGGGATGGTGGAGTTTCTAGAAGAGGAGGGTCTATCATTGGATGATGATGACGAAGAGGGCACAGCCTCCATCCAGTACCCCCTCCTCCCTAAGAGTCTTTTTCTCAATCTCGAACCATCCGATCTCTTTACACACTTTCTTAACCATCCTATACGCAGGTCCATTGACAAGACGCTTCTATTTCATAGGTTTGAAATAGTTCCTAAGCCTGGTTTTAACCTCGTGAACTGTTGCGCTTACAGCAAAGCTGTCATTGCAATAATTACGGCCGGAATTACATATGTTTTGGTCGCGTAGTGCTTAGTAGTGCAACAGACGCGGGTTTTCAGTTGCATTAGGCTTAGAAGTGAGTGGGTGAGATTGGGCGTGTAACTTGTGTTGTATGCGGGTTAATCTATTATCGCTGGCATTTCAGAGTTCCTCTGCCACCTTTCCATGGTATGAATACCCCTCTTGTAGCACAATAGATACTACAAATATAGTGCCTAACTACACCTGCTCTAATAGTAAACATTGTTACTGCATGTCACCTTTTCCACATTTTTTCAGTGGGTGGTGAGCCACGTCTTTGTGGAGAGCACCGATAAGAGGTGTAGTGTGGAACACGTAGTTTGCAGACTGACAATTAGCTGAGAGTTTGTTAAGGTAATTTGTTTTATAGGTAGTTAGTTAACTTCGTGGAAACCAAAACTAAGCATTATGGGGGATAGAGTGCAGCAAAGTATGCTAGAATGTTCAACTAAGAAATCCAAGTTCACGTCCAGTCCGCAGTAAGTATCTTCTAGAAGGCGCTTTCTTTCATATTGACGAGACAAAGACTACACAGCTAGACATGGATTTACACTCTTTGTGCTTGAAACCCTAGCTCAAGCCGTCGATTCTGTCATGCATATACCCTGACCTCATCCCTGATCTACCATTCCCACCTCCCACCCATCTTGCCCTTCTCCCTAGAGCTGCAACGGAAACGTCTTTCTTATTGAAACCGTCTCTTTCCAGCGTCTTCCCCCACTAACGGTGGTCATCAAGTGGTATACTAATTTTTGACACCCGAGATGGTGATGAAGTGCAGGTATCTGAACTGAAAGTGCAGCTAGACATAATGCTCCGAAAGTGGTGTGACGGGGCAGCTACTGTCGCGTGGGTAGTGTATGGGTAGTTGTAATGCTGTACGTGCCGCAAAGCGACCACACTGATTGATTATATGCTGGATAACCTTAGACAGATGACGCGGGACAGACAGCGGAAATAAGACCGCTAATGTGCGTTTGATATTGCAGCGTGATCTGTGCACTGAGATGAGGTGTTACATGATCATGAGACAGGGTACGAAACTGTGACTGCTGTGCCAGACATCAAAAGATCTCACTCTCAAGTATGACAGAAGGATCTTCCAATGTCTAGGTATGAATAACACGTGGGGACATGGCCTTGCTCGGTCATCGCATACTTGTAGAGCAACACGAATATAGGCAGACACAGCAAAACGTAGAAACTATCCAAGTTATTCCATTCACGTCTCTCACTGCCTTCTCTCAGTTTCCAAATGCGCCACATGCACTTGTGTCTCTCACCTTCCAGCCGGCGTCCCTCACTCTCTCAGCGTGTGATCCACATTTCCTTCGTATAAAGCAAGTCGATATACCGCTGAAGCCTACCTCACAGTCCACTTCCAATCCAACCACAATCACTACGACGGCCATTGCACCACCCTCCACCACCCTCCCGTCAGTCCATGTCCCCCAGGCCCGCTCAAGATGTTTGATCGAACAGTCGATCTCCACGTTGACAATGATTTCGTTGCCCGTATTCCCCTCACTACGACCGTCTACAGAGCTAGGGCCTTAATCGAGGCGTACATAGCGACGTTCGAGGGCGGAGAGCACTTGGCCAATCGGCCCGTAGAGAAGATTGGGTATAGGGCGGGCAGTCGGCCAAGGTGGTTCAATCAGACGAAGACGTTAGCAGAGGTGGGAGTGGTGAGCGGGGGATTTGATATTTGCGTGATGTTAGCAAAGAAGAGGGAGGGTCCTGAAGCATGGGGTGTGGGAAGGGGATCAGGAGGAGTGGGGGGATAAGGGGAAGATAGGAATGGGCGGTTTGTGGTATTATTGCGGTTACGGGGTATGTAGTTGTATTGTGAAGGTCTGTCTTTTCGTCACGGGCTAGGAATAACGCAGTCACCCTGTGAAGCGGATTCGATGCATTCTTCTTCCCCAGTTGCTGTATCCGCCGATATCGAAGGAGAGGATCGGGACTTGATATTGTTGAATAATGTGAAGCCAGACAAAGTCGTGATTCCCAACCTAGGGTATACGTAAAACATATCCGAACCGTGAACGCCATCATCTTCCTACCCAATGCCGCTAAAGTGATACAACAGACAAACTGTAGCCTATATCAAGCTGAAAATCATCGATCAACCGACCATCACTTTCCACCATAGTCCGCTTCGAGATGTGCCCATTCGGGAATCTCTCTGATCTTACTCCACATGTATTTCTCCAACCGGTTCGCTGCCTTGGCATACGGAGTACTCTCGTTGTTGTACTTCCTGCAGTTGTCGAAGACCAACTTGGCATCGCGAACGAAGTCATCCGGCGTGGGATATAAATCCTTCTCGTGCTTCTCTTCCATGGTCGCCAAATCCATTGGCTCCTTGATTACATCGTAGTAGTCGAGGACCTCATCCTTGTTGACCGGTTGTTGGAAAGGCCATGCGTTACTATTATTTTGCAGGTCGTTGAGCAGGTGAAGCAGTTGGTTGTAATTGGGACCGTGACGGGGTGCACGAGCAAGCTCGTCCATGGCGGGAGACCACCCAGAGCGTTTTATCGCGGCGATGGTGAGGGGATCGATTTTGGTAAGGCCGTTCTTCCATTGAGTGGGTGGTGCGTGAACTTCGAAGGATTTGGAGACACTACGAATCTTGACATTGACGCATTCTTTCTGCTTGAGGAGCATGCGGCCGGATTCGAGGTAGCGGATCTTGGGCACCATGCTGCATTGCATGATGGTGCCACCCTCGTAATCTTTGATGTAACCCATCCAGCGTGACTTCTCAAGTGTAATCTCCTTGGTGAAGCCTTGTTTCTTGAAGTAGCCGATGGCATAATTGTCGGCGTAGGTCAAGAAGTGCATGACGTCCGAGGTGGCTTTGACATAGTCTTTGAGGTGGGACATCAAGTGGGCGCCGTAGCCTTTGACTTGTTGATCTGAGGAGATAGCGCAGAAGACAATTTCGGCGAATTGGCGGCCGTGGAAAGGGCGGTACGTTATGCCTCTGCATTGTGTTAGTACGCGTCCATATCTCAGAACAAGACCTCGAGCGCCGCCTGCTCCCCGACAACGGATAATGCAGATGTCGAATCTACTCAAGATCATGCGCCATGGCAGTGGCACAGACATACCCCACAACTTCTAGAGGCTTCTTCACAATTGCTATACTCAAGTGCGTTCGATCGTACACTAGACGTGCAATATAATCCTTCGGCATCTTAGGCAACTGTTTCTGGAATATGCACTTGAGGCCCGTGAGGATGATGGTGCTTTCCCTCTTGCCATCATTGTTGACCACTCTGAATTCAATTTCGCCAGTCTTTTCCTCGATGACAGCGGGCTTCTCCGGGAAAGGTATTAGCTTCTTCGGCTGTGGCGGGGCTTCGTCGGGCGTCTCGCTATCTTGTTTCGGTCGCTTGGAAGGAGAGTCTGGGTTAAGGGGCGCGGCGGCCTTGCGCTTGGCTGGAGAAGAGAAGGCATTGTTAGCAGATAGTTCGCTGGGGAGGACATGGGGTGACAACGGAGTGGGTTGACGAGCTCTGAGTATGCTGAGGGGAATCTCGGGCGACGTGGAAGGTGAAAGAGCTTTTTGAATCTTCAAGGGAGTCTCTGGCGACGATGACGGAGGCGACGGCGGCTGCTTTGGCGGGGAAGTGTGCAGCTTCGTGGGGGAGCTCGTCGCATAGCCCAGCGTCTTGCGCAGGCGCCCGTTCTTCTTGCGCACCGACATGGTGGACGCTGAGAGTGCTTTGCGGATCTGGCGGCGACATAGATAGAAAAGCGTACTTACCTTCCTCAGTAGTGGCACCCATAGCGATGTGCTGTATCCAAACACGCTCCTGCTTGCCGTGTAGAAGTCGGAAGTCGCGCCCGCCGCCGGAAGTGTCGCACAGACCAACGTCGATCATGGGTTGCGCGTTGAGGACACCAAGCAGTACCGCACCCTCACTGAACCAACTTCCACAACGACAATTGCTCCCTATTCTCCATGTCGATACCGCTGCTTGACGTCTGGGAGGCTGCTGCTTCCTCGCCGTACAACCCATCTATTTCCAAGGACTCGCAGTTCATTGTTGGCGCAACCCTGCTGCTGATTGGTACGTCGGGATGCGGGAGCTTGAGCTGCCTATACTGACTACTCCCAGCGCTGCTCCTCGCAGGTGTCTTCGGTCTCAGTATGCGCCAACCATGGTTCTCCTGTAACAGATTCGGACGACTAACTTGAGCAGATTTGAAGGCCATCAACGTCCCGCTCCTCGGCGTACCCGCTTCGTTAGCATTCGGGTACGTGGCCTACTTTTGCGCGCGCAATGCATCTCTGACCATAAGAACAGCTTCGGCGCAGTCTACATGATTTGCGCGGTCGGCGTATACGTCTGATTTCCTTCTCCTCATTCGCCGGCGTTCGGGGCCATCTGTAGTGTACTGGAATGAAATAAAGTCAAGATTTCGAAGATACTCACATCTGCTTCTCCACCTCTACTCTAAAAACACAGCGTACAGCCCAAACACACGCCATGGACGAAGAAGAGGAGCTCCCGCTTCTCACAGCCATTTCAAGCTCCGCCCGACAACTCTACCTTCTCCTGCGCTGCATAAATTTCGCCGACAAAGCACATGTACAAATCAATGATGGGGGCTTGCAGTTCTCTGTCGACGAGGCTAGTGTTATGGAAGGTATGTATACCACCCTGATCCTGTCTGCTATACCACGCATCTGAAATATCTCCAGGCTCCGCCTTCCTCTCCAAAGACCTTTTCACAACCTATACCTTCCGAGCACCTGCCCCACAACGTCCCTCTCAACGCGAGATCAACGACTCCGACGATGAAGAGGACGAGAACTCTGAACAACCCCTTCCGACTTTCCAAATCTCCCTCCCCGCTCTTCTCGAAACCCTCCAAATCTTCGGCCTTACCGATCCAAATACCTCCAAGCCCCCATGGGCCCGCGACAACCCCACTTCGACTGCAACTGGTGGGGCCTTCTCAAACAATGTCCTCGGCATGAACAATTTATGCCGCATCGCCTACGACGCGCCAGGCTCTCCGCTCACCATCGTGCTCACTGAAGCGAGTATTCGCACCACATGCAGTCTTACCACCTACGAGCCCGCCTTTAGTGAGGAGATCCCGTTCGACAGGCAGGGCCTTGCATTCAAGACAATCATGCGCGGGACATGGCTATACGACGCCGTGTCCGAGCTTTCTTCCACCAGCCCAGAGAAACTGACCCTGTGGGCACGAACACGGGCCAGAAAGCCGTACTTCGCCCTGAGCTCATCCGGCACGCTTGGCTCTGCGCGCGTCGAATTCAACAACACTCCCACCCGTCCCCACCGCCTCCCAACGCCCCAGCAGATGCACCACCAGCCCCATCGAATCTTCTAGAGACGTTTCAGCTCAGCGATCCCACATCAATGTTTAGGGCAAGCTACAAATTCAGTCTGCTACAGCGTGCTGCCAGGGCAATGAGCGTGGCTACCAAGGTCAGCGTCAGAGTGGATGAACAGGGCGTGCTGAGTTTGCAGTTTATGATCGAGGTGGAGGTGGGGAAGGTGAGCTTTGTGGATTTTCGGTTTGTGCCACTCGTTGAGGAGGATGAGGATGATGGGGATGAGACGCAATTTTGGGGCGGGGACGCGGATGAGAACGATGGGAGTGTCATGGAGGATGAGGATGAGCTGTAGGGTGTGGAATCTGCGATTTGATTGTTGAGCTGCTTTTCACATAGGAAGGGAGCGTTGTATTTGGAAACAAAGGTTACAATTCACGAAAACACTACATATGTAGCGGAGCCAAGGTCTTCAGCAAAAGCGCTGTAATTTACGTTTTCGTCATCTATAGCCGGACAATGCGGCAAAGCTCCCGTGAGAGAGACGCTGAAAAGACACTAACGTACAAGTCTAGTTTAACCTTGGATCGCGGTGTAAGGCACGTCCTCCCCAGGCTACCTCATCCCTCGACGCTAGCAAATTGATTCGTGTTAAAACCTCCCAACTCCAGCATGAATAGACTCGTGAGAAAGTTACGGCGACGAAGAGGTAAATATGTCCCGCGTGTGGCGCATGTCATCCTGTGGGAGAGGGCGATAACGCCGACGGGGATTCAGTAGAACAGAAAGGTATCGGAAGTCGAAGTCCAGAGGACAGTCTGAGATAGAGGAATTTGCGCAAGAATTGGGGATCGAGATATGTCCCGGTACACTTCGTGGTGCTGAGAGTATCCAAATTTAGAGTACGCTGACAAATCCTGGTGGGACTTGATTTTCTGGTTTGAGGGATTGGTGGCCGATCATAGAGCGGGATCATGTATGGTACAAGATGACTATGGGAAACCGGTCATAACATCGAGCTGCAACGAGCCGCAAGCCGGTGATCAGTCACCACTCGAACTCGCCATTGGCCTTATGGAAGAGGTATCTGGGCAGTCAGTATGTATATCCCATCCATACAATACCAGCAAAACTTACTCTCGCTTGTTCGTAGTCAGAATGCCGTCCTTCAGGGTACACTTCCACTTGTTCTTGACGCGCTGCACCTTGTCATACGTGCACAGCATGTAGTCCATCGTCTCGTCGTCGCTGTCGTCGCCATTGTTATCATCATCCTCGGGGTCATCCAAGTCGGAGTTGATAGCATCCGAATCGTGCTCTTCCTCCTTATTATCCTCGCCGTCGCAGCGAGCAGGTCCTGGGACAGGGGCTGCTGCACTCGACGAAGCCTTGGTGGCATCTTGCTCCTGGAGCACTCGAACTGCAGCCTTGCGCCTCCTGCCCTTCGGCATTTGGTTGAGAGGCATCATCAATCCGCTGTCCTGACGGGATGCGAGAGCGTCCAACCGAGCACGCATCAGCTGGTCTGCTTCAACGCGGTCTTCAACGCTCACTGCCCGTCTATCAGCCACCAAAGCCTTCCAGTCCTCTCGTGCGTCACCAGAACCGTCAGTCTGCGAGGGGTTGTAGGGAGGGCTGGGCTGCGGCGGACGCTGCTGCATCGGCTGGGGTGGGCGCTGTTGCTGCGCTTGTTGCTGCTGCTGGGCAGCGTGCATCCGCTGCTGCTGCTGATACTGATATTGTTGCTGTTGCTGTTGCATGCTGATAGGGCCGCCATGCTGCTGTTGCTGCGGCTGGGTCTGCTGCTGGTGCATGCGCTGCGCAACGAGGGCGTGGGCTCGCTGTTGGGCGATTTCGCCGTTGAAGCCACCTGCGTAGCCGCCATTGGCAGCTTGCGGGTACGACGAGAGGGGAGGCTCATAGGCTCGCTCACTCTTGATAGGTGCACCGGGGTAGTTGGCATTGCCATCCTGAGGCGCCGAGACGGGTGGGAGCAACTCATGCTCGGGCTTCACGTTGGACGGCACCGTTGGGGGCTGGCGCGGAGGCTCAGGCTGGGGGTCCCACGGGAACTGAGCAACCTTGAGCCCAGAAAGCTTCTCTTGCCAACCCTGTAGAGCATGTCAGCACCATCCTCTCGAAATATACTTGATGCAGGACGAGGCAGACGTGACGCTGGACGGGCGTCAGGTGACGTGGCTAAGCCTGTTGGAGCAAGGATCGCCGGGGCTTGGCGGCGGCGTGTGCCAGCGCAGGGGCTATAAAAAGCGTCCCAAATACTGAGGGCGCCCCCCCGATCTTGCGAGACCGCCCGGCAGCTCAGCCCCGCTTTCGGCCAGCCCCAACAACTCCTCCAGGCTGCCATGTGCCGCACGTCCGCGCTGCGAAATCGACGTCGACCGACAACACAACAATAAAACAACGAAATGCGACCGCGTGTGACAAAGGAAAGATGCAGAGGGCAGGTGCGGCGATGAAAGGAGTCCGAGATAAGAGCGCCCGGTGCTCGCCACGTACCTGCTTCATCTCGTCGAGCGTCGATTGATCGACGCCAAACTCCTCGAAGTCATTCTGCGACGCCTGTATTACCCGCTCGATGATCTGCTGGTAGACCAGGCCCTGGTGTTGCTGTTAGCATGCTGCTTCAACTGATCCACACCCCCACGTGCAGTGGGTGTACTGACCACGGCGTTGTTTGACATGGCGACTCTCCCCGAGTGGTGTTCCTATCGCGTGGACAACCTTGCGCTCTTGTGCGAATGTCTTCTACGGGGCGCCGAGGGCAGCTGTCGTGACGGTATAGCCGGTTGGCGGTCAAAGGCAAGCAAACGCACGTCAGCGTAGAGCTGCGGTATAGCTACAATGGGTACTATCGAGGCCGGCGCACGACGAGTGCTCAGCTATGAGAACAACTGGAACGGTTTTCGGGCTCGTGCGACAGTGTTGTGCTGCGCTCCGGTCCGTGGTTGCGAGGCCTGGGGTGTGTCGGGGGTGATAGTGCTGAGTTGCCGGGCGGTTTCGAAGGCCACCCGCGCGCGCTAGTCAGGTGCCAAGATACTCGGCTTTGTCAGCTACATCATCCACAGGCAAACTGATAACCAGGCAAACTAAACGTTCAGGCAGAGTCTCCTAACTCGCACATTACTTGCAGATTGATCCATGTGCTCGTGTTAGACATCTAACTAACATTCGGCGCGCTTTCCCCTCCTAGCGAGCTCAGTACTCGCACTACAAACATGGCCCTTCAAAACGTCGTGATCAACGAAGCCTGGAACGCCATATCAACATCCTTCCGCCTAAACCCAGGTGTACGCCCCAAACAAACACCGTGCTTGACAATCTCTGCTACATCGTTAGCAGACCATCCCACAGCCGGCTCACACTCCCAGCAAACTTACCATCAACCAGCTTGGTGACATCAATGAGCACAGCCTTCTTTCGCTTCTGTCTTACCACCGGTATCGGTTCTAGACCTTGGAAAGGCATGTCCATATTCGACCCATTCGCATCGTCGGGGAAGTTGAGAGGCTGCAAAGACCCGTTGTTGAGGCCTATGTCGAATCCAGGTGCGAGATCCAAGCCCAACGGCTGGTCGAAGAATGCGGATGAGTCGATGCTGGGCATCTTGAATTCCGACGCCATGCCCATATCCAGACCAAAAGCTATATCGGACGGAGCGAATAGGTGGTCCACGTTGGCGCCCGTGGCACCTTGAACTTTCGGCGGTGTAGGGAGGTCAGAGCGTGACTCTGCGCTTGTTGTATCTGTACCAAAACTGGGTGTGCTGTCGTCTGATGAGCGGCGAGGTGGTGAAGGGCTGTTCAGCCCTGCGTTTGTGGTGAAATAGTCATCGCCGGGGTGGTCGTCATCGTCTACGAGTGCGTCTATGAAAGAGCTCTTGGGGTCGATGCGTACACCTTTCTCATGTTCTAGATACCCTTCAACGTCGTGCGCATCGAACCACTCGCCCTCAAAGCCCGTCAGGTCGATGTTAAGATCGTGGCTTTGGCTTGGGTCTTCGCTGTTCTCCGCTCGTATCATTTCCTTGTCTATAGGGCCGATACGGCGGACAGTCCATGTGCTCGGCGGTTTGATGATGCTACCCTGTGCGTCTTTTCGTGGATAGTGAGTGCCAGCGCCACCCAGATGTATAAATGGCGTTGACCAGAAGTCAAGCTCTTCATCAGTGCCCCGGGCCAAAAGCTCCTTGAACCTGTCTCGAAGTTGGTTCAGTGTCATGTACGGCAACGAAAGCTTGAATACATATTCAAGTGCAGCAGGTCGCTGATTAGCTGAGCTGAGCAAGTGAAATCCCGTTTCTAGCGAAGCCCGAGTCAACCTTCTCGCAAAAGTCGTCTCATCATGACTGTAAGTCCAAATTGGCTTTGGGCTTTTGGTTGTGAGGTTGCCATATGTTGGTGACGGCAGGCGTGGTATTGGAGGCGTCGTTCGGGGTGTGGGGATATTGACGGAGAATATGCTCCGGTTCTGTGGGCTCGGCGGTTTGAATTCCTGTCGACTTAGAATATCAAGAAGTCCGAAGGGCAGTGGCTGATTGCTAGGTCGTTCATCGAGAGACGCGTGAGCCCAGGAAACCCCCTGAGCGAATAGATCCGGCATCTGTGGTCGCCTATACTGCACTAGACCACCCTGTTTCGCCTGTTCCGCATTAAAGTTGGGTAGTAGAGGAAGGTCGCCATAGTTCTGTGACCGAGCTTCTTCGGGTGGTGATGGTGTAGCCTGTACAGGCGGGGAGTTTTTAAGAGTAGTCGAGTAACCCCAGCCTACGTTCACGCGTGGAGGCTGCGTTGACCGAGCCTGAGATTTTCGTACAGGGGCAGCTTCGATGATCTCATTCACGTCTTCCTCATCGGCATGTCCCTCTGCAGCTGATTTGGCTAGGGAGACGAAGGATTCGGTGACGCTCTTCAGCTGTTGAGCCAAGACCGGGTTGAGCTGAAGGAGCCCCGACTTAAGGGCGGCTTCGTTGAATTGCAAAAAAGACTTGTTCATTTGATCGATGATGGACTGGAGCCGATCATTTTGGTCTTTCAGTGATGAAATGGTCGTCTCTTTGCGCTGCCGGTATGCACGTTGCGCAAGCCGGATTTGCGTTCGGCGTCGCTACATGTAGCGTCAGTGAATGAATACACATTGTCTTTAAAATATTAGAAATTAGAAGCATGGAGAGATAGAACATCGATCAATGTTTGTAAAGGCTCGGTATACAATGTTGTGACAAGGTATCATTGTTTCAGCCGGTACGCGAGCGGTATCATATCGCACAACCACAAATCTGAGCCTTTTCTACCTGTGTTGCTTCGAAAATGCTCAGGGCTCGGGTGGCGAGTATACCTCCGGAGATGTGGGCCAGATAGGGAACTGTGGAGCCATGTACTCACATCGGCCGCTGTCTCGTCCTGGGTATCTACACGCGGACGCCCTCTAGCCTTCTTCCCACCCGCATCCTCACTGTTTGCACTCCCTCTTGATCTCTTCCTCGAAGGAGCCGCTTCCTCGCTGTCTGAGCTCCCCATTTTCGAATCTCTTCCACGTTCCCACTTCCTATAGTCGTGCAGTCTCTTACTCCGGAAGCTGCGGCAACTATAATCAACAACCAATCGACGCGATTATCTTCCTAAACAAACCGATCGTGGGCAAGAGAAAGGAAGAGGAAAGTGACGCAAGGGCGCCTTCGCGCGGAAGTGTCTTCAAAACACAAAAAGCAATCCGGCCGTAAGTGCAACACAGTGGCATCTCCCTCCCGATGTATGCGGTTAGAACTGAAGCTTGGTAAGCGAGAGACCCTGGTCCGTCCCCTGGTCCGCTTTGACCTCCGGCTCCAGGTCAGGCCAATCCTAAAACGGGCCTACGTTTGACAACGACCAGACATCATTCCAAGGGCGCAGGTCCCCCGAGAGCCTTCTAGATGGGGTCGGTTGCTCGATTAGCAAGACATCCAGGCAGCAGATTACGCAACGAGTCACCGCCGACAAGGGATTCATTCCCTTTGGTGGTTGGTTCAGCCCTCGACAGCGGGCCGAGGTCGCTTGGTTTTGTGTGATTACTGAACGGTTCTGCCGCCGAGAACCATTCACTTCCCGTGACTCAACCAGCCGCTCCAGATCACGTGTAGGGATGGCATCATGCAGAGTCTGCTGACATGCAGAAACGGTTCTCGTGACCACAATGCTAGCAGTTGTAACTTGATGATGAATGGTTTTTTGATCACATTAGCGGGATTTTTGAGACTGCGAGGACTTACCGCTCTGCCTGTCGAGCCGGCATGCGGAGCGAAACAACAGCGGAAGTGCCCTAATTGAGATACTACTTAAGGACAAAGAGGCGGCCGAATTACGGGATGTATGGAACGTGATAACGGAGTCTGCAGGCAAACAGCTCTGTGATTCTTCTGGACTGCTTTTGGGAGGTCTGCGAGTTAGACTTTCTCCCGGTTTCGCGGGGGTTCACACTTCCATCTTATAGGTTGAAGAGGTCATTGCTGGCGAAGGATTGATTGAAGCTTCGTGGGGGTGCCGAAGCGGCTTAGTAAAATAACAGGAGCAGGTACAGGTACCGAGACAGTAGATTGCATGCCTATCCTTGCTTCTAACTCCCTCTCGTCTCATAGTGGTTACGTTCATCTCCAAAAGTACAGTTCGGGATCCACAGGATAACCGCCGTGCGGTTGCAACTCGATCATGTCTCAATCTTATTTCAGTGGCTCCACCTTTTCCAGCCTCTTAGGAAATCGAGGCCGAGTCTTCATCTTTTATTCGACAAAGGAATGTGTGCAGACTGTTACATTAGCGTCGAGATGGCCAAGATACATTTCTGAGAAACTTTGCGTTGACCTTGCGCAATTAGGAGCGGAAATCATCCTTCCAAGTGTTTTATGGGGTTGTAAAGTAACTGGTCAATGTATAGCAGGTAGGCTTGTCCAGCGCATTCCCTTCCTGCTGATCACCCAGATGCATTCCAGAGGACTTGTGCTTCTCGTAGGCCCGCACAACAGCAACACCCGCGCCAACGGCCTGAAGGATCGTGAACGCAGGACGAAAGTTGCCCAGCACTCCCCTGACGACCTGAATGCGGGAATTCAACTGGGCAACACTAATCCGACGCGCAGTCGGCCATGTGTTTGGTCTTGAGAAGATAGTTGAATGCATCCTTTAGACCTTTGCGTTGAACGTGGAAACGCTCATCCGGAGTAAGCTGACATGTAGCTGCGCGCTGACAATCGGGCTTCGGATTGCCAAGATTATCGACTGTGCAAGTAACAACAGCAGCTCGAGTAACCCCAGCGGGATGGAAACTGGGGTTAAATATATCGTCATGTACATATGGCTGGATGCCTTCAGGCCGGCATACGATGACTCTCTTATTCAACGCCTCTTAAGAAGCTCAGACGATCGCAAGTGCTATTTTCTGCCCGACAAGGTGCAGACGCGTCATAATTCTGCTTTCATCTCCGCGAGATGGCAGGTTGCTCTTCCTCTGAGATGGTATCTTTCTTAAGGGCAGGATGAGCACCCAGCCAGGTGTCCTGCTCATCATCTGTAGGTACATGGCCTGCTTCTGCCAGTTTTCCACCATCGCTCTCTTCTTCGTGTGCGAATAAGTCCCCAGCATCAACTTCTGGCTCTCTGTCTTCTACTGCTTCTTTCTCGACGGCTGTATCGCTGTCGTCCTTGTAATCTCCAAACGAAGCCTTGGTTTCGAGCCGCCACTCCCGGAGCTCTTCAGCGTTCGGCTTCACATGCATCCACACTTCATCGCCCGCATTAGGCGCACCATTCTTCAGCTGTCTCTTCATCTTTCTCTGCACTTTAGTTGCCATCCGTGTTCGAAATTCGTGCTTTATCTTGAGACGTGCAGCAATCCATTCGTCGTTCGGTTTGTGGTCATCGGGTATCTGCTCGAGCAGCTGCGTGTGTAGAAGTTCTTCGTCCGTGAGGCAGCGCGTGATAATCGATTTACCGGCGCCGGAGGTTACTTCGCGCAGGAATTCGAGCGAGGCGCTGGTATAGATGTTAGTCTTGGTCGCATGCTGCGACCAACGGAGACGTACCTAATATTGAGATCAATAGCTCGCTGCGGATTCACAGTGGCTTTAAAGAAAAAGGATGTGATGCCACTATACAGAATGGAGAAGTCCGATTGACTTATGTGAACAGAACCACGTACTGTGCACAAGACCGCTGGCGCTCCTTGGTCCTTCGCCTCGTGCATGAGCGACATAACGGCGTCAAAGTTCTCTTCCCAGTCTAGACGCGCAGGTACGAAGTCAGCTAAGTCATAAAAGTGGAGATGGTACGAAGTGTTTATGTCTAAGACAGATCGACTTCGTACCCGGGCATTGCGTACACATAAAAGCTTCCGAATTGATCCCTAATATAGGTGTACGGATACGATGCGCCGGATCATCCGCTGGCGGACGTATCGGTGCGCCCCAGATGTCATAGATAATTCCTGCTTGTACGTTTTTGAAGCGATCCGTATTCCGAAGTACTTCGACAACGGTAGCCGCGCCGAACGAGTGGCCTGCCACATTGACCTTGTCCACATGGAAACGGTCCTTCCAGCGCGCCCAGTCCACCCCGTCCAAGCCTCGGGAACTTGCACCCACATATCCCTTCTTCCTTAGATTTTGTCTCGCCACTTCCTCTCCCTTGCCGTCGCATATGTCGCAAAGCACGCGATAAGCTTCTTCGAGCTCACACATACGCAGCTCGATCTGAGCGTTTCGAAGTTCGCGGTCGACGCCCTTCTCATTGTTGGGTGCGGTATCTTTAGGGTTCCCTTTGGGGAAGATGTAGTCCTGCGCCGTCAGTCGCAGCCTTGTTGATGTATATGTGGGTATAGTACTTACAACCTTGTCAAAACCCCGCTCTCGCTCCTCGTCCGCGTGCTCCAAGTTGTGCTGTTTCTCCAGGTGTTCTATACTGCCTTCGCCCTCCATTGTATGATTTATAATCGATCGCGGACCAGATCCATCCCTATGTTCCACGGCACAGACAATGAACCCGTAGCTCGCGAACTCGGTGCACATAGTAGAGTAGCACGTCCGCGTACCGCCGAGACCATGGCTAAACATCAATAGAGGGAATCTAGGCTCGTCTGAAGCTCCCTCTGGCGGTTGCCCCTGTTGATTCTTGATCTTGCGACCATTGCGCTTCGAATTACCTTCGGGGGGCCAATGTGTGGCTGGCGGCGTGTTGCGGAACGCTTGGAGCTTCGTCAAAGCGGTAGTCGCCCCAAAAACCGCCTCTCCTAACCAACCTGGTATTCCAGCGAACTTCGCGTACCCTTTCGCCGTCTCAGGGCGCGGTCGTGGAAGCCAAGTTTCCCGCGACCATTTCTTGTACCCTCCCGGAGCTTTGCCCATGCCTGAACCAAATGCAGCCGGATAGTATAATGTAAAGAGAACAGTTTCTAGCCGGAGTATATGCTTCCCGTTGCGTTTTATGTCGGATATCGATCGTGGTGACTGTACCGGAACCTCAATGTCCATCGAACCGACGCTGTAAGGGCCCGATGACGCGGGAAGGTGTCCATGGAGGAAGCCAAGCTTGTCGCGTAGGCTTTGCGGGGGTCGCGATCGCGGTTTCTTTGCGTTCGGAATCTTTCCTGACCCTCCAAGGGCACTGTGCGTACGTGAGAGCTCTGGGTCCTCTCGTCCATAGCCTGTGATACGAGTCGTCTGCCTCTCTATGTACGACATCGTGCCTGTTCCTAACAACAGACAATTGAAATTGAGTTGTGCTTCAATCGAAGGATGTTGAAGGGAAAGGAAAGAAGGGCAGTTGTCGTGTGCCTACATGTCACATAACAGCGACAGCGTGGCAGTGCCAGTGGGTTTCCCGTAGAGTGCGATGGAGTTGCGATCGTAACCGTTGATCTTGAGAATTATCTTAGGGGCTCCAAGGCTTCCGCGCTCGCCGGCGCCATTGTTGTTGGATTCGTGTAGTGTTCGATGGTACGTGCATGGGCAGGGGCTTGACGTCACTTTCCACTAGCTTGACACCATACTGAAACGGGTTAATGATGAGAGCGAGGAACGGCCAGCCCCGTCATGGTGGACATATTCCAGCGGAGGGCAGCGCAATGCTCAAAATGATTGATGGCTATCCTTGTATATGCTGTACTATGTGACATGCGTACAATCTCGTATCGAAGCAAAGCTCGTGTCGGAGGAACGAGGTGGCCCTCACAGCAGCCAGCGCATACCGATGCATCATCTCTGGTTCAGTCCAAGATCATAGATATCGTGGCGCTGAGTTGCTAGGGTAACATTGATTAGCCTAGTAGCGCTTTATTTGTCATTCGGACGCATACTTGCTACTCCGGCACAACCTAGTGTGCTTTCATTAGGATAGCGTTGTACATGTGTCGTAGTATGCTTTACGCGTACGGTGTCGTGTCGAAGGTGTTTTCAGTCGGACACCGTCTGGTGCAGTCCAGGGTAAGAAAAGCTCTGAAAGTAATTCAACCGTTTTGACACAAGCCAAAAGCGTGTTATGCTTTCCATAAGTCTCATCGAACATTGATATTCAGATCCAGACTAGGCCGGGATCTCCGTTCAGTAGAGCAAAGTTGAGTTCAGATCATCCAGACTGGTTTCGCTGATGATGTCGCCGGACTTCTCACCTTTGCAGAAATTCCGACTTGATCTCTGCGGTATTTTTCACGTGGTTTTTCAATGCTGCCCATCGATCAGCTGAAGGGTTGCTCCCCGTAGCACTGCTCGCTGCTGAAGTCGTCGCCATCTGTGCCAAATTCATGTTGAACCTCTCTTTCTCCAGCTTTTCCAGTTTCTCCTTCTTCTTCATAGCTCCAGGTCTGCTCTTCAGGCTCTTCTTTTGTATCTTCGCTTGCCCAACGACAACCTCGCCGCTTCCATCGCCATCTTCCAAACCAGACAAAGCATCCGCGAGAGACTCGAGGTTTGTGACCAGCTTCTTGTTCGGTCGCCGCCGCTTCTGGATCTTCGACGACTTTTCAATCTTGCTAACGAATGCAGAGTGCTTGCTGGCATGTTTGTCTTTCTTGGACGAAGAGAAGAGCGCATCGCCGGTCGGTGTGGGGAGAGTGACCTGCGGGCGGGCTGCGCGCGACGATTTTGCGCGTGCGGAAGTGCGCTTTTTGCCTGAGATGGGAGCCTAGAGCGGTACATTAGTGCCTTCGCATCGTTACACATAGTACTAAGATTTACCATGATGTCTATGGGTAGACGTTGAATGATTCCACATGTAAACTTTCTTCATGAGCTCAGGCAAAATTTAGCGAAGTGGCACGGACCAATGGTTTCTGTCGATGTGCTGCATGACTCCACGCAAACGCAAACGCGTCGCGCGTCATAGCCCTTCCTTCAAAAGTGAAACGATAGCATTTACGAGTGTTCCATCGCGCCATATCAGTCATCATGTTTCAGCGTGTTGTACAGTATCGTAAAAGATCGTCCAAAACTGTGCTACATTGACATAGACATAGATTTAGTTAGAGCGCGTCATACATACCTATGGTATGCAGTTGAATTTGCTGCATCTGTCCCGTTATGGGCACATGCAGTTCACCTCAATGCAAGAACAATGACCATGCTATCTAGGACTCGCGCGAAGCGCAATATTCCACGAACGTGCCTTGTTCTTGCACACTATAATCCAGCCTCAGACTATCTGTGACACGAGGCAACTGGAAGTGCCTAAGCTGATATGTCGTTCGTGTGGCAAGAGAGGCAGCTCCACGAACGTGCGTTTACAGGCACCCGAGAGCAGGTACAATCCGACGACGGCTATTGCTTGATGTCAATGTCAAATCTTCGTCAACCGACCAATTAGATCCCAGCATCAAGATTACATCATAGCTTCCGGGTTTCTCCAACTGAAGGCAGTCGGAACCGATGCTTGCGGGTTGTCTTGAAACTGAGGCTTAATTTTGTCTTACTGAGGCGTACGTTTATCCTACCGATATCTATAATACCTTGATTTTCACGATGCTTCGAAGCCCGGTGAGAGTTTCCGACAATTCGGAAATTGCGTTTTCGAGTACTGGGAAGCGACACTCTGTGTTCGAATAAGGAGTATCCGGTGTCGTCCACATGTCGCCAACTCGGACGGATCTTTCGGCACCTAAATCCGCTTCTCTCTCACAGTCGTACTCACCACATGTGAGCGAGCTGTCAGCTTTTTATCTCTATCTCGCTGTACGCATGCAGAGATCTTAGCTGTACTTGCCGATAATTTCGTGACAATCTTCGATCCTACTCTACGGTGTTTGACTGATGCAGCCGTGCGACTACTCGTCGATGAAGGCGACGAACACATAGAAAGAGAATGGACAAAGGTCCTGGGCATGCGGTGGTCTCGGCAGACGATCATGGACCGCTTCTTGCGATGAGTATCTGGTTTCTGGGTTGCACATTGGTACAGGTCAAGCTTCCTTCGTGACTGACGAGTTCTGACAAAGTATAGATTCTCTGCACAGCAACGAGGCTGGGAGTCAGGTTTGCTTCACGGAATTTACCTACTGCAGATGATCTCTTCATACTGGCTGCAGCTGTAAGTGAACTATTCTTTTCAAAAACAGTGACAATGCCCTTCAAGGTGGAAACCTTGACGCAGGTCCATCATCGAAAGACTAACTGGAGTTACAGGTGCTCGCGATCGGTGGAACCATAGCTGGTTCGTTTGCGGTTCAATCGGGCCTTGGAAAGAAAGTCTCCCTACTTGCACCATCCGCCCTCGAAGACATCCAGAAGGAGATGTACACGACGACGGTTCTATACATCATCACTATCGGACTCTCCAAGCTTTCAATCATTACGTTCCTCGAGCGACTCGCTTGTACTTCAGCTCACAAGACTTCTGTTGTGGTCTTGTATGCAGTTGTCGTATCTTGGACTTTCGCAATCACCACTGCCGTTCTGTTTGAATGCGAGATGCCGCGCCCATGGACAGTGTTCGAGGGCAAATGCATTCCACTGGTAAGCTTGCGCCTCTCACCGAGTGTGCAAATAGCTTGCTCACCGTTTATATAGCTGTCGTTTTGGGTCATAGCAAGTCTAATCGATATCCTCACTGATCTCGGCATGATCGTCCTACCTATCCAAATTGTATCTAGTCTCCAACTCCCGTCACGTAAAAAGGCGGTCGTCATCTCCACCTTCGCTCTGCGCGTGTTGTAAGCTCATGATTTCCCGATCAAAGCATTTGCGCACGGAATCTCATAACAGCAGGCTTGTAGCCCTCTCCATGACCCGTGTCATTTTGCTTGACCGCGCCATCTATAGAGACATCTCTTTCGATAGTATACCCTACGCAATAGTCACTCAAGCGCATTCCACCATCTCCGTGCTGGTAGCCTGTCTCCCGGGCCTCAAACCCTTTATGGACAGCATTCGCACGGGTATGCTGAGTTCGAGTCTAGCAAAGCACGGCGTAGGCACAACGTTTGGTCAGGACTCGTGGGGTGCACTACCTCGCAATGTTTCGCATTCTACTCTTTGGGACTCTGCATCACAAGGAAATCGCAGTATCCCGATCGTTTGCCCAGCAGAAGCTTCTATATTCGTCTCCGATGCTCAAGGACTTATTACCGCGAGACCAAAGCCAGTGGCTCTGCCGAAGTTGGACATCAGATCTGGCCCAGTCAAACGACTTTTGGTAAGGTTAAGAAAAGAGACCCCTCCACGGCCACCGCCACCACCCGAGGAGCTTCGACCGGATCTGACTTGTTTCCGACCGAGGCTGCTGGGAACGAATAGCATGATAGTTAGCTGTGAGAGACACAATCATGAGGAGGGCGATGAAATAAGGATGGGTATTATTACGCAGACGAGACCGTGGGAGGTTAGGGCTGAAGGTGGCTGTGTCTAGCTGGCTGATGTGCTGGACACGTAGGCAGTGGAAAACGGTAGAGAGCCCTGGTGGTCCTCTATTTAGAGGGGTCTGATGACATGCATGATTGATTTAGCGTTTGGCATTCAATGATTGCTAAACTTCGAGTCTTCTCGCTTCATCTATGATGTTGATCTTGCCTAACTTGAATATTGTGCTGGCGGACTAATGCGACGAAATCAACGTTCGTGAAAGAGAGCTGCAGAAAATCCATGATACAGGAGCCTTGAAATCGCCCTGTACGAAATCTTCTCTCATTCATTCTTTCGTTTTGTCCAAGAAGGGAAAAGTCTTCTGCGTAGACTAGACAAGATGGCTAGCGCTTTACGTAGCATTCCATGTAAATATACACTCAACAGTACAGAGCCCTGACCGAGCCACAGAATAGCAAATGTTCCTCACTCAATGACTCACCAAGGCCACCAGAAGCTTTTCTTCTTCTCGCCTGCGGGCTTCTTCTTCCCTTCGCCGCTTATGCGGTCGAAGAAGACCACCATGACTGTTGTGTCGTCGACTGCGTGGCGACAGAGCGGGCCGGGGATGCTAAGCAAGCCAAGAAAAAGCCCGCGTCGCGTACCGCCCATTGCATTGCGCGCGAGACACACAGCTGCGTTATCATCTTCAATAGCGAAGTACTGGGGCTCGGCCTTCCAGTTAACCTGTTGACCAGACTCAGCATCGTATTCTACACCTTCGTCGGCATTAAAGCTGTTGTTGAAGATGGGCTGCTGGATGGTTGGATCCCGAGAGACCTTGCCGTTGCCGCGCTCTTTGGCTTCGAGCCAGCGCTCCACGCATTCGACCGCGTGCTCACTACTGATATGATCCCATAGTCCGTCGCTGGCCATGATCATAAAGTCGCTCCTGGCTGATTTGTCTTTCGGATCCGCACGTACAATATTTGTCTCCGTAATCTCGGGCTCGGCCGTCAGGTAAGGGGGCGTTTTCGACTGCGGTCGCGGCGCCGTTCCCCAGAATCTTGATTGCAGCTGCGTGATGAGAGTGTTGTCCCATTTCCAGCGGTGATCGCCAAAAGCCCGCGTGACAGCGAGACCCAACAGCCGCCCAGACTTCGGATCAAGAATGTCGTCTTCATCCGGATGAGCCTCCTTGATGCGGGAGACTTCGATCTCGTTGAAGCCCGTTTGGTCGACAGATAGAGGTTGCGCCACGTACTTCCTCTCCGATGAATCCCAACGACCCAGGACAGCACGAGAATCTCCGACGCAGGCGACGCGCAGCTTGCTCTGCTCGGGATCAAAGGCAGCGAGGCTACAGTTGGGGGCACAAAGTCAGTATAATGTCCACAAATTAGGGAAGTGGCTGAAGTAGGTGTTCCAGCCTGCTGCGAATGTCTGAAATTTTCAGACCTAGAGGTGTAAGGCCTGGAGTCTTAGACAATCACCCAGCCTGAACACCCACATTGTACCTACAGCGCGCAACTACCGCTGAAAGCGGGCGTAAGTGCGGAAACAGCGGCTGCGTTGGCAGTGGGGAACCAGTTTGCGGCATGTTTTGCGCGTGTCATGATCTCGTTATCAAGGTTGGTGAAGACGTCCTTGATTGTGGAATGAATGACAGAGGAGGTAGCTTCTGGGGACAAGTTGGATAGGGCGCGGGAGAGGCTCGGGTGAAGCGTCCATTGGAGATAGTATGCTGTATGGCGACCGGCATGACCATCGAAAATCGACCAATAGTTCCAGGGTTTCGAGCCTGGCCCAGGGGCGGTACCGATGGCGTTGTAATCTTCCTAAACCGTTGTTAGTATAAAGCCGCACAGATGTCGAATCAAATCGTTGATATAGTAGGGTAAAGCTGAAGCTGTCAAGTGAGGTGTGTCCTGAAACACAGAAAGGCTTACGCAGGGTTCGTTGCTCCTAAACCTAATCCCATGCGTTACTGGTATTTCGAATTCAAGCGACTCTTCAGGTTCGATTTCCCACCCGAACGCGATCTTGGAAAACTGCTCGCTGATCTGTTTCATCACCTCTGGATCCTTCAATGGGGCACTTGGATCCGGAATATGGTACTGAACCCAATGGTCCACCTCGTCACGGTCCTTGTAAAAGTGAAGAGGCGTAGCACCAGGGTCGCCCGAGAATGATGCGAGTACATGGTCTGCCCAGCCTTCCTCCTTGATCTCGACAAAGTAGAGCGCGGCCGCAACAACAACGACCAAGAAGATGACAGTCTTCGTGGGGAAGGCGGAGTAAAAAATTGGCCCATCAATGGGAAGCGACGCTAAACGGTCCATAGGCGGTCGGCATTCATTGAGCAGTTTCGATTGTCCTAACGCACCTGCGCGTGCGCATGTGTGGGTCGAAACACGTGACTCTGCGATTTGGACCTGTCTGGTGGCTGTCGGGGCACGTAGTCTGGAGTAGGCGCGGTAGGCTGAGGTTCCGTTCCATGGTCGCGGGGTCAAAGGGGCATTTTGCCCTTTGGTACGGGCTACAATGCCTCCCCACCGAGTCCGTAGCATTGTTATGATGAACGCGAATGCGGGAGTCGGCGCAGCCGCTGATTCGAACCTAGGAAATTTAGGAGCCCAGACCGCGCAGTCACGTGGAGCTGCTTAGTCATTGACTCCATCAAGGTCCCTGCTCTTCGTCTCATCGCTTTCTGTAGAGAGCTGCCACCGGCAACACCACCACAGATTTACTTTATACGATGTGGCGTATCTCACATAGCCATGTCGTACCCAAAATCCTGTCTACTACGTATCACAGGTGCTCCAAAAGCGGTTAGAACGCCCAGTGATGTCAACAGCACCATATCCTAGGAATCAGATCCCGCGGCCTACTATACACATCCGTGATACGTTTTGCCGAGCTAGCTCTGTACGAAGGCCCTGAAAGTGCCACGTTGTTTCGTAACTATTCAGGCACTCTCAACATTTCTTGACCTATGAAGATAGGCTTGCGAAGGTTTGGGCAAGCATGCCTACAGCACCCTGAGGCTGTTGCTTTATTAATGGAGCGATCGTCACTATCGAACCCAGTATCAATGGGGCGGCATCTCCTCGGTCGACATATCGTTGTCCGGTACCTGTCTTTATGTTCAGCTGCTGGACGAAACTATTTCATCAATAGGCACGTAGCTTTATTCATTGACTGCTGACGTACTCAATCTGTTATGTCATATCGTTCAACTATCGCTGGTATTTGAGGGGTTTGTTGAGCCTTTTATAGTGGTAGAGATGGAAGGGAGAATGTCGGTCAATTGAACAAATTACCTGTGGTAGGCATACTGCGTATCCGGATCGCTTACCGTTATCTGTCACCCTACAGTGATTGTTGCTTCGATCGACTATAGCTCGGGGTGCTGTCCCGCTACCATCCGCTTCGACAAAACAGACTTTTCCACGTTCCAACGGCTCCAATTGTCTGTACCAGCCGCGCGATGCTTCGTGGGAAATTTCGAGTATGTCTGCCCAATTCAAGGCGCTGGATCAGAATCTTTGATCTCAACAAATCTAAGCGGTAGGCAGCGACGTATATATACTCCCTTTTTCCTAGATTTTTGGGTCAAACAACACCGTCCGCACTTCCCATTCTACAATAAGTTTTGACCAAATCCGCTTTAGCCACCTCTTCCCACGCACACGACCTTTGGCACTTAAGGTCCCTACGTAGCACAGATTTGGCTCCGATTCACCTGCTACTAGACGAAATGTCTTCTCAGCCTACTTTCGAAGAACTCGTGGCGGAAGCCGTCGCCTTCGGCATAGATTTCAGCACGCCCATAGATGACAGCACACCTATTGAAGAGCTCAGGGCCACGCTAGAATTTTGGTCTGTTGAATTGCACCAAACCACCTCGCCTCCAACCAAGCCAACTTCCCTTGAGCTACTTGAAGCTGCATCAACCTACCTTACTTCTGCACCTGAGGACAACGAGTGCGCAATCTGCGTTACCGAACTTGTGATCGCCACCACTAAACCCAAAGCCAATACGGAAAATGTGTATCAAACCGACACAGCTATCAAGCTGAATGCCTGCGGTCATCTTTTCCACGGCGGTTGCTTGCTGCAGTGGTTGAAGAGGGCAAACACCTGCCCATATTGCCGTCGACGCGTGTGCGAGGAGGAAACCAAGGAAGAGGAGGAGTGGGACGCCACTACAAACTGGTGGGCCGAAGAGAGGTTTGGGTCTCTGGATACATTCTGGTGGGTTTGAGCTCTACGCACTTCGACACGATTCTTCCCAATTCTAAACCACGGTACCGCGCTACCCTTTGTACTCTCAACGTCATTTTATTGGATACCTCGCATTCGACATGTTCATTTCCACCACGAAATGCTGCATTATGGGATTCGGCGTTTTGGGCACGTAAATTTTAGAACCGAAGTTTGAGTATACAGAGCGTGTTCTGCTTGGGATTGTCGGTTACTGTTGAATATATTAGTAACGCACACGCCACTGAACTGCCTGTTTTGCAAGTGACGATTAGCTGCTCAACCAGCTTAGCTGCCACGTGCACATCATGCGAGCAAACGTGTCTGCGTATATAATTTCGTGAAGCTGATGTTCCAAGCTCACGCCGACCATCACCCGCACACGCGCTCTCTCTCTCTTTACCACCCAATCTACGAACCTAATTGTCCACCCAGAGAGGACAAATAGTAAGTCACCCCCAATAGCCCTTTCGAATGTGCTGATTTTGGGGCGCAGAGTGGTCCTCGGCTGCATTTTCAAGTTCAGGTCGCGTTCGTGCACTTCACGCCGTTTCACCTGTAATTGATGGCTTCCAGATATTCTATACACATCAATAATATGACCTCCAGTGACTCCAGAAGCCGCCTGGCTTTGTCTATTGGTATACAGCCGACTTATCCGCCTGTCCCTCCGCAGACTCTCCAACCTGTTGCGCTACGTCGACTCGTCGCTTCTTTCCCAACCTTCCCTAGGTTCATTTTTCACATACGGTAAAGTCGACATTCTACACTTCGTGCGTGATCACGAGCTTATATCAAGCGCCTAGAATATTAAACCCTTGACAATGTCCTCTCAAACCACACCGTCTGACTTGGCTCAACCACCTGCTAGCATGGAGAGGCGTGAGGAGCAAGACATAGACCAACATAATTATCCCTCTGGGCCAGGATCCGCGCGCTACATGCCCGCCGAGACTGCCTTGCACTACATGCAGTACCCGCAGCAGAGAGGCCAACCTTCTATTCCTGGCATAGGAAACGTGCCAGGTTTTTTACATCGTTATCCGCGCTATGCAGAGCGCCGCCTGCCACGATTATCGTCCCCCATCCCTCCAGCGCCAATGTCCCACGACGAGCTCTCTCGGCGCCTGCAGACCGTCTCAACTCGCCTCCAGACTACACCAGACTCAGCTACTTCCGCAGGTACAGACGAGGCAAACAACCAGTGCGGCATATGCCAGGATGAGCTTGTGGGAATGGCAGCTGACGCGCCTGTTGCTATCAAACTCAATCACTGCAAACATGCATTGCACGAGATTTGCGTGGTCGAATGGCTAGACTGGGTGCAGCACAATCGAGGTCCAGTACATCAAGCTACATGCCCTAACTGTCGCCGCTTGATCTTCGCTCGCGAGGCTGCTCCACAAACCGGACGAACTGGAAACGCAAGTCATCTCGCCAGTCGGACCCAGGACCATAGGTATCCTTTGTCAAATATTCGTGAGACTTCCACGCAAGCTGAGCTAGTTGCTCGTGAACTTTGTCCGACTGGACGAGCTGCCGACACTGACTACATGACTGTACGGGAGCATCTTGCATCGACCGCTCACTATGCATCTTCACCAACTGGACGAGCTGCAAACACATCATCCTCCCGTCGTGTTCAGCACCCTGAAATGAACATTCGCGAGACCTCTACATCGACATTCCGGACCGTTGGCTTGGTGCAGGCTGATGAGGCCCAGCCTCACGAGCTGCTCGCAGTCTCGATATTTGGTGGCATCGATATGGATGACGACGATGACGAAATCTATGACTAGTTCTCCAAGGCTCTGCTAAATCCTCAAATTGAGTCTCAATTCATACATAGTCCTCTGATGGCGACGACACCGAGTTTCGGGGCACCCGATAGTCGAACGACGAAATACGAACGATATTATATTCACTGGGACAGCCCGGTGCAAATCTGGTTCCTTGCCCACAAGCAGCATGTACGAGCCTCGCCAGTGTCGAGTTGGGCGACTAATCAGCATATTGTCCTACGGTTTCACGTTGCAGGTTGCTATCTGAGCACTTCCGCTGCCCGATTCACTCCCACCCGCATGCAGGTGGCTTTGATCCCTTTATCACTTATTTGACTTGACATGTCTACGTTGTTCACCAGATAGTGTTTCTTTTCTTTGCTTTCTCACACATGGCTTCCCTAATTCAGACCATGTTCAGGGTTGTTGCAGTGCTTCATAGCACAAAGGCATTCTACATGACGGCGCTTCAACTCCATTCACATTCAGCGCCTCATATGAACGGTACAACGATACTCAGCTCCTAGCTCCAAATGTATTCATGTGTACAGATTGGGTACCACGCTCTGTCTTGCCGCTTACAATATGTACTGCACTGTGTCAACTGCATACCCTGAAGAATGTCAAATCAATATCTTTCGCACGCTTTTATGTACACTACCATCCACAAGCTCATAAAATATGCTAATTATTCTGGAGGATACAAGTCACCATGTCAATGTTTTCAACCCTTCGGTGCCTTCCACGTCCGCTTCCTGGCCAACGCGCTTCTAACATTCACGCACAAGATTAGCGAGCTTTGACCTCGACAGGAGGTATAAAAGCTTTTGCCCCCTACCTGGTTCGTCTCCAAGAGAGCTAATCATAAGCAATTGTGTGGTTAGTCGCGTCATTTCCGTTGTGTACATATGTCACTAACACCCGTGCAGTGGTTCCCACGGCATATCCAGACTCAACCTTCGCTCCAAAACGATTGTGAACGTGGCGTCAGTCAGGAAAGTGGTTACTCATAGGCTTGGTCCAAGCCTGCAGCATCAGTGTGCTCTTTGCTGCTTCAACCCACAAAACTTATTGGACTTCTTCGAGCACGGTACTATGTAAGCACGCGCGGCTCGCAGCTCCCCAGCCAGCTTGGAGTCTACCACATTCCAAACAACCATCAATTAACATATGAATTAGATACAACATGGCCAGTCCCCATACCCAGGCCAGCATCACAGAGTTCATGCGCTTGGCCGAAGCCATCGGCCTGGACCTCTCTTGCCCTACACCGACCGACCAGACATCAACCCTGGAAGACCTCAAGGCCGAGCTGCATGACCACATGGCCCAGATCCGCTCTAGACTATCAGACTTGGAGCCTCGTGTGGAGGCCAATGCCACGGTAATCACTGCAGTGCCAATCGCCACTAGGGCTTCGCACCAAGACGAGGCGGAAGACCAGTGTGGTATCTGTCACGAAGAGCTGTTCTGCGTCACTCAAGTTGCGATCAAGCTCAAGAGCTGTGGTCACACCTCTCACCGCGACTGTTTGATCAAGGCCTTCGAGTTCCGCAGCAAGGATACTTGCCCCTACTGCCGTCAAGAAGTGCTGCAACGCACCGCCACGACTGATGTGAGTGAGCTTGACACCTCGGTAATTGAGGGCTTGGTGGATCACCTGGGCCTCCGTGACAACCAGGTGCGCAGCTCGGTTGAGGGGGTTGCCGGTGGAGATGATTATGAGAGTGTTAATCCTACGAAGAGCTACGCCCACCAGCACATGGGCCTCAGCATGTACCTAGACGTGGACCTGTTCGACGGCCATGCTCGGCGAGAGTCCGGTGTTGCGGAGTACGACTGCCTGCACCCCGTGGCTGCCACTGCCGTCTCTGTCGCTGGCCACGTTACCGCCGATGTCAACGCTGTGGCTGATGGAAGTGACGCGATGATTGATGAGGGACGCAGGTTACACGTGCAAGATGGATTGCGCGCGTAAATGAAATCTTGCTGTGACTTTTGAACGAAGAAGCGGTGTCACAGCTTTTCCACCCCATGAGCTAGGCAAGTCGACGGCAACGAGGAGCAGACAAGTTTTGTGCCATAGTTCAGGTCCCTTGCTGGATGAATCACTGATGTGGTTTTGTTTTCTGCTTGAGTCTTGTACTGTATCATTATATGCGATATTGGCAGGAGTTGTATTCCCGCGGCTTTCTAGATCATTAGTCTTGTTCGGATGGCCTAGTTGCCTGAAAGAGCAACCTCCTTCAGCTTCCTTTGACTTGATACGAATTTCCCTCCTCTCTGCCATGTAAGAGATCCATGCCTTCATCTTTTCCTCGGTGGTCGGCCATCCCTGACACCCCCATACTCTGGCATCTCATAGTCCCCAAAACACGCCCACTCAAATTCCGCCTTCTCAACTTGCACTTTTTGCACCTCCAAGAACGTCTTCATCTCGCACCACCCATCATCTCTGTTCCCACACTCTTTCAGACTCGTCCCTAGCGGCACAGTCCGTTGGTTAAGCACGAAATGTACATATGAGGTCGGAGGACCGCCTTCGTACACCTCGTCAAGCGCTACGGAACGGTTCGGGTTGATCGGAGCAGGTGCTTGTATGACTTCGATATCAAGGCGTCCAGCGAACGGCTCGAGATACGCCATTATAAATTCGCGGTCGGGCAGGATATGAGTAGGCGGGAGGTACTCCGCGAAATGAGTGAGGCCGAAGGCGACGAGGATGCTAATGATATTTGAGTCGTGGCTAAAGTCAAAATTGAGGTTTTGGTTGGTGGGGAAGGTGACGGTGTTGTTGTCGAGCGTGGTATTGATTTGCGCGGTGGGCGACGACAGCACGTGGTGCTCCATGCGGGCAAGCACTTCTTCAACATAGCCGATACCGATGGCTCGGCCGACGGGAGAGAGAAAGCCTGTGCCGCCAGCAAAAGCGATGTCGAGACTGTACTCGAAAGCTTCCCATTCCTCGTAGGTGAAAAGGCCGCACCAATGGGAGAAGCCGACCGCGACGGTTTCGTAAGCGCAGAGAGCTTGTGCGTTATCTTGCCAATATCAGCCTTGCATATGTGCACCCGAAGGGGCGTCTTACAAGTATCGTTCATGGTCCAGTCTATATCGCCTGTTAAGTTGGCCTGTATGCGTTTCTGTGCATCCTTAAGATACACCTGAGCCCAATCTCGCGAAGCTGCTCACATCAGTAAAGGTAAATCAAGGTTTGCCCATCATCAACTTACTCTGCCCGCCGACAGCCCAGCTCGATCGATTGCACGCTTTGTATCCTGCCAAAGTATTGTTGAAACCCCTGCTCTCGATGATCCGCTCCAACGTCGCGTTATGCGTCCACCCCAGCCCAAAAAATCCGGCAAGGAAGTACTCTGCCGACTCCGACATCCTCCTTTGCGTGGTCGTACGCGCGATGATCTTGCTGCCATCGTTCGGGTACAGGTGGCCATACTGGTAGTAATGGAGGACGCCAGAGTCGAATAGCTGCTGCTTGCCGACGGGTACGAGGATCTCAGCGCCAAGCACATTGCGCCAGTCGTTGAGAAAGGACAGCGCTCCATGGGCTTGGAACTTTCCCTTCGCGTCTGTGAGCTTGTGTGCGAGCTGTAGCTCCGTACCTGTCACTTCGGGATAGCGGCTGCCGTGGCGATGGACCATGTTGAGCCATGTCACATTGGAGCCTGGGGGTATTGGATACTCATGTACACCAAAGCCTCGCGGGTTCGGGAAGTATGGACTTAGTATGCCGAGGCGTTCGAAGACGTTCTGGCCGTGTTCATGGCCAGGTATCGGCGCCTGCGTTTCGAGAGGGGTGTTCGGTATGTACGACACTCCAGCAAAGGGCGCTGCGTTTGTTTGAGCCAGCCATGGTGCTTCTCCCGTGGCGGTAGGCCCTTGACGGTTGTTAGATGAGTGCGAGCCGGGAACAAGCAGATGGCGCACCAGCGTACCAACCGAGGGTTGAGTCGAAGTAATCTGGACTTTTTGACGATGTCGTCGTCGCAGTAGCTGATTTTTCAATCAGTCCATGGCTCACGACGAGAGTTTCTCAGGATGCGGCTTCCGCAACGGATTGTTAGCACATACAAGTCGGGCAGTCGCTCCCCGCCTTCAGGGGTGACTGAACATTGTGAAATTTCAGGAGATTGCTCGCTGCTCTACGCGTTAGTATCTGTGACCCTGACCAGCCGATTGTTCGATTGAAGCTGGAAGACGAACTATATGCCGCAGGCCAAAAGGGATTGAGGAGCTGCAGCGACAGCTGCACGAGAAGCCACAGCATTGCGGATGATCTAGCATGAGGTTGAGCAACGAGGAGCAGCTATGGTTATCACTACACGTGGAAATCGTGTTCCTGGTGTCTACATGGCGCGTTGACTGATGTTGTTGGAGCACCGAGCTGGCCGCCCAAACCAACCTGTGGCGACACGCCAGACGTTGGACCACGGCAGCGGGGAAACCATGTTCCGAGAAGTAAGAATCGCACTCAAGTCTCGCAACAGTGCAAACAACGTGTCTTGATGTTCGAAAACAGACACGTAGGATTATAGGCAATAGATTGTACGCGTACCATGTTGACAAGGCACAGCGCACCAAGACACCGACCTGTCACTTTTGCCGAGATCCACCCAGCTCCAGGATATGGCCGAAAGCAGCAGCCAGCGGAGCCGACAAGTGCATGAATTTGCATTCGGCGCCCCTCCTTGCGAACTCAACGGTACCACGGTGGGTCCCTCGCCACGAAGCACACTGAAACACATATTTCCACCTAGTGCTAGCAGCTGCTCGTGACAGGTTCGCAAGAGCCACTCAGTTACACCATTACTCGTGACCCGCTGTCTTGGGCAACGATACTGCAGTAGCGCTCCCAAGGTTGTCGGCTCTTAAGCGGTGAAATTGAGATTTCATCAAGTACGATTGAGACATGTTCACGATGCGCGTTGCTTCTTTAGCGGCACCCACATTCGGAACTTTGTTCCTGAGCCTTCGTTTGCCCTACTCTCCGGGTATATAGGTCGAGTAGAGCCTCGCGTTCAAGGCCGTATCCCGTGATAAATCGGGCCGACGTGGGACATGCTTCAGGTCACCCGGAGATGTTGTAGAGAGCTATCGGGTGAAGCAGCCGTGCTGTATGTACATAGTATACGCGAGCCAAAGGTATGCCTGCCTTGCATCGGATCAATGCGCCTCGGGCCCTGGCATGCTGTACTCTACTATGGTAGCTCAGGTTCCCGACGAGGACACGTGCAAATACTGAGCGTTCGCTGCGAATGGACGGAATCAACACATGGCGACTTGGATGTGTAGAATGGGAAGTGCAGATGACTTCTCTTTCAGGAGTGATCGGCACGTTGTAGACATGCATACATAGTCCCGGTGCCTTACGCCTTGCTTTCGGCGAGTGAAAGCAAGTTGCACGATGCTGCTAACACACCGCTGTACATTAATCTTACAAGGTCGGCAAGTTGGTGTCTCAGGGATTGACCGGAGAATATTACCAATGGTCAAGAAATAGCGTGGGATATGTTGGGTCCACGCTTTCAAGCTTGCTTGATAACGCGATCAGTGAGCGATCACAAAGGTCTCGTGCACTTGTCGTTAGGCTGTCGGTCTCGTATAGTCTACTACGTGCGGCGACAATAGGCTGCTACATGATGACCGCAAGGGCTTATGCCTTGCAGGCGCAAAATGAATGACTGTGAGCGGGTACGGGCTTATCGCGGCTCTGGTACCTCTGCCATACCTCATGCCGAACGACTGCGACGCAAGGCAACCAGGCAGCTGCCGGGGGTGCCATTGTGCAAAGCTGACTCTTTGTTTTCTGTAACAGCCTTGTGTGGAGGCATGCGAGAGATTGGCTTCCCCTCCTCCCAGAGATCGTCGCGAGGCATAATAGCGGTGGCCGCGCAGGTTGACAAAGCTGTCTAGCTGCCTATCAGCGGGGCCAAAAGTGGCTTCTTCGGAATGTAGAAACTCAGAACAAGCATTGCAACCGAAAGAGTTTGGTGTTGAGATTGTGAGTAGCTAGAGGTTTCCAAGTCGGCACAGGGACAGTGCGCAGGCGGCGCAAGGTTCCCAATGCATGAGCGGCCGACGTCATTTTCCCCAAGAGATCCAGGAGATCATCGTTTCCAAAACGAAGAACAAACAAATTGAGGGAGGTGGGCTGACGATTGCGACATGTCGTCCCCTGGACAGGGGAGTCGGAATAATGGCTTCCAGTAGACAGGAAGGACCCTATTCGTGGGGGTTTTTGGGAGCGCTTTCGACTCGGCCAAAACGCAGCCAACCGCGAAGGACGTTACATGGCGCTCCGAGCGTCGCCGGGGGACACGGTCGCACACAATGCATTGCGGGGAGGGAGCCAAAGGGCGAGTAGGAGGCGGCAGCACAACAACGACACATGCATCTGTGGCCGGCAACAAAGGAGGCGGGGACGGTCGCAGGTGCCGCAGGGTCCAAGAGGAATACGACGATCATGTATAATTAGGGTGTCGAGGCGGACGGTTGGACGAAAGAGAAGACGCGGGCTGGCGCACCCAGGCGATCAGCGCGTGCAGACAGCCAACAGCCAACGCTTCGGCGGGCGCGTACTGCACACGGTAGTCGCACCGGAGAGCCATGACTATTGAATCACGGCCGGCGTTGCTAGGGAGGAGGGCGGCACATTCTTCTCGAAGGCGGGCGGGTCTCTTCTTTGCAGGCGCTGGCGGAGGGGGGTGCCCAGGGCAGCGGGCTCGTGTCATGTCCGGCACGGGTAGCACGGGAGTCTGAACAGGAGCAGCGGTGATGTCAGCCCAGTCAGGTGCATGGCTGGTGAGACGGCGCGCTGCGGCGGGGGCAAGGCAAAAGCTGTGTGCGTGGTGGCTCTTTCCCTGCAGCCCGCTAATCTCGCCTGCATCCGGCTAGCGACGCAATCCCTCGACGTCATTTCTGCGCCCGAGGGTGAATGCTCGGTGCTGCGCGTTGCCAGCCGCGCTGATCGCTCGACGCCATCGTGTCGAGGGGGCGGGCGGCGGGCTGCGGTGAGTAAAACCGCACGAGCGCGCAGTCGCTGGATGTCACTCTTCACGACAGCAACATTCCGCCTCTGTGTGCACATCCGCGGCCACCAGCGCACACCTCACCCTCACCGCCGCCGCCGCTAGCCCGCTTCGCGCTGTATGCCATTCGCCCTCGTGGTCCCACTGCTAGCGCTCGCCGATCGACATCGTCAAAACTGGGAGCACGACACGTTCACTTGACGGCCCTGTGCGCGGCCTCCAAATATCACCCTCGTCTGCCGGCCCTTTGGCGGCTCTTCCTCCACCTGCATACACAGTAGCTGCACGCCACCCGCCGGCCTTCATTTTTCAGTTGCATTCCGCCCACTTTCCCTGCCGCCAGCACGCCGAAACCAACGCCCAGCAGGGTCAAGCCGACTTCCCCTTTGGACGAGGACCCTTGAGCGGGAGCTTTTAGCGTCATCCCGGGCGGAGCTTCCTCATCCTCGCACTCACACGCACAACCCACCCCAATCAGCTTGGCGCCGCCCACCTGCTCTAACGGCGCCGTCTGTGCCGGTTCTCGCAGCCCACCACTTCTACCAGAGCCGCACTCTCGACTCCCTCCATCATGTCCGTCACTGCTCCCTTTCCTCCACTCGCCCTCCAGGACCACCGCCGCCCTTCGTATCCAGACGACATGAGCTCCACCTCGTCGAGCTCGTCCGTCAGTGAGCAAGACCAAGCCCGCCACGTCGACGAGGACCCCTCGAAGCTGTCGTCGCGCCCGCGCCTGGGCAGCAGGAAGTCGAGCGGCACCATCATAATACCGCGCGACAGCCCCCACGTCGAACTCAAGGAGGAGGAGTACGACGACGGCGACGCCAGGACCATGAGCCCTCGGCGCAGCAGCGAGGAGATTGAGAAGATGGGCCAGGAGGCCCGCCAGGCCTTGATAGAGTGAGTCGACATACCTTTCGTTGCATCCCACCGTCGTGCCTTCCGAGCCTGGGACCCGGCTGCCATCACCGGCGCCGACGGTTCCCGCGAGGCAGGTGCGATGGACTGCCTCCACGCGCTACCGCTCCGTTACTTATCCGTCCCCTCTTCAAGCCCCCACGCCTGGACCCCGACACTGACCTTCGTCAGACAAGCCAAGGCTCTGCAAGCCAGCCTGATGGAAATCGTGGACCGTGTCGAGATTGTCAAGTCGGAACACGAGAAGCTCGAGGGTGGCAACAAGTTCCTCCAATCGTGAGTGATCCAATCGTCTGTTTGATCGCCTTCAGACACGTCTAACCGCTAGCAGATATATTGGTGAGCTGATGCAGACGAGTAAAATCACATCAGCGGGAGCTGGCAAGACCAAGGGCAAGGGAAAGAATCGAGTCATCAAATAACAATCAGCGCTCCCATCGCCCGGGCCGCCTGTCTGGAATCTCGTCGGCTTGCGGCGCGGAGCACACCACATCGGCATCCACCCAGACCTCATCGCATCTTTGATCGATACGATTCATCCGACCGTCCTCCACTACCACCTCATCATGATCATCTCTCGTCTCACGTTACGTCAAGAAGACAACAAGCGATTCACCTATACACAATCGCACATTGAGTCGCGTTTACCAGCGGTTGCATAGCGGCATCGGGCCCTCGGCGTTCTTCATTGTCTCCTACTTTTACTTCGACACCCACTTTTCACTTTCGACACTACCGTTTGACTTCTATTCACCACTCTGTTTAGATTCTATCTTCGCCTCCATTAACTATACCACATTGTTTACGGCATTGCTCCATGAGGCTGGACATCTGCTATTTCTGTAATTGTCCGTTGGCGCACGGCGACATGGCGTGTTGGCGTTTTTCGTCATTTGAATGAAGAAGACTTGTCTGGCATGACAAAAAGGCCGATATCGTTCGGCGTAGACACTCGCTCGGCCGAGGATGGCGCTTGGTGTATCAGCCTATAGCTCGTCGCCGAGTTATGTACGGTTTCCGCTGCGTCCTGAAATAAGGGGGCAGTCGGTGCAATGGAACGCATATGGGCTTTGGATATATCTTAGAGATTCCCCCAAATCAATATAGCAGTGTTTGTTCGATCCACAATTTTCGCTCCACTATCGCTTGCTCCGCTTTTCATCTCGCAACCGGATTCTGAGTTGAGACCCTAAATCTTGTTGTTGGATCTCTGCAGCAGCGTCCCAAAACTACGTCTCTCGTGATCAACAACAACGCAATGAAAACAAAAGCAATCTCGTTTCGCTTCCCTCTAGCCTTGGTGTCGCCTCCTATGTTTACCGGGCCTGCTCCGCGGACGCACGTACGCACAATCTACATCGCGCGGATCTCAAGCGGTAAGGCTGGAGGTCAAAACAGGGTTCGCGTCGCGTAGGTCTCCGAATACGATCGAGATCGCATTTGAAAAGGTGATGCAGCTAAGTTGAGCACCATGGCACTTTCCCACTTTGGATGCGTATCCAAATTGTGATAGTCCCGTTACTGAGGCATGTCCCTTTTGGATCGATATCTTGTTTCAGGGAGCCAAGTATGGGTGCAGTCCCTGCTGTCGAATTTGGTTCGGAAACTGTGTTAGGGTTCGGGGGTAGAAAAGTGGGAATGGTACATGTGTTTGGAGTTAGGTATATCTAGCGCGCTTCCTCGAGAGGCAGGAATGGCAGAGACCGCACGAGAGTTGCAACATCTGAATCTTCTAGGTACATTTCGCGCGTATCCTATCGGTGCATTACTTTCATTTGCTGCCTATTTCTTTGGTGATTTCTCTCAAATGATGTCAAAGTTGTGATTAGTGGTGCTTACTACCTAGTCACACGCAGATCCAGGACATCCGGCAAATGTCGTGCACTTTCATTCTCCGACCTTGTATCTGAGTCTATGGTCTCCCATGTATCCGAATGGCGAATAACAGTATCATTGGGACACTAACCTGAGTATGGTCCAAACATGAAAGCATCAGATATGGTCTCTGCTAGACCGTCTCCCGCCATCAAGCCGTTTGCATTCCAGCTGGCTCCTTTATTTGACGGCCATTCCCCAAAAGTATCTCCGTTGTATCCACACCCCGCCATGATTGTCTGATAACAAAGCATAGCCCGCGGAGCAAACGGAAGTGGAGGAGATTTGTTGAGAGGAAACTGGTGGAAAGCATACGAGGAGTCGAAACGATATCCAAGTCGAGCCAAAGGAGATGTATGGGGTGTTTTCCAGAATCAGCAAAGTTCCCATGGGCGGCTATGGCCCAATGAGTGACATAGGGGCCTTGGATGTCATTGATCGCCCGTTAGCATTCTCTACCAGAGGACACTTCTTGGCTCAACGTGTATCCAGAGCCGTCATGGAATGAATGCCTCGAACAATTTTCCATAGGCCGTGTCCGAACTTCAACATAACCCGAGCCACCCTTCTCGCCAGTCTAAAGTGGAATTCAAGGCAGAACGACATAGCTGTGCCAGAACTCCCAGAGTGGGCGACATGTGGCTCGATTGTGCTCAAGCCTCTGCCCCCACCTTGTGCTTGTACTTGTGTGCCAGGATGTATGCTTCCCATACATCCTTTCCATCCACCATGAATCCAAACTTCTTCTTCATCTTCTCCACGGTCATGCCCGTACTGCTGACCCACTCTCGTATCAAATACGTCATACCATTGTCATTGAGAGCTTGAGCGCCAGCGAATGTCGTGTCCAACGCCCGCACACACTTCGGCATGTGTCGCCTAATGACATCGCAGCTCATGTGCATAAGACGACAACATCCAAAGGGGCAGAAGGAATTGGAATAGTTGAGCTCAATATAGCCCTCGGCTGCACGTAGGAAGCCGATCGCTCGAAACACGACCTGTAGCATGTTAGAGTCCTTAGTGGCACAGCTTTGGGACAATCTGCAAATCTACTCGCCATTGTCCATGGAGCTGAGTAACCGCTATGTCATGTACTTGGATCTGGCGTTGTTGAAGATGCATCGAGTTGAACCCCCCAAGCTGCTCCCGTGCAATGCGCGTCATGCCCAGCTGCGTAGTATCTCCCTGGCTACAGAAGCTCAAGCTAATATTCCGCACGGGTTTTAGGCCATTCTGACTAAATAGCGGACGATCCTGAATCCCGTGCTTCAACCCTTCGTCGTCTGGGACGACCTGCCGCGGCGCAACAGATGCCCCAGGTCCTGCTCGACCATCATCGAAATGGAGAACAGAAGATAAATTGTACTGGTAGGACGAAAAGGTTCGTGGACAGGTAGACGGGTACGGCTTCGTCGAGGATCTGGCGGCAGACGCGGAGTAAGGCGACCTCAGGCGCAGATGTAAAGTCAGTAAACTTCAGATGCTCTGGAAGTAGCACTACGTGAATAATTTTGAGACTCGTCACCGCCCGGTGTACCACAGTATACAGGGCGCTGCGACTGATGCAATGATGAAGAGCTAAATTTACGTTCGGTTTCTCGTACTCCTTGCACCTATCGAAACGGCGGCCCTTGCGAATCTCGAAAGCAGTCGGCGTGTAGAAGACTTTACCCACCGTGAGGGCTTGTGCGTAGATGTTTAGGCGCAATTCTGCCGGCAGATCTATGATGCGGAAAACCCGGGATTTCTCTTCTGGGTCGAGCATAGGTGCAGCATCGGTAGGAGCCTCCTGTGGTAGACATGTTAGCATATGATTCTGCGTGGTATGAGGGGATGGCACATCAGCCTGTGAGGATAGTTGGACAGCTTTACAAGCGCACTACAGGCACTGTATCGCTCCTAAGCCTAATTGGTCTGCACTTGAGGGCATGTGCGTGTCTATCACCGTCCAGCTTGCGCCTGCCTACACAATACATGGGCAGCACGAGGCGTGTAGAAGATGGGTTGCAATTGCTTTGATTTCTTGCGTATGCCATTCTGAAATACTTGATTTGCGCGGCGATATCGATTTACCGGCCTAGTCTACAGCCAAGAGACAGATAGAGCCTTCTGAGTAGAACCTATGTCCATACACTTCCGCCAGACCTTGTTCTCCAACTGCTCTTGCGTGGGCACCGCGCGATTCATCTGCTGGCGCGGCGTTGGATACCAGAACTCGTTGGCCTCTGCTTCGTAGTCGTGTTCGGTGAGAACGAGTCGATCTCCGTCCGACATGGCGTTGAAGTGAAGATGTTACCCGTGAGAAGGGCTGATCTAGGTTGAGTGGACGAGACGGTTGAGTGAGGGTGGGTGGCCGCTCCACATGCGCGTAAGGTGACTAAAAAGGAGACTGCGCGTTCTCTGTCGCGGGGTCGCGGCGTGAAAGCGTCATCTCGCAGTTGATCAGTGCCACTTGACCTTCACCCGAAAGTCGATGGCGCGGAGTACATGCATCAGGGCAGAGAGTAAACCTGTCTTTACAAACTATTTCAACAGCTGCCAGGGAAGGCACAAATCGAGTATCAGACACTTGCAGTAGCAACCGCTGGGCGCTCTGAGTTCTTCCTGCCAGGTATCAGCGGACGGAGGGTAATTTACATGTACGGGTGTGCGTTCTCATTTCTAGATCCTGGCTACTGTACCTGATACATCTCGCTGGAAATGATAGCTCAGGGATTCTGAGGCAGGGCCGAGACATCTTCTAACATCACTATCCTGCCTGGACATATTGGAATTTCACTTAGCATTTCGATACTCCAAATACACGTAGATGTCACAAGCCGCTCGCCCCTCCACTGATCACCACTCCTCCAATCTTTTGCTTAAACCTTACATCTTGCACCCGCCATTTTCAAATCCAACTCAAGCGTGCCACAACCTCGCGACGAGTTCCGTGATACCGACGTCATTTGTCTCGAATGAATAGAGAGCGACACCAAGAGCAACGGTACCGATGCGAAGGGCCCAGTCAGCCAGAGCGCGGAGCTTCGGGATGCGCTTCTTGGGAAAGTAGTCGATGATGCAGGCCCTGAATACGTTAGCAACATGTAACATTCCTTGGACATATATGCTGAACGTACTCAAAACCAATGTGCGAGTGAAGGACGAGCAAAGCACAGAGGATAGAATCAGTAACAGGGTTCAGCGAGCCAGCCGCGAACGGGGCAACTGTAAGTGGGACAAGACCAGCGGCGAGGAGTCGCTCAAAACTCCAGTGGTAGCTTCCGTGGGTGTAGTCTGGGTTGGGAATAGGGACGGCCGTATTGACACCTCCCTCAATCTTCTGGGGCAGCGGGGGCAGGATCTGCTGGCGTTGAGTGGCATGGAAGGCAGCGATCCTGGTCGCCTTGGGTACTGCTGAACGCGCAAAGGCCGGGCGGAGTTGCTGGATGAGCGGCGAAGATTGTCGTGCGGTCGAGCTTGTGAAGGTCGAGAAGACGCGCTGGGAGGCGGCGGGGCTGGCAAAGCCTTGCCTGAGCAGGCCGGGGCGCATAATCGAAGCCATTGCTGCTTGCTTGGCTGCGCAATGGAGAGCGGAGAGGAGTGGAGGATGACAACTGACGTGCGGGATGGGCTTGAGGCTCAATGGCATCGACCCGAGGTCGAACGCTGTGGTGCATCTTGATTACGTCGGGTGTCGCTGATTGGCTGCTATGACCACCCTTTCCGGAATAAGCCGATCGCAGTTTCCTCACCTCTCGCCAAGCAGGTACAGCTCCAACGACATCCTCCATCCCATCACAAGCCGCCTCTTCTCCGCCCGCGCGTCCCCGAAACCCGAGCGAGCATACGCAATGGCTTCCCGGCGGCTCGCATTGAACCTGCAGACGGCCCTGCGGTCGAAGGCCGCTATCAACGCCGTCAAGCGCAGCAGACAGTCGCCCTTGACCAGAGGATTGGCAACCCCCGTCTCCCACGGCTCCAAGACCGAGTCTACGACCCTCTCCAATGGCTTCACCGTATGTAGATTTCTTGCACAGCTATCAGGACTGCAATTGACCCCCCCTCGCAGATCGCGACCGAGCACTCGCCGTGGGCCCAGACGTCGACCGTCGGTGTATGGATTGATGCCGGCAGCCGCGCTGAGACGGACAAGACCAACGGAACCGCACACTTCCTTGAGCACCTTGCTTTCAAGGTAAGATGGTGGTATGGAGCAATGAAGGATGGCAGAAGACTGATATCCGGCGACAGGGAACCCAGCAGCGCACACAGCAGCAGCTCGAGCTCGAGATAGAAAACATGGGCGGCCACCTCAACGCCTACACTTCGGTATGACACCTACGCAAGGGGTAGAATCACTTTGGATGGGTTTGCTGACGGGAAGTGACAGCGTGAAAACACCGTCTACTACGCCAAATCCTTCAACAACGACGTACCCGCCGCCGTCGACATCCTGTCCGATATCCTACAAAACTCCAAGCTCGAGCCTCAGGCCATCGAGCGCGAGCGAGACGTCATCCTCCGCGAGCAGGAGGAGGTCGACAAGCAGCTCGAGGAGGTTGTCTTCGATCACCTGCACGCTACCGCATTCCAGGGCCAGCCCCTCGGACGCACTATCCTCGGCCCCAAGGAGAACATTGAGAGCATCCAGAGGTCGGATTTGGAAAACTACATTAAGACCAACTACACCGCCGACCGCATGGTTCTTGTAGGAGCTGGTGGCGTTCCCCACCAGCAGCTCGTTGAGCTCGCTGAGAAGTACTTCTCCAAGCTACCTGCCGAGGCTCCCAACTACTCCGGAAAGATCGTCGCCGAGCAGAAGCAGAAGCCCGAGTTTATCGGCTCTGAGGTTAGGATCCGGGACGACACCATGGGCTCCGCCAACATTGCCATCGCTGTTGAGGGTGTAAGCTGGAACGACGAGGACTACTTCACTGCCCTCGTTACCCAGGCCATCGTTGGCAACTGGGACCGTGCTATGGGCAATTCCAACTACCTTGGCTCCAAGCTCAGCTCTTTCGTCTCCCAGAACAACCTCGCCAACAGCTTCATGAGCTTCTCCACCAGCTACTCAGACACTGGGTAAGTTCCTGTTGGAAAATCATTGGTAAGATACACCATGCTAACAATACCAGTCTTTGGGGTATCTACCTTGTCACCCCCTACGTAGACCGCATCGATGACTTGGTCCACTTCACCCTCCGCGAATGGTCCCGCCTGTCTTCCCACGTCTCCAACGCCGAAGTGGAGCGTGCCAAGGCTCAGCTCAAGGCCTCCCTCCTCCTCTCCCTTGACGGTACCACTGCTGTTGCCGAAGACATTGGTCGCCAGATCATTACCACCGGCCGCAGGTTAGCACCCGAGGAGATCGAGCGCGTTGTTGGTGCCATCTCAGAGAAGGATGTCATGGATTTTGCTAAGAGGAAGCTTTGGGACCGCGATGTTGCTGTCTCAGCTGTTGGCCAGCTCGACGGCCTATTGACCTATGACCGTATAAGGAACGACATGAGCAGGATGCTGTCATAAGCGTGACTATAGACGGGGTTGAGCATGAGAGAGTGTATAGTGGGGCGTAGCGTGGGCTACCTGTATTTTGTGTACACTTAGCTGAATCTGATACAGAAAGATTTCCTATTGCCGTTTGCGGTTGCATAAAATTTGATCTTAATTATGTGATATTCAATAGTCTGGGGAATCCCTCCGCGAACATCACGTCGCCATGCGGAACTACTTTAAAGAACAACACTGTGTTATAGCTGCTCATATAAAACAGCACAAACGATAACGATTGAAGCTATCAAATCACTCAACCAAAAGTGACGGCAGGTGCACCAGGCAGCTCAGTAAGCCATCCCTCCGCATCCTCATGCACGGACTGCGCTTTTGCACACTTTGTGCTCACAGTACTTGTCTGCGTCTTGAGCGTCTTGCACGCGTTGCCACTGCAACGAGCATCGAGCGCTTTCTGAAGCACGCCGTCTTTCCAGCCGAAGACGTCTGTCATTGTCAGTAAGTGTCAAGCTCACGCTAGGGAGGGGCTCTAGAGGTTTCTTACAATCACCATGTTGGCCGTACCCGGTGCCGTCGCCCATGCTGTAGACGAAGGGCTGCGAGCCGTCGGTCGGCCAGAGGGAGTTGTCGTTAAAGACTGTGGTGTCCCACATTACTTCGTACCTGAGAAGGGTTAGTGAGTGTGCTGGTGGACTGGAGGGCGAGTGGGTGCTTACATTAGTTGGGGAAGTTTGACTGGGTGCGTGGACGGACAGGGACCGCCAGATTCGAAAGAGCCCGATGTCGGGTACGCGACGTGCTCTTTGTGGTCTATGGATGTTTAGCATACGAAGATTCTACACGCATTCATACTCACTTGGAGAGTCGAGGTTTTTGCCGTCCCAGCATCTGTTATCTGTCAATTTCCGTGACGTGTGCAGGGGAAGGGATGGCGTACGTAGGGAATGTGATGGTGGTGCGAATACCGCCTCCACACTGCTTCTTCGGCAAATCATACGTATCATCCCCCGTACACGGCGCACCGCCAAACGGATCTTGCTTCTTGTTCGCAAAGCACCTATGACACAGCTGCTTCTGCTGACCTTCTTTTGTCCTTAGTCCCGCGTCGCCGACGAGCATACGGAATCCCTTGGGGAAAGCAGTGACTTTGCTCTTGCCGTCGTAGGGCGGGATGTAGTACACCGTCACGCCCTCGCGGCCTTGCAACCCGAGATTCACCATCTGAGGAACCCGCTTGTATGTTCCGTTCTTGGCGCGGAAGTACAGGTTTGCAGTCCAATAGTTTGACAGGTCTTCAGCATAGTCACAGGTCGTGCATGTTGACTTCTCCGCTGGGTCGTAGGTAACCGATGTCATAGTGGCGTTAAAGGAGTTGCCGCCGACGATCTGTGAGTCTGTGTAAATTAAGGAGCGGGGAAAGGAGGAGAGGAGACTGACTTGGTGCATATGTGTGCTCGGGAGCAGACCGGGCTGTACGAGGGGATCGATGCGGTCGTAGACAAGTTGCGAGCACTGGAAGCGCATCATGGCTGCTTGCGCGAATTGGCGTGCCATGAGGCCATTTGCGGGTCCTGCAGAGGCATCTTGCGCGGTGAGCGCGAGGGTGAGGAGAAGTGACCACTGCATGTTGGCTTGGATTTGCTCAGAAGCAAGACAAAAGCAACTCTGAGAAGTACTGAAAAAGAGTGAGGGCGGTGTAGCGATTGCACTTGGCGCGTATATGAGCTTGGGTCCGCTTTGATTGCCATGCTGCCGTTATATTGGACGTACCACACTGCATCCCCGCATTCCATGTGGAGACAGTGTGGTTGTGAAAATTGTGGGTGGGTCGTCGCCTGTCGGAGTATGCGCGGTGAACTGCCGCAGATTGAGGCTTAATTGCTCATGTACTCGGTCATGTCAACCAATGAGAAGAGGTCCCGCAAGATAAAAGGCCAGACACAGAATGTCGAGTCATTGAACTGGGATGGCCACTCCAAGGACGGAAGGAAGGAAGGAAGGAAGGAGTTAAGGGTGGTGATAGTTGTAGTGGTGATAGGAGGTGGTCGGTGGCGAGCACTGTGGTTGCTCTACATTCGTTATATTATGGAAGATTTTGATAACCAATACAACATATGCTGAAAACTGGTGGCACCCAGATGGTTCCTCAGTAGGAGATCCTTAGTAGGAGATCACTGCTCTTAACTTTGCATGCGATAGTGCGCTAGAGCTCACGTAATGAACACATAGCGTTGCCAAGTAGTCGAGACTTCCTGCGGAGGAGGTGACGGAGAAACACAGCTTCTATGTGTTTCAAATTATCTACGTCATGCGCAGGAACATAACCCTAGCTTGCATTCTACACGCGCTGTGGTTAGGTATCTTTAGTCGATTGTTCCGAATCGGCTGTCATTTGACAATACCCTGGCGTTCCTTGAGTTTTTCATGGTTGGAGGCCTGTCGCTCAACAATGCATCGGTGTAGCCGCGCCTGAGCTGCGCATATATCTAAAGCGACTCAAAGATCCAGTTCCGGAACGGTAAAAGTGACCTACGATCACAGCTGGACGGAAACGTATGAGGTCAGTAGCGCATCTGCCTGCGTTCTGATGAAGGGTGCGTGTTTATCAACGGCCCCGATGTGTGTTTAGCGTACGCAAGGGCGACTCGGTCCATAGAGTGTGCCGGTCTGTTCTCTTTGCCATCAGTAATCCGGGAAATCCCTATCCACATTGTGTCTCCAGGCTCGTAGCCCACCTCGAATATCGCCAATCCATCTCTGACCTCCATTGTCAAGCCCAAGCTCTTTCATCTTCTTGACGGTAATCTGGGAGTCATTGCCCAATCTGCACACAACGAATATCGGCTTATCGGTATGTTGCCTCAACTCTGACACCCAACCTGATTCTAGACCTGTCTCAGTCGCTGTTCCCTTGCAGTCGTCAGCGGGAGTGCTGGAGATGGTTGAGAAGGGTATATTGACGCTCCCTTCAAGACTGCAAATTTCGAACTGGACCTTCTCACGGACGTCGAGCAAGATGTGACTGTCTTTGCTTGGTTCCAGTCCAGTGAATGGATTTACATCCAGTCGGATTTTAGCGTAGTTCTCTGCGGATATGCGCTCATTGGAGCTTAGCACATCTATGGGATTGATTGTGCCACAGAACTGTACATAGTCCAGACTTCCAGAGTTGAGGACTTCGGGTGTTATTGTTGCGTGTGTGGAACAGACAGCACACTTTGGCTTCCGCGTTCGCAAACGGATAGTTCGAAACATTGGGTTGGCGTAAGCAGAGAATATGAGCAAAGACGGAGGGTCCGGTGACGCCAATCCATCTGATAAGGCAGATGGTCCCCTCGTCAAAATTTTGATGGTCTCTAGGGCTTGTAGTACACCCATGGTACCCACAACTGGACCGAGTATACCGCCATCTCCGCAAGAGACGACTGATTCTGGTGGTGGTGGCTTTGGGAAGACGCATCGGTAGCATGGGCCGCCAGCTGTGTCCCCTGGGGGACGAGGTGGGTAATTCAGGACCATCAACTGACCGTCGGTTCGAAGGGCCGAAGCTGAGACTAGGGGTTTTCCAAGCAGGACACATGTGTCAGAGACCAAATAGCGCGAAGCTGGAGTATCAGTGCAGTCTAAAACCAGATCATACGGCTGAAATGTAGAGACGGCTGTCTCGGGTGTAAGTCGACCATGGTGCGGTACCATATCAACGTTGGGGTTGAGTCTGTAGGTTATGTTAGCATACAAGTAATTGACGGCGTTGATCGAAGCAGAAACGTACGAATGCAATGCGATCATGGCGCTTTCCACTTTAGGCATGTTGACTCTTGCGGCGGAATGCAGTATCTGGCGGTGAAGGTTGGATTCCTCGACAGTATCCCCATCAACGAGTCCTACTGTGCCAACGCCTGCGCCGACCAAGTAAGCGGCTGCTGGACAACCCAGCCCGCCGACACCAACGATCAGTACAGAGGCACCTTTCAAACGGAGCTGACCTATTCAAGCTTGTGAGTCCTCATTCTATCACGATGTAGGCGGGCAGCCTACCTTGAAGGCCGATCTCAGGCATGATCAACTGTCTTCCATAACGCTTGTACTCGTTCGGATCTAACGGCCAACGTTTTGGAGAAGGAATTGACTCTTCGGGTTGTGACAGCGCAGCCAGAATCTCGGCTCTAAAATCATCATGAACTCCATGGGAAAAGTCGTAAGCGAGTGGGTATGGTGCGCAGTGTTCGCTTTGCTCTGACTGCAGGTTGGACCGCTGTTGCTGGCTTTGATATTCAGCTTCGGCGAGCTGCCGCTTCAGATCCTGGAGCTGTGATTCACATGACGTAATTTGCTGGCGCAATGAGTTTATCACTGTCTCAGGACCCATGTTCGTTTTTCTGAGATGTGGTGACGTTGAACTCGATGGTCGTCGCGGGGCGGTTCACCAGATCGGCAGTTGCAAGCTAGCCCCTTCTGATTTTAGCAAGAACACGTGAGCTCCATCAGTCCATGGATGGAGCGCTGCAGGTTCGAGCGAGCAACGTGCTAAATGACATTACTGCTGGCTACGTGTATGTGTGCTTCGCCAGCTGAAACCCACCACCTGCAATACGTGCACGATTTACTCGAATCACCGCCTGGGCCGACGTGATTGCGCCAGATACAAGCCACGGGTAGAAATCTCCCGCTGCATGCCCAGCCCAGGCCCGTCACTTGGTTGCTTATTCGTGGGCTGCTCAGGTTGTATCGGCCTGACAGGCCAGCCTTCAATTCGCCCGTGTTGCACAGCCGTTGTTTCAGTACGTCTACACCGATGGAAGGCTTGCGAATGAGCTCCAGACGACACGATGTCTGATGTTTCGACACGGTCAGTGAGCTGACCTCTGAAGCATGGCGAAAACCACCCAGGTAGTACCTAATCGTTTCGTTGTCCGTTGGAATCCCTCCCTTCCCGGCGCATGGCTTGCCCTCGGTGCCCAGTCACGGATTGTCTCTTCAAGATTGGTCAGGAGGCTGCCACCGCCTTTCAAGCCTACCAAAAGTGAGCTTCGGACGTTCTAGTTTACGATACCGAATGACTGGCACATGTGTGTCTAGGCACGAGTCTAGGCGGGAGACGGACGCGGGTCGACGTGCGATGGCGTCCCTGGCGTTGTGCAGATCTTCGATTCGCAGCGCGCACAAGGTTCCACGCTCCCCGAAGACCAGAATCCCCCGCGATGAGCCTACATCTGTTCGCAGCACTGCCAAGCCACGATGCAGACAGACTCGTCCAAAGCTCCGAGATTGGTGGGAGCAGCAGACATGGTTGCCTCTGAATGCGGCAGCTGTCAGTGGCTTGCCGCGCGGGCATATCTCGTAGCACTAGCACGCAGCAAGCGCCCGTTGGACCTGGAGCGCGGCGTCACGGAAGTGCGTTCCCTACCTAATAGGAGATATTCGTTCAAAAGCGTCACGACCCCACGTCACCTGCGCTAGAACTCAGACCTTGCGAATTCGTCGAGCATTATCGGACACGACATTACAGTTCCATCTCCGCATGCGCGACCATGGACTCAGTCTGTACGACCTGCACAGGCTTACACAAGCATCTCAAAGAGCCCCACCAACATCACGAGACAGAGCCACTCGGTTCGGTGCGCTGGGTAGACACCACCTTGCCACATCTGCGAGTCTCTTCCGGAGCTTGCCGTGGGTGCGCACTGCTTCTGCAGGGAATCCTACTACATCATGGACGATTTGCAACCATCAAAGAGGATAAAATCAGAGTAATCGCTGAAACATTCCATTCGGTACGACCGACCCTTTCACAGGATCACTTATCCGTTGAACTGCGATGGAATCACCACGAAGACGAATGTGACGACATGAGTGACCATGAGCACGAAGAGGATTACCCAGACTTGAAACTGGAGCTTTTCACAGATCAAGGTATGTGGCACAAAACCCACGTTTTTGTAATTGAATATCACTAGTACATGTCGGTCTAGCCTATACAGCACCCCCAAAACGACCCGAGAAGATCAGCTGATAGTGCTAGATGGTCAGTCGGCATTCTCCGCTGTTGGCCGCGGGCGCCACATCATCACGAATCCACTCCATGAGTCTGGCATCAAGACGATACAAAGCATGTTACACCGGTGCAAAGCCAATCACTCCTTGTGTGGAGATGGGACACCCGGCTTTCTACCTCACAGAGTACTCGATCTTTCTGCAGGGGATCTCTTCAAGGGTATCCATTTACAGGAGTTCGAGGCCCATGCAATCCCCCAACAGAGTCACTGCGAGTATTTGGCACTCTCGTATCGCTGGGGCATAGGCCGAGGGATGCCACAGACTACCTCGAAAACACTCAGCGCACACAAGAAGAACATCCCATGGGATACATTGCCGAGAGCTTTTCAAGAGGCTGTTGTGCTTACAAAGGCACTCGGCGTACGCTTTCTATGGATTGACTCACTTTGCGTTGTCCAGGACGATCCTGCGGATAAATTGCGCGCATCACTGGGGCTAGACGACATCTTTGGCAATGCATTTCTTACCGTTGCAGCGACATCCGCGGCGGAACCAACAAAGGGACTGCTTGCGCCCAGAATGCAGACATTCAAGGTTCAAGCGACTGACAGTAAGGGTTCAGTTTCGAAAGTTTATGTTCGGGAACAACCGTCACATTATAGCTTCAAAAAGCCATACGACGCAGGCTCATCCATGCATAACTGGGAGCTTCCGTCCAATGCATCGAAAGAGGCCAACGCGCACACGCCGCTGCTGACACGAGCCTGGGCATACGCAGAGAGACTGCTCTCACCACGTATAATCCACTTTACAGACAGTGAAATGATATTGGAGTGTCGCGAAACTTTCCAGTGCGAGTGTGGCAGGATTGATGATGCGAGATACGATCCGAGGAAGACTGATTCGATCAAGAAAGACTTTGCAAATTGTGCGGCTTTGAGCGACGCAAATGGACACCGACGAATGGACAGTGTTGTCTCCCAGCTCGCCAACACAAGTATTACCGACGCAAGCAACGATCCACCTCCAGAACCAGCAGATCCTTTCGAATTGTGGAATTACATAGTGACGGAGTACACTGCTCGAAGTCTCACTTACGATGCAGATCGATTGCTAGCTATCGCAGGTGTTGCTAAGAGCCTTTCACGAGCTATTAATGCAAGCTACATCGCAGGCCACTGGACAAGCAGCACACTCGGTTTACTATGGTATCCAAATGACGGCATTCAATGCCGTCGGCCTAAGCAGGTCGCAGGCCGCAACGTACCAAGCTGGTCTTGGGCATCTGTGGAAGGCTCTCCGATCTTCTTCGACAATTCATCTGCTATGGATCTGGCCTGCTCTGCTTCTTTCCCGGTCGGCCCTCAAAACGTGTTTTCACCTTTCAGCGGTGACACTGTCGAGCTTAGAGCGGCCATGACTACGGAGGTCACTTTCAATGAGGATACACCGAACGAATACTCGCTCTCCAAAAACGGGATTAGCGTAGAATTTCTGCCTGATGTTATACCCCTTCGTGGGGAAGACACGGTGCAGCTTGGCGAGACGCTCGTTTGCGCTTTGCTCAGCATGTCTTTCCGCTCTTCCATCCTCGGCCTTGTTCTCAAGAAGTCCCGGACGAAAGTACCGACTTACAGACGCATTGGTCGCTTCGAATGCTATGAGTGCTTGAAAGACGGTAGCGATGAAGAGCCAGAGGACGCGGAAGCGTTGTTCGAACACTGGTTCCCCGAAGTGGAAGATATGACACAGCTGGATGAGCGCCCTCGGTACATTTTCAAAATCATTTGAATGAATAGCTTGTTTCTCAATCTTTATCGACTTTCTTCGGCTCGGTCGCTTTACTAGGATGGTGTATGATACCAAAGATTATTCGTTTCCCCCGAGTCTTGCTCTATCCTCCGTCTGTCCCAATTTGTGAAGCCCCTGAGCTATTTTTGGCACCATCTACTGCCAGTATACCCACTCTTCTATGGATTCGCTCGACGCTATTGGCCGGGTTTACAGGTCTTTCATACCTATCTAGGTTCGACGTAGCTTTCTGGACGACAAAAGACCCTGGCTTAACGATGTGGCGGTCATCATCTACGGGGATGTGGGGCGATATTAAGAGCACGCAGGCACCGCTGCACTTTAACCGCGGATTGATAGACCAGCACACCAGCTAGGAACATTGCATATCACAATGCGTTCTTGGAATTCTGACATATGAGCGAGGGCAACCATCTCCCGCATTGGCAATTAATCCAATTCAATTTTGCATTGTAGATTCGTACAAAGGCTGATCACCGCTTACATCGGATTTCCGCCTTCACACAATCCAAGATGGTGCGAACCATCGCCATTGCAACGGCTTTCGCCGCAATTACATCAGCGCACTGCACGCGCCCGCTCCTCAAAGAAGCAGTCGATGCTTACCTTGCCGCCCAAACAATCGGCCAAATCGACACCTTCACCACCCACTTCGACAACTCCACCTGGCTTGGTTATCACGAGAACTCTGTCAAAGTAAACATAACCTCCGGAATTCTCACCAAGCCTCTCGCCATCACGCACAATCGCTCTTTCTACGACACATCCTCCTGCGCAACCTTCACGGAGGTCATTGTGAACAACACAACGAATCCTTACATTATTGGTACGCAGCTGCGCTTCACTAACCACAAGATCAACAAGGTGGACTCGGTGGTCACGAGACCTGGAGACTGGCTCTTCAACGTCACGGGATACGTGTACTGGACCGCGTACGAGAACTGGGAAGCCATACCCGAAGAAAAACGCGACACACAACTCACCATCCGCAAAGCCGCAGACGCCTATCTAGATTTGTTCAATAACAAGAACGTCACCGTGCCATGGGGTACACCTTGCGTGCGCCTCGAAGGCGGACTGTATGGCGATCCTGGACCGAATGGGACGTGTGATGTTGGCGTGCCGTCGGGCGTGCCGCTCACGAATAGGCGCTACGTGATTGATGAGACGCTTGGGAGTGTGGATGTACTACTGGACTTTGGGAATAGCAAGTGGCCGGACAGTCATTTATTTCGAGTGGAGAATGGCAAATTGAGATACGTGCATACGATCACTCATTGTGGGATTGCCAATTGCGGGGTTTGAGGCATGTCTGGAGAGGTCGTACTCGGTTTTTTTGAAGAACGTTCGGGTTGCTAGTATAAAGTGGAAACAGAACCTTACCGGCGAGGTGTTCATTATGTAATAAAAACAAATGTGATTATTCAAGACTTCCCTATCCTAAGCCTACCTGGCTACAAATTTGCATCTCAATCATTTGCACAAGTTGATACGAGCGTTGAAGATTTTCCATGGAAGGGCGGGAAGAAGACGGCAAAGGATGTGTTCCCGGATATGCCCGAGGAATTGAGTCAGGAGAAGGGATGCTGAAATCTCGGCTTTTGCGGCCTACACGACATCTTCATTGATTGCACAAACAGCCAGCATTCAAAGCGAAGCTCATTTCATACTTCTTATCTATACAATGCACCTTAGCATGTGTCTCTGGTACTCATAGATATCTACCGCCCTCGACTGAAAATGATCAATGGAAGTTAAACGCAAACACTGAAATTGTACACTGCCAGTCTGGTCTTCAGCCCATACCCACGACACGAACGCCAGCGCAATGCAAAGGGATAACAATTGGAGAGTTTTGGAGTTTAGCGCAGAAGCGCATTAGGCACACAGTCATAGGACGAATGATGAGGTTAGGGAACGTGGAAACCTGCATCAGCAGTGAGGCTGCTTTCGACACGGAATGTACTCAGCTGTGTGATGAGGAGTACTAGTCTCTCACACTGAGACCAGAGCGGTTGGTGAACATGCGGGTGGCGATATTCATAGCCATAAGCTCCTGGAAGAGAAGCTTAGCGGCGTAGGGAATCTGGATCTGGCTGATGCGCGTCTTGTTGTGGCACGGACGGCATTCGTATTGACCCTTCTTGATTTGGCTGTATCATAATTAGTATTTGCACATACGACTTGAGTGGTAGGAATACGTACGCAATCGGGCTCATCAATCCACAAATGTCGCACACATGGACCCTGTACGCATCCGAGACCTCAAAAAGACGCTCTTTGAGGAACGCCGCCGCACCGTGCGCGATCATGCAATCGCGCTCCATCTCTCCGAAACGAAGACCGCCGTCACGCGCACGACCCTCAACAGGCTGTCGAGTCAGGATCTGGAGAGGTCCACGCGCACGAGCGTGGATTTTGTCGTCGACCATATGCCTCAGGCGCTGGTAGTACGTAGGACCCAGGAAAACCTGGGCTCGCATCTTCCGACCTGTGTGGCCGTTATACATGATTTCGAAACCGCGCTTCTGGAAGTCCGCCGCCTGCAAAAGATCGGAGACATGGTCCACAGTGACACCACAGAAAGGAGTTGCGTCACCTTCCTGTGCATTGATTGCGCCGACCTTGGACAGCAAACACTCGACCAAGTGGGCAATAGTCATACGAGATGGAATGGCATGGGGATTGATGACAATATCCGGTGTGAGACCGTCCCGAGTGAAAGGCATGTCTTCATGACGGTACGTGATACCAATGGTACCCTTTTGACCGTGACGTGAGGCGAATTTATCACCGATTTGTGGTACCTTGGTAGTTCGCGTGCGCACTTTGACGAATCGCAGACCTTCTGTGTTCGTAGTGAAGAGGACTTGGTCAACGATCCCGTTCTCCGTGCTTCTCAGCGGAGTGGATACATCGCGCTTCGTGTGGTTGGCCGACTTTTGACCCAACTCCTTAGCATCGTCCATTGGAATAGGTGCCGTCTTTCCAATGATGATATCGTCGCCGGAGACACGAACACCCGGCGCGACAATGCCGTCATCATCGAGTTTGTCGTATGTGCCACCCTTCATCCTCATCGTATCCATGCGCGTCGGTTTCTCAAATTGCTCCAAGACATTGACACCGATGCGCTTCTCTTGCTCTGTATATGCGCGGTAGAACAAACTCCTGAAAAGACCGCGATCAATACTGCTCTGGTTCATGATGACGGAATCTTCTTGGTTGTACCCAGAGTAACACGCAATAGCTACGATGGCGTTCTGTCCAGCGGGCAGCTCACGGAACCTAAGGTATTCCATAGAACGCGTGGTTGCCAAAGGTTTTTGAGGATAGTATAAAACATTCATCATGGTCTCCATGCGCAGTGCGTAGTTCGTTAGCGCGACACCCATAGCTTGTTTACCCATAGCGGATTGGTAAGTGTTACGAGGAGACTGATTGTGGTCAGGGAATGGGATGATACTGGCGCAGATACCAAGGATCATGGCAGGATGGATCTCGCAGTGGGTGTACGCGTTGACAGTGCGGTTAACCGGCGGTTTGAGAGGCGCAAGACGTAGGGACTTGAACTCCTCCTTTGTATAGTCTGGCTTTCCAGCTTCAGGCATACCCTCCTTAGCCACTTCACGCCATTCAGTCAAGTCTTCGGGCGACATGACAATCATGGCACTCTCTTCTTCCTCGGCATCGAGATACTCCACACAACCATCATGGAGGAGGCCTTTCCATCCATACTTGTAGTGGTCTGTATCCTCATCGTTCATGCCAGATGTGTCTATTTCCTTGTCGGCCAAGAGCTTCTCGAGATGACTCCGGTTGAAGATCAAGTGATCCTTGTTCGGCTTCTTGGTGTCGTTTTCAACAGTAAAAAGCGGCCTCATAACGCGACCAGCATCCGTGAAGATCTTGAACTCACGATCTCGGATATCTCGAATCAAACTCATTTCGTACGATAGCGTTCCGTTCCGGCGAAGTTCTTGTACGTTCGTGACTAGCTGTTGCGGATTATTGTGTGTTCCCACCCACACACCATTGACGAAGACTTTAGTAGCACTTGGGTTCATTATAGGGTCGTACTCCTCGAGAAGCTCCATGTTACGACCCGTCATGTAGTCGATGATGGGCGCGCTTTCACTGCCAACACTGACGTAGCACATGAGTGACAGATTCTTGACAAGTCCACAAGCTTGTCCTTCGGGTGTCTCAGCAGGACAAACAAGACCCCAGTGACTGTTGTGAAGCTGGCGAGGTTTGGCTAGCTTGCCGTCTCGACCGACCGGTGTATTCGTTCGCCGCAGATGGGACAAGGTGGATGCATAGGTATACCGATTCAACACTTGTGATACACCGGCCTTGGCTGAGGCAGCCTTCTTCTGGTCTCCCCAGTTACCAGTGGCGAGTGAGTACTTCAGTCCGTTAGTAAGGATGCTAGCCTTAATAGCCATCTGAACGTTGAAATCTTGATTATTCTCCACGCATCGCTGAAGATATTTGTAGACGTCCTTCGTAAGTTTGAGGAACAAAATGCGGAACAAGTTCGCGATCAAAGGACCGGCAAGATCCAGACGCTTCTTGCCAAAGTGGTCACGATCGTCCTCTTCTCGTCGACCCAATACACACTGGAGTAATCGGTGAAGCATGTAGCCGAAGAAGAACGCCTTTCGCGTGTCCTGGCCTTCCCGTTGTGAAATATGCGGCAGGAATTCTCTTTGCATGATATCTCGCGCAAACTTGAGACGCTTGTCTCTCGGACCCTGCTGGTTGCCCTGTGCTCGACTACCAAGCCAGTTCAAAGCGCTGTCCCTGTCCTGCACCACGGAGGCTTCTTCAATGCTAGGTTTCAAGAGTTCCATCATAGCTGTATCGTTCCGATCATAGCAGATGTGGTTCAGAATGTCCTCATCCGATACTACGCCGAGCGCACGGAAAACGATGCCCATTGGCACATCGGATTTGACGTATGGGAGCAAGCCGTACGCGAAGGGACCCGGTGTTCGCGGCTGGAGGAGCGAATTCTCTGCCCATTTGATGTTGAAAGATGAAATGAGACGTGTACCCTTCTCTACGGCGCTGCGTATTTCAGCTGTCCATGGCACCGGCCCTTGCTTCTTGCGGAAAACTTGAACGATGTTCGCGGCGCTGCGCTCCTGGGCGATCAACACTTTCTCACTGCCGTTTATGACGAAGTAGCCACCCTGATCGTACGGGCACTCGTTGAGCCCGAAAAGCGCCTCGTCGTTCTGACTTCGCAGGTGGCACAGCTCCGAGCGAAGCATGACCGGCAGCTTCCCGAGGAACACCCTGTTTTCCGCGCTGTCACTCGATGGAAGATCTTCCCGCTCCCACTTGATCTGCGAACCCCCGAATTGCTCCACGTCATCGTCCTCTTCATCCATGCCTTTGACCTCGCGCGCCACCATGATCTTGTTGTCGATGTTCGCCATCATGGCCGAAGAATACGTGAGGTTGCGCAATCGCGCCTCGTGCGGGTATAGCTGGATGGTCGTGCCATCGCCTTCGGTGTGCGAAGGGCGCGCCAGAAAGACACGGCCAAAGGAGATTTGGTAGCGGCGCTTGATGATGGGATTATGGTCGTCGTCGTAGGAGTTTGTGTTCTGGTCGAGGATGACGTTACCGTTCTCTGACACGATGTCCTGAATGGTATTGCGCGTGAACTCATCGTAAGAATCGAGCTGCTGCGAGACCAGGCCCTTTGTGTCGAAGAAGGAGGTGATGACGGCCCAGCAGTCCGAGGAGGCGATGCCGTCGTCGTCCTCGTACAGCTCCTCGTCCTCCACATCGTATTCGTATGCATCGGCCATGGCTGCGCGCGAACAGGGTGACCGAGATGCAGGTGGGTGGGTTGAGCGCGGGGTGAGTCGCTGGGGCGCTCTTTCTTCGAGCGCGATGGCGGCCGCCTCATGAAAGAACGGCGCGGAGGTTACCTAAGCAGCCTGGGCACTTTGCGCTAGCCCCTTTAGCCTTAGGGCAACGTCTTATTGAGCTTCACCACAGAAGTGTTCTTTGTTCAAGCCGGGATTGAGCTTCCATGATCTATTACTTCTGCGTGTTTGCCCGGCTCTCAGTAAATAAACAACAGGCGTCCTCACCTATGCAGGGAACATCTATAGCGCTGAAGACTTCTCTTACCAACGGTTGCAGCACAACTTCTGCTGCCAGATCTTCCATTTACTAACGATTTTCAAAGATAATGCGATGTATATCCAAGACATCGTTTTAGAATAGTAATGAACTCAATTCGAAAATGCTAAATGACCAAGGTATCTTTCACCGACCCAAAAGAATGTTTCATTCAACTCCAAAGCTCTATACAAATGAGCGTCCAAGATGTCCCCCAATGCCATGCTTCGTAAAGAAAGAATGAATATCCGCACTTTAAGCCAAAACGCCCTTTTGATGCGGATAAAAAGTATACACAGTGTCTTAAAAACTCCTCGAAATATTTACACATTAAAATGGTCGCCGTCGCCGCCGCCGCCGGGTATTTACAAGTCGTCCGTTTTTCTTTTTTGATTCTTCTTTCTAATGAGAGGGATGGTCAAGGTGCCTAGACCTTGATAGTAGGAGCATTGTTAATGCCCGTGAAGCGCTTGTCCTATTGTACAAATCTTAGTGAGATACAGGACGAGGAGCTAGAGGAGAACGTACGACCCAGAGGTCAGCGATATCGAGGGGAGCGCGTGTGGTGCGTGTGTGCATTCGCGGGGATGAGGATGGGAATGGGGCGGGCGGCGGCAAAACCAGTGGCCATGGCGGCCACGGTGATGAAGATGGTGGAGAACTGCATTTTGAGAAAAGGTTGTGGTGGTGATTGGTTGTAAAAATTGAAGTTGTGGAATTCGAAAGAGTGTGTCAGATATTGTAAGCTGGAAGCTGAAAGGACTGATGTAGTCTGGCAGTGTGTTGTATTGAGCTGATGAGCTGTGTGATACTCTTCTATGCTACTAACTCCCTCTCCATATATACTTTCCAACTTTGCCATGTCGAAGCCACAATGACGGACTCCGCAGTCAACTTGTCTCTACGATGTCACTGTCTCGGGTACCAGCTCACATGTTCGGGCACAATGGTACCTCTTACACATGCTCGGCAGCACTCCAGATTCTTCCTAGAATTCGAGGCGCTTGGTTCGGTGGTCTGCTTTTGGCGCTGTGAGGCTACACACAACGGTTCGGGTAATCCACTCGGCGATCCTGATTCGGCACACGCTACAAACTCGACCTATAAGAGCTTACCCGAGCGGACTTTGACTGGGGTGAGCAGAGGACTAGGCGCGGATGGTTGCGCAGTGCATGCAGATAGTCTATGCTGAGGGTTGGTGAGAGGATATTGGTGAGGGCCGGTGGTCGTGGAAGGGGGGCTTGTGGCGTGTTTCAAGACTTTAAATAACGTGCAGAATCGCAATCTGCACCCGGGGTCCAACGTCAGGCAGGAAGATGCGATCGCAAGCTAGCTTGTACGAAGCTGTCAATATGGTTCAATGTTGTGATTCGTATTGCGACATGATCGACTGACGCGTACCGATTCTCGACGTACGGCTCAGACTGATGGACGAAAGTTCTTGAATGGGACGTGATATCATGGAACTCATTCCAAAACTGACGGTGCTACCTGCACCTTTTGATACATCAGATATACACAATAACAGTGACTCCAGCCTCGCTTGATCGACCGACCTTTCAATCTCGCCGCCGCCGATCATCCCTCCTATGTCCGTCGCGACTTCTGTCTCGCCGGCTGTCTCGATAGCGATCTCTGCTGCGATCTCGCCGGCGTTCTTCGTGCCGTGTGCTCTCATATCGACCATCCCCATCTCTATCACGACGATCGCGTCTTGGGCTCCGGCTACGATTCCGCTCCCATCTATCATCGTGATATGACTGTTCTAGACGCTCTCTTCTGCGACCATCGTCTCTACGTAAGTCACGTTTATCGCGACTCCCATTCTGTTTTGAGTGCGATCCTCGTGAACTGTCTTTGGCACCATTCGAAGGCGCATCACGATCGATGATCAGATTGCTGACGACCGAGTCGCTAATGATTTCGCGGCCATGATCACCACGGTATTGCTTCTTCCTCTGCAGATTGTCGATACCACCAAAGCCGCCGCCTGCTGCACGTCGTCGCTTCATGTTGGCGTTATCTCGCCAATCGTCCGCGATCTTGGAAACGCTCTGTGAGAAATCGACGTGAATGCGGTGATCGTCAATAAGCACGCCATCCATCTTGAAATATGCCTGTTCGCACTCTTTCTGGTCAGAGTATTCAATGAAAGCATACTGGAGACTATCGCCGGAATTCTTGTCGCGTATGATTTCGCAGCTCAGGATTTTGCCGAACCGCGAGAAAATGAGCTCCAGATCCTCGTCCTGAGTTACAGGATTCAGTTTGCAGACAAACAGTACGTTCTCGGGTGGTGCGACTTCGGCGAACGGTAAATCGCCCACCATTTCTAGTGTGAGTGCCTGTGCGCGCGCCTCTCGTTCGCGACGAACCTTTTCCAAAGCTTCTGGGTCAGTCTCTTGCTCCAAAGTTTCATCGTGCCCCACGCGCACCGTAGCGAGCTGGGCAGCAGAAGGTATGGGGCTCTCTGGCGGTTCGACGAGGTCTTTTGGATCGTCGTATGGATCATCCAAGACGACAGTATGCAGTATGCGAATGTCCTTCAGCGGTCGACCCTTGTCGTCAATGAATGCGGCGTTGATCTTCTCCAAGACATCAAAGCCCTCCACAACCTGCCCAAATATCGCAGCTTTCTTGTCCAAGAAATCTATATTGGTTCCCAGCGTCACGATGAACTGGCTGCCCGCGTAGCGCTCGTCTGGATCGTCTGGCGCGGGTGCGGTCGCCATGCTAACTGTACCCATCTCCGTGTGCTTCAGCTTGGGCTGAAACTCGGGATTGAAGGTTTTCTTTGCTGGGTCGGTAGGGTCAAGCAGACCCCATATTGAGCGGCCGCCATCACTGTCATTAGAGCCAGGCCCGATAGGATCACCAGTTTGGAAGGAGAAGTTCGGTTGGACACTATGAACGGGCGAGAAGTTGTAGTACTTGACTTTGCAGAGCTTGAGAAAACTAGAAGTTGCGACGCGTTAGTATCTGCTTTGTACTCAGCTTGCTTCTATGCGCGACGGATGGAAGGCGATGCGACTGCTGTCGCATGGTGAAGTACCGAAGTCTGACTTACTTTTCGCAGCATTTGGGCGCATCGTCGACCAAAAGATCGATAGTAATATCGCCGAGCGACGTTTCTAGTAGCACCGACATGATCGCAGCGACCGCACGAGGTGGAGTGCTTGTCGCGTACTTCGTAAGTTATGCGGAGAGCACTGGAAGCTGCATGTGAGAGCTCGGGCCACCAACCGGCAAATCTCTCTCCGACGTCACACAAAGGCCTCGAAGAAGGCGGTAAGCAGCAACAGAAGGAACGACTTTGTGTTGATGTGCGTCTTTCCGTGAGGTTCGGCTATTCATAAGGTATTGGTGTAACACGACCTGTTGAACAATGGGTATTAAGCCAACAAAATCGATCCCTATCTGGACACAATGTAACGTCACCTTCCTCACATCTACGCTGCCTGCGTTCTAGGTCCTTGAAATGACTTGGCACATATTATAAGAGCTATCTCATTACCGAACACTGGAGTCTGCAGGTGTGGACAGAATGGCCAGTAGGGCTCTCTGTTTTTATATGTCGCGGATGCTGGAGCTACTCGAACTCGATCAGAAACTCTATCTTGTTCAGACCATCCGCTGTTGTATAATTGAGCCAAGGTAACTTGACTCCCGATACAGTAGCTATTATAGGAAGGAATCTTGGAGCCCTGCGATGCATCCTGGGTGTGTTATATGAGGGTGTGTCTCGACTATGCAGCCGTGTCCAGGCGGCCCCACTCAAGGCTAAGGCACGACGTTGCCAGGGAACGTTCAAAACTCCAAGATCTTCAAGCGAACCTTTGATTTAGGATAATTTGACTCTCCTTCTTTCGTAGAAACGCAGAGCAGGAAAATACATATGAGGTATGACATGCGGAATCTGTGTCTCGTATTTGCTCTCAGCAACGAATGGTATGGCAAGCGGATGCTTATTCCGCCAAGCGAAAGAGATACTATTTTCATCTACCTACTACATAAGAAAAGAATCTGTCATTTGCTTTGCTGAGGCACGAGGTAACGTACTATCCCACTTCTATGAGACATATACTGACTTTGTACCTTCGGGTTCGGCATGGCATGTATGCACGGCAAAGATCCTCACTGTGAGACGTTCCAAAATCATCTTACAGCAGTCACTAATGCTACAGTACACAGGGCATTTAGGTATTCATTATTGTACAAGTCTTCTCCGAGTCCACTAAACCAAAGTTCATTTTGCGGAGACTTGCCCCACGAGATGGCCATCTTGAAGTCAGCAGCACCTTCAATAACTTATTCATACACTCCCATCCCAACTCCCCTAGCCCAATTCCCCTATTCCAACTAACACCCTACACACCATTTGCTCCTTCCCACTCCGCTCCACAACGCACACATTCGCATTGATGTTAGAGATTCATGACTAAGCGCTCTCCATCCTCGGCTTCCTCGGTCATGCTATCGTTCTCATACTCCTCTTCATATCCCCCTGACATTCCTCTAACCTCTGAAGTAATAGCAGGAGAAACACTCGCCAAAGAACAAGAGGCAGTGGGTGGTGCTAGGGCAGTGAAAGAACGCGAAGTACGTACCTCAAAGAGAGTTAGATCGCTTACGCTCTCGAAAACCTTTATCTTTCATGGCTGGAAATGCCTGGTTTTCGTAAGAGCGGAGAGGCAGAGGTCGATGGAAGCCATTCATAGCAGCACGGCTGGCCTCTTCGGCCTCCTTACGCGATTGTCGGGAAGCAGCGCCCTTTTCTTCCGGCACCTCGCAAATTGGAATCGTGGACACCATGGAACGGTTGATCTTCGTCGTGAGCTTAGGTAGACTGTCGCGTCGAGGCGGATGGGGTGATCGCGGCGAACCTGCCTGGACGCGAATGCTGGAGATTGAGTCGGTAAGGCATGCTGCGCCGTCCTATTCGAGAGTCAGCAAAGCGATGACTACCCCTAAAGTTTCTTGGCCTACGTCTTCCTTTTGCAGATCCGAGTCCTGAATCAGGAAGCCATCTGAATCGTAGTAGCTGTGGTGGCGACTCCTAACCTCGAGTTCAGATTCGGATTCTTGCACCGTCTCCCAGTCTACCTCGTTATCGGCAGTATTCGAGGTGCATAGTGATGCATACGCATGTTCTTCTTTCTTGACGATCGTATCGTGACAAGACTCAGCAATGCTGTTAACGATGGCGCTATACCGTTTTGGTTCATGGGTGTCCGAGTACACCGAGCTAGACTCTGAGTTGGGGAGCTGAACATGCTTGAGAGCGGCCTGAAGATACTCAAACAAATCCTCTAAATCAGCGGTGGCGCCATCCGTGATCTTGCTCGTGGTAGTGCTGATGGTTCCACAGCGTGTTGCATTGCCATCAACTTTGGAAACGAACGGGTCATCGTACACGGACGACCTCGGCTGTCGAGTATACTGCGAAGGGGAAACAGAATTCTTAGGCGACAGCATATGACGGGAAGACGAGGAATCGGACAGTGGTTGAGAACGTGCAGGGCGAGGCCTGATTCTCAAGGGTGCCGGGCGATCAGGCGTATCAGGCGGGTACTCTTGGGCTCGTGAATGACCGCCAGGGGTAGCAGGAGTAGCCTTCTTCTTCGGAGGAACTGGGTCCAGACTTTGAACTGCTTCGCGAGGTATAAGTGTCGAAGCAATGGGTGAGGTGACATGGTCCTCAAATACAAGCGGTTCGACTCTGGATGGCTTCGGGGAAGACTCTGATTTGAAGCCCGCAGAACGTATACGAAGAAATCCAAAGGTCTTCTTGAGAGACGCGAACAACGCCGGCGCATGAAGTGATACGCGCGAACTCGGAACCGAACGAAGCTGTTTACTCGGCTCGATGGCGCTCTCTTGTAGAAACTCGAGCAGGCTCACCGTTCCCTCTCGCTCTTTGAGCCCCGGAGGCTCGTACTTTGGGCGAAGTTCATAGATGTCCTCGACAAGTTTGCGCACCTTTTCATTCGAGATACGGGACGTGTCCTGCATCACATATTAGCAAGGCGTGATAAATCACCGACCACTCCAGCGGCTTGCCTGATCGCAGTCGAGCTCTCGAATAGAGCGTCTCGCTGTATCGTAGTTCTTGGGGTCATCGTGGATCCACTCGGTAAAGAGGGACAAGAGATCATCATGGACTGTACCGTCAATGGTCTTCCGCACAAGGAGCTCGATATCTTCTTTGCTGTAGTTATTCCGGGAGTTGCATGCTTGCGAACGTTTTGAGGCGCGCTTCTCTGTGTCCACCTCCCTGTGTGCAGTGGAAGGTTCGTTGCCGCGCATTGTCGACGAGGAACCCAGTGCAGTTGCGTTGAGAATCGCTGGCGTGAACGACGACATGTACCAAGAAATCAAATCGTCTACAAGAAGAAGAAGAAGAAGCTTTTGAGTTGGTGGGAGAAGAGAACAAACTCGACGCAGGCGCGCCTTGAAATCCATGGTGGGCGCGCTTTTATCGTGGTGAAGGTGACTGTGAGAGGATAAGTGAAGCTGAAAGGAAACAAGTCGCTCTTCTGGTCAGCGCGGGAACCTCGCAAGAAGCGTTTGCGAGCGCAAGGCGGTGACTGCCGGAGCCTGCCCACAGCAGACGCTCTCGTGCATATGCCGAAGTGGCACGTTTACATTTTACTCGTAACATCAACCGCTGTATAACGAGTAGTCTGGATAACGGCTTAGAGTATACAACGACGCACCACGAACCTATCAAACTCAATTTTTGCAAGTCCAAGATCACCGCGAACACACAACACTTCCATAGCGGCTTCGCCCTAATGTACTCAGCCTGATAGAACAACACTGCCCAGATTCCATTTGACGCGCGTCCTCGAGTAATCTATGATGGGTTGAAATCGTCGAATTAAAGACTGAGTTCAGGGAGAATCTAGAAACAACGGCCGCTGGCAGGCCCAACCCGCAAATACCCGCACACGTGGTCACAAGCCACACCGGTTAACCGCGAGTAGACTTTAGGGTGTCGAAAGCAATAGATACTGTGTACGTAAGAAACCATCAGATATTCAATTTTCAAATTAAGATACAAGAGGTGTAGACGTAGGAAAGGTCGGGATCTTGGGGTTCAGGTTGATTACGAGTAGTAAAAACAACAATATCAATGTTTCCATGCAGGCCTCCTTACATGCCGCTGAGCTCTATCGCTTAAAAGGATTGTCCTGTTGTCCACTGTCTCCTTCACCATTCATCAGAGGTGTCGTAGCTATCATCCTTTTGCTTGTAACCATCATCTTTGGGGTCATCCTTCTCCCAAGTATCATAGCCCGGGTCTTTGGTCTCATAGCCGTCGTCGGTCTCGTAGCCCGGGTCCTTGGTCTTGTAGCCCGGATCCTTGGTCTCGTAGCTGTCATCTTTGTTCTTGTAACCGTCTTTGGAATCCTTGCCCCAGCTGTCATCATCATCACTCCAGGAGTCGTCGCTGTCGTCACTCCAGGAGTCGCCGCTGTCATCGCCCCAGGTGGGGTAGCTGTCATCGTCTGAGGTAGGATAATCGTCGCGTGCCTTCAGACGCCACTGTTCCTTCTTCCACGGATTCGCGTTCAATGCCGCGAGCGCATAGTACTTGCAGCGCCTCTTCTCCACACCCTGCTGGTCAAAATTCCAGTTGTTGACGAAGACCTGGTATTGGCCGGTGCTGCCAAGTGGGCAAATGGCGAAGTTCCCACCCTTGGTGATACCGTACGTCGAAGGCCAGGTGAGGTATGACGGGCTCGGGTCGACGAGCTGGATGGGGTTGTTTCCAGTATGATAGAAACCAGTGGAGATGGCGCTCGGTGGGAGCCATCCGACCTTAGTGTACTTCACAGCACCGGTGACTGAGTCAACGTATAGTTGAAGGGGATCCTTGCTGACCTGTTCCAGAGATGAGTGAACCGTGGTCTCAGAAAGTGATAAGACAGTGTATGACTTACGGTGTACAGCTGGGTATCATCGTCCACGAAGAAGGTCGGTAGCTTGGGATCATACCATTTGTTGTAGGGTGTTGCAACAAGGATTCCCTTTTCTAGCCTAATCGCATAGGAATCAAATGGGCACTGCGACTTCAGGGTCTCCGGTTGCGGCCTGTGGAATGGGTCGCATCGGTCGTTGACTCTCAAGTTGAAGAAGTGTGGCTCCTTAGTATGAGGGTGCCAATCCTTGCCATTATCATGGTCGCCAGCGGTTGCCGCTACAGCGGCTTCAGCAGGGGCGCGAACTTCGATGGCGTGTGAGGCCGCCAAGGCAAACAAGGCTAGAGATGAGAGGCCTTCAAACCTCATCCTGAATAGAAATATAAGGAGTGTGGCAAAAGGAGTGTGAGCAGAGAGGTAGCTACAGGTGTGAGACTGTTTCGGCCCAGGGTAGTGAATTTATCTGGAATCGAGAGGCGCGTGATCTTGTTGTGATGCAGACGATTTGGCCTGGTCCTGGAATGAAGGATAGCACATGATGTCCTGATCTGGAGGTTACGCCAGGGAAATTGTCCTACGGATTCCAATACAGTAAGTGAGGAATGAAACGGTGGGCACAACAATAGCTATTGACTAGTAAATCGCATGTTGACAAAGGGCTGTCAGCGAGTGCAGCGAGTGACGCTACCAGGACGCTGTAGAGTAAAGGGAAGGACTGTCAGCATTACACCCGTACGCCTCCAGATCTGTGCCACAGGTTGCCGAAGTGTTTTGACGACCTCCTCGGCACATTCCATCTGGCTTGAGCTGCGTCACGGAATGATCTGGCGCAAATGAGCCAGCGCCCCTACCGAGCGATAAGGTAACATCAACGACTAGAGAAAGGACAGTGCTTGGTCGAAGAGAACGTCCACGGGTCATTGCCTAGGCCATGGCAAAGCGTCGGCCGTGCCCTCCGGTAAGCCCCCGGTGCGCGCATGAATATAGGGTGGCTGAGTCACGATTGTAGAGAGGCGTTGAAGCATTTTGGCCGGTGGAGTGTAAGTCCAGGGTTCACCGAGCCTGTTCATTGTGGTATAGACGATCCGTCTATTGGACAGCATGTGTTTGGCGTTGGAGGAACATTGACGATAGCCTCTTCACACGGGAGCGTTGAGGTTTCGAGTCGCGCTTGCTTGATCCGATCTAGACGAGATGGCGCTTCACAGTTCCCTGCACGCGCGTCAACGTTTTCAGAGGCCCCCATGGGCACGACCAAGCACAACCCGAGCCGATATCACGGAGCATACGGTAACAGACTGTGCCTCTCTGGTGCCTCTCACCGAGTCCGGCCAATTCATCCGCCGCTCGGCCCACTGGCCCACCGGCCCACTGTGACCACATCATCATGCTGATGATAACGAGCAGTCTGCCTTGGGCTCCTTCTCAATCTGTTGTTGAATCTGCTGCTCTGAATGCACCCTTGACGGCGGCCTTGGACCATGTGTACTCGCTTGATGCCCCGGTCATAGCTGGCGCTTAACTGCGTTACACTGCAGGACGGAGGCCGCCGCCATGTAGGCTTTCATGTCTCCACCGTCTACATGCAAAGGCCACGGGAGCTTCCTTTTGGGCGGCGGGAGTGGCACATGCTGTTGATCGTGCGGGAGGCACGGCCAAACTCGACGCGAAAGGCACCGGTGAATGTGGCCAGTCAGACGACGGGCAGGTCGTGAACGGCTGAACCCAGCTTCACGGTCAACCCCGGTCTCGTCTGGCGGCGTAGAGACAGAGAGTGCTTTTGCGGCACAGCTGCTCTTCACGTTCCTCATTGGTACCGTTCCCCTCCTTTGAAATAACAAAAAAGCGGGCTCTCTGACTATCGGCCACGGGTCGCCTCCAGGCTCCGTTTGCCACGAGCTGAGGGGAACTATGGAGGAACTATGGTGTTCCAACGCCCTCAAGATCCCTTTGCGCATCTTCATTCGTTAGACGCCGGCGATGGGTGGAACCAATCAGCGTCGGCGCCTTTCGTACCATCTCGCTCCCCGGGGCCAGTGGAATTCTGCGGATCCAGGTGTATGAACTGTCTTTAGAAACAGCCGCGTTCCGCCCCTCCAGCCGCCCTCCCCCCGACGAACCACAACCGTGAGCAGTGGGGCTGTTCTTGACACGCACCAATGGCGACGCGCATCCTAAGCGCCAGGGCTTTGCAGAGTCTAGCGCGCAGATACAACGCTCTGTCAACGGTCGCGGGTGACAAAAGCATCAATTCTACCCGCAATCATGCCACGGCGCATGAGACACTAAGGCCAGGCTGATCTTGCGTGTTTAGGTCGACTACGCCGCAAAACACATCAGGCTCTGCTAGAGGATGCCGTTTCCACCGAGCCGGCGCACCACCTTGTCGGCATGTTATAATGACAGTTGCCTGCAAGCCTCGCAGGTGACACAACCTCTGCCTGGCTTACTTCCAAGCAATCTGCGTGGGCCGAGTGCTTAAACTCAGCTGTTCTTCTTGGTTTTCGTCAGCCCTTTTCGTTCGGCGCTTGCCAACCCTCCACTTCCGCTGCCACTGTTAGGCGCTGGCCACGGTCGCGTGTGGACTCCCTTGTATCTCGTGTCTCATTCGCCTACCGTTTCATTGACCAACCGAGACTTGTACAACCCATGCCCATGGATCCAAGCCGGTCGCCCGCGTTGTCGGCGCGGTCACTGTCCATATCATCTACAACTGGGCCCCCAGCAAGCAACCACAGACGCTCCGGCTCTCGCACCGAATACTCAGCCTTGTCGAGCCACGGCATGCCAAAGGAGCCATCACTACTCTCGCCGAACAGTCTCGTCACACAACCACACCGTTTCTCTGGCCTCCCGCCGTCACCGCGACCGAGTACGAGCGAGCCCAGGTCGCCCTTTCCTCCAATATCACCCATGCCAGCTTTGTCTCCTACCACGCCGGGGCCCATGTCTCCACCAATGTCGGCCAGGTCTTTCGGTACACTGATCGACTCGGAGCCTTCCACACCAGCATACTCACCACGCCAGGGCTCAAACTGGGACGACTCCACCTTGGTGCTGTTGCCGCATGTCAAGTCGGGCGAGGCAACTCCCCGTGAGCCTACATGGGACATGCTCGTGCCCCTGCAGAAGCCACCAAAGAAGCGGTTCTCGAGGCACAAGTCGAAAACATTGATCAGTAAAGACATGCCTGCGCACGCATCATTGTCATCGCACCCAGTGGTGTCGATACAAGAAGAACAACCGCAGAAGGAGAACCACCCACCGGCCGAAGAAGAGCGAGAAAAGAAGGACGAGGAAGAACAGCCTGCGCAGAGCGATCCCCTGGGGAAGTTAACCTCGCGTATGAAGTCTCTACTGAAGCGGAAGAACCCTGGCGAGAAGAAGGAGAAGAGAAAGAGGAACTACTATGAGCTGGATCGAGTCGAGACTGTCCACTGGACAGAGTTATGAGAAGGTGGATCTGAATGACATGACTACGCTTACGCATGCTTTCCCGTCATGACGAACGTTACGCTGCTGGTCGGGGTTTCTTTAGTCTTCGCTATGGTGTACTTGGCGTTTGGTTTTCTCAAAATGGGTAGGTAATGACCGGTATGGCGTTTCTCTGGTTAGGATTGGTCGTTTGTCTCTCATTGGGTCGGAAATTTGAAGCTGGGCAGGGAAACATTCTTTTAAGATACCCACAGGTGGGAGCGCAGATGGCGGAGTCGCAACGGTAGCAGAACATTACAGGGCAGATGATACAAATTGCAAAAGCCCATGTCAAGCTTCGAGGTATTTCTCTGCAGCGTGTCAATGCTTGTCTATTCGGGATTGCAGCAGATACTAAAGTCAGGAGCGTGCGCCTACTGTCACCGCACGCATTCGTCTTCCACTTTACATGGCACGGACAGCCTCCGCAACACGCATCGTGGAGTCATTCATCGCAACAAAACCAGGCGCCCGTTGTTCAGAAGGCAGAGCGCCAGCTCATCGGGTCGCAGGGAGCGTCGGTGCATCGCATCGATGTCGGGAGATGCCGGCCCATGTTGGTTTCGACGGGCAGGTTTGCGCCGTCACCGCCTAGACGATGCATCATGACAATTCATAGCGTGGTCATCACAAGCTGATCATGGGGAGCTCAGAGAGAGCAACAGGCGCGGAAGAGAACTATGAGGCCGGCAGCAGGTCTCCTCAGCAGACGGCGAACACATCACGTGCGACTAGGCCGAAAGGGGTTTGGAGATGAGGTCGCAGGGGCTGGCCACGACTCCTGGCGACTCTGGGCGACTCTGGCCCCGGGGTGTCGGAAACACGGGACCAGTCTGGATGAGCCTGGAATCCTCATGCTGAGCTGCCACAGCGCCATCGCAAGCTTCTGCACCACGCACGTCAGGGGTGTGGGCCTGGGAAAGCGCACCTGAAGGCGCCAAAGCGACGGGCGGACGCGGCGGAAGGGGTACGCGACAGCTGACGGGCCTGCGATGCGGCGGGAGAAGATGGATCACGGTTGAATGGCGCACGCAAGCTCTGGCGCATGGCCGGGTTTGCAACAGCGCAGGCTTCGCAGCCGAGATCAGGGGCAGGCTGCAGTAGCAAGGCGCTCACAAGGCCGGGGACGGCATTCCAGTGCATGCTTGTTCCACGGGACGACTGTGGCGCATGTTGTTCGCAACAGGCAAGGAAGTCGGTTTGTAGGAGCAGTCGCTTCCATCCAGCGAGGAATGCCGACCGAACCAGACAAAATGCACTTTAGCGCCACAGCGAAGAGTGCGACAAGAGCCCGCACACGCCAGCAGATCGCGCAGACGCAGCAGCGCGAGCACGCATCGCAGCAGCAGCAGCAGCGAGCAGAGGGAGATGCCTCTGGAGAGCACGAGGATGCAGCGCGCAGAGAGCATGCGTCCGGATGTAGACTAGCGCGCCTGTCTCCTCCTTGGCCGTGAACCTCCACTGCACGCAACCCAGCCAGAATCATTAGCGATGAGAGCAGAGTCGCCGTGCACGCAGAGCCCGCCGCCGCAGCCCATCATGGCCGCCCCATCAAACCCTCGCCGTGTCAACCCCGGCTTCACGCCAACAGCCCTCGCCCTTGCTCACTGCCATCCTCCTTTTGCACTCTGCACCTCGCGATACAGCACGCATCCATTGACGTGCGACAGACCCTGAGCGGCCACCTCACGTTTCGAGGACCTAGCCACACAAAGCTTGGGCAAGCGCTACAGTAATAGGGTACGCACCACCCAGCTGACTTGTTGAATAAACCTACGGCGCCCTTCCTCATCAACACCACCACCAACGCCCATCATCACCGCTGCTGCCCTCCGCACCCATCATCGCCGCCGCCGCCTGAAGACATCGTCGTCGCTCACACCGCCGCCGCCATGTCCACCGCAAAGACGAAGTCCCTGCTCGTCAAGCTCCCGCTGTCGCCTGAGGCGCTGGCCAAGTTCCCCTACGAGCCGTCATCAAAGTCATCAGAGAAGCTCTCGTCGTCGCCAAGCACGCCCGCTCAGATCGTCGAGCCGACGCCCACGGACACTCCTGCCGATGCCGCCACGCCTATGAATGGCGTCGACAACGGCCTGTTGGCACCGCCCGCGACAGATGCCAAGGGCAGGAAGAAGCCAGGGCCGAGAGCTGGCGGTGCCGGCACCAAGAGAGGTGCCGCAGCTGTCGACGGCATCCCGAAGGTACGGGGTAAGCCAGGCCCCAAGAAGAAGCAACGGATGTAAGTACTTTTCCTTTCCATCGCCCTCTTTCAGGAAAGTGCCATCAATGGGTCCCATATCACCGTGCCTTGCATTGGTCGGCCTTCCAGCCTGAGTCAAAGGTCCGACTACCGTAGATTCTGCGTTGCCCGTCCTAGGCCAACACAGGTGATCAGGCTTCTGTGCAAGAACAGCACCGACACCCACTGTATAGTCAAGGCCACGGCTAATGGCAGCACAGGGGCGACATGATCAACGACCCGAACAACAAAGCTCCTTTTGCTGCGCCTGCACCCGCCCAAAAGCTGGGCCCCAAAGCCAACATGGGCACCATCAACGCCAACCTCCGCGCGCTCGACCGATCCGGAAAACCCTGCCGTAAGTGGGGAAAGAAGACGTTTCATATTCGCAGCTTCACCGGTGTTGTATGGCAAGCGCCCACCTGGCGGGCACCTCCCAAAAGCACCACCTTCTCCGAAGATGTCAAGAGTGATACCACCGGTTCAAGCGACTCCAAGATCAAGGATGAGAGCAGTGCCATCAGCGACAGGAGCGGCCTCAACGGAGACGCTGGCAGTGCCACACCGATGCCGCCCGCTCTCAATGGCATCGCGAGTTCACCAACGCCCTTGGCTGCTACCTCGTGAAACACCGATATCCTACGCCCTTCCGTGAGCACGGCTTCTAAATACGCTTTGTGCTATGCATCTGATTTCGCGTTCTATTGCATATCCACACATCGCCGACATTCTGGGTATCTCGCTTGTCACGTCAGCACGCTCTTGCCTGGATTTATTTCTCTACTGCTGTGTTTGTATAATACCTCCATTTATTTATGCGTACACGTTCGGCGTTCTGGAACCCAAGGTGGGCTTGGGACAAAACTGGTTTCTGGATTTATGCTTGGACAGCGATGGCGTTCGTGGTTTGCATGGCAGGCGGCTTGTGTGACGCGCTTCCGTCTTCAATTCTGATGGAGATGTGCCAGCTTTTCTCTCTGAACGTGCTGCACCAAAAGGCTTCATGCGGCTATTTGTATTTGTATAGCAAGAGGAGGGCATAAGCGTACGTACACTTCAGAAGAGCATGTAACTGTAGCTCACTTCTACCGACACGATGCATCTAACGTACTTTACTTGATGGAATGCACTATTTTGAAGTGGACGAATAGCTTAGTTCTGGGACTGATACTCTTACGTGTAATTGACATTGCTTTCGTTTTGCTGCACAGTTGTGCATACCTTGCGTGGCAGTAGAATTATAAGCAGCCTGTTTTGACGCATGGCACCCAACGGTATGCAATGCTATCGACTTTGCGGATACGTGGCTGTCCAAGAAGTCCACAGCTAAAACAGATCTGAGCGAGAACCTCTATAGCTGTTTGCATGCGACTCTTAACATTGTGTGGAGATCCAGTCCCACTGTGGTCGACATGCTAACCAGCAGTACAGCGGAGGTTTGATCGGTCTCTGTCAACCACTTGATTCTTTGAATTTGCGATGAGCTATAATCAGGTCTGAGGACGATATCGCATGTCGATGAAAGTGCGACGGTAGTGGGTACCTCCGAGGTGCTCAGGCGGCCGTTTAGGTAAGAAGCCAATTAAAACCGCTATCCAGAGCACTGGAAAGCCGGATGCAGGGTGAATACCTCATTTACGTGACTTTCCAAGTCATCCATCAAGATGTCTTAGGCTATACAAGATGAGAGCTGCCCGTTGAGGGCTATTGTTCGCATGAACGCGCGGCGGGAGCTATGGATCACCTAGAAGCTGTGCCGATCACGAACAAGGTCATGCTAAGCTGAGATGGTAACACAGCGTCCTCGCAAGCAGGCAACTGTTTCCTTTGATTGATCTTGTGACGGGCGTTCAAAAGCTCCGTGCTATAGATCAGTGAGCAGATGTACACGCGAGGTAGCGTAGTGCGGGGGCGTGCATTAAACCTCGTTCGCGTCGACGCCATCACTGAGCTCATTGACGACGCCTCCGACTCCCCCCGCGACTTCCTATCTACGCGCCACCACAAAACTAAACTGCTCAAACGATGAATGCGTTTGCAGGACCAGCTTTGAAAATCCTTGGCCGGCGTTGACCAACGTCCTTACCCTCCTCGCCGCTGCCAACTCACCCGAGCTCATCGCCGAACCTACCATTCGCAGCTCCTCTGACTGCCGCTGCACGCGCGCCTACCACCACCTCTGGTAGCCCGCTCACGCCTTTCAATCCATTCTTCAAGATATCGCAGCTCATCGTGTTTGAGTTCTGCGCTGGGTGCGGCTGTTGTTGGTAGTAACGCCAACCTGCTTCCCACCTCCGCTTGCCGACATTCGATTACGAGCCTCTCAAACACTCACCGCCATGTTCCGCCGAGGCTCCTACGCGCAGGTAGCTTCAGGGAGTGCAGGAAGCAGCCAGTCTAATCCGGTCTCTGCGCGCTCAGGACAGTTCTCGCACTTGGCCAACAGTGGCTCGATACCGCTAGGAACGTCATCCTTCACTCACTCCCGCCACGCACGCTCTATAGACGCTGACGGTCACCACGGAAGCATGTCCAACTCGCTGAGTCGAAGTGGGCCAGTTCCATCATACTCAAGTCAAATGGGCTACATGAGTGGATATGGCGGCTTGCAAGATGCCGGAGCGCCTGCATTTTTTGTACCCTCGTATCTCCGGGGCTCGAGACATGCTGAGAAGTTGGAGGAGGCGCACAAGGCGAGGATAGCCGTATACCGAGAACAACGCTCGACACACTCTTCGAACACCGGATCATTATCGACAAGCTCGAGCAGCGTCAATCTGCACAAACCAGGTCATTCCTACCGCGGGCTCGCCCACGAAATCATCGAGCGGACACCAGCATTTATAGAGGAGCCCGTCGCCCCATGGCCGACTAGATGGGACGAAAAAGACAAATTCGCGCAGATGGAGGTGGAAGAGGACGGGAGGCTTGCCAGGTTTGCTGGTGCATCGAAGTCAGGACACGATGAGGCAGCAGCAGTTCGAGCAGATTTCCCCATGCCGCGGCAATGTGGAATATATTACTACGAGGTTACCGTGGTTTCCAAAGGCAAAGACGGGTAGGTCCCACTTCCCGTGCAGATCGTACTGCGAACTAACACTGGTTGAGTAGAATTATCGGTGTCGGATTCTCTGAAGCAAAAGTACCTCTGAACAGGATACCTGGATGGGAGCCTGGTTCGTTTGCATACCACGGCGATGACGGGCTATTCTTTACTAGTACGACCTCTGGGAAGCCGTACGGTCCGAAGTATGGCACCCTGGATGTGATAGGATGTGGGATCAACTTTCGCACCAACACAGCCTTCTTTACGAAGAATGGGCAGTATCTAGGTTCGTAGGCTACGTACATGCCAAAGCCACGCTGACAATTTAGGTCCCGCATTCAAGGATCTGAAAACGAATGTCCAGTACTACCCAAGTATTGGCATGAAGAAGCCCAACGAGGCCATCCGTGCAAACTTTGGACAGGAACCATTCGCTTTTGACATCGACAGCATAGTACAGCAAGAGAAGGCAACGATTCAGCAAGACATAGCATTGTCAAAAGGCCAGCCCAGGGAGCATGGCTCGACAGACGAGACGCAGTTTATACAAAGCTTGATCGGGCAATATCTAGCTCATGATGGTTATGTAGAAACCGCAAGAGCTTTTGCGGGAGAAGTAATCGGCGAGGCGCAAGCGCTGGCTGCCGATGGACGGGCCAATGTTCCATACCTCCAAACGGAGGAAGATATTGACGCGATTAACAGGCAACGTGAGAGGATATTGCACCGTCTAGACCCTATCCCAGAGCTTACTCATCTCTAGGAATACGCGCCGCCATTCTCGACGGCGACATCGACAAAGCCCTCAAACACACAAACGCCTATTACCCTTCCGTCCTTCGTGACAACGAGAACATTTACTTCAAGCTCCGCTGCCGCAAGTTCATTGAGATGATCCGTCTCTGCAGCGAACTCAATGCTCAAGTCCATCCGCACATCATCCCTACACCCCCTTCCAAGCGCTCCACAGCATCCACCCTCAACAACCGCAACTCTACCGCCACCGATGAGTACGACTTCGAGATGGAACTCGACGAGCAGCTTGGCGTGCACAATGGCGCGCCGTGGGGCGATGAGGAAGATGACGACGAGGATGATCTTGAGGCGAAGCAGAAGAAGCTGCAGGATTCGACGCAGGCAATGATTGAGTATGGGATGGAGCTTAAGCAAGAGTTCGTCAATGACCCGCGGAGAGAGGTGAAGAGGGCATTAGAAGACACCTTCGCATTGATTGCGTATGAGAACGTGAGGGAGAGCAGTCTTGCTCCTTTGCTGGACACGAGCGGGAGGATACCTGTGGCGGAAGAGCTGAATAGTGCGATATTAGGTACGTATCCCTCTTTGCCGAGAATGTGGAGGCCCACGCTGACCCGACACAGTGAGTCTGGGCAAGTCGAGCTCTGCGGCACTGGAAAGGCTCGTGCAGCAGACAGAGGCGCTTGTCTCAGAATTGGCGGATGATGGTGGACCGGGTGCGTTCATCAATGTCAGGAAGGACTTCTTACAATAATACTGACTTGGTACGGATGGGGAAAACGCCTCTCCCAGGAAGGCGTGCGAAGATCTATTACTACTGGGTTGCGGGCGTTTGCATGTACATTCTACGCTTAGCTTGCATTTACAGTGGCTCTTTTTCTATGCTTACGGGCCTGGCTGAGCTGGCGTTTGGCAGGTCTGAGGATGTCTGGGTGGACGGCACGATACCGACAATAACAACGAGATAACGCGATGGCGGGGAGAGTAGATAGCGCGATTAAATACCAACTAAGAATTGCGAATCTTGAAGGTACATCCGCGTCACGCTGTGACGGTGTAAGTGTTAGATTGGGTACTTGTGAACTATATGAGTCAAGGGGTGCGGATGAGACCAGTCAACGGTGCGTGGAAGCATTGGAAGTATCATGATCTCACTGCGAGCATTCTTTCACTCACACCCTTACCTACAGTATCCTTCTCAGAGCCATGAGGATCGGAGAGCAAAGGCCGAAAGCGCGAGAAGACAACGCCACTCAGGGAAGGAAGCATCCCCATGCAGACCCCAGCACTGAGTGGCCTTTCGACCCCAATAGATTGGCAGAAAGCCTCTTGCCTCCCTAATCGAGTCCATCACCGACTCCGAACAGAGGAACCGTACTCAAGACTACCATCATCCGCGGCATCGACAACTATCGGAACTTCCGTCTCACAGATGACGCTGTATCTAGACAAGGTGGACAAGGACCTGCACGAGAAGATAGGCGACTTGTCTTTCATATTTGGCCTCCACTCCCTTTTCAACTCCAAAAACCCCTTCTCATCCCTCTCCGACCTCACCCTCACCCTCTTCGCCGCCTTCATCAACACCTTATTCGTGTCCTTATATCCTTATCTCTCCTCACCCTCCTCCACCCCCTCCACCCCCTCAAGCCCATGTAACAGCACAGACAACAAACTCGTTTTGTTAATATGCCCCCTCCTTCTGTCCCTCACCTCCTTCGTCAAAGAGAAAAGCAACGCTACGAAAACAATCAATAGAGGAACGACTTAGATTGTAAAGCACACGCCTGTGACGTCTGTGATGACGAGCTACCTTGCATTGCCGACATAGAGCCAGTGTTCCAAACGAAGGGTATTCGCAAAGTGTTTAGAATGAAGGGTGTTCGCAAAGGGCGAACCTTGTTGCAGATGCCCATTGGTTGAGTACATACCACAGGACTCGAGCAATGACACCATTCAGTCCAGGGTCTATGGTGAATACGCCTGGCAAGTAACTGTAACTTCCATCTGACGGTGCCAAGTTGAACAACGCACCTTGACCAGTGTTGGCCAGAGTGTATTTAACATTGAAAGAAGGTGTTTTGGTCATGTACCCAGTCATGTTGGGAATTGGCACGCGTCGCGACGAGATCTTTATAATCTGCTGAGTAAATGGCTCAAATCCGAGTATCAGTACCGTGACTAACGAGCTCAATGATGCAAGAGGTAACCAGCTCTTGACAATAAGTATAAACCAAAAAGCTTCCCAAGGCCTGTGGCTGGCTCTGTCGAAGACGTTCATCTGCCTCGGCGTTCTTGTCTTCTTGGAGTGTACCATTTCAATTGGCCTTGATATCCTGCCAAGGGAAACAGAAGTGCGGATCTAATGATACTAGAAAAGACATTAACGAGGGAGTTCAGCAAGATGGAAATTAGGCAATTGTCGAGCTGTTCGTTATCAATAAAGATGAGGGTCGCGAGGATTAAGGAAGTATAACAGAGGGTTAATGCTGGGGGAATAGACACCGTGTGGTAGGTACGTTGTAAGCTCCTGATCCTTCTAAAGTGCAGACGCGATGCCTAAACGTTCAAACAGATGGGACTATGTAAATCCCGAGAGAGAGGTGCTGAAACTGATGTGGAGGCGTGGAGTATTCTGGCTCGCTTTAGCTCTAGTGTGCCTCTCTACTCCTGGCTTAGGAAGATTCTCCGTTCACGAGACAACAGCATTCTGGTACACCTTCGAGCCTCATCGGCAGAATCATGCTACGCTTATCCATGCGAAACTCTACGATTGCTTGTTACTACTGCTGAGTGTGGAATCGGCAGTGTGCAGAGTTGTGGTCTAGATGTTCCCTCTACATTGATAGTGCACATTGTTACGCTAAAAAGAATTCACCACGCGCTACAAAAAGGTGTCAAATTTGTATGGTCTCACATCAAAAGAAAGAAAGCAGCCCAAAACAAAAGAATGAAGCTGCGAATCGAACGCAGTACGGGAGGAAATCGTAAGAACGAATGACTCAGCCGAGGTTTGAACTCGGGACCTTCAGTGGCCTAACTAGATGTTAGACTGACGTGATAACCAACTACACCACCGAGCCTTTGTTATTTGATGCAAAAATTGCAGCTAAAGGAGTATAATTGACCGCAAAAGGACATCAGCACATTGCCTGAGCATGCATCACACATCGCTGTGTTGCAGTTGTTCGAGAATGGTGAGGCCCACATACAGAAAAAAATCTTTCTGCAATCCCCAAGCGAGAGGCGACCACGCCTCTCAGATCTTACTTTGTCCCTCCTGCGGCACCTTGACGACTACTTTGCCCCAGCTTTTCCTTCCGCCTAATGCCTTCAGTGCAGCAGGTACGCTCTCAAGCCCAACGTATTCTTGATCTGAGAATACTGTGCCCTTGTATTTGTTCTCGTCCATGAGCTTGAAGAGACCATCCCACACCTTCTCCACCATGTCAGGCTCGTTCACGGCATACATACCCCAATGCAGCCCGACTACGCTCACGTTCTTCAACAGTACTCTGTTTGTCGCTAACTTCTCGATGTCTCCCGCCGCAAATCCAACAACAAGTAGTCGTCCGTTCCACGCTGTGCACTTCATCGATTGCGCAATGAGACCAACAGGGTCATAAACAATATCCACGCCGCGACCCTTCGGGGTGAGCTTCTTGACCTGCTCCGGCCAGTCCTTCTGCTTGTAGTCGATAGCGTAGTCTGCGCCAAACGACTTGGCGACATCCAACTTATGCTGCGTCCCCGCCGTCGCAATGACCTTTGCCCCAAACGCCTTCGCAATCTGCACAGCTGCTAGACCGACACCTCCCGCAGCAGCATGCACAAGCACCCAGTCTCCCTCCTTGATCCCGGCCCTCACCACCAACCCAGCATAGCTCGTCGGTGCCGTGACAAACAAGCCCGCAGCATCCTGGAAGCTCCAACCCCGAGGTACAGGCCGTAGTCGCTCCTCCGCGCATGCAACGTGTGTCGCGTAGCCGCCTTGTGTTGCGCCAAAGACTTTGTCGCCGACTTTGTACTTGGGCGTAGAGGAGGTGGAGGTAGGCGCGGAGACGATGGTGCCGGAGAACTCGGAGCCGGCGACCCAGGGGAAGGGCGGCTGGTGCTGATATTTGCCGCGGATCTGAAGGAGATCGAAGAAGTTTGTTGCGGAAGCGTGGATGGCGATGAGGTATTCGTTTGGTTTTGGAGTGGGAGTGGGGAGGGTGGTCACATTGAGGTCGTCTGGGCCCTGTAGGAGTGTTAGTAGGCACACGGCTTGAGAATCGAGCGAGCTATCCGGCCAAAGCCTGTGTATCGTACATTGACATATTCCTTGATCTGAATTCCCTTCATTGCGATAACGTGCTGGAATGAGACGGGCGGTATATGCGAGAGGGTGCTTGCGTTAGTGTGTGGTTTGAACGACTCGAGCCAATACTTGGAGATATCCGAAGTCTAGCCTGGAATCGACCTTGCAGAAGGGGATAAATTGACAGCTCGCAAGAGAAACATGATGACACGGCAGCCCGGGTGGTATGGGATGCTTGCTCGAGATACCTCGGCCCCAGAGTTTCCCCACTCAAAGCTCCTGCCTGACTAAAGACTTGAGCCACTGCAGTGTGTGGCGCGTGCATGACGCCAGTGCGAGGCCGCCGTGACGATGGAGTCCGCACCTGCATGTGCGCGCCTTCTGCGGCCTTCTAAAGCCATCTATAGCAAACAGTCAACCGTCTGCGCCCTGCGTTGCTCACAAACCACACACGTTCGATAAGATTCAACTTCTGCAGCTTTACTCCACCTGATTCGCTTATCTTTAAATCAGCTTTACGTTAAGCACAGCACGACCCCTCCATAGGTCGTTGCCCACGGTCGCTGCGGACGAAAGACTTCGCAACACTCTCCGGCTGCGTTCTCACCACAGCACAACATGGCCGACGACGCCCCCACTGAGGATGCGCAAATCACCTTCAACGTCAAGGCTGCCAACGACCAGAAACATGTCCTCACGCTACCTGCCGCCACCACAGTGGCCGATCTGAAGACCAAGCTTTCCGATGTCGAATACGCAGATTTGCCGCCCGAACGTCAGCGCTTGATCTACTCGGGCCGCGTCCTCAAGGACCATGACACGCTTGCTAGCACAAAGATCAAGGATGGTCATACCATACACCTGGTGAAGGGTGCCGCCAGCAACGCGCGGCAGAACCCAGCGGGCGGGGCAAGTTCCACTGGAGGAAGTACGCCGGCGGCGGCGCAGGTTCCTACCAACATAGCGGCGGGTACAGGAAACAACCCTCTTGCTGGCTTGACTGGTGCGCGATATGCCGGATTCCATGGGCTCCCTGGAATGGACAGCTTTGGTCCGGATGGCGGTGTAAGTCTATAGGTCTAGACCAAAACTTTGGGTGTACGCGACCTTGTATCACCTATTTTAGGGCAATCCGGTGTACTCAAAGGTTTTTGGCCAAGGAACTGCATATGCTAACAAGGCGTAGATGGGCGGAACCGATCCCAACCAGCTCCTACAGATGATGGAAGACCCGAACTTCCTCCAACAGATGAACGAGGCCATGGACAATCCTGCCGTCATAGATATGATGCAGAATAGCCCCATGGTCCGCAATAACCCCATGGTAGCTGAGATGTTGCGCAACCCAGAATTGCGTAGAGCAATGTTCAACCCGGAGATGATGCGCATGCAACTTCAGATGCAGCGCGCGATGAACCAGAACAATGGCGGCTCCAGCTTTCCCATGCCCGGCGCAACCAACACCACACCCCAGAACTCCACCGGAACGCAGGACCAGACCTCAAACACCACATCCCCAAACCCAGCGGCGGCAGATCCGTTTGCAAGCCTTTTGGGCGGAGGCTTCGGTGGCGGTGCGGGAGCGGGAGCGAATAATCCGTTCGCTTCATTACTCGGAGGAGGCGCAAACCCCTGGGGTCCACCGCAACAAACTCAGACATCGACATCGACACCGTCCAGCACAGAAGCGAATCCATCAACGAGTGCGGGAACGACAGAAATTAGCCAAGGTGCACAAAACACCTCCACTTCATCACCTCCGCCTGCGAATCCATTTGCCTCTCTCTTTGCCCCGCCACCTACTGGATCCGACACTGGCGCACAACAACCAAATCCCATCGCTGAGATGTCACGGCAAATGATGCAGAACCCAGAGATGATGCGCGCAGCTATGCAAATGTTCGGCGGTGCCGGCGGCAATAACCCCTTTGGACAGCCACCGTCCAACCCCGCAGACTCCACAAGCGCTGCAAGTTCGGCGCAAGGCAACCCATTCGCCGCCCTCCTCGGGCCTGGCGGCGGCTTTGGTGGTGCCGGTGGTTTCGGTACGCCTCCTCCACAAGACAACCGACCACCGGAGGAAGTCTACGAGAGCCAGCTCAGGCAACTGAACGAGATGGGTTTCTACGAGTTTGAGCGAAACGTGACCGCTCTACGGCGGAGCGGAGGCAATGTGCAAGCTGCAATTGAGTTCCTACTGGGTGGCGGGTCGTAGCGCGATCGAGGAACGCAGGTCGATTGGCAGACGTGTGATAGCGACGATGAGACCCTTCACGACGATAGCGATATTGCTATTGATAGCGAGTATGACCCTGGCGTGGACATCCCATATCCTTCTAGCAGCGATGAAGAGGACGGACATGAACGGGTCTTCAGGTTTACGCAACATGATTGATGTGGATGCATGGTAGCATGGTGCGGTATGCGCATTTACCTACTAGAGGATGTGTAGCCTGGGATGGGCAGATTAGTATTGTTAACGGCCGTATTGCCCAGGTAGAAACATACATGGTATCAAGATCAAAGCTGCAGTATATTACATTGCTCTGTATCGGCGAGACAAAGGCCAGATGCGTATGTTGATGAGAGATTGCACTACTCTCTTACATACTTTCGAAGTGTGTGTCGGGTAATCCTGTAGCCTAGCGCCCGTTTCGAGAACCGACATTGCAACCAAATAGACCTAAGCAGTCGACTAGGTGACACGCTTAAAGTTCATTTGGTGGCCGATCATGTATCGTCTATGTTATTGGAAATCTGGATTTCACGTTCAATCCTGTACGCCCCTTATCAAGTTCTTAATCCCCTCCCCGTTCGCCGTCTTCTCCCATGCAACCGTCGCATCCTCGAACTTACTCGTCGACGATATCAGTGGCTTCACATCGATGAGGCCCTTTGATATCATGCTGACAGCCAACTCGTAGTCGCCAGCACTGTACCGGAAGCAGCCCTTCACGAGCAATTCCTTCTCGCTCATTACTGTCATGGGAAACTCGATCTTCGGCCGCCCCATCCCAGTCTGCACGTACTTCCCTCCGCCGCGCAGGATGTAGATGCCCGTCTCGATGGACGAGGGTGCACCGGAGCACTCAATCACCGTGTCGACCTCCTCCAGGCCGGTAGATTCCAGAAGTGCCGCAGCGTTCTGCTCGGGCGTGTGTGCGGTGTCCGGCCTGAATGTATCACAGTTCAAATACGTCCTTGCGAAATCTAACTTCCGGTCCAGAATATCCACCAAGATAATCCTATGCGCACCAAACTGCCTTACCACGCTCGCAACCAGCAGTCCAATAGTCCCACTCCCCATCACCACAACCGTCTCCCCAGGCCTCACGTCCCCCAGCTTCACAGCATGAACTGCTACACTTGTCGGCTCTACTAGGACCGTTTCTTCCAGGCTGATACTAGAGGGTACTTTGTACACGAAGTCCTCGGCGATACAGTAGTACTTTGATAACGTGCCGGGCGTGACGGGCGGTCCGGGGTCGGCGGCAAACCGCATGTTTTTGCAGAGGTGGTAGGTTCCGGATTTGCAGGGGCGGCAGTAGCGGCAGGGCTGACCGGGCTCGATGGCGACGTGGTCGCCTACGGCTACACTTGTCACAGCTTTCCCAACGGCTGCGATTACCCCGGAAGCCTCGTGGCCCATGGTTATGCCCACGGAGGGGTCGACCATACGGGATATGCCACCGTGGCGGTAGAAGTGGACCTGGAGGTTGTGAGCGAGTGCTTTTCCATGGTATCGGTGTGAAAGAGGTTTCCTTCAATTATTTTATATGATAAGATGGGGAAGTGAGTTACTGACATCGCTTCCGCATACTCCAACGAAGGCGATCCGAACGAGGACATCGTGGGAATCTACGATTTCTGGTACGGGTGTATCTTGAAGTTTTGCGTCGCCAGCTCCGTACAATACGATCGAAGGGTTCTTCATCTCTTTTGTATGTGTAGAAGCCGCCATGGTTCAGGGAAATGTATATCTCTTTCAGGTCGCTGCTTTTGCAATGCTGAATCTTTGCGAATGGAAGCTGTCCTTGTGTCAAAGGTGGTCAACAAAAACTTTCAGCGTTGAGTGGACACAGCAAAGTTGATTGAAATTGTAGGGAGGGGTGCAGACATGTTTTAGTCTGACTCGCGGGTTAGATATAATGTTGTGAAGTCGTCGGGCCAAGTCCCGCCGTCGGACTGCAGAGCTCCGAAGTCCAACACGCGTCTGTCGTCTACAGCGATGCGAGGAGCCATGACGTAAGGCGCCCTCAGCGTTACACGAAGGATCCAGTGGATTGCAAAAGGCCTGCGTGAACAAACACAGTGCCGACACTCAAAATTGAACTCGTAGGCATAGATCCCCCCTGTCTTGTGTCTAGGCCGAAGCGTTAGCAACCTATTATGCAATCTTAGAGCCTAGGCTAATGCGGTCTTTGACACTTGTATAAATTCGTTTCTTAGTCTATCGCCGACGTTCCCACTAACGCGAGAGCCTACACAAAAAGTTCAGTTCCTAGTGTCGGCCATTGTGGAATGAATATGGTGCTGTGCGTATGTCCTCTTGTGGTAGGAACTAGCGTAACGAAATGGCCCCCAGCAGCTTTATCGAGTGGGTCGCACCAGCAGCCCGCAGCCCATCTCAGGCCGACCACAACACCATCACCCTTTCAACACCTTTGATGCAGATCATAGGGATTCGGCTTCCTGATCCACGACGAGATCTGATTTAGCGACCATCGCAGATATAGGAAACTGTGATTGCCTTCATTCTCCGATATGTCTCTAAAAGAGCAAGAGCCGAAGGCCTTGGAGCGTATTGATAAGCTCATGGCGCAGCTGAGGGCTGGTGCGAGGAAATTCAGGCTGAGGAATATGACGTCGTGGTTTACTTGGACGTTCTCGGATGTTATTGCCTCCCATCCTTTGGGCGAACCGTTCGGTTCGCTAGAAGGGAAACCCATGCATTGGTGGGTATCGAGCATTGTCGACAACATTGTGGATAAAGCGATGACAATGGTCTCGGTGATGAAGCGGCTTGATATCGATACTGCCTTGCATCATGCCGAAGGCGGCGGAGCTTTGATTGAAGCCTTGGAGTATTCAGCAGTTAGACCGAAGAATCGGATCCCGCTTAGAACAAACAATGGATATTTCTGGGATGGCGTACTTCAGAAGGCTGGCGAGGAAGGAGTTATGACTTTCAATCAAAAGGTCACGAGTGCTAGCCACATGGTCATGGGAGGAAGCGATACGGGAGCCACAATTCTCCCAGGAGCGATGTACTTCCTGCTGACGCATCCGGAAGCTCTGGAAAGAACGTCTTCTGATGTGTGGACAATGTTGAGATCCGACAACGACATCAGAGCCTCCAACATTGCCGATTCCCCTCTTGCAATCTAGCAGATATCGAAGAGACTCTCCGGCTTTGTCCCCCGGTGCCCTCTCTTAGTGCACACCTTGTCCCACCAGGAGGTGAGACAGTTGATGGAAAGTTCCTACCTGCTCAACTTCAGTTCACTTTTTCCAGTGTGCAGCCAACAGGCTGGAATTCAACGAAGAGTGGCATCCAAAACGGTTTCTATGCGAAGGTGAGTTCAAAAACGACAATCTACGTCGTTCGCGCTTTTTTCAACCAGGCCTAGAAACTGCATCGGAATGTCTTAAGCATACGCGAAAATAAAGTTGATCCTTGCGAAGCTATCATGGCATCTCGAATTTGAGTTGGTTGAGAGGCCAGACAATTGGCTCGATCAGAAACATTTCGGCAGCAGAAGGTCTGAGAGACAATCATAATTCCTTACTGTACTAATATGCTATGACTAGGCTACTGAATACATTCTACCGTTCTCCGGTTAGTTCATGTCGTCCATACCCATAACCCTCACCGGTCATTTCCGCCCTGGATGCACCCGGGTACTGCTGCTGCTGCGCCACCTCCGGATAGTCTGCCCATCCACTTCCATTGTACTCGCGCTGCTGCGTAGGCATGATGTGCGGTTTCTCTTCCGGGGTGGTTCCACCAGCTCCTTCGATCTGTGCCGGCGCACCTCTACCTTTACGTGGCCGGCGATAGAGGAGGATGCCTGCGATGGCGATCAAAGCAACTGCTGCGACAGCGCCGATGCCGATGCCTGCCTGTGAATTCGCGAGCACAAGGTTAGCGTGTAATCTTTCAAGGTAATAATGAAGGGAAACCTGCCTTAGCGCCGACGGAGAGTCCGGTATCTGAGGCTGGCGGAGTGTTCGTGGTAGTCGCCGATGACGATCCGCTAGCAGTGGTCGAGCCTCCTGTTGTCGTAGTGCTCGACCTTGCTGTGGTGGTAGTGTCTGTCGGATTTGATGCTGCCGTGGTCGACGTGCCTGTTTGCTCAGAGGTCGTCGTAGGGTCTACTATTGTGGATTCCGTCGTGGACGAGTCCGTATTCTCCGTTGTCTCCACAGCGAAGGACGTTGCAACGGTAGTCTGGGTAACAAATGTAGTCTGTATTATAGGCTCCTGTGCTTCAGTTGTAGTCGGAGCTGATTGCGTCGTTCCCAGGTCTGATCTCTTCCGGATGCGGAAACTAACTGACGAGACCGACAGATCCGTGTCCCAATCGTAAGTCGCTGCTTCAGAGCTCACTGGCCGCTCAATGCGATATATGAACACTCCTTGGCATGAATCAATAACGTCGTCCGAAAGAGTGCCAGTATCCCAAGCCCAAGTTCCTCCTGTAGAGGAGTCGATGTTTGCTGCGTTCGGGATCAGTGGACTTAGTGCAAAAGTAGTTGGATGCGTACCAGCAAGAAGTCTGCTAAAACTATGATCGAGCCCGGATGTGATCCAGAGCGAAGCATGGCCGTCGTTGTCTAGTACCGCTACAGGCTGGTTGTCCAGGCCAACTTGCCACTTGAAGTTGTGAATGTCGCCTTGTCGGACGTCGTTTAATGGCGCTACCTCCCCTAGGTCTCCATCTGGTACTGTGAAGGCCCACTGTGCACGTCCTAACGTCGCCAGTGCGAGACAAATGGCTGATCTGAACATACTGAGCTGGACGCAGCAGGTGTCAGATTGGAAAGGCAAGACCGAGAGGCTCACAACCTTTGCAAGGGCAAGCGGAACATATACTTAATTCTCTGGGTTGGTCGCTTGCTCTCAGCCTCGTTGCCTTACTTGTCCCAAACGTGAGATTGTCGGCACTGGTAGACTGTGATAGGTCTATACAGAGGTGGCTTGGACAATAATATTTCTAGCCCCCAAGCCAAGGAGCCTAGATGCGATAGCAACCCACACGAAATACGAATCAATACACGGGTATCGCGGGAAGATTTACAGTTGACCAGATCCTAGCATTAGTGGAGCCTCGATAGGCATGTCGGCTATAGGGATCGCTTTGCTGACTGATATATCCGAAAAAGAGTACACAACTATTATCTCTACGCTTCAACCGCTAAATATTGAGTGAATAGTCATGTTTTGAGAGCCCTATGCTTGTTCAAAGGCACATGATAGCTTTGAAGCGCGAGGTCGGTCGTCACGTTCTGACTGAAGAAGTTGTTGTCGGTTAAATTTTCGAAGCGACTGCGAAACGTTTGTGTTGAGATGATTCTTGCCGTGAATATGATTCAGTTCAAAGTGGTGTTTGAGTTGCCTGTCACTGTTTCACCTCGGTGGGTCTCCACCGCTAAAAGCCCCGCACGTGACTGCTCACTCCCGCCAGTCGCGTACGATCATCAATAGGATTGCACTTGACTTTGCTCTTCTCTCAGCTCCACGATTCAAGTCATCAACATCTATTTGGCTCCGTATCGCTCCATCCTATCTTAATTGCAACAGTCTGTTGAAGCAGGTGCTTCTGGGCGTACGGCAGGTGCGCGCTAGCCTATATAGGTGGCCTATGCAGCCTGCTCCTCCCTCACTCTTACAATCAACCTGTTTACACTACATGCTCACATTGTACGCTTCACACTTCAACACAGTCAACAGCGATGGTGGACAATGCCTGTGCTACCTGCAAGAAGGTGAATGCCAATGCTTCGAAGGTGACATACGCTGAACTGACCTATTTCTCTATGGACCCCCGATGAGGCTCTTAACTTGAAGCGTTGTGCGAAATGTCAAGTGACTTGGTACTGCGGTCGCGAATGCCAAAAGGTATGTACATAAGGCTCAACGAAGCCTCGGCATGTGTTTGCTCGACGCAAACACCATATTACGGACATGTTGTGATACCTGCAACCAGGACGGTATTCACGCTGATGCATCTCCACCAGGCCGACTGGAAATCCCACAAGAAACTCTGCTCCCAGCAAGCCAGCAGTTCTGCCTCTGCACCAAACATCGAACACGCCCACGCCTGCAAACAGAAGCGCGGCGACAATCTCGAGAAATACATATCAGACCCATTCACACGTATCGACAAGGGTACCTACTTGCACGACCGCCCGGAGAAAGATGTATTCAAGCTGCTCGTCGACGCCTTCCGTATGCGGAAGGCCGATGCATACAAGATGGAGGGTAAGACCACTCCAGACAGTGTGTACACCGGTACAGCGTCGAGTATAGTCCCCTTTCGGCGGTTCCTCCTTCGTGTGGAGCTTAAGCGGGGGTACATGCCGTCTTGGTGGAATTCGGAGAAGAAAAAGGAGTGTGAAGAATTTGGGGAGACTGGCGGGGATTTCAGCGATCTGAGGAAGAAAGCGACGAAGGAGAATGTGATGGAGCATTATAAAGACGAGAAGGTAGATTTCTCGACGTTTATGTGATGAGACCGATCGCTAACATACATGTGCGTGGCAGATGCCGATGCAACTCCGCATGTTCGCTGAGGAGGCGCTGGGCGAGCCTGCGCCAGGTACCTTGCCAGGTGCAGGTGCGGGTATGAGGGCGCTGATGACCATGATGGAGGCAGGTGGAACAGGCGATGGTCTGCACTACAGCATGCATAACATTAGTGAACGGCGAAGAGGCTGAGAATCCTCTTGAGATTTCACGAATACTCGGCCACGAAGCCTAAACAAATAAGCAACGAATGGCCTTCCTTGAGTACGAGAATAGTAATTGAAACGAGCATCCGGTAGTATTGCATGTTTACAATACATCTGGATTGGCTTCGGCCCCACGCCAAGTGTTGTGGCTGCCATCTAACATGTCCTCCATGCCCGTCTCTGCCTTGATCTGAACGTGGCGTAAATTGACCTCGGCTTCTCTACGCGGCAACGCGACGCAATCAAACTGCCACGGTAGAGTCTTAGACAGATGCATCTATTCCACTCTAGACTTTGCCATAGTGTCTTCTTGTACTGGAGGTTGTTGTTCGCCTACGTGTGTAGACTTCCTGTTGAGTAGGATACGGGATCTTGCACGTAGCAAAATATATAAGCTAGAAGCCAGACAATATAGTACACCAGGGCACATCTTTTAGGATCTCGGTCTTCGCTTTTCGGGCTAAGGCTAGTGCAATGCTATTGCATGGTAGCAAAGCGTGAGCTGTAGTGTTATTGCTAATCAACGTCTTGAGACACTTCCTATGAACAACGTTTTCGGATTATCGGCAACAAGATTCTCAGCCTTTTATGTCAACCTGATCGATCCTCGGAAAGCTTGTATATAGAACCATACTGAGGTATACAGCTTTCATTACCTTTGGATCCATCTTGTCTATCTGCTCGTGCCTCTTAGTTGAGATCTATGATATGATTCTTCGGTGCTGAGATCTGTACGTGGCGTAAGTCAACCTCGGCTCCTGCAATGATGCCCATAGTATCCTTTGGACCCCGGAACGATCGAGCTGCCGCAAGGGATCATAGATAGTCATGTCTTCTATTCCCCTTTAGCAGATCTCGGGAATGTTTCGGACGCCTAGAAGCTGAGCGCCTAATTGCCACATCCTCTTGTGAACGTGTGATGTGGAAATTTGCACTGCAGTAATACATGCGGGCCAAAAGCCGGACGACATCCATTGACAACGGGCGACATCGGAATCATTATCTTTACCCTTAAGGCTAAGGACGAGCGCATTGTTGCCGTATGGGAACATGGCCTGTCTTGTAGTGTGGTGCTCTCATAGAATGTCTTGCGCCATCTCTTCATCAGATGGCTTATGGTTCTGATCAAAATGTACAGACTTACCATGCTGCTCTTTGCGTTTGATGTTGAACTAGTAGGTTCTCAGGAGGATGAACAATGCATTACTTATGCTGCAGCCAAGCACGGAGTAGGATTAATGACCATGAATGGGATGAGCGCGTGAAACAACAAGTGATGGCGTAGAACAATCAAGAAGGGTGGAGAGAGAAACCGAAATTATAATTGCGAAAGTCAACCGATCTAAGGGATGAGCGAAGTTCAGGTGACAATAGACCTGTCAGATGCAAGAACCAGTTCCAGAAAGAAGTCATGCCACCAGTACGATCACTCAGTTAGCCCTAGTATAGACTTCTGATATCTAGACCTTGAGATGCCGTATTCGAATGTATCAAACATGCTTCATCAACTGGCTCAGCAAATCAGACCTTGAGATACTGTGGCTTGTAGAACGACGTAGCAGTTGTCGTGAATTGCTCGATCAACTAATCGCCAAGTCAAACGTACATGTCCATCTAGACCATGCAAACGCCAGCCTCGGTCCAAATGTTGAGAACCCGGCGATCCGTTCGGGGACAGAGACAGGGGTCTAGCGATGCGCATATGCACACAATGATTGGCGAGGTGACACGAGAGAGCCAAGACCAGCCAGTTCGATAATCTCCCGCGTGCTCGTGCACAATCTGTGATGGGTGGCGTCAGCTTTCGACAAGGATGGGTGAGACGTCGCCCGTGGAGGCTGCCAGAGACAACGCCCTGTAAGTTGGAAAGACGGTGTAGGCTGCTTTTGGGCAACCTAAAGTTCGTTGCCTGTTCTGAGCTGAGTGAGGGCTGAAGGAAGGAGGTTGGAATCCACTTTGCGCTTTCAGCCTATTCTACAGGAGCTGCACGGCCGCTCCGAGATTCCTTTGGATTGTCACTGTCGTTAACCAATCGTCGGGATGGTCGAATGTGGGTTCTGCTATGAGGCGCTATACTCGATCTTGTTATAATCGGAGTTGGTATTGTGCGAGCTTGTGGGCGAACGCGCAGCATAGTAGATGGACGGTGCAACTAAAGCAAGGCGACTCGGCATATGGAATGGGCCTCGGCTGGATGAATGGCTCATAGTGGTGGGTTTCGCGCACTACGTGCGAGCCTCTGTCTGTTAAGCCTTCAGAGCCATCAGGTCAATACGATAGTTTCGTCAAGCTCTCGTCTGGTCCTTGGCAAGTGGATGCTGGATGGTGCATCACCCGATGCCCAAAGCACTCGGGCCACGATGCCTCCGCACAGCCTGGACTAGCCGCACGAGTTAGTACCGGCAATGTGTCCAACTCGGGGCAGGCTTCAAACGGAGCGAGGAGACGGCAGACAATGCCCAGATGCCCAGCCTTTTCCCTCCGTACCCCGCGAAATCTGGCGGAGTCGTGGTGCTACTAACTCGTGGCACCGTGGCTCGATCGAAAGCTGGACGCGCAGCAACACAAAGCGTGACGGTCCGCGGCTATCTTTGTCGCAACTGCCAAGGAATCTCGCCCGGGCATGATGGCCAAGAGGTGTGGTAGGAGAAGGGGTGTGAGTTGCTATTCGTCCGCGAGGGGTCAGTGGCGCTCCACAAGTCCACAATTGCTGTTCTTTCTTGCGGGGGTGGACACGTGCCAAGCCAACCCCGTTCTTCGTCCCCAGGTTTCCTTCCCGTTTCCGCCGCTACCCTTGTTCTCCAGCGCTCCTGTTGGCTGCAAAGGATGGAAGTCCTCGAACTGGCTGTGACCATGGCCCAGTGTCGCTGTCATCCCGCTGCCACTGCCTCGGTATTTTTCCAACCTCGAGAGCCCTGTTCGCTGCATGCGCCTTGGCAGCCTTCACAGCTGTCGTGCAGGTGCCACCTGCCAGAATGAGCCTTCCAGTGACATATAGATTGCATGCTCCTGGTCGTGTATCTGATCTGCATTCTTCTACCTCTCACCAACATTCCTACATTCCTGTTCTCTTCCCTGACTTTCCTTCTCCATGGCTCAAGCAGGCATGGACAGAGGCCCTGCCGTTGAGAAGGACCCGACCACCTTGTTGGAGGATGTGGAGCAAACGCCGACAAAGACGTCCTACGATGTTGACTACGAGTCCGAGTTCACGGAGAAAGAGCAGAGGACAATTATCCACCGCATCGACCGGCGTCTCGTCGTGACTGTCGGGGTCCTTTATTGCATTAGTCTAATGGATCGTACAAACTTGTCGGCAGCTGCCGTTGCTGGGTATGCGCTTGGTTACTTCTCATAACACAATGATAACAGCTGACAAGATATCAGCATGAACGCTGAGCTGATGCTTACACTTCCCTTCCCAGCTGGGAGCACAGTCTCGCGGTACTCTGTCGTAACCCTCGTATTTTTCACCACCTACATAGTCTTCCAACCCCCGTCGACTGTACTTATTCGAAAACTTGGCCCGCGCGTGCATCTCTCTGTCATTACCACTGCATGGGGTGCAGTCATGATCGGTATGGGTTTCGTCAAGGACTGGGAGTCTCTGGCTGGCCTAAGAGTAATTCTCGGCATCTTAGAGGCAGGATTCTTCCCATCTTGCGTCTATCTTCTTTCGACCTGGTATACCCGTTACGACATTGGCAAACGGTATTCCGTCTTCTACATGCTCGGAAGTCTCGCATCAGCATGCGCGGGTATCCTCGCTTACGGTCTTATGCAATTAGGCGGCAAGAACAGCTCTTGCAGAGCTCCTCCTTGCAAAGGCCACGGAGGCTTGACCGGCTGGCGGTGGATCTTCGTTATTGAGGGAGCATTGACCTGCGCTTTGGGTATCGGCGCGTACTTCGCTCTCGTCGACTTCCCCGATAGAGCTCACAAGAGCTGGAAATTCTTGACTCAGCGCGAGGCCAATTTCATCATCGCGCGAGTCGATCGGGACCGTGGAGATGCGAAGCCTCAGCCCTTTTCCGCTGGCAAGTTCTTCCGCGCGGCGCTGGACGTCAAGATCTGGGGCTACGCTATGGTAAGCATCACCCGAGTGAAGTATTTGTGCACACTGACCCAGCCTAGATCTTCCTGAACACCACCACCGTAACCTACGCGCTGGCCTATTTCCTTCCCATCATTCTAAATCAGAAGATGAAATTCTCAGTCGGAGCTTCGCAATGCCTCGTCGCCCCTCCCTACGCCCTCGCCGCCATCGTCATGTACGCCACCGGTTGGGCAGGAGATCGCTACAAAATGCGCGGCCCCATTATCATTTTCAACATGGTCTTATGCTTGATCGGCCTACCCATCATGGGCTTTCACAAGAAAGCTTCAGTCCAGTATTTCGGCGTCTTCCTCACCACTGCGGGCGCGAACAGCAACATCCCAGCTGCGATGTCGTACCAGGCGAACAACATCCGTGGGCAGTGGAAGCGTGCGTTTTGCTCAGCAACCCTGGTTGGTTTCGGAGGTATCGGTGGCATCGCTGGAGGTCTTGTCTTTAGAGCACAGGATGCGCCTGATTATAGACCAGGCATCTACGCATGCATTGCGTGCTGCTTGTTATCCATTCTTATTGTTGGGTTGTTGACATTGCAATTCGGGCGCGCGAATGCGAAAGCGGAACGTGGCGAGGTCGAGCTCGAGTATAATGATGTAAGTTCTGTATGTTTGTTCGATATATGCTCATTTGCTGACAACTTTCGCAGGAGGATGACCAGCGTGGGTTCCGGTACACCATCTAAGTTGAGTGCTTATGGTCTGTTGGTGTGAGCTTGCTGGACCTCGGCTCCTGGGTAACCGTAGAGCACCTCACGGACTGGTCGACGCATCGTATTTCGCATGGCTCCCTATAATGGCCACCACCTACCTCGGCGCTCCTCCAAGATCGGCTGGTAGCGTTCACTTTATGTAGATGTTGAACGCGGCATCAGAGCCTTTGAATGAACATCATGACATCCGGATTACTGATTGCGTGTGCGCGTATGCTTCGTGAAACAGGATGTAACCGAGGTGGAAGGGCCATGAGGACATGGATCAGTAATCTGATTGGACACTCCGTTTATCACCAACGTGCAAGATCAACGATTGGCTGCGATTGTCGTTTGTGCCGCTGGAACACATGCATAGGGACGTATTCAGCTGGTACACAGGATGGGCTAAACTCAGTGCAGATCTTGAGGAGCACTGTATGTGCATATATGGCGTGTCGTTTGGGCAAACATCGTATCACATCCGTTCATAGATTTTGAAATTAAGAAAAGCGAGCGTACGGGTAAGTGGACTTGGTATTAGTGTGGATACCTAAGCATACGTGCTTTAACCAATGCAACTAGTCATCAAATCACAAAACAAACCGGATGATAGGCTACGGCTTCTTTCACTCAAACATTCTCAGATTCCAAAAGCTTCGGAACCCACCCCGCCAGATGTTCTTGGCCTCCTCCCAATCACCATCCTCCTCGTCGACGAGCGCCTCACAAAACGTCTCATAATTGGCGTTCCGCAAGGGAGGAATCTCGAGCATCATCTTGAGCAATGCTTCCTCCTCCTCACGCTAGTTCCCAGTATCCTCATACATCACCCTCTGCACCACGAATTACAATGTTGACAACATAATTGTATGTCCCACGTGTGCAACGCTCGATCCGAAAGGCGGACGAGTTGTTCTTGCTGTGTTGCTCCATGTGCTTCTTGACAAGAAGAGGAATGCTTCTTCTGGAATCGCAGAAAACATAGACCCGAGCTTTTGGAGTTCTACGCCCTTCTCGTCTTCCTGCTCCTGAAGCCATTGTGAATCGATTTGGCCGGATCATGGATGGCAGTACCATGCGAGTGGTGAGCTACCAAGTGCGATCGAGCTCGGTTATCAGTGCTGTACATAGAATAATTGAGTATACAGAGTACTAACAGGCTTCGACATTATATTGTAGAAGGTAGAAGCTTTGAAGAAACCCATGCATACTCAGACAATTCCAATGCGTGAAACTCCGTACAATGAAGCTTGGGTAGACTCAAGTGCGAAATATTTTGAATGTAGTCGCGTAGATATCAACAGACCCTGTTATGGCTTGACGTGCATCTACAAGCAGATTAGTGACATGGAGTTGTACGTCGAACGTACCATCATGTGGCTGAGCAGCGGTGATTCGCGTCAATGTTCACAAGCATAGAATCCCACGGCACTTGGCGTGCTTTGTCCTTGGTGTTTATGGAGTTCTTTGGAGGGGGAAACCTATCAAATTCACATACCTAACAACGTTAAAAAGCGCCACATAGGAAATGCAAGATGTCTCGATCTAATTAAACACGCAATGGCATGATAGGAGTGATACTCAATGTCCCCATCACTGCAGAGTATGTCGCGCCCCAACCGGACCAACATGCTTCGAAAAACGACGCATAGCTGATTGTGAGCTTTGCGGAGAGCGATTCTACGTCAAAAGCCCCGACGGTTGCTAGCACACCTACAGCGAAGGCTATGACCAAGCAGGAGCGCTCCAAGAACCCGAACCATGGGCCGTATGCCACGGTGCTAGTGGAGAAGGCGAGATTTGGGAAGGAAGCTGAGGAGAAGAATATGTCTATCGACTGGGGGAGAGAGCAGAGTGCGAAGAGAACGTTTGATATAGATTGGAAGAAGCTAGAGGAGCCGAAGTACATGGAAGATAAGGAGGTGAAAGAGAAGAAAGAGAAGAAAGAGAAGTAGAAAGGAAGCAGCGCCTTTAATGTGCCTGAAGCAGGCCACCAGGTGTTACAAGTGTCGAATCGCATTAGACTGTGATGTTGCAAAGGCCTCAGGAGGTGAGTTTGAGTGTACCATAGGTATTTGCAAAAACCTCCATCTTTAAAAGCCTAAGATGGTATTTGATGTGTATTAATTCAGAGGCAACGAGCTATCCAAAGTAAATGTAATAATAGATATCAATTCAAGTATCGAGTAGCTGAGAAAACGTCGTCTCTCGTGTGCTATCCCATCCTGAACCTCCCGAGCATGGTCTGTGCGCGTACTCGCCATGCCGGAAAAATGTGAGATTTGGCAGCCGAAGCTCCCAACCTCCAAAACCAGGACGCCGACTCTCATCCACCCCATCGCCAATTCGCGTCCGAAACCCGTCACAATGTCTCTCGCAGCCTCCCGCCAAGTGCTGCGGCACTCGACTTTTGCCGTCCGTCGCGCCGGCATCCGCAATGCGTCGTCCACGTCCGAAGCTGCTGGCGCCGCGAAGGAGAAGACTGCCGAGGCATCGTCGAAGGCATCGGAGGGTTTGACCCGCGTCACCTCCTCGGCCAGTTCTGCTGCGAGCAAGGTCGGAAGCGCGGCTACCAATGCGGCAAACAAGGTTGGGGGACGGACGGGAAGGCTCATCGGGAGCGTGCAAGGTTAGTACGCGATCTTTGGGAGAATGTATTAGAAGAAGGAGGACTCGGAGCTGGAGGAGCTTTTGCGCCCGGCGGAGAGCTTTGAATGGGCTCAATGGCACGACGTGAAGCTCAAATGTCCTAGTCTGGACGCGCAGGAGTGGCACGTTGCAGCTAGTGGCCCTCCGGTGTCGAAAGGACTCGCAATGATGGCGACTACACGTTACTGTAAACGATATGCTGACTCCAACCTTCTATAGCTATGATCCCGCGTGTCATCTACTACTCAAGAGTCGGTCTTGAGCTTGGCAAGCTCGTCGCTCATCAGCGAGGCATGGCACCACCGTACGACATCCCTCAAAACCTACCACGCTCGGCTTAAGGTGCTAATCAGCGAACAGTAACATGGCCACCATCCAGCAGTACCTCCAGCCCGTGACCAACGCACTCAAGAACCCCACAAGCCTACTCAACGCCGGTGCGCGCACCGCCGAATCCAGCTCCGCACAGCCCGTTAACGTCCTCAACCGTGTAAGGGGATTCTCTCAACAACAGTGGATTTCCGCTGGTATTGTCGCTGCTGAGGTTGTTGGTTTCTTCTCCGTTGGCGAGATGATCGGCCGTTTCAAGCTCGTTGGCTACCGCGCCAAGGAGGCACACCACTAGATGCATATATCGACAATACTTGAAACACCCTTGAATTTGAGGGAACCAAGGTTGGATTCGCGGGGGTGTGAGGGAGGAATGCAGAAGGGGTAGCTGATTGTAAAGCGACATGGCGATCTGGTAATGACCGGATACCTGCAACGGATGGGTGGAACTTGCGCATGCGGCGCACATGTAATGGCTAACACTGTACCATTATTGCTGCACATACTCAGATTTAGATTTTCTTTTCTTCTGTGCAATTAGGCAATGCATTTCCTTGATCTCAACGAACTGCGGTGCTCGATATCGAGTGGTGTATACTGTACTAGCGGCGTTTGTTTTCGCCGAGCCGCCGAGCCGCGGGCAACTTTTTGTGCATCTCGAACTTTTTGCAACAGCGCAATATGCTTCAACACAGAATGTATTCAAGGCGATAGTGCCCGTTTTACTACGTTTGAGTACCGCAGCCGTCAACAATCACCATGAACGTCTTCAAACTCCTCTCCCGCTCGTCAAAAGCCGCACAATCTGCGCCCTCGCAGAAGCTTCCTTCCGCCGGCGCAGTTCCGAATCCGCAGCTATTCCGCGACGATGAACCAGTCACGGTCTCTCCAGATACAAGAAAAAGCAAAAAGCGAAAGAGAGGGAAGGATGCACAAGACATGTCTGCGCCGCTGCCGGCTGACCTAGATTTTTTTGGCACGTCGAAGAAGGAAAATGCAGAGCCTGCCATACAAGCTACGGAGAAGGAACGAAAGCGCACCAGCCAATCCCAGACTGACACCGAAATCAACGGCGCACAAGAGGAAATGGAAGCAGAACCATACGACGAGGACGAAAGCAAGCGCATCCTGCGATCGCACAAGTTGAAGGTCACAGTGCTCGAGGACTTCGCGCCGCAAGAGGACGAAGCGCAGCCCGAGAAGAAGAAAAAGAAGCGGAAGAAGGAGAAAAAGATCGTGGAAAAGAAGAAGGATGCGAAGAAGCAGTTATATCCTCAGCCTCTTACTTCCTTCGCGCAGTTGCGGATAAGATATGGCATTTCGAGGAGGTTGGCAGAGAATCTGAGCGAACAGGCGTACAAACTGCCGACTGAGGTGCAGCTTGGTGCTTTGCCGCTGCTGCTGAGGTCGAGGAAGACGGAGCAGGAGGGACAGAATGGGAATTCGATTTCAGCGAGCGCCTCTGGTGCGGAGTATGGTGGTGATGTTGACCTTCTAAGTGTTGCGCCTACTGGAAGTGGAAAAACAATAGCGTTTCTGATTCCGGTCATTGATGCGCTCTTGTCCGAGAAAGTCGCGGAAGGCGACGACGGTCCCCGAGCTATCATTATCGCACCTACACGAGAATTGGCGTCGCAGATTGTGAATGAGGCGAGGAAGCTCTCGAAGGGGACCGGACTGAAGGCGACACTCATGAAGAAGGGAATGGAGGTGGTCGAGCGGCCGGAAGAAGAAGACAGCAAAGACGAGGCAGAAGCTGCCAGGAATTTTGAGGAAGAAGAAGAGAGCGCATCGGATAGTGGTGACGAGGAGAAGGTCGTGCAACAGAAGAAGCGAAAGCGAAGACGAGCAGACAAAGTCAAGGCTGCGATACTGGTCACCACCCCAGCAGCGTTGCTCAACGCGCTCAAGCAGAACGACGGTTCCCTTGCCTCCCTCCTGAGCGTCCGCCATCTCGTCCTCGACGAAGCCGACGTGCTCCTCGACCCTCTCTTCCGGGAGCAGACCGTCTCCGTATGGAACGCTTGCACAAACCCCCTCCTCCGTGTCGGCCTTTGGTCCGCAACCATGGGCTCTAACATCGAAACTCTCGCCATTTCCACCCTGAACACCCGCTGGACTTCCCTCTCATCCACCAACACAACCCTCCCCCTCGCCGCCCCCTCATCCGCCTAGTTGTCGGACTCAAGGACACCGCCATCCCCAACATCTCACACCAACTCACCTACGCCGCCACCGAACAGGGCAAGCTACTCGGCCTCCGCCAACTCCTACATCCCACCGCCATACCCACCCTGAGCTCCGGTCCATCTCTTCGCCCTCCTTTCCTCGTCTTCACACAGACAATTCCTCGTGCGATCGCCCTCCACTCTGAGCTTCTCTACGACATTCCCCCCGAAGCGGGTGGCAGCTCGCGCATCGCCGTCCTCCATGCAAACCTCTCCAGCACAGCACGCGAGAGCATAATGACCAAGTTCCGTCGCGGCGACATTTGGGTCCTCATCACAACCGACCTGCTCGCGCGCGGCGTCGATTTCCGCGGACTGAACGGCGTAGTGAACTACGACGTGCCCAACAGCGCAGCCGCGTACGTGCACCGCGTCGGCCGAACCGGGCGAGCTGGTCGCGCTGGAGGCGTCGCCGTCACGTTCTACACTCAAGAAGACATCCCATACGTAAAGCTCATCGCAAACGTTATCCGTGCGGCGGAGAAGCTGAGGGGTGTCGCCGAAGAAGAGCAGAGTGTAAAGCAGTGGCTGTTAGATGCACTGCCCACGCCGACGAAGAGGGAGAAGCAGGAATTGAAGAAGAAAGGTGTGGAGGCGAGGAGGAGTGCGAAGACGGATGACGGGAAGAACAAGGCGCGCATCAGTACGAAGAGCGGGTATGAGCGGCGTGTTGAGAACAGAAAGAGAGGAGCGAGGATTGGTAGCAAGCAGCGGCAGGAACAGGAGCCGCGGAGGAAGGTAGAGGAGGCGAGTGAAAGTGAGTTTGAAGGCTTTGAGTAGGACTACGAAAGTTGGGAAGATAAGATGAGTATATAGTCCATCTGTGCAATGTGAGAACAATGAATTGCCTACCATGGCGCACTGCATAGGTGACGCATGGAATGTTTTCAACTCTTCTCAACCCGTTTGCAAGTGACTCGACGCTATCCTAAAGATCCTTCAGCTACCCTGGTTTCCCAGAACGTGAGCGCTAAACAAGTTGAAAGGGTTGCGAAAGCTGAAACAACTCAAACCGATTGAATCGTTCAATCATGCCCCTGAGCACTTTATTATGAGTTGACTCAAGGTTGAGGTTTACAAGTTGGCCAGGTCGTCTACCAAGTTCATTGTTTAAAGTAATCAAATCAAAGTAGATCGAGTAGAACGCCATGGGTTGGAAAAGAAAACTCAGAGCGACTTTTCGACCATCCTGCCCTTAAACCCGCCTGTAGAGTGGCCTGATGACTATGGTGGTCGGGGTCTTTGGTTGCCGACGAAGCCGCATTGATCTATGCCCGAAAAAAAGGCCCATGTAAACGGGATACTACCTGCGGGCGTACGATAGGTGTACACTCCGTGCATACCAAATATACCATGTTAATGTATTCAACCCAATGTTTCGATCCAATTCATATGTAATCCTTCCTGTCAAAGCCCTCGTCCTCCCACTCACTGTAGGTTGACGAACAGCCCCCCATCAACCAACAACTGCGCCCCCGTCACATACCCACTCAACTCCGCACTACCCAAGAACACCGCCGGCCCCGCCAAATCCCTTGTCTCGCCCGTGCGCCCCAGCGGTATCCGGCCCTCCATATACTTCCTCTTTTCATCATCCTCAAGATCCTTGTCATTGAGCTGCGTCTTGATCGTACCAGGGAGCAGTGCATTGCATCTGATGTTGTACTTGCCCAGCGCGCAGGCGGCGGATTGGATGAGGGAAAGGACGCCTGCTTTGGTGGGCGTGTAGTGGGCTTGTCTGTACGAGGTTAGAAGGTGAAGGGGAAACGGGAGCAGGAAGGAGGGACGCGTACTGTGCGCCGCCTACGAGGGCAGAGATAGAGCTGATGCCTATTATAGAGCCGCCCGGGGGAGATTGCGTGGACATTTGTGTGGCGGCTGCGTGGATGGTGTTGAATGCGCCGGTGAGGTTGGCGTCATGGTGTTTGGCCCAGAGTTCGGGTGTTATCCTATACCAGGATGTCAGTGTTGCTTATCTCGTTGCGTCTTGAGGTTTGGCAGCGTACTCAAGGAACTCCTTAAACTCGCAAATCCCCGCATTGCTCACGACAACGTCCAGCCGTCCCCAGCGCTTCACCACCTCCGCAACCAGCTTCTTGCCTGTCTCCGGTTTTCCTACATCACCCGGTACATCAATTATGCGCTCCTGTGCCTCTTCCTTACTACCTAGTATGCTTGCTGCTTCGTCAAGGAGGCTCTTGAACTGCTCTGCCGACTTCGCGTCGTCAAAGTGGTTGATCGCGATGTTTGCGCCATGCGAGATGTACCCGAGTGCGATCGCGCGACCGATGCCTGTTACGCCGCCTGTTATGGCTGTTGATTTGCCCTTAAGTAATTGTGCGGGATTAGACATTGTGGGTGTGGACAAGGGTAGCTGAGATCGGTTGGAATAGGAGGTGGCGGGGTTCGCAATGGAGGGGTTACGGCGGATAGAGGGTCTGCGCAGCTGTGACACGTTGATGGAGGGCCTTGACAGTAGAGGAAATAGTGTCTGAGAACTTTGAAGGCCTCATGATGCGCAAAAGTGTGGCCGGCGGCAGTGTGGTTTGGCGGACGCGTTTAGGTGGGGTGTAGGAGGTCGAGAGCTGGGTTTCGGGAGAAAGGGTGCCGAGGTAACAAAGCGTGCGACGTACTAGGGTAACTTGAGGAAAGAAGGAATACGGCGATTCGCACTTGATATAACTCGCAAGGAAGTTGTGTTGAAACTCCTAAGTCCTATCATAACCTCAAATCAAACCGTGATCTGTTTACCTGTTGCTAGCGGTCAGACTCCGCTTCAATCGTACCCTCTCAATACTATGGGGTTCAAATGAAGATGATACTATCGCATATGATTATTCTATAGTCCAAGTCATTACCGGCGATTGAGAACTTACAACGCTGGCAATAAAGTCCCAAGGTTTACATCTGCCTTTCCCTTTCCACCCTCGTCCCCTTTCCCTAGCGAAATTCACCTGAACTCCGCAATCCCGTAGGCCGACGCCGCGGTCTTCGCCCAAATCCACTCCTTCTCTCTCTCACTTAACCCTTTGTCCTCCACCCACTTCTCCACAACCTCAACCCAGTAACCCCAATTGCCCTGCTCTCCTTTTGGTCCACCGACATTGCATACCTGTTCATTATTAGCGCCTGCCTTTCAAGATCAAACTCCCGTCCAGGATTCTCAAGACCAAAAGGGGAAAATGAATGATGAAGAAGTACGTACCGGCCAATCACTCCCAAACAGCACCCTATGCGCCCCAAAACTCTGCAGCAAATGATCCAAATATGGCCGCAATGTTACAAGGATCTCTTTCGCGGACGAAGGCGTAGTAGAGGGCGAGAACTCATTCAGCGCACCGCTGAGCTTCATATAGACATTTGGATGTGAAGACAATCGTCCAATACTGGATTGCCAGCGTTCAAAGCCGTCCCAGTTGGAAGAGGATAAGTCGGGTTTGCAAAGGTGGTCTGCGGGACATTAGCACATGCCTTGTCCCATACATTTACCAATGTTCCGAGGATGGCATGTATAAAGGAGGTCAGGCGAAAGACGGGAAAGACTTACTAAGAACGAAGTTTACGCCTTCTTCTACGCCTTCTATCAGTTTGGAGACTGCTTCCAACGTTTCTATGCCGTCGCGGTGCGCATCGACGCCTACATCAAACGCTAGTCGCTTCGGCCCCTTCTCACACGCTCTTTTCACGTTCCAGACGAAGTGCTTGTTTTCTATAATTGATCGAACTTGCTCGGCTGTCCGCCCCTGGAGGAGATAACTATGCACGTCAGCAACTCCCCCACCAGATAGGTCTCACGAGGTTGAGCGTACCGAAACCCCACAACACGTTTCAATGCTTCCTCGCCCAGCGTCTCCCTCGCAAGCTCTAGATAGATCTCAAATAAACTACATGGCAGGTGAAATGGCGCCCAAATCACAAGCCCTTTCAACCTTCCACCATCCTCTTTGCTCGCGCCATCGCCCTCCTGCACATTCCCCTCCACCACTCTTCGAAGGAACTCTAACTCTTGCAAGGGTGCGCGTGCCCAGTGCCTTATCCTCTCTTGTTTCTCTTCTAAACTAGACTCGGGATCGACGAAGAGAGAAGAGGAGGGGAGATACCGATCTGTTTCCACGTAGACGAAGCTGGCGGGCTGGACCGGCGCAAGGGCAGTGGCGGCATCGTACTCTTGTATCCCATGCTGTTTTGCTAAAAAGAAGCCGGGCGTCATCCAGCCATGGTCTGTGCAGGAGGTCGCGATGGAGGGCCAGAGGTGGATGTGGGAGTCTAGGATTCTGAGCGGCATTGTTGGGGTTCGGGATTGATCGTATTGAGAATTGCGCAAGTCTCCGTGGATCGAATGAGATTCGAAACGTAGTGTTGCTTCGGCTAAAAGGGATGATGGTTTGCGTTGAGCTACTTGTGTAAGGCACGTGTGTCTTGGTGGTGCCAAAGCGAGGCTCGGGTTGGCGGGGTAAAAACGTCCGAATGGAGGAGAAATTCGGATCGCTGTGCTGAAACAAAGATTTGTACTTCTACTTCGCCTCAGGTATCATGATAGTTGTACACGACAGGTGGAATCACTGGCATACAACGCACTTTTCACAACTATCTTACTGGAGTAAGCAACGAAGTGTTGTCTCGACAGACTACGCTTTACATGCTGCGAGGTTGAACTGATAACGTTTGCCTCGTTATTTGAATAGGGAACTACTATTGATATCTCGTTAGTCGTGTGTTCTCTGAAAGGTTTGTCGGTATATTGTTTACAGCTCTGGTACCGCTTGCATTAAAGCCGTAATGTGGTCGATCCCTGTAAAGGAACAAGCGACTGCGCACAGGCACTTTGCGAGCGTACTCAATGCACTCAGTCGATCTCCCTCGTCCACTTTCTTCCTCCGATGCTACCCAGGCACAGGTCTGATTCTCCGCTACACTGAGTTCTTCGCATACCCACCTACCTGCGTTAGCTCGCATAACACCCCACGCCCAGGCAGAATCTTCCAGATGCTTGACCGCGCTAATTGCATCTATTCGTCTTGCAGACCGAAACTGCACTCCACACATCGTCATACAAGTAGTCGTAAGCATAGTGGGCTACCCCTCATGCCCCAAGCAGGAAGCTCAAGCAGTCATGGAGGGGTCGTAGACAAGGGTCTCGCAGTCTACCCCACCACCGCCCGTGACCGGAGGAAAGCAGGCCGAACCAAAGCCTGGTCTATAGACGATCACGTGTCCAATGCTCCTCTAGGTTCACGCTACCAAACAAGAGGAACAGATCAGAGCGGATATTGCCGCTACTCGGACAAGACGGTACGAGGGAAGTCCCGTAGTCGTGCGACTGTGGGCCTCGATTTGCGCTGTCAACGCAACTTATAGCGGGACCAAGGCCTACCTCGGCGCTCTGCAGTTCGCCAGGGAAGAACCTGTTCGTGCCGTTTGGGATGAGATTGGTTTGGACGTCTAGCCGCGTTAGCAAGAGGATGCTGACGGGCGAAACTTTGCATGACAAGCGAAGCTGCTCGCCATGACTAAGACCTCGGAGTCCGGCTTGCGGACTTTTGCTCCACCCCACACGACCCTGACAGTTGCCTGGAGGCCATCGAAGAGCTTTGGCCTCTCCCGCCTGAGACCCACGGTTCGCCTCGACCGTGGCACCTTTGCGTAAACACTAGTAGCACTGGAGCAGACGCTGGTCTTTGCTACGGAGTCGGATTGAGAACGACTGTGAAATGGACATGACTCATGAACATCAGCATTGGAGTGATCGGATATTCGTCCCGACAAGACACGTGTTTACCGTGCCTTTGGATCTACTGCTGCCGAGGCCACAGTCGAAGTAATCGTCTTACGCTGATTACCCACTTGTACAAGTGCTGAGGAGAGTACGAGATCTTGATTGCATGACGATGCAGAATCAAAGAGCTGCAAGTCATTTTAGGTGCATTGCGTTGAATGGGTCCGGTCTTCCGATACAGCTAGACTGTAGCGCTTACTCCGTAGCACAAAAGATGGGGTTTGCCAAGTGTTGCGATGCAAATGTCAAATTCAGATGCTCTACCAGGGTCTTTAGATCATGTCATCTCGCTCTACTCCAGGACGATTACGCATGTGAACGCTCGTTATGAACTGTGCCACGGGCTGTAAATGTCGTGGTTGATAGTGTCGCGCTAGAAAGGGACGTCTAACTGTGAACACCTTGGACATATCGCTAAGGTTGATCATTGCCTGGGGAAGCTCGGTTTCGTATTAGTGAATTTCCACTAAGGATTGTTAGCTGCATCGACGAATACAAGCATCCATTCCATGGCGGCACATCTTGCTTCATCACGAACCCAAACAGGTTCGTGTTCAATACTTGGAGCAAGAGTTGCCGGCATGTGTTCCCGTGGTCCAGATCGTGAGATTGAAACAACGGCACAATACTTGCGAGTTGCATGTAACACGACGTCGCATGTCACTGCAGGGACAATTGGGTGACCATTCCATGTCGTTTCTGTGGATTCGGGCATGTCCCCCACTATTGTACCCGGTACAAGGTGCTATGCTCGCGGGTAGAATCTTGGTTCATATCAGATAGCCGGAGATGGATCCGGAAAGTTTTCCAAAGTTGTATTCAGGTCGCGTGGTGCGGGTATCGGTGTTGATAACTCTGTGATGATCCGACGGCGCATAGAGTGCAGGTAGGCACTCTAGTGGTCACAACTGTCGTCATTCAACATGATCTAGCCCCGAACTACTTTTGGTCTGCCTTGATAGAGCAATGATGTGACGGGTGCTTATTAGATGTTGTGACAGTATCGTGATGAACATTTGAAGTTCCCATGATGCCTTGTATGTCGAATGTATGACATTGGTCCAGAGGAACAGCCCACCTTGAAGGTGGCGAATGTCGTCGTGTTGTGGAGAAATGCAACTTGCTCAGGTGAAGAAAGGATCGTTACGAAGAGAGCGACGGTTGAAAGATACCGTCATGCAATTTGCAATTGATGAATTGAGGCGGCTGCTGAAGAAACGCAAACGTTGCCAGGAGCAAGGATGTGAAGAGCAAGGTTTGTGGTAATGCAAGGAACGACACATCTTGGTCGTTAGTCTACTTTGGAGCCTACGTGCAGATAAGCCCGGGGTGCGAGGTACTTGGTGTTGTAGTGAATGCTCCAGATGAGGCACGGAGGGAAAGCCATGTGAGTAATTGCTGAACGGTGAGTAAAACGCATCAAGCCCACATGTCGGCAAATGCTTTGCTCGAACCGAGCACGCATTGGCGAATGGACAAGCACGAAAAAATTTGCGCGGACCCAGCACGGGGGAATGCATTTGAGGTGCGGGTCTGGGAAAGTTGCCAGTGTTTCTGGTTGAAGGTGTCAGGCGACGGGTGAGTCCAATTGCGGGAGGTGCGTAGCAGACTCCGCGGGTTGTGCAAAGACATGGGAGCGAGTGCATATCTGGCAACCTGAGGGGCATGTAGCGCTGTGACGTCCATGAGAAATGGTTCCTGAAGGGTTCATCTGAGCTTGGCGCATCTGCATCGCTACGTAGGGTGCAGACGTGGAGACGGATGGAGGTGCAGGTTGATACCGATGGCGGCGAGGCCGGCCCAATTCGGGACAGGTGCAGCACCCCATGACGAGTTGCTCGTGCTGCAAGGGCGTTCCTACTCCGTTACGAGAGGAGCGTGCATTCGTTTGCATCGGGGAGACGGAACATGCGTGGGTTGCATGCTGCCATTTGATGAAGCCCCGAACAAGCCATCTCTGGCCACCCGACCACGCTGCATGCGTGCCTGGCGTGGTGGCCCCCCGGGCGATGCGATGACGAGCTCAAGACTCGGCGTCAATGCGGCGGGCGCGCAGACAGCGAGTAGCTGGCTCTGGGCTGCGGGAGCCGGGAGATGACGGGCATAAGGTTTGCGCAAAGGGTCTGGCTGTCGGCGCCCAGGCAGTCCGGGGTGAGAGGGTCCACGAGGCTCGCGGGCGGTGGTGAGGCAGCACGAGGGCGCGCGCAAGGCCCGGCAGCGAGCGCTCGCAGGCGCGGCGGCGTGTCGACGCTGAGGGTCGCCAGGGTCGCGGTGCTGGCTGGGGCCGAGGGTCGATAAGAGGGGCCCGCAGAGGTGCTGCGCGGGTGGTGTTGGTGCCCTCTGTGTGCGCCATCGGCGCGTGCCAGTGCACGAATGGGACGTCGTCGTCGTATGCAGGCAGGCACGCATGGCGAGAAAACACCGCACCTGTTGGCGCTCCATACGCTCTACAACCGCCAGCTTCTTCCGCAATCCACCGACCGCCGTGTGCTCCCTGCGCGCCCTGAGGCCGGAGGAGCTGGCGCTGCACGTCCACGTACCGGTACCAGCCCGTATGTACCTCGAGTCGCACCTTCCGCCTTTGCACAGAGGGTCGCCGGGCCTGTCCCGCCTCTCACACGAGATATGCGCCCCCAGCCCCCGCCAGGATGCCACTCTGGGTCCAAAGTGCGGGCGCCGCGGGAGATGGTTCGCGCTATGGGCGGTCCGTGCATGCCGACCGACGGCCTCAGATCATCGACTCAAGTCGGCGGCGACGACGAGGAGCGTTCGTCTAGCTTTCGTGTCGCCTGCCCGTCTGCCCGTCTGCCCTCGGTGCAACCGCCGCCAGCGCCGCGCGAGGGTGTGACGGTGGTGGTGGTGGTGATGATGATGATGACTACATGCGAGCACGTCCAGGCTGGGGGGAGCGATGACAGATGGGGAAGCGCACAACGCGCCGGTGCTTTTTGCATAGACTACATGGTCGCCAAACCCAGCAATGCCAAACCCTCAAGAACGCTACAATTTTTCATCGCCAGCGAGTCCGCGGACCCGCCAGACGCCTGTTGAACGCCGTGTATCCGTCCGGTCCTTTTAGTGCCCGAAGCCAACTCCCGTCGCTAATCCTGTCAAAAGACAACAATGTGTGAGAATCAACCGTGATGTGAAATGCTCTCTATCGTCATGCAACGGATCGTCGTGCGTCTAAATTACTGCTTCCCTAGGCCGCCAAGCGGCGCTTCAACTAGCAAGGGTCGGCTGTCCTGACGAGGAACCACAGCCTCAGCTCACTGCCGTCGGTATGAGGCTTGCGCGCTCGCGGAGTATGCGTCCATGCGGCGACGGCGAGAGCGGCGGCGTAATCGAGGCCATGGGCGGGATTGGCAGCATCCTGATGTTGTCGTCCGTGTCGGCGCCCTCACGCGTGCCCCATGTCGTCTGCATGGTGTTAGCACCACGCGGAAATAACACAACTCGTCTTAGTCTACGCACCTCTGTTACGGTAATGCATCCGTAGAGTTTGATGAGATTGTGGAAGTAGCCAAAGAGGATCGAGACCGGCACGAAGCGCACGTCGCCCGGGTTTCGTAGCAGATGTGGCACTAGCTTGATCGTCTTGGAGAACACCATGTGTCCGAGGAACAAGGCCCATAGCAGCGTGCGCGTCTGCTTGTAGTCCGCGTAGAGCTGCGCTTCGTTCCCTCCTGGATAGTAGCCCGCCTCCACCATGGCGAGATAGAAGACGGCAACAAGGGCGCAGTCGTAGAGGAAGGCCCATTGCGTAATGGTCGTCTGGAAGACGGCGTACAGGGACCAGGGATAATTTCTGTTGCGGAACGGGTTAGCCACGACCAACCCTGGCCAGTGGGAGGGGTAGTGCTTGGCACCTCGACGCGAATTGCGCAGGGCTTGGGGCGCGTTCGGCGACTTACAACCACATGTGCAGCTCGCTCAAGCTGGTCAGGTTACTCCTCCAATTGCTACGCACCCACCGCAGGCACTGCCGCAGGTACTTGGGATCGTGTTCCAGCGTCGTCTCCACCTCGCACTCGCGGTGGTTCTGCAATTGGATCTTCCAATCGTGCGAGAAGAGCCATCGGGTGATGAAGTTGTCGTCGTCCGCGTTGAGAAAGTGGTCGCTACCCCACGTTTCGTGCGTGAACCCGTAGGTGAAGTTTGGATCTTGTAGAATTTCCGATCGGTACGCAACAGCACGTCCAGAGAGGCAGGGGAGGCCGCCGTCGAGCCAATTGCACGCTGTGCAGTCAAACGTCCTTCGCACCAAATATATCGCGCCGAGAAATTCCCAGATATTGTTTCGGTTTTTCCGACGCAGTTGTTGGTTCGTTCCCACGCCGCCCACGCGAGCATCTTCAAAAGGTGCCAGCATCCATTTGTTGAATTTTTCCGGCAACCACACGTCATCGTCCAACAATAGTGTAATCTTTGTCTGCACCTCCGGAATTGCTCTCGAGAGCTGGCGGCGCTTGTTGGCCTGGCTCACGGACAGCACCTGGATCTTCTTGGGGCAGCCCAGCTCTTCAACCATCTGGTACAGCCGCTTCACACGGGAGTCGGGAGTCACAAGTAGCAGCTCGAAGGGTTCGAGGCGGTAGGCCGTTTGGACCGTCTCTTTTAATTGTTGAATGTCCTCGGCAACGGTTGGAATGATGACCGTCACATCTTGCGAAGTAATGCTGGGTTCATCGACCGGCTGAATGGGCGTGTATGTCCATACCGCAGCCAGGTTGATCCATAATCTGATGTAGCGAAACAAGCTGCAAGACCGAGTCAGTCCAAGATGCCGAGATTTGCGGGGTGAGCGCAATGAGTCGCAGCAGATTGACGTACAAAGCGGCCAGGAAGATACAGAACCAACTCCAATTAGGAAACATCCATGATGAAAACGGAAACATGGCAACGACCAACGAATGTGCTAGGAAAGAAGATGTGCCGAGTGCAACGGGAACGAAGATCACATTGATGGAGGAGGGAATCCGACCGTTCCCCGGAGGGAGGGCGGGAGACTAAATATTCAAGCCACACGTCCGGGCGTCGAATGATAGTTCGCATCCCGGCGCAGCTTAAGCTGCAGGACATCCTCTTAGCAGCATTTGGGGTAGTCTTAACATGGCTGGAGCATTGTGAGGTCGTCGAAATCTCAGAAGTGACCAGGGTGGGCACACTAGCGGAATCGACCAGTGAAAGCACGAGCGTCCTGCTGGGGACCCGCCAGCCGTTGAATACGTGCATATTTTGGGCATCCTGGCGCTCAGGGATCCTCTGCCCAGTCTGCAGCGAGCGCCGTGTACTCGGCCAGCCTGTGCTCTGCCGCCCGCACTCGCTTCGGTGGGGAATGGGACCATACTGATGAGCACGAGACTGTGCACCCCGAACCACCAACGATCGTCCGTGACTTGTCTCTCGTGACGGCGCCTGTCATCTTCTCGCCTCCCGTGAGATACCGCGCGCGTGCTCGTCGACAATGCGGCTGATGATCGCACACCAATATATCGTGTCCCCGCTTGGCGGCGGCGCGCCAGCCCACATCTGCGATCAGGGCTCTAGGCCATTGCGCTGTGAAAGCGCCATGCACTAGCCGCTGCAAGCGTTCTCCACTGTGAGCGGCGTCCTGACGGCAGGCGGACCCGCGGTCCTGACTGAGCGCCTGCTGCTCATCGCAGGGTTATCAGTCTGCGTTCTTTTGGGGCTGCTATCGTCTGACGCACTGCCGTGCCGTCGGCTAATCGCGATATTATGGTTTCCAATACGCATACTTGAAGCAAACTTCTGATTGATACTTGTCCGAACGGTGACCAGCAGGAATTTCTTGCAGGGTTCGACTCAGCTTGACTGCAGTTGCCTGTTTACAGCGACTTGTCCTGCTGAAATACGCAAGCGTTGCAGGTGGCCTCGCCGAGCCGCTGAACCCAAGCACCGCAGCTAGTGCTTTGAGGATGCCGATGGCATACAAGTGGAGGCCAACTGTATACCGACGGCAAGCTGTCAACTCCAACGCCACATCTTCCACGTCAGACAGTGTCTTTCCAAACCTGACCGAGACAAGACTCACTGTCCCTTTGCTCGGAATCGACACAATCAATATCGCTGTGCCTTCTGCAACCAAACAAAGAGACCAAAGTACCTGGAGTCGGCTGAAGAGAACATAGTCCGCGTCTACTTGCAGGACTAATTCAAGCTCCTGTACGTAGCTGCACATGCTGGGGTAAGATACCTTGCTCTTGCAGATCCACAGGCATCGGTCCGCGGGAGACCATCCGCGGTCGAATCGCGTTGCTCTTGGGCTGTGTTGGCGTGCGCGTGCATTGCGTACGGATATTAATGTGTGTGGGTGTGGCACGATCCCACGATTGTGGAAGATCGAGCCAGAGTGGCTTGCTTGGGTGCCGCTACGCCGCTGCAGGACTATCCTTTTTTCTTGTAGCGGCGCATGAAATGAGATACGAAGACAGTGTGCTTCTCGAAATTTTCGGTATTGTAATTTATGTGTTGATTGTTCAAGGTAGGACGCCTGCAAGGTACAGCTCCTATCGCCGCTAAACACGGCATGAGAGCCATAGGAGACTTGAATATTGTTGTAGGCATGTCGTCTAAAGAAGGTTGCGTCATTATCAAAGCAGCATGAGGCGAGCATGGTGTCTTGCATTCGCGGAGATACAGCCGCTTCCACGCGAGACACTGACAGCCGTTTCCAGCAGGGACAACTATACAGTCGTACGGCACAAAGCCGTTGCATATTGCAAACATGCTTGCCAGCTGGGTACCGTGCACCAGCCATGCCGAACCCTAGGCCAAACTCGGACCGAGCCTCTTCCCAAGAAATTGATGCCGGAAGGCGCCCAGCCTGTTGTAAGTTGGCCTATAAGCTGCTGCCTCTGGCAACTATCGTCCCCTAACATCCACAAAAGCTCTCCGAGATTAGCGCAGCACGCAAATTTCCTGGTACATGAGTGTTGAGCAGCAAATGTGTAGTGTTGCAGGTTGCCATTTACACCAATAGGTCGATGCTCTTTGCAACGCAACGAATTTCGAACGGGTACAAACAGTGGGGCGCTCCTCTGGCGCGAATGCCAGGGCCTTTTTAATCTGGGAGACAACAAGTAACACGCGACTTTCCCTTCGTCAGCGTTGGCTTCGCCCCTTCCGGACCAGATCTATATCAAATTTCCCGTCGGTTGTCTTCAGAATGAGCTGGTTTTAGCCGGTCAAGTGGAGCCTCCAAATTGAAGTTGCAGACTATGTACAAAGCAAGAATGAGACCGCGAGCAGAAGAGAACGCGTCTTGGCGGTCGCTATCAACAGGTAGCAGAGCGAGAAGGACGCGATGGCAAGCACATCTGGAACATAGTTTGCTGAGGAAAACTTGGGCTGGCACCGCCGTAATCAATCACTCGCTCGAGGTATGAATGGCTCTCGTGCGGAAGCTAAGAGTAACTTCGAGTTTTGCTCAGTCATATGGTACAGCATTCCAGAAGTTGATGCATGAATCCGACGGAAACTCTGGTCGGATGGTCGAGCGTATGGTGGAGGCGATGCTCGACTGGCTGTTGCGATAGTACAAGTGGCAAAGACAACTGGCGATGTGCCTCCACAGGCAATACGAGTTCAAGGCAACGTCGAGTATTCTCGAATCGTCGAGAGAAAGAATGAAGGGATGTAATGGAAGAAGAGCGGTCTTTCGACTGAGCACCAGGAGCACTGGAAGCGTGCCGAGACGGGCTTTAGGGCAGAGAATGAAAGAGTTGGTGGCGAGCCCTGCTGTACGCCACTTAGCACAGATCGGGGGGAGCGGAAAACAGTCAGCGGCTAGAGGTAGGGTCTGTTTCTATCATGGAGAAATGGTCGTGCATTGTCGTCGTCTTAGGTGGGGTCCACAGCGAAGGAGTGGCAACCGGTGCATGAAGACTCTGTGCAAGCAGGCTGACTTCTTTTGGACAGCCTTAGCGCTGGTTGGCGTGGCCTCAGGGTCGATCTCTGACAGTATTTGCCAGCAGTTGCGAGGTTCTCACAGCTCTCCTGCCCTCAACGGGTAGCTCCTTTCGCTGTTGGTGGTCCGAACCCGAGTGACCCTTGTGGCAGCCGCGCCAGCCGCTGGCAAGGACAGTAGACGGCGGGACACGAGACGGTCTGACGGCGGTCGCCGAACCAGCACAGATATGAGACAAGAAAAGAGAGGGCGAGGGAGGTGCGCGTAGGAGTAAGGTTGTCGTCGTGGGAAGCAGAGACGAGCACGCCAGGGCTTAGCGTACCAGAAGACAATGACACGTATCCCTGAAACAGCATTAGTCAACGGAGCCAAGGTAACGCGGCTGCCCTCTACCACCTTTCAATCTCGTCGACGCCGAAGGATTCAAGCTTCACGCGGTAACGGGGCACACGGCCTGCACGTCTTGTCGAGGGCCAGGGGGTGTGATTCCGGACAACCCTGGCCCTCGTGCTTTCGTCCCGGATCCGCCAGAGACTGAGGGTGTGTGGCTTCGTAGAGGCCTGCCTGAAAGCCGCCTTCCCCACACCCAGCTACTGGGCAGTGACGACATGCTCGCGACATGCAGTGTGTGATACCCTGCTCGCAGGCCCCGTCACTCCATCGCCCTGTCAGCGCCTGGACTCGTCTCCTTGCCAAATGCTTCTCGAGAAGCGCGGCTCGTGGCTCTTCGAAGGAGCGCCATTACCCAAAGCCGCAGTCCCAGCCGCCAATGCCCGCCTCAGCACCTGCAGGCACGGGCAGCCGATATCGAAACGAACATAGCCCACCTTCGCGCTCCGAAGGCTTACATCCTGTTGGGTACCGTATTTACATGTCGAAACCCGATCGGTGAGACACCAGCACATTATCGTGCTCTCGTCAGTCAGAGACAGCCAGGCTATTGATTTCTACTTCCTGTCCTTTGCAGGCCTCACAAACTGACCTCACCCTACTATGCGGTCAGCATTCATCCTGGTGTCACACTGCATTCGAAGTCACGGCTCTTGAAAAGCCTGCGTATGTTCATGATTGCGCTGAATGGGAAGATACGAGCGCCCTAAGCCCTCGAAGAGTCACAATCTCCCATGTTGTCTTCGTCCAGGGGCTTTTACGAGACGTGGTGGCAGAAGATCGTCCGATCATGTTGATGTCCATCCAGGGTGCGCTTGACGCAGTTGCCGGTTGATGAGGCTCCGTGCTCGAAGCTCGAAGCACCGCACCGTCTACGTCAGTGACACTATGTTTCTTCACGTCCGAATCCATCTTGAGCTTGCAAACAAAAGCCATAACAGAAGCCAAATATCCTTCAAGCGTTCGGGAGCATGAGCGCAGGCGATGTCTCACCCTCTCGCGTTGAGATGGCTATTTTCCTCACCCGAAAGCAGCCACGGCTAAGGCCAATGCATAGGGTTGTATTCCGAGTAAAAACAGCTTGCGTTGAACTGTGCGGAATTCTTTTGCTGCCAACGATAACGATCCAATCAGGGTCATGGCTCAGCAAAGTCGACTTGTCATGGAGACACCGAACCTGTACCAGCTAATTATGTGTCTTGGACAGCTCTAAGCATCTCAGGCTACACTGCCACTCCTCACCAAGTCATGCTACAAGTATCGGATGTCGTTGGACGTTACAATCATTAGGTACTATACCGTGATGGAAGGGAGTAAATCCAGACGTACGTCATGCTTTTACTTACAGTACTAGGGCGACTATTCCACACATCAAAGTTGTTGGGACATCCCACTAAACAGATCATGCAGCCACATGGGAAGACCGATCGTGCTCCGTTACAGCTGCAGGTCATACGGACCCCCATTAGTCAAGCACTTAGCGCCCCAGGGGTTGTCCTTTTCTCCACATCTTCATTTACCCGCGAGGAAGAGGAGGAACAGACCTTGAAGAGACGCAAGACATATTTGCAGATGCAATGGTACTGATGAATTGAGAGAATTACAATACATCGTCTCACCAACGTGGATTGCACGCGCACCCAACGGAAGATACCGTTCAGCTTCCTTTGCATCCGGCAACAGCTTATGAGTAACGACGGGGCACACGGTTGCATGTGACAACCGATTACAGGCGCACGACATTGTTGATATTCCCGACCAGCAGAGATCGTGGCGGCAGTGCTTTTCTATTTACACCACTTTCAAACCTAGTCCTACACTACTCCCGCGCATCAGGCGGCAAACATGTTCATCGGAGATGGGACGGCCACCCTAACCTTCGGTACAATGCAAGCACAAAGTTTTGGAAAGCACATCGACGCAATAGGAAGGACGCTCCTGCTGCTGGAACGCTTGACGAAAATGTTATCGCCTTCTGTCAATTGGACAGGCCAGACGACTGCAGTGTTCACTTTGCGCGGAACAGATGAATGTTAATGTCTGATTTTGCAGGGACTGGCTTCTTGAGAACGGAGGACGCAGGGGCCAGTCACTCTAACTCGAAGCGGCACGTCGGTGCGGACCTGTACAGCCATTTCGCGCTGATTGCGCGAATACCACAATCACTACCACATCACAGCTCATATTTTACGCCAGGATGTCACTTGGCTTGCTTTCCTGTACAAGCTTTTTGACGCCGTAGAACGGTTCGCCCAGGCCTTACAGGTCACCCCACCATACTACTTGCAGCGGGCATTACGTTTCCACAGCGCGAGGAGCAGGGAAACATAATTCCTGTATGTGATGATAGAAGAAGCTCAATCAATGTCAGAGGCGTTGGTCTCGCTGGTTGAACGGCAAAGCACTAGATGGGGGATAGAAAAAGCTGTTGCGTTAATGTGGGGTGGGCGATTCCGCGTGTGGTAGCACAGCGTTCGGTGCGTCCACCAGCATTTACGAGGCATGGGTCACCACGTCCAGGCAGTACTGACCATCTTTGCATGCTGAAGCGAAGAACCGGGTTCACATTGGTCAACGAACTAACGGCAAAGCATCGCCTACTTCTCTCAATGATCGAAGATGCAAGCCTTGGCTTTGGCAAACTACAGGGGCAAAACAACGACTGAATCGTTTCAACGAACTCGATATGCATCGAAATACATCGATCTAGCGCGCCATACTGTTCGTAACCCATGAAGCGTCATGCAATTGATGCGACGACCCAGAACCCGCAGGAGCGCACACTGCATCAAGTCAACTACTGCAACAAAAGACAATACGTTTTACGGATGGATAACTCTAGCCATGCTATGTACCGACCAGTGCAACGCCGCTCGTGCCGCGCAGATTTGATATTTTCAAGCTTTGTCGAATTGGGATGGCAAATGTCAGAGCTCAGCTCGTTCGTCCCACCTGAAGACCATGCCGACTGAGCAACGATCACCACATGGCCGCGCGGGTATCTAATTCCCGACCTCACATATCACATGACACACTCATGGGATGTAAAGGAGGGCCTCGTGCCCTGCGTCAGTCACTACCTGCGGTGTCTACGATGAACGTACAGTTGAGCCGTTCACCAAAAGCCCCCTTCTCGTCAGAAGTGCCTTTATCACACGTACTTGAAGGACGTGAAATTCAATCTGCTGCACAATTTGACTGAAGATCGTAAACATCAAGGCTCTATCGGGCTTGCAGCCGCCAATGTGAACGGAAATCGACTCAAATCCCGGTAACCCACGAGCCGCACAAGCAAGCCGTCACCAGCGGCCCGCCTATGTCGCGCAGATACACGTGGAACTAGAGGCTAACAGCATCCTAGGTGGCGCTCGATGCAAGTCGGCAATTGGCGGCCGTGGCTTCGGGCCGGACGAACTAAAAGATGATCGGGACCGATATGATAGCTTCCCACCGTGCCGAAGTCAGCACCCTATGTAACATGGATCTCGGGGTGAATGGAAGTTTGGAGAGGTGACTTTTCGGGTCCATCTCATATCATGTGGCAGGTGAAGGACGTGAGCTGATGCAGCGCAGGTGTACAGGAATCGGTTCACCTACATGCATCGCCAGGTGTTATTCACAGCTGACTACGGCGGTCGCCTATTCATTGTGGTATATCGAGTTTTGCCACTAAGTAGTTTATTGCAAGTCGTCAGCATGCTACCACTAATATTCTACAGCAGAATTATCCTTCCACCGCTCTTCTCAGGTTGGTCAGTGATACGGCACTGTTACCTTTGTGGCTTCTTTCACCCAGTATCGAAGTCCTTTACACAGCCAGTCCAGATCAGATCCTCAATCGATTCTAGAAGTAGTGTCACTACTCGACTCATGGTCATGCAAAATAGAATCATCGCTAAAGTCCAGGACTTTTTCTGCTCTCTGAGCCTGTATGACACCGAGTCGAGGATCATGCCGCAAGAGAGGTGCAACGTTGACCTAGAGGCCGTCTCGCAGACGTAAGCGTGATAGGTTCTTGCAGTTTTTCAGGGTAGAGTATTTGCAAACCTATCATAGCGGCTAACCTCGTGATTCGTGGGATTGTTGGGGTCGTCATCGTGGGTTACACGTACCGGAGTGATAAGCCCTGGAAATGGGTCAGGAGCGACTATCACAAGAATGATTGGTCCAATAGTCGGCTGCAATGGTGGAGTTTCTCGTCCAACTCCTCCTACGAGCCTTAAAAATAACATTCTTCGTACACCGAGCATTCCAGTCGTGCTACCTATGAAATAGCTTTATACGAACATACCGAAATAAAGAAAAATCGAATAAAACATACGGAAGCCGGGGGTCGAACCGGGGACCTTCTGCGTCTTACATTCGATTATGTAAAGCAGATATCATAACCACTAGACAACTCCCGCTTTTGATGTATGAATGACACAACTTGTTGACTATGATTAGTTATTCTACCACGTGATCCACTAGAGTCTTCGCAGTGTGTGCCTTACTGAGTATTTGAAACTCTCTGCCCACACCTTGAAATGGATTCTAATTTGTTTTTTTTAGATGATCGCCTCTAGCCATTACAACTGGTAGCGTTGGAACTGATATATCTGGTAATGGAGTCGGTATAGAGTGGGCTACGTTGATGCACATGACCAACTAAACTGTTATTTGACTCTTTGGCCTGCAAAGCTATATACTTCAGTCTGCGCAAGCTGGAAGAGGTTGTTTGAGTTTCATAATCTATGCAAACCTGACTCTGCCTTGGAGCTGTCCAGTCTTTTACATATCTGACCTAGGTACCGCGTACTGTAACACTTCCTAACCTATGGGGCGTCGTAGACACTCTTCCCTCCGAATGGCTGCCTATACGTTCATCGTCTACTACCACACTTTAAGACGTAATTTAACCGGTAGGCCGAGAAAAGGTGTGCGAGATAAGATCTCTTGGGATGGAGGTAGAAGTTGCGATTTTGTGGAAGTTAACGCTGGTCTTGCTCTGTAAGACTGCATCAACCTGGCTGCCACGATTGGTGAGAACGGACAAGAAGCCATAACAGTCGCAGTAGGATCTCGTCGATATCGTAGTGACAGACGTGGGCACAGTCTGCCCAGGTCTTCAATCCGCGCATTTAAAACGGGATTCGGGGGCCGAGTACTTAGAGGGGACACTAGCGGACCGTGCCATGATTGCGTTGCTCGATGGAGGTTGTTCTTCGTAGAGAAACCATCACGGCTAGGCAAGTTTTATTCCCTGGTCTGTACTGGGTTGGGCATTGTGGTCTCTTTTCTACACCCGCGATCGCAATTTGCCGATGAGTGATGCGACCAATCCTGGTTTTCGTTCCAGCTTTCGTTTGGAAAGGGTCGCATAAGCACGCTTAATGGCTGCAACCATATTGACATCATTATCTATGTTTGCAATGTCGATCATTTCCTTCTCCGGTGGGAATCGCGCATCTGAGAACTTCTTGCCTCTTGCGAATAACACTTCGAGAACATCCGCACGCTTCTTCTCCACTGCAAAGTTCACAGCCCAATGATCATTGCCCTGGTACCCAGCGTCGAAGAACTGCTCAAACGTTGATATTGGTAGACCTCCGAGAACCGCAGCGGATACGTTCCAGCACTGTGGCAATCTGAACGGCGGGATCGTGTTTGGGTCTGCGCCACCGTCCAGCAGCACTTTTATTAGCTCCACGCCCTTTTTCTTTGATGCTGCGTATCCAAGTGGATTGATGCATTCGTCGTCGCCGATTTCGGCATCAGCAGACTTTGGATCGGCTTTGCAAGCGGCTCTTAGCACCTGAGTGTTGCCTGTGTCGATGGCGGCCCGCATAGGATAACCATAGAGACTGACCTTGGCGAAATGGTCGGAAAGAAATGCTATGACTCCAGCTTGTTCACCTTGAATGGCAGCCAAGAACATTCGCTCAACAACAGGTACTTGTTGTTCTTCGGGAAGACTTCGATCGAGACTGTAAACACTCTGTGGGTGGTTGGAGGCGATCTGGAGTTCCTGAAACAATGCCTTTAGGGTGGGAATATCGCCGCTGGAGCACGCAGCAAGGATGCCATTGTATGCGTCTGCCATGGTCGAGGTTGTCGTGGTAGTCGCAAGTTTTGATTCAGGCTTGTCGTGTAGTGCTTCGGTACAACACGCGCTCTGAACGAAATCTTGAATTGTACTTGTAAGTAGTAGAGTTGCGAGTGGATGAGCGAGGCTGGATGAATTGCGTGCACCGACCACGTAGGCACTGTATTGTGGGTGCAGGTGTGTTCACCCTCTCTAATTTGAAGTACGTCGCTTTGTCAAGACCGCAGACAAGTCCGTACGTACGAGTTCCGACATGTTTCATTGTCAGACTGAAATTGACTGGGACGAGAACGATGGAAGGGATGTTTCATACGCCAACCAGGGGGCGGTTACCTGGTACACCCAATCACGACAAGTGGCTTGTCGGTACTGCACTGAACACCTTCAATGGATCTCTTACGGCCGTTCGTGTTCGAGCGCTCTCAGTGTCGCATATCATGGGGGTTTCGAGTAAACTAAGCAAACGCTCCATTGCCCATCACCAGAAAAACTGCACCTGTAGGGTGAGCTCCTGAATCTATCCTGGAACTTCCCGTCTGACTCCACATGGAGATTGGCAGCACCGCTCAAAATGAGATGGATCAGGTTTGAGAACATGTGCGACACCAAAGTAATGCTGAGATGCCTGCGACGCTGACCTCCGTCGACCTGTGCAGGATTTCAGGTCTCATCAACACTAAAGCTTCTGCCTGCTGCCAATTGATTTCCTTTCATCCACTAGTTCATCTGATTTTTCTTGTTATGTTTCTATTGCTGCTGGTGCTCTGCCTTGAACAAGCAGCATTCGGTATGGTTGCTGTAGGCCCTTTCTAGAAGTAGCTTGTGATGCCGTGTGTAGTCGGTGATGCCCAGGTCTACTGTTCGCAAGCCGAGGTTCCCGACGTGTACCTGCAGGTGGATACCTAGGTACGTGCGCAGTCATGTGATTCTTAGCGCCTTGGCTCGCTAGCGCGTGCAGAATCTATATAAACCGGCCCTCCCTCGCGCTCCTTCTGGTTCTGGCATACTTACCTTCTTGAAGTGTACCTGAGCTCAAGTATTCAGGCACTAGTCGTTCTCGCCTGCATTGCACAGCGCGGAGCTGGGAGCGACTTCAGTCTCCTTCGGGGGCCTGATCGGGGCAATTTTTGCTGGTCGATTGATCTTTCATTGATGCTGTTCGCCGCTGGCGAGGCTTCGAGGAAGGGCGTGTCCTGGACAACGGCTCTGCGAACTTTGGTGTTGCTGCGTCGTGATGTAACCAGTGGGGCTAGCAATTGCTTGTACGGAGTGGCAGGACCTTCAACAGCGATTCGATGAAGCATGTGAAGTAAACAGAATATATCGCGGTCTGAGCCGGCCGCTCGCGTACCAGGTTGTAGGTGCGTTACAAGTACATAGGAGCGACCGGCGACCGCCTCCTCATCCTCAGCCATCACCACTGCTTCTTTACAAGCGCTCCGGACCCGCAGAGCTTGCTGCTGCCAGCACTGTCGCGGCGTGTTTCTCGTGGACGTGTGCGCGCTTGATGACATAAGCAAAGCTCAAAGCTCAAAGCTCTCTAGCTTTCCTGCAACCATCTCTCCTTCCCTCTCCCACGAGACACATGCCCCTCCATATTGGGGCTCTTTGAGTCTATAGCAGGTATGTACTTGTGTCTTCTACAATATAGCGGGCCGGAGCATGTAATGGAAGGCGGGAAAGCGCGGCCACTGCAGCTCGAAAAGTTTTCTCGCATAACGGGAAACCGCAGCCAGCGTCCTGCCTTCACGCACTGGCCCAGCAGCTCCATTTCATGATGATCAACATATAACCTTAGAACCGTTGCGAATGACGCCAGCTCTGGCGGTTGATTTCACAATGCTTTTCACTTACACTGATGCCTCTTTCATGTTTTGATCCCTTCTATATCTGTGTCTGTGCCTGCACTAACACAATCCAAGTATGAGCAAATCTACGCTCCATTTCCTCCGACCGTACCTCAACCGCGGCATCCAGTCCGCAGTCAAGCCCGACCTTGCTCGCGCCTACTGTGCCTTCCAGAGAAGGTTTGCGCAAACGATAGCCGCCGATGCCTACACCGGTCGGCACGATGTCGAGAAGCAGAAGCGTTTCGAGCAACTGCGCAGAATGAAGCCGCTGGGGGAGTACCATCCCCGACTGGCACATCACGCCAATGGAGAACACATGTCGCTTAAAGAGTTCTACACTCAATACGAAGAACTGCCAGACAGTGTTAGTGATCGAGTATCAGTGTTCGGTACGATGCGCTGCTCCGTCATGTAGAGCATCGCGCTGACAACGTTAGGCAGAGTTCGATCAGTGCGAATGCTCGGCTCCAAGCTGATGTTCCTCGATATCGAGCGTGACTCGCAGAGGCTGCAAATCATGATTGAAGTGAAGAAGCTCGACAACTACGATGCCGCTCTTGAAACTTTCAAGGCGTTCAAGAAAGTAGTTAGCCGTGGCGACTGGGTGTGTAAGTAGCTTCAACGACCTTTCGGTGAGCTCGTCTGACTTTGTGACAGCCTTCCATGGACAACCAATACGGACGTCGACCGGTCAGCTCTCGCTTCTAGCGCTCCAAGTGCCCGACATAGTTGCGCCCTGCCTACATCATCTTCCGGAAAAGGTCCAGAGTGCCGAGACGCTCGCTCGTAATCCTCATGTGCATCAGCTCACAAATCAGGAGCCTGGCGATATCCTCCGTCTCCGCGCATTGATTTACGATTCTATACGTCAATCACTAATACAAAGCGGGTTTCTAGAGGTGGAAACACCCATATTCGATGTGAATGCCGGAGGAGCCATCGCTCGGCCATTCCAGACAATAGCGAACGAGCTTTCGAACACACCTGTTCGGCTCCGGATAGCACCGGAGCTGAATCTTAAGAGGCTCATCGTGGGAGGACAAGATAAGATTTTTGAGATCGGTCGAGCCTTCAGAAACGAAGGTGTCGATAACACTCACAATCCTGAGTTCTCCACATGCGAATTCTACGAGGTTGGGGCTACCCTGCCTTCCTTAATCGACAGAACAGAGAAACTTGTTTGCGGTCTCAATAGCGCTGTTGAAATGCTTCGATCCACCTATTTCCCTTCGCTTGAGAAGCCCGAAGGCGTAGATTTCAAAACCCCTTTCGCCCAACTGCCGTTCATTCCGACGATCGAGAAGGCTTGTGGGCGAACACTCCCTGATCTCACATCGTCTACAGCAGATCAAGACCTCATCGCTATGTTCAATGAACTGAGCATCGTTGTACCACCGAATCCCACTCTTCCCCGCCTACTCGATACCCTCGCTGAACAATACATTGAACCCTTTTGCATCAAACCTACTTTCATCACACACCACCCTGAAGCCCTCTCGCCATTGTCCAAGTCTTACGTCTGCCCTACGACCAATCAGCGCATCGCTTCGCGTGTTGAGCTCTTCATCAACAGTCGCGAGTACGTCAACGCTTACGAAGAGGAGAATTCGCCTTTCGAGCAGCGACGCAAGTTCATGCAACAACTGGATTTCCATTCCGAAATCGAGCAAGGCGGCAGGGAACTTGACGAGAGCTACCTGGAGGTTTTAGAGTGGGGCATGCCACCTACAGGTGGCTGGGGATGCGGCTTGGACCGCTTGGTCATGCTGTTCGCGAACAAGAAGCGGATCGCGGATGTACTTCCGTTCGGGACATTGAGGAATGTGGTCAGCATCGCGAAAAACAAATGAGACCGAACAACTTGAAGGCTGTTGTAGTGTAGTGTAAGAATAGGTGGATGTATCAGGATACGAGGTATGTTGTGTGGGCCTAGTGTACTTGTAGCTTGGTATGGCAATGACAATGAAGATCATCAGAACATGGTTACTCCTCAACCTGTCAAGGGCTCACTGAACCGACCTCTTCAAAACGATCTGGAAAGACAGCACATCGAGCATGCTCGCTAATCCTATCCTCGTCTAGGTGGTTGCAAACCGTTTACCGGGCTCCTGTCATTCATGTACGGCGCCAAAGCTACCGGCTTGTCAAAAATGGCATTACTGCGACAAAAGCAATTGCAACGCCAGCACACCAAACATCACTATCATTTTTCAACTTCAGTGCCTAGAGAATTTCGTTGGATTCGCGTCCCGGTCTCAGGACAACGATATTACCTTCGCCGACAGATCGTCACACATGACATCACCCTCCAAAAATAATGAAACAATCATTTCACTACCGTCACAGCTGGCGCGTCCGCAGAAAAAGACCCTTTCCAGGCGTTCAGCCATCGTCCGACTTTGCGCGTTGCGAATCGATCTGTACAGGGTTCATCCACCGATGTGAGCAGGGATGGCCCCTCCGGGGTGCCCTCTCCACCAGACACCACACAGTTCCTCGCCAATCTGACAGACGCTAGCGAGTACGGACGACGGCCCTGGCCCTGTTCCTAAAACAATGTACATGGGCGCTGCTTGTATCGCGAATGGCAAGTTCCAAGGTCGCAAGGGCGCAGACGCTGTCTTGTCCTTTCTGAAAGCTGCAATTGCCGGCCCCGCATGAATGCTGCCTAGGGACCACCTTGATAGGTCTCACTATTGACTTTTAAAATTTGCTTTTTCGACGTCATGGCGGTCTCTGCGAGCGCTGCGATGGAGAGATCCTGGTGTGGTCGCGCCGATCAACGAATAGATGGTCTTTTGGAAAGGAAGGGCTACAGGAATGACCAGGTGGGAAAGAGACAGTATCGGAGATGGAGGGGCTGGGCGACGACCAGGGTATATTAGTTGCTATGGCGAGCCTATATCATATGGTCACTGGCTGGTTTCCCGCCATAATCTTGTCCATTTACATCGCTCACCCAGGAGATCAGACGTGTATTACCTGGATACACACACGTACACTTTGGCAACCTCAAAATTTCACGTCTTCCGCTACAAGGCTCAAACATCAACACAAGACGCATCGTTTCTTCCAGAAGCTACTTGGTCCTCTCTACAAGCCCCGCATATCTGTCTACCTACCTCCGGACATCACGGCCACATCCACTCCATACATGGCACACGAACAATCAGGTTCACTGCCGCAATACTATGGTCAGACAATCGACGGCACCGTGGTCGAGAGCCCCAAATTTCCTCTAGGTTCCCAGAGCAGCCGCGATGCACTCCTCAGACTGCCCATTCAACCTAATGCTGCACATGTGAACCATCCAGACCAGGAGCTGATGTCGCCTGTCAACGCGATGCCAAACTCTCCCAACATGATGGGCATGGGACCCGCTTCCGGTGGCGGTGGAAGCAGAAGCCGCGCCAAGACAGTAGGGGATAGCAGTCGCTGGATGGTGCCACACGTCAGTGACAGAGAGCGCGAAGAAGAGCACTATTCTCGTGGCCATGGACGAGGCCCAGGCTCCTTCTCCCACCGCTCCGCGTACGTAGAAGACTACTCTGATGAAGATGACCGACTTCGCGCATATCGCCGTCCCGCACGGAGACGCACTCGGCCGCCACCTGCACATGGTCGTTTTCTTGGCCCGACGGGACGGTACTCCTCCGAACAAGATCCGCGTGGCAGTATGGATGGAAGACATTCGAGCTACGAGTATGGCTATGAAAGCGACACGCCCACCAAGGCGCGATTCCACGCCAGCTATAGGTATGGTAGCGAAGGTGAAGATGACGGAGGGTATCGAAGGCCGAGGGTCGCGCACGGCGATGATGGTAGAAGAGGCCCGCCTAGGAGACCGGCGTCCACAGAGGAGGTGATGCGGTTGCCGTGGACGATGTGGATGAATTCGAATGCGAAGAACCGTAGGTCTTACCCTCCCCCCCGGAAGCGTCCCAGGTCTTTTCCCTTCTCCCTTGGTTTTGGTGTCCCTATCCCGGAACAAGAGACTGTCCGGTGCCGCCTTGTCCCGCCTCAGCTCCAGCAACGCGTACTGACGCTATCTTGACAGATTTTGTGGCCTTCGTCGGCGAGTTTGTGGGTACTACCATGTTCCTCTTCTTTGCCTTTTCCGGCACCCAAGTGGCGAATGTCCACTCCGAAGGCAGTTCCAACACCACCACAGGTGCAGACACAGGTTTCTCCCCGCAAGTCCTCCAATACATTTCCCTTGTCTTCGGTTTCTCCCTAATGGTCAACGTCTGGATCTTTTTCCGCATTTCTGGCGGCCTGTTCAACCCCGCTGTCACCTTCGCAATGCTGCTTACCAAGGCCATGTCCCCAATACGCTTCTTCTTGCTCTTGGTTGCGCAGCTCGCGGGCAGTATTTTTAGCAGCTATTTGGTCAGTGTGATGTTTCCGACGCCGCTGAATGTTAGGACTACCTTGAGTGCAAATACAAGTCTCGCAAGGGGAGTTTTCATCGAGGCCGTGTTGACGGCAGAGTTGGTATTCACGATTTTCATGTTGGCAAAAGAGAAGCATAAGGGTGAGTCCTCCCGTCCTCTCCACTCTAAGTCGACTTGAGCTGTGCGCTGACGGGAAGTTAGCAACTTTCATCGCCCCCGTAGGTATCGGACTCGCGCTGTTCGTCGCAGAGCTTGTCGGCGTGTACTACACCGGGGGCTCGCTCAATCCGGCGCGATCCTTCGGGCCTTGCGTGGTGACGGGCATTTTCGACCGCGAACATTGGATCTACTGTAAGTTGCAATCGATGTGGCCGTCGCTGCCGAGACAGTATATTAATGGATCCCAGGGGTCGGACCGGCTGCTGGTGCCGTGCTTGCTGTCGTCTTCTATAACTTCATCAAGATTCTGGAATACGAGATGGCGAACCCTGATCAGGATGCTGATGACAAGGACGTCAAGGAGAAGCAGAACAGTGATTGATAGCGATGGAGATGGTGCTGGTGCTGCACGACGATTATGGCCACGCGATGGGATGACAGATGATGTCGGGTATGAATCATGCATAATGTATTTATGCTCCAATGAGGAAAAGGAGCGAGGCGTACAGGAACTTTATCTCTTTGTATAGCTGGACGTATTTTTTCCTGAGTGTCCGTCAATAAGACCTCAAGTGCTTGTTGCAGCCAGATTGTGTGGTTCTCGATCGATACAGTAGCTCTGAGACCTGTTTTACCCCGGGCTGAGCAGTGCGAGACCTACACTTTGAGACATAATTATGTCCCGCAGCGAACCAACTTCTACCTCCTTAATTTTAATGATTCGGCTTGGCTTTACACCCTGAGTTTAATGAGTTCCATTGTTTAATTCGCAGAGAGGGCGACAGATGACGTCATTGGTCACGCTATCACGGGACCTCGTGTTTCGCGACTTCGATCTTCTGCGGCATCATAACGGTCGTATTTGCAGGGATCGATGTGCAGATACTCTGTAGGTTTTCTCGGCTCTTCCGAAACCTCACTTTCTAGTACTATCAAGTACGTAAATGCCGCCAACGCGCGCTTTCATGCGCGCGAAAACTGCCGAGGAGGAAGTGCCCAAACTTTCTCCTCGTAAAGATCAGGCCTCCGACACTGAACCCACCGCGACCGTCCCTACCACAGCTTCGTTCAAGGGTCAATTGTTGAGATTTCAGTACAACTCAACCACTTCCGCCAGCGACGATGCCAGTCCCAAGTCCCCTGTCTCCGTACGTTCCCCAAAGCGCACGCGCACCGCCGTGACAATCGCCGCCACCACCGACGATGGTTTGACCGAGCCGTCTCCACGTCCCCAGAAGAAGCGCAAATCAAGCAGCTATGCGCCATCCTCTAGATATGCACACCTGTCACCTCTAGTTGACATTCTTGAGCCGAATTTGATATGCGTCTTCGTGGGCACGAACCCTGGCGTGCAAACCGCGACCGCCGGCCATGCCTACGCTCACCCTTCCAATCACTTTTGGAAATTACTCCACGCATCTGGTCTCACCGATCGGCGTCTTTCGCCCACAGAAGACCGCTCCTTACCTGCGAAATACTGTATGGGCAACACGAACATCGTTTCGCGCCCATCGAAAAACGCCGCTGAACTCTCAAAGGAAGAAATGGTAGCTGGTGCTGGAGAATTGGAGGCTAAGTTCCGGGAGTTTAGACCGGAGGCGGTGTGCATTGTAGGCAAAGGGATCTGGGAGGCGATATGGAAGTACAGAAAGGGTAGGGCGGTACGAAAGGAGGAATTTCGATATGGATGGCAGGATGAGGAGATGAACATGGGTAAGATTGATGGAGAAGAGTCTTCGCCAGGGAGCAGAGTGTTTGTCACAACGAGCACGAGTGGACTCGCGGCGAATTTAAGACCGGCGGAGAAGGAAGCTATTTGGAGGCCCTTTGGGGAATGGGTGCAGAAGCGAAGGGAAGAAAGAGGGTTCGTGCCTAGAAAAGAGGAAGGTAGTGTACAAAAAAAATAGGATGTGCTGCTACAGTTGATCTGAGCGTTTTCAAGTACGTGAAAGTCAAACGCGCAAACGCCACATCGACAATGAGAGCCTGTTCAATCAGCGATCTACATCGTATTTCCATCCACGCCTAGGCCCAACAAGGAAACTCTGGTGTAGGTGAAAATAGTGTTTAGTTATAATCTTACATAACTAGACTCTATAAGAGGTAATCTATACGCTAGAGTTAAGCTCTCGGCCCATATGAATAGGCTAATAAGGAGCTAAGTATATGCTAAGAATAATAATAGATGGGAAGACTCTGAAAAGCTACCCTCCTACTTATAGAATATAGAAAGAGGGGGCATGTGAGGTAAGGAGCCTTCCTTATAAGGGGATTAGGCGTGAGTATATAATATAGAGAGGATCTGGTGGAGCTGAAGTGTACCTTAGTACAGTTCCTATGTAGTTTCCTTAACGAGCAGTCATCCAAGAGAGCCGAAATCTACACGCCAAAGTATCTATAGCGTGCAATCTTGACTAAACAGGCTCTAACGCCAACGCGTTTCCGAACCGACCGCCCCTCTATGAAACATAACACACTAAACGTGCCGGTTGCACCATTTTGTTCTGCCACCGACAGAAAATTTCAGTACGCGGGTCTTTTCTGTCAGGAACAGACCCACTGCACGCAGCAACTGTATGGCGAGGTAACCGCGCGCTAAGTTTCCGCAGGGCCAATGCTAATGGTATTACCTCGGAGATAGAACATTAACCGAAGAAGGCCCTTTACCAAACCCTGTCCAAGGACCTATAGGAAAGATCTATGGTCAATCGTACTGTTGCTCCTGATCCAACCTGAACAAGCGCTTCATCAACAATTACCAAACATACTCTTCCAATCAGTGGGTAGATCGCTTGCCGTACGGTTCACGATAGTCTAGCTGGTGTTGTGAACGACCAACTTCGTACGCAACAACCAATGAGTGAGCTGTCAAAGTGCCACACAGCCCCACATATGCAGCCAAGCCACACATCACGGCTATCGGCAACCTCACCTCATCCCAACCCTCCTCGAGTTGTGCATACGGCTTCCTCGCACTCTGCTCAATAACTCTCTTTGGATTGGCATCTGAACTTTGGCAACCACAGTCGATCAATGCTTCAAGAAAAAGTTATGATTGTGATCTTGATGGGCGGCTTTACAAGTGATCAGCCTCTTTACATAGAGACGGTTTGGTACCCTCGCAGAAGGAGCGCTGACACCACAAACAATACCAAGCCTTGCGCCCCAATACCAAGCCCTCGCACACGCGTTCGTGCAGCATGGACGGGCCTTCCCAGGTGGCTCATGTGCCATATGCTTCCCTCCAAATGACCGCCAAAAGGCTGTGCCTAGGTATCTACTTTATACGCAAGCAAGTGAAGCGCTCTGTCCTCTACAAACGAAAACAAAAGCTCGAGCGCACTCGGCACCCATTCCGATCCGCGCATCCCGCTTCGCCTTCCCCTATCCATATATTGCATTCAGATCTCCGCTGTCCTCACCAGCCTCAGGCGCCTCTCGTCTACACCTCACCAGCCTCACCTCTCCGCTTAAGCTTCTACCTCAGCCATATAGCGTACCCACGCTCGCTCTCCAGCCACTTGCCAATTCCAACCTCACTCCACCCTACACACCCAACGTAGACGATGTCCTCGCAAGGCTACTACAACAACGGCCCGCCGCCGCAAGCGCACTACGGTCCTCCACCCCCGAACCAAGGGTACTATCAGCAGGGTCCGCCGCAGCAGCAGGTGAGTCGTGTTCTTGACATGCGCCACACCTGTTTGTATTAACGAAACTATAGATGTACTACCAACAAGGCCCACCACCGCCGCAGGAACAGAAGAAGGAAGATCGGGGCTGCTTGTACACATGGTGAGTGAACTCAGGACGAGGGGAAGGCAAAGGTTGCTAACGGGGAACAGTCTTGCGACACTGTGCTGCTGCTGGCTCTGCGGCGAGACGTGCGAGTGCTGTCTGGAGTGCTGTCTGTGCTAGAGGGAGGGAAAATAAGGTGGTTTGGGCGGGCGTGCGACATGGCAAGGATTTGATTCGGTAAGCCCTGGTGCAACTTGCATCGGGACAGGCGTACGGCTGCTCGGATTTGCGCCTTTCTTTGGGAGGGGCGGAATGATCAATACGGATGGATGGTATATCACATGGGTAGCTCTTGTCCTCAAAAACGGCACATGGACGAGCCTACAGAGTGAATACGATCAATTCAAACGAGTGACGGAACCCACGCTCCCGTGCTACGCTACGCTATGCTACCACTGCTAAAGATATTGACCGGTCGTTACTGTGTATAAAAAAAAGACGAGAAGAGAGTGGGAAGCACAGCCGCCTCAACATCGAGGCAGCTAGTCTAGTCATCGTACGCCTCTTCGAGCTCTTCTTCATACTCTTCCTGCGCCTCGATGAGCTCTTCCCGCTTCTCCTCGAGCGACTCGCGATCGCTGCTGGAGATGGAGTCGCCATCCTCATCGTGCGTCGGAACTGGCGGCGGCTCTTGGAAAGCAGAGGGCTCGGCGGGAGTTGCGGCAATGGGGGCGGGGGCAGCGGCAGCGGGGGCAGCGCCGTAGTAGTTGTTCTGGACGGCCTTTGTGTCGTCGTCTGAGTCCTCGGCTATCTCGTGTTAGCTACGGTCTAAAGGGGTCAGAGAGAGGCTCGAGACTTACTGAGCTCGTGTCCGATCCAGGCGCCAGCAGCTACACCACCGACACCAGCGGCGGCCAACATAGCAGTCGAGTGACCCTTGTCTTTCTTCTCCTTCTTGTCCTTTTCCTTCTCGCCGTAAGGATCGCCATGACCACCACCTGGGGCGTAAGGGTCACCATGGCCGCCTGGGTAGCCACCATGGCTTTGGTCGTGCGAGGCACCGAAGAGACCACGCTCATCGTGACTACCTCCTTGACCGTATGCCGCACCTGGAGGGCCGCTGGGTGGGGGCGCGTACGGGCCTTGAGCCGGAGGTGCGTGTGCGGGAGGTTCCCACTGGCTGCGACCGGTGGCTTGGTCTATATAGAACCACTTCTGGCTGTTCTGGTCGAATTGTGCGACCCAGCCGGGAGGCATTGGTGGAGGCGCACCGTACTAAATCATGATCAGCGATTGCTTTGAGAAGCGTAATTTGAGATCTGGAAGTAGTGCGGCGTCCAATGATGGACTAGAACATCACATATATCAAGCGGATTTTACTCACGGGTGCAGGCGGGCCTTGGGGTGCAGGCGAGCCATAGCCTTGCTGGCCGTAGGGCTGTTGTTGCGGGTAGCCCTGCTGATGCTGTTGTGGAGGATAGCCAGCCTGTTGAGGGTACTGTTGCGGGTAACCCTGTTGAGGGTATTGCTCGTGTTGCTGAGGTGGGTATCCACCTGCATTAGGGTCGTAACCTCGCGTGTCATGCCCACCGCTGCCGTGCGAACCGCCATGGGAATCTAGGTAAGCGATAAATAGGTAGAAGTCAAGCAGAGCCAGCGGCAAGTCATACCAGAGGGCTTGCTCTCCTTCTTGTCATCATCATCCATCAACTCCTTCATCTTCTTCTTGAGGAAATCCATGGTGATGGGGGGAGGGTGACCGTGAACAACGGCACAGTACTACACGATAGAATGAAATTTTGAGAGGACTTTGGAACAAGATGTGGGGAGGGGACAATGAGGGGTTTTTGAATCAGGCCGCAGTCAAATGCTCGGCGCGGGCCGCTGTTCTACCACTATTTGCAACGGGCTAGCAACATGGGACAAACGCAGTATCCACGGGTGCAAGACCACCAGGGGCGTGTTCAGCGCGGCTGCAGATGGAAAAAGTGGGGGATGGAGGGGCTGAAGCTCTGCGCGGTTGGGGACAGCTTCAAGGGACATGCAACGTCCACTTTAGTGAAGCTTGGCGTGAATATGTTTCTATGTGACTGTGTACACGGTCAGCAGAGTTGAAGATTATGGACAGCCTGACTTGGTTTCAAACCGTCGGATGGGCTGGAAAAGAAATTGACGTGACATTGCGATTGGCTTCTGTGGGTCGAAAGAGGCAAGAAGGCTGTATGGACTATGTCGCGTAAGCGGATACCGGCAAGTATCGTGATGACGGCGATTGTGTTTGGTACAATTCCCGTTGGAGGTGAAGGTGGCTTAGCAGTGGCTAATGCAGCGGGAGTCTCGGCGGTCGATAATGGCGCATGCAGTCTCGCGCCCGATTTGAGCATGAGTCACATTGTCACAGGCGACACGCTGTGTAGCACAGTGAGGCCTCAGAGTTGGGTGCCATCGATCTGGTTTCGACGGCCGGGAAAAGTTCCAGAAACAGTCGAGGAACGGAGATGGGCTTTGTGAGACAGGCGAGCGATTCGCAGGCTGTTTCTGTAGATGAAGAGTAATCATTGAGGCATACACTTGCTGCTTGAGGCAGATGCGGTCAAGCTGTTGTGCGATGTTCCTCCGGGCCAGACACACGAAAACAGAGCCTCAGCAAGACAACCGAAGACCATGTAGAATCGCCACGCGAGCCGCACCAACGAAGCGAGAACGACTGCGACTAGCAGAGACGCTATCCAGGCCGGCGGGATCTGGTGTTGGTGATTCTGCGGTGCTGGAAGCGGACATGGTGTCTCGATCTGGTGGACCCACGACGCCATACAGGAGGCGTTAGGGCGTCCGGGCGCTGACGTAGCGCCCCACGACGATGGGGATGATGATGCACGATGGAGCTGCATAGCGAAGAAGGTTGCAGGAGAGCACCGCATGGCACGTCGTCGCGAGATATGGCACCGAGAGGGCTGAGTGGACACAGTGGTAACGCTGGAGCAGGCATTGGCGCCACCAGCAGCCACGTCCGAGCCCGCCCGTCACTGCTGCTGTGAGAGAAAACGGACGGGAGATAGCAAGCTGCGGTCTCTCAGCCGGCCATGGAGACTCATGATGCTCCTACACCCACGCTTCCAGACCCGTTGAACTAGAACCGATCACTCTTCCAACCCTCTTGCGGCCTAGCCCATCGTTCTGTCCGACTAGTGACGCTTAATGCTATTGGATCAGTGCGTCGTCAGTCTGTCAATTGCCTCCACCTCGGTGCCAATCGTCAAGGGAGAGCGAGCTGGAGCGTCCATATATTCGAGGACACTCGAGCCATATCGGCCCGTTACGAGCCGACCAACGTCACAGCAAGCTGGTGCGCCAGCCTTCATGAACCTGCCGCCGAAATCCATATTTACAGGAAGCGCCGCTACCCCAGACTCCACGAACCGAGAGAACCGCCGACTGAGCACGCCCGAATACCACAAGAGTCTCGCGCCCGCGACCGAGCTCTCGAAGCTTTCCACACCGCTCGAGCGGCCATCGCTCCAATCCGCAGAACCTCCCACCCCACACGAGGCCTCATGGACGCACCGCACACCCATCCACCGCAGTGACACGCTCCGATCTTCGTCTTTTGTGGGGCACAATCGCGGCGCCTGGAGCACCAGCGGCGCCGTGAAGACACCGCCCGCGGTCGCTGGTACAAAGCGCCAGTTGTCGCTTGAGCAACCTTCCCCACACGTCCCTGATCCTGCGAGCGAACCGCTGGTGAAGCGGCGGCGCGTGAGCCGAACGCGACATTCACTCGACCATTTGAGCTTTGCCCAATCTGCCAAGCTCTACGACAGCGAACAGCCTCCGTCGCCGCTGTTCTTTTCGCATTCGCGCCGCATCCGACCCCACCTACCTGCCCGCTTCTCGAGCTCCGAGGCCGCGGCCAGGATGCTCAGCAAAACCCGCGAGGACAGCGGCATCAAGACGGTGACACTGGCGAGGGGCACTTTTTCTGGCCTGAGCCCATCAGGGCCGACGAGCGCAGCGAGCGGCAGGAGCTCCGACCGGTCAAGCTTGCCGCGAACAGCTTCGCCTGAAGCGCGAGATCGCAATGACCCCCTGCGGTTGCTGGGATCGGTAGGCATTGTGGAGCTCCTCGAGCAGGATACACGGCCAACTTTTATCGTAGACATTGGAGATGATGCAAACTTTACACCAGAGTCGCCAGGGTTGCAGATCCTGTTCGCGAACAGCGCCTTGCGCTCGAGCATAGCCACCTGGGAAATGGTCGCTGGAAAATTGTCGAATCTTTTAGGAGACGATCCGACTGCGCATGCTTCTAGTCAGTTCAAAGGATGGCTGTTGAGCACAGTAATACAAGGTGAAAGTCTGGACGTGAACCCTTCGCCGGTGGAACATGGTGGCATAGTATGGTCTTGCTATACTTTACGAAAACGTCTACGGGTGGCATATGGCGCAGCGCCAGGCCCTCCTGTATCTAGCATCCCCTCGACGAGTGCCTCCCTTGATTTTGCCGCCCCTACGCCGTCAAAAGACCCCACACCGACCACCACAGAATTGAATGCATCGCCTACACCACCAAACGAACCGCAAGACTATTTTGGAACCAGCCCCGCCCTTGCCGTCAATGAAGACTTTGACCAGGAGCCTCGCCCTGTTCTATCACCAGAACACGTTCCAAAGTCCGAACCCATAGCCGCCGATAAGCCTTCGATAATCCCTTTCCAGAGACCAGACAAGCCCCATCTGCCAGATTTCAGCGAAAGTCCGTCGTTTACCAATGAGTGCGTGCTTCGTGCCCATGCTGCAGGCGACGTTGACGCTTTCAACAGAAATACAGACCCTAGCCTACCCCCGGAACATGATGTGGGCTTTTTCGACTGGACAAGGCTGTCTTTGTCGCCTTCCTTACCAAGACACATTCAATTCGCGCGTTCAATCGACTGGGCTTCGACACCTTTAGGACCTATAGAATTCTGGTCTAATGATCTTAGAGCCATGTGCAATCTTATAATGTAAGTGTAGATTATCTGATTTGCTACTGCAGACCCATTTACACATCAAACAGGGCATCTCCACATCCTGCGGCCATGTATTGGGGCGAAGAATTGGTTGCTATTTACAATGAGGCTTACATTGGTATGCGTGGACAAACAACCCGAACGTCCATCTAATTAACGCCTCCCAGGTCTTGCTGGCCAGAAACATCCCACTCTTATGGGCCAAAGCTACAAGATTGCTTGGGCTGAAATTTGGGACGAAGTGAAAGACGTTTTCACAAATGCCAGGTTAACCGGTCAAGCTACAATGAAAGATGATGACTGTCTGTTCATGAAACGCAGCGGCTTCTTGGAAGAGGCATATTTCTCGTGGTCTATTATACCCATGGTTGGCGAAGATGGTACCGTCATGGGTCTATACAATCCAGCTTTCGAAAAGGTAGCTCCTCAATTCCCATTTGATGCTATCACCCGCGCAGAACGTGTTGGTATTGAGAACACATTTCTATCGAAGCGCTCGTCAGATGTACGTGCTAACAATCCTTCAGACCAGAAGAAAAATAGCCGAGCGGCGAATGTTGACCTTGCGAGAAGTCGGCGAGCGTACAGCGACTGCGCGAGACGTGAAGGGCTTTTGGGAACAAGTTCTCTTGGCTTTGACCGACAATGAATATGACACACCATTCGTCCTGCTATATTCTGTATCCGACGACACCGACAGCGATGCTTCATCCCTGCACTCTAGTAGTTTGCTTGGGTCGAAACAGTGTTATCTAGAGGGCTCGTTGGGTGTTCCAGCCAGTCATGCAGCAGCACCTGAACAGATTGACTTGAAAGAAGGTACCGAAGGCTTCGGTCCAGTGCTGAGGGAGGTTATGAAGACCGACAAGCCCGTTGTGCTTAGCATTGGCTCTGGAGATCTTCCTTTCGAGATGCTGGACGGTCTGGAGTGGCGCGGATTTGGAGACCCGTGTCGGGACATAGTGATCTGTCCTATCCATCCGACGACTGGAGAATCAATCCTTGGATTTCTGGTTATGGGTATTAATCCGAGGAGACCTTATGATGATGATTACAACCTCTTCGTGCAATTGCTCAGCCGACAACTTGCTACTTCGCTAGCTTCTGTTGTTCTCTTCGAAGAGGAGATCCGCAGAGGCCAAAAGGCCGCGAAACTTGCAGCAGAGGATCGCTTCCATCTTTCAGAGCAGCTCGCCGCGCGGACACAAGAAGCTCGAGATAGTGAAACTCGTTTCACGCGTATGGCAGAGTACTCGCCTGCTGGTCTCTTCATCGCAGACCACGTTGGCCGTATAACGTATTGCAACGACACTTGGTATGAGATCTCAAGAGTCCCAAGAGATCCCGAAAAGACGAATAACTGGATGGATTACGTCAAAATGGAAGACCAGGGTCTGATACACGAAAAATGGAAGAGACTGGTCGAGAATGCTACAGCAATAAACATAGAATTCCGGTTCAAGACTCCTTGGCAAGATCGAAATGGCAACAAGGGTGACACCTGGGTCTTGTTTTCCGCCTTCCCAGAGAAGTACGAAGACGGCATGCTGAAGAGTGTATTCGGCAGTATCACCAACATCAGTTCCCAAAAATGGGCCGAAGGCTTTCAGAAGAGGAAGATGGAGGAGGCTGTGGAACTTAAGCGGCAACAGGAGAACTTCATCGACATCACGTCTCATGAGATGCGGAACCCCTTGAGTGCCATTTTGCAATGCGCCGACGAGATCTCGACCATCCTAAGCGACTTTCGGACATCTGGCGCTCGGGAGATACCTCAGCGGCTTCTCACTGACAGTATCGATTCAGCACAAACCATTGCGCTGTGTGCACAACATCAGAAGAGAATCGTTGACGACGTGCTCACGCTCTCGAAACTTGATAGCGCTATGCTTATGGTAAGTCCTAGGTTTATTGCTCATCAGATTGTATATTAACTTGTTTCAGGTCACACCTGTCGACGCACAACCCTTGCAGGTTGTCCAGCGTGCCCTCAAGATGTTCGAAGGAGAAGTGCAGACGGCAGGTATTCAGATGGAATTCGTGCTGAGCGACTCGTACAAGAAGCTAAACGTTGACTGGGTGAAGCTTGACCCTTCACGCGTGCTCCAAGTAAGTTCCCTGCGCTGAGCATACTGTCCAGCATCATAATCCGAGTACAGGTACTCATCAATCTTACAACGAATGCAATCAAGTTCACTACAACCGAGTCAAACCGCACTATCAAAGTCTTACTATCCGCGTCTAAAATACCACCTTCAGCCAGTCCAAATCCTTTGGTCAATTTCTTCCCGTCAAGATCCAAGCGCGTAGAGCAAACGCTTGGACCTGACTGGGGTAATGGGCAAGAAATATACCTGGAATTTGCCGTTCAGGATACCGGACGTGGTCTTAACCAAGAAGAGAAGAAGTTGCTCTTTCAACGATTTTCCCAAGCCAGTCCTCGTACCCACGTTCAATACGGTGGGTCGGGCCTGGGCCTTTTTATCTCCCGTGAGCTCACTGAGCTACAAGGCGGTGAGATTGGTGTGGCATCTGAAGCTGGTATAGGCAGTACCTTCGCTTTCTACGTCAAGTGCCGCAAGACGAGCGAGCCCAAGGAGGCAATTGAAATGCCGATAACGCTTGGTCGAAGGATCTCGAATGCGAAGGAGAGGCATCACGTCCAGCTGCAACCGCCCAGAGTTAAGGATTTTGCGTCGGCCCCGCAAGATAACGCAGTCAACAGCAAGAGCAAAGCACCGGCACCGAAACTGAAGGTTCTGATTGTCGAGGACAATCTAGGTAAGTAAAGAGGTTATCTATGCTGGGCCAAATGCTAAGGATCATCCCAGTCAACCAGAAGGTATTGCGTCGTCAACTCGAGAACAGCGGCATCACTACCCATGTAGCCAACCATGGCGGCGAAGCCATCGAAAAGCTCAAGCAGTCGCGTTACTGGAAGGGCCATGGTTCTGACGCTGTCGACCTTGGGGTCGTTCTCATGGACAAGGAGATGCCAGTAATGGATGGTTTGCAATGTACTAGCAAGATTCGGGAGTTTGAAGGCCAAGGGTTACTAAATGGGCATGTTCCTATCATTGCTGTTACGGCGAATGCTCGGAGTGAGCAGATCGCTACGCTTTTGGAGGCTGGCATGGTGAGTATCTTACTGCCTTTGGTCAATGCTGGGACTGACAGGTACAGGATGATGTCGTGTCGAAGCCTTTCCGCATTGCGGAGTTGATACCTAAGATTGAGGAGCTTACGTTGAAGCATTGTGATTCCAACTCCGTGGAAACGATAGTCGTCCCGAGTAGACCGAGTACGCCGCCGTATGCGATATGATGGCGCTTTGCATGGCATTGTACGAACAGATATAGAGGATGGAGGACGTCACACGCCTTGTATGCACTTTGGCTCGGCGTTTTAATCTGCAGCACTTCTTCGGACGATGTTTAGACGAAGTTACGTATGCGCATCGGGTGTCGGTCCAACGGGTAGTTTGGGTGGCATCTTGCCCGTTCGTTCGAGCTATGAACATGCCCGCAATGCAATATTTGAGCATGGGATATGGGAAATGGGCGTGGTCCGGTTCGTTACATACCCCTCGTAGTTCTGATCATGGGCGGGTGTGGGACGCCACTTCAGTTCTGGGATGGTATGTACGGAATCACTTCGTTTTCTGCATCATGCAGAAATCACGATAGTCGTGAACTCTAAGATAAATTCTTAACAAACCCCAATGCTGTTCATAGCCCGCATTCGAAGATCGTTATGTAAAGCGTACGGATCATCCTTTGCCCGTGGCTTGGCATTCCGGCGGGCTGTTCTTGTCTTTGTGCACTTCCCTGTCGACATCTCGTCCCTTGCAACATAGCTTCGGATCAGATGGTGTACAATTGGGATGGCAAAGAAGCTGAATGTTATCAGTTGTATGTACACGAGAGGCGGAGCCTGACCGAGGTGGTGGATTATTGGAAGCAACGGGGCTTCACACCGAGGTACGTAATTGCACGCTTGAGAAAACAGCGCGCCGTACACGTTCACTGTCTCCACACATACTGATAGCTGTGATGCAGCAAGCGCGCCTTTCAGACGCAGTTCAAGGTATATATAGTCCTCCTTCATCCCCTTCTTTCCATTCCATCCCGATCTTGCCGCTTCTCCTTCGTCATACTGTGTTAGCGTCTAATATTTGGTTAGCGATGGGGCTTCCCTGGCAAGCAGAGCCCAGCTTACAAAAATACTGCCCTCATCGCACGTGTAAAGGAGCTATGGGAGAAGAACACGATGCAAAAGCACATGATGAATGTACTGGAAGCTGAGGGATTTCGTATCAATGATAGAGAGCTAATGCGATTGAGGTCGCGCTTCAGGTGGTTCCTCAGAGAGACAAGGAGCAAGTCGAATAGCGAGGATGTCGATAATTTAGAAGAGAATAGACGCAAGAAGGACAGAAAAGCGCCGGTGCCTACAGGAGATAAGTTGATTGACCAGCTAGCAGCTGCGATATTGCAGGAAGCAGGGTCGAGCGAAGAGGAAGAGTCCGAAGAGGAGCATAATGAGGGGGAAGAACACGAGAATGAAGGCCCGTCTGTTCAGTCCAACCCAGTCCCACCATCAGAGAATTTGGATCCGGCGGAAGCGCTTCGACGACAACTACGACAACAACAACTCCAAGCCGAGTCCGATGAAAAATGGAGCGCGCGCAAACGCAGACGACGGACAAGAGGTTGGGCTGGCCTTCCCGCGGATGCCCCCGGTGAACCGCCTCGATTTCCCTCTGAGACCACACTCGACGAGAGCAAAGCATACCTGGGCTTAGACAACCAGCTATACGCTCAGATACGTGACGAGTTCCAAGCGATTTGCAGAACCGAAGGTATCCTTAGGAAAACCGTCGCTGGCCCTGACAAATGGGCTGAGCTGCTCCAACGCCTCGTCCGAGGGAACCACCACCTGACGGTAGTTTTTCAACAACAGGCAGAGACGCTACAGCAGGTTAACTCGTTATGGAAACCCAAGAATTATCAGACGCGTTCGTTGGATATCATATGTCAGGATGTCACCAAACGCATGCGAGTTATGGAAACCCGGATGAGTATTTCAGAAGCGAAGAATATGCTCAAGTTAAACCCTTCTCAGACCCGCGACGCCAAGCATGCTTTTCTTAAGATACTGAAGGCAGACCACTTCACAAACAAGTTTGAAGCAGGTGGTCAGCACTGGAGCGAACTGAAACAGCGCTGGGTTGATGGGTCTGAGCTCTTGAAGAATGCAATCACGCCAAGTGTAGGAGACGGAGATGACAAGTGCGCACAACGTCTCCGCGCCATGGAGGTGCTGGCGCGCGATGTGATGAAGCGGCTGCGGGCCGAGGGTACGCAAATACGGAAAGAACAATCTGGAGATAATCGCAAGACCTCGCATCATGGTCCTGGTCCTGGTCCCGCACCACCCTCTGCACCATCTCAGAATAGAACAACACACAGCACCGTGGTTGGCAAGAACCGCACCGACGAGCTTGTCAGCGCCGTTCCGCACATGCGCGAAGCTCGAGAGGACTGCACCAGCGGCCCCCAGACCGCTCAAGATGCAGACCTTCAAATCGATCCCTCGTTGCTGCTAGCCGCCAGCGACGCCATCCTCCCGAGCGCTATTGCCCTTCAGCACCCCTGTCAACACTCCTCTCAACAGCTCGAATTGGATGGCACTCACAGTCACGCCCCAAACGCACATGGCTCCTTCGCGACGCAGCCGCATACGTTCCTTCCTCCGTCCATACCCTCCCCACTCCCCATATACTTTCGCCTGCACTCCCGCAGCGCCACGCCCTTCCCGCACAAAACCGTCTGGTTGAGCGTGCTGCAAGCTCCCCTTTTAGAAGATGTGAGGAAGTTAGCCACACGGGAGCACCCCGGTAGTGAGGTTGTGCATTTGGAAGGCGTGATCGGAACGAGGGATGGCGAGATGTGTGTGGGGATCGATGATGATGCGGAGTTGGGTGCGTATCTGGGGCATGTTGGAGCGAGGACCGGAGGAGGGAGGGGTAAGGTCACTTTTGTGGTGAGGCTGAGGATGAGTGGTAGTGGCGGCGGTTGGATAAGTAGTGGGCAGTATGCGAAAGAGATACCGGAAAATTGGTAGTTTGCAGCTCATTGAAAGCAATCAGTGATAGCATTGCACCTGCCAGCATTCTTCGTGCCATCTTCGCCTATTGGCTATTGTCGCAATGTCAATCCTTCGGAAGCCTCACACCCCTGAGGTTTTGAGGCTTCCCGGCTGTGCGCGTGGGCTGTGTTCTCAAGGTATAATGAGTTTAAGGTGTAGCAAAGACATGGAGAGAGGTCTTGACTATCGACGTTCGCAACCTTGTTAACCCTTTAACCTCCGAGCGCTCTCGCAGTCGTGCCACGATATGCACGTGCGAGAAACGTTGGCGTCCTCATTTCCTAAGGCAGAAAGAAATGACTTGATAACTCGAGTGTTGCCATTGGTATTGTGTGACTTCGACTTGTCCTGGAATGAAGGACGGACCAGAGCGGAAAAGCCAGATGGCAATGCCAGAGCACAGTGCCAGATTGTACTGTGCGCTCTGACAGTCTCAAAATAATGGCATTACACAATGTGGTGATGATCTGTATCCTTAAAGTAGCCTGGAGAGGATCGCCAATCTATGCCGGTTAATTCTCGATGTGTCTTGAGTGGACAAAACGAACACTCTACCAGCCTCCACCGTTACCACAAGCATTACCACCAAGGACGGCGTTGTCTTGTGATATAGCCTCGTCACTGGTATACTTAGTCAACGCGTCGGAGGGTAAAGTGTTCGTCTTACTTACGCATGTACCGCGTGGTACTCGGCCTCAACGTGATTGTGATACCGCTGGCAGAAGTCGAGTCTCACCTTCGCGCTCTAAACATGGCTTTTAAGGTGTTGAAAATCGCATCCAAATTGAGGGCCTGTGATGAATTTCTTGAGACTGCATGCTTGAAGCATGTCCAGCAGGCACTCTTCTGGAAGACTCGTCCCGGACAAATGATCTTTGATACCTTGAAAACCCTAGGTTCCGACCGCGTGATCTATGGCAGGCTTCCTCAATGAGCTACCCTCCATGGTCTGGAGATACACAAACGGTAAAATGCCGATGTTCCCCGTCCACGAGTTGATGTAAAAGCAGTGGTAGGCCTCCAGTGTGCGATTCTTGAGGGTAGGGACGGCGTAAAAGTCGGCAAAGGTGTAAAGATCCACGGCATCCATGTCTTTCAGCTTGTGGTGCAGGGGGGGTGGATCATTCGCCGTGAACACGGACAATTTCTTTTGACACACCATTGGCAGGCCTTTGATCTGACACAGGTCAGTAAGCCTCATAGCGATTGTTGAAGGAGCAGCTTCTTGGATCTGCTAATATTAGGGGGGCCGCAGGCATTGGCAGATATAAGGCATCGGAATTGGGAAGAGCGTGGGCAGAGTCGATTTCACCTTGCCCCACCGACCTGTGTGTACACATAATATACAGATCTACTGCTATACAATATACTACAAGAACCCTTCGACTAGCCTCAGGAAATATCTTCTCGCTTCTTCTACTGTAACCCCGACACTGATATTTCCATTCTTGTCATCTTTCTCCGTCAGCGGTCGTCCCAACACCTCACTGATGATCTTAGTCACGGTACCATCATTCGTCTGATTCGTAATTTGTAGACGCACGGTCTGAGACTTGACTTCCTCCGTACCGACAACAATGACGTGATTGTACTTTTTGGTGCGGGCTTCGTGAAACTTCTTGCCTAGTGCACGGGCACTAGAGTCGATGTCGATGGGGAGGTGAGTCGCAGATAGCTGCTGTGGCGTCGGTTTGATCTCAGTTCCTTCTCGTGCATCGCTCGGGTGCGACAAACCTGAGATACCTGCGAGCGCGGACTGGACGCGAGTGGCGTACTCGAGCACTTGAGGCGTTTGGTTCAAGGTCATGATGAGGGCGGGTCGAGGCGAAAGCCAGAATGGAAAGTTGCCGTTGTAGTGTTCGATGAGGAGGGCCATGAAGCGTTCTAACGATCCGTAAATGGCGCGATGGACGATGACGGGTCGGCGACATGATGAATCAATGTTCTTGTCTCCAGCTGATATGGGGCCTACCTCTAACTCCTCGGGAGATGCTTGATATTGTAGGTCAAATCGTTGGGGAAGTTGAAAGTCGAGCTGTATAGTGGCTGTTTGATGTTCCTTCCCAGTCGCATCTTTCAAAATGATATCAATCTTCGGGCCGTAGAAGGCACCATCCCCCTCATTGATGGCCCATTCCCTTCCGCTGTTGTTCAAAGCACTAGTCAGCTGTTCTTCCGCTCTGTTCCACTCTTCTAATGTCCCAATATAGTGCTCCTCTGGACGAGTTGATAGCAGAAGCTTGTACGGACCAAGGTTGAACGTGTCGTACACCATTCCCACAAATCTCAACGTCTGCTGAATTTCCGACAAGATCTGGTCTGGCCGGCAGAATATATGCGCATCGTCTTGATGGAATCGTCGCACTCGCGTCAAGCCTGTTAAAGAACCCGATATCTCGTTGCGATGTAACGCACTAAAGTCGGCGTACCGTACGGGGAGTTCTCTGTAGCTTTTGAGCTCGCCCTCCCCCCAAAATAGCAGACAGTGTCCTGGGCAATTCATCGGCTTCAGTCCGAACTCTTCGTCCTCGCCAGCCTGCGCATTCTCTGTTCGTCCAGTTGCGCCTCGCCCTTGCACACTAAACATGTCCTCCGCATAATTCTCCCAATGACCAGACTTCTCCCACAGTGATTTCTTATATATCGTCGGCGTAATGACTTCCTTGTATCCGAATTGCGGATATTGTGCTCGGAGGAAATCCTGTAATTTTTGGAAAACGTAGGCACCGTTCGGGAGAAGCAGCGGCGATCCCGGGGACATGGGAGACGTGAGGAAGAGGTCATGCAATCGAGCGATTACTCGGTGGTCGGCCTCAGTGTCGGGCTTGGGCGGATCGGACGTCGTGGGATTCAATTGAGCATTTTGCGAAGCTCGTTGCGCGCTGCGGACCACCGATTCCCGAAAAGGACCAGGAGCGGAGCATGAGCAGCTCCTGACGAAGACTGCTACATGACTGCGAGAAATTGTCGCACCTATTGGCCTCCGACCAAGAAGATTTGACGCTGCTGAAAGCTGCCGTATGCGCGGCATCGAGAAGTCTGGCGAACTTCAGAGCTCTGCTGCACGTTCGAGACGCGTAGAACTTAGCGCCTTGGCACAGTCGTACATCAATTATCTAATAATAATGACGTCGATCCATCTATGCGACATCAAGTCTCCTTGTGTCGCAAGTGTATAATAGCGCAAAGAGCAAATATGTTGCCTCTTCACTACAGATCTCAAGGTTAAACGTTACGACTTTGAAGTTGCGCTTTACGGTGTTGTGCTCATTGTTCCGCACCACGTCACACCTTTGAAGGAAGTGGCAACCTTGTTTCCAACTCTCTTCTGTAGAATCCACAGCATGTAAACGACACCAGCATTTGGACTCTGCCAAACCTCCTAGCATACCCTATTTGATCTTGTTACTGTTCGAGAATTCTATTCGCAAAGTTTGAGGGAAGAAACAGGGGAAATTTAAACCACTATGGCCGCCGTGCGACCGTGAAGGCACAATGGCAGCCTGGGGGACTCATGGGGCTCTGCAGAATATTCGGACGACAACGTTTCTATTGAGTCTGCCGACTCTCTATCAGACACTGGTAGCCAGAGCGACTACTTTGAAGAGCATGGGCGCGATGTGTTAGACGAAGAAGAAGACGATATGGCAACGCCAATGCCGCACCCTAGAACTACGCGGGCTTCAGAAGTTCAAGACACGCCGACCAAATTATCAACCTCCCGATTTTCACAACGACCACACCCAAGTAGAAACGGCTCGAGATCCTTTCAGCAGCCAACACCGCAGCAGTCACCTGAGCCCGCCTTTATAATGCCTTCAATCCACGCATCTGCGAACGGATTCAACAGCGCATCACCCGCATCACCCCTCCGCAACTCTCAAATCAAGAGCAGGAAACCTAGGCGCAACTCAGTTCAAAGCCAACAAATGTCGCGCTTCCCTCGGACTGGCAACCGCCATGCTCCCCCAGTCCGTCGTCAGCAAGAAGAACCGGTGAACCCGTGGCACTTTTTGGAGCTCTTCTGGGACTACGCCGGTCAGCCTGTTCTTGGATACTTTTACGACATCTTTAAAATGGTCATTGCTGGCTTGAAGCCTGTTGCCGGTGTGGCTGGGCTCATCGCCGTCTTGGTTCTGACCATCCAATTTGGCTCCATCTATGTCAAGAACTCGTTTCAGACAACTCTCGCCCCATTCTGTGCGCTCCCCTTCTCCGGATATGTTCTCCCGTTCTGTGACACGATGCCAAACGACCGCCAACCGGATTTCGAGGAGCTCGTCAACATTCAAACGTCCTTCGAAGATCTCCTAGAAGCAAACAAGGACTCCTATGCTCTACCGGCTAACATGAAGAAGAGCCAGGTCGCCATGCGTGACCTCCGTACGCAAGTGAAGTTTTCACGCCTGCCATCTAGGGCGGAGCTCGAAGTGGAGCTGTATACCTTCATCGAGACCGCGCGCGAAGCTTCTGATGATCTTGCCAAGTACAACGCCCGCATCGGTTACGTTACCGACCAGGTCATCTCCACCAACCGCTGGACACTTCAAGTCCTAGAAGGCATCGCCGCCGGAGAAGCCAACCGCGGCGCCCTTTCCGTCGCCCTTTCGTATATGAACCCCGCCGCCATGTTGTACGGTCCACCGGAAACCCTCGACCAACTCATCTTCGCACAATACGTGAAGCACGTTGCTAAGCTCAAGGACGACATCACCAGCTTGATCCACTTCAGCGAGTCACTCATCAAAGTCCTCAACAACCTGGACAATCACCTAGACATCATTGCTGACATCGCTCACCGCGATGACCATCATCTCACCCGCGATCGCGAGGAACTCCTCGCGCAGCTCTGGTCCATGCTTGGTGGAAACCGCTCGTCGAAAGCCGCAAACGCCGCGTCACTCCAGCTACTTCACGATGTTAGGCGGTACCGCTCGCTTGCGGTGCAGCACGTAAGTGCCACATTACTCAAACTCCAGGAGATCCGCTCTGGGCTTGACAACCTTCGCGATGGTGTTGCAGCACCCGAGCTGGTTGGATATAGAGAGGATATCCCGCTGCAGTGGCATATTGATGTTGTAAGTCGTAGCGTTGAGCGGTTGCGCGACGCCCGTGGTGAGAGCATGGCGATCGAGCGGGATAACATTCGAAAGGGGATGCGAGAGGGTGTTGGGAGGGACGATGTGCGACAAGTGGAGCGCGGCGAGATGCCGACAGTGTATGCAAAGGCGAAGGACGAGAGGGCGTAGGGCGCCGTCGTTGAGCGGAGAAGCGAAGACAACGCGTTGAGTGTTAGACCTACATTCCTTCCCCATCGATCAAAGAAGGGACGTAGACTGTTGGATTAATTCTGCAAGAAGGCAGGCATGCAGCTTTTGGACGTCATCACCGCTTGGTGCGTGATTAGAAAACGGACGATTGACACGACACGGCGTTTCCCTACCTCATCTCATTCGTAGCACACACCTAGATACCCCTATATGAAACAATTCGTAACTTACTTTCCCTTCACCATATGATTGCTTGCCAACCTATCAACACATCTGCACCTCACAAATCGCCCTCCGAACCCCCTTCTCCAACCCTTCAAACTCCATCTCATACGCCACGCACCCCTTCTTCCCACACTCCTCCCGAAACTCGTCCACACTCCCGCCAACCCCAAAGTAGTGCCTCTTCGCCGCAACAAGCGCCTTCCCGCTCTTCACGCGCTGCATCAGCTCGACCATCGCATCTGTGAACGCTACGAGGCTGCCTGGAGAGTATATAGTCTCTGATGCGAGGATGAGCGTATTGAGTTCGGGAGAGGAGGGGATGAGTGATTTGAGGGTGGTGGTCGGCAGCCAGGAGCCGGAGAGGAGGGTGAGTGTTAGTCCTGTGGCTTTGAATTGTGCTTTGAATGCGTCAAGCACTTCAGGCGTCAGGTATACATCGCCATTATCTTCTTCCCCTCCGCCACTCGCAAGCGGATTCCCCGCCTCGCCGAACACTTCCTTGCTCCTCTGCTCGTCGAGCGTGCTTGCCCAGGTCAACACAAGATTGGGCAAAGTGACCAGCCGTAACACATCAGCGTTATAATCCGTCAGTGTGAAGTACATCCCCAGCCCGTTCTTTAACGCATATTGGAAGAGCAAGAGGGAAGGAATGGCTGTTCCGCAGCCCATTTCTATAACGTGATTGACGCGCACGAGGTCGTCGAGGTCTTTGCGGGGGCCGCGGTCGAGGAGGTAGCGCGCGAGATCGAGGCTGCATTCCCAGGTTTTGTAGCCGCCTTCGTAGATGTTGGTTTGAACATCGGAGTCCTATGAACGTGATCAATGATCGGAGGACTGTGTAGGAAGAAATGACAATCGTACATCAAGCCCGGTTAGGGGGTTCGGAGATGAGCCGTCGTCTTCGGCCATAAGTTGGAGGCGCACATCGAAGAGTTCGCGACGGGGGAGGCGCGCGGTGTGGCCTTGCGGGGACGTAATTGTGGATATGGAGAAGGATAGTTTGTCCGGCAAAGAGGAGAGCTATCAATGTTAGACATGGATAGATACAACGATGTTGTGTGGTGTGTTTGCGCGTGAAACATCTTGGAGCGCGATGCCGAGGTTGCACACCTACCAACTCATCTAAGTCGTGTGTTCGAGCATGGATCGGCGGAGGGGCATCCTGGGCCGTTGCTGCTGAGGTATGAGAGGCCTGAAAGGCATCTTCTGGGCCGACTTGTATGTCATCGCCCGAAAAGCCGAAGCTGAAAGACATGTTCACGCGTTGCGCCGCGGGGTTTGTCAAGAATGGTGTATTTTCTATCAGTTATCGATAAGACGGCGCGCCGTCATTGGCCCGTGCCAAATCGCGAACGCGTTCGGCATCTTTGATCTATGATGCCGTGTGGTTGTCAAATATGACATCTGAAGAACACGGGCATAGTTCCGTGATGACCAACGTCGACGCTCTACGCTGTTGTCGCTGCCAATTCGCTCTTCGCTCGCTGCAAGAAAGGCTCACGGCTGAAAGCAGCCAAAATGCTCCAGATGCTCATCGAATCCCTTCCTTGAAAGTTCAGCATGGAGGCGCTGCTGTCCACCTTGCTATTGCTCGCTCTCGTTGCGCTTCTGCTGGCTTTCGCACGCGGTGACGGTCTCTCGCGAAAGTTCCCAGCCCGCCGTGTCCAAGCCCTTTGCCTTGCCGGCCTCGATCAGCTTCTGGCGCTCACTGATCTTCTCTCGCATGTGGTGCAGTGTGGCTTCCAAAACAACGGCCTCGCTCCTTCCTTGGCCTTCCATGCCGGGTACAATAGACGCAAGCCGGTCGAAGCCGTCACGGATGGCCTCGCGGCGCTTCTGCTCGGATCTTATATGGTTCTCCTTTTTCTGCGCTTCGGTAAGGCGTGGGCGATCGGCGGCGCCTGGGGGTGGACTTTGCGAAGAAGTCATCGTGTACGTTTATTGTAGTTTCGGGTGTCTGTGGAGGGTTGCGGGGTGGTATTGGTATGTCAGGAATGTAAAAGACGATCTGCCGCTGCGTGTCCGAGGACCAAACGTAACATGATCTGAAGTCTTTCTGCGTGCGATGGGCAGCGTCGGCAAAGGGAATGGCTCGGCTGCCTGTGACGGAGTGAGGAGCCTGCGGTGGAGGTGGAGGGTGTCGAGGAAAGGGCTACCGGATGGGCTTCATGTGAAAGTCCGGCCGGCGCGTCGACGCGAAACTATCGTCTTCGAGGTTAGCAGCGCGGGACGTTTGCGCGCTCAGCCATCATGTACACGGACGCTACGGGTTAGGCTACGAGATCCAATCTGAGATGTGTGAAAGAGCAGCTGAGGTGGATGGTCTCGGCGCACAGGCGCTCGCGGACAAGGCGACGGGAAAAGTGCCCAGCGCCTCGGGAGCGCGACGGATGCGGTACTTTATTTACGGTGGGTTTTTTGCGAGCGTCATCGCGTCGGGGGCTTTCGCGCATGGGCGAGGGTGCAGACTAGCCAGCACTGTTCTAAGATTAAAGTGTATCATGAGCTGTAGTCAGCCGATGGTGCATGCTGCAAGCTATGGCGGGCTCTGCCAGGAAAGCACTGGTGACGCACCGCAGGGCAAGCTCCCGCCACCAAAAGCCCCAGTCCCAAGCCCAAGACCAGCCGCCGCCGCCACGCTGGCTTGGAACATACGCCCACTATCTACGCGATCCAGGTAGAGGAAGAAAACGCCTTCGTGCCGGTGCAGGACGGCGCAAAAGAGAAGGATCAACCCCCCGCCGCACCGCGCACGCCCGGCAGCAATCAGCAGCTCGCTTGCTTGACATGCGCCCGACCACTCGCCCACGATACACACACCGCTACTGAAGACACCGCATATCTCTACCATGGACCAGGCTCAGGGCACCAACAGCCGCGTCAACAGCATCCAGCGGGGTGAACGCGTCCCGCGGCGGGGCTCAGGCTCAGCGCGAGGGAAGCAGCGCAACATCTCCGCCCAGGATGCCTATCTCTACGCTCTTCGCGCAGCATATCTCGCATATCTGCTGCAGCCACGCCAGAAACGAGTTCAGCATGTCCCTGCTGCGCCCAAACCTGTACAGCGGTCGTCGACATCCGTGAACGACCTCATGAAGGACTTCTCCTTGATACGCGACTCCAAGAGCACACGTTTCCCCAAAGATTTCATGAGCGAGCTGGACAAGCGGATAACGGGCGTGCTGGTGGGGACAGAGCGCATGCCTGAGTACAAGGACGCTACGGTGAAGCGCACATTCGCTGTCTTCCTGAACGAGTTCAAGAAGCCGCAGTTTCGAAAGTCAATGGAGAAGGACCGCAGAGTGGAGGACTTGCTGCTCATTTTCTTCTCCAACGCGACGAAAGAATTGTCCAAGGGCAAACCTCCAGGCGACGACGGCTGGAAACTCATGGTGGACCGCCACGTTGCACTCTTTATCCGTCTACTCAGCTCAACGTTGCGGAACCACGACTGGGCGCGAGACCGGCCAGAGTTGATGACTCGATTACAAACGATGGAAAAGAAGCTCTTGATGCATGACCAAGATTTGGCTTCAGAGGCCCAACGCAATGGCGGACAAGGGGGTTCCACAGTAGAAGTAGAGGTTCCACGCAGCTACGAGGTCAAGGACATGCCCCTAGTCCTGGTAGTCTCTCGCATATTCGCCATATCGTATCAGGATGTGCAGAATGATATCAATCGATACAAGTCTGTATGGACAGAGAAGGCGGCACTGCAAGACCTCAAGACGTACCAAGCGCATCTGAGCCTGATGAGTAGCAAAACCTTGAACAGCGATGACTTTGACCTGGATGATGCATACCAAGCGTGGAGGCATCAAGAGGTCCAAGATCTGTCGCAAATGATACTTGCCATCGTACAGTCGAACCCCGAACTAGCAAAAAGTACCCCCGGCGGGTCAGTGCCACAGTTCAAGCCAAATGCCTCTCACGAAACTTCCTATCACGATCCCTCAAGACGTGATTCGAACGCGACGCAGAACGGCTCATATGTCATCGACCAACCTGTGGATGTGAGTGGTCTCAGCTTACAAGAGAATGGCGGAGACAATGACTTGCCCTTCACATTCATACCCTCGGACCCACGAGCATACTACCGTGCGATCCTGAGAGAGGCTCTTGCGTACGATATAGCAGATGCCCAGTTGCAGCCCTCTGAGGCGACAACCGACGTCCCTTCCTTCAAGTTACTGTCCAAACAATCTACTGAGCTGCTGACGGAGATAGCCTTGCGATGGCGACTTCCACAGTTTTCACGACTGGTCCTGTTCCTCGACGTGGTGAAGGAGAAGTACGAGAATCAAGAAGTCGACCTAGACACTTTGGATGCAGCGTTCAATTACGCCAAGGAGCCGCCGCCGACGGACAAGAAGTCGCACCGCCTCAGTCAAGTACAGGTTGCAGACTCGCTATTCGATACCTCAAGATGGACAGTGCACGATTACGCTCTCAAGCAACACATCTTGGCAGTGCTCCACGACTGTCTGCTTCGCGAGCTGTATGAAACGCTGCTTCTCGTATACGAGACAAAAGCGCCTCCATTGGGCCCGCTCATGTATGTGCTGACCACGCACATTTACGAGGATTCTTTATTCCAGGAAAGTCCAGAGGCCTTAGATCAGTATACCGAGGAGCTCAAGAAAGCGCTCCGTGGAAAGGCGTCTGACAAGTATCGCGAACTTCTTGCGAAGCACATTCCGGAGACCAAAGAAGAGTGGGAATTCTATCATGTCATTGAGCTCGGTCGTGCTGTGGTCAAACTCTGCGAGAAAATACAGAAACGGTATAAGAAGAATCCTGAAATCATGGGTGCCAGCCCAATGATGTGTCTTGTTGAAGAGATGTTCCCGGCATACGCAGCAGATGCGAGGGACCTGGTGTCTCGAATCTTGGATGTTGCCCACGAGAATGGTCATGAAGTTCCTGTCGAGGACGGTTTCGAGCTGTATAAGGAGCTTGTCGAGATCAGGCGAATCCATGGCGACGCTCTTCCGAATCGCAAATTTGCCTTTCATATCGAAGGGCTATTGCAAGACTTTGTGTGGAGATGGATCGAACGGACAGATGAAAACCTCATCGGATGGGTCGAGAATGCTTTCAAAGCGGACAAATTTCAGATCGAATCTCCGAATCCAGTGCCTATGGACGACGAACGTCACAGCGTGTCTGTCGTAGACATATTCCGCTCCTTCAAACAGAGTATTGAGCAAATAGTTTCATTGAATTGGGACGATGACCTCCAATACGCAAAATTTATGACAGCAGTCTCCAAATCAATAGGAGTTGGCCTGGCGAGATACTGCGAGCTCGTAGAACAGAAATTCGCCCGAGAAATGGATCGCATGACGCCTGAGCAAGAAGCAGCAGCCCGCCAGACTCGACAAGAGAAGTGGATCTCTATGGCAAAGGACCTATACAATCAGAAGGAGAAGATCGAACCTTTCAACTTCTACCCAGAGGTGAGTGAACCCTAACTCGTATAAGCGTGCGGTACTAATTTTGCGCAGTCATTGATCAAGCTAAACAACGTTGAATACGCCATGTTGCAACTGGACAAGCTCGAAAAGGAAATTAACGTAGATGCATGCGCCGAGGTTATCAACAGGCACGCCCCGCCACCGCAACAGCGCATGCGCTCCAACAACTATGTTTTTACTATCAAGATTATCGAAGCCGAGGATCTCAAAGCATGCGATATCAACGGCCTCAGTGACCCATACGTCGTCCTCGGCGACGAATATCAGAAACGACTCGCAAAAACGCGTGTCATCTATGCCAACCTCAACCCGCGTTGGGACGAGACAATCGATATCACTACCAACGGACCGCTTAATATCATCGCGACGATCTGGGATTGGGACACACTTGGTGATCACGATTGCGTTGGGCGGACGTCGCTCAAATTGGATCCCTCACATTTCAGAGACTTTATGCCTCGTGAATATTGGTTGGATCTGGATACTCAAGGCCGGCTTCTTCTTCGTGTTAGTATGGAGGGAGAACGAGATGACATCCAGTTCTATTTTGGAAAGGCGTTCAGAACACTTAAGAGGACTGAGCGTGAGATGACACGAACAATTACTGACAAGCTCTCGGCATTCATCAACCACAGCTTGTCACGCAGAGCGCTCAAGGCTATGCTTAGCGGTGGCCTGACCGTATCGTCTGTGACAAGCTTCTTCCGCACGGGAAACCGTCCCCAATCGGTCATGCAAGCACCGACCCAGCAAGATGTGACCAGAGCCCTCGAGCCGCTCTTCGACTACTTCAATGAGAACTTTGCGCTCATGAAGCAGACATTGACTGACCCGGCGATGATCATGGTCATGACCAGACTTTGGAAGGAAGTGTTGGCTACCATCGAGGCTCTCCTGGTTCCTCCGCTGAGCGACAAGCTAAGCCAGCAGCGGCCACTAACGCGACAGGAGGTCGATATTGTGTTCAAATGGCTGCAATTATTGTTCGAGTTTTTCCATGCCGCGGACGAAGATGGTAACTCTGACGGTGTTCCCATTGATGTGCTCAAGTCGCCCAAGTATCACGAGCTGCAAAACCTCAACTTCTTCTACTTCGAGTCAACCGACGATCTCATCCGGACATCGGAAGGCATGGCTGCTGCCACTCATATCCGTCAACAAGAGCAGGCGGCGCGTATGAACAGGTTGTCTGCTCCACCAGCTATGGGCCATCAGTTTGGTGGGGCAGCGGGCTTGGTCGGCATGCCGTCCCGCAAGCACAAGACTATCATGCTCTCACGTAACTTGGGCACAATGCGCCAAGCCAAAATTGAGAAGCGAAAAGAAGCTCATGCAGATCCAAGTGACGATATGATCCTGCGCATTCTAAGGATGCGACCTGAAGCAGAAAGGTACTTGCGTGACAGGAGTCGCCAAAAGGTAAGTGACATCCTTGGTCTTTTCAGTCTCTACATGCTCACAATGATACAGGAACGCCTTGCAGCAGCGCAGGCTGCCGAAATGATTGTACGACAGAGCCTCAATGCTGGTGGTGGGCGCATGACCGGCGTAGGCATGGGCATGGGCATTGGAGGGCCGAGACGATAGAATCGCCGACCAACAAGGCCGTCTATTTCGTCAACCTCGCCTAGAGTTTTATCATCGTCGAAAGTGGAGCGCAACTTCTCTGTTTGAGATTTGCTTTACCTTTTATGGGTTTTGGTTTTGCAAATGATACCTCTGCATCATTGTTATGGTTTAGCGGGGTACTGGGGTTTCGGGAAGGCGTTCAACGGGATCTGAGGTTTAGTGGGTAGTAATGAGGCTCAAGGTCCTGCGCTTACGAGAGGACAGATAGGATAGGTAGGATAGATGTCATATGATATTATGAATCTACATCACCTTATTCGAACACACTAAAGCTATGACTGGAGATTCGCAGCAAAACTCTGCACCTCTTCCTTCAGACTGATATCCCCCGCCATATCCAGTTTCTTCGCTAACGAGATGTCAAATCTCGCCGGCCAACTCGCAACAATCGCCTCTACCTTCGGATCATGCTTCTTTTCTATCAGTTGCAATGCCTTCTCGCCGCCGACCTCGCCCAATGCGTCTAAGATCTGGCCCACCGTGACCGTCTGTCCTGGTAAGTTGACCACGCGTCCCCGATTCTTCGCAAATCTCTCCTTCGGGACATCTTTGATAGCGACCAAATTCTTCACTACCGTCTTGGGCGAACACACCCACATCGCGAGGTCCTTGCTTACAGGCAGTGTCGATTGCAGCCCCTTTAGCGGCTCCCTTACAATCCCCGATGCAAAACTCGAAGCCGCAGCTGAAGGTGCACCAGGCCTTACAATGACGGTGGGTAATCTCACCACCCGCCCATCGATAAGTCCGCGGCGGGAGTAATCGTTCACCAGCGTTTCAACGATAAGCTTCTCCGCCCCATACGAAGACTGCGGTACTGGAATAGTTTTCTCGTCGTACTGCTGGTCAGGCGATTCCGGTGGGCCGTATACTGCTAGTGAAGACGGGAATACGACGACGACGCCGGGCTGGTACTTCCGGAGGTGGTCCAGGGTCAGGCGGTGGGAGTCGATGTTTACGGCGAGTCCGAGGTCGAGATTTGCTTCTGCGCCGCCGGACATGATGCCGTGGAGTAGGTAGCAAGCGCTCCACTGTTGGGTGAACAGTAAAGAGTCTACGGCTGCGGGGCTGGTGAGATCGGCTTTGACTGATTTCGTGCGAGATGAATCTGCACTTGGCGGCTCGAATACGTCCGCGAGTGTGAGATGAACGCTTGTATTGGATGCTAGTAGAGAATTGGCGAGTTCCTGGCCTATGAAGCCGCCTGCGCCCGTGATGAGGATGTGTTCGCTGGAGTTTGGATGGGAGCCCATGGTCTGTGATGAAGAGCAAATTGAGTATAGGTGAAGAATATCCTAATAAGACAAAACGTTCACTCTTAAATTTTTTGCGGTTCACAAAAACCTATCTGTACCTTCTATAGGCGTACTTGTGGGTCCAATGCTACGCTTGCAAAGCGAGATCTCGTTGGATCCTGGGTCGGCGAGAAAGCCGCCAGCGTACTCGCCCGCCCGCGTGCGGGAACAATTACCCCGGACTCGGCCTCTACCTGCGGCTTTGACACCGAACGACTCTGGCTTGTATGGCTAATTCTCGGAAAATTCGTGATGCTGGTATTGGAACTTCTGCCCTCTTGGATCGCCGACAACTGTAACCATACCGCGCTCACCTCACCTATCCAGACACAAAGGACCTAGGATCCTACGTTCATTATGGCCGAAGCCTCGCCGGCTGATGCGTCAAAACCCCCTCCAAGCATGCAGTACGCTCGACTCGGGCGCTGTGGACTTAAGGTGTCGCGCATAATTCTGGGTGGCATGGCCTTCGGAAGACCAACATGGGAAGGCTCGCCGTGGACGTTGAACGAGGAAGCCAGCATGGAAGTCATCAAACGAGCGTGGGATCTCGGTATCAATACGTGGGACACGGCCGACACGTACTCCAACGGCGAAAGCGAGCGCATCCTAGGAAGATTCCTCAAGAGATACAGCATTTCACGATCGAAAGTGGTGATCATGACCAAGCTGTTCAACCCTGTAATGGATGACGACAGCAGACCGAGCCCCGCAGATCCTTGTTCACAAGAGCTGGTGAACCAGATGGGCCTCAGTCGAAAGCACATCTTCGACGCCGTAGACGCATCTCTCGAAAGGCTGGGCACATCGTACATCGATGTGTTGCAGCTGCACCGTTTGGACCGTGAAACAGAACCAGAGGAAATCATGCGCGCTCTCCATGATGTAGTAAGCATGGGCAAAGTGCGGTACCTGGGCGGTTCCTCAATGGCGACGTGGGAATTTGCCCGACTCCAGTACATTGCAAAGATGAACGGCTGGACGCCGTTTGCATCGATGCAGCCGTTCTACAATCTACTTTATCGCGAGGAGGAGCGCGAAATGATTCCATTTTGTAATGCGGAGGGCATTGGCATCATTCCATGGTCCCCGCTCGCTCGCGGGCTCCTGGGCAAGCCTGTAGGCGCAACGAGTGCGCGGAATGAAGCAGACAGTAAGACAAAGAAGTGGTTTGGTGATGCGAATTCGGACATTGTTAGGAGAGTGGAGGAGCTGAGCAAGAAGAAGGGTGTGAGCATGGCGAGCGTAGCGACGGCATGGGTGTTGCGGAAGGGATGCAGTCCGATTGTAGGGTTGACTAGTGTGCAGAGAGTGGAGCAGATTGTGGAGGCATTCGAGGTGGCGCTCTGCGAGGATGATTGCAGATTCTTGGAGGAAGCATATCGGCCGCGAGAGGTGCAGATGTAGTACCATTGTTATCGATGTAAATGAATGACGTCATCCTTTGAATTATACGGCCGGTAGAGGCACTGTCTAAAACTGTGCTCTTATGTTTCAATGATTGGCTTTGCGAGCACATGAGATAATTACAAATGGGACCGGCCAGAAGTCCGACGATGGGCCATTTGCCGTGCAGTACCTACGTTAGCCGCCCTTGCTACAAAACCGTCATCTACCCGTTATGAAGCCCCCAGCCATTACAATATTCTGCCTTTGTTAGTCATCATGATGTCCTCCTCCACGCCGTTGCCGCTCAAACAAACGCTCGACTCACTGCCGCCTCTCAAGGCGTCTCTGGAGGAAACGCGTTCACAGACACGTGCCCAGCTTCAATCAAACCCACATGTACCAATCCTAGTGGCGCTCGACGACGACCCCACAGGTACTCAAACATGCCACGACATCCCAGTATTGACCACCTGGAGTATCGAAGTTCTCGCAGAAGAGCTGGCTAATACTAGAGCGGGATCGGGCTTCTTCATTCTGACAAACTCGCGTGCACTGCATCCACCCGATGCCAGAGAGCTGATGATCGAAATATGCACCAATCTCAAGGCTGCATCAGCAAAGGTGAAGAAGCCGTTCGAGATCGTACTGCGTGGTGACTCCACGCTCCGAGGACACTTTCCACTGGAACCGGAAGCAGCTGAGGAGGTTCTTGGACAGACCGATGCCTGGATATTGGCGCCCTTCTTTCTGCAAGGAGGACGGTACACGATTGAAAATATACACTACGTTGCCGAAGGAGATACGTTAGTCCCGGCTGGTCACACTCCATTTGCACAAGATGCTACCTTCGGGTACAAGTCTAGTGATCTACGCGACTGGGTTGTCGAGAAGTCAAAAGGGACAATTGCACGGGAGCGTGTGCAGGGACTCAGTCTCACCGATGCCAGATCTGGTGGTGCAGACGCTATCGCTGCAAGATTGCTAGAAGGGGCCAGAGGCGCCATATTTATTGTCAATGCAGCGGCAGAGGAAGATATGGACGTCATTGTGCAAGGTATCCTTAAAGCTTCGGCACAGGGAAAGAAGTTTTTGTTTCGCTCCGGTGCAGCATTCGTCTCTGCGCGACTCGGCATCGCTCCAATCCCGCCAATCTCTGCTAAACAGCTGAACCTCGATGGAACCAAAGGCGGTCTGATCATCGCAGGATCTTATGTACCAAAGACTACAGCGCAACTCAAGGCCCTTCGTGAACGCTCAGGCGACAAGCTGACAACCGTGGAATTGGACGTGAATAGGCTCCTGGAATCACCGGAAAGTCGCGAGGAAGAGCTACAGGCAGCGCTTTCCACCGCGGAACGCGAACTCGAGAAGCCGCAAGATGTACTCGTTATGACGAGCAGAAGGTTGATCACAGGACCAGACGAGCGTTCGTCACTTGACATTGGGTCCACGGTCGCAGCAGTCCTGGTCGACTTCTTGATAAAACTAAGAGCTACTCCTAAGTACGTCATAAGCAAGGGTGGTATCACCAGTTCAGATATTGCAGTGAAGGGATTGCGCATGAAGAAGGCGACGATTGTTGGTCAAGCTGCCGCTGGCGTACCTCTTTGGCGGTGCGATGAACCCACTTCGAAACATCCAGGTCTACCCTACGTTGTGTTTCCTGGTAACGTGGGTGGAGAAGAAACCCTTGCTGAGGTCGTGGAGAGGTGGAGAGTATGATCGACTTAGGTCTGTTGACAGCGCGCTTAGGCCTACTCTGGCAGGATCTGCTGTAGAATGGAGTCTATTACTTTTACTTCATGCGTTCGCACAAGATCGTGCATGTTCCCGACCAAGACCAGGCTAATTACTGATAGAAGCCCCTAACCTATTAAGGACACATTAGGTATAGATAGAAAGGATGTTCTAAGCTTTCGACGCCAGAATCACAACAACAGGCCAACTAACTCCATGACGAACGTCAGGTCCACCCATTTGCTTTCCCAGTTCTGCCCAAAGATCCTCGATATCCGAAGTCACATCTTCCTGCCTGAAGGCCGGTAGGTTCATCTTCAAGAACAGCATCCAGTCCTGTACAGCCCAACTCTTGCTCCAAAATCCAGGGTCGTTCACCAACTCCACCTGCTCTTCACCACGAATGCGACTGACAACCTCGACGTCAAAGTCACAAGCCCCAGGTCCATAGAATGACATTTCCAAGCCACTGTTCCATTTCCACCGCTGCACGTCCTTCCACTGCTCAGGATCTAAGTCCACGTTGTCCAGGAAACTAGACATGCAGTCCGTCGCCCGTTTCCAGCCCGCTTTGTACGCTGGCCCGGCTTCTTTCTGTATATGCTTGGTGAACATGGCGTCTGCAAGTCTATCGTAGATCTGCTGACACGCCGCAGCGTCATACCCTTGTGCAGCTGTGAAATGCGGACGCCCGTAAAACCATATGGCCAACGTGCCACCGGGCCGAAGCAACGTAGCCCAAGACTTGAAAGCCTTTGCATGGTCCAAGAGCGGCATGGTTTCTCCTACGGCGACGAAGGCTGCAGATCCGGATGGGCCGGCTGCATGAACCTCTTCGGCAGCGAGGCGCTCAAAAGTGATCTTGGCGAGGGCTGCGCTGTCTAGCGAGCTTGCAAGGCGCTTTTGGGCGATGGCGAGATGGCTTTCGTTCAGGTCGCTGGCCACGATGGAGTCGAAGTGACCCGACAGCACGGCTGCCACTTGTCCCGGTCCGGTGCCGACGTCGTGGGCGATGGTTCTGTCAGTAGACGATTTGTCCTGATGTGAGCGGTGATACTCCAGCACGCGCGCGTAAAAGTCATCCTGGGTATAGTCCGGCCGTGCAGTGAGATAATCCTCCCAGTACTGACTCCTCTCTATCTCAGTGGTGAAGAAGTTCGATGTGTCCTTTTTTGTCCCCATGGTGATGGATGTTCCTTCCTTCGAGGGATCGCGGGGGCACCTGCAGATACCGCATCGCCAGTGGGTACGCTTGACCCAAAACAATCAGTATAGGACTGTGCATTGCTAGATCCGCTTGGCCATACCGACCAAGATAGGGCCGAACGTTGGGGGCAAGCAGGAATCGCAACAGACGCTGAGTAGAATGCTCGGAAGATAGGTTAGTCTAGCCAAACTGGGTAGCAACAGTGAAAGAGATCGTTTGTTACACCAGCCTCGTACCAGCCTGACGGTACGGGCTTCTAGGGAGGCACGTGGGAGGGACAAATCGCCTGACTCGTTGGATCCAGCTGGCGAGGAAAGCATGACTCGATCCCCTGTTATGGTTTGCGGCCTTCCCTCCGTACCCCTCTTCGAGCTTCACCCCCCATGTCACGGCCCACACCGGACAGCTGCGCGGTGCGTCCTACAGCGTCAAGCTCTATGGGCAAGTTTCCGACTCTCGGAATGCGGCATGTGCAAAACTCGGAACGAGTCCCGCTGGCGCAGTCAATACGGAGTAGATCTTGCGACCACGGTCTTCCTTCTTCATGCACTGAACATTGCTACATCCTTTGTAAACCTACAAAACGATTTCTTGGCTTCTGAACCTTGAAGCATTGCTACTGCCCAAGTTCGCGTTGAGAACCCACACAGTCACAACACACCACCACTCCCCTCAACAGCCACCATGCCCGTTGCCAAATCCACCATACCAGACAAGAAGACGATGCTACCCCCAGGCGTCTACACCCCCGTAATAACCCTCTACAAGCCGACCAGAACCCAAGAGATCGATCTCGATGCCATGTACAAGCACTGCCAGTTCCTCGTCCGTGGTGGCCAGCACGGGCTCGTGTACCAAGGCACAAACGGCGAAGCCGTGCTGCTCGCCCGTGAAGAGAAGAAAGATATCCTTCGCATGGCACGGAGAGCGGTGACCGACCTGGGTGTGCCAGAGTACCCAGTTGTCGCAGGCATAAGCGGGCAGAGCACAAATGAAAGCATAGAGCTGGCAAAAGATGCCGCTGAGGCGGGTGCAAGCTTTGGACTGTTGCTTCCGCCGAGTTACTGGGCGAAAGCTGTGAGCGAAGAGGCTTTGCTAGGGTATTATAGGGATGTTGCAGATGCATCGCCAATACCCGTCGTAATCTATAACGTATGTCATACTGGCATTTGTCTCATTCTACGCACTAAAGTATACAGTTCCCAGGCGTAACCTCCGGCATCGACCTCAACTCCGATGACCTCTCCTCCCTCGCTTCGCACCCAAATATCGTTGCCGTGAAGCTCACCTGCATGAACGTCGGCAAAGCAATCCGACTCGCCTCCAAGTTCACTCCACAACAATTTTCCGTCTATGGTGGCTCCTCAGACTTCCTATTTCCCACGCTGGAAGGCGGCGGCGGTACGTCCCCTTTAACCTCCCTCACCATCCTTAGCAAGCGCCTAATATTAATGAAATGATACAGTGGGCTGCGTCACCGGCATGGGCAATGTCTTCCCCAAATCCACAGCACGGGTATACGACCTCTGGGCAGCGGGAAAGAAAGACGAGGCAAGGAAGTTGCAGGATGTAGTCGCGAACGCGGAGTGGGCGTGCAAAAAGTCGCTTGCGCTTACGAAATTCGCAGCAGGGCATTTTGCAGGAAAGCAGCTTGGTTTGGGCGATGCGAAGACGTTCTACCCGAGAAGACCGTACTTACCTGCGACCGAGAAGATGCAACAGTGGACGCTCGAGGTCATGGGTGTGTTGAAAGAGGAAGAGAATGCGATTGCGGATAAGGTATTTGATAAGGCGGCCGTGAACGGATCGAAATAGAAAAGCGAAGGTGCATTGTTTCTGTTGCTTTACCCAGAGTCTTGCTGTGGCCCATACGATGATCAATGATAGTATAAGCTTGCACTGAACTATAGAGGAGCTCAACTTCAGCAGGTGTACTATTTCAATGTTCTGTACTCGATGTAGTGCCACTTTCAAAGTCCTGGTATTTTTGACCTGAGGGTACATATGCAAATGAAATGTTCATTCCCTCATTTCAACTCAATATTACTCGTACTCGTACTGTCGGTTTCCCATTCCTGTGGACTCCAGGCTCGAGCTTGTGATTCCGACTTCTATGGCTTCACTTGCACCCGAACGTGACAGATCAATCGTCTATATATTCGATACCATTACTCCAATTGGATCAATTTTATTTAAGCAACGCTTTCATCGTCATCATGAAATATCACAGACCCCCAAACCGGCCTGTTGAACCTCCTCCCCTCCTTCATCGCCAGTGCATTTAAAATCCCTACTTCCTCTCCACCCAGCTCGAAAATCTCCAAATTCTTCCTAATCCGCTCTTCCGTGACGCTCTTTGGAATGACACTCCAACCTCTCGTAACTCCCCACGAGAGCAGAACTTGTCCCGTCGTGACCCCTTTTGCCTCGGCAATCGCAACTACCGCAGGATGCGAATGCAGTGTCGACCCCTTGCCCCCGAGCGGCCCAAACGCGGTCTGATGAATGCCATGCTTCTTACAGAATATGTTGAGCTTATCCTGCGGAAGTAACGGATGTAATTCCGTCTGATTCACTGCAGGCACAACCTTCGCCTTCGTCAACAACTTCTCCAGATTCACTGTTGAGAAGTTCGCTACGCCAATCGCCTTCACCAGACCCGTACTGAGCAGCTTCTCCATCAGAGCCCAGGTTTTGGAGAAATCCCAATCCTGTGCGTGCGCTTTGCGGTCTTCCTTTCCGAAGTTGGGCGCATCAAGGGCGTTGGAGGGGAGCGAAACGGGCCAGTGCATGAGATATAGGTCTACATAATCAAGTTGGAGGTCTTTCAGCGATTTGCGGAGAGCGGCTTCGGGATCATGGTGTGAGGAGGACCAGAGCTTTGTAGTGATGAATATGTCGGAGCGTGGGGTTTGAGTGGATTTGAGTACGGAAGTTAGGGCCTCCCCAATTTCAGGCTCGTTCCAGTCTAGTGAGTTTTGAGTACAAATAGTATTTGTCCAGTGGCTTGATCAGACATACATAAAGGGGCACAATCCTAGAGTACATCAGTATCAAGTCTGAATCGCAATGTGGAAGTTGTAATTGACTTACAAGATGGCGATAGCCTGCCTTGATGGCAGTTTGGACGGCGCGACCAGCGTCGCCTGGGGCTGCTTGCCAGGTACCAAAGCCCTGTCCTTCTACTTAGCAATTGACGCATGAACAAATGATGGCTATTGAAGCTCACGACTGCAGGGATCTCTGCGCCGGTGTTGAGCCGGAATGTCTTCTGATGGTATCCCATTCTGATTCTTCGGCGATGATATTGCTGCGGTATTGCTTGTCGCAAGAGTCCTTAACAATGACCCGACATTAAATCAGCTATATATGTGAGACACAAAGCAAGTCGAGTCAAAGCAGCACCGGTGAGAACGCCGTAAGCTTGCGCACAAGTTTTGTGGGTCGGAGAGAACGCATCTTGGGTGTCGGCTTGGACTACGCGGGTACCGTTGTCGCACGGGCGGAGAGCAAGAGAGCGTCTCAGGAACGGTAAGACATTCAAATTTAGAGTCAAAGCACCGATTCGAGTAGTTCAGAGATCACCAGTCATTCGTTAAAGTATAAGCCTTCCCACGACGGCAAAGACTTATCCTGCTTCAAACCCTCTCGACATGTACGTCTCCATCGCGTTTCTCTCCAAGCTCAGCTACCTTGCTATCCTGCAGAATCTCGCCAACATCATGGCGAACTTTATCTTCCTCTTTCGGATACGCGCGTTTATACATTGTCCAAATTGAGTGCGAGAACAAGTCGTCCATGGACTCAATGGACCTGCCTTTCATCTCCGGCATGCAGAAGAAGATGAAGACTACGCCGATGTACGTCAAAACTGCATATAATAGAAATGTGCCCCAGCCGAGGTGCGTCATCATCGACGGCGTCGCTTTGGTAATTCCGAAGTCAACTATCCAGTTGACAAAGAAGCAAAATCCCATACAAACCGAGCGAATACGCGAAGGGAAAATCTCAGCGGCGACGACATAGCAAGCTACACTGTGGCCAAAAGACCTGAATCAAGTCAGCTAAGAATTACTCATTCGGTAGACGAGGTCACTTACCACCCGAACGCATAAACGTAGATAAAAACGATGCCGATGATGCCGCCTGCCTCAGTGCCACCTCCTTGAACAGGATTGGCAAAGCGGACGTAGAGTGCGATATAGAGCATAGCGGTAGCCTGCATAGACGCTCCGATCATCAGCGGAAGGCGACGTCCAACACGATCAACGATGAAAGCAACATAGACCACTGTCGTGGCAAGCTTGACGAGACCATAGACGCCGGTTGTGAGAAGAGCCTGAGAACCACCTTTCACACCGATCATGGTGAATATTTCGGGCGCGAAGTAGTTGAGACTGTCGGTTCCGGTGAATTTGTGAAACAAGAAGAGCATGACGGCCAAGAAGAAGCGACGACGATTGGACGGGACGAAAGCGATGTCCTTGATGACCAGCATGTAGTTGCGGCCAGCGGCCACCTCTTGCTCTTGATCGACTTGTGCACACACTTCCATGTACTCCTGCTGAAGATATGGGTGGTCCTCAGGCAGCTTGCGCAGTCTCATGAGGTTCTTGAGTCCGTCGTCTCTTTTGCCCCTTGCAATGAGTGCACGTGGCGTTTCCAGCACCCACCAGAGCATGCAGACCATGAAGAACCCCGGTATAAGCTGTATGCCGAGCGACAGCTGCCACTGCGTGTAGTCCGTGACTTTGACATTCTTCCACTTCGAGACGCCATAGTTAATCCAGAAAGCTAGCGATAACGCAGTGATTATCATGAGATTGTACAAGCAAGTCATGGAGCCACGGATCGCCTTTGGCGAGTTTTCAGCTAGGAACTGAGGCGCACCGGCGGACATTGAGCCGATAGCGACACCAGCAAGGAAGCGACCTGCGTAGAAGAGCGGCAGGTTTGGGACTTCCTGGAACGCGCACCCCAGGAGGTAGATGCAGCCGTAGACTATCATGGAATATTTGCGGCCCAAGAAATCGGCGAATGGAGCAGAGATAAGGGCACCTGCAGACCCGCCAGCAGCCACTGTGTCAATGATTAGTCTCACATCCTTTGGTGTATAACTCATACGACTTACTCAACGCAGCAATGTTACCAGCTCGCTCATCAGCAGCGTCTTCGCTCAGCTTATCTAGCCCAAAGGCATGTTTGAATGTTGGAAGGACAAGGGTGCCTCCGATGTTTCCTTGATCGAATCCATACGCGCAACCCGCAAATGCGATAGTAACGGCCAGATAGGCCAGGCGTCCATTGTAGATGGACTTGGGGTCCTTCTTCCATTCAGGTGAGGCCCATAGGGAAGTTCCGCCACCCATAGCTTCGGCAAAGGATCAAGGCTGAAAGCTTGACGAGAGAAAGGGAAAAGTTCGTCGAGGTGCAATCCAGTGGTCTGCTCAGTCGTAGCGATTCCGCAGGTATCAACGGCTCCTTCATATACTGCTAAGGCATCGAAAGCCACTCAACATCAGGCGAGCATGAGAGACCAATCATTGCTGGGTTCTACTCCAGAGTTTCCCCGGAAATGCTGTTGAGCGTGAAATTCCCCGCACTTTGGCCGTTATCTGGGGTCGCGGAGAGAAGTGCGAAGGATCGGCGCTGATCGCCGGCAGTCCAACGCCATGTGCAAGAGGGCGAGGAAGGAAAGGCGAGGCCACGTGCAATTTTAGCAACGTGTGCGCCGTCTCGAGGCGTGTTTACATAGTACCGCCAGTCCACTATTGACCACAGCAAAGAATAGTCCCTGGCTTTTCAATATGGCAGAATTTAATGCAGAACTCGTTTCTTCAGCGCAATCGGTTGGTGTGGACTCCAATTATATTCCAGCTTCAACGCCGCAGGTGCATGCATCAAATCTGCTCCGATTGCCTAGTGGTGACCTACTGTGCGTATGGTTCGGTGGATCACAGGAAGGGCTATCTGATATCTGCGTAAGTTGTCCCTCGAATCTCACTCTGTCAAGACGTTCAATAGCTTTCGAACGTTCAAACTCACGCGCGTTGGTGCTAGTAGATTTACTTCTCGCGCCTTCGCAAAGGAGCAAGGACGTGGAACAATCCGCAGAAGATATCAGAAGATGTTGATAGGAGCGAGCAAAACCCGGTATTGTTCTTGAATCCAGAGACCAGAGAACTTTGGGTACTGTTTACTGCGCAGCCTGCCGGGAACCAGGATAAGGCGGTGGTTCGCTACCGCACCTCGAAAGATGAAGGCCAGACTTGGTCGCAGACACAGAACCTCTTCGACGACGAAGGACTCTTCATACGTCAACCCATTGTCGTACTCAAAGACGGTACATGGGTTCTTCCAGCGTGGTACTGTCGCACACCTCCCGGATATCGATGGATTGGTAACGACGACGTCTCAGTCATCAAATACACCCGGGATTGCGGAACGACGTGGCATGAGAAGGAAGTTCCCAATAGTACTGGTTGTGTGCACATGAATATCCGAGCAACCAAGGATGGTTACGCCGCCTTGTTTCGGTCGAGATGGGCCGACAACGTGTACGTTTCCACATCCAAGGATTGTTTAGACTGGAGCGAATGCAAGCCTACACTCCTTCCGAACCCGAATTCAGGAATATGCTTCGATGTGCTCTCGGATGGCCGATGGATGGTTGTGTACAACAATTCTAGCTTCGAGCAAGGCCAAGCCAAGCGGGAAGGGCTGTATGATGATATCACACCCGAGGACGACAAACGCCAAAATCAGCCCAAGCAAACGCGAGAGGCCATATGGGGTGTTCCACGGAAGCAGCTCACGGTTGGTGTAAGTAGTGATGGTGGTAAGAGCTGGAAATCGAAGCTGCTAGAAGAAGGCGACGGTTTCTGCATGACGAACAATAGCCGCACGAGGGAGAACAGGGAATTGTCATATCCCAGCGTATGGGTGGATAGGGACGAGGCTGGGGATATCGCGAACGTCGCATTCACGTTCTGGAGACAAAGAATCAGGTTCTGCAGATTTGAGGTTGGCTGGATAGAAGGGTAGCTCCGTCCAGCAGTAAATGACATCTGGAAGTGCCATCTTTGATGTATGCAGGTTTGGCACTCTTTTGTGAGCTTTCCGGGTGAGCGAGAGGCAACGCAGAACCCAATGTGACGCGCTTTCATAGACCGATGCGTTCCCGGGCTGCGAGCGTGGATGATGGTCGATGGAGATCACTCTTGGGAGGAATTTTGCGATTAGTAATCAACTTTGGCGCACACCCAACCACTACCACGAGCTCGTTAACGTCTTCCCATCTCATTGCCCGTACTTGGCAACGATTCGTTCGACCGCTGCGCAGTCCTGCGGCCGCCCGCGAACACACATCGCGCGCTCCTGCGGCGATGTTCCGGCGTTCTTGCCGCTACGTGGGCTACTGTGGAGCCCATCGAGACGCCCAATGGCGTGGAGGAGCCCCTTCTTAAGCATGCAAGCTTGTACCTTCGATTGAAACCCCACCATTACAGACATGTCGAAGCCTACCGTCCTTCACATTGGCGAGCCTATCAAGTATAACCATAAAATCTACGAGACCGAGTTCTTACAGCGATTTAACGTGGTGCGCAACGAGGATCTAGATCGGGCCTCCTTCATTGAGGCGCTGAAAACCAAGAAGTATGTAGGAACAGATGTGCAAACCATTCAAATAGCTCATCAAACTACAGATATGGCGATTTTGTAGCCATCTTCCGTCCGCACTTTCAGACGGGCGGAGAAATGGGCCAGTGGGATTCGGACTTGATCCCGCTTCTTCCATCCTCATGTCGTATCTTCGCTTCGGCAGGCGCAGGCTTCAACTGGGCAGATGTGGATTTGCTTGCAGAGCACGGCATCTGGTATGCCAACGGTGCGGGCGCGTCTGACGAAGCCGTGTCCGATACTGGGCTCTATATGATCTTGTCGGTATTCAGAAACTTCACACGCGCACAATTGGCCGCAAGAGCTTGCGACATCGAAGAGTTCGAGAAAACACACAAGCTGATTGCGACCATTAGTGCGAACCCTAGAGACCATATCTTGGGTATCGTGGGGTTGGGTAATATCAGCAAGAAGCTTGCGTACAAAGCAAGGACAGCTCTAGGGATGGAGATTCACTACTTCGATGTTGTGCGGGCGACTTCAGATGTCGAAACTGAGTTAGGCGCAACCTACCACGAGAGCCTAGGTGATCTGCTCACTATCGCCGATTGCGTCTCGTTACATACACCTCTAAACAAGCATGTAAGTATCATGTAGACTCACTACTCCGCCTCTGCAGTACCGAATGCCCCTTCCTTCCTTCCACACTATTTTACTAACTCACGCGTGTTCAGACCCAAGACCTGATAGGTGAAAAGCAGCTAGCCATGATGAAGAAAGGCTCTCGCATCATCAACACTGCCCGAGGACAAGTCCTAAACGAAGATGCCCTCGTATCAGCATTGCAGAGCGGCCACATAAGTGCCGCAGGGCTCGACGTCCACTATCATGAGCCGCAAGTCTCCGAAAAGCTCGCGGCCATGCCTCAAGTCACTCTTACAACCCACATTGCCGGAGGAGCGCTTAATACACGCATCAACTTCGAATTGGGCGCGATGAAGAACATTCTCAGAGTAGTTGGCTCCGATGGACAGTTCACGGGCGTTGAGCCTTCGACACCCGTGAATAAGCCTGCTGTTCTTGCGTCGCAGAAAGAATGACATCCTTCGCTACATGCGCAAATTAATGAAGAGATTACAGCTATGGAGTAAATAGATGGATTAATTTCCAGCAAATAGGCTTCATTCGGCATAAGAAGGTATTATTCTACTGCAACGTAATGCACGATTTCTCTTTGCCCATCTCGGATCTGGCTATCGCATACTTGAGTAGATGCATGCTTGCTGAGGGGAACCTTGTGTGGCTCAATAGTGGCCTAGTGCGATTCCGTCGAGTCATGCACGTTCGTGCATGTCTTTTTCCGTGTCTATCAAGTTTGTCGCCTGATCCAATTAGTGTCCCCACAGGCCCTCGCAGTTCTCGCCGCACGACTCCGCACCAAGTTCTCTGGGGAATGGAGGAGGATCGACCCACTCTTTCATGCACGTGAATCGTGTTGCTTCAGGTGGACTAGCAGTCTTATAAAACTCTCAGCATTGACTGGGTACTTCTATCATATCCAACAGCACTCCGGAAGACGCCTTTTCTCATTCAGTAATCCATCGTACCATCGCTTTGGACCACGCTGTCACCCGAGCGCAACATGGAGGACGTGATTGCCAACAAGCCAAAGGCTTCACTAGAGACAACAGAGAAGATTGTCGCGCAGTTGGACGATCTGCCGCTGCCCGAAGAATTGCAACATCTTGACGAAGATGAACGGATCAAGCTCGAACGCAGCCTCGTGCGAAGGCTGGACTGTACTCTCATGCCTGTCGTGGCACTGCTGTTCTTGCTCAACATCTTGGATCGCAACAACATCGCCAACGCAAAAATCGCAGGATTGACAAAAACTCTGGACATCACGAACTCGCAGTACAACACCTGTTTGATGATCTTCTATGTGGGATGTAAGTAAACCGTACGACATCCTAAGACATTCGCTCACTGTCTGCGGATGTTATCACACAGGTCCCATCCAACATGATCATTACGAAAGTGCGTCCTTCATGGTATATCTGCTGCATCACGTCGGCATGGGGTGTAGTCTCTATGTGCCAGGCCTTCACCAAGAACTACGGAGGACTTTTCGCTTCGAGGTTCGTCCTAGGTCTGGTCGAAGCACCTTTTCTACCGGGCGTCTTCTACCTGATGAGCTGCTGGTATAGCCGCGCGGAGCTTCCTCCAAGAATTGCCATCTTGTACGGTAGCAACATGCTTGCAAGCGCCTTTGGGGGACTCATAGCTGCTGGAATCGTGTCGCGTATGGAAGGTAAAGCCGGACGACCTGCCTGGGTCAGTGACATTCAGCTCAGCGTCGCTGTTATAAACTGACATTCTGCAGGAATGGCTTTTCATCATTGAAGGCAGTATAACTATCGTTATTGCACTTCTTTGTGTACCCATACTTCCAGATTTCCCTCTCCAAAAGACCAGTCCGATCCTCAAGCGTGAGCACCAACTTTTTGCCGAATATCGCCTTCGAAAAGAAAATGCTGGCATTCGCGATGAGGATCCAGAGTCCATCTGGTGGGGCCTCAAGCAGGCCTTGCTTGACCCGAAGCTATACATGTTCATCCTTTTGCAAATGATGTTGATCACAGCTCAGTCCTTCAATAACTTCTTTCCATCCATCGTTGGCACACTCGGCTACGATACGACCGTTACGTTGCTTCTCACTGCACCCCCATACCTGTTCGCGTTCATCGTTTCTCTTTGCGTCTCTTTCCACGCGGCACACAAGAAAGAACGTGGCTGGCACATCGCTATTCCTATGATTGTCGGATTGCTTGGAAATCTATTGGTGAGTCTCGTCAATGCTAATTGCGGATCGAAGGTTCTAACCACAATCAGGCTATGTTCGTTCCGTCTCTAGGCGGTCGTTACTTCTCCATGTTCCTCATGACATCCGGCACTTACGCCCCCTACAACCTTTGCGTCTCGTGGCTCTCAGCGTCTCTGCCTCGTCCAGCATCCAAACGCGCCGCGGCGCTTGCCATTATTAACTTAATGGCTGCTGGTGTAGCACACTTCTACACTAGCTATGCGTTCCCCGACTCACAGAAGCCACGTTATTATGGTGGTGGCGGCATGATGAGCGCGGCGTGCCTCCTCTGCTCAGGCACCGCGATTTTCATCAAGTATTACTTGAAGAGACAGAACGCGAAGATGGAGAGGGAAGAGCTGGAGGAAGGCAGAGTAGGAGGTGGTATCAAGGGAAGCAAGGCTGGTCACGGTGGCGAGGCCATTGTCCGGTTCAGATACGTGCACTAGGTCCCCAAAGGAGCAGTGGTGAAGGCCTATTGTCATATTCGGACAAATGTAGCTCGAAAAGTTAATGATTGGCTTTCTCCATTATTTTGCAGAATATCAGCCTGAATGGTAATAATGCCTCAAAATGAGTGTCGAATAGTGCAATATTCATTTGCTTCCCAGTCAGCTCTCTGTATTTTCTGTATTTCCCCAAGCACCTTTCTATACATGACACCCAATACCACCTCAAGCCGAGCATAATGTGAATCTGAATTTCACAGTGTGTGCCTTAGGAAGCTTGAACAAGGTCATATGACGCACCGGTGCCTCGGGTGGTGCCCCAGATTCCATGATTTTGGAAGACAACTCCACAAAGTCGTGACTCGTATGACCACTTCCCAACACCACGATTACGCTCGGAAGTTTACCGACATTGTGGAGGCACAAGGTTCTCCGGACTTCACGCCTTAGGTGCAGGATTGTGGTGTGGGTCCACGACGGCGAGAAGGCCGGCCGCCACTCCACACCTCCCCGGAGCCTGGGAGAACACCGAGATTCGCCCACATCCGGGGACCTGGAAGAACACCGAGAGAGCACATCTACATACCGGCTAGCGTCATGTCTCGGCTTCGTGGATCTCTCTGGCTGCACCCTTTACGAACTTAGCATCCATATCGTTCCTGGTACCTAGATTTTGCGACATTGCGAGCATGGAAGCTAAATCAGTTTTATCGATTGAGGAAGTCAAGGCACACAACAGTCCCGATGACTGCTGGGTAGTAATTGAAGACAAAGTATGGGATGTAACAGATTTTCTGTCAGACCATCCTGGAGGTTCAGAAGGTATGTCCAATACCTATGCAGCGCCACTCTTCACGGTACTAGCTCAGTCAGCAATCTTGAAGTACGCCGGTCAGGATGCGACTTCAGTCTATAATGAATTTCACGCCCCAGGTATGCTCGAAGAAACACTTGCGACCAGTAAGTTCGTCGGCGACATTCTCCCATCCAACGACGTGCCGCCAAAAAGCACAATCGACGAAGCAGAGGCGGCAGAGTCAAATCCGCAGCCCGAACAACGCCCCATTGAATTTTCACGTCAAGTTCCAGAGATATACGAGAAGCCGCATCTCCACCAGCTCATCTCTGCGGCCGATTTCCAGGAAGTTGCGCGCAATACGTTGACACCAAAAGCATGGGCCTTCTACTCTTCGGCCGCTACGGATTTAGTGACGCACACGCAGAACAAGGCAGTCACTCGACGCGTGATGTTCAGGCCTCGGGTCCTGCGAGATGTGAAGACAGTGTCCACAAAGCGAAAGATTCTGGGGTGTGATTCCTCTGTACCGTTCTTTGTTTCTCCGGCAGCTATGGCTCGACTGGCCCATCCAGACGGCGAATTGGCCCTGGCTCGGGGTTGTGCAAACGAAGAAATTGTGCAGTGCATCTCGAGCAATGCTTCATACCCGCTGGCTTCGATTGTCAAAGCCGGGCGGAGAGATCAACCTTTCTTTCTGCAGCTCTATGTCAATGTTGATCGTCCCAAGACGGAAGACCTCCTTCGTAAAGCTGCCTCTTTAGGAATACGTGAGTCATCTGTGTCAATCCGTGCAAGAGACATACTGACTGAACTGAAGGTGCCATACTCGTTACTGTTGACGCACCCGTACCCGGCAAACGAGAAGCAGACGAACGCATCGCGGCAGAAAACGTCGCAAGCGCCATTTCCGGCGCCGTGGCCAGCAACGACAAGAAAGGGGGTGGCATGGGTAGATTGATGGCCCAATATGTGGAAAAGAGCTTGATATGGGAAGACGTGCAGTGGATCAAAAGGGTATCCGGACTGCCGGTCGTGCTGAAGGGCGTACAAAGTGCGATGGACACAAGAATGGCGGCGGATTGGGGATGCGACGGTGTGATGCTGAGCAACCATGGAGGGCGCTCTCTGGACGGGTAAGGCGCTTCATCCCTGCACGTGCGCGGAGAGGATACTGATGAATATCGCAGTGCTCAACCGAGTATACTCGTCTTGTTAGAACTGCATCGCATGTGCCCAGAGATCTTCGATAAGCTCGAAGTGTACATCGACGGAGGCTTCGAACGCGGATCAGACATTTTGAAAGCCATCTCCCTCGGTGCGACAGCCGTCGGCATCGGGCGACCGTACCTATATTCACTGACTTATGGGGAAGAGGGCGTTGAGCACCTTACTCAGAGTAAGTTCATCACGATGCCTAGTAGTAATGCGGAGCTGACTCGTGGTTAGTCCTGAAAGATGAGCTTGAAACATCGATGCGATTGTGCGGCATAACAGATATTGATCAGGCGCACCCTGGCCTGGTCAACACGCAGGATGTCGACTCTCTAGTATTGACCACGGATAGTCACCCATATATCCGATGGCGTCCGCGCGCGAAGATATAGAGCAGGTAGAATTCGGGGGAGTCAGCGTACGAACATGATTCTCTTTTCGAGTTTCGTGTAGAAAGGTGGCGTGGGGTTTGCACTGAAGCGGATCTTAGTAAGACGGTGTCCTCTGTTAAGCAGCCGCAGCCGCAATAAGTTTCATCACAATCCTTCCTCATCCGTTCAACCTTCAGTAGGCCAACAGTCTGAGTACAATCGACTCGTGTATTGCCTATCCCAGGGCCACACACTGCATTCAAACTTCTTGACATAACGCTGTATATCATCTCTCGTGTCTCGTTATGATGACGTTGCTCTCGCTTTCGAATGAGCTACTCGCCAACTGCTTTCTCTATTCCAGCGACAGTAAATCCGATATTGAAAACCTCCGCCTAGTCTCCAAAAGGGTCAACGCTAACGCATCACCTTTCCTTGTCACGGAAGCCCATGTCTCCTTCAACCGCAACTCAATTCGAGATCTCGAGACCCTCAGCAATCATTCTGTCTTCTCGAAGAGCATAAAGTGCGTTCAGATAGATGTCTCTTACTACGACAAATTGCTTGCAAAGTCCTGCCATCGCTTCGTAGAGCACAACGCAAGCAAGTTAGGCTACACGTTGGACCTACTATCTCGGGCGACCCATCGGTGGTACGACAAGGACGGCAACATGAAGGAAGAATATAGAGGGGACAAGGAGATTTTCGCGAAAGCATACCGTGTCAATGAGGAGTGGAACCGGACTGCAGCGGTTATGGCCACCGAAGATGTTATCAGGTCCGATGCAACAGAAGCGCAAAAGCTCCTACTCACCGCGTATGAAGAATACAAGGAACTTTATGACGAACAGCAAGCGGCTATAGCGACCGGCCAGGGCGTAGAAAGAGTTGCCCAAGCGCTGCACAAAATGACTAGCCTGGATGAGATCGTGGTTAAAGACCTCAAGTTCAGTCGGCCCGGAAAGAATCGTCGACCCTGGGTCGAAAGATTCTATACTGAGAGGTTGATAGAGAGCTGTCTGAAGAAAAGCCGCTGGAAAGGCTCATTCATGACGGCTATGGAAACACGACCTCCTGTCCATATAGTCACAGATCTATTCGCTGCGCTCGCCGACTCTTCCGTAAGGCCAGCTTCATTTACCATCTGCATTACTCCTCCGACCGACCTGCGCTGTATCGACTTCACAAGCAAGCAGCTAGAAACCGTCAGGACAGTCTTAGCTCAAGCAAAAGAATTAAGCCTCGATGTGCTCAGCTGGGAACGAAGGGACTCGCTGGCTGAGAATAACGACCGCCCAAAGGAGGAACTTACAGGACTTTGTGCTCTTTCACGTGCCTTATTCAGCTCTTCACGCCTACAGGGGCTTCGACTGAGTCTTGGGAATTACCCATGCTTCTACGAATTACCCAAGATATCTCTATTCGATCTCTTGCCAATGCCGCTCCCGTCTAACGATGTTTCCGAGCTTGGTTTCCAGTCTGTTCCATTGAAGATGGACGAGCTTCGAGCACTCGTCGACACGATGAAAGATCGAATAAAGCGCTTAGCGTTGAACAGACCATATTTGCTAGACGGAAGCTGGGCAGATTCGATTGCCATGTTGCGAGACCTGGAAAAGCTTGAATGGGTTGACTTTAAGTATCCGTACGGCGGCGAGTACGGTGATAGACGCGATGGACCAAAGATTGAGCATGGTTTGATTGAGTCTTACATATCGGGAAAAATCAAAGAAAATCCGCTACAGCGGCAGAGGTTGACAGAGTAACAAGACGAAAGCTCGAATGAGGCTATGTCTGGGGTGAAATCCTTATCTTTGTAGGAAACATGATCCAGAAAAGTATGAACACACGAGTAGCGCACATTTCTGAGTCCTTATGTATTCATTGCTTCTGGAGCTCAAGTCTACTTCTCAAAGAGGGTGCGATAACAGCAAAGAAATTCCTGTGAACACAGCGTCCCGTGATCACCACAGTTCCCTATCGCGGTCTACTCCACACTTTTGTCCCCGCTCTGTCATTCCTCAAATGAACCTGTAAGACTTGACATCCTGGCTAAACTTGTTGTTGGAGCCTTCTGGGAAAGTGAAGAAGTGGGTGTTACCGGTCTCAGGGCAACCGGGCTGGTCGTACACTCGGACTGAAGGTTTGTTAGCTCAACGTTCGCACACTATACCAGTGTCCAACGTACTTTGGCGGGTTAGCGAGCTCGCGGTAAGCTCGGTGCATCCAACAGTTTGGCCCACGTTGAGGTCATGGCAAGGGGCCGTATCTTGGACCAAGATGACTGGGGAAGGCGGAGTGATGATGTCGGCGGGGTTGTTGCAGCCAGAGCTCTTGTAGAAAGTGACGGTGACTGACTGAGCCTGACGCTCCTGAACGGAAGACGCTGGGCTGGCAGCGGCAAGGGCGGCGAGGATGAAAGAGGCAGCGATGGTGAATTGCATCTTGATGATGGGAGGATGATTGAGTGGAAGACTGGAATTTGAGAGTTGCTTTTACGTATGAAAGCTGAGAGTGAACGGGCTGGTTGGTGATGTTGAACAGCAGACAAAGTAGCGGTATTTATACACTTCTAGCTGCTAGCCTCCTCTAAGAAACTTCTGTCGCATGAAAGTGAGCGTCGTTACAGCAGTCTGGTAGTATCTTCATGCTGGCTATACTTGTGGTATACAAACGAAGCCACTCAGACCGTGTACACCAATCGCGGCCCAGGAATCTATCACGATGTGAGCCTCGAAGCACAGCCCTGGTGAAATTTGACGAGTCTGCCTCTCGCATGATCGTGAAGAAGACCATGAGTGGAGCACAAACCTCGTTCTCGAACGATTGGATTGCCTCACTGGCCGTAGGATAGATAAAGTTGAAGGTTACGTCCGTGAACTTCGTGAGGCAATGACCAATATGACAATTAAGTCAGAGGTCTCTATAGGTCAGCTTACGGTACTGCTCACGGACCCCTTTTGGTTTGCCTATTTTCTTCGGGGCGTAGATTCCTGAACACGCCTACATATGAAATACATAGGGTTAAGAAGTAAGATCCCCACACAATCGACCAAAAAGTCAAATGCTACGTGAGAAAAATGTCACATCAGTCTCTACGGCGTCGTTCGTTTCGCCTATCGCTCAGTACACGGTTGCGATATGACAGCTTGTGCCAACCGTCTGCACAGTCTGATGAAAACGGAGTAATCTTCGTCAGAAATTATGCTCTGGTGGTGTTCGGTATACTCAATGTAGATTTGTAGCCAAGAGTGGAACTACCACGTGGTAGTAGTATGCGTAGAGCTGCTGACGTTTGCGGGGTCATCGATGTTTCGTGCTGACGAATGTTGGCGATCGGATGCATTATGTACATTTTCTAGAAATTACATGCCATTGAGATTGGCATGTTCAATGCGGGTGCGTCGAAAATACTTCACTTCCCTGAATGCAGAAAATTGCAATAAAGAGACACAACCTATTCTAGGAGTGAGGACATCTGTACGTAACATTGAAACCGACGTGATTCATGGGAAGGTAGCCCCGATCCAACGATTGCTCCGCGTAGCTGGTTCTATTGTAGTGGACAGATCTCATCGATCCGTGTGCTCACACAGGAATTTTTTGCAAATCCTGGTTTAGCCAGACCAAGCATTCGGCGACCGCGTTACTTCGCAGTGCCTCTAATTGTCATTGCTTACTAGTTCATAGGCTGAGTGCATCGGTGCTTTCCGACATTCCTTCCATAAGTGGCTGACTGCTATGGATGGGGATACCACAAGGCAGCCAAAACAGTGGCGGGAAGTGTGCTTGTGGTGTTGCATTTATGCGGCCTTTTGTCATTGTGAATATGATCAGAGAAGATGGCTCGATAGACCAAAGATCAGTATCAAACAATCGTGAGTGTCCTAGATTGGAAGACAAGAAAAAGCTGCGATCAGCTCCAAACTATAGCGAAGGAGTGGAATCCTCTGGAATGTCCTCGAAACAAACTGTAAATTCCCGAGAACAATTATTTGAAGTCACTCAGAGGCGCAGCCTTCGCGTTGGAGGGATGTCGGATTTATTGGCCGCTACAGCCACGCGTCACATGGAACGCGTTCCTCTCGCGCGGTTTGTTACTCTGGGATACATACTCGCCGAAACATGCTTCTGTGCAATATGTGCCCTCTTCCCATGCTTCCCATGCTTCGAACGGTTCTGGAACAAGTCAACCAGTGATCGATCGTAAATCCAGTGCAATGTGCGTTCTGCAAGTCTGATCAGATCTTGTCTGATCGAAACATGATCAAACTCTGCTTTCTAAAAATAAGGATTTCAGTGTTCTCTTGCTCCCTCCAGTACTCTTCGCGTCATGAGTGTAGTGCGACCTTCTTTCGGATCCGTGGTGATTTAGTGCAGGGCTAGATTAGCAGTCGATTGGGTGTACCTAGGTACCCCAGCTCCACTGAAGTGCTATTGGCATGCATGTCGTAACAAACTTTCTTTTTCTATCAATGTTCAATTATTGTAGCCGATGTAGCCAACAATGATTACGATGAGTGCTATATCGGTACCGAAAGAGCGGTCAGTTGCCGCCGTATGCGCGCACAAGCTCATTGCCCTAACTTTAGCGTTCCTTTCAACCAAAGCGAAAGCGAAAATACTGGCTATTTAGTCCGCGCCAAACTCGCAAATGAATAGTCGCCGATTGCCATGACGCGGCTCGCATCGCGAACTGTGGTTCACGTGTGGCGCTTTTAACGTGCCGTTCTCCGTCACAATTTTAACTCAAAGGAGAAAAGATTGAACAAAGGTGTCGATTGCTGTAGATTTTTGACGGTACACCTCGTGGTTTCAGCCACGGCTGGAGATTGCGTTCCTTACTCGTGCAGTTCCGTAACAGGCAAGACCGCTGCGGGCGTGGAATGCTGCTGTGAGGCGGTGGTACGCTTGATGATGCTTGCGCAGGGGAACCAAGCGAGGTGCAGGAGAATTTCGTGATCGTACAGATAAGGGACCGTGGCGAACAGAATTTGGTGTTGATATAATTAGTGGTACCGCCTCCTACCACAAAAGGCAGGTGCGGTGCATGAGTGTCGAAGGCAGTGCCGGCTCACGGTACACTTTTCCATATGTTACCATTGTTCGTGCAACACGCCAGGCGCCTGCATGACTCCGTAAATCGCGGCTTGGTTACACCGAGTCGGAATTTCACACGTTCCAAGGTTCAAATCTCCGCAGCAGGCAAGTCAATGCAAAGTCATCGATTGCTGTAACCTCGGCCGGTACACTTGGAAAAGCTTGGTTGTGTCAGTCCTTGATGAAACCCATATGGATCTCTATAGAGGGCAAGTCATTGAAGATTCGTCAAACGCAGTGATCCTGGCCGGTACGCTTGCATGACTTGTGCCGCGTCTGTTTCCAGATGAATCTAATACGAACCCTCCGCAGAAGGCAAAATGACAATAGACCGTCGATCTCAGTGGTTCCCGCTGGTACACTTAAGGGACTGCGACCGTACCTATCTCTAGATGATCCTGCCGTGATCTCACCGCAGAAGGCAGGTCAACAGGAAACCGGTGATTGCAGTGGTCTTCACTGGTACACTTAGGAACACTTACTGAGTCGGTCTACACGCATGATCCACCGTGTTCCTGCCGCAGAAGGCAAGACTAAAATTCCCCATCGATTGCAGTGGTCTTCGCCGGTACACTTGAACGACATAACCCGTGTCCGTCATTACATGACCTAGTTAAGAAAGCTCTAGGCGGGTCGTTGTCCTCAAGACCACCGCTCCTCAAAGAGCTTGTACGATCACCCTCATCTCTATCATGCGCTTCTCAAAGCCTCAGATATCCTGCTAACACCTTCCTCCACAGACCTTGAAGGTTGCGTGAACACCATCCTAAACCAACCCGGCTGTTCAGCGCCAGCTACATCACCCAAAACAAGGAACACCTTCTTCTTCATGAGCCGCTGGAAGATCTCGTTCGTAATCGATCCCATTGACTTGCCGCGAGCTGCTCCACCCAAGGCTTCCAAGTACTTCTTTCCTAGATTAATCCATAGAAAGAACGCTGCGTTCGCCCCTGGCGTATACTCAATGTCGTGCTTCCGGAGCAGGTCGACAGCATGAGCGTACGCGGCGGACATGCGCTTCTGATTGGTCTTGATATAAGAGGCTAGGAAACCGAAGTCTGCCAGAATAGCAACAGCTGCATTTTCGGCTAACGAGGAAGGTGATGAGTATATGGAGGCAGTCCGACAAGCTGTAAGAAATGGCTTGTTGTTTTGCGAGGCAATGACGCCGATCCTAACTCCGTTCGCTCCGAAGTCTTTAGAAAAGCCCCAAAGAACATGTACAAGTGCTGGGTCGATGATATCCTTGGTATCAATTGAGAGAGCTGATTCGAAAGGGGTAGGCGGAGTCTCCAGCTTGTCGACTGTATTCTCCCAAACTGAAAGCGCGTAGATCTCGTCATTGATTAAATGGATGTGATACTTTTGACACAGTCGCATCAATTCCATGATTGTGGTCTTCGAATAGCACCGGCCCAGCGGATTATGCGGGTGACATAGCAGGAGTGCGCGTATTCTGACTCCTTCAGTGCTCGACTTCAGCAACGCCTTTTCATACTCAGCCACACAGTCTTGACCACATGGATCTATGTCCCCAAACGCGACTGGAACCACATTTACGCCAAATCGCAATTGAATGTCTGGTAAGAAGGCGCGGTAATACGGACGGCCTAATAGTATGCCATCGCCTGGGTCGCCCAAGGCCCATGCGCAGTGTTCTATCGCAGAGGAGACGCCATTGGTGATCATGAGATGGTCGGCTTGGACTTGTTGGACAGGATGAAAGTAAGTGTCCAAGAATAACGCAATGGCGTTCCGGGCTGATTTTGATCCCGCTGGACCGTCCTGATACGTGAAGGCTTTTGCGGATGGATCTACGAGAGGCTTGTTTCGGAGAAATTCTGAGAGTTCGTCGTGTGAGAGGGAGTTCTCGGCGATGCCCAGCGAGACGTAGCCATCAGTGTTTGTCGAGGGATCCCACTGGTTCGCACTGACTTCCCATACTTGCTGCAGCGATCAATCGATAAAGAGAAGATGGTCAAGGTCATGCTGATGGTACGTACGTGTTCATCTGCTCCGCCAGCACCCTCTTTATGACCACGGCGTGACAACAAGGTATGCTTCATCATCCAATACTAGAGGCGTATACTCGAAGGCCCACAAGTTCAGGCTGGTCATCAATATAATATAGGCAATTGTCAGGGATGCCTTTATGATGGATTCTCAAGTGATCGCTGACTGGATCATTCAGCGCTTGATAGATTCTGGCGATTTTCACCTGATCAATCCTGCCTCGACAGGTTCATCAGAAAGCATCGCAAGGAGAGGGGTTGCATCCTTCATTACGTCACCACCTCCTCTTCATTGGCGGAACGACTTGTGTTGTCGTGTATAACACGCCCTATGAGGTGTTGAGTTATCTAACGCGCCAACAGACCAGTGGCAGAGAGACAGTCAAGTGGACATTGACAATGGGTTGGGTTGCGCTCATCCCTCGTCTGATGCAATTCATCTGATGAGGAAGGCGGAACCAGTCTACATCGGAACCGGTGCTCCGCCGGAACTGAGTCTTGGTCCCTTCATGCATTCCAGCCTGGCGACTCTCTGGATAATCTGTATCTTTTACGCTTGTCCAAGAACCAACGTGATGCCCCAAATGTCGCGGTTGCCGTGTTCGCGCGTCTGACAAATCAGGAGCATCCTTGCTCATTCCCTTCCCCTCGTGGCCCGCCACATCATCACCATCAATTCCATCAACATGGCTGCGCACAAGCAGAAAGTTATCTTCTTTGATCTTATGGGCACCTGTTGCGACTGGCTTACTTCGTTGCTACCTGCGCTACAAACATGCCCACCACATTCTTCATTGACTCCAGCAGAACCGAAACTTCGGGAGCTCGCTATCGCCTGGCGGGAAGGCTTCTTCCAAGAGATACACGCCCGCTTCGACCGCGGGGAAACTAATGAGGATATTGATATCACCCATCGCCGTGTGCTCGACCGCATCCTGAAAGAGAAAAGCATCGACCAGGATGTATGGAATGATAGCGTGCGAGACAAGCTGGTCCAGCAATGGCACAGTCAGACTCCTTGGCCTGATGTCCTCCCAGCTTTGCGCCAATTACGGGAAGACGGAGGGTGTTTTCTTGTAGTTCTGGCAAATGGAACAGCGCGGTTGCAGCTCGATATTGCGCAGTCTTCGGGCTTGCCCTTCCATATGTTGCTTTCGTCTGAGCTGCTTGGGCTTACAAAGCCGGATCCTGCGATTTATCGCAAGGCCATGGATCTGGTACGACTCTCACCTGAGGACTGCACCATGTTAGCTTCTCATCTCTACGACTTGGCGGCAGCGAAAAACGCAGGTATGCGTACAATCTACATCCATCGGGACACCGAAGATGTGAATACTAAGACTGTTGATGTGGATGGTGAACACAAATACGTTGACTTGTACTTTGACGGCAGAGGAAAAAACCAGAACCCGGATCAGGGAGCCGGATTCCTTGCGGCGGCCGCGCATCTCACCAAAATTGAGAGACGATCACATTGATCAACATGACGGCGAACGGGCTCCAATGCAGATACCATCCAGATGTTCGGGCTGCCAATGGTGTCACCGGGGTCATGATTCGACTATAGCACATCACAAATGCGTTCTGAGGCTCTCTGTATGCCAGAAGATGTGTACGCAGGTGAGCCAACGCACGTCTATCGCGTTAATGTCCGGTCGACCGTTGTCCCACCCAGTCTAACTACACCTAACGCCTTAAAACTCTCTGCACTTCCTTCGCCGCGGCCACAAACCCCTCCGCACCTTCTCAATCAATCCAAACTCTGAATCTGTACCTTGATGCACCCAGTCTTCGGGTCCGATGCCGTCTTGAACGCCTCAACCGCCTGCTCAAGATCGAAGCGATGCGTAACAAGCGGTCGCAGATCGATGAGGCCGTTCTGAACCAACCGGATGGCCTTGGGCCAGGTGTTTGCGTAGCGGTACTGGAACTGCAGGTCGACTTCGCGGGTGGACAGGCGCATGAATGGGATCTTCATCTCGTTCTTGCCAACGCCGATGACGAAAACTTTGCCGCCGAATTTGACGGCTTGGATGACGCCGTTGATGGAGGACTCAACACCGGTGCATTCCATAGCTGTGGATTGTCAGTATTCGAGAACTGCGACCGAGCGGGGGTAAATGCACTTACCAACGGCGGGTTCAATACCCATAGTTGCAACAACCTTTTCCCGGAAGTCATCAGGCGTATGGCTGAACTCGACCTTGTGCGTGAGAATGTTCGGGATAATCTTCTTCGCAAAGTCCAACCGTCCCTGGTCGATATCCGTAATGAGCAGCGGCGCCGCACCTGCAGCCCTGCAGCAGAGCGCAGTGACAAGGCCAATCGGGCCAGCACCGCACACCACTACTGGATCACCCAGCTTCACGCCCGCGCGGTCCATACCCGCGAGCGCAACGCTGAGCGGCTCCAACATCGCACCGTCCTCCCATGTGAGGTTGTCGGGCAGCTTATGGCACCAAACGGCTGGGTGCTTGAGGTAGCGGCGCAACAGACCGGGAACAGGTGGTGTGGACAGGAACAGAACGCTCTCGCAGCCATTATAGCGGCCTGTGAGACACGGCTCGCAGGCGTGGCAAGGGATGTTAGGCTCGATGGCGACGCGGTCGCCGGGCTTTATGCTCTTGACTGAAGGGTGGACAGCGAGGACTTGCGCGGAGGACTCGTGACCGAGAATGTGAGTGTCTTCTACGACCATGGGGCCGATGCAGCCCTGGGACAATTGTCAGCATCAGGATTGCCAAAGCTTTGCAAATCAGAATGTAGTAATAGGAACATCTTGAAATCACTGTGCTCTAGCATCACTAAGAGGTCTCCACATTGTAACATGCCGCAGCTTGCAAAAGCACGCAAATACTTCTCCGCTGGTATCAGGAACCCAATGAAGATCGGAAGACTTACAGCGTGCCAGAAATGAATGTCACTGCCGCAAATACCAGTGCTCTTGATATTCAGCAAAACCTCACCCTCCTTTAGATCTCCGCCAGCCTGAACACTCTCCAAGCTCGGCTCCGCCTCCGCAACCCAAAGTTCATGCGCAGGATTCGTGTAGACTCCAATGTTCGCCTTGTTCGGCTTGACCTCCGTAACGGTCGTTGTGCTCATTTTGCAGTACTGCTTCTCCAACGACGCGGGGTATCTTCAAACAGGACGCGACCGTAGCAAGTCAATGGGAAAGAAAGGAATGAACAGGTAGATACACACAATAGATAATTGTCGAAAAGAAATTGTATCAATCACCAGCCCTCCGAAAAGATTGCCCCGGGGTTTTATGCCCCGCGACCGCCCGCCCAACCCACATCAAGCTACCCCTCCATCGTCACAGCTAGTTCCTTTCTAGCCTCCGACGACCCTTACGGCAGGGTGCATTTCCACGAATGGTAACCCGCCAAAGCCGCTACGGACCAGCTGCTCGCAAAGGAAGTCCAAAAGCGGCGCGCATGTGGGCCTCCAGAGCTGCATGATTTTTCCGGTGGTTTCAAATGTCACGATGTTAGCGTTTGGTGTTGAGGGGCCCACGGGGACATGTACGAATTACCGCGGCATGCGGGGCGCTTGGCGGGGGTCTGGATCTCCGAGGTCGTGTTGACGGGTCGAATGTTGCACGCGAAGGAACACGGCGTATTGGGACTGTTTCGTGTGGTTGCTGTCGTTCTCGGTCTATGATTCTGGTCGGTTTCGGTGCGTGTGCTTACGGCAGGTATATCTACCGAAAGTCTTCCGTCTTGCGGAAGACTACATAGTCATGCTCCTGTCTTCATGCTAGCCTTCTGACAAACCCTCTACTCATTGACTTTACTGGGAAATATCGCAGCAAAACCCGAAAAATAGCATTCATGGAGAATCACTCATCTGTTTTCGCTAGTCGTGACGATAGGAATATATACAACGACCCATTCCATTGATACGTACGATCGCAAGTCTGAACCTCCAAGTATTAAGACACCGCTGAACCAATTGCAAATGCATCAAGACATCAATCGTTGACCCAAACACCTTGCGCCGCAATAACACACATAATCATCCCCCAACAGTTTACCGCCCGATCATAGACTGTGGTATCTCAAAAGATCAAAGGAAATCATCCGAAGCCTGGGAAAATCTTATGCAAGCCACGTCTCCACCGCGAACGGTTCTGTTCTTCCTCTTCAGCATCATGCGGTGCATGCCGGTTCCCAAGAAGGGCTAGAGCCCGTTGCCGAGCCCATTCTCGGCGCTGTTGCGGGTATTGAGACGGAGGTTCCGGCGGACACTCTTCCGCAGTGTTCTGACGTGTAGGCTCCGGCGCTGCAACGATTTCTGGAAGTACGGTTGCGGTGGGGGCCGGCTGCACAGCAGGGACCGGAGGCGCCCCCGAGGTCATTTCAATATCTAATGGCCGTGATTGCGTTCTCGTTGGTGCGCTAAACATTCTGCGGCCGCCAGAGGTCCTGCCTACTCGTGCGCGGAGGGAGTCGTACGCCCCTGGGAGGCGGGCCACAATGTTACCCGGTGAATGGTTGTGACCTGGCGCGTTTTGTGTTCGTCTGCGGCTGATCAATCGTTCTCGCCTGACCATGACATTGGTGATCTTCGGCGGACAATACCCAGGTGGCAACACACTCTGTTTGCATATCGGGCAAAGGCTGCTGTTGTTGAGCAGAAAAGGGTCGATGCAGTCGACATGAAATATATGCCGGCAAGGTAGCTCCCTGACTTGCGACTCATTGGGTTCGAAATCGTCCAGACAGATGGGACAAGTAGGCTGTGAGAAGATAGCGGAAGCACGCGTTGTGGAAGGAGCCTCTGGAGCAGACGATCGTCGACTCAGCGGAACCCCCTTCAGACTTGTCTCAGCATCGACGGTAGTGGATGCCTGGGACATACTCTTTTCACCGCGTTCAGACTCCCCAAGGTAAGCGAATACAGGAAGTTTTGTCAGATAATCTGCAGGCACGGTAAGGCGTTTGACCCCCAGAGCTTCAAGGTCTACCTCGCCGTTGATGACACGTCGTCGCAGGGCATTGCGTCGCCTTCTTTGTACGACATGCATGCAAAAAGAGGTGGCTCCGATGATCAGTATGAGCAGGCCTAGGACTATGACCAGAAAGACCCATAGGCTGGGAAGCTGAGTGCCAGAATCAGCCGTAACCTTCGCCCATAATCGAACATAGTCTGATTCTTCAAACTGATCCTTGAGAGAGTCCCCATATGGCACAGTTGACATGTTGCCCGAATAATCGCTCATTTTGCTGGCTATCAGGTAACCGCTTGCTCCAGGCACAGCGTAAGTCGGAAACTGATTATTGTATTGCCAGCTTCCACCATCGTTCAAGGCCCATGCTTGATCATTCGTCTCTGGTGGTACTGCGGTTGAATTTGGGTTCGGTTGGTACACGATGAACGCCTTCACCGGCTCATTTCGGGCCGTCGCGAAATACTCCTTCATACACAGAGGAGAGAACCACGGAGCAACGGCGATGAGAGCATATCCGGAATTCGCCGGAAGATTGGCTAGGCGTGTGGCATTTTGCGGTACATACTGCTTCTCGGAGTCTCTGCATTCGTCTGTCTGTAAGGCAGGTATATACAGGAGGCCATATGGGTCGTCGCCACGCTCAACGCCTTTCGAAGAGAGTGTTTGTATGTTCGGAACGGGAAAGTAGAAGGACTCGTTCGACTGTAATTGGTGGTTACTTAGTTCGTGATCTGGTATGAGGTGCAAGAGTTTCTCAGATGAGCGTACGGGAAGTGGATCGAAGTGATCATCTATAGTCTCGGTGCGGTCGGGATCGGGGAAGTCAATGGTGATGATGTTGATGCTTTCGGCACCTGAGCGAGGTTGTCAGCATCCGTCCCGAACGCACGGTGAATGTGAGAGGCTTGGGTGACGTACTCATCGCGGCGATTGGATGGTCGAGTGATGGTCAAAGAGATAGTGTTGCGCACGCGGGTATCACTGCTCATAGCGAGATAGGCGATTGCGCGGACGTTCAAGACATTGCGACACAGGTACAGACAGCGACGGTGTCGCAGGAGAAGTGGCGATGAGCGAGTGGGCGCCAAAGCTGGGATGCGGGTTATGCGGAGGCTGGAGGGGCCGGGTTCGAGCCGGGGCTGCCGCCGAGCATGCAGAAAGCTTATCAAAGCTTATTTTACGGGCTAGCTGGTGCGTGTCGATCGTCTTCGCATGCTCTTTGAGCTTCAGGCAGACGTGAGAGGTTGGCCGAGGTGTTATACAAAGTTTATTGAGCTCTATCAAGTCAAAGACTGTATGCAATAAGACACATATACATCGCTATACTTGGCGAACGTTACGCGGGTCACACTTGACGGGCTCTGGGGATGGCGACTGCCAATACTTGCGAATGCGGGTGGCCCTTGGCACTCCACTACCGCAACGAACACCAGCCTTCACAAACAACAGTCTCGACAACCTCTTGCCAGCGCTGCTTCCCACGACCGCCGCACCCTCAAGGCACTCGTCGGTGCATCGCCATTGCCGTCGCCCATCTTCGACGTACTCGATAGACCCTCCGCAGTCGGCAGTCGCCCGCGCGCCGTATGACGACGCCTCCCCACCACACACTGCATTCCTCACGTCGCGAAGCGCTAGCACAGCAAACATGTCCAAGAACACAAGCAGCAAGGGCAAGGCGAAACCGGGATCGAAGCCTCTAGGTACACCGCGGAGTCGCAATACGACGCCCCTGCCCAACGTCCGCAATTCAGTCGAGCCGTCGTCATCGAATTCTTACTTTAGGGCAAATATCAGTGCTCTGTCCAAGAAATGCGATGTCACCATCGAGGACATCCTAGATCGTCCTGGCGGCAATTCACAGTCGACCCAGCCAGTCCCCTCGAGCGCCCTGTTGATTAGCATGCGCGAGGCCATTGAGAGCAAGGTGCTTGGGAACATCCAAAAACGATGCGACGTCTCCAACAGTGCGCTCAGGGAACTCCAGGGGCTCAAGAAGAACCGATCCTCACACGAGCGGGATAAGGAAAGAGCAACCGACAAAGACGCGGAAGAGCGCAAGCACAAGTTGAAAAAGATCAAGAAGGCAGCTGCTGAAGACGAGCGACCGCTTGCAGTAGGCGCCCATGGCGTTGCGCGGCAGGACGGGGTTGATCTTCACAAAGGTAAGCCCCAATATACCTCACATGCACGATTTGCCTTCCTATAAATTCTTCACTTTCTCCACGGTGAACACGCTTTACTGAACAGTCAACTTTAACCACTGGTCCCCATGAGGTTGTCTTATCACTATGTCTTCCGATGGGAATAATATACGTAATGAGTTCCAGTCTCTGACACAAGCAGCAGACAACTCTTCCACGTTATCCTCGCCCACTTCTCAAGCAGCACCCTCAGCTGCTGGCGCTGGCGCAGCCGATGCGCCCTCGCCCACCGACACCGACGCATCACACCAGCCGCCGCCAGCTCCTGCAATACCACAGTTCCAGACTTTCGGTCCAGATCCGTCTAAGTTCGACGACCCAACTATATACCACATAAGAGATGTCACCCCTGGCATGAGCGTGGAGGAGCGAAGGGAAATATTCAGCGTCGCTGATTACCCTGAGAGTGATCTTCGGGACCAGACAGCGGGTATACCGCCAGACAAGGACTTCTCCAACGCAAAGCCCGCGACGCAAGTAAACGCCAGCGTGTTTGCGAATTACGTTGAGCCGTATATACGCCGCTTGACAGAGGAAGACATGGCTTTCCTGAAAGAGCGAGGCGATCGCCTGAGTCCTTTCGTGCTTCCTAGGAGGGGTGCGAGACACTACAAGGACATTTGGGCGGAGGAAGACGGGCAGTTGTACGCCGACAACAACGATCGCCTGCCACCGAACGAGGCACGCGGCTCGTACGAAAACATGACAGACGATTTCTTGACTACAGAGGATATCTCGACCGGTCCCTTGCTGTCCCGACTCCTTGCTACACTCCGACCAGAGGGCCGAGGTACCTCAGGCAATGCCAACGACACCAACGGCGTCAATGGTGATGCTATGGACATTGACGAGGGTGCTGGAGCAACTACCGAGAATAACGACAACTCCGTACCAGCAGCCACACAGTTATCCGAACTTGTACAACAAGGCTGGAAAGGGCCGCCCGTCGGCACGCGGACAGATTACGCTTCGCTCAACGAACGCCTCCTTCTGGAACTCAAGCACAACGGTATCATCACCGACGCCGACACCGACATGACAGCCTTCGATTACGACTCTCACTTCGACGATGAGATCGCCGCCCGCCTACGTGTCCTCCAGGACGAACTTCGTAAACAGTCTATCATCAATGGCGCACGAAAACAGCGCCTACTCGAGCTCACGGGCATACGCGTAGCGCAGCAAGAGTACAACGACATCGCGGATGATCTTGACGGCCAGCTTAACCAAGCGTACCTGAAGCGCAACCGGAACATCGGAAAGGGGAAGAAGCAGACGAAGCGGCCTGGTGGTGCGGGGGGTGGATCGCATCCTGTGCCTAATGCTGGGGTCACGAGGCCTGGTGTAGGCGAGCCCATTCGTACGTTAATGGAGAGGAGGGGTCAGTGGAGTGCGACGGTTGGGCCGGTGGTTAACTATGGGAAAACGGGGTTGCCCGAGGATACTATCTTCCCGGAGGACAAGATGAAGGAATTGGAGAATAAGGAGGTAGAAATTTGGGATAACGAGGCTGATGAGTAGGTTATGAGGGTATGTGTATACATTGGGCGGCGTTCCGGGACCAGCGCAAGCGTTTAAGGCGTACCAATTAGCAAAGGACCTCGACGCTGGCATCGAATGGGTTGCTTAGGCACGATACCATGGTTAGGATAGGCGAATTTATGTCATGTCATACAAGTAACGACTCTACCATTTTGGAAACTTCTTCAGGGTTGTCGCTTCACACCTTATTCTGTCCTTGTGTTACCTTGCCAACAAATTCCTCCACGTCCGCCCACAGATCCTCAGGCTTCTCCAACGCCCCAAAATGCCCACCATGCTCGTGCACGCTGTAACTCACCAAGTTTGTCTCGCTTTCAATGATGTGCTTTATACCTGGAAACAGTTCCATGGGGAAGAATGAGTACCCCGTAGGCTTCGTCAATGGTGGGAATTCTACTCGGTTCCCGCGAAAGATAGATCGGTAGGGGTAGATGCTGCGCGGGAAGGAGCCGGTGAAGTAGTACAAAGACACGTTTGTGAGGATGGTGTCGAGAGGGGGGGTTTCGTCCGTCCATTCGAGAAACTTCTCGCCAATCCAGGCTAGTAGGGCGAGAGGATTGGAGGAGAGGACGTGGCCAATAGTACTTGGGCGAGTGCCTGGAGGGAGAAGGAGTGGGAAGTCAGTGTCATGTAGAGGTGTGATGAAGGACGTTACGTACCATGCTCTTGCGCGTACGCCATCCCAATGTTGCGCCATTCGAGCGCTCTATTTAAAGCCTTTGTCTCGAGAGCGCTCAGCTTCTCGCGCTGTGGCTCTGTTTGTGTGCTGTACATATTCACTGCGCACGCTCGTTAGCGTCTCAGCCCTTCTCCCTTTCCTCTTTGAACAACGTACAGTGCACACCAACAACACTTTCATACGAGGGCGCCATGAGCCTACACAGCATACTTCCCACATCCCCTCCCTGCACAAAATACTTGTCAAATCCGAGATTCCGCATCAACTTCTCCATGACCTCTGCGGAATCTTTCATCGTCCAGTCCCTCTCCAACGGCCCACCAGAAGAAAGAGTATATCCGGGTAAACTCGGAACAACGATGTGATACGGGCTTTCCTTGCCTTCATACCTCTTCTGTAGCAGCTCCAGCATCGGGAGGAACTCGATGAAGCTGCCGGGCCAGCCGTGCATAAACAATATCGGAATAGCATCTCTCCGTTGCGAAAACAAGGCCACGAAATGGACGGTGATCTCACCAATGGTCATCTTGTAATTGGGAAATGAATTGATGTGTGATTCTTGGGCGCGCCAGGAGTAGGTGTTTAGCCAGTGGTCCTTCGCAGCGGAAAGCCATTTGTATGTGACACCGAAGTCCTCCTTCTCCTGCTGGTTTTCGTACGTCTTGGGCCCAAGCTTGGACAATTCGAGCAACTGGCGCCATTCCGAAAGCTCCTGGTCGGGAATGTGAAGGGTGAAGGGGCGCGCGGAGGAGGGTGGTGTGTAGGTCATTGTGGTAGGATCGAGGGTCTTTGCGGTTGTACAAGGAGAGTTGTAAACTAGTGAGCTCAGTAGGGGGAGATGATACAGAGTTATGGGGAAGATGGCTGTGGCACGGTATTTGTATATCGGTATATGCTTGCCAAGGCTACGGGTACGGATACAAGTCGTACCGTGCGGGGAGAAGATACTGTGTACATGAGGTCACGGTAGGTGGGGGTTGGACGAAACCTTGTACCTTGTTCGAGCCGAACGGATGCCTCGGATTATGAACATGATTAGTATGCGATCGTACAATGTGTCTATGGAAGAACGACTAGTGGCTGGGGTAGGACGTCCCAGATGAGATTAGCACAAAGCGGGGCACCAAAACTCGCTTCGAAGGGGAAAGAGAAAAAGCCAATGCGACACGACGGGGCCAAGTGACCTTGTCTCTGGTGGCTCTTGCAAATGAGGGTACGAAATAGCGCCTTATAGGTATGGCTCCAGAAACATCCCTAAAACGGGCTAGCCCGCGGGTAGATTCTTTGGCCGCAATCGGCAACAACATCGGTGCCCCCGCGATTAGCTCATTATGCAGATGTTAGTTCCAATTCTTTTTCGTTCGACTCACCAGCCAGACTTCACTCTTCGTTCACTCTCACAATACGAAACGAAGTGTTGCAAGGCTCGCAATCATGGCGCCTCCACTTCTCGCCGCAATTGACCTGCTCGACTACACACAGCCCACCCACGGCCTCAACCCTCTGCAATTGTCCTACATCGGCAACGTCTTTGCCCGCGTCACCCCCGAGACCATCGATCAGGCCCTCTCCCACCTCCAGCAGTCTGTCGGTCGCTACACAAATTACCTCGGCGTCGCCTCGCTCGAGTCCATCGACGACGTTATCTCGCTGCTCGACGCCGGCGCCGCAAAGGTCTTTGTGACGCGCCCGCAGCTTTCCCGACTCCTCGAGAAGAACATAGACCAGGATCGGATAGTCTTGTGTCTGCCTGGAAGTACCCGGGAAGAGAACATCGAAGCGATTTCGGGGACCCAAGTCGACGTTTACTCTCACCAAATCGGGGACCTTGACCTGGTAGAGGCGTGGCTGAAGGAGCATGGGACGGAAAGACCAGAGGTGTTCGTATCCTTTGCGAACCCGACATTGGATGATGCGGTGAAGATTGCCAAGCTGGGTGGTGTACCTGTCATACCCGCGCAGGCGCTCAAGGTAGATGCGGAGCCAGGACCGGGCCTACTGAGCGTCGCGAAGTTGCTCATGGCAAACGCGGTTAGTGACCGACCGGATGGACTATTCACTACGCTGGTGACGGACGAGCGGGGAATTGCGCTCGGACTGGTGTATAGCAGTGAGGAGAGCGTGGCGAAGAGTCTGGAAACAGGAAGGGGTGTGTATCAGAGCCGGAAGAGGGGCCTGTGGTATAAGGGAGAGTCGAGTGGTGATATCCAAGAGTTGGTTTCCATATCGTTTGACTGCGACAGCGACTGCTTGCAGTTTGTTGTGAGGCAAAAAGGCAGAGGTAAGCATAATGGGAGGAGTTGGAGATGCGTGACTGATTAATTACCAGGTTTCTGCCACCTCGCAACGCCAACCTGCTTCGGCCAGTATCGTGGCCTTTCAAAGCTCCAAAAAACCCTCCAGAGCCGCAAGGAATCTGCACCGGCAGGCTCGTATACCGCACGATTATTCAACGACTCCCAACTCTTGCGAGCGAAGATTCTCGAGGAGGCTACCGAGCTGTGCGATGCGAACACGAAGCAAGAGATTGCCTTCGAAGCAGCCGACCTGCTATACTTCGCCTTGACTAAGTGTGTCTCAGCCGGCGTATCATTAGAGGACGTTGAGCGGAATCTTGACGCAAAGAGCATCAAGGTCAAGAGAAGGCAAGGCGATGCTAAACCTGCATTTGCCGCGCAAGCAGCAGCAGCAGCAACAGCAGCGACCAATGGGGGATCCAATGGAACCGCGACGAAAGAGGAAATCAAGGAGGCAGCTTCGATACCAAAGAGTAAAGATGACCCAGCAGGTCTGAAAAACGGCCGGATAGCCATGAAGCGGATGGTCACGTCACAAGAAATGCCACAAAAGATACAAGCAGCTCTCCAGCGCCCGTCACAGAGATCCAGCGAAAAGATCATCGGCATTTGCAACCCCATAATAGAGGCTGTCAAGACGCGAGGTGATGCCGCAGTGTTGGAATACACACACAAATTCGAAAAAGCAACGTCACTCACATCACCTGTGTTGAAGGCACCATTCCCGGAACACCTCATGCAACTCGCGCCTGAAACCGCAAAGGCCATCGATATCTCCTTCGAGAACATCCGGAAGTTCCACGCCGCGCAAAAGGAGGAGAAGCCTTTGGTTGTCGAAACGATGCCCGGTGTGGTCTGCTCACGCTTCTCACGTCCCATCGAGCGTGTCGGTCTCTATGTTCCCGGCGGCACCGCAGTCCTACCCTCATCTGCGCTCATGCTCGGTGTCCCTGCTTTGGTCGCTGGCTGCAAGAAGATTGTCCTCGCAACACCACCGCGTTCGGACGGATCCGTAACCCCCGAGATTGTCTACGCTGCGCATAAAGTCGGCGCCGAAGCCATCGTCCTGGCAGGCGGCGCACAAGCTGTAGCAGCAATGGCCTACGGTACCGAGAGCGTTTCCAAGGTCGACAAGATCTTGGGACCTGGCAACCAGTTCGTTACTGCCGCGAAGATGATCGTTTCGAACGATACCAATGCCGGTGTAAGCATTGACATGCCCGCCGGTCCCAGCGAAGTCCTCGTGGTCGCAGATTCCTCCGCAAACCCCAAGTTTGTTGCCTCAGACCTGCTCAGTCAAGCCGAGCACGGTGTCGACTCGCAGGTCATTTGCATTGCTGTGGGTCTCAGCGAACAGCAACTCGCCGCTATCGAGGACGAACTCGACGAGCAGGCCAATGCGCTCCCGCGCGTGGACATTGTGAGAGGCGCGATTGAGCACAGTCTCACCCTAGTAGTAGAAAACATCCAGGAGGCAATGGAGTTGAGCAACCAGTACGCACCCGAGCATCTCATCCTGCAAGTCCAGGATGCGGAGAAGGTTGTGGATCTTGTCGAGAACGCTGGATCCGTGTTCATCGGGCAGTGGACACCCGAATCTGTTGGTGACTACTCGGCGGGCGTGAATCACTCACTGCGTAAGTCTCAACGCTAAGCTATCGGAATGAACAATACTAACGTCTGCACAGCAACATTCGGCTACGCAAAGCAATACTCAGGAGTCAACCTCGGCTCCTACATCAAGCACATTACCAGCGCCAATCTCACCTACGAAGGGCTGCAGAACGTCGGCACTGCAGTAATGGAGCTCGCGCGCGTCGAACAGCTAGAGGCGCACCGACGGGCCGTGAGTCTGCGGCTAGGCGTTGCATAGATCTCCTACATACTTGCAGATGAATAGAGCTCTTGGCTATTCTCTTGTTCTGTTTCTGCTTTATTTATGTATGGTTTCGTCTTGTCTTGGAACAAGTTGGGAACCGGTGGTGGTTCGGTTCGCTTCTGCATGAGCGCAGAGCCTCTCATCAAGCGAGGCGTTTCACGTCCCGCCCCGTTCCAGGTTGACAACGTCAACGGCGCGATCGGACGGGAAACAGAACACGATCTTGCGGAAGCGAGTGCGCCGTCAAAACACCTCGCTACCACATTCCCTCATGAAGCATCGCCAAACCTCTGTACAAATTGTTGCTCCTTCATCTAAAACTCGCCTCTATCGAGTAAATCCACTTCCTTAGCACACCGCCAGCCTGGTCTACCATCGCAATGATATTGATATTCTACACCGAGAAACATGCACCCACCGGCATTACAATCCCATCTATTCCCTCATGCACATCCTCGTCGCCCAGATCTCTTCCGTCCCAAGATAGCCTAGCGCGGTGGATACATCTATGATCTCCAGGACGTCGTTTCATAAACCGCTGAAACGAAGTTCCTCAAATCGGACCATGCCCTGCCGCATTAGCGGGTACCCACTGAGTGTATACAAAATGAAGTGTACCCAGGTGAGTTTTTCGCGCTCCAAGCTGTGCTTAGCTTTACTTTCACTACTTACTGGTGTCTCCGTTCTTTACTATCTCTTAAGACCTTACATTCTTTTACTATACAGATACAGAAGCTTGCTTCGTTACATTCACTTCAATCAACACTCCAACCGCTCGAATTCAGACCGTCACTACACCACGTCGTCCCCCTTCCAACCCACCGAATAAAATCATATCAAGTCAAACCAAGAATCTTTCAAGATGCAGCTCTACTTCACCGTTCTTACCCTAACTTCCACCTCCGCCGTCCTTGCCGCGGTCCCCACCTACGGCCAATGCGGCGGAACGTCCTACACCGGCGAGACCACCTGCGATTCTGGCAGCGAGTGCACGGAGTATAATCCTTGGTACTCGCAGTGCGTCCCCTCCGCCAACTCCGGATCCAACCCAGGTTCTGGCAACGGTGTAGCATCCAGCTCTGGAGCCCCGGTCGCAAGCAGCAATGCGGTCGCAGGACCTAGCAGCGGTGCTCCGGTGCCGTCCGGTAATGCCAGTCTTCCAGTAGGAACGGGCGTGGGCACGGGTGTTGGCAGCGCATTAACGACGATGGTCACGCGTGCGAGCTCTGCTGCAGCGGCATCTTCCACAGCTTTGGTAGTGTCCGATGTAGCTGTTACCAGCTCGATCGTCGTCACGCCATCTACTTCCTCCTCTGTCGCCGCCGCCCCTATCTCCACGGGTGCTGCTGTGAACAACACCGGCAGCAGCGCGAGCGGCGCGTCGTGCTCCATCAACGAGGCCTTCATAGCCAAGGGGAAGAAGTACATCGGTGTGGCGGCTGATAAGGGGACGCTCAGCGATGCGACCAATGAGCAGATCATCAAGGATAACTTTGGGCAGGTTACGCCTGAAAATTCGTGAGTTGTTTCCCTTTCCCCTCCCTCTCCCCAATCCTAGATAGGAGGACGATGCTGACTCGGGCAATAGCATGAAATGGGACGCTACCGAAAATGTCGAAGGGACATTCACCTTCACCGGCTCCGACGCCCTTGTAGACTGGGCGACTGCCAATTCGAAGCTGATCCGTGGGCACACGACGGTGTGGCACTCACAACTGCCCACGTGGGTGTCGTCGATTACGGACAAGACGACGTTAGAGAAGGTCATGAACACGCATATCGAGACGCTGCTTGGGCAGTACAAGGGGCAGATCTATGCTTGGGTGAGTCGCCCTCTCGTCCTCTCCCCCTCTTCGTTTCGTGACCTGTGCTAACGGATGGATAGGACGTTGTCAACGAGATTTTCGCTGAAGACGGCAGCTTCCGCTCTTCCGTCTTTTACAACGTCCTAGGCGAAGACTTCGTCGCGACGGCCTTTAAGACCGCGCGCGCCGCCGACCCTGCCGCAAAACTCTACATCAACGACTATAACCTCGACTCTGCATCCTACGCCAAGACCAAGGCCATGGTATCCAAGGTTACCGAGTGGGTCGCGGCGGGCGTCCCCATCGACGGTATTGGCTCGCAATCGCACTTGGCTGGCAGCTGGCCTATTTCGGACTATCCTGCTGCGCTGAAGAGCATCTGCGCTGTAGTGGAGGAGTGTGCCATTACGGAGCTGGACATCAAGGGCGCGGCGGCGAGTGACTATGAGACTGCAGTGCAAGCGTGTTTGGATGTTGACAACTGCGTCGGTATCACCGTTTGGGGTGTCAGCGACAAGGACAGCTGGAGGGCGGACGCTACGCCGCTGCTTTTCGATACGAGCTTCAAGGCTAAGGATGCGTACAATGGAATCTGCAGCATCTTGTAAATGCCGAGTCGAAAGGAACTATATTCATTGTATATAATATATCTCTTGTAGCAATGTACGCGCATAGATCTCTTGGCGGGATCACAATCCATTGGGTATCATTCCATAACGCCTTTCCAAGCAAATGAGGATGTGTTAGTTTATAATTCTTCTTCCTCGTCCGGCATTCGTGCTGAAACAAGGCCACCATAATCAGCCCATGTCAAGCCGTTGATGCCCAGGGCTGCATCATATGCTATTCGCCAGTTCTTGAGTCTCTTGCGTTTGTGCTCGTTAGTTGCACTGGGCGTCTCACTGTCTAGGCGTTTGGTGTCAGTGGCTGGTGTGGTGTTGTGAACTGATGGAAGCTCAGAAATGTCGGTAATGGTGGTGGTATTCTGCCCGTCCTCTAGCTGCTTCGTAGGTGAAGTGGATTTCTCCGTAGCACTGGCCTTGGGGGTCGTTTCTTCGCGCAACACTAAAACATCTGCCGGTGCCGTGAAGTAATTCGCAGAGTCTACGTCCTGCTCTGCCGAAACGGCACCTGCGCCTTCACCGTTTAAATTTGGAATTGTAGGATTGACGGCACGAGGGCTCCCGGTACCTGCGCTACTGCTTTGCGTCTGATTTTGACTCTCACTTTGCATGCGTCTTTCGTAATTCTCTTGTTCCAATCTGGCTGCATATATCTTCATCATCTCGTTGTCATGGCGAAAGGTATGTCCCGAGCAGAATGGCCCGAATAAGGATCGCATACCTAGCTCCGGATCCCATCTGTTCTCGTCCACGGTGCAGGGAAACACATCTTTGGGTCTGAACGCATCGACTAGCTCACACAGTTCGGCAAAGGAGGAGTGGCGCGAGTAGGGAAAGCGTATCGTTCTGCGTGGCGGACGTCAGTAATTCCTTGCATATTCAGGTACGATGGTCACTGCAGCGGCAATGGTAGGACGGAAACTGTCAAGGTTCAGAGGTATCAGACGCGCCCATACCTGTTCAAGAGGCTTCCAACTTCTTGAGGTCTTGTCAGATGCGTTGAAAGAACAGTGGCGAGGTTCTCTAGGCGAATTTCGGGCTCTTTTTCGGGGCATTCCTTTTGCAAATCCATGTCAAGGTCAATCGTCCCATTGCGGTCCTTGAGGGCTTCTTGTAGTACGATCGACAATTTCGAGAGGACTTGCTCGTCTTTGATGGTCTTGGCGCAAAGCTCGATGATCTTACTGATATTGGCTGCATTCCCTGTCTCAAGCTCTTCTTTTTGATCTAGGTCACCTTTACCACCTCCCGCGCCCAGCTCGGCTATTTCTACATTGGTACCTTTGACTCGCGTTACAATGGGAATGATGTGAACCACGCGAGCATTCTGGAGTGTAGCCATTAGCAATGCTCCATTGATACCTCGGAAGCATGTTACGTAGCCAAAGATGACAAAGGCGATCTGACTTACCTTGTCATGATCCAGGACAGGACAGCCCATACCACGTTCACACGAGTGAATCCGCACATCCGGCCGAGACGTCAAGCAACCAGGCTGCATTCGATTGCCATTCCGAAAACCGCACAGCGCAGGCGCTTCTTGGACGTTCAAACCACTCTCTCGTAGGAACCTGTTCTCGACTTTAACGTCGAGGCCTACTTCCCGTAGCGACTTTTTGTCGAGACTGGACAATGAGCCGTAAATTCCAGTCCGATAACTGTCCAAGTGAATTCTCGATCGCAGAAATCCAGAAAGAGCTATCCAAACGTTTTCATATCCAAATGTCCACGAATGAAAGTAGAAGACGGTATCGTCGGGGTATTTCGAGACTTTATCCAACAGCTCCTTAATCCCCTCTGCTTTCGATTGAAACTCGCGGTAGGGATGCGATTTGGTTGCAAACGTGGTATCCAAATACATGCAGTCCAGTCGTCGAGATCCAAGAGTATATGGTAACAAAATCGGGTTCTTCACGAGCGAGTCCACCCACCAGGTCTCCGCTCTGATGTCACCAGTGTACAGAATTGCTTTGCCATGGCCTTCAATGAGGAACATGACGGCGCCGATGCAGTGGTTGGCGTCAATGAGGGTGACTTGGATATTGTTACCGGGGGCGAGCTCGATAGCAGTAGGCGTGTCGAGAGGCAGTGGCTTCGCCAATCTACGCATGCTCCTGTCGTAGGTGACATTGCGGCTTTCCAGTTTTCCTTGAGCAAAGTTGATGCGGTAATGGTACTTTTCCAGCCGAAGTAAAATCTCACGTGTGGCGGCCGAGCAATAGACGAAGGGCGCCCTCAGCGATTCCAAGCCCATGAGGTGGTCACTATGTACATGGCTCAGAAAACAAGCCAAGGGCGCCTTATGTGCGGGTTGATGTCTGAAGTAATCGATCCGGATTTGAGGGAACTCGGCCACGACTCCTTTGAAGGTTGACATGCTCGCCGGAGACGGCTCATTGCAGCTCAACAATAAGAAGGGCGAGTCGACGATTGCTGGAGTTACCGGATCGGGTAGTGCGTGAAGCGTTGGTGGAGGCCCAAGGTGCCAGGTTGGCCGAGGGCAGCATTGCCGGGGTGCGATGTGGACGTGGATGCGCAGGCGAGTGGCGAGCGATTGGCAGGGGCGGGCGGGATGCGGCTTCCCGATCTAGGCCGAAACCAGGGCTCGTCTCACGCAGGTTGGGATGCGAATGCCATGGTGCTGCTGGTGGACGCCAAAAGCGCGGTGCGGCAGCCCGAAGCCTACGGTGGTGTGCTGCTGCTCGATAGGCACCGCTGGGGATGCCGCTATCCACGTGAAGGGCCCGGGAAATGTGCGCTTGGCTTGCAGGTTTCCGTCCTCGTGCAGAAGCTCGCAGTCACGAAGAGCCAACCAAGCGCCCGCGCCTCAGGCCGACGTGATGTCGAGGACGCAGGGCAGGCGGCGATTGGGCGGCTCGCGCGTGCATTACCTACAGAACAACACACGGTGGCGGACAGCGCAGAGGCAGAGGGACATGTCAGTCGCACGGCCAGACGCGAGGCGTGTGGATGGGCGGCCGTGCCTGTGGTGGCATCGACAGGGCCTCGCTGGGCTTGTCGAGCCCCGGTCCATGCCTGGGCAGTGGGATGCATTGCATTGGGGAGGATCCTCGAGTCCGCTGTCCTGTCGACTAATTTGAGCGAGACGAGGCGGTGAGACCAACGCGCTGCTGCTTAAGTCGACCGTCGTGCCCCTTTGCGTGCTGGCCCGTTCTGCTGCTCGCCGCACACAACCTCCTCCGGCACCGTTCCGCACGCTTGCACATTGCCGCCTCCACATCTTGACTGACTTCGCAAAACGCCCCTTCTAGCCCTCCCGAGCTTCCTCCTTTTTGAATCTGGCCGATCCACACGCTGCCAATCTCCCAATCTCCCCGGAACTTAAGTAGTCGGATCGCCCGCGCCGCACGTTTCGCAGAGTCCAGCTATTTTCAAGTCTCGTGGAACCCTTGTTCAGGTCACCTGGGAGCCTTGCACGCAGCGGCTGACAATCGAGCTGAGGAACACTATTGGACGGCGCACACCCTCGGAGCCTTGCAAACGGTCAACTGCGCACTGTCACGCCCGAGAATAAGCAGCATTCGACTTCGGGTGCTTTTTGAACAAAAGGGAGGCGCCACCGCGCATCTTGTTTCCTTCTTCTGCCTGTTTCCTCGGGTCACGGTCCATACGAGCCGCCATCGGACCACCGAACACGTTGTCAGCTTGTTAGCTGAACCGCGACATCACTCTGGGAGGCACGACGCAATACTGCACATTCTACGACTACACACCCCAAGCCAAAACCCGAGTGCGTCGCGCTCTCCCACGCAACAGCCATGCACAGAAAGAACCCAATTTCCGTACTCGTTTACAACGCGCTTTTCCCCACCCCCTCGCCCAACGACCCGCCCTCCTTCTCTGCACATCTCTCCAAGAACCTCGTCGGTGAGGTTCGCATCGAAACCGCCACTTTCTACGGCTCGCTCGACACCATTGAAGCGCGATACCCAGGTCTCAACTACGCGCACGCCCCGCATCGCAGGCGCCTCGGTCGCTTCCCGCACCACAGAAAGCTGTTCGATGCCTTCGACAGACTGGGCCTGACCGACAGCGAGATCCAGGGCTTCTGCAGATGGGAAGGCACACTCTGGGCGCGGGAACGGTACGAGCGCGACGAGGGTGTAAAGGTGCGGGACACGACGGGCATGGAGATCACAGAGTGGGTTGACCGGCGGAGAACAAGTTCTTCTAGAGGGAAGAACGGCATCAACGTCAAGACCGACATCGAAGTTGAGATCGAGGAAATGCCCTCTTCAACAGAGATTACCGACCCTGTACGACCTGTAGACACAGAGATGCAGGATTCCAGTGACGACGACGACGACGAAGAGGAGGGAGAAGAGCAGGTCCTGGACGAGAGCGTGGGGTTTGCGCTCAACCAGCGGCTCATGCAGGCGGCAGCGTTGCGAGAGCAGGGCCAGGACGCGCCCATGGACCCGGAGTGGGAGCAATATCTAAAGGATGCACAAGAGCGGGGCGAGCATCTCGGTGAGGCAACGAGAGAGGTGCTGAGGACTATGGCGGGCGAACTCGCGAGAGTGAACCCGTCCGAAGGCCCATCCGCGCCTACACAGCCGTACCCGCCTGCTGCTCCGGCGTGAGCTTTTCACCATTTCCTCAATCTCGGTTGGCATCTTGCATTCAATACCCAGTTTAGCACCCACCACGCACGCACTCCGCTCACCATCAGCCGCGCGCACTACCCCCAGCCGCGTATACCACAGCCTTCCCCACCACACCGCGCGACAACTTTGTTTTTACACATATGAAGCACTGCATGGCGTCTCGGAGGCGTTATTGGGCCCACAGGGTTTCGGTTCCGTGGATTTTGGATAGAACCCAGGTGGCTAGCTAGGAGTAGCAGCCAAGCCAGAGGGCGCTCATCATTTTTGCTCTTGTTGATTGGAAAACGGTAGCATAGATTTCGCCGTCGAAACATTTGGTACGCATAGGCATGGCATATTCATAATGAAGAGAGCATGGTTTTCGCTCGAACGGAAACCCGTAGCTTGTTCTTCGCAACTTTGGCTTGACGAAACAACTCCGCTTGCCACGCGGCTGTATGATGTCGCTGAATTCCGAGATGTGACCGACCTCGGCATAGTCGTCAAGGACTCGCCAGAGGAACGCAACGATCTTACTGGTTTTTGCGATTACTGCTTTGTAGCAGTCCACCAAGGTTTGTACTGCGCGATGCCGTGGCTTGCAAGGCACTCAGACTTCGAAACAGTAGATGATGAACCCACGCTTCGCACTGGAAGTGAGGCGTGCCCTCTTCAGCAAATAATTTTAAAATTCTTGTTCTTCTTCACCGACATGGTATACTCGTGCATCGTACGCTCGTAGTCCTTCATGCCTGCGCAACACCTGCAAATGCAATGTTCCCCATAACCATGTTGTGAAAGTGGTCTTTCAGCTTAGACCGAGCATCGCTCCGAAGCGGCCTGCGTCGACAAGGAGCATCCTCCCAGTCAGTCATGTCATATCTCATAAACCTGATATTTCGAATCACATGCCCTCAACCAAGTCTCTTCCCCAAACCCGAGAACCCGCCTGCGAACCCCCGCTTCATACCCCTCGTCTGCCTCCCGCTTCCACCCTGCTCATCCACGTCCATCATATCCTCATAACCCTCATCCCGCCTCTGTCCTCCGCCCTTCCCCTTATCCTCGCTCAACTGCAGCATAACTTCCAAGGCTCTTTCCTTCTTCCGCCTCAGCATTTCGCGCTCCACAGCTGCTTTCCTGACCTCCGCAACACGCAGTTCCAGATCCTCGAGCGCGGAGCCGCATCGGTTCGACCAGTTGGCGAGGGTGGCTTGCAGCGCGGGGAGCGAGCCCGGTGCGAGGTCGCGAAGGGGTGCAACGCTGGTTACTGAGACGACGGAATGTGCTGGGTCGAGAGTGGCGGTGAGGAGGCCGGCGTAGATGGCGGTTGTGAGGAGTTGTTCGAGGGCGCGCGGGGTGGAGAGGTCGAGTGCGGACATCAGCGCGGGGTATGTGAGGGTGGAGTGGGAGCGGGCTAGTGGGAGGAGGGAGAGCATGAGGAGCTTCTCGTGCTGTTTGTCTGAGAGCTTAGGAAGATCGCTACGGCCTGTAAAGTCATTAGCATTGTACTCAAGACGCCATAGCAATACCATCCTGAAGTGTAGGTTTACTCACCCTTGTAGTCTTCCCATGTTCCCCAAGCAAAGATCTCGAGCAATGTGAGGTACGAAGCGTGTTCAGATTCCCGTAGCTTCTGGATGTTGGGGGTGAGTATGAGCTCTGCAAAGACGAAGGTGTTTGGCGCGGAGGTAGCTTGCGTTACGAGGTCGCTTGCTGCGCGTGGGGAGGTTGCTGTCTTGCTGAGTGCGAGAAAAGGCTCCAGCGCATTGAGCGCTTTAGTCTGCTCCATTCTGATTGCTGCGCAAGCTGAGTAACCGTTTGATGGTTCAGGAGATATCAGACGTGTAGAGGGGGCAGAGGCGGTACCGGATCTGGAACCTTAGCATTGTAGTCAACAGGCCGCTGTACGTCAAGGCAAGTGCTATCGATAAGAGAGTAATTATGTAAGGTATGCCTAGCGCAGTGCACCCGCCACGGCCCCGGGGTGCCGTTTTCCGGGTCCCAGGCTCGTTCACGCTATTGAAGGATTTCTTTCATTCGTATGTATATTCGTAATCAGGCGCAGGGTCATCATGCGGAAATCTGTCTTTATCGCTTATTGTGACGAGGCGCTGTCACGCGCAGGTACGCTCGTATGGTGGCTTTGTATTCGCTCGTGGCTATACCCAAATGTAGGTTCAATAGAAAGCATAAGGCATTCAGGCATTCGGTCCTACACGAAGAACTCGGCTTCGCGAAAACATACTCCGTGCCTAGAGACTTGGTAGAAAGTGAAAGTGCGCAAACCGCCAGGTACCCGCTCACACCCGCTCAGGTGCGGAGCTAGCTTGTCGCATGTCAAGCTCCAAACGGTTCCTAGTTTCAGTGGAGTGCCAAGTGTGAAACATCGTCCTTCCGCGAAGCGAAACGGCAGCAGAACAACATCAATTCTGCCTGACACGACTTTCCTTCTCTCTTCTCATCGCTTTGTGAGCGCTGGTCGTATCGTCAGCGAAGGTGACCATTACCAAGCACTCGTTCAGCTGGTGGCGTGAGTCCGGATCCCTCAGCCTATAAGCTTTTAGCGTCCAACCCTCCCTCGACGGCCCGCCATTTGTGGCTGCAGATCGGTACGCGGCTTCCGCTGTAGCGGTAACATCAAGACATCTGGCATTGTTATAACGAAGGCTGGCCTTCTACACAGTACATCTGCCGACCCAAGCGAGGGCCCTCAGTATATATTGATTCCTCGGCGGAATATATTGCTGCATGCGGTAACACGGCATCGCTCGGCTCCCCCTTCGACGACCGCCTCACGAGGCCCGCCGCATCTCCCCGCCGCTGACCCACGCGACATTCGCCCGGAACAAGCTTCGAATCGCTTCTTCCCTTCGCAGTAATTATTTGATACCCTTTGTACATAATGGCGCCCTCCGCGACGGCTGCGAGCGGCGCAACGGCGCACATGGCGACTACAACCCTGAAAGTCGGAGGCATGACCTGTGGCGCATGCACGTCCTCGGTGGAGTCGGGCTTCCAAGGCGTAAATGGAGTAGGAAGTGTGTCTGTCAGCCTGGTTATGGAGCGGGCGGTCGTACAGCACGACCCCGAAGTCGTATCGGCGGAGCAGGTGGCGGAGATAATAGAGGACCGAGGGTTTGACGCAGAGGTCCTGTCCTCAGACGTACCGTTGGCTGCGCCGGATGAATTTTTGAGTGATTCGGAAGAGGAGGAAGCGGAAGACTCCTCGATCGCAACTACAACGCTGTCAGTGGAAGGCATGACATGCGGCGCGTGTACGTCGGCAGTGGAAGGAGCTTTCAAGGACGTCGCAGGCATCAAGCACTTCAGCATATCGCTATTGTCCGAGCGCGCTGTAATCGAACACGACATGAAAATAATATCTCCGGCGACGCTGACGGAGACGATCGAGGATGCAGGCTTTGATGCGAAAGTTTTGGACACAGTGGCGCAGGTATCGGAACGACCACGGAGTAAAAAGGACAAGAACAAAACCTTGACAACAACAATCGATGTCGAAGGTATGACATGTGGCGCCTGCACGTCTGCGATCGAAAGTGGTTTCAAGGATGTGGAGGGTGTCTACCAGTTCAACATCAGCTTACTCGCAAATCGCGCTGTGTTGGTCCACGATCCGGCGAAGCTTACCGCAGAGCAAATAGTAGAGATCATCGAGGACCGAGGATTCGATGCCAGGGTGTTGTCATCTGTAGACGGAAGCGTACAGCAAGGCTCAGCAAATGATGGTCCCATTCACCTCAAAGTTTATGGACTGCCAAACCAGACAGCAGCAGAAGAACTTGAAGCATTACTCCGAAAGCGGCCTGGTGTCAAATCTGCAACAATCAACTTCGGCACGTCGCGAGCAGTCATTCAGCGAGATCCCCAAATCATTGGTCTACGAGTGACGGTCGAGACCATCGAAGCTGCGGGCTACAATGCCATCGTTTCCGACTCCGACGACAACAACGCTCAACTAGAATCTCTCGCAAAGACCAAGGAGATTATGGAATGGAAGCGAGCGGTCAAGATCTCTGCCTGCTTCGCAGTGCCCGTATTTCTGACTAGCATGTTGTTCCCCATGTTCTTGCCATTTCTCGACTACGGAAGCTGCCGTATCCTACCCGGTGTTTATCTCGGTGACTTGGTCTGTCTTGGTCTTACTATTCCTGTACAATTCGGTATCGGAAAGCGGTTCTATGTTTCGGCATACAAATCTCTCAGTCATGGCTCGCCTACGATGGATGTCTTGGTTGTTTTGGGAACTTCGGCCGCATTCTTCTTTAGCTGCGCTTCGATGCTTGTCTCACTGCTCATCCCGCCTCACTCGAAACCTACCACCTTATTCGATACCAGCACTATGTTGATCACGTTCATCTCTATAGGTCGCTACCTCGAGAACAGCGCGAAAGGCCAGACATCGAAGGCATTATCACGACTTATGTCTCTGGCTCCGTCTATGGCTACTATCTACGCCGACCCCATCGCCGCCGCCAAGGCTGCTGAAGGATGGGACGTTGATGACGAGAAAGATTCACGCCAGTCTATGGAAGGCAATGCTATCGAGGAGAAGACTATTGCCACTGAGCTCATCGAAGTTGGAGATGTGGTCATTCTCCGGCCTGGTGATAAGATTCCAGCCGATGGCACTGTTACTCACGGAGAGTCTTATGTGGACGAAAGCATGGTCACAGGTGAAGCAATGCCGATTCTCAAGAAGAAGGGCACCCTACTTATGGCAGGTACTGTTAACGGCGCTGGCAGGCTGGACTTCGTCGTGACCAGAGCTGGACGTGACACGCAACTTAGCCAGATCGTGCGTCTCGTGCAAGAAGCTCAGACAAGTCGCGCTCCCATCCAACGTTTGGCCGATACTGTCGCCGGATATTTTGTTCCCATCATCATCACCCTCGGTCTGGCCACTTTCGTTGCTTGGATGGTACTTAGCCATGTTCTTCCGTACCCACCAAAAGTCTTCCTCGACCATGCCAGTGGTGGCAAGCTCATGGTTTGCGTGAAGCTCTGCATCGCTGTCATCGTCTTCGCCTGTCCTTGCGCTCTCGGCTTGGCTACACCAACGGCTGTCATGGTTGGTACTGGTGTAGGCGCTGAACAGGGAATCCTCGTCAAAGGTGGTGCTGCTCTTGAGACTGCTACCAAGGTCAACCACATCGTCTTCGATAAGACCGGCACGCTTACCGTTGGAAAGATGAGCGTCTCTAAGGCCGACATCAAGGGCGAGTGGGGTACAGATTCGAAGAAGAATCTCTGGTGGACGCTTATCGGCCTCGCCGAGATGGGCTCAGAGCATCCCATTGCCAAGGCTATCGTTGGGTCTGCGAAGGAGCACCTCCGACTTGGCTCTGAAGGTCACCTTGATGGCTCTGTAGGCGATTTTGAAGCCGTTGTTGGCAAAGGTATCGCTGCGACGGTGGAAGCTGCTTTGTCGCGTGATCGCACCCGGTACCGTGTCTTTATTGGAAACGCCGAGTATCTCCTCTCCGAGGGTGTCAACGTTCCTGACTTCGTCGACGAACCTCTCACTCCCGCTGCCACAAGATCTGCGAACCCTAGGGCAGGTACTCAGACGCGCTCTGCTGGTATTACGACCATTCACACAGCCATCGACAAGACCTATACAGGTACACTGTCTCTCTCTGATACGATCAAGCCTTCAGCTCGAGCCGCCGTCCTTGCTCTCCGTCGCCTCGGCATGACAGCCTCTATCGTCACTGGCGACACTTCATCGTCTGCTCTCGTTGTCGCAGCCCAAGTCGGTATCGACCCTGAAGATGTCCACGCCTCCGCCAAACCCGCCGACAAGAAAGCCATCATCGCAGACCTTCAGTCTCGCGGCAAGGTCGTCGGTATGGTCGGCGACGGCATCAACGACTCGCCGGCCCTCGCCTCAGCAGACATCGGCATCGCCCTCTCCACCGGCACAGACGTTGCCATGGAAGCCGCCTCTATCGTCCTCATGAGTACCACGGACCTCCTCGCCATCCCTGCCTCCCTCTGCCTTAGCAAAGCCATCTTCAACCGCATCAAGTTGAACCTCGCCTGGGCGTGCATGTACAACGTCGTCGGCCTGCCCTTTGCCATGGGCTTCTTCCTTCCCTGGGGTTTCAGTCTGCATCCTATGGCTGCGGGTGCGGCAATGGCATGCTCCTCTGTGTCTGTCGTGGCTAGCTCGTTGCACCTGAGATTCTGGAGGCGACCGAGCTGGATGAAGGTCTCAACGCTTGATCCTGCTGCCGAGGTCCCGGAGAGCGAGAAGGAGGCGGAGAGGCTGGGGTTCGCCAAGAGGGGGCTTTTCAGCACAGCGGTGGAGTGGGTTAAGGAGACTATCGCGGCGAGGAGAAGGAATAGGGAGGAGGCGGGGTATGTGCCGTTGCAGAACATGGCAGAGCATTGAGCAAGTGGAAGGTGTAGAAAGGGTGCGTATACCACTTTTGATGTTGATGTTGGATACCTCAAGCACTTCGCTGCTATTCTTATCTTTTCCTTACTCGTTAGCATGCGCGACGCACCGTATATAGCCGTGCTTTTCTTTAAATATATATGTTGATTGCTATGACTAGCTAGCCAACACTATGTGTTATTGCTACGATGTCCTCATTAGTACTGTTGAAGTAAGTTGGCAATCGAACAACGAACCCTTCTCTTGCTAACACACCTGCCTTGCATATGCTGAAGGGTACCTTCCATGGCCCAGCCCTACCTCAGAGGGCAGTTGCGCGCTAGGCATACACAGAGCGCCCACCTGTCCGCAATACTCGGCTCTGTACACACGGATACGGCTGCCCTACGCGCCACGATACCTTTTAAGTTTCAAGTGGCGGAAGCTGTCCCACCGTGAAATTTAATTGTTCCTGTTTGGGAACCCTTATTCGCTAGCTAATTATTGCTCACTTCTTCACCCTAACTTCTCAAGGCAGACCCCACATGCTTAATCAGAGCTCACTTGTCCCGGCACCACGGGCACTACACACCACCAGCGCATTTGCCATTCCTTTACAATAGGTGCTGCTGCCTAAGAAGAGTCCGTATTTCATGGGCGATCACATTGGCTGACGTGAGAAGACAACCTTGGAACCTAGATAGCCACAACTTGGATTCATGTGATAGCTCGTCTTCAGCTATTGAACTTTGTCAGCTTCAGCTTCGTTACACAGAACTCCACTCCACCCGCCCACAGCGGCCCTTTTGCCTCATTTGCCTGGGCACAGGTAAAGACGCGTCTAGAGCCATCGGCGTGAAACATGGGTTATCAGTACTTCAGAGATGGAGGGGTCCATGTATGTTCATGCTCCAGCACCAGTTCCCTCGCCCTGCTGCAGCAATCATGGCCCATTCTCCAACTTCGATAGGCAAGGAGTGGACAAACAAGGTCTCAGGTCTGGAGGTTCCGGCAACAGCATACTCATGTCTTTCCAACCCACCCAGCCCAAGTCGCTTTCCGCGATTAAGCCGTCCTGTTCCGACGATGCGCCCCGAATACGATGTTGTGGTCGTTGGTTCAGGCTACGGAGCAGGCGTGGCAGCCAGTCGAATGGCGCGGGCGGGAAAGCAAGTCGCAGTGTTAGAGATCGGGGAAGAGAAATGGCGTACGTGCGCACACTCCGCGCATTTCCTCTGAAATGCAGAAGTGAAGCTAATGATTGTATGTTTGTGCACCTTTAGCAGGCGAATATCCAAATTGTCTAGGGGATGCAGCGCTCGAGTTCCACGTCTCTGGGAACGCGGGGAGGGATGGGGGGAGACTGCTGGATCTCGAGTGCGGAAAGAGGACAGGACTATACCATCTAGTGCTTGGTGAAGGACAGAACGTCTTCGTAGGTAATGGGCTCGGGGGAACGTCTTTACTCAACGCAAATGTGTTTCTGCCTGTAGATGAGCGCACACTTCAACTCAGCGCATGGCCACCCGAGATTCGCGAGCATCCAGGCGCACTGGATCCGTGTATGGACTTTCTCTATCGTCAGGAGCCCACGGACGCGGAACTGACTCGAGGTTAGATTACAAACGCGCAGCTACAATGCTCACCCCAACGCCGTACCCGGAAACGTCTCCTCCTCTGAAGAAGCTCCAAGCCCTTCAAAGGCAAGCCAAAGCCATGGGACAAGAGCATAACTTCTCCCACGTCCCACAGACGACGTTTTTCCATTCCGGCAAAAACAATGCTGGTGTTAATATGAAAGCGTCGACTGGGTCTGGACAAGACTGTACGGGAGTGAATGATGGGTCGAAGAATACAGTCTTAGTGACGTACCTTGCAGACGCATGGAATTGGGGCGCAGAAGTATTCTGTGAATGTGAAGTCAGGTATGTGCAGAAGGCAGAAGACGGGAACGGTTACATTGTGTTTTTTGCATGGCATGGCGCAGGCAGAGGGAAATTTGAAGAAGCCCATCTAGAGAAGCTGATGTGGGTTCGAGCTGTAAGTGCTTCCCATTCAGCTCATCTCTGCCGCTTGGGTGGCTAACCGCCTTCTAGAAAGAACTTTGCATTCTTGGCGCCGGCGCCTTGGGTACCACTTCTATTCTACTTCGCTCACAGAAACATGGGCTCCAGGTTTCGCCCTTACTAGGTCAAAAGCTGTCCGGCAACGGCGACGTTCTCAACTTCGCTTACAATACTGACGAGATTATCAATGGTATGGGTACAGAGACACCAGATCCATCGAACCCTCCTGGTCCGACGATCACAGGTGTTATCGATGCTCGCGACCCCAACACCTCGCCAAACGTCTTGGATGGCTATGTCATCGAAGAAGGTGCAATACCATCCGCTCTGGCGCCAGTCATTCAGGTTCTTTTAGAGAATTTACCAGGAAAAACGATGCCGAAACTCGGACGGTATAAAGTGTTAAGGCACTATTTTTCGAGGATGAAAAGCAGGGCTTTTGGACCGTATGCTGTCGGTGGAAGCGTTAGTAGGACACAAACTTATCTCGTCATGTCACACGACAGTAACGAGGCGATCCTAACAATGACGGGCGATAAGCCATATTTGCAATTCACTGGTGTCGGGAGGACGCAGCGGGTTAAGAATGTGAGAGAGGTGCTCAAGACGGCATCTAGCGCAATCGGGGGAACACTCATTGACGCGCCCTTCTATGCTAGTAACAAAGAGCAGATTACTGTGCATCCCTTAGGTGGCGCCATCATGAGTTCTGATGGTACTGGACGGCGCGGTGCTGTGGATCACATGGGTCGCATTTTTGTTGGAGAAGGGGCCGAAGTCCATCATGGCTTACTGTGTGTTGATGCGGCTGTGATCCCGACAGCATTGGGTGAGTACGGTTCTTGACCTGGAATTGTGATCGATTACTTGAGCTCATGGTGCTACAGGTGTGAATCCTTTTGCCACTATTACTGCTCTTGCTGAACGGATCTGTGAGATGTTGCTTCATGAGAAGCAATGGCCAGTTGATGAGACCGAGAATGGGACGATCGACCTGTTTGAAAACCCAAAAGTATGCCACGCCATTGAACCAGGCCTATCTCACTACGATGGGTCGCAAGCAGACGGCGCCGGCGTCAGATTCACCGAAGTCATGGATGGATACATCCATATTGGCGGCAACATAGTCGACTTCGACGTCGCTCACAACGTAGCTAAAAGAGCAGCCAGCTCAGCGAGTCTGTATATTACTGTTGATACGTTTAGCTTAGACAATCTGACATCGCTTTCCGACAACGCTTCGATTGCGACGGGAACCTTCTCCTGCGGCGCACTATCGCAATCACCTTTGATGGTGCTACGTGGGCAAGCCCAGTTCTTCACTACCGACGACCAGATATCGGATGGGACGGATCTTGTCTACAAGCTCACTATGTTGAGCGCTGAAGGCACCACGTACCTGCTGCATGGTTACAAGAACGTGGATTCTACGATGGCATTTTCCGCCTCGATGTCTTGGAAAGCGACGACGACTCTATACACGACCGTCACTCATTTCGATGGAACACTAGCCGGACGAGGAATTCTGCGGATCTCGTGGCGCAACTTCATCGACGAGATCCAAAGCTTTGGAACTCCTGCTCATCATAACGGCGCTCGAGGTACCATCTTAGCACCTTTTCGATTCCTTACACAGTTCGCCAAAAAGACGGCAGAATACTTCTTCAGTCCGCTCCGACCTCTTCAATTTCCGGACAAGTCAACTTCGGGTTACTTTCCAAAAGCTTTGCCCGCCAAGATTGTGGAACTGAGGGCCGAAGACGGTGTCCAAACTGTCTTGAAAGTTTGGCACCCACCCTCTGAAACCACCAAACGCAGCATGCCGGTTCTTTTCATACCTGGCGCCTCTGTAGATGACCAGATCTTCTCACTACCGACCATTCAAGTCAACGCAATCGAATACTTTACTGGGCTTGGATACACTTGCTACGTTTCTACCTTGCGTTTCGGAATTTCACCAGCGGCCAAAGTAGGGTACACTGCATACGATGCTCGAGCCGATGTCAAGGCGGCGATGGAATATGTGAGGGAAGAAGAGAACGGCAAGAAGTTTTATGTCATCTGCCATTGTTTGGGAAGCATCGCTACAGGAATGGCACTGTTAACGGGAACAGCCAATGCTGAATGGATCCAAGGTATGACAGCGAGTCAAGTGTTCATGCATCTTCGGTTCGGAAAGATCAACAGCATCAAGTCCCGCACGCAAGCGCTTCAAATACTTTACAAAGTAAGCACACTCGCAGTACCAAGTCAAAGGTTTGAGTACAATCGGCTTTTGTATTGCCTAACACCGACAACACACTGTACTCAAATGTTGGCGTAGCGCTGCAGTTCACAGACCCCCCACTTAGCACTCAACTAATTCTCCCCTTTCAGACCTTCGCAGGTCCATGGTTTCCAACCGATTCCACGCCAACCTCATCGATCTTTCAACGTTTAGTCGACCAAATCCTCCGCCTCTACCCCGTCGGCACCTGCGGCGAACTCTGCAACTCCACCGTCTGTCACCGCGGCAGTCTCGTCTTCGGCCGCTTGTGGACTCACGCCAACCTCAACCACGCCACGCACAACCACCTCAGCAATTTCTTCGGCGGCATCCACATGTCCTTTCTGTCCCATCTCACACGTATGGGCTCTACTTCCCCACACCATATCCGCAGCAGCCCACCTGAATTCAGAGATTTGGTGACAGAACCAGGTAATCTAGACAGATTGAAAGGCTTGAAAATACAGTTCTTGAGCGGCGGCGCAAACGTGGTGTTCGACCCTTGGAGTACGAGTGAGAGCTATGATTTGTTGACGCATGAATTTGGGATGGGGGACTATGAGAGGGTGGTTGTGGGAGGGTATGGGCATTTGGATAGCTGGATGGGGAAAGATAGTTCGAGGGATATTTTCCCTAGAGTGAGAGGGCATGTGGAGACATGCGAAGAGGAGGCACAGGAAGTGTAGAAGAGGTTGTTGATGCCTAAGTTGAGCTTAATAAGTTGGCCGTACTTGCTTCAGACGCTTGGGAGGAATGTGTCCACTGCCTCGCGATTGAACCTTCTTGGAGCATTCAAATTCTAGGGCCGTTTCTAGGGTCAGGGTGCCTCTTCGGTCCTTGGGTCTGGCTACGCATTTAAAGTGTTTCTTGGCGTGTAGGGCTTGTTAGGTCTGCAAGTTTACCTGATATTGTAAGCATTACGAAGAATTTAATATGAAAGGAGCTCAGGTCAGATACCAACGGGATTAGGAATTACATTATGTATCGCTCGCTGTACACCTCGTCGCCTTTGAAATAACCACGGGTAAAAAAATTGAGATATGCCGTTCCAGAGCGAATGGATGCACACTTGATCTAGTGCTCGCAGTCCGACTGCAATGCTTCTAGATGTTCCAAGATTACTGCAGCCTCGAGTGTCAACGAAGACCCCCCCCTTCTTCAACAACATCCTCTCCGCCTCCCAGTACTTCCACTTAACCTGAATACTTCTTCCCACTCTCTTAGCTGGCCGCCGCCACCGCCTCGTCTCCCACCTCGACTTCTGATACTCTCGTTTCCGTCGTCAACACCCCACCCTCCCATGTCTCCATACTGAATTCCACTCTGTGGATCATCCGGGTCGATCTCTCCTAGCTCAATCTTGGTGAGAATCATCCTCGCCAGCCGATTGAACAGCTCATCCACATTCTCCCCCGAGAAAGCAGATACCTCGACTGCAACAGGAATCCCATTCTGCCCCGCCCAGCGGCTCGCCGTGTCGAAGGGAACTTCGCGACCTTCAGGCGCGATCGTCGCTTTGGAATGATTCAGCGCGGGTATCGTGGAGCGCGAGGAAACGGAACCAGCTGCTGAATCGGGGCCGTCGCTATTGTAACTGCTCGCGTACGAGTGCGAACTCCCGCCTATCCTTCCCCCTCCTTCCTCCGCAACATCCATCTTATTCCCGGCGAGTATCATCGTGCAGTCCGGGCTCGCTAGGGCGCGCACATCTTCCATGTATGTCCTCAATCCTTCAAACGACCGCCAGCTCGAGACGTCGTAGACCAGTATTGCGCCGGCCGCGCCGCGGTAGTAGGATCTGGAAACCGAGCGGAAGCGCTCTGTGCCAGCTGTGTCCCAAAGCTGTAGCTTTATCCGCTTGCGGGTACCGCGAGAGGGGTCACGCGGGTGAATGTGCACGATCTTGGAGGCGAATTCTACGCCGATGGTTTGCGAGGAGAGGATTTTCCAGGATGAGTTGATGAAGCGGTGGAGCATGCAGGACCTTTTTTCTTGTTAGCGCACTCCTTCGACAGAAAGATGCGAGAGAGAAGTGAGAGGAAGAGAGGGAAGAGAGACAGAAAGAGACATACTTTCCAGCACCGCTTGGCCCTAATAGTATGACTTTCGCAAGGTAATCATACATGCTACCCAGCTCCTGTGCACTTCTTTAGCATAGCATCTTCCCCGAGGATATGCCCCGTACCTACTCTCGCCGTCTCCTCGCCGCTCCTACTCGATGCATTGCTTTCTTTCCGGGGCCGGCCCATGATGTGAAGTCGCGATGTGAAGTCGCAACACGAAGCCGCTGCGCGGGGATAATGCGCGAAGTAAAGTGGTAAGAGGGTGAAGACGTGTATTCGTGCTCAGAGATAGGTTACTCAAGGCGCGCGGTCGGTGCGCCGCAAAGGCGACTGTTGCTGTGGTGCTGTGTTGTTCAAGGCTTGGCTGGGTGTCTTATCGATGGTACCGTTGGCAGCTAGCGAACCGCGGTTCAGGGTTCCGTCACGCGTAGGGTCGACCGACGGGACCTGCACGTGGGACCAAGAGGTCGGTACAGATGTTGGGCACCTTTTGTATTTGTTACCTGGTATATAAAGGTTGGTCTGCAATTGTCTGGAAGTCAAATTCGTCGACGGGTTCCAAACGTTTGACTTAGATGCTCCCTTTGGGCCCAACGCGCTATACCATGCGGCAGCGAAAGCTTATCTGGGAAGCTTGGAGAGGCTGAACAGGTTTGCTGTGTACGTACTGCTTGCTTTACTTTCCTGCGGGTAGAGGTATGTCACATGATCAAACTTCGAGTTCGGTGTTCTCCACATAGCTTGCTGAGATATCGTATCCACGGGCATGCCTGCTGAACGCCCATAGGCGAGTTGACGATTGCAACATGTTCCATGTCCTTCACTTCAGTGCTTGAATCTCCAGCACGTTCAAAGTCTCGTATCGTTCGACGACCCATGAGGTGTGATGCTGCAGCTATGCCATAAAGGTGTAAGGCTGAAAATAGAGGTGCTCAGAAGCCAATCATTGAAAGGCAGAGACTAGAGAAGACATCCTAATGCAGTATCCTATCGTTTCCTCTGAGGAATTCGCTATGACATTCTGACGAAGTTCTAGATTTGGCTAGCGCCAGAATCCAACACTGTGAAACCTCGGCTTGCCAGCGGTACGACGTCATCACACACCAGGGTTCGCGGCAACGCCGATCCCACACAACGACAACTTCTTTTCGGCCCTTTCAGAACATTCCAGCCCCATCAACGAGCCTTGCCTCCTTCTACCAATAATGCCATCTAGAATTTTCGACTTGCACTAACATTTCAGAAAGCGATTGCTTCGGCACCGGAAGCGCAAATAAGCCGGCGAGACCGGTTTCAAACAGCCAACGTCACTGCTACGACGGCACTTCATGAAACAATATTACTGCCAAGTTTTGCGGCCAGACATGGTCGCGTGCCCTCTCTAGAGTTCCTGCGTTAGTGGCGCCCCACGCCTCGCCCATGCGTGGGCTTATTTTCTATTTCGTCACTCGCGTGACTTTTATTTCCTCTTCTTCCGCTGTCGTGTGCGAACATACTGTCTCTTTCTTAGCATCAATATACTCAGTCACTCTCAGCCACCGTTCTTGAAATCAAGTGTGAAAGCTGAACCGTCACACTGTCACTCTCACAACTTTCTAGATCCCTCATTACGCGCCTGCCTCGCAGGGCACCCGTCTCGAATATGACTTGGCTGAACAAGATCAATCCGACACCGTCGTTTCCAGAATATACGGGGCCGTACAAAGTTGGGTCAGTGGATGTGGAAGTACCAACAAGTCAGCTGGAGGCGCCTGGACGGTCGGACAGCCCGTGTACCAACCTGTCAACGGTATCATTCCGCGTATTCTACCCGGCACGGCCAGAAAGTGAGCAGAAGGGCGTTAGATGGATACCCAGCCCTCAGAAGGAGGTTGTGAGCGCTTATGCAAAGTTCCTAGGTGCGGGTAATGCAATGGCAGGGTTGTTTGCGTAAGTGAACACAATCGAAGAGATGTCTCGGAGAGACTGGCTGACCTCGTGTAGGACACTTCCACAATTATTGTACTACGTTACGGTTCCCGTGCATCACAATGCCGATATTCTCGAGCCACCGACCGAATCGAAACGTTGGCCCGTAATGATGTTCTCACACGGTCTTGGAGGGTCCAGGAACGCATATTCGCATATCTGTGGCTCGTTGGCAAGTCACGGTGTTGTAGTTGTTGCACCGGAACATAGGGACGGAAGCTGCCCAATCTCGTTTATTCACACGCCAGAAGAGAAGGCAAAGATGAAAACGATAGCATACAGGAAGGTGCCCCACAAGGCGTCCAAGGAGGTATACGAGGCACGAGACGAGCAGCTACGGATACGACTCTGGGAGCTAGGCTTGATCCACGAAGCTCTCCTCAAGATTGACAACCGGATGCCTCTCAAGAATGTTGCGGAAGACCAGAAAAGAACAGGCGGGAAGGACATGCTTACCATGTTCTCTCACTTGCTAGATGTTCATGAGCCGGGCAAGATCTCCTTCGCTGGTCACTCCTTCGGCGGAGCGACAACAGTACAATTCGTCAAGTCCGTCTATTACCACAATGCAACAAAACTCAAGTCTTATCACCCACTCTTCGCGCCTGCAGAAGACTCGAGTATCGTCCGCCAAATCACCCCTCAGACGCCTGTCATGCTCCTCGATTTATGGACGCTACCCATCCAGAGCCCGACAACGTCATGGCTTCGCAATAAACCCATGCCGTGCTACGATTCGCCAGCCGGTGGCTCAAACTTGCTTGCTATTCTCTCCGAGGCATTCTACAAATGGTCGTCCAATTTGAACGACACGAAGCGCATCGTCTCCAAGCCGACAGATTCCGCTGTCAAGTACCCCAATCAACCAGGCCCGCACATCTTCTACCCGACAGCCTCGGCGCATCTCTCCCAGTCCGACTTTGGTGTTCTCTTCCCGTGGATCACGACGAAAGTTTTTGGTGCGAAGGAGCCGGAGCGGGTACTCCGCCTCAACGCGCGCGCCATGCTGCAAATCATGCGTAATGCTGATATTGAAGTTGCAGCGACCAGTAAAGAGGACATGGAGCTGCAAGATGTGGAAGGATTACAAAAGGGAGTTCCTCAGGACGAGAAAATCTTGAGTCATGTGGAGGAATCTATAAGAGGTTGGATTAGCCTAGGTACGGAGCTGTATGGAGGATTGAGCGAGGTGGAGAAGGGGCCTGGAGACGCAATGGTCGAGGGAGAGGTTCTGGGGCAGGTGGTGAGTAACGAAGAAAGAGCGATGGCGTAGGCGATGATCTGAAGCTCTTGTATATCCATGGTGTGGCGCTGGTGTTCGTCTGTACATAGCCGACATGGCGTTTTGGTAGGTTTGCATGGTTGGCGTTTGTCTTTAGGGTCGATACCAGTAAATAGAGATGAGCACCTGCAATGATACGATGACATGAATCAAAAAGTATAGGCCTGACTCCAGCCTGACGCGTGAACACAGTGATGAATCTGCAATGAAGTGACGAGCTATTGTCAGCCTTGGATCACCTTCTTCAACCCCTTGTTTTCTCTTTCGGCACTTTTCATCACGTGCTGTTAGGTAATGCATGGATCTATTGATGTTCGTGGGACTAGCTGTGATTTGACTGAAATGAAACCGTGGAACGCTGCTTGCTACCGTAGTACTGGCAGCTGCGCGGTCAACCTCTGCATTGCCCATCCCACTTCCATCATCTTCCATCTTCCATACACTTGTCCATACACGCGCCGCTTAGACCTCGCCAGTCATGGTTGGGCAGCTTGTGCATCCCGTTGTGTTCCGTACTCACTCAAGAAAGCGCGTCGGTGGCCCGTGCGTTAGCATCGCTTCTACATTCAGAAAGAGCGACAACTCGCTTTCTCCACCTGTATAAGCCTGAATGTCGCCAGTCGAATTCCTCACTCTTTGAAACTACACACCTACGTTGATTATCTGACTCAACTTTTTATTATCATTAGTTGATTGCCTCCACTGCCCGAAAGTCGAGCAGAGTAGAGTGTACTAGCCGCCAACAGGAACACCTTACTCGCTATTGGTAGCATCGCTGCCACTCGAATCACACACCTACCACCCGAACTCGAAGAGTTGACTCATATTATATGACTAGGAGGTATCAAATCTATTGATATCATTCCTGCGACCTGAGCCGTGTGGCCACTCTGTCCTTGCAGACCCAAGCTATTCTGGGAAGGCGCCACCGCGGGCAAACAGCCCTCTTGACGATTTGCAAACGACTTTGCCGCGCCACCACGACAGAGTAGTGCTCGTCACCCCAAGGGAGCTATCAACGCAATTCCATGACCCCCCTTGTTCACTTTCATCGACTCCTTCGTCCTTCAGATTGATCTCGCTCTGCCCTTGCATTGTCCATCCTGGATCAACACACACCACAATGAGCGGCAAGGACGAAGTCTTGTTCAACACACCCAAGTGGCTACTTGATTGGCAGGCCGAAGCTTCTGAGCAATTCTCTGACTTTTCCCTGTCAGACGAGTTCCAGAAGATCCACGAGGCGAAGGCCCGTGGCGAAGACCCTTTGATAACAGTCTATCATGTTTCGCATGAGGACCTCGAACAGTTTTCGGAGGTTAGTTATCAGTGGAACAAGCCTACGGAAAGTGGAGATCAATTGCGTGTGCGCGAAGAGCATCGGTCGTCCATGAGCGATGAAGTAGGAGACGATGAAGCTCGCAATGCAAGACGGCTTGCAAAGTTAAAAACGAGAAAAGCCTCGCAGTCTTCCGTTGGCGATGCACGCAAGGCAACTCGAAATGAAATAAAATCCTCAGCATCCGGCTTCGCACCACCAGAGGAGACCATCGCGGAATCGTCCAAGGCTGGTGCAGCTCGAAGGCCCTCGGCATCTCTACATACCCCTACTGCTGGCACTTCGACAGCTGAGGTGGAAAAGACAGAGGTTAAGACACTATATGAACCTAAAGCGCCACCTGACTGGTACGTGTTTCTCTCACTTTACTCCTATGACTCTGTGATCGTAAGTGATAAGATTTGACTGACTAATGCGGCTGTTAGGCTGAGAGCAATCTTGACCACCTCACTGAATCGAGAGCTAAAGCGGCCGGACAAGGATCGAACCCAAGCTCTATGTGCAATCGAGGCGTTCAAGGATCGCATTCGACGCTGTGAAGACGCGACCGCCGCTGGAAAACTTAAAGCTCAGCTCGAAAAGCTCTTTGACGAACTGCGTGATTATGTTCACAAGGCTGAAGTCTTGCTTAAAGGCGTTGACAAATACGTCGTGCGTAAGAAAAACATGCTGACAGTTGAAAATGGCCTGCCACGGATTTTCGCGAGCACACAAGTTGACTACCCATGGGATTTAAAGGCGGACGCCTGGCAGCTATACCTCCGCTGGTATGAGCAAGACTTCAAGCCTGACTTACTACGAGGCATCGTCACGCGAAAGGAAAAGAACCGCTCCAGTGACAGGATTGATCCGGAATGGGCCAAGAAGATCAGCCCTAACTTTCATGGAGAAGGCCATCTTGTTCTCGGCCAGTGGTGGCCTACGCAATTGTGTGCTAAGCGGGACGGTGCTCATGGCGCTCCACAAGGCGGTATTTGGGGCCAGAAAGGAAAGGGCGCATACTCAATCGTGCTGTCGAGTGGTGGCTATAAAGACAAAGACGATGGCGATGAAATTTGGTATTCAGGAACCGACAACAAGAATTCCAACAACAAAGACCCAACGGAAAACACCCAGCGGTTGATTGAATCTTGTGAAGAGTTCCCGAACCAACCCGTCCGCGTTTTACGTTCCTCACAGCTTCCGCTTACAAATCGCTATCGCCCGAGAGTCGGTTTGCGATACGACGGCTTGTATAAGGTGGTTGGGTACGAAATTCTGGACAAGGCGAAACAGGAACATCTGTTCAAGTTGGTTAGGTGCGAGAATCAGAATCCCATCCGGTGTGAGGATAATGCTGCACGGCGGCCGACCAAGTATGAAGAAGACGAGTACACGAGACTCAAGAAAGACGGGCGTTACCAGTGAGCATTACAGTCGTTATGGGTTGAAGTGACCTTGGACCGGCGTTACACGAGTAGGATAACGATTGTTTGTTCGCTTTACAGTCATACTATGCTGTCATGCTTTCGCACGGTTGTCCTACTTGAGCGAGGCATTGAACTGGGTTTTGGGAGTAACGGCGTTGTGGGAAAATTCACGAAGTCCATGCGAACAGGGATCACGGCCTCGCCTTACTTATTGGGCTCCATACTTGATAGCCGGCCTAGGCGTTTTCATTTTACTTAATGACTCCTCTGAAGTTTCGGTCTGCCCAATCGTCACTGTACTCGAACTTCAGGTCCCGTTATGGATGCGTGGCGAGCGATTGAAGCTCGTGTCAGGTAGTATAACGGCCTGTGAGGGCATTCGAATGATATCGGACATGATAAAGAGATAAAGATACTGAAATATCTTTACAATCCGCTGAAGAAGACCCGGCGTCGAACCGGCTAATTGCAGACTCTCGACGTTCAACGACTGCTAGTCACCGTTCTCCATGTTGTGTGTTTTACCCCAAGACACATCTTCGAGAGGCAGACCGCACGGGACGAGGGGTTATTAATCCGAATCCATCCCTTCACCACGGACTTCGCATTGGCTTTGTACACACGACAGAAGCGCTCGCGGGAAGTACACAGCTGCTTGTGAGTATGTTTTGCTGATCAATATATCAAAGCCTCGATGGAGACATCCTGATGTACACAGGTTTGCCATCTTCATCGATCATAGGACCGATTTTCCCATTCTTTACTAGCTTTCAGTCGAATGTTCACGCTGCTCTCTAGACTCATCATCCCGCGTCACACGCATACAAATCATCATTCCAGTGTCAAACGTCAGACGTCCGGAATGCAATTAAAGGTTTCAATGCCACGCTTGCGCTCGACCAACCAAAAGGAACATCATGTTGATCCACATCCCGACGTGGCGGTTCTGCGCTTCTGGATTCGATTATACCCGCAGGTGAGTGTTGTGATGGCGAAACATTCCTCCCTTGACGTGCTACCCTTGCTTGGCACACTTATATACGCAACCATTTGGTATAGCTGTCTCTCCTTCTCCTGCTTACAATCTGTCGTTTAATCACCGTCTTATAAGACTCTTCACTCGTTAGTGGGCTGCCATCACCATGGCGCCCTCTAGTCCCATCTTCGCCATGCGCATGGTGACCTCCATTCTTTTACTTTCAAGCATTGCATACGCAAGCGTGCTTCCGCCCCATAAGATTTATAATCGACACTTACCCAATACCATCAACGTACGCGCGCCCACCGAAGACGCAGCAATTACACACAATGTCGACGACGTGGCGATCGTTGCGAACGAGAAGAAGGACGGCAAGAACTTCTTCAAAGAGCTGGGCAATTTTCTGAGCGAATTCGACCCTGTAGATATTTTCCGGACGATTCTTGGTGGGCTTCTCGGATTAAAAGTTGATGATGCGACAAACGGTTCGAGTTCTTCGCCTACGACGACTGTTTCAATCACACCAACACCCATAGAAGCAACTTTGTCTACGGTGAAGACTACATCGACGAAGACGGTCACTACAACTCAGCTGCGGAAGTCTAGCACGAGAGCCGAGCTTGCATTCTCCATCTTGCCGATCTTTCCAACCGAGGAGCCTCTGGAACTTACAGGCCTTGCTCCTACCCGAGTGTTCACGCCACATCACATCATCTTCACGCCAGGGGCGTCTGCATCAGTGGATGTAGCAGCGTCGGTCCATGCAGAAGTTTCTGTCAAGGTGCTGCCAAGTGGGCCTTTCATCAACACTTCCGCTGGTATTCCTGCACACAAGCCCACCCCCATTGTCGTCTTCGACAATTTCGAAACCTCAGCGACGCCCTTAATCGATGATTTTCTGAGTGCTATAGAGACAGATGGGGCCCCAGATCCAGAGAATCTACCCGATCTAATCGCCACTGCCGCACCGGTCAACGCAACTACTGCACCAAATGCCACTGCTTCCGGGATCACCGTAACATATGAACCTGAAGAGACTTTCTCCATTCTTCCTTTCATCCCACCAGGCGAGGACCTAGCCGATAACGTCACCAACACAGGGCCATTTAATTCATCCACCGCGCCAATCACCGCTACTGGAGAAGTCATCGAGTCATCCGAACCCGAAGAAACGTTCTCTATACTGCCATTTTATTCGTCAGGTAAGGGCTGGTCTGACATTTTCAGCCTCCCAGCAACCGTCGATGAGATCCCCCCTCTAGAGACATTTGAAGTGGTTACTACCCCAGTCACTGATGTTCCGGGAGCGACCTTACTACCAGTTCAGACCGAAGAAATATTTTCTATACTGCCATTCTATTCGTCAGGCAAGGGCTGGGCTGATATTTTCAGCCTCCCAGCAACCGTTGATGAGATCCCCCCTCTAGAGACATTTGAAGTGGTCACTACCCCAGTCACTGATGTTCCGGGAGCGACCTTACTACCAGTTCAGACCGAAGAGATATTTTCTATACTGCCATTCTATTCGTCAGGCAAGGGCTGGGCTGATATTTTCAGCGTCCCAGCGACCGCCGATGAGATCCCCCCTCTAGAGACATTTGAAGTGGTTACTACCCCAGTTACTGATGTTCCGGGAGCGACCCTACTACCTGTCGAGACTGTTGAGCCAATGTCTATCCTTCCCTTCTTTGGGCCAGGCGAGCATCTATCCGATAATGTTACAATGCCGACCCCTACCGAACAAGTCCCAGAGCTGCCGATACCTGTCTTTACTGGTCTCGAAGAGTCCTTGAATGCTTTTGCAGGGGAGGATGTGGCCATTACCATGCCAGCAGAAGTTGAAGCAAATACCCCACTGGAGACAGATGGTCCTGATTCCAACGACCGCGCGCCTGTTCCACTCCTGGAACTTGTAAATGGCACCTATGTGCTGCCAGCGACGAAGAAACCAGACTTTGTTACCCCTGTTCTGTCATGGCCACCGCCAGGGTTCAACGTCACTGCAAAGCCAGCGGTTTCCACAAGGAGGGGCCCACCCAGAAAGACATCATCTAGGAGAAGCGCTCTTCCGACGTGGCCTAACGTGTTTACGCCCCTACGGCCGACGAAGCCTATCGTTCTCCCACCGCCACTCATTCGTCCTACAAATTTCCCCCTCAATCAAACTTTCTTCGCAAACCAAACAAACGGAGCTGCCAGTGCGGTCGCGAAGTCATCCCGTCCTCTGATATTGACAAACCCGCTTCGTCCTACGGTAGAGGCGCTTCCTCTGCCCAGACCGTTTCCCCTACCTGGACCAATCCCACCATTCCCTCTAGCAGGACCATTTTTCAACAATACAAGAGGCATTAGACCCATCGGGCGACCAACACGCCCATTTATCCTGACGGACCCGCTTCGAACAACACCTGAATCGTTTCCTACCCTTATCCTTGCGAGCTCGCCCCGTCCTCCCATTGAGACTTTCGAACCGCTTGATGCGAGAAGCACCACAACGAGGACTCTCAAGATCAGGAGTACCACTATCAAAACTGTGATCGTAATGCCAACCCCTGTGGGAGACGTTCCTGATGTGTCGGTTCTGGGCGTGGATGTACCTGCGGATGAGCCATTGCCTAGTGATGCGGGTTTCGTGGGCCCGGAATTCCCGTTTGATGAGGGTGAGGATATTCCTGTCAGCGAGAATCCGAGGCCAACTCTTCCTATCAATGACTTCGACGACCCGGACGTCTCCAACGGCATTCTATCGCCTACGGCTACTCTGATTATCAACGACTTCGACGATTTTGATGTCTCTAGCGATACTTTGAGGCCGACAATTGCTCCTATCCTTGGTGATGTCGGCGAGTTGGACATCCCAAGTGATCTTGTGGAGCCGAGTGCTGCGCCCATTATTGATGACTTTGGCGAGTTTAACTTCTCGGTTGCTCTCTCCGCACCAACACCTGTAGAGACAGATGTCTCACTACCTGACGTGCCACCATCCTTCGTGGACTCCCTCAAAACTTTCACCACCATCGCTAATGTTCTGCTCCACCCTGGATTGGGAGTCAAAGCTACTGGAAGTGCGGAACTGGACATTGCCCTCTTAGAAGACACCACCTTCCCCTCAGACCTCGTCGTCTCGAAGCTACCGCTCTTTACGCCAACGCCCACACCCCGTCCTCTCTCCCACATCATTAGCGCCGCCCCATACCCCACCTCGTCCTCCCCTCAGGTTTTCCCCTTCCTAAGCCTGTGATCGACATAACTAGCGTAATGTTCCCCACAGGGGACTCCGTGAAACGCCTTGCTGAAATCTGCGGCGACGGACAAGTAACAACGGTCACGCTTCCCCTGTTGCAGAGTTGGTACGGACCGAATGCGTACCCTAGTTTGAGGAGTTACCCAGGATGTGCGCCAGCGAACCCACGACAAGCCATCCAAGCCCCCGGGCTACTGAACTGCACCGCACTGGGTCGAGAAGTGCAAACATGCCAGAAAGCAGGGAAACGCGTGTTGCTTGGGATCCGCGCCGATGCCCCCTCGGCTGTGAACGGGAATCTAAAATGGGGAAGTGCGGATCCTGGGGTCCTGGGATTGAAGCTGCCGCTGCCGCTGCCGCCAGGCCCGTTCCTGGGCCGCCCGGGACATCCGATTTTTCCGCAGGCTGGGAACTTGACGACGGTGAAGGTGGATGGGAAGACGGTCCCGGCGCCGAACCTGTTCGATGCGCTGCATACGCCTACCGGACTCGCGGCGACTCTGTTCTCCCTCTTTGGCGAGGGCCATGCTGAGCGTGCGGATCTAAGGCCGCTGGGTCCGGATGCGCCGAGCAACTTTAGCTCGGATAAAATCATGTGGGTTGCGAAGCCCCTCGGAGAAGAAGTGGTGGTGGACGGGTTTGATGTGCGGACGCCGGGGCAATGGAAGGGAACGCCGCAGGCTGCGCTTGTGGAGAGATTTGTGAGTTCGTTGAAGGAGAGCGTGGAGAAGGCGTGGAAGGAGGAGGGAGTAAAAGGGGGTTTGAATGATCTCGGGGTAGATGGGCCGGGGGAGGTTGTCAGTGGGTATATTTGAGAAGAGGGGATAATTGTTTGTTTCGATGTTTCTGAGGGAATCAGCATGTTATGACATTACGACTACAATGTATCATCTACTTAAGACCATCAATGCACGAATGCGGGGTGCTGAACACGAGATCACAGAGGCCGACTGCCTACGTCTTGATGCAGAACCGCGGTTTCACAAAGCAGAAGGGAAAGATGGATGTAGCAAATGCTCTGTATTTGCTGTGGTTATATACATCACAGCTGCGGCGCAAAATGCCTTTAGTCAGCAGGCCCAGGCACCTGCAGCGGATGCTGTAGCCATCCATGCCTTTCATTCAATCCATGGAAAATCATGATCGTGTTGTTGAAGTCCATCCCAATCGTTACGCCGGAAACCTGAGACTCTACAAGGTAATCACCTGATTAAAAGCCCAGGCAATACTACGATGTATGAAGATCAGATACGCACTGTCGACCAAGTAACGGTGTGTTGTCGAAGGAGCGAGGCGCTGGAGATCGAAGATCTACCAGCCACCGCCAGCCGAAGCGTCGCCCCAGCCATCACCGTTGCCGGAAGCCTCGCCATTGTTGTCGGCATTGGCCCAATCACCAGAGACGCCTCCAGCATCAGCACCAGAGTCGCCCCAGCCGCCACCGTTGGTGTCCTCGGTAGGAGGAGCCTTGCAGCGCTTGACGGTGTGTCTATGTACTGTTAGTGAACAGATATACTATCAAAGAGTGGTAGCAACTCACCCGAACTCCTTGCAGTTGTTGCACTGTACCCTAGACCAGTCTTTAGGCTTCGGGCTATGAGTTATTAGTATCCAGTAGGATCTTACTGGGACATGAGATACAGGAATACGTACCAATTGCGGGACTCGTGACCAATCTCGTCGCAGTTGCGGCACTTCATGACACGCTCGTTGGGGCACTCGGTCTTGCGGTGACCGTACTGGTAGCAGTTGAAGCACTGCTGACCACTGTCTCCACCTTCGCGAGGCTTAGGGGACTCAGTGCAGTCGGCCTTGCGGTGTCTATTGAGATGTCAGTCATTGCGATAGATAGGCAAGGTGGTGTACGAACCCGGTCATCCCACAATTGAAGCAGGCACGGTCGTTACCACCGCCACCACCATTAGGACTATATTACGGTTAGTACACAACAAGCGGGTAATGTTGAGAACTCCTCACCAGTCACGCTTCTGATGCCCCTCGAGACCGCAGCCATAGCAAGCACGACCACCACCGCCAGCAGACTTGGGACTAGGCAAGGTCAGTACGATATAGTCAACATGAAGATGTATGCACTCACCAGTCACGCTTGATGTGGCCCTCTTCACCACAGCCATGGCATTCACGACCAGTGCCACGCGTAGCACCAGCAGTCTCGTTGTTGCCGCCATCAGCCTGACCCCAGGTATCTTGAGCACCGGAGAAGTCGCCACCTGAGTTGAAGTTGCCGCCGTTCTCCTTGTCCTTGTCGCGACGATCATTGTCGTCGTACGCGCGGTGCTTCTTGGAGTTCTTGTGTTCGCCCCAATTCCTGAAGGGGATCCTACGGTCGCAGAGCTCGCACTGGACGAAGTCCGGCGGAGTGGTGCGGGCCGCGTTGTAGGGGTTAGCCCCAATGGTGTTCAAGACAGGACCACCACCACGCGCCATCTTGAAATGAAGATGAGAATGAGATCTAGGCGAACTAGAGTCAGTGCAACGTGATTTATCATTTGAGACAGAAGCAAACAGATGGCCGTGAACTGCACAAGGCTGGGGAGACCGGAAGTTTCCGTCAGTCGAAGGGCAAGCACACAAACCGTTTTTGCGCGCAGAGCCATGCTGTAGAGCAATATAGACAGAACTCACAGTAGCTTTGTCGATAGTCGAATCCCAATGACCTGCTCAGCTCGCCCAATGTATGAGCGAGGGACTAATTGTCGAGGAGGTTAGGAAGAAGGAGGCGTCGGTGGGGGTGAAGGGGAGGTCTTCATATAGTCGGCAGGTGCGACCACAAGACGCTAATTACAGGCCTAGCTCAAATGGAGGTGGTGGGCAAAGAGTGGCGGAAGCGAGCAGAAGAGGGCAGAAGGAGTGAGAGGTAGGCCGGTGAGGGACGACCGGGACCGGGTACAGCTCGGACGGCAGACGGCAAGCTGCAGCTGGAGTGCATGTCTCAGCGTGAGGCTCATGGCAAACACTATATGAGACGCCATCTCAGAGCATGCGACTGCGGGGGCTCAGAGTACCCCTCACTGCCATGTTCTGGCGCTTGGGGGTCCGATAGGAGTTTCATAGCTGTGGCGTCACTCGACGCAATAGCTCCGCCATGTCTTAGACCTAGAGGGGATGTTGTTTGCTCCTATACGACGCAGATGTAGCCTTTGGAAACGTGGGTGATGTGTTTTCCATTCTCCAGTTGCTCTTTCGTCGCCTCGAGGCACTCGCTCCAATATACGCGTACAGCTCCTTCTCCCCTTTCCGCGAACGGCAGAGTATTGGGGCGGACCTCATGCTCCTTCCGCCAATGCCTCCTCGCCCTCAACGCCTTCTTCGTCACTCGCCGCGACGCTCTTCGGCGGAGCCTTCCAACCGCTCCCCGCTTGCACGATCGTCATGACGATAGCTAGCCCTGTTCCGCACATGAAGAGCGTTTTGATGCCCTCGCGATACGCATTTACCGCTATCTCCTTCCTCTGTCCCTCCAGAGTCCCCACGAGCGCCGGGCTACCCAGAAGCCTTCGAATCAAGCCAGTCCTGTCCTCGATACCCGCCCTCGAGAAACCCTCTGTGAGGGACTTCTGAAGGACGCGCTCGAAGATACCACCTCCGATCGCAGATCCGAAGCTGCCGGAAAAGCCGCGAAACGTCGCAAGCAGCGAGAGGACAATGGGATGGACCTCCGGCAGGGTCAGATGGAGCAGATGGACGAGCGTATAGTTCAAGCCTGCACCAGCAAGAGCCCCATTGCAGAATACCATCAGGACATACAGAGCGGGGGAGCTGTGTGGCGTGGAGATGAAGGCCAGAACGATAAAAGTGGCCGGGAACAGCATGTTGGCTACAAGAGTGTGGATGTAGAAGCTCCCCTCTCGGCGGATATGGAAGATCCCAGCTAGTAAGCCTCCGGTCGCGAAGCCTGCATTCGTGGGAATCAGGATGGTTCCAGCAATTGCGCCCGGCCAGCCACGGACCGCAATAGCATACACTGGCGTGTAGAACAGGACAACCCAACGTGCCATCATGACGCCTACAGTGGCAAGGCAGATAAGGAGCGTGCCCCGAGACCGAAGGACTTTGATGGGAATGACCGGATCCTTGGCAATGTATGTTTCGTTCAAGACAAAGACAGGGAACACGCAGGCCGAAAGGATAAGAGGAGTTGCCAGGATTCGAGGGCCAGACAGACCAAGGAGGAAGAGGATGATGGTAGCGATGAGCAGCAGCGCTCCCGAGTAGTCGATTCGGGCAAGCTTCTGACTAAGGGATCGGTGCTCAAGATCACTGTTGTTTGCTTTGTACCCAGACGGGATACCGAAAAGGATGCCGAAACCTGCTAGGATGCTAAGAGGAGCTTGGATGCCGAAGAGGGGTTTCTGTAGGAGTCAATGCTATTCGCTCCTATGCTTGAGGCAATACTGACCCATCCAATCTTGGGCTCCGCGGCACCAGCAATGACTGCTCCAAGGGAAAGGCCTACGGTCATACCGGTGTTCGCCATCCCAATGAACAGCCCACGACGCTTGGAGCTGACCATCTGGATGATAAGGATTGTTGCTACGATGAGGATGCCAGCTCCACCAGCACCGGTTAATGAACGTCCGACCAGGAACCACTTTAGCGAGTTTGCAAGCGAAGTAATCAAAGAGCCAAAGCATATGAGCACCGTGGAGAAGAACATGCACAGCCGCGGGCTGAAGAGCTGGGAGAGGCGTCCCATGAGTGGAGCAAGAGCGGACATGGCGATGAGGTACGACGAGGTGAACCATGTTGCCTCCTCAAAAGAATCTAGGTCCGCTGCTATGGCCGACTGAGTTGTTGTGAGGATGGAGATGTTGGCGCCTGGTAGAAGTTAACAGGCGAACAACCAAGGTCAGGTGGGGCTGTAATGAAAAAGCAGGGAGAGCGGAACGGAATTGAATTGAGGAAGCGCAAAGAACGAAAGGGTGAGAGAAAAGAGCTAGTACAGCACAAGCAAGGGCTTCGTAAAAGCACCATGGAAAGAGCGCGCGGGCAGCTATAGATGCCCTGCTTTGGGAATTACAGGCCGTCAAAGATGCATCCTCTACTCCGCCTTGGTGTTGGCTCTCTCTCTCCGGATTTGGGCGCTGCGGTTGAGGAAAGAACGCTTGGGCAGCCTTTCCTTCGCTGGTCTTCACCGCTCACATTTGAGCAGGACGGGGAGAAGTTGATGGGGTTGGGGACAACAACGCGGCCTCGCCTGTTGAATTGCGCCTTCTCCAGCTCCAGCACTTCGCCCAGCTCCAGACCGGCGCTTTGCAGGGAAAGAGCGCTTGTGCAGCCCATTGCCGGCTTTCGGTGCTTGATTTCACGTGGAGCGAGTGAAAGTTGAGCGTGTCGAAGACAAGGAGCTCAAGGGTTTGCCTTGCTGTTGGCTCGAGCCAGCTCCAGGTCTCGCATCGCTCCGGACTTGCGCTCGGCGTTCGAAAAAGGAGTGCCCAGGTAGCCATACCATCGTGATGAACCATCAATCTTCGAGCTCGGTGACGAGGGCATGGACTGCTTACAAGCGACACCGAAATAGAATTCCAGAGCCAAATGACATGAAAGGATAGAAGGTGCACCAAAGAGGGCAACGAGATGTGGCACATAGACAATTTGAATGGTAGGCAGGATTTCAAGGGCCAAGAAGAAAGGGTACGTACCTTGCAAGAATATCAACAGTCCGATTGATGTACATACCACCACTCCACGCAGTCTGGAGAAAACCGGTGCCTTATCCTCTCCTACGCGGCTTCCGTCTGGGCTTGCTGGCGTATCCCCATCGCGCAGCAGCGGTGCTCGCTCCTCCGGAGTATCTCTAACGGACATTATCGCCGCAAGGAAGTCACAGAATAGATCAAGAAGTCTATAGCGATGGATCTATGCAGGAAGAGATGAGTTCGGAGCAAAATCACAGCGTCATGTTGGATGCAACAAGGATGACAAATGCTAGCGATGTGTCACTGTCTGTCGACCGCGCCTTTTTGTCCGCATTGGAGCCTACGTTCGCACATCAAGTCGTCTGGTTGTAGAGCGATTGGATCATGATCTTTTACTTGTTGGAGTACGTTCAAGTGTTTTATTTTTGGCTTCCCATAGTTGCGTGACGAATTGCCGTGCTGCGTGATCGTGTGACGTCGGGGCATCGACGCGCTGATTGGTGGAGGCTTGGCATATGCGGCGCTGCGCCTGGAGCTTGATGAACGTGTATAGCTGGCATCTTTCACAAACACGTCCGCTTTACCGACGCCACGTCGGGGACTTGTGCATACACTCACCCAATGTTCTGAATGTCGCGATGATACCATTTGTCTTGCCTTCCCCCGCCGAGAGTTCACCACGATGAAACCGCGATTACAGCGGCTTGTGCCGCTCTTGTTCGGTACGCCAACCCCATGGTAGCGCGATGCATGTGCACATGGTCTGACTGTTCTTGATAGTCCTCCTCTCTCTATTTCTACCTGCGCTCTCTGCGCAATTCCGCGGCAGCGACCAAACCCATGCTCAGAAACCCCTCGGCGAGCGCAACATACCGTCGGACAGCTGGGGCCCAATACCCACAGACGGAGACCAAGGTTGGACGACTGCTTCGAGCTAGGAGTTCCTTGCTTATGAGGGTACAGATACATCCACGTTCGAGAAGGCATCGACCTTGCTGCACAAGGTGCAGCCAGCGACGGCGCCATGGTGGAACTTCAAGAAGTCTGGCGTCTTTGGCACCAGCGCATACTACGCGAAGGAGCTCTTTTTCCTCCTATTCATGAACGGACCTCCCCAGCAAGACCTGCTTACCACAAATCCGCAGCCAAAGAAGCTCGACCATCCTCTCGCTGAAGCCGTCAAGCTGTTGGAAGAGTCGGCTGCTGCGAAGAATCCGGACGCAATCTTCACGCTCGCTGAAACGAACTTTTACGGCAAATACTCGCATCCCCGCAACTACACCGAAGCCTTTCAAAGGTACCACGAGCTCGCTACGCTGAACGGAAACGCCTCGGCACAACACATGGTGGGGTTCATGTACGCAACAGGCATCGGAGGCGCAGTGAAACAAGACCAGGCGAAAGCTATGCTTTACCACACGCTTGCGGCAGAAGGCGGAGATATCCGGTCAGAAATGACGGTCGCCTTCCGGCACGCTGGCGGCATCTCGACCCCGCGCAACTGCGAGCAAGCCGTGCATTACTACAAAAGTGCCGCAGACAAAGCAATCAAATACATGCGGTCGGGACCACCGGGAGGATACTCGCTGGTACGGGAATCATACAAAATCGCGGATGATGAAGGCGGAGTATACGGAGAGGGAGCCAGTGTTACCAGCTCCGGACCAAACGCCAAACACGGCAGCGTATACTCTGACGCTCATTCTTCTCTGGACGATGTAGTCGAGTACATGGATCTTCAAGCAAGAAAGGGAGATCTGCGCGCAAGCTTCAATCTAGCCAAGCTCAATTATGATGGGGCTCGATCGTCCCGTCGTAATCTCCCAGAGGCCAAGAGACGGTTTCTGGAGATTGCTCGGATGTACTGGAACAAGGATGGAAAGATCAAAGCCAATGCTTCGCCAGACGTCGAAAAGCTGGCGCCGAAAGCGGCCGGGTACTTGGGGCGTATGTTTCTTCGCGGAGAAGGCATGCTCCAGAGCTTTCCCATCGCAAAGACCTGGTTCAACCGAGGTGTCGAGCATGGCGATGCTCTTTCGCAGTACTCGCTGGGACTCATGTACTTGGACGGCCTTGGCGTTCCTAAGAATCCCGTCAAAGCTGCCGACCTGTTCAAAGCAGCTGCCGACCAGGGGCTTGCTGTCGCGCAAGTCCGCATCGGTGCACTTTTCTTGGACCAGGGAGATGTGTCAGTGGCCATCAAGTATTTCGAGCTCGCCTCCCATAACGGGCATCTCGAAGCGTATTACTATCTGGCCGAACTGACGAACGCTGGAGTTGGTCGTGACAAGTCCTGTCTCGTTGCGTCGGCTCACTACAAGATTGTGGCAGAGAAGGCGGAAGCCGTCTCGACCTCTTTCCCCGAAGCCAACGAGGCATACCACAATGGTGACCTTGAGACGGCGCTTGTTGGTTACATGATGGCTGCAGAGCAGGGCTTTGAGACAGGTCAAGCGAACGTGGCCTACCTGCTCGACCAAGCTAAACCACGCTTCACTCTGAGTTCCTTGATTCCGATTATCAAAGCTAAAGCTACCTTGGCTAGTGATGCATATCTTGCTCTGCTATACTGGACGCGCTCCGCCGAGCAGAGGAATATCGATTCGATGGTCAAACTCGGAGATTATTATCTCCAGGGTCTGGGAACCGCTCCTGACGACGAGAAAGCGGCTGCGTGTTACACGGCGGCCGCGGAGACCATGATGAGCGCACAGGCTCTGTGGAATCTAGGCTGGATGCACGAGAACGGTATCGGAATAGAACAAGACTTCCATCTGGCAAAGAGGCACTACGATCTGGCACTGGAGACTAATCCCCGTGAGGCTTATCTTCCAGTCACACTCGCTCTGTATAAGCTGCGCTTCCGGAGCTGGTGGAACAAAGTCACAAATGGCAAGATCAAGTCTATTCAAGAGGAGCCAGGTAAAAATACCCATGCACTCACATGACAACATACTGACCCCGTCTTTAGTCGTCAGGAAGGAATGGTCCATCTCGGAATGGGTGTCCGTTTTTTTAGAGGCCGAGATGGCTGCCTGGGACATGGACGCAGAGCCCGACGACTACGATGCAGCAATGCCTGGGGGGGACGCTGACTACGGTTACGACGACATCGATTCGGAGGTCCTAGAGTCTCTTGTCATCCTCGCGCTAGCGGCCGCTCTGGCAGCCCTTATCTACTACCGCGGTCGGCGCCAGCGTGTCGCCGAGGAAGAAAGAAGACGAGAAGAGCAGCGCCAAATGCTGGCAAATCAGGTAGCTGCCATACAACAACAACAAGCCCAACCGCAGCCTCAACCACAACAAGAAGATCGTGGAATGTTTCCGCATCCCAACGACCCTGCGTTCATGGAGTGGGCTGCAGGGGCAGTAGGGCATTGACAGCATTGCGAGTATTTGACGTTTGGCATGCAATTCGCTGCGTCTAATGCACTGAATGGCGTCTTTTTTTTTCTTGGTCAAGAGCGACGGGAGATGATGCGATGAACATTGGGTTAGTTGGGATGAGTGTAAACTATCGTCCCTTGTAAATGATCCCTCCTTATCATTTCAGCGGACAACCAGGTTCTTGGGACAGAACACCCCGCATGTGCATGGGCTTGCAGAAAGGATCTAGCGCAGTCATGTTTTAATGAAACTGCAAGCAGTCTTGATTAAGAAATTCGAGCGAGACGAGCGGGCGTCAAGACGAAAGCAATTGAGTGAGAAACGTTGCGGCGCTGATAGGGAACACAACGTACCGATTGCGTTAGGATATCCGTGTTTCATCATGCGCTTCGAATGGCGCGATGGGGGCACGGTGGTTGTTTAAACATCGCTTCCATCGCTTCCAGGATGTCGACCCGAAGAGTCGGTCGAACGATTTGCGATGTCGACATTTCGAGATGCAATTTGCGCGCGAACCACCGTGGTAATGCAACTGCAACTGTACATGCTCCTAATTGTTCTGGCATTTTTCCGTACATTCGAAGTACGTATTATCGCAGATTCAGCAGTCGGTTTTCGCTGGAAGTTCGCTTGCCGAAGAATTGCGGACTGCGCAGCGCTTTGCCAAGCAAACACTCAATGACGATCAAACAGATGCCCAAGATCGTGCCAAGATCGGGAGCCTCCGTGCAATCTTGACATTCCATCTGCTATGTGCCACTTGGTAGCAAGTATATAGTAGAATGTCGACTCTGCTTATGCAGTTTCTCCATCGACTTCCGCTCCTTCATTCAGTCGTTTCTCTTCATTCGGCTTCGTCCGGATTCTCTCTCCTTTTTAGAACACCACTTGAATTGCATCGTCGGCTGGCCTGAGTGATTTTTGTTTTTCAAGTTACCTTCTGTGTATACAGCTCTTGCCTTTTGTGCTCGATCAAAATCAATCTTCCGAAGAAACAAAGAAGAATGCGTTACTCAATTGCTGCTGCTGTCCTTGCCGCTTCGCAAGCGGCTGCTCAGTCTGTCGTCGGCACTGCGTATGGGTTCGCTACTGGTGTGACGGGAGGTGGTGACGCGGAAGCCGTTACTGTTTCCAGCGTGAGCGAGCTTGCCGACCTTCTATCAGATGACACTGCTCGCACTATCGTCATCGACGCCGAGCTTGACTTCACCGGTACCTCCGCAACGGACGCTGGATGTGACCGCAAATCTTGCTCCGCTGACAATGGAGGCCAACTCTACCTCGGCGACCTTTCCTGCGGTGGCGATGACAACGTCGCCATCAGCTCCATCACCTACGACGCTGCTGGTCCCAAGCCCCTGACAGTCGGCTCCAACAAGTCCATCCTCGGTAACGGCAAGGGCGTACTCATTGGCAAGGGTCTCGCGCTCGCTGACGGCGCTTCCAACGTCATCATCCAAGGTCTCGAGTTCAAGAACATTAACCCAAGCGCCGTCTGGGGCGGCGACGCTCTTAGCTTCAACGGCAACAACGATGGAGTCTGGGTCGACCACAACAAGTTCAGCCTCGTTGGTCGCATGTTCATCGTCAGCCACTATGCGCCCTCGCGCCTCACCGTCTCCAACAATGAGTTTGACGGCACAACCACCACGTCCGCGACCTGCAACGGAAACCACTACTGGACCATGATGTTCTATGGCGACGGCGACCAAGTCACCCTCGACAAGAACTACTACCACGACGTCTCCGGCCGTGCTCCCAAGCTGGGCGAGGACGGCTCAACGGGCACTTTCCAGGCCGTCAACAACTACTTCTCCAACATGAAAGGCCATGCGTTCGACACGTACGACAGCGCCTCTGCGCTCATCGAAGGCAACGTCTTCGAGTCTGTCAGCCAGCCTAACACCGACAAGGCCGCTTCGTCGTCCGTGCTGTACACTGTCCCCGATTCGTCCGCTGCGAGCGCTTGCTCCAGCTCTCTCGGTCGCGCATGCGAAGTCAACTCTGTCGACTCGTCTTCCGGCGAGCTCGTTGCCCTGAAGGCAGACAGTGTCCTCAGCACCCTAGCTAAGGTCAAGGACTCTCTCGTTAAGCCGCTCGCCGCGAGCGACGTCGCTGCTCACGTCAAGGCCAATGCTGGACCTGCTGGACTCGCCTCCGCCAGCTCCACGGAGCCGTCAAAGGTGGCCGACGATGAGGTTGCGACTAACACTACTAACCCCGCTGTGCCCGTCTCCAGCTCCGCCGAGGAAGCTCCCGCCGCTACCTCCGAAGTCGCTACCCCTGTCTCTTCTTCCCCCGCTGAGGAGGCTTCTGCTGCTACTTCTGAAGCCGCTGAGCCTACCTCCGCTCCCTCCACCGGCTCTAGCTCTGACTCGGGTTCATCGTCCGGCACTGTTGCCGCGTACGGACAGTGCGGTGGCATTGGGTTCACGGGCGCGCTGGAGTGCGTGAGCGGTTATACATGCACAAAAATGAACGACTGGTACTCGCAGTGCATTGCTGCGAGTGCAAAGTTTAGGAGGAGTTTTGGGCCGTTTGCCAAGAACCGTTAAGAGCCGCTGACAGGGGTTTGCATGATTGATATGAAGGTGGGGGAAGAGAAGGTCCTGTTCTACTGTAGATATCTTTAGTGAATGATTTAAGGGTTGCACATAGTACTTCCCGTACGAGGTTGTTACAGCCGCGAAGAATTTAGTTGAATTGCTCTAAAATTGAAATATGTTGGTGAAGTGAGATGGTTTGAATGTGATGTGACTTGCCACGCTCTGAACTACTTAAAATGTAAGGACTAAGGACCACTTGATTGCCTATATGTAGGCACACTGTACGAGTGTGACGACCATGCTACCTAATTAAAACATATACTACATCCTCACGACCCTTGCTGCTACATACATCACTATTCCTTACGCCTAACACGCTACTAACCCTTGACATACATACTCCTAGTTCTGCTACCACAGTGATGCATCTGCGCTTCCTGGTTTTCGCTAGCGCCGGTTGGACGTTCTGCGCATCGAACTCCTCATCTAGCTTCGCCGAGCGGCTGGTGGATGAGTTGTGCGATGGGGATGACAAGTTCCAGCAGGACGGCGTTGTAGAGCCGCTTCTCGATGGAGGCAAGCAGATGGTTGGTCTTACTTTCTTACTGGTTAATAATGTCCCTCGTTTCTGAACACAGGGGACAGCAGAACTTCTCCAAAGGGTGCCTTTTTTGTAGTGACTGTGTTGACCCACAGGTCCACAAGTATGAGTCCAAATAAGCCTTCGGCCCAAGTCAATGCCAATCACAAGCCAAAGAGCTCCGCAAATCGACCGCTTAGCGGTCCACCTACAAAGATCTCTGCCGCGATATTTATGTCTTCGGCCGTGAAAGCTGGCTTAGCTTTCAGTGCCCTGTTGACCCTTTGTAATAACAAACTAGACAGGATATTCCTTCCATTGCGGGCCTGATCATGGCCAAAGGCCTCCGGTACGTTCATGGTGACCCCCCACACGATGACCATCGCGTGAGCAAACAAGCGAAAATGCTTGTTCAGTAGCAAAGTCGCGGCATATTCCGAACACATTAGGATGTTCTTCGCAAGCCGAAGCATCTCATCAATTATTGGCCCAAGGCTTGGCTGGAAGACACCGCCTAGCTCATTGTACAGGCCATGGAGTCGCCATTTGATTCTTAGCAAAGACAGGCGGCTTTGCCAGTAGTTTGCGAGCGCCTCGAAATCCTTGTAACAGGCGAATTGCAGGCTTTGGCGGGAAAGCGAGTCAGCATAGGAATCGCTGGAGGTGTGCAATTTGACATTTCGGAGTAACATTTCTTCAGCTTGAGGATCTTGCAGCTCAAGAAGGTTCTCTGAAAGCTTAAGCGCACTCAAGAGCACTTTGTGCTGCAGAGGCATTTGGAGTCGCAACGAGCGAACAAGCCTCACCAGCCGCGGCAGGCGAATGAAGACCTCATTGCTGAGAGACTTGAGTTGCGCTCGATCGCTGTCGCTGCATCCCAGCCTGTCGTTGGTATAGTACGCTCGGGCCACGTTTTCAAACGGCGAGGACGTATCTTGAATACATGCCATAATGGCAGACTCGCCAGCATGGAAGTCGAGGATGTCTCTCGCAAGCTGCGTAACTGGATATGTTGCAGGCCTGGCGGATAAGATTGTAGCCAGCCCTTCAACATGTAGACGTGTTGGAACGTAATTCCTCTTTACCTCGCCTTCGAAACGAGCTAGCAGCGCTGTGGATGCAAGCATGTCGTCGTTCGCCTCTCCGCGCGACTGCTTGATGTTCGCTTGCACAGCATTGAGGGCGAGCGCTAGGGCTTGGTAGCAGTCACCAGAAGTGACGTTTGGCGTACTTCTTTTGTACGCGCAAGCGGCGACAAGGGCTTTGATAGAAAGGTCAAGTGCGAGCGTGTTCCCAAAATGGGCCGGCAGGTGTTGGAACCATTCCTCTTCGACACCTTCGTACCGAAGCGTGTCGATGGCTCGGCCGATGAAGACGATCTCAGGAGACTGGGGTCTCCGGGCCAGTATTGTACCTCCAATCCAGCTTGGCGGTAGGTCTCCTCCAGAACGCAGCTTGGTCAGCGGAACGACAGACTTGTTGACTGGGTCTGCCTCTTTCTGTACAGCAGCTGCTTGAGAGGGCGCCAGCGTCACTGCAGAAAGTTCAAGAATAACATGCGGAACGACGTTCCTGGCCCCTGGCGTAGTAGGCGAGCGACTTTCGCGGCCTGGTCGCCCCAAGATGGTTTGTCTGACTACACATGGAACGCCCAATCTCCTGCATCGATAGCAAGGCGTTTGTATCGTCCGGAGCTCTCCTGGCTTTGGAACCTCAACCTCACTGGGTAGCTCGCACCGAATGCGCCTGTCGCGACACCCCAAGCAGATCAAACGGGAATACTTGTCTCTTGGCCGCTTGGTCGCGGCTGGTTTGTCTGACATCGTGGCTGAGACAAAGGCAAAGACTATGTCAAAAAAGGATTGTTGTGAGAGTGTCTAGACATGCTGTTCGCGGAACCTACTCCTGTTCAGTCGGGATACGGTTTTCAGGGTCTGGCGCGTTGGCGAAGCGCTCAATGGCCGTAGCTTCATCGCCATACAGCAGCATTCACGGTGTTGCGACATCAAAGGAGGCTGAGGTGCAGGGGACCTCTAACCCAGATTGGTGTCAGTAGCGAGATGCTGACATAATGTCGTTCGAGGGAACCGTCGTCGACATCGAAACGCGGTTCCTTCTCACGACGCTGCTAATCAGGCATCCTAACAGGTCCTTCCTATTAGCTTCTACCTTCGGTGCCATTCCTGAGTCGGGCCTGCCTGCACAGCGGGCCTGTGGCAACTTTGCTTCGTATCGCGCACGGCTCTGGTCGCTGTCGGCATAGAGGTAGGAAAAGGATCTCCTGCTAGATTTTGAGGCTGCTGATCGATGCGCATGCTGTTCACACTGAGGTGTCAGTGTCATGCACCGCAAGAGCTTTTCATTCTTGACTCTCTGTACCGCTTTTGTATATGCCTTCGTGGTGTGCTTAGCGCGACGCTAGACGTCACGTACAGTACCTGGACTAAACCAGATTCAGCGCGGAACTACGAACCGCGCTGCGAGGCTCCGCCCCAGTGACTACCAAAGGAATGCTTCACCGCGTGTGCTCCGTTGCGAGCACTGATAATCCGACAGCACGTACGGGTCGCAATATAGGTATATAAGGTAATCTAGCTGCCACAAAATGGGCTCCCATGTGACAACATTGCAATTTCGCCGTAACGACACTCGCAGACATGCAATCTATGCTTTCGATTGTTTTCCTCTTGCTCATCAAGACGACTACAGGGTACCTGGTCCCAGATCCGCCTGGTGAATACAATGTTACCTTAACAGTCGGGACCCTGACCGACTACACCCGCAATGATCCTTCAGTCGCAACGCCAACGCCTCGGACATTGGTGCTGTCGGTCTTCCAGCCTGCGAAATGCGCCACCACTGTGCCCGTCACCTATATGCCCAACACAACTGCCGAATTCCAAGGGCCATATCTCCAACAGCAGTTCAACATTTCTGCCAACTTCACGCCCCTTTTCTTGGAAGCTCGCCTACCGGTGTGTCCAAAAGCACCCAGCAGTTGCTCGCCCCTAGATGATGGCCCTATCCTACTCTTCTCAGGTGGCTGGAACATCCCACGCCTCTATTATAATGTCCTTGCCTCTGCCATCGCCAGCGAGGGCTTCACAGTCATTACCATCGATCACCCGGGGGACACTAATATCATTACCTATCCTGATGGCCACGCGGTCATCGGAGACGGTCCAGGTAACCCCGATGGCGACGAGTACGCACAATATACGTACGCTCGTGCCGCCGACGCATCCTTTATAATCGATCAACTGAGCAACGCCACTGCCATGGGCGGGCTGCTTCCCCAACGCGGGCCTCGACAATTCCCCACCAACCGCGTCGCTATGATGGGTCACTCTCTTGGAGGTGCCACTTCTATTCATGCCGCCGGGCAGGACACTCGCATCCGCGGTGCAATCGATTGGGACGGCAGTTTCTTCGGTTCTCTGCCTCCGTCGGGACTGTCCACGCCAGTTTTGCTTGTATCCGAGGAGCTCGGGAACGTTACTGACCCCACTTGGGACGCGTTGTGGCCGCAGCTGAAGGGTCCCAAGCTATGGCTCGAGGTCGCGAACACGACACACATGAGCTTCTCAGATGCGCTCGTACTGTTACAGGCCAGTGGACAAGACACGACGGGGGCTTTCGCGGATCTGCTTGGATCGATTGCGCCAGCCGAGTTGGTGCGGCTCCTGGTGGCGTATACGACCGCGTGGATGAATGGGGCGGTCAGAGGTAAGGTAGGAGGGCCGTTGCTTCAAGGGAAGGAGCCGCGCAGGTTTCCCGAGGTCAAAACAGTGAGTTCAAGCAACCTCTGAATCAATCAAGGATGTCCCGTGAGATAGATGATGTCTACCACATTCATGTTTACAGAGGAGCAGTATGCACACTTTTGTAGAAGCGAATTGATGCGGAATGTATGGCTAAATGGGTTGTCGTTGGCACCGGAACGCTATATTTATTTGCCATACAGAATTCATGCACAAATAATTCACGTTAGTAGCAAAATTGAGCCTGGCATTTGAGCAGGCTTTTGTGTTGAGGAGTGCAAAGAAATGTGCCATTCCTGTTCTTCAAGGAAATTTGACATTTGCTGTGAATAGGTACAGCACTAAGTCAGCAATGGGAAGGTTGATATCATTGATATCACCCGTTTCTTCATAGGGCATGCTTAGATCACCGACACCATATTCCATGACATTTACATAAGAAGTCACATAGGAAGGGCAATAGGGGTGATTTGCACGGCCAAAGCACTGTACACTCAGGCATTGTACACACCGTACTTGACACCTAGTGTGGTATCCATTTTGGGAAGCGGTCAGAGTACCACTGAAGCACTTTGAAGATCAATTGATAGTGCAAAGAACAGGGCGAATACTTATCTGTGACAAGGTTTCATCACCTGATAGCCTCATAAATTTACCTATATTCAATCCTAGTCCGCAATGCTGTCTGACAATACCAATCAACACACACGCACTGACGTTACAAAACATAACCAGACAAGAGCCAGCTAAACAGGTCGTTCATAAAGTGATTCAGATATCACTACAAGATCTCGCCAATAACTTCAGACCTCCGCGATCAGGTCTCGAATGGTGGTGCTGTCGTTGTACGTTCTCTCCGGCTGTTTCCACGATCCTCCGCCTTACGGTACTGATGACCATGCAGGTGGTTTTCTGAGTCCATATGTCATGAAAGATGGAACAGGAGAGACCCAAAACCGTCAATGTGGCCAGTGCAGAAATTTGACAGGGCTGGGTCCGTGCCAATGCTGCGATGCTAGCTCATTGACATGAGTTGTTCTTTAAGCATACTCGTCGGTCAAATTCAGGCTAGATACCATACAATTATCCCTTCCAATTCCCACTTCTGTGTACTTGTTGCAACATTGCTCGTGCTTAGTTTAGGCTAAAGCGCATTTAACTTTACAGCTCTAGCACAACAGCTAGTTCAGAGGGCTTGTGGTACAAAGTATTCCCCCGCAGCACATTCTTGGCGTGATTCGAAAATGAACCACAGGGTGGCCAGTGTTGGCGATAATTTAACACAATGGATACCGCCTTGAAAAGGCGTGAAGGGATAACATGAATGCTGAACTCCCTGTAACCTTACATGATCTCGTAACTTCTTGCGGCTCGACGCGGTGAGGATGCGTAGGTCAGTGAATAGAAGAGCTTCATTGTGACAAGTATCAGCGTAGTCCTGGAAGGTAGAGATACATATCAGTGGAAGTGAATGGTGGTTACAAATCACAGCGTTGCAAATTTTTGAATTTTGACCTCCAGCGCGAACAGCAGTGGAGACAAAGATCCTATGTGTTTTACAGAGTCACACAACCAGAGTCTTAGATAAGTGCATATATAAGGCTCTACCCCGTACTACGAACCTTATCATACAACATTCTTGATAAAATTGAAGACCAACTACACAACAAGTGTCCTACTACGCCAACGACAACTAATCAGAGCACGAAATCTCAACGAATACACCTTCATCATCCACTTACTCATACATATACACAGTGACTCAATATTCGCTCCAAGATCTTACCAACTACGCTAAATACGGAGTTTCCTGGTGGTGCTGCGATGATGACTGTGTGTGACCTCTCTCAAATCACAGTTTTGCATTACCCAGAAGCTAATGTTTACGCAGGCCGTTTGAATATTGTGGCGCTAGAGGCAAACACGATGCAGTGCAAAAATTGTGGACATAAGCGTTGTGGTGAATGTACAGTTGACTTCGGACGTCCCGGATAGGATCTGAGTCTGGGAAAGGATCCAAAATGAAATGCTCGAACAGGGAAGGAGTATCGATGTTGGTCTTGTCCCTTATTCAGGTCTACTTTCTTGTTACTTTAATACTTTGTCATATACTCATTAGGATCAATTCCATATGACGTTCAGTGTACTGTCACACCAAGTCCTACATTAGTGCCCCATATAAAGTATCCAATTCACAACCCTGTGCGCAAACGTGCGCCGATTCGCCATGCGCAACGGACAATATTCCAGCAAACGCACCTAGTCAGACCACTTTCATGAGTACGTAAGATAAGGACCCCGCTATTGGAACATGATTTAAGCGGACACGACCCAAGCCATGCATCCTTTAGAGAAACAATATCCACGCCAGGCTTGAAGTTACACCACCTTGAATTCACATTTCTTTCACTGCGCCAACAGGATCATTTCCAGTTGTCGTATGCAAGCTCAGAAATCCGCCAGAGATCTCCCCGTATACTGTTTTTCTCAACGCCATCGCTAGAAAACATTCGAAATTCTACTGTTTAGGATCCGTGACTTTGCACCAAACACTGCAATCCTTCAGCCACCACGCAGACCGCAACCAATGCTTCAATCCTCGTCCCAAAATCCCACCAACAGCAGTAAGTCCACCTGGAAATGCTGCCAATGTGAGTATTGTTCCTGGTCGATCGCTATCTACATCATACTAACATCTCTCAGGCCAGCACGAAAATCCCATATCCGCGAAACTCTGCCAGGGAAATCACTGCAATCATGTCAGGGGCGATGAGTTTCCCGGTGAAGGGAAGTGTGAGTGCAAGTAGGTTCTGCATGACCTTAACTTGGTATCTTGAGTCGTTTCAACTCGGTGGACCAGAGCTTGCTCATTTCACAGCCGCAGTCAACGCTGTCGACAACGGAAGACCTTACATTTGTTCAAGATGCCCAATTCTGTCAAATGACTCTTACGGTTTTCTTCCTTGCATGAGTCTTCCTAACACCCTCTTCTCCCCTTTACGTCTCTCCAGGACCTCCCACTCATCCCCTCAATGCATCAACCCAACCCTCAGGTCTCTTCCTCCCACCGCCATAACCCGTATTCAACCACTCCTCCCCATCATACCCAAATCCGATCAACTCCTCCTCACTCCCCCATACGCCCGCCCCCATCATGCCGACCGGAATTTTCCCCTCTCCTTTCACAGGCTCGACATACCCAACTGGGAACTGTATACAAGGCATGCCCGTGAAGTTCGCCAACCACACATATTCCATGTTCCTGACTTGCGTATTCCCGTCCGTCATTCCGTGGCTTAGTTCTCCGTCGCCGATGGGCCATCCAGCATTGGGCGTGGTAGGTGTGACGATGATGAGGCCCGGGTGGGTTAGAAAGAGGTGTGCGAGGTGCTGCATGAGAAGCTGCCTCAACTTTTGCGCTAAAAGGAAATCTGTTGCGGGCGTTGCGCGGGATACACTGAGGAGAATCTTATTGGGTGGTGTAAGGCCGGCAAGGGACTTGATATTTGCCGTGGTCTCAGCGAGAATAGTCATCGCGTGCGCCATTTGACCTTCGCGGAGCAGCGGGATGTCGATGTCGATGGTAGTGTAGCCGTGCTCTGAGATAAGGTATTGGAGGGCGGCGTGGCAGGCTTGCTGGACGGGCGGGTCGGCGCGGTCGAACCAGTCTTTGGGAATTCCTAGTGTTTTGCTTGGAGAGCTCGATGGGATTCCGAGGGGGCTTGGAGGAGAAAACCTGCTGGAAGTGTGGTCGGATGGGTTGGGTATTGCGAGGACACGATAGGAGACCTCAAGGTCGGCCATGTTGCTGGCGACAGGTCCTCTGACTGTGACTGAATTATCTGATGATTGGAGAGGCTCGGTGGAAACCCGACCATGCGAAGGCTTCAAGCCATAGAGACCGCAATAGTTGGAGGGGATGCGAACAGAGCCGCCTCCATCAGATCCAATGCAGAAGGGAATGAGACCCGATGCGACAGCATAAGCGCCGCCTCCTGTCGAACCGCCCGTGTAGTAGCTCGAGTTGTAAGGATTTAGAGGTGTGCCCCAATTCGGGTTGTTGTTCGTAGTGTCTGCTGAACGTTAGCTCTGCCTTTATCTCATATCTCCAAGGCCTAGGAGGAAACTATACCCATTCCCAGCTCATGCATGCTCAGCTTCCCTATCATTAAGCCACCGGCCTCCTCGACCTTGGCTACGCACCAACTAGTCTCCACCTCCTTACCCTCCGTATAGTCCTTGGTCGAACCGATGTACCTCTTGTATCCTTTGACATCGAGGTCATCCTTAGCACCAAAGGGCACGCCATCTAGTAGTCCCAACGGCTTCCCATCCTTCCATCTCTTCGTCGAAGCCGCGGCTGCCTCCCTTGCGATATCGGCTTTGCTATCGATAAACGCCGTGGAGTGCGGAGAGCGATTGGCAATATCTCTACGAACAAGAAGCAGCAGAGCTTCTGCAACATCGGAAGGTGTCAGTCGTCCGCTTTTGTAGGCATCGTGGTAGTCGGCTATGGTGTAGAAGCGGCCTGGCGCGTCTCGAGGCGGTACACGAAGGCTTGCGTATTGTGGTTCGTCCGTCGGCACTCCGTCCGAAGGTTGAGGTAACCGTATCACTGTTGGATCAAATCGCGGGACAACTCCATCGAGCTCGCTGAGCGATCGTAAACCGGCGAAGCCTGCATTGCGATAGAGGATAGTTGGTAGGAGGGGCACGTTCTCAACGCTGTAACTGTCAGCTAGCACGGAACAGGCGCTGCGGAATTCTACAACATACAGCGCAGCCAAAAAGGCCAATGGGCGTCCCTTGATCACCGGATTTTGCGGAGTAGGAGGGGCTTCATAGGGTACGTTGTGCGCCTTCGCATCCGGGAAGTTGATGTATGCGGTCCGTGCGCGATCAGACATCTTAATTGGAGTGATGCTCTCAAGAATGGGCGATCATGTGTGGCCTTACAAAGACATATGATATTGTGATACACAAGTATAGGACAGAGGATGAAGCTACGTTGTTCTCAGACGACAGGCATGAGCCAAAGCTATTCCCGGATGAGCTCAGCTCAGCGTTCGCAGAAACCTAGGTACGATGATTATCACATGTTTCAGGTACAGATTTGGCAACGATTCGTGAAGCTGAATTGATGCTTCTGTCCGAGTCCTTTGATATACCATACAGTGTTTTCTAACTCCAGCACCGTGCCATGCAATAATAATGTTCCAAGAACGATGATACAATCGTAGTCGTCTCAACACGGCCTCAGCCTACCGTCAGCAGCGCCTCCCCACGCTCGCTTCGTACTTACCATCATCCGAGCAGATATGGCTGGCGGTGCGCGAGCTTATTCTTGTCAGCACGTCGCCTGCATGACTCTTTCCAAATCTGCCCAAGCTAACGCTCTACTGACCCTTGCGGGGGGCAGCGCTGGATCCAGAAACTTGATCACCCATGCGGTTGTACTCGTTCTGCATGCTCTCGACCTGCTTCTTCAGGTTCTCCATGTCGCGGTCCTTCTTGGCAAGCTCGTCCTTGAGAGCACCGACCTCGCCAACGTTGCCAGCGTTCTGGAGAGACTTTCCGCTCTTAGCAGCGGGGTCACCCTTGAGAGTCTTGACCTCCTCTTCGAGACGGAGCACATCGAGGATCATGACGTAGGTTCGGTTGAGGATGAGGGACAGGAACAGGGTGAAGCCGCAAAGGTACATGTTGCGCTGAGAGTAGAATTTGCGTGCCTGAACCTCCATGCGCTCGGAACCGCCCATGGCAACAGGTCTGAGAGTTGTTAGCATTGCGATGGCTTACTTGCTCATGATCGTTCACTTACCCGCCACGGCCATCGCTCTTGTTGAAGGCTGCCAGCTCAACCTGGACGCGGTAGACACGGTTCACGCTGTCGATGAAGAGAATAAGGATGAAGATGAAGGTGATCTATTGGCTCGTTAGACATGTCGCCCGTCTGCAATATTCCGGTCATCCTACCTTCATGCCATATTGTAGCTTCGCGATTATGGGGCTCTCGGAGATGAAGGTGAAGAGCTTGCGGCGCCATGTGAACGGTAGAGGGACGATGAGGGCGAGGAAGATGAGCATCTCCGTTACCAGGAGGAGGAAGACCTGTGCAAACAGCAAAAGTAAGCATGTGGGCAGCATAGTTGGCCTCGTGAGGCTGATTGTTCGGAAGGACGTGGAAAGCGAGGTGCCGACATCGACATATGCCAGCAATTGGCGTTATAGATGGCAAGGGAAGGAGCGAATGCTTACAAGGCTGTAGTAGAGCGTCATGTTGGCGATGTTTCCGAAGCTACAACAGAGATGGTGTGTGTTTATGTGCGGGGTTGTGTGGGTTAATCGACAGGTCGTGAAAGCTTGGGAGAGCTGCAATCTGCTATTTAAGCCCAGACGAGAAGAGGACACGGTGCGTGTGGCTGATGTATGAGGTGACGGAAAGTGAACAACAGAGTGCGGGCAGGAACGCGACCAGGTTTAATGTGCGCTGCCTAGCTTGTGAACAAATACGTCACCTCAGCGCAGCTTCCGTGGCGCACGGACGGCCCTCTGCACTAGCCTTTTACATCCTAGCCGCAAATCGTTCTCTCAAATCTTCAAGCGGCTCTCTCCACAGTCGCCCCCAAAATAGCAAGTGACCGCGAGCTTTGCAGCGACTGGTCTAGAGCGTCGACAATGGCGGACACGTTCAATGACGCAGTGCCACTGGTACAGGAGGAGATTGTGGGACAGCAGACAAACAGTTGCGCACAAGAGATGGACAATGGTAACGTGGAAGTGTCAAGCCTGGGGAAAAGAGACAGACCTGACAATGAAGACATTGAATCCTCAGGAAGTTCTGCGAAGCGCGTCAAGGGCGTTGCTCCCATCAAGACAGAGTGAGTCATTGCACCTGACGTCTTGCTCTTGACTAAAACCAGAAAGGTACTTATTGCATCCGGTTGGGAGCAAAGAAGAAGCAAAGGGAGGTGCGGAGAACGACGATGCTGCTGAAGCTGGTGGTGAGCGCTACCAAAAGGTTGATGCCCGCGACAACCGTGACGGAGGCAAGGGCAAGAAAAATAGAAAGGACAAGAAACACGGCAAGCAGAATGGCCAAAACACAAGCCGTACTTTCGGACATTCTCGCGACAAGCTCCAGCTATGTGCCTCTCGTGCATCATACCCCGAATTCTCACCTAGAGAATGTCAGTTCGGTGAGAAGTGCAAGTTTGAGCACAACCTTCGCAAGTACCTAACGCAGGGGCGACGAGAAGATCTTGAAACTTTTGGTGGGAAATGCCCTGTCTACGAAGCTAGGGGTTACTGTCCTCTCGGTTGGAAATGTCGATTCCACAACAGCCATTCGGAAGAGAGGGAGACGGGGGACGGCCGCAAAGAACTTGTGCTCCTTGAAGATCCCGAGAAGAAGAAGGGCGACCAGGCACGCGATTTTGATGATGAAGTTGGCGTTGTGAATCTCGTTTCAAAGCAAGACAAGATCGATCTTTCGAGACGGCGGCGAGGAACTCCTAAGGCTGATGCATATGTCGAATGGGTGAACAAGATCGCTGATGAAGAAAGGAAGCACTTTGACTCGCAACACAAGTCCGCCGAACAGAGGAAGATCGACGTTGAAGACAATCTTGATCCAGATGCGAAGGAGGACAACCGAGCACAGTTCGTGGAGCCTCCGTTCCGACCCTCGGAGAAGCGTCGTCTTTACTACGGTCCTGAGACCCCCATCCTGGCACCACTCACAACGCAAGGCAACATGCCATTCCGTCGTCTATGCGTTGAGCTCGGAGCCCAAGTCACTTGGTCGGAAATGGCCATGGGACTTCCACTCATACAAGGCGAAAAGAGCGAGTGGGCGCTGATGAAGGCTCACGAATCTGAAGTCCGACCCGTTATGTTTAAAAATAAGAACACCGTTGTGCGAGGCTACGATAACGCTAAGGACATCAAGTTTGGAGCGCAGATTGCTGCTAATAAGCCCTGGGTTGCGACAAAGACAGTTGAAGTATTGACAGCACTCTGCCCTCAGCTTCGTGCGATTGACCTAAATTGTGGGTGCCCGATCAATTTGGTCTGCGAAAAAGGCATGGGTTCTGCGATGCTTGACAGCCATGCTCGTCTCGAAGCTACGTTGCGCGGTATGAACTACGTATCCAACGACGTTCCCATCACCGTCAAGATCCGAATGGGTACGAAAGATGGACAGCCTACGGCCGATAAGCTGATCAAGCGTCTCGTACTTGGTGGCTATGAAGCTGTTGAGTCTGGGAAGGGCACAGCAGGCGTTGCTGCAATCACCCTCCACGGACGAAGCAAACAGCAGCGCTACACAAAGAATGCCGACTGGAGTTACATTGCCGAGTGCAACTCGTTGATTGCTCGGCTGAAGCGGGAAAAGAACGCAAGGACCGACACCATCGCCGAAGCTGATCCCCGAGATCTTGCTAACGAAGGTCACGTCTACTTCATCGGCAATGGCGACTGCTATTCTCATGTTGATTACTACAATCATATCGAGAACGCCAAGGTAGACTCCGTTATGGTGGCTAGAGGCGCGCTCATAAAGCCCTGGATCTTCGAAGAAATTGAGAAGGGGCAATACCTGGACAAGTCGGCCTCTGAGCGTCTGAGCTACGTAGAGAAGTTCGCCAAGTACGGTCTGCAGACATGGGGATCGGATGAAATGGGTATTGGCACGACTCGCCGCTTCCTTCTGGAGTGGCTGAGCTTCTCGCATCGGTATGTGCCTCTTGGGCTACTGGCGCACCTGCCGCCCAACATCCAGGATCGGCCCCCACGCTTTAAGGGGAGGGACGACCTGGAAACCCTCTTGGCTAGCGAGAACTACAAAGACTGGATCAAGATCAGGTGCGTATATCAAGTGTGTAACGAGATGATCGCTCGACTAACTCAGCACAGCGAAATGTTCCTTGGACCTGCAGCAGAGGGCTTCAAGTTTGAGCCTAAGCACAAGTCGAATGCTTATGAGATCGAAGCAGAGGGTTGAGCTGCGATTGGGATTCCCTCATTAGCTCAATGCCTCACTCGCAGGTCTGTTCATGACACTGCATGCAGCAGCTGAAATAAGCGAGCCTAGCTTGTGCGTTGTCGAGTGCGATATCATAGAGTTTCGGCCAAATTTGCCTTCGTACTAGACAACAAAGGGGGCACCATCATCATGAGATCCAAATTCATCAAATTGCGATGCGGGCCCGCGGACTGAAACTGATCGTCGTTGTTTCATAGTGGTGAAGGCAAATTGATCGTCTTTGCCGCTTCGTTTCTATTCTGAGCAACAGCATCCCCATCTGCCAACTGACCAGCATGCACAGATCGTTTCCAAACAGCGTACTCGCGTAGGTCAGGGGCAAAACGCCCTGCATACGCGCGTAGCACGTGAGGGGAACGCTAACCCCATTCGTCATAACCGCCACCCGTGCGCTCGGTACTTTTCCATCCGTTCCAACTTTCCCATCATTTGATGCCAATCCTCCCTTTAGCGCCACGACACCTTTCGATGCCCGTAGCGCAAACGCCTGGTTCTATCAATTGATAGGACAGGGTTGCGATGGCACGCCGCTGGCACGAGATTACAGCAGCGCCTTCGCCGTCCACGGGTCGCTTTCGGAAGAGCTGAGCGCTCGGCACGCGCCGTGGCGACGCTTTAGGACTTGTAAGCGAAGGGCCTGACGGAACCGGCGAAGGGAGTAAATGTGGGAGCGGAAGAGGAATGCGGGAGTCCACGTAGCTAAGGCGTGGGTATCTACGTCCCTCACGTATAGTGGAGTGTCACCACGCTTCTTCGTCTTGCAGCACGCTCTGCGTAGCACCTAATCTCACCATTGCGTTGGTTCTATTTCCTTGCTTCGTGCCCATCGAATCCCTTTGGGTTGTTTACAGTCGCTTCTCATATCTCTAATCGTTCGCTCATGGATCGCTCATAAACGCACAATATGAAAAGTCTGTCTTGTATCTCGCTTCCGAAGACAACAGATGACCCAATGGAACCCCATCGTATTGCGATTAACGGAGGGAACGACACAAAAACTCACGAGGCGGGTCACAAGAGTTCCAAGCTTCAGACCTTGGTTGAAGTGCTAAGATGTGAGCTTGGGAAGCCCGAACGATCGTCAGCCTCAGATACTGGATTCGAACCCTCGAAGCAATGGACAACGCTTTACTACGCAGTCTATCACGATCGAGAAGCAGCATTGTTACATTTTCTTCGAGCAGGACAAACGCCAGACGGAAGTCCCGCTGCCCAGCCCCCACTGTGTGTTGCCGTGACAGCGGGACATGCTGGCATAGTCAGGATACTCTGCGAAGCGGGCGCAAGCATCAATGCGGCATGCATTCACAGTGGAGAGACCGCTCTTCACCATGCTGTCAAGGCGGGACGCGACGACATCCTTGACATCCTCCTCCGATTCGAACCCGATTTGAACGCTCGAACGTTACCTACGCATGAGACACCACTTCACTACGCGGCAGCCAAATCAGGATCTACCGCCGCCGTTGCTGCGCTACTCAAACATGGAGCGAACTACGAATCGCTGAACGGCCAGGGCTGCAGTCCAGCTGATGTAGCTCTTCAGGCACAAGATCTCGATAGAGCTATCCATATCATTCGAGCTGCCGGCAGCAAATCGCACAAACTCGCAAAAGGAAAAAAATTGCTTTTGGACCAGATTCTGGATTCGCGCCGCCGGTCGTCGCTCAACAAAGACCTGGTTGCAGAAGCTCTCAGATTGGCATGCCCATCCGATTCTACAGCTCTGGTAGAGGCAATCAAGACGCGCGACGCGAGCCTTGTCAAGCTTGTCCTCGAGAGAGGCTCAAACCCCAACGAAGCGACCGCATCTGGTCTCTACCCCATATTTGCGGGCTTCGACGCTTGCAGTGCACCCGTCGTACAAGCCCTCGTGGAGTATGGAGCGGATGTCACGTTGCGAAACCCACATGGGCCAAACGTGCTTCAGGCCGCGCTGGCGAGCCCTTTGTCGCGCGATAAGGAAGCGATCACGTCGGTCTTTGAGTTGCTACTCTCCTGGGGGGCTGACGCAAGTACGACTTACTCCGATGGCAGGACGATGCTTCATCGTACCGTTAGCCAAGATCTCGGGTTGGTGAGGATTGTACATCTGCTTCTGAAACATGGTGTCAGCATCGATGCACAAGATCAAAATGGGTACACTGCGTTGCACGTCGCTGCTGCATCGCCACCTTGTGTTGCATTGCTCCTGAAGCACGGCGCAAATCCCAATACGATAAACGCCAAGGGCCTCACACCGCTTCTCGATGGTCTCAGAAGCGCGACGAGTGACAATGAGCCAGATTTTCGAGAATTGATCAAAGCATCCGACAGGGGAACAGTTGATCCAGCAGGAAGGACTTCTCTACACTTCGCTGCCCAGAATGGATTGACCAAGACGGTGAAGTCGTTGCTTGAAGCTCGCGCCGATACAAGCTTGACTGATACAAAGAAACGCACCCCGCTCCTGCTCGCCGTTTCCAACCACCAATGGGCAAACGTCGCCTTGCTTGCGACACAGCCAGGCAACAACTCCTGGGACGATAACGGTCTCACAGCCCTGCATCACATTGCCATTAGCACTCCGAAAGCTCCATCAACATGGAAGCACATCGCCGCTGCTGCAGCGCCATTCTGTGAGAAGGGCGTTAGCCGTAGCATGCGAGATCAGACGGGTTCCACACCTCTTATACAGGCAGCCAAAACTCTTCCCGAGGAAGGCTTGCCTATTTTAGAAGTACTGCTTTCACAGAAGGGCTCGGAGCGAAGTAATTGCGTAGCCCACGAGGACCATGATCAACGTAATGCTTTGTACTATGCGGCAACCTCGAGCAAAGTGACGTTCGTGGAAGTACTCTTGAGGTATGGCTCGCCGTTCACTCTGAGTGAGTGGCGAGGGAAGAAGGGACCAGTCAAGCCAGACAGCGCGGCCAACAAGCGGATTCTGAACCTTTTTGCGGAGCACGAATGGATCCGACGTATGGGAAGGCTGCATCGACAGTTCAGTACTGCCAATGATGAGGACTTGCTGCCCAAGATGCTACCAATTCGCGATCTGAAAGACATGCTCACCATGGGCCTCGATCCAAACCGTCTACCATCGGGCAAGCTTCCGGGTTCACTCCTTTGGGCGTTGCTTGATTACAGTATCTCTTTGCCAAGTTTTCCTTCCAGTTATGATCACGATGCTCTCAAGCTGGTTTTCGCCTTTGGTGCGGATCCGAACGCGATGACGAGCCGAAAGCCTCCACGTGCATCGACTGTGCGTAACTCCCATCAGACTCCAATGTCGGTGCATCCGCTCACCCACATTCTTGAGCAATGCCCGCGTGTAAGTTTAGGCTTGGTCAAACTTCTGCTCGACAACGGCGCAAAACTTTCAGTTGCATCACTGCTATACGACGGTCGTTATCCACTTCATTCAGCCGTGCGAGCCAGTTGCCCTGTAATCGTAGACGAGATGCTTCGCCGGAAGCCATTTGTCGACTGCAGCGATGATAAACAACGCACTCCACTTTTCATTGCGGCGGAGGATGGACTCGTTGAGATTGCTGACTTGCTACTACGTTCCGGAGCTAGGGCTACTGCGGTGGATGTTGAAGGCAATACTCCCCTCCACGTCGCGGCAGCTACAGGCAGTACGCAGGTGTTAACATGCCTACTCCGCGCTGGCGCAAAAGCTACCTGCGAGAATAGTAAGGGTCTTACGCCTTTGCGCTGCTTGTCGGACCACTTGCCAGATGAAGAGAAACGCAAGATTACGGTTTTGATGGAGCAAGCTCAAGAATTGGAACGTCGCAAACTGGCCCCTCCGGCAGTAAACTCCAGAGGGCGCATGAAAGGACCTGGACTGGAGAAGCCAGCAGTAAACGAGGGCAGGAAAGTACTAAGGAAACCCCGTAACGTGCCAGCCCAGCCATCCACGACTGTCACCAATGCGCCCTCCGCTCGAACTCCCATTGTTGTACCACCAACCATAACAAACCTCAATCCACCACAGGTTCCTACAAAAGACACCCCGGCACCACTCCGGTTTTCTATTCGCTACACACCGCCTACACCGCCGACCCTTCCGTCTACCGTTGCCCCACCGAAGCCTTCTCCCGTCCCTAACGATGGAGTTCAACAGCCGCGCCATGCTCCTCGCGTGGACAGTGGTCTTGATCTTTCCAAGGCGGGCAAGGAACGTTCTCCGCCCGTTTTGGAAAGGAACAAAGCTACTTTCGATTCTTTGGGAGATTCTCCTACTGAAGAAGATGAGCTGAAGAGTTGGTTGAGTATGAGTAAGATGCTGGACCGGCTTTAAGGATAGGTCAACGCTTGAAACGACACTCTTTCCTTACGTAAACGGTCACGGCCCGGACGGCATAGGGTCGAGGAATACGAGATACCCCTTTACGTCGCTCAAACGCTGCGATCTAGGTCTAATGATTGTCCAGTCTTATTCTGTAATTTCCTAAGTAACATACCCACATAGCATAGCATAGCATATATACACAACACAATTATAATATACATAATACACATCCACCCCGATTCATCACCCACATTGCCCTTATCTCCTCAAATTAACACCCCTCCCCAGTATACGGCGCCCTCTTCCCACAACACGTCTTCAGACTCTCCGTTCCCGCACACTTCCACGGATCCAGACAATCTTCATAGTTGCGGCATTGCGAACCTGGACATCCCCATAGTGTCGGCGCGCAGCAGGTCGACGTGGGGTAAGAAGCTTCTTGGCAATTATTCGGGGGCGAGCATTGAGAGTCGGCGGTGCAGGTGTCCCCCCCGCTAAGGTAGAGGCGTTGTGGTGGGGTGGTCGGTGCGGGGTGGGAGGTAGTAGGGTTGGGTGTTGGATTCGTTGACGTAGGGAGCGCGGATTGTGAGGCTGGGGATGCTGGGGAGGTCTGTGACGGTCAGCGGGTGGGTCCACGTTGAGCGAGAGGAATCTTGATGGCGTTACGGCTGTAATTAAAGTGGAGAGTGATGCCGTGTTATGGAAGGAGATATTGGGTAACGTCAAGGCAAGTATAATCGTCAGAACACCTTGAAAGGTGCGAGTACTTACAGTGGAAGGATGTTGGACTCCGCTCGAACCCTTTGTCAAAAGTAGCACGCATAGTACGATAACGGATGTGATGATGGCTAGCGAGGCCCCAGCGAAGATCCACTTATGTTTCTTGGGCCAATCGCGCAGGCGATTTCTGGCGATACCAACGAAGGAGCTGTGTTTCGATGATCCGGAGTCATAATGATTTCCATAGACGTGAACGGTGGTGGTATGATTGTGGTGGTTCAAGTGTTTGTTCCTAGTGCTTCGGTTGTTTGCGTGAGTGTTATTGGCTATCTGGAGCTGATCGGTTCCTTCTTGTGTGGCATGATACATTGTAGCGATGTTAAGGGGTCGGGAGGTATCCTCTAGGCAGCTTCAAGCAGCGCATGCCCGCGTAGGCAGCAGTCGTAGCAGACGAGATGATGCAGGGAAGTTGTTGTTGAGAGAGAAAGCAGGTGAGGGAACCCTGGTCGGCGCGAGAAGATCGATGATGGGAAGAAATGGGATGTTGCCAGAATTACCCAGTTCCTACCTCTGGGGGAAGGGGCGAAACCGGTGAGGCTCTGCAATGTTCACCCTCCCGCCCTCTCGTCGCAGGCCCCCACAGTCCACGTTGCCCACCCTGGTATGCTTGGGCATGTTATCTTATTTCGAGTGCGGCCAAAACTTCGACCCAACGTCTAAGCCTTCTAGAATCATCGGGTGCCGAACTTCAAGGCGAAATCGAACGTTTCCACCAGATCGAGCACACCAGTCGCCCAAACTTGTTGCTGTTTTTAGCTTGCTCTATGTTTGATCGTGGCGTTACGAATGTTCAGCAAAAATAAAACGATGTGGCCGATAATCTTGATCATGAAGGACCAGCCAGGCAATTACAGCAGCACTTTCATACATGGATGTAGGTTGTTATCCCACTTTTATTCATAGTTCTCCATACTCTCCCCCTCATTGGCTACCAATGTTCCTTTCTATCCAGGACGAGAACTTTGGTCCATACTTCCAAGTGCAATGCCCTGTTGTGTGACATTTTCGATGGCTGCGTTGAGGATGCCGACCCCTCTTTTGCCGCTTATTCGAGCCGTGCGTTCCTTGTAGCGCCCCACGAGTCCCTAAAAGATCCCTGTCTTTGTGTAGCCGTAAGAGGCGTTCCAGAAATATAGTAATCCGTTCATATCTTACGTACGCCGCCGAGCAGATGTCAGTGCCTGAGACGGGGTGTTGAACATGTGGGGGCTATTGGGGGCTTACAGGAATTTGGAGGAAATTTAGCAAGGTCAATGCGTTACAAAATATATTCGACAGCACTGTAAGAAAGTTCCTACGATGTACTTCCTTGTAACGAACGCGACTTATAGATAGCTAAAAGGAAGACTAATCGCTATGTCAAAAGTCAACCAGCATTGCTTCCCGTTCCGAAATTTTGGAATCGAGTTCTCCACACTAAAGACTTGCGCAGTATGAGCCAGGCCCTCTGCTTCCATGTAAATACTCACTTCGTAGTATGCAGTCTTAGCAGCAACTGATACAAGGAAAGCGAGGGATTACCCTGAGCGCTTCGCAGAAAGGGGATAGAACACGCAATATGCGAACAATGGCTGGGGCAATACGGTTCCTCACAGAGGGCTCCATGCTTCCGCCGTTCAAAATGGGAAGGGCGCTTTTCTCGCCACGAATAATACTTCTAAGGAAGAGGAAGCCAAAGCATTCAAGCTCCATCCGAAACATGTTCTTCATGCACGAAGGTCAGCACTCAGATAAGGCTTAAGACTATACGATCTCTATGCTATACACATGTCTACCATCCTGTAACCCTACACCTCATGGTGCTTCCAACGCTAAGGTGTCTTGTTTTGGTTCAACGCTCTTTGCCCTGACCCCACTTATCGGAAAGTTCTCTCTTTGTTGTGCTCCAGCATGATCTCGAGCATATATCTCGGCAATCTCTAGTTGCTTCTTGATAACATCCGGCTCCATATAGACGTTGTTGCTGTTGACGACTACGCGGTCACCCACAGAGCTCGTGCTCAACTTCACTGATCCGTTTATTCGCTCCAGTATGTGTCCCAAGCCATTGTTCGATACCATGGTAGATCCGTTGCCGACCTGCTTGGAGGTCATCTCAATTTCGAGCTGCGAGGATTTTAGTCAAAGCTTGGAAGACGCCAGTCATCGGATCTAAGTCTGAACACTTACCGTAGGCGTAGGCTCTATGCGAGCTACCTCCTTAGACGCAGCATTTTGATCCATTGTGGCGTCTTCCAGATGTCGTTGCCTTTCAGTATAACCTCTACTGATGGAAGCCAGTTGGACCAGGTTCTCGTGCGATAGTGCCAGCAGCAGTATCTCCCTCTTCGCCTTGAGTGACTCGAAAGCGCGATTCAAGATCTCTGTTATCCCAATCGAATACCAACGGATACCGAAAATCTTTGTGTTTGCCTTCGCAACGGTGTAAAGAGCCTTCTCTGCGATATTGCGTGACTCGCACACAAGCGTAGCTATCTGTCCCGAGGCGCTGAGCTGTGCTCGCTCGGAGAGGTACGAGATCCGTTTGGTGATCTGGATGAGGTGTTCAAGGTTCGTTACGTATTCTTGCCACGCAGCTGGTCCTTCTTTTAATTCGGCGTATAACCTGGTGAAGACCTTCCAGGCCGTATGTGTGTAGACTGCGAGCTGAGTAACGCTTGCTATGCCTCCGATAACTTCCATAGAGATGCCATGTGTCTGTCTAGTTGGAAAGAAATCGTTACTGTGGTTTTGTTTGCCTTTCTGAATGGTACACTGGACGGTGTGAAGAACCCATGGCTTATGTTGGCGTCAGCGGCGGCATCGGGTTATCAACAAATTCTCCTGCGGCAAATTTCTTACGCTACACCGGACAATCCAAGAGAATGGGCCTTGGAAGGCCGCTCTCCTTGCTCTGGGTAACGACTCATGATCTCTTGGTGGATATTGGACATTAGTAATGAGCAGATATGAGATATGGTAGGTTGTGGATGTAGCGCAAGGCTGGGAGGCTGCGTCGAGACCCCGCTTTGAGTATTACCAAGAAGGCAGAACAGGCGGACACAGCCGACCCGACCGTGCCCCATCAATGCAATGAAGCAGCCACATGCACACGTGTCGCTCGCGAATAGGCTCCTTCGTCAGTCATTACGACAGGCGGCTTTTACGAGATCGAGGTTGGTGGGATTGATAGCATCCGATTAATAAAGAATTAGCACGTATTTCGTATTGGTGTAGGAACCGGCTTGCCGATACCAGGAGCATACCGTGTAGCTAATTCTTCCGAGACTGCCCCAAACTCTCAAAGTAGTCAGCACGACTATCAGGCAGACCCGAATATGCTACCTCTGTGCCCTTCCCACCGAGCCTCTTCCCTTCTGTCTGCTTTCTAGAGTCCCGCTTTATCCTCAGAGTAGTGAGCTCGTTATGTTTCTGCTGTTGTGCCTGCACATCTCCGCTGACTGCATTGTTGACGCTTTGAAAATTTTCATCCCCATCTTGACTGGCCTCGAAATCCCCGTTTCTCATGTGGCTATCATCATACTGATCCAAGTCGTTATTGGCTATCTGGGTGTTGCCCTTCCCCTTCTGGGTGGCCCGGGCCTTGACCTTCTCCTTCCACAGTATCAGTTCCTACTCTCTTTGGCGTGTTGTGTGGCTTTGGAACTTACAGCTTTCGAAAGGATCACGCCCATTGGTGTATCTGGCTGCTCAGGCTCTTGAGACTCTGGAGGCATTTGATGGATGCAACCTACCCACACAAGGCAAGAACAAACCTAGACCGAGTTCGACTGTCGAAATATGATTGCCCGACCGAGGGACAGGACCAATGTATCCCGTTGGTGAGGTGTGGTTGAGCGTTGTCGAGTAGTCGCTTCAACCGCAGCGTCGAATCGCTCTTTATATGTACATTGAGGGGCCATAACTGCGAACCTATACATCTGCACAAGTCGCGTCAATCCTACTGCCCTAATTTCCGCCCCCTTAGATTGCCATTCAAGAAGTCATTTCACAATGTACGAGCTGCAGGGCTTGCCCTTCCAAGAGTTGTGCTTTTCAGCCAGACAGAAGGCTAGCCAGCCAGCGAGCCCGTCCCGGCCCAGGGCATTGAGGGACCTCCCAGGGGGAGCAGTCTCGAGGGAGGTCGGCATCCCGACCTCATTCGCCCGAAGCATGGCACACTGCAGAATCTTGCCGACCAGACAGCCAAGCGGTCAGCATTGATTGCACCGGTGAGCCAGTGTGGGCATGGTGCCGCGACGGTGAGTCCTAGACGGGGTCGCTTCAAGTGCGGCTCTTCCGATCTTTGGTCTCCCTGGAGTCTGGGTCGTTTGTTGTCTCTTCTCAGAGATGATCAGCTCTGAGAAGAGCGGCAAGCGAAGTCGATGTAAGGGGCTAATAGCGAATTTCCGTAGCATGGAGCTGTCATAATACTTCTATCAGCACAGTCGTGTCGCAAGTAGCCCTATCCTAAGCACTACACCGAAGGCAGCACGGACTCAAACTGCTACTGGCCTCAAGTCTTCGAACATCCAAGCAGTGTACCAGTGAAGATAAGCCTGGGATTCAACCACGTAGCCTTGGTATGGGTTATAGCAGGCGTTTTCTCCATTTTGACACCGTGGTGCCCATCTCTCCGCCAGTTCGTATAGACAGTCTTTCCGATGGCTCAGCATTACTGTTTCCTATGGGTGAGGCGATCGTGAGTCAGACGGGAAGGTCAAGACCTCGAGCCGTGGAAGATCTATTGTGGCGAAGTAAATGAGCCGTGCGTCGTCAGATAATTTTACACGATATATTAGCTTGAAGCGTTGTCCGAAGCGCTTTCAACCATGTTTACCTTCAGAGCCGGTCGTACAACAGCGCAGCTGCCGCTGGTCAAGTCTTCCCCCACGGCCGAGAAGGAAGCTACACAGCACACTACGCAACGCAAAAGCGATGTCGGATAGGGGCGCTGTTTGCGTGGGGCGTGCGCCGCATATGCGTTTCGCCACAGCTGCTCCGACGCTGCGGTTTGTCGATGCCGCAGCTACAGTGCACGAGCTCCTGCCGGAGTGTCTTCATTTGAGCGAGGAGGATGCCTGAGGTATGATGCTGCTAGTGCAAGGTAGAGTGGCGGGGGCTTCCTGTCACCAGCAGAAGCGTGGACGCGTGACTGGAAAGCCATGAAATGTTTCACGCAGACCTATTCATACACCCACAAGCATGGTGTTCATACTTCGAATAGGCTCCCACATGTGCATTGCGTGATGTCACAAATTTTGGCTCTATCCAGAGCTTACAGAGACCTCCTGCGCTGTGCTGCGCCGCCGGAAAGCGCATTGATGCCTGAAAGGATTCGGCAATGGAGGTAGCCATGAAAGCTAGGGCTTTCTTACTCTTGATGGTGTAGGTTACGGATTGTAGTGTTATGAATGTACCAAGTACGCAGTCTAGCGCAACGTGCAACGCAGCTACTGAGCCTTGTTCGGGGCTCTGTGAAGTTTTCTCAAAGCACCAGGCGCTAGTGCGACCATTGTATTTCGCAGCCGTCAATAACTGTGGGTAGATACCTTGACTGGTGACATAGCGGCAATACCAAGCGATTTCCGACAGTGTGGTAAGGTACGAATAAATTTTGGGCTTGACTAACAGATGACCGACTATCAGTTGGTGGAAGGGTGTGTATGTGGCTGATGGCGGTTTGAGTCGCCGCCAGCGGCATTCTTGGTGGGTGGTGGGATTTTGGGCATTGAAACCGGTGGGCACGCACGGGCTGCCACTGAAGGGATGGTCACGCGGCGATAGTATGTACACTACTACAATCAGTATCATTACTCGCTCAAGTGCCGTGAAAGTCACTGATCATGAATACTCACAGATGAGTGAACATTCATAGGAGACGATGGGCAAATCCGCCTGCAGCATCCTTGAGTCGCAGTCCGTCGATGAGTAAGATGCACAAGTAGCGACTGAAGTTTCGAAGGGTCATCATCCCCATGGAGGAAGATCTTCGGACAATTCGCTTGCAACTAGGGCTATGCCCTATCCGAATTGCGCCGCCTGCAGGCAGGTAGTATCCGGCTCGTCTGAATAGCTGTCATTTCCTCACATGGATTCGGTGTCTCATTTCGACCGGAGTAAGGTTCGTGGCTCATCCGCCACACTGCACATGAGGCAGGGTGAGGCAGAGCCGCCTACAGCGACTCGTGGATCACACGCCCATATATATTGTGATCACCAAACCTGCACGAAATCGAACCACTCGAGGAACAGTTCTCAAGGTATACTCGCTCCCGCGTCTTTGAAAGCGATAAACACCTTTTTCGACCCTTCTATTTTCCCTGTGTTGGCTCAACATGTACCGTAGAGCCACTTTTGACGCATTTCAACGTGGAAGCCAGAACAGCCAGAACGCCAACAACAACCACGCCAATAATCCGACTAATTACCAGTTGTACGTGTACACCCAGACCCTGGTCATCAACCGCCTTTCGTTGTCGAGAAGCTCTACTTTTGCAGAAGTGGCTGCCAAAGCCACAGGCGCTGCACGTACACAGCTAGTGGTGGAAGAACCGAAGTGTCCCATGCCCAGTTTGAGAAGAACGATGATGTTCCTTGCAATCGCTCTATCGACAGCTGCCATAGTTCTTTATTTCGCATTCTGACCCTCAAGACGGACTGTGCAGCTGCAGGCTGTAATCGTGAGACACCAGTGAATGCCTCGTATTCCCTATCTATCTCTTCACTGACAAAGATATATATAGATATTGCCTTAAATCGAAATTGGTGGCAAGGCTGACCAGTGGTGAGGCACCATCCGACGCTTGAGTGAGGTGGAATGAAGGACGCGCTAGTAACGCTAGTGGAAGCTCGGACCCAACGTTCAACTTTCTCGAGCCGGCGCGACTTGCGACATACGAAATCAATCGTGAAGACGTTTCGCTTCCCTTGCATATACGTCAGACATGACCACCATCGACGACCTCTTCAAAGGCACGAGCTCGGCGATAAAGCGCAAATTCGAGAACCCATCCGAATCCGACCCGACACAAGCCTACAAAACCGCGAAACTCAGCTCGAATAGCGACTCGAATAGCGACGCCAAGCGACCAGCGCATGCCTCAGTAGCGGAGGAAGACGATGACGAGGAGGCAGGACCGTCGTTACCTCCAGATTCTGGGGACGAAGAAGGCGACGATGAGGACGGCCGCTTCTTCGGTGGCGGGCTAGACGAAGATGCGAAAGATGCGATGGACTACTTGGATGCACAAGACGGGGAGGAAGTAATAGGCGAAGAAAAATACGATTCATCATGGCTGCGGAAAGCGAGTCTCAATTTCGAGAAGAAGGTCAACAAAAACGCGTCGTTGCGTGCAAAATACGAGGAAGACCCGACCAAGTTTATGGAATCGGAGGGCGACCTGGACGAGAGCATAAAGGGTCTTAGCATATTATCAGAGCACTCGGAGCTGTACGAGGAGTTTGCGAAGAGTGCAGCATCCATGAAGCTGGTGGAACTGCTGGCGCACGAAAATACGGACATCGCAATTGCCGCTATTGAGATGATCTCGGAGCTCACAGATGAAGATGTGGAGGCAGAACAAGAACAGTGGGATGCGCTGGTATCGGCATTCATGGAGGCAGACCTGCTGGGTCTCCTCATCTCCAATTTTAGTCGCTTCAACGAGAGCAACACGGAGGATGCATCGGGCGTGTACCATTCGCTCAGTGTTATCGAGAACATACTATCGCAACCTGCGAACACGGATCTAGTGGGCAAAGAGCAGAAGCTGCTAGACTGGCTGCTCGGTAGAATACAGCAGACCGAGAAGCCCACAACTCAAAACAAGCAATACGCTTCCGAGATCCTCTCTATCCTCACTCAATCATCACGGCCGAATCGCAAACGTATCATTGAAGCGAACGGCGTCGAGATATTCCTCACACAACTTGCACCATACCGGAGAATCGACCCACAGAAGGAGAGCGAGGAGGAGGAATACATGGAGAACCTTTTCAATTGCTTGACATCTCTGGTCGACGAGCCAGAGGGGAAGTTGAAGTTCATAGACGCAGAAGGTGTGGAACTGTGTCTGCTCATGGTAAGGGACGGCAAGACTAGCAAAAGCCGGTCACTCAAGGTCTTGGACCACGTCAGTGGATACGCGGAATCCGTTCCAACTGAAGAGGCGCAAACGAACGGTCATATTTCGAAAGACAACGGCAAGCAGGCTGTGGAAAGTATATCGAATACCGCAGCCCCAGTGTGCGAGAAGATCGTCGGAGCGCGAGGCCTCAAACCCATCTTCAGCGCCTTTATGAAGACTAAGAGACACGACCCTGAAACCACCGAACACATACTCGGTATCTTTGCTTCGTTACTCCGTTCATTACCCGGCAACACCGACTGCCGCTTCCGCGTTCTCGCTAAGTTCCTTGAAAAAGACTACGAGAAGGTCAACAAGCTCGTGGCTCTGCGCAGAGACTACGCTGCACGTGTCGCTGCCTTTGATGCTAGGCTCAAGGACCGGAAACGAGGGCTGTCCAAAGAAGAGCAGGACGAAATTGATGTGGAGAACATCCCGTCACGGCTTGACGAAGGCTTGTATTGCCTAGAGCGTGTGGATGCCATTCTTGCATGGCTGGTGGCTGAAGATGATGGAGCGAAGAAAGCCATCGTGAAGGCGCTGGGTGAGCGAGATGAAAGCTTGAGGGACGTGAAAAGGACATTGCAGGCACAACTAGACGGGGTGTTGGAGGTGGAATCTGCTGAGCGGGAGATGTTGGAGACTTTGGTCGCATTCCTACAGTGAGTGCGCAAGCATCTGCATCCAATTTGCTTCAAACGATTTGCGCGAGTAGACAATGTGTCATATCCGAGGCATTGCATGCGCATTGCGTCCATATCAATGCAAGGTCTAATGGACATCGTCCAAGGCAAACATGCAAGACGTAGCTCGGACAGGTTTCGAGGTTCCATAACGGCTGCTTTCGTCGTTGGGGTGAGCTAGTGTGGTGTGACGCCGCGTTGACCCAGCTGAAACGCCTACGAAGGCAGTGTCTTACTTTCCATCGATCTTGGCAGTCGTCCTCTACACCACACTTCTTGCCGAGGCGAGGCTTGTCCCATATCCTCAATACTTCACAGCAATCTTCCACCCCACACTACACGCCCTCGCCCAAATAAAGCACATCAAGCTGACTACATAACACACAAACGTGAAAGTCACAACCCCCCAATACCGCCCTCCACTCGCCTGCAGAATGCCTCCCGCAATCGGAATCCCTGTCAAAGTGCCAAAGCTCACAATCGTATAGCATGTTGCATAATACCTGCCATACACATTGGTATCACATAGCTGCCCCACGCACACCGGTGTGAGACTAATATTACTCCCGCTAGCAAATCCGAAGATTAGCGCATAGACGATGGACAGCGCTTTGATAGTGGTGTTGTCTGATGGGGAACTGGGATCGAGGATGGAGGCGGGCAGCCAGAGAGTTACGGTGGTGGCGGTGCACAGGGCCAACATGGCGACCATGCTGTTGAAGCGGCCGAGCTTATCGGCCATGATGCCGGAGCCCCAGCGGCCGAGGCAGGAGCCTGCGTTGAGGATGGCGATGAGTTGGTAGGAGAGGGCGGGGGTGAGGGAGCCGGTAGAGAGGGCGAAGGAGGTTATGTAGGTTATGGGGATGAAAAGTGCCCATTCTGGGAGAAAGTCAGAATTACATGACTCCAGCACAAAGATAAGAAGTTCATCGTACCCATGAAGTACACTCCTATAGTGACCAGTAGGAACGGTATGTTCCGGAAGATACGCAGATCAGGCATGACCGACTGACCAGGCTTGGGCGGCAATCTTGAACGAACAAGGGCCACCGACACACAACAGCAAGCTAGAATGATAAACCCCATGACCCTCGTTGCCCATGCAAACCCTACCTGCGGAAACAGCTTCTGCAAACTCAGTGGGAAAATAACTCCTCCCATACTCCCACCCATCGCTGCTATACCCGTCGCATAACCTCGCTTTTCCAGGAAAAAGTGGCTGACGGCAGCGAGAGCTGGGGTGAAGATGAGGGATGTGCCAATGCCGCCTAGCACACCAAATACGAGCATGAAGTGCCAGTACGCAGTGCAGATGCCGAGAAGGAACATGCTGAGGCACAGGCAGACGCTGCCAGCGAGGACAAGAAGGCGTGGGCCGTGAGCGTCGAAGATAGGCCCTATCTGGATGCCGCAGAAGAAGGACAAAAAGACGTACATGCCGAAGATCCAACCGATTGTGCTTTCGCTATAGTCCTTGAGCTGGTTTTCGGCAACATATGCTTGGACTGTGTTGATGTTAGCTTGTTATCTTGATTCACACCAAGGATTCGTGGAATGGGCTTGCTGTTCACCATACTGTAGCCCTCGCTACCATATCAAAGCACATTTTCTTGGAGGGTTGCAGTTTGGTCCAGCAGATTCCGATAATAATGTTGAAACATACATATCCCAATCGTGTTCATCATGCCAAAGGCTCCAATGACCCCGCAAAACGAACCCAAAACCACAAGCCATGCAGTTAGTCCGCCTTCTGGGTACGGCTCCGTTGGTGGCTCCTCCTGAACCGCATCTTTCTTCTGCGAATGCGGTGCTCCTGGTGGTGGCCCCGGTGGCTGATCCCGACTTGCGACGAGTTCCATTGTGCTCGCAGAGTCTCGACGCTGGGTTCGACCAGAGCGGCAACAAAGACTTATGTTGTGGGGGCGCTAGCGGCTATGTCTCTCCGGTCCGGGGCGAACGCCGAAAATCTGGGAGCGAGCATGCAATTCCGAATGCGCTCAACTCCGAGGGGTATAGTGGCCTTGGTGGTGGAGCACCATAGCGTTCTTTGTAGGTAATCGCAGCGCAGGGGCACAAGTGGCGGTCCATTCTGCAGATGTGGACTCATAATTTGGAGCGCACGATGATGATGGAAACAGGGTATGCTTATCTCAAAGCCGCACCATGCATGTCGAGGCGTATGGAGACCTACACAGGCCGGGTATAATCTGTCGATGTGTTAATTTGCGCAATGTCTGTTCCGACGTGGAGTCGAGTGGAGGGGCGGCGAGAGTCGAACATCGCCTTGAAGTGGGCTGACATGGGCAGGCTCTGTGTACGATTCGATTCAACTTGTGTGCGTTCAATCGTGTCTGTGGAACTTCGTCTCATCTGGCTACATTGCTTGGTAGAAGATGAGTTGTTATCAGCCAGGCGCGTCTCACTTGTGGACGCTTGGGCCACCTGTACCACAGGGTTTACTTCAATGTCAGGTTGCACCATACACCCCTTCACAGCGCTTTCCCAGGTAGACTTAGTATCCTCATATGACATACTGACAAGGCTATATGCGACACACATGATGCTGCCCTTGGCAGGCATTAGCGTTGCGCAGGCGAGGAAAAGCAGCTGGCGAGACAACAAATAGAGTACCATAGGTAGTAGTGTTAGTAGTAGTAGTAGTAGTATTCAACGTCTATATAACCTCCCGGGGGGATATGAGACGCGCCGAGCACCTGTTGGTGAGGGCGTATCTTGCTGCTGTCCCTCTCCGTTTAGGGGCAAATCAGCTTGTCTTCTGTGACTGGTGGGTCATAATGAAATGTACAAAGAGTGTTTATACATACAAGGGCAGCTTAGGCTGCCCGAACCTGTGTCGTTAGACAATGAAAAGAGCTATTGTGAGGGGCACTGTATAGAATCATGGAAGATTTGGGGTACAACTCCGCCTGGTATACAAACAATGGATACTGGAGGTTTACCTGGTGTATTTTTCTCTACAGTGTATGTCACAGTGGTGAGCTTGCTCATCCGCTCATTGCATTTGTGCGCCTACCCCAAAAGACTCTCTCCAATACGATGAAGCTAGTGTGGCCTCGGCTTTGTGTACTTGAGCCTCGATTCGACACATAGTATATAGCGTGTCAATACTCAAGCCGAGCCTACACAAGTGCTCCATCCCCACTGCCTCGAAGGACTTTCTGAGCGATATCAATGCTTGGAGCTCAACCACGTTAGTTCGGAGAGCAAGCGCATCCTTACGGTGAGCGCACGAGCCTGCGGTGAGAGGGTGGATTTCAACTCGATGAAGGTGAATGCACGTACCACTTTCGCCGATAGCGCGTTTGCAAACGGGCATACTTTCTCCAAGGTAACTCTCTTTTGTCACGGACCTCTTGCCCCTCTTCTTGACCACCCACACACTTGCTACAGCAGATCTTATCGCATTTGCATAGCACAGCTACCACAATCAAAAATTCAAACTACTTCTACTTTCTCTACTCACTCAATCTATCCAAGATGAGTCCCTCCATTCTCAAGCCTACGTGGCCGCTCAAAAAAGTTCTCCCTCAAGAGGACTCCCGCCCTCATAAAACGGGATATTCTGTGTCTGTTCAGCAGCAAAGCGCGCACAGAGAAGCGTGCGGATGAAGACCAACAACGCGCGCGTTTGGAGATGAAGCCGTGTGCTGAAGTCCTCGCAGTCAGCACCACTCCAGCTCGAGAGCAGGTGCCACAGACTCCCGTTCGCTCTCCGATTGCACCCACCGCCTCACCCAAGACCATTGAACCATGGTCAGCCTCCAAGGACACTACCAACACGGCGACCTTCGACTCCGGCTCAAGCCCAATCACTCCGCCATCCACCGCCACCACAGGGTACAGCACTAGCCTTCCCACTACCTACGGTGCCGCTATGGCTTTCTTCGACTATTGGTACAAACAACAGCACCCGAACATCAGCATTCCCGAATCAGAGCGCAACCTGTTTCGCGGCGTCATCATCACCCTCGCTATTGCATTGCTCAACTGCTTCGAGGAGCCCATATACTCTTCGCTGATTGGTTTTCGACCTGAAGAAGTCCGCGTACCTTATTCACGGCGTGCGCTCGAGCAGATTCTCGCTTCCCTCACCGATGACCGTATCGATGCTCAACGCCTCGCAGAAAACCTTCTCTCTGTCACCGGTCCCGATCTTCTGGGCAGCCTTTCACCCCGCGAATTCATGACGCGCATTGGGTACGCAAAGACCCGGATCACCGATCACGAATCGTATGCTCTTCACGATGGGTTCCATCGACTCCTGAGCGAAGATCGCCAACTTTGTTAGATTCACTGCGTATCTGGATATATGGCGGCTTCGCACACATATGGTCTCATTGTATCTCGATCGGCAACAGTCTAACGGAACAAGATGCAAAACACCTGGTACAAACCGCCAATAGGCCAGACCCAAAGTAGACGCTCGAAAAACGTCAACGGTCTCATATTGGCCTCCTCTGTCTCCTCTTTGCTTTTGGGTGGATCACGACGGATCTTGTCCCACACAGTCGGCAATGTCTCTGCGTGCCACTTCTTTCGCGCATCCTCGTATCGCTTGCGATCGTACAAATCCCAGAACTCATCTTCTGTGTAGAAAGACGCCGCGTAGATCAGCTTCATTCCGCGCAGCTCCTTCAGTCGCTCTTCCAACCTACGATTAATCTTATTGAAAGCCTCAGGCTCGCCGTCGCATGCGCCCCAAACACCCCAATCCATGAACAGCCTGCCTCTCTTCTGCGGTACACCTGCGGGCTGTTCTCCGGGCTTTGTTTTCCAGAACGGATGTCCCCAAACCTCGCTATCGTCGGCCAGCTTCCTCACCGGCGTGCACCACATTGGCCAAATTCCCAGTTCTTCGTCCACGTAATCGACCCACTCCTTCGAAGTCTCGACTGGGAGAATAAGATCCTGTATGATCGCAAAGTCTGCTGAACCCGTTGATAACTGTGCTTTGTATATGCCGCGAGCATTGCACAGCTTGTCGAACAGGGCACGGGTAATGCGATTGCTTGGGACACCGAAGTACGCCAGCATAGTCTCGCCTCCCCAGAATGCCCCCCGATCCCAACGGAAGAGGTAGCTCCGCAGCGGAACGATTTCGCTGTGGCCTGATGGAACATCTTTGGTGTGACGATAGCACCACTCATCCAGTGGCCGATCGAAACGCTGCTTGGGGTAACTCTTAGCTTCGGTAGACTTCGAGTTGATATGACGAGCGTATACAACGACACCATGCGTCTGGTTATACACCACTCCATCGATATAATCGTAATCCGGATTAAGCTTGTCGCAGAGTTCGGCCATCCGATCGATGGTTCCCTTCACGCTGTCCTTCTTCTCGTACGTTACCAGTACACTGTCCTCGGCTTCTCTCAACCGCATCTTCACCAGTGTCACCACACCAAGCGTACCCAGACTACATCGCGCTGCATCGAACAGGTCGGCATTTGCCCCTCCTTTAACCGCGCGCACGACGTCGCCATTGCCCAGGATCAGCTCTACCTCCAGGACGCAGGCATCGAAAAGCCCTTCCTCCCAGCACATGCTCTCGCCGCTTGCACCGCTGAAGCCGCCGCCTACAGTGACATCGGGGAAGTCCATCAAGGTCGTCGGCATGAAGCCAACCTTTTGCGCCTCGTGGAGGATGTCACCGAGCTTGACGTTCGACTCGACGATCGCATACTTTCCAGCAACATTGATGCTGAGAATATGGTTCAGGTGCGTGGTAAAGAGTTGCGGGGTCCCGGGTGGGCGCATACGGGTGGCGTGCGTGGAGCCATGATTGATGCGAAAAGGAATGTGAGCCTTGTGAAAGGCTGCGACTTCTTTGGACAGAGATTGCACAGCTTTCTCGTGATGCTCGAAGGTGTAGGGTGACATGGTGAATCGCTGGTGCAGTCGATGTACTGCACTGAAGTTTTCAGAAGGCTGCGGAGCGTTCTGACCGCGCCAATTTGAGCATATATACCTATGGTAACCTCCGTAACCAACTACACGTTAATATTGTACCTCTCGCTTTCCTATGCGCATATTTCGGAAGCGTGCTAAGATTTATGGGGCGCCTCTCAGAGAACAATATCAAGCCTCGCTTGCGCCGTGAGGATGGTGTTGCGACGCGTATTTCTTTGTTCATCTCGCGCCTCCCCTACACTATCGGCCGGGAAAAGGTACCACATCGCTGTCAGCTTGCTCTAAGAGTAAAACATCCGGGACTAATCGTCCACAAAGACAAAGCCACGGTTTCCTGTCGAGCGTTCATCTATTGTGAGCCTCTATGCACATAGCTTGCATTCCCGAAACGCCCTGTAGAATTACTCAAGAATTGCTGATTTTCAAGTGCCACTTCGTCCTTGTGATCCATAGGTCAATTGCATAAGTCCTCAGATCAATGTCACATTGAACATTCACTTACTTAAGTCTGATGTTACTGATTGCGCATAATGCCGAGAATGACATTGCATAATATATCTGTTCTTCAAGGAAACATTCAATCACATCGTCACAATCGATAACAGTGCCATGCATTGAGCTCACTTGACGGTGGAGCATCCTATGAAAGTTTATTGGCTTACCTTATGTATGGCCCTCATCAATCCCAGTGATTGCGTGTTTTGTAGTGTCTTCGAAAGTCAACATGGCCTTAACGGACAGTGCTCATCTAATCTTCATATTGATTGTTCTGGCCATTAGTGTAACATGCATCATTTCAGATCCTTCGTCCAGGATTAGTACTGTTATGAGCGATCAAAACTGTCGGAGGTCCTTGGTACTTTACTGCTTAAACTGCTTGACCTGCTTGTCTGTCACTCTAATTTACCTTCATCAGCCCTGTCTTCGTAACTTTCATGTACTGAATCAGCCACGAATGGGCTCGAGTCGTCTCAATGCTTTTACTTGAGATATCGCTATTAATCTCCTGCGTCAATCTAAACACAGTCGATCGGCTGGGGAATGTCATCGCAAATTCACCACTCACGCCCGAATATGTGAGGTATCAAACACTGTCGGTTCAACAATGTATCCTCACTCTTCACACGCGTTGACATCCAACGGTGCTTCTAGTTAAGCAAGGCGGCCTTCTGTAGTATATATAATAGCTCAATATCCACGGACTTACTTCGCCAGAACAGCACGTACAGTAGATCGCGAATACAGCAAGTGAGCAAGTCAGCAAATCGGCCATCTACATCGATCAAATCACCCCCACAACACATCATCAACCCTACAAAATAACAACGTCAATCCTCGATACAATGGCAATCATAAAGCTGAGCGGACCTGTCAATTTTATCTCCAAGCCGAAGTTCAAGTGCTGCGCATGCGGTGCCAGCGCTCAATACATACCAATGTTTAGCTGTCCCAACTGCGGGCACGATTTATGCGGGGATTGTCACTCAGAAACGGGTGTCGGACGTTGAGGCCGCTTGAGGAAGGAACAGCGTGCGAAGAGGTTACCGGCGTCCCTCATATAGGGCCTTGAATTTATTTGTTTTTTACCTGGTCTCAGACTGGATTTATCTTTCCAGTTCTAATTTCTTGAGGTTCAGAATCTAGCAGTCTGCATAGTATTTTAAAACATCTGGCGTTCACGGCTAGGGCTTTAGGTGTTTTACAAGATTGGAAGTACGATCGAGTGATTTTTGCTATTGATTCATTGATTACACTGCGAACCGTGATGTGTCTTTCGCCATCGGCGCTCAGCAAACAAGCAAGGATTCCGTGATCAAGGCTTATTTCATCTGCCTTCGTCAATGCTGTGATATGAAACGGAAATTTCTGATACTGTCCTTTTAACTCTCTGATACTATCCTATGAATTCTCTAACTTCATATTTGCACTTGAACGCCCTTTGACCTTACTGTTCAGAATTCGCGTAATCGAACTTTAGCAAACAGGTTTTAATTACGCCCGAAACATATCATGCATCGCTGTTGGAAGGAAGTAACTGATGGCACCTAAGCGAACAGAGTGCATCAACGACGCTGAGACAGTACAGAATGTGAATATGTAGCATCTTGAATTGCAGATCATGTCACACATTCATTGATTGGTGTGTCTACACAACGGAATCCGTTTGAATGCGCAAACTTAACAAAGACATGTCTACCAAGCTCTCGATAGATGCCTCTGTGATTCTTGATATCGACAAGCTGGCATCCTCATGCGTAAAACAATACGTACCATCCGCATCCTCGGGCTCGTCTTCGATGGCTTCGCAACTCAGACTCCACTGCCCCAGACCGTCAAAGAGCTCGAAGTGTTGGTTCGTGCAAAGAATAAGCCCTGCACCTGCGACGCATGCAACTCCAGGAGCCATGCAATATTCAAGTGCATTCGCTGGCCACACTTCACCATTGCCCTTCACTCGCACCTCACCACCAATTGCTTCGGCAACACCGTCTTCGTACCTCCCAAGCTCTCCTCCCGCGCAGCATGGCCAGCAGAAGGCACGTCTCTCGTTCGTAGCGTGATTGCCTACTTTGACCGACCACTACGCAAACTAAATGATGAGCAGCTCGCAGCAAGAGCTACCCTCGTCGCATGGCGCAACCGCCGCTGGCCAGATGTCCTCACTACCTACGCTAAACCCAACGGTCGTGCACTCCTGCCCACCCACGAAATGCAGCATCTCTGGCAAACCATCAACATCCTCTTCTTCGGCGGACCCATCCCAGGCATATCCTTCCGCTGGAAGAAGATCAAACATAGCGTCCTAGGCCGCACAACCACCTCCCTCTCTGGCAACCCAGTCATTAGCATGCATCCCGCCCGCACAGCGCACGACTTCGGCGACTACGCCATTTTAGACTTCCTGTCTACGCTCGTGCACGAAATCATACACGCGTTCTTGCAGTACTATCCGTGCTGGTTGTGTCGCTCTTGGGCTAGGGATTACACTGCGGGGGGGCATGGAAGGCTTTTCCAGATACTGGCGAGGAAGATGGAGGAGGTATTTCCTAGGTTACTGGGTGTGCCGGTGAGGTTGGGGCGGTTTGAGAGTTTGTTGGGCGATTTGGGGGTTAGGGAGAGGGAGGGAGGTTGAAGGGGAAGATTCCGAGCTCGTGTGATTTGGAGAGGTGGGGACTAGTGGATGTGGATACAGATGTGAAGAACGCGGATGTGAATAAATTGATAAGAGGGTGTGTGCTGGCGGGGAGGTCTGATTAGCTGCTCCACAACTCGGTGACTTGGGCGAGGTTTGTCGTCTAAACGTTTAAAAGGACATGTCCCCTCGCAATCACAAAGCTGCCCTCTAGTCTACGGGACATAGCGCATGCGCACCATACACAGCCATAATTCCACGGCGGCAAAGACGCCTCCTTACCGCGCTCTCGGTTCGTCAGGACTACTGTACTCCGAAGCTCACCAAACCTGGTTCCTGGTATAATCATACCACTTCACCACCTGAACGGAGAGATACATCTCACCTCGGCTAACACCATGCCTATTCGGCCCACCCCGACCGCGACCTGCCCGAGCTTCACCCATGAATCGCCCTACCCTAGCTCAGAGCCGCATCGCACACGCCGATCACCTCGGCACCCATCACTAGACACCAAGCTCCCACCCTCCTCCCGCCATCTCCCAACAGAAAACGCTCGCGCTGAGTGGCGCAACGTTCGCCGCATTTTCCACGTGTTGCCACGGGTCCTCGCCGACATTCCCGCCGGGATGTCCGTCACCACGCCTGCCAGTCATCCCGGCGATGCATCCGCGCTTTCTAGAAGGCCGTGCAGCGTGTTCCACGTCAGACGCAGCAGAGGACATGGTTCAGGCGCGGTAGCGAGACAACGAGGCACGGCAACACGTCGGCACCTGCGCGGCGGCCCTTCCACGGTCGATGAATCAAGATTCCGTCAGAGTAAAGGGTCTTGGGAGGTCGGCTGGACAGCCGTGCGTACGTCATCGTGCACTTGAGTCGATGTTGCCGATGGAGTTGCTGAATGCGTTGCGTTTGCGGCTGAGGTGCCATGGGTGAAGGGAGGAGGGGCGTCGGAATGACGCTGGCGATAAGAAGGCTGGCGCAGAGCGGAATGTGGAGATGAGAGTACCGCAAGTGATGGAGTGCGGAGAGAACTCCAGATATAGTGGTACGTGGTACTGGGACCGGCGCCCGTCCTGTACCAGTGACGACATTTCTGTAGCATTCCGGCATCATCGGTCGTTGTTACTGCTTCCAGTGCTTCGTGTGAACAGGCGATTGCACGAGTCAAGTAGCATTCACATGTTCACGACGTAAAGTCACTGAGAACAGAGTCGTTTGACGTATGATGTCTAGCGATGAAACGCTAGTATAGTTATGAACGTACCAAAACACTAACAAGTCTACCCTCTCTAAGTAGGTGATGCAACAGTGCTAAACCAGCAATATACCCAAGAAATTGTAGCGACGAGCTGCACTTAAGCGTGTCTCGTACCAAACTTTTGATCATTGAAAAGACGACACCACCAGCGGTCTATTGAAAACAGACGATTAGAAGGGATATAACGGTCGCGCGATAAAAGAAAGTAAAGAACCACTCATAACACCTCTAAGATGCACATCAGATCGTCATACCAGCGCTGTGGCTGGTCAAATGAGAGGCAGCTCCAGGAATGTACACGAATGGTAAAAGGTCATGCAGGTGCCATATCCAAGTGTGCAGCTTCGTTGCTGTTCTTGTAAGGTCATCGTAAGCAACCTCGAGGAACGCCGAGCCGTATGCAAGGAAGTGATGTCGCTCGTAACTTTTGTGTGAATGCCGATACGCCAGGTGAAATCCGAGTCAAGTGAACCAGTTCCGATCTAGAAGTGAAAGAACGCCATGAAGATGTCGGATTCGACCAGGGGGTATCAGGTGAGATGAGTGCCGAAGTCGAACGGTACGCGATGCTGTAGAAAATAATGCTGCAGGACAAGACTAGAACATGGAATTGTCCATGCCCGTCATACCAGCGCCGGCGACGTTGGCACCGACGTTTAACCCTTGCAATGATGGCAGTTGGCTGAACTGGGCACCCAACAGCTCCGGATTGCACTTTGGCGAGTGGGCACGGTGGTACTTGAGGCCGTTGAGGTTCTTATATCGCTTGCCGCACATCTCGCATCGGTAAGGTTTCTCCTTTTCCATGCCAACAGTGCCGGGGTACGGTATCGAGGTGAGAGGGTCGACGATCGAGAAGGTGCCGTCCTCGTTCTCCTTCAGCTGCTGGTTCTGATGGCCGTGCTGCGGTTGCGTTAGTACAGAGGGGTGATGTGAAGGGGAAATGTGAGCTTACCTGTTTGTGGTATTTGAGACCATTCTGGTTCTTGTACGCCTTCTCACAGCCAATGACTGGGCACCTGAAAGGCTTCACCTCTTCAGGGAACGGGAACTGTGGTACGTTCGCTCCGTTCATGAGAGCCTGTTCCCTCAGTCTCTTCGCAAGATCGGTCTGGTCGCCATTGCTCATCTGGTAGTTCTTAAACGCTGCCTGCAGTTGTTGCTGACTGAGGCCGGAGCCTTGTTTGCTGAAGAGGCGCTTTCCTGGCTGGTCGATGGTGCCGTCGAAACCGGGCATGCCAGTGTTGAAGCCAGTGCTGCCGAAACCCATGTCCATGCCTGGAATTCCCATCATTGGTTGGTTGAAGCCGTTGAGGAAGTCCATGTCCAGCTCCGCTGGAGTGCTGGGATGTGAAGACTCTGGCGATGTGAGGTTGTGCGTCATGGGTACAGTGCCGAGTGTGGGCGTATTGACCGAGGAGACGGTAGGATTGTTGGGAAGGTTGTACTGTTGTGAGGCAGCAGGAGTGGTAGGCGTGGATGTGCGCAAACCTTGGTGGTTCTGCATGGTGTTTGCCATATTGATATTGAGTGGTTGCAGCTGGGCCTGGTTCTGGTTGAACTGCGACTGCTGGCTGGAGAAGCCGGTGGGCGCCTCTTCTATAGTGGCAAGGCCGTCGCCTATGTCATCCATGTCCATGTCCATGTTGTCGTCCATATCTTGCACCGTTGACAGGTTCGTTCGGCTGAAGCCATCCGATCCTAGCCGGTTGGAGCGGAAGCCGCCGACCGAGCCTGACCGGGGATGGAAGCCGAACTGGGTGTTTGTGGCTGGCTCGCCTTGTGTCTGTGTCTGACCGGGCGTAATACCGGCGCTCGAGGCACCAGTGGTGGGCGGAAGACCACCCTGCCCAGCCTGGGAGGTTCGCGAGGGCGGTGCGCCAGCGTGTACCTCTTCGAAATGTTGTAGCAGGTCGTGCAGCGAAGCGAGCGTCAAGCCGCAGCAGGCAAAATCTTTCATGAAGTTGGCCTCCAACTTAGGGAGGTACGACGAGGAGTGATAGGAAGGCGACTGGTTGTTGAATGCGGCGGGCGAGGTGCCGGTCATGAGGATGCTGGGATCATTAGCATTGCGTTCAGCCGAGCGCTGACAGGCTGGTGTTGCCTTGAAGATATGGGTGAGCACTTACTCATCGCGGATCCATGAGCCGACGGAGACGCCGCCCCAGCTGAGGCCGTTCACGAGGCTGTTCATGGCGTTGCTCTCGCGGCGCGGCCTGTCCTTCATCGAGATGGGACGGGCGCCGCTGCCGTAGAAGGAGCCGCCGAGCCCGCTAATGGAGTCATTGCGGGCACTGAGGCTGGGACGCTGGAATTCGTGGCCATTATGGTGGTTGGAAGGTGCGACGTCGTTGCGGTTCGCGCCTGCCTCGCGCAGGGCAGATGTGAGGTTGGACGTCTGGTTCTGCGGGGAATTCGACCCGAAGCGCGGGGGCGTCGCGATGTCGATAGGCGAGGCTGCTTGTGCCATGTCTCGCAAATGTGTGTGCTGTGGCGGGCTGCTTGGGAACAGCGGGAAGCTGCAGTCGCCCGGGTCTTCGAACAAGAGGTCGGGCTCGAGCTGCAGGTCGCAGGGAACAAGCTCGTGGGGCTTGCGGTGCCAGGAGAATAAGAGCGGGTCGTCCTTGCGGAGGCGGGCGAAAAAGGGCTCTGCGACGGAGTGCTCGACGGGGGTGCTGATGGGAGTGCTCTCTGCGGTGGATTCGCGCCCTCGGTCGCTGGCGAGGGGAGAGTGGCAGAGAGGCGGTGGCGTCGAGGACTCCAGCTTCACGGCGGACGGGGTGTTGCGTAAATATGTGGGTTGGGGCCGGGCTGGCGGTTGTGCGGTCTGGATGACTGTGCAGGGGCAGAGAAGGCTGTTGGCCAGTAGTGCTACGGTTGCTGGGCTTCGGACAGTGGGCTGCCGGATCGCGGGCGCAGGACGGGATATAAAGGTTTCGAAAGCAGCGGTGACGCGCTGCAAGAGTGCACCTGGGATCCAATCACGGCTGGGAGGACTAGCGCCTTCGGCCGGTCAAATGAATGCTGCCACTTTGACGACGGGCGGGCGATCTCGTTGCGATGATGCGCGGGCGATGGTCGCGGAAATGGTTCGGCAGCGCAGCGGACGGATGCTAGCAATGGCTGCACTCGGTACGCGGCGGCGTCAGGATTGCGTGATGGATGAGGATAGTGTGTATGTTTGCAGGCGGCCAGGAGAGATGGCGCATTATTATTTATTATCATCGCAGCGGCGGCTGGCGCCCACCCACACCTGCCCCTACCACGACTAGCAGATGCTGGGTAGGGCAGACGAGCTGCCCGCGCTAAACGAGAGCCTACCTTGGCCGCTGCTGCACCCCTACAGCACCGCGCCAGACACGCCTTGGCTCGCCGCCGTTGTGCCCGTGGTGAGCACCAGCAGCACGCGCAGCAGCAGTAGCCCTTCGTCGCCGTCGCCGTCCACCTTGCGCGGCTCTTGTTCTAGCTGCTCTTCTAGAAGCCCTTCTGCGCCTCCCTTCGGCGTCCCCACGTGGCGGGGATGCGCCTGCCTGCCATCCATTGAACCGTGGCACCTCTGCGCAACGCCACCTCGAGACCCGAGCCTCCAGCGCGACCACCCACCCCTTATGCCTCGGGCCCTTCGACCTCTTCCGACACGTCCCTTCGAACACGTCGTCGCGAGGCTGCTGCGCGTCTATTATTGACCGAGGCCCCTGGCGCAGCCATCTCGTCTGCTTCACCTGCCCATAGCGCCCGACGCCAAGCAGCTTCTTGCTAAGCCGCACCTTCTCTGCGCGGATCGTCCTACTGCGCTGCCCTTGGAGCCGTCATTCTCGTCTCCGCCAGCGATTCCGCCAGCATGAGGTCGGCGGATTGCGGCGGCGCATTACTGGTTCAGTCCATTCCGGATCTGCACCCTCGGCACTACATCCACTTTAAGTTCGCGCCGTCTTTCCTCCGCAGCAGGCTTGTGGCTGCAATTAGCCTGCGTACACAGACACGTACACCAGCCATGTCTAATTTCCAGCTATAGGGCCACAAGTGCCAGGACCTATCGCTGCCGCTTTGCCTGACACTTGGTGTAGACAAGTCCTCGGGTAAAGGCATTCAGTGGTATGAATGATCGTCGCCGAGGTCGCGGCTTTCTTGCTGAAGGAAGCGAAGGAAGCGCTGTCTTGCATGCCCCCACCATACAAGGACAAACCGGGGGCGGGACTTGGCTTACATGCATGAACGTCAGACTTGCTCGTCACAAACTGCGCCGTAATCACGGTGACTCCAGACTTCGGCCTATCACGGCCCAAATCAAATCATACCGCTGAAATCACATCACAAGGGCAGACTGCGCACTCGGTCACTGCCTAGACACACCACTTCACGAAGCGAGCCACCGCCATCCTGGCAGGTCTGTTGCTACCAACTGCTTTTGCTTGTCCTGAACCATCAAGTTTGGCGTGGGGATATCAAAGCAAGTCGTCTAGACTCGCACTTACGATTCGTTGGTTTCGATACTATGGAACGCCGTTGCAGCTAAAGAGCGCCCGGCAGACTTTCTACCACTGCCATTGGCCATCCGCCTTCAAGTAGCCCCCATGCTCTGAGTCCCTCTCGCCGTTCAGTATACCCACCATGGGTCTCGCCCCCTCGCTAGTCGGCTTCGCTCCGTTCTCCAGCTTGTTGTAGGGGCCCAGATTGCTTACCGTGAAGCCAGGACAAAACAAGAATATCTTCCATCCTTTAGGACCATACTCGACGGCCTGGCAAGCACTCGCCATATTGAGGGCAGCCTTGCTTACGCGGTACTGGTCAGCCTTTAATGCATAGTACTCATTATTCGGGTCGAGGCGAAGTCCAACGGATCCTCCGCCAGAAGAGACATTGATGATTCGTGGGGTTTGGTTCGACTTCTCAAGCAACGGAGCAAATGCCTCGACGGTCGCGTGAGGACCAGCAACATTGGTGCGGAAGACCTCGTTCAATTTCTGGAAAGTGGTCCCCGGCGCATCGGCAATCGCAGCATTGTTGACGAGAGCATCCAGCCTGATCGAATCAGTGGCCTTCTTACCGAGTGTGGCACGCAACCTACCGCCCATATTTAGCTTCCACCTCCTTAGCCGTTGTAGTCACAGAGTCTTCATCGGTGACATCGATATGCACCAACTCAACGGTACCAGGCAGGCCGCGAGACTGAAGTTCCTTTATGGCAGCTTCGCCCTTCTCGAGGGAGCGACTGCCAAGCAGAACATGTTTGGATGCGTCACTGAGCAGCTGCGCAGCCAATTCGAAACCAATGCCGCCGTTTGCTGCATATCGAGTTAATTTCATCTCAGCTCAAAATCTCAAGCTATGGTCGTGCTCTTACCGCCAGTGATCAAGGTGATGGTTTTGTTGTTAGTCATTGCGGTCCTCGGTTCAGATTACTATGATTTAACAGAGACTTAACAAAGGCACATGCACCTTATATACATTAAAACTATCCCAGCCATCGCTCAACTGAACATTGAAGAGATACGCTATATCGAGGTTAACACGGAGATAGAGGACTATTTCCACTTATTGATCATTAGGGCGGATGTTCTCCCAGCACGCTTTCTCAACACTCACCAGTCAAGAGCAAACAATGACCTCTCCGGTTCGCGAAGACTCTTAGGCGAACGAATCTCGAAGCAGATATTGACAATGCTTGCATCCTCTGGCTTTCCCTTTCGCGGAGGTAAACGGGTAATCGCCCTCCTTGCCAACCACACGCATCATGCGAAGTGCACTACCTTCAACGGATTTTGGAGATAACGGATGTTGAGCGCTCCCGTTATCCAACAAGGAGCTCATGAAGTATCTCGTCTCCTCCTGCACCAGATACCCTCAAGCGTGCTTTGGTGTCTGATAGTTGCGTCTATTCCATCCCTGTGTACATCTCAGCACGACGCGGCGGTCGATCGCTCCCACGTTTTTGTCATACCCCTACGCAACCAAATCCTCGGCACACCAACACTGATCCTTGTCCGCAACATGTACAGTAAGCCACCGTTTCATCGGCGTAACGGGTCGTTACATTACTAAATCCCTGCGCCCAGCTCAGAGACGCGGTAGACGTACACAAACGTGTTGGTTCCGAAACAGCTGATTACATTTCTTTGACTTTGGTAAGAGCATGCGAAGTGCGAACGGGCGGACGTCGCGTCTCGGAGCTGCAGCCGAGAACGCTGACCAGATCCGATAGCGGCTTCGGGTGGCGCCCGTCAAGCGTATGCGGCCTAGCGGAGTGAGCTAGGGCTGGAAACCGTTCGCACGAGTGGCACAATTTTGCAACAAACAATACCCTTCTGACAAGAAAGTTCGGTCGTTCGGCGTTCAGAAACCTGACCGGCGAGGTTAGCTGTTTCTGCTTCACGGACGTGTTGGCCTGCCTCACGACGTTACGCCCGGGTAAGAGTACATCCACTTCCGCAGGCACGATCCCAGAATGACTGCCCGGTGCAGCAGGTCACGCGAACAAAACGTACCCTATTCGGAGATCAGGGACCACGCTACTTGTTCAGGCTAGTGATGACACGCTCACCGCCTGCCATCCAATAATTTGACCAATAGCTTGCCGGTTGTGGCGGCAGGTGAGGCTTTGGGTAGGGCGGTCCCAGGTCTACAATACACCTGCGACACCAAAGCTGTTGGCCGTGGTCGCCATCGTAACGAGACCCATCTTTCTTGTCTAGTCTGGGGTTTCGTGGCCCGAGCGATTGGACACTCGGGCCTGACACTAAGGACTCGGAGACAAGACGGGCCTCAACATTCAGAACTAGACGGTGTTCTGAGCTCAAGGACTTTTGTGCCACCACAAGCTACGACTGCAGCGCGGAAACGCGTGTCAGGACCCTGGGCACGCGAAGATCCACGTGCGAAATCTGACGGCCGCAGCACCGCAAGGTTTGTTCCTGCAGCTCGGCTCGAATGAGGCTGGTCACCAGATGAGCCGCAGCTTAGGTTCGCCAATGTACCGTGCTCTTGCATCGTCGAGATGGAGCGTAATTACTCACTTCCTTAATAATCGACGCATGTGATGAGAAATGAGACTGGAGCAAGTCTGTGTGCCAAGCTCACCTTGCACGTGTGCTATTGGATGTCATTGGTTCAGTAGTCTGTAAGCCATCGGGAGCCTCGATGCTTTTAGTTATCCACCTCCACATATTGATTGATGAGCTCCACGCTCTGCGCGTTCTCTGCGCGTTCTGTGGCACAGTCTCCATCTCGAGTGGTCGGCCACGCACACGACATCTTTCCGTATCTGTTTAGCTTGGACAGCCACACGCCCATTCGGTCCGTTTCTCCATCTGTTACGTTATTAGCTCGGGGGGTACCCGCCGCAGAGTGGGCATGGAAAGCAAAACACACGGCTGGCGCAGAGGCGGTATGAGTACTACTTCGAAAAATGTGTCATGCGTACAGCTGAGAACGAGACGAGAGATTGGGCACTGAAGCGTCGGTCAGTATTACGGGTTGAAAGCTGCAAGAAGTTTGTTGAATTTGGCCAAGTGTCTGGGCCACGCATCAAGCATTGCTTCGTTTATCGTGTCGTGGGCCATGTCATCTCGGTCCAACGGAGCTGAGGATTGCGAGGGTGGACCGTTCACAACAAATGTCGTGAACAAAGCTTTGAGGGACGGTTTGCGCAACTTGTTACCTCGCCAATCTCAAACCCGAGTCTGTCCTGCTTGCGAAGATCATACAGATCTAATTTTTGGAGAGTCGTATAGTCGTCTTCGCTTATAGCAATCCAGAGTGTTAACGACTGTCTCTCGAAAATTTGGTCGCCTTCAAATTTTGCCTACTTGCACCGTGCTGCACTTTAGCATGGCGGTTCTGTACATCCCAAGTAAGGCCACCTGCACCGTCGACGAGGGTCTAAGAACGCAACGATGGGTGGGTCAATCTTGGAGTAGCTGGCGAGATCTTTGTGTATTATCGTACCACATCCATAGACATAGTGGTCGTGTCACACGTGGCACATCTGCACTCACAGGTGCTCTTCAGGGTCCAAAGACTAAGCAGATCGGGTTAGCCACTGACGTTGGCTCATGCAGGCGCGGGGACCACCACCGCGCACACATGACCGTCACTCCACTGCAAGATGCCTTCTTCTTGCATCACAAGGCAGCATACTGCTCATCAAACAATCGATCATGGCTACTATACCTGAGGCTATAGACAGTCGTAATGCGTCAGAATCCTCATTAGACGAGTTCATCCAACCAGAGACCACAGTGCCTAGTACCAGATCCGTACTCCGGAAGCTCTACGTATCGCATACGCTATCGACATGGAACGCACGCACATTCGAATTCAGCGCCGTCATTTTCCTAGCTACCATCTTCCCAGGCACGCTTTTCTACGCCTCTTGCTACGCGCTGTTTCGCTCACTCACCGCCTTTCTTCTCTCCTCCGCCGTAGGCCACCAAGTCGACAGCAAAGAACGCCTCAGTGTAGTTCGGCATTCGATAATATGGCAGCGTATCTCAGTCGCTGCGTCATGTGGCATTCTCCTTCTACTGCTCCAATCTGCGCCGGAGACATGGGCGTCGATTGCATGGTTCTCGGTATGCATAGTGTTGGCAGGCGTGGAGAAGCTAGCGTTCGTGGGAAATACGGTGGCGGTGGAGAGGGACTGGGCGGTCGTCATTGCGGAGGGACTGGACGTTCCGAGAGAGGACTTAAACAGTCAGATGAGAAGGATTGATTTGGTGTGTAAGTTGGTGGCGCCGTTGGGGATATCGCTGGTGGATGGGTATTCGACTAAGGTCGCGATTTGGGTGGTGCTTGGACAAAACACTTTGAGTGTTGTATTTGTGAGTGTCTTTTTTCGAATCGTGGGATAAATGTTGATTACATAGGAATACTTCGCCATTGCCCAAGTTTACGACGCGATTCCCGGTCTAGCGAGCCGGTCCACAAAGTCTACGGCTAGACCTGACGACGTCGAAGGTCGGCAGGTTCCATCTCTAGCCCCTCATCGTGGAATCTCTTCCCTCCGCAATACCCTCCAGCAATGGAAAGCTTACTTCCTGAATCCGGCCAGCCTTGCCTCCTTCTCCCTTGCTCTGCTCTACTTCACGGTCCTCGGCTTCGGCTCCCAATTTACAACATACCTCCTCACGCTGGGCTTCACCTCTACACACATCGCCGGCATGCGTCTCGTCTCCGTCATCCTCGAACTCGGCGCCACATGTGTGGCGCCCCTCCTCATGCGCCGCATAGGAGCTGTCCGCGCGGGTCTCTGGTTCATTAATTACCAGCTTATTACTGTGCTCCTTGCCATCGCCCTATTCACGCTCGCCACCCCTTCGACACAGATTGCCGGCCTTTCCCTCGTCGCAGGGGTCACTCTCTCCCGCCTTGGACTATGGGGCTTCGATCTCTGCGTGCAGTTTCTCGTACAAGAGGAAGCGCCGGAAGCGACTCGCGGATCATTCTCCTCCATCGAAACCTCTCTGCAGAATCTGTTTGAGCTGTGCAGCTTTGCGACGACCATGGTGTGGACAAGGCCCGAGCAGTTTCGCTTCCCGGTGTGGGTGAGCGGGGGCGTGGTTGCGGTAAGTGCGACGTGCTTTGCAACGTTTGTTAGGGGGAAGAGAGGCCATCTGTTGCATACGAGTAGATGTTTGGAGAAGAGGAGCGGGAGGTACAAGGTGTTACCCACGATTGAGGAAGAGAGTGAGGTCGAGCTGGAGGCGGTAGGTCGGGCGTGATGCGCATTTGGATGGTTAAAAAGCATTTTCCAACGTCAAATCTCGAATCTAATATGCTTGCGTCTATTTCGCACTCTGTTTACCTCGCTCCTTCCCTTTCACTCTCACCGTCGCAGAGAGCAACGCTTGGCGGCTTGGCGGCGCTCAGCTCCCACTGTAGAAATCAGCGACCGCGCTCCTGCCCTTCTCTTTCCAACTCAATCCAAGTAAGTAGACCGCGACCCGACAATTACCTGTACTGATTCATGTAGATGTCGAACAATCACCACGTAGATCACCACATAAAGTCAGGGCGGCCAGCTTCGCCGACTCGTCAGACTCGTCAGACTTTCGAGCAGCACGCTCAGCAGGTTCAGAGCCCGCAGGTTGCACAGCACTCGCAGCAGCAGCCGTCGGGTCGTCAGATTTTCGAGCAGCACGCTCAGCAGTATCTTCAGAGCCCGCAGTTTGCACAGCACTCGCAGCAGCAGCCGTCGCAACGTCAGTATCACGGGTAAGTCGTTTCCATCACATTGCTTTACTGTACTGACCGCTCGTCACGTAGCTCACGCGGAGGTCACAACCGCGGCAACTACGGCCAGCGCGGCAACAACCGCACCACCAACAACAGCAACAGCAACCGCAGCCAGGATCCTGTCATGGAAGCGCTCGCCGAACAGACCAGTACGATGCAGATCCAGATGCGGCAGGATCGCGATCATTTTCAGCAATTATATCAGCAGCAACAACAGGAGATTCAGCAATTATATCAGCAGCAACAACAGGAGATTCAGCGGTTGAGAGCGGGTCAAGCGGGTCAGAATAATGCGCGACCGTATTCACGTGAGTGCACATTCAGCATATGCATTTAGGGACCTGTGACTGACGTGTATGTAGAAGAACCAGACTGGAGACTTTACAAGGTCCTGGGAGCCCTGGAGGATTATATAAACGACTACCAGCAGGATCCGCACTACGACATCCAGAAAAATCTGAATAATCTGGATGCCGGGATCAAGATAGAGATGCTGCATTATCGCGAGGCCAACATCGCGAACCGGTACCGTGCCTTGATGGAGCGCTACGACAACATTGCGCTAAGTTACAATCCGCAACACCGCGCAACACAGCATCCCGTGGCTCCCGGTAGCCTGACAGCTCCAGCACCTCTCATGCAGTTGCAGCAACCCATCCAGACAGCGCCTCCCATGCAGCTGCAGCAATACATCCAGACAGCACCTCCAATGCAGTTGCAGCAACCCCTCCAGACAGCACCCGCGCCCCAAGGCAGCTTTAGAGGCCCGACTGGTAATGGAGGTGGTGTGCTGCCCGGCTCTAGATGGGCCTCAAATCAGCACCAAGCACCTACGTCTGTTGCCAGGATGGTACAAATCAACCCAGACACTGTCACCGGCATTTCACTTCCACGCCTGGACCCAGCAAATATCAACCCCGAGTGTTACCAGCCTCAGCAAGATGACCAGCTTCAGCAAGATGACCAGCTTCAGCAAGATGACCAGCTTCAGCAAGATGACCAGCTTCAGCAAGATGACCAGCCTCAAATTCGGTATCAGGCTGATTAGATGGGCGTTTTTTGTCATGGTTTACGGGCATCTGAAGACGTGAGATGTCCTAGACTCTCACTCGTTCAAGTAAGAGATCCCAGATCTTTTCTCGTACTGTTTTTCGTCGAGTTGTCCCAGACCCTCGCAGATCTTCTGAATGGATCCCAGATCTTTTCTCATGCTGCTGTTCGTCGAGTTGTCCCAGACCCTCGCTCGTTCAAGTAAGAGATCCCAGATCTCTTCTCGTACTGTTTTTCGTCGAGTTGTCCCAGACCCTCGCAGATCTTCTGAATGGATCCCAGATCCATGGTTCTTGTTTTTGCCTCGAGTAGATAGTGAATAAATTTGTGTAAGACAACTTGATATTCTCGATCAACTGTGACACCGTTCGCCTATGCTAGGTATGATTTCTCGCCCATGAGCAGTGCTATAGTCAGAGCAGCTGTAATCTATTCGTTCACGCTCTACTAAGAGCTCCTTTGTGTCAATGATATCTTCCCAATGAGAGCTAGGTCGTTCCACCTCTCGTGTGTCGATGACATCAGCAGAGAAGCTTATTCTGGGAAACATGAGATTGAGGTCGAGCTGGGGCGGTGGGTCGGGCTTGATGCGCCTTTGGATGAATAGAATGCATTCCACAACATGCAATCGCTCAGCAATAGGGCCGCATCTACTTCTCATACTGCTTTTCTGGATGAGTATTCATGTATCAGTCTGGGTTGCTGGCAGAACTCATTTGTCGATCTTGCTGCACATTTACATGATAGATGAAAAATCTGTGCGAGTGACAACCATGCAGAATGCTAAGTGGAATGTTTATAGCTCAGTTTTGCGGTCTAATGAGTTGAATGCCGTGTAACTATGATTCATTTCTTCTAGCTAGGGTGAAATCAGCAGAGAGCTTGGTCTGGGACACAAGCAATTACAAGACTTGTTCGGGGAATAAGCGATGTATATAGCAAAAGCAACGGTAACGGTGAAAACGTGGTAGATCTCATTGGGATCAACCCTTACCTATCATGATACGCTTAAATTGCATCGTAGTCGTCGTTGCGGTTGTCCTCGGGCAGATAGTGACCGCCATCTAAATTTTGTGGGATGTGGTATTCATCAAACTGATTGATCTGCATGTGTTTAGGGTCAGAAGGAACGGATTATTGAAGTTCATAGCCAAGGCCCTCGTGCTGATCAAAACTGATATTATCGTTTGCGAGAAGAATAACCCCACCCGGCCATGGTACAGATCCCCAACCTTTATCAATTGTATGATACATTCACTCTATTACTGGCTAAATCTTGTTGAATGCTAGCTAGATCTGTTGAATAGCTAGATCTAGTTGTGGTAGACGTTAAAATAGGGCACTAAGCTGTTAACATAGGTGTACTAACGCATTTCAACTAATCGTTAAGTAGATATATACTATAGGTAATACAGTTAATTAAAATAGGGAGCTGTACCATGGTAGGGGTGGGGGCATTCTTTTCGCAAAGCACCGATATCGTACGAGCTCTGGTAGTAGCTATGTGATTACACGACGTTTTGACGGTAGTGTTGATGAAGAATCTGATGTGTATGTTGCACCGGTGGAGCGAAGGTCGAGGGATGACGCCGCGCTCGGCGAGACTCACTGTGTACACGTGCACACACTCCTTTTCTAAACCTCCAAGCTTCCTCAGTCATGCCAGATCCAGGCGATGACATTCCTGGCATGCGAACTATCCTAGGAGGTTCATATGCCTGACTGGCCTGACCAGTATTGTTTCTCTGCTCATCTTGATGTGTGACCTGTGTCCAATTCTCGTCTTGTTGGGCGCAGAGAATCTCGCACGCTGCCAGCGCGCCTTGTCGTCCTCTCTCGACAATAGCTTGGTCTCTTACTGTGCGCGGTACAAGCATAAGTGGCACTGGGGGCTTAGATCCCGGAGGCATTTCGTTGTCAACATCGACGATACCATCCGAGACCCTTACCCAAGAACCATTTTCGATATGTTGTGGATAGTTGTATAGCAACGTTGCTGGATCTCGGTGCCCAGGATACACCAAGGACTCGCTTTCAAGGAATCCACGCAGTGGGCCTCCTGCAAACTCTTTATCGATCACTAGGCGACCGTATAAGTATCCAATCTGGTTCTCAATCTCAGTGGAGTCAGCTGTGTCAGGCATGCCCAAGGAACGACGGGTGGCAAAATTGGTAGCCTGATGCCACGCACTTAATGTCTCTTCCTGGAGTTTTTCCTGGTAATGTTGTTCGCATTCTTTCCAACCGCGATAGTATTGGTAGTCGAACAGATGCTCCTCGTTATATTACTTCTTAACGTATTCGAGGGCGTCCATCAACGCGTCTTCGTCGATGGCTTTGGAGGAGATGGTTGTCCTAAATGCTTCGAAATCAACTTCGAAAATTGACTCCATCTTGTCCAGAGCTTTCTTGAAAGGCCTTTCTGCCATTTTTCTGTCTCAGCTTTTGCGGTTCCGGCAAGCTCTTTCGCGGCTTTTACATCCTCGGCGATGATCGTCGCGAGCTCTTTCCCGTGCTTTCCTCCAGCATAAAGAGCGATGCCGCCGTTCAAGATTGATTCTGCGTTGTTGCCTGAAGTGTGCTCCACAGAATTATATGTCCCCAACAAAAGCTTGCTCCACCTTATTCAAATAGTCCGTGGAGTGCACGGGGAGCTTGCTGATAAGGCCGAGTCGTTCTACCATCTTCTGGCATGTATGGAGGCTCTCCTTGCGTCCTGATGCGATTGCGGCGCTTGCTTCGCGCTCTACACTTTCTTCACAGATTATAACCTTGGTATCGTCGCTCAATACCCGAGTGAAGAAGATGTAAAAATGCACAGGACTAGAATTGCATTTCAACCTCCATTATATATTCTGGCACATCTTTTCGGTGTCAACATCAGGAGTTTCCATCTTCCTACAATGACCGGATCGCCCTCTCCTCAAACCTGACCAAGACCAAAGCTTCAGTGACGTGTGTTACCTCAGAAAAGCGATACCCGGCCACCTATAATCCTAGCAGTAATACCTCGCTTACAATATTTCGGTCGCAAATCGAAGAAGAAAGTTCAACGAACGTTGCCGCAGCAATGAGAGACCATCTTAACCAAGTTCGCCGCTGCCGTTACCTGCTAAATGCCCTGCGGTTCAAGATCGCAACGCCAAAGTTTCCATCCAGATGGCAGGATGTATCGAGGCAATCCGAGGGTGTGGATGTGATGAGTGCTCACCACAGAGATAATCCGATACGTCCTCTGTCCTCGTCGTGATATCGTCACGAGAACCTCTATTTTTCCATCCAAACCCATCCACATTCTGGAAATGGGCAGTCTCACACTTCATAGCAGGTCAATTTGGTCGTATTATTATTTAGAATGCTTATAGTCGGACAGAAGCTAATTTAGAAATATACTTAAACGTGGACGCTTATGTAGAGAAACACCTCCATGCGTCCTTCCTCGTCACTACAGGGAATGCGAAAGCACGATATAGCGTCAATCAGACATTCTACATTCCTACTTCGTTGACGACAACGTACAACTCAACGTCGCCTGATGTTCACAACGACATCCGTCTGCGTGTGGAACCAGGTGTCCTGTGTCTTCCACGGACGATCATGCGCCATGCTGATATCGAAGTGACGCAGGATCTCCGGCACGAGCGTGTGCAATTCGGTCAGAGAGATGTTCTTCCCAATGCACACTCTGGTTCCGGAACCAAAGGTGAGCAGAGACTTTTCCATTTCGCGGCTCCTCGCCTCAGACTCCAGCCATCGCTCAGGTTGGAACTCATCAGCATCCTCTCCGAATACCGTCTGGTCGAAATGAACGATGCACGGATTGCTGCCAACACGCCAGCCAGGCGGGATGAAGTAACCAGAAAGTTCGACACCTGTTTTTGGCGAATGTCGCTGCATGCTCAATCCGACGCTGGGGTGGAGACGCATAGCTTCCTTGATAGCAGCACCGGTGTACGGTAATTGGGCGAGCGACTCAGTGTAGCGGATGGGAGAGCTCAGGCTTGCACGATGCGCGTCGATCTCCTCCCGGCATTTCGCAAGCTTCCCGGGGTGCTTCATGAGGAAGTACAGGGTGGCGCGAAGAGCAATCGCAGTGGTGTCCGAGCCCGCCAGCATGGCAATGTAGGCCTCCAAGGTCACCTCATTGTCGGTAAAGCCGGTGTGTTCGCCCTTGTCCCGAACGATCTTGCTAAATTGTTGCAGCATATCGATGCGATCAGCGATACCGGCGTTGATCTCTTTGACACGCTTTGTGACAACGTCAACAGCCGCCGTGTGGATACCTTCGAAAGATTTCAACGCTTTAAAGACAGTTGGAGAGATAATGGCCGAGCCGAGGACGAACGGTCGGAGGTATGTGGGTGCAATTGCGGCGGCACACAAGACGGGCATGAGGGCTTCAAGCGCTCCGATCCAACCACCAATGTCCGTGTTCTTCTCCATAAAACCGAACATGTTGCCGAACGAGAGTTCTCCGACAACGTCGAAAGCGTACATCTGGAACCAGTGGCCAATGTCGACTTGCTCTTTCTTGTCCGCAAATTCTGTCATGCGCTCGAGAAAGAGGGTAGTACACTTCGCCACATAGTCCTCGTGTCTCAAGACATTCGCCAGCGAATACACAGGCGCGACGATCTTTCGGTACCGCGTGTGCTCTTTCTCGTCGATGCAAGTGAACTGATCTGGCTGTTTCGAGATCTGCGGCGCGCCCCAGATTGGATAGAAGTCGGTCTTCAGAAGCGGATCTGTAAGTCGATAGATCTTCGGTATGTCGGCCGCATGGGCAGAAGTCACTTCGTTCGGCGCCAACCGCACCACTGGACCATACTTCTTGTGCATGGCACGCTGCACCTTATCCATGTCGCCCATGTAGACCTGGTACATGTACCAAATCCGCGTCACCGAGGCCCAGAATGGTCCTGGCACTTTTGCAAGGGGATGCAGCGTCACTGCGTACACCATCCATAAGAGGGTGTAAACAAGAGTGACGATCGGACCGACTTTAAACAGCCATGTCCAAGGCGAAAGGCCCAGGATGGTCTCCGGAAGGATGGCCATGACAAAGGATGGATGTTCCAAGAAGAGAGACAACAAAGAGAGACGGGTCAAGAGAGCTCTCCTCGATGCAGGTGCAAAAAGAGAGCGTATGCTCCTGGAACGTCCCAGCGACCCAGGGGGCAATATGTACGCCTCTACATTGGGGTCCAGCGCCGTATCTGCTCACCCGTCCCTAAATGCACTTTCAAGTGCCGGCGCTGGCGCCACCTGCGAAGGACTGTCGCAAACCTCTGGCCCACATCTGAAAGGCCTTTCCCAGAGAGGCAGAGATTTGCTGTGTGCGCCAAGCGAAGCCAAGGTGCTACATGGGTACCATGAGCCCAAACCAGGAGATGCAGCAAGCGGAACATACCATAAGTACCTTCGTAGATCACAGTTCCCCATCGCAACGACCTACCATTCGTCATTGATCCGCGGAGACATGCTGATCATCACGACTTCCTTTTGTGAATGCGATTTTTCTGCACTCAGCGTGTGCATAGTGAGCTTCAGCCCCCACACGGTCGAAGCAGGGTCATGGACCGACTGGTAGACCGCCGCGACGGCCCGCACCCCAGTCGCTCACCCCAGTCGAGCGATTTTGGCGCACGTACTAGAGCCAATGTCAGTCTGGGTAATTCGATTTGGAAACGCTCGGTGGCATACCAGGTTCTCAACAGCCTCGCGGTCATCTCCGCGGAACGGAGCCCGCTTCCCCAATCCGCGGTGACACGCCATGCAGCACTGCAAGCGAAACAGTACTAGAGAGTCACCGTGCGAAGCCACACCCACGCATGCATCAGACCATTTTCTCTTCGTGTTTACCAACAGTGGCGCCCCGGGTCTCATTACAAGACGTTTTGAATGTCAGGAACGTGGGTTTTGGAAAAGGAGAGAACGTGATTTACGTTGCACAGGAGCATTGCGCCCCAGCGCCAATTCCACCCGCCTCCCGCAGCTCCATGATCGGAAACGGGAAATGGCCAAAGCTATGCAAACCCACGCCATTCTCCACTCTAGGAGCCGAAGGAGCGGGCTAACGGGCGCGACCATAACCGTCGACGCGGCGGCATGTGTCCGGACTGGGATCAACGGTCGAGAGAAGGCCAATCGAGGAGGTGTGCACGAATCCCACGAGAGAAACTGTGTCAAAGCTGCGCAAACCGTTGCTCTTTTCGTCGACGATCCTTGACTGTCCCTGACATGCTTGACGCATGCCTGGACCTTACGAAAACAGGAGGAAAAAGCAGATCACTATCTTTTCAGGCTCCCCGCTGATGTTGAAACCATGCCCTGAAAAATGGGCACTTGCTTCGGGAATCATATAGTGGAGTGATACCCGTTCTCATGGGTGTTGGTCCTGTTCTTTCAGTTAGCTGAGCGGGCGAAGATGAGGCTATCCAGAGTCGCACTCCTTCTTGCACCTTTGGGTGGCTTGGTGAATCTTGTGGCGGGCCAGTCGATGCCTGGCTGTGCGGTAAGTTTAATTCTCCGCGTTCCCAACATGTCCGAGGAACGTGCGACCTCCGCAATATACTGATCTCTGCAGACGAAATGCCTTCAGGACAGTCTCAAAGCTCAGGACAAGTGCACAGCTACCGATGTAGCCTGTATTTGCGCTGATGAGTCTCTGAATGCCGCGATACAGGGTTGCGTACTGCAGTCCTGTACCGTGATTGATGCATTAGGTACGCACAGCTTACCGTGTCGTTCGGCTTCACCTGCTAACTATCCAGCTGCCCAAAATGCGACCCAGGCCATGTGTGGCGCTCCGGTGCGCGACATTACACATATTACGCCCATCATAACGGGAACCTCTGGCGCTGCGGCGATCATTGGAGTCGCCGTACGTGTCTGGATGTCAGGGCCAGACTTTTGGCTTGACGATGCCATGTGTGTGGCTGCGCTTGTTTTTGCCATACCTATGGCTGTTTTGGAGTTCCTCATGTCAGGCCTCGGCTTCGGCAAGGACATCTGGACGCTCACACCAGGTCAAATATACCGAATCGTTCAAGTGAGTACAGTGATTGTGCGCCCAGTGGTAACGAACATCAACTGACCGTGCATGCGTAGTACACCTGGCTCACGGAGATATTCTGGTTTGTTGCCATTGGATGTACGAAATTGGCATTCCTCTTCCTCTACCTCCGCGTGTTCCCGCGCCAGAAGCTCCGCAAAGCCGTCCAGGTCCTCATCGGCTTGGGAGCGCTTAGCACGCTCATATTCACTGTCATTGTCACGGTCAATTGCCTACCAATATCCTATATATGGACCTCGTGGGACGGCTTACACAATGGCAAATGCATCAACTTGAACGCTTTTGTCTGGGCTCACGCGATCATCGACATCGTCTTCGACTGTATCATCTTCGCGATTCCCATTCCTGAGCTCATCAAGCTGAAGATGAGTCTCAAGAAACGTATCATGATCGTAGCAATGTTCAGCGTGGGCGGAATGTCAGTATCTCTATCTCCCTTGCACCCAACAAGCTAACCTCCATCAGCGGAACCATCGTCTCTATCCTCCGCCTGCAATCGCTCCTCGCTTTTGCCAACTCCACAAACGCCACCTGGGACAACTGCCCCACCGCTTACTGGAGCGTCCTCGCGTGCTTCGTCGGCATCTTCTGCGCCTGCATGCCCGCGCTCCGCAAATGCCTCGCCTTCATCTTCCCCTCGTGCTTCTCCTCCACCCAACAGAACTCCAACTACAAAGACTATTCTGGCACGCCCAACGCGCGGCTGTCGACCAACAAAGTCGAATCGAAACGCTCAAAGTCAAGATCGGGCCTGGGTTCTGCGTTGCAGAGCTTTGGAGGGATTACGAAGACGGTGGATACAAATTTTACGGTTACGAGGGTCGAGGATGACGAGCAGGAGTTGGTACACATGAAAACTAAAAGCGGCGCGAGAGCGCCGAGCCATTGGAGCCTTGGAGAAGGTAGCGACAAAAGCGATAGTGAAAGGCAAATGCGACGCCCGAACTAGAGTCGAGCTGCCACGCCTGTATAACAAAATGCGGTGGAGCGATTGTATGATTATACTTAGACTTGGAGCGTACACATAGCAGGGGCGTCCATTAGATACCATATTCGTTCAATCGTTGAAATCTATTGTAACATTATTTCCATCGCGTCTGGGCAACAGAAAAGGGTAATCTCATACGCCATCCCCCACCGAAAACTGAAATGCATTCACCACTGACCCTCCTTGACCCGTGGACAAGCAAACGGGCACCCCCTGTACGGGGGGCGCATGTGGATTGGGAACACACAGCCGCAAACATCGACTGTCGAAGGAGCTCTAGGATGACAAACGTTGACAACAAACATCACCGTGCCAACTTCGTTGGAGTCCTGGAGAGATCTTCAGGATGCCATGGGCCACAAAGTTGCCCACGGTTCGTCCTTTTCAAGTTCTGCCCGTTTACCACGATCAACTGCTGCCGATCGAACATACGATCCACACCTGCTTCCAGAGCCCTCGCGGCTGACAATCGAATGGACAAGCTAAACGCGTGGCTAACAAGTGACTCTTCGAGTCACTTGCAAGGATTGAAATGACCATGTCTCAACCGGGTTTTCTCACGGCCTGAGCAGATGACCATGCGCGGGGAAACACATACATGATTCTCGGACCACCGTCCACGTTATGAGTCGTTCATGAGCCGAACAGCGTGTCACTCGCGGCTTCTCAAACACCTGAGCACCGAAGAGCCACCGCTGTCGCGCACGATGAACCTGCAAGGTATCGGGCCGAGCAGACGCACAAGCGGAATACCCCTGACTGGCGCGGGTGTACCTTCCAGCTACACCACTTCATCAGCGTTGCCAATGTGCTTAGTGGTTTGAGTCAAACCACGGTCGGCAACCCTACTCAGTAGTCATTCGTGGATGCACCTCGACGTACACTATACGTAAGGAATCTTGGGTCGTGCTCACTCTACACGGTATGCAGGTATGTAAAAGACCCTTGGTGTGTGAGCGGGCCTTTGAATAAGGCCAGCGACCTTGGTTGCAATCTCTGCTACCCTGTGGTCTCTCTCAGACCGTCGAACTCACCTCTCAACTTAATCTCCGCTATTCTTATCAACAAGCCCTGATAAATATGAGGTGTAAAAGCATAGACCTCGTAATCCTTCAGTTGCGTTTTGTTACCGCTTCAGCGCGATGTGACTGAGGGGGGGAAACGGCCAGGCGTCATCGAAAATGATACCTTAGGATACTTCGGGCTATCTCTCGTCCCCTCAACCTTGAAGGATCCCATGTGCGAAGCTATTCTTCACGGAGCAGCACAGGATCCTCTCAACCCCGACGATTAGTGCATAACAAGTCGATACCTCCAAGTAAAGTCCTAGCGACCGCGCAAGGTACAAAGCAGGAAACGATGTACCAGCAATTGGTAACTTATCACCGTATGCTGTGAGAGCGATCGAAATCCGGACGTAGGGTAAGAGGTCATCGATAACGGGCTGTACCAGATTTCAGTGTCAAATCGCTACTACACTGACAGTTACTACCATGCCTAGACCAACTTTTCTATCTCAAATACCGTAAGAGATAGCTGCATTGTTTCTAAAAACGGTACATAGACCAAGGAAGAACGTTACGATTGGAAAGTAAAGTACTTATAACATAAAGTACTCATTGAAGTACTGCTCGGCTATCATATCTCAAGTTAAGGGACAGTAAGTCTGGTCCAAGAGAGTTACTGAAGTACTGCAGACTAAAAGTGACTTGCAATGGAAATAAAAGCTAACAGCAACCCCAATCTGCTCTATTTTCTCCCTCCTCACTCGCCCCTCTTCACACCCACCTTTCCGCCCTCAAACCTCTCAGCCCTCCCCCACTTACAAAATACCCACCCACGCGTCAACAACCTCGCCCTATATCCCATCTCCCCATACTCCTCCTTCGCATACAACCTTCCCACAACTATCTCCCCATCCCAATCCGGATCACTCTCCGGCGCCTCCCACCCGCCCTTACGATACGCAGTGAGCCCATGCATGAGCACCATACTGATGACCGCTTCATCATTCCTTGCGCGCCTCCTCGCCTCCTCAGAAGGGAAGGTAGTCTTCAGGCTGCGCGGATGCGTACGCTCCATGTCCTTCTCATTGACCGCTTCGTGCGCCTCGGGCTCGAAGCGATCGCCTTTCGCAACTGGAGTGAAGTAATACACTGTAAGAGGATCTGCGGCCATTTGGAGGGAAAGGAGGGCGGCGGTGCCGACGAGGCGAGTGAGGCGTTCGATGAAGAGGAGATGGACGCTGTCCTTGGCTTTCGGGCCTTGAAAAAGAGGAAGGAATCTGTGCAGCAGGGGGCGGAGGTGGGCGTCGAGCGCGGCGACGACGGCCGCAACGTGCTTGGTAAGGTTTTCTGGGGGCTCGAGGATGCTGGTGTCTGGGGGATTGCCGAAGAGAGGGGTGCGGAGGAGCGAGGCACTGGCGAATTTGCGGGCGAAGGCTGCGATGGATTAGTTTGAGAGGAAAGTGGAGAAGGGGTGCTTACCTTCGTCTTCTCGGAGTTCTTTTTGAACATTGAAGAGTGCGTCGATAGTTTGTTCGTCGCCGCCGAAGAAGGGGTGCTTGAAGACCTGCTCGACGAGCACATTGCCGATAATGCCGCATACGAGTGCACGTCTCTTGTTGGTGTCTGCAAAGATGTCGTGCCATTCTCCTTCATCCTTCCATCTGCCGCCTGCCACACACTTCATGACCCGCGCCGTCGACACGTCCCTCATATCCTCGTCGAAATATAACCGGGCCAGGGTCTTGCTTTTGCTCTCCGCCCAAGATGCAGGTAAGCTGCCCTTGAAGAAACCTGCAATGTCTTCCATTCCATCCTGAATCTGCCACATCATGTCACGGACCTCGACATCGCGGAGCGAATAAACTGGCTCTTGGAGCTCCTCTAGAACCTGTCCTACACATGAACTAGGGTGCTCACCGTATTCTTTCATGATGTTGCGGAGACGCCGCGAGGGCGCAGCTGTCCGTTCTTTGATGTGCTCAGGAGGCTCGACCGCAGGCTCTGAGACGAGTTTGATGGTAGACTTAGTGACGGGCTTGGTGACGGGTTTGGTGATAGACTTGGTGACAGGCTTGACAGCCGTCCCTTTCACAGGCTTCTTCAATATGGGAGGCTTAATCTGGGAGACAGGCTGAAACTTGGTGTCAGGCCCAGAGGACAATACAAGCTTGGGCCCAGGCGTCCCAGTGCCTTTTTCGGGGCTATGCCAAAGTGTCAGCTGTTGAAATCCCTGAGCATCACCACATTGAGACTTACAGGGACTCAGGACGAGGTGTTGCGACGAACTTAGGATTTACCCTCAGTCGAAACCGGTCATCGGAATGATCCTCCGGTCTAGCTACCGGCTCCATGTGGAGCTGTTGCCTGACCCAAGGCGCTGGTCCGAAATGTTTGCGACCCCATTCACCCTCACTGAGCTCACTATCGGAGTCATCATCGTAATTCGCGAGTATTTGAGCCTGTATGACTGCTTCGGTGGTCACAGGCTTCTCCGACTCTGCTACTTCACCGTGTGTAACCGTGGGAAAGACGCTCTCCACGACTTTCTTCGAACCGCTGAGATAGCTCACGCCTGGCTGTCGAGGCGAATTAATCGAACCGCGTCTCCAGGGGGTTGATGGTGGTCCGCGCTGGAAGGTGGGAGAGCCCCCGTACGCTGAGTCCTGTGGTTCAGAATGGCGCCTCTGGCTGGTACGCGACCCTCCATATGCCGAGCCTTTTCGTGCAGAGGAACGTCCAAGCGGCTCGCGGTCCAGACTATTCCTATGCCCGATGAAGCCCGTAATACGAGGGCTCTGTTCATATTCCTCAGGAATCTCCTCATAAAGGAATGAGCGCGGAGTGCTATGGCGCCGGATTTTGCTCGGTCGAGCTGGTCGTCGTGCAGTGCTGGCCTTACGCTTACCGCTTGGTGTAGGTGGGAGATAATCGTCTGCAGATTCTGAGAGACTGGGTGAGCGGCCGAACGCGCTGCTGATGCTGTCCCAGAATTGTGCCATCCTGCCGTGTTCAAGAAATATTATACGAGTGATGCGTTAATAAACCGGGTACTATAGGGGCTCGAACTCAAACAGTTGATCAGCTTAAAATTAAACAGTGTAGCAAACGTTAGAGCAAATCGTCTTGGTCTGTAGCTTTTAACGCGCAGTTGTGTGTTCTTTGTTCACGATCGACGTAGCCGGGTTAGGAAAGACCTCATACCGTGGAGCATGTTTGCGCGACAAAGACAAAGGCGCAGAGATAGAAAACACGAACGATGGGCAAGACAAAGACTTTCTGACGGTAGCTGCATCTCGATGCCTGGGTTGCGGCGTGCGACATGCGTTCCTGAGCCTCACTAACAAAGCAAGACCTATCTAAGCGATCAAGAGTGGGTAAAGGGGGGGAACTACAGTAGTGCAGAACGGTAGCAGTATGGGAGGACGCACCAAAAGAGGTCAAGTACCTTGAACTGCACGTGAAGCCTCAAAATCATCAAAGAAAAGACAAGCAGCGACAAGTGAGCTTGGGAGTTGAGCCCCATTCGACTGTTGTCGCGGACGCCGATGCGTAGACTGTAACAGCCGTCTCATATCTTGATGAGTGCTCGCTTTAGCCAGGCCTTCTCAATGAACTTCATTCGCTGGAAGACTTGAACGCGTAGCGGGTTGGTAAGAAGGCCAGGAGATTCAACCGGTGAACCCAGCGATAGACCAATACAGTCGACTAGTGAGTGTGTTTCTATATGTTAGCCAGCTGAGTTCTGCTCGAGTGTCGTCGCGGACTCCGACATAGTGAGCAGTCGGCAATTCACATTTGCCTGAAAGCTTGGAAACATACTGCAGCTGAGCATCGACCGCGAGCGGAGTCAAAGATGAGGACGGTCCAACTCACGGTTAGCCATTTTAGCTGAAACCTATATGCGTGTCGATTAAGAGTTCATGGACCGTGAAAGCCATCGCGCCGTGTGGGAACGTGGTGTGATTTGCTGATGCTCACGGGCGGGCAAATCCATCTCGATAGAAATACTGTCAAGGCCAGCTGTGTACACTGGCCCTGCGTCGAGATGATGGTGGAGCACTGACTCTAGACAATATCACGATGGCCTTTCAAGAAGACTTCAACCCTTCCTTCAGCAGATAGCTCTTGCACGTATGATGATTGGATCGAAGTAGTCACGGTGAGGCCGATGATGGGAAGATTGGAAAATGAGCGCACTATAGCTGACTGTAACCGCGTTACACAAAGACTGTCCGGTCAATTACTCGCGTGTACTTGGAGGAGAGATTATGTGGCGTTCGACTAGCTCATCCTGCTTAGCTACCACGATGCTCAGACACTATAAGATCCGGGCGTTTTGGCGGTATTGCCCGTCGGGCAAGTGGGTCAAGGGTTGATGCATGTGCAATTGGACGAAAAGGGAGATTATACGGCCACGTGATATACGCCTGTCGGAGCACCTTCTCGCTTGTTGTAACCCACCAGAAGCTGGGGCTACGGTAGCGGTGAAGATACAGCTCTGTGGTGCAGTACGTTAATCATACGACACAAGGAGCAGCCTGCTGCGGCTGTGGTCGGTAGATTGGTAGCGCGAGGAGGTCAGGGTCGTCTCGAGAAGCTGAGTGGTCGTCCCGACACCCACCGACATGGGCAAACATGGTGTTCGCGACGGGATTGGGTGCACTGCCATGCTGGATAGCGAGAAAATAGTGTAGCTAAACACAACGTAGGGTCAATCCACTGCCACACCGACGGGCTTCTAAACGGTGCTCGGCCACAGCGAAAGTCGATGTAGTGGATGAGAGGAACCCAAACATCGAGCGACGTGCATGATGTCGGGGCGTTATGCGGGGGCTAAACCAGCCTCGACTAGGCTCCAGGAAGTGCAGCAAGGCTGTGAGGAGAGAAAACGAGAGAGCAGCGGCCCCTATCCTAGTGAGGGCTGGCGGCATCGATAAGAAAAGAGGCAAAGGCCCGAGATCCAGGGCGCCGGGTATCGAGGACATGACAGAGGAGAGAAAAGGGAGGTCAGACGGCTCAGAAAATAGCAGCGCAAAGTGCAGAGCGCTTAAGGGTGCGATTGGCTGGAGGAGGACACATAGCACAGCAGGTGTCCGGGCGCAAGACTTATTCCCACCAGTGCGGGCCCGCCCCAGAAATGATGTGTCGCTGCTGTTGCTTGGCCTGGACTTCAGCATTCGCACCGACTGCGAAAGGAGGCGTGCTAGTCCTCGGCTCGAAACACCTGGGCTCGTGTGGTGGGTTTGACGGCGGCTCTCAGCGAGCTAACGAGTTCGGTGAGGGAGCGCTGGCGAAGTGGCCGAGTCTGGAGCGGGCGGCGTGTTGGGGGGCGATGGCTGGCGATGACGACCGGGGCGTCTTTCTGCAGGGCTTCTAGCGGCTGGGCGTGCAGCGGTGGTCTCAGTGTCGTCGTCCCCAGCTGCTGTTCAGCCTGCAGTTCACTTCTGCCGGGCGTCGTGCCGGTGCGTCTCTCTGCTGCCTCGATGACGTCCCCCGCGAAGCCTACACGGCCCATGTTTCGCTGCTGCAGCGGGCTCTGGGGCGAGCGGGGCCGTGCGGATGTAACTTGAAGTGGCCGGCGTCGCAGCGAGTCGTGGTGGGTGCGAAGGTGGTGGGAATGTGCTCCCGGCTGCTCACAGCCGGCGCGCACCCAAGCCGCCACCGCTGGGCAGGCCCGCCTGTGAGTGGCTGCGGCGTACATCTGCTGTCCAATTCTTCACAGCCCGGCGTTGCCGCTTCTGGCTTGGACGCGGGCGCCCGTTGCTCACCCACACCACCGGAACTGCGCCGTCGCCTTGGCACCTCTCTCTTATGTACCGCCAGATCCCACGCCCCGATGCTCTCCAGTCGTCGTTGATATCCATAATACGACACTTCGGATCCTTCGACCATCGACACTCGTCCCGTCCGCTCTGCCACGAGCACCCGCTGCGCTCCCGCCGCCATGGCCTCACTGTTCCGCGACTTCTCCTTCGACGCTCCCTCGCGCCTTCCTGAGCAACACCAGACGGAAACCCCACCGCTCAGCGTCTCGCCTACCTCGACATCGCCATTTCTGTATCCCGCTCGACTACCCACACCTCCGCCTTGCCATGTCAACGACCTCGCTCAGGCACTCACCAAGCAGGACTTGCGTGTCATTGTCGACCCCAACTTCAGAGCCGCCAACGAACCGCTTACCCCCCCAAGCGACCATGGCACCTTTGAGAACCACATTCCGGAACGGCCCAACCTCTCCACCGCGCGAATGAACTCTGCCACTCTCCGCATGCAGCGACAGGCCAACGTGCGCATGCAGTCCTACTTGGCACACATCAAGGACATCTCCTCGCTAGTCGAGAAGATGATCGACGTCGACCAGTGCAACGTCTGTGAGCCCAAGTCAAAGTCACTGTCGCCCATGCCGACAGAGGACGACGAGGGCGTGAGCATGGACTACGCGCCCACGGCTAAAGAAGAGATCCGCTCCATGCTGCCATTTTACCGGGCCGGTGACCGCCCCGACGGCAGCACGAGGGTATCTAAAAGACCCCGTATGCGCAGGTCGACTGGTTCCATCTCGAGGATTGCGAAGAGGCCCTCGAGGTGATCGCTTTCTTTGTTTGCTTTGCTGCATTGCGACGGCGTTTGGGATTTCGTTTGGTCGGTTGGGGCGCGCTATATACCACTTGCTTTCCACATGGGGCCTGAGAGCCAATGAGACTGGGTACAAAAGACTATCATTATGGGATAGCATTATTATAATTTCAAGGACGATGCATAGATTGCATCTGGAAGAGGACCGTCATTGATTAGGTAGAAGCGCTCCCTCAGTGGTTGAGCCTCACACGCATGTGAATGCGAGCACATCTACATCATACATTTCCCATTCTGTAATTACGACGTGACTTTCAAATCTATGATGTGACTGACGCATCGGTCATCACGAGACGAGGCAGAGAAGGATGACTTACCTTACCCCCACGTGACTCCGCGATCTGCGAACCCCAGGCACCGGTACCTGAGCTTCGTGGGACCCACCCGGACTTTTCAAACTTCGGCCTTGATCGCAACAACCAACGTCACACCTCACCATGGCCGTCCGACGCGCCTCAGCGGAGCTTCTCGCCCAGCGCTTCCTCCATCTGCGCATCAGTCCGCGCCCCACAAACCTCTCCGAGAGCCGCGAAATCTACCGCGTGCTTCAGCGCTTTGGCGACATCTCAAAGTACTACAGCATGAATGTACGTCCTACCCTCGCGACTCTGCCACCCAAAATTATTCACAGGGAAAAAGCAAAAGCTAATTCAGTCAAATGGTCATAGTTCGAATACCACTCCCCCGCGCCAAACTCAGCATTGCTCATCTACCGCGACTCTTCCTCCGCACAAGCCGCCCTCGACGCCTCCCCCATCCGCTTCTCCCTCGAGCGCACGCAGCACGACCCCAAAACCGCACAAGACACAGACGACTACGCCATTTCTGGTTCCTTTGACGGAGAAGACGACCCCTCCACGCTTCCGCAGCAAACAACACCCGGCATAGACGATATCCTGTCACCCTCGGGCCTCCTCACGCGGACATCCCCAACACCAGAGGGTGACACAGGGGAGGAAAACGATCCACCACTCCCCTTCGCGCCCCCGCAAAAGCAGGCTAAGACGGTGTCAAGATGGTTCCAGGTCACCGTCGACCGATCGCGCGCCGTCCACCAAGATTACGTCGAACGGCAGCCGTTCTGGAAACACTTCACGCCCATGAAATCGGTAGCGCAATTGGATTTGGCGAGAAAAGTACCGCACGCTGGGTTGAGCGACGTGAGCAAGCGGCCGCCGCATGCGTACCGCACGCCGAATCATGTGCTGAGGATGATGAATGCGCACTTGGCCAAGGGACAGGAGAGTTTGGTGGCGATGTGGGAGGCGGGAAGACGAGAAGGAGAAGGAAGGCGGTGAAAGAAGTGGAGCTACGAGAGGAAGAGTTTGGACCTCATCGCGGTTATGCGGGGCCTGACATGGCGGGAGTACGACAGCCGCGGTGCGTGAAGGGTCAAGACGCCCAAAAGGGGTTGATCCATCGGTCCGCACCGCACTTCGTGCAATACAGCCCGCGCAGGGCGCGCTCTCTTGGGCATCTGACTACGCAGTCAAGCTGCAGAAAAACTCGCTTGAAGTCCGAAAAGCCGGCTGCGTAGAGGACGCAGAACGCAAAACGAAGAAATCTGGTAGGACGTGAAAGGCGTTCATGTTCCAACGGGATGACGGGGAATCACTTATGCAGCATACTCCACACAGGGTAGGATATGAAAAACGAAGAGACCGTCGGATGTCATTCATCTGCACCAAGCGGGTACTGAACATGCCGCAATTCCATTGCTTATCGTCCATCTCACAATCCCAATCACCCTATGTTTTCCGTACCGTCGCGCCATCAAACAAAAGAAAGGGGGTATATACATAATGCCGACCGTGCCCATAAGACCAAGGAAATAGGGTGTTTCAACGCGAACGCCAAAGTTGAAATGCATACCGTGCACCGAAGCCAACATGAAGTTCTAAAAGGCGATACGCAAATGAGAAAGAAAGCTAGTCCTCGTCGCTGTCGCCCAGATCAATGACTTCTGTGACTTGCGGCGCGGCTGTCTTCTGCTGCCCGGGGGGTTTTTGCCCGTTGGGATTAGCAGGCGCATCGTCATCATCATGATCAGCCACACCCTCCGTAACCTCTGGTTTTGCTTTCCAGGAACCGTCCTCACTCAATATGATAGCCCGCGTCTTCAGTAACCCTTGCTGTTCCAATTCGCCGCGAACTTCTTGCATAAAGCCGTCGACGATAAGTTGATGTGGCCTAGCATCGCCGCTGCAGATAGGACACTTCCAGTCATCCGGTACGGTAGAGTCGGCATTTCGCTTGCGCGTTTTGAGGAAGGTCTCCAGGTCAAAACAGTCAAAGTGATCACAGGCTTTGCTGCGAACGGGAATCTTACAAATCTCCGAGCGGCTGAAAGGATCGAACAGATTGATGTTCAGAGTGCTACTCACAACCAAAATTTCATCGTCGTCGGCAGCGGAACCGGCGAGCTTATCCTTGATACGCTGCTTGATTAACGCTGATGAGACGTGTCTGTTCGTCAGAATCTCCTCCATCAAGGCTGTGTGAAGCTTGACACCGAGGATCTCGATAGCGAGAAGGTAGTTGCGAAATTGCTCGTTTTCTGGCCCTCTCACAAGGGCAATCTCCAGAACATTATCACCTTCTTTGACCAGCGAAGTGAGCTCAATCGGTAGGTCTTTCCCATGATGTAATTTCTTGCGCTGCTCTAGAGGCTGTTTGTTGAGCTCAAAGTAGCTGTATGGGATCCACGAGGTGTCGCTGGTTGCCCACTTGTGCTCATTGAATCCCTGAGCAACGTCCCACTTCACACAACGGAGACGAAGCATTAAGCTGTTCTCGTCCACTAATCGAACCGGAGGACTTCCCGCTACATCTGCATCGTTTCTTGGTATCCTTGCCATCTGCTCGGGCGACAAGGTGAAAGTCCATCTCTCGACCCTGTTGCGTGCATCTACAAGGCGTTGAGGCACCCCTATGAACGACTGCGCATATAGATACAGACGTTCTCCTGTTGTTGAGTACAATTTTGAGCTTCTAAGGTGGGCCTGGTGGAGTCCGAAACGGGCAGGGTTGGGTTGATTTTGCTGAGGCTGGTAATGGCGAGGAGGTGGAAGGATAGACCGTTCCGGCACGGGCCGTGATTGAGAATGAGCTTGGGGCAGAGGCTGCGGCAGCTGAGAGCGAGGCTGTTGCGTCGCAAGTCGCGGTCGTCCTCGCGGCCGTCCCCGCCCTTGCTGTATTGCAGCTTGGGCCGACTGAGGAGGCAATCTTGGATCGGGATACACAAGTTGTCGTGTTAGTGAAGATTGTTCAGTGTGTCTCCATGACACACGCAGTGGTTGCTGGTGGGGCGGGGATCTTATTGGGGCATGTTGGCTCGCTAGAACTGGTACCTGTTGGCTTGCCTGTATACGCTGTAGATCTTCTCGGGCTAAAGGAACGTAATGCGAGCGTAGGCCCCTGAAAAAGTCGACCCAAGACCGCATTTCTAGTTCTCGATCGCGATCCAAGTCAAATCCCTGGTGTAGGCGACTGTTAAATGCCTCCTGCATCGTTGACAAGTACCGTAACGCCTCATTCTCGTAATTATTGAGAATGGCTCCCAAATGAAGCCCGATTTTGAACCACAAGCGTCTGATCGAGGCAATGAATACTATCGACTGGAGTTGTTTCGATCTGATGCCAAGATCAAACACTAGCTCATGCATCGTGGGCGGGAGATCTCGTTCATCACATTTGCTTTTCAACGCAAAATAATTGGCGGACCGCTTCATCAAGTTATTAAAGTTTTCGACATCGATGCGGCACTGGGATGGGTTGATCAGGGCCCATTCATGCAGTGGTAGGGGAAATTGAACAAAGAAGGCTTTCGTGGCGGGTGTCAAGGCGGTATTCAAGTCAAGAACTTCGCTCAGGAATTGCTCAGTCCTACCCGCGTGTGAGCTTTTCCTGATACTATCAGGCAATGCCGCCTTATTGAGCGTCAGTAGGCAATAGAAGAGATGCGTTATCAAATACTCCCAGTCCATTCGTCTCGCTGCTAGCTCCAGAGCTGTAAGACGTTTGCGATCCGAAGACTCTTGCTGAAGGTCGTTCGATGATTTGAAGTGTTCTATCGCTTGTAGACTGTGCGCGAGTAAGTCTCTCTGCCTTTGTGGCCCTGCTGGGGCGGCCGCGTTGATCGCCTGAGCATTTTGACCCGAAAGGGGTGGTTGGCGCGTTGGACCGAGTGGACTTTGAACAGTTTGAGATGGGCTATTCTGTGTGTGAACACGAGTCTGGCTTGGGATGCGCTGCGGAGCGACGTTTTGTTGGAGAGGTGCCTGGAATGGTGACTGACTGTTGTTCGGGTGTCTTACGACGGGGCTGAAGGGCTGATTGGCCGTTGGGCTCGCGCTCTGTAGCTGACCTGCTGAGACATGCCGGCCAAAGTCCTGGTAGTCAACGTTGACGCTTGAGGTTCTCAAAGGCGGCGGAACTGGCCGTCGCTGGGCGGAGAGCGAAGGGCGGATTCGTTTGCTCGCTAACAGTGGGCTTGCCCCCGCAGCTGGCCTCTTGGGTGCTGCGGCGGCTGCTTGTCGCGCGCCTTGGAGGAAACAGTCTTCGTAGGAAGGGTTTCTAACAAGGTGATCACCGGTGACTGGAACAAAGCTCCCCGATGCTCCGTTATTCACGCTTTGTCGGCCATGACCTGGAGCAGCCGACGCATGATGATTTGCAACGGCGTCCTCGCTAGGAGGCGGGGATGGCAGGACGGGCGTAGGCGAAGGTACAGGAAGGCCATTGGATGGATGTGACAAGACGTTGGCAAGCTGAGGAGAGGTCGAGTTCGATGCTGGCTGCTCACGGGCAGGTACTCCCGGCGGCGGCTGCCGTACTGGTTCGTATTCTTCGGGATATTGCCGAGGTCTGCCACGTTTCCTAGGCGGTGCGTCTGCTGGTGGGTGCGAAGGGACTACGGACGGCTGTCCCGGGGTCATCCAGCTCTTTTGTCTCCCACCCAGGTTGCCCAGGGCACGGCTCAGAGTAACGCGGGTGGCGACATGCTCGCCCGCTGCTGGCGGAGCGGCTCGTCCTCCACGGGGCATGTCCGAGTCACACTGGGCGGAGAGGCCTTGTCCTTCGATGTCTGAAGTGATATGGCCGTGGCAAGGCGCCGTCGACCAGTGACCGTAGACGTGGTGTCTCGGGCGAGATCATGCTTGGGGGCACGAGCAGGCGACGATGATCAGAACATGGCCTGGCGGTGCTTGCGGGCGTGGAAGCTGCGATGCAAAGGCGCGGCAGTGAAGGGAAGGGCCGGGGGCGAAGGGAGGAAGGCGCGCGACGACAGTGTGGGGGAAGTTGCGCTGAGAAGTCGAAGTTCCGCGAGTGTGGTTGCACAAACGGCGCCAAGCCAACGAGGACGGGATCCAACGCGCCTGGCCCCGAAGGCTCCAGATGTCCCCAAGGCGATCCCAGTGCCTCACAGACCACTGCAGCCCGCCCAGAGCAAGCAGAGCCGCCTGTCGCAGTGCTCGGCACGGGCGTACCTACGTAGGATTCCTCTCGCAAGCAGTGGGATCGATGCCGGCAATTTGGCCGTTTGCGATGCCTGTCACGCATGCCGGAGCGGCTCTGGCTCGCATTTACGTCGCCTAATTCATGGGAGACTTGCAGGGAGCACAACCAGTCTTCGCCCAACAGCACGCTATCCTCCTCCTGCAGTCCGCAGCCCCCTCAATCAACGCCACGATTCCGCACGCAGCGCCAGCACCCTCGCGACGACAAAGAGCTGCCTCTGTTTGCGCCCTCGCCCTCTATACTTAGCCCGCCGCGCTTCGGCTGCCCCGCGCTGCCTCCTATCTCGTCCGACCCGACCGCTTTGGCCGTAGCCCTCTACGTCTGGAGCTGCCGCTGCGCCAACCTCCTGTGGCTGCATCATGGTCAACATTCACCAGGGCCCACGGTGAACGTCGCGTCTCCTTAGTGTTCCATCTTTCTCACACACTCCTGTCTCTTGACAGCCACCATGGCCGCCAGGTCGCCCACCGAAAACGTCCGTCCGGGCGATCTGCTCCTCGTCGTGCGTAAGTGCTGCGTCTGTACTCGTACCGGGATTAGGGCAACGTGCTGACCGTGGACGTAGATGAATTCCAGGCTCGGAGCCCCGACGAGCTCACCCTGACTCGCGGCGACCGCGTCGAGCTGATAGAACGCGACGACGACTTCGGTGATGGGTGGTTCCTGGGAAAGAATACAGAGACGGGCGACAGCGGCCTTTTCCCCGAGGGTACGTGCAAAGGACTCTGAGACCTCGTTGTTCATGAGCTGCATGCAGGCTCTAGAGAAGGTCCCACTAACCTTCGTACAGTCTACACACGCCCTGCTCCGAAGCCAACCATTACGGCCGCGCTGCATCAGCGCGCCCCTTCGCAGCCTGTAGCGCAATCCGCCCAGCATGCCCTGCAACCTGTCGACGTGGATGCCGCGCCTACGTCTGCCCCGCTACCTTTGACCGACCCCAACGAAGCCGCCCCTTACGAATCGGCTCCTAGCACACAACCTCTTCAGATCCCTCCCACCAATTCTGCGACGCAGGCAGCCGCCGCCAATAGATCGTCATTGTCTGTGCAGCCGAGGAGCATTGGGCAGACATTGAGTGGCGAGGTCCCGCGCGAGGAAGAGACCACCATATCAAGTCCGGTCATGCACGAGACACTCAGCGTCATCGATGAGCACATTACGGATATGAGCACCCCGCGTCATAGTGCTGCTGGAAAGGAGCTGAGGCCCATGCCCTCGAACGACTCTGGAAGCGAGTACAGCAGCCACCACAGACTGTCCTATATCAACGGCCAGGAAACTGAAGAGGAGGAGCATAACTTGCACACAGAGCAGGAAGTTATCAACTGGTCTCCGGCGCGCGTTGCAGAATACCTGGAAGACGTGGGCGTGGAGAAGAAGCACTGTGACATATTCAAAGAGCAAGAAATCAACGGTGAGGCACTCCTAGGAATGGACCAGGCTACCATCTTCCTGAAAGAGTTTGAATTAGGCCCAGTCGGACCGCGGCTGAGAACGTGGGTGAAGATCAAGGCACTGCAGCAAGAAGTGAAGAATGCACAGGATGCTGCAAAAGCCATGGCGACATTTGACGGCCCTGCAGACTCCGCGCTTGATCCTGCTGCTCGAGCCCGTGCAACATCGATGAGTGCAGTACCTTTGCCCCGGATACCCAGTCTGAGAGATGGACAGTTTATGAAGAGTATGCACGGAAAACAGCCGCTCCCTAGAGCTCACTCGACTGCAGGCCACTCTATGTTACCCCCAGTGGAGGCAACTTCGCCTCTAACACAATTCACACCATCATCACCCACGCCTGGCACACCTACGCGCCCTTCTGCTGCTTCAGTCCGAAGCATGAACCATAATCGGAGGCACTCGTCAATCGACTCGACCATGAACATGCCCACACCTACCTCTGCGGGAGGCATGAAACTGCCACCCGTTGCATCGGCATCCCACAAGAAGACCCCTTCATTCGACCGGAGCTGGGTGATGGGCTCCCCACAATCTGACAGCAGAAGACCATCCTCTTCACATTACGGAGCCCCAACCAGTCCAGATGAAAATGGATTCGGCCGTCGCGAATCTGGCATAAGCCAAATGACAGCAAGTGATCTAGACCGAGGATATTTCTCTGGGGGCGAGGTCGACAACCGCAAAGCACGCAACGTACTCCGTAAGAGGGAGAGCCCAAGCCACTCTCGCAACCCTAGCTTCAGGACCGAAGATGGCCGTCGCGCTACATACAACCGGCGGCACAGCAGGATTGGCAGTGCGGATTCCGCAACTGACGGAGCCAGCTCTGTGTCGGCGGCTGCCAAGGCTTACTTCGGTTCCAGCATCAAGAGCCATCGCAGCTCGAGCAACTTCGATTTCGTGCGACCCCTGAAGCCCATGAACGATGGGCCTCCTACGGTGACCAAGCTACCAGATTTCGATTCCCCGAGCATCGATGCCATCGCGAGCTCTCCTCGCATACCTGGGAGTGAAGCGTCGTCGCAAGGACGTGCGTCGCCTTCTCCGGCAGCCCCTGTTCATTCGCATTCATTCTTCTCGAAGAAATCAAGAGGCATGGGTCTGCGTGCTATATCCGACGCGGTCACAGGATCAGAAAGAGCAAACGTCAGCTCTGGAGACATCACTGCTTCTCCAATCAAGGAATCTCCCCTGCAATCACCTACCCGAACAGGGTCAAGCACGCCCTCTGGAACATCGAATTCGTTGGAGATTCCTGACCTGAACAAGCGATCGACGGGCATGTCAGTCAGTAGTAAAGATGGCAGGAAGAAGGCTAAGAAGCACAGCACGAGCGCTTACCTTCGAGGCCGCCAACAAATCACTCCTCAAGAAGCCATGGAGGGCTGCGACTACAGTGGATGGATGAAGAAGAAGTCATCAAGCTTGATGACCACGTGGAAGACACGTTTATTCGTACTTCGTGGTCGACGCCTTTCCTACTTCTACACGGAGAACGATACGGAAGAGAAGGGATTGATTGATATCTCGTCACACCGGGTGCTTCCAGCCAACAACGAACGAATTACCGGATTCCACGCAACCATTACTCGGGCGGCGTCGTCACCATCGTCTCCGCACGGTGCCACCATTCCAACCGCTGCTTCCGCTGCCAGCAATGTCATCGAAGAAGACATGGCCGGTATGTTCATATTCAAGCTTGTACCTCCACGTGCAGGTCTGCAGAGAGGTGTACAATTCACCAAACCAATCGTCCACTACTTTGCCGTCGACAGCATCCAGGTTGGCCGCCTATGGATGGCTGCACTGATGAAGGCTACTATCGATAGGGACGATAGCCTCTCCATCACGACCACCTACCAACAGAAGACGATCTCGCTTGAGAAAGCTCGGGCTATGCGTCAACGACCTCCTGCTCTCATGGACGACGATGACGCTGAGAATGCATCCCTCGACATCGACAGCAAGCAGAGCACGAAGGAAAGCATCCAGGAAAGTGTCATACATGAGGAAGACGAAAAGCAAGGTCTTGCTATCTCAGGACTCGATGACGCGAAAGCTCTCCTAGATTACGCAGAAAACGGCGCTGATCCGGAACCACAGCCCCCGCCAATTGTCGATTCACCACCCTCACCAGAGGCTGAACACAAGCCGAAAACGAGCTTCACGCCCGGTCTAATCTCTATTAGTTGAGACCTGCAACCACCAACATTATATTCTCCCACTTGTCTCTTTCGACCGTATATTGTTATCACTTCGTAATTCAGTACAGCTTCAAGATACGAGACAGACTATGGAATCCAGTCGCAGTCTATATTAGGGTTTGGGCAGAAGAGCTGGGAATTCAGCGCTTTTCTTGGGGGAGGTCTTGGATGTTCATCGTCGATGTTTGGAAAGCCCCCGCATATGATGATCTTGCACGTTGAATGACGATGGTCTAGATATTTTGTTTTCATGTGCTTGCTACTAATACTTATACCATCTACCAACTTAATGCGAGAAGGAGAGAGGCGCGATAGCGCGAATGTAATTGTACGCATGCATCTTCATACGGTGCCTAGTCAAATCAACGTGCCACAAAGATATCCTTCTTATTACTCTGACGGGTAGATCCCGACGATCTTGGACATTGTGGAACGTACGCAAACCACAAGGGAGAGTCCCAACCACTACGACTTCGCTGGACCCCATTTAACGATAATCTCATCCCTGAGCGCGCGTCTCGCTTCATAAACCATATCCAGCGTCCTCGTACTCCTCACCGCCACTCATTTCACCGGTCTCTGAAATGTCTTTCCGCGCCTCGCACCAGCGCTCTGCATCCGGTTCCACAGTTAGGAATATCAAAACGCAATTCTTGGAGACATTCAGCACAAGCAAAAGGACCACTGCAACCCCCGCGAAGCAACACATCAAGAAAGCGACAGTCTTTTTCACGGTTGTCTACATCGCCTTCCTCCTCTACATTACCTACGCCAACTTCTACAGCGCATACGCTCGCTACCGCGTCAGAAGCAAGGACAGGAAGGACGCATAGTTCCACACCCCTTGCCCAACCACGCCAAGGCCAGGGACGTCCATTCCAGTCGAGTACTCCATTCCAATAGACTTCGAAACAAAGAAGCAGAATCAGAGCGGAGCGAGCCGCCTTCGTGAAAGGATTCTCTTCACTCCTGGCTGGCGCTGCCAGGTGTTTGGAAACATACCTAAGTTCCTGGGCCTTTACTTGTGGGATTGTCAGTTGCGGCCGTTTCATTCCTACTTGCGAGTTACCCTAAGGCAGGGGACGATAAGTAGGCGGTGAAGAGGGGCTAGGGAAAGAAACTACTCAGGGGAGGGAAATTCCTTGTAAGAAGGGGCTCCCTGTGAGAATTGCGCCCTGCATGTACGCCATCGTGACACCACAAGCTCGAGGTCTCTATCCGGCCACCTGTCATCCGACTTCGACGAGCACTTTTGAAATTTAACTCTCTCAGATCGTTGGCTACGATACAGCAGCAGCGTCTTATCCTACAACACAGACACCTGGGCAAACATCTTTCGCCAGTCATGTGAGGAAGCCCCTCAAAAGGAAAATCGCCTGTTCACACTCCCAACGAATACCTCGCGGCAAGCCATTGTTTGTCAGCTAAAGCACCATTGCTGCAATAGACGTCACTAGTTTCCTGTACCTCGAGTCCTTGATCAAGACGACAAGAAGCCGCCAGCAGATCGATACCCCTTGATCACACCGAGAAGAAACCCGTCCGCGAATCGAAGACGCTGCATGTCATCGGAAGCACAAATCTACGTGATATCCGGCTTAGCTGATGCTTTAGGAGCAATTTTCAGTGCGTTGACTTGCCTTTTCATGAGAAATCCGAAGGCGACGTCATTCATCTTTGGCTTTGCCAATATCGTTTCCAACTGTCTGCTGGTGGGGGCGCGTGCTCGATCTTGTTCGACTAATACACATTCATAGACTACGCCAATTGTCTGCGATAGCGGGAAGAGGGGACGGTACTGGAACCAAGTCCTGAGCCCTAAAAGTAACAAGCCAAGAGGCACTCAAGGACATCCCTTCAAACAGCAGAAAGGACCTAAGACCTCTAACTGCTTGAAAGCGCATTCGACAGGCTTCCACAACCTCCTCCATTTGAGAGAACAAATAAAGCAAAGATGCCGCTCCCCAGCCCTTGGAAGACACCCTCCGCACCTCCCTCGCCCACTCCCGTCCGACGCAAAACCTCTCTTCGCCACCGCGCCAAAGCCCGCATCGGCTTCCTCATCCTCATCGCTGTCCTCACCATCTGCGCCTTAAACGAACTCCGCTGCATGCAATATGGTTGCGTCTCACGTATCAGTTTTTACGGAACATCTGATCGGGGCTCCAAAGGTGGAGGCGCAACACTACCAGACGACTGGAAGGACCGCCTGGCCGAGCAGCTGAAGATGAACATGCAAGACATGGGACATACACCACCAGCCTCGCCACCGAGCAAAGAGGAGAAGAAACCGCAGAAGGCGCAGGTCGAAGCACCTTCGAATGGTGCGCTCATCGAACCATTAGCTATCACACCCACCATCGACGCACCGAAGCCAGTGAAGCCAGTGAAGCCAGTGAAGCCAGTGAAGCCAGTGAAGCCAGTGAAGCCAGTGAAACCACAGCACAGCAAACCAGCCCTTCAAGATGCCAGCCCCAACCGCTGGGTCGACACCCCACCCGGTCCTGCGTCCCCTGGCAAAGAAATGAAAGACCAGATGAAGGTGGATAAGCAGACGTATGTGAATGGGGATGTGATCGAGGCGCCGATAGTGAAGACGAACAAGCCGCCAACGGAGGCGAGTGTGAATCCTCTAGCATCGCCCGCGGCAGAGCCATCACCGGGGGTGCAAGTAGCGGCGGAGGATCTAAGGACATCCAGCAACACGACGCCTGAAAAGGGAGAAGATGGTAAAAAGCAAGGGACGAAATCACCACCGCCTCCCAAAGTCGATCAGATGAAAGAAAAGGTTGACTCCTTCATTGCGCAAAAGGCAGGCGAGAAGGCATCACCGCCTGCTACTAAACCCGAAATCAGCCCTCCCAAGGTTTCGGCTTCAGTACCAGCTCCAGCAAAGTCTGAGTCCAAGTCATCGAGTGGCGCAGCCCTTTCCGTCGCTCGTCCTTCTAAACCATCCCCCGAATCGCAGGCTATTGAACCACCGCCGCCAAAGTCGCCGCCACACACGCACGAATCTTCTTCACCACCTCAACCACCCCAGCGTCCCAGTAACTTCCACGAGACCAATAATTTTGGCAGCATGGAGATGGGGTTACTGATGGCTGGCGGCTAGCCTCCATCGCAGCATGTGCGACCTTTCTGCGAACAGGCAGCAGCCGATCTCGCTGTTTAGTCTTTCTTTGACGTTGTTTTAGCATGTTCCATGTCTGCGGTACGAGGCGTTAACGGTGTGGGGGCTAGCAGGCTTTGCTGGGACCCGCTCCACGGCTTGAGCCACGGGTGGGGATATCAGACGAGGGAATTTTTTTGTTTGGCGTCCTAGGGTATTGTAGCGCGGTGTGGGCTAGAGTAGGGCTCGTTCGAGACTGGCCGAGGCTGGCGGGGAAGGTTCTTGCGCAACGGTGGATGTTAAGCCTTTGCACTCAGACGTGTTGGAAGTCAAGGTTTAATTTTACGTTGATTTGATATGTTTTGATCCAGTCGATCGAGCCATGCGCAGTGCAGGCCAGGTATTATTATCTACAAGCGAGTGCTGCGCTTCTGAGGCGCCATCTGCCTTTTGGGTATCTTTCTACAATGCAAAAACGCTCAAGTCCACCAAACGCCAAATCTATGCAATAGAGCATTCAAGGCTCTCTTCTCCTCCACTTATCTTCTGCGCCGCTGCTGGTCATGTATGTGCGACCCCTCAGCCGGGCTGAACCAATCCCTTATTCCGCACTTGGCTTCGAGACCAACGAAGAGGTCGTCCACGCGGTCCGTCATCCAACCGGACGTGACCCGCTCCGTTGGCTTGGAATAACCCAGACGAAAAGAAAAGTTGATCGAGCAGCTGCCCGGCTCGTAGGAAAATTGCATGCAGTCTTTCTTGCTCTCGCACACGGCGTGGCAGTGCTTGAAGCTCTTCCAGGCATTGCTCTCGAGCGGGTCGGACAAGCTGCCGTGGTCGTGCGCGTTGTACTCTTTGTCACTCGACAAGTTATCCCAACCTGCGACCTGCGCGCCGACTCTGCGGCGCACGAGCTCACGGAAGACATCGCGGTGGCGAAGTAAGATATCGTGCTAGAGTAGCGCAGGTCAGCTTAACAATTCGTGCGTTTCAGGTTTTAGTGTACCAAGGGCGGGGAACACATACTCTCTTGTACCATTCCTGCTCGAAGTGCCATAGGTCCGAGATCTCGGACGGTGAGACGTGGTGGTACGTGATGACGGGGAAGCACCAGGCGTTGCGGTCGATTTTATTGGTAGCGGGGTCCAGCGTCGCAGGTGAGTCGCCTTGGAAGTGAGGGAACGCGCGGTGCAGAGGGACTTTTGCGTCTTCGAGGACTTTTCCGAGGGCGCAGTCGCCGACCCAGTGCGTCGCGGTGAAGTCTTCGTAGTCGCGGAAGCGCATGGAGCGCTGCTCGATGACTTTGCGCATGGCTGGGTTGGACAGGACGAAGCCTGCGCCACCGTACCCAAATTCGATGTCGTTGATGTAGAGGTGCTTGCCGATGTAGTACGGCTTGCTCGCGTCGAAGTTGGCGAGGTACTCCAGCAGGTTGTTCCAGCCGAGGAAGGTGTCGGCTTCGAAGAAGACATACCACTTCGCGTTGGGCATCTCCTCGTAAGATCGGTCAATCATGGGGAGAAACTTCCACTTGTCGAGTTTCCAGCCTTCGTTGCCAGTGTTCAAGTAGTCGCCCTTACTGGAGCCCGACTCGGCCATGATGATTCGCTGGCTGTCGACATTTTGCCTTCCATGCTTTTGCAATTGATGGTACAACTTGAAGTCGTCGTGCTCGTTCCTGTTCTTCTCCGTGACACCTCCATGACCTCCCAAAACATCATGCACAGCATGACCTTCGATTTCCTCATCCAGATCCGATAAGATAATAAAGTGGGGGACACATCGCAGAGTCGTTTTGAAGTGGACCGGCACCTTCTGGCGCGACTCGGTAGCCCCGGTCCGCAGCACCACCAGCACATCGTCGGCCAGTTCTGACTGCGGACATACCACATCGTGCTGAAGGGACGCCGCTGGCCTGGAGTAGCGGAGGAAAAATGAGGGCGAGGAGGCTCCGTTGAAGACGTTAATGATAGAGACTGAGAAGACGGCGCAGAATATTAGGCGGCAAAGGAAGGTGCGGTGAGGCATGGTGGTTGTTTGGAAGGCACAGCGCCTTGCCATGCGGATTCAAGGAACGACGATGGGAAAGAGAGACGTGGCATGCATAGAAGTCGCGAGCGAGCCTAAAAGACAGTGGGTGATGTGTGGTCCGGGTCCATGGGCGACGGCGCGGTACCGTTGTAGAGATGGCGCGAAGGTAGGGCGTCAGTGAGAGTGGTCGAGTGAGCGTGTGGTACAGGGCTTTGGGAGTGGGCAGGACAATGGTTTTCAAGTCCGAGGACGGGCCGACGATCTTCATCTCTGGTCAGAGTCGACGATGCAAATCCCGAGGCGGGCGATCAATGCCTTAAGGGCCCAAGGACAAGTGGGCGGTGTCGACGCGACTCGGGCGGACACGACACACACGACTCGCACCAGGCCGCATGGCTGGCCGGCTGTTTGCGCCTCTGCCGTTGGTCTCTCCCCTGGAACCTCATGCCGTGGCTGTTTTGGCCTGTTTGGCCTGAGGGATGTTTTAAAGCGCGCCTGGGGAACTTTGCCCTGCGTCGCTTGGCGATGAGGTCACAGGAGCCCGAAGAATGCACCAAAAATGCGCCGCCTACCCCTCGGGGCCTCGCGTAGCCACCGCCTGCAGATCCACGCCCTCGTCCCTAACCGGCCGGCCACACGCCTGCCGTGAATGGCACCCACCGGGCACCGCCAGCAGCGATCGCCCTCGAAGCGTCTCCTGCGCGACCGTTGGCCTTCCCCTGTTGGACGCGACCGCCTGTCACAATTTGTCCTGAAACACGTCACGTGCCGTCCGCCGAGTAGCACCCGGTGCGCCCGGACGAGGCGCCCGCTGGACGCACCCTGGACGCGGACTCCACGACACTCTCATGCTTTTATACGCATTAATAGTAGCGAATACCCCAATCTATCGCTAGGACCTCACCTGTTCTCTCCACCTTCTGGGACAGAGCATGTCGCGCGATACAGGAACTTACACAGGCCGTAATTGCACTGCCGCATCCACAGAAGCTCCGTAGCACTACAGGTCCGACACTACCGTGCGTACATCGTATGGGTCTCCCAGTGATTCCACGGTTGACTATGTAACAGCAGCACTTCGCTTGCGTCTTGGTTGGGTCGACCCACTGCGGCCTACCGTTCGCCGGCGTGCAGTGCAACCAACGCAATCCTAAACCACCTGCCTCATTCCTCAAGTTGGTCTTCGAAACAATCCTCTGTTCCAATCAGGCACGGAATCTAGTTTCACTAACACGGCGTCGCGACGAGACTCGACACAGAAAGCTGATACGCACTTCATGGCTTCATCTCTTGCGGCATTCCATCCTTGCATTTTCAATGTTATCGCAGTCTATCTTTGAGCGTCGATCTCCGTCTGAATCTAATCATTCAGGGGCTTTGGCAAACAGAAACCCGCCCAGCCAAAAGAAGGTCGGCACGGCTGCGACCGCTGACAGCAGACCAAGTACCCAAGCCATGGTTGACCAACCCTTTTGTTCTACAAGCAACCCAGCAAGCAGTGGTCCCAATGTGCATCCTGCAGCAAATGCCATGTTGAACAGAGCGTAAGCCTGTGCATATGCACCCCCGGGTCCGTAGCCACGCATTCCGCTCGCGATCATCTTCTTTTCCTTTGCTTCCACCACAGCCGATATTTCCGCCATAATGGGTGGGAAGGTCATTGTCAGGCTCAGTCCTACAAGGAATAGTAGTGCGCATATGAGCACTTTGTCGTTGATCGTGTTTGAGTCGATGTAGCGTAGACAGACCAGCGGCGGGCATGCACAGAGGAATCCAAGAGTTGCGAGGTAGCGGCCTCCATATTTATCGCTGAGCCAGCCGAAGATGGGACCTAGGAAGGATGGTATGACGATGGGCAGGAAGAGGAGAGCTGCGCCTGTTGAGGACCAGTGGAAGATGTCCGCAACATGAATGGTGAGTACGGAGTCGAAGGCTGTCATAACGCCGGCCTGCATGATGGCTCCGAATAGTGCTGCGAGAAGACGGCGGGAATACAAGAGTGAGAGAAGAGGCGGTAGTCGATCGCGAACTCGAAGTCTTGGTGGTGTACTGCTGGCTTCGAGTGACGTCCGCTCGGCCAGTCTCGGAATGCCTTGTTCGGGATCTGTTGGGAAACTTCTCACGAGGTCCTTCTCCAAATCGTTCGACAAGTCTTGATCCACTCCGTTACTTCCCTCCTCCGCACTCTCCACAGTATGGTTCCACCCTCGGCCACCGGCTTCTAGATTCCACCTCGCAGCGACCTTCTTCTCGACCAGTAGCAAGCGGAGAATGACGTCGAGTCCTATCAGGGCATATGCCATGCCAAAGACGGCACTATAGCCCGCGCGGTCAAAGACCACACCACCAAGTAGTGGCCCAATTAGTATACCAATGCTCATGGCGGCTCCAACGTATCCCATTGCCTGCGCGAGCCTCTCCTGCGGCACCGTATCGGCCAGTAGCGCCAACCCTACGACCCACCTATTCGCAATTAATAAACTTTTCAAGGATGCGAATCTGGGATCGGAAAGTGATGATGGGAACTTGAAACAGACTTGGTCATGTTTCGGATGACCACGTCAGAAGTGGAAAGAGAACTTACACAACCGCTGCACTCGTCCCCTGCAAAATCCTCCCCGCAATCATGATTCCAATACTACTTCCTATATCCAGCAAAATCGTCGCACCCAGCAGTGCAAATAGACCTATGATGAGCGGGGAGCGGCGCGATGTGCTTCGGTCGGCCAGCCATCCGCAGACGGGCGAGAAGAAGAGTAACGCCGCGGCGTAAATAGCGATGAGGACTGAAACCCAGTACTGTACTTTGGAAGAGTCGACGTGGGACCTAGACTCGATAGCGAAGGGCACGACGGGCACGATGAGGGCGTAGAGGAACATGTCCGTGAAGATAGCCAGCGCGATCGTCGCGATGATAAAGGCTTCCGAGCTGCGGTACTTGAGGTAAGGCGGCTTCGTGCCATGCTGTGTGAAGCTTTGCAGCCATTTTGGACGTGCCATATCTTCTTCTTCTTCTTCTTCTTCTTCTTCTTTTCTCTCGTCTAAGGCGCGACTGGTTCCTTCTCTTCAAACTCACGCTTTCATCGTGGATGCCAAAAAAGAGCGCGGTTTGGTAGGGTGCAGTTGCATGCGCAACGTTAGGCAGTCACGAACGCACAAATATTTCCAGGGTAACAAAGAAAACGCTAAGTTATAGCTTGGTGTTATGATAGAGACATCGCGCGCTGGACGAGCTCCGCAGTCTGGTGGCCCTGGGACGTCGTGTGCTGCGTTGAGAAAATGAAGAAGAGCATCATTGATCGACGGTGCAGGGGAGGCTTTCTATGACTCGGGCGCTCGTACTCCGCGGGCGCCGAGAGTGGGGCCAAGATACGAGGCAAATTAGGGACGCGAGGTATGATGCAGTCGAGGTTTGTCTATACAGCAACGCAGATTTCGAAGACGGCCTTCTGGAAATGAAAGAAGTCCCCTTTCAGATGGTACAGAGTGTGAAGTCGTGGTCGTTGTGGAAGGGACGATGGCAATGATACCGAGGTCTTGCCGATCTCCGGAAGATCTCCAGATGCCTACGTCGTCAGGAGTGTCTCCTGCACATCCATTCATCATCACCAGCCATCTCATTGTCGCAGCTATGCGATACCGTATTGGGATTCTCTAAACGACTGCATTTCCATGCCGCAGAATGCAGCTAGTGGGCAGACGTTGTTCTCCGCCGCTCATTCGTAGATTACGTCCTCTCAGCTGCAGCCACGCGTAGCTCACATCAACCGAAGTCACTTTCATTCGAAACGATCAAAGTGTCAACCCAGAGAATTGCTTCCAGATCGTATCATTGGTCGTATGCGTCTACATGCACTGCCTCCTCCAACACTACGTTGCATTTAACAGGCTGTCGTCACTATCAGCCTTGTTTTCTGCAAATGCTCCTTACCATAACCTTCACATAATTCTCATTGCAGGCCTATTAGCGTTAAGGGAGTTAGGATCGCTCAGGTAACAGTACATCGCAAGAACTAAAGAGCATTTCTAAGGTCCCAACGCCCTCCACGCTCTTTTACAATCATCACCATGTGCGGAAGGTTCCACGACCATAATCGCCCTCTACGCCCTCTGAAAATGATCAGCCAAAGACGTCAATCATACGTCCCGATCCCAGATCTATTCATAGGAAAATATCCGACTTTTATGTTCTATTGGCCCTGACATATTGTTGGTCGCGTGCCTAAACCGCGTATAGCCTCCGCCACGACAGGCTGTGCGTACCAGGGCCGACCAGGCTGAACCATCATCATCAACATTTAATGGTTGCAAGAGCTTGCTTTTTACGGCTCTTGTAACAATCTCCACTCTGGTCTCACGCTAATGGAAAAAACGTCGATATTCGAAGTTGCTGAACAACCCGGGGACATTCACGGGTGCTAACTACCTTTCGTATGCCGAAGTAGAAGCATCCGAGGTAAGTCCCTCGTATTGATGCAGCAGTGCTACTGGCTGAACAGATAGGCCTCTGGCGTATTTCAATTCCGGAGAGGGAAACTGACCCTGAAAGAGATTGAACAGTGGTTGAAGACAGGTGTAAGAATACCAGCAAAACACACGATCTATCTCATTTGCTTACTGCAGTAGCAGGGAGGAGATCAAGAAAAGGCACCATTACAGAAGCTGCGGGTGATGTAGGTATCCGGCTACGTAGCACACTCGCCGATATCATTGAGACTGTTGTAGTGCCTGCACGGCAATCACGAAGTCGGATCACCGTCCGTCGCTTGCGCTGACACGCGCATCATACGAAACCCTCGCAATCCATTGGAAGCTTCCTCACGCCCTCCTATATGTACTCAGTACACGGACATCATGCTTTGTCGCTTTCGAAGACACAGATGATAATACCACAGGTAGGCTCATTACGCAAGCACACTGTATCTCTCTGATTATGTATATGCAAGGACACATCTTCCAAACCATCGACAAGAATGGGCGACCGTTCACGTGTGCCCTCATGCACTGCTCTCACACCAGCGAAACCAACGTCCTCCTATTCGGCCTACTACCTGACGAGTTTGATATCATATGCGACGAGCTTTCTACGTCGCCTCAACTCTCCGCATGCCCGACGTTTATTCCTGTATGCCTCATTGACATGGTAAACGAGATCATCGAGCATGACCTCGAGAGCGGCCGCATCAGGACGCACAATATCATGCTCGAGCTTGGCATGGGCAAATCGGGAAGTGAAGGCGTCTACGTCGATTGTAGCCTCCATCACTGCGACTTTGTGCCCATTACACGTGCGCTAACTGGGCTGACGGCGAATTTGGCGAAGTGTGAACTGGCTTGCGAAGCCCATACACTTCTGCTAGATCAGATGGACAAGCAGCATGAAAAGTGGCTCAATGACCTGGACGACGAACAAAGACGTAGGATCAGTAAGCATGCAAGCACGCTGCAGAAACGGAGCAATAACTTGAGAGAATGGATGCAGGCGATGAAACCAAGAACAAAGTATCTCACGCAGCGATCGCAAGCATACGTGTCAACGGTAAGCACGTTCTTAGCTGCAAAAAAGCTTCGTGTGTACATGGCGAACAGATTCAGGCCAGCATGTATCGGATGTTGGAGGTTCTGTAACTTACCCCTCACAGGTGTACAGTCTCATGGCTCAGAAAGACAACGCTCTCAACATGCAGACCGCCGAGGCCTCCCTCAATCTTTCTCGAGCGAGCTTCAGAGACAGCGCCTCCATGATCGCTATCGCCGAAGACTCCAAGCAAGTCGCGCTAGCTACGTCTAAGGACAGCTCTTCGATGTTTATCATCTCCGCTCTGACTCTCATCTTCCTTCCGCCGACGTTCACCGCTGTATGTCGCCATTCATTAGCATTGCACTCGTGTTCATCACTGATGGCGTAAGACCCTGTTTAGCACGCAATTCTTCGATCTCAACTCCAAAGATGCGGACAGAATGACTTCATCGCGCTTCTGGCTCTACTGGGCAGTGACGGTACCATTGACGGTGGTCACCACCGCTTGCGCATTAATCTTCTTCTATATGAGGGATAAGAAGATGAGAATGAAACTATGTCTTGTGAGACGAGACAACCAGCCTGCAAGACAAAGCACTTGAGAAAGGCCTGAAAGGATCTAAGGGCGCGCATTAAAAGCATAAATCAAGATAAAGAGGTTTTTGTTCAGTAGCATGAGTATACAAGAATGTCAAATCTACCAAATTCCAGGGCCTACCTACCCAGTCACCATTTCCTCGTCCTCATACATTGGTCTCCCTTTACTGAGTAGGGGTCTCGCCATTGCGAATGCAGCCCGACTTATCAGTAATCGCCTTCGGGCACGTAACCTTTTTGAACGTAACATCTGGGTTATCAGCTCCCTTGAACCAGTCAAACCGCCAGTTGCATCCAGCCTTGAGCTTCTCGGGGAATCCATCGCAGTCAGATTGCTTCGATATGCCTCCATACTGTGCTCCCCAGCCGTTTGGCGGCGCACCCCACTGGTTGGTGCACGCATTGAACAGGCCGACACCGCCTCCCGGCATAGCCAGATCGAAATGGTTCTGGCCAAGGTCGCCTCCAGTGTTCGTCGCTTGAACAACGAGCTGCTGGCCGGCAACGGGCCCAGATGTAAATGTCAATCTGTGCCCCGTCAGTCACGTCCTCCACCTTTCCCTGGCCGGGTGCAAGGAGAACTCACTCATAGCAAGAGCAACACCACGCATTTTCCGTGCTACCAGCCAGCTTGACGGCCGCGAATCCGTACGCCAACTTATCGTCTACCGCCCATGGGCTCTGGTTCGAGCACATGTGCGCCACGCCCCCGCCGTTGTCGCACGCGCTCTTCGCGGCCATGTCGGCGAGCGGGTTATCGCTTTTGTCGCAGCTGCGGATGGGCTGGTTGACGGGCGCTTTGCCTGCCCAGCCGCATGACCCTTTGCAGCAGTCCCAGTATCGCGTTGTTTTGCCTGAGCCGCTTTGTGCGGCTGCGGTGGAGGCGAACGCCACAAGGGCGAGCTGCTTGAAGGAGACCATGTTGGAAAGATTTATAGGTGGTCTATGTCGTTGTTGAAAGGTGTAGGAAGATCCTTGGAACGATATGAGAACTACAGCTGTGTGGATAGCCTATTTATTATAACATTTGCGGGTGTTCAGGCAGCGTGCAAAGGGCTCAAGATATGATGGACTGGGGCTGACACCGCGTTCGTGTGCATGCATCGGGCGGGTATGAACATGTTTCATTTGAACGATCGTTACGTAGAGGCAAAGCAATTCGACGTCCGATGACAATCACCTCATTCTGCACAACAAAAGTTACCTGGTATGCGGAACTGTCGGGACTCGTATACCCCACAGTCGCTTCATCTCCGTGTCCACCCAGCTCTGTGAGAGGCTGCGATTGGTGAAGAAGCCTGGTACCTGCAATTCATAATGGTTGGTTTAACGCGTGTTTTTGGGATAATATAGGGTTGTATAAAGTCAGCAGACAAGTTTACATGGCGTCGAGGAACGTTCAATTTGGGAGGCGTGTGGTAGCGTCGGGATTGCGGGCGATTTGTTCCTGACATTTTACCGAAGGATGTGGCGATATTATTGGGCGCTATTATAGTGCAGCGATGTATGGGTATCGGGTGGCGTTGTGGGGTACATATGCAAGCATTTAGTTGCGCATTAAATCTATTTGCCGGAGATTTGCGGTATGAACTGTGCAACGCGAAGGTATGCAGGGTGGCAGGGCAGGAAGCTCCGTTCTAGAGCGAGTCAAAGCCAAGGCAGATCTCGTATCTTGCAGGAAATGGCAAGCATGGCTTGCATGTTTCTGTCCTGTGTCTGCGTGACGATCGAAGGATACTAGGTAACATAAGAGTGCCACAAGTGCAGCGTTATACTATACCTAAACCTTGGATGACAAGTAGGTTAACGTATAATGTGACAGAAACTGAATCGAAAACCCAATGGAAAAGCGAGCTAGTTATGCGCGTATCAAGAGACATTAGTCTAGTCCAAGCTTGGCCTGATCACAATTGAGACTGTAGCCTGTGACCGTATTTGATTCAGTCCATACTATGATAGCTGCTATATTCGCATCGAGCGATGAAATGTAAAGTTCATGTTACGCTAGTTGCTGGTAGATTGCTGCGATTTGGCTGTAATATCAGGCGGTCCCCGATCGGTACATGAAAACAGCAAGCGCTGACAAGGTCTCTGGCACAGGAGAGGAGATAATTACTGACATGTACGCATGCAGTGGATCCTCATTACGCCTGAATTCTGCATATTCGTGGCCGATGATCAAGATATTTAAAGTTCGTCTTGACGTTCCTTACACCTTCAGCTCGCTCTTCCCATGATCAAGCGACGTGGCAGATTCTTCTGCGTCGTAGGCCTTTTGTCTCGCCTCCTCCAGATTGAGTTGGGTTCCGCTCGGATTGAACACTATTGAAGTCAGCGGAATTGCGCCTGAAAGATAACCGTAGGCACTTACGCAGTTCCATCTCCTCGAGAGACCGACCCTTAGTCTCTTTGATGAAGAACCAGGTGTACGCGATCAGCGAGCAGTTGAAGATAGCAAACATCAAGAAAGTCTTCCATCCGAGGTTATTGATGGCGTGTGGAGTGATCTGACTGAAGACAAAGTTGAACAGCCATTGTGTGGCTGTGCCGGTCGCGATGGCTCCTTCGCGAATGCGAGTAGGAAAGATCTCGCTCATATAGAGCCCTGATAATGTCAAAAATGTACTACGAGATGGAAACGGAGACTCACATGGTACAGGACCCCAAGAGATGTTGTATACCATCGCCTCGATGTAGATCATACCAATGGCAGCGCTTGCAGATCTAGTGAGGCCAGCTTTACCGGTCGGTGGTTCAGTCGCCGTGATGATAGCAACGATGAGCATGAGGATAGCCATGAGGAAGGCGCCGTTTAGCAATGCCCAACGACGTCCAATACGCTCCACGAGGAAGAGCAGGAAGAAGAAACATGCAACGACCTTGCACAGCCCAAAGAAGCCGCTCATGAACACCGCATTGTTTCCGGCACCGACTGCGGCGAAAAACTGCGGTGCGAAATAGGCCAAGGACGTGTTTCCAGTGAGCTGAACGCCTATTTGTAGCGTGACGACGAGGATGATGCGCCATCTGTTCGCTGGCAAAGTGTACTCCTTCCAGGTGACCCCCTGGGTCAAACGGTCTTCTTCCGCAATGCCAGCGTTGATTTCGTTCATTTCCGCTTGGATCTCCTGGTCGTATTCGCCGCCTCTGACCCAAATCAATGATTTCAACGCCTCATCATGGCGCCCGACCTTTGCCAACCATCTCGTGGACTCCTTTGTGAATAGCATTCCCAATCCGAGCAGCCCACCGAAAAGCAACTGAAGGCCCACGGGGATGCGCCATTGTCTGGTGGATGGTGCCATTTTGGTAGCACCGTAGGTTACCTATTCGGTCAGAGAAGAATCAGAAGAAGAGGGAAGTGATTTTACCCAATAAGACGTAAAGACTCCCAGAGTGAAACAGCCTTGGAATAGGGAGCCAAGTTGGCCTCTCATGTGCTTGGGAGCCATTTCAGCGGAGTACATGGGGATGATGGTTGTGGCAATGCCGACGCCGAACCCAGATATCGTTCGACCGGCGTACCAACATCCTACGTTATTCCCAGGGTAGAAAAGCTGGAGGAGAGCGCCAACCTCAAACACGAATGAGGCCAAGGCTATGGACCAGCGGCGTCCGAAGCGAGCTGTAAACGGCCATACAAGGAAGCAGGCAAAGAACGCTGCGGAATGTCAACGTCTAATCAATGTCCAAGTGGCCGTGCGTACCTCCAGCCTGCAGAAGACTGGCTGAATTCGAGCTGATCTGTGTTCTGTTTGCAGCGGTAAAGCCCATATCCCGCTGGAAGCTCTTCAGGGTCAGTACACCACCTACAATGCCCGTGTCATAGGCAAAGAGGAAAGACCCTATGCAGCTGAGGGCCACAAGGTAAGTGGCCCGGAAGGCGCCCAAACGCTTCCCCATTGTGCTGCTAGCGAAGAGGATGTTGGCCAGAAAACTACTGGTATGTGCAACGAGACAGCGCAAGAAGAAGTGTGAGGTTACAAGTCGAATGCTTATAAGTGATCAGCGCGTTGGGAGCTCACGCGTCTTCTGTGATGGTGGCATGCCGGGGCTCGGTCGATAGGGTATCAGCCCGTGTCCATGCTGTGCGGGAGTTGGACGGGACTGCAGAAGGATGATGGGAAGGCTGTAGGCGAGAGGGGTAGCGGAAACGGGGCGTCGGCCTGAGCCACGAGAGATTGGCCGAGGGTGTGAAAAGCCACGCCCGCGCTAACCCCGGCGCCATAACGCAATGGGCCCACATTTTGACGATTACCCCAGGATCCACCGTTCCGACCGAACGCACTTGGGACGACTCCGCGCCAAAAAGCGACTCCACGTCGCCATCGACCACCGAGCCTCATCGCGTCGTGCGGCCTCATGGCAGCCTGTAACCGCACCCACCACATCTGCGACAATAACCCGGGTTGACCAGAGTATCGCATCCACACCATGAGGGCCGCCTGCGTCCAATGCCGCGTGCGCAAAGTATGTCCACCCATTCTGTACCCACCCTTAACCGAGCTGCCCAGCTCTCCGTGTACATCATCCTGCAACGTTGCCGGCAGTCGGTCTTCGCTAACGCCCCGAAGGTCCGCTGCGACGGTTCAGCCCCTTGTTGTAGGCCATGCGAGCGCCTACGCTTCGACTGTTCATTCCAACAAGCCGGCGCCAACTCTGGTGGATATGCAATACAGCTCCCGCCAAAGCGGCGCGGTACTGAGGCCTGTCTCGAGTGCCGTACAATGAAGGCACGTTGCTCTAGGGAATCTCCTCGGTGCAGCAATTGCAATAGGAGGAACAGGAAATGCACCTATGCATCGGCCTCGCGCTCAGCTACCACGCCGGGAAGCCTTGTTACCATCGATGGGAGCTCACATGTGTCGCCTCAAGAATCTAGTGTTGCGAGTGAGCGTGCCCCGGCCGTTTCCGTGACCAGCGATATCACCTCACCCTTGTCAACAATCAGTAGCGGTGCCTATCTGCCTGCTACAGAGTTGATTGTCAAGTACTTTGACTCCTTGGCCCCCCTGCCAGCATTTTGTTTCCTCCACAAGGAGACTGTTGTTCAGCGATGTCTCGACGGATCCATCGATCACTCCCTCAAGCTGGCCATATGCGCCCTCACGTCAATGTTTCTGGGTCAACATCACGCTCAACGTTTGGAATGGGCTCAAGAAGCTGAACGGCGTATACTTGACAGATTAGAGAAACCTTCCATCTTCTTGATCCAGGCTTCCCTACTCATAATACGGTTTCGAGCTGCGAACGGACAGTTCCCACGCGCCTTTATCTTAGCGGGCCTCGCTGCACGATGGGCTGTGGCCCTGCGGCTCAATTACGAACACACTGGGCTAGGACCATTAGCCCAGGAGGTTCGAAGACGTACCCTATGGTCACTTTATTTGCTTGAGGACAGCTTTTGTGTGGGACTGAAAGAGTTTGAGCTATTGTCCCCAGAAATCATGCATTTGCAACTACCGTGTGAGGACGCAGATTTCAACGAGAGACGGCCATCATCCACTGGCTTTCTACAGTCTGGGAGAGGCATCGAGCCAGAAGTGCTTGGGTCTCGCGCAGCATTCATCAAACTGGCTTTGATCAGACGCGACATCATGCGGTACGGTCCTGACAATCTGCCGTGTGTTCAAGCTAATGTATGCAAGATTCAATCGCCGGATATGTGACAAGGAAATCACAAAAGCGGAACTGTTTACCTGCATCGAGCGTTATCAGAATGACCTGCTTCGTCTGCGCACACGACTTGCACCCAACGATCAGTACCCGCGCGCTACCCCGGAAGAATTTTCCTGGCCGCCTCAGTATGCTCTGCTTCACATGTCGTGGCACCAGTGTCATTGCGACTTGTACCGTCCGTTCTTGACCGACTACCCCGAACTTGGACCGCATGCGGCTCTCAATGGAATGTCTGAGCCTGACAGAGTCCTAATGAGAGATAAATGCTTGGGGCACGCTGAGCAGATCGTGCGCGTACTCACGGATTTTATCCATCATAAGCAAGAGCAACACTTACTCGAACACGATGCGGCAGTCTGCGCTTATCACGCCGCTCGACTGGTACTGTTCGGTACCTACAATGCTTCTCGTGAATCGGATTTCCCGATGCGAATGGCCATGAACAAGGCACAAATGTGCCTTGATGTCATAAAGCGATACTTTAGCTTCTCCGCTCAGCTCGAGTCGATGGTAAGAAATGCTGTGCAACGACTCCGCAGCTTGCTAACGCGCACTAGCGAAAAGCTCTCGAGGCAGCGATTGACCAACACAAAACTCGCTGGAAGCCCAACGGTCCCGTAGAAGGAACACCAAGGGATCCTGATCCAGACCCTCCCAACATCTCCAGAGACGCGCACAATCGGCAGAGGCTCGCGATTCACAGCCTACTCCGCCAGTCAGATTTCGTCGACGATAGCCGCGAAGCTGCGCTCGAATCATCAACTCAGGCTGGGCCAACTGCTACACTGCCTGTAGCCGCGGAATCTGCCGCCACTACAAACATCTCACAACGAGTCGATTGGAACGTCCAAGATACAATATACCCGCCCTGGAACTTCATGCCCAACGATCCAAACTCATTATACGGGTTTCCTTTCGGAACCGGTATGCTTGATTTTGGGGGGAGCATGGCACAAGGCACCGATGAGTTAGGGAATCTTATTGGGAGTCTCGATGAGCAGTGCATGTATTGAAGCGCTTGTTGTATTATGTGATGCTCTTCTCGATTCTGTTCAATGCTCTTGGATCGAACAGCAGATCTCAAGCTACTGCATGGCCTATTCAAACAGGCTGTGGCAACCAGAATAACGATACCTACCACTACACATTGTCGACAGAGGGTATTCCAGAGGGTACACCGGCGAAAATTTTGGCGAAACAATATCGTTCGACCTGAACATCTTCCTCGGCCGCCACTATACACGACCAGCACAACGAAGCCTTGATTTATGACTTTGACAGCCTCGATTTCAGCTTTACGCTGGACGGACACACAGACGGTCTCATGAGCGCCGCGTTCAGCCCCGACGGAACGTACATCGCAACTGCTGCATGGGACGGCAAAAGCAAGGTCATCCAGAAGTGGGAGTTGGACGAGGCGGGTCAGCGCAACGTTGAGGTCGCAGATGCTACATGGTCAGAGAGCGGAAGGCGGATCGCATATCACTGCCAGCCTGCGTCGGAGGCGTAAGTTTTTGAGAGCGATTTGAAGTATGGCTGGGGACCTGGAGAGAATGACATTTTTCTGGAAGGGGTTGATATGGCTTGTACGTTTCACTTGCAGAAGAATGGTTGGATTGGGGCTTTGACTGGGATCATAGTGCCCGTTTCTGGAAGCATCTAGCAGCTTGATCAGAGTTGAGGCTCCTGAATTAGTAATAGGCTCGAGTTATTTCGGGATTGTAGTGGAAGGATATAGGGTATGTGTACAGATTCATTGTAAATAGAAGTATAGTAGTTAGATCCTGCCTCTGTCCAGGAATTTCTTAGGGAGCTCGACTGTCTTTGCGCGCAAGAACTCGATCGCATTCTTGCCCAACGTATCGAATTTGTAGCACTGGCTGTAGCCTCTGTATCTTCTGTCAGTATAATCGCACGTGGTCAAGTCAAACATGATCTCTTACCCGTCAAGGTGATCATGGAGCAAGAAGTGAACAGCGCGAATACCGGGGATCTCGAATCGGTCGATAGGGTTGCCTGTATACTCGTGCGGACCCAGCAAACTCTTGATACGGTCGACAGTCAAGAAGCTCTGCAACCATCTATACTCATCGTCTTGACGCGCAATGAAGCCGATATTGCAATCGCTGGCTTTGTCCCCACTCTGTCGCAAAACGTCAGCAAGCTAGTCCACCATCGGTCGCCCAGGGCCTTACCCTCCCAGCCACGATGTAGCCCAAAGGTGCGAGAACGGTATCGCCAAACGAGTCGAGCGGTACAGGGTTGCTGGTTTCGTACGACTGTTGTTTCCTTGGATACTCCCTGGTCACAGCTGGCGGAGGAAGCTCCCGCGTCTTCTGGGATCCAAACGTGTTGTGCACAGTCACGCCAAGTTCGGACTGCGGCATGAGTGATACCCAGTACTCATAGAATGGCTTGGGGACAACTTGGCGCAGGTCGTTGCTTAGAGAAGCACCCTCGAAGATGGTTAGCGTACGAGAAATTCATTCCAAGGGTTAGGTCATACGGGTGCGCTTTGCAGGAACGTCTCTAGAACCCAGCGGTTGAAGCCATTTGGCACATCTGGTCGCAGCAGTTCCGGGTCTCGCGTTTGTGCAAATATCCGCAAGTCTATCGTCGCAAAGTCTTGTGTCGGTGCGCCGTCGCATATCGAGGATCCCATCTGTTGGAACTTGAGCTTCGTGAAGCGAGAGATGTCGTCGCCAATGGTATAAAGAATCTGATCTTTCGTAATCTGAATCTTCTCATTGATGTCGAGGCCACACAACCAAATGTGCCACTCCGCTTGAAAGCCACCTGGTAGCGTAATTCCTACTTTGGTTGTTGGGGGAGGTGGAAGACCTTTGACTCCAGTCACGCGGACCAATTCATCGCCGATTTGTTCCATTTTGATACCGGTAAGATCCGCAACTACATCACAGTTGTAGTATAGCCTGAGTATCGGTAAGCACTATCATAGCGGATTCGAGGAGCGTATGCTTACGGTCCCTGTATCTCGTAGAGAAGCTGTGAGGCGCACGATCGCACCGTAACGCAACCGCCGGTGTTCTTTTCTTTCACAATGTTGAAAGTGCCGTCAGTTTCGATCTCCGCTATAGGGAAGCCCATGTTCACGTGTTTGCCGGTCTAGTAGAAGTCAGAAATTAAATTCCGAGAGCTCAAACGTATTAGGGAGTGGGACTTGAACTTCAAGTCGACTTGCCTTGATTAGATCTTTAAAGTCAGAGTAGAAGCCGCCTGTGACATATGAGCCGCATTCAATGAGATGTCCGGCAACGAGCGCGCCAGCGAGCTCGTCAAACTGATCGTTGCTCCATCCATGCCACCAACTGGTGTTGTGTTAACATCGGAAAACAAATTTGTCTAACGTTTTACTTACGCTGCAACGCCAATGACAGGTGCCGCATCAGCAACTCGACCACAGAGCACAATATCAGCTCCATCACGGAAGGCTTCTGCAATGCAAAGCCCACCAAGATAGGCTTGCGCACATATTGGGTCTGCTCCGAACTCCTCTAGCGCCTTCCCGTGCATCAAGCTCTCAAACTTCTCGCCTTTCTGGATGAGCTTGCGGACCTGTGGCGTAACGTCATCACCAGAGATCCACGAGACTTTAAGGTGTCCTGCGCCACGCTCCTTCAACGTCTGCAGAACAACTTCGGTCAACAGCTCTGTGTCACTGGCGCCCGCATTGACACAAATCTTTGTCTTGTTCTTGACCACATTGTCAATACAGGGCTCAAAGCACTGCATGAACGTTTCCGCATACATGGCTGTCTTCTTGCGCTCTTCGAGGCTCAGTTGCTTTGCGTCTCCATTCGATTGTCGCTTGTTGGAGATATCGGCTTGTCGTTTTGCTTTGCCAGTCCCGTGGACTACCATAGTCATCTCCGCCAGCCAGTCTCCTATGACAGCGTCGACTTCGGGATCGCCAGCCATCCGCGTGAGTGCGAGGTATCTATCGGTGAACCCGCCTGAACATCCAGCAATGCGGACGGGCCGCTTTTGATTCGTGCCTGAAGGCATAATGGGTGTCTTTCGCAGAAGAAATTGTAAACAAGATGCTGATTGACAGTATCCGACCCGAGCAAGCGCAGGAAGCCGGAATAAGGAATCCTTATAGTCTAAGGCGCTTATGAGAAGCAGAAGTACGAGTCAACATATCCTCGCGGAAGACAATGACTGACTAGAGCCATTCTCTGGATGCGGGGTTCCCGCAATCGCGACTTCTGCGTGGTGTTAGCCGCGTGGATATCTATATCCGCGGCTGTCAGCTCCTTCTTTCTTTACGCAGTGCACCAGCATAGTTTGACTTGAGTTGGAGTTCTATGATCAAGTGAACCCTAGGCATTAATTACTTTCGAAAGCAAAGAATCCATAGTGCTGATTTGGGGTTAGCAGAAGCTTAGGGTTGTTCATAGAGCCTGTTCCCCCACCATCGCTCCCCGCATTAAGAAACGGCGCGTTGGTAACCCGGACTCTCACGCGACCACGCGACCATGCGACCAAAGTCAGCAAAATATTGTTGTGCGACCCAGTGTCAAGGAAGTATAATGCATGAGAGATGAACTCCTCGATGTTCAGCAATAATTGAAAGGGCACATACCCTACGTCATCCGGTCGCACTTCACGCTAAGTCGCAAACTGCAAACGCTACGCTTCTTTCGGCAAGTTTATACGAATTCGGAATACCGCGACTTGTTTCAAATTGTCCCGTCCGATTACATTGCTCTAGCTTGGTTTTGTCGTATCTGCGAGTATTTATAAGACATTCGCAGGACTTCCATAGTACTCATCTTAGTTATACCGAGAGAAACTTCATCACCAAGTACAAGATGACAGTCAAGAATAGAATCATTATGGGTCGTAAGTGCAGGTCTTTGCAACACGAAAAAGAAGCTAATATACCAAGTAATGACATTTGGACCGGTATGCTGCCCGTGATGGAACGTTTAGTTGCAGCTAATGGAGGCAGGACGTCGAATGGGGCGCCAAAACAACTTCGCTTGAAGAGTTTGGCATGTTTCTGGATCATTTGCAGGCCGCTGGCTATAACGAAGGCGACACCGCACGCACATACCAGAGGGGTGCACAAGAAGCCTTCACAGCTGCCGTCGGTTACAAAAAGCGAGGTCTGACTGTTGCAACCAAAGTTTACCCGGACTCGCCCGGAAAACATGAACCAAAGGTTCTACGCGAGAATGTTGAGGAATCGCTGAAGCAACTCCAGACAGACTACGTCGACATCTTCTACTTGCATGCGCCGGATAGAAGTGTCCCTTTTGAGAAGACACTCGAAGCGATTAACGAGCTGTACAACGAAGGCAAGTTCAAGCAGTTTGGGCTGAGCAACTACGCCGCATTCGAAGTTGCGGAAATCGTTATAACGTGTCGTGACAAGGGATGGGTCCGACCGACCATCTATCAAGGCTGCTACAATGCCATCAGTAAGTGAAACTAGTCAGAGGAGTACAGGGAAAATCTAAACCAGTCCCCAAGCCCGAGGGATTGAGGCCGAGCTAATACCTGCGTGCCGGCGATACGGCCTCGATATCGTGACCTACAATGGGCAAGTAACTAGGTGATATCTGTAGCGCATGGAGCACTAACATAGATGCAGTTTGGCAGGCGGTCTGTTTACTGGAAAATATAAAGCAGGTAAAACCAATGCGCCGGGGCAACTCACGTTGGTAGACAAGGTCTACCGCACACGATATATACGAGATGGCAATTTTGATGCGCTCAGCATCATCGAGCCCGTAGTCACCGCTCATGGCCTTACGCTCATTGAAGTAGCAATGCGGTGGCTCATCCATCACAGCGATCTCAAAATGCGAACCGAGGGTGGCAACGAGTACGTGACGTCCCTTGTGTTGATGTTCACGTGCATTGAGCTGACTTTACATAGCGGTCTCATAATCGGAGCCAGTAGCCTTGCACAACTGGATAACAACTTGGCGCAGCTTGACAAAGGACCATTGCCCAAGGAGGTCATTGACGCGCTGGACGACGGCTGGCTGGCTGCAAAGGCTACAACCCAGGAGTACTGGCACATGGATCTGAAGTATACATACGATACCCAAGCAGCACTGTTTGGAAAGGAGCATCAAGTGGCCGGAAGAGCACGCATTTGACGAGGATTGAACGACCACCGGCTACCTTAGCTCGTTACAAGTAAAAGAAAACAGAAATGTTATCCCAGCACCATCTAGTTCTACGTACATGACGAAGGACGAAGATTCCTCCATAGGCACAGGTAAAAGGATACCTCACCTAATGCGTTCCCATCAGATAAGCTTTTTCTCAAGCGACCGGTGCAGTTTCGATCACCATTTGTCTATGTTCTGAAGGACTCCTCGCATCTCTCCAACTTCCAGCTCCATCAACAATAGTTCGAAGTCTAGACTGTCTTTCTCCTGCAGAAGATACTACTCTATGTGAGCCAGCTGTCTACCAAAGTCTGTGTCAAACTCGATTGCCCGGTCGGATATCCGAAGCTCCGACTGTAGTTGTCTCCTTTCCAGAAAACCCTCTTCCAATATACAGGAGCAATGCTCGCGGTAACATCGAACCTTGAGCCTGACGAGCTGTGTACGATGTCGACTTTTGTCACTTTCCACATCTGAAACCTTTCTTAACGCCTTTGGCGATTCAGTGCTCCACGAAACTCACTGCTGGTTAACTTCTAGGCTTATCGAGAAGTATCTAACAATGTTCTATCACAGATCAATTTACCAGGTTCAAGAATGCTGCATCATTTCCCCTCTGATAGATGTGCCCATGCCATGTGGCCGAAAAGTCGTTGAATGGGAGCTCTCCTTAAAGCTGTCTCAGTGATGATGGGGCACTTTACTATGTGATCAAGGGAACGAGATCGCCAGATCTTAGTATGCAAGGTAGCATGTATTGCTGGTGGAACTGGCCAGCTCGGAACTTCTCTCGTTCACTGGCTTTCAACGTTCTCCTGAGACATATTGGATGCAGGTCATTTCGAAGTGGAGAAGGCATCGACGCGGAGAAGAGATTTGGAAAGATCAGGTCTAGATCAAATGGCACTTGAAGCGGGTATGTCACAGCGGCAGGAAAGACGCTCTCGTAACGTCATCCATTCTATAAGAATTGCAGAAAGGAACCTCGACTTTCGTTCGTTTTCACTCTACACCACACTTTGCTTGAGGATCCTCCCTCTCGTGTCATTCAGGATGTATCATCCATGTACAACATTGATTGCACACTTGATGTGCCGTGGCCGTCCGTACCTAAATACACGAGCCCGAGGGGTATCGCCACGGAAAGGCTCGACTTTGAAGTTGAAATGATCCCTTCTAGCGCTTCAGTTGACTCTGTGGTCTATATCCGAGAAGGACATTCGCGGGACACAACTGAAAGGTTTCCTTCTGGATAATTTTAAGACAGCTTTATAGTTTCAAGTGTCTCTTCTTAGATCAGATGGTCATCATTACGTCGGATGCGGTTGATTGCTTCACTATAATTGCATTCTAATTCGTGTAGACTATGTCAAGACCTTGCTCCTCTCGTTCATGCATCAACCTGGATATTACCATGGCTTGTTCCGCCTTTCACTCAGGGGTACGCCGAGAGCACTACAATGGACTTTTTCAAGCTGGTATCTGACGATATGATATGTGTGCCATGGTGTGCATGTTGCTGATTCCCCGCATGTGTTACTCCCCCTGAGTCCTGCAGGTAAACCGTTGATGACGTAAATTTCTCCAAGCCATTAACGCAAGCACCTGAAACACCTCTGGCCTCAACAGATCGTCACGTTCCAGACAATTCGATTACATAGTCTACGCCACCTGTCTCGTCCCTACAGCGAAGATCTCCTACGCCCGAACCCATCTCCCATCCTTCGTTTGCCCTGCTTACAATCGCCACGACCCTGCCGCGGAGCACTCACGCCGACATCATCACGCCTCGTGGCAACGAGCAAACCCCTTGAAATAGCAAAGATGTTCTAAACACTTACCACTTCAAGCTATCATCGAGGTTCGAAGGATTCAAGCCCCGCACGGGCCACCCACGAAGTCCGAAGCCAGGTGTCGCAACCATTGGCCCTGGCTTTCGCCTCGTAAGGTACGGACAGCTGCACCTATCCTGTCGAGTCAGGAGTTTACAGATGCGGCGCGCCCGGAGGAATTAGGTACGGCGGCCTTTGCGGTTGCGTGAACGCGTGACGCACGTGTGGTAATCCCCTTGATGCGGGCGATTCGCAGGATTCACATTGGATTGCGTGACGGAGAGCGAGGTCTGAACAGGAAGCGATGTGACATGTCTTGCCTAGCGTCATGTAGACATTCCAAGTTCCCCAGAAACGTGCAGGTCTGCGAGTCTTGGTATCGGACATTTGGTGCATGCTGCGTGGCCGTCTCGAAGGATTCGGCGAGCATCAAGGGACTACGCGCAGTAGTAAGGCGCGGCGCGTAAGAAGAGCACTTTGGTAAGTACACGCGCCCGTCAAGAAGGCTCGCGTTCTGCAAGCATGCAGGACGTAACTGGTTCCGTTTAGTGTCTTTGATGCGTTTGATTAGGTCCGACGATCGCTACTGATATCAACGCAACTGTGTCTACGCTTGGCATTAGTGATGCAAGCGCCTACCTGCTTCCTCGGACCTCGTGCAACCCGTCCACATTCCAAATGCATCGGGAGATAGCAGACGCGCTCTTGAGTGATCGACTATGTAGATCGTCAACCTGTTGCTGGGGCTTTTCATCTGCAGCGGCATCAGTGTCGGCACCGGTGGAGGAAGCGCCCTGCGTCTACCATTGCATCGAATTTCCTTGCAGCCTCAAGGATCAGGTGGAATTTCCTCCAGCGGAAGGCAACGCGCTCTCAAAGGCTAGGTACATCAGTGGTGGCACCCTCGTCGAGGCATACACCGTCTCTTGCCGCCCATCCGACAGAACCGCCTTCGTTGCCTCGAACCAGCCGACTCATTTATTCAACACCATCTCTGCTTCACCATCGCATCCTTCAACACTGCCTCCCTATGTCACCAAAATTATATTCAGGCTGTTCAGGCTTGAGGCTCAAAGAGCCAAAAGCCTAGTGTCGTCCCTTCCTCGGCGTAATTTGGTGAGCAGGGTTCCTATCCGATGCCACGAAGCGTTAGCAACGGGCCGCAGGGTTGCGGCCTGTTCCGCTTCTAGGAACATTTCCTTGCGTGAACAATGCACAGTAAGATGCCTCGCCATCTGCTACCGTCCGCCTCTTGCAAATCATTGCAGTCCACTATTGAACCACACCGGGATCTAGAAATGGCCATCGCAAAGGTCGCCGTCCGGCAGACGCGGTTCCACTTCAAGTGCATCCGGCCCCAACTGTGCCCACCTTTGACCGGAAGGACGCATGCGCTGGGAAGTTGTCGTCTGATAACGCGGGCCAGCCCCAGTAGACGGGTGCTCTGTTCACGAGTTTTCGCCCCAATCAGGGAATTAGCCCCAAATCTTGGGGCAAGTCTTGCAAGACTTTTCGCTCAAGCGATCAAGGTGGAGGCCACGATGGTACCTCAGGCCGTGTGGTGTTCGATTCGACTCGCACGAATACCGCCTATCCACCAGTTGAACGCACGTGTATAATTAGTTCGACCCACGTGCGATGTCGTTGATGTTCTGGAGTGTCGCTTTGCCGTCACTCAGTCGATAATGCGGCCTCTTTCCCCACCCCCATCCGCCTACTCGGAAAATCGGAGGGCGGGCGGAGAAAAACCCTTCCCAGGTTCGAACGACCAACGTGCAGGCCACGATACCATGGCACAGCTAGACTACCCGCAGTGTACACGAGGCATACTTCAACGACCCCGCATCGTGCGCTTCCTTACAGCCTTGTCGTAAACCGGGAGGCTCCATGATTCAGCAGCTTTCCACCAAAAATAGGTCTGTGAAGTGGGGATCGACAGCGTTGAACGTACCAGGAGCAGGGGATGATTAAGGTGCGGTAGAAGGTTAAATATACGCGAGGCCTCTCGACGAGGGATGCTTGAAGACCCGCAATTTGGGCAGTGTCTCAACGGCTCCGCCACCACTAATATCACCACTTTGGGGATATTAGGTGATGGAAATGGTCGCAAAGGATTGCGATTGGGTATTTCGCGTGCCTGCTAAGGAGGCTAATTGCATTTGTTTCAGGCCGGCGGTGAAGGCCCGTGACGATGGCGTGAAATGAGAGCAAAATGATCTCGGAAGCTTTGACGATAGGAATCTCGCGTCAGGCCGTCAACGTCCACCTTGGAAAAGGAATGACTGCAGATGCAGGATCGCATTTTGGGCTAGACAGCGCGTGCGGCAGGAAACAGGTTGCGATGCGACGAGAGAGATGCCACAAGCTTTGGCAGTCGAGGGTGGATGGCCCAATCCTTCGTGCGAGATGGCTGGGGCCAATTTTAGAGAATGATTTGCAAAGGAGCGCCATGATGTGAGGACGATGGAGCCGTTTGCATCAAGCCCTTTTTGTTCGCCTATCTGCGCACACTCCTTGATATGATCTGTTGTTGGCCGTTGGAAGGATGCGATTGTCACTGAGTTTATTCCCACTGCCAAAGCGACATGCCCGACGGTCGAGTTTCAACAACGAGCGTTTCAGACAACGACAGTCTTGCCCCAAGCACCGAAATGCGGGCACAGATGCACTGCCATCAGAATCAATAAAGCAGCCCGACGCCTGATTGGTGGAGAGGTGCGCCAGTAAGCTTATCCCAAAACTCCGACGCAGACACCCACCCCACCTTCTTGGAAGAACCATATCTGCGGCCAGATATGGTAAGCGCATCGTGGGTCGAGTGAGCATGGAAAGATGCTACTCGCTGATTGATCCTCCCGAAGAAGGGCTCGGGGTCGTTCTTCGCGCTCCCTTCCGAGACAGGCAAGCTCCTTGAGGAAATGGGGCCAAGTTCGTCGCTCACCCGTGATGATCAGACGAGAGGGCGAATTGAGAGCAGGTGGATCAGCTCCATCAGCCAGTGTTTGCTCGTTCTGTCTCTCACCCAGCCCAGCAGCGATGTGACGATTCTTCCGCATTCATCCAGCCTAGCGATGTCCGCTGATGGGTTCAGCAGCGCAAATGGTCATCCTAGGCGACGGTTGCGGACGCTCCTGCCCGATTGAGATTGTGTCTATGCCCTTTGGGAGATGGTGCTGGTCATGACTGCTGTGTCACGCTGACAGGCGCTGGATGTAGACCAGGAGCACAGCAAGGCTGGCCTGAAGCTGAGGCGAAGGCGGACGGCCGTCTTCGAAGTCGCTCCGACTCCTGTATGGAAGGCATTGTGAGGTGGTACGAACAGGATGGGGCCTGCAGCACGCTGCAGGTACGCGGAGCTTGGAAGGCCTGATTCTTCCGTCCTCGTGGCCGGAGCAAACAAGTGTTTCAGGAATGGCAGTTCTGGACCTTCAGGTCCTTCCTGTCTGCGCCTCGTGCATGCGGGTATTTTGCTGCACTTGGTGCGGCATGCGAGCGAAATGAACAAATTAGCCTTGAAGCGGTTCGCTGTACGCAGTGCGTGTACGCTACCCCCAAGCGTAGCCCACCGTTGTAATGATGCATTGCTAGTCCCGTCGTCTGCTCTGCGTGGTGCCGTCATACATTGGACTAAACGTCGGACTACGGCAGCGATACGCAATTCTTCCGGTGTGCAGACGAGTACAGTAGACGATGGCATGGGCACTCGAAGCGAAATCTCTTGGTCCTGTTCGACTCGGGTAGGCGCGGAGCAGCGTCCAGCGTCTCTTGAACCTGCCCTCAGGCTGCTGGGTGAGCCAGACGGATGGCGGCTTGCCCGTTCTGGTACGAGACATGGCACGTGGGGGCAGCGTCTCTCGCTTGCCGGGTGTCGCTGCCGGGCGAGGCAGACTGTCTGTCTCGAGGAACCAGCTGCTGATGCGTCGTGCGTAGGCGGGCGCCAATGAGGGCCTGAGGGTGCAGTGAAGGGGGCGCCACCCTGATTGGCTAAGCTGACCACTGCATCTCTGTGCTTCGCCTCTGCAAGCGGGTATAAGCCAAAAATAATTCCAGAAGAAGAGGCTCGACGCCCATTCCCACGTCGAACACAGGCAGGTACCGCACGTGTCACGCTCGCTAACGTCTCACCTCTCACCTCACCGTGCCATGGAGGGAGGATCCAGGGACAGCATCTGGTCTGTGGTGCAGCGTGAGCCGACCGTTCCTGAAAGTTGAGGCGTGCCTGGGAGCGTTGCCGTCAAGGTTCGGGGACTAAAGCGGGAACCAAGACTTTAGCCAGAAGCTGGCCAGTGGCGGGCCAGTGGCGGGGGCCATGTCGCTGCACTCGCATCCCTCGAGATCTCACGATACGATCGTGGAGCTCTGATCGCGCGGCACCGACGGTGGGTCGAGGCAGTGGGCGCCGTTGCCTAGGGATGGCCGTGTGCGACTAAATTTGGAGCTGGCAGGTGGGCGTGGTGCGGGTGGGCATCTTGCACGCTGGCAGCTCGCGCTGGTACTCGGTAGCTTGAATAGCGTGAATGCATCCCAGGGGAGCGGCATCTGGTTGACAAGAGGCAGATGCGCGCGTGCTCCCGACGAACGGCTGTCTCAGACATATTGCGCTCTGGAAGCGTGCTGCAGAGCGACGTACAAGTCCGTCCCTGCCAAGCGTGTCGCCAGCCTTGCCGTGCACATGTCGTGCAGCCTTGCTCTCGTGTCCTGGCAGCAGCAACATGGGCATCGCGCCGGGGTTCGCAAAGTGGACGCACCCCTGTCGAGAGAGGAGCGCGCCGTCGACGTCGCCCCCTGCTAGCCACTCCACGTCGATTGGTCTGAGGCTGCGCGCAGCTGCCCCAAGCGGCGTGAACGTGGGCCTGCGTGCAGGAGAGTCCATGGGTGGCCATGGCGTAAACTAGTGTGTGAAGAGGCAGGCGTCCGATGCTCCTGGTGCCAAATCAATATCTTTGCGTACACGGCCTAGCCCCGAATTGGGCACTACGAAGGCTGGGGCTTCTCTTACCTCGCAACGTGCAGCATGGGTCCGACCATGGGTGGAGGCGCTCGCGGGTCGACAGGCCCCAAGGTCTGACCACACTGGGGCTGCCTCTAGGACCCAGGTGCATAGATACATAAGGTCCGTCGGTCTCAGTATGGCATCGAGCTTCACGAGCTGCTTCCCACAACCCACAACACCCATACCCTCGATCGACGCTTCTGACCTAAGAGATCGTCAGTCATTTGAGCCATCCATTGTCACAATGAACACCATGGAGTTCAGCCAACAGACCCCGGAGTGGCAGCCTCCGCTCACACCCAGCCAACCCATCCCACCCACATCCACTCCTCGCCCAGCTACCACCACACCCAAGTCTGCCGGCGACCGGAGACCAAAGCTGCGAGCTTCGTGCGATGCTTGTGCAGCTTCCAAGGTCAAGTGCAGCAAAGAGCACCCCATCTGCGCTCGGTGCAGGGCCAATGGCTCGCAGTGCGTCTACGGTGTCTCGAGGAAGCACGGCAAGCCTGGACGGACCAGGAAGAGGAACCCAGATGGCACTCCTTTCATCAAGGCTTCGAAGCAGCGCCCCTCACCCGATGGCAGCGAGTTCAGCAAGTTCAGGGTCCGACCTGAGCCCATCATCTCTTCTCGCGAGGCCACTCCTTCGTCCAACTGGTCACCCACACCCAGTTGGCCAGCGACGCCTGAGTTCGAGTTCGAGATGACACCAGAGCCCTTCTACCTGGAGCCATCGGCCGATTTCAACTACATGGGTGACATGTCAGCTTACATGCCGCTCCAACCCGAATTCGAATCTTTCCAGCCCATTCAGTCTGAGCTTACTTTCATCGACCCGTTCGCGCGTAAGCAGTCGGTCAGGCTTGATTTGCCCGACATTCAGGCCATCAGGGACTTTGTCACCGTCGACACGGTGAACACCACAGTGAACCCGCTGGAATTCCCCTACCCTGACAGCATGCCCATTGACAATGGCTTCCTGCCTCCGTCCAATACTGTCTCTCCCCATAGCCCCAAGAGCGTCCACTCTTACACCCAGAACCCGCTCCGCGTCAGCATCTCGATGCCCTCGCAGCACTGCTGCTACACTCTTGCCTACCAGACTCTCGAGAGCCTGCGCATCATCAACCCGCAGAATTCGACCAACGTTGAGCTCAAGAGCCTCGACTCGGTCCTCTCCATCACCAAGGATGCTGTTGCCAACGTGCTGCAGCTCCTCAACTGCCCTTGCTCTTCCGACCCTCACCTCGCCATGCTCTACTCCAGCATCACCTCCAAGATCTTGACCTGGTACCAAATCGCGGCGGGCGTCAAGCCTACCGTCCCGTCCACGCCGCCATCGCTCAGCGGTGCCTCGTCGCCCGCATCTTCTGCCTTCTCCTCACCGCTCGCGACTCCCTCCGCCGAGAACACAACCTTCAACATTGCCGTGCAGCCCATCACCATCGGGCTGTTCGAATTCGACGAGGACATGCAGCAGACGCTGCGTCGGCAGGTCGTCCTCCGCGAGCTGCGCAAGTGCGGCACGCTCGTCGAGGCGCTGGCCAACTGGGGCAACCCCCAGAAGACCACCCAGGCTGAGTACCTGTACGACGTCCTGGGTGCGTGGCTCAAGAGCGAGCTCTACAAGACGCTGCGCGAGGTCGAGGGCGAGCAGATGCTTTAAGCAGCTCCCAACACCTTATCTCACCAGGGGCAAGCGGCACTCGCCGCAGGATTCCTTCGCTTCGCGCCCTTGGCTGTTGGTTTCTCTTCTCTTCTACACATTAGCGACATTGTTTGCATTTGCATTGGCGGGTTTATCCTTTTTCTTCTGCATCGGTCGCGGGTTCTCTTGATATCCATTCTCATCATTGGCTTTGTATATATGCCAGCGACGCGCTTCCTGCTCGCTTTGGCGCTCCGCTCGCTACACACCGACGGACTGGTTGGGTTGCATCAAAACAGGCGTTATTTGTACGAACAAAAGGTTTCGGTTTTACGAGAAACATGCATACCTCTGTAGCTATGTAGATATATGAACACACACCTGTACATACGAAGCTGGTTTCTTGGTGCGCTGTGATGTTGAGCATGCGGCACAGCAAGAGGGGCTGGGATGTACGTAAGCGGCTGGTCAGCACTAGAGTCACATGCTACCACACTTCGCTCCGTCACTGGGGTCTTCCTCCTCGAGTGACTTCCTGTTCGCCATCCAAGTATCGCAAATCTCCTTGAAGACGCTTGCTACCCGCAGACCCTCATTCCATTGCGCTTCCCACTTTTCTTCATCCGCCTTCATTACTCCGAAGGGTCCAACAAGATGCCACCATTCCGTCCCTCTCCAGCTTGTATTCTGCTTCTCGTATCCCGCTGGGGAAGACCACCGTCCAGGTTTGTAAAGCATTGACGTGCGCCGCATGAGTTTCTGCCGGTCACGAGTCTCGCGGAATGCGTTGGGTCGATGAGATTCGATGGTAGGTTGCTTGCGAAGAGTCGGCGAGAAGGGGTGTGCGATGATATTGTAATGGTCTGAGGAGACAGCCGCGTATTTATCGAACGTGACGCGCTTTTTGGATCTTGACTTGGTATTGATGGCATCCGAAGTGTGTTTGCGTTTGAGACATGACCGCAAACCAGCAAGACCAGGCGCTGGACTGCCTTCAACACTGGACTGCTGCGAATGTGCCCTCACGATCGGAGCCACCTTCGAGTCTTCCTCTTCGACCTCCTTGCTGATCACCTTCTCCACCGGAACGCCCTTGCTATCCTCTTCTTCAACCTCCCTGAGCAACTTCACTACCATCAACCTGATATACTTCGTCAACAACTCCACATCCACCTCACCCTCGATTTTCATCCCCGGCATCACCATCGCTATCCTCCTGAACTCCCTCCATATCTCAACCGCCCTCTTCGCATCCTCCTTCTCTTTCTCGCTATCACCCTCTTCCTCAATGAAACCTTCAAGCAGCTCCGCAACCCGAAATCCTTGCACACTCGCCATACCCCAGAGGTCAGTCCACCGACCATGGTCTACCTGCTCATTCCGGATTGCTTTGCGCGTGCTGTTAGGTTGGTCAGCCTGACCTTTCTCCTTCGACACGAAGATTCCACCGCGCCGCCCGATTCCCGTTCGGGCGCAGCGTAGCGTGTGGATGATGGATTTGATGAGGCAGGAGGGGCAGGTGTGTTGGCCTGGGAGTTTGTCGAAGAGGGTTTGGAAGGCGGGAGAGACGGTGTGCATGCAAGGGGCGAAGTGGCATGCTTCGAGGCTTTTCTTCATTAGAAAACGTTCGGAACGACTCATGGTGGTTGACGGGGTGACTTGACGTGCGGTGTATGCCTAGATAGTGTGGATGGAGGCGCCGCGGCGCGAAGAGCCGTAGTGGGGAAATGCAGGACTGCGCCAAGCCAAGAGTGTAGATGAGCTGAAGCGACTGGAGGCCTGCTGTTGTGCTTAAGGTTGAGCAGGCACAGGTATCGTCGGTGGAGGTTGAGAGCAGAAGCTTCAGCTGTGCTTTTGGTGGAGGTGGATGTGCAAATGCAGCCAGGAGGTGTATCTCGAAGGCAGTGACGTCGACGTCTTTAATCGACTATAGAAAGTGCGTGGGGTGAGTTGAATACTGTCTTTGGCCATATTGTATGTGACAGTACAATTGCAGGCGCAGAGACTGAGACAACGGTGAACGTGAGCTTTGACCCAGGGTTGATCCCAAACTCACCCCGAGATAATACTCAGGAAATTGACTTGTTCTATACGCTATCTCGATGACAAGACTCTAGAAAAGCTTCGACATCGTCCGCAAGAGCCGACGATATAAATTGCAAGCCTACATATTAACTCTCAACTCAACCCAGGATAGACAATACCCACCCACACGGACAATGCGCGAATAGTCGTTCTATGCGCAACAAGTTGCAGCCTAGTTGCGGGTATGATCCTCAACCCTCTAGCTCTACCCACGGAACCCTCAGGGGCCGCTACCATTCCAGCTCACCACGCGCAAATCCTGCGTGCGAATCAAAGATTGCCATTTGATATTACAACGACTCTACGGATAGCCCCTTACCATACCAACAAGCCTCACTCCGTCTTCCCTCGTGCGCCTTCCTCACTGGTAGTCTCCGAGTCCACAACCGTCAACCTCCCTTCCGCACCCACGATTGCGCTCTCCACCGCAGCCGGCACGTCCACATGGAAGAACGGCCTGTTCTGCCCATGCACCGTGCTGAGTTTCCCAGGGAAGCCCATTTGCCTCCCTGCTTGCCCGATCTGGTCTGCGGCCTCAACATCTGGATGCTTGGGATCGCGCGCCGGGGATGGCTTCGACACATCCAGCGATGCGAAACTGTACACGGGGTTCCAGTGCTGCGAGCGACGGGCATTAAAGCGCTCGGAGTCGACGTAGCCGAAGCCAGCCGTGGTGAGGGCGCGCTTCGTCCAGCGGCTGTTGATGGAGGCGAAGTGCCACTCGACGGGCTCGGGGTGCGCGTACCGGTCGAGCTGGTTGCGAACGTCGATGAGGCCCTGGACGGATGTCACGTCGACGTGGTTCACAGCTGAGAAGTCCAGAATGATAGCGCGCAACATGGGTCGATGATCGTCCGTATTTACTTGTTGGCCACGGCGCGGTCCAGGATCGTTCCATGGCCTGTCGCCGAGCTTGGAGTAGCGGTCGAGGATGCCGGGCCGCGCAACATGCTGAGCCTGGGCGACCAGCTCGTCCATGTAGCCTTGTTGATTAAGATACGAAAAGGCCTCCGTGAATCGGAAGATGACTATGCCTGGATATGGTGACTCAGGCTCAATCTGAGGATTGCTGCCATCTTTGTGGTTGATGGGAAGATAGGCCTCGCGGACGCCTGGGCTTGAGCCGTGGATGTCCTTGTTGGCGACGGCATCGGGCGTGGCACGGTAGATTCGTACCTTTCCAAGCACGGCACCATGTGTGAACAGCTGTCGCCAGAACAAGAGAGCAAAAGACGCGGCGATCGTAACGTATATGCCGTTTTCGATGTTGGTGAACACGGTCACGAAGACACCAGCGAAGAAAATGATGACCTCCAGTGGCGAAGTCTCCCAGAACTGATAGACGACATTAGGAGGCGTGATAAGATCGCCGACCGCGTGTATGATGACAGCAGAAAGGCCTGCACTAGGGATGTAGAAGAAGACAGCAGTGAGTGCGTATATAGCGAGTAAGACGATAACGGCGGTGAAGATACCGGCCAAAGGCGTGCGGACGCCTGCTTTTGATTTGATAGCCGTGCGCGAGAACGAGCCTGTAGCTGGGTAGGCGCCCTATAAACAATTAGTCTCCAAGTTAGAAGATTACAAGGCATCGTCCTTACCAGGAATGGGCCAAGCAAGTTTGTGAAACCAACTGCAACAAGCTCCTGCGATGGGTTGATCACATAGTTATTGATCCTACCGAAACTCTTCGAGATTGCGATGTGTTCCAGGATCAGCACGATGATAGTAACGGGAAGATCAGGAGCAATAGCGGTGAGGACCTCTTTATTAATCGTTGGGGCTCCAGCATGTTGAAATCCTGCCAATGTCAGCAAGTAGGGTCAATAGTGGAGCATGCACTCACCTCTAGGTACTTTGCCCAAGATCTTGAACTTGGCTTTCTTCGCATCTCCTTTGACATTGCGATTAGCGAGCCAGCTGATCAGAATATACAACAGGATTACGAAGGCCATTCGCAAGGTGCTGATGAAGAACCAGAGCTTCTTTCGGTGCGGCTGTTTCTTCGTCATCCAGCTGCAGAATATCCGGATCCCATAGAGCATCGTCAAAGCTGACAGCCCAATTGCTGCATCAAGCTTTGTTCTTGGGAGTCCTTTGAGGGTATCGATGATGACCAGATACGTCGCACCACGGGTATTGACGCCGGTGATGCCCATGAGAGGAGGGACTTGGCCAGCTCCAATGCTGATGGCAGCACCTGTCATGAAAGAAGTGATGGCGACCAAAGGAATAAGCTCGACAACACGGCCAAACCGAGTCAGCCCAATAAAGAGAAGTACGGCTCCAGCGATCACAGCGAGGGCTCTTGCAATGGTTTCGGCGGCAAGATTAGGATTTGTCTCTTGCACTCGAATAACAATGTTCCCAACGATTGTTGACATGACAGCAACAGTCTGGAACGTATGAGCAGTGTTCGACTAAGGTTTGGAAAGACCTACGCCAATAGTTATGTCTTTGGATGTTGCGAAAGCCCAGTAAAGCAGAAACCCGACGAACGAAGTATAAAGGCCATATTCAGGCGGCAGTTGAGCCAATATTGCGTAAGCCATGCCTTGAGGTATGACAACAAAACCTACAGTCACACCTGAACACAATCAGCACATGGTGTAAAGGTAGTGATCTGATTGTGGTGGTGTGTTGACTGAGTCGACCCCGACAGACTGTCGCATGGCATAGCGATCATGTCTTACTTACCAGCAATAATGTCACCCAAAAGCCATGTCGCGTTGTAATGAAAGATCCAATCCCAGAAAGGAAACAAACTGCGGAGGTATCGCTGAAAGGCGGAAAGTGAAGGCTTAAATTGAGAGACATATTCGAAAGCAGTGGGTTCCTTCTCGACATCTGCATTGCATTAGCATACGTGGTTCTACCCAAGGTAAGATGCTCACAAGTCTCTACAGAAGAAACGGAAGTACCCGAGGAGGGAAGCAGCTCTTCTTTGCGGTAGTCGACATTGATACCAAGCACTTTAGCCACACTGCGACCAACCGGATTGCTTGCCATGTTAGTTGCAAGCTGTGAGGGTGCTATGCCGCAGAACCGGAGCACCTTGTATATATATACGAGCCCTGAGATGAAAACCCGCCCTGCGTCAGAGCTTGGATGTGGGTAACCGCGGGAACAGGGTACGCAGATGTCAAGTGGATGTCCAAAGCGAACCATCGAAATAGCTTCTGCAAGCCAGCGGTAACCACCTTAGCGGGATCTGCCACCGGGCACTCATAGCTTGGCAAGATATATCACTCGGTCGAATACTGTGTATACAACGGATTGGTCAGTTGGCGCGCACTGTGACGAAAGTGCTTTTCCTGCCATGTGCGGCGCCCTGAAGACCTCTCAGCCTCTGGTAATTACGAGCATCTTAACGTATCTGGAACCAAAAGAAGGGTGCTGGGCTATTGCGTGATGGTTCGATGAAGCTCTCATTCCTCCGCGTGAAAGGTTCCAAGAGCTTGTCAAAGCTGGGCATCGGAGCGACGAGAAGATGGCTTTGCCTGGGCTCTGCATTTGGAGACCGAGCTGACTGATTGGATGATAACATTGTTCCTCTTGAAGTCATTTTGGTTTCCAGGAACGCTACAACGTCGCCAGAAAAAGTCGGCTCGTATTGATTGCAACATTTGAAGGAAAACGATGAAGACGAATCTGCACATTGACAGGTTACGGAGACTATACTGATTAGCCCTCTGTAAACCCAGACAGCTAGGCTGCTGGGGTAGCTTCGTTATTGCTCACGCAATTGTGCCGCAGTATTGCGAATCCGCGCTTGTACCGCCCGCTGATTGGCGACCTTGGCATTTTGGCTTGGCCTTTGAGGGCTATCGTTCGCAAACTTCGGATTGCCGTGTTCTCAGTGAGTCTAAAGGCATGAAACCAGGAAACCCGAGCGTGAGGACGCTGAATCGGATAGATATCGGCTCGCATCTGAGATCACTCCTTGCGTGATGCGTTGAGGGCATGGTGCGCAATGTCCTGGGTTAGAAGCTTGTCCTAGTAGAGCTACGAGAGCGCAGTTCAAGGAACACGTTAGCAGGCCAAGATACCTATGTTATGAAGAAGATTCGTACTTGAAGATCGCAACATGGCACCAGGCATTCATTGGGTCAAGGAGCGTGCACATCAAGCGAGACCCAGAAAGTGAGCGAACGCCGAAATTCATAAATGGACGGCATCGGTAGGACCTCGAGCACGCCACACCAACCAGCACCGCTTGCACCAGTTGCATCATTCATTCTAAAATGTCCCCATCAGATATCGCGTGTCATACCACTGTTGGTAGAAGCTATTTTCTGGCAGCCGCACACACGTTATAGTCGGCACGCGTTTGATAAGCGGCGAGTATGCCACGCAGATATGCCGCCCTTTCAGCCTGCGGGCACACAATCGCAAGAGCAGTGCTGCTATCTTCAAATCGAGTTATTGCCCAATAGTATCCTCAGTATCTCCGCAGGGACTGGCATGAAGGATGTGCGTTCGGATCCGAGTCTTTGAGTGAAAGCAGCTGCGCAAGCATCGAGTGTGGCTGACAGGCTCAGGACATCGTCGGCTCGTGGAGGAAATCGAGTCGATAATTGTGCGATCGATATGCTACGTTGGCTGTACTAGAATTCGACATCAGTCTCTCATGCGGCTGGCCGCCGATCACTCAGATACACGAGCGCATAATGGCGCCTGTGGCATCTCGTCGAGAAATCGTTGGTTTTGAACGCTGCTAGAGGCGCATCACGACGTCGTCTGGTGTTGGCATGAAAGTGAGGAACGCGAACGGAGGAACGCGTCGCAAAGTACTTCGGGCCTTCGAAACAGATGCCTGTTATGCAAAGTTCATCCGGAAGGATTTGTTTAGCTTGGCCCCCATGTTGAAGCCCCCGTGTCGATTTCCGTTATATGTTGCCGGCCGGCGCCGCATGGAAAATGCACGTCTCCCAGTTAGATGCCTGCTGCCCCTGCGCAAGGCCCTCCAACACACCGTCCCAACACACCGAGATAGTCAGTGTAGTCCATTGGACACGTCAGCTGTGTCAGTGAATTATGCGAGGCTGAGGACATTGGTACTTGCCAATCGCCGACACATCCCACTGACATAAGCTTCGCCAGACGATGAGCTCCAAAAAGCTCGGGAAACGGGGCGTGACCGACTACTTCGATTCGCACTCATACTACAGATTCCACCATGAAGCCCGTCCGGATGAGACTCTTTACATCACAGACAGTGATGGTAACGTTGACATGGGCCAATTTAATACCTCTTCCTCGGAGAACTGGCAGCTATACTACCAACAAGGTCGTTGGTTCATCCGCCCGTATGCGACTTCAGTCGACCTATCGTGGACCGAGTATCAACTAGGCCTAGCAAAGGATGACAAGGGAAATGTCGGAGCGCTGCCGAAGTTGGCGAAGAGGAGTGGTGAGCTGGGTCAACAATGGACCTTTGCCCAGGTCGACGACGGTAATGGCGGATTTGGATTCAAGATCAGCAATGCTCTCCTAGGTAACACATCTTTTCTCGCTTTAACAGGAGACGGTGGGCAACCGGGAATGCAAAGTAGTAGCGAAGGAACCGTTTGGGACATGCAAATCAATAGACAAGCGGGGAATCCGGGTGTCGATAACTCGTATGAAGACGTGGCAAACTTTGAGGTATGTTTCGCGTAGCAGTATGCTTGCTTATACCTAACGTGTGCGTAGGTCGCTGCTTCCTCGAGTGCGCCGTTGTCTCTAATTACTCCAGCATCAACGGCAAGCTCGACATCGAAATCCACATCGAGCTCAACGCCGACAGCGACACATACTGCGATGGCCTCGTCTTCTTCCTCGCTCGGCTCGGGTGCAATAGCGGGTATTGCCGTAGGCGCTGCCTTGGCGCTAATCGCTGCGATTGGTGCGTGGTTCTTCTTCGCAAAGCGACGGAAGAGACACACTCCGCCAGAGACATATCAAGCGCTTGAGCTCAGTCCAGATACAAAGACGACATACGCGCACCTGCAAAGCCCGGTAGAACTTGGGAGTGTACCGGTGGTGCACATAGCGCAAGAGAGGGGATTTGGGGAAGAAATACACGAGATGGGGAACGATTCTCCATCCAGAAGAAGTGTGTCTACACTTCGTAGCGGGCGTGAAGTCGGCGACTCAGCGGTTGAGAACACTGCGAGGGATGATGGAACTAGGGACAATTCGCCTGTGGCTAGGCACTCAAGAGATCGGAGTCAATGAGTCTGTACAACTATTAGCGCGTCTATTGAATATTTACGTAAACTTGACTGGGAGAGTATATCTGCTCGATCGATTAATTCCATTCGATGCAGCTCCGATGTTCTTGACGATGCAGTGACCGATCAAGGTGTACTACAGCAGCTGTCCGAATCGCGAATTGAACATCGCATCCATTGCACTTCGCTTACCATATTGCAATTGAGATTTTGGGCCAAGGGGAGACCGCCATGGTATGGGTGAGAGACGAAGAGGGTGCGACGGTGCGTGCGTGCGGACTTCAGTTGCGCCCCGCCCCTCATTCTAGCCCCACCACAACTCGCGCGGTAGGACACAAACACACCACGTTCTCTTTGCGCACCACTTAACCTCGAACAAACCCCCAACCTTGAGCCATGCCGCAGGAGGCGTCTAAGATCTCAGACCCCGACGCGACCGCCAAAGCAGCCGCCGAGGCTGTCGCCGAGTCGAGCGCACAAGATGCGCACATCGAATCCGCCGATGAGAGCGAAGAGGAGGAAATTGTAGATGGAGCTACGGGCGCGACAGAGAAGAAGAAGAAGAGCCGGAAGCGGAAGATCAAGGATGCTCTCAGCGGCAAGGGCAAGGCGCCCGCGATCGAGTCTACAGATGCGCCAACTGCTGGAGCACACCTCAATAAAGACCAGCTAAGCATGCTGTTGGACGCGAACCCCGCTCTGAAGAACCAATTACTTGCGAACAAGGGCAATCAGAGCTTAGAGGATATGCTCAAGAAGGTCAGCATGAACGAAATGCTTACGGGTCTCGCACCGCAAGCCAAGAACGTGAAGGATATGGGCAGCCATCAGTTCTGGAAGACACAGCCGGTGCCGAGCTTCGACGAGATGATGGCGGGCAAGGACAAGATTGTAGACGGTCCGATAAAGGATATCGATATTGCGCGAGTACCCAAGGAGCCGAGTGAGATGTACCCAGGCTTCAAGTGGGTGACAATGGACCTCGAGGATGAGAAGGAGCTGGAGGAGGTCTATGAGCTGCTATCAAACCATTATGTCGAGGATAACGAGGCCATGTTCCGATTTCGGTACTCTCCTTCCTTTCTGAACTGGTAGGTTCCTTCATCATCTTCTGCAATTTGGGCTCGCGCTGATCATCACTTTAGGGCCCTGAAAGCACCTGGCTGGAAGAAGGAGTGGCATGTTGGCGTACGTGCCGAGAAATCTGGAAAGCTTGTTGCATTCATCTCCGGCATTCCACTGCAGCTGCGTGTACGCGATAAGGTTCTCAATTCCTCGGAGATCAATTTCCTCTGCGTCCACAAGAAGCTGCGAGCAAAACGTCTCACTCCGGTGCTCATCAAGGAAATTACACGTCGATGCTATGTCAATGGCATTTTCCAGGCTGTGTATACCGTCGGTTCTCTCCTTCCTACGCCAGTCTCCACGTGTCGTTACTACCACCGCGCCCTTGAATGGGAAAAGCTGCATGATGTTGGCTTCTCACCCCTACCGCATAACAGCACAAAGCAGCGCCAAGTGGTCCGATACAAGCTGCCAGAAAATACTCTTCAACCCGGCGTTCGCGAACTCAAACCTGAGGATACCGATGTTGTACTAGACCTACTCCAGCGGTACCTCAAACGCATGGACATGGCGCAGGAGTTCACCAAGGAAGAATTTGAGCACTGGATGTTCAATCAGAAGGGCGCGAAGGAGCAGGTAGTATGGGCATATGTTGTTGAGGACCCGAACACGAAGAAGATCACCGACTTCTTCTCGTTCTACAACCTCGAGAGTACGGTCATTGGGCACAAGAAGCATAACCTGATCAAGGCAGCGTATCTCTTCTACTACGCCACGGAGAAGGCGTTCGGCAACGACCAGAATGTGCTGAAGGAGCGCCTCAATGAGCTCGTCAAGGATGCTTTGATCCTTGCGAAGCAGGTAAGCCACCTATTCACACGCGACAACTTCTGTGCATACCTAACGTGCTTAGGCTGACTTCGACGTCTTCAATGCGCTCACTCTCCTCGACAACCCACTCTTCCTTGAAGAACAGAAGTTTGGTGCCGGTGACGGCAATCTGCACTACTACCTCTACAACTACCGCGCCGCACCTCTGGGCGGTGGCATTGATCAACAGAGCAGACCTAGCACGAAGACCATGGGCGGAGTCGGATTGGTTATGCTGTAGGGAACGCCAGCCCTGGTCGGTGGAAGATTGATACGGTCGTGGACGAGCATCTAGTGTGCTAAAAAAGGTTATTCATTTAGAGGTGTCAGGCTTGGAAAACGAAGCATGGCGTGGCATTGCAGGAGCGTGTGAATGGTATCTATGCATGACTACACAAATATGGGATCAATTACGCTTTGTGAACATCTCGAAGCTAGTTCGACTGAAGTACTGTTACAAAGATGCGATGCTAAAGTCTTTGCGCCGCCGCCTTCGAGGCCGTGACGACCACCATCACGCGTCATGGCCCGTGCGCTACGATTTTCCAGACCGAGCAACCTCCGCAAGCACCCTCATCACCACAGCCAACATTACCACCAATTGCGCCTCAGCGCCCCCAACCTACCTTCCTTACGACCGGAAACTACACCTGTAACGATGCTCGCCCGAACCTTCCTCCTCCCCCTGCGCCGTACCCTCCTCACCACATCCGCCCGCCTTCCCACGATCTCTCGTGCAATCCACACCCCCGCCGCCCGACCATGTCTACACACTCGCAATCCCTCCGCAATCACTAGCCTGGCATCTCGCTTTAACGGTCTTCGGATACAGCAGCAGACGAGGGGCATGAAGGTGCGGTCGTCGGTCAAGAAAATGTGCGACGGGTGCAAGAGCGTGAGGAGGAAGAAAGGGAAGTACGTCTACATTATATGCAGCAAGAATCCGAAGCATAAACAGAGGTATGTATGGGTTCTTCCTGGACAAGCAAGGAGACGGGATGGAGGATTGAGCTGGGGCAGAGATGGTGCAGAGCATGGTGTGGTGTGCGAGATTCGGACATTGGCTAACGATTGCGGCGTGCAGGCAGGGATAGAGAATGCGAGAGACGGGCGATCTATTTTCGACGAGGCGACCGGTTAAACAGATATACGCAAGGGGTCGAACATGTACATCGGAAGAGGGAACCGGGACATTGGAGATTTGTACAAGGACAGAAGAAGTGTATCATATGTAGGAATACGCATCAAAGGCGCTCTGGGTTCGGTCAATGGAGACCCTGTAATACATACACTCTCAGCTACGAAGGTTCGTCCTACATGAACCTAGCTGTGCATCTGCAGTACCGCGTTTCACGGCTTCAAGTTCGATTATAATCCTTGTGAGCGTGCTTTTCGCATAGCTCACTTCACGAAATCCCACGCAACGTTTTGGTTCCTATAACGCCCTTGCGAATATCACGGTCCGAAGGGTATCGAGCATAAATAAGAAGAGAATATCTGATGACCGTGCAGACCAGCACTCACCTCCAGCCACGGCGCTCTTCATCATAGGGAAAATTTTCTGCTTGAGTCCTAGAAGATGCCCTCACAGGATAGTCTTGGGGACTCATCGGGTACAACTCGGAAGCGTTGCTGCGAATGCGCTCCCTTCCTTGGTAACGAGGGACATCTAGGACAGTACCACCGGGACTTCTCAGTGGACTTCGATCTGGCACCAAAGGCCTCGTGTCGTAATCGCTCTCCCTGATCCTGTAGCTTTGGTCCCTGTAGCTTTGGTCCCTGTAGCTTTGGTCCCTGTAGCTTTGGTCCCTGTAGCTCTGTTCCATCTTCTGACTTGCAAATTCTCCTTGGATCATCTTCTGGCCCTCGCGGCGTGCTACGAGCTTGCGATCAGCAGCAGAGCGACTCTCCGCGCGTGCAACACCTATGTTGTCTATCTTCTCGCCGAGATGACGGATCTCGTTGTTCATCATGGTGGCACCGTCAAGCGTGGTGCTGTCCAGTTCCTCCGTGGGAGGAGGTGTGCTGGCTTCTAGCTCGACAGGCTCGCCTTTGATGGGCGTTGGGTCCCAAGGGCGTTGCCAACACCATGTACGCTGCTGAGAGGCTTCGAGCAGCTCAGTTTGGCCATTCGTCACCCATTCTGGGCATCGTTTGAGATCAGTGCAAAGGAAGTAACGCACCCCGTCGGTGTGTTTGAGGGATTGGACGTCGACAGATAGAGTGGAAAGAACTTGAAGGATCCCGTATAGAAGCACCCAGCGTCCGAGACGTGCTTCGCGCGGTGTCGTAGCCTTGAGGTCTGCACTGAGTTCAAACTGCTCAAAACTATCGATGAGAATGTTGCCGCCAAATGAAGAGTCCAGCTTTTCGATGTTCGTAGCATCGCTGAATACTATCGACAGCTGTAAATGCGTCTTAGCGTCCTTCGTCGCATCTATCTTGCTCTTCTTTAGACCACCGAAAAGACCTTTCTTTTGTGCCAACCTCGTCTGTGGTACATCCCTCGGTAGTAACGGATACGCATGCGGGATATGGGAGTACCCGTGCTTATTGTCCCAAGTCACCAGGATGTCCGACAGCGATAGCTCGGGTAGGTTAGCTCTGAAGTCCTCAGTTTTTAGGTTCGCCATCTGCCACTTGTTTCCAGGTCGTTCTTCCCGCACGTCCCAAACCACGTCTCGGTTGACGAGGTAGTCGTAGAGCATGCCGAAATCTCGTTGTAAATCAAGTGCAATCTTCCTGTTAAGCCATGTCTGGCCTTGACTTGGTGGCCAGTTGCCGTAGATCTTGGTGAGATAATTGATCAAGAATTGTCGAAAAGCCTGACAGCTCTGATACACGGGTGTGCCTGATCACGGCCAGGTCAGTATAGTAAGTCTACATGATGTCGAAGTCACGTACCGGCAGCTTTTGCAACATTCGGCCATACATCGTCAAAATCGAACGTGCCCAGCCTCTCTTCAGCCTCCATCACTCGCAGCTGTAGCGACTTGGCTGCAATCCCTAAGTTCCTCCTTGTGGCAATGGACAGTCTCTTGAAATCTGGATGCTCCTCTACCTGCGGGTTCAAGATACCAGCAAGATGAACAAAGCTCTCCAAGTACCCTTGACGCCACCGTACGTTGTCTTGTTCCGCCCAGGTGAGCAAGCTGATGGCTAGCTTGATGCCATTCCTAACGTCGTCTAGCTTGTGCTGTGTCAGATAATTCGTGATGGTTTGGACGCTGCGTTCGCGTGACGTGAGTTTCGAATGCTCGTCATGGTCAAGATCATACATGACCTGAATCTCAGGCTGAAGCGTATTCAACATCTCGAACAGGTCGGCCCCTACCATAGGTTTGTCATGTAGTATAGCGATGAAATTTCGCACTGCGACATGATGCAGCCGTTGCGCTTGTGGCGTCTTCAAGTGTCTCGGTGCTGTAAACCATAATTCATGTGTCGCTCGTTGCTGTTGCGACGCTCGAAACGATGGAGGTGGTGACATGGCATCCGGACGGGCGTTACCAGGGTAATATTGTGCCCTTGAATCATCAGAATATCTAGGAACTCCATAGTAAGTCTGGTTGATGTTGAAAGGCGGCGGAGACGACATGCCACCCGGGGAGACGGGAGCCAGCATTTGCCGCTGGCCTGGCGGTAGCGGGAAATGAGGAGTAAACGACTGTCGAGACGACTCCGCGCTATCTTCAAGCGTCCAGTCGTCGTTATCGTCGATGCGTCCGTAAAGTAAAGCGTTATTCAACCAAGTAGAACCGCAATTTTCGAGCACATCCAGCTCCGCTCTAATCTGTGGCAGCGGACGATCCTCATCTATTTGTTCTTCTGTAAAGTAGATGAGCACATTTCCGTCTTGCAGATCCTCGTCCTGCTGCAGTCAGTAACACGGTATCCGACGGATCACCACATTGCTCACGAAGTCAAAACCACCGTAAGGCCTCATGCCTTCGTTGCCACCCTGCCATATTCGAAAATTCATCCAACTTTTCTGGTCGGGGTTGCTGGGATAGTTGAGACTTGACTCGGCTCTAAAAAGAGGCGGCGCGGGTGTAGAAGCTTTCTTCGTCGGGACACCGCCTGTTGCATTGGTGTAGGATTAGTCGGTGCTGCACTTACGATGCATTGCAAGGATACTCACCCCCTCGGCCCCGAGGTGCCTTCGTGTCTTTACCATTGGCTTGATACCTGGATTTCTCTTTGCCGGTGGACGAATTATCGGATACGGATTCGGGCCGGCCAGCTGCGGTCCGTGAACGTTGATGATCTGAGGACGAATGGGAGGCAGTCACTCTTAGGGGTGGCCTGCTGCCACTGCCGTTGGCAGAGCTGCTTCGAGATGTGGAAACGGTAAGCTGCCTTGTTGGCATGCGACCTGTCGATATTGTACTTCGCGTGCCGGCCGAATTCCATTCCGCAAAGGCATCGCCAGGTCTGCGTATCGCCTCAGGCGCTTTGCCTTTCTGTGCAACCTTCTTCTCCTTTTTTTCGATATCTTTGACAACGGCTTTCCGACTTCGCGCGCCTCTCGCTGACATTGTGCTAGAGCTTGTCTGACTTGGATGAACCTCGACACTGGTAGGGAAGGTGAGGAGGTCACATCAAAAAGAATTGCAAAGCGCAGTGAGAGTGGGAGTGGACAAACGCGTGGAGAAACAATGCTTCACAGAGCGTCCCATGGGCACATGCGAGAGTCCGGCTAATAGTAGGGTTTACACGTGGCTTAGGAAGAGAAGTGCGGGCCGAAAGTGAAGGAGCTGAAGCGTTCGCCAGGATGTGTCTACGGGGCAAGTCGCGAAAATGAAGTCGCTGCATGAGATAGGGTGTCCTGAATATATTGGGCTTCGCGAAGACGCTTACGGTCCCGCCGGTCAGGTACGATAGGTGAACAGGTGCTATATTAGGGATGGTAGATGCGGCATATGCGGAGGAGTTGCGGTCCCGATAAGGACCCCTGCATGCTCCACGCTCGGTCGCGGGCTGGATGCTCGGTCAAACAAACGCTTTAGGGCACAGTCGGAGCTGCCATGGAAGCGAGGCAGATGCCTGTCTACGACCGAGGAGACGGCCCAATGGTAGAGTCGTTGGGTTCCTCGCGAAGTGACACGAGCAAGAGCAGACGGGCTGGAGGCGGAACAGCTGTGCGTAGAGATAAGGCCTGTATGAATTGAGTACGGGGCGTCAGCGCTGCAGGAGGCGATGGAAGGCAGCCAGAGCATGCCATGCTCGCGATCGGAGATTGGACATGTATATGGAGGCAGCACTCGCACGGCGCAGCAGACTCATATCGCCTTGCAGGAGAGTGCAATCCATGGATCCATGGACCCGTGGACGGCAGCCCATCACGTGTTTCGGACGGCACCTGCACCTGGGCAAGCGAGACTCAGAGCGGACCGGGGATGAAGGAACGGATGTGAACCCGGGCGTTGGGTACCACGCCATGCCGCAAACCCTCACGCAGACGTCGATCGATTCGAGGTCCAAGGATCGCAAGATGGGCCTCCGTGTTCGTTGCCATGGAAGCTCGCAGGGAACCATCTGGGCTGCGTATGGGTGGGTCCTTGGCGGCTGCTGGCCGGCCTCGCAGCCCCAGCGAACCTCGAAACCACGACCATCACATGGCGATAGTTGCCACCTACCACGCCGTCTTGCATTGTCAGACCATGTCTACCCCCTTTGCAGCGATATCCTGATTCAGCCCGCGTCTTTTCTGCAGCGCCTTGGAAGATGCGACACGAGCCCAGCCACAGGATTATGTTCCAGCCACCTTCCCCGCCATGCAGATGCAGGCCCTCCCATGGTGTATTTAATTGAACAGCAAGTTTCCAGCGCACCAACTTTTTACGTCACTCTGCGTGCCACGAGCTTTACTCTTAGCTGCAGCAATAAAGCCCGCCTGGATCCACGTTTTGTATCCGTCGCGCACCTTCTGCCTTATCCTCTCATACTGCGCAAGTCGTCAGCCAGCGTCTGCTAGTACCCGTCGGGCTCGTACTGCAGCCTCCCGCCCGATTGCACCAGCTTAGCTGTTGCTTTCGCCTTCCTTCTACTCCTTCTTGCATAGTTGCGATAGGCTATAGTCGTCACCATGTCGTTCTCCGGCATCTCGTTCATCTTCTGGAGGATCATGGAGATCCTCACTCTCATCCCGACCATGGGAATGCTGGTAAGAGGACCGTACGGCAACGCTTTTGGTTCACGACTGACGTAGGATTAGGCTTGGTTCGTTCATTGGTTCGACAGTCAGCTTCTGCGCACTCCGACCGACATACTGGTACTGTTCATAGTATCGACGTTAGCTGTCGCATGGACGATAGGAACATTGTTCCTATACAGCCGTGCCCGGCACTCGGCAAGTTTCGTCGCATTCGTCGACCTCCTCTTCGTCGGTGCCTTCATCGGCGCCGTTGTCGAGCTGCGCCGCATCAGCGATGCAGACTGCTCCAACTGGACTCGAAGCGATACGCACGGAATCAGCGCCTTTGGATGGTCTGTCACGGGCACGTTCCCCACCCTCAATGTGAATAAGCAATGCGCCATGCTGAAGGCTTCTTGGGCGTTCGGCATCATGTAAGTTTAGCGGAGGATTCCGAACACCGGAGTTGAAGCTCACAATGACTAGGAACTGCATCTTCTTCTTCTTCACCTTCATCCTGGCACTCCTTGTCCATCGCCATCACGACAGCCGCGACCGCGTCGTTGTCAAGCGCGAGACTCACCACTACCGCCGCGGCTCGCGCCACCATTCGCGCTCTCCCCGCCGCTCGCACCACAGCCACCGTTCGCGATCCTACGTTTAGACCATGGCAAGTCGTCGATTATCTCTCGGGAGCTGCAAGCTAGCGAGCGAGCAAAGCATTACACATATATTGGACAACATCTTTACTGTGAATATGAAACGAATTGACAGGAGTGCATCTGGGACTCATCTGAAGAACCTGCATTACTACGAAGGGAGGACTAGGACTATTGTACGGTTACGAATTACGACACATTGCTTGGAAGCTTTGTATCTGTTTTATACTTTGTTAATTAGTTAGAGCGAAATACCCACGGTGCGCCCTTAGGCCAGCCATATCAATGAATGAAACTTAGAAGCGCAAAATGCTCACAGTCCACCATAACCGCAATACCATGCTCACAGACTTTTTTCTCTTCTCCATACCAGTACATCGATGTCGGCACGTATGACGTGGTGTTGTGGCACAGAGATTCTAGAGAAGCGTGATCCGCATCGCTAGACACTAGTTGCGTAATAGATTCCAGGGTCTGGGAACCATCTTTCAACGACGTACTCGCTTTATGGAATTAGGATTTGTGAGAGCTTAGACTTCCAGGGGATTTCTTCTAGAGTATACCCACCGTCCCTGACCAACTGTAGTACTATATCGGGAGTATGCGTACTGCACTAGGTGACACAGGGTACCGAGGCACTGTCTCTGGCATGCCTGCAATTCTTATCAGTACATTTTCATACACGTCACGATGGAGGCAAGTAGTTTCACGAAAAAGAGAAGAGATGTACAATGGCTGAATGAGAGGATTGCCATTAGTCTTGAGACTGTCCCTTCCATCACCAAGACCCATTGGACTTTGACATGGGACACTGAGTCTCCCATTCCATACAACCTTGAACACCAAACGCACGTCTGACCGTCATGTAGGCACGAAGCCTTCGACACTTGAGAACCCAAAACAACCACCAAAGTGACCAACCCTCTCTTTGTTCCAACCCCAAAGACTTCAAGAAGATACCAAACCCCCCGGAGTCTCATAGAATGCAGGTAGGCCAACCACGAAGCCTTCATATTCCACACGGCCTGCAAACCTAGACACCAAGTCGACAGCAAACTCTGAGGGGGTCTCAGGTGAGAGGTTGCGGGTAGGTCAGGCACAAGGCCCTCAGATTCCACACAGCCCGCAACATGAGCCGAGAACGCCCTAGGTCTTTGAACGGCCAACTTGCTGTTCTGTCTTTGACCTGACTCCGAAGAGCGCCGGACAGAGTGCAGCTTCCACCTCTTTGACCGATCCACCAACTCTTGACCAACCGTGTTCCAAGCTCAAGGGACCCTGTGGCCTCGAACCACACCCTGTACCAGTATCCTTGATGTTGAGGCCGATCGAGCTCAACGCCGCACCGATCCGCAGATCGGGAGCGCCCAGGAGATAGCCGTTGTCGATCTCCTGTCCGGTGCCCAGTGTTTTCCACTGTTTGGTTCGGTTGGGGAAGTCGCTCAGTCGCTAAGAGCTGTCGCTGGGTTGGTGTGCTGAGCTGCTGCACTGGCGTGTTGAAAGGTTGTGAAGCCGATGACAGAGGTGACTCAGATGAGAGATGTTGAGTGGGGGAGGTGTGGTGTCAGCGTCATGGCTGTGGCCGTGATGGTGAGAAACAACAGGCACGAGGTGAGCAGCTCAGTACGCAGTGTGGAGGTGGTATGACAAAGTCGTCATGTGGAAGACGTGCGATAGTGCACGGTGGATAAGAGGCAACAGCTCTTGCCCGTCTTCATGGTGTATGTGAGGCTCTTGTGTGATGGAGCGACTGGGGCTGTAAGCAGTTGCGCTAGGTGGGGGTGAAGGTGAAGTACCTGAGGTTGACTTCAAAGCAAAGACCACAAGTGAAGGTAACTCATGTTGAGGCAAAGCTTGATAGTTCATATCAAATGGATGAGAGGTAAGGGACCACTGTGGAGAAGAAATTGTGTGGGGTGAGGTGTTGTGGAGAGGAAGGAGAGAGGCTTTGGCGAGGGCAGGCGGGCTTATATACAGTGCGCAGATCAGTAGCGCCTCGCTTAACAGCTTGGCATTGATCTGGCGACGACGTGAAGCAAGTGAGAGAGAGGCGCAGAAAAGCGGCGAAGGTAGGTGAAGGGTGGGATCGGTGGGCGCTTCACCTGGGCGTTGTTCTGGTAGCGTATTCATGTCGAATAGGTCCTACTCGCTAAGCGAGCTACGCGACTAGCATAGCATGAACATGGTATTACTAGGCGGGAGAACAGGATCTGAGTAAGGTGAGCCTGAGGTGACCTGCACGGTAGTGCGCAGTTGCGGCATGCCAAGCGTCTCCTAGCTGTGATCGTATCAACAATTACCATATATAATGCGTACGTGATATTATTCACGGGAATACGAACAGGCCTTTGGAAAAAATTGTAGTAGTAAGGGCTCATAGGCACAAATGCATACCATGGGTAGCGGCGATTGATCTTAAGTAGACTAAGAGTATATATGCGGAGCTACTCATATCAAGTTCAAGCCTTGGTCCTTTACCTGGGTGAAGACTAGCACATTGTCGTAGAAACCATCTCAAATCCCAACCTCATAAGCATCGAAATGCGCCGTGGCCTGCCCATATGACACAACACCATTCCTCTCGATTGGTACTCCATCCTGTTGCAACCCACCTCCAGGAATATATATCCGATTTCCCACAGCAACCGCAGCAGTACCATGGCGTGGCACTTGCATGTTGTTCAACCTCGTCCACTTCCTTGAATCCAGATCGTATGTTTCCGCCTGAGGGAAGATGCCGTTCGTGGTGTTGGGATTACACTCTCCGCCGAACGCAAAGAACGACCCTCCGACAGCACTCCCGGTCACTCCTCCGCGAGCAGTAGGCATGTGCCCGGGAGAAGTCTGCCAGCCAGTGGTCTGGTTTCGAAGGTCGAGGGAGAAGACGGTGTCGCGGACGTTGGTACGTTCATACCAGCGCCCGCCAATGACGTATAGTGTGTCTCCGACGACGGTTCCAGCAGCATGTTGACGGCCTTCCGGAATATTTGCTGCGATCGATGGAACACGCTGCCACTGCAGTGATGTGGTGTTGAACGCCGTGACGGTCGTCGAAGCGTCTTGGTAGTTCAGATTGAGCACGGTCATACCGCCGGCTACGTATATCATTTCACCGTAGACACCCACAACCGAACTACCTCTTTCCGTGCCATTCGGCATCGAGGCGACCTCGGTCCAGTTATTGCTGTTGAGATCGTAGACATAGCTCTTGCCTGTAGCGATCCAGTCTGCTTCAGCTGTTGGTGGCTCTTGCGTGTTGACGAGACCGCCGAGTATATAGATGCGGCCATTCACGGCCGCGGCGTTCGGATGATTCGCTGCAATTGGAAGCGGTGCTGCGGTACGCCAAGTGTCGGACGGTATGTCGTACAACTCGACGAGGTTGGTGGAAACGGTGCGCTCTTGAACAGACTAGATGAGCATAGGCCATCAGTGAAACCACTCAAGGAATACTCTTAGTGATTACAGTACTACGTACCTCATTTCCAATGCGCTCTACGCCTCCTACTACCGCAATGGTATTGTTATCCACAGCCACCGTAATGTGTTCTTGTCGAGGGGTCGGCAGTGAAGTCAAGTTTACCCAACGATTTCCTCTGTCTCCGGTGGTTTGGTAGCCTTGGGGCACCGCCGCTGCTCTGACACTGGTCGTCAAGAGAAGGGCCGCGACCCCAGTAAGTCGCTGCAGTTGCATTTAATAAGACTAGACAGAGTCGCTATTTAGAGACAGATAATAAATGCTGAGGACCGCGTGTTCACTTCCAAGGTTGAGACTTGCATGGCTTTGCCTTTATACTCACGAGCCCTCGGATGTGCCTAGGTACGTGGTGCACTTTACGTCCGTGTAGGAATGTTGCCCAACAGATCCATCACAGCGGTTCTCCACGATTTGAACGAATCACCATCGAGCATTTTGCTTCATGAAGCCTCAGCCTCGTACCAAGACACTACAATAAGCGTGACTGACGACGCTTCTAACGCCGTTGGCTTGGTGCGCGAGCAACCCCGGAGGATACGAGGAGTGATTAGCAGAGCTCACGGACGAGTATTTGGCCTTGTACGAATGTTGTTCTGCGTGCACAGTAAGGTGATGGTGTAAGCAGGAACGATGTCCACAAGTCCGATCGACATCTCCGATCGACTTTGTACAATAGCATATTATATACAGCCCATTATCCAAGTTTGTACCTGCATGTGCACCTATGGTGCATCTATTGCTTTCGTGTATTTCCATCTTCTTGGTCGCCTTACTGGCGAGGATCAACGTCTCTCAAGGCTGATGGTCTCCCTCCAACCACGTCTTCAAACCCTGAGCCTGCGCATTGAATGACTTCTGCAGCTTCTCCCCCAACAACTGCTGTGTCAATACCGCCGATGGGCCACTGAACACCTCGCGACTCTCGTAGAGCACGCGTCCGTTCTTCTTATTTACGCTCAACGCCTGCCACCGTTCCGCTGTGATAAGCGGGTTCGGGTAGGCTTCCCAGGCAAGACGACCCAGCTCCGGCTGCACATGCGTGACATTCTCATAAGAGAACTGCGTAGCAAGCGGGTTATCAGGTGTGTACTCATTGACTGGAAGGGGAAGCGCTGGGATCTGAACGCGCAAAATGAGCTGCGTGTTTTCGATGGGGCGCTGAGTGGGAAGTGAGATATTGGCGGCATCCACGGCAATGGAGGAGCGGACGAATGGGTTCCATCTGGGATAATCGGGGAAGTTTGTGAGGACGTCCCAGGCGGCGCTGATATTGGTGTGCTCGATTTCGATGCGCGCACTGACGTTGAACACGCCTGGAGCGACGTCTGGGAGGTTGGTGTATTGTGCGAGAACGCCGGTGATGGTGAGTAGAAGGCAGTACATGGGTGCCATGCTGGAGGACTGCAGCACGAGCTTCACGATGCTGAGCGGGTAATGTAGACTACCGGTTGACTTGCGGCACCGGGGCTCGTGGAAGAACGTATAGCGGGCAGACAACAGCGGCCGTTCACTAGTAACCGACAGAGGGCCTCGCGTATAAAACTATTGCTACCGCTGGAAGGAACGCAGTATTGACAGCCTACTAGAAAGAGAATGGCAATTCATAGTGCGTCAACGCGGCATAGCTGCGGAATTTTAGCCTATTTGATACTGGAATAGGAGAAGCGAGATGTATCTCAGGAACGCCCGGGACGAAAGCGCATGGGGGGCTCCGCCACAACATGCGAAGTTGATGTGTAACCACCAAAACGTGGATTGATCAGAGCAGGCTTTACTTTATGTTGCCTGTCTGAGAAGTAGTTGGGACTGATACGGTCATTGAACATGCTGACCCTGGGTCGCCGTATCTCGTTATCTTCCGCGCCACACAGGAAACATCTTCATTCGAAATGGTGAGCTCCTGGGACGTCAATACGAGACGATCGTAGCCTTGGTAGCGAGCTGTTGATCCCGCGATGAGTGCAGTCAGGGTGGGCTATGATCTCATCTTCCGAAGCGCGCAGGTGACTTGTAAGTTGCAAGTCAGGTGCCGGCCTGGAACCCTCGAATGCCTGGAATGCTCACAGGACCGCATCCGGTTCCTGGCGATTTTTGTCGTCAGTTCAGAGTCAACGTAAGCATGCGTCCTGGCGGCATTCGGCCATGAGGCAAAGAGGGAGGGTTGGATTGGCGGAGAGACCTGCCGCAAGTACGGCAGATGGGCGGGGGGCTACGCTGCGGTAGGCGCGTGTGTCGTGTCGGAAGCTCCAGCTGCAGGTGCCCCTCGCTGTGGGTACCCAGACAGACTACCAGCTGCGTGCCTCGAGATAGATAGAGTCACACCCTCGCTCTCATTAACGCATGTTTTGAGGGACGCACGCCAAATCAAACGCTTTTGTTCGATAGACACACTTGCTGCGATTCTGTCGCAGCTTCTACGTCCGTTCGGAACCCTCGGTACTGCCTGTTCGGAGCTCGTGCAGGCGCGTCACCGCCCCGCCTCCGCCGCGTCGAACCACGCGTGAACATACTCAGGGACGACGAAGAAGCCAGATCACGCCCGGCCCAGGCAGTCGAACTCGCGGAAGGACATCGTGTCCACGGTTTCTGGTGGCTGAACCCGTGATAGCTCAGCCCTGGTGCGGTGAATGACGCAGCCGCCCTTTGTCTCATCCCAACCACTCATCCGTCTCAGACCTCAACACCACGCCCCAACTTGCACCAAGACCGTAGAGCCCGCCGCTAGAGCTCCAAGCAGCCCTCCCGAGACTCACCAGCTATTTGAATGAGCCCATTGCCCAAGCCCACGCTTGACCATACGCCGTCCATCTCAGACCTTACGTACCTACACAAGCACTCGCGCAACCCCACAGTGGACTCATCCCGCGGTCGCAACCCCGCGCGAAATGAGCTGGGAAGAGGAGATAGAAATGGCGAGAGGGTTACGCGTATATACCCGCGCAAGGTGTGAGTTGTTTTCCCCTTCAACGTCTTCTTGCCGCCTGTCGAGCCGCTTGCTGCGACTGCCAGAGCCCCACGTTCCAGCACTGCCGAGCAGGCGCTCGCATACATATGTACCCAGGCTACTGTTTGCTCGAGCGAACGCTGACTCCTTCACACAGAGCAAAGTCACCACCTTCGGCGAAACGTTTCTCTTCCGCGTCACCTACCGGCCCTTCGTATAATGCGACCACCTCTCCGCTGCTGTCGGCCCTCGGTGCCACCACCAAATCTGCGGCTCAATACACGAACGAGTGGACCAAGTCCTTACCCTTCTTTGCGAACCAAGCTTCCCCGAGTAACGGCGGCATACCGATACACGGCTCGCCGCCGCAGTTCCACAATTCACCGAATGTCCGCGGAGGCGTATACGGGCAAGCTGCCGCATCCCCTTCGCCTCCCGTCGTGGGTATGAATCCTCGCAGTACCCCAGACCATTATACTAGCTTCGGCGGACGCCTGCGTGAGTCGCCTCAAGAGTCTCCAGCAAGAGACCCAAGGAATCGCCGGGCGTCTATGTTTTCGCATCATGGAGGTCGACCAACTTCCCAGCAATTTGCTGCGAACCCTCCATTACCGCATCAGCCCCAAACACACTACTACAATCTGCCCGACTTCGACCTCGGACTAAACAATGCCACTCCCGAAGGCATCGCTGCGGGCGAAGAGGGATACTTCTGTGGCTTTGACACGCTTGGTATGGCGGCGGATGAAGCGGCTCGAACCGCCGAGAACGTTCTCCTAGTAGGGTATCAAGGCGGTCTTGACGTGTTCAGGGTGGAGAAAGGTAAGATGGATGTGTTGGGCCGGTTGGAAGGTTTAAGAGGCGGCGTGGTAGGGGCAAAGATTCTTCCATGGACCTCCCGAAGAGATCCCTTGTCTGCCGTACGACCTCTAATAGTTCTCACCATCCATGGACCTGTCTTGGGTGACAACAGAAGTAGCAGTGGAAGCGATGTACCTTCTGTCATTGACGATGGCTCTTCTGACTCTCCTAGTCGCCCTGGTTCTCCTCATGGTAAAGATGCAACCTCCAGGATTACCAGTTACCAAACGACGGTAGAAGTGTACTCTCTCAAAGAGAAGTGCAAGATTGCCGTGCTCTACCAGAGTCCGTTCGTCTCGGTCACGTCACCCTTCGATAGCCCGATTTTCCAGCCACCGCCCCCCGTTGGCGACTTCTCGGTCGATGCAAAAGGCAAATTCGTGACCGTATCCTCCGGTGCTAGTGGTGAAGTCTTCGTTTTTGCCCCCTATTCGACGCTAAGTGAAGACTACCAAGAATCCTTTAGGTGCATAGGGAAGGTTTGGACCACTGTCCAGCCTCGAGAGCGCGTAAACCATTCCAGTGCGTCCAGCGCCGCTGATGGCAGCCATGAAGATATTCCTCCGGAGATATATGGCGTACCCGTCGTTTCGCTATCGGAACGATGGCTCGTTTTCACTCCTCCCGCATCAACTGCGCACTTCCCTGTTAATGGCGTGCCTTCGACATCAGCCCAATACGAACGCCCTCCCGGATTGGCGCATCACACTGTCCCACCACAACCTTCTGTGAACTGTGCTGTGGATGCACCCGAGGTAGCCAGTCTCATCAACCGCCTGACAAAGGAAGGTACACAGGTTGCAATAAAGGGTGCAAGATGGGCCGCCGAAAAGGGTTTCCAGGCGTACAAGAACTACATGAATAAGGGGACTCAACCAAACGGAGCTAATGTATATGGAGCGGATCCTCCGCAGCAGTACTTTCCGCCAACCCACGGCCATAACCAAGCTCCAAGACAGGAAGCTACCGTCATCTCGGTTGTCGATCTCCAAAGACTCCATGACGCCGAAGAAAATAAGAGCAAGATGGCACTGAACCCTATCGCCACTTTTCCTGCGACGCTGGGCTGCAGCCACCTTTCTTTTTCGCCAGGCGGTCTGATGCTAATGACCATCAACAAGAAAGGTGATGTCTACGAAGTATGGGATCTTAAACGCTTGAACTTTCGACGAGCGCGTAAAACGACCAGGGAGCAAGCCACCGGTCAACACGTACGCCAAGTTGCGCGCTTCAGTCGGATGACTGTCTCGAATGTGGTGGACGTGGTTTGGTCTGCACCAAGAATCGACAAAGTGGCAGTCATTACTGACAAGGGAACTGTGCACATGTTCCTTATGCCTGCGTCGGCGTTCCAATGGCCGCCTCCCAGGCGCACACGCAAACCGAATGACCCTACTGCACCAAATGATGAAGCGATTGAAGCTGGCCGTGGTAGTACTGTCAACTCTGCCATGCAAGCATTCAACGGCACAGCTAAGCCCTTCCTCGATGCGATCCGACCTGGCAGCAATAGCAACGGTTCCCGTTTTACGTTCAAAACCCTCGGCATGACACCGGCTGCTGGAGCCAAATCCGGAAAAGCGGTAGCTGCGGGAGTAGGCAAGCAAATTAATACCATCCGTCATGCTGGCGACAATAAGCTGGCATTACCTTCTTCTTCTAGCGGCGTCAAGGCTCATTCTGTAAGATGGCTTACTGGAAAAGGGCGGGGACACATTGCTCTGGTCGCAGGTGGAGTGTTGCAGATCCATCGGGTGCAAATGCGACCTGCAACTGGAAAAGGCAAATCGGCAAACGAGAATTCAGTTTCGAAGAAGAAAATCTCCGAGTTTGGTCTCCTTCCCATCCGCGACTCGGTACTCGCGCCTTCAATCACTGCTCAGCTGTATGCCCAATCAGACGAGCCTGAACACCTTCAAGATATCCATGGTGAATGGATCCCGCGGGCGCTGCCTGCTCGGAAAGGAAGGGCTGGTAAGATGCATCGTGTTGTACGGTCTCAGGTAACAAATGCTGACTTCTATCAAGGTTCCACCACCAAGCATTTCGGTTTAACGCCTGCTCCTCTCAGCTTTTCAGAGATCGAAACGAATCCACCATATCAACCATTCTACACTGATCGCCGGGTGACACGCTTCATTTTCACCCAATTACCTGCGGATGCACAAGTGAGCAGTAGCGAGTACCAAACACCAGAGCTCGTGTCAAACCTACATCATGAGAACGACGAGACGCCGTGGCTTTTCGGTGAAGACATCGAGGCGATCCGCGTCTCGTCTCCTGTCACTCAGCACTTTGACTCGGGTGATGAAGATGCGATTGCCGGCGTTACAGCACGAATCGAGAACAAGCTCATTCGACGCGACGGCGAAGACGAGATTGAGCAAGTCATTGTCACTACCAGGCGTAGGCGAACTAGACGCGATGGCGCCGAAGAGGAAGAGGAAGGGTTTTTTGAAGATGATTGCGAGGTCCTGGACTTTGCTGAGGACAGGGTTTGAAGGTCGCTTCTCCACACTCGCTTTTTGTTTATTTTGCTGGTCTACATCCCGTTGCGGACGTGGATCTTATCTCGACTTATTCATAGCTTCCGTGTGAAGCGACACATAGAATTGGCGTTGTTGCCTTTGGTCATGGGAAGGTGCATGAGGCGCTTTGGTCTGATGTTCACTCGTTGTTTTGCATTAACAGGATACCTCATGGATATTTGGAAAGGTGTATATACGCAGTAGCTTAGGATTGATCACCCAATGTAAATGTTGCAGGCGAGCTTGCCAGACTGCCTTGCCGTCACCGTGACCTGTCAATTACAAGAAATTACAGCGTTACAAAGTGTATATTGCATCACTGGAATAAGCACCATCTGGTGGAATTTGGCAATTTCAGCTCCCCTCACTGTCGCAAAGCATTTGAATACACCCAGACCGAATCATCTTGCTGGGGAATAACACCCCTGCACCACTGGAAAGGGCCTTGAGTCCACCTCAGAGAAATTTCTAAGGTAGTTTTGCGATGCCCGGAGACATCAAAGTTCCCCCGTTTAATCAAGTAGGATGGACAGATGTTGCGGCTGCTCGCCGCGGGAATGTACGTGCCAGGACCCTGGTTCCGTTTCCGATCGCCAAGCCTGTGCGTCAGTCACAGACTCCAAATACTGTGTACACAGTAATAATAAGCCCACCAGCTAGCAACACTGCACTCCATCGTTAGACACCCGTCGACAACCACCACCATGGACGCCGTTCGCTCAGTGCTGCAGCCGATCACCCACAATCTCCCGGCTCCGCTGGTTGAGACCGGCCGAAGCCTCATCGGCCCTGTGTGCTACAAAACCCTTGTCGTCGACATTGATCCCTTCGCCTCGCCAGAGTGCCTCAAGCTCGCAATCAGCAAAGGTCTCGGCATCGGTATCATCGCCGCCTCGTCCGTCGTCAAAATCCCGCAGCTCCTCAAGATCCTCAACGCGCAGTCCGCTGACGGCATCTCCTTCCTTGCCTACCTGCTGGAAAGCGGCAGCTACCTGATCAGCCTCGCCTACAATGTGCGCCATGGATTCCCATTCAGCACCTACGGAGAGACAGCCTTGATCCTCGTACAGAACGTGGTCATTGCTAGTCTCGTGCTGAAGTTTGGAGGGAGGGGCGTGGGCAGTATCGGCGCATGGGTGGCAGGCCTTGTCGCCGTAGGCACAGCGCTTGCGATGCCCGACATCGTCGACGTGAAGGCTTTAGGGTATCTTCAGGCTGGTGCCGGTGTGCTCAGCGTGGCGAGCAAGCTGCCGCAGATCTGGACCGTGTATCAGCAGGGTGGAACCGGGCAGCTGAGCGCCTTCGCTGTAAGTCTTCCTTCTTGGCGGTAGCCATGTGAACAAGTGCTAACGTTGTGGTAACAGGTCATCAATTACCTCCTCGGCTCTCTGTCCCGCATTTTCACCACCCTCCAGGAAGTCCCCGACCCGCTCATCCTTTACAACTTCATCGCGGGCTTCGTGCTCAACGCCATCCTCGCCCTGCAGATGGTAGTCTATTGGAACAGCCCGACCTCGAAGAAGACCGAGAGCAAGAAGCTCAACAAGGGTTACGTTGCGGCGGGCAAGGGGCCTTCGTCGGACTCGACCGTTAAGGGGTCTCCGAGCTACGCGAAGGCGACTGGAAAGAGCCCTGCGCCTACGACTAGGCGCCGCGGATAGAAACGCTTTGGGCGTGCACTCAGTTTCTGAAGATGGAGATGTTGATAGTGTTGAGAAATCATCCTTATTGTTCTCCCACGCCTGCGCCCATACATCCGTGATTGTTTTCTTCCTGAGTCGTGAAATTGGCTCCTAGGAAATCCTACGCGACTCAAGTTCACTTTGTGCATGGGCACAGAGATACGTCGTTAGGGCAAAAGTTTGGGCACTGCATCGCTCATTTGGTGTAGTACAGGGCACCAGAATATTGTTCGAGGCACTGTCGCAAAATCTATTCATTTGATGAGAACGTAAAGTCACCTTAGTAAAATTAACGGAACAACTAGGCGCTTGCGATTTGAAAGTCAACGTTACTGAGGCGCATACGCTATGCCTAACAATTCTCATAAATCAGACTTCCTCCCTATCTGGGTATCATTTACTGTGCGAAACCATCTGAACGAAGCGGCCGTGAAATCAAAATGCAGCTATCCAGGATCGCTTTCTCAGAGACGTGACTATTTCCGGACGAATGCCTTCTAGGATAGAGAGATCAATCGTGCGTATTCATGATTTCGGATGCAAACTTGCTCCTGCGGCGGATCTTGGGCCCGTAAAAGACGAGCACCCATGGCACGATGGTGAGCAGAGTGCCGATGCCGCCGAGGAGGCTGGAGGCCCCGCCGAAGGTGAGGCCGTTGTACATCTGGCGGGTTACGAGGGGAAAGGCACCACCTGTTCCATTGTCAGCTATGCAATCATGATAGATGCAGTAGGAGGAAGTAACATACCGAGCATGTTTCTGCAGAAACTCTGCGCAGCCAGTGCTGAGCTCGCATACCGATGGTACGTATCCGCCAGGTAGTTGAACGTCGACAGGTATATGCTGAATATACCAATCGTCGCAATAGCAACAGCAATGGACGGCACGATCCAGTGGATCCCTGAGAAGCTCGTCCATCCGAACATGAAAAGCCCGATCGGCATGCACGCGCTCTCGATGCACGCAAAGTACAACCGTCCTTCGGGCGTGTTCGTCAATTTCCCATATTTCTTTGCAATCTTCTCCTGGTATATAGAGATGAATGTCGAGATGATGGCTCCCACGCACATAGCAGCGAAGACCGCGTTGGCTTGCTGTAACGAGAAGCCGTGGTTGCGCTGGAAGACGAGCGGGATGGCGGCGAGCGTGAGGTACAGCACAGCCCAGGAGAAGGCGACCCACAGGCTGAAGAAGAAGACGACTGGCTCGGTGAAGAGGAGATGGAAAGGCCGGAAGAGAGAGGTGCGGATCATGCTCATCAAGCTAGCGCGCAGCTCGTCTTCCTTCACTTTCCAGCGGATGCGCTGGGGCACGGCGGCTTTCCCATCTGCGCTGGGCATGTTGACGGTGTAGTAGCCGGCTTCTTCGCGCGCGGCGTACCACTTATTGAGCGCTGTGGCTTTGCGACTAAGGAGCACGCTGCCACGGGTCTCCTTGAAGGTAACGCAGATCAGGGCCACGGCGGCGCCGTTCATGATGGCCTGCATGTAGAAGATCCAGCGCCATGTTGTATTTTGCGCGATAAAGCCGCAGACGAGAGGGCCCCAGCCGGTTCCGAAGAGAGCACCGCCGGAGAAGAGGGCCATGGGAGTATTCCGGTCTTCGGTATGGTAAATGTCTGAGACGACACCGCCGACCATGGTGGAGAATGTAGATCCACCTACGCCGGTGAAGAAACGTACGACGAGCATGCCGGCATAGGACTGGGTTAGTCCTGTACATAGTTGGCATATCACGAAGAGGATGCCGGAAGCAATGAAGACAGGACGGCGGCCATTGATCTCGGAGAAGGGCGCTAGTATCATGGGTGCTACTGCGAAGCCTGGGTTACGATTAACACGGCTCTAACTGTAAAGATACAAAAACAAAGGCACTGCTTACCGCAGGTGAATGTTGTTATGCCTACGAACGCGGCTACGCTGCTCACATGCCATTCTTCAGTCATTTGTTGAACACCAGGCGAGTATGATCCAGCTGAGAAGGCGGTCAAAGCCGTGATGAAGCAAGAGAAATAGACGGTCACGTTCTTCCTGGTCTCAGGCCAGTCGAATGGGTTATCGTATTTCTTGAGATTCGGTGCCTCAGGGGCCGGTTGTTGGCCCTCTCTGGTCGGGCATATTGATGTTGGTGGAGGCAGTTCGGTCGAGTAAGTGAGATAATGGAAAACGATGTCTCCTGGTTCTACCTCTTCGCTCTCTGGCACAGCCTGACTGTCATTCTTTTCATCGAATTTTGCGACCGAATTTCGTGCGGTACGAGGTTGGGGTTCGGATGGAGCATAGCTCTTTATGCCCGGGGTATTTGCGTTTATTCCCGGAGCTTCACCGCGGGAATATGCCTGTTCGGGCTGCGGAGGCAGCTCGATTTCTGGATCTGCCATGGGTAGAAGCGTGCATCAACGCCGTCTTAGAGCTGTGTCCTCCTTGGGACAAGAGTTCCTCAGTCAGATTGAAGAGCAGAATGGGATGCAGGAAAGAGGGGATATATTCTGCCATGGTGACAAGACCCACAAGCGGTGGGATTGGAGCTAGGTCCCGATAGTTGTGCGATTAAGCAGCAAGCGCATCGGCGGCGCAGCCTTTGGTTCGGATGAATGCCGGGGATTGGGTTGGTGCGGACGGGAATATGACGAAGAAAATGCAATAGGGCGTTGACCGCCGGATATTAGAAGCGGTTGACGCCCTCTGTGCAAAAATTGGAGCCTGGACTTGACTCCTGCTTGATATAGTGCGAATATCGGGACATGATTGGTGAAAGGTGGGGTAAATCTCCGTGGGCTTGGAGATGGCCCCAACGCAGCATCGATAGTAATGCATCCAAGGCCGTGATATTTGCTCTTCTCGAATCAGCTACGCCTATCTGCACGACAATGGGGCGTGTCTGTGAATATGCATCTCTGGCATCGCCCTGGAGACAAAGTTGTTTTGGCGTCATCACATCACGGCCAGCCGTCAGCAGCCGTCAGCAAATGGTAGGACATGTTATCAAGCGCCTCATCCGGCATCCACGGGCTTTCCCGTGCTTCAGAGGGCCTCTTCCACGTGCTTTGGTTGACCTCCACTGGTTCATGGCAGGGTAGACGGTAGCATCGTGCGAATCAAAGGTCCTGCTTGCACAGGGATGGTACCGATGCACTAACGGACACGCAGTGCTGACCCCGATAGGATGCTCTTGGCGGCATGGACTGTATACCGAGTAATTGAGACGTCACTGGAGTGGCGGCTGAAAGTGCTATAATGTAAACAATTATGGTGCATACTCCTGCCGCACTGCTAGACTAGACTGCGTCTAGGGAAAGCGGGCCTGGATACACCAAACGACCGCTTCACACGCGTAGGCCGTCCGAAGTCGGACGTCTTTGTACATTGTCTTGTCCAATCCTGGGACTTCATAATGAAAAAAGAAAGGCATTGCAAAGCAGCATTGCCGTCGGCTGCGGATTGGTAGCATGCCGATTCGGACGATGAGGAATCGTGGTCGCCGAGAAACACGACATATTCCTTGAGGCTTGCGGCAGTGATGGCATTCGCCGTGATGCATCTGACCGCCCTCTGACGATGGCAGCTGATTGGTTTGAGAGGGCGAGTATGGAGGCAGAAAAGGTTTTGTTGCCCACAAGAGAGAATTGCGTGCTCGGAGCCAAAGAACGCTATTCCAGATGCGAGCTGTGAGCCACTGTTAGCTGGTGGTATACAAGAGGGGTCGAGACGAGCACATTCCAGCGCTCTCAAACCAGCTCCTGACCTTGATTCACTCCCGACACCTCTGTCCACATACAGCAGACAATACCTGCATCTTCCACGCCCCTTCACAGCCTCAACCAGACCAAGGTACGCCGCATCCAGTGCAGCTCCGCTCGCGCGCTGCTACCCTGCTACCCCGCTACCCCTCACCCTCAGCCTACTGGACTGACGCGCGCCGGCAGACACAATGGCAAACGAAGAGCGCCAGCAGCCTCTACGCCTCGGCTCCATCGCCCCCAACTTCAAGGCCGAGACCACAAAGGGCCCCATCGACTTCCACGAGTTCATTGGCGACAACTGGGTCGTTCTCTTCTCCCACCCCGAGGACTACACGCCCGTCTGCACCACGGAGCTCGGCGCCTTCGCAAAGCTTGAGCCCGAGTTCACCAAGCGCGGTGTCAAGCTCATTGGTCTTTCGGCCAACACAATCGACAGCCACGATGGCTGGATCAAGGACATCGACGAGATCAGCGGAAGCAGCCTGAACTTCCCCATCATCGGCGACAAGGAGCGCAAGGTTGCCTACGCCTACGATATGTAAGCGCGTCCAGGCATGCCCATTCCCGTGCTTACCCATCTGCAGGCTTGACTACCAGGACACGACCAATGTCGATTCCAAGGGCATTGCTTTCACCATCCGGTCTGTCTTCATCATCGACCCCAAGAAGACGATCCGCCTGATCCTCTCCTACCCCGCCTCCACCGGCCGCAACACGGCCGAGGTGCTCCGCGTTGTCGACTCGCTCCAGACTGGCGACAAGCACCGTGTAACAACCCCCATCAACTGGGTCCCCGGCGACGATGTCATCGTCCACCCCAGCGTCAACAACGAGCAGGCCAAGGAGCTGTTCCCGGACTTCAAGATCGTGAAGCCCTACCTCAGGTTTACCCCGCTCCCCAAGGAGAAGACTTCTGCCGCATAAGCTTGTACAGGTAGAGGGGAGGCATTGCCAGCGCGTTGCGGCGTTCTGAATGGGCGCCGCGGAGATTCGACGGCAGGGCTTATCGGATAGGAGCTGGGATCGGACGTTTATGCTTCTAGAACATGATAAATGCTTCGAGGCTTGTCCGTCCCTGCTCCGCCACGCGATAGGGCTGAAGATTTGAAGGGTTTTCGTAGCCAAATGGATGATACCAACCACTTGTTCGATGCTGCCTTGCTTTTGTCGTGAATCTGCTGGCATGTGCGCGCGCCGTGAGGAGTGGTGGATTTGTGCCTATATGTAAGGAGCTCATTTGCCCGAATCCCGGCACTGCTGCTCGCCCGCACGATTCTAGCAGGGCCGTGCGTTTCGACATCCCAGGAGGCCGGGTGCGCTTGCGAATAACATAACCTCTTCTGCGGGCAACGGAGCTGTGCGACGCTTCTGCATCCTGCTGCTTGACGTTCTGAATTTTGTTTGCTGTCCAGCCTTCTGTGCCGCGTGTCCCCTGCTGCGCGCCTACTCCCATCTCCCCATCTCCCCGTCTCCCCGTCGCTCACCGCATTCCTCCAGGAGCGGAGTAGTCGACTCCTCCGTACCCACGCCCCAGCGCGACACTCGCCTTCTATTCTCGTCCACAGCTGTTGCGGCCCGCCCGAAGACCGCGCTGCTCGCCCTTTGTCCGCGCCTACGTCCTTGCATTCCTCAGGTTCCAGCAACTCGACGCCGAGACCCGACTAAGCCTCTTCCATTCTTAGCCCACCACGAACCTTTGCGCCCAAACGCACGACTGCTGCCTTTCTCCACACCGTTGGCTGCTGCGGTACCGCTCCCAACGCTCTTTGCTCTCATTTCGCATCTCCCGCCCGCTGTGCGTGGCGCACCTAACGTAAGGCTGTGTCTTTCTTTACATCTCGCGCCGCCCCTCCATCATCCCTCACCCAAGCACGTGTCATGCCCATCTGCCCGTAGCTACCGCCCATCTCACCCCATCGCGTGCACTCGACGCGAATTGGAGACCAGGCCAATGTTCTTGTCTCCCTTAGAAACCCTTCAGCCGGCCCTGAGTCCTGTCCCACGAGCGTGTGCAGATGCAGCCGCGGTGCCGTGCCTGTGTTACAATACACTCGCACCGCATCTGTATCATGTGTATCCCTTCCTAAATCGCACCCACGGCTTGGTTGGCTATTCCTGCAACGGGGCCTCGTCTGCAGCTGGGATGCAAAGTGGCCGTTGAAAACAACGACTCGTCCCCTTTCGAGCCTTTCTGTTCTCTTTTGGTCTTCACCAAGTTTCATCACTGACAATGCTTCCTTTAGGAGTTGTAGCCTATCCTTCGGTTGGAGCCGGTCCTTTGGGAGACGGGACGTCATCTATCTGGAAAAAGCCCAGGGTATTCAAGCTCAAACGCGCTTTGTCGAACCAGAGAACACGATCTCGCGAGGCTGCAAGTTCCCACATTCGTGCTCATTCCGAGGTACTCATATCAGAGCCTGGCTCCCTTCCACGCGTAGTGCAAGCGCTGACCATGCGGCTTCTAGGCAGTCTCGTCTGGCCTCGCTGGATTGCCATCCGCCCCTGTCCATGCTGAGCACCCTTCTGCTGTTGTCACCCACTCTTCCTGTTCAACAAAGCTTAGGCCTAAGCACGTTCCCATCCTTATCCCACATTATGTTCCGAGCATAGCACCTGACAGTCCTTGTACATCTTGTGGACTTTCCTCCTCCAGAACCTCTACGGTTGTATCCAGTGGCCATCCCAGTCTTTCGAGCTTTCCTCTGCCTCGCAGTTCTGTTGGCGACTCCTCTAGCATTAGGTCGCGGCATGTGGAGATCGTAATTCCGGACTGGGCGTTACCTATTCAACGATTCTCTACATCGCCCATTACTCTTCCCTTTGATTGGGACATCAAATCTCCTGTCTCCCCTCCCTGGGTCTTGAGTTCGGCCAGGATGATGGCCCGTCAGACGCCGAACACGAGCCGGACAAACACCATCGACTCGCAAACCTCAGCACCATCGCCATCGCAGTTGTATCCAGATACTTTCCGAGCCAATAACTATTCCAGTGTCAACTCCAGTCAAACGAGCCTCCATCGACAAGAAGGTCAAGATGGAGAACGGCCGCCTCCTTTATCTGCGAGGACACCTGGCTTGGGAGTATCACCTGCATTGATGCAAACAGCGGGGCTCGGTACTCCTTCCAGCTCAACATCTGGACTATCAGGCCTTGTCTGCAATGTTCACCGTACAACGGGTCGTGAGCCGCACCCGCTGGTTGGCGCGACCACCACCATATTAGGCGACAAGCTCTATGTATTTGGAGGTAGGAGGCTGTCTAGAACGCGGCCACAACTCACTTCGGATCTATACGAGCTCGACCTGATTACGCGACATTGGACAAAGATTGATGCGAAAGGCGATTTACCTCCGCCTAGGTACTTTCACAGTGTCTGCGGTCTTGGAGACACAAAGCTCGTTTGTTACGGGGGTATGTCCCCTGCATCTCAACAAACAAACCAGTCCGCCGCGGTACCACAGGGCACTCCTGCAGATGCACAGCCAGAAGTCGTGGTCATGTCCGATATACATATCTACGACGTCCCCACCAGAACATGGATGCATATAGCAACACCCGATGCTCCACAGGGCCGCTATGCACACTGTGCAACGATTCTGCCTTCGGCCGCTGTTTTCTCTTCCACAAATGCTACTTTGACAGCGATAAGGCACAATCCATCCTCAAGTTTGCCCAATCAAGGCTCTATTGGAGTGCAGCTCGACGGCGAGGGTGGAGCTGAAATGGTCGTTGTCGGTGGCCAAGACAGTGCCAATCATTATATTGAGCAAATAAGCGTCTTCAACTTGCGAAGCCTCAAGTGGACAGCAACCAACACATTGGGCAGAAGTTGTGGCGCCTATAGAAGCGTCGTGGCCCCCTTGTCGACTATCGATCCAGGTAAGCTTGGAATGGGAACGCCCGGTACACGGAGCGACAGCGATAGCCCCGAGGAAGACGCGCCATCCAGAAGCGGCGGTGCCTCTTCGATGCTGATATACTCAAATTATAACTTCCTAGATGTAAAGCTTGAGCTGCAGGTCAGACATTCGGATGGAACTTTGTCCGAAAGGACAATGCAGGGAGACTTTTCGCCGCCCGGCCTGCGGTTCCCCAATGGGGGTGTGATAAACAACCACTTTGTCGTAAGCGGGACGTTTCTAACATCTTCGAAACAAGAGTATGCGCTTTGGGCACTCGATCTACGAACCCTGAGCTGGGGCCGGATAGAGGCAGGCGGCAATATTTTCAGCCAAGGCAGCTGGAACAGAGGAATTTTGTGGAATCGCAGAAACACTTTCGTTATCCTGGGCAATCGAAAGCGAAGCCTTGTGGAAGACTATAATCACCGCCGGATCAACTTCTCCAATATATGCGTGGTGGAGTTGGAAGCTTTCGGAGTGTACGACAATCCGCGAAAGGTCGCACCCAGCTCAGGCTTCACATCTGTCAGTGAGCCCGGATATACAGACGGCCTTGATTTGAATGCAGGAGGGCGATTGCTGTCGCCTGCAGCAGCTGAGCTAGGCCAATTGGCTCTGGGCATGCGCGAATTGGCGGACATGGATTTCCTAGCCACACACGGCGAACGCATCCCTGTCAACTCTCATCTAATTGCACGTCGATGGGGGCCGTATTTTAATCAACTGCTTCGCGAAAGCACGATCGCACCCGAGAATGCGGATACCGCGACGCTTAGGCCCGTTGCCGGCATGCACCCTTCTCGAAATTCGAGCATAACCATAACACCGTCTATTAAGACCTCTTACTCGGCCGCTACGACCCTCACAAACAATACCATCACCTCCGACACCTCAACTGCCGCAGCATCTAGCATCGGACCACCAGACCCTGTTGCTCAACCTCCGGCTTTCAGGCCTCGCACGTTATACCTCCCGCATACGCATCTTACCCTACAGGCCTTGATACATTTTCTCTACACTTCCTCCTTACCTCCAGTGAACTCCTCCCTTTGCACGCCACAAATACTTTGTTCGCTTCTGCAACTTGCCCGACCTTATCACATCGACGGTCTTCTTGAGGCCATAATCGAGCGCCTGCACTTGATCCTCGACAACCGCAATACAGCTGCCATATTCAATGCCGCTGCCATGGCTGCAGGTGGAGGGTCCGGCGTAAACTTTATCGGAGCAAACGGCATTGCTACGAATGGCACTTCAAACGGGGTCGCTGATCCCGCGTCGATATCTTCAGCTGCTGCAGAACGGTCACTAGACCCAGGACTTCGTGCTCTCCGAATCAACACTGACGTCGAGACAAACCACGACGATGAAGTCAGCTCAGCTGTGTCGTCTGCAACGTCAGCATCGGCAAGCGATGCGGGAGACGGAAGCGGTATCAGTGGCGGGCGTGAGGTCTGGAATGGGGAGCTAAGTGCCGTCGTAGGACTACAAAAGCGCGGGTTGAGAGGGTTGATGGAGGGTCGGAGAGCAAGAGAAAGGGAAATTGGAAGAGGTAGCAGCAGAAGTAGGGATGACGGCGTGCCTCAGAATGGAGATGCCGTTGGCCTGGGCTTGATGGCGGGTGGATCGTGAGAGAAGTGTAAGACAGAACCAAAGAGCTGGCGGACAGAACACCACAAATTACGAGCAAGGAGAGCCATGGTCCTGGAGCTTGAAATCACACGACGCCTGACGCGATGCTACGTTGATGAGCAGATATGTTTGTGATTGACGGCCTGTTTATATTTAACTTCAAATTTGGGCTTGGAACATGAGGATTGCACGAATGATATCACACGGCATTGTTGGACGAAGAATTTCCGTTTGAGCGTTTCATTCTATACTTCTTCTGTTTATCTATCCTTCATTCACTGCTTGGCATGCTTTCTTTACTTTGCTCAATACAGGGCGGTGTTTGGTCTTTCTAGACGGACAGGACGGCGAAAGGGTGCACTTGCAATAGATTTCTGTCCCCAGTGGTTCCTACGCATCCTTCAGGCAACAAATGCATCCTCTGTACGTTATTTCCTCTTCATCCCTGTGTCCCTCGATACTTCGGTCTTTCTCGTGGAGTTTTCTCTTCCGTTTGGTCTCGACTGTTGCACCTCCCTTCGTCTTCGCGTTCGTGGATATAACACAACGAAAGGGCACAGCGCCTTGAATGAAGCACGTCTCGGGTCTGTCTCTGTGTAAAGCGGCTGCGCACTTGCTCCTGTTTCCTTGAAATGCTTTTAAGAACTTTTCACCACAGTCCCCCAATCTCTCACCCACCCCTCCTCACACCACTCTCGGGGTCGACCCTAGAATATGCCGGCGGCGGCGGCTGGAGCTCTGGCTCAGCCCTGTACATTCTCAGGGCGGTTTGCTTCTGCGTGTGCGGGCTCCGGCGTTGTGCTTGAGCTTGTACATTACGCATCTTGTGCTTGCGGTGGCGGACATAGAGTAATGCGAGGACGACCACGACGAGGAAGATGACAAAGGCGACAATGGCGCCGATGATGATGCGGTGGGGTGCGCAGTCGCGCATGTAGAGGTAGTCGGTGCAGTCGTAGGTTGTGTAGCGGCGGGCTAGTGTTTGAAGATTGGTTGGCGGCATCTTGGAGCGATGTGGGGTGGTATGGGCTCAGAAGGAGGATAGAGGTGCCTTGATCTGGAATATCATGTATAGCTGATCTTGTGTTGTGGAAAGGAACGGATCTGGTGGCGGTATGATGTGATGACCGTGGGGGAGCCGTCAAGGTATGTGTGCACCTAAGAGGATAGTAGGCCCAAAACAATCAGGCGTACTACGAACGTAAGCACGTAGATATAGACTGTTCAGTGATGTGGCAGTGGGTGTAGAAAGCCTCAAGCGACCCCAGCACTTCTTATTTACTCCAAACCACACCACAGCCCCTCATTCACGCCTAATAACAGCCTCATGACATTTCAACTGTGCCCTTAGGATTTTGCTGTGCCGGGTCCTGCGTGCGCCCCCGTGACCGCTTGCGGTTTGCTCCTGAGGCATATTGCCAGCGACTCAGCCTCGCCCGCTCAGTGTCAGCCTTGCGAGAATATCGCTTACCTCACTGCCACCGGTTTGACATTGTTTAATATCCGCAGCCTGCGGCACCGCCGAAGGCTTCCGAATAACAATTGCCCGCAACACGTGGCATCGTACAGGGTGGAGGCACAATACATAGTAGTCGTGTGGACGGCCGCGGTGCGGGCTGAAAGTAAGGCTAACTTGCTAACGTGAAGCTACTGCGCACAGGGCAATGCCTACAAGCATATATGAGATAAAGGCGGTACCTCGCACGAAAAGTTTTGCGGAGTTGTCGTGCGAATAAAAGGGCATTCAAAACGTAGGGCGTGCGCAAGCCCGTGCATGTTGTATGGAAAGGGCAAGCGTTCAGATCGTGACAGCCCCCAGATGGGAAGCGCTTCAAGTATGCTAAATAAAGCCAGCCGTCATCGCCATGACTACAGCAAATGCAAGCGCCTGTGCCGCCTTGAAACGCTTTGATCTTGGGTTTGTGCCAACTTCGTGCACACGTGTTCAACGACTATGGCAGTGGGTGTCCGCAACTTTTCGAGCTGGTCGAGCCTTGCTAGGAGCTTTTATTAGCATGCTTCGTATGCTAGTGATGGACTGAGCGAATTGGGGGTTTGGTGTAAACATGCACATGATCAGCCATCTGTCGCGTTCCGCACGAAAGTGGGGACAACAAGGCAGAAACACGATGGATCCCATGATAAGGGCGTCCCAAGTCTTGTCAAACGAAGACGAGACGCGTCAAATGATGATTGACTTCTTCGATTGCCAACACGAGCGAGTTTGATGAGCAAATATCATGAGAAACCAAACGGATAACGCGAAAAAATGCCGGCTAGCAAGCGTGAACGTTTGGTCAGGCAGAGCAATTGTTGCTAGTCGTACATGTGACACTTGGCTTATCTCAAGTAGAACCGTGAATGCATTTGCACCTCGAGCACGGTCACAAAGCGCATCTGAAGAAGAGAAGGCGAAAAGGAAAGTTGTGATGGAGGAAGAGTAGCCCACTACAGTCCCCAAGGCAATAATCGTACCCCATATGCTGAAGTGCCTGAGGCAATTCAGTGGCATCATCATTACATTGTCATTGTGATACATAATAAAGTTGATCTTCGAGAGGCATGGTGTAATCAGTGATGCGGGACCGCAAAAGGTGGCCTGTCCGTCGAACTTCAGTTCCAGACATACATAAGCTTTGCATGGTATCAGGCTCGCGGGCACCCCTGACATGCACAGAAGTGCCTTGCATGGCCAGTCAATCTGTACTTACAGGGAACCTATCATATACCACAGTGACTTGTGAACGCCCGTCTCCGAGCACGCTGACATTGCGATAGTCTGAAAAGGGGAGGTGGATGGTGAGGTGTTCTCCAAGCCCAACATGCGCGCAGACCCGTGTGGACAGGTGCAGTTGCCGAAAGAAGGTAACAGCCCCGACAGGTAGGCGCACTTCTCAGGAGAGTTGCAGATGACGCTTTGTTTCTCACAAGCTTCTTGGCTAAACCCGACTGACCCTATACCATGCGTGACGTATTCCCTGTTGCTTGTGTACGGCGAGGCACTATGATCACCAATCTGCACAGTCCAAGGCGTCCATGATCGTGAAGCCCGCATCATCTCGATAGAATTGTGCTCTTTGTTCCATCGCAGTCTTCCAAAACAGACTTGCGCTGGGATGCATCAAAAGTGTTGCAGGAGGCTGTGTCACCTTTGGCATGACATATCTCGTCAGTGGCAGCTCATAAGCAGGCATGCAAAGGCACGGCACGTACCAACATCGACTTCCAGCTTGCATTCTCATAAAGAAGAATCTCCGCCCACTCGTCGTCTAGGAGAGCCTCTTTCTTGTAGCGCATGTGAGCGAACATCTTCACAGTTCCCTCTTTACTTCGATGCACCCCTATCGCTCTTGTATGCAACGAGTCTGCCAGCTCGTTCGTAAGAACTGGGTTGAACCTCAGCAATGGCCAGTCGCCTAGTTGACCATTATGATGTGCAGGTTCAAGGAAGAGAGCGCGACGGATTGGTTTGGAAGTAGCAATCATGTCTCTGAAACGACGACAGATGCGCTGCGAAAGCAGAAGATCTTGCATGGGAAGCTGAAGTAGTATGGCCTCCAATATCTCGTAGGGTAGTTTCATGATAGTCGACTGCGCAGCACGTGCCTGATTTAGCTCGTCCGGGGCATGGAACCCGAGGGCATTGAGCGGCCGCAGAGCTAAGGGAAGGCGTTCAGCCGCTGACAGCGCATACTGGGCGTTTGAGCCGTTTACCGACATGGGACGGGGGCTGTACTAAATGCGAAAGTGACACAGGGCACTCATAAATATTTGTGATGCTGTTTTGGATGCTTAGAGCGAGTTGCATTCGAGAAGCGGGGTTTGTGAGTAAAGTGATATTGAGCCGGCGGCGAAGGCGTGCGCTAAGCCCCTTTGAGCTGTGGCCTGGCCTTGCCTGAGTGCTACAGCGCGCTGGCAGGAACAACGTGGCGTGCTTGATATTTAGTTATTATACTCAATGCGGTATTGATTCTAGATGTATTTTGAAGACTTCATAATTTTGGCTCCCGAACGACATTGTGACCAACGTTTGGGAAAAGCCCGTCTGCAGTGCAACGCGATGGGCCCAGGTGGAAGACTAGACAAACCGTAGTGCAAAAGGAAAGAAAATATGATTTACTATGACACCTTCTCACAGTAGGACACCAGAACTTGCCTCATGCGTTGACGAGCTTTAGACGAGCTGGGTGTGTTCCATATGCTTCCACTTGAGTTTGACGTTGACTCTCGATTCACTTCGTCCAGAAGGTCCCCCAAGAGATTCAAAGTCATCTCGAAAATCGGAGTTTATTGGCAGGCTTACATGTCGTATCGCGGAAAGGCTGAATTTCGCTGGTTGAGAAGCCTATTCTCGGTATAAAGTAGGCAGTGATCATCCCATCGAGAGTCCGAGCTCGTAAGCGGACATGTCCGGCAGAGATATAGAGTTGACACAAAAGGCACGAGGCCACCGAGAAGGTGCAACGCTTGTGCAACATCTTCAGTCCGCCATCGGGTGTCCTCTTGTGCTGGAAGCCAATGAATGACAGCTATGGAGAATGGTTCGTCTCGTACTCAAGTTGGTAGTATGGTATGAAGATGCAGCTTTGAACAATTACCGGTATCGGGGAGACGGAAGTGGCATGATGAGCCCGGAACAAATCGGGTACCCGCATACACGGGCGGCTGTAACCAGCGGGAGGCACAATCAATATAGTGCTGCGTTCAAGCCTTGTTCAACTTGCAAAGGAAATATCCGCCTCCTTTTGCGGACCCTTCCTCACTCGGTAGGACAAACAGCGCATCAGCCAGCACGATCGCCCTAAGCCCCGAAGCCCAGTTCTTGTCCACTTGCAACACGCCGGCAAGCATCAGATTGAGATAAACAGCGTCTGTGCCCATTTCGTGCGAGCCTGTCCATTCAACCTCGACCCTAGGTCCAATAGATGAAAATCCATATGGCGGTAGCTACCATGCAGCTCCATGGTTGGAAATTCTGCTGCTGCTCGTAAGCACGTTCTATATCTCAGGGTTACCGCCTTCGAAGTGTCGCTAGGTATTCGTCCACTTGTAGTATGTATGGTGAGGCTCTCGCTTTCTCTTCCTCGAGCGCGACTGCTCAACCTCTGATCGTAAACTCAAATTTACCGCCTTTCTCGCTCGAGCTCTATGTTAACCGACGCTATTGCTGCGGACCAGAAGCTGAACGTCTACCAGGGTCTACCATGGTTGGGTGGAAATGGTGGACGTTTGAAGATGACTTCGTCATTCGGGGTAGTATCTCTGACCACAGGTTTGGCATCCTCGAGTTGAGGGTATTGGCTCAGCCCCTTCTCCAGCATCTGAAATGTCTGACCGTAGGCTTTGGATGGTACTGCATCTGGGTCGACGATAAGCATCATCGGGTCTATAGGGGGCGCTCTAGGAATCGAGGTGCTATTGTCTGGGGGCTGAACGAAGTATTCCACGTCTTTCGATAGGCTTGGAGTGTCGGTGCCTTGACTTCCTGTGTCGCCAAAGCGCTCGGCGAGTATTTTGCGAAGCACTCGTTCGACCTGCTCATCGCTCGGGCCTTGCGAAGCCTGTTGTTGTTCGAGGAAGAGCACACGCTCATGCAAAGCACGGAATGCAGCCTCAGATCGACGTAGAAAATCCTGGCTGAACTGGTCAGCATGGGAGTATTCCGTTGCCTGTGGTTCTACACACTACCATTGGGCAATTTGCTCGAACGATCGATTGATTTGGTGGACTGTGTAATTCCAAGACATGTTGGACGGGAGAGATCAACAGCGAGAGAAGAGAGAGTAGTAGTAGTAAAAATTGGGAACCGAGCGCTAGAAGCGTCTAGTACGCCATAAATGTAGGTAGCAGTGAAGCAGATGACACCGAAGAGGGTAAGTCTTCGTCAGCTAGCATGGGGGAGCGCTTGGTCAAGTATAATCAGGACGGCGCAAGGATTCCACCTGGATGGTAGCTGCCGTGCTGCCGTATGCATGTGTGGAGACGTGAGCGCCATGAGCCCTGTCAGGGTGTGGGTCGCCCGCTAGAGAATACATACATAGTATGTACATGGGACACGGTGAACAAGGCCAACCCGACCCTGAGTGTCAGCGGGCAGACAGGGAGCAGCGAGGGCTAGGCGAACAGTATCTGTTCCAGCAAGCTTGCATGGGAAAGCGGCAATGCCATGGCTGCCAACAACCATTGGAAGGGTTCAGAAGGATGCAGAGGGACTGCAGCAATCAAGCACAGACATGCTGCACAAACCACGGGATCTGCGAGATGTAATTACGTCGAGGTTCGCTCGTTGGTTCCGAGGCCAACTGTCGAAGGCGACGTGTGAAGGAGCCAACAGCGGAGCGCTGCGTTGTGTACACAAGGCAGGCGCCTGTAGTGTGGTTTCTTCTGCTCGTACCAGGCACAACAGCGCCGGCAACGCCAGGTCTTGGGCAGCTAAATTGCGCTTCCGCGGGGGGGAAGACAGCCGTCCCGCGCGGCCACTCGCTGATGTTGTGCGGCGGCAGGCGGATGCGAGGGATGATACACGAGCAGGGTGAGTGGTGGGCGTACCACCTGCATGTTGCCCATGGCGCTCAGACGCGCGCCACGTTCGATCGCGATCGATGCCTCTTAGCTCTCAACGCGCCCCCACCACCTTCTATTATTGTAGCGTCACCGTTGTCGGGCAGTCGACCAGACGATGCAGCATCATGTCGCTGTCCGACGCGGGTTGGCATGTCCATGGCCGGCTCCGTGGACGAAACCAAGTCACCGCTCACGTGTCCAAAGCCGTAAGGCACCTCGATATTATCCGACGCTATAGCTTGCGGCAACCATTCCTATTGACGGCTCCTGCTGCCCACTTACAGCACACCCTTCGTGATCGGTGAGGCAGACGCATGGTTACGAGACACGACGTTCACCGTCTTTACTCTTGCACACCACTCGTCTTGGATGTATTATTTCGTCGTCTTCTTGTCGACTGTGAACTGTCCGTGAACTGTCCGTGAACTGTCCGTGAACTGGCCATGCCCCCCATTCTGTTCTGTCCATCGATCGGTCATCGAGCGCCTGCGTTGCGCGACTTACTATACGTTGACATGGTGGTACGCGTTTTGAAGCGTGCCGACTCGATTGAGAGACGAGGAGCAGTGTCCGAGGACTCCACAGCTTCATCCGCGCAACCCCCGCTCCTTCGCGTCTTTGTTGCTGGCACACGTACGCACTATGCGGGTTCTCACTCACCTTCTGGATGCATGCCCCCACATCGCGCCTCAGCTTCGGGTCCCTCAGAATATCCCGGACGTCTGGCCGATAGCTCTAGTCTGGTACGGACTGGATCATAACCCACCACGGCACGAGCCTAAAGCATCCGAGGATCCGCTTGCAGATCATCATGTGTAGTAACACATCGACCGCTGCAATACCTGCACGCCAAAACATCTTCGAGGAATCATGGATCCGTGGTCTACCATCCGGAATCAAAGCGAAAGGTTTAGTGTCAAAATCGAAATAGCTACAAACTGAGCTCGCAGCGCGCATTTGAAACAGATCACCGCGTGCGCGACTATCCAAGCTTTACGCTAAACCTACCCTTGGATCGTCAAAATGTTCCTTCGAGCGATCTTCTTCCTGCAGGCAGCATGGGCTTTCCCCCAGAGTGGACGGTAGATTATCTGCTCTGGCTATATCAGTCATATTATTCATGACTTAATGTACAGGGTTGAAGACCCTAATTCTCCGCTGGTCAAGGAGGCTCTGACTAATCCCGAAGTATATGAGTCCCTGACTCGCAATGAGCCCCGCCCAGGCTTGGGTCTACGGAGTCCAATCGATAAAGTGTTCCACACGAAAAAGGGCAAGAAGTGTGGTGCAGCGACAGGTTGTCCATCGTGGGAAGGCGAAGTGGGTGCTCGGCCGACCCACCAAGCACATCACAGCTGACACAGGAGAAAGGTCCGGGAACTGAACGGCCAGGAGTATTGCTTATACTGCCACAACGCGCCTTGGGGCTCATATCAATGGCTACCGAAAGTGAGAAGCCTTGAGGAGTGCCAAAAGCAGTGCCAAAAGCAGTGCCACGACCACAAGCTCGACTCCAATGGACTTACTTACTATCCCTCCAAACAAGCTTGCTCCGTCGTTTACTCCAAGGATGCCGCCCCATACATTTTCGATAACGGAGTATAGGAATTTGGGGCTATTCCCGTCAAATCAAGCAGTAGGTAACTAGCCACGTCGAAAGACCACAACAGCTGATCATGCATGAATATGCAGTGGCTTTCAATGAGGGAATGCTTTTCCCCTCCCCGGGTCTGGTGACCAGGTTCATGACTTCGGGGACAAGAAGGAATATCAATTTGAGCTGTCTTGCCGCAATCAGTTCAAAGGTTCTCGCCCAGCACTTGGATCGGTGAAGAACGTAAATGAGTGCGGTGAACGATGTGGAGCCGACAACAACTGTCATGGGTTCCTTTACTATCAGACCCCGTTCCCGGGTGGACGTTTAGATGGAGCTCGAAACTGTGATCTGGTCATGAGTGAGATCAACGATGGAGACTGGGTACCGTTGTACGAACCCAATCAATATCTCGCTGGTCTACGTGTAAAGGTGAGTGCAAGCGCTTCTCGCGGCGCGTATCGCCTGACAATATCCACAGAGTGCAGATTGTGGAGACAAAGGGTTTTGTCGAGATGAATGTGGCATAAAGAACAAGCGAGGCAAAGTCTAGAGAAATTGGTTAGGACAACTGATCAGTGGAAGTCACTCAGAATTCGCCTCTGGTATCATTGACAGTCGTACCGTATCCCGTGGGGACGTATCAGCCTCTTCTTATTGTATGACCACTATGACGTTCATCGTTATTGCCATATTAGTCTTCTTCTTAGCAAACGTAGACTAGTATCTAACATATGCAAACTAGTAAATCTTGTGAGACATAGCTTTCCTTATGCTAAGCGCACTGCTAGGGAACAGTTGTTTGCTTCATCTGCAGCTTCAAGCCGTTTAGTCGATCTGCACGTTAACGACCCTGATCACGCTGGATATTGCGAGAGCAAAGAATACGGTGTCATCCATGTACTCACAGCCCTAGTTGCGCCACTATCGGAAGTCTCCCGGCTCTTGCAGGATCTGTATCACTCTCGATGATGTCGATCGCCTTATCCGTATGCATCCACGATTGCATTAGGTTAGCTCTTCCGCTGTCTGGCCTGAACACTCAGCTCTCCTTGACTCAATCATAAGTCGCGGAAAGTCAAGGTGAAGACCTTGCGCCACAAAAGCAACTTCCTACGCCCCACCAGCGTCGATGGTAAAGTCCGATCACTATGACATGTCTTCCACAACTTTCTCTGCTGAATTACTTCTTTGCCGAATGTCAGGCAAGTTTCGCGAGAAACCCGTATTAACTCGATCGCCGATCACGACTCCTCCTTGGAATCTGCACCTCGCTTACCCAAGAAGTGGTACGATTGCTGACCGTTTAACAGGACCGTCTCTACGAACCTTGAACATTTATTTGGATATGCACGCCGATTTGTTCGTCTACGGTTCATAGCAGACAACCTTATCGCCCACGCGGCACTGCCACGTGCATAGCACCAACCTTCGGCTTTGAATCAACAACCCCGTCATCTTCTGCCATAACGTACAAATGCGACATGGAACCACTTGAGCGCCGCCGGAACTATCCTCCCGTCACTCAACGATTCGCTTGTTCAGCCGGCTGAGCTGGGTTATTCTGGCTCTCCGGAACCCTGAAGTCGCCAACACTTCGCTTACCTTACGGATATCTGTCGTTGGTTCCTGAGGGTCCACACGTCCGAGTCACGTCCACTTGGTCCAACCTGTCGGTTTTCGAAGGCGTCGTCGAAGGCTCGGCTGGTGTTTCCGAGCGGTAGTTCGTTATTACCGCTAGCCGCAAGAGTGAGAATTGCCCGGCTGATGAGTCATGTGTTGGGGTTAGGCGTGGGGGTTTGTGCGCCAAATGTCTGAAACTTGCCCTGAGGTCGGCAGTGAGGATTTCGCAAGAAATAATTCGCGCAATTGGCTATCAGTGGAGTTGAAATTCGAAGCAGCTTGACCTCGCTATGCGGTTAGCTATTGGCCACTTGTTACTCCACCAACGTTACAGGCATCACGCTATGCGGACTTCAGTTCACCCAGATCATATCATTGGCTATGTCAGCCCAAAATTATCGTTTCAATTGCCGACTATCAGGGTAAATAGGCTCTGCATAGAACAATTGAAGCTGGCTAATAATGGTGGAAAAGTACTCATTTGTCATGGAGTAGCTCATCCAATGATTCTGCGAATCGATGTCGATTGTTTCCACAACTATTGTGGAACATAGGGTCTTTTGTTATTATTAAAGTAGTGAATGGCTCTCTCAGATTAGTTGACAGATCTCCGTTACTGCATTACCTCTGTCAAAACTAAACCACCAATTAAATACGTAGCGACAATCATGATCACGACAAGACCTTCGCTTTTCTTATATGGGCGGGTGGCCGCAGAACTCATTGGAAACGATAAGAAGTCGCGATTGGAGAAGCTCGCAACATAATCGCATTGAAGAGCTCACGTCCCACATCTGACTGTACGATCAGATAAAGTAGCATTATTACAAGGTTTGTGGGTCAAAAGACCGAAGTTTGCGTTCCATGCTACGTTGAATCACTCCACACCTTGTCATATACATCGGATGTGCAATAATAAGCTGCTGAGCACGGCGCGCACGGCGCAGTTTAGGCTCTTCAATTCAAACAGACGTCAAAGATGGGGGAGCAACTAATTAACATTTCTGTGTGACGTAAAGTTTCATCCCCTTGTGAACGTCGTCGTGAACCGGTCATTGTTTAGTCTTTCTCTCCGCCACAAACCTTCGGAGTAGGAGAAGAAAAGACTTTTGCACAAATGGTCGTACAATACGTGGTATGTCAGGATCCAACGTACTGGACCGTGTAAGCCGTCACGGCCGGATCTTGAAGTGCTCTGAACGGGCATAGTATATCCTGTCGAATACACAGTGCGCAGCCTCCAGGCCAAGTTTTTTTGATTCCTGAGCCATGCGCATATACCTATGTCATTGGACCGCAAGTATAAAAGTATCGTTATCAAGGCCACAGTGCGTGTAGTAGGGATGGAACGCTTCACATTTTCACTGCAGCTTGTCCCCATGACACCATGATTGCTCCAGTTTAGTATTCACACTATCCGTCAATTTAAATATACACAACGAATTTGGGAGCGAACAGGCGACTCCATCCAACGCTTAACGGTGGACCTTTATCTGTACAGCTCTATCGCGTCCAAGATAACGTTCGGCTCGAGGTAAGTGTCTCCAGAGCTTCCACTGGCTACACTGATCGTGATAGTGTTGCTACCACTGACCAGGTTGCCAGAGGGGATAGCGAAGTCGTATACTTCACCGAATCCGCGATAAGCACCCCTTGTAACACCACGGGAGTCGATTTTGGTAGGTGCTGCTGGCGTTGCGGGACTGTAGCTGTTGATGACAGCGCTCGGCCTGCCACCCGCGAAAGACAGGGTGGTGGCGACGCGAAGGGTAGCAGCACCGGAGGCTTGCGCAGACGTAAGAGTAAACTTGATAGTAAGCGGTGTGTTGACGTCCTTGAAAAGTGCCATGGGTACGTCGGTGAGTGAGCTTGAGCCAACAGTGTAGGTGAGAGGACCCCAAGACGACATGCGCGAATCGGACGGGTGCATGCGAAGGAACTTGTCTGCATTCCTAAAGCCTGTAGGCTGACCATCGTATTCGCCGATCTTGAAGAGTGTGGTGTGGGAGGGGAGCGAGCCGCTGATGTTTGCCGTGGTGGCTTTGCCTGCGCTGACGGTCACAGAGCTAGAAGCGAGCTTGTACTCACCCTGGTAGAACACCTGAGTGTAGGTACCGGGCTTGATAGGAGGCGAAGTAAACTTGCCCGAGGAATCGGCGTAGACCCAGTATTGGTCGTTTGCGTTGTACCAGTGAATAACCTTCTGAAGTCCGCTTGTACCACCGGTGGCAGTTCCGGTAACTGTGCCTCGACCGCTAGGCGCGACATATCCGGAGATTCCCAAGTCGGCGAAGAATGTGGTGTCCATCGTCTTTCCGGATGGGATGCCGGAACGAGAGAATTGTAGACCATATGGGCCGTGCAAACCCATGCGGTAGTTCTCAGTCTGAACATGGCCGGAGTTCATATAAAAGTAAAGGTTGGTGGAGTCTCCAGCATTGTTTGAATCAATATCACGGAAGAAGGGGCCGCCAGAGCTTCGCTCGTACGAGTAAGAGTTCAGCAGCATGCACGCGTGAACTGCGTCGTCGTCGCGGTAGACACAGTGAGTGTAATCGTCAATGAAGCGCTCGCTGGAGTAAAACTTGGAGCGAGTCTGCCCGTTGACTACGTAAACATCGCTGCCTTCGACGGTGGAAGAGGATCCGGCGGTGGTGGAGACAGAGCCGAAGGGGTATTCGAGCGGAAGCTTTGAAGGCTGAAGGCGCGCAATAAAGCGTAGCTCTCCTACACTCGGTTCGGAAGCGGTGTTGGTAGCCATCCAGATTGTTGAATCCCCCGATCTGATGACAATGTAATGTGTAAGAGTCGAGGTCGTGCAAGTGATCTTCGCATATTGGCCTGAGTCCCCATCAGCGATTGCTCAGCAGGTCCATCATGGCGATATGACGTTTTAGCATCGAGTCGAAGGAACTTACTATTGACGATAGTGCTGGAGACCGTTGCGGTGCCGAGACCAGACGAGATGTGTGTACCAGTGCTCTGATACTGGAACTCTTCACCCCGGAACAAGATCGAGGTAATGTCGCAGGAATTCTTATTCACCGTGACCTTGAAAGCATTGTCTGAACCCGCGTCCACAACGATGTCGTTGCCAGACGTTGTGATACCGAAAGCAGCTAGTGCGGAGGATGAGAAAGCGAAGGTCGCCAGCAGCACGCTTTGGAGGAACATGATGGATGAGACGCCAGCGGTACAAAGCTGTGAAGATCCTTAACCCACGATAGCGTCCGGGCATAATATAGTCTCTCGTCATGTTGCAATTCTGGTAAGGGCCATTGTAGCTCGGCGCCAATTCTACCGTTTCCCCTTCATTTCCGCGCTGGCCACCTCTGCCCGAGCCACACAAATGTCGCCAGCATCACGTGTGTGTATAATATGTACGGGGGTTTGAGCCTGGAGAGTCAGTCCGCGCAAATATTGCACCGAAAACTTACCAGGGAGCTGTGCAGCTGTAGCTTGAACCCCCGGTTTTGCTCTTTCTGTATATGTTTGGTAATATGGGGTGCCGGAACCGAGCACGTTGTTCCGTGGGAGATACCGAACGATAAATCCGGGGTGCAGTTGTCAAGCAATGGTAGTGGCGGAACATTATCCTACTCGAAGTAAGGTAGCACTATATTGCGCTTGGCGTGGGCACTAGGCTTGTCATGTGTGCTTCAGATGATGGCGCCCATGTCAGGTACAATGTACCAATCTCTCGCTTAGCGCGCATAGTATTAAGGTGTTACAGATAGTATGAGAAGCAAAGAGGGAAGCAAATGTTCTCCGATAAGGGCTTGGGAAGGCCTTATAACAAGTCTGAGAAAAGAAACAACAGCAGCAAGCTCGTCATGGTGATTCAACAAGTCGAAGATGTTTATAGAGACAACCCAGTATTACGATTTCAAACATCATCCAAAGTAGCTACCAGGATCGGTGAGCGCCATCCGTAGAGCACGCGCGTGCGGACTGCTTCGGGCCATTTGAGAGCGAGAAGATCGTCGAATTTGGAACGTTCGTAAGGCGTACTACGCCCTAGAGGTGGATAATGCGGGGAACCGGAGAAGATGGGGTACATGCGTCGTAAAGCCGGTCGATCTCGCATCAATCGTCCTCGCATCCGGGGCATTCGTTCTTGTACAGCGGATGGACCTCGACTTCTCGGCACCAGAGAGCCCAAGGGCGATGAACGGTACCTTGGTTCGACTCCCATGCATCATGTGCTTCTCTATCGCTCAGATATTTCAGGTCACCTTCAGCCTTCACCTTCGCAGACTTTATCTTTCCTCCTTCGACATCGATTTTACCCTCAACGATATGACCGAAATGCGCGTTACGGATTGTAAGTGCAGTCGTCTGTGCTTGAGCAGCTTCTTTCGTGTAAATCGCTTGGTAAACGACTTCCTCAATCCCGTGCGCAAGTGTAGTGAAGCCATGGCCTTGCATCAAGACCGCAGCATAGTTAGGTTCTTTATCAGGCTCCTGTGACCCCCCAATCTGGGCGGGGAGGGCTGATCGAACTTTTGAGTAGATGAAGCCTGCGGAGGTCGCCGGTTTGAAGGCAGCTGAGAGGGATGCACCAAGCTGTGAGTCTCGAACGAGAAGATCGTGTTTTGCCCCGCTCGGGTAGTGGGAGGAGATATCCCATACAGGAACATTCGAACCTAGCCATATACATTAGGCACGGATACGATGATATAGAGATGGAATTGAGAGCTCGCTTACCTAGAAAGCCAGCCATGTGCGTTGATGCCTTCAATGGAACACCGCTGATGCAGTATGGCAACACTTCAGAGCAGTGACTATGAACGACCGCGTTCACGCTTGGCTAGGAGATTGGCGTTCAATAAGCAAGTGCTTAGTATTGGTTTCGCGCAAGGCAGACTCACGAATCGCTTGTAGATTTCGCTGTGAATATGTCGCTCAAGGTAGCCTTTCTTCGCATTCTTCTCGACCGCAGTAGCATCATCAACTTGGTACTCGACTAGGTCATCAGGAGTGGACACTAGAGCCGGAGGCATGTCGCAAGGCATCCAGAATGTTGCGGGGTTGTCAGGCGATCGCACAGATACGTGTCCGTATGCGTCGAGTACTTTATTCTGGTGGAGGATATGGGAGGCGGTTACCAAACCCTTGAACAGGTCTTCAAGGCCAACCTTTTCGCGTTTTGGGAAGTAGCCGGCTGACATTGTGGGGGTTTGTGATATGCTTTGTTAGAGGCATGGTGAGCTGGATGACCCCGCTGTTGTTGTGGTTGCGCAGTCGCGGCTGCTCGATGACGTTTCAGGGTCCAGTCCGTTCGCTTGACAGTCGCGGAGATGATTCGGACCTGTGGTCAGCCCTGTGTGGGTTCATAAACACTTACGTACTGTTGGATTTGAACTTTATTGCAATGTTCATTGTGCACTCAAGCGATTAACTCCCAGTAGAGTCCCCCCGCATCAATCTCGCGCTCTACGTTCCCCACGCCAAGTTGGCCCCTCCCTTGGCTTCCGGAGCTATACATTGATGTACCAACATTTGAAGTTTATGGGAACAAGTGGAACGCTTCCATACTTAAGAAGGACCGAAACCGTACAAGCCCCACGTATACTCTGCGATATCCGCTGTGCTCAATCTGCCAATGCCTTTTCGATACTCCACAAGCAAGGCATACTATGGTAGGTAGAATTGATTCAGGTCGTAATGATGCAAGCTTTCTCTGTCCACCGATACGCAGCTATTAGCGGTAAATTTTACGATAACTACCAAGACTAATCCCCACATATGCTCGACATTCCTCTTTCCCTTCTTGGCCAGCCTCGATGCCTCTAGCGCAGACCGTATCCGTGCACCCGTGCCCTGCATGAACATCGCGACCCGCACGTGGAAGCTGCAGGAAAAACGCGTCGATCGACACACTGAGCCCGTTACTTACATCAACATGAAACTGCTCAAACGCGTTGTTCGCACATCCATATTGCCATGTCGTGTTGAAATCTGCATGTCGGAAACTGTGGAGCATGCAGAGCGCTAGGTTGGAACGGTTGTCCACCGGTTCATCCGACTAGCTAGAGGAGCCCGAGTGGCGCAGGTCAATACATGTTCGGCCCAATAGTGAAGACTGTGGTGGTGATGACGCTATACTGTGTAAACACTTTATGGCAGGATTCACGCGCGAAGCCCTGGCACAGGGCGGCATTCTTATCGCCTTGAGGGATCGGCACAGACACGGCACAGATACAGGATCGTCAACACCAGTGACGCAGTCATCCGTTGAGACGGGCAAGCATCGGTGCGAATGGCTCTGTCACGATATCGACATGGCTATCTCGTTGGATGGCACAGAGGGGAGGTGGTATCGAGGATATGCCGAATCATTATCTGAAAATGCTGGTACAAAGTAAATAGAGTTGACAAGGCCGGCACAAACAACCGGCCGTGGGAGAGACGCCGATATCTTCAACCCCAGATATCTTGGAAAAACACCGGTAGAAGCTCCGATGAGAAGTAGTAGGAAATGTGTTGAGGTCCGCCTCATAGTACACCACCAATGCCTCCCCTCCCTCCGTCTATGACCGGGCTCCTCCATGCCGTGCTCGGTTGGGTACGCAAGATAGAAGGTAGAAAGGCCAATGCTGGCCTCTTATTCGACGTGATAATCGCCGCACTCGAAGGATATCATAATCTGAAGTGCAGGTTGCTGTGATTTGCTGCGAACAACAGCGGTATGGGAAGGGACAATCGGATCGTCATGGTGACGAGTCAAGCGATGAAATGGACGAGCGAGCTTATACCTCCACCTTCTTCTCGTTGAGGACCTTGGGTCGGAAAACGGCGTCCTGTCCTGACATGCGTCGCGCAAGGGCGCGGTCCAGTTTTGCGCCGAGCGCGAGCTTGCTCATGTTGTCTGTCTTCTCGTTGTTGAGCATGTAGCGTTGTTGCACAAGGCGCTTGTCTTCGAGACGCTCAAAGCCTTCGTTCCACGACTTGATCTCTTGTGCTTTTGGGTCGCCGGCGGTCGATGAGGCTGTCGAAAGGTGTGAGGGCGCGACCGAGGGAGTGAGAGTGGGTGCGGTGCTGTAGGTCGACATGCGTGTTGAGGCGCGGTTGCCAGTAGACTGTGGGTTCTTTGCGTCAGAGGGTTGCGACATGGAGGGCAATGTTAAACAGCACGGCAGGATCGAGGAAGCAGTAGTGTTTATTGGCAGGAAGTAACAAAGTAGCTCAGATAGATGCTACCCGAGAATAGGGGACCGGTCTGAAACGGCGAGAAGACGTAAGAATAGTGGGACTACTTACGCTGGCCAGGATGGGCCGGGAAGACTCGAGAGATTGGGTCATGGTGACTGTGTAGTGACAGGGTGCGTGGGTGTGTTTCGACGGATGGAGGGCGGTCTTATTGCGCCCACAAAAACACTCTGCGCTTGGTCGCGTGGAAAGGGAGACAAAGGCGCAGAGGACGGGCTGGTGGACGAGTCGTGGCAGCAGGAGGCGGGAGAAAAGTCGGTGCTCTGGCTAAGGTTTCACGGCCGTCCAAGGGAGCGGATCGGCAAGGGGGGTGACGAAGAAGGCGTGAGCAGCGAGCAGCAGCGGAACAAGTGCGAGGCAGGGGCGCTAGCGGCGCAGCAGGAGCTCGATGCAGGCGTGGGCGTGAGACGTGTTCTGGCCAGCGTGCGTACTGTGGGTTTGGGGGAGTCAACGACGACTTTCTAGTGCTGCTTCGCGGCGGGAGCAGCGGCTCTTTGGCTGTGTTCAGACGCACTCTGAAACGGGCCCTGAGCGCACGGCTCTCCTGTTTGGCAGCACCGCGTCGCCCGCGTGCGGTCCTTGTATCCGGACAGCCACAGCGCCGCTGGTGACGGCGATGCTGGCCTCAGCAAATGCACGCGCGCCCCACGCCATTGCCACGTTGTGCGGACATGCCCCCGCAGCCGTCGCCTTATCCGCACCGCCCGTGTCGTTGCCTGCATTTACAACAGTGCAAACTACATGGCCTCTGTCTTGCTTCACTCCGCTGTGCCTTTGCGCCCGCTCCTTTTGAAGCTGTCCATCAACAACGGCTCCCCCCGCTCAAGCCGGACTCCGCAGCCACGTGAGAATCTGGAGATAATATGCGTATGCAGCTAAGGTTTAGCACAAGTGTGGTGGCACGGCTGATGACCCGCAGAGACCAGCCATTATCGGAGAAGACATCTGCTGGACATGGCAACGTTTGACGGTTGCAGTAATTGACATCAATTGTGTGCTATGGGACGCCCGCCTCGTCAGACACTTGCCGCCGGGCCTTGTGCCAACTTCCCGCCGTCTCGAATCGCACATGGCTGGCACATGGCTTTCTTGAGACATGGCCGTTTGCAGCGTGAGAAAGGGTTTTGCTAACGCATGCGGCCTCGCAAATCTGATACAAATGCATCACCCTCCGACCCTCTACGTATGCCCTCCTGCCTGTTGGCCGCACCTGCACAGAGGAGCCTGCAATGCTTGCTCCATGCACTCGCCGGTCTCTGCAAGCCTTGTCTTGCCCTGTAGTACGACACTCTGGGGCAGCAATGACATTCGCATCCATCTCCGGCTTACCTACAGGGCTGCGGTAGGGCCGTGCATGCCACGTTGCTGACACGTGGGTGTGAAAGAACATGCATACCCGCAGTGCCGATCCCACCACTTCCCAGCGCTTGGGCCCGGCTGAGACGCATGTTTGCTCGGGAAACGACCGCCCTGACCTCTGATTCGCAACGTGTTGGAAGCTTACCACTTGCCTGTCGCTCGTGTGCTGATCATCTCGCAGACAAGCTCACCTGCCACGTGGATGAGGGTTCACGCCCGGACGTGCAGCCGTTCTTGCAACACATGTCTGGGATTCGCCTCAGTCTAATCTACCTACTACAAATTACCGACGCTGTATCCCCGATGGTTTGCTGGTTCGGCCTTCCCCAGCTATTGCTGTGGGCTAGTCTGGATACGGCGCTGCTTTGTCGTGTCCAAGATCTCACTGCGTCAGAGGTCAGCATTTGAGCTGTGTTCATGTGAATTAATGATTAGGACTCTTGGTCTGAGGGCTTTTGGTTTCCGCTTCCTCGGTCGATTGAAGGCAGAGACGTTCATCGTGGCTGTCTCAACAATTCCATCCCGGGCCCTTGATCGACCTGCTTGTACGCCTGTGCGTACGATGTGTTCGAGAAGAATACGCCGCTTCGCTAGAAACCGGCACTGCCAATATCGTCATCAATCCAGCCACGTCTCGTAGGCCTACCGGGTGAAGACGAAAGCCATTTACAAGCATGAGTTAATCGAGCTTGATTGTCCTTTCCAGGTCAACTTAGGCTACGATGAGTCTTCAAAAGCTTGGCTTGATACTGTACGGCGTACGGTCGATGTTCGCATCTACGTGAGCGCATGAGTCTAGCTTTGGCCTCAGGTGCGGCCATTGTCCCCGGGGCTCCACCCTCTGGCGGAGGAGTCTTTAGTCACCCAGAAAGGACCATCAATAACGTGAGAATCTGTTTCTGGGAAGCAATCGCTTGTGTGAGTTTTCCTGCAGCCATCTCTTGTGTATTTACTCCGTCTTTGCTCTCAGTGTCAATACATACGACCATAGGACACTGAAAACTAGGCTTCCCGTCCGCTCAGCCATATATAAGCAGTGTACCGGCGGATTAGTAGTTGCGTGGGTGACCAGCAGCGAATACCCGCTGTTGTATGTTTTTGTCCTGGAGTTTTTGTGGGCCTTTTAGGTGGACGGCGCTCTCCTGAGCGCGACAGTGCACAACCAAATGAAGTATGCGACTTGCATATAGAAACAGAATTGGTGAAGCATATCGCGCATATCTCAGCTGTTGTAATTCTTTGTTTTGGCGGGTCGTGAGGTGATGATGCATGCCTCTATGTTCCAGGTCTCTGTGCCTGTTAGAAATCGAAAACTACTTCGTCCAAGGGGTACTCGGCGTATGTAACCACACACCGCGGGCCAGTTTATGGATGGAACTGTTTCTAAAGACTGGAAGGTAAAGATAGAAGGCATATATATATATATATGATACAAAGTACAAGAATCTATCTACAACGCCATGCAATGCTCATCTACCCATATTATATACAACATAAAATTTACAATACACTCATACACTACGCTTCCTCCTTGACCACCTCCTCACACCTTCCACACAGCTCTTCTTCTTCCTTTTTCTGATACCGCCAACACCTTGGACACTTCTCCGCTAGCGCCTGATGCACAACCACGGTCCCATTCCATCCCTTCTCTTCATCAGCTACGAAGACCTCTTCTTCCGCGTACATTTTCGCGGACTTTGTTCTCTTCTCAGCGCTCCAACCCATTTCGACGCCGCTGACAACGAACAAGCCCGCCAGCTCATTGCGTTGGGTAGGACTCAAGTGTTCCGTCGAAGCATTCGGCTCAGTCCCGCCCACAGCTTTAGAGAAGTGGCTCTCGAACCACAGGCAGGATTGCCCCTCGCCAGAATGAATGGCAACGGCGGACTCGAGCGAAGAACCGAGCTTCTTGTTGGCGCGAAGGCGCTCTTGCGCTGCCTTTACAGCTGTGTTGATACGATCGATGTATATTTGCGTTTCGGTCAGGAAATTCTGGGTTTCTGGCTTTGCGCGTGGCAGTGGTATCCAAACCGCTCGGGCGGGGTGTATACTGTTCTTCTTGAGCGCATCGGGCGCGTAGTCCCAGACCTCCTCGACGAGCAGTGGGCAGACAGGTGCGAGCATCTGAAGCAGCTCGTAGAAGATGAGGCCTATCACTTTTTGCAGTTCCTGGCAGTCTGCTCTACGGCCTGTGTAGATGCGGTCTTTGAGCGTCTCAAAGTAGAAGGCAGAGAGATCGTTGGTGATGTATTTGTTGATCAGATTGACGCCTTTGAAAAACTCGTATTTGGTGTAGTAGTTGTGGACGTCGTGGCTTACTCTGGTGAGACGATGCACTGCGAGCCTGTCCACGAGGCTCTGGAGTGGTGCTTGCGAGGCTCCGAGATCATGTTGTCCAACGAGCTTGTTGCGAACATCACCGAAAGAGCTGTAGAGAGGTGGACAGGATGGCAGAGACAGCACGCCGAGAAGCCACTTGAAGGTGACTCTGTACTTATGTAGAGCTTGGTTGACAGACATGAGGACAGGCTGGCCAATAGTGACATCTCTCATGTAGTCGCTACTGGCGACCCAGAGCCTCAGTGCATCAGTTCCCATAGCATCGTACGTGGGAGCCGCGCCCTTGGATTCCGCTTCCTTGACACCTTTCTGTTTCTTCCGCTTGACTGGAGGTAACAGCTCGCCGGACATGATCTGGGCAGGTTCGATGACGTTACCCAAACTCTTGCTCATCTTTCGACCATCTGAATCGAGCGTGAAACCATGCGTGATGAGAGTCTTGTAAGGCGCTTTGGCCGCACCACTCTCGAAAGGCTGAGTGGCAACATGTGTGAGAAGAGATGACTGAAACCATCCGCGATGCTGGTCAGTGCCTTCGAAATACACATCAGCGACAGGCCGATCATTTCGAGAAGGAAGCATTGTCCATGAAGTTCCGCTATCGAACCACACATCCATTGTGTCCCTCCCGCGCACATAGGACCCATTGAGGTGCTGAGGCTTCCACGCGGGGTCGTCTTGAGCATCTGTCCACCAGGCACTAATACCGCGCTCTTCAATGACACTGATGATATGCTGGATCGTCTCTGCGTCCATAGCGGCGTCCAATTGACCGTCTTCGAGAACTCTGTAGAGAGCAGGAATCGGAACGCCCCAAGCGCGCTGACGCGAGATGCACCATTGGCTACGCCCTTGGATGAAGCTTTCCAACCGAGAACGACCGGTTTCAGGCATGAAGTTGACGTCTTGAATGGCAGTCATAGCACCAACTTTGATGTTGTCGACGTTAGCAAACCACTGCGCTGTTGCTCGCACAATGACTGGTTGCTTCGTTCTCCAATCGATGGGATACTTATGGCGATAATTGTGCTTCGCTCTCAACAGACCTTGCTTGTCTAAGTAGTTGAGAACAGCATTGCTACCAGTCTTCTTGATGTTTGAAACAGCTAAGCCTTCGAGGAGCTCAGGTTGCTCAGGAAAAGCTTCTTTCGTAAATGCCCCAGCGTCATCCACAGGAGCAAATGCTTCGATACCAAGTGCGCTACAGGCGTGGTAGTCCTCCATACCATGTCCCGGAGCCACATGAACAAGTCCAGTCCCAGAGGAGTCCGTTACAAAGTCCGCATGAAGAACCGGCTGCAGTCCATTCGCCTTCTGAAAGGGGTTTTCGTAGCTAAGCTGGCCCCCTAGATCTGACCCACGCAATTCAGCGAGAACAACTTCCAAACTACGACCAAGCATCTTCTGGTATTCCTCCACACGAGACGTTGCGATGATAACCTTCTCATTGTTGTTCTCAGGATCCTGAACGACACTGTACAGCATGTCGTTGTGCACCGCGATAGCTCGGTTCGCAGGGAGAGTCCAAGGTGTCGTCGTCCAAATGACCACGCTGACCGGATCAGTAATGCCCGAGAGGGCGCCCTCCTGCAACTCCTTCGTCACATGAACCGGGAACCGTACGAAAGCCGCCAACGACTTGTGGTTCTCATCGTACTCCAGCTCTGCCTCCGCGAGTGCAGTGCGCGATGACGGCGACCAGTACACGGGCTTGAACTGGCGATAGATCAGGCCAGCCTCGAACATTTTCTTGAACACCTCCAACTGCCGGATTTCGAAGCCCTTCTCCATCGTCTTGTAGGCATTGTCCCAATCGCCCATAACAGCCCATTCCTTGAAACCCTTCATCTGCTTCTCTACCGTCTCTGTAGCCAACTGTGTCGCCGCCTCCCGCACGCTTACAGGATCCGTCTGCGCAAGATCTTTCTTCTGCGCCTGCAGCGCCTTGATCTCAATAGGGAGACCGTGGCAGTCCCAGCCCGGGATGTAGCTCACTTTCTTGCCTTGGCCGACTTGGAACCGACAGATGAGGTCTTTCGTGATCTTGTTCAGCGCATGACCGACGTGCAGCGGTCCATTGGCGTATGGTGGCCCATCATGTAGCGTGAACGCGGCAGGCTTTTCTCCATCGGTGTCGGGTGCTGAGCGCGAGCTCTGTTGCCAGGCATAGTGCTCATCGGTGCATCGGCGGAGGTATTCGGCGGTGGACGCGGGCAATGGACGTGGCGGGAAGGTCGATTTTGGGAGGCGGAGCGTGGACGACCATGACGCGCGTAGAAGTCGCGTCGGGGCTACCATAGTAGCATCCTGGGCGGGGCTGTTGTCTGCGTTGACTGCTGGAGACATTTTTCGAAGCTCCAGCTTCCTCGGCGATGGTGCGGAGATTCTTCGGCTGGGGCCTAACCGACCGATACTCAAGTTCAAGCAGCTTCTCTTTGAGCTGACTGATCTACGTGGGGGCTTTCGACATGGAAAAGTTCGGGATGTAAGTATGTAGTATTATATTGCTGGTGTGATTCACTTGGCCGGATATGACATGCGTCGACTCATCGACATATCTAATAGAAAAGTACGAAAGCACAAATGCGCCCAGCAAGAGGCAGCATCAAGCAGAAACTCACATCCGGTATAACTTAGCCTAATAAGCCTATTGGTATCATCCTCCAAGCTTGGCCTCTTCAGTACACTGTGAGCGAGCTCACAGCTCCGTTCTTCAAAACCTCAAATACCATGCCCGGAAACCCGAAGAGCTCGACATTTCCTACATCTCCAGCACCTTCTAACAAATCAGAGCCTGCGTTCGCAAACTTGCTCTTCTTGTTGGAGCTATCCTCCCAGCCACCTAAAAGTTCGACGCTGCTGCCCGGACTATCGCCCCAACCTCTATTCAGAGCCATTCCACGCTGCTGCAAGCGTTCCTCCTCTTCAGTTGCATAGTACTCTCGATGCACGTTTTTGAGCTCCCTCGAGATATCCGCAAAACTCATCTCGGAGTTCAACGGCTCTCTTCGGAGTTCGGAAGGAACGTGATCCAAAGTCCATCGACAACGCCGGTGGCGATTGAATTGGTATGATCCAGGTACATTGCCGTGGAATATAATTTTTGTGGCCGTAAGGTGGTTGAGGGGTTGCGCACTCAGTTCGCCCTGAGCTTCCGATGTGCTGCTGTCTGATGTTTGCGAGGGCGGAGATATTTGTGTAGGCTGGGATATGAGAATGTCAAACCCATGATGATAATAGTTGTAGAAGTGCTCAGCCGCCGCGACTTCGCGTTCCTGCACTTCTATGGCAGCTTCGTTGTCACCTTCCCAATCATCATCGTTGTCTGTGTCGATTGCTGAGCCGCGGTCTGAACCAAGCAACTCATCGGGCGTAAGTCTTGCACCGGAGGTCTCAGAAACGTCGCTTATCCTGCGGTCTTTGTGTATCGAAAGTCGATGGTCATTCTTCCTGTAGATGGAGTCTGGTGCTCCCAACTCCATGATGAGATCTTGAGGGGTCGTCTCGCTCAGGATGATCCAGAATGAAGGGCTCGATCGCCTCACAAGCTCTATCCGCCCTTCTCCGTGCACTCTGACTAGCTCGATTTCGTCTGGACTTCCCTCTTTGCCTTTCCCTGATAACACGAAAGCCCTCGGATTGGGCGGTGGAGCTGTGAAAAGAGAGCTTCGTGCTTTCTGCCACGATTCGCCGTTAAAGATGGCCATCGACTTCGCAGGTCCAGTAGCCGAAGATGATAGCAAGGATATGAAGTCCTTCTTGGGAGAATACGCGGCATGTTGCACAGGGAAGTTGAACGCCACACCTGGATACGAGAGGTTGTAGGTGCCGTTCGCGCTGATATCGCCGTTATTCGGGGGCATGTATTCTCCTCCATATGTCGGTCCTAGTAGCTTATCATATATGTGTCTAAATCTGGGCCCTGATGAGGGCCCGGTCGATATGCCTCCATGACCTTCCGTTGGCTTGTACACTTCTACATCCTTATAGATCAACCTCGCTTTCGTAAAATCGAGCACTTCGATCAATCGCAATCGCTGGTCTGGGCCATCGAACTGGAGTCGCAAACCATTATCTGGAAGAACGATGTGAACGGGAGATGCGATGGGTCGCGAGTCGTCGTGGTATAGCTGGAACCTCGGAAATGCCCGGACCTCTGCCTTTATCGTTGTCAGTATTTCATGCAGTGAGCAGCCAAGTGTCATGAAACCAATGCTCCTCCCAGGCACCAGTTGCACCGCACCGTCCTCCATAGCGGAGGAATCGTTTTGCTATCTTCGAGCTGACGTTTACGAAGCTATTCTTGCACCGGTACAGTGGCTACGATATGCAGGGGTACTTGCGCTTCGATGTTCGGGAGCTTTGGTGCTTCAGGAGTCGGGGCTTCAGAAGCTTAAAGGTGGTTCTGGTGCTTCAGCGGGCGGCTCTAGAGCGTCAACGGATAGCGCCTGTAGTACAGCAGCGGTCGGGAGTGCTCGGGCTTCGACGATAGGTCGCTCTGGTGCTTTGACGGACGGCGGCTCAGGTGTTCCGAAATCCCAAGGCTTCAACAGGCAGCTGTTCTCGTGCTTTGTCCACGCGGTCAGAGGTGAGACCGTGACCTAAGGCAGCGCGATCCGGCCTTCAACGGCGACCGCAGGAGAGTATGTGGCGATAACAAGGACCTTGAAATACTGGTGCGCGATTACTGGAATGCAGTAGCTGGACTGCGTGGGCTACGGGTGGAGGTACTGGGAGGAGGGGTGGTGGGGTTACAGGCGTAGCAGAGCTTATGATAGGCAAGGGTACCCTGTTAGTGCAGATGAATGGCAGTGGTAAAGCGGATGATGTTTCGTCATGTTACGACACGAGAAAAAGGACGACAGGATCAACCGCTGGTCTTTGAAGGTGTTGAGCTTGGTGCTGGTTGACTGCTACCGTTCCGCGCGTTCGGAATCAAGCGACTAGCGCGACAGGGATCAGCGCTCGACCAGTTCGGCTCAATGTTTGTTTACGTGCTGAGCTTCCACCAACACGATAATCACTATCAGCTTTCTCTACGAAAAGAACAACAACACTGCCAAACATGTCGGGGCCTCCTCGATCTGTGCAGGCGCCTACAAAACGGACGACCGGCTCAATGCGCCCACCATTGATGCGCCCAACCTCACATCTAGCCCGCGGGCGCTCCGCAACACCTGCACAAGACGGAAGACAATCGCGAGCAGAATCAGTCGCTTCCACGAGGACTGTGCGGTCATCTCCGTCGTCGAACCTCAAGCGCAAGGAACGCGATTTCGAAGCCGCCGATGAGGAAACAAATATCAATGTTGTCGTCCGGTGTAGAGGCCGCAACGATCGCGAAGTTAAGGAAAATTCCGGTGTCGTTGTGTCTACGAATGGAATCAAGGGAAGCACGGTAGAGCTTTCGATGGGCCCGAGTGCGCTCAGCAACAAGTCGTACCAATTCGACAAAGTCTTCTCGCCCGCTGCCGATCAGAACATGGTTTTCGATGAGGTTGTGGCCCCCATACTTGACGAGGTATGTAGGGCGGCCGAGATGGAATTCCATGAGCTAACGTGTATAAGGTGCTTGGTGGCTTCAACTGCACCATCTTTGCGTACGGTCAGACCGGCACTGGCAAGACATACACGATGACTGGCGATATCTCGAATATCCTGCCTCTTCCAGATGCCGCCGGTATCATTCCTCGCGTTCTTTACGCGCTTTTTAGCAAACTCGAATCGGAAGAGACGGAAAACTCGGTCAAATGCTCCTTCATTGAGCTTTATAACGAAGAGCTGCGAGATTTGCTATCGACAGACGATAACGTTAAGCTCAAGATCTACGACGATAATAGCAAGAAGGGGCACAGTACGACTTTGGTCCAGGGAATGGAAGAGTGCCACCTCAAGTCAGCTGTGCAAGGTATCAAGCTTCTCTCCGACGGAACCAACAAGCGACAAGTGGCAGCGACAAAGTGCAACGATCTCAGTTCGCGAAGCCACACAGTCTTCACGATCACTGTGTACATGAAACGCGTGTCGGAAGACGGCGCGGAATACTTGAGCGCCGGAAAGCTCAATCTTGTCGACCTTGCTGGAAGCGAAAATATTCAACGCAGTGGAGCAGAGAACAAGCGCGCAGCTGAGGCAGGTCTTATCAACAAGAGTTTGCTAACTCTTGGTCGCGTTATCAACGCGCTGGTAGAACGCAGCTCACACATCCCATACCGAGAGTCAAAATTGACCCGCTTGCTGCAAGATTCTTTGGGTGGCCGAACGAAGACTTGCATTATCGCGACCCTGTCGCCTGCAAAAAGCAACCTCGAAGAGACGATATCGACCCTGGACTACGCCTTCCGCGCAAAGAATATTCGTAATAAGCCCCAGGTCAACCAACTCATGTCAAAGAAAACCTTACTCAAAGAGTTCACGGCCGAAATCGAAAAATTGAAGAGCGAATTGGTCGCCACTAGACAGCGAAATGGCGTTTACCTCACGCAGGAAAATTACGAAGAGATTACAACCATTAGCGAGTCCAGGCGCATCCTGAGCGACGAACAGCGCGACAAGATCGAAACGATGGAGGCGAACCTTCGCAATAAAGTGGAAGAGCTTTTCAGCCTGACAACGAATTTCCAAAACCTCAAAAAGGATAATGAGCAAACCAGGCTCACTCTTGAGGGTACGAAGGGCATACTTGAAAAGACCGAAGCCGTTTTGACTTTAACGCGACAAAATCTCGCTGAGGAGACGGAATTGCGAAAAGCGCATGCCAAGACGGAAGGCGAACTTGCTGAGATCGGCCAGGGCATGATCTCTACACTCGGGAAGACGACGTCTGACATTGATGCTTTACGTTCCAAGATCCGTCGAAAATCCGAACTGCAGTCTCAAAACCGACAGCACTGGGCAACTTCTCAGAGCCAGGTCGTGGACACAACACAACTCGTCGATAACCGCATAGCGCATTTCCGCAACCAACAAGAGCAGATGATGGAGAGTCTATCGTCAAGGATGCAAGCTTTCGTGACCGATGAGCTTGACAAGCTTGGTGCCTCTCAGACGTTCCTGGAGGAAAAGATGAAGGCTTACGGAACTTCTGAGCAAGAAGTCAACGAGCAGACTGCCAAAGCTCGTGATGACATGAACCAAGTATTGGAAGAGATTAGAACGCTGCGAGAAGACGTAAAGCAAAAAGTCGGTGCTGGTCTTAGTGAGCTGTCTGCAGCCGCTGAGAAAATATCCGCGAATATCATTACGGAGCTGGAGAATTTCCAGTCTGAGGTGGGTTGTTGCCAACATGCTGGTAGAACCTTTGCTAACGGTGACAGCTCCATACATCCTACCAGGCACTCGGCCGAGAGTTCAAGAACACTTTCGTCGATCTGACCAAATCTCTCAGCGAGCAACAAACCGAAAACGAGCGGTTGCATCAGCAAGTCCAAGAAGCAAATACTGCCCTCGTGCAAGCCAACAAAGCATCCCAAGGTCGTCTCCTCCAGGTCGTTGACGAGGAAAAGCAGAAATCAGCGGAAGAGCGCCAGCAGCTGCTCGTGCAGGTCACGTCGCTTATCAATGCTAATGCAGAGGCGCAGGACAAGCGTTTGAACGAAAAGGTATATGGTGTGTGTGAAGAAATAGGCACTGCGAATGCTTCCTTTGAAATTCAACAGTCTGCATACTCCGAAGGGGTGGGTAACTGGACCAACAAGTCCCAGGACATCCTTGCTGGGATATCCAAGTCGCAAGATACCGTCAAGACTAAGATCAAGAGTGATTTCTCGGCGGTAAATCAACGGTCTAGTTCGATCAAGAACACGACCACTTCGGTGCATGAGAGTACAGTGAAGATTGTGGAAGCCCAGATGGAGCAGATGGACACACAATTACAATCCTTGGACGATATCATGTCGCGCGTGCGTGAGCAAAATGACGCTCATCACACTGCTCATACAAGCTCCCTTGGTGCACTGTCGTCCACCGTTCAGTCTTCTTACTCGAGCATCGGCGATCATCTTTCCACATCCTTTGCTCGGGTACAAGCGCTTGAGTCCGACGTTACCGCTCAGACAACCGCGCTCAAAGAAACATTGCCAGCTCTGGCGGAGGACGCAAACATCCGTGCTCCCCTGCAGGAGCTCCGTAACGCAATTGAAGGTCAAGAGCTGCTCGAGTACAACCCCACCGGAGAGACACCACAACGCGTCAACTACACCATCCCAAACAAGCTTCCGCGGACTGAGGCACACGAAAACCTCCTATCGCGTCTTCGCGATGGCCCTGTCTCTGCAGATGCTCGTAGTCCCACCAAGGGTTTAGTCTTCAACGACACTGAAAATGAAACAACGGACATTTTCGATTCGGTTACGAAGCCCAACTTTGGCCGCTCCGTCAGCGCACATACTGTCGCTATGACCCTCGGGGCCTCTCTTCGCGAGCTGGATGTTAATGTCGTCGCTCAAGAAAACCACACACAGCCATTGCCCATTGTGTCTCACTCTGACACCATGGTCGTAGCGGCGCCTCCGCTTAAGAAGCAACGCAGTGAGGACACAAAGTTGCCGATGAAGAGGATGACTAGGAAGACGGTTGGTGGAGAGGGCAAGGGTGATCGGGAGAATTTGACAATTACGAACTTCAGCTCAAGTATTGGACCGGGACTTGCAAAGGGCAGGAGGTTACGGAGCCACGGAAGCAATTAGGTGGTCTAGCTGATGGTGTTTGCTGCATGGCCTCAGGAGTTAATGATGGGCTTCGGTCTCTGGATATGGTGGAGTTTTGAATGCTTTGTGCACAAGGCGTTTCGTGCCAAAGGGTGATAGATAGGAACGGATGGCGTTGGATATTCCCAGCTGCTCAGGAGCTAGCTGGCGCAGTAATTAATACTTTGGTCGCTTCAGGTTTTCGGCCCATGCCTCACATGGAATGTTGCAAGATGGGCATCGGTGGGGGTCTAGCAGAACGAAGGACGTCCCGAGGTCGGCCATGCAGAGTATACACGCCCTAGACGCGGGCGACAGAATGCACGCCGTGTCATAAATTGCTCCGAAAGCGCTGCAGAAGATTCACACAGTCTGAGGGCATCTGGCGCAGCATCTCATTTGAGCTTCCTGGAACAGCGTTGGCAGGCGCATCGCGACGTGCTACGGCTTTGGGCATACGGCGCTCCCCGCACCACTTCTAGCGAGCAAGCTACCCCAACGTCATCGCGTCCGCTCTCCAAACCGACCCGACAACGCCCACTTTCTGCAAAGCCATTCGCCCAGCCTGCGTCGCCGAGCCTTATCGCAGTTACGCGCTAGAGATCTAGCTGTAGTGGGCCAGCTTGGGCACGTCCGGTGGAGTGTAATTGTCATTGTATAAGTGCTCCGCCATGCGCTCTTTTGCAGCTTGTACGCGAGCGATTGCGAGACAACAGGGTTTCAGGAGTCACATACAGCGAAGCTCACTGCCCGTCATACTTCAGAGATCATACGCCATGGGTCATTCGGTGCCGCCGGTAAGCGAGGACAGAGCCATCCATTGCGACTGCTTCGCGACGGTGACGCGGAAAGTGGAAGCTTTGCGACAAGACTGACGACCACTAGCTCAACGACAAGTCGCTGCTGAAAGAGGCACAGACTTATGTCAATGGAGAATGGGTAACTGCAAAGTCGGGCAAGACCTTCGAGGTCAACGGTACGCACACAGCTGTATTGCGAGAGCTCCGGGACTGACATCAGTACAGACCCCGCAACCGGCAAACCCATTGGTACACAACCCGAGATGGACCGCGCCGATACCGAAGCCGCCATCGCTGCCGCCGCCGCAGCCTTCCCCGAATGGCGCAAGACGACCGGCCGCCAACGATCGAAGCTGCTACGAAAGTGGTACGATTTGATCGTTGAGAATGCCGACGATATCGCCAAGTTGATAACGTGGGAGAATGGCAAGCCGCTTGCCGATGCGAAGGGCGAGGTCACATATGCAGCAAACTTCTTCGAGTGGTTCTCCGAGGAGGCGCCTAGAGTATATGGCAACACCATTCCGGCAAGTATCGCTGGAAACAGAGTCTTTACCATCAACGAGCCCGTTGGAGTCTGCGGACTCATAACACCGTGAGCACCTTGAGACCGTATTTACGACATCGCTAATGTAGCTTAAGATGGAACTTCCCCGCAGCTATGATCACCCGTAAGATTGGTCCCGCACTTGCAGCTGGTTGCACGGTCGTCGCAAAGTCTCCCGGTGAGACGCCCTTCACAGCAGCAGCCCTCGCGGAACTCGGTCACCGTGCCGGTGTCCCCAAGGGCGTCATCAATTTCGTTACAGCGCTCAAGAACACCCCTGAGGTCGGCGAGACCATCACCTCCTCAAAGACCGTCAAGAAAGTCTCCTTCACAGGCTCCACAGGCGTAGGCAAGCTTCTCATGAAGCAATCCTCGGACACTATGAAGAAGCTTTCCTTCGAGCTCGGCGGTAACTCGCCCTTTATCGTCTTTGACGACGCAGATCTAGACACCGCCGTAACCGGCGCCATAGCATCCAAGTTCCGCTCGTCAGGCCAGACCTGCGTCTGCGCGAACAGAATCTACGTCCAGTCCGGCATCTACGACGCCTTCGCCGACAAGTTCGTGGAGAAGGTCAAGAACTTCAAGGTCGGCGGCGGTTACGACGAGGGCGTTACCCACGGACCTCTGATTCACGACCGCGCCGTCTCAAAGGTAGAGGCGCACGTGCGCGACGCCGAGAAGCAGGGAGGCAAGATCCTCATTGGTGGACAGAAACTTCCTGACCTTGGTGACAATTTCTACCAGCCCACCGTCATCCGCGACATGACAGCCGACATGCAGCTCGCCAACGAGGAGACCTTCGGCCCTGTCGCCGGCCTCTTCAAGTTCGATACTGAAGCTGAGGTTGTTAAGCTGGCGAACGCGTCGGACGTTGGTCTTGCCGGATACTTTTTCAGCCGCGATGTACAGCGGTGTTACAGGATTGCTGAGGCGTTGGAAGTTGGTATGGTGGGTGTAAATACTGGTTTGATTTCTGATCCCGCGGCGCCATTTGGCGGTGTCAAGCAGAGTGGTTTTGGACGTGAGGGAAGCATGTTGGGCATCAAGGAGTACGAAGTCGTGAAGATGGTGACACTGGGTGGTATGGGAGAACCGCTTCAGGGCACGCAGTAGTATGTAAAATGTAGCGATGTTCGACGAATACATATTTGACGTTAACATAATAGATCGAAGCTATATGCAATACAGCTGATACGTGATGGTTGTGGTCATTTCTTCCGCACAATTTGGCGACTTGTTGAACACATCATGATGTGGGCATGAGCTCGTACACTTTCTCGACTTACAACGCACGTACAAGACTTTCACGGGATCAGGGAGATTTGAGAAGGCCTGATTGAATTAGACACGGTCCTCAGGTAGAGTCCATCAATTTCTAAATACACGTCCACCACATCGAGATTACCACGCTGTAGACATACGCATACACAGCCCCACAATACCTTCTACAGCACTATCTCTCCCGTATGCGTGAACCCCGAAAACCCCCGCTTGGTCGGTGGCAACACCAGGTCAGCATTCTTCTCGTCCGTAGCCATAGACAGCTGCAAAATGACGCTAGCCGCACCTAGACCACTGATGGGAGTCGGTGTATGCCAGCCTTCGCGAGCTGGGAGGCGTTCCTCACCTACATAATATGTCAGTATGTAGTAGTACATCGGCAATTTGAAAACGCTTACAGAAAAAAACCTCCAGCCAATCTAATGGCACAGTCCCAGTGGCGGGATCGAGAAGCACCGAGAAGTACACCGCCGTCTCAGCATAACTATTGAACCTCTGAACCGGTCCATATACGAAGTGTGGATTGCTCTTGTGCGCGCTCTTGATCCTCCCCCAGCGCGCCGCCGCAGCAAGCGGCAGCGAGATCTGCATCGCGCCACCAAAGAAGCTCTTGAACTCGCTAAAGACATCGTGGTTGAACTCTTGGTCGCCCGCACCGGGCGTGCCGACGTCAGCGCGCGAAAGCGAGCCATCGTGCTCGATAATGTTGTGCTTCTTGAGGTCCTGGAGAGTGAAGGCACCGCTGACTGGGTCTGAGGAGGTCTTAAGTGCAGCGAGGAAGAGGCCTATTGTCACCTCGGCGGAGAGGTTGACGGCGGCGGTGGCATTGAGGAGGGCGGCTTGAGAGATGTTGCGTCCGTCACGGGGAAGAAAACCGTGGTTTGCAAGAGCGTTCAGCGCAGGACAAGGACCGCGGAGGTCACCTTCGGCAGGTGCACGCCAGTCGTCGTAGTTGAACTGAGCGATGGCGAGCGCGGCAAGTCCAAGGATGGTAGTGGCGATCTTCATGGTCGCAGGTCGAGATGCGAAGGGTTTATGGGCTGTTGCTAGACAGGCAACTTAGCCCGCGCTGCCATTGTATCGAGGTTGTTAGAGTAAGACAACTTACCGAAAAGCTTGCTCTAGTGCCGTGGTCTTGGAAAGAGTTGAGGTCTGGAGTGTATTGGAAGAAGTTGGGAGACGGTGAGCTGCGGCGGTGCCTCAAGGTGAGCGGCTCTCGCAAACGGGGTGAAGTAAAAGTGAAGCCAAGAGCGGGTATCAACGTCTAGATTACATTCAACTCCGATGTGAGTAATAATTGCGCCCTCGACCGAATCGACGTCACCAGACAAACGCGCAAGGAAAGAGCACCTCGTGGGCGGCGGTCCCATGCGGAAACCACGACATTGCTATTACAACCTTGCAAGCCACCCCATCTTTCGATTTGCCATGTGTCTCAGCTTGAGTATTCCTGGCGGCGAAGTGGTTATGGTGGTCGTGATCCTAGGTATGTGGATGCTCTCCAGCGTCAGCAGGGCGCAGGTCACGTTGCCATGCTTAGCGCTCAGCTGATGACTGAGCAACCTTGGAGGCAGGGTGCAGAGCTTTGGCATCGTTCACGGCTGATGCTGGTATGGTGCGGTACACAAGCATCTATAAGCGTAACTCTTCGACGTTCGTGAGCAGCCGGACCGATGGTGCAGTAACAAGCAGACCTGTAGATGGGCCGTTAATGTGGATATCTCCTCAGATTGCTTGAGCGAGCAGAGCTTGAAGCACCGTAGACTGTTGCGAAGAGGAGTTCTACGTGCGAGAAGATGGTCTTGGCGATGTACATCTGCTTAGACGAACGCTGCGGTCTGTTGGAAAGGCTTTTCTCCATCCTCTACCCGTTACCAGGTAAACATCATCAGCACAGGTAAGGCCTCGGGCGTAGCGTTAGAATGCCCGTGGGTCAAACATGACGATCCTAAATGCCACATACAAGTTCTTACTGCATGTCAGCACAGTGGTCTGGGGAGCACAATCTACTCACGAAGGAGCATGACCTACAAGAAATCAAGACGGAGAAGGGATCTACTCACGGCCTGCGAGAGTGAGGGGTTCGGAATTGCTGCCAATGTAGTGGTTAATGGTGCTTCGACTTCCTAGCTCTTAAAGCGCCCTTCTTCCTTATTTGCGCCGTGTGGCTGTCAACTTTCAGTATCGCAGTAGCACTTCCTGTTGTAGCACTTCTAATAAGTACGCCCAAGGACCTTCTCGTAGGGCTCTCGCTGTGTGCACCGAAACCTGCGTCCATTATAGAGATGCTATCAGGCTAGGGCATGTCGAGCAACGAAGGGGACTAAGGACCTAGGGATCCCAACAGGTTAAGATGCTATGATACACCTGAGCAGAATTCTGCTATATCTGCCAAGCATGACCTCATGGAGGCCTGTAATGAGTCACAAGATATAAATCAGGCCGCAATGTGTGTAGAGGCGTCCATCCTTGTGGGACAACAACACGGCAGATGCATCTTTTCCAACGTCGACCTAGCTGCATCTCACATGTAACCAACAAAAGCGATGAAGCGTTGCGCGTATCAGGTCAGCAATTCCAGTCACCAAGCTCCAACTTTGTGCTAGGCGGCCTGTTCCATGCCGAAAACAAGGCACAGTTCGCAACATACCGTAAGAGGTGATACAGTCAGCCAAGCTCTTTATCTAGGAGGAAAAGGCATCCACGGGACGTGTATTAGCAGTCCTGCACGGTTTTGCCAGAAAATTTGCAACAGTGACTGCGCCCTATCTGCGCCGCACCATTGTCAGCTGTGTTGAACATTGACTTGTGTAAGGCAGCTGAGATGTCGGATTGGTCTACCAGGTGCCTCTCTAGCAACATGAAGCAACCTCCACATGAAGAAAATATGTGCAATGTTCACTCTGCCATATGTAATGCGGATGAAACGCCGATTCGTCGTGACTGTGGGCATTGGATCGAAGTGCTGACGGAGCAGTAAGCTTCTAACCTGAGAAGGCTGTCGTCCTTCGCAACCAACACGCGGAGGGAACGGGAGTTTATTAGAGTTGCCGATCCTTGCCCTCGATGATATTGCCGGCATCCAAATGTGCGAATGTTGTACTCGTTCGCGAAGCTTAAGAGGCAGGTAATGACCATAAAAAGATCGCGAGTGCAATGACCGGTATATTGAATTTTCGGCTGTCGTTGCTGATTGGCAAGAAGGCTAGGTTTCAGAGTTGAGGCTGCGACTCGTGTCTGTCAGCCGCGGTCCTTGCTAGCCGATCTGACGCGAACGCCCATTGTACGCTTCGGACGAAGGCGGAGAATAGCATGCACCTGTAGCCTGGTGTTCGTCGAACTTGTAGTATTAAGGGATGTTCAAAGACGTTTTATGCATGATGAGAGGTGTTTGAAGTTGCGACAGATTGCAAAGACGCCCCTAGAGTTAGCCAGCCAACGTCGAAAGGCTTGCAGGACGAGGCGGGCATGCGCGCAAAAAGCGTACGGCTTGCTGGGGAACGGTTGGGTCGTGGTCCGGCGCTTCGTATTGTAAACAGGTTTTCTTACACGCTGATTTGGTAACCTATTTTCCTCAGCTGGAACCGAGTCAACCGGTCAACTGCGGCAGTGGGGCGGATGCGCCGGATTCCTAAACGCAAAAGCTAGAAACGACAGAAACAAAGAGACAATGGAGGACTGCTTAAAAGGTTCCCTTCGATTTGGATTTTGAAAGAAACAGAGTAACAAGTCCGCACGATGCAGGGCGGGGACGAGAGAGGTCGTTGCTGCTGTAAATAGACGAACACGCTAGTGTTCCGAGATAGATGGATGACCAAGCACTGCGCAAGTTTGTCGTGAGCCCTGCGTAGCAGCAGGAGCGGCGATTGTATTGTCGCGGTCGTTTATCTGGAGGACTCCAGCTCGGATGGAGTCAAGTCGCGCAGGATGTTTCTTTTTGTAGTGTATTGGCCAGCAGAATCAGGTCTTTGCAGCTGCATACACCCCTGGACTCTTTGACTGGGCGATTGAGCTGCAGCCACTACCTGGAGAGGCGAGCTGAGTGCTTATTGGATTTCAAGCCTCAGCTGTGGCCAATGCGAGCATGCGAGGCTGACGCCGCGTGCGGGCTGAACTCAGCGTTCGAGGCTGAGCCTCGTGCACAACCTACTAACCCGTAAAATTCGGAACATCAGGCAGAAGGTATTTGGCGCTGCCTTGTCCGCTCCGATCAACTGACCTTGAGACGTTCTTGGAAGACCGATAAACCGACCCATTGACTCTTTGGCATCATTCGCCGGAGCATCCGCTGAGACGAAAAAAGTGGGCCTCACCTGTACAGAGAGCATCCCTCCTACTTCAGACCCAGCCGCAGCCTTGTTCCCCTTCTCTGACCTGATCCGGATCAAGAGCATATGCCCCCAATAAGACGAAAAGGGAAGATGAAAGAGGACGGGCCTACTAGCACCTCAGGGACTCAGACCACGGACCCGGGAGCGCCGCCAAAGGAGTTTATTGTAACAGCTCCCCTTGTTGACAGCGCAACGACGTCGCCAACGTTTCTCAACCCGGGAAAGACCCCGCCACGGAAAGTGCTGCGTCTCAAATGCGCGAAATGTAACGAATATCCCGAAGGATTCCGTAGCGAACATGAGCTGCGCCGGTACGTCTAGAAGACCAAATGTGCCTCCAGGAATGCTAACCATGCATCGAAGACACACGAATCGCGTGCACAGGAAGATGCGTAAGGTCTGGATTACCATCGACACCTCGCCCGATAAGAGTTTCCTTGCCAATTGCAAGGCTTGTCAGACGGGAAAGAGGTATAACGAATGCTATAACGCTGCCAGCCATTTGAGAAGAATGCATTTCCACCCGCACAAGAGGGGTGAGAGAAAGATGAGTGCTGCCGAGGCTCGAAGAGGCGGGAAGCCCGGAGATCTAGATCCGCCCATGGACGTGTTGAAAGCGAATTGGCTACGGGAGGTCGAAGAGGTCGTTGGTGAGGCGGAGGACTCACCTGAAGAGGGCGAGCCCGCGGACACGTCGTCGACCCAGCTGCAGCCTGCCGTGACCCAAGCTGATGGAAAAGCACCGCCGACGCCGACCACTCCGTCGACGCGAACCATGGCAATCGACAGCATCGTAGATAAAGTCGACGCGTCGTAACAGCAATATTCCGCTCGAGCCATGTTCCTGATAGCCGCGACCTCGAAGGATCAGCAAGGCACGAACGAGAAACATGAACCTACCCACCACTATCGTCATTTATAAAGGGCCATCGTCCACTCGATGCAAAGCAACATGGGGCTTTTACGGCGGACATAGGGTTAGACGCGCTCGTGGGTACATGGTGGTTTGCGCATCAGTGGTGGGAGGTCACAGGTGCTACTGCCTCTGTGATGTCAAACATCTTGGAGTTGTTCTCTTGGCGGCGGTAGAAGTGACGAGTTCCGTGACATAAAGTGGAAAGCGCCAGGTTGGCGTCCGGCATGAACGAAGAAGCGATGACTGAATGATGACTTGTTCGTGCGCACACTCGGGTGGCATGCTTATGATAGATAACCTGGCCTCTCTTGAATGTTGATGATCATCTTACAGCTTCTTCAGGGCGCGTCGTCGAGTATGTCGTCATTGCTTGTCCCGTACACAGACGCGTCGCGTACGAGATGCCAAGTCCCGTGATGGGCTAGAGCCCGGGCCAGCGGGCCTGAGTAGTGGTGTAGAAACTCCTTGCATGTATTATATGATGCTCAACGATGGGAGACCTTGCCGAGGATATCAGAAGAACGGGACAGTATGCACCAGCGAGGTCTTTAAGGTCCCGGTGATGTGCAATGAGGTGCATTTAAGGGCGGCCAATGTCTCGTGGTGTCGATCTCCTGTTGTCGGTTGCGGCCCGTGCATCCACGTTCTGTGCAGGTGCCTTCTATGCACCAGTTGCATCCGCAAATCCTTCGCAGCCACCACACCAATATCTCGTTACTGCTGCATGTTTCACCTGCATGCTGCAGTTGCTGTCTACCCGCCACAAGTCCCGCGCCAGCCGTACTCGATCTGCCCGCGCCGAGAGAAGCAGGTATAGCTCCGCATACGCAAATCGAACATGTGCATTGCAGCAGCTCGCTAGCACACCGATCGCCACGCTCGTATCCGTGTCACAAAGCGAGCGATCGTTCTCGCACTCATAAACTATATCGGATCGCATAGCTTTACCGCGAAAGAGAAGAGGGAGGGCAGGCGCACGAAAATTTTGCAACAGGGTGGGTTGTGGCGGAGAGAGAGCGGCAGCATGGCCAAATTTGCGCCCACATCGAGGAAGACCGTCAACCTTAGACGCCTTAACAGAAAGTCGGTTCAAAAGGCAGCTGCCCTCTTGGCAGGTCATGGTGTCAATTTAGGCAAGCTCTACGTGGGCCGACCAGGTTGGGGGCGTCCTGCTGGTTGGGCCTTTTTTCCAAACGGCTCAATCTACCTGAATGCGCTTGCATCGGAGAATGACTTGGACCATGCCGCTTTGGAGGCCGAGATGAGGTTGCTTGAGCCTTTTACACGGGAGCCTCCTCCAGATATGGGACAAGCTAGATCGGAGGATCCCAGTCTGGGCCGACTTATAGTCATCGAGTAAGCCCACTGCCTTTAGAAACCCCCGGTGAGAGAACTGATAGTCCCCCTTCAGCTGTAAACCCTTTATGAGAAGATCGAAATTTAAACCATCTTGCACTATACTTGCTCGTCATGCTTATGACGGCGAAAGATTGTCCGTAGAACAACGACCCTTTAAGCGAGTCCAGTTTAGCTATGAAGGACATCCTCCTCAGCCTTCTTACATACTCGATTCCCTACCAATTCTTTTTAACCATAGGGTCAAGATGGCATTCAGAAATGCACTCCGCTCTTTCCGTGGTACTTTGATCGATGGGCTTCTTCAGCCAAATGTGCGTCTGGGCAACGGCCTGAACCTGAACAAGAATCACAGTCTTGATGAAGAGAACGCTGAAAAAGATATTGAGAACGCCCGCGCATCGAAGGACTTCAGAAGAGCACAGCTGGAGGTCCAGAAATTACGCCCGTGGGAAATGACCAAAGGCCGTCCTCGCAATAAGCGTTTGCAGATCAGGGCCCGGACTTTTGATGAAAGAGAGATTGCACTTGATGAGAGACAAGTTGCACTTGATACGAGAGAAGTTGCAGTTAGTGAGAGAGAAGCTGCACTTAGAAAGAGAGAAAATGCACTTAGAAGAGAAATTTTTGCATTGGATAAGAGAGAAAATGCACTTAAAAAGGGAGGGACTGGATCCTTTGAGAGGGCAGCTGCGCTCGATTCGAGGGAAGCTCAGCTCAATAACAAACATCAACAACTTCTAAACAAGGAAGAGCAGTTGTTCTTGCAAACGCAGTCGATGCGGAATCAACAGACAGATCAGCCAGAGCTCAATGCAAAAAAGGCTCTCGAGGAAGCAAAAGATCTTGTCAAATTGAGGAAGAAGGCTTATATATTAGAGCAAAGGCGCGCAGGAAACACACTACCGCCCAAAAGTTCCGACAAAAGTTCCGAATCTGGGAAGCCCGTGGCGGCCGCCATGTCTGATCCAGAGTCCTCCACACAATCTTCGATGGCACCCGAAATCGAGATCGAAATCGAATCTGCATCTGACTATGATAACATCTTCCCTTATACAGACGACTCTAGCTATTTAGATGCCCGCACCCGCATTGTACTTCCTCGCCGGCCTGCACCATAGATCTTACGTGTTTGTTGAAGACATTCCTGGTACGAGTGTTTGTGCCTGTCGCTTGCCAGCCGGATATGTCCAGCTCATAACGGTCAATGCTGTGTCTGGACCTGTTGAAGAGAGATGCTCCATTACAGCCATTCTTTTGGCTGGATGCTTCCCCTCTGCAAATTGATACCGGTCTGACCGACCACTTCACCCTTGTGTTAAATACATTTGTTACAATCAGATAATGTATACTAATAATTGTGTAATACAAAATAGAGCGATACCCCGTGGGCACGTGCGACAGAATGATATACCAGCGTGTGAAAGACTTCTCCATTCTAGTCTATCAAATCTTATCTCAGTGGCACGTACTTTGTTTGTCTACGTTGAGCAATGAGATCCCAGACTTTGGGTATATCGAACTGTAGTCGAAATCCCAGTATAGTACCCAACTCGTGGGTAGCCTTGTCAGACCTCCGATAGCGTGCGAACACTGGTAGCGCGAAAGCAACGCTTCTCTACAGTTCGCTTTACGAGATAGTAAGCAAAGGTAGCTTCAAAAAAAGCCAACAATTGCCAGCAGTTTCACTATACCGGGCACAACAAACATGTCTATGGCAATGCATGAGTTGTGTGAAAGATAATTGCTAAGCTAATCCAATCACAGTCATGGCTGTGCATGCTTGCCTAGATCGCCTTCACTGACCTGCCGTTGCGTCTCGTCACTATCGCGCGCGGACGCCGACTCGACCTGAATGTTGGTCTCAGTGACAATGGCAATACCATTCGTCCCTGCAATCGGTTTTATGATCGAGTCTTGCGACCCTGAAGCGCTATGCTCGGTCAGGCCATGCCCCCTCCTTTTCTTATCCACCATGCGCGAAAGGCGGTTGGTTCCACCGACGATGGTGACAGTCCGTCCGACCTCTTTGTTGATGGTGTGCAAGCCGTAGTCGTCACCGGCGCGTGCGACGTTGATATTGCCGCCTGTGTTGGTGGTGCGGTTGTATGCGTGGCCGGAGACGTCTGAGTTGACGAAGACTCGGCGGGTCAGGGTATAGAGCAGGGCGTCGACCCAGCCGCAGGATGTGAGGAACGAGCCGGCGATGCAGAAGAAGGTGTCGGGTAATGTTACTCCTGCCATAGACACCATTCTGCCTATGGCTAAGGGCATAGTGAGGAAGACGTAGACGGCTGGATAGAGGATCTATTGTATCGAGTTAGTGCAAGTCATTCGTATTAGGCATGATACCATGAATGTCTCAGCCAAGCGAGAGAAGAGGTCACATCCACTCGATACCCGGAGTTGGACTTACCATGAATTTGGTGGCGCGGGAAAGCTTGCTGGTGTCATTGTTGATGATACTTCTGAGACGGCCCTTGAGATGGAAGAAGATGTGCCCATAGATTGCCATGGTTCCAAACTCCACGATGAATATCCACAGATAGTGCAGCCACAGCCGTTCAGGCTCAAAGTCAACGGATACCCAGCACTATTGTTCAATCATCAGTCGAGTTGTTCTGGTAAACGTTATGAAGGCGAGATGTTTGTAAGAAACTTCACTCACCCAGCCCCCCGCTCGGGCAAAGAAGCGGTTGCCGTGCATTGCAGGTCCCAAGACAGTCAGGAGCACTGCCAAAGCCCAGATACCGACAATCAACACAACCAGCCAGCCGTAGCGCATTCGATATCCCTTCACTACACCTGTAACACTGTTAGAGCGCGCCATTAATGGTGAATACGGTTTTGCACTCACCCAGCCAAGTATGAACCGCGATGGCCAACACGAAAAATCCACTCGCAACGTCTCCGAGATGTAAGAACCAAGCCTGAACGAAGCAAGGTGCCGTAGGTGCCAAGATCTTTTGTAGCTTCAACCAATGGAAGGTTATCACGAATGCGATACTTTGTTGAAAGTCCGCTATCAACAAATTGAAGATCAGGAGTATGTATTGGTTGCCCCCAACATATTCTCTATAACTCTTTCTCCATCCAATAAGCCTCCAGGTAATGAAGCAGAGGAGTGCGAAGACGGATACCAGTGAGGCCATCGCGAATATGACCAATGGTATCAAGCCCTTCTTGAATGTCGGCGTCATTGGGTCGAGCGAATTGGGATAGGCGAAGTAGCGCTTTGCAAGCACTGCTCTGGGGTCCTCCATGGCGGATGCAGGATCGTGTGTGGTACGTCGTTGAATGTTATCTGGGCATGGTGTGTTGTCCCCACCTAGAAGCCACTCCCTCAATGGTTCTTTTCAACCCTCCTGAACGATTCGAAGTGGTGCACCCTCTTGTGACGCTAAAAGCTATCGTGGATTGCTTCAGTGCTCAATGCGTAAACAACTTCGTATCGGCGCGTCGATAGATGCGGCGGCTCGTGCGAAGAAAAACGGTGGTGGAAACGGGAATAACGTTTGCACGAAAAGAATTGATGAGTGGTAGGACCGCGGGGAGGGACCATATAATACGAAAAGGGACGCGACAGACGCAAGGGGGCACGGTAGTAGTTCAAAGCTTTCATGCATGGAGGGCGGCAACTAAGCAATGTGAACGTCTTCGGGCCGCCCTATCGACATTCGACACTTATCTTGCCTGGGATGGTTCAACTGCTAACGAGTTGTCTTATGCCATCCGCCCGCTGTTCCATCCGGTGGAAGGCACATGGCGGCTTACGGCCCAGAGCTAGGGTCAGCGAAGGCGGAAGCTCGAGGCCTGCATGAGAGTCCCAATCTAAACTCTGAGTGGAGAGATCGCCGGGCCTTCAGGACTTTTAAACTTTGAGTATGCGCAAAGCGGCGGCGCTGAGACTGTCGTGTGATAGATTCCAGGGGTTCCGTGCTAGTTCCCCCGCCACTCCACGTGGAGAATCTCTCTTATGGAGCCACAGGCAGTGGGGCCTGTCCGTGAGTGTGCGCGTTTAAAAATCATCTCTCAGCACAACGCACGTACGCAAGCCACGATTGCACCTAGCAGTCATCAGATACGGAACACGATGTGGGAAGCGCTGTGATACATGGTGGTCTCTTTGATGTGGGAAGGCGGACGAGGGCTGAACGGCTGATGCGACCCTTCATGACTCTCAGGGTGACGGGGTTCTCCTGGGCAGTGATCCTGGGGTAGATGGGACTTCTTGGCCCTTCCTGGTGCAAGATCTGCACTAAGTATCGAATGCCGAACGTTTTCGTAATCCGCGCGGCGACGGAAGAACCTTCACCGCTCCACATGGTACCTATATCGACTCCATGTGTGAAGACATTGCATGGTGTCAGACTTTCACGGCAGCTCATGCGCCAGAGAATGGCGCGCCCCGCTTCGTCGGCGACGACTGAGCGTTACTGAGCGCAGGAACTTTCCCGACTCGCCCGGTGCTCCGCCCATGTGCTTGCCTCGCGACATCTTGGAAGCCGATCCGGGGAGTGTAGGACTATCCGGTTCCTTCGAAACGTACGACGAGCTCAGCATCCTCCCGACAAGCGCATGGAGCCCTAAAGTCATTGTGAGCTGAAGAGAAACAGAAGGAATTGCTAACGCATGTCTGTCAACGCAGTACGCGGCACGTTCCCAACACTCGAGGTTCCAACCTTTGCACCCTTGCATCCGTGATGTTTTGCCAGCGGGAAAGCAAATTAAACGTCAGCACTAAGAACGTGCAACCCAGGTATTGGACGCTCGTTACCAAGGTTCGAACTTCGCACATGCATCCTGACATGCGTCTGAAGCAGAGCAGGTACGTTGGATCGTTAGCGTGTGTCAAACCTCATCCAGAGATCTGCTCGAGGTCGTTGCCTGTAAGGGGTAGTAGTCGCGTGCGGTTGACGTACCTATAAAACTGACCTTATAGCCCAATCAAGCCTGACAGCGGCATAACCTACAATCGTGTTGCGCTGTGGTGCGCGCCCCGAGGCTGCTTGTATTCCGAGGTTGCTCGCGTACCTATGATGAGGGAGGCGAATTTGCGCCTTCCAACGTGCCCCCAGTTCTTTCTCGCTCGCTCACAAAGACGTTGAAGATGCCGCAACATTTCACCCGCTCCCCGACCCATTGAGCCGAACACTTCAACTTCTTCCATGGTGCGGCGTAGAACAGCTGCATGTAGTCAGGTGACACCTAGACCACTCCTCGCCTACCCCGCAAAACAACATGGCGATACGAGCGGCCCAAGGCTCTCGGTTGAGCTAAAAGCTCATGCATGGTGGTGTCCTTCTCCCCTTGCCTAGCAATCCTCTCCATTGGCCGAGGATCGTCTCGAAACCTCACAACACCACTCCATAGGACAGCCAACTTGACACCCGCGGAACAGGCATCGCGTCTCCCGACATTAGCACAAACACGAAGAACAAGGGTCCCAGAAGCGATGCCTTTGACTGTGCCGCGTCCTGCAGTCCAGAACGACCTTCGAAGGGAAGGAGCTCGTACCCGGGTGCCTCGGAAAGGGCCATTCGGCTCGTGATTTTGGATGCGCGCGGCAGTCCACCGACCCAGTTGCACAGCATGACTGTGATGCCAGTAAATTGCTTCACCTCAGAACATCAACAAGACTCGAAACTCTAGCGACCGTGCATTGGGATCTTCGAGAACTCATCCTCAAGAAACCGCAGCCCGTTGCCTTCCTTCTTGGCCACTTTGAATTCGTATATTTAAAACCAGGAATTACCCAAAGCTCTTGCGATACTACGCCTAGCCCTACGCGATGGTACTGCGAAATACGCGACACGGTCGTGCCTCATCGATTGCGGCGTCTGTGTGTCTTCGTCCCCGGCTCTATATCTGTTTGACCAGCGCGAAGCACTCTCACGGTCGTCTACTTGTCCTGTCGTCACGAGATAGGTGAATACGGTCATTGCAATATACGTTGAGTCCGATCATGATCTTCCATACTACTTCAAGCAGTTCGGTAGGTTATTCCGCAGAGACTGGATCCCGCCATAACCTTCTCCTGCCATTGAAGGGGCTTTCACGAAGCTATTAGTAATAGGGGAGTCAAAGCACAAGTAGATCCGCATGCTGGTGACAAATTGGGTTTGCGCATCATGTTATGACTACAAGAGAAGTAGTTACGCCTATCGCCGTTTCTCAAACCTCCTTATACCCGAATGAACGAGATCGAAGCTGAGAAGGTCAACGCCAGTCTAGAGAAGCACAAACCTATCCGCCAAAAAGAACGCAGATCAGGCACCAAGGCATCTTCCCCTTGCTCCCCTGCGCTATTGATCAAAGCAGCGAGGGTGTTGATGCTGGAATCAGCAAGAGTCTGATGATCTTCATGAAAAGTGGAATAGGCGATCCATTCTGGTCTTGCGCTAATCTGAGTACCTTACCGTTTGGGCCTTGCTGAACGGAAGACGTTGAATCAAGCTCAATCTGCCCTCATATCATACCCGATCTGCCGTTATGTCACATTCGATCTACGGTCATACATATCACACTTGACTCAGGCAGGATTAGGGTTAGCATAGGGTAAGGGGTGAGAAATGTGTTGGCTGTTCCTGAGGTTAAGGGTGAGTTAACGGCAGGTCGAGCGAGTGGGTTGTGACGATTCCCCGCTGAACCTGCTGAACACCGCTTTCAGCGCGATGATCACTGCCAGTTGGGCGGCTGAGACTTCTCAACTAAATTCTCAGTTGACTCCACACTTCACCTGCACCGGCATGATCACGTGCAATGTGCAAGAGCACATGCTGTCGGAAGAATCCCATCCTCAACAGATGGTGGCATAATGTTACATAACGCTGTTATGCTCTGGACATACCTAGCTAATTCTCGAGGTCCCAGAAAACTTCAACGAGCCAAAGAGCGAGCTCGCCGAGAATTCATGTAGCTCCATCTGAAGTACTCAGGGATGGAAGATGATGTAGTATGACAACATCCAGTACGACGACGAACAAAAGATTCTAGCGGTAATTCGTGTTGTACTTGTCTCCGAAGTAACAGGGCTCTTGCTCCGGTGCGTGAAAAGACTCCTAGTGCCAAGAGCAGTCGGTAGCAGTGACTGAATGCGTAAGCAACAGTATTGAGAAGCTAGCAACGACTTCTGGCTGAGCAATTTCGGAAAACGGTCTTTCTACGGGTCACTTTCAGGAATTTTAAAGATACCTGAAGAAGAAAACACTTCGCTGTGAAAGTAGATAACGAAGGGAATGAGAGAGGTCTTCGAACACTCTAAGCACACCTCTTGATGGGTATGAGGCCTCGTTGATGGTTTATCTCCACATTCCCATGATAAGAAATACAGTACCCAGACTTTTAAAATGGTAGTGTAGTTGTCTGGCACTGTGCAGATGGGCCCTAATAAGGCGTACGGTGCCACGGAACCAGGGGGTAGGCATCTGCGGCCGATGCAGTGTAGGATATGATGTTACGGCGTGTCTCTTAGTAGTCTCGTGGTTGATTATGTACTTGAGCATGTGGTGACTTGAAGCCACTACTAGAGCACAGACGAGACTTTCGGACAGGCTCCATGTACAACAAGCAAGATCCAGTTACGATCAGGTCACGGTAGCGACGACACGCACGTTCACCATGAGACCACAGGACACGAGAACTCAAGAGCACATATCGCGATCGTATAGCTGCGTGTAAGCAATGAGTGACCAGCAAGGAGTACGAGACTTGGGATTGAGAATCTTGTTCATTGGCATGGAGGGTATCCCTTCGCCAGATTGGCACGTCATTTTATCTGCAAGACGAGTCCCATGACATCGCCGCTTCCATATGCTAGAGCAAATGCAGACCAGAGAAAATATAATTGAGAACCGTCATAACCACGCCGTTGACCCATCCGTGTCCCATAATGCCACGCGCAAAAGCCACCTCGTCCACGCTTAGATCGTAGTCTCGTAAGGGATAGGCGTGATGCTCTCAGGCTTGTTGTCCTTGGTGCTGATGGTCCTAGCCTCGCGGGGCGCAACTGGGAGGCGCTTCAAGTGGATGTGGATGCCCTCAGTCTTGGCCTGCTTCCTCTTCTCGGCGTTCTGCTTGACGCGCTTGATGAAGTCCTCTCGGGAACGGGAGTGCTTGACGTGCTCAATGCGGACGTTGATGCGCTTCTCCATGTATCGGTTGCCGACCTGCTTCTGGCTGTCCGGGGGTCAGTAAATCAATCGTACGTCGCATTGGGGTCTAAACGCACAGGATAACGCCGACGGCGTTCTGGGTCACGTTGTAGACGATACCAGTCTTGCCGTGGTAGACCTTGTACGGCATACCCTTCTGCACGGCACCTGTCCCATGGTAAGTCCTTCTGTATGCAACATTCGATTCTTTGTGTGGGTTTCTGTACCATTGGCAACGACGTCGACGATGTCACCAACCTTGTACTGGTGGAGGTAGGTCGAGAGCGGGATCTGTATAAATTCGTATCAATTGCGCATCTCGCAGCGTCCGGCAAACTCACCATTCCCTTCTTCTTGAAATCCCTCGAGAACGCATAGCGCGTACCTGCGCGAAGACCGGCGGCGTGACCCATGGCGAGTGTTGTGTGGCGGGATGTTTTGTCGGTGGTGTTCGAGGTGGTGTTGGAGACGACTATTTTGCTTTGCTACGCCTGTGGTGCGCGCCAGCCAAGAAAACTCTCGCTTAGCGCACGCTAGCACGCACCGAACATTTCGCACCTCCAAAGTTCTCACGACTTTGAACTTCTCCTCTTCTCATCGACAACCACCATGGCGCCCCGCAGCTACTCGAAGACGTACTCCGTCCCCAAGCGTCCTTTCGAGTCCGCTCGTCTGTACGTATAGTCCACGGCCACTGAGCGAGAGCGTGCTCCGCTTATGTCTGCGACTCTGGTTAATGTTGGATTAGGGATACCGAGCTGAAGCTCGTCGGCGAGTATGGTCTGCGCAACAAGCGCGAGGTCTGGCGTGTCCAGTTGACCCTGTCCAAGATTCGTCGTGCTGCCCGGTACGTTCAGTGGCTGATTTCTGACCTCGCGCAGCGCAGGTTGCTAACGTGCGCACAGTTCGCTCTTGACCCTCGATGAGAAGGACCCTAAGCGCCTTTTCGAAGGTAACGCCCTCATTCGCCGTCTCGTCCGTGTCGGTGTGCTCGACGAGTCCCGCATGAAGCTCGATTACGTCTTGGCCCTCAAAATTGAGGACTTCTTGGAGCGTCGTCTCCAGACTTGCGTCTACAAGCTCGGCCTTGCTAAGTCGATCCACCACGCTCGTGTCCTCATCCGCCAGCGCCACATCCGGTATGCATGAGCACCTTGTACGCTGCGTTCGAATTCCGACTAACATTCCAACAGCGTCGGCAAGCAGATCGTGAACGTCCCCTCCTTCATGGTCCGTCTCGACTCCCAGAAGCACATTGACTTCGCCCTCACCTCGCCGTTCGGTGGAGGCCGACCTGGCCGCGTGAGGAGGAAGAAGGCCAAGGCCGCCGAGAAGGGTGGTGACGACGATGCTGGTGACGAGGACGAGGAGTAGACAACACGCTCCGGAGTATGATTTCTATGGACGATTGGCGTTGGTCATGACGGGATGATATCTACAAGGGGTTATCCTGCCTTTCGGTTCGGCATCTCCAGCATGGTTCACGGGTGGGAAAATGTCTACACTACAGATATGTAGTACTACTCACTCAAAAAATATTCAAGTGCCATCGTCCGTCCAAACTGCAATCTTGTCGTGCCATCATACTCTCGGGTCATGTAAATTAAGCTACAACTGTGACCTAGATCCTACATATCTTTGGCCAGCTTTCGGTACCTGAACCACACTTAGTTGGCCTGCGCACAGTGCACGTTTACCCTCACACACTTCTCTTTGCGCCTTGTGTGACCTAGGCATCATGCGAGCTACATGATCAATAGATCATGTATGATAGGTATGTGTCGCCCGTATGGCAGATACGGCACGGCACCATGTGGTAATTCCATTCACAATAGTCCAGGAACCATGGATTCGCAATATGACTTGGATGAGTGTGTCATAACGTACATCAAAAGTAAAGAACTAATTGCAAAGCTTACCTGGAACTTGAATTCGTGCACCAGAACATGAGACTCTAAGCAAATCAGATGAAACTAAAGCTTGTGTGACTGATGGATGGTCTGACTAAGGGCTATGTTAGTTTGCATCATCCTTGAATTTGGTTTTTATGTCATACATGGTACTTCATGCTAATCGAGTAAGACTACGGGCAAAGAATATTCAAGTTTTCCAATGTCTTTTGTGCAAGACGATCCAGCACTTAGTAGCCGCCCGATAATACCGACTCTAAATACATCCGATAATTTCAATGCGCAAGGTCTCAAGAAAGCACTGAATCAACACTGACTATATACTCTCGCCCTCAGCCAAAGATGCTGCAGACAATTCGTGTTCTTGGTGTCACGAGCCTAAGGATCTGATGGAGTGAACTTGATTGGAAAGCTGCAATTGGGTAGCTAAGCGAATTAGCTCAATGCCAAGCGCCCACACCACCCGCCAGAAACTTCGACCTTCGGCCGCCACTCGACTTTCGACAGCCCTCGATCGCTCGCTCAATCCATCGACAACGATTCCACAACGTTAAACCAGGAATTCCAACTCGTCTTAAAACGTCAAGATGGTGAGTCCTGCCCTTTTCTCGATCACACATGCGCCTCAGAGAGATACGAGCCGGACGTTCACGCGACTGTCCGCATTCGCTCCGATTTGTGTCTCTGCGGTCGTGTGCACAATTTCATCGCCTACAACCGCTACTATTGTCGTGCCTTTGCTAATTTCGCATACAGGTTCTCGCAGTTGATCTCCTCAACCCCACCCCCGCCGCGTACGCTTCCAAACTCCGACTACACTGTCCACACGCAGGCGCTAATCGTTGACGCAGTGAGGCCAAGAAGCACAAGCTGAAGACCCTTGTGCCCGCACCCCGCTCTTTCTTCATGGACGTCAAGTGCCCCGGCTGCTTCACCATCACCACCGTCTTCTCGCACGCAAACACAGTCGTTGTCTGCCAGGGCTGCTCGCAGGTCCTGTAAGTGGCATCACATCGAACAGAACGAAGCTGGCGCAGGCTAATATAAGAATAGGTGCCAACCGACCGGTGGCAAGGCGCGGTTGACTGAGGGCTGCTCTTTCCGAAGGAAGTAAACGTGTCCTAGGACGACGGCAGCGGAGGATTGACGGTTCACGACGATGATGATAATGGGATAGGGTGTAGATCTCATATGGTTCCGATCGACTCGACCGCAGGATAGAAGAGGGATCTCGAGTCAAGCCAAAATCAAAACGGGAGTTCCGGATATTCAGCGTTGATCTCGGCCACCCTTTCTATCATGTTTCCTATGTTCGGCATGCGTTTCTACAGCTTTCATGTATATGCATGTGGGAGGCGAGATAGCATTTCAGAGCTTCGGATCAATCGTCCGAGAGCGAGGACTGGGTTGCATATCGAGGATGTCCCCGCCTGCAACGGTCCTTTGTAAAATCGAACAACCAGTTCCTCACGCTCACTGACCATGGATGAGTCTACTTAATTGACGTTGATACCATCTGTTACCCAGCGAAATGATCTAACACTAGCTTACCCCATTATGAAACCCGTGTATTATTGCCCCAATCTACTCCTCGTTTGTCGTTCCTGACGAGTAGGACTCCTATTAATCCAGTATGTATCTTACAGGCCCACTAAACGCATATCTACCCAATCACTACGATGCTTTCATTCGTATTCGTCTCCCTGGTGCTATGTCATCTATCCGTACGACTGCGGGGGGCGTGCACCGACTATTTGAGGTCTCAGGTATGATTGAAGGCGGGGTCGCTTGTTGACTGATTCACATTGCTGGGTGAAAGTATGTGAAGAAGAATAGCGTGCTCAACATGGAGGTGGTTACAGCTCAGTTTCGATGACAGTAGCTACATTGCTACACAATTCAGAACGAAGAACAGGCGCAGTGAACCTCTCTTCAACTCTTATACAAACCCACGATGTGCATCTGCGGCCTGCAGAACATTACCCTGTGATACGTGGTACAACGGTGTCTGTTGAGATGTGCCTGTAGAGGATCACCATAACGAGGGCTCAAACTCTCAAAGATCTGTGTGCTATCGTCAACCAAACCAGACATCTTTCAATCTCTAAGAATGCGGTCTTTCGCAAATCTCACCGCACTTGCTGACCCCAACCTCATTACCAGCCAAATAACTATCAATGGGCAGGTCATCGGAAATGGGGACCCTGCAGCTGTGATCAACGACAATGCCTTGGGATGGCAGTATCTATGGAAAGGGCATTTGCTTGCTCGCTGTAATATTGGAGCTGTGAGCATGCATTGCTATCGTGTGGGTATAGTGAGCGATCAGTGCCGAAAGGATGTGCTTGAAAACATGCGTGCAAAAGTATTTACGACAGAGCTTTCCTTGTTAACATTTAGGGATATATGTAAAGGAGCCTTACCAGTGTATTTAATGCCTCTGATGGATCCATGGATCCATGGATGGTCTTCGCCAACCAATTCGTCTGATACCCGGGGACAGACAGAATCAGACGAAGCACAGGGTGTGGGCGTATGCCGGGATCCTTGAACTACCCGGGCTGGTGTCTACGTTCACCTATTGTGGTCTATGACCCCAAGACTTGCATCGTGACATCTGTTCAGCGCTTTACCCGCATAAGCAGGAGAGGGGTTTAGCTGCAGCTTCCCGACCCACCGCGGTGAGCCGCGGGTCGAGATGCCCATTTGGCTTGGAACCTGCATGCCGCATGACAGGAAAACCGTAAATTTCGCCGAGCTCCGATGCTCAAATAAGTCAGTCACCCCACGATAAACAAAGGGTCCACCGCGAACAACAGGTTTCCTTCTCGACTGAGCGCAGCACGGTCCTTTGAGTACTTCTATCGAACGAGGTGTTGTCTGTGCGCTTGGGCCTTTTCCGCGATTCAGAGCCCCCAACTTCGACGTCATTCTACGCGCCGCGGCATCCTCCACGCTTAAAAGAAGCCGAAGAATAAAACATGGCTAGTACACCGCAGCCCACTGAGTCCGAGATCTACATTCGGGAGTTCCTCTCTGCCAATCCGGCGCTCGACAAAGAGTTGGGCGAGGTTGAAGTTATGACAGACCGGTACACAAATGAGGAGTGGACGAAACAAATTGCGGAAACGCAGAGAAAGGTCTTGGCTGAAGTAAAGGATAGGAGAAAAGAAGGAGGGAGAGGATGGAAGTACGACGCTCCAAAAGCGGCAAGTACGGAGCTCGCGAAAACGGTAGACCATACGGTGCTGAAGTTGGACGCGAAAGAGGCACAAATCGATGCGCTGTGCGCTGAGGCAAGGGTGGAGAACTTCAAGAGCGTATGCGTCCGCCTACCCTGGGTCCAGAGATGCGTCAACAACCTCAAAGGCACAGACGTTGTTGTAGCCTGTGTCGTCGGCTTTCATGAAGGTACTCAGGATACATATGAAAAGCTGCGGGAAGCGCGAGCCGCTGTTGCTGCCGGCGCCGCCGAACTCGATCTCGTCCTCAACTATAGTATTCTGACCAAGCATAACCCTCCCTCTTCGCCAACACTTTCCTCGCGAGACTCAACAACAGACACCATAACCGCCGCCAACACAGCCGCAAATGCACGTCCACGAGCTGGAACCGCCGCCACGGAGGGCCCTTACTCGGTTGACGGCGCCGTCTCCTCCGTTAGTCAAGAAGATGAAAGCGAGATTCCAGACTACAGCTCCATATATAAAGAGCTAGCCTCCATCCGCGCCCTCTGCCCCAACCCCACCGTAATTAAACTCATCCTAGAAACCTCCCAACTTACCGACCACCAAATCCTCGCCGCGGCGCACCTCGCTGCCTCGGCGAATCTAGACTTCATCAAGACCTCCACGGGTTTCAACGGCCCCGGTGCCACGCTTCCGCATGTGCAGCTCATGGTCACGGCTGCCGAGTATCTCTCTACTAGAACGAAGAGTAACGGCGGCAGCCCCGTACGCGGTGGGGGTCGCAAGATGGAGGTCAAGGCCAGTGGCGGGGTTAGGAGCTGGGAAGATGCACTGAAGATGTTGGAGGCGGGAGCGACGAGGCTGGGAACGAGTAGCGGTGTATGGATTATGCAGGAGAGTAGGAAGATCCTGGAAGCCGAGGCCGCCGGTAAAAGACCTGGGATGACTACACGGCTGTACACGGACAACTCTGTGGCCGACGAGTACTAAGCTGTGTTAATTGCATGTGGAGGAGTTATTTGGGTTGCATTGGGAGGAGCTTGGGATCGCGAGATACCATTGTGTTTTGGCACAAAAGATTAGGCACACAACCGCGTACAAATACACATTTCGCTGCCTACTGTTCTGATTTGCTTTACGTGTGACCCCTCGCATCATGCCCTCACGCAGATCTCCTCAAATTTCACTAAGCATAACTTCTGTCCTCAGTAGCATTGACGTTATCCTCTGAATTCTCTTGATAACCTTAAATAGAAATCCTGGACTCCACCCCGCTTGACCATACCGCTCAAGTGTAATCCTTCTTGTCTCTACAGCATACATAACCCTTGGACGGGAACACTAACTTTGCAAGATTGAGCCCTCGTGATCGCTTCTAGTAGATGAGAGTGAGCAGCCAGACTGGCGATCTCTCCTTGTACCTCTCTAAGGCTTTTGCAAGGTCCAAAGTCTGCGGCTGCTACTTGAGTCTCAGAGCCGATGTATATTTTCACGCCAGTTCTTCCTTTCCATAGACGAAGTTCGTGTGCTGCTCATAGCCAGCTCCTGAGGAAACCCCTAATCTCGAGCAGTACGGCTTGCTAAAGATGTTACGAATAAAAAAGGCGACCTGCTAAGAGCTTTCTTTAAAGTTATCTAAACGAGCATTGGCGGAACCTCTTGCAACTGCTCGATGGAAGGTAGTTCCGGATGTAGCACATCGCTTCGTCGGTGATTGGGTCTCGCGGACTGATCCACACAAAGACCTCGCGAGGCCCTCCGCATATCATAGGCATGTACTCAATTTAAATGTCCTTCTCGGGATGGCGTCGTCCTGTATGATTGGCAAAGGGCATCTATCCGCTCTATCGCTCTTCGTTCTTGCAGCAATTTTGCATCTTGGCGATGCGTCACAACATGCTGTATAAATTCTTAGTAACGGCGGTTGACCTTGAGTCATTATACCTATATACTACGCGAGGACCATGGATTCTGGAGCTCTTTTGTCCCCCCCCCCACCTATGCGACACAGCGGTACGAGTGATGCAAGGAGATGTTACTTCCATGGACAATTTGATGCGACATTGGATGGGATTGCCTGCATTATAAGGTAGGACTTCGATTAGCGGAATTGGCCCCAGGATCGACTCAGAGATAAGATGGTGGAATCTCCGGTATACAACCCTATAAGGTTCGCGATGACGTGCTCTTAGTTCCCAGTGGAATGAAGCGCTTGAGCTTTGGGATTCTCTAACTCTCTTCGATCTTTTATGATATAGCCTTGGACATGACTCACTCGGGAGGCGGAAATATGCACTCCACGGTCGCTGTTGCCATCTTTCCACGGGTAGGTTCAGATATTCAGATCTTCAAGAACTCATAGTGGACTGGTCGGGTACGACGCGGCGTACAGCCTTGATATCTGTGGGAACTGTATGTTCCTTCGAATGCTACGCTGCGATTTTTGAGCCGGCGTGCCGGCGACCATGCATCCTTAGGTGGTATGGTATCCACCCACCAAGGTAGCGGAATCATTCTCCTGTAGCGCTCTGGTGTGCAAGAGCACCGGCGACTCCTGCTGCGGCTGTTTTTGTCAGAGCTGTTCATCGGAGTAGAGTTCCGTGGCCGGACGCTATGAACTATAGTCAGCGTCGTTATAGATTTGCGTTAAAGGGTGAGGGGCATCAGGCTGAAGTCTTTGGAACTTCCATGTCGCCAAGAACAAAGCTATACAGACCGCAGTGTACCAGCAGATCATAGCTGCAGCTGCATGCATGATTAAGCGAGCGCCACAGCCTTGCGCGGACAGACCGTAGGTCGATGCTCACTTTTTGAAGTCATTCAAATTGTCAAATAGAAACAAAATGACGTCTTGCAGCAGGCAGCAAGCGCGTGCGCGCTTTAAGGACAAGTGCCCTAGGGACGAGGGAGAACGCTTGTTCAGGAAAGTATGTGGAAGGTTTACGGACAGTGTAGAGGCAAAAAGTTTCAAGTGCATGATGACGCAACAAGACCATGAACAAGCGGGAATATGTATTCTATGACCACAGGGCCTGACTGCGAAGCAGCCAATTCGTTCCAACATGTACTAAACCAGACTACACAAAAGAGGCACACCCTTATAGTTATCCAGCCTGGATATCCAAAGATGACAAGAAATGCACATTCGAAGGGTAGAAAGGCGATGAGAAGGAGGAAAACCAGGCGAAAGCCAAGAAGCTGATAAGGGCAGAAGGGAAGACTCAATCCACTCGCCATGCTCGCTTCAGGCTGATCGTATGAGATGTTCAAATCCAAGACGCGACGCTATCCAAGAGCTTTTTCCTGTATAGAGAGGAATTTCAGCAAAGTACAAGTGAAGAGATAAAGAAGGGTATTGAAGAGGTTGAGAAGAGCGATGAGAGGAGGCGTCTGATGATTCGAATCCAGTGATAGGTCGAGACTCGAAGCATTACATGACAGTGCAGCTGCTGCTCTGATCCTTGTTTGTCTTGACCGACAGGGCAACACGTGCAGCTTCTGTGAAGGCCTCGTTCACACCTCGGTTCTTCATGGCGGAGCATTCTATCATTCAGGTTAGCACAGAACTAGCTACTGTCTTCAGGTGAAGTACCCAGATATCGAAGGGCTTTGATCCTTTCGGCGACCTTGAGGCCTTCGTCGTATTGGATCAGGGCTTTCTCAGGTTGTGCTCCTTCTTCGTCATCGTCCTTCTTCCGCAGATCGCACTTAAGGGCAACCAGAACGAGCTTAACGCCAGGACAGTTCTCTGCGATTTCGGAAACCCATTTGGTCTCTACGTTCTCAAGCGAGTCGGGAGAGTCAACGCTGAAGCAGAGCATGATAGCGTGCGTATCATCGTAGCTAAGCGATCGTAACCGGTCGAATTCTTCTTGCCCGGCAGTGTCCCAGAGGCTGAGCTCCACGTGTGTGTTGTCGATATAGATGTCATGTACATAGTTCTCGAAGACGGTAGGCTCGCTACAGAGCGTGGGGTTAACGCAATGTGGTGGAGTGGGGGAAACGGCGCGACTTACTATACCGTGGGGAAGTACCTGAGCGCGTAGAGGTCAGCTGAAATGATCCATTTGCATGCTATAGGGGCGCATAGAGACACACGTACCCTCTCGTGAAGACATTGAGCAGAGATGTCTTGCCGCAAGCACCGTCGCCGCTATAGGAAGCTGTTAGTCGCGCCGGGTCATGGTTCATACCCGAGCATCCACCAGTTGCGTCTGGCAGCAGGGGCGACGTACAGGAGCACTAGCTTGCGCTGCACAGACTTTGTTCCACCACAGAGCGGCATCGCGAAGGCCTTGGGTTGTTCGGAGCGATCGATTCGCACCGGCTTGTTGGGGACTCGAGCGCTTGCGCGGACGTGGTACGGGGGGTTCTTAGGTGTGGTGGGGCTCGAGCGAGGACAGTGTGCGTCGCACCGAGGCGAGGGAGCGTAGGAGGGCGGTTAAGGATATCGACAGCGAAGGAGAGGCGCTCCAGAGGCCGGGCTGGAGTCGCAGACGGGATGGATAGCGAAGTCGACTGGGATGCGTTAGCTAGGCTAGGCGCTCGCCTCTCCACCATTTGGCCGGGCACAGAGTGCGCCACGCCCGCGCTGCCAACCACCCAGACTGCCGGCTAGCTACGTGCCGGCGTGCGATCAGGCCGGCGAATGCGCACTTACCTAGGTACTGAGATAGCGATGCGGGTTGATGCCGTGGACGATAGGTGGGTGTTGTTGTAGGAATGCAGGAGGTGAGAGAGGAGGGCAAGACACTGAGGTTGGCAATACGCGGAAAGTAGGTCATCCATGGATCGCCTTTGCCAACACATTCGGTACCTGCTTTGGTCCAAAACCATCAGCATCCGACCGCTCGTCGCGCGATCGCAATTCACCGCAAAAATCTTTCAAGTCCTTCCGCAGAACCAGACTCTTGCGATCTCGACGTCATCAACCAAGCAATGGCTCGGATGACATGCCAGTCCAGTCTTCTTCTGTACCCCACGTTTTGTCCGAAGCTGCTCCACATCTGATGTGTAGCCCGTTGTGAGGTATTCTAGCACCAGCCACTAGTTCACGATCCGCTCGTTATCTACGACATATCACGCAGTCCAGCAGACCGCTAGTAGATACAGCGCTTGGAAGACACCGAGGTATGTTGCTTGTTAGTGACTCAACACTTCAGAATGTATGTTGCTTGTCAGTGAATCAACACTTCAGAATGTATGTCCTTATTCCAGAGAATGGGTAATCACTCTGGCGCACGGCACACGAAAGAATCCTGCCGACGTCCCTCCTTTGTTGTTGTTCTAATCACGTAGCGTGTTATTCCAGAACGCATGATACAGCCACCGGCTCAAACGGAATCTGCGTGTTCAACCCTACTGATTATGTTTGTTGCTCATCTGTGTGATGCTGACGGGCTGTCTCTCATCAATTTGGTAGGGACACCGAGCACGTCCGATTGGCTCCAGCAATGTAGAGATGGCCCTGATCTGCTCCAAGAGTATATAAAGACTTTGATCTCTCATGCGTGGAGGAAGAAGAAAACTCGCAAACAAAATGTAAAGTGGTGCGTGCGTGTATCTGTTGATGTTCGAGTGTAGCCCCTCCATGACTAATGTGGGGCGGGGACCTCCCGCTCGTACAAGGCAACCGCGACCGCGATTGTTGTATCTCACCGCACGTCTTGAATCTCTGCCGCTTGCCTTTCAACGCCAAGTCTCTTGCGACCACGGTCCGCGAGTCACCGCTGGCCTCCAAATACACGCAATGTCCGACGACGATGATTTCATGCAGGATTCTGAAGAAGAGTACGTTCAATACGCAGTATCTCTGTCTCTGCTCTGACTAGTAATAGGTACGACTTCGAGTACGAAGACGACGATGAAGAGCAGAGCGGCGACGTGGATATCGAGAACAAATACTACAACGCGAAGCAACTTAAGGGCGACGAACCTGAAGCGGCGATCGATGAGTTCCTGGGTATACCTGCGCTGGAGGAGGCGAAGGGCGACTGGTATGTTGTGGAGGAGTCTCTGTATGAGTGTGGCTGACCGGCTGTAGGGGGTTCAAAGGTCTGAAGCAGGCTATCAAGCTCGAGTTCAAACTTGCTCGCTACGATAAGGTCAATATTTACGATGCCACGGTCGATCATGATTCTAACAAAGAAGCAGGCTGTTGGGCATTATAAAGAGCTTCTCACTTACGTCAAGTCGGCCGTGACGCGAAATTACTCCGAGAAGTCTATCAACAACATGCTAGACTTCATCGAGAAGGCTGCCGAGGACCCAGAGGCGTACCGCTGCATGGAGAGGTTCTATGCTCTCACGCTCGACACATTCCAGAGCACCAACAACGAGCGGTTGTGGCTGAAGACGAACATCAAGCTGGCACGACTTTGGTTGGAGCGAAAGGAATACCGGCAATTGACTGAGAAGGTGCGCGAGCTGCACAAGGCATGCCAGAAGGAAGACGGAACCGACGATCCGAGCAAAGGAACCTACTCGCTAGAGGTCTATTCATTAGAAATCCTCATGTATGCAGACACGCGGAATAACAAGCGCCTGAAGGTTCGTTTCATTGAATCACTTTACCACTGCGCTTTCCCCTCTAATTACCCTATAGGCTCTCTATCAACGAGCTCTCAAGGTGAAGTCAGCCGTGCCACATCCCAAGATCATGGGAATTATCCGCGAATGTGGTGGTAAGATGCATATGAGCGAAGGTAAGAATTAGAGTGGTCTAGAGCGAATGCAGTGACTAATACATGGTAGAGAACTGGAAGGGAGCACAAAGTGATTTTTTCGAGAGCTTCCGAAACTACGATGAGGCCGGGTCTCTCCAGCGGATCCAAGTGCTGAAGTACCTGGTACTCGCAACCATGCTTTCGGGCTCAAACATCAACCCTTTCGATTCGCAAGAGACCAAGCCGTATCAAAACGATCCTCGTATTTCCACCATGACTGACCTTGTTAATGCTTACCAGCGCGAGGATATCCATGACTACGAGAAAATCCTCAAGAACAACCAGGACCTGCTTCAGGACCCCTTCATCGCCGAGAACATTGACGAGGTCACACGGAATGTCAGAACCAAGGCTGTGGTCAAGCTAGTTGCTCCCTACACCCGGTTCACGCTCGCGTTCATATCGAAGCAGCTCAAGATATCTCTTCCCGAGGTGCAAGATATAGTTGGCTTCCTCATCATTGACAAAAGCCTTCGAGGCAAGATCAATCAACAGACGGGCACGGTTGAGATCGAGAGTAGTACAGACATGGATCGGGTAAAGGCGATGGAAGAGTGGAGCGCCGCCATTGGGTCCTTGTGGGCCACGGTCCTGAACGAGGGAGAAGGGTTCAAGTTGTCGGACGACGGCGGTTCGCAGTATGCACAGAGTGGCGGCGGACCAATGACACAACAGAGTCTGAACGGCTTGGGAGCCAAACATGGAAGAGCTCTGAAAGGCAAGGGTCCGGGTCGATTGCTTGGAGTTGGTAGCAAAGGATGACTTACAGATAGCGTTCTGCGAGCTGTATCACAAGGAACCAACATGACTGGGTTTTGGGAGCATGCCACGGGACCTTCAGTTGCACAATACCGTCACGCAGGCTTTTCTGACCTGGTGAATTGAAACATGCGGGTCAGGATCCCCAGGAGAAGAGAGCACGGTTGGTCACGCAGGTAGCACAGGGCAGGAGTGTCCTCTTCAATGGCGCACGTCCTCGGCGGAGAAGTTCGGGACTTGGTGTAGCACGACAGGTAGCGGAACGATTGTGCGGACGGCCGGACACTCCAGCCCGCGTCGCGTCGCCGCCCCGCTCAATGTTTGTGATGCTTTGGGATGAGGTTATGGTGACTTTGATGTATCTCCCACGCCGCTTCCGCAACTCAGGATTGTGGGATCGTCTGCATTGATGTTTCTGAACACAAGCGAGCCGCACAGCGACAGGCAATGTGCCCACGCAATCCCCTTCTTCAGACCTAGCCGACTTCGGGTGCAGCGTGGGGGACTGTGCCGACGTAGTTAAGTTGCGCGCGCGTCAAGCGTTCCTTTTGCTTGCCGCGTCGGCGCCACTTGGTCAATGGACGAATCACGCGCTGCACGGAGGGTGAGGAGAGACAGCAGCCGACGCGAGGCGTTCAGTGTGAGATGTCTGTGAGAGGTAGTCTTGCCCATACACTCCATGAAATTCCATGTTCCTCTTGCGCCGCCAGAAGCTGCGCGTCACAGAGCCCTGCCGGGTAGCGGCGTGTTGGCCGTTCGTTGGACCAGCTTGGACTTGCGGGCCTGTGTCCCAGCGACGGTTTTGGCGAAGGGACAGAGTCAGTGACGTTGTCGTATAGTGCTCGCTTCGTGGTGTTGCTCCTGAAGATCAGACGCGTCTGCACGTCAGGTCTTGATAGACGGTCATCACAGCGGCCGCTTGTGTATTTCTTTTGCTCGAGGAGACGCAGGCGCTGTCCGCCCTTGGGACTGGAGTTGCCTCCCTCTTGTACTCCTCGCTCCCCTTCCGGTTTCACATGAGCAGCCCCATCCTTCGATGTGCAGGAGGCGTCGTTAGCACTGACTGAGATCGATACAGGCTCCTGGTGCAACCCACACAAGCCGTCGGCCGCTGAGGAAGCCCTTGGGTACGCCGGGGGCTTTTTGTGCCTGGCAGCAGACATTCAAACGTCGTCCCCAGCCCCGGAGATCGCAGTGTTTCCTGATATATTGGGGGGCGCCCGTGAAAGGTGGGTAGCACCACAACGACACAGCTCCAGGCGTCGGCCGCGGCATCTGCACCTACTAAAGAGACTGAGTCCCCCGAGGGTGCTCGTGGACAAGCTAGCCATTGCTGTGCTGCCGAGGACGCTGTGGAATTCCAGCATCCAATTGCCCGCCGCTCGATCCCGTCACGCTACGAACCCAGGGACGCTCGCCGCCCGGTGCCATCAGAGCCCTTTCGTCCCGCCCCCGCCTGCGACGAGCGCATCGACTTCGCTCAGAGTACTCTGCGCGCCTTCACTGCCATGGCCACACCCGTCATGGCCGGAGGTTTCCAGGCCTTTGGGCACGTCCCAGCGCACTCACACTACCACGAATCACCGCTCGCGTTTGGCCCGCCGCACCTGCCGTTCCGCCCGTCTGAGCTAGCCTCCGCCCGCTACCAACACCCTCCCGCTGGCCACTTCCACTACAACCAGACCACCAGCATGGCAGACGCGCCCTTCCTGACCCCGGAAGAGGAGTTTGCCCAGCTCCAGAAGCTCAGCAACGAGTACGAGCCCGAGGTCACGGTCAGTTGCGCTTCCAACACCGCCCGTGGGGCAGCGCTGACAATTCATTGCAGGGCCCGCTTGTCGGCGACCGCCAGAGCAGCAGCGCCATCGCGACTGAATACGCGAATGCAGACCCCATCTACAGGGTCAAGACGCAGGCTCTGCCCAGCAAATATGCCTTCTTCCGCACCTGCAGGGGCGATGGCCACTGCGGATGGCGAGGTGAGTTTGTGACGATGCCACCGTGACGTGTTTGCATTGACCCGTCTTCGCAGCAATTGCCTTTGGCTACTTCGAGGCCCTGCTGCATGTGGGCGATGTCGCCAAGTTCGACGTCGAGGAAGCCCGTCTGATTTCGATGAACAATCTCCTCAACCTTGCTGGTTTCTCCGAAGATGTTTACATCGACTTTGCCGAAGAGGCCTACGATCTACTCCGCAAGCTGGGTGGCTCGCTGCAGGTCGGCAACGGCGCAAGTCTACTGCTCGAGGCCTTCAACGACATGGGCGTCTCCATGGCCATCATCACATACGTAAAGGTACGCAAAAAACCCTGACTACCTCTTGGACTGCACTAAAATGAGCAGCTCCTTGCCAGTGCCTGGATCCAGTCGCGGGCGGAAGAGTATCAGAATTACCTTCAAATCGACGTAAAGAGTTACTGCTCGCAGAACATTGAGGCTGCCGTCTGTGAAATAGATGACATCGCCGTGGCTGCGCTCTCAGAAGCTCTCGTCAAACCAGCCGGCATCGGCCTTGAGATCCTGTACCTGGACCGTTCCGTCGGCGATGAGGTCAACGCCCATGCAATCTCGCAGCCGATGAACTTCAACGGTCTCTTGCCCATGATCCGCTTGCTTTACCGACCGGGCCATTACGACATTCTCTACAGAGCCGAGGACTTGCCTGCCCCTCAACAGCAAGCGACCATACATGTGGCCCTTGCCTATAATAACAACCACAACTTCGAAGAAGCCTCACCCGACGCCAATCTCCTGTCCATGATTCCTGGAATGTATTCGCACAACCGCTTCCAGACCGTGGACCAGAGCTTCGGACATCGTTGGCCGCCGGCTACTTACGATTTTGATCCGACCCCAGCCCCGCAGCCTCACATCACTCCTATCCAGCCGTATGCACCTCCTCCACCAGCTCCAGTGGCACCTGTGTCTGTTGCTCACCAAGACTTCATGTCTCCGGTACACGCAAGCCCGATAAGCCATCAGAGTCCGGCAAGTCATCACAGCCTCCAGCTGGAACAGCAACCCATGCAGCTTCCATTCCATCCACATCCACCTCCACCGCTTAGTATAGATCGAGCACCTATCACAGTTGAGCGAGGGGGGCCTTTTAGGCCTTCAATGTACGAACTGGAGCCAGGCTTTGGTACCGGCGAGGTCACCCCATTCCAGACGAACATTTTCCGGAAGTAAGTTTTGCTCTGACTCACTTGAAATTCTTTATGTATTGATTCACATAGTTCGCATTTCAATACCTGTCACTTCATGAACCCATCGTTTCAACCCGAGGAATGGTCACCTCATGAATACCGAACAGGCAACAAGGGAAGACACAAGTCTGCCTCGCAGTAGCACGACTTTCTTTTGAGCGTGAATTTTACCCTCACCATTCGGAGGCACATTCCGACCTTTCAGCGACCAGCGCCGGCGTTTATCGAGCACTATTTGCTTTCAGTACTTGCATCATTCCCTGCCTCTATGGCCTGGATCTTACCATGACTAACGACGATACCATTGCTATTCCAATTCTCGGATCTATTTCCATAGCAAAACCTGAACTGGGCGGATGTCTGCTTCACTTGTCACCAGATTGCAAGAAGCCTCCCGCGAGGATGATGAAGTTACGACCAAGACTATCGACCTCCACGGGTGCCAACTTGAACATACACGTATTAGCGGAAACTCTCTTAGGGTATACATTCATCAACATTATTTTGTTTAATCACAGCCGTCTCCACACTTCAACCAATATCTGGTATGCGCGGTCTTTCCTGGTCTTTCTAAGCCTTCGTACCCGAGGGCTGTTCGGCCCCTCCAGCAATTACTCGGGGGCCTAGGTCGTCCGAGCACTCACGTGACGGGGCTAACGCCTTGCTACATAATTGTCTGTCTCGGATCGGGGCTACCCGATCACTTATTCAACGCGTACCACTATCCGAGACTCGCCACGGAAGTCCACGACGTTTCCCGCAGGATTAAGGCTTTGAAAAAGGCGCAATACAGGCGCCTCGAACACCGCTGGCCAGATCGAATCGCAGGGATGAGCTAAGGAGGATGACAAGCAATCATAGGCGGATGACTGGGTGAGCGCGGCATGGCTGATGCTCCTGTCATAGACATCACCGTGGACGTGCGTATCACGGGTCTAATGGTTCGGGCGCGGAAAGTTTAGATAAGAACTAGAGAGCTGCCAGAAAATACAAATAACACCACAGTAGCTCGGCACTATCGACCTGCTACGGTAGCTCATCTGATCATCATGTCTTTGACCGTACGTGTCTTGTCGTTGTTCATCTCACGCCGCTGAGTACATGTCTTAGAGCTCGAGATGCTTGTGCAGTCGCTGCTGGGACAACTCAATAGTCAGAACGGCGCCACTATGGTACTAGATCGAAAGCCTTGGTACGATCGGTAACACGATGGGCCCCATTAAAGAGCGGCTCTGCAAGCACACAGATTTAGGCCCGCATTCAGCTCGGGCCATTGTTCTCCCAACCGAAAGTAACTTTGTCCAGGACAATCATGGTTGACGGCATGCTAAATCGTGAAGCACTTGTTCCGACGACTGACTGACTCGGGAGATGCTGCAGGCACGGCGTTGAGCGCAGGTACTGAGCAGCACAGGCGAGGACACGAGAAAAAGAAAACATGTTGAGGCATAATATATGTACGTATGTGATACACGCGCAGGCTGCGCAGCATGCACCGGGCAGACCAGGCCACATGCACGAAGGCGCCGCCCCCGTCTGCACGGAAGATTCCACGGCGAATCGATCGAAGCGTTCACCGTCTTTCTTGTGCGCTGCAGAGGTGTGGAGGAACGAGAGCTTGGCTGACGCGAGTAGGAGGGAAGTATGGCTATCTACAGCCGGTTCGGACTCAGTACATTACACTACGAGCGAAACCCCCTTCTTCACGATACGGCGGGTCACGCTCTCCCATCATCGTGACATCGTCGCTCCCTTACATCCCTCCTCCTATCAGGTCCCCTCTACCCTCGAACAGGCAAGATCCTCCATCTGCACGACTTCCCGCTCAGGCCCACAAGACCCGCCCGCTCTCCGTAGCACAGCATCGGCGCAATCTGCGCCACGCAGCAACGCGCCTGCTCAGCAGATGACGCCTGTCCATCGAGCTGAACGCCTCAAGGGCATCTGGTTCGTCAAGGGTCGCACCTTGTATGCGCCGACACGACATGCTACCCCGCTTTCCCTGTGTTCAGTGTCCGCTCGTGGCGCTGCTGGTACGAGGCTTCGGAAGAGCGTAATGAAGAGGGGCAGATGCTGCGGCTAAGGCTTCCGAGACATGGCGTGAGCCCAGGGTACACATGGGATGGTGGGAATTGGAGAGTGAGGCGAGGAAGCTTGGGCGCTGGCGGCGTATTCATACCTTGAATCGCTGGGCACGGGGTGCTGGGCAGTTTTGCCGGGCGGTTTATGATAGTGACAAGCAAAGCCCGGGTTTCAAAGTGAAGGGCATGACTAATGAGAGGCTTCTGGGGCTCCTGGGGCTTCGTGGGCCTCGTGTACGTGTCCGGTGCCCGTTCTGTGATACAGAAGTCAGAGGCTCTAGAGCCGTGCACTCTTGATGGTCCAGCGACGGAAAGGGCCGTCAAACATGGTGGCCTGCAGGCCGATATATCCTCGGTACACCGTCGGTGCGCATGTATGCACTCAGGGCACTCATAGCACAGGGCACGTCCAGTTCGAGTACCATCGAGAATACGCGCTTTGGTTCTCAAGCGTCTTTCAGTCATACCTTGGAGCACGGACGGTCTCCCGAGGACTCGTCTGGGGATGGACAGACGCGTACCGAGCCGCAGGAACAGTACGCTTGAATCGTTACCGGGATCACCTCATTCCGAAGGAGTGGCTTCAGAACTACCGTCGGAAGAATCGCCGTCGTCGTTGTCGTGGTGCGATTCTGACTCGCCCGAGCCATTGCCTCTCATTTCCACATCGCCGGTACCTCCGTTTGCGAGATTACCCTGTGCCTTGACTTTACTCTGGCTGCGTTGGGAACGCTTTCGCTCCTCGCTCAGCAGATATTCCTTCTCTTCTCGCATTTCAGAGAGTTGTTTGAAAGTGACTTTTTGGACACGCTGTAGACTGGCGAGCTGCTTCCTTAATTCTTTCACCTCGTTAGACTGCGTGGCGCCCAGCATCTCCTGTGCCCTTGCGTCTGCGTTCAACGAAAGGAAGTCGGCAGCCGGAGCAATTCCTCCACTTGAAGGAGCGTTCCATGTTGAAAGCTCAGCGAGGCTCGCTTCGAGCATAGCTTGCGGGAAGCTGGGATGTACCAAAGCTTCTTCGAAAGCGTTCTTTTTCGCTACTGTTTCCGTTGCGGATATGACAGGTCTCTTGAGGTGACCATTGAGTTGCATAGTTAGAGTGTAGTTGGGCGGGACAAGCGCGTTGCCTTCAGGTACGCCGCTGTCCTGCTTAGGCTTCACTACTGTCTGGATCTTGAAGGTCGGCTCTGTAGCAGCCGGAAATCCAACAGGTTCAAGAAATTTCAAGTTCGTCACGGGGCCGGGCAGATTCGTCGCTGTCGACAGGTAATTTCCCTTCGCAGTATCCCATACAGCAATCTTGCCGGTGGTATGTCCTGAGATTAGTGTCTGCCCATCCCAGCTTAAGCTCAAAGCGAGGGCGGCACCAAGCTTTTGTGATTCCGCATTGAATCTTGTATTTGGAGAGGGCTGTATAGGACGATGTGATGACGCTGTATCTCGAAGAGTGTCCGTTGCCGTAGTCTTCTGCATGTCATCGTAAAAGTCGACCGTCTGCAGACTTCCATCTCCGTATGCCAGATGGAAGGCGCGGTCAGCGGGATCGAGGGTGATGGCCTGCGGGAGCTCCGGAAGCAAGTACGTCCTGAGCAACTGTCCATTATAATAGTCCCAAAGTATAGCCGACTTGTCTTCAGACGTGGAAATGGCAATGTTAGCACTGCTAGAGCTGTGACCGCAGACAATAGAGGAGATAGGGCCGCGGTGGGTGGAGAGGGTATGTATGGGAGAGCGCGACGTGTCCGGCGAGAAGGAAAGGATGGCGGGCAGCGCCCAGACGTGGATCATTGCATCTGGCGAGCCGGAGAGGAAGAAGTTGGACGTGGGATCGACGGCGAGGGATGTGACAGGTTGGAGATGGGAGGTAGAGGTCGACACCAGTCGGCCGGAGGATATCTTCAAGATGGTCAGCATCCTGTAGTGCTAGTGGTATGCGTATTGCGAACCTCCCAGGCCAGCACTCTGCCACTCTCAGTACCCAGCAGCAGCACCGTGTCTCTGGCCGCAAGCGTGATGCTATGAATTCGCTCGGGAAACGGTATGATTGCCTCCTGATTCCCCTTCTCCCTACTATACACATGTACTACTGCCTTCTCTGCTTGGGCCGCGAAGATGTGCGAGCTGCTCACGGCAAGCCCATTCTGCGCCGATGCGCTCTTTTTGAAGACATGGCGCTGTGCAGCAAGCGGCTGGAATTCGTGGAGGAAAATGCCCGCATCCTTCGTCACGCCGGTGTTTGCTTTCGTTTGGGCGGATATCGACGCAACAAATTGCTCGGTGAGCATTTTGGGGGTTTGATGGCGCGTGGGGTTGGCGGAGCTCACAGCTTCGAATAATTTTTTGGAATGGGAATGGCCGCTAGTGACGTACTCGGTACGAGCCGAGGTCGGTGGGGCCTGATCCTGGTCAAGTTGGACAGTCATTGTTCACATTGTTCACATTGCTTCGCAAATATGTGTTGGTTTTTCGTACATCCGGTCCTCACTCGGATGCTAATTTCTATCGGGCTATTCCAGATGGCGCGGAGAAAGCACTTTCCCTACGGAGCTCTATTCACCCACCGTCAAGAACCCCTCCATGACCTCCACGGCCGCCCCACTCATCTTCAAATCCTCAACCTCCTTTCCGTCTTCCTTCAACAAGACTTGCACATGAATATCGCACCTACGTCCCATCTCGATGCCTTGAGTCAGATGAAATTTTCTCTTCCTTCCTCCTTTTTCGGTCAGACTAAGATAGGCGGCAAGATCGCAACTTGCACTTCCCGTTCCCGGATCCTCCCTACTGCCCAAACTACGAGTGCGCAGCTGTCGCACCCCCGGCTCCTCATCGTTGTAGCCTAGGTCAGTATAGTAGAAGCTGCCTGTATAGCCAGTATCCCAGCCGCTGCCCTTATCGAGGTGCTCGCCCTTGTAAAGCTCCGCCAATGGTAGCAGGCCTGCTGTGGGAACGGCTAGGGCCTCCAAGTCTTTCATGCGGATGAGGTTGAACGCCATACCCTTGACTATGGATACCAAAGGCACGTTTGATGATTCTGAGCCGTTCAACTCCGGAAACGGGTGTGGAAGAAGGTGCTCCTTGTGAAAGTACACGTCGTGAGGGATACCGACGGTTGACGTGCCTAATTCCTTGTTGAACTCGAAAGGAATGATTCCCGCAATGGTACGGAGCTTCTTAACATTTGGGTATGCGTTCGCATGCGCGGCAACGTATATGCTTGTTCCAATGGTAGGATGGCCTGCAAATGTCATTCGCGATAGCGCGGTGAAGATGTCATAGTCGGCGATTTCAGGTTCTTCTGGTGTAGGCTCATGCAGAAATGTTATTTCGGAAAGATTGAACTCGTTGGCGATTCTTTGTTTCTGATGCTCGGACAGTCGAGAGCGGAGGGACGCCGGAACGCGGACTACGCCGAGTGGATTGCCCACGTAGCGTGTTTTGGTGAAGACATCAACGGTCGTGAACTGAAGTTGCATGTTGATGTTCTTGGGAAAGATGAATGATCAATATCCAGGTTGTTCAGTTATTGTCTTCTTGTTATGTATCGAAAAGGAGGTTTTGAATGAGTCACTAAGCCAGCGGAGTCATCGTGGGGGTGGTTGCTTGTGAAATGTTATAAATTTTGATTAGTAAGAATATGCACCATCATGTACCTCTTCAGTCATTGATTAGGATCTTGCTGCGCATGCCATGTAGAATCACTAAGAAGGCTATCAAGCTTCCTTTGCCCATTGCTTCCCACTCCATACCGGTCCCACTGTCCAAAGCCAGTAGTCACGTCCCTTGAGCAACCAGATAGCCCACGACGGAAGACGCCATCCCATCGCCGCTCCTACGCCCTTCGATCTTCCAATCGGTACTAATTGTGTCTCTCTCTTCTCCTCCTTAAACGCCTTCTCTGCAGGTACTTCACCTTCCGCTTTGCCAGCAGCAAGTAAGAGGTCACGCTTGATGTTCGTGCCAAGGATTGGTACGGCTTCCATAATGCTGTGTACCGCAGGTCGAGCATAGTTGGAAACGTCGCCGATGGCGTAGATTCTAGGGCCGGCTTTGTCGACGCGAAGAGTGGATGAATTGGTTTCCACTTGGCTAGTAGATGGGTCTAGTATATCCTCAGAGAGGAATTTCGTATTCGGGCTGAAGCCAGTAGCTGGAATAAAGAGGTCGGCTTCTAGAGTGGTACCATCGCTGAGCTCGAGGGTTGTTCTAGACGCAACCTGGTTCAAGCGTGCTCCAGCGTTGTTTGGAGCCACGCTGAGAACTTTTCTGTTCTTGACGACGGTAACACCCACCTTAGCCAGGTAGTCCTCGGCAGTCTGTGCAATCGATGACCTGAGGTAGGGAAGTATGTTCGCAGACGAAGTCACCAAGGTGATCGGAATTTTCGGGCTTTGGAGCTTTGAGCTGAAAATCCCAGCACGACCATTGAGATGCTCGCCCAACTCGCCTGCAGTCTCCACGCCGGATGGCCCTCCACCAGCAATAATAATACTCTTTGCCGTTTCCAGTCCACTGCGGAATTCAGCCCATGCCTCACGAAGAGCCTTCTCATCGTTGGCATTGAATCCAAATAAGGGAGATGGTGTAGAGGCACCCGTAGCGATGACAAGAGCGTGAAAGGCGACTGTAAGTGTTTGACTGCTTGCGGCTGGCGCGATGGTAACCCTGCGCTGTTCATGATTAACAGCCGTTGCTGAACCGTGGATGAATTCAAAGTGGTGTGTAGAATATCGCTCGAATTGGCTTGGTATGCTGACGAAGAGCTTGTCTTGAGGAAAGTAGTTGTCTGAAATCAAGGCGCGAGGACAGGCCTGCCTGCAAATTGCCTTTGAGGCTGCGCTGACTATTACGATCTTGTATTCCTGCTTTGGTGGAAGGACTGGCAGAGCATGCTTCAGTAGGTAGTGGGCAATGGAGACGCCGCCATAAGAACCACCGAGAATGATGATCTTCTTGCTATTTGAATCATGCTCGGACGCCATGTTTTTTAAGCTCCGACCTTTTGCTGGAACAGTTATAAAGATGTGTCTGGAGACAATCAGACTTGTGTAACATGTGTTCTAGAATGACTCGTCTGGCGATGGGTATGCAAATGGACAATCGGGAACAAGCAGCTTCGTGCGCGAAAGTGCGAAGCAATGGAAATCTGATCTCATGGTGAAGCCAAGGGGTATTTATCGGACATGAGTTTGGAGACGGCCGTAAGGTGTTGGAGAGTCGGAGCCGAATTGCAGCCGCCGGAGCTGTCGTACATCGCTTCATTGACCAATGAGCGTGGCTGCTTTCCGTGCAGACCATCGTACCTGGAGCTCTTCGCTCGCACGATACGGACGAAATCGAAGTTGTCGGACGAATGATGCATAATGGTACGCGATTTATCTACAAAAAATTAGGTTGTGTAGTATGAGCAGTGCTCTGTCAGAGGGGCCGATCAGAAGAGGCAATTACGCAAATGGAAGAACGGCCACTGGTACTCTACAGGGCATCTCGACAACCATGCCTGATGCATTGAATCGATCGGGCGGGTGCTCCACAATAGATTGAACGATGTATGGGAGTATATGAGGCCACGACGGAGCGTTCTATGAAAATTAAACTCGGACGTCCAGCGGAAAACGTGAGATCATCCCATACCACAGAGCTCGACGTCCTGCCCTTGGTTTGAAAGCTTCTGAGATTTCACCGGTCGCACGCTGAGATGATTATGCCATGCCATGCCTTCCGTCTCATCGGCTTGGTCTCAAGCAGTCTCGCGGAGTCTTGATTGTTCTACATTGTCGCTTCTGACGTACAAGCAACGGGACGTAACATTGCTATGCTTACCTACTGGGGCTGAAAGGCATAACGAGGTACGTTGCAGCCTTGTCACCTCCTTCAAAAGAGCTTAAAGCCCCCAGCACATCTTGAGAATGTCGTTGATGCTGAACAGCCCGAATGGCCTTCAATGACTCCGACACGGAGTCTATAGCCCTCGTCGACTGGCTAGGTATCATAGTAGGTCGCCACGCCACTGTTCGCGCATGGGCACAATACAAACGTAAGATCCCGTTCAAGCCAAGATGATGATAGTATTATCGAACGTCAGGGATCTTCTACCGAAACGACACTGGACGCAACTCTCATGGTGGGCAACTAAGAGGACATAACATCGGAATACTTTCCCTTGGGTCCGCACCCCAAAGACAACCACTGCGCACTCGAAGTTAGTAATGCGACTGACAGCAATGCTTTCACCCAAGAGTTGACGATACCCATATCTTTAGTGACTCCCTAGAGGATGCTTTCAAAACAAATCTCACCGACTTGTCTACGACCGCTGAAGGCACGAAGAGAAGAAGACTGGGCGTAAGGGCAAAGGTGCTTACCCTACCCACAGTTTCCTAGCCCAACTAACACATTCATATAGCTCCTGCAAGTTTTTCGAGAGTCTGACTAAAGCTGGGCTCAATAGCTTGGCTGAGAGAGAAAATTTGGTGACAACCAAGTAGTGAATGTGTTCCGGGACGATATACTGGGGCGACATGAAGCTGCAATGCGATCTCGCCCTTCATGGCCAGTTTGAACGGATGGTGAAAGGGATATCAAATCAAAGCAGGGACCGAGGCAGTGTTGGCAACATGTTGACGGTGCAAGTGTCATAACGAGATCTGGTAGAACAGCGGGATGATGATCGTGTTCCTTACCTTGTACCATGTGCTCGCAATTCTAGACGAGGTTCACGACCCGTCCGGTGTTGAATGCATGTGTAGTAGCATGGAGGGGATGATCCTTAGAATTTGTGCTGGTCCCAATAAACGGAGACTTATTGTGTGCTGATTTGATCCAGGATGTGCGATAAGGCCGGAAATTCACGAAGAGAAGCTCGGAGTCTCATATCGTAAGTGGCAAACCCCTTCTAAAGTAGCACTTTGGAAAATAATTGTTTCACCCACATCACAGGGAGGATTTACAATTGAAGGCGCAGGCGAAGAAGCGAGGGTCCAGAAGAGGTTCATCAAATGGTACGTTTCGAATCGACAGACGTCGCAAGAGTCATGCGTTGGTGTGGTGGTGCTCAACACTTTTAAGCTTCAGAAGGTGGGTCATCATTTCTAGTTCCCAAACGTCAAAACTCGGCATGCCTGCTGTTTCTACAAGGCTATTTCCCCAGCTCGCGCGGTCGATCCGTCCCGCGCGACTACCGACATATACCCAGAGACCTGGACAATTATTCACGCTAAACTGAGAGCCTGTTCAGTGAGCGATCTACAGAGTATTTCAACCCACGACTAGGCCTAACAGGCAACTCCGGTGTAGGTGAAAAGACTGTTCAGTCATGAATCCACGTAACCAGAGTTTGTAAGAGGCACTTAGGAGGTAATCTATACACTAGAGCCGAGCCCTCGGCCCGTGTGAATAGACCAATAAAGAGGCAAGTTTATGCCAAGATTATCGACGGTTCGGAAGGCTCCAAAAAGCTGCCATCCCACTCATAGATCGTAGAAAGAGGGGGCACGTGAGGGGGCATGTAAGGGGTAAAGGCAGGTAAGAAGCCTTCCTTACGAGGGGATTGGACGTGAGTATATATGGTAGAGAGGATCCGGCGGATCCGAAGTGTACCTTGGTACTATTCCCGTACGGTTCCTGATGAACAGTCATCCGAGAGAGCCGAAATCTATACGCCAAATCATCTATACCCGGAGAAATTGACTGAACAGGCTCTGAGCCGCGCCTTTTACGTCCGGCGTTTATGATTCGCCCGTCATGTTCGTGCTTCAGGAGATCAAGGGTAAGGTTCGCGCTATGCTTCGCATGAGCCAGGCTTTCAAGAGGCAATTCCGGTCTGGGTATGTACGTAGACTGATCGCCCCCTGTATATCTTCCGATTCAGCCAATTTCCTTGATTCAGTTCCCTGGCAGTGCAACTCGGTTACCGCGCATGAAAGAGATGGAACTTCGAAGACTGGTAGCAGCTGTGTTGTGTATATGCCTCGGTGGCATTGGCGTTGCTGCGTCGGACGAGGGTCAGAGTGTTGAGATACGAGCGTTGACAATCGACGATATACCGCCATGTGGTGTGAGTATTTCAGATACGCATATGTGCTGAAATTTCAAGAGGATTCGAAGACTGACAAACTAACAGCTAAGCTGCCTTTTCCTCACTGTCCCACCCACTGGCTGCGCCCTTAACGATTATAGCTGCCAATGCCAGAATGTCGAACTCGCGCACACACTTTCGGCCTGTATGCTAGCAAATTGCACCATGGTCGACAGCCTGAACACGGCGAAAGTGCAACAAGATATTTGCCATCTCTCCAACGAGTCAAAGCAACACGATGCCTACATCTATACTATCACTTGTTACACGATCGCCGCAATCTTCGTCCTTCTGCGGGTTGTCGGTAGGGTTGTGACTAGAAGATTCGCTTATGATGACTGCATTGTTGTTGCAGCACTGCTCCTCACAGCTGTCCCTCTGGGGCTCGTGCTAAAGATGGCGGGAGGAGGCTTTGGCGAACATCTCTGGAACCTTCAACAAGGACAACTACTACAAAATCTACGATTCTTCTATGTGGCATGGATAACTTACACATTTGTGCTCGGTCTCACGAAAATATCCCTGACATTATTCTACCACGAGGTCTTCCCAACGCAAGGTGCTCAGAGAGGATGCTTCGTACTCCTGGGCTGGATTGCCATCAATACTTTGATCCTAATATTCCTCACAATCTTCAATTGTAACCCTGTAAACGCATTTTGGGACCGCGATATCAAGCATGCCAAGTGCTTAAGCATCAACGCCATCGCATACGCAAACAGCGCATCGACGATTGCTCAGGATGTTGCTCTCTTGATATTTCCTTTGGTATGCATTTGGACGCTGAACATGAAAAGGTGGCGCAAGATGGCGGTGGGCTTCATGTTCGCTATCGGAACACTGTATGTATCTCCCTTCGAGTCACTCCATTGGAAGCGACTACTGACCAAAGTGTAGTGGTTGCGTGGCCACGATAGTCCGTCTACGTACCCTCCTCACCTTCAAGACCACGATAGACCCAACTTGGGATTATGTTCCCATAACCGTTTGGACGGAAATCGAACTCGCCTGCTGTTTCGCCTGCGTCTCCCTACCTGCAATCCGAATGTTACTTGTGCGCGTCTTGCCCAAGGGTTTTTTTTTCATCTATCACCTCGAGATTCCGCTCGCGGATGACTACCGTCCCAGATCTGGGTGCAAACAACATGAACACCAAACCTGTTCCGGAAAGAAGAGGGTTCCGAAGCTGGATGCATATCACGACAGATCATAGCCAGAGTACGGGACAGTCAAGCGAGATGGGTGTGTTGAGTAAAGCAGCGAGATATGAGCAGAATGAAAAAGGTTTTATAAAGGAAGCTTGAGTTGAAGAGGCAAAGATTGCAGATGTGGAGGACGAACTATTACAGACGCCCTGGGATCATCGACGTAGATTCAGCTCTGGAAAAAATCGATATACATTGTAAGACACAATGCTCAACACATGGGTCATGAATTAAGGGAATGTTGCTCTTTCCAACGATATTTGTGCATCAAGTTAGAATACGAAGTCGACCGTATTCACATTCAGTATCGAAGCCACAACATCGCCACGCGACATGCATTAGTCGCGTTGAAATAAGCTTGCGAAGATGTAATTTTCCCAGTCCTGCATTTTACAATGCTGATTTTTCATAGGCATACAGTACGAATCGAAAAGCTAGAGTACTTCTTGTCTCCGAGTGCCGACTTTAGAATAGCTCGACACGTCTAGAACAATAATTGAACGCTCTGGTCAAGCTTTCAGCCGTCCAAGGGAAGGTGCTTAATCTGGTTATTTCTCTGGGCAAATGGATACCGCTTCCAATAAGAACCATGCACGCTACCTGCGACGGGTTAGGACGACTATACATAAACCACGATATTAATTAGCCTCAAACAGGACGCGGATCGCTACTTTTACATCAATCGCTCTACGCATATTGTGGAGCAATGTCAATATCGGAACGCGGCTCTGCACGCTTCCCCACATTGTAAATGCCAAATGAGCCCACATGACTGCTCTCCATATATAGCGTGCTGCCATCCTTCAGCAACTTTGAGGGAGAGCGGATAGCCATAACGTGCGAGTCAATATGATAACGCCCTCGCTACTTCCTGTCGCTCTCGCGACGTTCGCGCTCTTTCTTTCGCCACTGAACGCTCGTGTGCTCGACAAACGTCAAGATGGTAACCACTGGGTTACAACATGGACCAGTATGCCCCAGCTCGTCGAATCTAGTAACATGCCCCCATCTCAATTCGTGAGTGAAACCCCGACCAGATTATATGGATACCAGATCTAAACGTGATCCAAGACTTCCGGTGGCGTTCTCAAAGACGCAACACTCCGTCAAACCCTCCACATGACAGTTGGCTCCCCCAAGATCAAAATCGCTATTTCAAACACGTTCGGAGGCTCCGACCTTCCCATCACGGCCGCCTCGGTTGGTCTGCCAACTGGCGGCGCAGCAGGTGTGTCTGGCATCGAGGCCTCGCCTCTTGCAGCAATCACCGTTGGCGGCAAAGCCTCCTTCACAGTGCCGCGAGGCCAAGTCGTGGTGAGCGACGAGATCGACTTCGAAGTCAAACCACAACAAAATATTGCTGTGAGCTTGTACAGTCAAGCAGGTCAGAGCGGAAGTAGCATCACCGGGCACCCGGGCAGTCGAACGACGAGCTGGTTCGTGAAGGGAAATGCCGTGAATTCAACGTCGATCAGTGGAACCAGCAGTGTGCACTGGTAAGCTCACCGCCTTCTTCATCCCTTGGGATACCAAAATCACTGTTCGAGCTGCGTGTGCTAAATCGCGCCAGGTACTTCGTCTCCGCCGTCCACGCCTCGGTCCCCACCACCACCTCGGGCCTCATTATAATTGGCGACTCCATCACCGACGGCCGCGGCTCCGACGACAACAAAAACAACCGCTGGCCCGACCTCCTCCTCGCTCGCCTCCAGACCACTAACCACACGAATGTCGCCATCGGAAACCAAGCCGCTGGAGGGAATACAGTGCTCTCAGGCGGCCTCGGTCCCACTGCCTTGTCCCGCTACAAGCGTGACGCCCTCGAGCAACCCGGCGTGAAGTACGTCATGATTTTCGAAGGCGTGAACGATATCGGCAGCGGCGCGGCTGCAGGTTCTTTGACCAATGCGTACAAGCAGATCACAGCTGATGCGAAGAAGGCTGGCTTGGTGACGATTGGAGGGACGATCACGCCGTTTGGTGGAAACAGTTATTACAGCGCCGGGCATGAGCAGGCTCGCAAGCAAGTGAATGACTTCGTCAAGGCGAAGGGGAACTTTGACTTTGTTGTCGATTTTGCCGGCGCGATTGAAAACAAGGGAGACCCGACGAAGATGGATAGTAAGTACAATGGAGGTGATGGGTTGCATCCGAATGTGGCTGGGTACCAGGCAATGGCAAATGCGTTTCCGCTGGAAGCTTTTGCGTGATCGGAAAACAGGTAAGAGGTGGCATGCGACAACACTACTGTAACAGGATGCAACTGAGGTGCGAGAATGAAGTTGATGTACAAGTACAGCAATAGAAGCGCTTACAAAGACATCGATCATTGAATAGAATCCGTTCGCGGCAAAGAGACAAGCGTGATGACCATGTATTGCAATCACATCGACCAACCCACAGGAAACCGAGAAGCACCCACCTCGAGGTGACAAGTCCGCCTGCCTCAATACCCTTTGTACTAACTCTCACGAAGGACAGAAACAGGCTCGGAGCACGAAATGCGGCAACCAACAGAGAGGATAGTATAGGTAGCCTTCGATGCAGTCGGGATCAATCGATGCGTCCTCATGTCAGGAGCCAGACCTCGAGCTACAGTCTGAGTCTCCCGACTCCACACTGGGGCCATTGCGATAGCTCTGCTCGGAAGCTTCCTCATATTGAGATTCGGAACGGGGCTGTGAGTGTGAGCGCATCGAGTAAGATCCAGGTACGTGCTGGGCGCGAGGTCGTTCGTTAGGATGGTCGATAGAGTAATGACCATCACCGCCATGTTGGAAGGTTGCAGGAGGCTTGTTGGGGAGATCCGACAATGAAATCGCACCCCTTTCTGTTGATATGTCCCCATTCACAATGTAGCGCGGAAGAGTTGGCTTGTGCAGCTCAGACACTGGCCTGTTTAGCGGATGAAACGGGGGCATGAAATCAGAGTCGTTGGTGCCGTCGGTGGTCACACGTCCTAGGGCCCTATTAGTAATGAGCACGATTCTTCACGATGCGCATGAGCGTAAGACTTACCTGCTCGCCGAGATCCCCCAGCCTCTTCTTCAGCATATCGGTCATCGTAACGTGTTTCGCGTCCATCGTCATCAGCACCAGGGTTGGCTGTCTCATACTCCAGGAGCTTGATCAATCGATAGAAGAGTACGGCAATGATAGCCCCAAGGAGAGGCCCAATCCAGTAAATCCAGTGATATCCATCAAACCTTCCGAGAACTACATCGGGACCGAAAGACCGGGCAGGATTCAAAGAGCCTCCGGTGAAGAACACAGCTGTCCATGTCAGCATCATGTATGCGAAGGGTGTAAGAAATTGCCATACCAGCTAACTCAGCGATAAACAGGGCAAGACCAATGCCGATAGGGGCAATAAACGTAGCTCGGTGTTTCTCTGCGGCCAACATGAAGATGGCAAATATGAGTTCAGCAGTGCAGAGCGCTTCGATGAAAACACCTCGCGTAACTGAGACACCACTGCTCAATCTGGTTCGAACTGCCAAAGGGCCCGGAAGCAGGCCCGATACTACAGCTGCTGCGGTGATAGCTCCCACTATCTGAGCGAGGATGAGCAGAAACGCTTTGGCCCAGCCGATGGCGCCGATCAGGGCCAAGGCTACCGACACCTGTGCAGAACTTAGCGGAGCTGATATCATAGAGAGTATAGGCACGCACCGCTGGATTGAAGAGCCCTCCACTGATTCGGAAAAAGATCCATACGTTGACAAGCAACGAGAAGCCGAATGCCAAAGATATATACAGAAGCGTAGATGTACTTGCGGGGCTGTCCACAGTCTGGTTTGGAGGCGTATTCGCGACCTGAGTAGCGGCAAAAGCGAAAGTCAGGAACAATGCAGTGCCGACAAACTCCCCCAGCATTGAGATGAACAGATGGCGGACTCTGTTCGGAAGCCACGAGAAGCCCGGTAGGCGCTTCTCACCAGGCCGGTTCGGATCTTCAGTGTACGTCGGCTTCATGCCTGGAAAGACCATAAAGCTGTCCGCGGGCCTGTTGACATTCATTGTAGGCGGTATACGAGGGACTGAGTACTAATAGTCGAGGTGGGGTTGCTTGACGGAAACGTCCGAGACGACGCGCGAGACGAGGCGTCCTTGAAAGAGAGAAACAGGCCAAATCGAGTGACAAGAATGGTATAGCAGGGAAGTGATAGGATGTAGGGCCGACGAATGCAGAAATAGGACAGAGGCTAGATGTGTGATGTGCCAAACAAGAGTATGGGGAAAAGGATGGGAGTGGAGCAGAGATCGAGTGCGACAACAACATAAACATGACGCAATGATATTAGAAGTAGAAGTGACATTCACGATGCAGGCACGAGGAGCCCTCCATTGGTGACTAGCACTTTCCTCATGCTACCCTCAAGATTAAGATCGTTGAGAAGCAACATTAGGCACGATGTTGTGACGTCTTTTCCGCGCCCGTAGAGCGAGTGCAGATAACATCGCCGGGCCGAGCCCGCAATTGAGAAGGTCTGAGTATTGTCAGCCTTTCCTATTGTTGTGTGGCGCTGTAGGTGTAGGCGATGATGGTTCCTCGATCGATGATTTTCCAGTTGGATGTTATGCCGCAAGTCGGTTGTATGCTTTTGTTTGATGGACTGCGACACCGTTCAGATTCCAGAAGATGCAGTTGAAGACAGTGTTCTCGCGAGGTTGGGCTACGAGGTGAGATTAGTTGTTTGACTACGTCTGCCTAGGAAGTGTCTCGCTGCTCCAAGCTGCTTCCGGACAGCGCACGATTATCCCCCAGGGCGTCACCCAAATCGCCCGAAGCGTGGTCATGTTTTTAAATGTGGAATCTAGAGTGCAGGAACAGACATAGGCACGAAGCAGATGGATACTTCATGTGCCAAGGTGGGCTTGTACGCACGTGAAAGGTTACACGATCTTCACAAGGACAGTTACGCCCGAAGAATACTTGGAGAAATGGCGGAATGAGCAGACGGAAGCACAGGAAGCGTGTCTAGATGCGGCGTGGAATGGTGAAGTGTGACAAAAACGTGCAGTCGTCCCCACCTGGGCAGGCCGCGCTTTATCCCAGCGTTTTAGCGTGCATGAGGCATGGGTTGCGGGCAGGCGGCGAACGGCGGAGAAGAGCCCAACTGGCGTCGGAGAGCAACAACACCACGAGCCTTCTTGCCGTGCGCTATCTTGGTTGTTTCCTCGCTTCTCCCGCGTGTTTGCGGTCTTCTCTTACCTTCGCTCCTCTTCTCCTCGCCGACCCGCCTCCTCGTGTCCGCGTCTGTTGTTGGGCAGACCATCCGCCCCCGCGCGTCACATTACCGCATCATCCAACTGCCCGCGTGCTGTCTCGCGACCGACCTGCCTTGCGCCTTCGCGCTCGCCGGACTCCCAGAAGACCTCTACCGGATGCGCTTACGACTGTAGAGCTTCAGCATATCTTGCTGTCCTCAATACTCACCCCACACAGTGCCGTTGACCGCCGCCGCCCAGCATGCGCCCGCTTCGGCTGCTCCTCTCGCTAGCGACCAGCTTGATCACCATCACATTACTGCTATACCTTGTGTTCGGCTCGCAGAATGAGGATCCAGCCAGCCGCACTGCATCTGTCAAAGAGAAGAGTGGATTCAAGGCCCTGTTCTCCTTCACATCGCCTGGCTCGCTATTTCCCCCATCCGCTATAATAAGCCTGACAGACGACAACTCTACCTTCTTCCTCGCTCGCCCTGCTGCCTTTGGGCCCTCGCTTCCATCCGAGAGCTTGAGTGGCCCTCTATGGATCGGAAGCGGGTTTGGGGAAGATGCCCTAGGCAAGGGCGGCGAGCTGGGCTGCAGCGATATTCCGGGCTGGGATGGATCCGAGGATACCCCTTCAGAGGTAGCTGAGCATAAGCACCTAGACGCTTCGGAGCAGCGTGAAAATCCCTTGACGAAGCAGCCACACGGAGCCATCGACGTCGCCGAGAGGTCTGTCGCAGACAACGACGGTACAGACGACACTCTTCTGCCACGACTGCCGCTCTCACAAGTACTCAAATACCGCGTTGGAAAGACACCGGAACATGCTGATATCGAGTCTCTCCAACAAGCCGCAGAAATCTCAGGCAAGGTCGTCCTGCTGAAACGTGGTGGGTGTGGCTTCTTGGAGAAGGTAATGTGGGCTCAACGACGAGGCGGCGTGGCGTTGATCGTAGGGGATGATCAACGTGGAGGAGCTCTTGTTCGAATGTACGCTCGTGGTGACACGTCGAACGTCACTATCCCAGCTCTTTTCACGTCGCATACAACCGCCCAATTACTTTCATCGCTACTACCGACGGGAGATGTTTTGCATGCTTCGTCGTCAGAAGATACTCCAAGCCGCGATTTGACGAAGAACGCGCGGTCGAGTCCAGAACACAGAAAACAAGAAGAGAGCATTCCCACAGAGTCAAAGCAGGCTCCGCACAGGGCGTCAGAGCACAGTGACTCCAGAAACTCGCCGGAAGCGGGCTGGTTCAGCACGATTCTTTCCTGTCTTGGCCTCAAGAACCTCAAGGATGCGTCTCCGAAAGATATTACACGCAGGCCTCCGAACAGCGGCAAATTGAATTGGTTGGCCGAGGAAAGTGCGGGCCTGAGGAAGACCAAGAGTGGTAATGTGAAGATTGTGGCTACGCATACCCCAGAAAAGTTCATCATTGGCGAGCATGACTGGCGTGATCCCGCCTTCATTGCTAGTCCATCTCCGTCGAAGACTACCCCAGAGCAGACTCCTACGCTGAACAGAACCAAAGGCGGAAGCGTCACGCCTAGCAGCGGCGAGTATGAAGGTGGTCACCCCGGAAAGACAAAGTGGTGGTTGAACGAATCCAAGGATGAAGAGAAGGAGCCCTTGACACATGCATACGTGAAGGGAAGTAGCACCATGCCATCGGACAGAGAATCCGAAGACGGCAAACCCTCCAGCCCACACGAGGGTCTTTGGGTAACATTAACCCCTACGAACATGTCCACATCTCCATTCTTTGATACTTTACTCGTCCTAGTTGTCAGCCCTCTTGTCACCTTGACTGTTGTATACGCATTACTCCTTCTACGATCCCGCATCCGGCGTCGGCGCTGGCGAGCTCCCAAATCACTCGTTGACCGCCTTCCCGTCCGGACTTACCACACAATCAGCGACAGTAGCCCTTCGGCAACTCCCAACGCCTCTTCGCCGACTACTCCGCTTCTTCAGCACGAGTCGCCACAACCTACAGCATCTCAACCACGGCCTCGATCTCCGACCGAGTCTGAGGCTCCAGCAACTTCATCTTCAGTACTTCCAGGCCATCGTACACCTGAAGAGGAAAAGCGAGAATCTGGGTTGGCTGCTTGGAGACGCAAGTATGGTGGCCGGCAGAAAGAGTGTGTTGTCTGCTTGGAGGAGTACGTTGACGGCGTCAGTCAAGTGATGAGCCTGCCGTGTGGTCATGAGTTCCACGCGGACTGCATGTAAGTGAAGCCGATCAACCTGTGTATCAAGTTTCTAATATACTCTAGTACACCCTGGCTGGTCACTCGACGGAGAACCTGCCCTATCTGCAAAGGAGATGTTGTACGGTCATTGTCGCAGTCCTATCACGACCGTGCCGTATCGCGACTAGAGTCTCGTGATTCGTTCAGTGATGAGCTTGGAGATGATGTTCAGGCACAGGCAGCTCTAAGCCGCAACGACTCTCCGTCGGCCTCGAGACCTTTGCCAATTGCCGGGCCTATTGACGCTGACATTGAGGCGAACTGGGACGAGGAAGGAGACGAGCTAGGTCGAGAGATACCTCGGGAGCGAACCGGAGAACTCAGTAGCTCTTTCAGAGAGGCCAGCTCATCTGCCGTCACCGCGATTTGGAGGGGTTTCGAAGCTGTCGGAAGGGCCACTGGATTGCAGCGGCGATCGAGTAGGGAAGAGCTCGATCGGGACCGATAGTGCTAACATCGTTGATGGGTGGGTCTGTTTTGTATGCATTGCGTTGGAGTACTAGAAGGCTTGTTTTAGGGAATGTTTGCAGTCATGGGCTGGATAAGGTGTCAATACCCCGGATCATAACGAATCCACTCAATTCATATCGTTGCGTAGCCAGAATAATTCTCTCTTGGCCATGCCTTTCACATGATTTGTCGTTGCGCTCCCTCCCGTATTGATCGAACAACACTATGTATGCGATGCCTTCATTAGCATAATAGAAACCTTTTGCTTCGAATCCGTTTCATCGTGCTGTGTCGTAGAGTGACTCAGCGTCCTGTGCCGTTAGAAGAAAAGCGTATCCAACCGCATGATCGCAGGTCAATTGGGTATCACGTGATGGCGACTCGCGGACAGGGTCTGATGATCCCTGCTCAACTTTTCTTGCGGAGAGGTGTGGGACTGGAGAGCAGCACACCAGCAGATCACCGCGTCGTCCTTTCTTTTATCCCTTGGACCTGCGTTTGGCCGAATAGCATTGGCCACGATGCGTGTTCAATCCTTCGTTCGGGTGCAATCGCTTGCCCAAAGTTGCCTCCGCAACTCCGCGCGTTCGGCCGCTCGCACTCCCTCACGATGCGCGCTTTCCACCGTGGCGGCGTCACGAACCCAATTCAGCTGCGGAACAAAGACGGAAGCATGGATGAATAGTCAGAGAACTTTAGGACAGAGGAGATGGCAGTCAGCGGCGGCAGTGTGAGTTGGAGGACCACTGGAGTGGTGTTGAACGCGTGAGCAAGCCAGGGCTAATTGCCACGCAGATTGGAGAAGGCGGCAGCAGACCCTAGCACATTATCGCAAGAGACCATTGTCGAGAACCTAGATCCTGTCGAAGCTGCAAGGCTGTCGAAAGTTCGAAACATAGGAATCGCTGTAGGTTTATAACAGCTCCGCATGCTTGGGGAGCATAGCAGCTTTGCGTGCAGTGCTTACAAGTTGACAGGCCCATATCGACTCCGGAAAAACCACCGCAACCGAACGCGTCCTCTTCTACACTGGCCGTGTAAACAGCATACATGAAGTGCGTGGCAAAGATGCCGTTGGCGCAAAGATGGACTCCATGGATCTTGAGCGTGAAAAGGGTATTACCATCCAGTCTGCTGCCACCTTCTGTGATTGGATCAAGAAGGAAGACGGAAAGGAGGAGAAGTACCACATCAACTTGATCGATACACCTGGGCATATCGATTTCACCATTGAGGTCGAACGTGCGCTACGAGTGCTAGATGGTGCGGTCATGATTCTCTGCGCCGTGAGCGGTGTCCAGAGTCAAACGATCACCGTTGACAGGCAGATGAGGAGATACAACATTCCTAGGATATCTTTCGTGAATAAGATGGACCGTATGGGGGCGAATCCCTGGAAGGCCGTCGATCAGATTAACCAAAAGCTACGGATACCTGCTGCGGCGATTCAGGCACCTATAGGACGTGAGGATGATTTCCTGGGTGTGGTTGATCTCATCAGGATGAAGGCTATTTACCACGAGGGATCCAACGGAGAAATCATTAGGGAGACGGATGAAATCCCCGCGGACATGGTAGAGCTCTGCAAAGAAAAGAGACAGAGGTTGATCGAGACACTAGCGGATGTCGACGATGAGATCGCTGAGATCTTCCTTGAGGAACAAGAGCCGACTCAAGCGCAGATCAAGGCCGCCATTCGGAGAGCGACCGTCTCCCTCAAATTCACGCCCGTTGTCATGGGCTCCGCCTTGGCCAACAAGTCCGTCCAACCGATGCTTGACGCTGTCTGCGACTACCTACCGAACCCTGCTGAAGTTGAGAACATGGCTTTGGACAAGAAGCGTGCGGAAGCTCCCGTCAAGCTGGTGTCTTACAACTCTCTCCCCTTCGTCGGACTGGCTTTCAAGCTGGAAGAGAGCAACTTTGGACAGCTCACATATATTCGAGTTTACCAGGGTACACTACGAAAAGGCATGAACGTGTTCAATGCGCGGTCAGACAAGAAGATCAAGATCCCCAAGATCGTGCGTATGCATTCGAACGAAATGGAAGAAATTCAGGAGATTGGTGCTGGTGAAATCTGCGCCGTGTTCGGTGTTGACTGTGCCTCCGGAGACACCTTCACCGACGGTGCTCTCGGTTACACCATGGTGAGTGATGCTTCATCAGCTTGACACACAATGTGCTGACTCTTTAGTCTTCCATGTTCGTTCCTGAACCTGTCATCTCGCTGTCGATTAAGCCCAAGCACACCAAGGATACCCCCAACTTCAGTAAAGCTATGAACCGTTTCACTCGTGAAGACCCGACTTTTCGAGTACATGTTGACCCCGAATCGCAAGAGACTGTCATTTCCGGCATGGGTGAGCTCCACTTGGACATTTACGTGGAGCGTATGCGCCGAGAATACCGGGTCGAGTGCGAGACTGGTCAGCCGCAGGTCGCTTACCGCGAGACCATGACGAAGCGCGTCAATTTCGACCACACCCTCAAGAAGCAGACTGGTGGATCTGGAGATTTTGCTCGTGTCGTGGGCTGGATGGAACCCGCAGAGTCCCTCGGTGAGAATAAATTCGAACAGCAGATCAGCGGTGGCACCATTTCCGAGAAATTCCTGTACGCTTGCGAGAAGGGCTTCAACGCGTCGACGCAGAAGGGACCCCTGCTCGGTCACAGAGTGCTAGGCACGCAGATGATCATCAACGACGGAGCCACGCACGCGGTCGACTCCTCGGAACTGTCCTTCAAGAACGCTACACAACAAGCCTTCCGCAAGGCCTTCATCCAGGGCGCACCCCAGGTTCTAGAACCCCTCATGAAGACGACCATCACTGCACCAAACGAGTTTCAAGGCAGCGTCGTTGGCCTGCTCAACAAGCGCAACGCCATCATCAACGACACGGAGATTGGCCCCGAGGACTTCACCGTCTACGCGGACTGCAGTTTGAACAGCATGTTTGGCTTTTCGTCGCAGCTACGCGCGAGCACGCAGGGTAAGGGTGAGTTCTCGATGGAGTTCAGCCACTACAGCCCGGCGCCGCCGCAGCTGCAGAAGGAATTGGTGGCGAAGTACGAGAAGGAACAAAAAGACAGGAACGCGTAATAGGACTGTTGACACGATAGGGGCTTGTAAAAGAAGGAAAGGGAATGTGGGCTTTTTGCGGTAATCATGCCTATTTTGGGATAGGGATGCATATAGATGGGCGCATGGGCTGTAAAATATCGACTGTATCTTGTATGTATAGCTGTGTAAGGTAAACGGCGAATGGGACGATCAGTCTTCTCTCTGCGATGGATCTTCAGACTCTCGGCAGTTTTGAGGCGTGCGCGTGTGTAGATTGCTGCGTGCTCTGCCGAGGAGCACGGAGCGAGACGTCCACAATTTCACGAGTTACAATGGAGGTCCTTGAAGCAACGTAGGAGCAGAGCGCGACGCTTAGACCATAGCGTTCGTTGTTTGGCTAGTACAAAGCATGTTGTGAAAGAGCGAAGCGTGCGGCATATAGTTGCATCAAGCTCGTTTGGCTTGATGATTTGGTATACCGCACTTCCTCAGACGTCTGTTTTATACTGCGTAATGTCTTTCACTATGTTATTCTAGTACAGCCAGAGGAAATCGAGCCCTGGGTCCTTCGCAACGCGAATGCCCTTGTACTACCGTTGAAACAATACAATCAGTCTCGACTCAGTGCCAATAAAGTCCCTTTCTTGGCCGCAAGCACAGCATTTTTCGGCACGCGCCCGCCGACGCCGGTGCGGGTGATCGACAAGAAGCGCAGCGAAGCTGCCGGCCGCCGAGCGGTCTTGGTGTATCGCTTGGCTACTACGAGATATGTGAAACTGTCTTGGTTGTGCGACGTCGAAGAAACGGCATTGCAGAATTAACGGGCGTGCTATGCTTGGCTGTGATATGGGTGTACGCAACGTCAAGGGAGGGATGAGGTCAGTCGGACGGGCATTTGTTGACATGGTGATGGAGTTGGTGGATTAGCTGTGGGTAAGTGGGCTGAAGATGGAATGCTGGAGGAGTGGGACTCAGAGCTGGCTTGCTGTTCAGCCGCATGGTGTAGGTCGGTCTCTGAAGCCGGTCGCGCTGAGAGGTGTCGATGCTCGCGAACTTGCAGACTGCCCAGGTGAGATGTATAGCATGTGCGCGGTGGTACGGGTTAGCACTGTGAGAGTGCTTCAGATGGCGCAGCTACCCGCGCACAAAGTGCACGTTTCTCCCAAAAGGGTAAGTACAGTGAATGGCAGCGGTTCCGCACGACCGTAGCGTTGCAACGAACAAAAGCTCGCCGATGATGTCGTTTGGCAGTGAAGCACGGAACAGACCGGGCGTGCCTTATCCCGCGTTCCGCTCGTACGATGCAAGCGTAGAGTGCCTGGCGCCGGGCGACGTCACAGCCACAGGGGTCTCGCGGCGTGGTCCCAGAAGCAGACGACGTCTGAAACGGCTATCTACCTTGCAAGTCGCTGTAGTCTTGCATCTCAGATGAAGGCTACAACCGTGCGTGATGGATGATATTCGGGACAGCGCAGCAATGCTGGTCCAGACGCTGTGCAGGGCCCTGTCGGGCGAGGCCCGCCACGGCAAGCACTTTGTGTGATGCTAGGTAGACATGGAGTAAGAGGAATGCCCAGCAGAAGCACAGCAATACCGGATCACGCTTTCCTGGCGCACAGGCACTGGACTGTTCACAATGATAGCACCAGAGAGCTTCCCCGCACGAGAAGTAGGGGTCAAGCCGGCAGCGGCGCTTCTCGAGAATTGAGCAGCAAGGGTGGTTGCGGTGCAGCGAACGAGCGGCGCGAATTGGTCGGGATGCTAGACGGTGTGCGCGTGGCTACATGGTGTACACGAGAGATGGTCGGGAAGGTGGGGTGAGCTGCAGCTGTCCGGAGCCAATGCCCTGGGTGAGGTCGCTGAGGTGTCAGATGACACCGTCTGCTCCAGAAGAAGCGGCGCTCCAGAGGTGAAGGCTTGCCAGAGGGCGGGAGGTGGTGAGAAGAGCGGTGAAGATGCGAGAAAGAGGGGCCGGACAGACAGCACAAGACGGCGTCTGAAGAGTCTTCACGGCAGGCAAACAAACACAGAGGGCGCTGGAGGTGCTCGGTGCGGTGCTGCGCTGGCGAACGGGGTGAGGGACTTTCTGCTGGCTGGATGCATGCGCTGGGCTGCGCGTGCAGGTGCAGGTGCAGACGGATTGTGCGACAGGACAAGCGAGCAGAGCAGGGGCGGCCGGCGACAGGCGAGCGGCCCAAAGTGGTCTCCCCGTGCCTGGCTTGCAAAACCTCCCTCACGGCCCAAGCAGGTTTTTCGCGCCGGCTGACGAGCCCGTACGAAACGGGCCCGATGCGGTGTGGCGCCCCGAAACGGCGCTGACAACACTGTGAAAGGCAGGGCCTGGCGCGAACAAAGAGAGCCGCCGGTGCCGTCCTCGACGCAATAGTACGCCTGTCAGCTGCGGCTTGCACAAACCGTGGAATTTGGCATTGGCGTCGCCTGCTCGGCACGCTGATGAATAATTACCGGGCGTTTGCTGGTTGGTCCCGCAGAGACTGCCTGCCGTCGGCTCGCCCACCCATCGCTCTCTCTTGAACCCGCACACTCCCCTTTCGCGCGCACTTCACTCCACCCTCACTTGCCTCGCCGCAGATCCCCAGGGACACGTTTGTGTGCGAGGTGCTCCGCACTGCCACGACTTAGACCAGCAATCGGACTCGTAGAACGGCCATCGTGCGGCGTCGCCACTTCGGTTCTACTCCGTCTGCGGATCTCCCATCATATCCGCCAGGTATTCCCTCCCTCTGTCCAACGAGCCCACTTGACAGCTCTGACATGGCGCAGTCCTTCCTTAAACTTGTTTTAGGACCATCTTTCTACAACTTCACCATGCTGGTTTTCTTATCATAACAAAACGTCCTTCGGGGCCTTACCCTGCACCTACTCCCGTAATATCTCGCTTCTTCTCCGCCACCACCACCACCACCGTCACCATTCCCCGTTTCCTACCAATCACCCCCGGTGGACCAATTGCTATTTTCCTCTGAACGTCGCCTGCACAAGACAGGCGCGCCGTCTTCCCGGAGACATCAACGCGACTGAAGAAACCACCTACCGCGTCTTGTTTCCTTGGTAACCTCCAATTCCCCCGCGACTCGGCCGCCAAGACCATCGGTGTCGACGATCCCGTTTGAAAAGCGCCGCAGCCGCACATCATGGCACAAAACGAGCTTGGCAGCCACAGCCCGCAGCTGAATCACACAAACTACAACACCCCCACAAACGCCGCGCCCTCCATGTCCTCCGAAGACGACATGTTGGCCGACGTCGATGAGCCTCCCGACTTACAACGCACTCCTCGACCTTCTGCCCTCAAGCTTCATGACTCCTTCAAAGGTTCGTTCGAGAAGCACGCCCCGCTGTATCGACGTCAAACGTCCTTGCTGTCGACTGCGCTACACTCGAACGAGACCTCGCCCATCGAGGAACACTCCGACGACGTGCCCCGCGGAATGTCGTGTACGTCAACCTGGAGCAACAACAGCATCTCTACTGCCGAGCTGACGAGCGACGGCGGCATCACAAGCCCTGGCACGCGTACGAGCACGCCGAGCCCACCACTACCCCCCGTCTCATCCCACAACATGCTGCCAATCTCTACCAAGCCGCTGGAACAGTCCGTGTCTATCATGCGATATGATGGAGAAAACACCATTCCCGTATTGAAAGACGCACCCGTTCCCATTCCTTCAGAGCACAAGGTGGAGGCCGGTCTTGGCCGGAAACGCTGCATCACCTTTGCATGCGGTGGAAAGAAAGAGACGAAGCCTGAGCCCGAGGCCGCAAAGACAGTCCCTGAGCCCAGACAGAACGAAGAGCCGCCCAAGCGAGCCTGCACTATCAAGTTCGCGTGCCCCACAAAGATTTCCACAGATGCACCGACTAAGCCGCGTACCACCCGCGTTGCTAGCCCAGCACCTCCCCCACGACAGCGCAACAGCTCCAAGCCGTCGCCCAAAGCTCACCGTGGATCCGATTCGACGATCCGTAACCCCTCGCCTGTATCTCTTCGTAGACCTCGCATGTCTGATCGCACTCGACGCCTCAGCAGCAACTCCGACCTAGCACGGACTGAAGCGTTCCGCTTCCACGAATTTGCCAGCTCAGAAGAAGAGGTGGAGGAATGGACCCAGGAATCTACCTGTCATCGACGACCTCTTACCATCAAGGACACGCTCATCATTGAGAACAATCTTCGTCAGCTCGGCGAAGAAGCGGAAGAGGAGGCTTTGGATGATGAAGAAGAGGATGATGTTCTCGAGGACGACGAGGACGATGATGAGCTTGACGAGGATGACGAGGATGTAGTCGAGAAAGATGTAGGCGATGAAGAAGAGGACGAGGATAGTGATGCAGCCGAAATTTCGTCAGATGAGGGCTTCCAAACTGACAACGAGGAGGGCTTCGCTGTGTCAGACTCCGACAGCGATGCAGGCTCTGACTACAACTGGTGGACCCCTGGACGTTCGACCGCGGCAACCTCCATCGAGCAACTGGACCATATCCGCCCTTCTGCTAGTCGTCGAAGCATTTCCGAGTCTTCAGTTGGTTCTGTAGAAAGCGAACAGCGTTTCATACCAGAGATCAAGGTCAAACGACGAAAGTCTCGACCCGTCAACATTCGGGTTCCCAGTCCAGAACTTCCGGACAGCACGGACTTTGTATGTGGGACCCTCGATGAGGACCGCCCTCTTGAGCAGGCTTACATGTCAGCACTGGAACGTAGGCGTCAAGCAAAACACAAGAAGACGCCTCAAGATGTGGATCCCACCTTCCCGACCTCGGATCCGGAGATGGATGAGGAAGACGAGGACTCCGAACCTGATCACCTTGCATCTGAAAGCGACCATTTTATGCTCCACGGTCAGATGGATGCCTTGAATGGTGACATTCGTGGCCGCCGCAAGCCCCTCCCAACGAAACGTTCGCCAGCCCAGTCGCCTAAACGTCTCCGGTCACCTGCACCCATCAAACGCGCGGTCCATCGATCCCCGCCTCCCAAACTGTTCGGCCAGTCTCCAAAGCGGATGCGCTCCCCTGCGCCGACTCGTCTGAGATCGCCACCTCCCACACGAAGGGGATCGTCTTACCTCGTCGAGCCCAACAAGCGCACGACTTTTTCGATCCAATTCGCGGGCTTAGCAGAACGTCCAGTCCCAATGATGACGTCGTCATTACCAAGAACTCCGGTTACTCAGAACCCACCAGAGATCGATTACGATGACGAGGATACCCCCAACGAGTTCCCCGTTCGTCGGGCCATTGACATCAAGGTCGGCTTGGAGAAGAAGCGTCAGCGGCGCAAAGAGCAGCTTTACAAAAAGATGCAAAAGCAGAAACAATGCAACAAAGAAAAGCGTCCCGCGCCCGGAAAGGGCTGCGAGCGGATGCGCGAAGTTGGCTTGGGATTGGCCGCGCACAAGGGCAAGGCCGCCGCTGCTGGCTTCGCCTTCGATGTGCCGCACACGCCCGACCAAAAAGACATGCATGTCTTGTCCGTCTAGGCGACGACAAAAAGACAGGTGTCATGAGAAGCAGCGCCGCTGACTACGGTCGGCACTTTTACGAGTCTTCTCTCCGCAATTGGTGAGAGCCTTGTTGGTCGCTCTTCTCGTTCATTATAGCGAGGTCACATAGCGTTGGACCTACGCTTTTCACTTCTTTCCACGGCTGGGTCATAGCATTGGACTCGAGCCCTTTCTTACTTCTATTCTCTATACCACCTTATCATTTTAGCGGTTCTCATGTACATAGCCCACTTTTTATCACAATCATATTTTCTACAACTATACATATTCTTTTCGCTTGTTCATGCTTCTCTAACCAGATAGTCAGTTTCCAGCCAGATCATCAAGACCTTTTAGGATGTTTTCTTTGTCGTCTGTTTGTCTTTCCATTGCACGAACTCAGCGGAACATTCCATTTGCATAGGAGGTAGTTGACATCGTTGTTATACGTGCATAGCTTGAGCATCTAGGGAGTGCAACTTGATTAAGCCCTCAGCGAGTGGGTGTTATGATGACTTTACGAATATGCAGCGAAATCATCAATGCTTATACGATGGTAGCTGTTCAATAGGCATTTGTTCGAACTTGAAATGACATCTTGCCACGATCTTCTTCGAGTCATTGCATCGTCATCTTACGTTATAAAATAACACCCACGCCTACTGCTTTGGGCAGAATCCTATAATTTGTGCAATACTAGATCTGGCCATTTAGTCCGCGTTCTGAGGCGGTTCGGGCGTCCCCATAGGAAGTAAAGGAGGAGCATTTGGATCCGCGCCATTCTTCAGTAACCATTTCGCGACGTCAGCGCCTGTTCCTTCTTGCCGTTGCGCATATCTCAGAGGCGTACCCCAGGCGCTAGGTTGGGACTGGTCGTCGCTATCCAATCCATTCACATCCAGGTGCAGCTCGCCCACCAAGTACCTCAGCATCTCTACCCTGTTTCTCTTGTGCAACCATTCCGGCAGATCAATTAGCCCACGCGTTGGTCCATCCTTGTCGACTTCCCTGCTATCGAGAGAAGCGTCGTCAGGATCGCACCCCAACACCGCGGCCTCCTTCACCGCAGTATGCAGCGTCCTCCGCCCTACTTTAGCGCCCCGCTCTTTAATGGCCTTGAACGAAGCGACTGAGCCGATGGAAGCGCACTCTTGTAACAGCAACGGCGGCCTTGCCCAATACCAGTAGTCCTCTTGGCCCAGATCTACGCTGACCCGGTGGTCGAGCAGCCACTGAATGAGCTCTGCATCGTGTGTGACTTTGTAGATTGGAGTGCGTCCTTTGGCCATTGGATCTGGAGGACCGGCTTTGTTGAAGTCATATTCGTAGGATTTTAAAAGGTCGAAGAGAGCGATTGATGGTTTCTGTCCTACGTCCAGGACATTGAGTGCGGTGATGTCGGCGCCCTCGTGTAGGAGATGTTCTGCGAGTGCCGTCTTGCCTCCACGGACCACGTTCTTTAGGGCATCGTTCATGAATTCTGTGCATTCCTCCAGGTCTAGAAGATCGGCCGCATGCTCTATTGCGGCTTTGAGTTGCGGTACTGAGTCGGCGAGAATGGCTGCCTCCATTTGTTCCTTTAGTGCGGATTCCGGAGCGGTCTTTGTAGACATGGTGATAGATTTGGAGTTAGATGCTTAGTGAGTAGGTTTAGTTGTAAGGAGGACGGAAGATCGACCGCAAGAGATGTCTATGAGCTGATCACGGAAGCGTAGACACCGGTGTAGAGCTCCACCCTGCACTAACAAAGAAAGACGCGGAAATTGTTGCGTCAGCGTCGGAGGCTTCTGTTCAGAACGTGAAGTTTCAAAGTGCTGATTAGCTTCGGCATACGTGAACCAAGCCGCCATAATTATGGGGAATGATATTTAAAGTCGAAGGAGTGGGGCTGGCGTCCAAGTGGGTCGCTTCTCTTGCAAGCAATCCCTGTCACACCCACGTGGGGGGGGGGGGTTGATCTACCAACGTCGAGTATACCTCCTCCCGTAATGGAGAAGCACCATGCATTGTATGAAGTCTTCTTCTTTGTCTACACTGCGTGGAGAATTATGCAACATCCCTTTATCGCTGCAATTCTTTGCGATCGTTGCAAGAATCTAGCCTCCGAGGGCCGCGTAGCTGGATCTGATGGGGGCCACTGCAACGTCCGAAGACCGTAATTATGGGCTCGTCACCACGCCGATGGCATCCACTGTACGGCAGCAGCCATCCACTTGTGCTACCGGCGCGTATAAGATGCATGGCAGCGATGTTCTAACAGAAATCAGTCCGGCCTTGGCCTCCATACAGTCGTTTCCATTCAATTTTTGTTCGATTTTTGTCACTCTTTTGATCAGCTTCCCTTTCGTTCCCGGCCGCTCTTTTAGGCTTCTTATGACAAGTGGTTCACTCTAGCAGTCAGAATGAAGCTTAGTCTCTTCATCTTCTTTTTGCTTTCGGCGCTGGCCATTGCCGTGAGTTAATCTTTGTCAGCAATAGTAGGACTCATACTTACTTGTTCAGTCCAATGTCCTGGAGACTGAGACCAATGTTTCGGAGGAAAGCACGCTCGTAGCCAGAGGTAGAGGCGGGTCTCGCACGAGGACTGGGTCCAGAGTCTCCCACACGAGACCCAAGAAAACGAAGACTACGAAATCGAAGTCCACGAAGTCCAAATCTTCCAAATCCAAAACCACCAAGTCGAAGACGAAGTCTAAGACTAACAAGAATAAAACCACGTCGAAGGCCGTAAAGTCGAAGACTGTGAAGTCCAAGTAGGTTCATCCATACCACGCGATGTGTGCCGAGTCCATCCATACTCATTATGTGATAGGACGACTTCGAAGACACAATCGACAGCAAAGGCTACACCGACTAAGTACATCTGTGGCGCGAAGAACAGCAGCTGCGGAAGTAAGAGGAGCAAGAAGGGATCCAAGACGAGAGCTTGCCCGGTTAGTGGTGGCAAGAAGTCCAAGAAGACCAGCCGCTCTCTTGCTCCTGTTCTCACCCGTCGTACACTTGATTCCGTCAGCAACGCCAACACATATGTTCCAACGCAGGCTATCAAGCACAAAGCGACTGAGCTTGATTACACCTATATCGGTCATGTGTATGCCGTTTCTAAACATGGATCTTTTGCGAATAAACCTCAGGTCATCCCACTCACTGGTCTCGAGGGCTGCACAGGTATTGCTGTAGTTTCTGAAAAGGGGTACTGGATAAGCCATTTCATGGAAGTTGCTATGGATGGCGATCAACCGGACCACAAGACGATGTGGAGCCATCTGATCAAGGATGCGACGCACGGAAAGGCTGGCAAGTACACGCCGCCTCACCAATTGTCCGATATCTTCGACGCAGACTCCAAGCCCAAGATATAGTAAGTCACTTATGCTCCATTACCGCATGAAGCATTCACTCACTATGGGCAGCATCTCGCGCCCCAAACACAACGGCGTCAAGCTCTACACGCCTCTAATCAATCAGATCATGGCCCAAATCAAGAAAGGCCCGCTGGCGCATGCCTCCGAGATAGAGTTTGACTATAAGAAGATGATGGGCGAAGCGGAGAAGAACACACTCGGCGAGACAACCGCACGTGGCAAGATGCTCGTCGAATACACCAACGACCAGCAGAAGGACTCCAAGACGCAGTCACCGCAGCAAGCCATGTACCGAGTCTGGCTTGAAGACAAAGACTACTCCAATACCTGGCCCGCGCTGAAAACGCAGCAAGGCACTGCCGGCGACGAGGAAGCGGCGGACAAGGTTACCAAGAAAGAATACACGGACCACTGCCTCGTCGACACATCGAAAACTATTCCCAAAGACAACCTCGACGACATCCTTGCTGCGATCTGTAACAAAGCACAGCTGGATGGTAAGTACTTCTCCTTCCTGCTCACGGATGCGTGGGATGCTGATTAGATGAATTAGTTGGTTCACCCATCAGCGCAGCTCATGGGAAGACGCAAATCAAGATTGGCATGTCATCGAGCCAGAAGGGATGCCATCCTAGCCCTGCGTCGAAGAGGCTTCCCAGGACGCAGTGCAAGCGGGCTGTTACGAAGGCGCTGGAAGCGTGCCCTAACCCTGCTGGGGGCTTCTTGGGAAACAAGCCGCTTACCTGGAATGCGAAGGGATTGGGTTGTGTTGATATCAGTGTTTATGAGGACTAGAGTTTGACGGCCAGAAAATTGAGCATGAACGGGGAGTATGGTAGTGTGAAGGGGGAGAGGGACCGCACGAAGTCGAAAAATATATAGTCGACCTATGTGTTTTCTACCCTAGAGAGACAGAAGTACTTCAACATTTAACTTTAATACCTAAAAATGCATTTGCATGTCTCTAATACTCTAAATCTGTAATTAAACACTAACTTTTAACTTAGTCGCATGAAAAAAAATTCTGCATCGCTTAAGTGGGTCCGCCAGCCGTCTCGTTTCACGTTTAGACCTCACCACAACTAATATACGTACACGTTTCCGTGATCGTGTCCATGACACACAGGATAAAACAGATATATATATAATGCTGCTCCCCTATCCCTCAATAACAGCACAAAACGGGGCTTGTGGTTTAGTGGTATAATTTTCCCTTAGCACTACTTTAGCACGGTTGAATGACCTTCAGCTGATGCCAAGTAAGTGGGAAAGGTCCTGGGTTCGATTCCCAGCAAGTCCAATTCTTTTTGTGGCGTTCTGGGAGTCCCAAAATGATTGGGAACCGTTCCCAATTGCACGCAACGCATTAATTTTTTCCTTTACAATTGCAGTTCCGCTGAGTTTCATGAAGAATGCCCGCGAAAGCTACGGAAACTGTACTGTAAGACGTTGTGTCAAGCGTCGCCATCGAAGTCAGTGTTGGAATGGCGACCGAATGAACAGTCTACTGGGGAGGTGTTAGAGTTTCCCTTTGATGATGATGAGAATCTAACGGCTCCTCAGGTGTATGAGGTCCTGAAACAAAGCTTAATAGAGATCTACCTGCTTCAGTCGTGTCAAAATATGTCTACCAAAATTTTGCTTCGTCCAAAAAAAGGAACGCGTAGATGGTGCATTCCCATAGTTCAACATGCCACCCCGCGATAGCTGAGACGCCACTCTCATGCGTGCTCTCGTTCTTCCCATGTCTCATGTTATCCAAACGATCAATCGGGATCCCATATTCATGGCAGTTGTTCGAGAGAATGAGATCGATCGGCACGCGCAAACCAAGAATACATACTGAGGTAGGGGACTATAGATGATAAATATTAGCAATGCTATATATCGAAAGTACTGCGTAATACATAGCTTGTATTCATGTAGAAACGAGGCACAGACTCGAGCGCTATTATGCGAGATGGAGCTGAGCAAGCCAAACCGAAGATGTTAAAAAATCGGTAAAGTTAGATTTCGCGAGAAGGAAGTAAAGAGCACTGAATATCCATTTGGGATAAGGAGGACACACGGGTGAGCACATATATTGACACTAGATAATGGTTTATTAGATGGTGGACTCAGCGCGCCGAAATGACCTTGGAAAGGGCAAAGGCAGACAATTCATACTTTATTCAGGTACAAGGACGACTTCTGGGTGCTTATACCTATGACGACTAGATGATAGTTAGTCCTCGAGCTTATCATAATATTCATCGTAATCATCTTCACTGGCCAGGAATCGGATGTTTTAGCGTATTCCCTCCCATGCTTCCAATGCATCCCAACCACCATACTCTGTACTCATGTGATTGCGAATATGACGCTGGTGGAATGCCTTACCACAGCTCCAACACCAATGGACGCTTCACGTATGAACGGGGCGCACATTGGCTAAGAAGCCTCAGGGCCGACAGTCGATGACTGTACTGAAGAGCGAGCCCTGGAAAGACTTCTTCAGAGTATCATTGTCATTAAGGATCCGTTAGCATTTGCTGAACTCATTTGGGTATCATTCATGAACTGTCCTACTCCTCTCGCTCTTCATGCGGACAAGACGTCACCTTGACCCAATAACCACCGTGACCGAGCTTACCATCCTCACCCTCATCTCAGGTACATCATCATCATTCAACTGCTCATTTGCCTCAATACCGCCGCCACTGGCGTTTCTCTCTTCAACATTCCGTATCTCGATGTCGTCCACCGCCATCACACTGCCTGTTTCCACCCTCACCGTACAATCACTCTCCCCCTGGAAATGCACGCCAAATCTCAAGGCACGCTCGATCGCCCTCCCCGTCGCCTTGACATACACCTTCTCTCCGCCTACATCACCTCGCTCATCTTTACCTTCTTCAGCAATCTCCCGCTCCACATCCTCCGGCGCAAGACGCCCGTTCGGTGCCAGTGGTTTTCGATTCCGCCCTTGTCGTCGCTGCCGAGATATTTGTGAGGCTTGTGATTGCACTTGTCGCTTGGAGATCTCGAGGAGTAGGCGGCGAATGCGTTTTACGGTCGGAATGAAGGGGGTTGAGTGTGAGATGTAGAGGATTTTTGGATGCTCCAAGGAAGCAAAGGGCGCGGGGATTGCGGGGTGGTGGAGAGGGCGTTTCGCTATAGCAGCATCTATGAGGTTTTAACATAAGTTGCGCATATCATTGGAGAGCGAGCTAACGTACTAGGCGGTAGTTTGGGGAGCTTTTTGCGATTCTGCTTTCGAGAAGGAGTCTGGTGAGGTTGTTTTGGGTTGGCAGGTATACCTTCCAACTTCTCAATCTTCTGCTTTTTGGTGTTTGGCGTTTGATCCGCATTTGCTTTCTTTACTGAAGGTGTGCTCGAGGAATGGGGAGCTTGTGCGCCTGGAGGCGTGTCGTTCGGGGGTGTAATGTGCGCAGCCGCTTTCGACGCTGCTCTCTTTTCTTTCCCGTCGTTTGTCCTCTTCTTGCCCATTGTGCTAAGCGTGCGTATATTCCAAGGTGTTAGGATTGTGACGGGCAAAAGTGAACTGATTGCCCTCAACGCGTCCAAATTTCTTATCGATATCGGCCCGCACGCTACGCGACAGCTCCAGCTTCGTCAGTACCCGTCTCAACGTCCACCAACCACAAACACTCCATCATGCCCCTATCGCGCTGAACAACTCCCCGCCGGCCCAATGCGGCCCCTAATTCACCTCCACTTTCCGCGCCCCATCTCTTACCGTACCGCCCAAACCCTTCAGGAAACCCTCGTCTCCCGCTTCCTCGCCTCAAAGCCGCCATCCTCCCTCCCTGCTCCACCACCGCACATCATCACCGCGGAGTTCAACCCGGTCTACACGTGCGGCCGCCGAGAGATTGGCACCGTGTCCGCAGAGCAGCAGGAATATCTGCAGCACCATGGGCAAGCTGAATTCGTCGAGGCGCTGCGAGGAGGACAAACGACCTTCCACGGGCCGGGCCAGCTAGTCGCGTATCCCGTCATTGATCTGCGCACACATAAACTCACGCCTAGAGACTATGTGTGTCTCTTAGAGAAGAGCCTGATTGCGACGTGTGCGAGTTATAATATCAAGGCTATGACGACGGAGCATACAGGCGTGTGGACGACGCCAGACGATAAGATCGCTGCTCTAGGTGTACATATGCGCAGAAATATTACTAGTCATGGGGTAGGACTGAATGTAAACACAGATTTATGGTGGTTTGGGCGCATTGTGGCGTGTGGGCTTCAGGGGAAGAGGACTACGAGCTTTGAACGGGAGGGTGTTGAGGACATTGAGGTTAAGAATGTAGGGAAGACATTTGTGGGTGAGGTTGGAGAGAGATTGGGGCTCGATGCGATCGAGGAGAAGGACGCGGAGGAATATATGCGGAAGCTAGAAGAAACAAAATAACACGAAAAGGCAAAACATTGTGAGTAGTCTAACTGACACATCTGCCTCCAGCTTTAGGATTTAGTGCAGAGTGGGAATGAATGTCCACGCTATCACCGATAGGTGTCAAGCGAGAATGGTATGTCCATGTTATAGTCATTTGGTGTCAAACACGAGAAAGGTTGGGAACCGGCCAGTCAGTCAAGGGTTGATTCTTAGAATCAGCCGTGACACATCCATGGCGTGGCGCGAACTACATTTGAATCAGATAGCACCTATCTTACTAGGAAAAGTATACTAATCGTACAAATTTTTACAGCGTAACGAAACGTAAGGTCCGCGTTGCTCTAAGCCTTCGCGTCCTCCACCCTCAACTCATCAGACTTCAACTCCTCAGGAGTGACCAGACCATCCACCTCTTCCATAAGCCGGCGCACAGCAACGGCCGAATTCCCACCCGCGGCCGCAACTCTCCTCTCATATTCCTCGTTGTTGCGCTTGACAAAGGGACTGTCGCTTGTGAATAGCAGATTGACTTCCTCCAAGCTATGACCTGCAGGCTCAACGTAGAACAAGTAGATCAACGGTATAGCCACGGCGTTCATGATACCGAAGAAGATGAATGTATACCAGCCGATCTCTGACAGCATGATAGGGATAAGGAACGTGGTCATGCCACAGCCAATCGCCCAGCCGAGGATGGTGAATGAGTAGCCCTTCGCTCTGACGTCCTGTGGCCAGATTTCAGTGCCGTAGAGCCAGGAGGGAACAATGTTGAACATGGTGAAGAACCATAGGTAAATGAAGACGAACGAGGCAGCAGCCTGGCCAAGGCTCTCCGACTTGCCCGGGTCGCTTTCCGCATAGCCTTCGGACGACTTGATAAGAGCAGCGACGATGAACAGCGCAATACCCTGGATAATGAAAGAGACTAGCAGGCTCATGCGGCGACCGATGCGATCGATGACGAAACCTGCCGCTGCTGTACCGAAGATTCCCAGAGTGTTGACCAAGCCACTCATCCACAAGGATTTGAGTTCGTCGAAGCCCGCTAGTGAGAATAATTTACTGCTCCAGGTCACAACGGCGATGATGCCTGACCACATCTGAACCTGTTGCAGCGCGAACCCGAGAATTGCTCGTCGACCGAGATGCAAGACGCCTGAGTGTCGCCCGCCCAGAGCCAGGTTGATATAGCTATTTCTCGGATGCTTGGATGCTTCCACAATGGCATGAAGATGTTCGAGTTCTTCCTTGATCGTCGGGTCGGTGGGTTCAATGTCCCCTCGTACTTTGCACAATATCTGGACAGCTTCGTCCCGCCTATCGTGCGCCATCAACCATCTTGGCGATTCTGGCAGCAGCATCACCGTGATGGCGACGATGGAAACCGGAACGCACATGAAGCCTAGCGGGAAGCGCCACCTGAATTCGATGGCGGAGTTGCGCACGCCGAAATTGAGCCAGTTGGCAATCGTGATCCCTAGGAAATTGGCGACGAAGATGAACGAAAAGTTGGAACCGCGATCGTGTGCTTGAGACAGCTCGGAAACCCAAGGAGGCACGATAGCCATCACGAAGCCCATCCCAAGACCAGTGATAACTCGGCCGCAGATGAACATATCAGAGTTGATACTGCCGGCTTGCAGCGCTCCGCCGAGTACACCTTGCCATGCACCAGCAAAGACACCAACTTTTCTGCCGTACCTGTCTCCGATCCATCCACCAATAAAGGCTCCAAACAAGGCTCCAAAATAGTACGAGGCAGAGAGACCGCCTTGCTTAGTTGAGTCCGTTACAATACCATCAGCACCAATGTGCATGGTGTCGATGAAGCCTGGAGTTCCAGAAACCGTGCCGAGAACACCTTGGTTGTATCCCTCAAAAATAAGGGCGATGAAGATGAAGGCATTGATGAGGAACATCAGAACCTTGCCAGGAATGCGCCGCCATGGTTGGAAAACCATACTGCAGAAAAGAGACCGAAACTTGTTGTGAGCTGTAGCATGAGGATTCACAGTGCTCTTATATTCATCAGAAGTCTTGAGTTCCAGATGGTCGACCTTGCAGTCGCCGAGTCTGGAGTTATGCAGAATGGGGAAACATCACTAAAAAAGCGGGACTCCATGGGGAGAAGGTTGCCAAGAATGATGGACACGAGGTTCCCCAGTATCGGTGAGCGGTTAAAAGGCAGAATGCTATAAAAGGCGTCCTAAACCAATGACAGCCGATCTTGGCGCGACAAGGGTCCGTGGAGATTTGCGAATGCTTCCCGCTGCACAGACGCGCGGCAAATGTTTCTCGCATGCGATTCAGCCACACGGACAAAATTTATTTTCCAGGCACAGTGGCACGGTTTTGACCATTCAATGCTGAAAGAGATTGGACGAAAGCCTGGAGTCATGACATGACATTCCCTTGTCCCCTGTAGCATTGAGTCGGTCTAAACTTCAAGTAGTGGGAAAATGCATGAAGCCCGTTTTCCATGGCCACTCCGACAGTACGTCTTGTGGTAGCTGCAAGTCGCGATTGTGGGGTTCCGAATACAAGGTTGCAGTCGAAGGCCCACTCCTCCGGGATGCCATGTGCTCGTCTATCTGAACGACAAGAGCTCTTAGTTTATGCGCCGATTTGATCGAGTGAAAGCCGATGTCCAGATTTTCCAGAAGCTGTGCTAGAGACAGAAGAACCGTGCGGACCTGTTGATATTGGTAATCTAGTAAGGGCTCTTCGAGAACGCCTCCGAGCACTGAACCAATACCACTCAGGTGGTGCAGCAATGGAGAGCTAATGGCGCGCAGATATGATGATGGTATGCGCATGAAAGCGTTGACAACCTCGCTAACGACCTGGCAGCGCTGTTCAATAGTATTCTGCTCTGATGCAAGAAGGACCATTCGCAAAAGCTGCACAGTAGCAGTGATGTTCGCGGCTTGAAATCCGTATCGGTCCTTGGCCTGGTCTCCTGTTCTCTCGTTGATCTCCCGGAAATGAAATGGCAAGCCGTAGTATATGCGATCTACCTCAGCTTGGAGTGTTCTAGCAGAGGGTGACGCGTCAAAATTGGCAGCAACCTCCAAGAAAGAGCGCTTCTTCTTAGTATGACTGTGCAGCTTCATTGTGACGTGTTCGAGCAGGCGCCACAAATCGGTTGTAATGTTCCATCCGTGCACCCAACTATCTGGTGAGACATTGGATGACGGAGTGGTGACATCGACCGGAGATTGGGGCTCATTTCTGTAGCCGGTGTTATCGAAGTAAGCATCGTCTAGCTCTGTCGTATATCGAACGCTTGATTGTTCTTCCCGACTACGAATCACGCTGTTGAAAACGATGCAAGAAAAGATGTCAAGGGTGTACATGGACCAATACTGTACGAGTCATCAGCAAGCTCCCTTGTACAAAGTCATGGAACTTACCAGCCGCCGGCGTTCTTCCAATTCAACTATTGTGAGGTCTCGGGGCCAATTGGCCTCGTCATGCAAGCCATCCATAGCTACCAGGGCGTGGTACTTGCCGAGGTAGGCCTGCATGTCACGGGAGTCGCCCTGTTGAATAGCAGTAAGTGACAGCAGTGCATACGCCCGCATAAGGTTCAGGCTCTGCTCTGGTGTGTCTGTTTTCGGCAAAGCATTGATAGCCGCTTCGTAGAAGACTGATGAAGAGGTGCTCCCGAGAGTCTGGCCATCCCAGGTGGAGTCGAATAGAGCATTATCAGCCGCCCGAGCAGAGGCGAGAGCACAAGCCGCCATTGTCACAGCGAACATCTCCGGAGAGTTCCCGTATTCACCGCGAGATATCTTGCGCAAGAAACTAGGACGATGAAACAGAGGGAAAATCGGATAAACAACTTCGAAGTAAACGTCGATGAGGTCGACGACGGTAGCTTGGCTGGCGACATGCGGCGCTGTCCAAGGTGCGGCAGCTGAGGAACGCGATGAGGTCAGACCATTCGAGTCTGGCGTTTGTGCCATGTAGAGTGAAGGCGGCGACGTCTGCTGCGATGCCCCCCGGTTTGGCTTCACGCCTCGACGCCTCACAGCGCGGTCGCGTGTGCATGCTTGATTGAAGTCGACACAGTTGCTGCATCGCTGGTGGATGTCTCCTTCAGCGAGCTGACATCGGATACTGCGCCGATGGCAGTAATCGCAGGCTTGAGTGACACGCCGGCGTTTTGCTGGCCGGTTCGAGTCGCTAGTCATGTTTTAAACGATGAGCCCAGGTAAAGTGGCCTCGATGCGGGGCGCGAAGGTGGAGAGAAGGCGGAGGATTGTTGCGGGCAAGGGGAGCTTTTAGCCATTTAAGCACGGAGGAATCAAGCTTTCATCCTGGCCTATTCAGGTTAAGAAGCCTCGGTACGCCTTGACCACGCGATGACCGGCCCACTCTGTTCCTCAACTCCACAATGGCTTTGCGCTTACATGCTGCCGTTACCGGCCCTACTTGCGCCCACTGCATCTCCACTTCAACTGCTGGTGTTCGTCCAGAGTCAGGATTGTCGCCTACGTGCGCGTACCCGGAGCTTTTTCCTTTCTGGCGCCGCCGCCGTAAAAGGGCCGACATGGCGGGCTCGTGGCGATATCTACAGCGTTTCACTTTATCTGAACATAACCATCCTGTCTGATTCCGACGACATCCAAATTCCTCAATTCCTCATTCCCTCTATCATGGTCTCTTTCAAAAATGGCCATCAGGTCAACGGGCAAGGTCCGGACCGTCTTCACGGATCTGCCCCCCTCGATCTGACTGTCCTCGGCATGAACTCCGGGACATCTATGGACGGCATCGACTGTGCTCTTTGCAGGTTTCGTCAGGACTCGCCTTCATCGCCTATGAACTTTGAGCTCCTCCAATACGACGAGATACCCCTGGAACCTGTCATTAAGAAGCGCGTTATGAACATGATCTACCACAACCGCACCACGCCTGAAGAGCTGTCCGAAGTCAACGTTCTGCTTGGAGAGACTTTTGCATCCGCCGCGATCGAGTTCGCTTCCAAACACAGCATATCCTTCTCAAACATCGATGTCATTGGCTCGCACGGCCAGACAATCTGGCTACTCAGTATGCCGGAGAAAGGTCACACCAAATCTGCCTTGACCATGGCTGAAGGCACATACCTCTCTTCAAGAACAGGAATCACCTCGGTCACAGATTTCCGTGTCTCGGATCAGGCCGCTGGGCGGCAAGGTGCGCCACTCATTGCATTCTTCGACTCACTAGTGCTCCACCACCCTACAAAGCTCCGAGCATGTCAGAATATTGGTGGCATTGCCAACGTATGCTTTATTCCTCCAGACCGGGATGGGGAGCTGAATCAGGAATTCTTCGATTTCGACACGGGCCCCGGCAATGTCTTCATCGATGCTGCCGTCAGACACTTCACCAACGGCAAGATGGAGTACGATAAGGACGGCAAGATGGGCGCGGCGGGCACAGTCGATCAAGAAATGGTAGACGAGTTCCTAACGACACACCCTTACTTCGCCCTAGAGCCACCCAAGACCACTGGGCGTGAAGTGTTCCGGGATACCATCGCCGATGATATGATCGCGAGAGGCCTTGCCAAGGGCCTGTCGCAGAACGACATTGTGGCGACAATCACCCGCATCACTGCACAAGCCATCGTTGATCACTATCATCGATACATGCCTCAGCAATACGGACCTCTAGCTGAGATCTTCATGTGCGGCGGTGGTGCTAAGAACCCTAACATCACATCGTTTTTGCAAAAGTCGTTCCCCGACACAAAAATCATGATGCTTGATGAGGCAGGCGTTCCGGGCGACGCGAAAGAAGCTATCACATTCGCGTGGCAAGGTATGGAAGCTGTCGTCGGCCGAAGCATCAACGTGCCGGATCGCGTCGAGACCCGCCAAGGGTATGTCCTGGGTAAGATCTCACCGGGACGGAACTATCGCCAAGTCATGCGTAAGGGTATCGAGTTTGGTGGTAAGCTTGATGAATTGCGGCCGGTGACGAACATGGTGAATTGGAAGAATGGGGGAGTTCTGAGTAACACTTGGTAGAAGAAGCGGGTTCCTGGTATCCACATTTAGCGGTGCATTTCTACAGGACCAACGCCCGCTGTAATTATGGAAAGATAACTTATACTCAGTCTGCAAGCCCTCACCATTCCAAAACCATAGAGGAGGTTTGAAGACACCAAGAGCCGGGAGTAACGAATGACAATTGTGTATAGTGTACAATGAAACATCTCTGTACAAAAAAGTAATGTAGCGTACAAGGGGGTCGTCTCCGCTGTACGAAGCGTTATAAGACAAAATAAGATTCAATTACGACCATCCACGCGTAGTCAGGTGGAGATGATGACTACCCGTTGTGCACAACATAGAACAATTGCGCCGTGGCGAAACCCTACAAGATAGTGAGCAGCAGCAACACAAGGGGCCTGTGTCATGACAACCTGTCATTCAGGTATCGTGCCATCGACGGACACCGTAGTGCCGGTTTGAGTACGCTTGGGAAATCGCAATTTTTCTGGAGGTGTGACGTCGTTTAGCAGTCGGGCTGGTTCCGCGTCCGCATCCTGTACGGTTGTTCGAAATTGTTTAATCATTTCTGTGACCGTGGCACGCTGATCTACTTCAACTTGAAGCAAACGTGTTTCGGTAAAGGTGGGAAACCCTTCAAAGATGGTGTCGCCTTGGCAACGATCGTCTTGACGTAGCATCCTCAGAGCTGTGGTAACTACAGGATGTGTTTCTGTTCTTCTTCTTGATGCTGATGTTGCCCTGTTGGTAAGATAGAATGCGTAATCGGGCGCATGTCTTGCATAGCCGAAGGAATCTACCGATGCCATGTCGTGAAAGATCCAGCGAGAGAATTTCAGGAAGATGCACCCGATGGACCAGACGTCATATCTGTGTGCTCTTGGTGTGAATTGGCTTGCGAGAGTTTCGGGTGCTTCGTAGCTGGTGTGGTGGCTCCATTAGTAGTTCCCTCGTCATGAACTCGGGAGACATACACGTCCGAAACAACCAGTCTTCCTCCGTCAGGCCCAGTGAAATGCGGAATGTTTTCGGGTTTCATATCACCGTGCCGGCAATTTACCGAATGCAAAGCTTCTATGGCTTCAGCGATGCCCAGCCTTTGTTGCAAGCACCATATAGTCAGCGTTCTCTCTCGAACGCATGTTATTTGGTAGTAAGCATCTCTAGCGAAAGGCGGATGACTAGCCAATCGTGACCATATCCAGCCCTACCTGTTGAAGTGCGTGCATATGTGTGGCGCGCGTCAGTATATGACACTTCAGGGGTCTTGCATGATAGTGACAAGCCGATTATGCAGCTTGGCTCGACTCGATGGATCCAGACAGCCTGCTGCCCTCTCGGCCCTGGCGATGCACGATAAGAATTCGTGGCTCAAATCTCGCATAACGGTTGGTCTCCTCGAACAATTTCAGGGGTTCGGCAGCCGATGCAGTACGCATGTGTGGGTCGCAATTATGGTGATGGAAAAGCGGGGGTAGTTCCGACTGAGTGCACCGGTCAAGTCCTCACGCCAAGGAGCGGTTCAGCCTATTCCCTCCTCTTCCGGTGAACAACCTCGAAGACGACCTCCAATTATACTTCAACACGTTTACCAGCCTTGCTGCATAGCATCCATAGCATGCGTATCGTTCAAAGTGAGGCCCGCAATGTATGCGCTTACCGAAGCTCGCAGCCAAAAGGCTCTAGCTCGCATTCAGCCCCAGGACATCCCATGATTGAAGAGCCTGGTTTTGGCCTTGTTACTCGCAAGAAGCTTTACGTCTACATTTCTCTCAGCAATTAAGGTACTCAGGTAATATCAGGACTAGTTGGTATCTGGTCCATCTATAGTTGTAAAACGTTAGAGACCCTAATTCTCGACAAGGCAAGATTGCTGGGTGGAACTCATCGCAGGACAGCCGATAGTCTTGCCAGAAAAGATTCTCGTGAGAAGGTGAACTCCGAACCACCAGAAAGTTCTTCGGGGAAAGCAGAGAACTATTGGCTTCAGAGAAAGACGACAACGACGACGTTTACGAGCAGCATCACCTCCGTATCCGAGAGGAATCGAAGATACACTAACGAGAGCCTCTCCTCATTGGTAAGTCTACCAGTGGCTGGAAGGTGAAGAGAAGGAACATCGACGACAGCATATCGTCAGCAATAACAGCATTCCGTAGCCACGTTCTAAGGAGGTCACACAAGCCTAGGCAGGTACATGGCGCTTTCTCATCAATGGGGCTTACCCGAACAGCATCGCAAATTCTGTACTTACAAGGACAATATTTCTCAGCATCAATATGGCATTACAATCGACAAACTTCCAAAAACATTCCGGAATGCCATTCTAATCTGTCGATCTCTAGGCATACAATATCTTTGGATCGACTCTCGTTGTATCATACAGGACGATACAGAAGAATGGGCGAAAGAATCCGAGCTCATGGAACAAGTATATAGCAGCGCGTACGTCAACATCGCAGCCACCTGTGCCAGTTGGACAACCGACGGCTTTCTCACACCCCGTCCTTATCGGGATTGCATAATGGTGAAAAAAAAAAAAGTTAGAATGTCTCACTACATGTGCGATGCCATTGATGACTTTACACGAGACGTTGAACAAGGGCACCTCAATCGTCGTGGTTTGTTACTACAGGAGCGAGCTCTGTCTCGGCGGACCATCTATTTTGCTGAGAACAAAACATACTGGGAGTGCAGAGAAGGCGTGCGATGTGAGACATTGACCATAATGAACAAGTAGGTCCTTCGCTTATCTAACATTTCTTCACACTTACAATTACAACTACAGTAAGAAAGCATCCTTTCTTGGTTACTCGGATTTCCCCAACCCTATCGACTCATCAGTAAAGGGCATAAAGATCCTGCTTTTCCAAAACCTATACGATAAATATGCGACCATGAGCTCATCATTCATGGAAGACAGGCCGGTCGCTATTAGAGGTTTGGAGAAAAGGTTGGTCCGGACTTTCAAGACAAAGGGCGGGTTTGGCATGTTTGATTGTTACCTGCACCGATGCCTTCTCTGGAAGCGGACCGGCTGGTCTCTGAGTCCTATCGATACCTTCCGTGATGAAACCCCTTCTTGGTCATGGATGGCCTAAGCAGGTGCCATAAGATTCATGGATTTCCCGTTTGGAGAAATTTCATGGGCTGATGACATCTATTCGCCTTGGCATCGCGACGAGATAGCAGATGACCATGAAGATTCTGGTGAGCAAAGAGTCAGGCAACCGAGCGAGATCCAAGCTCCGGCGTGGGAACTTGCCAATCCATCTGCTCCCGAAACCCTATTCCTTGATAGTCGTAGCCGGTCCTTCACTCAGTCACTGAGGTATATCATCGTCGGGACAGAGAAGTTTAAGAGGCCTGGGAGCAAGTATCATCGAATGTACGTCCTGATAGTTCCAACCTTTTCCGGGCATGGAGTAGGCGCATACCACAGGGTTGGGGTGGGCATCTTGACCCGAACCGATGATCTGCAAAAGCAAACTGCCTGCGATGATACGTCTCATTGAGGATTCATAATTGGGTCCCGTTGCAGTCAATTCCAATCCAATGGAAAGTATCCATTAATATGGTTTCGAAGCAAACCCGAAGTCGACAGCATCAGCAACGATGAGATGCCACCTCCAGCTTTTGCTTTTGCTTTCCTTCACACCGATCACAGTCATCATCGTTCCATCGAGAGCTGTAAACACCAATTCTGTAGAGTAGGGTGTACACTTTGGTGAGTCAGCTGACATCTCGACGCTCACTCTCTACGCCCACTCTGAACAAATGACAGAAGGTATTGGATCTCATTCCGCAGCATCGCCTCCACAAAGAAATTTCTGGAGAATCGAATGAGAATCTTCAACATCATGCGGTATGGTCGCAGGGATTCTATGCACGAAATTCTTTCTCGTGCTGACATGGGCGGCAGCTGTCTTAGCCAAGAACATCTGCTCACCGCAGTTCGAGATGTACACACACGAACTCTCGAAGATAGCCCCGGAGCAGGCCGAATGAAAGGAGCCTTCAGCGACATATAAGAGGCATCATTGCGGCCCCTGATGGAACCATCGCAGCGTTCATCTTCACCACTTCGATCACCACAACAATTGCTTCAAAATCGCCATGTTTGCCTTGTCCACCATCCTGGCACTTGCCAGTATCACTCTAGCAGGACCCGTACAGAAGATCCTCGCCGACGACGGTGGTCCATCCCGCCCAAATGACCCCGACTTCCCTCTTCCCGCACCTCTCCCTTTCAATACCACACTTCCCGGCGTTGACTACGAACTAATCGCCAGGCTGAGGACGTCACCCAACTCCGTGACACGCCACGCACTCCTCCCGGATGACGCCTTCAAGTTTGACTTCATCAATCCTCCCAATGTGCCCTTTGCAAAGCTCGAAGGCCGCGGCGGCACTCTTGTGAACGCAATCAGCCTGACGATGCCCGCGCTCATCGGCAATGGCGCTGCTGCCGCCATTGGGTTTACGAAACCCTGCGGGTACAGCAATAATGAATAGACTGTAGGAGTGGACAATGCTGACCTAGGGCCCAGCTTCAACACACCCCACACCCACAACCGCGCCACCGAACTCGCCATCATTGTCAAGGTCCGTCTCTCCTTCTTCTTCATTGTACCTTTTCCGTTGCCCATCTAACCGTTCTTAGGGCCGTATGATAACCGAGTTCGTCACCGAAACCGGTGTGCGCAAGATCCGCGCCGAGCACAACACCTACAGCATGGCTGTCTTCCCACAGGGCGCATTGCACCTAGAGTTCAACCCCGACTGCGACGAGATGGTGTTCGTTGCTACCTTCAACGACGAGGATCCGGGGTTGAATACGCCCGCTGAGTCGCTGTTCTTGCTGGACGATGACTTTGCGGGGCTGGCGCTGGGCCTGGAATTCTTGGAGGGCGCTGATATTGACAAGTTTAGGCATTTGGTCCCGGCGACGTTGGCGCAGGGGGTGGAGAGTTGTTTGAGGAGGTGTGGGATTAAGAAGAACAAGGTGGAGGAAGGGGAGCTTTAAGGGCGGCAGAGCTGCTTTCGGGTGACTGTGATGAGCCAAGAAGGTGGTGGTACAATGGAAGTGATATGAGGTTGGGCATGGAGAGTCTTTGGTGTAGGAAACATTAGACTTGTCTCATCACAATTCGTAGAAATCATTCAGACTCGCAATTATACTATGCACTTTACAGGCCACGAATTAGCTAACGTGGTCTTTATTGTGTCAAGAGCGAAGCATCGCGACTTCCGATTCTTGAGAGCATTGTTATATACAGCCCAATGGCAAACTAGACTGTAGTGTTTATGCACGATGGTCAGGCAGCAGTGGAATAGTGAAGATATTTGGAGCGAAATTCCGAGGTGACGGAATCGGAGTGGAACCATACCCCTCGGCCTGATTCGACTAATATAAAATCGCTTCATCCCAACGCTGCGATATGATAACAACATCAACTGAACAAAATGACAGCCGAGCAATATGTCGTCCTCCAGGGCCTCCCTTCACCCCAAGGGTATCACGACCTTCGGAAGCTTGCAGACCTGACGCCACCGCCGCCTGAAGCGATGGCGGAAGCAGTGCCCAAATCACTACAAAATTCGTTCACTTGCTTCGTTGCCTACGAACGAAAGCACATGATCGACGAGCAGACTCCTGGACCGAAGCAAGCTGCCGTCGCAATGGGACGTCTTCTGGGCGACGGAGCGCTCTTTCTCCAGCTAGTCGACATGGCCGTGCATCCAGATCACCAGAGCAAAGGTCTGGGAAAACGCATCATGGAATCGCTGGTGGCTTACGCCGACGAACATGCGCCCCACGCGTATGTTAGTCTCGTAGCGGATCCCCTGGGGCAACGGATCTACCCAAAATATGGCTTCGAGGACGTGAAACCGGGGATAGGGATGTTTCGTTGCCTGCGGATTCAGGGCGATCCCGAGTTCAAGAAGGCTCGAGAAGAAAAGCAAGCAGCGGCAATGCGAGCCCCTGGCGATTCAGCATGAGGCTCAGGAGCTTTTCGACTTGCAGATGGGTTCAGTGTGTAGGGCTGGAGGTGGAGAGCAAACGGGTGGAGCGATGCGGGGTTGGCGCCGGACCGTGCACGCCTGTTAGATGCATCATATTGCTGTTGCTGTAGGCGGAGCCTGTACACAGTAAACACGACGCGCAAGCTTCAAGTCCTACGTTCCACTCTGCCTGTGGCCCCAAATGAGCGTGCATGACCTCTTCCCAGCATGAATACCAGCTGGGCCGTTGCTACCCCGCGCGCTCGCGAGGACGAGCCAGTGTCATCAGTGAGTCGCACGCGCGGCGCATCCCCTGCGCGTGCGAGGCCTTCGTGTTTGCCCAAGCACGACTGACCTGCACGACAGATTGAGAACCTCCCAAACGAACTACTGCAGCTGATATTCGCCTTTCTGCCCTCCTCGGATCTCAAAGAAGCCTCTCTCGTCTCAAGATGCTTTCACCGCCATGCGACCGACTTGCTGTGGAAGATGGTCAATCTTTCAGATAGATGGCACCTCCACGTGAACGATGAGACAATCAACATCTTTGGTGACCGGGGTAGAGGGGAGCCAGACGAGGTGAGTCGGTCCTGTTCCCAAGAATTGAGTGTTCGCCTCTGCATGGCTTGCCATGGGGTAACACAGTACTCCAGCTTCGTCGCCCAATCGTCTACCCTTTGTATTCGACATGCGCTGACATACCTTGCTCTAGCACGACGATACACCGATCATCCAAAAGTTGTACATTCTGGCTACGAATCCATTGATCGCCTCGAAAGTCCAGGTCCTGACGCACCGTTGCCACCTCCCGACACCGAACATCTTCTCTGAACTACCGCATATGTACTTCGATTCTGAGAACCTGTCGCAGGATAATCGCATACAGACACTGCTCTGGCTTGCGGTTCGGAACTTGGTAAACGTACATACGCTGCGAATAATCTACGGACACTACAACTTGACGCGAATACTGCTGGCGGCGTTCTTGGATCGGAGGCGGCCACAACGCGTATCGCTGCGTAAACTGTGGGTGGAGAGCTCGTGCTTGTCAGGATTTGGAACGAACTATAACGACTTACTCTCACCCGAATATGCTACAGGTCTGGAATCAGTACGTATTCGTCGTCTGCGCGTAGAGCCCGAAGAGACCACAGCGCGAAGCAAGGCACAGTTTGAGTACAAGCTCGCCCGCGGTGGTAGACATCTTGCAATGCACAACGCTGCTGGTGGCTTCTTATATACCACCGTGGACATACACACTCCGCCACCCCGAATGACACCGGCAATCGTGCTCCCAACCCCTGCGGAGCTAAGAGCGAAAGCAGACGCTTACGACACGTTGATATGGGACAGACTTAACTTTGATGGTCCGGAGATTCAACCCTATGTTGACTCAAACCAGTTTCCCTATCCTAATCTGAAGTCGGGGCCTACAAATCCTATGATGAACATCATTGGAAAGTCATGGTCAACGCTGACCAGCTTGAACCTAGATTGGATTCTCTGGCGCCAAAACGGCTCGAGTAACGACACTATAGCAATCAGCGACCTACAGCAACTCTCACAGCTAAGGTTCCCAAACTTGCGGTCGTTCCAACTACGTAATGCCGTGGTCCCAGAGACAGGGTTGCCTGAGGGCGTGTTTCTCTTGGAGGACATGTTCCTAAGTTTCATGGAGGCACACACAAAGATACAATGCCTTGCATGGCCGTTGGATCGTTTCTACTCCCATCTGAAGCCGAGCCCTGATGTGTTGGTCCGGACACGGGTTGTTGTGGCCCATCTCCGCAATGTGCTTGTCGAATTACGGCTGGACAGCTTCTACTCTGCGAATGGGGAAATGAACACAGACGATGGTCGGGAGCCTCACGAGCGGGAAGAGCGCATCCGCCGTCGCCGCTTCATCAGCGATTTCGCCGCTCACATGCGCAAGATCGAACAGCTCAAGCTCGAAGGCGGCATTCCTCGTGATGAGAAGAGGGAGCTAGTACGAGCGCTACACTATTGCCGGTTGAAGAAGCTTGTTCTCATAGGGGTCACCTTCCCCGTTGGGAATACCTGGGGCGCGCGAGGAGTAGATCTAAAGCAGCACGATCCGAATCATGCCTCCGATGCGACGCACCAGCTTGAAGAAGAGGATTTCGATGGCATTCTGGCATCGTACAAGAACGGAACAGTGGTTTCTGATGACTTCATGTTTGAGCCGTACTATGGTTGGCGCGCAGAAGCCCCGTTCATGCAGTTTATCGCCCTCCACCACGCACAGACCATCGAAGAATTGAAGCTGTGTGGTTACAACGGCAGTCCCATCCTCTCGTGTTTGACACCAATAACCACCCCGCTCCTCTACCCTCTACGGCACTTCGACAACCTGAAGCAATTGGTTCTATCCTTCTGGCTTCTGACGTCTTTCGAGGATCAGTACCGCGACACTGAGATTATTCAATCGTGGATGGACACGCGTTCACCGGCCTCTACAGCACTTGTCGTTGTCACGCCGCCGGCAACTCCATCAAGCGCTCCACCCGTGGACCCTGCAATGATGCCTCGATTTCCCAGCCAGCCCTCTCGGCAGCAGAACTTCAATCGCTGGGCAGTCATGCTGAAAACGCGATTCACGCCCAGTGCCCTCGCATACCGCGTTGCGGAGGACGTTGCGCCTCATCTGAGCGAAGTGGCCAAAGCAAGGCCTGGGGGTGTGCGCGTTCGAGCAAGCTTCTGTTTGGGAACGAGGGAAGAGATGCGATCTGCGAATGATATCTTTGATCTGGATATCCGCATTGGGAGGCAGGGAAAGGTGTTAGAGTTTGTTGGACCGAGGGAAGAAGTGGAGAAGGGAAGATACTGGCAGAAGTTGGAGAACAGGCGATGGTTCTAGTTGGACTAGAGGCCAAGAGGGTGTACGGATGGATGTGATGCGACGACAATGACATAATGATGATCACGCACTGCTTTGGCGAACTGGAAATTTGGTATACCCTCTAGTTGGTGTTAGGTGGAAACTGTTTGGGAGGAGTCTTTGCTGAATATATGTGCTGTCGGACAGCTAACGTTTGTCTGTAGAGCGTTAAATGAATTCTGTCCATCACAATATACCTCCGAAGACCGAGCCATGTCTACACGGGGTACTCTCAGGATCGAATCCTCACCACATGCAAGACGACATTGATCGTGGTACGGCAAAAAGAGATTTTTGGTTCATTGTATGTAGCTTTGGGTGTAGACAAATACATGTCCCGTTGTGTACATACGTAGATTCGATACGGTATAATCAAGTCATCTATCTCAATTACCAGAAAGTCTCGCATAAAAGATCTCACCGAGACTCGTGGTTGTAGGGCTTTGGTTTGATCAACATTGAACTCTTGCATTGCCTTCCGTTGCACTTTCATCGATCTTGGGCATCTATTTAACGAACCTTCCATACTTCCAAGGCCTCTCTGCAAACGACATGAATCGTCCTGAGGTACAGGACCATCCATTTGCTACTCTGTGATGCTCACATATTTTCACCACCGGTACGGGGCCGCTGACATAGTATCCAACTTGAGTCCTCTCTGTGATCTCATATCAGGCAAAGAACATGATACTGCGGGTTACAAGAGAGCACTTAGCGCCGTACTCTGCGCGTAATCGTACCGTACATACACTATGTATTATGACAAGATCCCCCCACGGGGCGACGCTCAAGCCGGAGGAGTTTGAGTTGAAGGTTCCGCAGCAGGGAGTCGACCATTTCTACCAGCTGCTCAAGCTAAGGCTGGCTCCTAAGACGTATGAGAACACGCGGACGGACCCGAACCAATTTGGTGTCAGCCATGACATCATGTCAACGGCTAAGAAACATTGGGGAAACAGCTACGATTGGTAAAAGTACCTTTCTCATGCCTGAACTACACGAAGACGAGACGTAAAACCAGATCAACTCAGTGCCACAATGCAAGGTCAAGATCCCCGACAATGATGGCTACGGGAATTACAAGCTTTTTTTTGGATTCGATCATGGACGTGTTAGTCTGACCATCAACCCTAGTCATATTCCTCAGGCTTGAGCTATGCTACTGCGTGGAACCATCAGTAGGGTATGCGTCACCTCAACACTCTTCTTGCGTGAAGTAAAAGTCGCGCATAGCGGCCCACATGAGAACAACAAAGCTTTGTGCCTCAGGGTTCCCCGTCATCAGAGGTTCTCGCTGAGCATGCTTTAAGGAATCCACGGTTGGTCTTGCAATTCCGCTCTCAAGATCCACGCAACTAAACACAGCCTTGCTCTTTCTGTCTGCCCACTGCCGGTAACGCCGAAAGTGCTCGTAGTCTAGCCGCATCATACGATATACTGCACTTGTCAATAAAGCAGTGCCTGCTACATCCCCAAACCACGGTTCATCATCCTTCGCATACAAATAGTTAGGTAGTAGCTCCTCTTCGTGACGATGTAAGTCTGTCGTGACAACGCCATCGATCAAGTCCCGGATCATTCTTTTGAGTGATACAACTCCCTCGAAGCCAGAACCTCGAGTTGATTCCCAACTCATTAGCGTCGCGAGGACTCGTGTGAGACCGGCCGCGACCCAACCGTTGCCAGTTGACCAGTACCCAGGATCATCATGCTTCGGACCTGCAATATGATGCCATAGCCCATGATCAGGGCCACTTTCGTCCTTCTGTGCCAACTCCTTGTAGTAAGCCTCACACTGTGCAACTGCTGCCTCCATAACGTTTATATCATCGACTGCTACCGCATAAAAGGCGAGGAAGGGCGGTATCATGTAAATAAAGTCTGCCCATACTTCTTCAACGTCTTTGCGATGGCTAATAGCTGTTTCACCGTATCGTGGAGCTTCCTCGAGAAGATACCTGACCTGGCGTTGTGCTGCAGCAAGGTATTCGGGATGACGCTGACCGAGGAGTATTGCAGAGACGCCGAGAGATGCTGGGTCCGCCACGCCAGTGTCGTCTGCGCACAGAGTTTTCGACCCATCTATCTGAATGTGTTGTGCAACATATTTGAGGCTCTGACAGCGATTGTCCACCTCCGAAGCAATCTTGCCGTGTGAAAATGCATGCTTGTGAAAGACTGAAAGTTCGGGGTTCTCCAACTCGAGGAGGGCTTCTGCGGCGGTGCCAAACTCCCAAGAATGCGCAGCCAGCTCTTTGGCCCTTGTGGCTACTTTGGCGATCACTTCATCGGTCAGCATGGTGGGTGTTGTCGTCAGCAGAAATTAAAGAGCATGGTGTTCTGTGCAGTGACGCCACTGCTGGTTGGGTCCGAGCGCGACATAGATGACCCCTGTCCTTCTCCAGAACGATCTCGAGAACATCCTCCAAACGACTCTTGCTCTACGGACGTACGAATGTGGGTTCACGTTACATCGTCATGATGTATCATCAGGCACAGTAAGTTTGAGGGGTATTTTGCAGCTCACCTGCCTTACACAGTGCGCCCCCGCATTCTGGAGTACACTAATCGGGACGCTTGCCGAACTTCTTGAACATCTTTTCTAGATAGCGTAATTATATTGCGGAGGCCCAAAAAATATGTATTGAAGCTTGCGTCTGCCGGCCCGGTCGACTTTTGCTAAGGTATGTATATAGCACAAGCTTTGGTGGCTTGCGCCACCCGCTTTTGGACGCTTGGAATCCAGAGACTCCGCGAAACCAGCATCATGAACACCATATTCCTCTTGTTGGGAATTGCATCGCTTTCGACTGCTGTTGTTGATCCTGATCCTCCAGCTCCGTGGCTTCCAGAGTACGGAGGCGAATATCCGCCGTATCTGTACGGTCGAGACAGCATCACACCGAAGTCTAAGACCTGCGAGGTCAAATCTGGTGACCCTAACGGTGACGACACTTCGGCCATTCTGAAAGCGTTCAACGAATGCAAAGAAGATGGTCATATCCTTTTCAGCAATACTACTTACTATGTCGGCCAAGCCATGACAACAACTGGCCTCAAGAATGTGGATATTGAGCTCCAGGGAACCATGGAATGGTCCAAGGATATCGACTACTGGCTGAACAACTCCCTTCCAATTGGTTTCCAGAACCAGTCTACCGCATGGCTTCTTGGCGGCGGTACGTACTACGCCGCAGCATCAATTCCGCCATGTGAAAGGCACTCTGTAACAGTAATGTGTATCTACGTGATACATGTATCACTTGAGCGTTACTGCAATATCTCTTCTCTCGGCTGACTTCTGGTGTTTGTCTAGATAATATTCACTTTTACGGACATGGCTATGGTACTCTGTTCGGAAATGGAGACGTATGGTACGTCTTCAACAACGGAACGAGCAACTTGCAAGGTCGGCCGCATGCAATCTCGATACACAACACTACGAACTCGCTTATCGAAGGTCTGCGCTTCATCCAATCGCAAATGTAAGCAACATCATACCATTAGCACCCTTAATGTTGGGATCAGATACTCGTCTTGGATTCCCACTAGCTGCGAAGCGCCAATTCACTGACTGCTCGCTTCTTTCATTAGGTGGACGTCTACAGTTATGCGTAGCGAGCGCGTAGAGCTTAGCGATATCTACGTGAACAACAGCTGCACCACTCAATTCGACCGCTGCAATGTGAATACGGATGGCGTCGATACCATCTATGCAAATTGTACGCAATGTCGGGGTACAAAGTGGGTGTTCATACTGGGCGATTGTCTAAGATTCCGAGCGTTACATCTTTAAGTCTAAAAGTGTGAGACATGAGCAGCTAGCCAGAACACCTACCTCACCCACTTCCCTGGTTGCTGAACATTACACTGACTTTGTACCCCACCTTTAGACATCACATTTCTTCGATGGACCGTTGAATCTGGCGATGTCGGTACAACCAAGCCCTTTATGGTGGATCATCTGCTAACCACTGCCGCATATAGGACAGCATTTCGATGAAGCAAAATAGCTCCAACATTTATATGGCAAACAACACGTTCCACAAGGGTCTCGCATATGCAATGGGAAGCATCGGCCAGTACGAAAACCAAGTCAACTTCATCGAAAACATCACTGCAATCGACACGATTTGCTTGGACACTGCTTACGCAGGACGAATCAAAAGTTGGACTGGGCGCAATACAGGAGTGCCGCCCAACGGTGGAGGAGGCGGTCTAGGATGGGCTCGTAACATTTCCTTCACCAATTTTACCCTGCAAAACGTGGACACTCCTTGGTACATAACACAGTGCACCAGTTACAACGGCGTCGAAGGCGGATGCGATACGAGTCTGTTCCACATTGAAAACATGCACTGGGGAAACACCACAGGCACGACGAAGAACAATCTTGTGCTGAGTCTGCAGTGCAGTGGTGCAGCACCTTGTACGAACATCGACATCTTCGACAACGACCTGAAAGTTCAGAGCAATGGTACAAAGCCAGAAGAGTTCCTTTGCAGTAATGTTGAAGATCCAAAGGGGTTTAATTGCACGGGGAAGGCGCCAAATACGTCGGGCTGAGTAGTTTAGGATCCCGAATACCATCAACCTTACGGTCCTGTCCTTCGCATTGAGGGAAAACTCTTTCATCCTAAACAGCTGGTGTGAGCATATTCGGTGTGAATTATCGCTCTGAGCGGGCAACTACTGCTGACATGTTCCGGCAATTTGGTATGACGTAAATTAGACTTGGATCTTGGGAACGCCTAACGCTATCTGACGCCTCTGTACCACGACCGGCCGGCATGTCATCATACTGTTAGGTCATTGCACATAAGATCTCTCAGCTCACGGGATCTTGCTGATGGTGTACACCATGTGTACATTGGCTTTGTGACATCAGGCTATCGTGTCTCCACACACACAAGAGGTTGTGGCTCAGAGAGCAATAGGCCAGAGCCGCTTTCGAACACTTCTGTCCGACAAGATGACTCAAGGTCCAATGACCTACGCATACTAGCCAGGAAGCAGCAAGGTCCCGATCTGCATGCGGAGGATCCGCGCGCATACGCAGGGGAAGCGGCAGTGGAATAGACATTCGGCGGCTGCTCGGCTGCAGCTACTTCACATTAAGCAAAAGTGGCGCTCGATTCACAAGCTTCTTTGGTCCAGCAAGCATTCCAGTGACTTATAGTGCGCAGTAAGCACCGTGCCTCATGGAAGAGTGCCGGATTTGGCCTACCGAGCAGTCAGCAGATGTAGCACTCAACCTCGCACGGCGACATCGGAAATATTATGCTCATACGATAGTATCGAAACGTAATCCGAGCTGACCAGGTACAATGTGGCTGCACACGTAATGACGCTGGGTTTTGTCTGCGGGCCACTTCGCTCAACTGGAGCAACTGAATGGAAAAGTCTTTTGTGGAATGGCAAGCCTCGGATGGGATTACTATCTCAGCTAGCCAATTCCAGTCCTTGAGCGTTACCGTTTAATCTCTCTCAGCCAGCAAGCTCTTACTCAGATGACAGAGGCCGAGGCATCAGTCACACAAATAGCTCAACGGGCCTTTTCCTACCTACGGGGTCGGCAGGAACAAATATTAACACGCTCTTCTCCGCTTATGTGTTCAGAGTTTACCTCACTGTTTGACTGTCTATACGAATAAAAGGCTGTGTGGCATATCGTGCATTATCACCTTGAAGGGGAACGCTCCTAAGCCAAACAGCTACGGCGCGAAGAACTTGGCGCAAGCTTACGAGCGAGAGCGTGTACTTCTGAGTGAGCAGATGGAAGGATCTCTCGAAGCGATTAAACATCGAGGTCCTGATGATCGAGGGTATTGGTTCAGCAACTATAACCGCGTCGGTATGTAAATGCCATCCAAAGGCTTCCACAGGCAACTGACATATGTCAGAGCCCTTGGACACGTCCGTCTCTCCATTCTGGACCTCTCTCCAGAGGCGCAGCAACCTTTTCACGATCCTGAAGATACTGTACATGCTGTGGTCTGCGGCGAGTTCTACGATTGGGAGGAGATCCGCGCGGATCTCATCAAGGAAGGCTACAGTTTCGGATCGAATTGTGATTCCGAGATCTTGATTGCACTTTACAAGGAGTATGGCGTGTCGATGATGGAGTACATCCGGGGCGAGTTTGCGTTCGTCCTGTACGACAGCAAAGCCGAGGTTGTTCTCGCGGCAAGAGACCGATATGGCGTAAAACCATTGTTCTATACAGTACATGACGGACGCTTGTTGATTGCGAGCGAGATGAAGGCATTCCTGGCCTTTGGATGGCAGCCCGAGTGGGATGTACAGAGTCTGTTAGAGTTTGCGTATCTGACCGACACGCGGACGCTTTTCCAAAGCGTGCAGAGAATCCAAGCAGGTCGTTACATGACTGTTCAGTCATTCAACACAGTTACCCAGACCGAGTACTGGGACATCGAGTATCCAGAAAAGGTATGTGAAGGACCTTTATTCTTGTGAACACATGCTGATCCGATGATACTTTAGCATGAGCCCGAGACAAGGAACGAAAAAGAAATGATTGAAGGCGTGCGAGAGCGGCTACTTGACGCCGTCAGAGTTAGACTGAGAGCTGATGTTCCCGTTGGAATCTTCCCGTCTGGTGGCCTCGACAGCTCCACCGTAGCAGGCATGATAAAACACCTAATGGTCGAGAAGGGTGTTCATCTTGGTAACAAAGAATCTGCAACCGCCAATATCAATTGCTTTTCTATAAAGTTTTTGGACGGTCCAGGTGACGAGTTCGACGAAGAGCGTATGTACAGCCGGACACTTTTGTTATGAATACACGTACATGCTAATGTTTTACCAGCGATTGCACAAAGAACCGCTGAATGGCTAGGAGTCAAGAAGCACGTTGTCCGAATGACGGAAGAGGAATTCGTGAAGAACTACTCTGACGCCGCATGGTTCTGCGAACATCCGCTCATCGACCTCAACTTCATTGGAAAAGTCGCTCTATCGCGACTCACACGGGAGAATGGCGTCAAGGTGATCCTCACAGGAGAAGGAGCAGATGAACAGTTTGCTGGGTATGGCCAGCTGCTTGCAGATTTCTTGCGTGAACCAGATCAGAGCTGGTCCTCGCGCAGCTTGCCTCGCTTGCCCGATGACCTTCGAGTGAGATTATTGGAGGAGGAGGAAGAGCGAAGCAAAGGTGGAGACCAGAAGACGATCAAAAACTTTCGCGCCGCTGATCCACCATCGGCGATCTACGCAAAGAAGCAGATCAACAATGTCGGCATCATCTCTATGACTGCATTCATGACCGCGGAGTCGCTGCTGTCACCTTGGGCCCATCAAGAGTTTGGTATCCAGGATCCACGAGTTGTAGGAGTGCACAACCTCATATCAGGTACCGTGCGAAAGAAGATACAGTTCAAGTGGCAAGTATTGCCCGGGTGCGAAGTCGATGTCTTCGACATAAATAATTGTTACTATCCCCACTTTTCCGACTTAACTGACTTCGTACCTGCGCGTCTAGGCATACACTACACTCCGCGTTGTACATCTGGCAGAAGATGTTCCTACAAAATGTCCTCTTGACTGCTTTAGGCGACCGGGTGGAGGTCAGTACTACAGTTCATCTTTTCGACCGCGCGCTAAAAGTTTCCAGATGGCCAACTCAATTGAAGGCCGACAACCTTTCCTTGACCACAACTTGACAACGTACGTCAACAGTCTCCCACCCTCGGTGAAATTCCGATACGATCCCGAGACGCAATCGCTCAACGAAAAGTGGATCCTCAAGGAAGCCGCTAAGCCTTTTATCACCGAGGTACATTCTTCCCAATCTAGTATTTCTTTCTTCGCAATATGTGACTGATAGCGCTGCAGGAACTGTACAAAAGAAGAAAGCACCCCTTCTCTGCGCCAGTCACCTACCCAGCCGACGGACCACTTCATCGATACATCGGTTCTTTGATGACGAAGGAGAACATCGAGCAGCTCGGTTTTCTGGAATGGGAGAAATGCAAGACGCTGGTGGAAGATGGATTCGTACACAAGGACGCCGTCCAGATGAGAAAATTGTTTATGGTCTCTCAACTGGTCGAGATAAGTAGGCGTTTCGGGGTGAAGCGAGCCACACCGGAGTATGCGGTTGAGGAGAATCCACAAGACATCCAGACATTTGAAGAACCGCTGGTCAGGACCTCGAGCTGGAGTAGGCTATAGCCCGTTCATACTTTACAGCGTTGGATAATTGGGCTCTTAGCGTTAACCAATTGATTAAGAGTACCACTAACTTGCCGAGTCTCATCGTCTATTCTCTCGGAATCTGCTAAGGAGTATCTTTGCGTGCCCTCGCATTCAATGCTGCGTGGGGCTAGAGAATTATCGAAGCTTGTGTTCGGAATACTTGCGTGAGTAAAGCCAATATATGCATGTAGATGGGGACCTAGGTACGTATGTTGTATATAGCACGGGAGTATCATGGAAGTGCTCTCAAACTACCGGTGCGGCTGCAGCCCAAAACCACTGGCCCACTCTCGAGAATTTCAAATCCTAGCGCCACGAAAAGGCGTTCAAGCTGGCCAGAAAGTCAAAGTCGTCGATCCTCATTGATTATCGTTCACGCTTGTACAGAAGGTTCTCAAGTTGCTAGTGATATAAACGGAAGCTAGCCGTCTTGGTAAAAGCTTATCAATTCTACTGTTCTGACAGGCTCGTTTCTCCGACGGCTTGACCCACCCGGGACATTACTCGCAACACCTGCACTAAACACAATCTTTCCATCATCACCATCAGGGGTCGACTTTCGATGTCCAGAATTGGATTCCTCGGAGAACCCTCAACCGGTCGACGGCGCCAAAAGGTTCCAGAGAGGTCCAATCCTGACTAGAGAAAGAGCGATTTCTCCATCCACGGAAGCTCGCCGTCCCCGTTATACCCATGGGCTATATAGCGGTGGGCCCGCCCCTACAATGCCTGCCTCCTGGCTGGTGTTGTCGAGAATGATCTGCAAGCCCAACGGTCGTCTGTTCCTTGATTTCTAGCTGTTTTCCATAATCTGCACACATTCGACAAACTTCCAAAATGTACGCCCAGATTGGTATATTGGGTCTTGTCTTCAGCAGCTTCGTTGCTGCTGTGCCCTTGTCAGCTTCCGCAGGCCTCATTTCTGCTGCGTCCTCGTCAGCTCCCGCAGGACATGAATGGCACAGGCCGGGCTCTGGTGATAGTAAGTTTGCTTGCTAATATGCAGTCATGGCGCAGTCGACTGACATGACTTACTCAGGCCGAGCGCCGTGCCCGATGCTGAATTCCATGGCAAACCATAACTGGCTCCCGCATGACGGCAAGAACATTGATCTCGCCACGATCCAGTCCGCCTTCGAGGCCGCCATGGGCTTTTCCACAGAGTCCTTCGTCGGCATCACGCAGGAGGCCCTTGCCGTGTCAACCACGGGCAACAGCTCGACATTCAACTTGCAGGACCTGGCGCACCACGACGCTATTGAACATGACGGCTCGCTGTCGCGGAATGACGCATTTTTCGGTGATGACCTGCACTTCAACCCCGTGATCTGGGCCTCTACGGCGCTGCGATACGGCATTCGGGTCCCCTTCAGCTCGCCCGTCATCACTGTGGAGACGGCCGCTAAAGCACGCGCCGCCAGGGTCAAGGACGCGAAACGCGTCAACCCGGCCTTCAACCTGACGTCTCAGGCGGGGAGCATCGGAGAGACCAGTGTCTTCTTAACAGCCTTTTGGGACGAGAGTGCAGGCGGCGTCCCAAAGGATTTTGCGCGGGTTCTTTTTGGTGAGTACACTCTGGTCATGGATGCTAGGCTGTTCATGTGATGGACTTACTGACTGATTGAACAGAGGAGGAGCGCATCCCTTACGCTGAGGGCTTTGTGAAGGGGAACCGCACCTTGGCGGACGTGGTCGCGATGATCTCTAAAGTCGGGGCTGTCAAGGTATAGGTTCAATGATGATTCGTTGTTAGTCATTCAAAATTGTTGAAGATTTAGAAAACTTCCATCCGCCTTAGTAAATCTTCTGCTATAGAATGGAACTTCAGAACTTAAATGCCTGGAGCCTGCCAGCATAACGTGCTGCAATCTGAATTGTACGCGCTATCGCTATCGCTATTGTCAATTCCTCCCGGTACATACAGCATCACTGTAATATGCGAGCTACACATGCGCTTGAAAAGAGTCTGCTGGAATGTGTCATCATATAGCTTCAACGCTGGCAATGCATCTCACGGGAGCGCAATCAGTTCCGTAGAATGCCCCGCAATTCCCTTCTTTTCCTCCTCACTCAACTTTATCCCAAACCACTTCTCTAGTGCTTCGTATCTCTCCTCCTCGGTCTTGCACTCCTGTACGACTTTGGTCTTTCCACCGGTATTCTCCTTCACCACTCCATTAACCAACATCCTCTTCCCGTATACCTCCATCTCGCCCTCCTCCCCACCCTCCTTCTGCCTCCGCAGAAACTTGATAACCAGCATCGTATACGTCTGGAATGATTCAGGATTGCTTCCGGTATACCAATTCATGATCTCAAAGTCAGCTTCGAGGAACTCTAGGAGGGGAAACGCATAGAACGAATTCCACTCCTTGTCCGCACCGTTGCGATACTGGTAGATCCAGAGCTTCGTCTCGGGCGTCTGCGACACCTGCTGCGGGATGTGGTCGTAGACCAGACGGTTCTCTTGCGGAAAGATGTTCGTCGTGACGTGGTTGTGGATGAGCGGGATGGGGGTCGTGGGTGCGTCGCCGCCGAAACCGACGTCGAGCATGTATCTTTCGCCGCTGGGGAGGGTTACGATGTTCACGAGGTGCACCCAGCCAATGTAGTCCCCAGCAGGGATTCCATTTTCTCGAAGGCGGATCCGGACGCCGGCCATGTAGGCGTTGAAGCCGAGGGCGCGGAGCACATGGAAGAATAGAATGGAGTTTTCCATGCAGTAACCTCCACGGCCACGGTTTTCGTTTATGACCTTTTTAAATGCATCCTGGGGGTGAATTGAGATCTTTTTGCTTGCCGAGTAGTGTAGTGTTAAGTTATCATAGGGAATCGTAGATATTGTGTGCACGTGCAGCTGTGTCAGGAAGGCGAGGTCGTGTGGGGGATCATTGGTTGGGTGGTATTTGGTAGGTAATCCAATATGTTGGACGTAGGCAGAGATTTGCTCTGGTGAGAGTGACGAGGCCATAGTATCCGGCTTCGTTGAAAAATCAGTCAATGTTTTGGCGTTGCGATAAGATGCTGTCGCAAAAGTTTTGGTGTCGTTTGAAAAGTAAGTTGTGAGTCACCAATCAGCATCGCGCACACAGCACGACATCCCGGCCTCGGAGCTCGGTATCTACACAAATGATTCATACAGCCATAAAAGGCAATCTCACGAGAAAAGGGAGAATGAATTTTGCAGTAAGATAATCAACCTAAGATGGGCCTGTGCGTTCAGACACGCGCATGATGTAGCCAAAGCTTACCCGATGGAAAGAGTATCTTGAATTCGCGTCCTCGTGCAGCGTTGGCACTTATCGTCGACGACTCCAATATTGACGATTTCGCCACGTTTCCCACGGCCCCGACTTGATGCTGAAGCTTCCAGCTCCTCAAAGTGAACACCGTCGGCATCTTCCACATCCGCGTCTTCGGCAACTTCCCAAGTGACGACCTTGACCACATACTCCATAGTATCGCCCTTAGCATGATGCGGAAACTTCTGGCTCCTATAACCAAACGTTGTCGGACCCGTCCACGTCCACGTCTTTATGCCATCTCCTTCCACCCCCTTCCCGCGCACCGTCAACTTCCTTCCGTCCCTTCTCTTCCAAACCCAGTAATCGCGGCGATGGAACATCTCGCCAATAACGGCGTCTAGCTGTTTAATCTTTGGCTCGATGTTCTCAAACTCCACCGTCATCTTCTGCACGGTGGAAGGCAGCTCGATGTCGCGCAGCGGGAAAAAAAGATGATGCTGGATAGGGAAGATGGGCGCATTGACCTCCCAGTTCCACCAGTCTGTGTAGCGTAGAGTGAGTGTCATGGAACTTGGGAGGCAGATGTCAAGCCTGTTTCGGAAGAGGTTGCGGAATCCCTGTTCGAGGAGATACATTTGACCAAAGACATGGTAGTTGTGAACACGAGCCCAGTGCTCCTACAACGAGTAAGACTTCCATCTCCATCATGCTCTTAGATCATAGCTTACCGGTTTGAACCAACTAGTCCGTGGATGCGTGTATGTTTGTGTACCCATGTATTGGGACATTGTGTACGGTTTTGGCGCTCTTTGCTTGTGTGCCATGTAGAGACAGACTTCCAGATCCAGAAGCGGAAGCAGCTTGGTCTCTTCGTACACCTGCGATAATTATCTGTAAGCGCACATTCCGAAGACGACTTTACAACCAACCTACCCTTTTGCATGTCCTCAATAGATCAGTATCGACTGTTTTCAGCCCCTCGTAAGCGGGCCTTCTTACGTATTCCCCTGTCGAACGCACATTACCAAATCCAGGGCTCTTTACCTCACTCAGCTTTCCCGTCCACTCGTTGCCCTCAGGGATGTATTCAGTTAGCGCCAATCTGAATATCTCATTCCTGATCTCAGCCGGGATCCTGCCGAACAATGGCGATTGGATTTGGTCGCATATCATGCCCTGCACCACGAACGACACTGGCGACGGGTATTCTCTCAGCTCTTCTGGGCTTGGAAAGCTGGTAAGAGGATCCTTCTTCACTGTCGACGGATCGCTGCTTGATACATAGCTGCTTGATGCATCGCTGCTTGAGGCGTTGCTGCTTGAGGCGTTGCTGCTTGGTGCATCGCTGCGGCGGGCGAACCAATCGCGCATGCCGACGATAGGGTTGACTAGAGACAGATCCACCATGTTTGAATCGGGTATGGCGATAACGATGAGTGGGTTTCGCGTAGAGATCCGGGGTATAGTCTAGGAATAGGACTAGCCGGTCATGCGGCTGAGAAAGTAGGTTGCGTGCTGGACGCTTTAGGGAAGTGTTTGGATAACGAGGTAGCAATGCAGCAAGCGCTGCATACGCGAAGTCCGTACAAAATTCGCTCGCGCTCGGTGTCTTCCAATACAGGAGAAAAGGTGCGCTTGTGAAGATGGCATTGAAGGTGGGTGGTTTACGTGGCAAGTGGTGCAAAAACAGGACGGGGCGCAGGCAACCATCGAAGGCTGTGGCGGTGTCTCCTTCCTGTTTCGAGCCACATTCGAACGTCATGCCCATGTGCATCAGCGATCCCCGGGGCCCTCGTTTCTTAGGCAGGTTGTGATACATTGGATTGTAGCACGTGCAGAAACCATCACTTGACGCCCTATATCATGTCTAGTACAATGCAGCTAGCCTTCACGGCATCTGCACGCCCTGCCAATCATCTATGCTGTCAAAAAAGTCCTTCTTCACATCCATATCGTTCTCGAGATCTTCCATCGTCTTCCATCTCCGTGCATCAGACATATAGCCTCCATTCGCGCTATACGCCGTAAACCATTCCCTACACATAGCCCTCCACGACTTCTTCTCCCGCAGCCCTTGCAGCCGCCAGTGGCCCTCTGGAATATCCTTGCTATCGTCCAGAAACCTAATGTATTTTACGCTCCCAAATGCCTGGCGCAGAATGCGCACAACCATCTGCACGTGGTTTGGCTGCACGCCTTGAAGGTCGAGGGTGAGGGTGTGTAAGTGCAGCTCACGGGCTAGATCCTGGATTTGGCAGCGCCAGAAGTACTGCAGGCCGTGTGGTGAGGTATAGGCTGGTGGGTCGAAAAGCAGAAAGACGGGGTCGGGGGAGAGCCAGCGCAGACAGTGCAGTAGAGCTAAAGAGGAAAATTTGAAGGTTACACGACGCAGATTCTTGCGATTTTCAGGGCCGGAGATCCAAAGGAAATTCGTGAAGCCTGTGAGCTCGAATTGAAATTTGGTTGTGCGGTAGATCCAGGGAGCCATGTGTGCATTTAGCGCCTTGCAGACTCGCAACATGGTGGATATCGTAATGGGCGAGTCGGGCCTGGGATAGAAGTTCTCGTGTATATGTGGGCCCGGCACGTTTGATGTTCGATGGCGGCACGGGCGATACATGCCAGTGAGTCCAGCGGCTGTCACCCAGATCATATCCTGGATTTCCTGTGGCAACCTGAGGAACTGATGGAATACTGGGCCGAATGCGACTGTGTACCTGTCATCTACCTCCCGCACTGAGGCCTGACGCCGCAATTTGGTCTTCTCGTCTTGCTTCTTCGCAGTGGAGGCTACAGTCCGTTTTTCCTTGCTCCAGAGCTCCTTGAAAGTTTTTGATTTGCTTTCTGCTTGAAGCATGACAGAATGTTCCTTATTGAAGAAGTCGCGTGCGCTCATCCATCCGGATCCGGAACGGACAACCATCGCATATCTACCATCTGCCTCACGCGGTGGGAAGAGACGCACCACAATCTGCTTCCGTGCTTCTGGATGGTGAGCGTAGGTGAGAACACATTTGACAGACTTTCCAAGCTCGTATGTTTCGTCGATATTCTGGCTGGGCAAGACGCCAATTTTGCCGTGGAACTGCAAGCTTGAATCATGGTCTGAAGCCCACCACGTGAGGTGCTTGACGAACACGCGCAGATATTGCTCTTGAATCAACCATTTGGTGATTGATAGCGTCGGAAGAACAGGCGATGGTGGGAGCGACGGCGACTCTAAGGAGGAAATGTACGATAAAGGCGAGGTGGGTGTCTGCAGACTGCACAATGTGTCGTAGTATCCGGACATCGTTTAGTTGAAGGATTGGACTTCTACGCTGGTCGACGAATCGGCTCGGCGTGGCTTAAGAACCTGGCGAGCGGTGAGTGGCTGGTGGTACGTGACGACACGAATTATAATGCTCGCGTCAACAGGCGTTCTCCGCAAGTCGAATACTCCCCAAAAACCAGCTGAGTCGATTGCTTTCAACCCTCGAGATTGGTCTGGTCGCGGTCGCTGCGTAACGATGAGCTTATCACACGGGATGTGTTGAACATGAGCTTCGCATTAGCTTGCTTGCGTGCTACGTATGACGAGTGAAACGAAGGTAAGAGATGTCACATCGAGAGAGAACAATCACGCTGTGGATGTGTGGTGAGTTGGAGTAGGGGGATGAGGAGCTGAGCGGACACGAGCCGTACATGCAATGGATCTTGCGATCTTGGGTGCATGTTTTCGAAGACCATCATGCTTGATGATGAAACAAGTGGGGCGACATTCACTGATTGGCCGGAAGAACAGGGAACGCGATCCTACCCGGTTAGCAAAGCTTGGGGAGCTCGCGCCTCGGCCTGAACGCGATGCAGGAATGCGCCTTGATTCAGAAGCTGCTGCGGGGTATCTTATCTTGCACATGACTATAACAGGGCCCAAGGCTCCTAGACGCAATGCACTCAGCATTACGCCCTTCCTTCCAGCCATCCTGCGGCTCTTTCCAACCCCTCATTGAAATGCTGAATTGAAGCCAGTAGTCCCCCGCCTACGGAACCCACTTGGCGTCCAACCTTCTCAATCAACATGCTCAGAGGTCTTTCTGGGCCTTCATCTTCGCGGTCTTCTCTTCTTGCGCGCTCACGTCCATTCTGAATGGCCGCTTGAATTTCGAACATGTTGGCACTGAGCTGATTGTTCGCTTCTGCCCTCGTTTTTTCAGCGTCATAGACAGCTCGTTCATCGTCCATCTCCAGCGCGATCTCGTGACGGTTGTTCTGGATTTGTAAAATTTCCTTTCGTCGTTCCACGTTGTCTTTCCTAAGGAGCTTCCTCTTCTTGAAGCCTGCGCTAAGGGTGTCGTTGGCATCTTGGAGATCCATCAGCTTCTCGACCAGACTCTCCTTGAAGGCGAGTGCAAGGTTGATGTGCCCTCGCAGCTTTTTTCGACGCGACGAGTCCTCAGTCGTCTGCATCTTGGTAGCCATGCGCTGGACCTGATGATCAATATTCTCCTCCAGTATTGTGCGCGTCGTATCTGCCACAGTGATGCCTCTCACAGTGGAACCCTTGATGCGCATGACAGAGATGGCTTGCTTCGGTCCAGAAAACTTCGGTCGTTTGCGCGCTGGTTTGCTGTCCATCCGTTTGACGGGTTTCTCCCGAGGAGCTGGCAACACACTGATGTCGACCTCGTCTTCTTGCATGAGCTCCTCTGCTTCGAACTCCTCTTCTGCTGAAGATATTTCAACTGGGTGCTCCTGACGGCGCATAGGCTGTACATTCTGCTTTCGTTTCGCGGTTGATTTACGTGTGCGGTTGACTTCGGGTGAAAGCTCGTCAACAGAGTCTTCAACGTCAGCGGACTCCTCCTGAACGTCGAGGCTCGTCTTTTTGCGTCGGGGTTTCGTAGCTGCCGGGGTCGACCGGACTTCATTTTCTTCAGATATGACGCGCTTAGGTCCGCCACGTTTTGCAGGTGCTGGATCAGCTGGCTTGTTAGGCTCTTGTCCGGGAGGAGACGGTCGTATCTGCTCTTCGGGCGCTATTGGAGTTGGGGTCATTCCGGTGCTTGCGGGTTGCGTAGGCGATGAAAGCTCATCGACTTCATCCTCCTGTGTCACGGACGCTACAGTTGGCTGCTTGCCCACTACCCTCGGAGTGACGCTGGCGGGCGCGGGTGTTAATTCGTCCTCTTCATCCTCTTCAAGCGCAATAGCGGGTGTCATAAGGTTGGACTGAGCTGATAATTGACTAGCGCCCCCGGTTGCAACTATGCTGGGTGTCTCTGGTGGTGCCTCAGTCGACTTAGACCTCTGTGTAGACAGTCGCGATCGAATAGAACCTGCTGCGCTTCCACTGACGCTTGGGCTTCTCTTCTGAGCAACACTAGTTGGCGTGGGTATCTTTGCTGGGATCACGGCATCAGCTGCGTGTTTGCGCCAACTGCCTACTCCTTCTAGCACCATGCTCAATTCGTCCGGCTCGTCGTTCACCTCTTCGTGTATTGGTGCCACTGTTCCCACTACCCTTCTCGCCCGCTCTATTGAGTGCGTTTCATTGTATTGATCCGGACTGAGCTCATCGGGCTCTTCGTCGTCCTCGAGGGCTTGCGCATCTTTTGAGCCCCGCTTCCTCTTGCCCAGCTGCGGGGTCACCAATGCTTTCGGTGTTACGAGCCGCCTGACACTACTGCTTCTATGTACCGATGCGCTGCGGTGTCGTTTCGCCGAACTGTTTAAGGTGCGGGGCGTCTGTTGCCTTGGGGTGGGCGTCCGTTGGGTGCGCTGCGGAGGGACGGATGAATGCTTTGCAGCTGGTGCTCCGAAACTGAAATTAAAGTTGAAATCGGTGATCGCCGAGGTTATGCTATGAGAGTCAGCTTGGAGAGCGTGTGTAATTGTTGTGCTTGATGCTCACCCAGCGCCGCGCTTGCGCTGCTGCCGTCGCGCCTCGCGTTCTGCGCGGTCTGTTGCACGTTAAATAGGTGCACATACTGAGATTATCTGTAAGTTGCATACCGATGGGCGCCATCGCGGGCAATAGCGAAGTTGAGATGTGTGAACAATGGGCTGCGTCGCGTGTCGTAGGTGGTGTTGACTGTTTGTGGATCGTTAACGCGCAACGGGCCCACCCAAGCCAAAAAGGTTGGGCGAGCACGGATATTCTCCACTGTCCGAGCGCCAACCGCCAAACATCTAAAGCTTTCCAACGGGCCAATCGATCCCAGTACATCTGCGCATTCGTATCACGATGGGTTGGCTTTGGGGCAGCAGCGACAACTCCAATGTTAAGAGCAACCTCGATCCTTCCTTGCAAGACTTCTTGAAGAAAGAAGCTCCGACCGGTCCAAAGCCGTCTCTGCCGTCAAAACCCGCCGAGAAACCCAGAGAAGCAGCGCTGCCTGCAGAACACCAGACCGACAGCCCCGAGAAGCCCGTTGTTCCGCCGCAATCGCAGTTCCAAGACGGTCGTTATGCGCATCTTTGGAAAGACTACGTGCCCCAGAACCAGCTAGTAAATCGATCCAAGTCGGAGCAAGACAAGCTCAGGGACATTGTGGACGCTTTCAATGACCGCAAAGGCGAGGTTGGACGGATAGCCCTTGAGAACTGTGCGCTGGAGTACATGGAGCAATTCGAGTGCTTCAGGGCGCCCAAGACGTACTGGCAGATTTCAACACTGTGCAATGCCGAGTCGAGAAAGTTCAATCGCTGCTATGACATGCAGTCCAAGTTTCTGAAGGCACTGGGCTACCTCACCATGGACGTTCGAAGCGCTGAAGACAGCGAGCGGATACAAATGCATGCGGACAAGCTGTACCAGCAGATGATAGAACAGGAAACCGCGATCGAGAAGGCAAAGGCGGAGGGCAGAGAACCGCCCAAGTTCGAGAGCGTGCTGTCGAAGCAAAATGTCGCTCGGGCTATGTCAGGCCAATCATTAACTGCGGCACCAATCGCGGATAATCCTCAGGTAGAGGACGACACGCAAGAACTGTGGAAACTTATCAAACCCGAATCGCGCGCCCGGTACGAGAAGCTGCTGGCAGAAATGCCCCCCTCAGAGCAGGACATCGAGAAGAGGGCCTTGATAGGCGAGATACAAGCGAACATCGGGCAGGCGAAACAGGTGCAGGACACATTCGTTGAGGAGCGGATAAATCGAATGAAGAGGAGGGAGGCTGGACAGTCCACAATAGGCGATACCATTAAAAGGCTGTGGGGATGGGACCGGAATGCTTAGGTCTGTTATTGTATTAATATGTACTAACTTGTATCAATATCATGACTTTACGCCCTGCGGATTTCTGACTCTCCATCCGGTAGCGACGTCTTTTAAACTATATGATACTTTTTGGAGAGCACGGCTACTTTCCTACTAACATTGTGGAGGCTGAGGGCCGAACCTACGTCAGCCTCTGTCGCATAGCGACGACAAACGCACTTCTAGCATCATTCAGAGTTGGTAACAATTCTTTTTCTTGTATTACTTATTACGCACTATTTCTTCAACCATTTCCAGAGAACCGAAAGGAGCTAAAACCTACAGGAGTGCATGTCACGTCCGCCAGGAAGGCGTAGTCTAGCCACATTCGCGTCCACAAGCGCTCGAATGGCACTGGACAAGTTCCACAGCGTCCACCTGAGGAACCAGGCGTATACTCCGAATACGATCTGCTTTGTCACTTTCAAGTGATTATCTGTAACTGGAAATGAGCTGACCTCGTGGTGGAAGCGCTCTCCAATTGTCCCAGCAGACACATTTTCTTACTCATTTCTACAATAATACAAGTGGATCGCGTTGCGTTATCGACTCTGGGGCCAACGCATAAACATATATCTTCAAGACAGCGCTGCGGTTTGGTGGAGGTCGCGATTTTGAGGCTGACTATTGGCACGGCTACTCTCGAACTGCATTGTCATGGAGAGAGTACACGATTCGTATTCGCCACAGTCTAGTTCGGCAAATGTAAGCTTTTCCACCGGAGACGTCTCAAGTGGCGCATATGCTGTGCCAAAGGCTTCCCGCCCGATAACGCTAAAGGAATCGAAAGTGAGTGCAGGAGGGCCGTGCCAAAGCCAGATACTTACAAGCGGATAGTCGAACACCTTGATGTTAGAGCACGCCAGTTGGCCTATGGTTCTTTTCGCATCGCGTCCCATATTTGTGCCCCAAGCAACAACGGCAGGTCTAACCAACAGTTCTTGGGCAGGGACATCCGTGCCGTACAGGCATTCAACGATCCAGTGGTAACTAGAAAAACTCTGACAAGGGACATCCTCGCCGTACCGCACTCAACGTTTACGCAACGGCGAGAAAGCCAGCAGGATAATTGCATGAGTCCTCGTTCAACTTTGGATACAGAAACTCGGAGGCTCCTATGTCTCCCTTGAGACACCGCGACGGCTGGAAACCTGCAAAGAGCGTGATAGTGATCAGTGATCCAGTAGACGACAGCACTGCGCCATATTCTCGTCGTGGTACATCTAAGCTCTTCGGCGATCAGCGATGACCAATGGCGACTCGATCAGCGTACCAGTCGTCAATTCCGGACTCAGTCTCGACTATTGCAATCGCTTCCAGTAAGGTGGTTCAAAGAGTGCGCCTTTTCTCCATACACATCGCTTGGCAGGATCGAATGTACTCGATTTCGATACGGTGGGCAAAGGCCGACCAAGCATGAGTATCCGGTATTCGTTAGAGAATGTTGCGTTCACGGGATCACGTTCGGTGAAGCGCAGAGCGTCAAGTACGATCTGAATATTGAGGACCAGGTGTTCCTTATCCGCTAAGCAGCTTCTGGTTCTTTGATGTTTCCATCTCGACGTTAGCTGACGCCTCGTGTCGAAGGCTCTGAACATGACAAGTCTCTCAGCGACCACACCCAGGTTTAGGACAAAGAAGGAAAACCTATTATAAGTCCTTTGTTCTGTTTCGCACGACAATTGCATTGTTTTTCCCATTGCCTTGTCCTTTGACCTCGTGGAGCAGGTAACAACGTCCTGCTTTTAAAATCCCATCCGTCCCCCTTAACCGGTTCTTGAACCTCATTCCAAGATACCCTTGTGTTTTTCGCCGGACTCACTCCATATAGTAGCCGCGAGTAAATCATTCAAATCATTCATCTTCTATCGTTTCTACTGCTTCAGCTCTAGTACCTTCTCTTGCCCTACTCTTTATCTACATACCCACCACAGAAGTCTGCCTTAACAATGGCGGATCACCTAAACCTCGCAGCCGCATGTATCAGCGTCATTGCCTTTCCGCACGTGGAAAACCCGCTCCTACCTCTAATCACTGTCGCCGCGGGCGCTCTTCCGGGAAGGTGGTTCAACCCTGCCAGAGTTGCTCGCGCGGTGACAGATATCTCAATTAGCTGGCCCTCGTCATTAACAAAGGAGACAAACTCATTGGCATCGGTCTATCAGAACATTACCATCAATCTGACAACTCCTAAGACCGACACAACCATTTTTTCCGCTAAATTTTCGCCTTCGTCTGCACCGTCTCCTGATGTTCTTTCCAACGACACGATCAATCAGCCAATACCACTCCATCGGCCTGATACGGTCGATCTTCCTCGATTTGAAAACGACACAGCAGATCGGGTTGTTAATCTTTCCTCTTCGAACCCTTTGTCCGCTGAGGATCGGGAAAGCAACGTTTTCAGTACCTTGACCAAGTCATTGCCAACGGCCAGCCTTTTGAATAAGTTCTTCTCTTCAACTACTAAGAGCAAAGCAAGTGTAAACAATCATACAATTGGAGAGAACGGTATCGCTGCCACGAACGATGAACCTATCAAGAGCGATACAATTATCAAGAATGATGTAGCTACCGAGGACGATAACTCTGCCATGGATGATGATACACCGGTTCAAAACGGTACAATCCCCGAAGATGACACATTTCTCAAGAACAGCACGGTTTTCAAGGATGATTCGGTGTTCAAGAACGATTCGCTTTATAATGAAAATACAAGTACTTGGATGGCTGATCTTTCATCTTTGTTGGCGCCGGCTCCCAATATTCCTTACAGCAACACTTCCGGCATTCCCAGGAGGTCGTCTCCGACGGCCGTTGATATCTCATCATCCTTCAATCACTCTGTCAGCAACAAATTTGAACCGAAGAACGATTCGTTTCATAGCACATTTGGCACATTTAGCGCGTCTAGCACAACCAACACATCCAGCATATCCAACGTGTCTCGCGGTTCTAGTAGCTCAATCACATCTAGCAGCTCTGGCAAGTTCAATACCTTCAGCACATCTCAAGCCTCTAGCTCTGCGTTCGCGAGACCATCAAGTGTTTCATTCGATCCAATTAACGACAACATCTCGAAACCGTACCCGCCTCCAGTCTCGTATTACGCCTCAGGTCGAACTGATTATTTGCCTTTACTCGTCTTTACTGGAGCTCTCAACCTAGTACTCGGCATGTTCATTCGCGAATATCGGCGTTTACTCAAAAATGCTGAAACTTCTCCGGCCCTATCGCGAGGCACAAAAACAGAACGCGTTAAACTAAAGGTCTCAGACGTTACGACGGTCATTGAGACAGTGCCATTAGAGTCTCAGCTCTTCCTTCTGCGAGAGTCTGGAATCACTGAGTCAGTAACTGAACCTAGGACTGTTTTACTTCAGCAAACAGCCGCGGCGAAGATCATTGAGACAGTGCCCTTAGAGCCTCATTGTGTCCTTCTACGGGAGTCTGGAATCACTGAGTTGGTAATTGAGCCTAGGACCGTTTTACTTCAGCAAACAGCCGCCTCGACGATAACTGAGACCATGCCCCTGGACACTGAGCCTGTTTCTCTTCAACAGACAATGGTCTCGACAACAAGTGAGGCCGTGCCCCTGGATCCTAAATTTGCTCCATTTCAACACTTACAAGCTAAGGCTCAGGCCGAGACTGAGCCCGTAGACCCTAAGCCTGTTCCTCTTAAATTTTCAAAGATTACTGAGAAAGAGACCGATCCTGTGTCTCCTTCATTTACCGACACAGTGGCTCAGGCGGACATGGTCAGACCTACCCCTCTCGGCATGGCGGATATCACAATCGAATCTACAGCTCCTACAGCCGTGCTCGAGGGCGACGCTCAGGAACATACGTGCTTCGGTTGTGGAACAGTTCCTTTCAAACATGAGTGCCTCGGTTGTCGGACGACTGATGCTGAGCAGACAGACTCCGTTAAGCAAATAGACTGCGATGGCCAGACAGTCTCTGATCGCCAAACAGGCTCCGTTGAGCAGGAAGACTCCATTGGCGAAGTTGATCCTGTCGAACCCACAAACCCCAGTACCCCAACACCTACTCAAATACTCGCATATGAACCCTTCCAACACGCCAACTCGCTGTGGGCCCACCAACAACGAACAATTGACAGCCTTGACCTTAATGTCTGGCCGTATGCTGTTCGTGAGCAAGCGCCCGAAGGCTGGCAAAATCGAGAAGACTTCACATACCCGGAAACGCCCAAGCCAGTGCTCCTCCCTCACACAGGGTCCCACCTTGCTGAAAAGAGGAAGGGAGCAGGCTACGTATACAGGCAAGACTTAAAACAATGGGAACGTATTGAACGCTTCCGCGAGAATGAAGCACAACGGGACTATGAAGAATACGTCTTAGGTCCGGGCCCTGCTACACGGAGCGTAGAGCGGACAGAATCTTTATTTCGGCCGGAGAGGAAGCAGTTGACTGAGGCAGAAAGGATCGAGAAGAATAGGGAGCATAGTAGGATTAAACAGAAAAACAGGAGACAGGCGGAGTGGCTGAGGCATCACGGCCAGGGTGCAGATCAAGCCGACAATGGGCAGGGTGATGCAAGTGCGAACGGAGGTGAGTTATCGACAACCGGACCGTCGAAACTGGACCCCAATAACCCTAGGAATTTCACGGCACTAGGTTACAAACTACAGTGCAAGGTTCCACTAGCATCAGAAGATAGGCGATTGAAGGATCCTCCAAAGGACGTTCTTCGTAGTCCTCCCGCAGAAGTAGACGCTACTAGCCTCGGTGAATTTCCTCAAGCCGAGGCAGAAGAACAAGACTCGATCGCGCCAGCTCGGCTAATATTCAAGGCACCACCAGCATCAGAGGATAAGAGGAACGTCACGCGACTTGAGGAGAACAGACTCCTCTGTCCGCGCGTTGAAGAAAGCGCCTCTAAGAGCGGTGAACTCCCTCAGGTCGATGAAGAACCAAGTGAATGGTGACCACATCGAAGAGTCAAAAGAAGGACAGGAGAGGAAAGGGAGGGGGGAAAGGAATGGCAAAAAGAAGAAAGAGCAAACCGAAGAGCCAAATGAAGGGAAAAGAGAAGGAAAACCGACTGCTAGTTCATTGATGCAATCAAAGTGGGCGCCCTCGAAATGATTGGTCTCCAGACAGTCTCCCTCCCGACCTGACTGTATTCGGTGGTTGTAAATTTTCTCTCACTGTAGTATCTCTGTTGTACGTTATAGATCTTGTAATAGTATTTTCCATCTCCTCAGCGAATAAAAGCGATGAATTTGTATCCATTCATCGCGTTCTTCTATTATCCAAGGAAAGCTTTGGGTGCCCTGAGACAGACTAGGATGAACAGTGCAGTGCCTGGAATAAGATTTGCTGATGTCGGAATAGGAAGAGAACTGGGCTATGCTGTGAGAGGATTTTCCCCACGTCATTGTATAGGTTAAAATTTGGCACCGGTTCTGCCTTTTTAGCTTTCAGCTCTCTGACATGGGTGGATACTTGGTACTGATTGTCGCTTGCCATCTTGATACATAACAAAGAAACGATGACAAAGAATGAGGCTGTGAGGACCCCCGGGACGAAGGGCGCCGGTTTCCTAGGCTTAACAGTCACAATACTACAGGAAGTTTGCTACGACCGCTACCGAATTATTACTTCAACAGCAACCTCGTTGCTCCAACCAGCATGCTGATCCGTTTCTTCCCAGGCCCTGACAGTATCTATCTCGAGGATGTTCTCACACTGGCTATTGATCTTGACGCATTCGGAAGAGATGGGTCGACCGAAGATTACAGCCATGAAATCGTCTTTGATGGAGCGTTCCTTGAGGTCGGAGATGTAGATACCTATAACGCGTCAGTATTCGCGCGTCCAACTCGAATTGTTCAATGGAAATAAAAGTACCATATGTGCCTAACACCTTCAGCGAAGTCCAAACTCTAAGCTTGCCAGAATCGCGCTCAACATAGGCATCACTGTTAATTATACCAGCAGCGCCTGTCATTTTACCCAACAGCCCAAGGTGTGCGACCGAGATCTCTGCAGGCCCCGCTGCACCATGCCGTCCACGCTCGAGCTTGAATGACTGTAGAGGAAAAGCGGACAGGATCTCCCAGCCAACAACTGGCACTTCGAGGTGTACGAGAGCGTCGCCACTTTCAGCGCTCGTCGGCTTCGAAACGTTACCACTCGTGTGACTTCTTATGATATACGTTCCTCTTTCTGCGCCAGGGAACTGGTCCAAGCCAATCAATTCGGTGATAGGGTGTTGTGTGCAGTTGAAAACGCCTAGAATACTGACACCGGAATGCGCCATTCCCACGAATGTACTGACTTTCAGAAGGACCGTGTCATCATAGGAATGGTACGCAGACGTGCTTTTCCCAACGGTATGAGGTCGCAAGATAACCGTGTCACCTCGAGGAGTGCTGCCAATCATCTGGTTGATCAAGTCGATATCGTGTTTTCCAGGCACGTCAGTGATGTAGATCGGTCCTCCAGAAACACAGCGCGCTGCAGCATGGAAAGAGGCCCATTCGTGTGAGGTTTGAAACATGTCCCAATCCGGAAGAATGTTCAGATACTGATTAAATATGGCGTTGTGTGCATTGCAGAAGATGTGCCATGGATGTGAAGCTGGCACTTCGGGGAAGAAATCATCCGAGTTCCGGAGTAGTATGCGCGGTTTATTCGACGGGAGCTGGGAGTGGAAGATAATTTGCGGTGTCTGTGACATACATGAGATGGCTTTTCCAGAGAAGAAACGAAGCTGGTTGATACTCCAGGCATCTTGATAGGCTTTGATTAGCTCTCGGCGATCGGGAGCATCATCAAGCTCGTCCACAAAGAACTGAGCGTCTGTTTTGACCGAGTCTACACCGGCAGAGCTCAGAAATTGGTAGAAGTCGTGATAGAAACGCCCGACGTCTTCTTCGGCTATAGCGGTCATGGTACCTCCAGAAACCCCATCCTTCTTACGAACGGTAATGGTCTTGTATTCATCGGCGATCTTTCCCTTGGCAGCAATACCTCCCCAGTAGCCGAACTACTCGACGATCAGTATATGACTTTCGAGATCGTTTCAGTGACTCACAATTGCATGCCAAACAGCGATGTGTTTGATATTCGGATGTTTTTCCCGAACGTCAGATACGGCAGCCTTCAGACCCCTTGGGAACCCTATCCTAGTCGCTTCAAACTCGGTCATAGCGTTCTCGAATTGGTCGCCTCCTTCATGATTAAGCGATTGCCAATTATCGTCGATGATCAGATTGGAGATGTTGACATTGTGCTTCTTGAGTGAATCCAGCGCCTTGAATAGTTTATCTTCGGTGAGCTTCTGCCCGATGCCGTTCCATGTGCAGTATGAAAGTCCGTCATACCAGTTCTGTAGCCATTGGGGTTTGTAATCTTTCATCAACGCCTCTTCTTCTTTAGCGATCTCTCCACTGGCGGCTTGGTACTCCATAACGAGCTTTCGAGCATGGTACATGGAAGCTGATAGAGCAGTTTCCAGCGAGTGGCCTACTGCGACAATGAGTGTGGTTGACCCAGATTGCTCGCTATCGTTGCGGGAGTTTATCATGATATTGCCATTTCCGTCGTGACCCAGGGTCGTCAGCACATCATTGATCCCACTGACCGCAAGAACAACAAGATGTGAGCCGTCTTCGCGTTGGAAAGCTGCTATGATGGCTTCCTTGTCCGGATTGAATCTGGCTTTGCCTTGACGTGGTGCTAGCCAAGGGGACCACAACCGCACCAGAGCGAACCATCTCGAGAAATTGGTTGGTTTACCAAGCTTGTTATTGGAGAAGCCGGACGCTTTCCCAGACGCTGCATCGGCCGGACTATTAATGCTCCATAATAACGTTCCCGGAGTGTCGCTTCTTTCTTCTTGGATCTTCAAGGTCTCCGGCAAGCCGTCGATGAACTTGTTTACATCATTTTTCAATGTTCTTGCTGTTTGGTAGATGATGTGGCCATCTGATGTTGAGAACTGCTCGTTTGCCCATTTCCATGGCTCGTCTTCAGCAGCACGAAACGTTATCGTGAAAGACACTGACCCTCCATGATCAGGTAGCCCTGTCAGATCGAGCGTGAACCATTTGCGATGAAGACCCGATTTCGTATCATTCTTTGCCCATAACTTGATCATATTAGCCAAGGCGTGCATAGGAGCTAGCCAATCATACTAAAGATGTAGGCTGTTGAGTCGGCTCCAGATTCACGCTTGTCCATTTCTGTTGATTCTCAAAGTTCGAATGCAGTGCCACGTTCCATGGCTTTTCAGTCGAACTCTCAATCAAGACTATGAATTTGACCTATGCACATCAGTCATCTGGAAGGAAAGCTAAGGAAACCTAGGCAGTGATACACTTACGTTCTCTTTCTGAGAAGGCACTACAGTCGTTTGCCCTAGAGGAGGGTTGCATGTAAGGGTCGCATACATGATGACGTTTAGATTCTATGGATGTACTTGTCGCAATTGGAATCTCAGAAGTATCTCGATCCGTCCAGCGGAGAAGAGAGGAAGGATCCAGGTCTGAAGGGCCAACAGATGGTAGAGGTGGAGCTGCGTTGGTGACGTGTGCGGAGAAGGTTGGGGCAGCTCCTCCGCTCGCCGTCCAATCAGCATCCGACAAGCCCGACCCGCGAACTTTTGAGATTCACGACAATGCGACCTGCCTCAGCGCGCATCCTCTCTGGAGCATTGGCGGCGATGTCGCTCCTTAACCAGCTGCCACGGTCTCGTATGTACGTTTGTCAACAATGCATACGGAAGCAACGGCCTACATTCGAAAGCCAGCGGAGGAAGGGCACCTGGGCCAAGAAGATCGTCGACCCGAAAGTCGAAGCTGCACAGTGGGAACAGCGGGCGCATGGGATCAAGAACGGGCTCGACAAGAGCATGTTGACTACTTTGGAAGAGCGAGGCTTTGTGAAGGACGTTGCTGGGTATGTGCCGTGACCTTTCGCTACGAAACACCACCTAACAAGGTGCTTAGAGGCCGACAACAACTCGATTGGCTCCTCACGCAAAAGTCAATAGGCGCATACGTCGGTGTAGACCCAACCGCGCCCTCGATGCATGTCGGACACCTACTTCCATTCATGGCGCTATTTTGGATGTACCTTTCCGGCTACCCTTCCGTCACATTGGTGAGCGCGATCACCCTCTCAATGCTCGAGCCGGCGTCGTTGACCATGGTATAGCTAGGCGCAGGTACTGTTTTGATCGGGGACCCGTCTGGAAGAACCACCGAGCGGGCACGCCAGGCAGATGATGTTCGGACAATGAACGTGCTCAGTATGCGTAGGCAGATTGACAAGCTTTGGACCAACGTGAAGTGTCTGGGGATAAAACATCGGTTTCAAGCGGACATTAGCAGGACTAGGAAACTTCTGGACAATCACGACTGGCTGTCGAGCCTCAGCGCAATTGATCTGATGCGAAACCTAGGATCAGGCATGCGGCTTGGTTCTTTACTTGCTCGAGACTCGTAAGACAACCTAGGCAACGGCACTATGGATAGTTGCTAACTTTGCCACAGAGTAAAGGTGCGCATGGAAAATGGCGAAGGCATGGCGTTCTCCGAATTCAGCTACCCATTGTTTCAAGCATACGATTGGTGGCATATGTACAACAAGCACGGTGTACAGCTTCAGCTTGGTGGTTCTGATCAGTACGGCAACCTTTGTGCTGGCATGGATGCCGTGAGCCACATGCGCAAGATCCGCGGGGACCAGCAAGTGGGAACGGATAATGACATGCTGAATGCGACTTTCGGCCTTGCAACACCACTACTAACGACAGCTTCGGGCGAGAAATTCGGGAAAAGCGCTGGCAATGCTGTGTGGCTAGATAAGCAGATGATGAACTCATTCGACCTCTACCAGGTGCGTCTGAAGCCACGTAAGAGAACAAGGGCTGACTTGCAGTAGTACTTCCTCCGGACTGCGGACAATGATGTCGAACGCTACCTCAAGCTATTCACCTTCTTGCCCATCCAACACATTGACCTCGTCATGGAGAACCAACGGCAGGACGAATCGAAGCGCACTGCTCAACACATTCTCGCTAAAGAAGTCGTGGAACTAGCTCATGGAGCTGAAGACGCAAAGAAGGCCGAAGCTGCGCATAAGGAGGCTTTCAGCCAAGGCACACATACGTTCTCACTCTCAGGACTCAGAAGAACTCTTGAAATGATCTCGAAACAGGACCAGATGGACAACGTTGACGTGAACGAACTTGAGCTTCTGGCATACAAGAAGGCATATGCTTGTTCTCCGCAAGCGACTACAGGCACTACCACAGAAGATTCCAAAAAGGACGCCTCGAATGTGGTAACTCTGCCGCTATCACTCCTCGCGGAAGGCTCATTTCCACGCGTGCTGCACGCTGCTGGGCTTGTTAGCTCGAAGAGCGAAGGCCACCGTCTGATAGCTAAGAGGGGTGCATATGTGGTCCTACCTAATTCCGGATCGGTAGAGAACCCGTATGGTCTGAAGTGGGAACAAATTCCCGAGGCCATCAGCACGACTGATCCTAACCATTATCTACTTGATTGGGAGGCGCTGGTCATACGATCTGGTAAGTCGAAGATACAGGTATGTCGCATCGTCACCGAGGAGCAATTCGAAAACGAGGGCCTTACATGTCCTGGGTGGGAAGAGTTCAAAGCGAGGCGAGCAGGAGCTGGCGAACAGGCGCAATAGACGAGACAGCATACATTTGTACTGATATACCATGTAAAACATGTATCATAGTAGACTATCTGTGCAATTGAGATTGGAAACGATGTATATTCGTTTCAGGCCGTATGTGGCAATGCTTTTACATCCCAACCTTCATGAGTGGAAAGGAGGACTGATTGTCAGAGCATCATTCTATCGCCGGTTTATTGAGATTGAGAAGTGGTATTCTTGCTCATTCTTATAAAGTAGACCAGCGAATGGGGCCTCGCAGAGTACAGCCCTGTCGCCCAAGACTCAACAATCACAAAGCATGCATCACGGTGCTACAGGTGCGTCCGCGCAATTAACCTTTCATTGTATAGCTTATCGAGTATGTAATTCGCGGTTCTGGCTGCCCTTCACTTTGGCGCCTTCACGGCTGATTCGAATGGTCGCAATCGTATCGCCTGCCCAAAAACACCTTGCCAGTTCGAGGTCAGAAATTTTGTCCGAGCGTCCGTTATGTAACAAGAAGGGTGTGCCGAACGCAGATATCATGCTGCCTCCACGACTACACGGCGAACCACTTAAGCCCAGTAAAGGGAGAGTTCGGAGGCGGAAGAGGAGGACAGCTCATCTGGAACACGCTAGACTTTCATCATCTGCGAGGAAGTTAGTTACTGCGGGATGCATGCGGGCGCGCGGGTGCTTACTTGTTTTAAACTGGAAGGATAGAGAGCAAGACGAGTTCGGCGGTCGGCAGATTTTGTGTCGGTGGGAAGCTTTGACGCTTAGTCATGCATTTAGCGTCTGATCTTTTCGAGATCGAACATGAGCATCAGGGGACGCGATTCTGATAGACTCAATCAGCTGCGTCAAGAAGACGAGTCGCTCGGTAATGATGAGCTTGAGGCATGCTTCGCAACAGCTGAGTAGTCGCCGTTCGGGTCTTTGGAGCTCATACGCTGAGATATCGCGATTTGTCCGAACGCGCCATCACGAGACCGCGTTCCGAGCTCCAGCAGCATGTTCGCAAATATCTCTTCGCGGCATTGGCACTGTAATCAGACCAGATTCGAAAGCCAGAGAAGCGCTGGATAGCTATAGGACCACGTGTAAGAAATATACCGACCGAAGCGAAATTCTTCAACTGTCTGATTGACCTCGTAATAGTACACCCGGAAAACTGGAGTCACCTTGCCAAGCTAACTCATGTGTGGGAGACTGCAAGGCCTGGTTCACAGGTGGCATTTTGTGGTTACCTGCATACACGCCGTGATGTGAACAAGAAGCTCTCCTTCACCGCACTGCGGAATATACAACAGGACCTTACCATTCAGATCGTGTCGAATGCCAACAACGAGGGCAGTGAGGAAGCACAAGCTCACAATCAACTGAAAACGTTACGGGAGTGGACACCTGTAGTCGTAAAAGGCACACTCAAAGAGCGCGTACCTACCCCACGAGTCGAGACACCAATGATGAAAGCGAGGGAGATTGCCTTGACATCTATCACTCCGCTCAACCTGGTAGCCAAGGATATTATCGTCAAGAGCGAAGCAGCGTACGGCCCCGAACAGCGTCATTTGCAGCTCCGCACCGACTGGTCGGCGCGGGGTCGCCTCATCACGCGAAGTAAGACCATCCACGAAGCAAGGAAGTTCTTACATGAACGGGAGTTTGTAGAGATTGAGACACCTCTTCTCTTTAAGTCAACACCCGAGGGGGCACGCGAATTCCTAGTGCCGACTCGAAACAAAGGTCTGGCCTATGCGTTGCCTCAGAGCCCTCAGCAATACAAACAGATACTGATGGCGTCTGGGTTTCCCAAGTACTACCAGTTTGCAAGATGCTTCCGTGACGAGGACTTGAGAGCGGATCGCCAACCAGAATTCACGCAGGTGCGACTAGTCTCCTCGCGATGTCTTCGATATACGGCTGACAACAAGTAGCTTGACATGGAAATGTCCTTCGCAGATGAAGAGACAGTAATGGCAGAAATTGAAGCTTTGATTAGCAAAGTCTGGCAAAGAATGTCCTCAGCCCCCCGCCTTACGACACCATTTCTACGAATGACTTACCACGAGGCAATGTCGTCCTACGGCTCGGACAAACCAGACTTGCGTTATAGCGCAACGGTAAGTACCGCGGTTCCCTTAAAGCATACGCTACTAAATACTGCAGATACATGAAGTCACCGAACGTCTGGAGACCGATTTCATCAGCAAAATAACAGCACTCAAACACCCCGCAATCGATGCATTCAAGATGTCGCTGTCAGACGATCCAGCAGAGAACCGCAGATTCATTGCCGACTTCTTTGATAGCCCCGAAGGCGCTCCTTTCCTCCGAAATCCCGATGGTCAACCCGCCACCTTCTGCGGCGACGCCCGGCAACCCATGGGCGGCCTTGGCCCACTCGGCTATCGGTTTACAATGGAAGCACCCAGCGAGCTCTCGACAGACCATGGAGAGCTCCTTGTAATGCAAGCACGACCTCACGGCCCTTTCACCGGCGGATCAACCATGCTCGGAAACTTGCGTCTGGCGCTGTACAAAGCGGCCGCTGCCCAAGGCCTGATCGAGCCGCCGCACTGGAAGGATTTCAGATTTGTTTGGGTTACAGACTTCCCACTCTTCTCGCCCACGAACGACGCGGAGCCCGGCCAAGGCGGTACCGCTGGTCTCGCGTCAACACACCACCCCTTCACGGCACCAAAGACCGCTGCTGACCTTGACATGCTCCTTACAGATCCTACTAAAGTGATTGCGGCGCACTACGATATAGTGGTTAATGGCGTGGAGCTCGGAGGTGGCAGTCGGCGTATTCACAATGCTGAGGTCCAGGAATTCGTTTTCCGTGAGGTGCTGAAGATGAAGCCAGAACGGATCGAGGACTTTAGGCATTTACTGGATGTGCTGAGGAGCGGATGCCCGCCGCATGCTGGGATTGCGTTGGGATGGGATCGTCTGATGACGCTGTTGACGGGATGCGAGAGCGTGAGGGATGTTATTGCGTTTTCGAAGAGTGGGAGTGGGGAGGATGCGTTGGTGAAGAGCCCCAACAGGGCGACGAAGGAGCAGTGGGAGACGTATCATCTGAGGGTGGTGGAGTAGGATGTCCGAGAAGGCAGATGGCATTTTTGAGTGTGTTGTATATTGTGTACACTTTTTGTATCATATTGTATGAGGTTTGAGCATGTGCAGACCAGTATGGCCAGATATGGCGGTTGGGCTGTTGGAAAAGCACCTGTATCACGGATAGATCTTGTATATCACATGTAACAGTTATGTGGATCGCGGCCCCGTCGGAACCAGATCACAATCAATTTCTCAACAGGCAGGGCCTCAGAGACGTTCGCTAGCTAGACGCAGCCTGAGGCAAAACTTGTCGCAGGGGGTAGGAAAACAGAACGTCACTGCACAAAGCATAGTCCCTTCGTGATATAGTCTGCGTGCGTATTGTGTATCTTGTTGTCGCCGCACAGAATAGCACTGTCCAGTGTCCGCCAACCAACAATTTCCTCGAGTTACACTGTGGACCCCTTTCAATGACGATGTCGCCGACTGCGCAAACTTGACAGGGCACCTAGTGAGACGCCACTTACACACTAACTCCTGAACTGCTGAAAACGGTTAGGGCACGTGACGTTGTGCAATGTGTACGCAGCCTTGCCATGGGCGAGCAGGGCTGTGGCCCAGCACGGAAGCACACGTCGGCGCACATGCCGTTGTAAGACACTCACGGGTGACCAATTGGGATGACAGAAAAGGCGTCGTACCGCTTTTGGGGGAGCTGAGCCAGGATTTCCCGCAGCTTGCGGAATGATGCGCGGCGTTCGCACGGTGCTGGTGGAGACGATCTGCTTTCATTAGCGGGGGCTGGAACTCCGATGACGTAGGAGCTGCACTTCTCCCGTACAAACATCGTCGACGCCCTCGCGGCAGCCTTCCTCAACACCACAACAGCACCATCGCATACACAATCCGCTACATATCGAACCGCAACCACCTTTTCCAACAGCCAAAATGCACCGGTGAGTAGACACTGTATGCGAAGCCGCCTACACCAACGCTGACCGCGACCTCTTTCCAGAACATACTCGATGCGCCAGTCGCGCGCTCCCACAGCGTCGCAGATCCAGAACCCGCCTCCTCCCCTCTTCGTCGACGAAGGCTGGACGATTCTTTGGCAGGGGAAACATTGGTACGTTAGCATCTCTAGCACCTATCTTAGGCCATCCGGACCCTTCCGTACGACCTCATCGCATATCTGTGTGCCTCCGCCAGGCCTGGTTCTACATTCTCACCGTTTTATCAAACCAAGAATCGCATCACACCTACGAGACATGCCTGGCTTAGGGGAAAAGGCGCGCTATGCGTCGCTTCGTAATAGATCAGGAACAAAGGGGACTAACAGTCTCTCAGGGCACACCTTCCGCCACAAGTCCGCGGGCGCCTTCGGGCCCGATCTCGCGAAGAAACTCTCCCAGCTGGTGAAGATGGAGAAGAACGTCATGCGCTCTATGGAGCTTGTCAGCAGGGAGCGCATGGAGGTTGCTGTAAGTTTGAGACCTATGATATCATAATCGGGCAATTGCTTACAGCACGACAGCAACATCTTTCAATCTGGGGTGAAGCTTGCGACGACGATGTGTCCGATGTGACCGACAAGTTGGGTGTCCTCATCTACGAGATCGGCGAGCTTGAGGATCAATTCGTCGACCGCTACGATCAGTACCGTGTGACCATTAAGAGTATCCGGAATATCGAAGCGTCTGTGCAGCCCAGCCGTGACCGTGAGTGAACATACATCTTTGTACTGCGCTTCACGCTAAAATTGTAACAGGCAAGCAGAAGATCACTGATCAGATTGCTCAGCTGAAGTACAAAGAGCCGAACTCGCCCAAGATCGTCGTTCTTGAGCAGGAGCTCGTCCGCGCCGAGGCTGAGTCTTTGGTTGCTGAGGCTCAGCTTTCCAACATCACCCGTGAAAAGTTGAAGGCTGCTTTCACGTACCAATTCGATGCCCTGCGGGAGCACAGCGAGAAGATCGCCATTATTGCCGGCTTCGGAAAGCACCTTCTTGAGCTTGTTGACGACACCCCAGTCACTCCCGGAGAGACTAGGAACGCATATGATGGCTATGAGGCTAGCAAGGCGTACGTCCAATGCACATACATTTCATGTTGCAATAGCTAACGATTTATGCAGCATTATCCAGGACTGCGAGGATGCTTTGACCAATTGGGTTACACAGAACGCTGCCGTTAGCTCCAAGCTCTCCACTCGCGCTCGCACACTTTCGCAACGTCGCAAGAACGCTACCCGTGGTGAAGGCGTTGACCTATCTCACCAGGACCAGCCGCTCGGCGACAGGGAGTCTGGCCTCTGGATCCCGGCATCAGAGCACCAAGGTAATGGTTACGAGGAAGAGGAGGATGAGCTCGATGCCCCATCAACGGTTGCGACTGAGACCCGAGGCCGCGAGGAGGAGAGGCCAGTTGCTGCTTAAAGCCCTGATCAACAGGGCTTGTAGCGCTTCACTCATCTGATGATCCTGCTCCTCAACCCACGATGTATACCCCTGACGGAGCGATGGAGCAGCGAGATAATATGTTCGCTTGGGCGGTTTACTGCGCCATAAGCAGGTCGATTTGGCTAGAACAATTCACTGTCCCAAGTCGCAATGTTGTTTGGCTACGTACACATGTATAGCGATTCTTTATGATGTCTCACGGTTGGATGCTGGAATGGGAAATCTATGTATCTGGACGTGGTTTTGGGTGGGATTATAATGGGAAGTTAGTTAGTAATTTCTTCATCTTGTCGTATAAGGAGGAAAGATATCGTGCAATTGTTTCGCTGTGTTGTTCTGCTTATGTGTCGAAGTCCACTTCAACTTCTCAGCCTTGCATTGATTGCTATTGCATCGCATACATTCAAGCGAATGCTCGCGCTGTCGGACCGTCGAGCCGATACGTGTGAGAGCATGCTATCCTTTGCCGTTTCACGTACTAATCGATATGCAAGATATATCATAATAATCTCGGTTCATCGCTCGCCAGAACAACGCGCAATAATCATTTACCCCGAATTGCTAGGAATCTGCAAAATGCGGTATACGTTTGACGTAGGACACTGAAAAAGATGATAGGGAAACGTTCATCCGAACGTCACCAGCATAAGAGCTGCGCTATCCATACTGTGGGGCATCATCTCTTCATCTGGATCGGAAAGAGCGACCACTTCCCGAGCGATCAACAAAGCATAGTTCTGGAAAGCTAGAATTCTTCAACCTTCTACACTCGATACAGTTAACCGCAAGTATGAGTGGCGTGAAGAAATATGAAATCTCCGAGGTACGTACCCATCACCGTTGACATGGAGGGGTAGCTTCCTACCCCGCTGATATCATCACGCCCCATTTACACTCATAATGTAATGCGCAAACTGCCACTGCGACGCGAACTATTCAAATTCGCCATGCAGGCGAACAAAGGCTGACGTTACCTCACACAGCCATGGCTTAAGCTCCATTGCGCCCTCGGCGAAGCCCCCTTCTGGGAAGAATCCACCAACACCCTACGCTTCGTCGACGTCGAAAAGCAGGAACTCCACCACGTCTCCCTCGCCGACGGCCCCTCCTCCCACAAAGTCGTTAAGCAACACGACATCAGCATAGGCTGCACCGCGGACATCGAAGGTAACGACACCGAGTTCATCTTCGGCGGCAAGTACGGCTACGGCATCTGCAACCGCCAGACGGGCGAGTACCGCTGGATCAAGAAAGTGTGGTCGGACGAGGAGGTCAAGGCGGGCAAGCCGGATAGGTTCCGCGGCAACGATGGCGCTGTGGATAGTGGGGGCAGATTTTGGGTCGGCTTCATGTTCGATCCGTTGGTCAGTGAGATGAATGACGAGGGTGCGGTGTTCAAGTTGCATCCTGACGGGACGCTTGATCGCCCGCTGAGTGGGATCACCATTCCGAATGGGACGACGTGGAATCAAAAGGATGATACCATGTTCTTCGCCGACAGTCCGTTCAAGACGATTTACCAGTTCGATTACGATGCGAAGACCGGGAGTGTGTCGAACAAGCGTCCGTTCTTTGTTATGCCCAAGGACAACAGGTATGGTGAGGGTGCGGTGCCGGATGGTCATTGTATTGATGAGGAGGGATTCATGTGGACAGCACTGCACGGAGGATCTCGCGTTTTGAGGATCTCGCCAAAGGGAGAGATCGTCGCGGAAATCAAGGTACCGACGAGTCAGCCTACGTGCCCGTGTTTCGTGGGCGAAGAGTTGGTTATTACGAGTGCGGGCGGAAATGCCGGTGAGGGAGGAAAGCCTGTGGACGAGAACGCAGGCAGTGTTTTCAAGATCAATGTGGGCGTCAGGGGATTGAAGAGGTTCCGGTTCAAGGGTGGTGCTGCGGTAGAAGGTGGAAAGGAGGAAGGGAAGGTAGTCGGAGAGTAATTGCAATGACACTCGATTGTTACATTGGCCTAATGCCGGGTGGGTATATAGCGCCGGAGTGATGACAAAATCTAAATTACAAAAGCCAATTCGATGAGACTGTTCATCTCGGCAGCGCACTTAAGAAGCTCTCAACACCGAACCCCTCGAACACGGGCTGTAGAGGACGAAGCGCCCAGAAGATGACTGGGCCGTCTCGTGGTGAACTTCTGTGCTGTACCGCTAACGCAGCGAGTCCTACAGCAACGGCTGTCGTGACCGTGGCCAGCGTGTTGATGGCAAATGGGCTAGGGAGTGAGGAATCCGCACTCTTTGATGCATTGTGATGACCATGCTTTACGGTTGGAGAGCTTTGAAGGGCATGAGGCAAGATGCCATCATGTACCACTGCCCGAAACTGTGGAAGAAACGCTTTAGGTTGCCTGCTCACCCAAGGCAGTTGCATGCCAAAGTCGCTAGCCGCAGCTTTGCCCGTAGCAACTGACCACACATCTGCGGGACTGATCTTCTCATTCTGCAGCAATTCTCCCCGCAGGCGATCGATGTACACATCGATTCTCGGAAACTTTTGTCGTATGGCCTCTTTGACCCACGCTTGTGGCACGGGCGCATATCGAAGCAGCGCCAAGTAGCCAAATACCAGGGAATCACAACTTGACGGTTCATCTCCCCCAAGAACGTAGTCTTTCGTACCCAGCTGATCAGCCAACGGCTGTAAAAGTTCGTTCGAGAGGGCATCGAGCTTGAACCGCGCAGCATATAATGGAGAACTGAGTAAACCTCCCTTCCCTCGTCCCATGTGAAGCGCTGGGGGGCGGTCTTCAGACGGAATGCCGGCCGCTCTTTTCGCGGCTTCGTACTCGGACGTTGCGGTGCCTCTGCCTGGGCCACGAGTGTCTTCGCTTGCCTCGGCCACGTCTAGGCTGCTCAAGCCCAGATGCGCCGTTCTTGATTTAGCTAGATCGCGCCGTTTGGGAGGTATGGTGTAGTTGGTGTGCCATGGTAGGATTGCGGTGTACGCAGCGGAGGTGGTGGTGCCGTAGTTTTCGGAGGAGACGTAGAGGTAGAGGTCGACGAGCGGGCCTGCGGTATATTCGAGGAAGGAGATGAGCCTATGAAATAGTCAGAAGGAATGCGAAAGTATGCTCCGTACAATCACCATACGCTGTTCTGTCCTGTTGTTGTTTGGGGGTTAGGTTGGCATCGAGGTTGTAGGAGTAGTTCTCGCGAAGGTAAAAAACTATGTTGGTGAACCCGGTAATCTTGTTTTCGACATCCACGAGCAGCGGAAGCTCCCCTGATCAATCAGTATTGTGCAGAAGCTCTGGACGTTGGAACGACATACCCTGAGGGCTAGGTGCAGGGTCATAGTCGGCTACAAGCGTCCATCGGTCGCGCGGGACGGTGCGGTTGAGGTAGGCTACTGCAGCAATGCATGCAGGATCGATGGATGGAAGACCAAAGGCTGGACCCCACACATGGAGTGTCAACACCATTTCTGCTTATGTTTCAACGCGCACTCCGCAGCTTCTTGTTGGGATGAGAGCATTGAAGATGATGCAGATCGCGCTTGCTGTATGCAGGGCTTGGCGCTCATCTACGCGACCACGTGAGAACGTGCCTTCCAAGGTTACGCGGCTTCCCCGGACATCGTTTAGTCACGTCATTCACCCCACGCTTCACTGTAAAAAGTCTCATATGTGTAACGCGGAACATGGCTCCGATCAGGAGGTATCTCAGAATCACCAAGCACTCAGTCTTGGAAGTCCGCATTTATCTGGTAAGACATGGTCGCACAATCGTAGATCATGGTTGCTGATTTCTGAGCAGTAAGTGTTACGTCTCTCTCCAGGGCGTGATGCTTGTCATGTTTGAGATGTATCTCGTTGTTTCGACATCATGACTGACTCAGCTTTCACTTAGCGACCGTCCTTCTGACGCTGAGACATGGCTCCTGAGAGGCGATAATCCTGCCCTACCGCGCGTGATCCAAGCTGTGCGCCCGCTCGTGCTGCCGAAGCTCCGTGAGGAGAACGAACGATCAAACGGCCGAGGTAGAGGGAAGGCGAAAAAGAAGGGTGTGAAAGACGTTGTTGTTGAGGGTAGGTGCTGTGAAAACACATTTCTTCATGCTCATATGACGCTGAAACCTGCAACAGAGGACTTCGAGGTATCGATCTTTCTGACAGAGCTGTCGTCTCGACATTCCGTCTTGACAAAGCAGAAAGCTTTCAAAAACCAACCTCGCATTCAAAGCAATTCGGGCAAATTGACTAATTGGCTAAACGGAGGAAACAGCGAGCAGCCGTTGGTGATCAGCGATGGTCCAACAGAGCCCATCGTTATCAGAGAGGAAGAAGATGACGAGCCTGTTAGTCTTGCGGATATACCGGAAGCGGACGGGAGTGAGAATCAGACCACGGACGCAGCCAGTGAACATGACCAAAAAAAGAAACTCGGTCTGAATACATCTTACGACGGATTCTCCATTTACGGACGCATCCTGTGTCTTGTCGTCAAGCGACGGGGCGCGCGCCATCAGGCAGGCAGCAACAGTGCGCCCGTATCAAGCCAACAAATGTTGGAGAACTGGGTGTCAACGCAAGCGCAGGCTGAGCAAGTTGACGACGATGAAGATATTGGCTAAGCCACACGAGCCAGGTTCATTGGAACCCCGCCAATACTTGTGCGCGGACCAACTAGGCAAGTCAATATCGAAGCGAACCTTGATACGAGTTACATCTGCAAAAATAACATCAGAAAGCGGCCCCAGGAAGTTTTACCACGTGGACGCCAACCCAAAGATCGGCGCGTTTTTGCTTTTTTAGAGGCGCTGTGCATATTGCGTGCAGCATCTTCAATATCAGCGTCAGCCACAACAGGACCTGCGCTGGCGCAGAAACAAAGGATTCGATGTGAGGGCTGGGAGGTGTGGAAGAACTAGTGGAGGACAAACAGAGTTCGAAGCTAAGTTTTACTCCGCATTCATCGAGTCAATTAAGTCGATTTGGAACATGTCTTTCTTGGGAACGTCGCGACCAAGACTTTGCAACAGCCAATGCTCGGTCGACACTGAATTATTCTTGGTGTAACCCACTCGATTGTACTGCAGATTTGACTCAGCTGCACTCGGTGAGGGAACGCCGACTGTTGCAGGCCTTGATCTGCCGCAAAATTCAGGTCGGCGAAAAGAAAGGTTCCTGGCTCCGGAAATGCCGGGCTCGCAGGCTTCTGTGGCGTCCGTCTCGAGGTTCGTTCCACCCATGCAGACCAGGATCATCGAAGCGCCACAGAAGGCTGAAATTCCCAGTCGTACCTTGCATACGTGGCGGGTACCTGAAAGCCCCTGTCAGTCTGAGGTCATCAATGTGACTTGATACCTATCGAATGCTTCGCGTTTGTATCCATGGTTCTGCGAAACGCCGGCGTGCGTGCGTAGACTGATCGTCGATCATTGCGAGCGCTCATAGTACTGGGATACCAAGGGAGCGGCATGACAGCTCGGGACGAGCAAAGCAGCCTTCGCTGCCGGGGACCGAAATTCACCGGTGCGACATGCATCTTCGTAGAGCTCGAACAACGGACAATGGACAATGGAGGCATTGCGGATCCGTGTTATGCAACTCAATGCCAATGGCGTCACTGATCTCCAAACGAATACAGTGGGGCAGGGCCACTATCTGAACAGCCTACGTGCCTACTTAGGCGGAGGAACGACCGAACGCCAAAGGAAAAGAAAAAAAAAGAAAAAAGGCTCCGCTCGGCGTCATCTTGGTGTCCTCCGCATTTCCGGACAGCTGGGACAACGTATGCAAACCTCGAGCGTCATGAGCCCGCCGAGACCGGCTTAGCAGTTTTTAGCTGGCGGCACCGACAAAACAAATGCTCCACTGGTCTGAGACGAGTCAATTTCTCGCCCATGTTGCAGAATCAGAAAGTACCGAGTGGCAAATAATGAGATTATCTGCGACATAGGCTTTGGTTGGTCAGTTTCCCCTGAAGATCAGACCGCTCTCTAACTTTGACTACTGCTCATTTTCTGACAGCGCCGGCCGATCGGTTTGATTACATGTCAAACACTGAAAATCGGCAAACGCTTGGAAAGGGGCGCAAAGCTCGAGACAATGCGCGCTCTGCAGGGCTCGAAAAAAGACAAATTGCGCAAGACAAAAAAAAAAAGGACCGTGATCGCTATTTGGAACGTGCATCCACGTGGGTTGCGACACCTCCGAGCTGGGTTCAGCTGGGTTTGCCGCATTGCCTCCGGAACTTCTCGTTGGTGGGGATTTTCAGGTCGCCGCACACCACTACTGAAGAAGGTGCAGTCGGTAAGGCCGGCGCTGCTGCACACCAAAAGGGAGAGTCCAGCAGGCACGCAAGAAGCAAGTATATCAGCCAGTGGCTGCTGGCGGAAGCAGCAAACAGGGCCTGCGCGTGCAAGCAGGGGACAGGATACGAAGTCGCACAACAGGGCCTGTGTACAAAAATAATCATGACAGATACGGTAGCCTTCTGCTTGAGGTTGCCTCGGCCAATGCAGGGCTCTGCAAGCACGCATGCAACTTCTAACCTTGGTGACTTGGATGATTGCCAGCATCTTCCAACTCACCGCCAACGGCTGCCCGCAGTAACCTGGCGGGTGCAAATTCCAGGGGTGGGAATGTGGGCGTTGGGCTGCGGTGGAACTTTGGAAGGCCGGTAGAAGGCGGGAGAAGGCCGGTCTTTGTGCCAGGATCCCCCTCACAAGGCACGGGAGTGGAGTCGGGCACGGCAAGCCAGATCAAACTGTCACAAAAGACGGTGAAATTCATCTCCTGTCTGAGGGTGGTCAGTGGTGGTCGCGGCCAACACCTGACACGAGGACTGGCGAAAATACCCCTGGTTGTTTCCGATTTGGACGCAAGCGGCTCGTGCTACGGGCGCTGGGGGTGCGTTTGGACCAGCCTTGCTTCACCATCTTGTCGGTGACTTTTGGCCTGAAAAGGAGGGCGCTAGATTTGATGCTCTTGACTGACCGTTCGCGCTAATTGCAGCATGGCTACCCACGAACGCCAGCTAACGTGACAAGTCGGCCCTCCATTATTGACAGGGGAGCGCGGGCGAGCAGTGGCAGTGATGTCAGAATTAGGCATACGCTACCTCCTGGTCCATGGTGTCGACGCCTGTGCCTGCGCCCCTGCCGCTCTGCCCGCTCGTCTTGTATGATTGGCAGCACCATGGTATGCGACGGCAAGCGAAGGCAGCAGCGGGATTGGATCAACAGGATCTTCGCGCAGTCACGAGGGCGATGAAACGGCAAGCAAGAGGACGAGCCTCCGTGTTTGTGGCCATGCGCGCTACGATATGACCAGGATGCACGCTGCTCGGCCTAGCTTATGCGTCAAGGGCAGCCCCACTTTGACCGCGCCGTCCAAGCTCAACTCTCCTTTTTCTCGAACAGCCCAGCGCCTCATCAGCTCACCGCTCGGGCCATGCCCAGGTCGTGATTATTGCAGTCGTCATGTAACTTGACCGACATTTTGCGGATTGGCAATCTCGGTGCACAAACATAAATACGCCTGCCCCCCGTCGTGTCCCAAGTTTTTGTTTCATCAGACATCCAGACACGCTTGACTATAAGTGAACACTACCACCACCGCTCCCCAACCATCCAAGCATTCAACTCTCAGCCTTGCAGCAACCCAACAACTACCACACGCCCAAACCGCTTCAATGGCCATCCTCTGCAACGATCTCGACATGTCGACGAACAACCTCCCTCCGTGCCCGGGCCCGCCACCTACTCGTCCTCTGCCTCCGGTGCCCTCGAAATAGAAGCGTGCATTCCAACTTTCACGCCTGTCTCGTCTCATTCGCATCCGACTCTGACGCATTTACTCGATATCACGAACTACCATATCTCATCACCAACTCGCCCTAATTCACCCACTTCGACACTCACACCCCCGCCATGGCACGACTAGTCTCGCCTGTGGTCCGTATGCAGCACATGCTTGCAGCGCGATCAGATCGGATGCACCTCCTGCAGCGCTTTCCAGCCACACGCCGCTAGACTCAATGGACAAGGCGCACCACTGCAGCGCTCGGATGCCGAACTCCTCCACGTCGCCAACCCACAGTCTACCGTTGCTGCCTCGGCCACAGCGTTGCTTGGATCCACCAGCATTGGTCTGACGTGTAGCGCAAACCGCTCTTGGCAGCATGCCCCTGGCAACGCCTCTCTGACTCACCACCGGGTCTTTTCTTGCTCGTCTCAAACACACGCTGGTTCGGGTGGACAGAGTCAGCACTTTCCTTAGCTGCTGTTGTTCAGCACGTCATTGTAATCACGAGCGACATCTTCCTTTGCTTTTCCTATGCATTAGCTGGCGCGATATTGGGCATGGTTGTACATTTAGCATAGACTTGGGAAACATCATTCGGGAGTTGCACCTGGGAGGCTTTCACGCCTATGGATTTACGGAATACCCCATGCATCAGCTAGCTCTAATCACTTTGGTCTTCGATGATCACACCTACCTACGTTTTATTTTAAACTGCGGCTGAAGTGGTGACGCTCCCGCTTCGGTTCTCCCATGTTGCCGGGCGCTTCCATGAACGGGAACGACGTGCCGTCTGCAGGACCCAAGAGCACGCTGCGGACCACGGTCGCGACTACCCCTCAATGCTCTCGCCATCATCCACCTCATCGTACCCTTGCACATACACGGCCACGGCCACCCCAGTCCCACTCTACATGCTCACGACTGCGCCTTCTGGGGACGGCTTCAATTGGCGCTGGACGAGGCATGGTGTTGTGACGTGTTGAATAGCCATCCCCATACCACTAGCAGACCGCTCATACGAGCGTGCATGAAGAAGCGCGCGTGACTCTGCCCTGCCCACAGCGTTGTACGTCTGAGACAACCCCCATCAAACCCCACATGTGTCCCGCATGGGTCATTGACACGGCACGTCGAGAGAAACGCATGGCAGCCACTGCCGTTCGCCCAGCTGACACCTTGGTCACCTTGAGATGCCGGCCGTGGGGTGTGTTTTGCCCTTCATCACGCCGCGCTGAGGGCGGCCGACTACTGTGTACAGCCAACGCAGTCTCCACCAGGGCACACATGCATCGCAAGGGCAACCAACAAGACACCCTGGCATTCTCACCAGCCCTCAACAAACCCATAGTCCCAGCATTGAGTGAGATTCCACCCAACTCCGCCTCCAGGCCGCGTCCGCTTGCTCACCAACCTGTGCAACCAACATCGGTGCCAGGAATCCGAGCAACTGTCACCGATCTGCTGCACGCAGCACAAGGTCTAACGTCGCGTTGGTGTCACCGTTCCTGGCACACCCGAACTGTAAGCTTACGCCCTGCAGTCAGCCAGTTACCGAAACTCAAAACCAAGTTCACAGAGCTGCCAGGCACTGTCTCTCAAACTTCTCATTGGAGAACAACCCGTATTCCTCCCGGTGGTGCCTGGCCTGCGCTTGTCAGCGCCTTTGACCGAGCAAGGGGCCTAAACGACACTTTATTCTCTATCAGACCTTGTAGTGTGTACGGCATGCCAACATTGTGATCACTTGCTATGCATTCGATCGTGGGGTCGACATGTACTTGCTTTCTCGCCCAGCATCCTGCGCTTCTTGCGCAAGCGCGCATAGGGCTTCCCTTCTGCAGCTGCAGCGTCTTTACAGGATTCGTGTGCCGGTCAATGCCGTCAATCCGATCCCATGACCAAATTGACGCGCAAACACACGGACTCAATGCTTAAACACATCGATATAGCCCTCCCACAAACAGGATTCGCACGGGCTAAGCGAATCCGTACCCCAATTCCAGGCTCACTATTGACACAAGCCCTTCTCAGAATTATGAATCTCTTGTGGACATTCTGTATAGTGCTTACGAGGGACGCGAAGGAATAACCGGCAACCGAGATTGACGCCAGCTCGACGCATCAGCATCCCGCGGCGCAACACGAGGGAACGTGGGCTGCTGCAAAGCTCCTGCACGGTAAGCGTCTGGAAATATGCAACCCTTTTCGACGCAGTGAGCAAGCAAGCATACGAGATCACATGCACCTCTCAATGCCTGCACCCACAGCGCATCCTGCGTGGCTCTATCCCTGTTCGCAGATCATGGCAACTTCAACTTGACCCACAAGGCTTGCAGGGCTCCTAGCAATCCTGATGACTGTTCGTCGGGCAGCAAGGCTGCAGCTTGCTCACCGCTAAGTGGGCAATCCACTCAACGCCGCTCAAATGGACAAAGGCGGTTCATCGCCATGGACAGCGCATCAGATCAATCAGGGTTGGAGAGGCTGGGACGTCATTCTCTACGATGTTACCTGCGCTGCGGCACGCTTACCTCGGGAGAGCTAACATTTGTCGGGGATCCACTTGCGAGTCTCCAATATTTCTGGCTGCCTCGGGCAGATGGTGTTTGATAGGTACGCGAGGTATGATACACATAAGACCCGAGACATATTGCAGTTGTCCAGCATTACTATTGCCGAACTCAGAAACTGCGTGGCAGACGGCCCAGTGTCCACATGTCATATCTTGAATCACGGAATGTCTACGATTATTGGCATCAAAAACTTGACATTCGGCCCTACAGGCTCGCCACCAACGTCAAAATCATTGTAATCGACAGTGGCGACATCTTGGGTGTTCCTGAGGCGCTCACGGTTTGCACATGCTTGCAATCTCCTGTAGATCATCCAGTGACATGTACACTGGGCAGTATCGTGTGTTTAGCGCTCCTCTAGCCTCTTCACGAACCACTTCGTTTCAACATTTTCCCGAACATCAATTTCGCTTCTCGTAGAGCCCACGGCAGACGACATGTACCGACCATTCCAGATCTTACGAATTCCTCCGTTTACAGAGACACACATCTCGATAAATTCATGGTGCCGGTGCCTGATGCACTCGCCACACTCCGCCGCATCCTTCAATATGATCAAAGCTCCACACGCTCCACTGCTTATCTACTGTACCTCACCCTGCAGCCCTCTCTCTTCTAGTCTTCGCGTAATCCCATGAAACCCTATTTCCGGGGTCCTCTTCTCCAGACGAGGGCGGCACAGGCACGTACCACATTCTCGCGCAAGGCGCGCTTAGCAAGATGATGCATTCAACGCACGCGCTCTTCCTTCGAAATGCATGTCGTGCCCTGGCAATCTCGATCAGACCTCGGATGCTTGATCGACATGTTCACGCGCAAGCAGAGACAAACATGCAACAACGCGGCACAGCAATCAATCGAGCACATCGGTCTGGCAATGGCGCGTTGATAGCGCCGACGCGTCGCCAACAAGGACCTGAAACGCTGCGAGGCGCTTGCCTTGGGGCTGACTATTGTCTACTGTCGCGTCAGAAGGTCAGACCATATGTTCGTTGGCTAGGACCTGTACGCGAGTATACTCGAGGTTGTTTCATTGCCTCGGTGCCTAGTGTTTCAATGGCGCGTCGTCATTTCTACTTGCTCATCGGACGGACTTTGCCGGACATATCTGTGGCTGCGTTTTCAGATTACGAATATATGATCGTCCTGAAGCGGCCGATTGTTCACCCAGCGTGACCCCGGGATAGAAAATCTCCGGCTCCTTCGCTGGGAAAGCTTACTGGGCAATTTGTCGAGACTCATGTCAGTCAGCACCAACCTCAAAACGGCATCCCTTCGCAACATGGTTCTACATGGTTCAGATGTTGCCATCGACACGATCGGTGTCGTCTCGTGGTCCCGCCAGGTACGATAAAGGGCTGTCAGCAGACTCACCGATCAAGTCGTTATCTCGAGTCAGGACAGCACGCCTCCGGTTGTTGTAGTTGCCGAAGTGGTTTCCTTGTTTGGAGGTCTGCTCTCCGGCCATAGACCTCATACGACGCAGTGTGATCATGCTCATCCAAGTAATCCAGACTTCTGTGTATACGAGCGAGATATTGGACTATGCCATCATCGTCAATTATTGATTCCGATGGTTCCGGATCTTCCATTGAATGATCAGCCGGGTGTAACAGTGGCAGTGGACTCGCGTTGCGCATGAGAGCATCGGAAGGCCCACGTGTCTCTCGCGATATACTGCTCCTCGAATGGATAAGTTATGTGTAGATCCTATACCCGTCTTATCTCACAGGGGACATGTTAGCTTGCCTCACTATAATTAGTGGATGTCAGGTAAGTCGACTATGCCCGCGAACGCGTCAGTAATAACGCAGTAGGCAACCAATATGATATGCAAGGTCAAGGACCAGCATTGTGGCTTTCACAGTACACTATATCTCCTAGAGTCTGGATCGTTGATCTACACGTTCACAAATCATTTTGAAATATGTTCTACGTCATTCCTCCATTCCTCATTGTACACTGTACAGCTTCAACAAAGATGTTAGATTAACATCTTTGCCAGCCTGCTCCAACAGACTCAGCGCTCCATTCCCTAGGTGCAACGGGATCTTTTTATCCCGCGCCTCCGCTATAGTCACCTTCAATCCATCACGGTAGCTCTGAAGGTTGGCCGCTGCCTGGCCGTGCTTACCCTCTAAGATGTCAATCATGTTCGCACCCTGCTCTTTATATTGGACACTTCCCCCTGCCGCCTCAACGCAAAGCTCGTAGTACTGGGCCAACGGTACGCCGAGATGCTTTGCAAATGCTATACCTTCGGCGGCGGCACATAGGTGAATACCGTTGAGGAGATTGCTCACAAGCTCGAGCTTTGCTTGCTTGTCTTCTTCTGAAAGTGAGCTTTGTATGCTTGCAACCGGCTGAGACGTCCATAGGCGCACAAGCCCAGCGTCGTCATTTGGACCAAAGTCCTTGTCTAGGCCAGTGATATAAAGTTGCTCTGCGATGGAGCATAACGGCACTGGGAAATCGACGAGATTCGCCATGGAAGTGATAATGCCCTGCTTCCGTCAGTTTTCAGGCCGTTCATAGAATTTACGACGTCGGACACATTGTACACATACCGTATCCTTCAAGATAATCGTCACAGCACTCGCGCCTGGAAAGTAATCCTCTTTCAACGTCCTCACACTCCGATTCTCAAACATCCAGCTCCACGCCTTCCCGCCCACGATGTGCTCTCTCACATCGTTCCCATTGAGTCCAAGCCTCGCCGCAAATCCAAACGCCTCGCTCACAGAGATGATGTGAATTGCCGCAAGCACCTGGTGCACCATTTTCATGTTCGATCCCGCGCCTATGCCGCCCGCCACGATAAACAGCTTCGACGGCGCAGTCAGCTCATCAAGCAAGAACTTCCCCTTTTCGAACGCTGCGTCAGACGCGCCTGCCATGATACTCAGCGTACCTTCCCCCGCACGTATCGCACCCCCGGACACCGGCGCATCAATGAAGTAAATGTCCCCTCTCCCAATATGTCCCAACTTCTTCTCCACGTGCTGCGCATACGAACTCGGCACGGTGCTCGTCAGATACAACACGCTCCCCTTTGGCAGACCCTTTACGATGCCATCGTCGCTAAAGAGGGCCTGCTCCGCTTGCTGCGCCGTCGCCACCATGCAGATGTAGTATTGCTTGTCTTTTGCGGACTCTGAGAGCGACGTCGAAGGCGTGCCGCCGGCTTGGGAGAAGCGCTCGAGGGTCGGCGCGTAGACGTCGAAGCCGGTGACGGGGTAGCCTTGCTTGACGAGGTGGGTGGCCATGCCGAAGCCCATGGCTCCGAGGCCGCAGAAGCCGATGGCGGGTTTGGAAGTCATGGTGCTGGGAGGGCTGGAGGAGGGAAGATTGTGAATTACGTTGTTATGGTACGATTGCGGTATCCTATACGCACGCGATTGTTGTGGTTGCGACTCCAATTGAATGCTGTTGGATGTGTCTTCTGTAGTACTTGATTGCTTCCTTCGTTCTCGCAAGTCGTTACCCAGAGGGAATGTGTATAGCACGGTTCAATTGCTACAAACGAGAGAAGAACGATGAACGTCTCGGGTCGATGATCGAATGTTGGTATTCTCGGCTTTCTCTCCGAGCAGCCACTACACTGCGTAAGAACGATACCCTCCTATGTATAGCAGCTGACCCACACTGTTGGACGTGAGCCTCAAACCCCCACTTGTCCCAACAGCTTCCAACGCCATTTCGACCCGTTCAACCGTTCAAAGAAGAAAAATGCCTCTCAATTTATGCGGTCGCACCGGCAAAAATGCTGGCAAAACATCGTGACGGGAGCAGATGCCCCGCGCTATGACGAGATGGGATGGAGGGGTAGCTTGACCGGCAAATGTGCCTGGGCTGTCGGCTTTTGATCCACTTGTTCCGTTGCCGACTCAGATTAGACTTAACAGGCGTTTTGCCTATCGTATCGTGCGTGTCAACATGGAGTTTGGCTGGATGTAAAGCTTCTGTAAGTCACTCGCTCGTTACTACGTCTTAGGGTGACTTAAAGTATAATGGAGCCCTGAGATCGTGACCTGTCAGTGTATGGGGCCGACGTTCATACGCACGCGAGAGGTCGTACTTTGAACTGAAGAAGGGTTGCCGGAGAAAACAGCATGTATTAAATGCTCGCATATATCGAACAAGACATAGTAGATGCCGACCTGAATGCAGGTCCGATGCACGCCCCAAAGTAAGTCCGAAGACAGCAGAATTCCGAACACCGTCGCTATGCTACGCCTTCTCGCTCAACTCAAACCTTGGTTGCAGCCTCCGCTTTCTCCATCTCACCACCCTCAACCTCCATAATCTGCGCAGAAGCACTGTCAGGGCCTGGCTCCAGCATGATCGTCTTACGACTACCTAAGAGCGCCCCTCCTACTACTCTACCCGAGAACTGATGCCAGCAATTGGGTGCTTGCAAGATGTACTTATCCATAGCACTACGGAAGCGGTTGCGATAGTCCCTGGGCGAAGTGATTGTTGGCTTGTTCTTGCCACGGTCTTTGATCCACGATTCGAGCTTCTTATCCCACGTGTAGGTTCGAATACAATCTGTGCCCGTTAGCACATGTGCAAAAAAGGATTTTTTATAGAAAGCTTACCAATGATACCGACGATGATCTCATGGTTTGCATCGTCGAAACCAGCCATGAGACTGTAGTCCATGACGTTGTTCTGGGAAAGGAACAGAGTGTCATTCCATACGCTTGCCTTCAGCAACTTCTTTGTGTGTTCACGGACGAAGATTGGCGTTTCGCTGTAAATGATATCGACAAGGTTTTCATCTAGCAAGACCTCGTCGCGCTCGCCAGTGGACTCGATCTTGCGGTTACGCATACTGCCCTTGAGGTCATACCGCCTATTCGGCTCTCGATCGTAAAACAAGTTCTCCATGACGAGCATATACCAATCGAAATCGCGACCAGTGGGTGTCTTGATCTGGACCTGGAAGAGACCGAACATCTTTGCAATTACCGATGGTAAACCTTTGAAAAGGTTCTGATGCGTAAAGGCGAAGTAATTTGGCGCAAAACGAAAGAAAGCTTGAACCTCGATAGGCGATAGACTCTTGAGCACGAATCGATCATCTAGCGTCTTGAGGAAAATAGACTTTGACTTCCCGCCCTTGGAATCCCACTTGGAGCATCGAGAGAGCGATTCCACAAAGCGATCTGCAACACCGCATTTGCGGCGGAGGGCGTCGAAAGACTGAGCATAGAAAATCTTGCACTGCGCTTTGACCCCGCGATTGTTGAAGCCATATCTGATGTTGCTGTTCGCCTCGTGAAGTAAATTGCGTTCAATCGAGGCCTCTAGATTTTCGGGCCCGCTATCCCCTTTCTCAGATGCAATTATATCGCCGCGGAAGGACTGAAGCTGAGTCAGGTAGTGAGGCGCAGAGAGTGCAAGCGCAATGATGGAACTTGGCTCATCTTCCCGGACAATGATGTCAGAATCTTCCCATACATGCTCTATCTGAGCGAATGGATAGTCCAAAGGCGTCCAGCCACTTGCCGACCGTTCAGACCAGAAGCTGGTCAACATCTTCATCAGCGTGGTTTTTTCGTGCTTCGGAAGCTCCAGAGAATTTTCCAGCTGTGATTCCGTCATCGACAGCAGATCCGAGTCAGGCAAAGGTACATCCTCAGGTGCTATTTCGACGTCACTCAATTCATTTTCGAAGTCTGAAGGTGGATGACTAGGTGTTGTAGGCTGACTCTCCGTACTGAGATGCGCGTGGGACTCCTTGGGGTACCGCTCTTCTACTGGTGACTCAGAAGCAGCTGTCGCACCAGTTGCCTCTGTCAGGGTACTGTCTTCGAGAGTACTATTGTCGGTGCTGATGCGTGCTGGTGAGCTCACAATCTCTTCGTCTGATGGGTTGTGTTCTTGCACGGCTTCGTGCACATCTTTGTACACTTCTACGATTGGCTTCGATGATGCTAATGGGTAAGCTCGCGCTTGTCGACCGCGTTCATTGCGCCGCTCGCGCATTCGCTCTCTCTGGAACTCCCGCGACAGCTGCTCAAAATGCTCTGCAAGCTTGGACACCTTAGATGCTTCTCTTTGACTTCGGAAGATGGGTATGGAGCGAGGTATTTTTGACGAGGACTTCGACTGCTTGAATGTGGCAAGAGATAATCTGTCGGTTATGCGGTCCATTGCCCTTGCAGCATCACTGCCTGGTCTCTTCATTGATTCCAAGGGTTTGCTAGCTGCCACAACATGCGGTGGGCTGGGGCTTTTAGGAATACCACCAGGTTGTGACTGAGTTCGGATCAAAGTCGCGGGTCTTGTGTAAGAGCTGGTTTCGCGACGAATAGTGTCAACCAGACGAGGTATCTTGCTCTCCAGCGGACCACCTGCAGGGTAAGAAGGTGTGGGAGATGATGGCATATTCTCAATGACATCAGCCACCATCTTGTCAATTGGATCCACTCGTGGCAGTGCCGTAGGTGTGGGTGACCCGGGTCCATTGAAATCCTGCTCAGGGGACATTGTCGGGGTCTTTAGGAGCTCCTCGTCCGTAGTATTTGGATGATCCGAGAACCTGGAAGACACGGCTAGATCAAGATGCCGCACATCGTCTCGCTCTAGCGCGTCATATGGGGTTTGAACTGGTAGAAGTTGGTCTCCCTTCGATTGCTCCGGCGCCAGTGGGGCCTCCGATGCTTTATTTGATTCACCTTCAGGTGGCGCAGTACTTTGCGAATGGTCTTCCTCCACCACAGAATTCAGCATAACGCGCGCACGCTCGGGCGACATACTCGAAGGCATGGGTGGTAGTGCGAGAGGCTCTCCCTTTTCGTTGATGGAGCGCTCCTCCGAAGTTTCTGATCCCTCCTCTACAGAAGTCAGCGAGCTGGTAGACTCGTCGCGCTCCAGGAAAAGCTTTTTCAGCTGTAATGTTGCCAATCGCCTGATATCTTTCTCAGATGGGAAGTATTGTTGCTCGAACTCAACAAAGGTCTCATCCCACGCAATCGCCTTCTCTTGGATAGCACGGATAGCTCGGTTCATCGGGATGATCTCGTAATATTTCGAGTTCAAGTACTTATCTTGGAGTTTTGCTTTCAGCCAATCGTGCTCATCGTTGGCACGCTTCATCAGTCTGTCAACCTCTATCCGGCAGAGCTCAACCTTCTCAGGAATGACGCTCTCCACGTGAATGCTCTTGATACGTGCGCGAACCGATACCATAAATCTGTCGAGCCGTTCTTCTATTTTTAAGAATTGGTCATTCTTTAACCGGAGATCGCTATCCACTTTCCAAGTGACGATAGGGCGGGGCACAGTAACTTCGTACAAGGACACTGGGTCATATTGGACGCGCAAGGCCGCATTATTGAACCCGAAGTATCGGACATGGTCTTTGTGGATATCGTGGGGGCAAAGGCCGGCGCGCGGATGCAATTGGCTGCTCCAGAATGTCAATTCCAGATACTTTGCGAACGAGTACTTCCATGTGCTATCTGACATGGGGATAACTTGAGTCTCTTGACCACATATTCTGCAGCAGCTCCACATCAGAATTGTGTTCTGCAAGCCTTTGATCTTCGAAGGGTACTTCTGCACAATGACACTCATTTGGCCTTCTCCATGCACATATTGGCGTGAATGATCCACCATTCTACGGTTACATCCGTCTACCTCGCAAAGCGAATTCACTCCGTGACAGAGGTCTTCGACATATTGACCTAACGTGCAATCCGGAGTAAAGCCGTCATCGAAATCATGCTCCTGATAGAAATTCAGTGCAATGATATCTGGACCAATGCATGGCGTGGAATAGGCAGTATTGACGACACTATAGAGTACCGCGATCTTCTGATGGTTGAATGGGTCGAAGAGTTCAGAGTTGGTAGCTAGGTAGGCCTCCCATTGTCGTTTCTGGGTCTTGTAATTATGCAGGGCTTTTTCGTACTCAGACGCGTGCACCGCATGCAAAAACTCACGCACTTGCTTTGACGCTTGATCAACCACCCCATGCACCATTTCAGGTTGCACTAAATTGAATTTCTGGGGCGCGCCTTCAGTATCCGTGTCAGTGGCGGTGTATTGGTCTCGCAACTGCTTGAGATACCCAAGCTTCTTCTCATACTCGCGTGCTTGATTGAGTAAGTATGGCTGCATGAACTTGACGAATGGTGATGCAGATAAAAGCTTGGTGCGATGATTCTCTACCATTTCACTGTAGAAAGATGGCGCTGGTGCATCTTGTGGAACCTGCAAGACAAGTGCAGTCGTTTGAGAATTGTCGCCTGCAACGGGAGGCTTTTCGGCTGAAGTGTCAATGCTATCGGTGTTATGTGAAGGTAACGACTCATTGTCTGTAGCTATCGTTCCACTGTTCGAAGTAACAGGAATGAGGACGAATTCATCCCGCATCAGACAAGTCTCGAGTTTGAGATTGTACACCACATAGCACATGAACTCCGTGATGCGCTTCAGCTTCGCTAGACTTTTTGCTCCGTCTCCACGAAGAGCTATCGTGCATCCAAGATCCGGCTGACAGCCGGATAGAAAGATGTAGTTCCGTTTAGCCGATTTGTGAACGTATGTTTTGACGTCAAAGCTTCCACAACGTCCAAGGCGGGATTGATCGGCCAGCTGATCTACGGAGGACACAGGCCTCGATTGAGTGCATCGGGCGACCGCATTCAAGACCGTCTCTTTTACATTGTAGGCAACGGAGATGCCTGCTTCTTCCAGAAACTCAAGAGCAAGACCGGAAACGTTTCGCTGGATGAGCAGAACATTAGGTCTAAGGGCCACGATCCGATCCACAATGTTCTTGAGATACTCTCTTTCTTGAGCAATGACAGGATCCAGACTCATGAAATGCGTCTGATGTCTCGCGTACTCAACAGCAAATGTGATGATGAGAATCTTTGGGTGAGCAACATTGCGAGGCATGCTCTTGAGAGCAACATTCTTCGAAAATATGACACCAGAGACATAGGAAGTGTCACGAGGTCTTCCGCCAGGAATCTTCTTGAGTTTGATGTAGTGTCGTATGTCGATATCATCACCTCTATGAAGATCTGGGTTGACGTCATCAGTGCACTGCAACAGTATGGGAACAAGGGCCCTCTCCCAACTCGAAGCATGCGATATGCCGGCGTCTTGCAACATCTGCTTCAACAGTCTGCGGACATGTTCCAAGCTTGCCTGGTTGAGTTCGATCTGTGGAGCGTTTCCACCTTGCATAGAAGCACTGCGTGTGATTTTAGAGGCAGACGGCGGCGCGGGAGAAGGTTGTAGTATGGCCGGCTGTGGGATGGGCGAAGTTCCGCCAAAGCCAGCACCGAAAGGTTTCAAAAGACTGTTACTCTTCGACCGTCGAGGTGAAGGTCTATGTGTGATACTGCTGACGCTAAGATTTCTCCGCTTAGAGTGCCGGTTGACGTGACGACTTGTGATGCTCGCAGTGTCTGTGTCTCTTGCATAGGCACCGCCGACAGTGCTCCTGTCGGCCTTGCCTTTGCCTTTTCGCATAGCAGCGAGGAGTCCACCCAGTCCTCCTTTCTCGTGATCCATACTAGTATGCGATGGCGAGTCGGACCGGAGAGTCGCAAATATGCTAGCCGGCTCGTCATCACTGGAACCCTCGTCTGACATGAATGGGGCGAGGTCGGGATCGATGATATTATCGTGGTGAAAAGCAGGAAGTGCTGAACGGCTTCGTGGAAGATCTGTGTGATACTGGTGGAAGGGTGCCCTTTCATCATGTCTGACATTGCGCATATGCTGGTGGTGGCGTTTGTGACTAGACGAGCGTGGCCGTCCACTCAGTGAGCGCAAAGACCGGGAAGAGCTGGGTCTGGGGAGCTGGGGAGCGACTTCAATCACGGCAGATCTACGCTTCTTCTCACTGCCCACCTTTCTTGACATGGGTATGCTGATGGTCGGGGTGCCAATCTTAGTGTGGTCGCTTTCTGACGGATCAAATTGGTCTCCGTCCATGCTGTTGTCCTCATCATGCTCATAAAGAGAAGCTTGATCTCCGTCGTCAGTGTACTCGGACGAGTCGTCACCATTACCTTGGATTATGTCTTCGCAGGGCTTGCACACTCTGACATTCATTGTCTGACCGAACATCTTGCCAGAGACAATGACAGTGCACTTCGAGTCAAATATTTGTCCACATGTGCGACAGTGATGTTTACGTCTGAAAGTCGAGAAAGCGTCCCCACAGTTGAAGCAGTCTTTCGCATTTTCGTCTCTCATCCAGTATTCGCGACTAAGGAGTTTTCGTGGTACTTGAGATGGGGTGGCATGCGACAAAGTGCTGGATGGCCTGATAGTAGGGCGCTGAACCTCTTCAATAGGCGGCACAGCGGGGCTACGAACCGTGGTAGTTGTGATGACGGAGCTCAGGCCATCTGACGAAGACATCCGTGATGGGTGAAAGCCGGGCAGATGGGACGGCCCAACTTGTACCAATGGAGGACGTTGAGGCGAAGGCGCGAGTACAGGCGTTTGAGCATTGGCAGTAACGTGCGGTATCTCAGTTGTTTGAGAATCATTACTGGACGGCTCTTTCGCTGGTTTAGAGGGGAGTTTGTATTGCCTTTCTGTTCGAGATGTGACCCGAGCGAGGTCGTCGCCTACGACATCCAGCGGAAATGCAGACCCTGACTTATCTCTCACCTTGTTCTCCCCTTCTACAAGCACTACATCATCTTCAGTAGTATCACTCTCTTGCTCTACGAGGTCCATATCATTTCTTTGCCGGTATTTTGTTCGTTCGGAACGATAACGCGATGCATCTCTGCTTTTTGAGCCGGACACTAGACCGCTCGAAGAACTATTCTTGGATGCAGCTTCCAGAGAGTGGGTGCCATGGAGTTTGCTCATGGTGCTGAGAGGGCTATGAGAGAAGGTTTCATCTTCGCGGGTCATCTTGCCAGGATCTATTGTGGATGTTATAGACGGTCTCGAGCGCGTCGTTCCGAGTGAAGACTTAGAACCATTCAAGGAAGGTTTTGCAGATATTGCAGAGCTGGAGATATTCGAATCGCGAGAAGGCGGGGGAGGGTGTTCTGGGAAAGTCGGCGCAAGTGGAGACTGCAGTCTCGAAGAAGGCACTGACACTATGACAGGCGAGGATACAGCCGTTCCAGCTGGGCTCTTCGGGAGAGCTGGCCTTTTGACCGCCTTATTCTTTGCACCTCCACCCATGACCTCTTCAAGATGCTCGTTGCCTTGTTCTTTATTGCCACCGACCGAGGCCTTCAAGCGGCTGTATAGACCACTCAGGCCGCTTTGAACCATGTCGAAGCTTTTGGCATCGTTCGTTATGGATGCGGGTGGCGGGGATGTCAGGTCGTCGAAGGTGGTCAAGCCCTCGGAGCGCGATGCGGTGGCATGCAGCTGGTGGAGCGACCCAGACTGGCCTCGCGAATCTTGCGCCATGATTATGCGTGGCAAGTAGGCCGGGCTATTGATCGCCTAAGAGGACGGGATAGAGGTCGTGGCAGCTGTGAGTGGACGGCATCAGGTATGCTTCGCGAAGTGAATCGAGTCGCTGTGAGGAGTGCAAGATTGCATGGCAAGGTTGTCGATGGCACGGCGAAGGCGAGGTATGCAACGCAGCAAGGCGGCCTCTCGTCACTTGGTATTGGAAGGCTCAGTAGTAGTCGTCGGTAAGGCACATAGAAGGCGGCGTGTGGATGTGCAGCTTGAGGCAGCACTCTGAACTGGTGGTGGTCTGGCGATGGATGACGCAGCCGCCGCGGGTAAGCGGGCACCTCCGAACGAACTCCGCACCTGCTAACTTCAAGGTATAGCAGCGCAAACGCGCGTGTGAACGGTGCTGTGCTCTGAAAAGAGGGCGGCGTGGCTTGCAAACGCTCAGAATATGTTGTGGGTGTTATGTTGCGAAGCTCGATCGAGGAAAGAACGCTCGCATTGTACCACGAACACCGTGGCGGCAAGAGCGCCGCCTGAGGTCGACCACGCGCACCCACGCGCTTCACACTTCTTGCGACTCTGTACTCTCTGTCAGAAGTTTGCAACTCTAATGCCTTCGTTCGTCCCACTGTGCCCTTCTGTGGTGTTGGCGCGCTTCAGTCTAGGCAAGCACGCGTCGCGTCTCCGCGCGCGGGGATGAACCACCTCTGGCTTGAGCAAGAGATAGCGTATCAGCTGGATCTAGCCAGAGTCTGGCTGACTAGAACAGACGGCACTACTGACGAGGAATGGGCAAATCTTCGTCTTTACGAGGATTCTGGTAGCTGCGTGCGCATCTCCGTGCGCGTCCCCGAGGACCGTCGTGATAATTGTCTGCGCATAGTAAAGGCACGCACCGTAACCTCTCTCGCAGGATCCTTTGCTGACTAGAACTCCACAGTCTGACCACCCACAGTCTGATCCACTCCTTCTCACTGACGGCGCCGTGTCAATCGAGGCATCTCTCTCGTCTGAGTGTCGTCGGTCCCTCCGAACTCGACATCCAGATCGTTCATTCGCCGTGCGCAAATACACCCTGATTTACACTCCATACGGGCCACAACGAGATCGTGTCAGTTTCACACTCGACAGTGTCAATCTTGACTGCCAGGCCGCTACGCGCAAAGAACCACTTGGTGTCATCACACCCATACACTTGTGCGAAGAGGTCATTGAGTCTGCGCACAAATTACGACAAATACGGATCGAGTCAGACCGCCAATGCTTTGGCATTGTGGAATGCAAAGCGGAAGGAGAGGATAATATGTCACCATTAAGGCAACAGAGCGAAGGGGCGGGCAATGAGGAGAGTCACCGAGATACGCAACTGGCGTACGGTACTCAAGTTGTACACCGTATACGTACACCAAGCAAAAGCACCGAAAAGGAGACTGAGCTGCGGCGGAGAATTACGAATGAAGATGCCAAACGACATAATTTATTGAGTCTGCTCCACAAGGGCTCAAAGCCTCCTGCCCATCAAGAGAGTGTTCCCATGAATGAGCAACGCCCAATGGGTCTGGAAGGTGAGCCGCAGGCAATGCGTGAAGATCAACCGAATGCAGGGCCTTCAAATGGATCGAACATATTTCCCAACACTGCGGCCCATACCGTTGCGCCGAAGGCACCCTCCGCGGGTGGCTTCACACGGACCTCAACTGGTCGCGCATCCAACGAACGTGCCGCACTACCACCCGCCGATCGAATGCAATCAACACGCCTACCACCATCCTATCCGCGAGGTGATGCAATTGAGAAGCTTTCTGCATCTGCGACCAGAAACGGCAATAGCTTATCAATCATCGGGCAAGGTGAGACGTCTCCAGAGGGGCCTAAAACTATCAAATCAGGGCAACCTTCAAGAACGCATACCGACAAGGGTTTCTTGTCAGATCTGGAACCTGAGTGGCTAAGAAATACATGTCTTGCGGATGGTTGTGGCAGAGTGCCTGGAGCACAACAGAAGTTGCTGTCGAGTTGGCAAAAGCACAGGACTGGTACCAATGATCGCTTCCCTGATGCGAATATACCCATCGACGTGCTGAAGGCATTGAAACAATTCGAGTTGAATGCTACGTCATCTGACCCTGATTCATCAGACGAAGTAGACAGCTCAGCTTCCAACGCTCATTCACCCGAAAAGGAGAATAGCACGATTGACGATGAAGAGGACAGCACGGCTTCCAGAGCTAACTTGCCAGCTGAAGAGCACGAAAATCTCTCTGATGAGGAGGACGATAGCCCCGTATCTTGGTCGAGCACCCCTGCTGCCGAATCCCCGAAAGCACCATTCAGGCGCGGGCCTGCTCTACCCCCAGATTCCAGTCTCCCGGACAAGAGTACAGCCAGCCAGAGTGAGCTTCGAGAGGAAAGCTTTGTTCAAGAGGCTCAGCGCGTTGTGTTTCTTCAATCATCCAATGAAGAACCGATGGACCATCACTTGTCACCGCCTCTGGTTCCTGATAGGGATGATTCTGACATGGACATGGAGCTGGACGTACCGCGTGGATTAGAGGATCGTATCCCGACCCGGAACGTTGCCCCAGGTGCTACAGCTATCCAGCAAGCGGCGATTGTGCAGGTGAAAGAAACGCCTTACCCTAAACACAGGGGTCAAGCACCCTCTGGCAATGCCATTGTCGTAGCTCATGCACAACAACAAAACTCGAGCGGGACCTCCAAAGCTACTTCTTCTACATCCATCATATATGGGACCTACCACGACCCAAGCTCTTCAGCTAAGAGCGTTGCTCGTGACACCGAGGTTGGGCCATCTAACTTCGCTGTGCCTGTATCATCGAATGACGGTCCTAAAGACATTGTTGAGCCCGAAAACAATATTCCACTCTACTCGGCGGATTACACGCCTGCTCCTAATGCTGAGCCAGTCGATGTCCTCATGAAAGGCGCAAGGGATGAACCGCAGCCAAGCCCACATCTTGAAGACGAGCGACAGCGTACGCATACTTTAACATCGCCTTTGAAACCTCTTGACGACTCAAACCCACGTCCTGAACTCGAGCGAACAGCTGCGAATGATCAGCTGTCACTCTTGGTGTCACCAGGTCAAACTCCTGTGTCTGGCCAAAGATCGCACTCAGGGGAAGATCCGGTTGTTGGTCCATCTTATGCCAAGCGAAAGTTCAACCAGTCCCCTTCGACGCAAGGTCGCCGTCCATCAAAACGAGGAAAGATTCCCAAGTACATGGGGTTTGGCACTAAGCCAACGACGGATTTCAACGAAGTTCTCCGAGGAGTTAAGAAAGCGCATTATGAAGATTTTATACAGAGGGAAAGGACCGTATCTCTAGCCAGCAGTATTTCTGGCAGTGATGCAAAACCAGGGGCTCAGTCTACCTTATCTCCAAGTTCGCAGAAAGCTGATAACAGATTCGACGAACCGCTGGCCAATTTACAAGAGCGTTCTATTATCGATATGAAGCCATCAAAGCGAGAAAGTCCTGCTGCAACGACGGTTTCATTACCCAAACCTAAGAAACGCAACTTCAGCAGTGTTGACGAATTCGACAAGGCACTAAGTATAACAATGGAGGGGCACGAAAGATCAAATGTCGAACCATCTGATGACGAGCCATCATCACCTGCAACAAAACGTCCGCGATCGAAACAAAGTGTGCTCGAAAGTGATACAAAAGACACTGATCAGAATCCATTCCTGGGTCCTCCGCCAGCGCTGGAGCTACCTGTAGATGTTGATATGAAAATTGATGCCGATCTTGAGAACGGCAGTATCGAGTCCACCTTAGATCGAAACGCGGGCGTTGACAGAATTGTTGCTGACCACGCTATAAGCGACTACGATTGCTCTCGCCGCTCGCAGGCACCTTCCTCACGTCTATCTGACATGCCTTCCAAGGTGGCGCCATTGGCGACAACGTCAAAGGAGGGAAACACATCCATGCCTTCAAGCACCCAATCGACAACCATATTTGAGACCTTCAAAGCCACGTATCCCGCTTATACAGGGGATACCCGACATTTTCTGGGCCAATGTAAGCAGATGGAGAAACTCGACGAGCAAGACAAAATGGTGCCCAAGTGGCAATGGGATGACTTCATTATCCGCAATCGAACAGACTACAGGGACTACGCAAACCAATGCTTGGACAATGGAGAAGATGCCGAACCCTACTATCGCTTCTACAAGGACAATATTCGGGATACGCTGTACACGGAGGGTGTTGTTGAGAGCAGGAAGACTTTGGCTGCTGCTATCCATGAGCTCGAGGGTGGGCCAGCTGCGAATGCCACTGTTACGACCGCAAAAGGAACGGGGGCGAGGATGCCCGAGGCTCCTGCTGCTTTTACTAGTGCAAGTTCCACAGCGAAGACTTCTGTTGCCCGAGGCTCTAGTGTCAAGGCTTCCACTGCAGAGACACCTATTTCAAAGGCACCTGCAAGGAACCAAGCTACGGTCAAGGCACCCAGTCCTCTTCCAATTGCTCAAGGAAAACCAAGACAGTCGCTCCCGTCAGCCTTCAACAAAAGCTCCGGGGCGAAGACAGGCACAGCGCCCAAGCCTAACAAAGAGCGCCCAAGGCAGTCTCTCCCAGCATCATCGAGAAGAGCCCTCCCTTCCTTGCCTTCTTCCAGCTCCATACATGAGTCTACGCCTGCGAAACAACCTAGTGGGCTCTCGACATCCACTAATATGTCTACACGTCGTTCAAGGTTACAGCGAATGAGCAGCGGGTCGCGCAACCCGACGGAGCCTACAGGTGATCCCTATCGTGACTTTGTTTTCGGACTGAACCGGGCCACGTCTTTCACAGGAAGCACGAATGTACGTTCACCCTCGAGATCATTTTCACCCAACGACAGAAAGAACAAGTAGGCTGATGCACATGGGCAGGTCGATCCTGATCCGCGGAACAAGTGGCCAGGGAATCTACATGTCAGGCCAGCCGCAGAAGTGAAGAAGAAAGGATATGATGTGCTGGCCTGGAAGGATGATTTATGAATGTTGAGGCTTGTGTTTTTGAGAAGCATTTCTGCATGTATTTGCTGGCGTTATCCCGTTACAGAATATCGATACCCATTCATCCGTTACAGCGACCTCGTTCATACCAAAAGAGCGGTACATAGAAATCAGCATGATCTTTTGCACTAGCAGGCCTTTACGGTGATCATTTCCTTGACATACAATCTTGACGAACACATATGAGCCGAGTGCTCTGCTGCAACCACAAGTCAGGCATGTGAAAACATGACAGCAAATCACCTTTGCCGCGTGATGGCTAGTGACTACGGAAGGCGGTCCGCTCGCGCGCCTCGTGATATTGATTTGGGGTTCGCAGGGGGAAGAGTTTTCGGACGGTGCCTGGATGTCGGGTTTCCCCACGTTTATTGCGCATCTCATGGGCACGCCACAAGGTCGACAGTCTGGGTCGGTAGGCGACACGCGTGATCAGTGGCTCTTTGTCCCATTGTTGTGGGAGCGGGGAGCTGATTCCAGGAGGACTTTTCGGTGCCTGACGAGGAGCACGCTCGGAGTTCCGGAGAACAACTACGAGCACGTTAGAACGGCTCTTGTCGCATAGAGACGTGGAATGCAGGTGTCAAGGAAGCCCCGGAGACGTGTCAGGCACATGTCAAATGCTCTCCCGGTGATCGGGGCCGTGCGCACGCCTTGCCGTCTTTCGACATGGCCGCGGGCATTGGCGTCATCGGGGTCACACGCAGTCGACCTCTTTGAGCCTGGCTGTGCTGGCAGCCCTGTGCCTGCTCGTACCACATGTCTAATCTCATGCCCGAGTGTCCAGCTGGACGGCCAGCTGAAACCGCAGTGCACCTTCCGACGGTGACCTTCGTACAAGTTCGGTACTGACGTCTGCCCGAGCCGCTACTACCGACCAACGTGCCTGCGTACATCTTGACGCTCCGTACACGTAACCGGCGACGGCTCGCGCTACCCACCGATATTCCCGCCCTTGACCCGCCTGACTTCATCTCGTCATATCAAGTGCCCTGGTCGCGATCCTGTGCACGTCTTCGACGTCCTCCTGGCCACCTGCGGCCCCGAACCTCCTCCTACATTCGCGCATGGATCCCTCTTGCTGCAAATGTCATTCGTATCTGACACGTTACTCTCTGGTGGTGCACGACTGCATATAGGAAGAGGAGGACACCAAGGGAAGGATGTTGGGGAGCAGTCATGCCAGACCCAGCGCGGGCGGTTAGACCCTCTGATTCGGCTCGTGAAAGATCCATTTGGTGTACTCGGCCGTGGCAGAGACGTAGACGAGAATGCGCAGAAGGTCAAAGATGAGGAACCTCGTAAGCAATTGTTGTATTTGCGCATGCGAGACGTGAGTGTTTGGACACCTGTGCGCTTTCACATGCTCACTTTGCTCCCAGGCCGAATCCTATGATGACTGGAAAGCCGCGGCCACCGAATTGGACACACTCGAAGGCAACGATGCCTGGAAAATGGAAGACAAATCGTCTGAATACGATGCTGAGCTCGTCAAGGTCCGCCTGGGTCAGCTCGACGAGGCTCGTCTCAATTGCGACGTAAAGCGCATGCTGTTCCTCGTCCGAACAACCCTCACACGCGGACTCGGTGGCATGGGCGATCTGCGCCTGTACAAGCATTCACATGTCGGCACGAAGAAACTCATAGAGCGATACATCGACTCGGCAGTACAGACACTGGCAGCAATCCCTGAAGTCGCGGCCAAGCAGGGTGACAATTGCCCTGTCAAGCCCTACAAAGTCGCCGAAGAGCTCCTTCGCACCCGCCAATCGTTCGGCCGAACAGCGCTTCTATTGTCCGGTGGGGGTACATTTGGAATGAACCACATTGGCGTAGTCAAGTGCTTATGGGAATTGCAACTTCTTCCACGGATTATATCAGGCGCCTCTGCGGGGAGCATTGTCTGCGCTGTCTTGTGCTCCAAGACCGATGCTGAGATCCCAAGCGTTTTGACCGACTTTTGCTATGGAGATTTGGACGTGTTCGAGAGAGCTGGTGCAGAAGAGGGTGTCATTCAGAAAGTTTCGCGGTTCCTGAAGTATGGGTCGTTATTTGACATTTCGCATCTGCAGAGAGTCATGAGGCAGATGCTGGGCGACATCACATTTCAGGAATCTTACAATCGGACGCGAAGAATTCTTAATATCACCGTGTCGAGCGCGAGCGTCTATGAGCTCCCGAGGCTACTGAACTACGTTACGGCGCCGGATGTCATGATTTGGTCTGCAGTGTAAGTGTTTGTGATTCGAAAGTCCTCTTCCAATGCAGCTCGACTGGGCCGTTGCTGATTTCAGACAGATGCGCATCGTGCTCCGTGCCTCTCATCTTCTCTGCAGCGTCTCTTATGGCCAAAGACCGGAAAACAGGGAGGGAAGTGCCATGGGATCCTACCCCCAACGAAGGCTGGATCGACGGTTCGGTGGACAACGACTTGCCTATGACGCGTCTGGCTGAAATGTTCAACGTCAATCACTTTATCGTTTCTCAAGTCAACCCGCACGTGGTGCCTTTCCTTGCCAAAGAAGAGAACGACATAGGTGCGGAGGTTCAGCAACAAGATTCTGCTTTCTCTGCTGGCTCTGGCTGGATGCACAACATGGCCAGCTTCGCGAAAGGGGAAGCTCTGCATCGCCTTGAAGTGCTCGCGGAGATGGGAGTGTTTCCCAATACTATGAGCAAAGTCAGATCTGTTCTGAATCAGACATACTCCGGCGACATCACAATCTTCCCCGCTATCTCCTATACGAACTTCCCAAAGATCCTTAGCAATCCAACGACCGATTATATGCTGCGCTGCTTGCTCACCGGGGAGCAGGCGACCTGGCTCAAAGTGTCCAGAATTCAAAATCATGTTGCCGTGGAGCTGGCCTTGGATGATGCAGTTAACAAGATTCTGCCCTGCGTACATTTCAGCAAAAGTCAAGCGGAGCTCCGGCTCCTCAGTTTCAACCGCCCAGCATCGCAAGGCACAGAGCTGCCTTCCGCGCATCCGCTCAGACGACACAAGAGGGATGTCCACTCCGAGGGCCAAGGCCTTCCTCTTGCGCCATTCACGCCAGTTACAGAAATCCCGTCTCCTGATCTCCACCGCCGACCCGAATCGCGCGGAAAAGGACTTGATTCAACTGCCTCCAAACCATATCTCCCTTCGCGACCATCTATGAGGACTGCTAGGTCTCCAGATTTCAATAGAGTCGCCTTTTCGACCGTCGAAGCAGTATCATCGACAGATGCCGACGACTCACCCACTGACGCAGACGTCTCCGATAATAATGAATCCGACACCACCGAAATCCTATCCTCACCATCACTATCACATTCGCCTCCACCAAGCATCCATGATCTTTGGCTCTCGGCGAGCCAGGCCCACGCGCCTTACCCTTCAGTTTCACATCCGCACACACCAGCTGCTCCGGCGGACCTTTTCAACAGTCAATACGGCAATCCTGATTTGACGCCCGCCGCGCCAAGCTCTCCCGAGCTGCGCTACAAGCGGCTCTTCCATCCACCAGCAAAGACGGGAGACGCAGAATCAGCATACAAGCAGGAAGTTAAGCGCACGTTGCAACCGCTAAGCAACATCCCGAGCTTAAAACACACGGAGAGCAACCCGGAGCACCTGAAAGCTCCGACCGCCTCCCTGAAGAAGGCAGGCTCGTTGGACGAGGATAAAGTAGCCGCGGACGACGTGCCCGTCTTCAGCCCCGTCAACTCCCGGGAAAACACGGCAAGTAGTCCTCTAAGCACACGCAATGGTGCTAAAGAGAAGGAAGAATCCTACTTCCAGCGGAAGATGCGGGAGTCCCGACGGGGTAACGGGACGCCGAGATGGGGCAGCCCGACTGATTCTTCGGGTACGAGGGGCATCGTTTGGAGGAAGAAGAAGAAACGGAGCGGAAGCATGAGTGGCGAGCGTCCTGCTTGAGATGCTTCCTACTTGTGCCAGCTTCACACTTACGATCGTTTGAGATTTTCTTTTGTCACGATGCATGAGCGGCGTTTATTGCCTTACGAACCAACGATGGAAGGACTGGGCATAAGAGATGATATCCTAGCAGCATATACACATACAGCGGAGTTTGACTTCATTCTTTAGAAGAGATTGGGGATGGGTAGAGGCGTGTAAGAGGAAATGTAGATCCGATACACTTGCATTCATTATTACTCCTATTGACATTCGTTCAGCCTTCACGTCCAACGCGTAGGCAGAACTAGCAGAAAAAGTCCAAAGAGATACATGCATTAGTCGTTTTGTGGTCTTATGTACAACGAGAGGCATGCCCTCGTATAGTATGTAACATGCAAGATGATGAGCATCCATCAGACATGGTAGTAGCAACTTCTACATGACATCGTACAACATATATGCCATCCATGCAATAAGAACGAGCGCGTTAACACTGTCAATGTCTTTATGCAAATGAAAAAACTGTCAATTACGAATCTACGCGCTTTCCTTCCACGTCAAACTTGGTCCGTATCTCGGCATCGTACCTCTTGTACAGATCCCATCCCACCACCAGTATGACCGGTATGCCCACAAGAATCGTCGTCACGCGGCGCGCGGCGCCCTTGTATTTGGGCGGCATGCGGCCCTCGTTGATGTGCCGCTCATTCGCGGCTTTCTCGAGCTCTTCGGGCGATATGGGTTTCGGGCGAGGATGGGCGGGTTTCGAGGGGTTGAGTGGGTGTGTGGGAAGGGGATTGTTGTTGGTTTCCGCGGGAGGGAGGTGGGTTTTGGTGGGAGGGTTTCGCGGTTGAGGTTGGGGTTGCCGGGGTGGATCGAGGGATGGATGGGCGAGGTGGCGGGGTTGTGATGACGTCGAGGACGTGGGTGGTATGGCTGTGGGTGTGGGCGAGGGCTGCGGCGCGGAGGAGGCAGATGGCGTGAGTGTTGGCAGTTGGACTTCTGGGACTGTTTCCGATAACGTGGGAGGAGTATGTATGGGCTGTTCCATGGTTACATTGGCAACGCCGCCTGTGGGCAGCATGACCTCATTTTCTGGAGCTGGTCCAGTGGCTGGTGGTTTTACTGTGCCTGTCTTGTAGACCTCCTCTAATATCTTGCTCGTCGAGGGTGTGACAGGTGTAGGCTTGTCCTCTACCTTCGGCGTCTCGATGACCTTCTGCTCCGTCTTGGTCGCACTTGGGATTTTCGCCGATGGTGCAGATTTGGGTGCGGAGGCTGTTTTCGGTGCTGTAGCAGCTTTCGTGGCTTTTGTGGCTTTTGTCGCGGTGGTCTTGGTCGTAGCCTTCGCCGGAGTCTTTGTCGCTTTCGCAACCTTCTTCGGTGCCTCTTCCTTCGCCGCCGCTGCGGTCTTCGTGCTCGCCTTCCTCACGCTTTTCTTGGGCTCAACCGTCGGCGCATCATCGCTCACCACCTTCCTCGGCCGTCCGCGCTTCTTGGGAATGGGTTCTGTGGCGAGTGCTGCGTCCATGTTGATCAATTGATGCCCTGAGAGGATATTACAGATATATGGTTAGGTATACGTGAGGAGGTAACAAGGAGAGACGAGTGGGGTGACTCCGCGACGCGCAAAAGGAGGTTCTTGCTGGACGCGTTCTGGGAAATTTTGGCGACCAGGGTCGCGACGGTTAGTGAGGCTTTGGGCGAGTGAGAGCGGCTGCAGGGCTGGCTGGCGCCGCTGTGGGGTGCGTGCTGCCCTATCGATAGGGGGCGGGGTACAGAACAAGCATCAAGCGTCAAACATCACGTCGACGGATGGAAGAGTCGTCGACACATTGTTTACAAACATGTAGAACGTGTTGTTGCGATCGTATGCCAATATAGGTACCTACAGGTTTACCACTGCCCTAGAAAGTCTATTGGGTATACTCGATTCTTACCAAGCCAAAGCCAATGTTGTATCTACAGCAATGTAATTCATGCATCGCCCAAACGCCCGTTAGATCACTGAATATCACTTATATGCCTGGAGTCCCGAGCCTGCTGGTGCGAGGCCTGCCTTGACGACTAATATGCTGGCCCCCGATTTGCTATCCCAGACCTTCTCTGCGAGCACACCGAGCGTAGCTGCCGCACCGGAAGAGCTCGCGGGCTTGATCTCGTCTGCACCGCCTTCAGACAGAACGCCATTGCGTCCAATGTTCCTTCCAAGAATGACCAGATCTCCAGCGTTCTTGGGGTTTTGGCCGACCTCGGTAAGGGCCCGCGCAACGACGTCCTTAAGCGGATCCATTGAAGACACTGTCTCGAAGATGACGCGAGCGGAGATTTCGGCGGGAACAGAGGCGCTGAGCGAAGCGAAGTATGTAGCGTCTTGCTCTTGCGCGGATGCCGCAGTGGTGGTGACGACTTCGGCGCCCTTTGCAGCCAACGAAGCGGACGCATGTCCTTCACCGAGAACTTCTGGTACTACATCGAAGCGCACGATGGTCGCCGTAACTTCAGGCTTTTCGGCCAACTGCAGGACGAGGCGGAGCGCCGTGCGGTCGTCTTCTCCACCAAAGAAGGCGAAGAATATGTGATGGCTTGGGTCTGCGATGGGCGCCGTGACCGTCTTCTCGCGGCTGCTGTGCAGGCTGACGGCGCTATATGTGCGGCTTAGCTTCCCACGCTCTTTCTTATCCTTATTCTTGCTACCACCGAAGTTCTTGTTAATGAGCACAGCAACTGGAATCGATGATTGCTCATACGTTTCGTTGACGAAAGTGGTATACGAGGATGCTGCGAGCTTGTTCTTCGTCCCCTTATCTTCAATGACGGCTTGCTCGGACATACCTCCCGTCTCACTCCACGGGAGTATAAGAAAATCGGACTCAGAGGCACGTGTGCTTAAAGTGTCGGCAAAGGAGGACTCGGGCACGACGACAACTTCGCCGCTGACTGCTAGATTGTGCAAACGGCCAAATGTTCGGAAAATGTTGACCACAGGATCGTAAGCAGTATATTCTTGAGCCTCAGTGACGGCCATGACGGAAGAACCACGGTCTGTCAGGTTCAACAGACGTAGTCCATATGCCTCCACGGGCCTGCTTGGTTTCTCGTCAAGAGCCTCGCCGGACTTCTTGCTCATACTAGTCGACCGTTCCGCAGCCTTTGGATGCGATATCGCTTTTGACTGCGAGTTTGGTCCACCAAAAAGTGACGCAAATGCTAAGAGGTTGGGCATGCTATCTAGGCGAAGGTAGACGGTAAGATGCTTGATTTTCTGTGAGGAAACCTTGTCGTAACAGGCAACATCGGCAACGCTGTCTGTGCCGTCGAGAGGTTTGCCCGTATCCCAGTCGATTTCGCCTCGTCTAAAGGCTTCAACCTTCTTTTGATACCATGCGGGATAGAAGTAACTCGTCAACGGCGACGAGAGGAAAGTCGTGACTAGGGCCATGACAACGAAGATGGTAAAGGTACGAGGGCTCAGAATCTTAGCCTGAAGACCGATGTTCTACGTGTGTTAGCCCTTGACGGTATGAACCGTGTACGAATCTTACCAAGACGATCAACTCAACCAAGCCCTTACAACTCATTAGCGACCCGATCGCGAAGCATTCCCGCCAAAACATTCCAGTCCATCGAGCTGCTATTGTCGCACCAATGAACTTGGAGAAGAAAGCGACACACACCACCCCGATAACGTAGGCCCAGACGATCCCGCTATCCAAGAGACCAATGTTGGTGTTCAATCCGGAAAGCGTGAAATACAATGGCAAGAACAGAGCCCCAACCAGATCCTCAATCTTTTCAGCAACCTTGATGGCGAAACCACCTTCGTGGGGACATATCAGGCCAGCCAGAAATGCACCAAAAATAGCGTGGACACCGATGATAGCAGTGAAGAAAGAGCATGCCAGGCAGAGCAGCAGAGTGAGTGCAATCATACCCTGACTGGGCCCATCTTGCAGCGCGCGATTCTTGCGGAGGACCCAGACAAATGCTGGTCGTACAATATAGACCAAGAGAAGGATAAATCCAACACAGCATAGCAGGATATATAGCGCCGTAAGACCGGCACCGGAGTTGACAAGAGCGACACAGAGCGCAAGCAAGATCCATCCTAGATAGCTGCGTTAGCCTCGGGAGCACAAAGATCACGGGGCCAACTCACCAACAACGTCGTTCCCGACACCCGCGGACAGGACAATTACGCCCACCGGTGTATCAAGCAATTTCAACTCAGTCAAAATACGGCAGAGTACAGGGAAAGCCTTCATAAATCAGCGCAACGTGCTACAAAAGATACACCTTGAAACTTACGGTGATGGCCATGGCCACTCCGATGAAGAGCATGTAGACTGGGAAATCTATCGGCACCAGACCCTGTTCATGCCGAAATTGGTTATAGAGTCCCACGGCTATGGCACATCCCAGGCCAAAAGGAATAGCCATGCTGATGATGCCGACATTCAGTGCCACCTTCCAGTTGCTAACCAAGAAGCGTAGGTCCACCTCGAGGCCTATGATGAACAGGAAAAGCACCAGACCAAGATTGGCAACCAAATTCAATTGAGGCATCGCTGCTTCTGGGAATATGGCGTCCTTGAATCCGGGGATGCGGCCCATGGCCGTGGGACCTAGCAATATGCCTCCAATGACTTCTGATATAACGCGAGGCTGTCGAAGCTTGTTTAGAGGCCATTGAAGAGCGCGGCAAAAGAAGATGATGATTATGACCTAGCAAATGTGAGAACCATTACATGCGGTCAGAATTGCAGACCCAACCTGGATAATGAAGAGAATGATGGGATTCTTTGGGTCGATCTGGACGGGACTGCTGCCTTCGAGCACGCCGCCCTGTGGCGGAACCTTGTTTGCTGCGGTCGTGGCCGCCGCCACGGCGGAGGATATTGTCGACGACATGGCCTTCTCCAGAGAGGCAGCTCCGGGGTTGAAAGTGTGGGGCCGGGCAGTCCAATGTAGGCCTCGAGGCACCTGACGTGGGGTGGAGTGAACGCGCGCAGGGACTACTCCAGGTATTTATCGGGCCATGGAGGATCTAAGCGCAGTCTACCCTGCGTCCAGCTGGGGAGCTATGGCGACCTTGGCGAGCGGGAAGAACCAGCGTAGCTGTGAGCACCCTTCATGCGTTGGCGCTGACGGATGGCCTCGTGCGATGGTTAAGCTGGGAAAGTCTTGACGCTTCCCCACTAGGCGCACTGGGCGACGCGTTTTCATGCACTCGCATCTTGTGGCGTGGACGCATGCTTCTTTGTCGGCTGCTTGGCTTTGTGTGGGCACAAGTGCGCCCAGCGTCCGCGACCCATCTCGAGACCAGTCAAACGCGCACTGACCAATCGTTGGCATCATGGCGGCCCGTTTGCCTATCCGCACACCGCCGGATGCAAAAGTCCTACTGTTTGTAGTCCGATATCTACACAAAACAAGTGGCAGATGCTGCGGCTGTTGAAGACCAAGAAGGTAAGCATCACGGCACACGCTGGATTCGATAATACTGTCATTTTCATAACAACCTAATCCTCGATCTTGCGTGAATATACGCGCGTGCGTGCAAGATGCTCGGCGGGACTAAACAAGCGCCCAAGAACATCAAGATGAGAAAGATCCGCGCTCGTTCCCTGTCCTTGTTATACCTTACCGTCATCAGTGCTTGGCTCCAACGACATGCGGCTACCATTTCTTACCCATCGTTATCAGCTGATGCAGGACTAGGTGGCAGTTCACCAGTCGCCCAGTCTACTGGGCTGGACCCCAGCACGAAATCCATCGTACCTCCGTCTGCAAACACATCTTCCCAGCTTACCCACGCTTTGTTCCATGACTCTCCGTTCACTTTGAGGCTCTGCACGTAGAACGCAGTGTCCTTGTTTCCTCCCGTCGTTGTGATTTTGAGCGATTTCCCGTTGCCAAGGTTAATCGTGAGCTTTGGAAACCACGGGGACAGGACTAGGAACGTTGTTTGACCTGTCATAGGATAGAGACCGATCATCTGCCACTGTGTGATTCTTAGCGAGATCCGAAGGTCACATTTTCGTTTGAAAACGTGCATAGTGCCCCATGGGACTCTAGCGGTGACAGCCGCGCTATACAGGTGGTATAGGTGATCAAAGCTGCTGCTGCTGCTGCTGCTGCTGCACACAAACACTACGCCGAGATCGGAGTTCTGACTTACGAGAAGATTAGCCTCCATGGCGCCAGCATCTGAGTTGCCGGGCAGGCCAGTTGCACCTGAGTTGTAGAGCTTCCCAATCCCACGGCTTCTCTCTACGGTCCTCCATTGAGCGCCCTTGACGAAGTTGTATAGATATGGGGACGTGAAGCTTGGCTCGTTTCCTGCATTGAAGATATTCAAGTCCCATAGCTTGTCGATACGGTCAATGAACTTTTCGTCACCACCAATATACTCCTTCATCGTATACACGTCGTGGATGGCATTCAGACTGTACACCCAAGGATTGTCTTCGTAGTATGCATCGCCCCAGTAGCAACCACCACAAGACAGAGGATCTTGCGTAACAAAAGTACCATCAGCGCGGCGAGGCACCACGAACCCGGAATGATTGGTCGAGGAGGCGGCGGGGTTCCAGTGGTTACGCCAGTTACGTGATCTGTTGAGATATGTCGTTTCGTCCTCATTTCTTCCCAAGCCTTTGGCTACTTGATAAAGGCCAAAATCGTTGGTCGAATATTCAACTGCGCGAGAGACGGCTCTATTGTACGACGGGGTGATGTAGCCATATCTCAACCAGTCAGGCAATGCGCCCCTACCTTCCTTGGTAGACGACTCGGGAGACTTTGGATCGTTGTTGTTTGGTGGTGTCTTCTCTGCGTCGGTTTGCATGGCAGAAAACCCATCGTCCCAGTTCACTGCGCCTCTTACACCTTTAACATACGCATCCGCGAGGACGTTATCAGCATTAGACCCTCCTTGAACACGTCCGTTATAGTTGGACGAGCGAGCATCAGGCATGAAGCCGTCATGCCTCCAAATATCAATGAGTGAGCGGATGAACTCTTCGTAGGCAACAGGCTCCAGAATCTGGAATAATGCAGTGTGACATCTATGGGTATCCCATAGTGTAAAGATGTCGTCGTAGTACGGCTCGCTGCTTGTCCACTCAGGGTTCTCTCCCGTCTTGTTCGAAGGTATCATGACTGTTGGCAAACAGTCAGTGGAGACCTCCAATTGAATCATCTTTGTTCACTTACACATGCCGAGCAATGAGCTATATAGAAGCTGCGTGTCTTCATCGCTGCCGCCTTCCACCTCAATCTTCGACAGAATCTGGCTGTTCCAAGCACTCTTTGCTTTCGTGACGAGAGACTGTAACGTGGTATCCGCTTGGATCTCACTGTCAAGATTCTGACATGCCTTCTCTGAAGAAATGAAGGATATTCCGACCCTAGAAGCCAGGTTGGCGTCATCGAACGTGAAGATACCGCCTAGCCGTTCACTGCCGGAGACCATAGCCGTACTGTCGTATGAAGACAATGTAGTGCCCGTTCCTGTGAAAGTCTTGGAGCTTGTCGGCTCCTGGCTGAACTTGCCACAAAAATACAAAGTCCAATCCGGGGCTATGATATGTCAGTTCCGATTTCACGAGTAGTGAGTGATGACTGTGGGTCACAGGTCAAGGGCTAGCTCGATCTAGGATATAGAGCTGATATTATAACCGGGCACGAGCACGCTCGGGAATACTCACAGAGGTTCCAACCATTGTTGTAAGTACCAGAACCTTCATAATGGCCGTCAGAGAAAGAGCTGAAATTTCCTCCTGTATAATGTTGTTCCCATCCAAGACCTCTGAAGCTTGGCAGCACGTGGGACACGTCCACGACAATCGTAGATGGGCTGCCACTTGGAAAGGTATACTGATACAAACCAGCATGTTCGGTTGCCGAGAGCTCAACTGTAACACCGTTGTTCAAACTAGTCTTGTAATAACCAATCTGTCCTTCATCGGCGGACGCTCGACTTTGCGAGAGGTCCGCTAATGGATTCGATACATTACCAACAACTGGCATCTGCGAAACGACGCCGTACTTGGGTGCACCGCCTGTCCCGGACTCGTGGGTCATCGAGAAGCCCCAGACGTTGCCACTGGCCAGATAGCCAGAGTAGGCGTCCGTGGATCCCGACTGAACATCCGGCCCAAGCTTCGCCATCGCAAATGGCGCTATACGGATATGTTAGTTAATGACCACAAAAAATCAGCATAGTAATACTCACAAGCTGCGACACCAGGGAACCGGTTTCCTCCTCCAGTGGAGCCCATACTGCGAACTGTTAGCGCCCATTTCAACGAAGAGTGAATCAAACATACAAAACATTAACATATTGAGTGAAGTCAACTTCAGCAGCCGCCAATACGGTCTGCATCGTTGTCGTGAAACACACAAGGTGCAACGACGTAGAAGAAGCGCGGGAAAACATGATTCGAGGAACAAGGTTAAATTGTCTTGGCACTGGCCCCACAATAACGGCCTCAAGTATGGTTGTCAGAGCAGCTCGAAATTATGGGAATCTTGAGGTTTGCAGATGCTTCGCTTGCTGCAGAATTCGAATGGTCGTTCGATGTCCCTGTTCGGCGAAGTTGGTCCCAGGAGATTTTGCTCCAGTTACAGGAAGTCTGTGAACCGGCCGTATGAAATAATAGTGAGTACCAATCAAGAGCTATTTCAGTCTCGACATATGGTCCATGCCAGCCGGTATTGAACGTCTGTTGCTATTCGTCTCGTGGCTTCGTGGTGCGTGGACGCTGTACGACAGCTAAGTGACGAACGGATGGACGGCCGGTATGAGCTTGAAGTGTTCAGATGTCCGGAAATAAGCAACAATGGAACGGATTGAGCTGCAGTTATACGGCTGGACTGATTGACGTGCTACACGTCTAGAAACGTAGGAGATGACCTGATGGATGTGCCGTAGACCCGCCCACCGAAGCAAAGAAGTCGCTATACCAGGATAATCAGGCTTTAGTCTACCATCTAGCAAGCGGGAGGAACATACCTGCGTGCACCTCCACCAACAGGAGCCAAAGTCGTGTGGGGAAGTATGTGAGCGCTGGGGCACGTGGGACTGTCTTACTACCGTGGCGCACGATACATAACGATCGACGTCGGCACTAGGCTATCTCTTGCAGAATTGATCCATTAAAAGATACTGTGCCCAGAAAAGCCTCAAGCCATAGCGTAGGCTGGGATCAGTGGGTCATCGCAAGGTAGGAGACGTGCGACGGAGAAGCAGTCGCCAGGGCTGTAATCAGAAGAATAGAATCAATACGAAGGCATGAAAACAAGAGAAACTGCAGAGAACGAACAGCGTAGGCGTTGCGTCTCTGCGTTTGCGCGGGTGATAGCATATTGCACTGCAAAGTGATGTGGTGGTTGAGCCAATAAGATGGCGACGTTCGCCACGAGGTGCAGGAAGCCACGCCTGGGGACCGATGGCGGAGGACCACAAAAGGCAGGCAGCGCTGCAGGCGAAGAGCAGGTGTACACAGTCGACGTCGACGTACTGTTGTCCCCCATGCAAAACTTATCGTCCAGGTGGTGGCCCATGTGAATATGCTGCGCCATGTGATTCGGCGACCGACCCCCCTCCAACGGACGTCAACACAAAGCCGGAAGTTATACCCCTGAGGTGTGTCGCATGCCTCAAACATTGAAGCTTTTCTCTTCCAGACATGCTTCTTCAGAAGAATTGGCTCTTGCCTGGGCTCTGCCTTCTACGCACCATAGGCACAGGTGAGGAGGCTTCCGATGTCTTCGTGGGTTGTTCATTCCGTGACTCTCCTTGAAGACAATGAACCCTGCTCACACAGTGAACACTATCTTTCTCTTCTGCTAAAGCTCTGTTGCTCCAAAGGGCGACTCTAGCCTTGCGAAAGTGGTACGTACCCGATTCACTACCGCGATTGGCGATCAACGTCTCTTCTCGCGAAAGGTCCTCTTGGAGCAGGCTCGATACTATTACAATATGGAGCCTACCTGGATGCGCGAACATGGCTCTCCAAAATGCAGGCGCCTACTGCGAGGCAGCTTGGAAGTGTAGCCACGAGGACGGGTGTAACTGCTCATGTGAGTATGGCAACGGAGCGCAAAGACTTGTTGAATAGTATACGACTGTTATCAGGAGGGTCATCCAGGGCGCGCGATCGCCCTGTTGCTTAGACGAAGTCGGGTCCACCTGGGCATCATGGTAGGGGCGTGACTACCAAGGTACTCAAGCAGCATGGTGTTGTCGAGGCAGATCCGGGACTGGCCGGTGTGAGGTGACTACAGCTTCAGCCATCAAGCTCCGTCACCTTGTGTCACCCTCGGATAGGCGATGCGAATACAGAATGTGTACGAGTTCGACTCATGACCTTTCAGTCGTTGACAGTTCCTGCTGCACTCAGACGGAAGCATGCCCACTTGGCGGGATCTGCGGCGCAGCGACGGATACTTCGTTCGCTCGAGTCAGCTACAGCAATGCGACACTGATTAACGAGTCACGCCACGCCCAATCATTCGACCCCACCATCTTCACTGGCGTTCTTCTTGCTATATCTACCATCTCCTATCTTTACTTTCCTGTGATTGTCAAATCAGTGTACAGTGGCAATGCACTTATACGCTGATGCAGAGCACATGGCTTAAGCTTCGGCGAACTGTCCAACAAGAGGGTTCCGCCGTTGACATCACGGCCCAACGAGGGCCCACTCTGAGCCCGCTTCCTTGCACAAAAATTTCTGATGATGGAACTTTTCGCCAGATATTGCCATCGCACTGATTAATTCGGTATGCCGCTACGTGGTAGTATACTGTACCTAGCTCCGGTTTCCGTGTAAAGCTGAACGTTGCTATCCGTTGTCTGACTTCGATTTTGCACGCGCATAAGAAAGCGAATTTCCCTAAAATTTCGTGTTCTTATATTTGACCTCTGTACGCCTCGTTGACTGGCGAGCTTCTAGTCGGTCTTGGTTGTGACACGAGACGCTGTTAGACTACCGCCATGTCTACCCAGACTACTATCGAGTTAGGTTATGCGCCTGGACAACGAAGGCGCTCCTTTGTAGTAACAGAGGACTCACAGCCAAATGCCGGTGTACAACCACCAACGCCGGCAAGTATCGCCGCTCGCTCTTCCTACTTTCCCGATTTTCAGAAGAAACAAGTCAATTTCCAGACGAATCTTCCTAGGTCGGAGTCTTTGTCCTTCTTTCCTGCCGGCGCACAAACACCTGGAGCTTCGACCCCAGGCAATGAAACCCCACGAGGATGGATGAGTCCTACTGGAACTGCAACGCCTGGTTGGGCTACGCCACGTTCAACCTCAGCACGACCTCTTATCTTTTCAGAAGATGCCTACCCGGATATCGGTTCAATACGGACATGGAAGGGCACTCTCGTGCTCGTTGTTACATGCGGCGCCCAGCTTATGGACAACATCTTCATGACTGCAGTCAACCTCTCCCTACCAAAGGTTCAGAAGGATTTTGATGTCCCTTCAGCACAGCTGCAGTGGCTATTGTCTGCGTATACTCTTACGTTCGGTGGCTTCCTGCTGTTTTCGGGTGTATTAGCAGACCGTTATGGAAGACGGAACATCTTCGTCATCGGTATGCTATGGCTGTCAATCTGGACATTGGCCAACGGCTTCAGTCAGTCATTCATCCAGACCTCCATTTTCCGTGCGTTACAAGGAATCGGTGCAGCCATGACCGTGCCTTCGTCTATCGGTATCATCACCTCGCATTTCGTATCAAGCGAGCGTGTCGTAGCCCTGACTATGTTCGGCGCATCTGGTGCCGTTGGCTTTTCCGCTGGTCTTCTCTTCGGCGGTTTCATCACTGAGGCACTGGGATGGCGGTATATCTTCCGGATCGCTGTTGCAGTTACAGCACCGCTGGCTATTACCGGCTGGTTCATTCTGCCAAAGGATCGGAAGGAAGGCAGCTCAAAACCGAGTCTTGATATCCCCGGCGCTGCGCTATCGACCAGTGCGCTTATTCTGCTTTCGTTTGTTCTGTCTAGCGGCGGCGAGTACGGTTGGAACAAGGGCTACATCATCGCCATATTGATCATTTCGGTTGCCATGCTTGCTGTCTTCGTCTACATTGAGAAGAAGGTGAAGAACCCGATCATGCCGCTATCACTCTGGAAGATTAAGAGTTTCGCGCCGCTTTGGATTACTGGTTTTGGTGAGTAAACCAATATCATGAATTGGCCTAGGAGGAGGATGGCTAACAATGGCAGTGCTTTATGGGAGTTATCAAACGGTGATCTACTACGCCGTGCTGCAAGCTCAAGAGATCTCGAAACTCTCACCCGGTGCTACCGCCATCCGCTTCCTCCCTATGGGCGCATCAGGGTTTGCTACCAATATGGTTCTCGCCAAATGGATGAAGAAGATGAATGTGCGGTACCTCATGACGCTCGGCATGGTATTGACCGCTGCTTCCCCTGTACCAGCCAGTCTCATGCCTGCTGAGGATCCAAATTTGTAAGTTGAAAAGACGCTTCGTAGTACATGTACGCTGACAATATTTAGTTGGAAATATGTTATGCCAACGTCCGTCATGGTCGTCGTCGGAGTCTCCATTTGCTACATATGCATCACGAACATTATGCTTAGTGCTGTACCAATGAACGTCAAATCTCTCTGCGGAGGCTTGGTCAGTGTATTCATTAGTCTGCCTCTGTTGCTTCATACTGACTAGACGAACAGGTCAACACCGCATTTCAGATTGGATCGGGCGTCAGTCTCGCTCTGGCGGCTGCAGTCGTAGATGCTGTCGATATCAAGAAGGGACATTCGTTGGCCACTCAATACCAGACAGGTCTATTCTGCTGTATCGGCTTGGGCATCCTAGGACTTGTTGTTTCGCTAGTCGGTATGCGAGGGCTGAATACCAAAGTCAGTGGCGAGACGGTACATTAAGAGTCTAAGTCCTACCGTGCAGTCCTGCAACGACGACAGGGTGTGACACTACGCTCAGACGCTTTGATCCCAACAGTGAACCATTTTTTTAATTCAATAACAACGACATTCGTAATTCTTTCAGCAGAAAGGTCAAGCAGAAAGGCTAGCGCGTGGGATCTACAAGCAACGTCTGCATCATGTGGTCCGCAAATAAGCACTAAACTTACAACATCAACAGCCTCAAAAGAAGATATCCAACTATCACAATCATCATTTGTCGCAAAATGGACCCCGCCCGCATCAAAGCTCGCATCATTCCAGCCGATGGCCATCTTCCAAATGTGGAGCGCGATGCCCTGGAAGCTCATAGGATGCTCAAGTCCGGCGGAGTGGTCATCGTTCCCACAGACGTAGGCTACGGTTTGCTATCTGCAAGTGCAGAAGGTATAGATCGCGCTTTCGCGGCCAAACAACGCAGACCTGGACATACGCTCGGTATCGTAGGGACCTATCTGCAGCACAGTCAGCTACACGTGCTTTCAGACGATGCAGAAGAGCACCAACGCAGGTTGGAATTGACACATGTCTTGACGAGAGATATGGGTGCGACGCTGGGAATCGTGGGAAAACTACGAGCAGAACATCCACGGCTGCAGCAACTCAGCGCTGCGACTCTGGAGCGTTGCACGAAAGAGGGAAGCGTGGGTATTGCCGTGCCAGAGGGACCATTCCTCACCGAGCTTGGAAGACTGAACGACGAAGACGGTTTGTTAATGGTCGGAAGTAGTGCGAATCTCACAGGCCAAGGGCAGAAGTACCGCGTTGAAGATATCGAGCCTGAAGTTCTGGAGGCGGCTGATCTTATCGTGGACTATGGCTTGCAAAAATGGCAGCTTTATCGGAGACCTGGATCTAATTACGATTTCTACAACATGAGGCTGCTCAGGGTGGGAGCAAATTACGAAGTTTTCAGGGAACGGATGCGGAAGTGGGCAGGCGTGGAGCTGCCTGACGATCCGGAGCACAAGACTGATAGCGTGAAGCCAGTTGGTATCAGCATCAATGTGTAACAGGTCGCTTTCGATATGTCCTATCGAAGCTGAAATTCTTGTCGTTCGTTATCATAAATCATGTGGCGAATGGTGCACGCCCTAAGACGAACCATGGTTGGGAATGGATTCAACAACGTTGGACAGCGGTCTTCTAGGTATTGATTTTTGCACACCAATGTATTTAATTCACAAGAAGACACTTCTACGAACCATCACTCGTACATCATCTCAATCAAACAATTTTACTGTTTCCTCATCGTCACCAAGGATATAGCAACCGTAGATCTGCCTAACAGCACTTAACAGACTGGGAATCAAAACTTCTGTTAGCGCAGTAAGTTCGAAAGTCTCGATTGGCGCTGAAAATACTAAAATCCTTCAGCTGCAGCCTACCGAGACAGACGAAGCCTTCATCCAAGCGCTACTTAGGCGCTCCCTAGTATACTTCGCCTGCCGCATCGACGGTACCGTTGAGATAAACATCCTATTGCTATGACAACTCAGGACCATCTGACCAAGCTCCCAGAAGAGTTGATTCTGAGTATCATACGAGCCATACCATACCATAGAAGCCAGCCCGATGCGAAGGCAGCCTACCTAGCTATTTCGTCTTGTTGCAAGAAGTTGAATCGTATCGTAGCCGAAGCGCTTTACAAACATCATACTCACGCCTGGAACGAAGCTTCTGCCCATTTTGTCGATTTCATTTCTCGACGCTGCGAGGTAGCTTCGCACATTCAGGAGATCACGGAAATATGGCCAAAAATCATCAATCGAGGATGGACAAACTACGACTTCTCACGATCTTCCGAAATGATGAGAAATATTGAATGTACCCTTCACGACCTTGCAGTGTCACATCTGCACGATCGTCTATACATCCATGACATCGGTTCCAATATCTGTCTGGACCTGCAGATGCTACTCCTGGTGTGTCTGACTCCCAATCTCAAGAAGCTTTCGATCCGCAAGCCTTGGTGGAGACGCAGAGAAGAGGATAGCTGGCTCGGCTTGAGACTGGATTCTCGAGTTGTTGGGCATTGCGTGGCCACCCTAGTGCCTATACTTTGCGCGGCGGAGAATATAGTATTTGGCCGAGTGCATAGATTTTCTTGCCTGAGGACTTTGAGGATCGGTTCCCGGGATTACCGCAATTATAAGTTGCAATTGGATTCATCCATAATATCCTCCATATTACTGCTCCCTTCTCTGAGAGAGCTCATACTAGAAGAAGTCTGGGCCATCGATCCCAACGCCGCTTTCGGAGACTTCGGCGAAAATACATGGCAAGCTTCTGAAGGCACCTCTAATCTATCCAGTCTCCGATTATACTCATGTACAATCTCCGCCAGCGCTATATCCCAATTTGTTCTCTCGTGTAAATCACTGGAGACTCTCGTACTACCAGGTAATCTATGGAAGACGCGAGAAGCAGCGCACCTCCAACTATCTCCTATGCTGCGACACCATCAAACGAGTCTTCGAATCCTGCAGCTGACCGATGATCGAGCTGAAGAGGGTTCACTCCCTCCGCTCCAACACTTTCACCGGCTAGAATACCTTGAGTTCTACATGAGACGTCTCTTTGACGATGCCACTACATCGGGATCGCTAGAGCATCTCCTTCCACCGAGTCTCCACACTCTCGCACTTGTGCATGAAGAAGGACCTATGTTTCAAAAATTAGCGGATCGTCTTGAAAACATTCTGCAGGTCGTAGGTCCTCGATTGAACCATCTCCGGACCTTGGCCATTATCTTCCCGATATGTAGCCAAACCGTATTGGAGAAATGCGATCTTCTTCACAAAAATATTTGCAAGGTTCCAGTGCTGAAGCGACAGTTTGCAGCAAATGGGATTCAGTTGAAATGTGCCTTGGGCCTATGGGACTTTTGTAATAGGTTGTTCAATGTTGCTAGTCCTCTACACCGTGAGAAACCCTTCCCATTTCAGGTATTTGTACGAGGAGACACTGAAGCTGACTGTACCGTAGGGCCAGCATGGGACAGAATTCGCCAATCCCTTGAAACATCCTTTGAGTCACAAGGTGTAGCCCCGCAAAGTGCTCGAGAGATTGCATCAGACGTTATCCGTCATGTCTATCATTCGGAAGATATTACCGGTTCTCAGTTCCTGAACATCGAACCTCTGGATTTGGACATCAGCGAATTTTAACACGACGCCTAGGCTTACCTTAATACCGTTGAGACAATCAATGCCTACGCTGTTCAATCGGATTATGAAGGTCTGGATGTTATGGAGTTTAGCGATGCTTCGAACGATACCTTACCAAGAATGAAGACATCAGAGAGTCGGACTGCATGTACCATGAACGGCTGCAGAGTACCTAGGTAAGCTGGAAGACAATCACCCCGGTTCATACAGAAACCTAAAAGCTCGACCAGCCTGCCCAAATGCCTTTGTATCTGGTAGGTAAGTCGAGTGCGGTACCAAGGGAGACAATGGCGATGCTCAGTTTCCAGTTTGTTTATTCCTTATGCGTTTCTTAGATTGCTCCAAATCAAAGCAAACAGATCGAATTCACCTTGGCTAGGATAAATTTCAAGGATGAAACTTCCTATCTTGCGTATACGGTTTCGTTGCTTCGTCTGACAATGACAAACGCTATGGGTTTGATGAGCGGTGGTCCAAGCTTCAATGTATGACATCAGTGAATGGACATGTACCACCCTCATCGCTCGACCAGAATATGCATTCTTGACGATACCTAAGTCATCATTGTCGTTCTGATGAAAAAAGCGGCATCCTCGAGGTGTTGAGATGGAAGGACTGCAACAAAAATGGAAGGAGTTGTACGCGCAAATTCTACCGGCCATGGCAAAAGCCAAAGATAAGAAGCAGAACTGGCCAGTCCACCTCGATCACTGCTTCGCGCGCATTATACTGGATAATGCTGTCGGAAGGGACAAGCCATGGACGGAAGTCGTCAAGTCTCCGGCGATCAAGAACATGTCGGAGCAACAGCTGAAGGATGCAATCAAACTTGGCGAAGCGATTGCTGATGGGAGTGAGGACATTAATCCTCTCAATGAGCGAAGTCTGGAGCTTCGCGGCAAGAAAGGTCCCGGCAAAAAGCGCAAGTCAGAAGCTCAAGATGATGCTACGAGCAAGAAGACCAAGCGAAGCGAAAGTGGCAACATCTCGACCTACTTCCTACCATCACCAGCGTCGCCAAAGAAAGACGTCTCCCCTGAGGAGGCTCTCGCTACATCCCGTGATCTGGATATAGACGTACAGTTGTGAAGGATTGCTAATTCAAAACTCACACCATTTCGGAAGCAAACACTCGGCATGCTCTGCCAGATCCCTCGAGGGAGGTACAGCACATATCAAGCGATGTCCGATTATATCACCCTGACATCACACAAGACCTGCGCACGAGCAGTTGGAAATGCAATGAGGAACAACCCTTTTGCCCCAGAAGTGCCTTGTCATCGTATCTTGGCTGCAGATGGTACGCTTGGTGGATTCGGTGGACATTGGGGCGAGCAAGGCAAGTATGCTTCGCGAAAGCATGAGCTATTAGAGGAGGAGGGAGTCCGTTTCGATTCGAGAAATAAGGTGAAAGGTCCGCCCTTTCGAGAATTCTCGAAGATCCAGTAAGACCAAAATCCGACTTATGATCGCTTCTTGTCCACTGAGTGTTGTCCGCCAGGCTTGGATCCCGGCACGTGACCCTTCCAAAACCGGGAAGCGACGGTGCACCATGACGCTAACCTTGGAACCACTGGCGTCACCCGCCACAAGGAGTACATGACGATCATTCGTACTAGGCCGTCTTTCCATGCATTCCCGCTGCGGGACGTTCTCCGTGCCGCGACAGCTCCTACGTCATGCTCCATTGAAGCCTGGAAAAGAAGCTCTCTGCACATCTCTTCCCATTACTCAGTGCTGCAACTATCATACCACATCCTTATCCTTGCGCTAATCATACCTGATCCACTTGCAACACTTCGTGGATTGGTTTGCACATACCGTAACCATTCGTTATTATTGCCATAGTCAAAACGGCGCCTTCACGCTTCCCACTGCCCAACCGCCGCGCCGTCGCTTCTCTCGCCCTCGTCTCTGTGCTCTCCGCTATAGAGAAGCAACGCAAGGCGAAAGCAGATCGAGACAAAGAGAGCGACTTCGCGGCGCAAGATATGTCCGGCGAACTTCAAACGATACCTGCGCGACATGGCGTGGCTACTTTCGTACCGAGGGGCAGGACGATTAAGATCATCAACACCTATGGGAAGCAGGTGGTTAGTACATGGGCGTTTGGGCTGGCTGCACCACCTGAGGAGGGCGAAGAGGAGGAAGACGAGCAGGAGCTTGAGGGCCAGGTGGACGAGTTGAAGGAGGAGTTGAGTAAAGGAGAAGAGCAGGGAAAGGATGCTGAAGACGATGTGATGGATGGAGAGGCTAAGAAGGTCAGCGACGAAGGTTCCGACTCTAGCAAGAAAGAAGACGCGTCACAGGAGGAGAAGGCCGACAATTCTGAGAAGAAGGACAGCGAAGGTGCAGATGATCCTCCCGAGCAAGCGCCCGATGAAGCTGAGACCGCTAAGTCCGCCGGAAAGAAGCCTGAGAAGCGAACGTGGTCCTCATACCTCCCTTCCATTCCTTATCGCAATAAAAACCAAAACCAGAATAAGACTGACGCCCAAGCGAAACAAAACGAAAGGGTCGAGAAAGCACAGAATGAGGCGACTTCGAAGAAATGGTCGTCATACCTACCTACCGGAAAGGGCTTCTCAAGCTATGTGCCCAATCTTCAGATGCCAGATACCCAAGGTGTAGTCAGCGCGTTCAAGTCGAGCAATAGCTGGGACCCGAACAAGAGCTACGCTGAGCAACTGTACGACTTTTCAAAGACACCCGTGGGTGCAGGTACACTAGCTGGTATGTCCACGCATGTTTTCCTATCATCACCGTTCGAGCTACGTGACTAACTTGACATAATCTAGCCGCCAGCGGTTCCGGCACAGCGTCGTCGCTTTACGCTGCGTACAATGCCTACGCCCAGATGAATCCCTCAAAGAACAATCAGCCTCCTATGGAATACCTGTCCCTCCCTCACACCCGCGCCGCAACACATCGCCTCGTTCCTGAGCTCAATGATACTCTCCTAACCAATCTCCGTAATCCCCTCATGACTCTCGTAGAAGATACTTCACCAGGCGCACACGACACCCTGACCGCTGCCTGCGACGCAAATATGTACGCTGCGCTTGGTGTTGATAAGCCCGAAGAGCACGGCAGCTGCGCCGAGAATCTCGTGCTCGCACTCCGTGAGGTCAACGAAAAGGCCGGCCTGAAAGGCACGAAAGCCATTGGCGCAGACATCACGGTCAATATCGCGCCCACACCATTGCATCTCTTCATGAACGCTCCTTTACAGCTCGATTCGAGCGCGCAAGCCGAAGGCTCAGGCGCCAAAGGCGCAAAGCTTCAAGTTGAGGAACCGAAGTGCAAGAAACGGAGCTACGTCCGTTTCCGCGCTGAGCGGGACATCGTCGTTGTGCTGAGCGCTTGTCCCAACGAAGTTGGGCATCAAAACGGCGGGAAGTGCATGGCGGCTAACTTCATGGTTGAGGAACCTGAGGAGGAACCTTCTGCTTCGTCGTCTTCAGTCAAGAATAGAAAGGGTGTGCCAAAGAAGCTGGACGCGACGAAGAAGAGAAGTGGAGAGGGAGGGGAGAAAAAGGCGACGGTCATGTCCAAGCTAAGAGGCGGACCCCAAAAGCCTGCTGCAGTGAAGAAGTCTGCAGAGAGGAAGATCAGTGACGACGATGATCCGCCGGAGTCGGCGTTACCTGAGGAGGAACCGAAGAAGGAAGAGGTAAAGCGTAAAGCTGTCCCCAACCAAGACAAAAAGCCAGAGGCTTCGTCGTCCTCAAAAACAGAAGAGACCAAATCGCAAGAAACTTCCAAAGCAGATGAAGAGAAGCCAGACGAGACCCCTAAGGCGAAGAAGAAACCCAAGAAGCTCGAACGACGCACTGCCACCCCCAAGAACGAGGCGTCGTAAACCAAACTCGCTTGACATTATTGTTCTGCTTTCTAGGAAAGCCGCAATCCCGGTGCTGATTAAACGAATGGTTGTCTCTATTTGTTCTCGGATCACGGCCGTCTAGGCTAAAGTGATACCCTGTCCCCTGGAACGGTCTTCATAATGTACAGACGTCGGTTCTGGGTAATCTTTGTTAGGAGATGTAGGGGTTTGGCAGTGCGTTATCCGATGCTGTACTATTATTAGTTCTCTACTCGTACGACATTCCGTACGGGTTACCCTGGCTTTAACGTTTTTCGAGTTGCGAGAGTTCATGCAATGTACATTTTTCAGCAATTCGGAACCACATAATGAAATTTACTTCTAGCGAGCGTGACAAACAGCTAGCTCAATTGAAAGAAACCTTCCCGCACCCTCCCACTGGTATCATCTCACCTATGCGCAATCTCCACACGGCACACAAGTATACGTCGGACACCCGACAATTATAGTCGCCGTACTCGTTGTGCATACGCTCTCCGTAGCCGTGTGCTTCCAGCTCGGCTTCGCAACTGTCGTGAGCGTCACAATCGTCTTCTCGATCTCCCTGGCCTCTACCGCCTGTGCTGCACCCACCTTGCAGCTGACGAGGTTGTCCGGGCATGTGGGCGGGACGCACGGCGGGACGATGGTTTTCGTGACTGTGGGACAGGCGCTGGGCACAGATGACGGGATGTACTCCGTGCTGGTGAGAGTTGGGGGAGTCTGTGTTACAAAGGTTGTGTGGTGCTTGTCATCGTCGCGCTTGCCCCAGCTGATGTACGCAGAAGAAGGCGCTACTGGTGGAAGGCCGAAGGAGAAGGTCGGGAAGCCGAGGCCGTATGTAGGCAGCTGCGCTTCGGCACCGCGCTTGCCCCATGAGATAGACGGAGTGGGCTTGACAAGGGTGATCTGGTCGCTGGGAGTCGGAGCAGGGGGGAAAACCTCTGTGGGATCATCGCCTTCTTGTCGCTTGCCCCATGAGATCCATGCTTTAGTGGTGGTCTTTGGTGGCTTCGGTACCCGGACAGATGCGGTTGGCTTGCCTAGACCATACGACGGTGCAGTGGCAGCTTCCTCGCGCTTGCCCCAGCTGAAGGAAACCTGCGGAGGCTGAATGCCGATTGAGTTGGGTGGGGTGAATACGGGGGGAGCTGGAAAACTAATAGGGTTTTCCGTTTCTTCTGGATCTTCTGGGAAATCAGGGAAATCGGTGGGCTCTGGGTCTTCGTCTTCCTGTCGCTTGCCCCAGCTAACGGAAGCGCTCACATAACCGTGTGTGGATGTGTAAGCTGGCGGCCACCATGGCCACCACGACGGCGTACTGGTCGTCTTCGGGGGCCGAAGATCCCAGGTGATTGAGTAAGATGGAGAATCCTGCCTTTTATTCCAGCTTACAGAGGCACTTACGAAACCCTTAGTCGACGTTTTAGCTGTCGGCCTTGGAGGCCATGGCTTCTTCGTAGTTTTTGGCGGCTTCGGTCCATCCCATGAAATCGAGTAGCTCGGTGGGTGGAGACTAATGATGTTGGTTGGAGACGGCTGAGGGTCCTCTGGATCCTCCGGATCTTCAGGCTCTGGCGCTTCTGTAGGTACGGAAGGGCCGTCCCAGCTAACGGTAGCTGATGGCTGACCCAAAGAGATTTCGTCGCTGGGTGTCGGCGCAGGGTACTCGGGCTCTTCTGGGTCTTCTGGGTCTTCTGGGTCATCGGTCGTCACAGGCAGTGGAGCATCCCAGCTAATCGAATAATGTGGTGGGCCAATACCAAATTGAGCCTCAGGCACGGCAGCAGGAATCGCGCGTATGCTTTCGAGGTCAGTGACGATTCCCAACATCCCGAGTGGCTTGCTGACCTTGTAACAAGACCTAGTAAAGCAAGCACGACATTCCGTGCAGGCGCCATGATGAACCGCTTAGCTTTTTAGATCGAAAGCAGGCGCTGATCTACATACCCTCAGGCCAGCGAGACCTGTTGATGTTATATGACGTTCGACTGCCGCCATCCGTAGGTCACACAACCCAAGTACTATACAACAAATGAAAGATACGAAATGCCCAACTCAATTGTCGTGTTTCTGAGCTTTCCTTCACATGTCACAGATGGAAAATTTGCATTACGGTCCGTGGAGAGGCAAGCGGCTTCTGTTCCTGGTTCTAGGTCCAGCGGTGCATCTCGAGCCGCAGCTCAGGGAAGCTTGCTACGTGAGAACCGCGATGATGCTTGGTCGTGGCTTGATTGGAAGACCTATATTTAGTTGTAGTTCCGATGACAGAAACTAAACGAGAAAGTGATTCGACAAAATGGACACGAAGACTGGAAAAATAGAGTGTGGGTTGTATACGTATATTGCTGTATATTTTACGAGACTGCGCGAGCGACGCGGCTGCAGCCAAGCAATGTCGTGACTGGGGTTGAGCGTTGGCGAGCTGTAGGGCAAGATCGAAGCCCACGCTGCTTCATGAGCGTCCACAACTTCCTGTATCTGTCGGAGAACGATCTAGAACCTCTGAAGGCTCATTTTCAGCCGTCCTATAGTCGCAGAAGGTTTCCTAACGGAATGAAGATGCCCTATTCGGCAACGCGTTCGTATAGTTACTTACGAATCCCCGCAATAGACATCTGCCAACGACAGATTCGCTCTAGTAGTTTTTTCTGAAGCTCCTGCATGGATAAAGCTGGGGCCTGATGAGACGACTGCTAACTGCGACTGCAATCGGTTCCTCCATGTATGGCACGCTCAACTTGACCAACGCAATTGTCAATCATCGAGTTGATCGTTGTGTAGTCCGGCCGCGCCTGACTGGATCGACTTTGCGAGTAGGTAGCTAGAGGTTATAGATGCGTGCTACACGGGACGAGTGAAGAGTAGTAGCTTGTCCTCAAAGCCAGTCGCTCAAAATTGCTTACCTGTCAGCAAAATTTATGCCACAGGCAGTGCAGGTATGCTCTTAGATGGAAGAGATACCGTTCACAACATAGGTCAAGTTGTTTTTTCAACAGGTGGGGAGAGCAGCATATCGAGCGGCCACCTGCGTATCGCGCGAATGCTAAGCTTATCCCGATGTCCAGCGCGATACATCTCTGTCCCAGTCCAAGCGATCATCGCTGCGTTGTCCGAGCAGAGGTTTGGCGGAGGAAAGACAACTATTACGTCGCCATACCCGTGGGCAGTGAGTTTACTGGCGAGCACATAGCGAAGGTAGTAATTGGCGCCCACGCCACCAGCCACAACAACGGTTGTCGCGGGAGTGGACTGTAGCGCAAGTACCAAGCGTGCAGCAATGTGTTCGAATGCTGCGCGCATGGAGAATTCGGCCATGTCTCGTCGTTCCTCCAGGCTAATGTCGTCAGCTGAACGTTCTATATTGGTGAGTTTGCCGGTCGACTGAACGTGTTGATAACGCACAGCGCGTTCCACAGCGGTCATCAGGCCCGAAAAGCTCATTTCCAAGTTTTTGTTCTTCGACCCGCCTCCTGCTCTGGCAAGTGGTTGGTTGAAGGCCCATCCCCACTTAGTCACGTTCCGCTGCATTTCTTCCTCGTGATTTTTCGGAACCCGATACTCATATTGCGACTCGAACCGCCGACAGAATTCACTGGCGGTGAACGATGATTCATGGCGATGAGCAACACAGTCTTGCGGGAAAGCAAATTGCTCCAGAAGCGCACCGTACATGGTACCGCCGGCTTTTTGCAATATCTCACGCGGAAGCACGATGCGTGCTATCTTGTCCAAACACTCCCCAACCGCAACGTCACTCGTGCTTGCCAATATGTCGTGCTTAATAAGCGTAGCCGAATGTATGAGGAGTGTATGGCCGCCCGAGGCGAGAATGGATAGGAATGGAAAGTTCGGCGTGGCAGCAATTTCTTCTTCGGTTCTGTGGGGTGTAACTTCCCATGCGGACGAGAGGTTTTCTGCTGCATCGAGGGCCGCCACCAAGCGCGGTGTCAATGCATGAGCTTGCATGTGATGAACGCCGACAAGCGGTATCTAAAAGGCATGAGTGTCAGTGCGTCGGCGTATCTCAAGCAACTCTACTCGCCTTCCAAGCTGCAGCGAGGCCCTTTGCTGTGTCGAGTCCAGTGAACAAGTTTGAGCGCATGCCAGGTCCCCGAGTGACTGACACAAAGTCCGGTTTCCTCTTCTTTCCGGGAAGCCTCTTGATTGCTTCGGTCACTAGGTTGGCGAGATTCTCCTGATGTGACTCGAGTGCGGCGAGCGGATGGACGCCGTTAAAGGCTGCATTGTTGGAAGTGACCTTCTCGTGGAAGTGCAGCTGAGCTAGGGTCGTGGCAGGATCTTCCAACGTCTTTGTTTCGAGGACCGCTACAGAGGTGTCGTCGCAAGACGTCTCGATAGCTAGAGTCACGAAACGTCGTGCGCGCGATGGTGGACGAGCGAGGGTTGGGCGGAAGACGCCATAATTGGCAAACAGGGGCACGCGCATCGGCTCACCTGTGCAGATGATCGGTCAGTAAGAAAGGCGCCGAGTTATGACTGGCCTTACTATCACATCTCGCAGGAGGTGAATCAGTCACACGCAGGAGAAGACTGACGCGTAAAAAGCGGTGGACCCTGAAAGCACGAGCCACTCTACCACCAGTGACGTACCTCAACAACCGCGTGTGGGACGAACACCCAACACTCACAACACTGCAAAAAGGGCCTACAACTACAATGCAGTCTACGCCACACAGAAACCCCTATGGCTGACGTCAAGAAAGAGACCGACGGGCCGCAGCCCGACTCCGTCGACGGATTTAATACCGCTCTGCTTCCCGACTTCGACAACGATTTCGTAACGGACGAAGACTTCGCCGAATTTACGAAAGCGTTGCAAGCTCCAGAGACCTCGCCGTCGACCGAAGACCTTACAGTACCACAACCCGAACAGCAAAAGTTCATTACAGCACTCAACGATTGGAGACCTGTACATCAAAGGGTGAAGAAGCGGCGAGGAAAGTCCAAGAAGGCACCGCGTCGGGGCAAGGACGAGTCCCGCGAGGGCATCTTCTACGAGGTGCTCAAATACCCGCTGCTCATTCTTGTCTTTGGGTGGCTAGCCTTCTTAAGTATTGCCTACGTTCTTACCCGTTTCTACATCTATGCGTACGAACATTCGGTGACATGGCGCGGGCGTCGCCAACGGCTGCGGCGTCAACTGCAGGATGCGAAAACTTATGAAGATTGGATAAAGGGGGCTAAGGAGCTGGATGCATATTTGGGCAACGATGCTTGGAAGGAAAGGCCAGATTATGCATATTATGACAGCAAGACGATACACAGGGTGCATCAGCAGATGGCAAGGCTGAGGCAGAAAGCCGAAGTGGAGGAGCAGGGAGGGAGCACGAGTCAGCAAAAAGCGGCAGATGAGCTACGAAGTCTGCTCGAGGCCTGCATCAAGAACAACTTCGCCGGAATGGAGAATCCTCGTTTATGGTCGGAGACGTACTATGGCACCAAGAACCTTCTTCAAGATTTCACCGATGAGTCAGAAAAGTCACTGTCTTTCCTTCTGAAAACGTCCCAGCTCAGTCAGGAGAATAAGAGGGCCATGTTCAAGCATTTGAGCACCAACTTCGGACGCACCGCCCTGTGTCTTTCAGGCGGTGCGACTTTCGCTTACTACCACTTTGGTGTAGCAAAAGCTCTCCTAGATGCAGGACTCATGCCGGAGGTCATTACGGGAACTTCAGGAGGAGCGCTTGTCGCGGGTTTGCTAGGTACTAGGACTGATGACGAGCTGAAGAAGCTGCTTGTCCCTGCCTTGGCAAACCGTATCACCGCATGCCACGATACCTTTTGGGTCTGGTTCAAGAGATGGCGCCAGACCGGGGCCCGGTTCGACAGCGTCGACTGGGCCAAGCGTTGTGCGTGGTTCACTAGAGGAAGCATGACCTTTAAGGAAGCATATCAGAGGACTGGTCGCATACTCAACGTTTCTTGCGTCCCGAGCGACCCTCATTCTCCCACCATTCTCGCTAACTACCTAACGGCACCCGACTGCGTGATATGGTCAGCAGTGCTTGCCAGTGCGGCAGTACCCGGTATCCTTAATCCTGTCGTACTAATGAAGAAGAACAATGACGGCACTTTATCACCTTACTCCTTTGGCCACAAATGGAAAGATGGCAGCTTGCGGACTGATATACCTCTCAAGGCGCTCAATCTGCACTTCAACGTCCGCTTCTCCATCGTCAGTCAAGTGAACCCACACATCAACATATTCTTTTTCTCTTCTCGCGGGACCGTTGGCCGTCCAGTCACTCATCGACGAGGACGCGGGTGGCGAGGCGGCTTCATCGGATCCGCTCTCGAGCAGTACATCAAGCTTGACCTCCAAAAATGGCTAAAAGTACTGCGTCATCTAGAACTGCTCCCCCGGCCACTTGGGCAAGACTGGAGCGAGATCTGGCTGCAGCGCTTCAGTGGCACCATCACCATCTGGCCAAAGACCATTCCTTCAGACTTCATGTACATATTGACAGACCCTACGCCCGAACGTCTGGCGCGCATGATACATGTCGGTCAACAGTGCACATTCCCAAAGCTCAAATTCGTCGCTAATCGCGCAAAATTGGAGCATGTCATACAACAAGGTCGGCGACAGTTCCGTCCCAGGAGCGGCCATGACGGTGGCTTCGTATCTGTTCTCTCAGAAGATGACCTCCAAAGCCTCCTCAAACGCTCGAAGAATGACCCGTCCGAAAACGCTGCTCCATATCCCCTCTCCGGCTCAGAATCATCTTCCAGCGCCGGACTTTCGCGACCTGGGTCGCCCGTCGACCTCCCACTGGGATTCTCCTTCTCGACGAAGCACAAGAAGGTGCCACCACATCTGACTACAGGTACAGACCAGGGTCCAAGTAAACCAACAATGCCCGGAAGCCCCTCCCTCGGTAAGCGCCTTACCGGCTGGTGGTCTTCGCTCTCACCTCGAGACGCAAACACACCAGTTGCTTCGTCTTCGTCTAAACTACGCGCCCGATCTCGCAACAAACGATCTGTCTCCCCACCCGCCGCCTCGCCTCACGCGAATTTCCGTCCAAACTCGATGATCGAGCTCCGCCCATCACAGCACGTACTGCAGCCTTCAGGGTCCGCATCGCCGAATCGGAGCGGTAATCTGTTCAAAGAGCTAAGGAGACAGAGCCGGGTCTTCGTAGATGATCACTCTGATGATGGCGAGGCTCTGGCTGACTTTGGTGATGCAGGGAAGAGGTATGATGGTGCCGATGACGAGGCAGGTGACGAAGCAGGGCTGGAAGATTATGTGGGGGACGACGAAGATGAAGGCGAGCATGGGCGTGAAGTTCAGTCACTTGGAGTGGGGCTTGGGCTTGAGGGAAGGGCCGTGGGCTAGTAGGTTATAGAATTCTTGATCAATGCATGTATACTTATTATTTCTTTAGCGGGTTAAGCATGAAATTGGGGTGCATTTCATGGGAGCATATCAAGATCGAGAAGGTCTTGCCAGATTCGCTACGTGGGGTATCTAAAGTGCTGAAAAGTGCTGAAAAGAGCTATCAGATACGCCGATGCGCCGTTCATTCCGGTATTTCCGCTCAAATCGATGCTCTGTCAAATCATAAACGTATAAACAGCGAGGTGCCAACATCTCAGCCGCGCTGTGTTAACCTCCAGTAGATAACGCTCGTCCTAGCTTCCATGTCTTCAATCAGCCCTGCATTTGATCGTTGAATTGCTGGACCGAATCCAAGAAATATTGGAAACCCTTATGAGAATCACCCTCATTTGCGAGGGCAGTCACATCCACATCTAAATTTCCGAAGTCGTCCATATTTGCGTCCATAAGCATCGGGTCCAATGGCGCCTCATTCAGATTGCCAAAGGCACCTTGCACGTCCATCTCCATAGCCTGATGGTCGCCAAAGTATGGCATCGGCGTCTGCGGTAGACTAGGCTCTGTAGAGCCGCTCATGGACATGGGGTCGAAGTCGTCGAGACCACCAATCCAGAACTGCTCGCCACGCGCGGCTCCACGTTCCAGAATGGCAGCATCACAGTCATCATCGGTGTAGTTGTGCTCAGCCATCACATGTCGCTTCAGGTCGCGGTCCCTTGCGAACCGACTAAGGCAACCATCGACCAAGCAGGCAATGGGCCGGCCGTCATCGTAACCAACACCGGTGAGCAGAGCAAGCGCAGAGGGTTCTGGGATGAATCGTTTACGAGCCTTCGCAGCCTTTCGAGTAGCTTTACGATTGGGAAGGCCGAGATGATGCGTCCGGATATGCTGCTCTAAGGCCGCCTTCGTCTTAACGAACTTGCCGCATGCATTCTGTCCACTCCAGCCACTCAGATCAGGATGCTTCGACTGCTGCATAGCCTCTGCAGTGCACGAGAAGCGATATTGCATCTCGTGGACCTGCGAGACATGGGCGTTCAAATTGCCTCTCCTGTTAAACATTTTGCCGCAATCCTGGTGTGGGCACTGGAATAGCTCTTGGTCTTCTAAGCTTGTGTGCACTGCTCTGAAGTGACTGTTCAGGGTTGACTGGTTCTTGAATACCTGACCACAGATAGAGCAGGTAGGTGGATGAACTTTTGCATCGTGTGCTTGCAATTCAGCGGCAGTAGAGAAGGACAACGGCTCCTTTGGTATAGGTACCGTCTCACCGTTAGCGGACTCAATCATATCACAATCAGTGCCAGGCGCAGGGCAGACCATGCAGAAGTGGCGAGGCTCCTCCTTTTCGCTGTGAGCGCTAGTTATGTGCCGCCGTAGCCCGTTCTCGGTCTGGTATCCATGCGTGCAAAGAGTCCCCGAGGGGTCAACGAAGGTGCACGGGTATGCCTTCGTCTCTAGATGTACTGTCTTGACATGGGCGTCAAGGGTCTTCTGCTTCCGGAAAGCTTCCTTGCAGGGCGGATAGCCTGTACAATAGAATTTGGAGTCGTGCACCTCCTTATGTCGCTGCAGCCGACCGTTCGAAGTGAAAGTCTTGCCGCAACCTTCCCAATGACATACATGGTTTCGTACGGGCACGGCGTGGAAGTGCGTCAAGTGTCTCTGTAGATGGTCCTTACGAGGGAAGTCTCGGTCGCAATCTTCGTATGGGCAGGCGAACGGGCGTTCCTTGGTGTGGGTGCGCATGTGGGATTCGAGACGGCAAGGCCGGTTGAAGCGTTGGCCGCAGCCTTCGAAGTCGCAGACGTAGTTCCATGATCTCTTCGCCTCACTGTCCGCTCGCTTCTTGCCATTATCTGTGAAGTTAACCTTTCGGTCTGTGGAAGCATCAAATTCCACGCTAGGGTCGGCTTCAGTGTCGGAAGCGTTGGAGTCGTTGCTCCCGGTTGCTGTTCAGCTTGTCAGAGGGCGACATGTACGGGTTGAGCGATGGAAATACCAGTGCGAGTCTTCTTGCTCGAAGGTGCATCCCTCGACTCTGCAGTTCTGCGTTTGGCTGCCATGGTTGAAGCCTGATCGATCGTCAAGTGGTGGGAGCCATCGGGAACAGTGAACAAGTCAAGCCGGCTGCAAAATTCAGTGGAGACGAAATCTTGGCATTTCTTGCTAGCGCGGCTCGGTCGCGGCTTCCTAGAATTTTAGGCCCGTGCTCCGCGAATCTTTGTTCGAGGCATTCAGAACCCACTGCACTCACACTTGTCCCTCCGCGCGCAGACCGACAACCCTCCATACCCGTTGTGAACCCTAGCTTCGCTCGAGCGCATACACATATACGTTTACGGCCATGTCTGACTACGGAGGCGATGACGGCTACGATGCGGGAGGCTACAACGAGTACGGTTCTCCCAACCTTGAGCATAGCGTTGCGTGCATGCGTAAAAGGAATAACAGCACTGACTGTTCTGCTTCTTTAGTGATGTAGTCGACGTATACGACGAGGAGGCAGAGCCAGATGTTTATGACGACGACGGCGCGGACGGCGAGGGCCAGCAGGAAGACCCAGAGACAGTCCATGACCAAGACAACATCGTCGAAAGCGGAGACCCCAGCGCGGCAGCGGCAGCCAAATCTTCACAAAAGAATACTGTGGCCGCGGAGAAGTCAAAGAAGGTGCCCAACGACCAACGCTCGACGACACCATATATGACCAAGTACGAGAAGGCGCGTATATTGGGAACACGCGCTTTGCAGATCAGGTACGTAGGCTGCTTAGAAAAGGAGAGCAGAATGGGACTGATACAATGAAGCGGCAACGCGCCAGTCCTCATCGATGTAGAGGGCATGACGGATCCTCTTGAGATTGCTCAAAAGGAGTTGCGCGAGAAGAAGATTCCCTTGGTCGTACGGCGGTATCTTCCCGATGGATTGTAAGCAACTGCGTTGAATGCGCGAGGACTGTACTGATGTGTAATAGCTACGAGGACTGGACATGTGAGGAACTCCTGACGTAGTGGAAGCATGGATGGTTGTACGCAGTGCCAACTCAAAGTCTCGAGTTATGTCGGACTCTGAAATGCGCATGTTGTTGCACCACACGTTATTCATGTACACACGCTTCTGTTGTGGGGGAATTGTAGGTGTGAGGATTGCATTTTGCACGGAGTTTCGGGGGAGGTAAAACGGAGCATGCTCGGCGAATCGGCGTAACAGCGATCATTAACACATACCCTCCGAATCAAGACCGAATTAACACACTTCGTTGACGCATAGCGGGCCTTGGAGCGGATCCGATTTGAGTGATGGATCACTTACCCCAATTTAGGCATGGTGGGGTTCGAGCGAGGGGAAAGATGCCCCGCGTCTAGTAACATTGGAGCTCCCAACGTCACAAAGCTGTCCCAAAACAAAACCAGACAGCGCCCCAAACTGCGCCTGCATCTTGTCATAATACTCCTATACCGCCATCACGCATCTCTTCCAGGCACTTCGCTCGGCCATCGCCATGTCTTTCGAAACCACAGCTACCATTGCCTCCTTTGGAGGCAAGCTTTTGAAGCTGAAGCACCAGTCTTCCAGCACAGGCACAGACATGGCACTAAATCTTTACCTTCCGCCACAAGCTCTGAAGTCAGGCGCAAAGGTTCCCGTTCTGTTCTACTTGTCAGGCCTGACCTGTACGGGTGACAATTGTTCCGAAAAGGGCTTCTTCCAGCACGGTGCCAGCCAGAAGGGCATTGCTGTTGTGTACCCAGACACCAGCCCACGTATGTTGAGCATGTGAACATCTGTTCTTCTCACTAATCTAATCGTTCACACAGGGGGCTTGAAGATCGAGGGCGAGGATGATGCGTACGATTTTGGTTCCGGTGCCGGTTTCTACGTCGATGCAACCAAGGAGCCGTGGAACAAGGGCTACAACATGTACTCCTACATCACGAAGGAGCTTCCCGAAGCTTTATTCACGCACTTCAAGGAGCTTGACGGCAGCCGAATCAGCATTACTGGGCATAGCATGGGTGGTCATGGTGCCCTAACAATTGTATGGCGATTGCGACGATGCAAGGTCAAGCTAACCGGAAGCAGTTCCTTAAGAACCCCGGACAGTACAAGTCAGTCTCCGCATTTGCACCCATTGCGAACCCTATCAATGCCCCTTGGGGACAGAAAGCATTCAAGGGCTACTTCGGCGAGGACCAGCAGCAGAAGTGGAAGGAGCACGACGCGACCGAGCTCGTGAAGCAGTGGAAGGGTCCATTGGACATCCTCATTGACGTGGTTCGTTAGCCCTTATTGTACATGTACTTCCAAAATGAGGTCCTAATTATACGAAGGGTACTGGCGACAACTTCTACAAGCAAAAGCAGCTTCTTCCTGAAAACTTCATCGAAGCGGCTAAGCAGGCGGGCAACGACAAGGGCATCAACCTGCGGTTGCAGCCCGACTACGATCACAGCTACTATTTCATGGCCACATTTGCAGACGATCACGTGGCATGGGCGGCGAAACACTTGGGAGTCTAGTAAGTCGGCTGTAGGCATGGCTTATCACGTACTAACCGCTACAGAAGCGATTCTGTATCGAAGGGAAAGCTTTGAACAGGCGACTAGTAGTCGTTGTCGGCCAGTGTTCATGTAAAACATCACAAACCTCTCCTGTTTCCCATGCAGTGGACACGGATTTGCAAATAGAATACCACTTTTACCGCTTCTCTAACAGACTCAAAACTTTTTGTCACCCAAAGCCACGCGATATAGACCTCGCATTTCACAGCGCTGCACCAGCCGCTGTAGTTTTCGAGTTACCCAGATAATAACAGAGACTGCAAGCAAAGGATGAGTGTCATGCACAAGCCTGACTTGACGTAAAAGCAAAAAGTGACCCACTTCAGATATGTAGTTCCTGGTATCGCCTTCTCTGTCAAAAAGTCTACCACCGTTTTGTCGAATCTTTAGGCGCAGTGTGCCAAAACTTAGAGGTTGTACATGAAAAAAAAAGAGACAAACACAGGTGCAGCAAGCGAAGCAACGGGCTTTTTCAATGTGAACCAAAGACCGTCCATAGCAAAACTGTGAGGTCCGCACGTTGCGTAAATTCGACTGGCACGTGCGCGAGATGATGGTTGGGTTCCACCTGCCTAACGGCACACAATTGATTCATTGAGCCGTCACCCAACCCAAACCACGTCACGCGAACAAAGACCACAGTTTTGTCTCTGCTTCCCGTGAGTGTTACAACACTGCTGCTACCTTCTAGATAACCTGAGTTACCTGCGACGCGATTATTTCACCCCACCAAGGCAGCCCTACTGCCCCGCGCTCCGCTTTCACCGCCCGTCGCAACATCTACAATGCAAACAGCGCTTTCGCCGATGGCCCGGTAGCTTCAAGAAAAAAATCACCTTACCACTGTCGCGGTTGCTTTGCTTGAGTAAACCCTGTGGCATCCGACCGGAAACTGAGATCGACTTGCATCTGAGGCGGTGGGGAAATGGAAGCCCAGGTAGGCAATGTGTGCCACTCGTGTTTGAACTTCTCTGACCGTATATTCTACTAGGTCGAAAATGCGATCCAAATCGCCTCTGACCCCACCTCAAGCCAGCAGCTGCGCGGGCAAGCGATAGAATACCTTAATCAGCTGCGCACCGAAGGCTCAGCATGGCAGGCAGGCCTTACGCTGTTCACACGCGATCCTCGTGCGTCCGAGATCATTCGCCATACCTCGCTCGACCTCGTAAACAACGCTATGCAGGAGCATCGTCTGGACGACCAGAGTTTGTCATACATCAAGGACACTCTCATGAATTATATTCGACAGACCTATGCATCTGGGAGCTCTTCGGCGGATGCGGGTCACCTACAAAACAAATTGATGCAGACAATCACCTACCTTTTCGTAGCTCTATACCCGTCTTCATGGCAATCATTCTTCGACGACTTTCGCGCGCTAGCTGGCGACCAGGCTACCATCGGCAGTGTCAACTACACATCGACATTGCTTTACCTGAGGCTGCTGGCCCAGGTGCATGACGAGATTGCAGACGTTCTAGTTGCAAGACAGGAAGACGAAAAGAAGCGGAACACAGAGCTGAAAGATCTCATTCGCCAACGTGACGCCCAAAAAATCTCATTATCATGGCAAGAAATACTGGCAAAATGGAGGGAGACAGACTTTGGTCTCATAGAGATGTGTTTGAGGACCATCGGACGTTGGGTCAGCTGGATCGATATTTCGCTTGTGGTCAACGAGAGCATGATCATGAATTTTCTGCAAATGGCAGGCCAACAGGGCATCTCCTCGCCGGAAACCCCTGAAGGAAGGGTTCGAGATGCCGCAATCGATACGTTCTCCGAGATTGTCAGCAAGAAGATGGGACCTGCGGACAAGATACAACTGATTGAATTCCTCAATCTTGGCTCAGTTGTAGGCCAGCTCATCAGTAGCCCCGCCCTTGCCGACCAGAGCACATCTGACTATGACAATGATCTCGCCGAGACCGTAGCAAAACTTGTTAATAATATCGTCTTCGACATCGTCAAAATTCTGGAGAAGGACAACAACGATGAACAGACTCGTCAGCGTGCCGACGCACTCATTCAGATGTTCACGCCTTACTTGTTAAGGTTTTTCGCTGATCAATATGACGAAGTCTGCTCAACAGTCATCCCTTCTCTGACAGATCTTCTCACCTTTTTCCGTAAGCTGCAGAAGAAGACTGGTTCCCTACCTTCTCAGTACGCGGCCATACTTCCTCCCGTGCTCGAGGCGATAATTGCAAAGATGAAGTACGACGAGGCGGTTTCCTGGGGCGAAGAGGGCGAACAGACGGATGAGGCCGAGTTCCAGGATCTTCGAAAGAGACTGCACGTCTTGCAACTAACAGTAGCAGCCATTGACGAGAACTTTTACATCGAGACTCTAAGCCGCGTCGTAAGCGATACCTTCAGTCGACTGTCCACGGGCGGCCATTCTGCATTGGATTGGCGCGACCTGGATCTGGCGCTATACGAGATGTTCCTGTTTGGAGAATTGGCCATGCGTAATTCAGGTCTATACGCTAAACGCGAGCCATCTTCTGTGGCTGCACAACGACTGGTGGGGATGATGAATAGCATGCTAGATGCTGGTGAGTTCTGTGTGGTTCAAGCAAAGAGTGCACTCTGACATGAACTAGACATTGCGAACTACCCTCACCCTTCCATACAACTGCAGTACATGGAAATCTGCGTTCGGTATTACCAGTTCTTCGAACAGAACTCCCATCAAATTCCTAAAGTGCTCGAAAATTTTGTTCGTCTCACGCACAACAATCACGTCAAAGTCCGCTCGAGATCTTGGTATCTGTTCCAGCGATTAGTTCGACATCTACGAGCACAGCTTGGCAACGTCTCTTACGACATTATTCAAGCTATTGGTGACCTTCTCACCATCAAAGCCGAGTTACCAGAAGATTCCGGGGATGACATGTCATCCGACGAGGAAGATCAATCCGCGGATGCTCTGTTCAATTCTCAATTATACCTGTTCGAAGCGGTCGGATGCATTGCTTCCTCAGGCACAGTCTCGACAGAGAATAAGAAGCTCTACGCGCAGACTATCATGAGTCCGCTTTTCGCCGACCTGGAGCAAACATTGCCACAAGCACAGAACGGTGATGAGCGCTCGATCTTGCAGATTCATCACATCATCATGGCTATTGGGACCCTTGCACGCGGATACTCCGATTGGGTCCCTTCCAGCAATAGCGAGCTTCCGCAGAGTGAAGTAGCAGATGAGTTTGCTAAAGCATCAGAAGCCATTCTCATTGCTCTGAAGTCCCTCAATTCATCAAGCACAATCCGCTACGCCGCTCGATTTGCATTCTCCCGCATGATCGCTGTACTCGGCTCGCGTATCCTCCAGGAAATTCCGTCCTGGATTGAGGGACTCTTATCGCTCAGTTCGTCTATGGATGAGATCTCCACGTTCATGAAAGTCTTAGGCCAAATTATCTATACTTTCAAAGGAGAGATTGCTGGTATACTTGATACGGTCCTCACGCCTCTCCTGCAACGCATCTTCACCGCGTTAGCAGTTACTCCATCCGGTACAGACGATGAAATCCAATTGGCAGAGCTTCGCCGAGAGTATCTCAACTTCATATCTGTGGTGCTAGGGAACGGTCTAGGGTCTGTATTTGTGAGCGATGTCAACCAGACAACCTTCGACACTATCATCACATCAATCGACACGTTTGCGAGAGATACATCCGATTATCCAACAGCCCGCCTAGCCCTCTCGGTGCTCATTCGCATGACCTCGGTATGGAGTGGGCCAGACAAAGTGGGACCTGGCGCCAATACGACTCCGACAAGTCCCGCCACAGCACCTATTCCCGGCTTCGAGAATTATGTTGTGGAGCGCTTCTCGCCATTGGTCTGGTCCATTCCCACATCTGCCGGTTTCAATCCCAAGGACGCACAGGCGAAACAGGTACTCTACGAGGTCGCTAACCTCCAGGCCGAGATCGTAAAGAAGGTTGGCGAGCCCTATGTCGAACGGCTGAGGACGGACCTTTCGGGCATGGGTGTGAGCGAGGATGTGGTCGATCGATACCTACGAACCCTCGCAGGCGCGTTCGAAGGCGTCGAGAAGTTCAAGGAATGGCGGATTTTCTTTGCGCAGTTCGTGGGCTCAGCGCAAGGCTAGAGTCGAGGGTTTCGATTCAAGATGGAGGGCATTTTCACTTGATCTGGCGCACTAGCGTTCATGGAGCGGCGGTACCTTTGCATTGTGGGCGTGCATGGGGGGATTGACCAGCATTGCATGGGGGGATATACCATTATAAAACTCGAATAGCTAACATCTTGATATGATTATGACTTGCATAGTACATCGGACAGGCATAGTTGTCGTTGCCGAAACGAAGATCGAGGGGCTCGACGGTGTAGATGTCTTCCCTACCTCTCCTGGGATGTGTACGGTGGCTATACGGTGTCGGGACATACCTTTAGAGGCTCACAGCTCGAAGCACCCTATGATGGGCTGTCTAAGATTCGACTCATGCACGCCTCGTTTCGCAAGCTTACAGCCGACCTCCAACTTGATTCAAGAGAAGGGTTGGGTTGATTGAGCCGGTCAAGATCAACAGTCATTGCTTCTAAAGAATACTGTGGTGAGTACACGACGAACAATGCACGTACAAGGAGCGCACTGGTCCTAGTCCGGCTGAACTTTGTCTTTCTGGGCGTCTCCAGTGGTTATCACGACCATTCTCCTGTGAGACAAACAGCCGAAAGCAGCACCCGGGGTGTTTCTCCCGCAGACGACGACGAAGCCAATCACACAGCAAGGGCAGCCGAGATTGGGACCGGGGTTCCAGCTGACCAGGCGAAGATCGCCCGCTGCGTCGCGCAATGCGCATCAATGCCGATGAATTGCGGAATGTGAATTTTGTGCGTGACGGCGGCGCCAGGCTGAAGAGAGCAGTGCGGAGCGTGATTGGCCGACATAGGACCGAGCAGGTCGCCACCGCGCCCCACGAGCGGGTTGGCCCTGGGTTGCATCGCCGAGGCGGGTCTTGTGCCTTGTCCATTGCTTGTCGAGGAGAAGGGAGGGTGAGGGTGTTGTGTGGGGTTTCGCGGACGCTGTATCCACGATCCACGTCAGCCATGCGCTGCGAGCGGTAGGCGGGCGAGCATGCTGCGAGACAGACTTGGACCTGCCTGTTCGGTGCGTAGGGTCGGCTTTAACCAGGTCGGAATACTCCAGACTTCACATCGGAGCATCGTGAGCGCAGCTGTGGTAGCGAGCGTGCGAGCCTCGTCGCTGGTGACGCGAGTCGGTTGCCGCTGGATCTGCGTGCTTGATCGGCGGCGAACGGTCACGACGTTTGGCTGGCAGTCTTCTAGCAGACTTCTAGAAATGTGGCCACATGGCGGGGAAGGCTGGCGGCAGCAGATCGCTTCGTGCCATGACGCGCCGGTCTGCCACTGCGCGCTGCATTTGCGGTGCCGGGCATAACAGCTGGCGACGTCGCGAGACGGCGGGTGCAGTCCCGCGCATGCAGCCAAGCGGGCGCGGGCGGCATCTTGGGCTCGACAGGAACTCGAAAGGCAGAGGGCTCCGAGGCTGCGATGCGCTGCGTGAAGGCGACCCACAGCGCTCGAGGCAGTGGCCAATGACGCGCGCGTGAGAGCTTCCAACAGTCCTTCTAGAAGCCGTGCTACTGTGTCGAGTCCGGCCGCCGCCAATGATGGCAGGCCAGTCCTCTCACAGTCGCTCTACCACCCTCGAGCCCTCGAGCCCTCGAGCCCCCGGCCTCACGTCTGCCCTGCCCGTCCACCGCGCGCCGCACCTCATCGCCTGCCCGCGCGCTTGGGTCCTGCCATGCCGGCCTCGTCCCAGTGCACCTTGGGGTAACACATCTGCGAGCGCGCGAGCCCCTGCGTCCTGCGACACTTCCCCTCTGCAGTCTTCCTCCTCCCTTGAGCGACCGGCCAGAGCATCCGCACCGCGAACACCCAGCGCCTGCCCTCCCGCGCCCGCCGCCCTGCCTAATCGGCCCTGCGACGCCCTGCACCTCCTCCCCACACCCACACCGGGCCGCCGCGTGCCTTCGCTCGAGCCTGCGCGCCGACCACCAACACGCCGGCTGCCACCTCCACCATTCCTCGCTGCCACTGCGCATCTCTGTGTGTGGCCCCAGCGCAACCTCCAGCGCAGCCGGGTCCTCCTGGGAACCTCGTCGTTTCAGGTTAGATCTGTCTTTCCCCACGCCGTCCGCGATTGGCGCTCAAAGCCTCGCATCTCCAGCTGTCTCTCGCTCGACGACCGTCTCAATTGATCCCGCCACCGTCCCCTCCTCCTCTGCGCCCTGCGCCCTCGCAGGCCCCGTCACGCCTCACTCAGCCGTCGCGACCACGAACCCCCATTTTGCGACCATCATAGACATCCTCCCGATCGAGCGGGAGGCTCCCCGAACCGCAGAGACCAGTCCTCGCCGTCGCTGCGCAAGGAGTGGAGAAGATGGAGCATGGCGCCTGCAATGTCGTATACATTGACCGTCGCGCCAACGACGAACACGTGCGACGGGAAACGCTGTCCAGCTCACTCGTTGCGCGGACCTCGACAGGCAACGTGCCCCAGGGCTACTTCCCCGGCTCTGCGAAAACACCCCCGCCCGAAGTCCACACCAATGTCGAGAGTATTCTCTCTACGTTCAATGAAGGTAGGCGCTGCGGATTCCTTTTGCTCCCGCAGCAACGCGCTGACAGACGGACAGTCCATGTGTGCGGTTCCGGCGGATCATGTCTTGCCAAGATAGCGCAGCTCCTCGAATCCAACAAAGACAATGTCCCTACAATCGTGCTCATAGACCTTCCCTATGACGAAGAGCAACGGCTTAAGCGGCTATCGCGCGAGCCGAGAACGCCATCGCCCACAGCCACACGTCTTATTCGAATAGATACGGGCGAGCCCGACGATATCTACGGAATGCATCTGCTCACCCACATATCCTCCGAAATTGCTTCGAAGAACTTCTCCAAGCTGGTCATTCCTGTGGTGATACTCAGCGGGCTGGATCGCGACTGGGCTTCGAATACGTTGCCCTCCCCCACAGTCCATGGATCGCAGGTACTCACTGATACTGTTCGTCTGGTCCGATACCTTGATGCCGGTGCCGTGGATGTGTTATCGAGTCCGCTATCGAAAGACGGCGTACACGGTCTTGTGATACACGCCTACCGGGTGCACAAAGAGGTTGCGCGAGAAGAGGCTAGTTTCCTGACGACCAAGAGGAACAGGAAGCTAAGCTGGGTTGGTGTTAATGATCAAAAACCGTATGCGTATCTGCGCGAGGCTATGGTTTCGAACTTGATGGGCGGCATTTGCAACCCGGAAACAATTGGCGAGTCTCTGGAATCAAGGTATGACTTCCTGTCCGCGAAATTAAGGTAGGATACTGATCATTTAAGGGACATCTTCGTTGACGAGGAGCGAAAAGAAGTCATCGCAAAAGCGGTCGGCACCTGGGCGTTTTCTGCGCATGACTTCACCGATGATGAGCTCCTATTTGGTGCTTTGCTCATGCTAAAACACGCACTAAAAATGCCTGAAGTAGAAGAATGGGGCATGACTGATGGTGTGTGCACCAAATCATTGACTGATCTTCCACTAATCATTTCGTGCGTCAGATGAACTTACAATATTCTTGCTTGCCAGTCGCACAGCGTACAACGAATTCGTCCTCTATCACAATTTCCGCCATGTCGTCGACGTCCTTCAGGCTCTATTTCACTTTCTTGTACAAATAGGCACACTACCTTGGTATCCGGTTGACAAACCGCGAGCCCAGGCTGCGCCGGATTCGCCGATCGCGCAGCTGCTCAAGCCGTTCGACGCACTCACACTTTTAGTGTCTGCCATCGGACACGATGTTGGGCACCCCGGCGTCAATAACGCTTTCTTGGTCGCACTCAATGCTCCCTTGGCGCAGCTCTACAACGACCGTTCCGTTCTCGAATCATTCCACTGTGCTGCATATTCGCAGCTCTTGCGCCGCTACTGGCCCAGAGCCTTCTCTGATGCCGCTATGAGGAAATTAATGATCAATAGTATTCTTGCCACAGACATGGGATTGCACTTTAAGTACATGAGTGATCTGGGTCACCTACAAGAGAAACTCGGACACGATAAAGGCATGATCGACGGTTGGAACGTCAAACTTCGCGAAGAAAACAAGGATCTGGCCTGTGGTGTATTGATCAAATGCGCCGATATCAGTAACGTGGTAAGTGCGTCTCTGCGACTACTGACATTTCGTTGACACTTTTCAGGCGCGCAAATTCCAAACAGCCGCTCGGTGGGCAAACATCCTCACCGACGAATTCAGTAATCAAGGCGTCATGGAAGAAGAGCTCGAGATACCATCTTGCTTGTTTGGTGGACCGCCGGTACGCGACGACATAATCAAGCTTGGGGAATCGCAAATCGGATTTATGAACATCTTCGCAAGACCTCTTTTTGAGGCTGTTGCAGATATTTTGCCTGCAATGCGCTACGCTGTCGACGAGATCCTGGAGAACAAGGCCATTTGGGAGAAGAAGATAAGTGATGAGAAAAACAAGGCGAAAAAGCCAGTCTTCTCATTGGGGCTCCTCAGTCCTTCTTTCACTGCCGATCCAACGCCAAGTCCTTTCTCGGGCGGTCCTCTAGGCTCGAAACCACCTCCCCCAACTACGCTGCCGACGTCCCAGCTTGGTCACACGGTACAGAGCTCGACGTGGGTAGTTGACTCAGATGAAGGAGGTCGTCGTGGTTCCGGTGGTTCTTTTCACGGCGTATTGACCAGCTCGCGACAGTCATCTGGTGTCGACAAGGGCTCACAACGTTCTTCTGGTGCTGGCCTTGCTGGTGTTCGTTCCCGGGAGAACCAAAGTCAATCGCGGCGAGGGAGCGGTGATGCGAGCTTGACAGCCATCCTAGTAACCCAGAAATCGGGCGCAGGAGATACACCTGACAACGAAGATGACCAGCATCCTTCCCGTACGTCGCCCTCTCCATCGGGACACCGCAAGGATACAATGTCGCCAAAGAAAGAAAAGGATACACGGCCAGTCACGGCGCCCTCATCGGCAAGACGCAATCAGGGTAAGATTCCAAGCCCACAAGACACCCTATTCTACCTTTCTTCCCGGCCTTTAGGCACTGGTCCTGACTTTGACTCAGCAACAAACATGTTTCCCGTTCCGCACTCTTCATCGCAAAGTCACTCTGAGGTAGATCTCTCCGCTACCGCAAACGGAAATTACGATGGCTCAAAGATGCAGACATGGGAGTCCAACAAGCTCAGCAACGACAGCACTATGTCCAGATCTGACGCTTCACGTGACATACACCGACGAAGCGAATGGTGGCGACCCGCCCGAAAACAGCGCGACCATCGAAATGGTGGCCTTGAAACGCCAAACCAGCAGCAAAACGCGATGCTGGACCCTACCGCCACAAACACAACATTGGATCCGAATTGCCCTATAGCGACTAGTCCAGGTCGGACGAGTCGGACCGGAAAGCTGAAGAGCTTCTTCAGGCGCAAGTCCGGGAGAGCGGCCGATTCAGAGAAACAGCTTTCGAGTCATGGAAGCTCCTCTCAATTACCGACCAGTGATCCTGGACGATCAGTCAACAGCGATGAATGACACAATCGGGGGACTCATGACTTCTACAGCCCTCATTATCGACATTCGATCGACACTTCACTTTAGCGATATCCCCGTACGTCTTTCGGACGCGAAGCTAGCAAAAGCAACCTTTCCATCTTTGCGATGGCTTACTTGTTCTGCAAAAGACTTTTCTTACATCAAATTCCTTTGCTTTGGACTTGCGCACGATGTTACGGAAGCAACGAAACGCTCCCACTCATGTACTTCTTACCGGTCAGATTCATCGACCGCGGCCTTCGGGCGGGTTTTCCGGCGAAATGTTCTCCACTGCTTCATTGTTCGCCTCTCGTTCGATATACCTCGCATCTTCTTCTTGAAGCATCGTTCAGGATTTCATTGCGTGCGGTCGCTCCGTTCTCATTATATTGCCTGCGCCATGGGAGCAAGGGGGGCAAGGTGTACTTTGTGCTTGAACGCACGGGTTTTGTTACGATGGATGATGCATTGAAATCCTCGGGCGGCGGCAGTCTTTATACAAGCGTGTTGACTCTTATGGTGTCCAGCACCGAGGGGTACGAGAGATGAAAAAGGACCGCCATTCTACTTGCGAGCTTGCTCGGTTCTGCTACGGTACGAAAAAATGCCACGAGGAGTGACGACTCCTTTGTTTCTAGCATGACCATAGGGGAGCTTGCGAAAAGAATCGCTAGTTGTGGTGAGGGCTTGATCGATAAGATGATGGTGGTGATTAAGAGCAGCGTTGGAGCTGCGTTGCTACGACTGACACTATGTAATGAATGTATTTCCAAACACTCTACCTCAGGGTTCTATCTACTCCAAGTCTCAGGAACTTGGCTCTTGCATATATGTGAACGCCAAGTCATACGCCATAAAATCACATATCAAGTGACCTATACTATTCAGGGTCACCTTAGGATGTATCTTCGATTGCTCGACTGATAGGAGCTTGGTCAGGTAGGAAATTCCTCCTGGCCAGTTTTATTATTGATGCGAGAGCTGGGGAGGGTCAAGACGATTACGAGTCTATGCCCGAACTAGGTTATGGCCCCGCCTCATTAACCGCCCCGGCTCTACGGAGTCGACGCGCTGATACCATGTAAATCCTCATCTCGTGATCCGCTCACTTCACCCGTATACGATGCAGCACGTTATGCCGCCCCTGTGGACCGCACACCCTAGCGAAGTATTGCTGCCCGCCGAGGTAAAGAGTCGTACTGCGAGTACTGCAGACTCGGGGACCTTGATGAGAAACTTGCAAATGTCGCCTGCACAGCACTGTAGTCTCCGGCTCCTCGATGGAAGAAGGTCAAGCTATAGTAGGCCTGATCCTAGCGTCTACCTAGGATTAGGGCGAGCGGTGGGTTATGAGCTTTGCTCGCGTGCACGAAAAGGTTAGGTTGGGTGCCGTGCTGCGCGCAGGAGCTGCATGGGGAAACATCCCGGCCCCTAGTCTAGGCCCGTATTACTGCGTACGTTATAGGCATGCTGGCACTCGGCTCTTTTCGGCAGGATTGTGTGATAGTGTGCGCGATTGTCAGATGCCAATGTGTACGCTGGGCTCTCCGAGGCTCATGCGAGGTGGAGAGCGAGCGCAGAGGAGCCGAGCAAGAGGGATCGTGCGAGCAGTGCGAGCCTGCGATGGCCGAATATTAGGATTGGCAGGCAATAGAGAGTGGGGAAGGTAGGGAGATATATAGAGGGGGGATCGGGCGTTTTGTTGAGGTGCGCGTTGGCTTTTTTCCGCTTTGCTGTAGGGTCCTGATATTCGTGGTTGGTCTTTGTGTATGATGCGTGATATGCGTCGAGTAATTGCTTGTGCTGCGGTCGCGTTGGGGGCGACCGGTGCGATTGCAGATACGTGCTCGAGCGTTGCGGCTTCGACATCGATTAAGCTCCTGAAGCAGCTTGACATTGGGTATGCTAGTATGTATTCCCTCTTCCTTCCTCGATTCCTAGCAGAGTACTCGTTGAGTTGCCCCAGATGGGCAATACTAGCACCGATTGTGCTTGGATCCTATCCTACCTTCTCCATCATGTCCACAATGTTGAATATTCCTGACCACATACCCCAGCTGAACAAGCGAACTACTGGAGCACTCAATGCGGAGCGCTTAAGCCGTCTTGTCAATTGTACCCAACGACTGCAGAAGAGGTCGCTGCCATCGTACGCATCCTTGACGCCAACAACGAAACCTTCGCCGTGAAAAGTGGAGGACACAACCCCAACCAAGGCTTCGCGAGTATCGATGGTGGGCCGTTAATATCTACACGCGAACTCAATGAAGTCATATACGACGCTGGGGAGGGCGTTGTCCGAGTCGGACCCGGAAATGACTGGGAAGACGTTATCGGAGCATTAGACGGTACGGGCGTTACGGTTGTCGGAGGGCGGATTGGCGACGTGGGTGTTGGTGGGTAAGTTTTGTGTTTAAGAGCAGTCAATTTTAGACGAAGTTGCTGACTTTCAGTAGCCTCGTTCTTGGTGGTGGATTAAGCTTCTTGTCGACGCAGTATGGCTGGGTCGCAAACAACGTTGTCGAGTATGAGGTTGTGTTGGCGAACGCGTCGATTGTGACGGCATCGGAGAGTCACAACGCGGATTTGTGGAAGGCTTTGAAGGGTGGAATTAACAATTACGGAATTGTGACGGCCTATACCTTCAAGGCCCATCCACAAGACCCTCAAGTAAGTGCTGGCACGCTGGATGCCCTGATGGATTTACTGACTGCTGGTAGATTTGGGGCGGTAACATCGTCTACACTGCAGACAAGTCTGATGAGATACTGGCTGCGCTCCGAGACTTTACCCAGTACTACCCGGATGATAAGGCGGGTATCATCATGACGGCCGAACTTACACAGTTGGGAGCGATCGATATATGGCTGATGTTCCTCTTCTATGATGGACCAAGTCCGCCCGCGGGTGTTTTCGACAACTTCACGCGCATAGCACATGTGTCGGACAACACAAAAACTCGGAGCTACTCAGAGCTACTCACCTTCAACAACTTTGGAGTGATAAAAACAGAGATCTACACAATCGCGACGGAGATGATTCCACTCCCAAGCGTTGAAGTGGGCGCCGACTTCCTGGGGGCCATCTATGATAACTGGAGAAACACGACCGAGTCTGTGATTGACGCAGCGGGGGTAATCGGAAGCATCGCCTTCCAGCCAATCCCAAAGAGGCTTGCTCGCAAAGCGAAGGAGGCCGGTGGAGACATGCTCGACCTGGACGACGACATCGACCGCATCATCCTCGAATTCGATCTGTCTTGGTTGTCCACGCTTGACAGCGAGAGGATGGATGTGGCTACGCAGCAGTTCTACTCGGGTTCCAGGAACTTGGTTGAACAGTATCAGGCAAGCGGGAAGCTGCCTGCAGAAGCGTACCTGCCGCTCTTTGCGAACGATGCCTATTATCGGCAAGATTATTTTGGAAGGCTAAGGACTGCGGATTTTGCGCGAACAGTCCGCGACGCGTATGATCCGTCTGGGTTCTTTGCCAGCCGAACGGGTGGTTGGAAGCCATGAGCCCATCTGCGGCATCATTGGCCAGGCGAGCGAACTCGTGCAGGTCCGTAGTGATAACCATAATTATGTCTCAGCATGCATCTTTTATCGATTGTGAGGGCTCGGATGCCGATAGCGAGGCTTGAGGGAGGCTATGTCGACGTCCGCTTTGGCGGGGTTGCGTGAACGGCTGTGTGAGATGACAGCAACACCCAACCAGAACCCGCAGTGGACCTGCATCGTGTCGTACCTGGAAACGGTCGCTGGTCCGGATAGGCCCGCGTGGAGACACATCCGGGAGCTTAGAATAGCGCTGCCGCGTGCGAAGCAGTCGACCTCTGTGTTTATTCCTGCCAGCGGGGCGGCTTGGCCTACACCACCAGGCAACTGGCCAGGTACGCTGGAGGCACAACAACGTCGACGGTGCATACTGCGGAGCAAGAGTACCTTGCGTGCCTCCAGCGTCGTCGCGATCTGCCCACCAAGCGCTACATATTGCCCTGTGATTCGAAGCACGTGCGGCGCGACCGCAACGTCGACCGCGCCGTCTCCACGACCGTCGATCTGTTTCGAAACAGCCGCTCCACTGTTGCGCTGCGCTTAGCAAGGCAGCAAGGCGACAAGGCGACGAGGCTCCGCGCCGTCCGCTCTTTGACGCTGTCACTGACGGTCGCGCGCACCGTTAGCATGCGCTTCTGCTCCGCTTCAGAGCCCCTGCCCTCCGGCTCCTGTACAATCCTCACCATCTCACCATCTCACCATCTGCATGCCCTTCCAGAACGGCTGGCTTACCACGGACGCCAGCGACTCGCTGCAGGTCCGCGCTGCAGTGCTCAGCCCTACCGCATAGGGGACCGTCCCCTGTTCGTGGCCACCAGGCCCGTCTTGTAGCGACCCTATCAGTGTGAGGTGCGACTAAGCGCCCACCACCTTCACGGCTGCACCCACTGCGCAAAATTAGAACAGGTGCGCCCAGCCGCACAAGAAAATATCCTCAAACAGGCGCTTCTTGCTCCCCCGGGTCGCTCCCTTGTTCCGCATACGGAACGGCTCAGACGCCCGGTCGACCAGTTTATGGGCCTCTCCACGTCTTTTGGGAGAAGCGCCGATGCCATGACCGCAGTTTCACCATCATCTGGCGATTACTCTAACAGATCCCTGTGTCAGATAATTCTCCGGGCGGCCTGTGTGGCCTTTGTTTAGATGCACAGAAACCGCTGCGGCTCTGATATAAAGTCAAGCCGCCGTGCCTTAGCTTGGGGGCTCTCCAGATACCCAACCCCAACACACACGAGCTCTTATTCCTTCGTTTCCTTGCTGTCTCGACTGTCTCCTACCTTTCGTTCCAGCATCACTTTCGTTCCTCTATCCTAATCCTAATACTCATCTCCTCTCGCTTCAGCCTCTCAGTCATACCTCCCCCGTTCGCTGTCTCCTCCATCCATAGCTATTCCTCTCTCCTTTTTGTCTTTCTCCATGATTGCAAATATGCCAAAGACCGAAAGAGTCTCGTCGGTTAACCGCATTTCCGTCTCCACTGCATCTGCTGCGGGAGGCGGAGTGCGGAGTTCCTCGTGGTCTCAGTCCGATGATGAGACCTTGATCAAGGCACGCGCTCAAGGATTGAATTGGAACCAAATCTCTCCCAAACATTTCCCTTCAAAGTCTGCGAATGCTTGCCGCAAGAGGCACGAGCGCTTGATGGAGAAACAGAATGCTGAGCAGTGGGATGGAGTCAGACTTGATGTCCTGGCCGAGGCATACATGGAGGTTCGAAGCGAAATGTGGCGTATTCTGGGTGCCAAAGTAAACGAAAAATGGCAGCTTGTCGAACAAAAGGTATGTTCAAAGCATGCCTCAAACTCTCCATCAATTGAACCCCTCGATTTTCTCTTTGCAGTACAACGTTCGGTGAGCTAACTTGCTGCGCAGTGCATGGAGAAAGGATTGAAGAACCTCACGCAAGCGTACCGCCAGGCGCAGAGGAAGCAGGGTACATTCGACATCAACGAAGACAGTGGAGTTGGCATTTCTGACCTGGACGAAGACGCTCACGAGAACCCTTCGCCAGTACTAACAGACACTTCCAACCAATTGCCTCTGGCGTACCAGCAGCCCACAAGCTTCCACCACCAGCAAACGCGTGTGCCTTCCATCCACTCGATTTTGCAGCACCCCCAGCTCCCGCAGTCCATGTTGCAGCAGCAGACCATCGGTCAGCATTCAATGGGTTACCCCACCTCGTACCCACCGCAGCATTAACCGCCATCTCACGTCCTCGGACACATCTCTTTCATCGTTGTTTTCCTAGCTTCGGCTTGTTTTCTCTTCTCGCTTCTTGCTTCCTTCTTGCTTTCTTCCTGTCGATCTTCACGACCTCACGATCCCTCCTCGATATACCTTGTACCATTATCACCACGCTCCTTGAAGGGACGAACCCAGCATGATGGCAAACTCGGATCCATCCTCACCAAGTACACGTATACCTAGACTGGGCTAGGTTTGTTCTTCTTTAATCATCTCTTATCTTTTCAATCTTTTCATCTCTATTTCTTGTATCTCTTTACTTGTAATCAGGCATGGACTCTCACGGACATTCGCTGTTTGCCACATCACGAAGGAACGCACGCATATCATCATACAGGGGCATGGCATATTCGGCGTCTCACTTCGCATTACTATCGTTAAAAGAGATATCACTTTCGAAAGGGAGAAGGACGGGGCGCAGGAGCGCATTTTAGATTTTTGTATCTACCATTTCCTAGCTTTCCTTACTTTCGACTATCTCTTTGGTTCGAATTTCTATATCTCATTATTTTCTTACTACAGGCATCATCTGCATTGGAGAGGAATAAGCGTGCTATTGCGTCATTACTGATTTCGACATTGCAGGATAGGGCTCGTTGGCAAGGCCTGTTGGCTAGGAGATACCCACATCGAGAGGACGATGGAAGACTAATGGAGAGGCGTTTAGTAGGCTTTGTGGAGTTCGTTGCTCATGGGATAGATTTCGCTCTATCTAGTTCATAAAACGAATCAGATTTGCGTATGGTCCTTTCTACACCAGCCTTCTCAAGCCCCAAGTTGCGTTGGGTCCAGTTGTTGCACACACACACGCGTATACGCAGTCTTATCAAAATACGACAATACAGACTTCCATACCAAATCATTCCCCAACAAAGAGCTATCGGATGAGAATCTTCTGGCCTGTATGCCTATGTGATATGCAGCCTAGCGTAACTCAGCTTACCTTACGCCCTGCGAATTTTGTCCAAGCATTGTACCTATAAGGCCCCCCTGTGACTACCGTGGTACCTGCAGACCTGACGCCCACAGTTCGCAGACCATACCCGACATCCTCACCGGTCAGTACATTCCGTCGTCCACCTCTAGTCAGACCTACTACGCAAGCTTCACTCAAGTCATACGACACGAGGCTTCGCTCTCCTTCTCCACTAGCAGAGCCTCCTTCGACTAGTCAGACCCCATTCATCACCAATCCTCCGGTCCTGAAGCATCACAATTCAATAACTTCATGCATACACAAGTCCACCATCCCACTTTCATACCAACCGTGCCGCAAAAGCCGCAGCGTGCACCCCGCGCTAAAAATAGTGTCTCACCGGTGGACAACGCACCCCACGATCGCGGGTCATTGCGGCAACGTGGGCTCAAGATCTCGGCTACCACCAGTACGGCTTAGCTCGCCAGCTGCACCAGGCCACTTTGCGCGTCGATGACCTAACCATTGGACTTTTTGTCAGTGTGCTCCGCCACTGTCGCCGTTCTGCCGGCTCTGACCTGCTCTTGACCATGGAAGGAGCACACGAGCAATGCCCCCCGTTCGTGCCCCTCTCTTGCGCATCCCGTATACCTCCCCTCTGCCGGCACCTCGCATAATCCCCGCCAGCGCAGGCACAGCCTCGGGCGCTATTGCTGCCCTCGCGGAATTCCTGGGCCGTTCTGAGCGTGCAGAGTCGCGACGAGAGAAGGATGGGAAGACACTGCTGCTCACTGGTGCGGGCATATCGGTCGCATCCGGCCTGGCCGACTACAGAGGGACGAAGGGAACGTATACGCTGAACAAGACGTATCGACCCATCTACTACAATGAGTTCTGCGAGAACCATGAGATGCGCAAGAGATACTGGGCGCGGAGCTTTCTGGGATGGACAAACATGTTGAAGGCGAGGCCGAATGCGGGACACGAGGCTGTTGCAAGGCTCGGAGAGCTGGGCATTGTGTCGAGTTTGATCACCCAGAATGTCGACAGCTTCCACCCAAAAGCGCACCCTTCGTTACCCACAATCGAACTCCACGGCTACCTTCGCACCCTGACCTGCCTCACCTGCAAAAGCTCGTACTCTCGCAACGACTTCCAAACCGATCTTGCGCGCCTGAACCCCGCCTGGTCTACCTTCCTTCAAGAGATGCTTGCCACCGGCGCCCTCGACACCGAGAACCCAGACGAGCGGCGAAAGCGAGGCTTGAAGTCCAATCCTGACGGCGACGTCGATATACCTGGCGCACCGTACACAACATTCAGATACCCCGCGTGTCCTACCTGTCTCGAGAAAGGAGTGCAAGGTGTGGGCGTGGACAATGACGGTGGATGGAAAGAAGGAAGCACGGGAGGCATTTTGAAGCCTAGTGTGGTCATGTTCGGCGAGAGCATACCGCTGGAGAGGAAGAATGCCGCGGAGCAGGCAGTCAATGCTGCGGAGAGGATACTGGTGATTGGAAGTAGTTTGGCTACGTACTCCGCCTGGCGGCTTGTCAAGCATGCAAAAGAACTCGGTCTGCCGATCGGGATATTGAATATCGGAGGAGTACGTGGTGAGGACACATTCTTTGGAGATGTGCCCGAGACGAATACTGGAAAGCAGGCGGTCAGGTGTAGTGAAAGTGCGGATGTGGTGCTACCAGGGGTTGTCAAGATACTAGAAAACAGTGGGAGGTAGCGCGCGCTCTATGGTTGTGCGAATGTGTACTATACATCTTGGAATACACAAGATTGCTAAAGCTGTTTAAATGCAAAGAAGACGTCGTGGTGGGATTCGGTCATAAATCCATATCTAGACATCAATTTTCTTATCCTATCTCGGGTAGGCTCAATGCTGCTTTGCTGTGTCTTCTGTAGCATCAACGTGAAATCTACTTCCTGCGTCTATTGGTCTTGTAGAGGGCATGTTAGAAAACGTTGAACTGTTCTATGTTCTACGCTAACCGCAACTGGTTTCGCACCGCTTCTGCATGGATGCTCGCGTGGAAAGGGGGTTCACGTGCATTGAAATGAGGATTTTACAATCCCCCGGTCCCCGTTTGCCAGGCAAAAAGCGGCTCGGTTGAACCGATCGGATCTCGAGCAGGTCCGTGACCGAACAGGTATCTTGACCTCATCGCTTGGATCAGTTATCTCGGTAACAGCAGATACGTCAGTCCAAGGCAGAATGCAGCATAGCTTCCACGCTATTGCTCAAAGCCTCCTATCGAGTCGTTATTTTGCCTGATGCGCCCTACAGCCGACCAGGCTTTCGACCATCTTCAAGGCGACAGGCTCTTAGCGTCTGTATACCACGCCTCCTTGTTGACCGGAGCGTGGACATATGTATCCCAAACTCCATAGATCAGAACCGACCGGAGTCACTCTGAACATCAACGGGCTTGCGTGGCAGCTCGCGTGCAACCTGTGATCGCCAGGGACAGCATCGAGAACCGAGCGAACGGATCTTCATCGATTTTTGGCATCCTTGCGACGCACACCACGGACCCCTGACGTCCATGTGACCCCCCGCATGAACAGCATGTCGATAAACCAACAAAATCGTTACTTGATCCGAGGTCTGTTGCTCGAAGCAAGGCGTTGCCCCTGCCCCGCATTAACCGGCCCGTTCCCCCTGTGTCATTGTGCGCGGTGACAACCAATGTACAACACGATTTGAACCGAATTACGCGTTATGAGCGTGCTTGCATACACTCGCTCTCTCGTAGTCGCGGGGTATCGCGAAATATGGCAGTCGCGGTTCAAAGTCCTGAAGCAGCTTCTAGAAGGGCTTCTCAGACCGCGACTACCCACAATATGGTTTCCCCAGGGGTTTCTTGAGATGCTCTTGCTTCGGCTCAGCGCCCAGCATCTCGCGTCTATCCTAATAACTCAAGCTAAATCATGTTAGCGTACGCAGACTCGTCCCCAAAGGCGTATACTCCGTTCTTAGTACTACCATGGGTATCCGTATAAGTATTACAATTTCTCCGTCCACTATTTACGGCCTGTGATACGGATACTCGCTTCCTCTGTGTACGCCGTTCCCTTAGCCGAGGCCCTACTCTTACACGATGGTTCTAGCTGTCCTACTGTCCTTGTCGTCACTGGCGGTGGGTGCGGCCATCGACAAGCGTGCTGTCCCAGCTGGCTATGTCGCTGCTCCGTCGTATCCTGCGCCGCATGGTGGATGGGTACCGGAATGGAGCGACAGTTTTCAAAAGGCAGCGAAAGTTGTGGCAGGCATGACTTTAGCTGAGAAAACCAATATCACAGCTGGCACCGGCATCTTCATGGGACGATGCGTCGGCAACACGGGCAGTGCTTTAAGAGCTGGGATCCCTCAACTTTGTCTTCAGGACGGTCCGCTGGGCGTCCGGAACACCGACCACAACACGGCTTTTCCAGCAGGTATCACGATCGGCGCCACCTTCGACAAAGACCTCATGCGTCGGCGTGGCGAGGCCATTGGCGAAGAATTTCGAGGAAAGGGTGTCAATGTCTACCTGGGACCATCCGTGGGACCGCTTGGTAGGAAGCCAAGAGGAGGGAGAAATTGGGAGGGTTTCGGAGCAGATCCTGTGCTTCAAGCGTACGGCGCTGCCCTGACTGTAGAGGGAGTTCAGAGCACGGGCGTCATCGCGACAATCAAGCACTGGATCGGAAACGAGCAGGAGAAGTACAGGATGTACAGTCTCATCCAGGAGGGCATCTCATCGAATATTGACGACAGAACTCTGCATGAGCTTTACGCGTGGCCGTTCGCTGAAGGTGTCCGAGCTGGCGTTGGCTCAGCCATGATTGCTTACAATGCGGTGAGTGATAACTCATTTCATTTCATTATCAATTTCGAGAATCACACATAGAGTGCGGACTTCCCATGCAGCGAGAAAGAGCACCTAAACCTCGGGCTCGGGGCTGCACCATTGGATCCCCTTCGATACCTACATTTCCACATCCATAAATGGAACTCAACCAAAATTAGCTGACAGACTTCTAGGTCAATGGATCCGCGTGCTCGCAGAATAGCTACCTCATCAACAACATTCTTAAAGATGAGCTTGGTTTCCAAGGTTTCGTAATGTCAGACTGGTTAGCCCAGATCTCTGGGGTACCATCAGCTCTCGCTGGACTGGATATGTCCATGCCTGGCGATATCCATACCGTGCCTCTTGCCACCGCCCAGTCTTACTGGATGTATGAATACTCGAGAGCCATCTTGAACGGCTCCGTGCCCGTGGACCGGCTGGACGACTCTGTTACTCGTATCCTTGCCGCCTGGTATCAGATGAGACAGGACAAGAACTACCCCGAGCCTAACTTCTCCACGAATACGCAGGATGCTGAAGGAGACCTCTACCCTGGAGCTGCCCCGGGCTCACCTAAAGGTGTTGTCAACGAGTTTGTTGACGTCCAAGCAGATCATGCGGTAGTGGCAAAGGAAGTAGCTCGGGATGCTATCACGTTGCTCAAGAACGTCAACAGCACCTTACCGTTGTCCCTTGGAGCAACTCTTAAAATCTTTGGGACAGATGCGGAGAAAAACCCTGATGGCATAAACGCCTGTACGGATCAAGGATGCAACAAGGGCACTCTTGGCATGGGTTGGGGAAGTGGATCCGCTCGCTATCCGTACATCGACTCGCCCATTGATGGCTTCAAATCGCGTGGCGCAAACTACTCCTTTTACAACAGCGACTCTTTCCCGTCGAACTCGAATCCTTCAACGAGCGATGTTGCGGTCGTGTTTGTAACCGCGGACTCTGGAGAGAACTACATCACAGTTGAGGGCAACAACGGAGATCGAGATAGTTCAAAGCTCAACTTGTGGCATAACGGCGATAACTTGGTTAAGGATGTTGCTGCTAAATACTCTAACGTCGTGGTCATTGTGCACACTGTGGGCCCCATACTCTTGGAACAATGGCATGATCTGCCTTCCGTCAAGGCCGTTCTGTTCGCACATTTGCCGGGTCAAGAAGCTGGCGACAGCTTGATGCAAGTCCTCTACGGCGATGTCTCGCCGTCAGGCCATCTCCCGTACACCGTCCCAAAATCGGAGGACGACTACCCCAAGAGCGTATCGCTGGTATGTGTGACACCCAAAAGTACCCAAATTGACGCTAATCAATCTCTCGATTACAGGTCAGCGATGTGGTATTGGTTCAGCCTCAAGACACATTCACAGAGGGTCTTTACGTTGATTATCGACATTTCAACAAAGAAGGCATAACTCCACGTTATGCCTTCGGACATGGTCTCAGCTACACAACATTCTCCTTTTCTAGCGCAACCATCACGCCAGTGACCACATTGACCTCTACACCTCCAACGCGTCCCGCGAAAGGCAGTACCCCAACATACTCGACCGAGATCCCGGCAGCGTCAGAGGCATATTGGCCAGACAACTTTAATGCCATATTTCGCTACAAATACTCGTTTCTGGCTAAGTCAGATGCCGACGCAGCCGCTAAAATTGGAAACTCCACCCAGAAGTATCCTTATCCGGCCGGCTACTCGAACGTACAGACGGCCGGAGTCGCAGCTGGTGGCGCACAAGGCGGTAACCCAGCTCTTTTCGATGTCGCGTACGATATTTCAGTCGTTGTTAAGAACACCGGAAAAACGAAGGGAAAAGCAGTCGCACAGCTCTACGTACAATTCCCGGCTGGCATCTCTTTCGACACCCCGATTATTCAGCTACGAGACTTTGAGAAGACAAAAGAGCTGGCTGCGGGTGAGAGTCAGACTGTGAAGCTGCGCGTCACGCGTAAAGACCTCAGTGTATGGGACGTGGTGAGCCAGAACTGGGTCGTTCCGAACGTGAGTGGGGATTATGGCATTTGGATTGGAGACGCGAGCGACACGTTGACGTTGAGGTGTGGGACTAAGGCGGCCACGTGCGTAGGAGGTCAGACGAGCCCAGTCTAGCGGCCTGAGTATACGCTGGTCATGATTCCTACTTAGTCTTGACTCTATATGTGTTAATCTTTGGTTGTTTATTTATTTATCTGTTTAAAAGATTTTAGCAAGTATACAACTTTCACATTTGTGTGTGCAGGTTGCCATGTTGTGCTCGCACGAACAATGTCACCAGTTTAACTTTTACCGCTGTGTATGATGGTTTTACCAAGATATAACTCAGTTTAGGTTGTAAGTGCACATTCGCGTTTGATCATGAGACGGTAGTTGGTGGGAGGTGATCGAGCCTCATGATGGACTTTGTCAAGCGGAATGCACCAACACGCACATTGGGTTAGAAGATAACCGAGAGAACTTCACTTGGCGCTGCACCTAAGCCTCAAGTCTTGGAAGCATTCGAGCGGACATCGTAATCGTTGATAAGCGGGCATGATTTCCGATGAAACGCTGATCCGTATCGCGCGGATGTATTCTCGAGATACCAGTAGCGAAAGGGAGCAATTCATGTACTTCAGTACGATTGAATAAAGGAAACAGTGGCTTTGGTGTGCTCTTGGATCATTTGCGGTTGCCGACTGACTTAAATCGGCATGGGGTTGTATATTTGTGCGTGCATTACTATCACGAACGGGCAGGTGTTGATCTACAAGCTACATGCGCGGGTATCTACGTTAGACCCAGATAGGCTTGTGAAGAACCAAGCTCAGTCACGTGCTCCTCTGCTCAAATGACTGCCGGCGGTTACGGAGTCACCAAGACTTTGCGTTCTCGGACATCGAGTCTTCGCACCTTACGCCTTCCAAGACGACTGTTGAAATTAGATGCTCCACAAACAAGGCTTGGTTCAATGAACTAAAAGTCCACGAACCCATCCATACCATCTCCTGTTGGGGAAGTGGCTAATGAAGCCTTTCGCCACAACCGCATGGACGGCACATGCATCCACGTTCTATCCTCATGATCATCAAACATTAAGATAGACGATTATTTAGCACCGCCCCCCACCACCAATCCCCGCTGCCATCCAAAACAAAACCCTGTCGCACGTCCTCATCACACTATCCAATGATTCCCCAAAGATCCCTGCTACCGGCCAGGAACCCCGCCAATGTTCGGCGCCACTTCAACCACGCCCGTATCGCCTCTTCCGGGCGCCCTGCACCTACCTGCCACATACAGGCACGCGAATGGTATGCGTGAGCTCTTGCAGCGAAAGCGCGCTGGCGCCATGGCGGAAAACGGTAGGTCGCAGGGTAGGCGGGGAGGTGAATGCGCGTAGAGAGGCCGAATCAGTGCATGGCCTGGGGCCATGAGGGAGAGCCTTGGGTGCGGAGGGCATAATTCTTGGACGTGAGGTTGAAAAAGCCCGGGGTGGCCTTTTAGCCTTAGCTATGTATAAGAGCGGAGGTGCCGCTGGGGTGAATGTGTCGTACCTCTCAAGCTGTGTGGACCGCGCTCTGCCTTCGTTTCTTCGTCCCTTTCTACATAATTACCATCGGCGTCCACTCGACCGGTGCGGAACTCTATCAAAGATGTTTGGAAGAAAGGTCTTTGGTCTCGTAGCGTTGGCTACCGGTGTCGCCTCCGCGCCTGCAAAGAGGCAGGCGCCGAGTGGTGTACCTGATTATGTGCTGAAATATGGTACGTATATCTCTCTACCCGCACGAATCTGCCATCACAAGTTTCCGCCGGAAAGAGATAGCTTAAGATTCAGCCTGCTTTCTCCGCATGTCTTGGCCCCGGCGACATCATCAGCAAATGTCCCAAGTCCGACGGCCCCTCAGACCTGCCTTTTTCGTACATGCTACACAACATCTACCCCCACAAGTTCTGCGACACCGCCTGTCAGCATGAACGCATTTGACCAACCAAGCTTCAACGTGCTTCCGACTAACATTGCACAGCTCCCGTCGTGTATCTCCATGGCCAAGATCCCTACATGCCGTCAGACCTCAACACTCATCTCTCTCACACCACCCCCGAAGTGAACTTCAACGCCGTTTTCGCGCCCAACCCGTTGGATATTAACAGCCTCAATCAGCTCGGCGGAGATGTGTATTTGACGTCGAATGATGATATCACCACGAATCCAGAATGGTTGAAGGGTGTGAGGCCCGATGGCAATGGCAAGACAGAAGGCACCACTGCCGCAGTCATCGTCAATGACAAGGGCGACGGCACCGTAGACGCTTTTTACATGTACTTCTACACTTACAATTGGGGCGGTGAGGTACTAGGGCTGAGCTCCTTGAACTTCGGTATGTCAAAAGCTCCCAATGGTCTTGTCATCTCTCAGATCTCTGATTTGGCGCACAGGTAATCACGTTGGGGATTGGGAGCACACTATGGTTCGCTTTTCCAATGGCAACCCTGAGTACGTTTGGTACTCGCAACACGCCAATGGACAGGCTTTCAAGTACAGTGTTACGGAAAAATACTCCGACAATCTGCGCCCGATCGCCTACTCCGCGAATGGCTCGCACGCCAACTACGCAATAACTGGTACGCACGACCACACCATTCCGAACTTCAACCTTCCAGGAGGAGTCTTGGAAGATCACACGGCGAAGGACATCTTCTGGGACCCGCTTCAGTCTTCACTCTTCTACAAGTATGATGCTGGAGCGAACTCGTTCACCGCGTATGACGGCACGAGCCCCGTCAACTGGCTGAGCTTCACCGGCCGCTGGGGTGACGAGGAGTATCCCACGAGCGACAAGCGACAAGTGAAGATTTTCGGTCAGGCCAAATATAGCAGCGTACGTCCCCAGCAGAGAGTGGGTGTGTCTTTGTTGTGATAGGAGCAACATTCTATCGCTCTGCAGAGACCTCCCATTGTACCAGTCCCTCCTTTTTAAACACCCACTAACGTTGTACAGGGACCCACTGGGCCAGAGGATAAACAGCTGAACCGCAGCAACGTGTGTCCTGACAACGGGAACGACTGCATACTGCGGGGTATCTTGGTGCCCAGGAGTGTGGAGTTGGATGCGAAGGTGTTTGCTGAGGATGTTGTGCAGCGCTGATAGCTGTTCTTGTTAATGTGTGATGTCTAATAACGGGTAGGAGGCTTTCGGATGATGATGTGAAGCAGTAATGTTGCTCTATATACCCCCAATCGATGTTAAATTTTGAACGTCAGAAAATTTGAAGTAGTATTGCATCGTTGACGTGAACATTTCGCGCGGTCGGTGTTCTCGGTGTTTTCAGATAAAGCGAAGCGCCGAGTGGGCTCGGAGATGAATCTCGCCCTCCGAGCACGCGCGAAACGAGCGCGGGGGGGCGTTTGGTCGAACGTGATTTCATTGGACGGCTATGGCTCAGGTCTCTTCTCGGGTTTGAAACCTGCGAGATTGACCTCCCAGCTTCCATTTCAGTGCGGCGTCAGCATGACTGCCCAGTCGTACTGCACGTACGAAATGTACATCCTGATGTCCGTTTACTGCCTTGCAATACATGCCACTTTGACCATCTCTAATAGTTTCTTTTATTTAACCTTCATTCGCTCGCATCCTCATATGCAAAACTAACCTGCGTAACGAGCTGACCCTGCTGTTGGCACTCGAAGCCCCTTGCTCCGTCGCGTCGTACCAGCAGCGTTCAACACCAGCCATGTCGCACCCACCTAGCTCTGCGGTCTCGGCGACGGATGATTCGATACGTGAGAAAGAGTCGGATGTCGAGCAAAGGGCAGCAGAGAAAGATCTAAGCAATTCGCAAACCGCTCCAGAACCCATCAATCCGTGGCATCCATCACAGTTTCCAGATGGCGGGAAGGACGCTTACCTGTGTTTGTTGGGGGCCTTTTGTTGCCTGTTCTGCAGCTTTGGTATGTAATTCTGGGCACATTTTCTTTCTCGGGGCACCTTTTCTGCGCGAACAACGCGCCTGATTTGGTCGACGTTGCTGAGGACAGGCACCATGCGAACAATTCGAACGTTGCTTGTATTCTTGCACTTATGACCCCTCGCCCACATATACCTCTCTGCTTGAGCGTCTGTCACTGACTATGCCCAATTATAGGCTGGCTCAACTGCGTCGGCGTCTTCCAGAATTACTACGAGACACACCAACTACGCGACCATTCATCTTCGCAGGTTGCATGGATATCATCCCTGCAGATCTTCGTCATGTTCTTCCCTGGCCCGATCGTCGGGTTCTTCTATGACAACCATGGCCCAACATACCTGATCGCGGTCGGAGCTTTATTTCATGTCTTTGGCCTCATGATGACCAGTCTGTGCACCGAATACTATCAATTCATCCTGGCACAAGGAATCTGCAGTCCGTTGGGGCTTAATTGCATTTTCAATGCGGCCGTGAGCTCGCTCCCTTCGTGGTTCTTGAAGAAGCGCGGCCTCGCATATGGCGTTACTGCTGCCGGAAGTGGCCTAGGGGGGATTATCTTCCCGTGAGTTTCCCACGGCATTCCCCGTTGACAGTTACTAATTAAAGCTAGGATCATGGCATCGCATCTCATTCCACAGATCGGGTATGGGTGGACCTTGTGAGTGAACCCTCGCTCGTGTTCAAAGATTCGGCACAGCGCTGTAGCAATAACGGGAGCCAGAGCTGACCTAAATAGACGCACTTTCGCTTTCATGATCCTTGGTCTATTGCTCATCGCTTTCGCGACGGTCCGTTCACGACTTCCGCCGAAGATTCGTAAATTTCGTCTCCAGGTGTTCATCGATCCTTTCAAAGACCTCAGGTTCACCATGATGGTTATCTCTTCCTTCCTCTTCTTCCTGGGTCTCTTCATACCTATCAACTTCATTGAGGTCGAAGCTATGACGAACGGCATGTCTGTACATCTTTCCAGTTATCTCCTACCCATGTTGAATGCGGCAAGGTACGTCAGCGCTCTGTTCCTTTTCCCAAGGCATAGCCCTAATAAAAGCAGTATCTTCGGTCGCGTGATCCCCGGTGCCCTTGCCGACAAATTCGGACCGTACAATCTACAAGCTGTCATGGCATTCTTCACTGGAATACTCTGCCTAGCATTAGGCCTGCCGGCATCTGGCAATGCAGCTTTCATCATCTTTGCGGCCTTGTACGGATTCGCCTCGGGTGGTTTCGTGTCTCTCGCGCCAGCGCAGATCGCAAAGATCTCCAACGTTCAAGAAATAGGCGTTCGCACAGGCGTTTTGTTTTCATGCGTAAGCTTCGCGGGGCTTGTGGGTAACCCCATCGCCGGAGCACTTGTGGATGGCACTGGGTTTGATAAGGTGAACATCTTTGCGGGAGTAGTGATGCTGGCGGGAGCGGTCCTGTTCGTTATTACAAGGATGGTAGTGACTGGATGGAAGGTGGCGCAGATAGCATAAGAGCAGGCAGAAACCTAGGCATGCGCATTGGGTTCAGCGAGTTGAGTCAAGGCCAAAGTAATAGGCGCGCTGACGCCACATACTCGAATGCCCAGAACACCTCATGTCAAAAAGTAAAATAGACTTCAGGACATAGATTTCAGGATACAGAATAGATTCGTCACTGAGCACAGTTCTGGAGCCCCGACGACGCAAGCAGGAAAGGCTGTCTGACTTTCTCCTGGTCTACCCATGAATGGTCTAGGCTGAGCATTAGCGTGGTACGCTTTTCGTACAACTGCTCGTACAACCACCACACCTCCGCATGGCCCATCGCCTTTCGACGTACAACTTCCACCGTGGCTAGAAGCCTGATTTGTGCATCCAGCATCCTCTCGCCTAGTTGATGCAGGTGCCGCCACTTGATTCGTCAAATCAGGACGCCTCATCGTTCGATCTTATCAGATCAGCTGCCTAAGGCTTACAGTGGCCAACCCGCATTCATCGCGCTTAGTAGCTATGCCGAAACAGAGGCAAACTTGTACGAGATGCTCACAGAGACGGCAAAAGTGCGACCGCAAGAGTCCGTGCACGCGCTGTGTACTGAACAAGGAAGCACAGTAAGTAGTCCTTACGCAGTGCGTCCTTAGCAACCAACATGCTTATGGTATACTCTTCTTCAGTCTCTGTACTACTGAATGGAAAGAAGGCTACAATCCAGCCGTCCATCGTAGATGTAAGTGACCTTGACCCACCCCGCAGAATGAGTCTAAGACAAAATGCGTCTACGAGTACCCACTCATTGTACGATGGCAGATCCGAAAAAGCCTTCGCCAACAACAAGTCGAGGCTTGACCGACCCAAGCATCTCTTCGGAGGCCTCTCCATCCTCCGGAATACCTTGGCCAGCTGGCCAGATCCCTCTGCATTTTCGGACAAAGGAGGGTGACGGAGCTCGAGGTGATTCGATTTCCGCTTCCTCGGATGGCGTACAAGACTCGTCTGAAATCTCAGAGCCTTTGTCAAGAAATGTTGACTTCATCACATATGGGAGATCAGAGTTCTCGAATATCAGCATGGGAACTCTACTGAACGATAAAGAGGAGTACTCAAGAAACCAGTCGTTGATGGAACAGACACTCAATCAAAGCCGCACGAAGACTGCTTTAGATGAAGTGGTGACCGAGATCTTCTCGCCCGCCGCACAGGCGGCAGAGGTTTACCATCTTCAGTCGGTGCTCCCTAGCAAAACTCAAGTCATCTACATGATTGACTACCATCAAAACTGTATGGCGTATTGGGTTGGTGGTATTTACCATGGGCCATCGCTCCGAAAGGCTTTGTTGGAAGCATATGGGGAGGACGACCATTTTGATCTTCGATGCCACGATTGGAGATGGTGTGCGCTGCTGTTCTCCATACTTTCGGCAAGTATAATTGGGTCACCTGAAGAGGTGTCTAATGCGTGGGGCTTCTCCGATGCTAACAAGCTGAAATTGTCTCGGCAATGGGGAAACTCTATGATTTCTTGTCTGCAGCTTGGAGATTATGCCTCAAAACATCACATCTACTCTGTACAAGCCATTCTCAATATGCATACCTCAGAACATCTAGTAGGTTCTGCAAAAGAATGGGCAGTTTATCAAGCAGCCTCGACCGTTATTGCAAGGGGTCTGGGACTGAACAAGTGAGTCATCAAGCTAAAACCGTGGCTTGTTAGCTGATATCCTAGGCTTGGTCGGCATCCGGAAGACCTGATCCCTCCTTCAAAGATGACACCAGGGCAGAAAGATGCCCTTATTCAACGCGAAATCGGTCGCAGAGTGTGGAGTGCGCTCACGTCTCAAGACTGGCTTTGTTCCACTTCTCAAGGAATGTATACACAACAAAAGCGACATTACACCTCGCTTCCACCACGACATTTTGATGAAGAAACGTGGGAACCGGTGGTGAACTATCAAAAGCCGACTTTTACCCACATTAGCAACTACCTCAACGACATTGCTCATGTTTTGGTACGTTATCTCGACGATATGATGGATGCTGGAGATATCGATTCGAAGTACAATGTTGTATTGAGATATGACGCCATAATGCGGGGCCTATGCATCGAAAAAATGCCTCCATGGCTATCGTTGAACATGCCTTATAATGACGCTTGGCCAGAATGGACCAAGTGGGTTAGGAGATCCTATCATGCATCCTGTGCGCACAAGATCATAATGATCCACCAAAGCTTCCTAGGCAGAAGTTTCAAAGATCCTCGGTATACGTACTCACGATGGGCGTGTATCAGTAGCGCGAAGACCGTCCTTGAGGCTATGGAGAAAAGACTTCCCAAAGAACCTCAATGGTGGGTCGAGCAGGTACGTTGTCTGAAGCATATCGCTGTATGCCTGACTAACGACACATTAAGGCTTTTGTTGTTACTGCGGGACTCTGCCTGGGTCTCGACCTGTTCCATCGTTCCGAAGGCGAACCGGAAGCAATCAAAGACCTTGAAGCGATCCAGAAAGCGGTCACGATTCTCGAACAATGGCCGACAAGCTCCGTTGCCGCGCATGGTATCCGACTACTTAGCACGTTGTTGCAGGAGCATTCGAAGAGAACTGATGCAACGAGGGCAGACTCACGTACCAAGGAGCCCGATCTTCCTCCAAATATTGCTCCTCAAGCTCTTGCTCATGATGCTTCCGTTGACTCCCCGAAACCATCAGAAGCGCTTCCGCCTCCACATGAATCCCTAGGACCCACGGAGGTTCCGATAGGGGAAGAAGTATGGGCCAACACCGATTTCGATATCGATATGACGGGTTTCGAGGAGCTCATGGACACCCTTCCCTTGCAAAACGGATTTGACAACAGCGTCTTCCTTGATAGCCTATGGAACGGCTACACAGTGAGGAGGCAGCTCGAGGAGGTACGCGCGCTATGCAATCTCATACGCGATCTTAACTCTACTCTCGATATTAAATCTGATTGATACCCTCGTTGTAGATCTAATCGTTCACTATGCCGTAAAGGTTGAAGATGCAGCGCTACCGGCTGAGTAAGAATTTAGAGCGTGTACTACGCCGCACCTCCAATTCTTGCAACGTTATAACGGACGGCAATACAGTCTGAAAGCCTATCCTGCCTCGCTAGAAATTCCCATCAGCATGCCAAGTGCCACTATGAACGCGATTGACGCCGTGTTCGGCTGTCTCTATGCGATCCCCCGTACCCGACCGGCCTCGCACGCGGCCGTTGCAGGTCATTTGCGTCGGGCCCTCGCGCTCCGGTACAGTAAGTAACGCGCGTCATGCTCTCTTGGTGAAGTTCTCTCATCACGGTATACAGGACTCGTTAAAGCAAGCCTTGCTTGAGCTGGGGTATCCAAGAGTTTTCCATGGCTACGAAACCATGTTAACCTCCAATCGCCATCAAAAGCCTGTACTCAGCAGACTCACAGAGAAAAAGTATCACAGTGATTCCAAGAGTGGTGATGTCACGTTCACCGCGGAAGAATTCGACCAGGTCTTTGGAGAATACGATGCCTTGACCGACATGCCTTGTGCGACCTTTGCTGCAGAGCTCGTGGCCGCATACCCGGATGCGAAGATCATCCTAAACAGGAGAAGCAATGTGGATGCATGGTACAAAAGTTTCGATGCGACCTTGATGGCGAACAGGAAGGAGTGGTGGTCGTACACTTGCTCTTGGTTCTCGCCGGACCTGTACTGGTCGAAAAGGCTTGTACATCGTCAAATAATGCCCGAATTCTTTCGCGGTGATTTTCAAGCGAACGGCAAATGGGTAGGTGCCTAATGGCGAGGACTGTAGTACGTGGAGTTTTGCTAAAGTCTCTTAGGTATATCGCGAACACTGCGCAATGGTGAGAGGGATGGTTCCGAAAGAACGCTTTCTCGAATGGGGCGTTGAAGACGGCTGGGTGCCATTGTGTCAGTTTCTGGGCAAGGAGGAACCCAAAACTGAGTTCCCGAATGGTAACGCGCCAGCTGCATTCGCCAAAATAATTGGTGAGAACCACGGCAAGTGGATCAATGATGCATACTTGAACATGGCGTTGGTTACTGGAAGCTTGATCGCTGGAACGGTTCTGGTGGTCTTGCGCGGAGATGCAGGGGTGGTGGCTCTGGATTTGTGGGCAAATGCTAAGAGCATAGTGCTGAATAGGTCTTGATGAAGTCATGCGTGGTCTCGGAAGATGCGGATCTAGGTTCACCTGGCAGGAAGAATCTGTTGGCCCATTCATCACAACTGTTGGAAGAGGTCTGAGTGCTGGTTACATTCCTATTGCGGCCCTTCTACTCGTAACACAAAAGGACATTGTGGACGTGCTCGAAATAGCAAGCGGACAGGTGTATCAATCATTTACCTTGTAAGCGCATGCTGTAGCTTGCCGCTTGCAGTACAGAGAATCATTGAAAGAGATGGACTTGCAGGAAATTCCACAAATATGGGTATAATCCTCCCACGCCTGCTTCAACCTCGTTTAGGAGAGAAGAACTTCGTTGATGATATCATGTTGCAAGTGCAAATCGAAACCCTCTTTTGTGGCTCTGTCCCTACCGAACTCAACGCGTAAAAGCAGCCTCGACCCCGGATGTCAAGGTCCAACAGAGAGCTTTAGATCTAGGCGTTAGTATCTAATCTGGATCAGCGACTTCAGATTGAAGAACGCGGAGACCAGATCTTGTTAGCGTCGACCATGTTGGTGACAGAGCAAGACCGTGAAATTTATTTTGGCGAAAATGTATACAATGTGTTCGAAAGAGCAGAAGAGACAAAGGAGCAAAAAAAGAAAAACGAATCCGCTATCTGGCGGTGCTGGGAATCGAACCCAGAATAAGTCGGCCACAACGACTCGTGATACCTTTTCACCACACCACCGTTGATTACTAGCTTTGGCTATACCACTGCGGTATTGCTGTGAATTGATGGTCACATGACTGGGTAAGAAATACATAAAAAGGCCCAAGATTAAGAGGAGACCATGGCCAATGCAGGTTATAGGCTACCGATGAGGAACTGGCATTGAAAATTCATGCACACTCGCAATGACATGGCAAACAGAAGCAATAGGGTGGGGGTGAGAGAAGTTTTCTGTGCGCTAGCTTCGCTAATGGTCCAGCACAGATCCCGGACGTGTAAAAAGATACGAATGATACCAACTTCGTCAGAAGATTCCTTAACATTGTTCGCAATATCTTCGATTCACTTTACATTGCTAGAACAAGAGTTTGGGACATGCTTGACCAGTGTTGGCCTGTGATATACTTAAGGCTAGAGAAGCAAGATCTTTTGCTCCCAATATTGATGCCTTGAGCGAATCTAATTTTCGTCTGTGGCCTAGAGCTCATCAGAGAGTTTAGGGAATTCATGGCTCTCTCGGTCCCGAGGGATCCTATCGAATAATCAATCCACCAGACCCACGTGTCATTTGAGAGCGGTGTGAAGAAACAGTGTTTAGTTAGCTTAAGTAGCACGAATTAATTTCTACCCAAGTCACCATTCAGATTTCTCCAGGAGATAATGAGTGTATCTCCATCCTTGCGTACGCCGACCTCCGAACGAAACTCAGGCCCGATTTCCGAAGGCTTTTTTCCCGTCTGTTTTACTGTGCCAGTCTTTTCCGTAGATATTGCCGAGTTTGCTAATTAGCATCGACTCTGCTAGGCCAACTCCGGATTCTTTACATGCCCTTTTGATGATTTTGGTAAGAGCATGGACAGCAACTCCGTAATCGACAGTGCAGGAGAAGACTCGAGTTTGGTCAAAGTTATTCTCGATTGCAAACTCAAATGGAACGTGGTGAGGTTACCGCCAGCTACGATTAGTTATGATCTCCATTCGACGCATCTCGAGTGATTTGCAATATCCCGCGGTGCTCTCACTCCATTCTTCTCCCCAGCAATACATGAGCGCCGTGCAGCAAGGCGTGTGTTTTACTAGGTCTGTCAAGGCTGGCTCACATGGGGTATTTGTACTATCTCCAAGCGCTGGATCCAGCAGGATATTGTTGAGGTAGACGGGCTGGAATGGCACTGTAGGGTCACGCCCCCATTTGATCCCAGGGCGTCATACTCGTAGATGTTCCACCAGAGCGGCAATATCAGAAAACGGGTGGTATGATAGCATGTTCTTGTTGTCCTTGAGCTCTCTGTTGACAACTGTGAAGCTACGGCGAGCAAGTAGATCTTGTATTTCCACGGCAGGCAAATGCATGTCCGTAGTCTGTAGCGACTCCTTGACGAAGACTACCGGCCCATAGACGCGGGGAGCAAAGGTGTTGGATTGTACTTAGGTACGATTATGTAGCTGGGAAGATCAGTACCGCTTATCGACAACGGTGAGAGGCTCCACAAAGACACGGCACACGGCTCCAAGGTTCAGTCTGTGGAAACCCTATCATCTACAAGGTCTTACTGGTCGATCTTACTATCGGTATATAAGCGATTGGTCACTTATCTCTAGTAGATAGATGCATGGTACTGAGCAACGTTGATGCAACCAATGGGACCCTTATAGATGATAAGAATAACTGACAAGACTTCTAGGAAATTGGCTTTCGAGGCATTGCAAGGCTTGTTGGGGCCATGGGGCTCTGTAGTGGGTGAGGCTAGATTCAGCTGGCATCTCATTGGATCTCTGAGGGACATGCACGTCGTTGGATCAAGGAGTTTGGGTCGGACATCAATTTGAAGTATTGTTCACTGACAGTGGAGTCTCTCACCTGAAGCTCAAGTATTCGACTAGATCTCAATATTTACTGTATAGCTCTCCTTCATTTGCCCTTTACACTGCATCTCGATTAGACTCGCTGCGACTACTGTCATTTGTGGTCATCACTTCAACTAATTCCAACCCATTCTGTTAAAGCCTCATAAGGCACCTCTCTTCCACACTTCTTCTACTCATTCATGCTCTATACCTTCTGATTACACTGCGATTAGTGTAGTGTCTGAGCAAGGTCGCCTGGGTGGACTGAGTCAAGCCACGGTGCATCCTGGGAAAGACCTGAAGAGGAGACTTAGATGGCGGAATCGCATGCCTCACCTGGAGATGTTGATGACGGACTGGCGGTAATTCTGCGAACGAAAACGCTCGGCTGGCTAAGTGCACGGCGACAGCATATGGTTCTTCATGCTGCTATAGTGCCCGGCCAAGAATTTGGTTATCCTGTGTTACACCAGGCTGGGCGATGCAGTACCTAGGATTTTTACCCAGCGCTGTAAGCATCCATCACATTGCAGCGATGCCTAAGGTATTAGACTTCACGTCCATTATTTGCAGATTCCACATACTTCTTAACATCCCATTTCGTTGAGTTAATGTCCCTCTCATCCATCCAAACGCCGTTCCAATGCAATCTCACAATCAATCCCCATACTCAAGCAGGTGCAATTGCACCACCTCCATTCTCTGTATTGCCACCGCCCGTGATACTAGCCACAAACTCTTGATATCTGAAGACCTCGCTGCGGTTGAGGCCCTTGCCTCCCTTTCCAAAGGCTCTCCTGCCACTGAAACCTTCCACAACCATGTCAATCTCCCGCTCGGTAAGCTTCCGCTCGCCAGCTTCAGGCGCAGTGTGCAACAGCGCATCTTTCAGCTCGCCTAGATCGATTTGACCATCATCGCCATCGTCGAAAGCCTCGAAGGCCGCATTCAGTTCGTTCGGGTGTGAGAGCCCGGAAAGAAGATCCGAAATGGTGTTGAGGTACGTAGCCAAATTGATCGACTTCGCACCGTCAGGAAAGTATGAATTGAGTGTTGACGGCGTAGCGGTGAGCCCAAGCTGCGAAAGCATTTCTGCGACGTCTGCTGCATTTACACTGCCGCTGTTGTCGCGATCCAGCACGCTGAAGGATTCGCGCATGCTGTGGAGGAGCGGAGGCGGGATTTTGGAGAGTGCGTCAGTGGAGTTTGTTCGCGGGGCCATGGTTGGTCGTGGTGTTGGTCGCAACGGAGGAGGCTGGTCTATGCTCGCCGGTCGAGACAGTGCAGGTAGGTGATCTATACTCGAGGTCCGCTCGATGGGTCGCTCCACTAGAGGCTCTCTACTCGTGGTCCGTTCTAGCGGGGGGCGTACTCGCTCCACCATCGAATCGCGCTGCGATCGAGGCTGTGTTGGATGGCCGAATAGTGTGCTGTGTAGATGTGGAAACCTGTCGGGAAGGCGACTTGGGAATCTCAGGCTCCAATGACGTTCCACGCGTATTCAGCCATGAGGGCGGGTTCTGAGAGGCATTGCTTGTTGCTAACTTTCGCGACGGCGTCTGCAGGGGTGTATTGCCTGGTGTTGGTTTCAACGGCGAGCTGCTCGGTGTTGTAGGACGGGCCGTCGAGGGAGAGTTCCCCGGTGACTGTGCAAGCGTGCTGGGGCGGCGGAAGGGCGATGTGCGCGGGCTGTTGAAGGAGAGAGGGGACGGCTTGTAGGGGGTCGGGGTGGTCGACTGTTGTGGTTCAGCTCTTCGACTTTCAGTTTCAATGAGCTTACTTACCATGGTGATGTTCGCGCGCTCTCGGGCTGTGGTGACTGATATTGCGCGGTGATGTAGGTGTTTAGCTGGTGTTGACGCGCCTGCCATGTCTCCCAAGCAACGCACCCGTCAAGCGCCCCGTTTATCGATAGCGGACCCTGGGACGTTTCGGGCCCACATCAATTCACCACAGTGCCCCCCACGCGCTGTCTGCTCGGCATCGTGCATGTGACAGGCCAATGCGAGAGCATCTTCCATGTCTGGCGTCTTCGAATGAACTGATATTGCGCGCATCGCTCTAAAGACGATCCCTCGGCCTCCAGCTCTCCTGAAACGCGAGTCGTGGATTAGTCCGGCGCGACGAGGGGCTACTACCCACGGTCCCAAGATCACACCATGCATTGCTTAAGACAGTGATAGTGATAGCAACCCTATAATGGCTGAAGTAATGCAGCAGCGCACCAACGGCGGCCCGTCAGCTTCAGCCCAGGGTGGCCTCCAGCGTCAGCCTTCCTTCTCCTCGTTCCCCCCCATCGCGAAGCCCCTCGGCCGTCTCCCTCCGCAATGAGAGCAAGCGACCGCCGCGCTCTCCACAGCCGCCAATGGTTCGCGAAGACGACGTCTCGGTCGACGAATTGTCGCAGGTCTCGTCGTTCGGAGACGTAAAACCCATGAGGCTGCGCGCCCAGTACCCCGCCGATTCCGTCGAGAACCATGTCGAGTACATTCTGGTCGCCTCCTTTGACATTGACCGCGGGTCGGTCATGGAACACCAATATCCGGGGCCTATAAGTGGGGACGAGACTATGTTGGCAGAGCTCATGTTGCCCGACCAGACACACATGCGGAGCCAGGACTGGACCATATTCTTTCTACACAAAGATACGAGTCAGGAAGAAGAGGAGAAAGAGGCACGAAGAGAAAGGCGCAGGAAGGGCAAGCAGAAGGAAAACCAAGATGTGGATGGGGAGGACACCACCGCCGGCGCAGAGGAGTACGATGACGATGACTACTCCGAGAGCGAGGACGAGATGGATCCTGACGGTCCGCCGCTTGTATACGTGCTGAACCTCGTAAATACCAAACAGGACAACACCGTGAAGAGGTGCGTTTGGAAAACTGTTACACGCCATGTTTGCTGACCCAATGCAGAGGAGCCATCGTCAAGGCAATGGCCATTTGCACGAGACACCCCTTTCTACACATCTACAAACCTTTATTACTACTCGCTCTCGAGGAATATTTTCGAGCACCAGTCATGGAGACGTTGGCTTCCCTCTACAATGCGCTCAACGCCATGGACTTATCATTGCTTCCCAAGCTCTCCCAGTTCGAGAATTTTGTCCTGCAAGCGACCGACGCCAAAGACATGTTCATCGAGAAGTTCGAACAGATAATACGACAACGCAGATCCGAAGAGGCAGAGCGAGCCTCTCTTCCTTCGGCCTCGTCCGCCGACATGCAAAGAAAGAATTACGCACCTCCCAGAGATACCCATGAATTCGAGTCCAGAGTGCTCTACAACGGCGTTCCGGTTCCCATTAAAGTACCTACTGTATTAAGTCCTGAGACAGTTGGTGACTTCTCCCTCGTCAAGCTTATCCAGACTTTCTCGACGCCTCACATGACCCAACCGCAGCCTTTTGCTCTACATCCCCACCTGACGACAAGCGGCGCTTATACACATCCTATCATCGTGCTAGTCAATGCTCTTCTCACGCAGAAGCGCATCATCTTCCTCGGCCACAATCGACCGTCCGGCGAAGTCGCCGAAGCTGTTCTTGCAGCCTGCGCTCTTGCCTCTGGCGGTATGCTGCGAGGATTCGTGCGCCACGCTTTCCCCTATACCGACCTTACAAAGGTCGACGACCTCCTCAAAGTCCCCGGCTTCATCGCCGGTGTTACCAACCCTGCCTTCTCATATAAGCCTGAATGGTGGGATCTATTATGTGACCTTCCAACTGGGCGAATGAAAATCAGCAACAAGATCGAACTACCTCAAGCAACAGAAGGCCAAGTCTTCTTTCAAAGTCAAGGCATACCTGTCGGAATATACCCATCAGGAGGCGATAGCAAAGGGGCCGTCGATCCTACAGGAGATACACACTTCATGGAGAACCTTCTAACGAGCATTGCCAACCGCCACGGTGAAAACGCCATTCGCGCCAAATGGCGTTCGTGGGTCCTTAAATTTGCTCGCATAGCCGCCGCCTTTGAAGAAACCGTCTACGGCGCGTCGGCTCTCTTCGTCGGCTCCCACGAGACAGAAGAAAACGTCTACGGGGTCTCGGGTCATGGCTACGTCTGGCCCGACGAGATATCTAAATTGCGGGAGCTGGCAGCCAATGTGCACCGTGTAGAAGGATGGAGAAACACGAGGAGCTATTATAGCTTCATTCAGGATCTGGCGAGACAGTGGGAGAAGCGACCCGTCCGAGGCATCGATCTTCACCATCAACATGACAAACTCCGCTGTCTAAAGTTAACACACGATCAATCGGCTGCTATATACCTTGCACTCGCCCGCTGTGTTGAAGAAGCCGGCGGCCCTAAACCCTCGCCCTCACCGTCAGACACGGATCTTTCCACCACCACGACCTCGCGGTCCCTGACTATAGCCAATGATCCAGACCGAAAGCCAGGCGAGCAGCTACAATATGACACGGTTCTGCAGCTTCTCTGCGTCATACCCGAGACCAACTCTGGGCTCTTCTATGTGAGCCTGGGATTGTTTCACCCGAGGCAGGACGTCAGAGCTGCCGTGGTGAAGCTGCTGGAGAGGATCATCGAACATCCCGCTGGAAGACATTTTTGGGCTACGCTGGGGAAGTTCGCAAAGTTGGCGTTCTTCAGAGTGAAGAGGGAGGAAGGCAGGGAAGCAAAGACGTAGCCTGTACCCATGTATTGAAGAACATGAGATATTGACGACTATTTAGGGGTAGCCCAATGCCGTGTTGTAGGCGTACAGAGGCAGGCCATTCGAGACGATATGCAAATCCATTTTTGACGTTATTTGTCAAAGCAATGACATGTATTCTGATCCTAGAAAACCAGGATCCACTGCTCAATCGCCGACGCGTAGTTCCATCTGGCCATTGCCGCCACCATGACTTCGCAGCTCTATCACCAAGCTATACTCGACCTGAAAGCCACGTGCACGTGGGTCTGATGAAAATCATTCGTCAATGTTGGCCCGCATCAGAACTTTCGCGCCTAAGGCGTATCTTTTAAGCTATTACGCGGCATGCTGTGTATACTGGCAGCGGTAAGTATGCAATGTCGCGTTTTATCACGAATACTTGTGCGAGAACATCTGATCGAGTACCGATATTTTTGATGCTGTACGCCAGGGACCCGTCTTTTTTAGGTATCTATCACAGATCCAGATGTCCGTACTGACGTTCACACAATGTCCATAGCGTCTTCCAGAAGCCATGAGCCAGGTCGAGGGAGGCCCGGCAGACAGGGACATCACGGACCCACCTTCCTATCTCGGTGCACCACCCGCATCACGTTTCCAAGTCATTGGACCGCAACCATACCTCGGAGTAGATTTGCCATCAATCGATACTCCGCGTCCAAGATCAAATCATACCGCAAATGCGGGTGCATATAAGGAACCCGCGTTCCTGGGACCTCGACTCCCACCGCGCAGCGCCTCCAGCACCTGCTACCGATCTCTTAATTAACTAATATGTGGTGTTCCACCCTCTTCACAAGCGTTCTCGCAGCCGCAGCGACGGTCCAAGCGTACAGTGTGAAGACGCATGTCAACTACACGGTAGTCACTGGTATCTTTCAGCAGGACGATGCGGCAACGGATGCTTCGAGCTTCAATTTCACAGCGCAAAACTTTGGCTTGATCGAGAGGAAGTATCCAAGTGATGGGACATACTGGGGGAGGAAACCCACCAGCTGGCAGAGGCTGAATCACTACATCGACACTTTGAATCGCAAGGCAAGGTATAACGAACGGTATACTCTGCTCTTCCTCGGAAGACACGGTGAAGGCTACCACAACGCCGCGGAAACCTACTTCGGTACTCCAGCCTGGAATTGCTACTGGTCCGAGAAGGATGGCAACTCCACCGTAACCTGGGCGGACGCGCACCTCACCCCCAAGGGTGTCTCCCAAGCACAAGACGTCAACCGTTTCTGGAAAAAGCTCCTGACCACGGAGAAAATCGCGGCGCCACAGACATACTACACCAGTCCTCTCTTCCGCTGCCTCGATACCGCTCGTCTAACCTTCTCAGGCCTTCCTCTCCCAAGGAAGAGCCCGTTTGTCCCGACTATTAAGGAGTACTTCCGCGAGGGCATCTCAGCTCATACATGTGATAGACGTAGCAACAAGACGTACATTCACGCCAACTTCCCCACCTACAAGTTCGAGAGGGGCTTCGCTGAGCATGATCCCTACTGGACGGAGCTGCACGCCGAACCCTCCGCTGACCAGGATATCCGGAGCAAGAAGGTTTTGGATGACGTTTTCAGCAATGACAAGAGCACGTACATCAGTGTGACTGCGCACTCGGGAGAGATTGCGAGTCTACTGCGCGTCCTTGGCCACCGTGTGTTTGGACTCTCTACCGGCGCATCGATACCCGTGCTGGTCAAAGCGACAACGATCAAGGGAAGTGGTCCGAGTACTACCACAGTGCCGTATACGGCTCAGAAGACGTGCGCGGCACCACCCACGATAACGGATTCGAGCTGTAATGATTGCTCTTGCTGCTCGTAGACACAGGGTCCGAGGAGATGAGATACAGAGGACAATGTAATATAGTCATAATGCCTCAAATCTACCCAGGCGATCCCGCCATATGGTCGCCGCTCATCAGACAATCCCAGATTCCTCTAACTCTATCACGTCTCTATCCATGCCCTGTATACCCAATGCTGCGCCATCTTATGCTCCATCTTTACACAATCACTCCTCCTTTAAATCCGGCACTGGCGTCACTTTCTTGACTACCTTTGCCGGACTTCCCATAACTACGCTCCAATCCGGGATACTCTTCGTGACCACCGAGCTCGCCGCCACCGTAACACCCTTACCAATCGTCACCCCCCGGCAAAATAACCACGTGCCCTCCAATCCAGCAGTCGTCCCTGGCCCACCCACGTTAGCTTCCATTGAAAACACTCACTCCTCACCACAGATAGAGAAATGGAAGGGGGAAGGGAGGCTCACCCAATAACCACCGGCCTCCCATACTCAATATCCTGCCGTCGACTCTCGACTTCCGTCTCATGTGTCGCCGCAAAGATACTAACATTAGGACCGAGCATCACCCTCTCGCCTATCGTGACTAAACTACAGTCCAGAATCGTCAAGTTGAAGTTCGCGTAGAAGCGGTTGCCGATGGAGATGTTGCAGCCGTAGTCGATCCTAAAGGGGGGCTCGATGAAGGACTCTTCACCTACGTGGCCCAGAATAGCGCGGAGTCTTTCTAGGCGCTCTGCTGCGAGAGAGTCAAAGTTTGGGTTGCTGGATGCTGGGGGGAAGTACTATGGTAGGTGTTAGAGGGTGGCAGGAGAGAGGAAAAGGAAAGGACGGGGGGGGGAATGTACGGTGTTGTAGTCATGGGCCCAGGCGCGGGCTTTGAAACGGGCTGCTGCTAGGCTGGGGTCGTGGGAGTCGTAGCTAATGTGATATTAATAGGCTGATTGTAGAGGAATTGAGAGGCGGTTACAGCATGCCCGATATCATCTTCTCGTATTCTTCACTCCAAGGCACATGGTTGAGTTGCTTGGCTTGGGTAAGCTCTACTTGGTTCTTCTCCGTCGCAGCCATTGTGGTATTGTTGGTTGTGTGGGATCAAGGAACAAGTCAGTCTGGCAGGACTCGAGAGTAGTTACACAAATGTAGACCCAAGGGCAAAACCCACGTGGAGGCTCTGCGGCTAGAAGCGCAAGTGCAAGGCCAAGGGTGTGTGAGTAGGTGGGGGTGCTCTCGGCCCGAGTGGCACCCAATCACGAACTCATACAATCACACATGAAATCCGAATGTGGAAAATCTCTCAATGCTTGGTGCAGTTCTACTATGGTAGTCTGCAATCTCACCTACGCGATCGTGCTTCTCCAAAAGCGGAAATTTCCTCAGCAATTGCCAGAGCAGCTCGTTGCGTAGGTGCTTCTGTAGCCTCGCCCGCTCCAAAAATCTCCTCCTGGTCCCACTGCACATCGCGTCGAAAGCTCCTGACGTATTCCTCTTGATGTTCCCACCCGTGCAGCTTTGCCGTCGTGGTCGTTTTGGGCACCGCTTTGAACTTCGAAGGCATGTAGCCGTCTGTTTCGACCGCATCGCAAACTCCTCTTGAATCCCGCGCAATGCCAACTTCACGAATCTGTTTCCTCGCGCTTCCTTCCTCCAAGTCCCAAACAAATTCCCCTAATCCCAACGTCTGACCCCTCAATACATGATCGCAAACCACGAAATCCGCAACACGCAAGCCCGCCTTCACAACACCGCGCCTCATCCTCAAATCCTTATCCATCTCCTGCGTCAAGACCTCCACCATCCTCTTCGCAATTGCGCCAATGCGCCTCTTCTTCTTGCTTGGCGCCCACGACGCTGGCTTCCACAGGATCCTCACGTCGTAGTCAGTGACCTTGCGCAGCCACGGATATCGCTTAGCCAGGTTCTTCAGATGCGCTGTCAATTTTTTGTCCCAATGCTCTTGCACGAATGTGTTCGTATGGCCTTTGAAGAGAACGTGAATGCGAAGCTGAATTGCATTGTTGAGAATGAAGTGTCGGTATTCGTCGCCTTCTAGGAAGTGGTATTGCTGAAGCGCCAATAGGGCGGGATTGCCGCAGTGGACTGGGGTGATGTCGACCCTAGTGTGGCTGGCGTCGTAGACTTTCCTTGTGAAGTCAAGACCGGTAGAGGTGGCTTGGTTGTCTTCAGTCACTGTTTGGGTGTAGACGAGGTCTCTGAGCTCAGGTGGAAGCTGCGGCAGTAGGACGCGATAGTCCATAACCAGAAAGTTTTGGGTGGCCACGAACGGCGCAGCAGAGTTGTGTGTGTTTGTTTGAGTGACGACTTTCTCAGTCGACGTTGATCGCTTTTGCTGGAGTTCTTATTGTTCAATACCAAGGTATTGTACGGTGGGTGACCACAAGCGAGCTTGGTGGTGAATGCTCCTGTCCTATTGTGTAGACCAGCCACCTACTTTCCACCATACAGAAAACAATCAGGACAACCAATAGGCTGGAAAATCTGGTTTCAACTGCACTCTGTAAATTCTATACTCAGTGCGCGGGCAAAGATTCGCTCAATTTCGGTGAACAATTTTTTTCGGACGCTGTCCGGCCGGCTGCATGCATGTGGGCGGGACTCGCGATAGACCTCCAAAGTGGAGTACATAGTGGAAGCGAGATCTTAGGAACTCCGCGCTTCGATCTCCCGATGAATTTACACTTGTAATGCGTAAGCTGGACGGCGCCGACAATATCTTGGGGCTACTTTCTGCCCACGCATAGGGAAGCAACAGCCGAAATACTTACCCATGATGGCTGCGAGATGAATGGCTGCGAGATGAACGGCTGCGAGATGAATGGCTGCGAGATGAATGGCCGCGAGATGATTGTGCGAGGGGCGGTTTGTAAGTTCGATATTGATTCTGTGAAAGTGATGTCGGGTTTGCGGGTAGCGGCAAGTTGAAATGGCCAAAGTTGTAGTACATGTACAAATTCGCATGGGGCTGAGCAACGTTGAGTCAACGCAGGAACAGTCATTAATCCCTGCCACCAAGACCGCCTCATCATTGATGTCGTCTCGCATCTCGTCCCGATGAAGCTCTAGGAACAAGAAGACGGTGCCGGGTAGTAGGGATTAGCATAATCATCAATTGCTCAACGCGACCTCAATATATTCACTTTTTCTGGTAGACATAGCTAGTACGTAGAATCGCTTCATTCGTATGGCCAATGCGCCACGCGCCTGGACGCCTGCAAATGCAAAAGACATTTCATCAATAAGATTCCAAGGTCTATGCCTCTCATACTGCCTCCGAGGCCGCCTTTGCCTTGTCGAGCCGCCGCTTCTTCCTCCTGAGGCTCTCCGCCTCAGCATCCCGCTTGTTCGATCCGTACTCGATGCGCTTGAGCAGCTTTCGCTTTTTGTTCGAAAGCATCATCTTCTGTCGATCGCGTTCCTCTTGCTCTTCCTTTCGCTTCTTCTCCGCCTTCTTGCGCACGGCAGCGTTCTTCGACTTGGTCGTCTCAACCTCGGGTTCAAGCTTCTTGCCGGTAGCCTCTGCTTCTAATTCGCGTTGATGTTGTAGTCGAGCAGCTTCGCCCTCAGATACGTCTGATTCAGCATCAGAATCGAATCCCTCGAAGTCGTCTGCGGCAACTTGGGGCTCGTCATCATCAACGTCTTCTTCGTCGTCGGAGCCGTCGACTTGCATGCCTTCACCAGCCTCCACAGATGCATCACTCTCCATGGCGTCATCTGCATCATCTGCATCTTCTGATGCCTCCTCCGCCTCAGAAGCAACCTCTTCCTCGTCCTCAAACGCTTCCGCCTCACCCTCAAGCTCTTGTGCTTGCAAAGGCAGGTTAGGATCGTATTCACCCTTCTTGGCCTTCACCCACGGACTGAGATGAGGCGGCAGTTCAGCACCAGGAGCGTATAGGTCCGGACGAAGCAGCTTTCCCTGATTGATGCAATCCCACACCCATTGAGGTTGCACATAAGTTCGCCCGGGCATTGTCGACCGCGGCCATTGCACCTTAGGCGCAGCTCCATCGACGATTTCTGGTGCCTCTTCTGAGGAAATGGATGTTCGATCGACGATTTGATGTGTGATGGACGCATCAGACTCGTTCGAGGTGAATGCACCATCTCCCAAAGTAGAGTCCCAGCCAACACGTTTGCAACCAAAGGCCTTCAGTATGAATTCCAAGGGGGCACGTGGAGTTTCTCGCGAGAGATAAATAGTATACGGTGCGAACAACGAGGCCACCTCGGCACTACTGGCCGATGGTTGAGGCAGGACATCTGCGTCAGGAGCGACCGCCTCAAATTTGTCGATGGTCTCCGTGTTTTCGTCTTCAACGGCTTGCACTGCTTGAGCAGTATCTGGCTGTTCTTCTTCAGCAATTGGCGCAGCGGCGATCCTGTCGGCAACCGCCTGGGCTTCCGGGTTTGCAGTCGCGGAAACATCACCGTGTGACGCGTCTCCATTGGTTGCGACACTCTTGCCTTCGATCTGGAACGCGCTCAATTCGGCGCCTTGTGCGTCCAGATCAGCATTGAACTTGGGGGGATATACCAAGCCAATGGACGTGTACAGACGGTAATTGACGAAGCCGAGCAGCGTGGTGTAGAATTCTACGAATGTGCCCATGATCCTAAAGTCGATGTCTCCTCCGGTTCTTTGCACGAATCGGTAGGGAACCAGCCAAAGCACGTCCTGTCCTTGTATGGTGGCCTGGTAATAGATGCCTTTGATAGATAGGAACGACCTGCGCAGCGAGTGGGAGGTGATTACGTAGTGCTCGAATTCGTGGCACAACTTCTGACAAAGAGCAATGGTCTTAGCAGGGACGTGCTGGCTCGACGGCAGGTTCGCAAAGAGGAAAAGCATAGAGAGAGCATCGTCGAGGTCGCGCAGGGCATCGGTGAAGGTGGGGTAGCGTTCCTTGATGATGTGGTCGAGCTTGATCTTGGGAGCGAGGTTCTTCTCGAGACGTGCGGCATCCCCAGCTTCGCCGCGACCAAGAGCCTTCGCAATCTTCTTTGCGACAGCCTTGTGTTCGCGGAACTTGGCCAGAAGCGGCTCATGGAGCAGATACTGGATATCTTTGGTATAGTAGAAGGTGGTGGCAGCGGTCGAACCCTTGGAAACCTTCTTCTTCTTGCGCGGTTCGCGAGGGTAGATTCCTTTGAAAATGCACAGACGGCGAAAGTCTGGGAGCGAAATCTGCAGCTTCTTCACGGCGCGCGTGCGCGTGATGTAGTTTTTGGCAGCGCCAGAATTTCCTACTAGCTGTCAGCGATTGCACATGCGATTGAGACCCAAGGCAGAAGACAAAGGTACCTTTTTTCTGTATCTTAGCCATGTTGGCGGGTTTTGCGCGGCGACGGTCAAGACGAGAGCCAAGATTTCGGAGGAGATAGAAAATGTTGCGGGTCCTCCGATGAGTTTCGCCGGACCCGACGCGCCGCGGGAGAGACGTTGTGGAGCTCCAAAGTGGACCCTTGCCTTGCGCTCTGGGCGGTTCTGCACTCCCGCCCGCCTGTTGACGGTTATGCATACTTGCGAGAGCCAGCATCAGTGCCAGCGGTGACCAAGATGGCTCTCGAACCCAAGCAGAAGGCTGCGCTCTTTGCCGCCGCCGCCGCTGTGCGCCTGCTCCTCTTCCAAACCTTCCCGTCTCTGCCAGATCGTCTCACTGGCCGCGTTGAGCTGTCCACGCCCGTGTCAAGCTTCAAGAGACGTATGTTGTCGAGAGCTCCCCACCACCGCCATACAATTTGCTGACCGACGCTGTCAGTCCAAGAAGGCCTCTACCTCTATACACACAATGTCTCCCCTTACGACGGCGGAGTGTACCACCAGGCACCGCTACTGCTCCCGCTCTTCTCCCTCCTCCCCAATGCCTCCGACCATCCGTTTGCGACGAATCTGCTTTTCACAATAGTAGACTTGCTGAGTGCCCATGCACTGGCTCAAATTGCAGACTCCGGGTGTGCTGCTGCTACCCGCCTCTTCAAGTCATCGCGCCATGGATTGCGATGGAGTAGCGCTGCCATTGTAGCAGGGTATGCCGCGTACCTCATTCCATACTTGCCTTGTACTGACCGTGACAGCTTCCTGTTCAATCCTTTCACGCTTGCCACCTGCATGGCCCGCTCTACCACGACCCTAACCAATCTCTTCATCCTCACTGCCATGGCCAAGGCCTGCCACGGAGCCAGCACCACCTTTCTGCTTGCCATATCCGCTGCGTCCTATCTCGCCATGCATCCGATACTCCTGTTTCCGCCACTACTAGTCCTACTTTACGACGCTCGCGCTGAGAAGTCTCAAACAGCTCCCAACCCCTGGGTCTTCACTTCGGTACATACTTTGGGCCTTTTTGTGGTCGGCGGATCATTGCTTTTTGCATCAGCGCTACTAACGGGCTCTTGGGACTTTTTGGAGGCTACCTATGGCGTCCGACTACTTCTCCCGGACCTCACCCCCAACGTGGGACTGTGGTGGTACTTCTTCACTGAGATGTTCGACTCGTTCCGGGATTTCTTCCTGGGGGTGTTTTGGCTACACGTCGCATCGTACACCCCGGGACTTACCATCCGCCTTCGAACACAGCCTCTGTTTGTTGCTACCACCCTGACTGGCATCTTTGCCATCTTCACCCCGTATCCTAGCGTTGCAGATGCTGCCCTTTACCTCTCGCTTGTGCCTCTGTTCAGGCATTTGTTTCCTCGTAAGTGCTGTCATTATCAAAACAATGAACGTGTGTTAAGTTTGAATAGTAATGCGCTATACCTTCCTCGCCTCTGCAGCCGTCTTGTATGCATCTTTCCTCGGGCCGGCCTTCTACCATCTTTGGGTGTACGCTGGTTCGGGTAATGCTAATTTCTTCTACGCCATTACTCTGGTATGGAGCTTGGGCTTGTCAATAATAGTCGGCGATTCGCTTTTCGCTGCGCTAAGGGACGAGTTGGATGTTCAAAGGCCGGAATTGCGGGACAAGGAGGTGAAGCGAATATAGAGTGCGTCAACACTAAATACCAATTCTGCAATAATTGTCCCTCGATGCGTCTGCTAGTTCCTTCCGTGCGAAGTCCAACACTCTCAATCGCGCTTCCTAAGAGTGTACTGATTCACTAGACGCCATGTTATCTCCAAACAAGACATCCTCATGCCTGTATCCTGTTACACAGAGCCGTCGAAACATGACGGCAAGTTCCCCGATTCGCCCGTTTGCGTTCCTTCCGAAGGCTCTTCCCGCTCTCATTAGGGGTTGCCGTGGTGAATCACACATTCGATACCCTTCACTTGTGTCACGCAATATGACAATGATCACTCACTTTCACCACACGAATTTCGCTGCCGCACTTTAGCTCGCTTATCGACACATGTATCTCAGCCCTTTCGAGCTCTTCCCTCTTCTTTTCCTCCACGGTTCTGACATCAATCGCCAACGTCAAGCAGCCACATCGACATTGGTATCCGTCTCCCAGAAATCACACGATATCCAAAGAATATTCTCCACCGTCTCTCAATTCTCAACAATGGCCAAAACCGAAGAGGCCTCCGCTTTCACCGCCCGCGAGATGGAGGTTCTCGCGCTCGCCTGGCAGTGCTTCGAGAGCGAACCCAAGGTACGTCCCTAATTCGAGACCGCCTGTTATCAAGTACCTCCCTTGAGTACAGACGAGACCTAATATAAATCGTTTCTCAGATCGACATCAAAAAGCTCGCCCGCCTGACCGTAAGCAAACCACCAGGTACAAAGTGGATGTATCTCTGTGCTAGAAGAAAGATTTCTTTCTCGCTAGGCTGAGACATGCACACAGTATTCGCACACCCCGTCCTAACTCATGCTGACTTTCTACCTACGCATTAGGGCTACACTGAAGGCAGCGCCTCCGTCACGATCGGCAAGATCAAGCGCAAGCTCAAGGCCCATGGTGCGGGCGCAGGTGCGGGTGTCAGCGGCGGCACTCCAGCCTCTACTCCCAAGAAGACCAACGCGGCCAAAACCCCCAAGTCCGCCAAGCGCGGCGCAGACAAGACATTCAATGAGTCGCCCGCCAAGAAGAAGAAGGCCGAGGTGCAGCAGGAGGATGATGAGGATATCAAGGTCAAGCCGGAGCCGGAGGCTGATGAGATATATGGTGGTTACGGTGGTTATGGTGGCTATGGTGACTATCAAGGTGGTTTCTAACGTGGCGCTTGAAGGCTGGCGTTGGAAACTGCAGTGATTCGCGATGTTTTAGAGATACCAGGTGATGGCGTTATCGGTATCAAGGAATTCCTGGCTACGGTTCAGCTGGCGTCTTTGTGCACAGAGGGGCTTCCACGAGCGGCTTGGGTGAATGACCTTCGAATACATATACGACACAATCGAAATTGTGCCAGATGCAGTCAACGTGCATCAAGGACGCTCAAAGTTTCGGATTCATGTACCTGCATCCGATGCTGTTACCCACAGGATATGTGAGACAATATAATTGTACGCAGAATGATGTTTGTCCGCTGCGACACGTCGATCGAAAGAATATAGTATTATGATCCAAGGTCCCTTTTGTGGCGCTAATATACACTGATATAATGATCCATGTTAACAGAAACGCCCATGATGATGATGCTGCTTAAACATCCCGAAAAAACGTTTCGCTTCATGAACAGAATGCGCGAGTACACGCCGCGTTTTATAGGGCAGCAAGGGCAGCCCTGAGGGTGTCCAACGCTCTGTCCCCAACACCCTGGATGCCCTCCCGCATAGCCCAAGCAATATCGCTCTGTATCCCGAGGGGCAAATACGCCCCGCCCTCCTCTTTCCTTACCTCCATTCGTTCTCCCAGGCGCGACGTGTGTTCCCACTCTTTCGCCGCAACTTCCGCACTCTCGATGACCTTGCTAGGGATTCCGCACATAGCTGCACAGTGCATACCAAAGCTCCCTTCAGCGACGCCATCTTCAAGCTTGTATAGGAAGGTGATGGACCGTGAAGCATCGTCCACATGGATACGCATCCTCTTATTCGAGATCTCCGGGTGAGCTTCGAACTCCTTCGCCAAAGAGCGATAGTGGGTAGCAAAGAAGCCGACACAGCCGATGCGAGTGCTGATGTCGTGAAGAACGGCTTGCGCGACTGCTACACCGTCATATGACGAGGTACCACGGCCAAGCTCGTCCAGAATCACCAATGATCGCGGCGTGGCCTCGGCTAGTATCTTCTGTGTTTCAGACAGTTCGACGAAGAAGGTTGATTGGGCAGCGAATATATTGTCGTTGGCACCAAGACGAGACATGATACGATCGATGGGAGTGAGCGTAGCAGATGTGCAAGGCACATAGCAGCCGACTTGTGCCATGATTACGGCAATGCATGTCATTCGAAGGATGGTCGACTTGCCAGCGGCGTTGGCACCCGTAAGTAGGTTGATACTGGGAGTATGACCGCCTAGTGTTATATCGTTCGGGATGAAGTCGCTCACGGTGTTCAACATGCAGGGATGCCGTAGTTCTTGGAAATCCACAACTGTGCGTTCCTCGTTGGTAAACACTGGACGGCAACTTGGTTCTCCAAGCGAGGACGATGATTTCGCAAGACTGATAAGGCAATCAAGTTGAGCAACAACTTTAATGGCAGCGAGCCAAGTCGCGTAGTGCTCGTCGAAACGTGCGTGGAAGCGACTAGCCACATCCCGAACAATCTGTCCGTGGGTCTCTTGCGCTTCTTGAAGCGCTCGAACGAGTTTACGTAATTCGGGCGAGTAGTATCGTGTGACTTTGGCAGTGGCAGACATCTGATCCCAATCCTTCGGCACTTTGACCTTCTTAGGCACCTCGAATTGGTATATCTCTTTTCCAATGTCGTTGTAGACGATAGCTGTACAGGTGAGATCCGTCCGGGCTTTCTTCAATAGTCGATTCAAATTCGCCTCACAGGTACTAATCTCTTCCTGGCTGTTGTCGAAATCCTCCTCTACACCTGGTGCAGGAACGAGTATGCCATCAGACTTTACAAACTTGCGATCGAATGCAGTTTTCCAATCTTCTAAGACGCTGGAAAGATCTGGCATCGAGGCGACGAGTTGTTCGATGATACTGTCACCTTCGCTGAATTTCATGAGCAACCCAAAGGAATACTCAATCTGTTCGAATCCTTCGAGGACATTCAAAAAGTCTTGAGCTCTGCAGCGTCCGGCGTGTATCCTGGAGATCAATCGTTCCAGATCCGGTAGTTTACCCAGTGAAGCCGTAAAGCTTTCCGTAACATCGGGATTTGAGTTCAACGCATCAACAGCATCGAGCCGTGCATTGATTTTCTTTGCATCTGCTAGAGGATGACACACCCATTGCTTCAGCAGTCTCTTGCCGAACGGCGTGATGCACCTGTTGAGCATCTTGAACAGCGTACCCTCACCAGAACCATCGAAGTTGTTTGCGAAAATTTCGAGATTGATCAGGCTTTGACCGTCAAGTACCAAGCTAGTAGCTTTCCGAATTGGATCGTACCATGCAAAGTTGCATAGAGTGACCTGTTCGCGTTCGATCATGAGGACGCGAAGGTACTGCAGTAGGGCGCCGAAAGCTGACATTGCCAAACTGTGATCGCGAGCCTCGCGTAGAACTGGAGGCCACGCTTCGATGTCATCTTCAGTGGCGGACTCGAAGTACTTAGACGCTTCGATCTCGCGAATGGTGTCGTCAGCAGACCAGAACTCTTTGCCAGGTTTAAGGTAATTCCAGAGCGTCGATGGAGTAGTATTGTTCTTCAAGATGCGTAGAGCTTTCGCAGAAATGCATGACTTTTCTATGAGAAGCTCTTTCGGTCGCATTTGCGCTATAAGTGTTTCAAATTTGGTCATGTCGATGTCATCCGTGAACTCGCAAAGCTGGAATTGCGCCGTGGCAGTATCCACGATAGCGATGCCGAAGGCGGGTAGATTGTCACGGTCAATCTCCTTAATGGCCATGCAGTATGTTGACATGTCATCTGTCAGCATACCGGTTTCAGTAAGGGTGCCCAAGGTGAGGACACCGGCCAGCTCACGTCGAATGACCTTGTCCTCCTTCTTGGCCTTCGCCAGCTTCTTTTCACCTCTCTCGCGCATCTCTTTCGCAAGAGCAGACTCCATCTGATCTACTCGGGCCACCCTATACCCTTTGGCGACGAATTGATTAGCCCACAGGTCAAGCGATGCCTCGGGTACTCCGACCATGCACATATTGACCCGATCAGTCAGCTTCAAGTCGAAAAGCTGGTGACCGATCACCGCATCCTTCTCATAAAGCTCGTAGAATTTTCCTTTTTTGAAGAACACGATCGAGTCCCAGAATTTCTGCTTGATCTCCCAGTACTGTGTTTCAAAGGGCGAGAACTTTTTCCATGCCCCAGGTGGGACATATAGAGTTCGTGGATCATATTCTGGGTGATCTGGAGGCTTCCGGTCCGCATCACGGATATCTGTGAGCCATTCGTGTCGCTGCTCGGGTGCCGTGGCTGAAGCTTTGGTCTTCCCCTTACTTACATTCGTCTTCGGTACCCTTATAGCTGTACGAGGGTTCAAGGGCTCGAGATTGTCCGGGTCGTATTTCCATTGCTGTGCAGTGGAAGGTACACCGTCCATGAGAATGTCTTTCCCGTCGTCGCTGTCATCGCTCTTCATAGGCACAGACGGTGAAGATGGCATTGCTGTCTTTGTGCTCGGCTTCATGGGTCGTTGACGCTTGCGTTTGTTCGAAGGGGCATCCTCTTCAGAATCATCCGGCGCGATGAAGTCGTCGATGTCTATGCCGTGTCAACGAGATAAATTTAATTTGAAAGCAAAGAACGCTTACCTTCTTCAACTAAGGCTTGCTGTGTCGCTTCATCAAGTTCGAATTCATCGTCCGAATCATCATCTATGACCACCTTTCTACGCTTGGTAGCCCTTCCTGTCCGCGCTCCGTTGGCAATCGGTTTGAATACATCGTCATCCTCTTCGTCCGATTCGGTATAATTGACCGTCTTTCGGGCCTAGATCTCAGTAAGTAACGCATTTGGGTCTCGGTGAGATAAACATGCCTTTCTAGATGGACTGTTGACTGCGATGCCTGTATTTTCTGGCAAGGCTCTGTCAGCTTCTCTGTGTGTGGATACCGTAGATGCATGCAGACCATTCTCTTTATTCTTTCCCTGACTGATCCCTCGCTCTTGCCGGATGGGACTCGACGGTTGGACAGGGTCGCTGCTTGGTTGGGGCGTGAGCGATGCCGAAAGGTTCTTCGAGAGAGTGGGTGTGTTGATCTCCTGTTTCGTCTCGCGTGTAGGCGTGGGCGAGTTGGTCGGCTTCTTCTGGAAGAAACCCAGGATGGACTTCTGGTTCTTGATGGATTGCGAACCTGATGCTGGCTGCTTCTTCTGAGACGAAGTCTTCGGAGTCGACATTTCGTTTCCCTCTATTCCTCGGACCATGGTGGCAGAGCGCGGAACAGATCGGTGCGTAGGAGATATGGGAGTACGACGCGCACCGCGAAGATGTCGCGCTGGAACGGTGGTCCAAGCGCTCCAGGGGACGCGTTTGTCACGTGTTGCTTAAGTGTCCACGGCTCCACGGGTTTCACTTAGCGCGAACCCCCGCAACTTTTCGGCGTTTGAGTGACATAGCTTTCGGCAATCTCGCCGCCAGGCTAATGACATGGAGGAGCTCCTCTATTGAACCGGTGGGACCAAATATGTCGGAATGCCGTAACCGGAACGGTTCCGAAAAGCGTGGGAGGAGGGGCAGTTGTTCATCTAGAGTTGATTGCGACTGTTCATGTAGCTCGGCAGACTTTTGATAGACAAAATCGCGCATATATCCAGGTGCCGGCTTCTCTCGCTGCCCTTCTTTACTCATACCAAACCTTTGCAATGGCATCAAATCTCTCACAAAATCGTTGCCTCAAGATCGTCACCCACGCGGCGAAGAACAAGTACGCAGTTCCCGCCATCTGCTGCTACAACATCGAGTCCATAATCGCGAGCGTCAAAGCCGCTGAAGCCAAGAAATCACCCGTCATCGTCCAGCTCTTTCCATGGGCGATCCACTTCGCAGGCGGCATCCTCGTTCACGCGGCAAAGGAGGCCGCGGACAATGCCAAAGTGCCTGTAGGCGTACATATGGACCATGCGCAGACACCCGAAATTGTTAAGAAGGCCGCGGATCTTGGTGGTTTTGACGGCATCATGGTCGATATGTCGCACTACGAGAAAGAGGAGAATTTCCGCTTGACAAAAGAATTGGTCAAATACTGCAACGAGAGGGGCATCATTACCGAGGCGGAGCCGGGCAGAATTGATGGTGGTGAAGATGGTGTAGGAGATGTATCGGCGTTAGGTCTAGAGGCTATTCTTACGACCCCCGAGCAAGCCGAAGAATTCGTCTCGCTGGGCATCAATTGGCTTGCCCCTGCTTTTGGCAACGTCCACGGCAAGTACGGGCCAAAGGGACCACAACTCGACTACGACAGATTAAGTCGTGTCCATAAGCAGGTTGGAGATAGGGTGGGTCTCGTACTACACGGTGCCGGTACCGAGTGGTTCAGTAATAAGGAGATGCTGCAAAGCGTGATCCAGCGTGGAGTCGCAAAAATCAACCTGAACGACGCCATTAACGACGACTTCACAAAGATCATGGCTGAAAAGGCGTCGAATACACCTTTAACGACGTTGCTGGAGGAGGCAACGGATGCAATGCAAAAGTCTGTTGAGGAACACATGGATTACATGGGCTCGACCGGACAGGCGTGCTAATATCTAGCTCAGCTAGAAAATTCGAATTTGACTACGGGGTGCGCGGCAGTATGCACACACATCTACCAACGTCCCGACTCATTATGCTGTAGTATCGTACACTAGTTAAAGGTAGAAAAGCAAAACTTAAATAATACAGCGTGCCCAAAGGCGTTGACACCACTGTTACCCCGAGCTGCACAAAGAACGGATGTTTCAAACTTCTTGTTCCTCCTACCAAAAGTTTCGTACGCCCTGCAAGATCAAATCTACGCCGTGTTTGAATGGTATACGTTGCGAGAAGCCCACAAACTGAACCATATGTTTTCAGGAAGGGACGATAGAGTCGTGCCCGTGATTTAATTATCCTGTTCCAAATGCCTTTCTAGGCTTCCTAGCAAATCCGGTTCACCATCTGGAGCGGTTGCGACGTCCGCTGGGACATCCAGATTCGTAGCAGTAATGTTCGGTTGATCCGCCACGACTGGTGCTGCTACTTCCTCAACAGGAGCTGCTTCGGGCGCAAAAGGCTCCGTGACTTCGGCAGACTCTGTGACTTCGGCAGGCTCTGTGACTTCGGCAGGCTCTGTGACTTCAGCAGGCTCCGTGACTTCAGCAGGCTCTGTGACTTCGGCAGGCTCTGTGACTTCGGCAGGCTCTGTGACTTCGGCAGGCTCTGTGACTTCAGCAGGCTCCGTGACTTCAGCAGGCTCCGTGACTTCAGCAGGCTCCGTGACTTCAGCAGGCTCCGTGACTTCAGCAGGCTCCGCGACTTCAGCAGGCTCCGCGACTTCAGCAGGCTCCGCGACTTCAGCAGGCTCCGCGACTTCAGCAGTCTCGGTGGTTTCAACAGGCTCTGTGACTTCAGCAGGCTCCGGGACTACCGAAGTCTCAGGGGTAGGAATTGGTGGTAATTGATTGAGAGAGTTTTGGCGACTGTGCGATACGGTCGAAAGAGGGAGCTCTGGAGAGCTGGAGGGGTCCCGCCGAGGTGCCTCTTCCTTTTCCGGCTTGACAGGTGGCTGCACAGAAGGTTCGTTGGTTTCAGCAGCTATGGAGTCTACTGCAGGAGCCGAAGGCTCAGTTGGAGGGTCTGGTTGAGTCACAGCTATAGGCGGAGCTTCCACGAGGGGTGCAGCATCAGGCATGCTCGTGTCCGCTTGTTCAATAATGGACTCATTCGTCGCCGAGGCTGATGTTTTAGGAGTGGATGTCGCTCGCGCAGGCGTTGATGTATGGCCAGCGTCGTCCTGGTCATCGTGGTCCTCGTGGTCGTCATTATCGTCATCATCCGAACCTTCTTCTCCGGATCCTTCATCATAGTCCCCAGCATCTAGCATTGGAGTATCGCCTCCCTCAGATGGTTCGACTGATCCTTCTTGTTTGACACCCGGCACGGTGAGTAATTCGCTGCCAGTGCTGGAGATTGGCGTTCCTGTCTCCGTAGTCCCTTCCGCAAAAAGTACCTTCTTCTTGCCACGCCCTGGTCCACTCTTCTTCTTCTTTTTGGGAGGAGGAGGTCTTCTTCTGGGAGGAGTTTGTTGCAGTAGATCATTTGCTACTACCACGCCTTCGGCATTCACAACACCAACGCCTTCTACCACAGTTCCTGGAGCGGGGACTGCTGCTGCATCAGGGACAGCGTCCGTCGGTTGTACTTCGCCTTGAACTGCCTGCCCTTCGGGGACCAAAACCTTGTACACATTTACGTTGCCCTCTGCATCTGTCTTCTTGACTTTCGTCTCCCTCATGGGAGTGGGCTGGTTTACTGCGGCGCCGTTTACATACTGCGATGGTAACCCTTTGCGCCGCTTGGCTAGGTACTCTGGTTCGGGCTCCTCAAGGTGTCTCGGCACTTTGACCCACTTCTTGATTGAAAACCCCTGGCGAACCTCCTTGTGCTCCTCTTCCTCGTCCAAGATCTCTTTGTCCTCTTCTACTGGTGCCGGAGGCTTGTAGATGCGCCCAGCTCTTGCTCTAGCAAGAATCTGCTGAGAATGTTCAGGTAACATGTGAGAATCCCGGGGCATAGGGGGCGCCGGCCAGTCGTTCTGATCCAGTTGCTTGTTTTCAATAGTGTTGGGGCCAATGGTAATTTCAACTTCTTTGTACTGATTGATGGGGAGTCCTTCAAGCACGTTATGCTCCACCTGACCACGTCCAGATCTGTTGGACCGATCCCTGTTGCGAAACTAAAAGCCTGTTAGCTGCTGATTATGCAATGACAAAAACTCAACCAATGTTATATACAAATATCATATTAGTGCACGAGCCGGGCGCTTGCTTCGTCCTGCTTTTCCTGGATCAGGTCGCTTCTGTCTAGGCTCCTCGGCTCATAACGCGGAACTGTAACCATCGCGAGACGTTTCGCTAGATTCAGGGATAGACATTGACCATGCTAGGGATATATTGCGTTATGGATGGATGGAATGCAACGTCGCGGTAGGCAAACGGACACGCGCGGAATGAGCAAGACACAGGAAACGTACCGGAGCCATGTTGGACGGCTCCTCACTCAGCAAGTGCCCGTGGCAGTTGCGACTCGGTGAGGCTAGCGCGTCGTTGCCTTCGCGGGAAGTTGCGGCGCGATGCAGTGCGTGAAGGGCAGGCGCGTCCGAGGTGAAGTCGCGCATGCCGTACGACCGTGCGAGCCGCACTAATCCGTTTCCGGACATGTAAAGCCTTGTTCAGCGGACACTGGTTGTTTGCAACCATTAGGTGATGATAGTGAAAGTGAAAGCAATCGACACAAGACATTCAACGTTGTTTCTTGATATTCTAGGAAATGCGCTTTGCTTGGTATCTCCTTGTTGAGAACAGTTCCATGGTTGCTTGTCTAGTACCATTGTTGAGCAGCGGTATTGCTCAACAGCAACCTTCAACGGAGGTCTGAACAATCAACGTTGCGACGAAGGAGAGTAGCTTCATGTGCTCACAGCCTTTCGGATACTATAAGTTCATTGAGCGGATGTCTTATTAACAATTGTATGGTGTGAGGTATCTCATGTTATACAGTGACCCTTCCTTCTACGCCTTTTCTGAACACACACTATGGTACAATCCCTCCTATAATGATTGGAGGCACACTGTCGTCTTTTTCACAGGCCGCATCATGTTGACGGACTTGCTCGCGCTTCCCTCATGGAGCGTGCCGATTCCGTAGCGATTCATAAGTCACGTACCCAGGCTCAATCCCACCTACACAGTGTTAGCTGGCCAACCGTCGAACGGATAGTTCATGGCTCACCCTTGATCCTTCTGTCTCACAATCCCGCCCTCGTCGCCCTTTTGTTTCCCTGACTTGCCACCCTCGACCACCAGCCGGTCCAGCTGGTAGAATTGGCTGACTACGGTTTGTCTCTGCGATCCACTCATCAGCTTGCGTCCAGTATCACATCCATCTTCATGAGGCAGCCTACCTTCAACATCTGCAACGTCTTCAGACCTTCTTGAACGAGCTCTTGTATCCTTCTCTCCTCGCTTTCGTTCTGGTGCTGTCGGAAGCCATCGCGGGTTCTCCGTTTCGCATACTCGCGGAAATTATAGGCGGCGAACTGATTTCCTTGCCTCAATAATGAGCGGTACTATCGGATTCGTTAGTGACATTGCTCCGAGTATCCTTCGGCTCAGCGCGCTCGTGGGGGCAAGCTGCGTGTCGAGCGAGCGTCACAGCGCGAGCGCCACCAGGGTACCAGAGGCTGAGCAACGTACAAGGGAGCGCACTTGGTACGGCATGTCGGTTTTAATAGCTTGCGCCAATGGCATGGTATGTAAGAACGGTGTGAACGGCCGTTTCGCGCGGGGAGAACTTGGTTGGTAATTATATCATTGGCTTGGGTTCGGAGGAAAACCAGATGTCCGAGCTCAAAGCTGGAGCTAATAATTTACGACCGAACCTACTGCAAGTTGCTACACGTTGGAACACATAACAATTGGGCACACACATGATACAGAAGTTATTTTCATATTGTTGATCCTGCTGAGGATCGCGATCACCTCAGCAAAGGAAGGTTTGCCTCCGCGCGAGGCTTGCGCACGCGAAGCCGACTCCATCGCCGCATCGAAATGCGTGTCCCTTAGGTACACCGTCTCCCAAATTGAACGCCATCCCATGCAGTACCGTATCTTTTACATGATCGCACAAACCAGACTCCGAACTTATGAGCCCTCCATGATTTATTGACCACCACCGTGTCTCTCCTGAATACGACGCAGCTGCTCCTGCACATTCATCGATTGCATTTGGTGGAGCCTTGCTGCGTCTTTCGCCGGGTCGGGCTGTCCATCATAGGACGTTGCGGCCTTTTTCCGCCGCGCAGCTTCCTCTTCAGTTATTGGCATGCCAGTAACACCGTCGTATATATCGTCACGTTGACTTGCGAATCGTTTCAAGTTGTTCGCGGCTTCGTTGGGGGTAATAACGGTAGAGTAGCGAGCTTCAGTCTTTGCTCGCTGTTCCTTCCACCGAGGGTCAAGCAGCTCAACTAGACATACAGTTAGCAAACAATCTGAACCAAATTAGTGAAGGGGGCTTACTTCGCATATGCTCCTCGATCTCATCTGAAGGGAAACTCTGCTTGCAATTCGGGCACTGGACCGTGGTCACGTTCGCCTTCTTGCCACGGGGAACATAGTCTGTCCTAATGCGCATAGTGCCTGGTGCGCCTCTTGCTGTGGCCTGTGCTCGAGCAGCCTGGTCGCGCTCTGCTTGTTGTTCTCGAGCCTGCCTGGCTTCGTCTGCCTGCCAATCCACCGATGCAGTCTGTTGGTAGCCGTATGATACTGCGGGAGGTGGCGCATACGCAGGTTGAACTGGCAGCGCCATGGAAGGCATACCTGGGTATGCTGAAGGTGGCATGACAGGTTGCTGGGAGGTATTGTAGAATGCGACGTCGTCGGGCATGGCCTCCTCGATACGTTTTGCAGATAGCGATACCATGGCTTTCTGCTCCAACGAAGCAGACTGCAGGTCAGTAAGATTTGTCGGCGGTGGCAGATCTGCCGCATCGTCGCCTTCGTCGAACAATACGGTTGCGATGACACCGAATTCGTGCCAGTCGATGGCAGCATACTCCTTCTTCTCATCTTCGGCCTTCTTCTCTTCCTTTTGCTTTTGCTGCGTCACATATTTTACATACTCGGCGCGCTCCTTTGCGCGGTCCAAGACATGAAAGCGGTTCTGTATGTTGCGCTGAAGCTCCTCTATGCGAGCCTCGACCGTCTGCTCCTCCTCAAGGAGTATTTTATACTGCTCGACGAGCGCGCGAAAGAAGGGAAAGAAGCTGTGAGTTGGGCGCAAGAACTCAAACTGGGCGTTGCCCGACTCGCGGTTGCGCAGCTCCTTCAGCCAGTTTTCACCAACCCGCGCGGTGTACAGCGCGGTGAGTCGTAATATCTCGAGATCTTTTGCGTTGATCTGAGGCATGCGCGCCGAAAAGCGGAACTTGAGCGGCTCGGGTGGCCCTTGAGGTTTTGTGTCTGCAACCACGCGTGCCGTTGCTGCGGACGGGCCTTTGCCGTCCTTCAGCTGTTGCAGATACCAGGTGTAGTATGGGTTGTAAGGGTCCTCCGGGAGCACAAAGGCCATATTGGATTTGCCCTGATCGCGCACCCGAGTAACCAGGGCGGCCTCGTCGCGCTCGCCGCGACGATGAACGAAGTCGGCCGTCTTCGCAATGCCGTCGCGCACATTTTTGGGTGGTATAATAACGTTCGGAGGCGGGTTGTCGGCGATATCGCTCGAGTCGCCATTGGTAGCGGCCATCGTTGCGCAGAGGTTGTTCGCGCAAAGCTGGTGTTGATCGCAAAGCTCGAAGTTTGGCGGCGCGGCTAGACGTAAAGACCATAGACGACGATATCACGTGCTACGTTGTTCCCGTCGAGGGCCCCCGTAGCCTTGGCGTCTGGAGTTTCCCGATTATTGACGAGGTCCCGGTGTTAGCTGGCCCAGCGTACGTACGCTTGCTGCAGATTGGCTATTTTTGCCCGCTGCAGCTCCAGCCCTTCCTTGGCTCGCTTGTAAGGCGCGAAGACACCTTGCACTTTGAACCAGGGTACACAGCGGACTGCGAACATTGTGGTCGTCGCCCCTAATTCAGCTCTTTTCACTACCACCACTTTCTTCAGGCCGAAAGTGCCTGCTTTCGTACTGTCATTAAGATTCATTTCTGTGCGCAGTGCTACTGACGCCAGACCTACCAATTGAACGCGCGCCGCTGTGAGCTATAGCTTCCAGCAATCGCCCTGGTCGAACAACCCCAGCTGTCACCCCACGAAGACCGCCGCCATGGCGAACCGCCCAGCGGCATCCGGTTACTTGGCCGAAAGACCGGATGGACGTCGAACTGGAAAATCGCCCTCGCGCTCTCCTGGGCCCAATGCGCGGAAACAGCAGAAACCCAAGGTTGTAGGCTACACCTCCGAGGGTGTGCGGGACAATGACATCTTTAGCCTGCCGGGATCCGACTGGCAGATGCTTGTGTTGTTGGTCGTTGTGGCTACTATCGTGCGCCTGTACAGGATCTATCAGCCCAGCAGCGTTGTCTTCGATGAGGTTCAGTACGTCACTTCCGTCTGGTAGACAGCAGCATTCCTCTGACTATCCTCAGCTTCGGTGGATTTGCCTCCAAGTATATCAAGGGCAAATTCTTCATGGATGTGCATCCGCCCCTCGCGAAACTACTGATCACCCTCGCCGGGTGGCTCGCTGGATTCGATGGCAATTTCGACTTCAAAGACATTGGCAAGGACTACGTAGAACCAGGTGTACCATACGTCGCCATGCGACTACTACCTGCCGTCTGTGGCATTCTGAGCATTCCGACTATGTTCCTTACCTTGAAAGCCGCTGGTTGCCGAACCACTACGGCTTCGTTAGGTGCCGCTTTGGTCATTTTCGGTTCGTGGGGACACAGCTTTGCTACGAAGAGATACTAATATGGTGTAGATAATGCGCTCGTCACTCAGTCTCGTCTCATCCTACTCGACTCACCACTCGTCCTCTTCACTGCTATCACTGCCCTCGCTTGGACAAGTTTTACGAACCAACATGAGCAAGGTCCTACAAAAGCGTTTCAGCCATCATGGTGGTTCTGGCTCGCTGCGACTGGTGTTGGACTGGGCGCAACTTTCAGTGTGAAGTGGGTCGGTCTATTCACCATCGCCTGGGTCGGCAGCTTGACCTTACTTCAGCTGTGGGTCCTGCTCGGCGACACAAGAAATGTTACTCCTGTAAGTGCCCTTGGTGCCTTTTGATTTCAAGGTATTGAACCCGTACAGCGTCTTTGGTTCAAGCATTTCTTTGCGCGCCTCTTCTGCCTGGTCGTCATTCCGCTGTCCTTCTACATGGCGATGTTCGGGATCCACTTCATCTGTCTTGTGAACCCCGGTGACGGCGACGGCTTCATGTCCTCTGAGTTTCAGGCAACTTTGAACTCGAAAGGCATGCAGGATGTGCCCGCTGATGTTGCATTTGGAAGCCGTGTCTCTATTCGTCATTGGAACACCCAAGGCGGGTACCTGCATTCTCATTCCCACATGTATCCGACAGGAAGCAAGCAGCAGCAGATTACTCTGTACCCTCACAAGGACGAGAACAACATTTGGATCCTGGAAAATCAGACTCTCCCGGAGGTGTTGGACGGCCCGAAGCCTTCAGGTGCCAAAGCGTGGGACAACCTGGGCCCTATCAACATCGAGGAAGGTGCCGTTCTTAGGCTTTATCATATCACCTCTGACCGTCGTCTTCATTCGCATGATGTCAGGGCTCCAGTGACAGAGGCTGATTGGCAGAACGAAGTATCAGCATATGGATACGAAGGGTTCGAAGGCGATGCCAATGATTTTTTCCGCGTGGAGATTGTTAAATCCATGTCCGATGGTGCCGAGGCGAAGAAGCGTCTAAGGACCATTCAAACCAAGTTCAGATTGGTGCATCTGATGACTGGTTGTGTCTTGTTCTCCCACAAAGTCAAGCTTCCGGAGTGGGGCTTCGAACAACAGGAAGTAACATGTGCACGCGGTGGAACCTTGCCAAACAGTATATGGTACATCGAGGGTGAGTCGTTCAAATCCATCAACTAGGCCACGCTAACATAATCTCAGGGAACGTCCACCCTCTCATGAACGATACGACCGAAAAGGTCAATTACCGCAATCCTGGCTTCTTCGGCAAGTTCTGGGAGCTGCAAAAAGTGATGTGGAAAACCAATGCCGGTCTCGTCGAGTCGCACGCTTGGGACTCTCGACCCCCTTCGTGGCCTTTTCTAAGAAGGGGTATCAACTTCTGGGGCAAACACTCTAGGCAAATATATCTAATCGGTCAGTCTCCTGCGCATACACCCGAGAATATGCTAACCGTTCTCAGGCAACCCCGTCATCTGGTGGAGCTCCACCGCCATCATTGGCCTTTACATCGCCATCAAAGGTCTTGCTGTGCTCCGCTGGCAGCGCGGCTACCGTGACTACTCCAATGTCACTTTCAAGCGTTTCGACTACGAAGTTGGCATGTCGCTGCTCGGATGGGCTTTCCATTACTTCCCGTTTTACCTCATGGCCCGCCAGCTCTTCTTGCACCACTATCTTCCAGCCCTTTATTTTGCCATCATGGCGTTTTGCCAAATGTACGACTTCGTCGCCTATCGCTTTGATATTCTTGGCATCAAAGATTATCCCAAGATCGGCCAAACCGCTGCTGTTGCATTTTTGGCCGTCACTATAGTTGTTTTCCAAACCTACTCGCCGCTTGCATACGGTAACCCTTGGACCAGAGACCAGTGTAATAGCGTCAAGCTCTTCAGCACATGGGACTGGGACTGCAACAATTTCTTGACATCAGTAAGTTAACATATTGCGCCAAAATTATACCAAGCTAACAGCTACAGTATGATCAATACACCACAGAAGGGATCATTCCGTATACCTCTTCTCCCGCGGTACCTGTATCAGCAGCTCCAAAGGAGGTTCCTCCGCCGGTTCAGCAAGAGCAAAAGAAGCCAGACGAAGTCCTCTCTGAAAAGCCTAAGGTCTCCGTCCCGGTTCAGCCCGACGAGCTTCCGGTCCTCTCAAAGGAAGAACGCATTGAGTTCCGTGATGAGAATGGTCGAATACTTGACGAAGAAGAAGTGAAAGCCTTGGAAGGGAAAGTGAGCTTCAAGACACGGTACGAAACACGGACACGGATAGTAGACTCTGCAGGCAACGAACTACATGAGTCACTTGTTGAGGCTAGAGAGGCCGAGGACCAAGGCGTTGCGCCTCCTCACCCGGATGTGGAGGGCCGAAATCCTGAGACGAAGGAAGGAAAGGACGCAGAAGCAAGTGAACTCCCACCAACGGTTGAGGCCAGCGAAGACGAAAAGAAGGAGATGAGCGTCGAAAAACAAGCGAAGAGCCCTAAACCTGCTAGCGAGGCGAAAGCTGCGACGCAAGAGTCCGCACAATAGTGCATGATACAATGCAATCTCGCTCGAGGATTGTTGGTAGCTATGAGGACATCCACCGATTTTGTTTGGTAGGGGTGACAAGCTTTGCTTCGTGGTGTAATTCATGCTTCATGCGTTTGTAAAATAGGGTATATCTTATTGGTAGCGATGGCGCTGTTCGTGGGAGTACGATCGTATACTCTAGATTGGTTCTTGATGCAAGTTACGGTCGTTTGACAGAGAACACTGGTCCAAACCTGGGCATATTGTTCATTAATACCGTGATGGTTAAACATTCGTCTCTCATGACTCTTTCTGTCCGTCTTTCAAGCTCTTCGTCAAAGCCCCCAGTGCACCTGGCAGCTCTTCCATGCCCTCGGCCCCGCCCCTCTCTTCCACAGCAACTGCCAGTTGCTCATACACACTTGCAACGCTTCTAAACACATTCGCACTATCCGGCCACCCTCCTTCCACCTCAAAACACTGCCCTATCTGATTCATCTCCTCCACCCACCTATACGCTTTCGGCGGACACCCCGTAATCCCCTTTTCCGCACGAGCCTTTGCGCTGGGGTTGTACTGCTCGATGTAATCCTGTAGTTGCGGTAGCACTCCGAGAGACGCCGCTGTAGTGAAAGACTGTAGTGCTAGGGCTGTGAAGCCTTTTGAGAGAGCTGCGAAAGTGCACTTGAGACCTGAAGCGGTGCCAATTTTCCCATCAATGTGGCGAATGTTGAGGACGTCTGCGAGTTCGCGTCCAGCGATTGGGGCATCGGAGAGTGGGTGAGGGCCGGATGTGGGGATGCCGGGGCGTTTCCAGTCGATGCTCCCTGGGGTTAGGGATGGTGGACCGCCGATTATGCCGCCATCGAGGAATATGACCTACACTCGTTACTACTTGGTGAACGGATAGCATTTAGATCTAATATAGTCTGATAGAAATTATAAAGGGTATGCACGATGTGCCGTAGGTGCATCGAGAATCCTGATTGAACTCACCCGCGTTTCTTTCTGGAAAAGTGCACCAATGTTCCTAGCCGTCTCTGGGGACACCGCGTTCAGATCTGCATAATAGAGAGGTTCCCCATTTCCAGGCCTTGGGTCGGCTTGATGATGAAATACGCTCAAGATGCGTTCTGCGTTGGCTTTCGCGTCCTTTGGAGGCACGATCGATAATATATCTAGGTCAAAGATTCAGAATCAGTCTAGTGCTCATGCGAGGAATGTTTGACATGCAATACGACCAACTAGCAGGTCGCCGGATGCAAATCACCAGAACATCGATGCGAACGATCTAATGTTCGATTCTTTGTACTGGTGGTAGCCAACCGGTTACAAGGCCTTCAAAACAAGCCAAAATGAGAATGTTGCGTACAGTCTGCTTTACCAACAAGTTCCATATCCGAGGAGACACACTCGATGGACGCCGATTTGGTGCGTTTCTGTGTCGCGGTACTTCTATCGCTAACATTGGTGACAACGTGAAAGCCACGTGCGAGGAGTAGTTGCGCTATGCCCAGGCCCATTTGGCCGATGGAAAAAACCCCTACCGTGGCCTTGGTGGCAGCCATTATTGAAGAGGTTAATAGGTCGACTGTGGACAAAGGTTGACTATGCCGGGGTGAACGATGTCAGAGGTGGTAGGGCTGTTGCTTATGCCGCATGAGAATGGAGATATTGCGGAGGTTCTAACTGCGAATGGATGGTGGCGGGGCAAGCACGACTTTACACGTGCAACACCAATCGCAACATACTCATCTGAAATTATGGTATCGCTTGGACATGAGCAGGGGGAACAATATCATGTACAGCATCAGTTTCAGGGGCCACGTAGACTATGCTCAAGCTACATAGCTGCTGGTTCATAAGTACCATAGTCCGATATCTGGCACTATTTCAGCTGGTCGTCTATTGTGCCATCAACTTGCCAGAGAATGTGATCAGCGACATATCAGTCTACATGGTGACCCGCATTTTCAATCACAGGTGGGCCTGCTTGTCACGATGCGCTTGCACGTAAATGTAATTAGGAACGCACTCTGCATGGTAATGTGTATGCACATTCTTGAGATCCGCTCCATTTACTTGGAGCCCGTAGATGAGCCGAAGACATCAACAAGGCCTGCAGTCTCATTGCGTCACTTTCTAGATGCAATCAACGACCTGGAGTACAGATCTTGAAAATGGCTCGCCGGGTTTCCTACTCTCACAGCGCGACGTCGAAGTGCACGGTTGCTGATATTAGTAAAAGAGATAAGTTCTGCCAGGCTGATGTTAGATCTAGAGAATACGACTCGGGCGGAAACACCTGTTGACGCCTTTCACGGCTACTGGATAAGCTTTCCTGTACCTCCACGCTTGCCCGGCGGGTCTAGCCATCCCTGGACTAGGGCCAGCGGGCACCTCCAACCTCAACGCTCGCGGCAGGAGATACCGTGGATTGCCCCATCGCAGACACGCATCCACACGGCACTTGTCGCTCCCGCCGCACGATCGATGAACGTGCTGCTGTTGCGCCGCACCGCATAAACGCGCCAGGACCACTTTCCCCGACCTTTCGCAGCACCCACGCGTTGAACCCCTCGTCTCGCATCCAGGAGAGCGCGCCCTTCGTCCACCTTGGCTGGGACCCACATTCTTCCAATGGCGCCGCTGCCCGGCACTCCCAGACCACGCGTGAGGAGCTCCGGGCGACCGCTCAAGCGAACCATCTCCGATTCTGCGCCTCCGCTCAAAAAGCGCAAGTACATACCTGGCGGGCCTGGTGGTGGTGGCAGGTACGTCGACGAAGACGGCATCGAGACACCGGTAGGCGGCACAGGACCTGGGGGCTACGCATACACTGGACCTCGTGGCCGCATCGGCCGCATGAACGCTGAAGCACAAGGGCTGCCTCTCGACGCGCCCTCCCCTTCATATTCTCGCCCTCGACGCGAACGACCGCCAGCTGGGCCACGATCCAGTTCGGCCGCCGCAGTAGCCGCCGCAGTGGCGCAACACGACGGATACAAGCCGCGCGAAGAGCGCGGGTGGGAGGAGTTTCATCAGACATTGGACATCGATCTCGAGCTGCCCATATTCAGCGCGGACCAGGTCGACGGCACAAGTCCCCCCGAATCCGCACCCGGCACACCTATCAACGGGTTTTATACTGGACAGTATGCCATCGACAGCGGGGTGTCCGCCCAGTTCGAGGGCATTCGCGCCCAGCAAGCTTCGCAAGATGCCTCCACTATCAATGGCGTTCAGATGACTCCCCGAAAACGGGGCCCAGGGCGGCCGCCTCGCAAGATCGACTCCATGCTGAACGGATTAGGCTCGCCCCCGCGACCGCGCATCAACCCTTTGCCGACTATGAATCCAAAGGAAAAGCTGAATCTACCCAAGCCCTCTACCCGCCAAGTGGAAACTTTCAAGGCATACGAAGAAAGCGAAGCTGTCAAAATCAACTATGTTGACCGGACCATGGCCAGCATCGGCTATCAAGAAAGCGAGATCTTCGCGAAACCAGAGAAGGCGTTGATCCGTGTGCCTGAAGGTTCGATCGAGGAGGACTTGGACCTGACATTACAATCGGAAGGCGATGGCTCGAGTGCGGTTGGAGTTGGGCGTGTGGAGTATGACATGGACGAGCAGGACGATCGGTGGCTGGATACTATCAACGCGCAGCGGCGAGATGAGGGGGTAGAGGCTATTAAGCCTGCAATATTTGAGGTCACCATCACACAAATCGAGAAAGAGTGGCATGCTCTCGAGAAACGTAAGATTCTGCGTCTGTTTAGTGCGGCAAGTTGTCTAACGCAAGTACAGGGATACCTAAACCAAACCCGAAACCCCCACAAACCCATCGACCACGTTCCAGCTCAGCAGCTGCAGTTAATGGAGAGCCCGCAGGCCAAGGCGACGAGCAGGATACAAAGTGCGCTGTTTGCGACGACGGTGATTGTGAGAACACCAATGCTATAGTATTTTGCGATGGTTGCGATTTGGCAGTACACCAAGAGTGCTACGGCGTACCCTTCATACCGGAAGGACAATGGCTATGCCGACGATGCCAGCTAGTGGGGCGTGGCACCCCTGTGAGTGAACAGCCGGTACGTTTTACACCTTTACTCAACATCCATGCTTCACTAACAATGACAGGGTTGCATTTTTTGTCCGAACATTGATGGTGCCTTCAAGCAAACCACTGCAATGAAATGGGCGCATCTTCTCTGCGCAATGTGGATTCCGGAAGTATCGTTAGCGAACACGACGTTTCAGGAGCCTGTACAAGATGTCGAAAAGGTGCCAAAGACACGGTGGAAGCTGGTAAGATCTTCACAATGATACTCTCCACAGCCGCTGACTTGGATTGTAGACTTGCTATATCTGCAAGCAAAAGATGGGCGCATGCATCCAATGCGGCCACAAGTCCTGCTTCGAGGCATTCCATGTGACGTGCGCACGTAAGGCTCGTTTGTGCCTGAAGATGAAATCCTCCTCGTCCCAAAACCCACACGATGCCAGCGTCCTCAAGGCATATTGCGATAGACATTCGCCTAGCGACTGGCGACGCGAGAATGATGTGGACGGTGCGTTAGCTGAAGCCAAATATTTCTATCGACAGACGATGCGGCACGTTCGTTGGGGTGATAGCCAGGCATATGCTTTATCTATTGGTTCTACGCATCCTATACCGTCTGTGGAAGGTCCCGAGGAAGATGATGGCTCAAGCAATCGACGCAGACGTCCAGGACCAGCTGTGAAGTCTTGGCGACTTCCATCTGGAGCTCCAGTTGTACCCCATGCTGTGTATCACAACGTGGAAAACTCACTCATAAGATTCAATGTTCGCAAACGCAAGGAATTCGTCCAGGAAGCTTGCAAATACTGGACATTGAAACGAGAAGCCCGGCGCGGCGCGGCCCTGATTAAACGCCTTCAACTTCAATTAGATGCGTTCTCCTCGATGGAGATCACTCGGCGTAATTTTGCGGGAATGGGCGCTGTCGGTCGACCTAGACTTCAACGCCGTATTCACTTTGCGGAGCTTCTTGAGGATGATATGGAGTCGATCCTCATCATGTGCGAAACGGTCAAGAAACGTGAGGCTGAGAGGCTCAAGGATGTTATGATTTTAAGAAATATGCTCGATGCTATGTATTTCCCGATCTCGCCATTGCTTGAACCGATCCTCGAGCGAGCTGCAATGTAAGTTGGGTTCATAACGTATGAAATGGTCCCTAACTTGTCATTGCAGGTATGACAACAAAGACATCTTCAAAGAAGGCCTTTTGGAGTTGCAGACTAGGCTTGCAGAGAAGTTTTACACGTCTGTGCAAGCCTTCAGCGAAGACATGGTAGCCGTGTTCAGCTCAGTCATTGGCTTTGCTGCCATTGTGGACGTCAGCGATGCTGAACAACAGCTTGGCGGCGGTGCTCACAATCTTCTAACCGCTGAGCAAAAGGAGAAGAAGAAGCTGGCCAAACGCATCATCAAGGGCATTCAACCTCTATTTGACGATGCAATGCATAAAGAGTCCGACTTGGCCGGCAGACCGTTCGAAAGAGAGGTCCCGAATCTCGAGGCCATACTTGACCAGAAACTACGTACACGACCATTTACTTCGGCTTCTACTAACGGTGTGCATGGGAGCATTGAAGACGGGGCCTCTGGTGGTGCAGTCCAAGCCGCGAAGACGATCATGGATGGGGTCGCAGCCAAAGGCGACGAGACCATGCCACATGCACCAACGCCTGAGGAACTATCCGAAGTTCATCGATCTGCGCGGGATGAGGCTGCTGATGAAGCTGCTATCGCTGCCCAGCTCGGACAGGACACCATGCAGATAGTCGCGGATCCTGAACCCATGGATGTGGATGGGGTCCAAAGAAATAACACGACCGCGGCACCGCCAACGCCCCCGGGGTCAGACCAAGATTTGCTTGGCCCAATCCATCACGGTGGTGTACCTTGGTACATGAAAGAATTCGATCCCGAAGGAACAACCGTCTACGAAGAGCGTTGGCCCGGCAGAGACGTGTTGCGAGATATGAGCGAAGAGTTGAGCGAGCTGGACGACGATGAGCTGAATGGCCTGGCTGGATCCGAAGCCATGATACCGGAATCAGTTGTTTCAGAGGAACTACAAGAGGTTGCGCGAAACAAGCGCAACAGAAACCGTGGCCTTCGGTAGCACCTTTCGGTTGCATGTCATGTTTACGATTTGACGCGGGCGGCGCTTGTAATGTACATCTTCAAGTGTACACGATAGGATTTCTGTCATTTCTGGTGCTTGGTGTTTGGTGTTTGGTTCTGAGAAGGTTTTGTCTCAGGCTGGACGTGTTTCGATGTCCTGCAAGGGTTGCACAGGACTGTTAGCGTGGATGCATGATGTTTATGTATAATCTTGTTTCTCTAAATGCAGGTGCAATATGTGTGCTCAATTCGCAGCAAGATTCGTCAGCGCAAGTGCAGGGCTGAAGGGGAGCGCATTATCAATGGTGAGGCGTGAAGGCGGAAGACGCGCTGCGCTGCTGACACGCCCGGTGTGGAAAACCCGTGACCCCTGTTGCTGCTGCCTCACTTCAGCCCGCGTGCCTGCCGTCTTTGTTCCCTCACCAACGCTGCCCGTCCACAACTGGGCCTGCAGCCATAAATATCGCCGCGCTCGTCTGCCGCGTCCTGTTCTCCACTCGTCTCTTACCCACCAACCCTTAGCTACCGCGCCCTCTCCCCTTTGCGGCAGCCTAGCGCAAGCCTTGGGAACCCCTTGCGACCGCCTGCGTAGCGTCGATCAGTCACCAAAAATTCCACTTCGCTGCTCAAGCGACTAGCATCAACCCACAACTAACCACCATCTACCAACATGGCTTCGATGGAGTACGAGTCCGAGCAACGCGGCTACGATGGTATGTTCTACTCGTGCGCTTCGCCTGCTGCTCCTGGTAAGCTTACTGACACACCGCGCAGATGAGCCCCGTGGCTACGATCGTGAGCGTAGCAGGTCTCCGCGCGCCGACCGTCGTGACCTAGATGACTCTCGCGTTCGCAGCGCTTCTCCCATCAATCGCGACAGCCGGTAATGATATTCGTCATCCCGGATTCGATGCGGCTGTACTAACAGCACACAGAGGCCCGCCCCCAGACTCGCGCGATGAGGACGACAACAGCCGCAACCCGGGTTCCAACCTCTTCGTGACTGGTATCCATCCGAGTCTGAGTGAGGAAGAAGTCACCCGTCTCTTCGAGAAATTTGGTGAAGTCGAGAAGTGCAACATCATGCGTGATCCTCATACGAAGGAGTCGCGCGGCTTTGGCTTCGTCAAGATGGTCACTTCTGACCAGGCCGACGCTGCCAAGGAGGGCCTCCAGGGTGAAGTTCACCAGGGCAGGACATTGAGCATCGAGAAGGCCCGTCGCGCTCGTCCACGTACCCCAACTCCGGGCAAATACTACGGCCCGCCCAAGCGTGGTGAGTCCCACGAATGAAGTCTAGATGCAAGAGCTAACATTTATCAGAATTTGGTGGAGGGGGTCGTGGAGGTCGCGGAGGTCCTCCCCGCTACGGTGACCGCTACGAGGATCGCCGCGGTGGTGGTGGCTACTCTGGCGGAGGCGGGTATGGAGGCGGCCGTCGTGACGATTACGGCTACCGAGGATCTCGTTACGAGGATCGACCCTATCGCCGGGACCGAGACGACTACGGCTCGCGTGGTGTTGATCGCTATGCCTCTCGCGACGACCGCTATGGCCGCGAGGAGCGCCGTGGCGGAGGCGGAGGTGGAGGATACTACAACGAGCGCCCGCCCCCGCCTGCAGGTGGAGCTGGCGGTTATGGAGACGCTCCTCCCCCTCGCCAGGAAGCTTACGGTGGAGGTCGACCATACGAGGACCGTGGTGGTGGTGATGAACGCTACTCCCGCTAGACGCGTCGCTGACACTACCAGCGCCGTAACGGTTTTGAGCTGCTGAGCACATCCCAGTCTGGGCGACACTCCTCGACTCTTCTCTCATGTAATCCTATACACTTCTTGCGGTTCGGTTTAATACGGCTTTACGTCACAGTTCGGGGATATGGTCGACAAAAGTTCTTCAATAAGGTTCACGGCGCAAGTAGCATACTCGATAGTTTGCCATCTTGTAGCCTCAGCATCTCATCACGGTTCTCGGCACTCGGTGGATTTCCTTAGGAGAAACGGTATCAACATTTCGGTAAAGGTTCCCAACGCCACAGACTTGGCCTTGGGTGCGCAATGCGTCTTCGTCTGCGTCGACACCAAATTGTACTTCTATATGTCCCCCATTCGATGCGTCCAGGACGTCAGAACTATCAGTCGTCACCACATTCCGCGCCCTCAGCACTGTCTAAATACTTCAATATCATATCTGGCTCCACCCTGACAGCGGGCGCGCCAGCAGCCACTGTCATCGCCCGCACTCATCAATAAGTGCGCTAGAAATCAACATCCGCTATATCTGTTACATCACACCTATAAATGCGGCCACATCTCTCGCCTTTTCTTCACACATCACCTGATTCTCGACAGCAAGTGATGGTTCATTCCTCCATGACACGGCGATCTTCGACACATTCTTTGGTCATCTCAGGATTGCGAATATCGTCCTTCACATTGCCGGTACCATAACGTATATCCTCCAGCAGTGCCTGGACAACGATTTGAGGGCATTGCGTTATTCCAGCACGGGCATTACGTAGGCCCAGGAGCTCAGACTGTTCTCCTCAGGCGGTAGGTTTCGCGTGCTTGCATGGCAGCCTCAGCTCGACTCTGCTGTTAGACACAGGTGCGTTGCCGTTTCCTTTCGTTTTTGTCAAAATCCCTCTAGGCGTGTCGTCCGCCTTGCGTGCGGTCACACAGTGCGAAACCTGTCGCGCAAGCTCACAAGCTCATATCGAAATCCCCGGTGAGGGACGTATACGCATATATTGATCCCGATTGGTGTGCACCAAAACATCTTCGGCGTATAAATCTGACGGTCGAATAATGGTAGGCGAAACGCCATCTACCCGGAGCATTATGTAGGCTCTGACGACCTAGATCTGCATCGGAAGCCACCAACATAGAATGATACTGTAGTCGTAAATGAATGACTCGCTGATGGCTGTGACAATCAGGCTTCTTCTCGTTGCGTCTCAGCGCACTGCGGGTAGCTCCAAATACATGGTAATTATCTAAGCACAGGGTCACGTACAACGGTGACTGGTTCCATGGTGAAACGTGGCTCCTGCCTAGCATGCACAGTGCAACAGCCTGCACGACGCGTAGTAGGCCTTTATAAACACAGAACGGCCAGCGCCAAGAGCTAGGACAGGTAGGGATACGGCTACTGCCAAAGGCGTTAGGACGCAAGGTGTGGGGGTGACTTGACGACGCTTGGTCTCAGGCTTGCGCGGCATAGTACGACGCTGCGAAAGGGATGTAATGGCTAGATTCGCACAGTGCGGCCAGTCGGTTCCTTGTCACCTCTCACTTTTACACCAGCTTCTTGCTACGCCCGCGCCCATGTCGCAACGAATATCATCATTAAGGTGAGCTGCGCGCAAACGACGACCATATTACGGCCGCTTCCAGAAAGCACCACGGACCCCACGCAAAACACCCGAGCCGTGGCGCGCTGCTTCCCGGCTCGCGTATCATGACGCAGCGGAAGCTCATCCCATTCCTTGCCCTCGGTGTCCTCGTCTTCTGTCTCTTCATATACTCGAGTCGCACATCGCGCGAGTCCTGGCAGAGCTTGCCCCAGCACCTGCACTTCGGCGATCATGTTGGCGCAGAGCATACAGAGCCGGACTTTGTCAATTGGAATCCAAAGCCAAACTTCAAGGCTGGCTCGCCCCTGCCACCAGACCACAACTACACCTCAGTTTTGGTGATTGCCAAGACCAAGCGGGAGGATATATCATGGATGGAGAGGGAGCTCGTGGACCAGGAGAAGGCCATATATGTCGCGGACGACCCCACCGCGCCGCTGCACCCGCCCAAGAACAAAGGTCACGAGGTTATGGTCTATCTATCGTGGATCATCGATAACTACGACAACCTGCCTGACGTCGCCATATTCATGCATGCACACCAGTATACTTGGCACAATGACGATCTTCTTGGGCACAATGCCGCCGACATGATCAAGAGACTGAGCCGGCCCCGTGTGTGGAGGGAAGGCTTCGTGAATATGCGCTGCAACTGGTATCCGGGTTGTCCGGACTGGATGCATCCCGGAGAGACAGAGAGGAACGCTTTCAAGCAAGAAGAAGTTCTGCTAGCGAAGTCTTGGAGCGAGCTGTTTCCTCTTGACCCTGTGCCCTCTGTGCTTGCACAGCCGTGTTGCGCTCAGTTTGCCCTCTCCCGTGAGCGCATCCAGGCTAAGCCGTTTGCACAATATCTCTGGTACCGCAACTGGCTTTTTTCGACAAAGCTACATGATTCCATGTCCGGCCGTATATGGGAGTACGTCTGGCAGTTCGTTTTCACGGGGAACAACGTGCATTGTCCTAAAGAACACATTTGCTTCTGTGATCAGTATGGCAGTTGCTTTGGCGGCGAAGGAGAGTTTGAGGATTTCCTGAAGAGGAAGCACGAACTGGAGGATCGCGAGCATGAGCTCAATGATTGGAGAGAGCAGGGAAAGAGCATACAAGAAGCAAAGGACCAGGGCAAGTTCGCAGAGGCTGAGCAAATGGAGCAGCCCGAGCCAGAAAAGGGGGCCTCATTGGAGAAGGACATCCAGCGGCTTCGGTCCATTATAGACAAGTTGAAGACAGACGCTTGGGAAAGGGGCAAAGATCCAAAAAATCGTGCCAAGGAGGCTGGACGGGAGTGGCACGAAGGAGATGGGTTCTGATCGTAGGTACTCGTACACCTCCAGGTAACTTAGGCTTCAGGGAGGTTTGCCTCGCAAGCATGAGTAGAGTGTACAAGATGGAGGCAATGCCAATGACGATTTGATGCATGCGAGTCAGATACCTTGCTCATCGATGTAATAATATACGACCCTTGTAGCTTACATAAGGAATGCATGCTTGTGTTTTGATGTTCGGTGTTCTCGGAGAAGAAGCTGTACCACCAATCACATAACCAGCAAGCCCGCACAGTGCGGATGCAAACGACACAAACAGCACAAACACAACACAAGCACGCACAGCGCAGGCACTCCACAGGTAATTGAGTCCAACAAACACCCGATATCGACACCCATTATTGCTCTTGGCTTCGATCAGAACCGTTATGTGGCATCCTCGGATCATCCGGAGCTGTTTAGAGAGCGCAGTAAGATGCGTGTCCAGTCGGTAGTTGTTATCGCAGTTGATGCTAGCACGCAATTCGGTCACTATGCTAACGTTCCTCAGTCTAGATATATTCGCTAGATACCATGATGGTGCAGTAAGCCACCGAATACTCGACTGGTGTTTGTCACCATGGCAGCAAACGCGCCAGACTTCAAGAAGCACTTGCCACCCGCAAACGTCGCGTGGGCATCAGAAGTTGGCGATTATGGCTCCTCTAGATCCGCCTCGATGAACGATTGCGATGGGTTCATGCCCTCTCAAATGTCCGAGATACCCACTCGCGCTCTGCAAGAAACTCATAACTTGGTAGAGTTGCTGGAAGCTGCAACTACCGCTGCTGAAAAGGCGCAGGTGTTGGCTAGATCGGATACTGCCAACACCATGATTACACGGAAGGGAAAGAGGAAGAGATCGTCGAGTAATCTATACAGAGATGAAGACGGTGCACCGCCCGGCCTCAAGCGCGCTCGAGTGCATGCGACAGCTACTAATAAATCAAGACAGTACGTTGCGCGCGGGGGTACGCTTGATCTGAACCCGGGCCTTGACAAGCAGGCAGATAATGCAGAGCCTAGCGACACAAATACACCGGGCATACATTCGGCTGTAGCCCTTTTCCGCCGACCTTCCGAGAAGGTTCCCCGTAAATATACGCGCCTCCCAATGTCGAAGCTGTTCATGTCGTTACAGCTCTCTCCTGAAAGCTTCTTGCATCTGCAAGCCGAAGCCAAATCGTACATGCTTGATTCTGCGCATCCTGAGCGGCAAAGCTGCGTTGGCAACAGAGGGAAAAGCGATACTGACATGGTCAAATTGCGGTTGTTTAACTGCGTGCGGGGCTTCCTAGATGGCGGCGCTGGAGAGCGGTTCTTTGGAGAGGGTGCAGCCAGCAAGAGACAAGCGGGGGGTGAGTCTCAAGAAGTTGCCAGGGCATTAGGAGAAGAGGAAGTACAAACAGACAGTGATCTCGTCTGGCCAAGAGATGGCAACAAGCTCATCAGTCTAGTCACCCCTCTCCTTCGCCGCATGGTTACCAACGAAAGGCAACGCGTATACGCCATCGAAACTCGTAAGGGAGGAGCGAGGGGAAAGGAAGACGTTGTGGAAGCTGCTGATGGAGTTGCGGCAGCAATGCAGCAGCAGGATCCCTCCATCAGCAAGCTTCCTTCTTGTCACGGCCATGATGTTCCGGGCGTCGCTGCTTCATCTGATTGTCGCCCCTACTTTACCGCCACCGTCCGTCCACAGCCACGCACAGGCCCAGACTTAACGAATACAAGCATGCCGCTATGTTTACCTTTTGCCTGGTCAGTCGATGACCCTCCATCTGGTGGTGGCGATCCACCAAATGACCATGACCGAACCCCTCATATAAAACATCTTAACGTCTTTTTAAAGACGGACAGGAGTATCTTAGGCTCAGTTCGGTTTCGTCATACGATGGAGGCACTCCTCATCCAGTTATCTTGGGCTGATCTGCTAATTTGCATCGGCCATTTGATGGAGCAATACGAGCACAGAATACGTGACTCATTGCGCAGGGCCAGCGTTGAAATAGGCCCCGATACCCTTCGTGGACTTGCTGTCGCGGCCACTAAAGCTCAAATTGGCGATGGAGGCCACGAAAGTATGTCGTTACCAGACACAGAGTTCTCCTTAGGCGCTTTTCCAACAGATGCATTGAACAGTTCTATATCCGACACAAACGGCTTGCGTCATGTCTCTGCTGCACTGAGGCCCGAAGCAACACCAAGAGTTGGCAAATCTGGGTCTACGAAGCCGGTCATAAGGTCACCCCAACTAAACGATAATGGTACTATACTTCAGTATCGTATCGAAGCTATGCGATCAATGGGGCGCGTAGTGATCGAGAATGACAGCGACTGGGAGGCATTGAAACTGGATGTTGCATCTGCAGATTGGGCAGATCAGACGCTGAATGCAATCGCGATACTGCAATGAGCAGATTAGGTTGTAGCTGCCATACCTAGCATACATAGCTAGACTCCCGACATTATACTAGATCCCCTGGAGTGGCTCATTGAGATACTATCCTCAACACCTCCTCACCCTCGCGTTGGCCCAAGATATTTTCGTTTACCATCTGTTCGAGCGCCTGCTTCACTTCTGCTTGCTGTGCTTTCCACTCATGTTTGGCTGTAATAGCACCGTCACCCTTTTCAAGAACTTGTTTTAAAACCTCCGCTACAACTGCCTTTGCCCCGGTGGCTTTTGCTTGCTCTCCGTCTCCTACTCTCTCGGCGTAGCTCTTCGCTCCGCGGTAAAATACGCCTGCATTAGAAACCAGCACGTTTCGACTCGACCTCCAGGCTGCTTTAGCTGTGTCTGCGAACGAGAGGCTGAAGCGTGTGAGGTCGATGTCCGCTCGTGTGTCGAATATGTCTGCGAGGCGATCAGGCGACAGATGGGCGTTGTATTGGGGTTTGACTAGTTGCGTGAGGAGCTTTTGCGCTTCGGAGAGGGCATTCCATTGAGTCTCGGCATCCGAAGACGTAGATGCTGCTTCCGCCACGTCTATGAGCGCATCGGCATAGGCGGACTGCTGCGCCACTTGCTGCTCTGGAGACTGTGAGCCCTGAATCAACGTGGTAAACAGCGTCGAGATCGTGCTGGCATATTGCGGTGCTGTGATGTTTCCGTTGCGGTAGGATGCTTCTGCAACGGCGACCTGGAATATGGCTGCGGCCAGGAGAGCATCGTCTTTGGGCGTTAGTGCGTGCTCCTTTTTGGTGCTGGGGGACGATATGGATAATGTAGGACCGGCTCTTTCATCTACTGTTGGAGGCGGAGGAGCATTGTCCACAAGGGAGATCAGAGTCGAGATGCTGGTGTTGACTGTGTAAAGGCCCTCCTGAACTCGCTTCTCAAGGCTCGATAGCTCAGTGGGATTGTACAAGCCCAGGAGCGTCGTCAGAACGCCAAGCTGTGCAGTGCATGTTTCCAGAATGACCTCGGGTGTAAGGGCTTCCTCGACTGTAGCCCACTCCCCAGTGGCGGAAGAAGTTTCCGAGGCAGCATCTGTGGTTTTCTCACCATCCGCTTCCGTCTGCATACCTGCATCATTGGGATGCAGGTTGCTTTGCTCAGTCTGCATAGTGTTCCACTGGAGGGCCATCTGCTCATACTCCCGCTGTTGCGCAGCAAGGCACTTGGCAAATAGATCGGCCGCCTCTTCGAGCAATGGACGTGCGGCTACTCTCGCCTCAGTCTCGGCCTCGTCTTCCAATAGTGCTTCTGCTAGCGAGCTGAGGACTTGTCCGGTATTAAATTGGATGTCTAAATTTTCGCGGTTCAATAAGAGTGCCGCACGGTGAGAGGCCAGGGTTTCCTGCAGCAGGGCGACCTTGCTGCCCAGGTGAGGTGCAACGCGTTCATCTTCGCAAGTTTGGTATTCGAGATGTGCCCTGAGTATGTTCAGCATTCGGAAAAGTCAAGTTAGGCTTGCGGGATTATCAACTTACTTATTGTACGCGAGGTCAAAACTTTGTGGAAACTTCACCAGTCCCTCATCGTACATCTGAATTGCGCGTTGGAAGAATCTTGCTCCTTTCGCTGCGTCTCCAGCTCGCCATTTGCCCTAGACGGGAAGACAAAATTAGCGTAAGCGACCCGAGTGCACGCCAGCTGAACGTCTAAATGCAGTAGGTTGCTAAGAACCTGGAAAAGCCGGATCGGATCGTGCGCAAACTAAAGCATGCATCTTCCAGCTCCCTACGTTGAGAGATACCTTGTCTTCGAGGCATCACTTACTCCTGCCTGTTCATGTTGTTCTGCCGCCTCCAAGTATTCAATTTCTGACTGTGGGTTCGAAGCTTTCGACTTGGCCTTCGGTTTGAAATCTCTGCTTTTGGGTGGCATCTTTAATTATTGCTGTTACGAGAGCACACACCAGTTCGGAGGAAGAGTTGTGGTGTCAACGATCCAATGAGTTTACTATGGCCTGGAGATGGTTGCAGTGACGTCTCGGCGTGCCCAAAAATTAAGCGGGGCCTTTACCGGGTACCGCAGCGCACTATCGCTTTCGCAGTGAGCAACACCGTTCTAGAAAACCTTCCCTAAAGTACTTCCCTATGAGTCACTCCAGGGTCGAAGTCGAAGAGAAATTATCCATAAGCCTATGCACCTGATGGCAATGCTCACTAGACGTTGGCGCCGTATGCACGGACAATTGCTCTCGCACGCTGAGTGGTGACTTTGAGAGCAAGTCTCGTGACTGCGCGTTGCCCATGACTATGCATATAACGCGTGGCCCCCAGCTTCAGTTTCGATTTCTCACGAGTGTCCTCAAAGAAACTATCCATCACAATGCAGGGAAAGACGCTACCCGCAGGCAATGTGACGGCATTCCAAATGCGCGTGTACACCCTTTTGCTTCAGGTTTGTTAGGCCGCGCCTTCTAGACAATCAACAGCTTCCTCAGCGGTGAACAGATTCCAGAAGGCAAGGTATCGACCTATGCTGCGCTGGCCAAGGTCCTTAAAAGCAGCCCACGAGCCGTCGGTGGAGCGCTACGCAGCAATCCGTTCGCACCAGAGTAAGCTTCGGCAACCAGAGCAATCATTCAACTACGTGTACTGACATTATCAGGGTGCCTTGTCATCGGGTACTTGCGAGCACTGGAGTAAGATTTAACGTCATATCGAACGAGCACAAGACTGACACACCTACAGTTTATCGGAGGCTTCAAGGGCGACTGGGAGAAGGTGCCGAGCGGACAAAACCAGACGTCAAAAAGGAAACTCCTCGCTTCTGAGGGCGTACAGCTTGACGAGACTGGCTATTTGATAGACAAGTCGTGCTGGTGGGACAAATTCGATGTCTCGTAGTGGCGACGGATGGTGAATGAAATGGCAGGATACCCCTGCGATAAAACGATCAGTGCTTCACGAATTATACCCCCTATGGATTATATCCAGTAATAAGTCAGTGAGGGATACACTGGTAAGCCTCCCTCTTTCTGCTTCGTAATATGCACTCTAATGTGTCACACATAGGAAGCGAATACATCATTCAATACTATAAACTAGAGCTTCAATATGTGTTGCAAGCTGGTCAACATTAGAATACTGTTATTAAGATTCGAACGAAGACAAAACAATGATTCGTTCTACTCAAGGTTGTCATAAAGCGTTTTCTCCACCGCAAACCACGCCTGGATTACCTTTGGATCGCCGAAGGGGAGGACTTGGCCCGCTGTATGGTAATCAGTATATGGAGAAAAAGCATATACCACAGCTACAGGAACTTCGAGCATCTGCACTTACAGAGCATTCCGGCAATACCCTTCTCCCTATCGACCCACCAAAAAAGGTTCGCAAGTCCGCACCACCATCCAGTGTTGGCGCCACGTCCGGTATCTCCTGGGGCAATCGTGAGGAACATACTCAGACCCCATCCTTGTGGTGGGTTCCCAGTCTGGGGATACATCTCAGGCACACTGTTCGACAGCAGCGGATCCGCCGCCGGCGGACCACCACGCGCAAAGTTCGGCTGATTCGGAATCTGGTTCTCCCACATCAAATCCACCGTTTCCTTCTTCAAGATACGATTTCCAGTCGTGGGACTGACTCCGTCATTCAAGAGTGCCGTCAGAACCTTGAGATACTCCTTCGGCTTCGCGAACAAGCCACCTCCGCCTGAGTGGAAGAATTTCTGCTGCTGCTCTTTTGTGTTCTGCCAGAATGCACGATGGTACAAATGATCGCGCTCGCTCAATGCTCCAGTTGTTGGGTCGCGTTGATGCATGTATGCGAGGTTGGACTTCATGTTCTCTGTGGGAAACATTGTGACGTCGGAAATGCCTAGGGCTTTGAAGATGTGTTCTTGCATGTAATCGTTCAGCTTTTGTCCGGTGTGGCGCTCAAGGACGATGCCCGCCCAGTCGATGTTAATGCCGTATTCCCACATGCTCCCTGGTTTCAAATTGCGTAAATCGGCTGAATCCCACGGTATTAGCACAGCTCACCTGGCTGGTTGACCATCGGTGAATTGATGATATCCTCTTCGTCACCGTTGAACTCTGGTCAGACAATATTAGCAGTGCCTAGTACCAAGATTGTGTTGAAGGTGGAGCTAACCTCCAATACCAATGGGTCTTCCTCGCATGCTAACCCTGGGGTCGAAGAAAGCATATGCGAAGCCAGCGGTGTGATTGAGCAGCATTCTCATCGTGACACTGCCCTGTTGATCAACGCCATTGACCCCATCAGCGTACACCTTCTTCGCGCCGATTTCCGGTGCGAGCTTTTTAATGAACTCAGCATCGTCGAGTGGTATACTACCTTGCTCTACAAGCTGCAGAACTGCAATTGTGGTAACAATTTTAGTGCAGGATGCGATCCCTGTGATAAACCAGTCAGACGGACGAATGCCAATGTAAGATTGCAAAGCATTTACAGAAGCTTGTTTCCATGTCCATAGGCTCTTGCGAGTTTATAGAACGCATGCCGGAGGCATGTTCGATAAGAGATTTGCCCTCTTTGTCGACCGCCACGAAGGTGAGGCCGTTCATACCCGTGGGTCCCTCCTTGGTAGCGGCATCGAGTACCGTCTTGATCTTCTGTGCACCCTGAGCTGAGAGAGGCATTATTGCGAATAAACAAATCAGATCAGCTACTTGTGACGATGAGGCCAACTATAAGGACGCGATCACGTTTTGTAGAATACCGACACACTTATGCCGAACCGAAACGTAATGACTCGAGTCGATCGAATCGTGCCAGCTTTAGCCTCATAATTAGCTTCTAGAAGCAGTAGTGTGCTTGAGAGGGTTTAGAAGCTTATGTCCGCTGACCTTGGCTGGATCTCTGGTGTTTACTGAACGAGATCCACGAGCCCCACCCCGCGCCCCTTCCCGCATTCCAACCGACAAGCACCGTACAACGTGTAGTTATGAAAACTTTAAGAGTCTCGTTCGCAAGCGCTCTCTTCATAAGTAATGGCTGACGATCCCTTGAATTGAGCTATCGGTTAGTCTAGACTCGTTCACTCCCACATGCATCTAGTAGTTCAGATTCGTGCACATGCATGAATATCTTTGGACGAGGGCTTTATATTGCAAATCTCAGCATTGCTGATCCTGAAGGAAACACTTGGTACTGAAACGGGCCGACTACTGATACGGCCGGTATTGATTATATCCTGCTTATTGTAATTACACAGTGCGATCAACTGGAAAGTGTCACCAACATTACACCGTCAGCGTGAAGTTGGCAACATTCGTCGGCTCGCGTGGGTAGAACTCCCAGGTAAACGTAGTAGTCTTCCCTGCGCTTCTCACCGCATCCAAAACAGCTGACTTGAGGATGACATTGTTTGCGTCCCAATCCCACTGCCCCGAGTACGTCAAGCGACCTTGCTGCAGGGAGCCTAGATACTGCGTCCAGTCATCAATCAAGATACCTCCGTCGCTCTTGATGGCTTTCACAGTCGCAGGACGGTTCTGACCCTTCCACGTGATCGGAATTGAAAGGTCTACAGACGTGGCTGGCAGGGCTTGAGTGGTGGATCCGAGGACTGGCGTGGCGTATTGCAGTATGTCGATATTAGTAGGGCCGCCAGAAGAAAAGGTCACTGTAAGGTTTGCGAGGGAGCCGGTCGCGGTGCTGGATGTGATTACCGTTTTGAGGAAGGATGCGGTGAGGACTATCGCGGAGGAATTGCTGGAGTAGTCTGTGCCCTTGGTGAGGGCAGTACCTGTTTTAGTGTTCTTAATGCTGGAGAGTGTGTTGCCATTAAATAGGTACGGCAATACTGTGTCGGTAACTGCGGCGCCGGCCTTGTGGTAGGCGTATGCGGAGGAGGATTGCGATGTTGCGGAGACGTCGGTCGTGCTCTCTGGTAGGCTATTTGTTTTCCCGGCTGCGGCGTTGGTCAGAATGGAGAGCGCAGTTGGGTCTCGCCATTGGTGTGTTGCTCTGTTGAAGTGGTCTGCGCCGTTGTCCCAGAGGACTGTTGCGGTGTTGTATTTATTGGCCGTGCGGATGAGGAAGTCGAAGTATTTCCAACGCGCGGCGGTCTCGGTTTGGACGGAACTGGCGTCCCATTCGCCGATTATGAGTGGTACATCGGTAAAATTGTTACGAATAGCAGCAAAGTCGGCATCTAGAGTGGCCTGGAAATCGGAGGAAACGGTCAGTGACCAGCCTTCGAGAAATCGGGAAATGTATGCTCAAGAGTAGAACGTACCTTGTCCGCATCCGAGCCCCAGATCGTCTTGCCCCACGCAGAGAAGATGAAGTCGTATGGGGAGTAGTAATGGTATTGGATCGCCCACGGGTTCTTGTATTTCGCATCTGGCCGTTGGAACCACTGACTTGTCTTGACAGAGTCCTCTCCAGCTCCGACCAGGGTCACCACTCTTTGAGTGTTGAACCCGCCAGAGTCGGCAAGGGCTTGTAGGAAGATGCCATTGAGTTTGTTGAGCTCTGCACCGTGCTCAGCAGTAGTGCCGGGAGGCTCATTAATGGGCTCAAAGGCGACCAAACTGCTCTTGCACGCAAGCTTTGTCCCAATCTGGTACCAAAGCCTGTAGAACTTCTCTTCGATCTGTGTAAGATTCGCACCAGACGCAGTAACATCAGCCCAAACCCAGCTATCGTGGTGCACATTCACAATCGTATAGAATTCTCTGGCAGTGATCATGTCGACGACATCAGAAACGCGTTGCAGCCAAGCAGCATCGACGTCCCAGCTTGGCGATCCGGATGTAAAGTGGTCTTGGGTTCACTGTCAGCGGTGATCGATGTTCTACCACGAAGACACCTACAAGCCCAGGTCACGGGTAATCGAATACCCTTGAAGCCAGCAGCCTTGATATCGTCGAAAGTGCCCTCGGTAACCTTCGGGTTGTTCCAATCTCCCTCGTCCTCAACGGCATCAAGTGTATTTCCCAAGTTCCACCCAGGGTTGATATTCTTGACAAAGGCCGAGGCAGAGACTGGCGTGAATGTCCCCGTGCACTTGACACCCGCTCCAGAGGTGGCAGAAGCGGATGCAGATGCGGACGCCGACGTTGTTGGTGAGGTCACCAATGTCGTCACAGTTGATGAGGTCTTCGTAGTAGCGACGGAGCTTGTCTTTGCGGAAGAAGCGGCGATCGACGAGCTGGTGGCTGCTGTCCCAGGCACACATTGATGGTACCCTACGCAGGCGGTGTTAAATGAATCTTATCGTGATATAGAATACGAATGGCGTACAATCATTCTGGGCTTGGCATGTGTACCCGCTTGGACACGATGTCTCGCCGGTGTAGCCTGTGCCACCACCTGTATTTGTCAGTTCTGCTCAATGGACAATTGATGTCTTGGAAACTGACATTGAGCATATGGTGCGTTCTCAGCAAGTACGCCTTGAAGCAGAGCTCCGAAGAGCATCAGCCCATAGCTGGCGACCATTTCGCTGGATTGACGGGACTCCTACGAATGCCCGAGCTTGGATCGACTAGCGTAGTTGTGCGACCGAGTATTGAATGGGCGACGTCCAAAATATATCATTTTACTCTGTATACCAGTGACTCGATGTTCCCTTTAAAATGATCATGTTGGCGTAAGTCTTCATTTCCTCCAATGACGCAGGGGGACCTGTAAATGAAGGGCCGACCCCATTATTCTCCATGAGGTACGCTTGACTAAATTCCATCCACGATTCCCGAAGCAAGGTAGTCCTAGGGCTTGGGAGATGAACCGGGCTAGGAAGTAGGTAGGCTGCATAGGAGAACAAGGGAGCGGGATTGGTTGAATTGCGACTCGCCTATTCGGCTCCCTGCGGTACCATATTGCAGGTCCCGTCGGCCCTATAGCCAAATGAACAGCACCTTTCGATTTTTCCGCCAAGTACACTGAGGACGTTTTGCGTCGCGTGCAGCTTTCGCGGGCCGCAAAGGCGGGTAGGCCGATCCAGGTTGCGCAAGGTACGGGGTAAAGTGGACAGGATGCTATGGTGTAGGACGCAACTTTCATGCGCGTGATCCGGGAACCTGTTACTTGTATCAGACTGCAGAACGAGAAACCCGCATGCCTCATCATATATTAAAACAAATATAGAGAAAGCTGATGGAATGATGTAGACGAAAACGATGTAGAGATAATGTATATAGCGACAATGGAGAGAAGTGCGAGGTCATCACAGCCAGAAGACAATAATATACATGTGCACCGCAACACCATGTTATGGATGCGGAAGAACTCAGAGACAAAATTTGACTGTATTGGAATCGAAGTTGAAGGAAGGAAACGACTTCCGACATAATCCTCGAGATGCCGTGTGCCCCCATGCGCCATAAGCTCCTGATTGCGCCTGATATCGTCCAGATTATGTTTGAGTTTTGAAAATGGTCCTACAGGGACAGGGAGAGAAACGATTGCGCCTACATTCATAGGGTAGGAGCGAAAGCAGCGAGGGCCAAGCCGTAGTTGGAATCCCGGCTGGTTCGGTCCTGCGTCGAGGGCGAGGACATGTGTACGTCCGGCCAAGGTGCTCACTCTGGACGCGGTCTCTTGGCCCCGTGTGGGTTCCAGTTCCCGTCCCCTCCACCTTGGCCCTGTTGGAAGAAACCCGGGTTGAAGTGGTTTTGATTGTTGGCGAAACCACCAGGGCCTGCGCCTACACGAGGGAGGGAATGTCAGCGCCTTGCAATACACCAGGGAAAAGTAACGCAGGAACGCGCCACTGCGGAAGAGATCTTGAACGGTTGACGTACCCATGCCTCCGCCCATCATGCCCCCCATGTTACCACCCATCATGCCCATTGCACCACCCATGCCCATCATGTTGTTTGCCATGGGCATATTCATACCGCCCATGTTGTTCATACCCATACCACCACGCCCGCGATTGTTCATGCCTCCCCGCATGGCACCCCCCATCATGCCGCCACGGTTGAAGTTGCCTCCGCCGAAGTTATTCATTCCGCCCATTGGGCCACCCCCGAAGTTGTTCATAGGGCCAGGCCCTCCGAACCCACCCATGTTGCCGCCCATGTTTCCTGCTGGGCCACTAAAGCCACCCCTTTGGAAGCCCATGTTTCCTCGATTATTGAAGTTGCCTCTTTGATTGTTGAAGCGGTTGAAGTTACCTCCCTGCCCACCTTGGTTTCCAAAGTTGCCGGAAGATGATCGGTCGCCGCGGTTCTTATCACGCTGGGGCACATCTTTCGGGAGAGTTTTAAAAGGGTTGACGTGGGGCGGGTTGAAGATAGCTGTGGGCTTTTTAGTATGGGTTTGGTCCTTGTAAAGGGCTTCTATTTGATGCTTAAGGGCGGTGGCAGCTTGCGGACTCTGTAACTGTACGTAAACCTGGCTTTAATGGGCGTCAGCAGAAGGTCGTCAGGCATGGCAGTATTACGTACCCCTTGCTTTTACCGTTAACCTTGTGCTCATTGAAGGTGACTTCGTTGAGCTCATCTTCACAGCCACCTTGATTAGCCCAGCCGCGAATGTCCTCCTCGCTGATCCACCAGTTTAGGTCATTGATCATGAGTGCCGCAGTAGCGCCTGGATCCATTGGCCGGTCGTCGTCTTCGCCTTGTTTACGCTTCACGCCCTGCTGCTGCGGAGCCTGCTTCAGGAAAGCCTGGTTGTTTGCTGACGCGCCAGTGCTTGAGATTTGCTGTGTGCCATTCTCCTGTTGTGAGGTTCCATTTGTTCCCGTGACCGAGCTATCGCGTTTGTCTGCTGCATCTGCATCCCTCGGTTTCTCTGTTGTGTCCATGGTCGGCTCGAGCGAATCGTCGTGCGCAACGGTGTTGGGTTGCTTGGGCGCTTGCGGTGCAGTGGCATCCTGGTAGTTTGGACCGGACTCGTCGCCGTAGATGTCGATGTCAAAGTTATCGTCGTCGGCCATTTTGCTATTGGTCAGTAGGAGGAAGTCGTAGTCTTGAGGTGGTGCAGTTCAGGTCAGGCTTGCCCGAGGAACGGTGAAAGTGAGGAGCAAGGTATTGATTTGGCTCTGAATACTGATCCGGCAAGTTAACAGCTGATGTACATGCAGGTCTGTATGCGCGAGGTTCATCAGTGAACTATTTGACATGATGGTGGAAGGCTACGAGACAGGTCTGCGGATCGAGACCGCAGAACAAGGCGCGGCTTCGGCGCAGAACAGAGGAAATACGTACAGGACTGCTCGGCGGGCTGATACAGAGTCCAGAAAAGGATGCCCAACGCAAGATAAAGTAGTCCGACCGCCTCTGTGGCAGATACGGATAGTGAAGGTACAGAGGTACAGAAGGTATGTGAGAGATGTGAAAGTTGGATGTCTAGCTCCGACGCCTGCGTACTAGCCGAATGCCTCCCGTGCAGTATTCTCGTACAGGATGCCAATTACTTATTGTGTGGGAGAAAGCGCTGCAGTCAAGAAGAACAGGGCGATGGCCTGCGATTCGAGATGAGAGACGGGGAGAAGCAGGGCGTCAAACGCGCTTCAGCCGTGTGCCTTTCACGCGTTGAAGAGGGAGACAATGAGGCGCTGACAGATCAGACGGCGATGTCAACGTCTGCGGCAACGTATAAGGAGTGCGACGGCGCAAGCTGTGCTGCGAGACGTGCGGAGTGGATGTCGAGACTGTCTCGATGGAACGTGAACTCACTGTCGCATCTCTGAGCTTCGGCTGCGGAGCTTGTCCCCTTGGCGCAGCGGCGGCTAACTGCTTTGAGCCAGCACCCGCCCGCAATCTGTCCCCAGTCCTCCAAGTGCCCCATTGCACATCGCCCATCTAATAATCTACCACGCGACACACAACCCTCTACCCACCACCAACAATCAGTCTCTCATACATATAATGGATCAGGTCAAGGAGCTCGCCGAGTACGCTTCCCGCAAGCCACATCGAACCACGCGCTAACCGTCCTCCTCGCAGTGTGCCCCAGGAGTTCGTCAAGGACGGCCTTCAATTCGTCAACCGCTGCACCAAGCCAGACAAGCGGGAATTCATCAAGATCTCCCAGGCCGTCGGTGTTGGTTTCCTGATCATGGGTGTCATCGGATACGTTGTGAAGCTTGTCCACAGTGCGCAACACCTCCGAACGATATACGCGTGGTCTTCTAATCAGCAATGTAGTTCCTGTCAACAACATTCTCGTCGGCGGTTCATAGTTCTTCGCACGCATCCGATTGTAGGACGGTCAGACATCGTGATCAGAGACATGTGGAAACCAAGGCAGGATGGGGGACGATACTTGGCAAAAGAGGCGGGCGCAGAGGGCGCAAAGGGGGCGCACTTTGGCTGCATTGGCGCATTAGAAACACGTTTACACGTTGTACTATACCAGCATCTGGTGGTTCCCGGACTTCGGCTTCAATATATCCCTTTTCATTCCACACAATGCATCGAGCTTGGAGTTACTCTTGGGTTCTGACCGTACATGTGGACACAGTACAAAACCCCAATATTTTCATGAGTCGTAAAGTCATCTTCTGCGGTCGTAGGGCAGCAATGATGCTTCTCAGTTCTGGCGGGCTAGAACTTCGTCCTATCAAGCCAATCTACCAGCAAAGGCGAATCCTGAGCGCACGACTAGTCGTCGTACCAATGCCTTCGTCCGCCCGTCGCAATGCTCCTGTATAATCGCTCGTCGTGTTGTAGCTGTGCATTCACCCGTCTGCCTAGCTGAGGCTCGGCCTCATCGTCGTCCACCCCATCATTCCACGTATGAACTGTGCAAGTACCAGAAGTATTTCCCCATCCGTTCCAAGAAGTCGCTACACATTGATTAGCTAAGGTTTCGAGGTCAATTCATGCCAAAACATACCTGCCACCACAGGAGCGTTTGGATGCCAGCTTGCATCACGCACGCACGTGCTCCACCTCCCTCCGTTCCGCCTATGGAAATCGTACGTGTCGAACATGCTGTCAGGATCCCGCGGTCTTGAGTTTTTCGTTGCCTTGAGTACATCGATCTTGCCGGCTATCGTTGCATCCATATTCCAGACGTAGACCGAACCATCGTAGCTTCCAGAATATACATATCGCGAGTCTGTACTACCGGGAGGCGAAAAGTGGCATCGGATAAGAGTTTTTAGTACTTTGTGACCTCGGAAGGTCACCAGCGAACAGTCGTGGGGATGGGGCTTATAATCACTGTCGTCGTAGCCATTACTCCGATATTCGAATCGCGTCGTGTACGCATTGATGTCGACGCGGTCGGCCTTCTCCTTACTCATCATCTTCCTCAAATCCCAAAGTTTTGCCGTTTGATCTTTGCCGTTGCTGAGCACATAGCGCCCGTCGCCCTTGCTGTCTACATAGGTCAGACCCTCGGTATGACCAAGGAAAACACCGGCTTCCCTTCCGTCGCCCATACTTCGTCTGTCCCAGACCTTGATCGTGGTATCATCGGATCCAGAGTACAATATATGTGGCGACTGTGAGTCACCGAAGCACACCGCATTCACGTCGTCCTCATGTCCAGGTATTCTCAGGATAGACTGGCGCCTCTCTATATCGTACACGTAGACTGAGTTGTCGCCGGTCCCAGCGACGATCTCACGACCATCGCCAGAAAATCTAATCGACCAGATCCCAAAGTACGTGTGAAAGCCATGGGGAGTGGTTGTCCCGGTGTTGGCGAAATCAAGCAAATGCGGTTCAGACTCGTTGTTGGGGTCAGTAGGTGCAAGACATACTATACTTCGAATGGAGCTATAAGCCAAAAAGCGATTGTCGGGACTTAGGGACGCATCGGTAATGGTCCATTGGCCGTAGGGGTACACCACCGTTTTGTAGTATTTCCAGTCGTAAGGATTCGAAGTATCGTACATTCGCACTCGGAAATCCTGGGCGCAAGAAAAGAAGAAGTTGCCATCGTCCGAAAACTGCCCAGAGTAGCATCGCGCATTGTAGTGGATGATGGTATCAGCTACTCCCTCCGGGATCATGTCTTGTCTCATAAGTCTACTGGCGTTCTTCTGTCTCCCGTCGCCGCCCAGACCTAGTTCCCTCTGCATCACGTTATAGGCTAGCTTCTTCTTCCGCTTTATGCTATCTTCAGATCGAGGATTTGCGCCAAATGTGCCAGTATCCATGAGCTCTTTCCCTTGGTCGCTTGGAACCTTCTCGAAGGCGGCTCTGCCTGTATTCCTCCTTTTTCTCCGTGGTCCGACAGGATCATATCCGGTCGCTCGTTCGCCGCTATCGGTATATTCACTATCATCGTCGTCGTCTTCCTCATCGTCATCGTCTACAAGCGGTCGGCGGCGTAATTGTACTCCAGTTGTAGCAAAACCGCCAGTGGCGAACAATTGTCGAAGTCCCGATCGCCCGAGCAGCTGGAGTATCTGATCGCGGGATACTGCATTGGTCAGCATACCGATGCGTTCGTCTGGGGGGTTGTCGTACTGTATATCGGTCGTCCAGTACGTGCGCCAGTTGCGCCCTCCCCTTCTTCTTCGTTTTCTTCATCATCTTCCTCGTCCTCTTCTTCAGCTTCTCCGCCTTCCTCTTCGGTGATCTCCACCTCTATCTCAAATCCACCGAGGTTCTCTGCCGCATCTGTCAAAGCAATATCAGTCTTGCTTTCGCCTTAAAAGCGGCTTTAGTCCAAGTACCGTGAAAAGCCGTATCCATATCCTCACTCTCGTCCCCGCTACCTCCCTCGGCAGGAAAGTAATCCATGTCGTCATTATCGTCCTCGGTATCTTGCCAGAATGGGTCGGTGGGATCGTAGATAATGGTTCGCGGATCGTCTTCCTCGCTCGGAGTCTCTCGAGGATCTTGCGAGGAGCTCATATTCGGCAAAAAGCGATACAGCAGAGAGGTGAGGTTGAAGTCGGGCTATCAAGTCGTGCACATCATGGATACCCGGCATGTTGCCTCCACCGATAAATCCGGCGCTAACGTGATTTCGTAGAGCTATGACCTTTACAACATCAGTTCCAGTATACCGGTACCGTGATATTTATTAGTCGTCCTTGAGCAACGTCACAAGTACATATAATTGTGCAGCTACTTCCGATTCCAAAAAGTCCGATGTGTATGTTCTGTCCAAGCTCTTGAATAGCTCAGGAAACACAACACTACGACAATCGTGGACGTATTAATGCGATATAGATAGCACTCAGCGTTTGTACAAACGATTCATTTAAAGTCTGCAGACAAGCGCGGTATAGCTCGTCAGCTTTCCCATACATAGAATATCATTGTATAGTCACGAAAGTTTATAATAACATAACCATCAAGAACGTTGCCGGTCATTAATTCGCCCACTGCGGGACAGAGGAAAGTAGACGGGTATATCGATGTGCAAACACGGTGACGTGACAGGAATCACCGTTTCCAGAAACTCAACCTCCTCTCCTTTTTGCGTGTTCCTTCCGCATCTCCAACAACCTGCGTTGTCTCAGCCTTGCTGCTTTTCCTAGGACTGGTCTTGATTTTCGTAACGAACGGTGGGTCCTCGTCCGATGAACTTGGAGCCTTCTCGAGTGCCGACGTCGAGGAGAGGGGTAGGTCCACTATCCGCCTGAAAGACGGCGAACGTCGACTAATGGATGTGCTGATTCGTGTGCTAGTCTTCCTAGCTATGAGCTTGTTGTCCGAGGCCTTTGAAACAGTCGCCAAGGACCGGACGTTTTTCTCCGAAAGATGTGGAGCCGTAATAGCAATACCAATACCTGAGTGATCGTCCACTGTTCGTGCAGGTAATGTCTCAGCTGCTGATGGGTGTTTGTTGAAGATGAAAGGTAACGAGCTGCGTCTGACAGGTGTGACCGGCGAAGAGGCCAGCGTTGGGATGACGATAGATACAAGACCACCCAACAGCCCACTCTCCTCAGCAGGATTGACCTTGGGCTCGATCTGTTCGTCGTAGGTGCTTGACAACGATGACGCAGAGCTTGCACCATCGCTCCACCAGTGAGACGAGGTGCTGTCGGGGGAACTCGTAAGTTTTGGAGGTGTGTGCGGTGTGACTGAAGTGGCGAAGTCATCGATTAGGAGAGGATACATCAACCACTCCACAGCCTTTTCCTGGCGCGACCGTAACGGGTCCATAATGGCGATGCAACAGGGCCCCACCTCACCTGGGCGCTGACTGCAACAACGGGGTTTTGGCTCTGGTGTGGATGGCCTCAGCCAGGAAGTCTCTGGTCCTATTGTAGCTTGTGACGGACGCTTTGTGAGACCAGCGTTTAGGGTCGAGGTTCGCGACGGGACTCGCGATGGCACCTCCGGAGGTGCATCGACCAATGTGTCATTCAGCCCGTTGCCATAGCCATGAACAAGGATTTCGCAGTGTGTTTGCGGTTTGAGGCTTATGCTGTTCTGACTCGACCTTAAGCTGGGCAACGAAAGTCGCCTGCGCGAACGGATGGATGAGGGTCGAGAAGATTGTGAAATCTTCAAAGGTGCAGGAATCTCTATGGAGACTCGTCTACTATTGGGGTCGGTATTAGTGTGTTGCAAGTAGTCGCAATTCTGGCAGTCCGGCTCGATGGTCGAGAGTCTTGTTACAGGAGCACCCGCCTCGAAAGGTGAGCCATGTAGTTCAGCTATGTACTTGTCAATAGGATTCGCATCCAAATGGGTACTGGAGAGAGACGAAGGAGTCATTGCCGTGTGCCATTGCGCAGATTCAGTGACAAGGCAGCAAAGGTGGTAATTGGGGCCTTCAGTATCGCGGACCTCGGTAGGAGCACGAAGTGCGGCGACCAGATATTGTAGAGTACCGTAAATCAGAAGCCATCTGACTTTGCGAGCATCTGCCATAGAGGTCTTTTCTTCCGAACTGCTAATGACGCATTGTCTCTCAAAGCGCATGTAGGCTTGAACGACTGGGGCCTCGCTCTCCCCATTTGTCGCCATGATGAGAGCAGCTCGAGCGCTCAGATAACGCTCATCCTTGCCCTGCTTAGTCCCCAATGTCATCGATTTGAATGTTTTCTGCGACTTTGTTCTCGTCCTGGAAGATGATACCTCAGACGGTAGCAGTGGTAGTGGATGCGGCAGAGGCGGGAATCTGTGCCTTTTATCGAACGAGTCGACATTCTGCAGGACGCATATGCCACCGCTTGCCAGCTTTTGGGACGCCAAATCTGCCGTTGACTCGGAGTCAACAATATAATCGTACAAGTTCTTGAAATCGAAGTATAAAGATCGAAATAGCGCCTTGGAGAATGTCGTCCCTTTAGGTGGAGGCCAGTAACCAAATTTGTCAACGTAGAAGCTATGCAAGAACGATCTGAATCGATCCAGATGATTCCGGGCTCCACTGGTGAGTCCCAGATATGCTGATGAGAGGTCGTCGTCCAGAAAATTGCGCACAGCCGATGTAGATCGACCTAGCTCAATTTCGATTTCCAGATACGCTCGAGTGATCAAAGCCTTCGTCAGGCGAGATTGAGACTATGAATGTTACTGATGCTCCATGAAATTTGAGATACGGTACAGGAACGGGAACGGAGGTTTGAGTGATCACGCCAGTCAGGCGATGCTAAAGTTAAACCACTCAAGCTTGTGTCCTTTGACTGCAGGTACTTACCGAGAACTCAGGACTGAGGACGAGCTTCTCGTTCATGCCCACACAGTGCGCAAATGCGTCGATCCAAGCGTCCCGGAGCTTGTAGTGCTCAGCGTAGTAAAGCATAGCGAGAGCATAGTCGGGAAAATCAACGAAATTTCGATAGCCTTGAGCATCTACGTAGTTTAGGAAATCCTGGTGGTTATCTACTCGTCCGGGTCGGAAAAGGCGCATTCGCTCTTGCAGATCGATCATTGCCTGTCCCAGATGATCCCCCACCAGCGGTTTTCCGAGAACGAATGCGAAGAAGTTTCGCGTTGCTATGTGCCATCGGAATGACGCCTCGCGGGTGGTATCCTCGGGAGCTGGGATGTAGAGCTCCACAAGTCGCTTCGAGATTGAAGAGCCGGGACTCCACGTTGTTTCTTTTCTTGTCTGAGCGAAGCAAAGGCTAAACATGGAACCGCAGTTACTTTGCTTCAACACTCGGAAGGGAACGCAAAAAGAGGGACCGCGGCGCGATTGCCCTACGGCGTAGAGATGTATAAGGCAGTCTCCATTCTCTTCCCAAAGCTCTGGATCCTGTAAAGACGTAAGCAACGCACATGTATCACAGTAGAAATGTTCTCACTCTTCGCAGGCCGTCCCAATTGCTCACTGTGCGCGTCAACCCCGCCCACCTCTCGACCCGGCGCATTGAATATGTGCTGTTGAACAATCGCTCGGAAACAACAGCCTATCTTCTGAAAGGTCTAAAGCCTGTTGGGTAGGGTAGACGACTGTGTGGAATCCAATGTCACCGTGGTCGAGGCTCTCGCGGGTGCAGGCTCATAGAGGCTGTTGATCCAGACGTCAGGACTCAGGGGCGGAGGAGGGACTATGTTTGAAGTATGTGTTTCACGGTGGGTGGGGTGGGAGCTTCGAAGTAGGGATTTGACCTTCGTTCCGAAGTAGGACGAGGCCGCTGTGTATATGTATCTAGGTAGCCGACGTGACCTCAGCTTTGCGCGTATCTGGGGTGGCTCCCAGCTAGCCCGCGCACGGCGCGTTCAGGCGCATCTGGTGGCTTCGGCTACAAAGGAGCCGGCGATGCAGCTCCAGATTGTCGGCGGATATCGACAGATTGGCCCGACTGGGCGTAGCTGAGCGCACCATGGCAGGCGCTTCAGGGCAGCTTCTGGTGGCTTGCTGCAGGCGGTTCTCGCCCCATGGCACACACGAGCGCCCAGCTGTCCAGGCTGAACTGAAGTCCATGGGTGAGCGAGGAATGAGAGCGGGAGAGTCCAGATGCACATGCTTGTTGTTGCGATTCCATCTTCAGGGTCAGCGCCGATCTGCAGCGGCGCGTCTCGACGTGAGATGTGTTGGTGCGTTCCAACTGGTCGGCCAATGGTGCGTGGCGATTCCGACGGCTGTGTGCAACACCACGGCTCTCCCACGGCTTCGTTGCATCACCACTGCTGCTGTTCCCCGCCTGGCAGATGGACTTTACAGTAAACGACGCGCGGCTTTAAGCTACAGCACCACTCGACGGCAGCTAGATGCCCCGGCTCCCGCCCTATCCTGAAGTTGAGCTGTCATCAATCTCGCGAAAGGCGATTGTGCACCTACCTGTAGGACTGGTCTCTTACAGGTATACCCTCGAGTGTCACCAATGAGGACATGATTCCGTCGCTTATTACAAGCATACAAGCATGCACTGAAGTACGGTTGCTTACTCAACACATCGGCTGCGCGGCCAGCATCTACCCGTGGACAGGACCCGCTCAGCTCCCTGTGCTACCCAAGATCAGACAACTTAGCGGCCGGCTGTGCACAAACTTTTGGCCTGCCGCTGTACCACACACTCTTGCCTCGCCTGTGGAGCTTCATCGCGAGAGCTGCGAGATGCTCCACCAGACTCCTCGCGGCAGGTGCAAGATGCTATCGTGCATGGTCAAATCAAGAACTGTGCGCCTGCAGCATGCCATCCCGCATCAGATGCACTGATGCTCTCATATCCGGCGCCTCTAAGCTCGAGCGCGGTGAAGGCTTGTTTGTCTGCTTTCACCTTCACACAAAACACTTGAACAGACCGCACTTGGCATATGAGCACCCAGCGCCTGCCTTGCTATGCGTAACCCATAACCCTTGCTTCAAACGCCGGTTAGTCTTTGACCCTCGTGGTCTCCAGCTGGCCACCAACATTGAACCTTGAGTATGACTTTGGATCGTTAGTTGCACCTTCCATACCTGACAATCAAGACACGTGCTAATAGGCTTCTGGCAGGGACTGACGGCGGCTCTTCCGACGACTCGCAACAAGATCGCGGCGTCTCGGCAATGCAGCCTCTAGAATTCACAAATGGCCATGACAACCAGGACAAGCTCATCCGCGCCGAGCTACAACGTCTCCTCTTCCGCATGACTGCGCTAGAAGACGCAATGAGCGACTTTGGCGTGTATGTCGTTACTCAGAATATACAGAACAGGCCTCTGAAAGTGTGGCCAAAGTACGAAAACTACCTTGACCTTGCTGCTGCGTCCGAGGGGCTCAAGGACACTGTCCAAGGCATGGAGGCGCTCATCCAACGTGTAAGTACGCAATACAATACAGGCAACCGCAATTTGCTATCTCCCGACAACACGGTAATCCCACAGGACGTGCAAGAATCACGATTGACCATATACGCGTTTATGTCAACATGGCAGAAATGATCTGCTAACACCCCATCCAGGCCAGCTTCAGCAAGTGCTGCGTCACGCTGTATATAGCCCAGGCACGCGACATTTCTATCAAAATCAGTAACACAATAGCATCGTCGATGAAACGTATAAGCGAGAAAACAACAGACATTGATACGGAAGCGGAAGATGCGAGTGGATCCAAAAACCAAGACGCTGCCATCACTGCGATCATAGCCGAGTTGGCTAAGGTTATCACACATTTGACGGCCGCAGCAGAAAGCACATGGGCTGCCATGAACTTTCTGGAGTCCATTCCACATAAGGCCTCAGACAAGCAGGGAGACAAGATCATGAAGACACAGTCTTATCTCTCCTGGGCTTGCTGTGTGACCGTGGCGGTCCTAGCCTGCGTCGCAGTCTTCAACAGCCACATCATACCTGGAATACGCAGTGCACCACAGCTACCAGATGCCTTCTTAGATATGCAGAATGTTTGTGGTATGATGAACAAGCACCTGCATGTCGCCGCACAAGTTCAGAATGCTACGCTGGCTGAGTTCGATCAGCGCTTTCGGATGATCGAGAAGGCTTTGGCGAGCAACGATGAGCGCATCGATAATGTTTGGTAAGCATTATATTGTCACATACAGTAAACTAGATCCTAACCGCGTTTTCACTACTAGGGAAGCTCTCGGTCCGCCGAATGCCCAAGGGACTTACTTTGCTCGTAATACATTCTCTGAGGAAGGTACCATCCCTGACGGCCAAGGCAGCAACCTCCACGACATGAAGGAACGGATGGGCAAGGTGGAAGCTGATGCGCTGGAGCTCAAGAGGAAGTTCCAGCGCGCTGAAGTACGCATGACCAGCCGCATCAACAAGCTCGAACGGAAGGAGGGACTAGGCAGGAGTGAGATGGAGTAGGGTGGTTTGCACGTAGACATTCTTCGTGCATTTGATGGCTGTCTCCTCTTAAGCTGTGATAGTGGCTATGAATAGTACGCAGTCGGATCTTCGGTGCTGCTCATAGATATCAGCCATTGTATTATGGAATCCTTGGGGGGCGCCGTATTGAAGACAGAGAAAGTCATGGGCATCATCAAACGGATTCGGCATGTCATCGCATTACAATAAAGCCATCCATTGCAGAATCGCAGCATGATCCCCATGAAGTTATGAATCAATACTCGCTCCACTCTCGTTGACCTTTGAACACCCGCCATAAGCCGTACCATCTACTTGCAGTCCTCGCATACCTCTCCGTCTTTGACCCCGCCATCCGCCTTGTTTTCTGCATTCTCTGCTACCTTCTCTTCTACCTTCGCGTCCACCTTCGTTTCCTTCGCCTCGTCACCCGCCCGCCCCTTCTTCCTCCCACATCCGAGTGCCCAAGATCCCTCTTCGGATCAATGTGATCCCTAACCCTCTGCTTCAGCACCTTCGTCTCAGGAAACCCACCCTCCGTTTTCCGATCCCACAGCAGCACCGTCTTTGTTTCGACTTTTCCATCACCTGCTTCATCACTGACACTCGGCGGAATGTAGGTCTACGGCACGCACGTTAGCCGGTGGTGGGATACATAATGAATCCAGTTGGAACTGACAAGCTCGGCTGTGAAGAGACCGCCCGTAGCCGGTATGAGGGCTATCTCCCCGATCTGGGTTCCAAAGGTTGAGAGCAGTTCTTGGCCAAACTATGTATATTTGTTAATGTTGAGGTCGAGCTGCACGTGGGTGGAAGAGCCGCGTACGTAAGCGGCACGCAGCATCCACCGGCATTGTGTGCAATATGTGATGGCTACCCGTGGCAGGGATACAGGTGCATTTTGGGTTGACGCCATGGCTGATGCCGTAGTGGTTGCAGGTTATGGTTGTCGCAGCGTCGAATGAAAGTCACTGTGGGTGGGAGGAGATTACGTCAGTGGGCAAAACGCGAAAATCGCAGGTAGTATGAGCCACACGTTTTCGACTTTCATCACGCAAGAATGCAAAGGGAGTCACATCACTGAAACAATGGTTCGGAATTTCTTAATTGCTTCATCATTCATATGTACCGAGGCGGGCATGACACTCGAGCATTACAATACTACCTAGAGTACACTTCACATCCAGGATATCGTGAAGACATATCCTCCAACCACTCTTTAAGACGCCTGAACTAGAGAACTAATCCGATGCATGCAAGTAGTGAGAAGGAGGGATGGAAAGAGGAAAGCCGTAACACGTAAAAGGGGGAATCAAACGCCGAGCCAAACTTTTCAAGGCGGGAGAGCGAAGGCTATCTAGTCAACCTCCTCCATAGCGCTCTCTCCAGTCGCCTCGGCAGCAGGCTCGTCAGCCTTGGCCTCCTGCTCAGTCTCAACCTCCTCGTCGACGTTCAGGCCGAGCGAAACGAGCTTGTGAATGCGCTCAGCGTACTGGACGGGCTCGTCAATGGTGAAGCCAGAGACGAGGAGAGAGGTCTCGAAGAGAAGCAGGGTGATGGACTTGACGGTGCGGTCCTCCTCGCCGTCAGCCTCGACCTTGCGCTTGAGTTCCTTGATGATGGGAGACTTGGGCGAGATCTCGAAGGTCTTCTTGGAAGACATGTACGAGCTCATGGAGGTGTCGCGGAGAGCCTGGGCCTTCATGATACGCTCCATGTTGGCGGACCAACCGAATTGGCCGGTACGGATGGCGCAAGGAGAGCCGGTGAGCTTGTGCGAAACAACCACCTTCTCGACACGCTCGCCCAAGACGTTCTTGAGGCTCTTGGCGAGACCCTCGAACTCCTTCTCCTCTTCCTCGCGCTGCTTCTTCTCCTCCTCGGTCTCCTCAAGCTCGAAGTCCTTGGTGATATCGACAAGCTTCTTGCCGTCGAACTCCTTGAGCTGGGTCATGGCGTACTCATCAATGGGGTCAACCAGGAAGAGGACCTCAAAGCCCTTATCCTTGAGAGAGTCAAGGAACGGCGACTTCTGGACAGCCTTGAGAGACTCGCCGGTGATGTAGTACATCTGCTTCTGGTGCTCGGGCATGCGAGTGATGTAGTCGGCGAGAGAGGTGGTCTCATCGCCAGACTTGGTCGAGTTGAATCGCAGAAGCTTGGCAAGAGACTGGCGGTTCTGGGAGTCCTCGTGGATACCAAGCTTCAAGTTCTTGCTGAAGGCAGAGTAGAACTTGTCGAACTGCTCACGGTCCTCAGCGATCTCGTTGAAGAGCTCGAGAGTCTTCTTGACGATGTTCTTGCGGATGACCTTCATGATCTTGTTCTGCTGAAGAGTCTCACGCGAAAGGTTGAGGGGCAGGTCCTCAGAGTCAACAACACCCTTGACGAAGCTGAGCCACTCAGGGATGAGGTCGGTGGCATCGTCGGTAATGAAGACACGGCGCACGTAGAGCTTGATGTTGTTCTTGGTCTTCTTGGTCTCGAACAGGTCGAAAGGCGCGCGCTTGGGGACGAAGAGGATGGCGCGGAACTCGAGCTGACCCTCAACGGAGAAGTGCTTGACGGCAAGGTGGTCTTCCCAGTCGTTGGAGAGCGACTTGTAGAAGGAGGCGTACTCCTCCTGGGTGATATCCTGCGGGTTTCGGGTCCAGATGGGCTTGGTCTTGTTGAGCTCCTCCTCCTCGATCTTGGACTCCTTGACCTTCTTAGTCTTCTTCTCCTTCTTCTCCTCCTCCTCGTCATCGACCTCCTCAACCTTAGGCTTCTTCTCGTCGCCCTCCTCGGTGGTCTCCTCAGCCTCATCATCCTCGACCTCCTTCTCGGTCTCCTTGAGGACGTGAAGGTAGATGGGGTAAGAGATGAACTCGGAGTGCTTCTTGACGACCTCCTTAATCTTGCTCTCGTTCAAGTAATCGGTCTGCTCATCCTTGAGGTGGAGGATGATCTTGGTACCGCGGCCGATTTGCTCACCCTCGGTGTCCTCCGAGATCTTGAAAGTGCCACCAGCGCTGGACTCCCAGATGTACTGCTCGTCATCGTTGTGTTTTGAGACGACGGAGACACGGTCTGCGACGAGGTATGCGGAGTAGAAACCGACACCGAACTGTCCAATCATGGAAATATCGGCACCAGCGGAGAGAGCCTCCATGAACTGCTTGGTGCCAGAGCGGGCAATGGTACCAAGGTTGTTGATCAGATCGGCCTTGGTCATACCGATACCTGAGTCCTGGATGGTGAGGGTCTTTGCCTCCTTATTGGGGATGATGTCAATGCGGAGGTCCTTGCCGCTGTCGAGCTTGCTGGGGTCTGAGAGAGCCTCATACCGGATCTTGTCGAGGGCATCTGAGGCGTTGGAGATGAGTTCTCGTAGGAAGATCTCCTTGTTCGAGTAGACGGTGTTGATGATGAGACCAAGCAGCTGAGAGATCTCAGCCTGGAACTCGAAGGTTTCCGCCATGGTGGGGTATATGTGCAAGTCGGTCTAGGAGCTGTCGAACAGTCAGACAATGTGCCAATGTAGCTGGGAATGTCAAAGCGAAGATCGAGCCCGAGTAGGAAAAGTTTTCGACTCGGTGGGGTAGCTCAAAGGCGCAGGTGCGGGCGCAGGCGGCAGGCACTTACAAAAGGAAGTCGTAGGTAACCCGGTAGCTTTACGAGAAAGCTGTGCGTGGGGTGGGTGGTAAGTGGTGGGCAGATGCGTCTGCAGCGGGTCTCAATGAGCAATTCAAAGAAGATGAAGAGCAGGCAGAGGTAGAATTGCAGGCGTGGACATATATACGGCTGTGGTGGAGCTCGAGAATCTTCTAGCAGAACGGCAGAATCGCATGGAAACTGCTGGCGGGAACCAATCACGCCCTTTAGCCGCCTTCACCGCCCTAAATTGCGCCTCGACCCCAGCAACCCCGACCGCCCTCCCACAGCCTCTCTCACTTGTAGCCTGTTTGCCTGTGCTTTTGCATCTGCGCGCAGCCCTTGGACGATTGTTTGCTGTTCTGCCTGACGCACCGCCATCCGCAGCCACTGCAGCCGCGCCCGCCCGCATTTGAAGAATTATCACCGCGGTTCATAACATTGGGACGAAGCCGGGTACAAGGGCAAAGACCACAGCGGTTCTTTAGAGGGACAGCGTCGAGTCCTTTATATATAGAGACTACCAACAAGAGGCCGCTGCACATCTTGCAGGGGCTCAGGTGGTTGTAGGGCATATTTGGGGTAAAGTACGGCGAGCATGTCCTGCATGGCTGCCTGTCTGCCTCGGCCGGCCTGTACACCATTCTGCATACGCGAAAATGTTGAGCGGTGCCGGAGATCTCGAATGCTCTCGCAGGTTGTCAATTGCACTCTTGTGGCCCCATCTTGTGAAACCACAACTCCTTTTGGATAAATATGGTATTTGTTTCTACTGGACGGGTACTCTGCATATCGCATCCCGAGTCTGACACAGAATGAACTTCCAGGGATAAACTTAGATCGTGCTATGAAAGAGCTCTCGCAGACGATGCCCCGAATCAAAGCATCACTCGAGCGCCATAACTGCCTCGGCTCGTCCTGGGACGTAGATACCATCTAGACATTATACCAGCGATCGAGCACAGCGTCAAATGCGGTAAACACTCTTATCTCGCTCTGAACGAAGGAAAGAGATACACTCATTAGTTCGAACTAACAACTGCAATACGTATCTCAAGGAGCCACAGTAGATCACGTCACGATAGGGTCCGACACCTGGTCATATTAACGATCCTGGTACCCCACAACGCTCAGTTAATCACACATCCGGGCGTCTGCATTGTACGTCCCTTTGTAATACAGAGGTGGATGCGCTGGTCAGAGCCTACCAGTGTTTAGATCACACAGAGTAAACTCTTATTGCGAGTGCACACCTAAGATATCTTTTAGCACTATGTACAAAACAGAATGGGAACGGCCATGTGATGTTGGCGTAGTTCATTCATCTGATGTTTATGCATGGTATGATTCAGCTTAGACTTCTACATGTCGTGTGCGAAGAAGCTGTCGGTATGGCTACGTATATCTCGAGGTGAGGTCGTATCTACCCATAGAATCAACGATCAGGAACGACGAACGCGGATATCGCGAGGCAGCACTTCAACATTAAAGTAAGGAATGCATCCTTGGGCATGGCTGTAACCATATCATTGTTCATAGGGCACAGATGAAATGGGTATTCTCTTATGAGCGGGTTGTTCTATGGCAAACATCCCACACGCACACAGACATACCTCACGGAGCAACCATACGGCACCCCCATCGTGGTATGGCATTGTGAAAGTTATTTTTAGGAGAGCAAAGATTTGAGAAGGTCGTTGCATAACCCGGGTGTATCACCACGCCAGATATTATCTCGAAGCGACCTCTACTTCGCGTATCCTAGGGTAACATAGGGGTGGTTATGCTGGCAAGGTTCCCTAAACCTTCAAACGTTAATTCCCGCGGGTCGGCTGTAAGCCGCTCTCAAGGCACAATAGCTCCATTGGTGGAATGAACGCGATGAAGGCACCGAACAGCTCGATGTAGCTATAGGGGCACAAGGGTCATAGAATAAAGGTCTTGTAGCGGTTTCGTCTGCTGAGCAGAATTTGAGGTTCCGTCACATAACCCTGCCCCACAGAGCCAGATGCATAGCCAAGTCGGCCGATTTGCTGTACATATCAGCATGATTCAGAGGTGTTTACATTGGTAAGACTTACGGAAGGGTTGAAAGCGTGTCCGCCCACTAAGCTGGTCTCGCGAGCGCACAAAACCTTTGTTGGCTACAGGTTTACTACTGAGACATCGCATGGCTCAATGTAGTGATTCATGGCATGGCAGTCATATATTTCTTGATATAAATTCTTTTTTGATCCCACAGAAACATACATCCATAACATCATCCATTTCTTTTATTGAGTCTATATGAAGGTACGCAGGAACTCTCCTAGCGCCATGATGGCCATCGCTTGACCGTACGGCATGCTAGTAAGGGGTATCTTTTTGTAGAAATCCAGGTCGGGTCCCATTGCAGTTCCGAAGCTCACTTCGAGCAATTCACCCTCCGTGTTAATTTTGCCCAGCACTGCCTTCACCGCCTTCACCGCCGGTTCCAAGTATTCCTTTCCGATATAACCCTTTCTTACACCCTTGAGCATACCGTAAGCGAAGCCCGCAGTAGCTGACGCTTCGTCATAGTTGCCGTCTTCGAGGGGAAGGTCAATCAACGTCCGCCACATGCCGTTCTCTCCTTGATGCTTGACAAGTGCTTTGCATTGCGCCTCGAAAATACCGAGGAGGAACTGTCGGAGCGGATCGCCAGGCTGGAGGCGTAGCAGTTCGACAAACTCTGGTAGAACTATTGTGAGCCAGGAATTACCACGTCCCCATCTTGCTCTGGCGAAGTTATGTCCGATGCTGCCATCCTTGCCTTCTTCCCATTTCCATCCGTGGAAGAAAAGGCCTGTCGAAGTGTCGAACAGATATTGGCAATGCAAGATGAATTGTCTCTTCGCTTCCTCAACGTACTCTGGCCGATTCAATGTGAGACCGATCTTCGCAAGCGGAAGCGCGCTCATCATCAGCGTATCGTCCCACAACTCGTCCTTGTTGAATGAGTTGTACGTCTCATGTTGGAAACCTCCATATTTGGTTTTCGGCAGCCCGTTCATGAGCCACTCTGCCCACGTGTCCAGCCATGGTAGGTATGTCCGGTTGCCGGTGTCTTCGTACAAATATGCGAGCGTGAGGAATGGACTCATTGTGTTGATGTTCTTGGTTGTTCCTTTGGCCAATTGCTTCTGGAACCAGCCAGTCATAATGTCTTTGGTATCTTGTGAGCCCGTCAGTGTGTAGTAGTGCCACAGGCCATATAAGCCGATGCCATGCGTCCACTCCCATCCGTCCCAGCCTTTGGTATCGATCACGCGCCCATCTTCGAGTCTGAGGAGAAATTCGCCGGTTGTATCATGAATATTTATCAGATTGTGCGTGAGCAGCTGAATTGCCGAGTGGATGTCATCGGATTTCAGACCGTGGATTGTAAGTGTCGACATGTTGAGCCAACCTTGTCCAGTTTGTACCCCGCGCTTTACTGTCTTGTGTTTACGTAGATATGGGAAAGTCGCGAACGGTGTAACAAGTGACCCAAGAAAGTATCAGTGGGAATGTATAACCAAGACAGGAAACAGAAGGATTGGATGCTTGAGTCCTGAGATATTTTGGAAGTGGAATTGTTTACGTTGCTGCCGAGCTACGATCGGTCCGCAATGTACCGACCGCAGTGGACCGTCGTTACATTGCACCCCGAGCCACACCTGGGCATGGATCAACTCACATGACAACCTTCAATTTTGTTCTACGCTAACTCTTGCTCCGCGTCAATAGATGTCCCCGATCTATCGCAGACCACATGTCCCAATGTTGGGGACACCAGGATTCGGATCCGGGCACCCGGGGCGGAGAGGACAATGCCAAGCAACGCACGTGAGAATCCTCATTTGAAGCCTCCGGAGCAAATCTTCCACCAGCTGTCGCTCATGTTTCGGCGCCTATTCACCCGGGTGCGCTGGCCAAGGCATCGATGGGTCGTGCACGGATGCACTCTCCGCAGCGTCTAATTGCGCCGCCCCAGGTCCACCCCACAACCTGAGTCGGGGGGCCAATTCGTGTGGAGAACTTTGTCCGGGGATGACTCTCAATCGTTAGGCTTGCAGTGCCCCTGCAAAGACCCTTAAACCCTATACAGACTAAGTCAGACGTAACATCGGTCGCGAAGAGCGTAAGTCGTGCGGTTGGTGTTGCCCCGAAAGGTCACCATGCCCGTGGTGCTAGGGTAGGCCAGTTTTCCCGGGGGCATGGCAGGCAGTACTTAGAGACTGGCTCCACATGTTGAATCACATTCGTGAGTTCGGGTCTATCCTCTCCACCCACAACTTCGCCTCACAGTTATCTCCTGTCAAGGTTGCTCTTACCTCAGGTCCGTCAACATGGCCCGTTCAGTACACAGCGACGTGCACGCCGCACCCGATGTTAAACATGATAACGCCAATGTTGAGCGTGTGTTGTCGACAGATGAAAAGGCCGAGCACATTAACTATGACCGTATCGACGACGAACTAGCGAAATATGCCAACGCTGAAGCCATCGAGATCACACCGGAGGAGAACAAGAGACTGAAGCGTATGATTGACAAGCGCGTGCTGCCGATCATGGTTTTCACGTACTTTTTGCAGGCACTGGACAAAGGAACCATGTCTTTTGCTAGTATCATGGGTCTACGGACTGACATTCCCGTTTTATCGGATAACAGCAAGGTATTTCATCAGCCGAATGAAGTTTAATATCGAATGCTCACGTTAATCAGTTTGCTTGGCTCACTACTTGTATCTACATCGCTGTGCTGATCGTTGAGTTTCCGACGAACTGGTTGATTCAGAGGGTGCCCATCGCCAAATACCTAGGGTTCAATAGTAAGTTCTGCCCAAAGCGCCCTCAGACTCCTACGTGTCCCGAAAAGTTTATTGAGACTGACTCTATGCTTCGTTTCCAGTTATGGCATGGTCAGCTGTCCTCGCCCTACACGCTGCCTGCAAGAGCTTTCCCGCCTTGGTCGCCGTCAGGACACTGCTCGGTATCTTCGAGGCAGTTTGCCAGCCGACGTTTTTGATTCTCAGTTCCATGTGGTACAAGCGAGAGGAGCAAGCACAAATTGTTACCTACTGGTACATGATGAACGGAATGCAGCAAATTGTTGGTGGTCTGCTCGCCTACTGCTTCAGTCTAATCAAGCCGCCGTCGCCATTGAAGTCATGGCAAGCCATCTTCATGACATACGGTATCCTTTCCTTCTTTTGGGGCATCTTCGTCGTCTGGTGGCTTCCTGGTCAGTATCCCTCACCATAAGTTCGGGAAACGTATTGGCTGACTTCGATTTAGACAGTCCTATGCGCGCAAAGTGCTTTTCCGAGGAAGACAAGAAACTCATGATTGAGCGTGTCCGGTCCAACCAAACTGGTCTCCAGAACAAGAAGTTCCGTGTCTATCAGATGAAGGAGGCGCTTACCGACCCTCAATCCTGGTGCTACTGCCTCATTGCCATTTGCACTACCCTTCCAACATCCGGTCTCGGTGGCTTTGCCAACATCATCATCAAGGGCTTTGACTTCTCCGTCCTGGAGACCCAACTTCTTGCCATGGTCCTCGGCGTAGTCATTATCATTACGCTCATTTCTGCCACATGGCTTGCCAACAAAACTCAACAGAATCTGCTTGTCATGGCCATTTATGTCATTCCGTAAGTCTGGCAGCAAACCCTCCAAGCAAAATCGTTGCTAACAAGAAGTTAGATCTTTTGTTGGCACCATCGTACTGATGACGGTCAAACTCCACAATAAGGCCACTCAAGTCGGACTTCTGATCAGCTACTACATTGTCCTCTCTTTCTGGGCCGCGCAGACGCTCTCCATGGCGCTACTATCTCGTAACATTGCTGGTCAGACCAAGAAGACAACCGTGGTGGCCATGAACTTCATCGCCTGGTGCGTTGGGAATGCCATCGGACCTCAAGTCTTCCTCTCGCGAGATGCGCCCCGCTACTTCATCGCTTTCTCGACCCATATGGGTTGCTACGTCTTGCTCGTCCTTGTTATCGCCTTCCTGCGATTCAACTTCATGCTTCGCAACAAAAAGAAGGACCAACTTGCTGCGCAGGTAGCGGAGGCAAACGATGACCACCTTGTGCACGCTTTCGATGATTTGACGGACAAAGAGAACCCGAGTTTCAGGTACATGTATTAGGTGCTTTGTTGAAACCAAGTTTAAAGGCACAAGGAGAGGTAGATGTGATCATTGAAGCAGTAATTTACTTCGCGTCAATGTGATTACCTAGTCATCCATTGGATACTACCCGTGGACATATATATCTTATCAGACTGAAAGCGCCCTGTGAAACAATCATGTTTATTGATAGCGATGGAAGCCCACAAGGCTAGGGCTACAGCAGCACCTGTCTCTAGCTTCTTTCATGTGAGCATTATTGATATGGGATCAGATTAGCAATTGAGACACCTGTAGTACCCTTAGAATTGATGTATTGAAATGGTTATCTGACTAGATCAAAATAAGCTTACGTCCGACCTTTGAATGGGCACCAAACCTAGCAGGCCAGCTATATCCAGGTTAGAGACAGCGTTGTGACTTTATTTAATTGCTGGTTGGGGCCTTCAAATCTGCAGGTGCCCAGGTGCCCAGGTGTCCAGGTGCGTAACACGTGATAGCGCGAGAGCCCTGGAGCGAAAGGGCGGAACGTCGAATCTAGCGCCCCGTACACTCATGACAGCATGGCGCAAACCGCGCGGCCACCGGAGACAACAACTATGGCCAGTACGAATGAAGAGCCGAAGCAACCGCCTCCGGAAACGCCGCAGAGCCTCTGGCTGCGGCGCGCAGTGATAGCATCCTTCTGGGCTGTCGTGGCCTTCCTGGGTCTCCCAGTATGGTGGAGGACAACAGCCATTTATCGTGCCGAGCTGCCGCTACAGGACATGATGTCCTGGGCTAATGCACAGGTTGGAACACCTGTCAAGGCTGCATTTACTCCATTGACCAGTACACAGGAATGCAAGCTCGTCTTTCCCCTCCACATCGCTGTAGAAGCCCCGCTGCCTTCCCACGACGTTCATCATCTGCTCGAAGCCACGCAGAACGCCCTCAACGACTTGAACAGCTTCCCCGCCCACCAACTGCGCCTCGCCTTCGCCGAACCGCCGCCGCCTGCCAATGCCTCGCAACAGGTCATCGTTGACGGCACCGGTCCGGCAAAGGAGGACGACACAGCTGCTCTATCCGTCCGCTTGATACCTGTGGAAACGGGAGCCACACCCCGTTCGCGATTGCAACCATACTCGACAAATCTCGATGTATATTTCTCGCCTAACCAAATACCCTTACAGTCCTCGACCAGCTCGCCGCTCGCAACCTATATTGCTGGAGAGTTGCATCAATTGTATGCACAGGAACAGGCGCAGTTGGCCAACCTGATCTCTGATGCATCCTATCGAAGCAGATCCGCGTCTCCAGATGTAGCAGCCCAGCTTCAGCGTCAATCAGCACGCGCGTTCAAATATGCACCCACCTACCATCTCACCTTTTCCTTGTTCACGCCTACATCGACTCCATCAGCCTGGGATATCGACGCCGCTTTGCGTCAGTATATGAGACCCATTCTCGAATCTTTCTCCGGGATCAGCAATTTCACCATTGATACCCAGGTCCAACTCTACGCCGGTTTCTCGCCTTCAATCCGGCAACCAGAGTACGATGACAACGCCAAAGCGTGGACCATTTACAAAGAAGACGTCAGTGGCTTCATCAACGCCGCCGAGTGGCCTCTGAGCCCCAGCATCGGTCAAGGTCCGACGATCAACTTCGCTCTCTATGTTCCAGACGAAGGCCAAGCCCCGCTGCTCGTCCAGGGAAGCAGGGATAACAGCTGGCTGATCCCTCAGTGGGGCGGTGTCATGATCTTGAATCCTCAATCACGCGACCCCACCTTGACCAAAGAAGCGCTCGTGCCTGCCATGCAAGTTTTCTCGACACAATTGACCTCCCTTCTCGGCTTGCCGCAGACACCGGCCTCATTGCCTCTACGCATCTCAACGTTGATACGTGTCCACGCCGCTTCGCTCATATTCTCAAGTTCGTCTACACTTGGCGCTCTTGCGCAGGTGTATCAGAAGATGCCTACCATTCCAGTCCCGGACTCTGTCGCCAAATCCGTCGATCTGTCTTTAGCGCACCTTAATCAAGCTTGTGAGAGCTTGCGCGAGGGCCGTTTCCAAGACGCCTTGGAGAACGCGAGAACTGCAAATGGGGAAGCTGAAAAAGCATTCTTTGAGCGGTCCATGGTGGGCCAAGTCTACTTCCCAGACGAGCACAAAGTTGCGGTCTACCTACCTCTACTTGGTCCAGTGGCTGTTCCTCTGGTTATGGCTGCGCTTAAGGAGGTAAAAGCCGGCATTGCTGCCCTGAAGGGACGGTGATGAAGCATCAAGTGTATGTACGATATCCATGCATGATTTGGTCGAGGTTTTGCTGGAGCGCGCCACATCTCTTCCTCGTCAGAATTGTGGACCTGAGTGGTAGACCCTGCATGGCCAAGTTCTCTCCTTCCTAAAGGCAGGTGGGTGGGTTGGGCGGCAATTGGGACGCCCTAGTTGGAGGAACGTGTGTTATATCATGCCAGACTATAGGTCGACAGTGCTGAACCCTTTGTCTAGTTTGCGTCCTGTGTTTTACCCCAGTATCGGCAGTACAAGGATGCTCACACGCAGTACATGGGACAGTACCCAAGCAAACGGTTGTAGACTGTACACTCAACAGCAAGTAGCACAGTATGTGCCAATGAAGTGGTATTGATGCACATAAATACTCCTACATGATCCACGAACAAGTCGCTAAAAAGCTTGCAGAAGCAGCCTTCGACAGCATAATGATAGCTCTATGACTAACTTACATCAGATCGATGATTCGTCCAGTCAACTGGTGCAAACCGTAATACAGATCAGCTCCACACATTCTACTCTTCCAGGTATGACAACTTCCGCATCTCACCCAGCCTCGACCTGGCCTGAGCAAGGGAGTTTTCGAGCTGTAATATTTCGACCTGGGGATGATAGTCAGTACAAGGTTGGTTTGGGCAAATTTAGAGGATGAACGTACTTGCTGTTCCATCTGTCGGACCTTGAACTCATGATCACTGAGCTTGCTGTAATCCGTTGATTCGCCCTCATCCTTATTTCTCTGCGCAATAATGTCCTGTACCTGCCTCACCAACGAACGGCAGGCACCTGTGACCGCCTTTGATGCATTCTCCAGTCGGTCCTGTGTCTTGCTCATGAAGCTAGCCTTCACACGACTAGCAGCTACAAGCTGCGCGGTCGAAGCGGCCACGTCGTTGGATGCAACAATGAGTTGTTCAGGCGAGTTGCGACCAGAGATCACGCCATCAGCGGTCTCAATGAGGGTATTCGTGGAGGAGGCAACGGCCTTGGCGGCGCTGATGAGTCCCTCAGTCCAGCGGTTGTGCTTCTTGTAGAACTGGGTGCGGGTCATGCTGCCCCTACCTTCACGAACAATTTCCTTCTGTGACTCGGTTGCCGCTTTGATGAGCTGAGCAATTGCATTCGTCACAGCAATTGCGGCGTCAAGGATAGAGTCGTGAATCTTAAGCTCGTATGTCGAGAATTGATCTCGTGGCTTGTTCTTCAGCTTGGAAAGTCGCTCAACGGCAGCGTCAATAGCATTAGCGGCCTTTGTAAGCTCGTCCTCGACTAATTCCCCAAGATCTCCGGAAGCGTTGGTGATCTTGCTCTTCGGTGCGAATGCATCTGCCAACTTCGACAAACTTTGCAGATTGCGAAGGACCTCGGCATTGTTATTCACAACAACGTTGAATTTGCCGTCTGCATCCAGATCATACAGACGTACGGATTGTACGTTGCGGAAGAATTTCACGGTGGCCGTTGCAGATTGCCGCGCGGCATTGAGGAGAGCATCCGCCTTGTTGTCGTCTGAAGCAAACCTGGTGAGACCCTTGGTATCACTCAAGACATCCCCAATTGCACCGGCAAATGCATTGACAGTATTGATTACGTCTTTGTGCGTAGCATTCGGTCCGTCCGCGATGAATCCATTGAAAGCTGTAGCAAAATCCATGGCACATGTAGACGCCTTTTCGATCTGTGAAAGAACGAAAGCGCCAGACGCGTTTTGATTTCCAGCATGCATGGACGAGTCGAGTTCATACAAGGCGTCATCCACCCGCTGTACTCCGCTCTGGAGCACGGAGTCAATGATATCGTTAATCTTCTGCAAGCTCTGCGCAATGAGCTCATCGAGGCCATCGTCCATTGCACTGTTGCCGGCGTTCTGGTTCAACTTCATCGCTTCCAATTCCAGGAGAGTTTGATCCATGCCTGCTCGGAAAATCTCCAGCTCTTCTTCCTTTTCGCGCAATTGGCGTTCGAGGTCTGAGTCGCCTTCGCGGTATTTCATCTGTACATCGTCCAAAGCGCGCGTCTTATTACGCAAAGCCTCTTCGAGATCCGCAATCTCCCTATTATGTCTCGAAAGCATGGCCGACAACTCCGAGCCTTTGCCTCGCTCTGCATTTTCTGCCCTTTCCAAGGCAAAGCGGAGCTCGCGCTTGACTTTCTCCAGTTCGTCCTTGTGACCACCAGAGCTACGATCCTTGTCGAGTAGCGCTCGATCACGCTCACGAATCATATCAGCGAGCTCAAGATTTTTCGTTTTTAATTCGCGCTGAAGCTTGTCTCGCGCATCGATAGCTTCTTGTGCAGAATTGGCCTTCAGTTGAACGGACTTGAACTTTTGTAGAAGCTGGAGGTGTTCATGACGCAGCTGCGAATACAATTTAGCCAGCGATTCGTACTTTGACCTCCACGTGTTGAGCTGCTCTTGCAGCGCCTTGATCTGGTCGTCCCGTGAACCCATCTGTTGCTGGAAGTTTATGTTCATTTGCTGAATCTCGCCCTCCAAGGCCTTCATCCTTTGGTCGTATTGTTGGAGCATAAGCTGATCACGCTCGTACTGCGCGCGCGCATTCAAGTTCTCCCGCTCTAAATCGGCGAGACGCCCTTGAGTCTGTTGCTGGTATTGCTCGCGCAGCAGTTGCTCTTGGGCTAAGCGAGCCTGTTCTGCCTGCATCCGCTGTTGTTCCTCAAAGTCCTGCTGTGCGCGCATTTGTGCCTCTTGCTGCTGTCGCTGAGCTGCTTCCCATTGCTCTTGCAGCCTTCGCTGCTCGGCTTCGTATTCCTCCTGCTGTCTCTTTTGATCATTTTTCCAGAATTCGTTAATAGGCTCGGGATCCACAGATTGTGCACGTGGTGGCGGTGCTGCTTCCTCCGCAGCCTTAGGCCGCGCGGGTAGTGCAGGCGCCGACTCGTCCTCCGAGAGGAGGTTCGGTGGGTCTTGCGGCAGCTTCGGTACGGTGATCAAGCTTGTGAGATACCTAAGGTTCGAGCACTCATAGTAGAACTTGACAAGACGATAATGTTGTGCGTCATATCTGCCGCGTAGAGGAGACAGTGCTTCATCGTCGCCGAGGGCTGCGCAAGTTAGCGCGCGCAAAAGAGTATCTATACATAGTACACTCACTGGTGTGCATCGCCCGAAGCATGCTCGTGATGAACTTGTAAATGCCATAACTCTCTTGAACAAGCGGCACAAGCGCTGAGATGCGGCATTCGTTGTTGTTGGCACTTCGGAAATGGGAGAAGATCAATTTCTGGAACTGGTCTATTTGGTCTTGCAATGTCATCAGGTCCGAGATCGTCTCGTAGCCCTCGTTCGGGTCATTGATCGACTTGAGACTGATGTACTCTTCGTATTCAAACGTGCCTGGCCTGATGTCAGTCCCCGCAGTGTCTCGGTCTCGAGCAGCTCACCGTTGAACTCTGGGTGCTGGCGGTGGAAGGCGAGTTTGGCCTGAAGGTAATAAACGTATTCGGTGATGAGGCGTCCGTAGCCTTTTAGACCGTCGCCGCCGCCAGTGCCTCGCTGCAGGCTGTCGAGCCATTGTATGTTGGCCTGTGCTTCCCTAAGGACTACGGGGTGTCCTTCTTGGAGGACCTTGTGAACGGTGATGAGCGCCTTGAATGTCTGGACTTCGTCGGCCATAATGGGCTGCCTGTGGTCTGCATCAGTATCATTGGAGGGTGCGCGGCGTCTGCGATCGAGGCGGTTGTTCGCGGGTGTACGCACACTTTCATCCCCTGCCAGAAGGAGGCAGAGCTCTTGTGGTCCCATGTGTAGACAATGCAGCTGCGGACATGTTTGCCTGCACGAGTGTGAGCTTGAATCAAGAGAAAGGGCTTCGAAGAGGTACATACGCTTGGGAGCCGTCTCTTCAATGCTTGTTGCCTTGCGGATATTGATGGCAAGGTCCTGTTCCTGCCTGGATTCCTGTTCAATGGGAAGTATCATAACGACGGGGAGTCTCCTTACTTTCCCATGTCCACATTGCGCGAGGACCCGTAGAGCGACATGGTGCTGTCGTGGGCACGGCGCTGGGCCAGCTATTGCACAGGCAGGGGCGTCCGGGGGGCACGCAACTTGGAAAGGCGCGTGGAAAGACGGTATAGAAGGCGCGTGGGAGAGGATTCGCGCAGTCAAGAGCGAATGGAAACGGAAACCGTTGGCGTTGGTGCCGTGGGCGGGCGACTCGATGGTGAGATATGTTGAGAGCTCGCTGCGCTATATGGGTGCCTGAGTGACGAAGTGACGAAGCTCCAGCCTTGGCATGCCGTACTTCGAGCTCTTCCACGCGGCGGGCTCGGCGCAGCCAACCCACCTGGAAATGCACGCGCAACCTGGTCGCCCCCGCTGAGCTGGCACAACTGGAGGGGTCGAGCCCTGGGAATGTAATGTACACGAGCACAGCGCGCTTCCGTACTCGTTGCCTTGCATCTGCCAGATGCTACTCGCAGACCGATCACAGCGGACAACGCATCGATCATTAAATTTGATGTCATTCTACATACGTTCGTTGAAAGCCCTATATGCTGAGCCCATTGCATGTCCCGACTGAAAATGTTGGAACTATAACACCGTAACGCCACGCAATGCTTACTGAAGATGGGTTGTGCTCAATGGTGTAAGAAAAAGTTTTCGGGATGCCTACACGGCTGCCTTGTTGGCAAGATATTTTGCCATGGGATCAGCCGCCATCTGTCTCTTGCGTCGGTATTCCTCCATCTCTGCCTCTGTGACACCGTCTCTCATCTCTTCAAGTGTTCTCTTCCGCTTGTCATCCCGTATTGTCTTGTCATCCCTGTCAGTCGCATTGGGCACGTGTTTCTCCAGAGCTTCATCTTCTATTTGCGCCACGGCCTTGGGAACCTCGTCGACTTCCTGCACGCCTGTGCCCAGACGCATGCGCTCGGCAGCCTCGAATGCTTCCTTGCCCGCTGAGCCTGTACAGTACGAGTTCTTGACCGTTGAATGACAACATGCGTATCCCCATTGGAAGCTCGCCCACCAGCTACCCCAAACGGACGTGTGATTGTTGATGTACACGTCCTCAGGGTACTTGGACTTAGCTTTCACCTTTGGTGCACCCTTGATCAGACCCCGCTCGTCATATTCGACGAACCTCTCGTTCTCGGTAACGCCAGCTCGGCGAAGTGTATCGTCATTGAACTTTTCTTGCCCTCCATATTTGTCCAGCAGTGCCTTTTGCTTAGCGGCTTTGGCTTCCTCGGCCTCTTTCAATTCCTTTTTCCGCATGGCTTCGCCAGATGTAGGGTTTGCTTGCAAATGAACCTTGTTCCTGTCGCCGCGCTCCTGCGTCTCCCAGGCGTACCGTTGAGCCCTCTCAAACTCGGCTGCATCGCCTGATGCTTTCATGAAACCCTCCTCTGCCACCAACGCCGCAGCGTTGTCCGCGGTCGCGCCTGTGTCTACCATAGAGCGTGTCTTGGGGTCGTATTTGGCCGAGTCCAGATCAAGGTTCAGCAGGTACTTGGCCGTGTCTTCTCGCAACCGTAGATTTCGGGTCGAAGTAGCCTGTTTCCTCCCCATGTCCGTCTCAGCATCATATCTGTCTCCTTCATCCTCATCTTCGTCTCCAGAATTTTGGTCGCCCTTTGCAGCATCCTTCGCTTTCTTACGCATTTCTTCGAGCTCGTTGTACTCTTCGATGACCTGCTTGAAATCGGTTGCGTCGTATCCGTTCCAGCGATCGCGCTTAGCATCCCACCCCAGCTGCACGTCCTCAACAGCCTCATCGGCCTCGATGTATTTGCCTGTGAACTTCGCGCCTGTCTTCCGCGGACGGCTCAAGCAGTCCTTCTTCTTGTGTGTCATAGCTCCGCAGTTCTCGCATGCACCTTTGCGATATTTGGTGGCCGCGGGACCAATTTTCTTGCCGCGGTCATACCATTTCGAATCTTGTTCCTGCTTTTGGAGACGCTGGTGCTCGAGATAGTCGCCGTCTTCACCGTTCTCGTCGACAGCATAGAAAGGTTTCTTTGAGATGAAAGACGGGATGTACTCGTTGCGCTCTTTGGCGGCGGCGGCGACGTCGGGCTTGCGCGGCTGTGCGGGCGGCATGGTGGGCGTATGCGACGGTGGTGGAGGCTCGATGGCAGCGGAAGAGCGCAAGAGGAGGTTGACGCGATCGGCTGTCTGAGCGCGGGTGACTAGCATAGGGCTGCAGCTCACTAGCGAACCGACGCCACCCGTGACACCGTGAGTGCGTGTTCGCGCTCGTGCATCCAGTCTTGACTATCACTACACCGTCACGTCTCTCAAATCGCCTCGTTCAGCTGCAGTCGACGACTTGCGGCAGCACAGCTCGCGTGTACATGTTCTCTTTGAAGGGCATTTTTATGCATCCCCACCCATGACTGCCGCTACCGTCACCCTGCAACGCGCGTTAGGGCATCCGGTGCCTCCATGAACACGTTCCGGTTCCGCCTCAATTGCATCGATCACTATCAGGCGGTGCCTACTGAGCTTGATCCGGCCCTTAGGCGTGCACCTGGTTCTTCCCAGCGCCAGCGCGCCCCTCCAGTTCCTGTCATCCGCGTCTTTGGTGCCACAGAGACCGGGCAGAAAGTATGCGCCCATATCCATGGCGCATTGCCGTATCTCTACTTGGAATATAATGGCAGTCTGGAGCATGATTCAGGTATGTCATATGAAAAGAAATGAAACCGAGATTGCTAAATTACCCAGTCAACGCGTACATGCGAAGTCTACGCGCTTCGATCGACCATGCGCTTGCCGCCACCTACCGACGCAACGCCTACGACGGGAAGGCCGTCTATGTAGGACACATTACTTTGATAAAAGGCGTACCGTTCTATGGATACAATGTTGGATATAAATTCTTTTTGAAGGTTTATATGCTGAACCCAGCACACATGACACGATTTGCCGATCTTCTGCACCAAGGAGCGATCCTGGATCGCATCTTTCAACCCTATGAAAGCCACCTACAGTATCTCTTGCAGTGGATGTGCGACTACAACCTTTACGGGTGTGCCTATATCGATTGCGCGAAAGTGCAATTTCGGGGGCCTGTGCCGGACAGCGACACAATCGATGTCACGACCCATAAGTGGCACAACGCATTAATTTCCGACCATCTCCTTGCCGACCAGGACCAGTATCCCCGTCAGAGTCATTGCTCCCTTGAGGTGGACGTCTGCGTACAGGACATACTGAATAGACATGAGCTACACTCACGTCCAATCCATCACGATCTCTTCGAGCAAGCTTTTGCTTTGAAGCCAGACGAAAAATATGTTCCTTCAATGGCTGGTCTGTGGCGGGACGAAACGCTCCGGCGCAAACGACGCATGGGCCTGACCGACCCTTCGAGTAGCCCTTTCCCACCTGAAGTACTTGTGTCCATGTCCGCAGATGCAAGGAATACAGGCAAGGGAGGGTGGGTTCACGAAGATGAGTATCGAGAGCTCCTGGAAAAAATTGTCGAGGATGAAAGTCGCCATGGTTCTGTTGCAGATAAAGCAAAATTCGTAAAGCCTACTGAAGGTGAAGCGCACATCAAGACAGCACTAGAAAGTGTGGAGGACCTTTACCCTGGCAAAATTGAAAAACATACTCTATTAGAAGACGAGGATCACATTCAAGGTTTAGGTGAGCAAGATTTGGAACTTCCAGATGCTCAATCACACATATCGCTACCCGAGGATAGTCCTGATATCGCAGAAGTCAGCGAAGACATGGATGTAGATAATCCGACCGACTTGGATGACCCACCGTCATTGGACCCTCTTAGTGTTTCCGAAGCGCAGAACAAAAAACAAAGCGAGCAAGAAGGTGAACTGTTCAGCGGCAGCTCCAACGAACTGAGAGATAATCATAACGAAGATCGTGCACACGACTCCGGCACTTCTAGTGGCACGCGAAAGCGGTCCGCTTCTTGGGAAGAGGAAAGGTTGGGTAAAAAGCATCGGCTTTCGCAGGACAACAGGAACAATGCTCGAGTGTCTTCTCTTCCTGTAAACGCCGACGAGCATATCTTACACGACAGAGCAAAACAGTCTCGTCCCAGTCACTCATCGCAGGGTGATACCAGGTCGAGCACGTTGCCATTTCCGGTGGTCAAGAACCCAAATGCCCCCGAGACCCGCCTGCGTTTGAGCCAGAATGAGAAATCGAAATCACAACACGCTTCTCGATCGCCGTCATCGAAAGGTAAAACGCCTGGACGCGAGCTCAATCAAGGGACGTGGCAACCACGTCTGACTTCTCACCCTACATCTCTTGCTGATCACAAAACAAATAGCCTTAGCAATGGCGCAAAAGCAACGAGCTCTATAGTGACTCGATTAGCAGAGGCTACCAAAACCCGCCTGCAAACCCTACACTATGGGGCATTGCCACCTTCTGCCAGTTCGGTGCAGACTTCAGTATCTGATGGCGGGCTCCGGGTCTTGTACCGAGATGCCTATTACAGCGATGAGACTGACGTCCCTGAACGATCGCGGGAGTACGCCGGACGAGAATTTACCCTGCCAAGTACTACTATTCCATATCTACCTTTGTTCGACCCTGACTGTACTTCGGCTTTCGGCTACGAAGAAGAATTCGTGGATAGAAAGCATGTCGAGTATCACCTGCGTACCCTGCAATGCAGTCTGCGACACTGGGAGCTTGGAGTAGCTCCGCCATCTTACAAAAAAGTAGAGAGGTGGCTTCGTAACGAGTCGAAAGACGATGCTGTTGACCCAGCACCAAAGGCGACAAAACCACTACAGCAACGTAAAACCCCGAACCACGTCTCGCAAGTAGAAGGACCCACTCAGAAAAACAAACATGGTTTCAAGTACTCGCAAAAGAAAGCATCGACGAGCGTCAAGCACGAAACGCAGTATATGAGTATCATGAGCTTAGAGGTACACATCAATACGAGAGAAGCGTTTGCGCCAGACCCTGCAAAAGACGAAATTCAGTCCATATTCTGGTCCATACAAGGTGAAGAGGGTGCAAGCAACGATCATCACCGTGCCGGTATGCTTTGTCTTTCTGATGATGAGGGGATCGTAAACCAGATACGAAAACAGACATCAATCGCAGTGGACTATGAAGAAGATGAGCTAGACTTGATCAATCGGATCGTCGATATCGTACGGCACTTTGATCCGGACATAATGGCCGGATATGAAGTTCATAATGGCTCATGGGGCTACTTGATTGAACGCGCTCGCTTGAAGTTCGAGTACGATCTTTGCGATGAGATCAGTCGTACCAAGTCACAGTCGCACGGCAGGTTCGGCAAAGAAGCCGATCGGTGGGGCTTTACCCATACTTCTACTATCCGAGTAACTGGTCGTCATATGATCAACATCTGGCGGTCCATGCGAGGGGAACTCAACTTGCTTCAGTATACCATGGAGAATGTCGTCTTTCATCTCTTACACAAGCGAATTCCGCACTACCAATACTCTGACCTTACAACGTGGTACAAGAGTCCAAAGCCGCGAGACCTGGCCAAAGTCATTGACTATTTCATCACCAGAGTGCAGCTTGACCTGGACATACTAGAAGCCAACGAGATCGTCCCTAGAACAAGCGAACAGGCACGACTACTCGGCGTCGACTTCTTCTCTGTTATCTCGCGAGGCTCGCAATACAAGGTAGAATCTACCATGTTTCGCATCGCAAAGCCAGAAAATTACATCCTCGTCTCTCCCAGTCGAAAGCAAGTTGGCCAACAGAACGCCCTCGAGTGTTTACCTCTGGTTATGGAGCCTCAAAGTGCCTTCTACCCAGGCCCACTTCTAGTCCTTGACTTTCAATCTCTCTACCCCAGCGTTATGATAGCTTACAACTATTGTTACTCTACATGCCTGGGTCGCGTCGTTCCTTGGAGAGGCAGAAACAAGATTGGCTTTACAGATTTCGACCGCGAGTCGGGTCTGCTAAATCTTGTCAAAGATTATGTTAATATCGCACCTAACGGTATGATGTACGTCAGGCCTGAGATGCGCAAGTCTCTACTTGCTAAGATGCTTGGGGAGATATTGGAGACCCGCGTCATGGTGAAGAGCGGGATGAAAACAGATCGGGACGACAAGATGCTACAACAGCTGCTTAACAACCGACAATTAGCTTTAAAGTTGTTGGCAAACGTCACCTATGGATATACATCAGCCTCATTTTCTGGCCGAATGCCGGCCTCTGAGATCGCCGACAGTATCGTTCAGACTGGTCGAGAGACGTTGGAGAAGGCAATCGCATTCATCCACTCTGTTGAAAAGTGGGGTGCCGAAGTCGTATACGGTGACACAGACTCCCTGTTTGTCTACCTCAAGGGACGCACGCGAGACCAAGCCTTCACTATCGGAGAAGAGATTGCTGAAGCAATCACGCGAAGAAACCCACGCCCGATGAAACTCAAATTTGAGAAGGTGTACCATCCTTGCGTGCTTCTGGCTAAGAAGCGCTACGTTGGGTACAAGTACGAATCTCGCAACCAAAAGGTACCAGACTTTGACGCCAAAGGTATAGAAACAGTTCGGCGAGATGGAACGCCAGCGGAGCAAAAGATTGAGGAAAAGGCACTCAAAATTCTATTCGAAACTAGTGATCTGTCGCAAGTCAAGAGCTACTTCTTAAATCAGTGCGCTAAGATCATGGAAGGGCGTGTCAGCATCCAGGACTTCCTGTTCGCAAAAGAGGTCAAATTAGGCACGTACTCTGACCGTGGACCACCGCCGCCAGGCGCTCTCATCGCAACCAAGCGCATGCTGGCCGACCCCCGCGCAGAGCCTCAATATGGCGAGCGGGTGCCGTATGTCGTTGTTACTGGTGCACCCAGCGCACGCCTCATCGATCGCTGTGTCAGTCCCGAAACACTGCTCCAGAACGACCACATCGAACTAGACGCAGAATACTACATAATGAAGAATCTGATACCACCTCTCGAGCGCATCTTCAACCTCATGGGCGCCAACGTGCGGCAGTGGTACGACGAGATGCCGAAAGTCCAGCGCATTCGCAACGTCACGCTTCCCCTGAATCAACAGCAGGCAGTCGCGGCCGCCCTTGTCAAGGAGGGTAACCCGAATCATATCAAAACGCTCGAAGGCTATCTGAAGAGTTCAGTCTGTCTCATCTGCCGGTCCAAACTGCCACCTCTTCCGCGGAATCTCGATGCGCTCGACGCTGGGTTGAGACTACCGCTTTGCAAACAGTGTCTTAGGAAGCCTGCAAGAGCGCTACTGGGAGTGAAGAATATTATCTGGAAGAGCGAGAAACGGATGAGTAATATTGATACGATATGTAGGAGTTGTTCGAATCTCGCATGGGGTGAGACGATTCGATGCGACAGTCGGGATTGTCCTGTTTTCTACACGAGGATTCGGGAGAAGTCGAGGTTGGCGGGGCTGAGGGATGACTTGGGGACAGTCGTGGAGGCTCTGGAAGAAGGCAACGATATTTGTGTTGATGAGTCTTCTGATACAGAAGGGGAATTCCTCGATACGGAAGCGGAAGAGTTGGATGAAGACGGCATTGAAGAAGACAGCGCTGAAGATGATGTAGAGCAACTGGTCTTGGGCGATGATTTGGATTGGTAGGAGTCACTGAGCACATACGCCGGCAATGACCTTTTAGAAGCAAATATGAATGCAAATTTCTCACTTCTTCCTCTCTAATTGTGGGACTGTTACATCCTCCTCCAGTCTTGTTGGCGAAGTCACTGTTACATGCGTATCTTCTGACGCTTTGCCTTCGCTTCGCATCTGGAGAAGCCCAATAATCCGCAAACGCGCCAAATTCCGTCGCAGCAAGAGCATGGCTTCTCTTTCGTGCGATACATTCCTATATGAGCAGATAGGTACTGCATTGCTCATCCTGAAGCGACACAAAGTAGTAGTCTCTTGGCAGAGCCATGGATTAATCTTCGCAGTGCTCCTCCAATGGGATTTCGGCAACAAATGATCAATTGATTCACTAGAACGCCTTGAGCTGATATACACCAGACAAAAAGTACATCATCCGCTCAACCTAGTTTCCACCACTTTCCCTTCTCAGGATCCTCATCTGATTCCGCGCCCCTTCCGCGCCCTCTTCCCCGCGCATAATCTCCTCCATTACTCAACGCACTTCCCCTCCCACTGGGCGCACTCCCCCGCGAACTCCTCTCCCCGCCTGTATAAAACTGACTCCGAAATTGCAATTCGTATATATCCTCGCCCTCACCAGCTAAATCTTCTAACCTTGCGCTCTTACTCTCAGGTACGAGGAGGCTTGTTAGGCAGCCGAGGAACATGAAGAGTGCAAAGATCTGCATGACTCCGTGGATCCAGGGTGTAGGGTTGTCGTGCGTGGCGCCGCGCTTTATCATCGGTGCGAAGAAGACTTGGGCGATCACGGCACCGAGTTTGCCCAGGCCGGCGGAGATGCCGTGGCCAGTCGAGCGGACGCGTGTGGGGAAGATTTCGGCGGGGGTGATGAATGTTGTGGCGTTGGGCCCTGGCCGCATTAGTGTTACTGCTTATGGTCTCCGAGGAGGATGTGGTTTAGGGACGGGTGGGGGTTTACCGAAGTTGAAGAAGAATTGCGCGAGAACGTAGAGGACCAAAAGGTGGATCTTGGTGAGGCCTTTCCAGGCGAAACCCAGTACGCAGAAGATGATTGTGAGAATTGCGAATCCGCCGATTTGAATTGGTTTTCTCCCTAGTCGATCGACGGTGAAGACTGTCATCCAGTATCCAGGAATCGCACCCTAAATAGCGGTTAAAAAGCGAGCGTCAATGATAAGTGACTACTTACGGCGCAGATCAAGACAATCTGTCCCGTTGCGGTATTCTTCAGATTTTCGTACAGACTTCCTCTTTTGTCAAAGCCCATGGTGCTCAACAGACTAGCGCTCGAGAAACTTAACCCATAAAAAGCCAGGTCGAGGAAAAACCATGAGAAGGACGTTCCGAAGAGTTTAATAAAATTACTCTTCTTGGAATAGTACCGGAATATTTCGGCAACGGTTGGACGTGGGGTTTTGTATTTGGCCTATAGATCGAATGCATGATTAGCAAATGCCTTGCATCAAAAATCACGTAAAGGCTGTAGCGTAGCCCAAGTATGCAAAGGAAGATTCAAAATTGCATCAAAATCTGACTTACCATATCGCGCCGAACCTGTGCCTGCTCAATGGGGTTAACCGTGTTGCCGGCTTTGCCATAACGATAGCGGCGTGTATCCATCGAACCTTTCTCAACATCGTACAGAACGTCGAAAGTATATCGTGGCGTCTCAGGAATCGTTAGGCGGTAGTAGAGTGCGAACCAGCCAGGCACTCCCCCAAAGGCGATGATGATCCTCCACATCTTGTCAACAGCAGAAACGCAGTCGCCACTACAAGAGGCTACATCCGGAACACTTTGCAATTCGCTCTTGTATGCAGCGACTACAATAAGGGCCATCAGCGCTGAAGCGAGTTGGCCAAGACCTTGCATCGCGAAAACGGCGGCTGTGTTGCGTTAGGCTCCTTTACTGTGAGAGATTTGCGATTGGGCTGAATACCAATGATTCCACCTCTATTCTTCGTGCTGGCGAACTCAGCCGTGATCACAGCGCTAAGAGGATAATCGCCTCCTACGCCAATGCCCTGCGAAGCATTAGCGGTGGTCAGTGATTGAAGCGCTCCCGGGCAATAACTTGCCATGACTACACGATCTAATCGAAGTTAGTTTTCAGGCATAGGTACTATGCTCCCCATGACTTACAGAATATGAGGACTCCGACGATTGATACAGCCGTTGACTCCCCGCAAAGCGATTGCGCAAGTGTTGTGGAAATGATGATCATGAGTTCGACACCGTACATCTTCTTACGTCCCAGGACATCAGCAAGATAGCCAAAGATGACTTGACCAAAGACTGGGCAAAGAGAGTATGTCAGTACGCGTCGTAATGAATGACATGCTCTTCGTGCTCTGATATGACGTACTGGCTCCAGCAGATGTAGCTACTTTGATCGCAGTATCGGCATTATGAGGCATGACGCCTTTATTCACGTCATCCTGCCAGTAGACCTAGAAGCTCAGTAAGTACATGTACGAGTATTGCGTGCATCGCGATTCCTCGTGAATGCCAGAACTACGTTCAGTGGGCCGAAAGAGCAGACCTTGAATAGACTTGACGTACTATACCAAGCATGATTACCGCTAAGTTGATCGCAAACAACTAACCAGGGTCAGTATCTCCAGTACGTATTTAGCATCAGACGTACACTATAAGCATCGGTAAAGAACCCAATACCAGTTACCACGGCTAAACGCACGTGATACCATCCAAAAGGCGCCTTGTCCACCTCAGCAAGGGCCATTCGTCGCCGCTCATTTGGGTCCTATTTATAGTAAGCAAAGAAGGCAGACCGTCTCATAATAACTTCGGTGCTCCAAACTCACGGCAATGTGTGTCTAGTGATATGTTAATGACAGCTTTGGTAGATCAGATGATATGAACTTACGTAGACGCTGTTAGCATCATGATAAGCAGAATTACCTGCTTTTGGTAATGGGGGTGAATGCATCGCGGTTTTGAAGTGTTGCACAGCGCTAGGTCGAAGGTTCGTGTTGCAGACTATTCTACAACAAGATAGGTAAAACAGATGTCGGTTCCGTAGTCGTCGAGAAGTATTGCAGCTTGCTTCGTACGGGGAAAACGCCTATCGTACGTTTCCCATTCGCGGCTGTGAGGCTAACAACTGCGTCGTTGCCTGAGGTCTCGCGGAATAGCAGTGTATCGTTCCACAAGCGATGTAAGCCTGCAGAGATGGTGAGCAGGCATGGATGGTAGCAATAATGGAGATCGGCGTTGAGTGAGTGACGAGGGCGGGTAGCTCCTGCTTTTCTTTGCGCAACAGGCTGGGTGTGTTTGAGTCGTGAAGAATCAACGGTGCTGGGGTGCAGAGCGCCATGGCGATGGATATCAATACGGGTGAGCTCTTGGGTCTGGGCACAGCGGAACTGCGACGCGTGGGTGCGTCGAGCAAGCCTCGAGGTCAGCGCCCGTGTGTGAGTTCGGCCTGTTCATTGGTTCGTAGCCGCTTAGCATCCTTCGATGCCACGCTCGGTAGAAGAAATGCCCAAGCCAAAAGCAATCTGATTTGTAGCATGTGGCGAGATACTGCATGCATTAACGACATGAACGCGAACTGCTTTAGAGACGCGGAGCGTGGTGGATGCGATTCCTGGTATTGGATCGTGGGTCCCTCCACGCACTCACGCCGGCGCCCAGGATGCCGGGACAGGCACGGACAGAGGGTCTGCGGTATGGAGAGGGTCTGCGGCATCTAAGTCCGGACAGTGGGCGAACATATGTTTGGACCTCTTCGTATTGAAGTATATCTATTTAGCATTCAAGGAGGCAACCACCAGGGAGGAGGCAGCAGTGCGCTGAGACGTGCATGCACATGTAACTACGAGTCGGTCTTCACGTTCCACTTCCCAAGATAGTACGAGTGTAGGACCACTCTGCGACGATACCCTACTAGATGTGTCACCCGTCGTAGGTGATGGGAGCAATTCTAAAAGAGCCCTGCACCGGACATGACAAACCTTGGGACCAAGGTGCCATGCTAGTGTGGGTATTATCACACGCTGCATCGGCTCCCGCACGCACCTTACCTCGGGCCTAATCGTGCATGACGCCGCAAAACATCACTGCGGCAGTCCTGGAAAGAGGCGTATACACTGGACCGAATTCGTCCACGGGCCCAAAGCTGTGTAGCCGATGGTATTCCATCGGCAGCGTCAAGATGAGAGGTAAACTTGTCTCGGCACTGCGAAACCTTCCTCATGGCAGCACTGCAACCGAGACAGGACGTTGCTTCCGCGCCTTCAGGACTACCGACGGTAGATGAAGTAGGAATGGGATCAACGTCTCGAAGTAGATCACAGCGGCCAAAAGAAATAAGGCAGAATGCCCCCTTAGAAGGCATGCACCCACGTGTCACCCCACGACACGCTATGCGGAAGCGGACTGTGCGAAAGCAGCACAGTACGAGGAATCAAAAGCTACGTAGCCGAAGTTCGCAATAGATCCTCAGAGAGGTAGCGAAATCCGGGTCGAAGAGGTAATCGGTTCCGGTCGTGCCCACTGTGAATCGGCTTGACGAACTCCACAAGGTCGACATGGATTTTCCGGCTTTGCGAGCACGCCGTGTATTTTGTGAGAGATGAATCGAGAGCTTCATCCCATGTTGGTACATCAATTTGGGTGACGAGACAAGCGAAAGAGCCTCAGCACAAATGCTCGTGCCCTACGCTTGCGTTCAGACAGGATAAGATAAAAAGGCCTAAGCGGCCGAAGAAGCTCACAATCTGGGTGTTACTCTATTGACAGCTGTGTAGTGTCTGCGAATGCATAGGCATGCTGGAGAAATGTCGTGTTCTCGGTTTTGACTGCCAAGCCACTAGATTGAGAACGGCTAGCCCCCACCATCGCACAATGAGCGAAATCGACTTCCGACACAGCAACCTCAAGCGACACTCGACAACCTCAAACTAACCCACAGCGTCAACAGGTATGCCTTGCCTTGCTCGCCCTTCAAATTCTGCGCAATAACTAATTGATACTCAGAACCCTCTCCCACAAGATGAGTACGCGAAACCAAACCATCTGCGAAAGCCCGAACCAGCGACACTGACCGCGATACAGCGAAGGGTACCTCCAGCTTTGGCAAGCGCCACAACAAGACGCACACGCTCTGCCGTCGTTGCGGTATGTGAATACACCTTCTGGCACGCATGATACCGGAGGCTACATGAATCGGAGGACGAAAGGATGGCGCTGACAGATTTTGATGCAGGTCGCCGCTCCCTCCACATCCAGAAGCACACTTGCTCCTCGTGCGGATACCCCGCTGCTAAGACCCGCAAGTGTACGTTGATGCCGAATTCTGTACGATGAAGGAACAGTGCATTGACATGTTGTAGTCAACTGGGGCGAGAAGGCCAAGCGAAGGAAGACCACCGGCACTGGACGTATGCGATACCTCAAGACCGTGTCCCGCAAGTTCTCCAACGGTTTCCAAAACGGCACGCCCGCTGGCGCCAAGGGACCCACGACCTCGTAAACGACGCGATGACGGCAAAAGAGGGTTTGGCGTAGGGGCTGACTGGGCGGGAGCGTGAAGGGCAGGCAGGTTTTCAACTGGCAAGGTTATCGAATATTGCTCAGGCGTTTTTGAGCATCACTTCCGGTGAATCATCCTCGACAGAAGGATGTGAGGACGAATGACACTTCTCGGAGCTTCTGTGGCATTACAGGAAATATATCATGGTCTGTCACGATTGAACCAAAGTCCACGCCTCTTGTTTCAAGACTCCGCTCAACTGTTTCGAATGAATTAAAACTACCCAGCTGCCCTCTCTTACCATAGTCGTTCTGTTTTTCTAGCACTCAAACATACTGACTAACTTCCCCACACGCAGCTCGCCAGGAGGTGCTGCTGTTCGAGTGCTACCATGGCTGAATATCCTGCTGAGAAGACCTCGTATATGGGTGTGGGTGACCCTATGGAGCGTGCTCTGTATCTGTGTCCATTACCGCGCGTTGTCATACCCTAAATTCACACCTCTAACATCTTCTTCAACGCGCTTTCGGATGCCCTAAGCCAGCGACCTCTTTCCTCGAGCTCATCGCCAATGCCACCGCCATCTTCTCTTCGTCGTCTAGCCTCCTTTGCAGCTGCAACCGTACCTTGCTTCTGCGTCTCCAACGGTTTGAGTTCTCGTTCCAATTTCTCCAATTCGCGCGTACGGTTAGGTATGGATGATTGGAGCTGCGCAAGCTGTGCATTGAGTGCGGCGAGTTCAGTCTCGCGTTGCTCCACCAGACGGGCCGTCTCTGGCAACGGCAGCGCAAGCTCCGGGTTTTGAGAGGGCGGTACCTGTTCCTTTTTGAGGGTCTCAATGTTCGCTTCTAGGCCTTGGATCTCTGCTGGTAACGACGCCAGCTGTTGTGTCTTCAGCTGCACACCTTCGTACCGCAGTGATAGGTCTCGGCCTTTGGCTTCAAGCTGTAGTAATAGTTCTGCGATTTCCACTTTACGCTCCTTCAAGGTCGCTTTCAAAGCTAGAATCTCTTTCTCTTTTGCCTCGTTCTCGGTAGCCTCGACAAGACTCGGTGGATCGGCGGTTATGCCGCGCAGAAACTTCTCTTTCGTGACTTGCTCGACATAGCTGAATCGGAGTTTACCAAACAGTTCCTGGACGCGTTAGATCGCTGGCTGATGTCTGATAGCGGGACTGGCCACCTTGTAATGTAGTAGGTCTGCTTGCAATGCCGCCGGATGTGTGTCGCCATTCTGTTCGCTATCGTCCGAAATTGTTGAAGTGCGTTTGTCCGCGGATTGAGAGTTGTTGTCTTTCGGCGCGAGGGTCTCCGCGATAGAGATGAGTTTCAATGATGGTGGCTGCTGCAGCTGTTCGAGCACAGCAGAAGCTGAGGACAATTGCGACTCGGATTCGTGCCTCATCATGTGTTAATTATGTTCGCAGGTATCTACCTATGAATGTTGCGGGGTCAATGTGTTCGCGCTGTTTGTTTGGACGCGCAGAGGCGGCTTTAGCGAATAAAGTCCAGCAGCGCGGCGGGGCTTCTTCGGTGGCTGCTATCATCTTCGACCATCATCGCGCATACGCTTCAGAACTCACCGAGATATACACCATGCCCGGCGACAACATCGATGACGATGAGTACGTTGCGCGGCTGCTCAAACAAGATGCAGTGGACGCATCGAAAAAGTACAGTTTCGTGGGCCTGGATGCCTTCCACGCAAAGAGGTGCGTTGAATGCCTCAGATGCGGGTCATGAAGTACAGTCACTTGACTGCAATATAGAGTGTAGTGCAGCTGATGGCTTTCAGATTGAGACCAGACGCTCCGAAACCGAACACCAATTTTTTGCGGCACATCATACGCCAGACTGATAGCCATAATGCGGCGTTGCTGGCTAGAGAAGCGAAAGACTCGCGCGCGCGCCTGCGCCAGCTGGACACGGCAGATCAGGGTACGGAAGATCGAAAGACACAGCGACGAGGCAGACTACGTTCTCCGGACCGCGGCGACCAGGCCGCTCGTCGTGAGCGGAGGGAGCGCCACCGTTCGAGCAGTAACGAGGAACAAGACAGACGAAGCCACAAGAGGTCAAGACGTGAGCGGCATGGATCGAGAGACGAGGACAGAGGACATAGGAGACGACATCATGTTGACAGGACAGAACGACCGTCGCGTCATTTAGACCATCGACGGGAAAGCGAGAAGCACTCTCGGAGGAGCACCCACGAAGCATGTTCTTCAAGGCATGAAGAGCACCATGGTCGCATACGCGCAGGATCAAGATCACTTCCTAGGTCTAGACCCGACACGCGATCTCCTTCGCCTCCTTCCAATCGACATCACAAAATCTTAAGGCACCATCGAAGAGCTCACTCTCCTAGGCGGAGGTCCAGAAGCCCAACAAAGCAAACGGACAGGGAGGAAAGTAGACACAAATCACGAGCTATAACACGACCCTCCCCGACTACCGAGGACGGATCTGATCCGCTCGAGGCGATCTTAGGACCGCTGCCACCACCGAAACAGCCAGCTGTTCGCTCACGCGGTCGAGGTGCACACAAGAGCGATGCGGAGGGCATCAACGCGCGCTTTTCCTCCGCGTACGACCCGGCGCTGGATAATGAGCCGCTCTCGAACAATGGTGATCAATGGGGCGACGCTGTTGAAGCATACCGCGATCGCCAGCGATGGAAGCAGCAAGGCGCAGAGAGGCTGAAGGCAGCCGGCTTTAGTGATGAGCAGGTGAGGAAATGGGAACGAGGCGACGAGAAGAACGAGGAAGACGTCCGATGGACTGCGCGGGGCCAGTCGAGAGAATGGGACAGAGGAAAAGTAGTGGATGCCGATGGCGATGTTGGGCACAGGGCAACATGGGCGGCGGACTGATGCAGCTAATTTTGAGACGCCCAAAAGACTTTGCCCACCTCCACTTGCTGTGCTTTCATCATCATTTGCTTCGTCACTGGCTGTGGAACCTTGATGTTGGAGAGATCGACCAGGATGTGGGGCTGCGTGATTGGCCGACGCTACGTGTACACCGCTGCGGCTTATCGATGGTTGCCCGTAGTGACTCTGGATAAACAAGTACTCGGGACGGCTAGTGCAGCTGCCATTCCAGCCCAGTCCAGCACTTGCACCTGCACCTAACGTGCACTACAGTCCACTTTGTGGAATCGCATTCACAAGAAACACTCTCACAAACAGCTATACTCCCTCTGAAAACAGGTTCGCAGGCTTCCCGCATCCTCGCTCGCCCGCCACACCGACTCCATCCCACCGAGCTGTCCGCAGCTGCCGGACACGCTCTGGTCGGGCCAGCGCACGACTCGAACTTGCCCGCCGCCCACGAGCCTCACGAGTGCTTTAGTGAGCGCAAACAGCTCGGACGGCCGGGCTCGGCTCTGGCAAGATGTCTGGTCTATCCGCACCTGGGAGCGGTGCCTATTCGTCCGACACCATGTATGTAGGAGATGGGACCTGGGATTCGCAGAGAAACACCTTTTTGCTTCCGAACCTGCAAGGCTTGAATCTTGCCACGACACAGTACAATGGTGAGTTTTGGAAACCACGCTCTACTTACCATGCTGACTGGTGCCGCAGGCATGGGCAACCGCTTCAAGACTATGAATGGCTACCATGGCCTCATCCAAGCGCATGGCATCCTGGCAGTCATTACGTTCCTTTTTGTTGTCCCTGCAGCTATCTTCCTCGCTCGATTCTATCACCGGAACCCGCGCATGGCGCTACGCTTGCACATATGGCTGCAGATAGGTACCGTCTTCCTGTCAACCGCACTCTTCATTCTTGGATTCCAAGCAGTTGGCCTGAAACGATCTCTTACGAATCCTCACCACGGAATCGGTGTCGCCCTATACACTCTTATTCTAGTACAAGCACTCGGAGGATGTGTGATTCACAGACGAGAGAAAGGGAGGGAACGGTATAAGATCCCTCTGAAATTGATGGTAAGTGTGTCAATCTCCTGGCAGATGTGTACTGACACTCTATAGCTTCATCAATGGATGGGGAGACTGATCGCGCTACTAGGCATTGTACAAGTTGCCCTTGGACTGACATTATATGGGTCACCCAAGGTGCTCTTCATCCTCTACGCGGTTTGGGCGTTCATCCTCCTGTGTGCATGGTTTGTTCTCTCATATCTGAACCAGCCCGAGATGGGCTTTGATGACACAGGCACTTACATTACGGAAACCACCATGAGCGGCAGCCGCAGAAGCCATCGCGGCCACGGGCTGGGTGGGTTAGCAACAGCTGGGGCCGCAGGTGCAGGTTTAGCTGCATTAAGAAACCGTTCCCGCAGTCGAAGTAGTCGCAGAAAGCCGAGCGGCAGAAGAACAGTTGTCAGTTCGCACGCTAGCTCGTATTATGACGAGTCGCGCGTGGACGAAAAATACACTGAGGTTGGGCGGAATAAACGCACCTGGCGAGACCGACTATTGGGTGCTGGTGCGGCAGCGGGCGGTATTTTTGCGATCAAATCCCTCTTCGGTAAAAAGAAAGTTGAACCGTCCGAAACGACAAGCAGTGTCAGCTACAGCCGGCCGCCTATAGGTCAGTCTGAGGTTACGCAGACTGATTTGAGTCGGCTTGAAGAAGGAAGAGCCCCGGCTTCGCCAGGTCGCGACCACTGGCGTCGCGTAGAAGAAAGAGAAGCTGCTCAAGCCGCCGCTATGGGGGCGAGCCCTTTGCGCCAAAATCATCGGGCCACTCGAAGCGGTGCCTCGATCGAATCTTTTGACAGCCGGACCAGCTTCAGTGGGGAACTCGAGAGACCCAAAGAATCTCACGGACTTCGAGATGGAATAGCCGCCCTCGGGTTTGCTGGGTTCCTTAAGCACCAGTGGAGTAAGAGGAGGAACAAGAAGGAAGACGAGCATGTCGCAGCTGTAAAACATCAAGATATGGAAGAAGAGCGCATAGCTCGGGCAAACAGCCAACGACGAAAGTACACTGGGGATGGGTTACCCGGAAGAAACCGACCGCCGTCCACCATCTTTTCCGAGAGTGACATCTCAGGGACAACTCCTGGCTTGTCACGACACGATTTGCATCCACCGAGAAGCACGACGCACTTGACGCAGACAGAGACGGTCGCAGGACTATCAACAGCGCCAGCAGGCCCTCCCCCGATGGACCCTCATGGTGTTCTTTCTGATTCCGGATCCGAAGCATATACATCAGCAGGCGGCCGCAAGCATCGAAAACATCATACTGGAAGCGCCGCAGCTCTTGGTGCAGCGGCTGGCGCCTCGTCGGATAAAAGAGATGCCAGCCAGCGCCGAGGCAGTCGTGACGGCAGTGTCAACTCTCCGCCTGTGTCTGTCAAGGTGAAGATGCACAATGATGGAAGACATGTGACTTTGAGAAGGCTTAACGAGGAAGAAGCTGCGGCAGAGCGTGAAGCGCGGAAAAAGGATCGCAGGCGTCGGGACGGCAGCATGAGCTCGTTGAGCAATCTGGAGAACAACGAACGCTGGCGGCGTACGGCAGCAATGGAAGCCGCTCAGGCGCAAGAAATGGCACAACAGTCTGGCGGTCCGATACCCATGCCTGAGCCGGTGATCCCTCCGCCACCGCCTGGGCCACCTCCCATGGGAACGACGGCAGGTCACACGACAGCCGGGCACCAAGGTGCTTTCCCTCCTCCGCCGCCCATCCCAGGAGCGGGTGAAAGTGTTATGAGCAGTCCGCCGGGCACGCAGGTGTATGGCACAGAGACAGACGTTAGCGCTTATGATTCAAACCGAAGGAGGCGGAGAGCAGAGCGGGCCCAGGCGAAGCAGGCGAGGTTGGGTGGAAGTCGCGTTGAGTTCTCATAACGACCATGACGACGGGTAAGCTTGACGATATTCTGGTTTTGTGCATTTTCAGGCGCGTGGGAGCGGGTCGTGGTCTCGAAAAGGTGGAGGCAACTCATGCTGTACATGTAGGTAAATAGTTTGGTTGACGATGACGACGTCTCACTGTTTCGATTGCGTTGCATATATATATGTCGATGTTGTATATGAAATGCATTTGCCTCTCAACATGATATTCGGTGCGACCATGCCTTGGATTATACACTGGATGCGCTCATCTATGTCTCGTGTCGGACGAGCTAGTGTGGTTGTGTGACGGATGGGCGAGAGCTACCTCTTGGCAGCTTCGTTCGTGGGTCATGATGATGCGGTGGGTAACAGGGCTCGATCAATCCAGGCATGATGGTGCGGAAATAGCCACCTTTGACGTTATCTCCCCTGCGCGTCTGGCGCTTCTTGTGTAGACTGACGGCCTCACCGATGCTCGAAAGTGACAAAGGCCCCGCCCTCGCGCCGCGAAACGTCTTCATTTGCTGGTCCGAGGCATGATGACCTATCTGCGATGGTATATCCGGACGATCGGCTTCACGGCGAGCGCGGAGAGGCCGTAGACGGGCCTTTCGTCGAGTTTATAAACACGAGGGCGCCTCAGCATGCCGAACAGCTCCTTCCCCCAGATTTGCCTCGAACGCCCGGCGGACCTGCGCCCCGACTGCTGCTGGCCCTTCGACCACCCGACCACCTTTGGGCTTCGACATGGCCGACCCAGTGCTCGCTCGCCCCTACTGGACTCCCAAGCGCCGCACATGTCCCTCTCGAGCAGCCAAGTGCCCATTCTCGCCGCCGAGCAGCTGAGCGCGCGCACCGCCTGCGATGACGACAACGATATGCGCGAGCGGAACCGTCGTGACGGTCGGGGACCATGGCTAGCGTCTGCTGCGGTGACATGGTCGCTGCTGCGGGCATCGTGGGCTCGTGGAGACGACCGTTTCAACTCGCCGCAGCTCCGAGCGATGAACAGCGGCAGACCTACCTCATCGGACCCAAACCCACACCACCTACCCTCTTCATCTGCAGGCCATCACTAGCAGCGACTAGCTCCACCGATGCTCGGATGATTGTCGGTTAGTGCTCAGGTCGTTTGCTAGTGATCCGCTGCGTTGGGGCCGTCCGCCGTCGACGCCATCGCCATTGTTAGATTGCTCCTGCGTAGCGGCGACCCCCCGATGCCTTCGATTCTCCACGGCAGCTGCTGCGTGCCAGCCAACGGCCTCGACGGGCCCCTGGGGGCGTGTGCCGCACGTCCGGCTAAGGGTCCGGCAGACTTCCCTGTCCACCTTCTTTGGCATCTGTGAATCAGGGCCCCTGGCGATATCTCCACACAGTTTCATTGGGCTCTTTCTGCAGCCGGCCCCATCCTGGCAGGGCTGCTAGTACAGGCCTAATGCGGCTGTGAGCCAAGCCTCTACGTCGACGGGTTAGCCAGTTGAGAGTGGGCGTCCTTTCCAGCAGAATGACACAAAGCATGCAAAAACGTCTTCCGACCTTATGCGCAGCATGCCCAAAAATCTTTGCACTCTTCCAATTCGCGTGGATACTCCTCGTTTCTTCGGGGGAGGCTTGCTGAATAGCTTCCACTGCCCTACCTTTCCATAATGTCAACGGTTACTACGTCTGCTCCCGTCAAAAGAGCTTGCGATAGGTGCGTCTTTGCATCATTCCTGACTCGGCAAACACCACTCATTTCTCTAACTGCAGCTGCCATCGACGCAAAGTAAAATGCATTGGTGAAGGAACAAACCCATGCAAGAACTGCGTTTCTGCAGGACTTGCTTGCACATACAATGCTATTCCCCAGAAGAAGGGTCCCAAGGGAAGCCGTGCCAAAGTCTTGTCTGAGCTGCGGGAGACGCAGCGGCACGCCCAACTGGCAGCGGGGCTCTCCCATGAGCTGGGTTTCGATGGCCGCGCACTTCCCACAACCTTTGCCCGCACTCCGGGTCTGTTGCCGCCAGGTCTCGTGGAGAGCTGCCTCGATTTCTACTTCGCCAACGTGTATCCTTCGCAGCCAATTCTCCACCAACAACGCGCGCAGGAAATATTGATTAGCGTCGAGCATTCTTCCGAGGCATACTGCATGATCGTTGCTTTATGCGCATATGTTATGATACAGGCAAACATGACAGTCTCGCCCAGCTTACTCCCGCGTCCTGAAATGGCACAACTTTCCAATGTCAGCATTGGGCACGTCCTACTGGAAGAGGCGGTACGGGTCCGGAAAGGCTTTGAATACCTGGAAAATCCGACGCACATGTCACTTTTAACGTCCTGGCTGTTCTATGGATCCAACTTTGGTTTGGGCAAGGACAATACGGCTTGGTCGTATCTCAGAGAAGCCACTACCCAAGCGCATTTACTTGGTCTGCACGAAGAAGAAACCCACAAGAACGATCCACTCGATATATCTCGCAAGCGCGTATTGTATTGGCTTCTTTTGGTCGCGGAAAGGTACTGATCTGAGCTACGAGAATTCGACAAGGAGACTAACTGGCTCGTAGAACGCATGCGCTTCACAAACACCGTCCAATTTCACTATATCCCACTATACACCCACCTTCATTGGACGAATCACCTTCGGATAGACCAATCGTGTCTGGACTTGGTTGCCTTATCAATCTGTACAAGCCAGTAGACGACACGTTCATCAGTCTGTGGAACAAGGTCCAGACGCACGGCAACCCCTCATGGATCGCACAGCTTCAAAATCAATTGACGGAGGCGCTTCCAGCATATCTCGATTGCACGGAGAGTCAAGCTGCAGATTTACGCATCACCCAGCAATGGCTGCGAACTATGCTATGGCAGTTGTGCGTGAGCCAGGGTCTCGTCAGCAGTGTGGCAGCGGACAATACGCTCACCTTCAAGTACCCCATCGAGATCTCGCGCGATCTTCTTTCTATGACACATCAGTTCTCTCAGCATGCGATGGAAGTGCATGGCGTGGGTTTGGTGAGTTGAACAACTTTTCGCAGCGTCACCCGTCCTGTGTTTCCCTCCTTCTAGCTCCTCAATGTTTGCTATGTTGGATTTCTGTTCCCTCCTATCGCGTCTGAGCCTACTTGTTTCAGGGTCCTTGTCGAGGCCTAGACTTTGACCCTTTACACTGCCTTGCACAGGGTTCTTCAGCGAGCATAGGGTCAATCTTGGCATTGATCTCTATGGACAAGCTAACTATACTGACATGATACTAGATCGAGAAATTATTCGACATAGCTTGTTGCTTGACTGATGTAGTCGCTTGCATCCCGTTCTCGCCGGACACTTTCGCTTTGGGGCCGCGCGACTACGTCTCTCGCTTCCTTACCTTGTTCTCCGCCCTCCGTGGCGGCCAAACCCGCTATCTTCCCCTCCTTCTCGCGAAAGTATCCGAGGTCCTACCTAACCTTCCGCTTCCTCGGTCGCTCAACATACCTCAGAACATGTCCGCCATGGACTCCACTTCGGGCTCCATCGGGTCAGTTGCATCCAGTGTGACCGATGATTTTACAGGAATACCAGTTGCATCGCCCTCGTACCCTTCGACAGAGCTGATACGTCAACTTGCCGCCCAAACTGGTGCCCAGCTTCCATTCAACACCTCCCAACAACCACTACTGCAAGCGCCCTCCTCTAGAGTCGAAGATCTTTCTCTGTATGACACCTCGGCACCTCACAGTGCCCACTCCTCGGGATCAGCACCTCCAAGCCAGTCTGGAACGCCCGGTCCTTATGAGCCCACGATGCACTCTCGTCCGCCAATTCCGAGCCAGGCGCATGGACATCCGCCGCCTCAGTTGCAACAAGCCCATACGCAGCATTCGCAACTACAAAGCCACCAGCTTGGAATTAGTGCCACTGCATATGACCCTAGGTTTAACGTACCAGGTTTCGATCCGGCAATGGGTTTCAAACCGGACAGTATTGATAGTGCGGGTCACATACCAGGTCAAGGCGCTCTGGATAACCAAGGAGCCTACAGGGAAAATATGAGTCACGGGAGAGGGCACGGTGGTGGATATGCAGGCTGAACGCAGGCGTTTGGGATCTGAAATTCCTTCCTGCTCAATATCCATTATCGTTCGAAAGACGTCTTCAACCAACGCCTTACAGGTACGACATAGGTCGACCGTCGTCACATTACTGCCACGGGCTCAAGGGTGCTACCGCCACAGTTCTGCGCTTGATGTTTCACGTGACATCAATGCCAGTCTAAGTAGCACGACCTGGCCGATCGTCTTCCCCCCTGTAGCGGGTGCTGGTCATCGCAGCTACCACACCCTGTGCACGGGGTTAGCCGGCATGTAAATCTGGCGTAGCGGCCCCGAGTGCTCTTTATCTTACACTGTTTCCGACAACATGTGTAGAGCACGGCCAAGGCTTTGCATAGAACGCTGAATTTTCAGAGCTATGATTCTTGTAGATAGTCGAAGAAAAGCCTATCGGCGTCAAGTTGTGGTATGTACGAGAAGAGTTAGTATGGACAGCTTCTGCTTCAGCTTCAGCTTCAAGATTATGTCCCTGAATCATGGCTTTGGGCATGCATGCAGGACGATCGGCAGAAGCGGGCTAGTGCAGACAAATGAGTGCTTCGCAAACACTTCCCGCACGCTCTATCCGCACACGCTTCCCCGTGAAATGAAGATGCGCCACCAGGGGAGTATTTCGGAACGGCTTCACGTGGCCGATGCAAGTGTGGTCTTACGCCGATCCAGGTATGGTCTTAGGTGTATCCGTGCTCACAGGGCGCAACGACCTTCCGTGCTTGCAGAGGCTATACTGATCCGTGCTTGCACCACCTTGAAGAACGGCGACCACCTTGTTTGCGAAAGATATCCGTGCAGCTTGCAGAAAGCATCGACTTTGATTGCCAACTAATCTCACGAAGGGCAAGATATCCGAGCATACTTGAGAACGAGGGTGTTGTCTGTGACCCGGAGTGCTTTACACCGACAGGTGGGCCATAGTTTCATGTACCGTCTGTGGTACCATGGTTGGGTGCGGTCAGTGCGTGTATAGTTCATCTCGGTATACCTAGCTCATTTGAAAAAAATACTTGATAATGTACATACAACACATCCGTCCCCTGGTATGGAAGGGTAACATCAGACCACCATGGAAGCATTGTAGGGCTTGAAACAAATTACATTTGGAATACATCAAGATAGACGTTAGAAAGCGGGCGTGGTTCTTGCGCACCTAGCAATCCTTCGCGCCGGAGCCATACAGTGCGCGCTACGGTTCCAAGCAGGGGGGTTGACAGCGGGACAAGTATCTTCCTAGCTCTGGTGCCCCGGTCCTCGTACATGCATTATTCATCACACAGTAATGGCCCGGCTCTATATCGGACCCTTTATTATAACGGTTATTGGGGTACGGTTGCAAGCTACCCCGAAAACCGGGTTCGCTGTGCAATATGTTTTCCCGAAACAGGTGTCTGGTCGATGTATTGATCTGCGTGCTTCCCAATAGTTTCATCGGATGTTTAGCTGAGTGAAGAACCCAATGTTCCTGATGTGCACGTTGCAGCTGCCATGGAATTATCTCTATCTAAAAGTAGTAACTAGTCACTACTACCTGCCCACGCGGAACGGCACGTAGATTCAGCCGATGCACTTCACGCTTCACTTCATGCGTTGCCCTTTCCTGTTTCAACCCCTCCCAATATCTCGCAATGCCTTCCGATTGCGACCTGATCTCTCCCACTTCCCCGCAGTCCCTTCAAGCCCAAGACATACTCCCCCCTCAGAATTCATCTCCATCGTCCACGTCCATTCTCACATCCATACCTTCCAATTCCTGCAGTGAGGCATCGCTCATGCCTGGCTGGATCTGGCTGGGCTGACCCATCACCCACCTCGCGCCGTCACTGGCAGATTCCCTCAACCAAGCTTGGTATGCTGTCACTCGCTGCGCCCTCATCCCACGTGGGCTGGCCCCGGGAGTGGCATGCTCTTGGGTTGAACTCAGTCCATCTTGGTTAACGTGCTGAGGATGTGTCTCTCGCAGCATGCGTGGCAAGCGAGGCTGTGTCGCTTGATTCTGCTGGGCGTGTGGCGTATACGGGTTCACCTCGTGGTGCGAGCAATCCAAGGCTGGTGTGGTAGCTTGCGCGCTAGCTTGCGCGGTAGTGTGCGTAAGCTGTTGCGTGTTGACCAGCTGCCCGAGGTTCAAGGACGTTTTGCGCCGTACGACTCGTTCGTGATCTTCGAGCTGAACTTCACGTTGGGCAGACATATGCTGTTGGGTGTAGAGCCGCCAAGCTTGCACTTCTTCCTGAGACAAGGATTGCATACCGCTACGGGTTTGATCGACTCGCTGGGATTGCCACGCTGGGCCGCATCCCTGCTCCGCTTGGGTTGTCTCGCTACGAGGCGTCGGTCCCTCCGTCCCTATGGAGAACGTGCTTACCGAATGTTGCTGTTGGCGGTACTCGCCGGATCCTCGACGAGCAGTTGGCTTAGGACTCGTTTTGGCAGTCTTCTGAATTCTGTCCTTTTTCTTCGCCCACCTCTGCTTCTTCTCTCGTGCCTCCTTCTTTGCTTGGAATACCACACGGTACTTCTCGTTCAATCGACCGTTGATCATTGCAGAATGTTCGTTGCCAACCCAGCTTAGGCCGGGCATATCTTCCAAGACATCCGACCGGTATAGTTGTGCGCGTGCGGCCTCTGCCTGTTCCTGCGTGATCTCACCGTCTTCCACCTGAGTGCGTAGACCTCGACACAAGGTATCTTCTACGAAGGACTTCCGGCTCGCGTCGTCAAGAGCAAGGACGAGAGATGGTTCATTCAGGATCGTCCACTGGTGAACTAGCCATTCTTGGAAGAAGTGTATGGTGAACTGCGAAGTGGGAAAGAGCACGGCATTTGGATCGCTGAACCCATTGTTCAACCTCAAGATGATGGCCTCGTGCATCTCCTTAACCGTTGCCAAGATTGCGTAGTACAAGTCCTCGAAATCTCCCAATGGTCGGTCCGTCGCCGGGGATACTGTTGCTTTGCGCGACGCCTTTTCTACGCGGTTGAAGCCCTCTTTGTTGCGGTTCTCGAGCCCGGGGAAGGGCGAAGCATATCCAGCCCGGAGACGATCGTGGAGTGTCTGAAGAGAAGGGCTGTAGCGGTCAGTAGACGGAGCACCAAGTGAGATTGTCGACGATTGAACGGCGAGAAGCTCAGATGTGACGCTCAGTAGGTATGACTTCACGACATCATCCGGACTGGCGAGGAATGCAGCTTCGATCGTATCCTGTGTGGCCGCCGCCGAGAGTCGAGGGTAAGGTGTTTTCAGGGCAGGCATCTTGGGATTCGGCTCCCGTCAGGCTACCTTGGAAAAGGACGTGTAATCGCCGCGGTTGACACGAGGATGACGAATCCTTCTGTTTTGATTGCCGAACAGGAGCGGACTGTTCTGGATCCTGATGTGCGATGCCGGGCCTTGAGCAGTCGACGCTGAAAATTTCGGCGCCGTCTGTTCAAGAACCAGGCAAAATGCAACGAGGAAAGAGCGGCGGGGTGATAATGAATGCTGGGTAGTTTGAGAACATTGTCGTTGCTAGGGAGACGCGGGTGGAAGGAGTGGTGAAAGACGCCCCCAACGTGCTGGATACAATGGTATACCCGCTGCAGATGCAGATGTACGGTTGAACATGTACAATATCAATGGTGTTAGCATCTGCTCAGAGTGCACTAACTCTTGTAATAGCTCACCGCTGTTGTTTCCCAGCGTGCGACGGATACGATTATCAAAATCAACCCTGTCATTGAATGCGATATCTGGCACGAGGTAGCTTAGACTTCATATTGTAGAAGCTACCCGACTCTTGGTTGAATGTTCAACTAGAGTGTGTTTGCGTTGGTCTTGTTCGCTCCCGATATTCTTACCGGGCCTTCACCTTTCAACGTCCTTGAGGAAGCTTCACACTGCATACAATATCTTCCAAGTGCGGGTTCGATTTCAGCTCGCCCACAGACTCGTTCATATCCAAGCAAAGCTTAGGACGTCGCATGTTTGAAGCGCTGGGTGTGATGTCCAGAACCAGCAACCTCACCTATACAGCCGAAGTAACACTGCATGGCGGGCAAAAAGTTAGGATGCGTCGCCCGAGAGGCAGTGGCGCCTGCAGTGACTACGTGTAGTATATGGCATTTCAGAGTCCCGTGACTGTACCTCAGGTGACACAGCATATGTAGACCTCGGGAGTGAGTTACCCCTTCTGGTGCAGCAGCCTCGCAATCTATCACGGGGAAATTTACCACGCTTCCAAGTATTCTCACTACTGTGGTACAACAGTGTCACCCCTTCTGGTACAGCAGCCTCGCAATCTATCACGGGGGAGTTTACCACGCTTTCAAGTATGCTCACTACTGTGGTACAACAGCGTCGTGCTTGCGACAAACAGACGGGGGCCAATCTTGGCGTCAATACTCTGGTGTAGCACTTGTAAAGGCGAGCGTAGATGATCGGCGTCCGTGTGGGATGCAAGGTACGTCCAAGCTCTCGCCGTGGCTTGACAGCTGATCGGGGCATCCGATCCAAGGCGGCTGGCATACGCTGCATACGCCGCTTCGACTCGGGCAAGGATGTCGGGACAAAACGGTGATGACGTCCGATAGCGGTGCCACGTGCGGCGGCCCCTGTCGATGATGGTGTGCCCACGAGTCGCGCTGCAGATGTGGCTTGCCACGGTCGGCCCCTGCAGCAGCCAAGTGACAAGGAAGGAACGCCGAGCGGTCAGCTGCCACACCCAGGCGCCACCATCCGTCCCGGGATGGCCCTCGCATCCTTCCCGCAAACCTCAGTTGCACTTGCAGCAGAGGTGCCACGTAGCCAACGGCCACGACCTTATGTACTGTCCGTCGCTGCAGAGGCATCGAGAGAGGTATATAAAAGCATGCACCGTCCCGGCGACGCGCACACCAGGATTCGACCGTGTTCGAGGTCTCTTCATCCGGGCGCACAGTCAGCCCAAACTGAACAGAGGTCACATGGCCGTGACAGCCACCAATCCAATGGATCCATGCCTGCGAATCACGACTTCAACCCACCCACCAAACATGGCTACGTTCTATTGGACGGCGCATTGCGAAGGTGCTGTGTTTCCTGGAATCCCTCGTTGCTCTAGCTTGCCATGGCCGAGCGACCACAGTCGCGCTGCGGTGCGCCCAACATGGGCGCCGCCGTCTTTCTTCACATGAGCACATGGCGCTTCCGTTCCTTCGCCGTCATCCTACACGTGAGGTACCTTGCTTAGAACCTATACTCGGATCTTTGGTGTGATTGAGGTCCCCTCCTGCTCTATCCCACGAAGCGCCTACCCAACTCTCCTCAAAGCCGAACTCGGGCGCATACCTTTCTGCTACCTACGAAGCGCTGCGCGACACGAGATTTGACAGCTTTGCGATTGTGACCTACTGCGCTTGCGCAACGTATTACTTTTCGGAAAGAGGATATACAAGACCCGAATATAGTGGTAGTAGTAGGTTAATCTGGGATACGCGGGGTTCGCGAACCTCTGAGTAACGCGCGTAGCATACTCGACCAGTCGTTCGAAATGTGCTTTGGAGCCTTGTTCGCAGCTCCCAAGAAGAAGCGCAAAACTTCCCACTCTGAGTCAAACGAGAAGAGATGGAACGAACAGCGCGATCATCCACGTCACTATCAAAGGATACCAGTTGTCGCAGAGGCAGCAGAGCGACCCGACACCAGGCGCTCGAAAGAGATGAACAGAAGAGTACCTAGAGCTCCTCCCACCGTAGATCGCCGTACGCGCCCATCGTATACACAGAACAGCGGGGCAAGGCATAGACCTACTTTAGCCGTAAATGTACCGCGTATGCCAATAAACCAATGTCTCTCATCGAGAGCAACGACTAACAAGCATAGCTATGTGGTACCGACCTACGGGCTCAACGAGCAGCAATTCTTCAGAGGAGATGCTGCTGAACCCGCGCCCTGATAGATCCTCGCATGACAAGAGCAAGAGACATCGCCACGCAAAACACACCTCACAATCAACGCTGAAAGGTCGAGGAGCCAAACGCCAGCGCAGCTCCAACACCCGATGTGACGACCACGTTTCTTCCCATTCCACTCCAAACTCTTCGAAACGGAGAAGTCAAACGCAGACTGGAGAGCACTCGTCACCGCGCAGCAGCCGCTCTACGCGCCAACACCAACATTACCAAACCCTCCTCCGAACCCCAGCCCCCACCAGCGTACTCCCGACGACTTGCTCCTCATCCTTCCCACCAGCATCAACACCATTCCGCCCGCGCAAACACAGGCGCACCGCGCGACCCCGTCTTGGATCGCCGCTTTGCAGTCCTCGCCGCCACAAACACCGCTCTGGAACACCTTAGACAAGAAGCCTTCGCACAGCCGTCGCCTCCACCGCCTCCACGTCTGAGACGATATCAGGGTGTGCAGATTCCCGCGTCGAGTATTCCCTTTGACTGGAGCTGTGTCAGTTCGCAAACGCATGGTGAGGGGCGGCATGCAGAAGCGAGTGCGAGTGCGAGTGCGAGGCAGAGACGGAGGAGGTGATGTTAGGAAGGGGGTTGGATGCACGTGTTGTTGTTTTCGTTACAAGCTTATAGAGTAGGGGTCCTGGAACGGGGATGGCGTAATCGTGCGTTTTTGGAGTTTGTTCCTGCATTGGATACCATCGCAGCATACAAGGATGCATTCATCGGGAGTCTTAGTCATTGAATTCTCGGCGTCGTGGTCAGGTACCACCCGCATGCGTTGATCTTTGTAATTGGTGCAAATTTTGATTGTATTGAACACTTGCTGCGTTCATCTCACGTTCCTTGAGTCTACCTTAGCTCAGTCTTTCCTGCTAACGATTCGTTCCACACCACGATGCGACTCTCACGCGCGAAGCTCCGTCATGCCCACCTGCGCCCAAGATACTGTTCTCTTACGCAGTACCCCCAGTGCCCCTCTCAAAAACCTTCACGCTCCCATCCCCATTCACCTTATACAGCACCTCTATTCCCTTCTCCTCCGGCGCTTGCACCGCACCTCCGTCCTCCTGATCCCTCACCGTCGCAATGTCCGCCCATGAATCCCTATTAACCGTAACCCTCAGCACTCCGCTGACATCTCTCGCAACACCCGTATCCAACAACCTCACGCCCAGCACCTTCGTACTCATATGCGCCGTCTTGACGACGAGATTTTGCTGCGCGATCTGCAGCGGCGAGGGCTTCTCTGGCGTTGCGAGGAGGGCTAGGTCGGATTGGAGGTGTACAAGGACGTGTGAGACGGATTTCTGCGTGTGTAGTGAAAGGAACAAGGAGGTTTGTTTGGAGGGGGTGAGGTTGGGATCGGTGGCGAGGAGTATGTCTGGGTTGTCGAGGATGACAAGAGTCTTCGTGGCGGCGGTCGAGGGGCGTAGGGACGCGATCGCCGTAGATATAGTGTCGTTTATGTGGTCGAGCGAGGTAGAAGAGAGCGTAAAGAGGCCTGGTGGGGTCGTTGGCGTTCGTGGCGAGGCTTGCGCAGTCGTAGGTGCGGTCCTTCCTGGCGGCCCGCGGACAGGAAGAGTCTGAGGCCCTCTCGTAGCCGGCATTCCTGTCGGTGTTGTTGGCAGATTCTGTGGCCGCTGCTGGGCTACCCCATCGTCGTGCTCGATGGGGAGAAAGAGCTCTGACAAGCCATCCACAAAGGCCAATCTTCCCCTGCGCGCGCAGACCACCCAAGTCTAACCCAGTTGCTTTACGCGCTTCTTGCCTCCAGAACTCATAGTCACGCATCCAGCTCACCAGCACGACGTTCTTGGGCCCGCCATTATCGTCGTCTTTTGCGCCGGAGCCCAGCGCATCGCACAGAAAGCGGGTTAGGAGCCAGTTGGCTGAGGCATCGAGTGTGCTCGTGAGAAGCAAGAGCGAGTCGTTCTTCGGCGTGCGCACAAACGGTTGCAGCAGTGGCGGTATGCGAGAGTTTGGCGGCATGCCGAAGGAATTACTGAGAGGAAGCTGGGCGGCGGATTGACAGAGCACGTGCTTATCGATAAGCCCCTCACACTGGAATCTTTGTACAGTCAGTTACATCAACCGGTCCATCACCATGCTTGGCATCTCGAAGAGTTTGTGAAACTTTTGCAGCTTTCGATCTGTTCCTTAACTAGTGTCCTCCGACTTGTGCTGGAAAATGGATAATACACTCTCATGCCATTTTGATGTATTTTGACCATGCCAGCAGACATAAACCGCTTCTCCGTGCTAGATGCTCCCAACACTAAGCCGACGAGAAGGCAATGTCCTTGGTACCCTAGTCGCCTGTGGACGTGGTTAGCATTACATACGCTCACATGCAAAAATCACTTCGTCCGCTTCACACTCGACGTAGCATACATACCTTGACGGAAGTCAAGCTTCAAGATCTCGCCAAAGTGCGTGATACCTTGTGGCGTCACGATATCGCCTAGACCCTTCTCCGGTACATTAAGAGCTTTATGCTTCTTCGCAAATTGATGCTGCTGGGGAACAGCAAGCTCCCGTCGACCAACCTTATTAACAGTTTTGATCTTGCCGAGCTCGTTGACGAATAGCCACGGGAAAGACATCAACGGCATGTCTTCAGGTGTCATCGAGCGGCCCAACTCTCGAGCTTCCTTGATAGCAGCTTCCATTTCATTAGCGGTCACAGTGTACATGGCCGTGACGAATGGTGCTAGCTTCTCAAACTCATGCCTGCCCGCTACGCCTGCCGCTTCATAACACAGCTCTTGGTGCCGTGACTTGAGCAATGCTATGGTTCGTCCGAATTCCTCAGCAAAGGTATAGTCGCGGGCCTCCAGATTGTGTGACAGGACGAAGACAGACCACGCCTCGAACTCCGTACGAATGGCATGCTTTGCCATCAATCTTCTCAGCTCAGAGTCGTACTCGTACTTGATATCCTTCGCTTTTGCAAGTGTGCCTTGGTCGGGTACGCAAAAATTCAGGATACCCAGTTCAAACCTATTCTCAAATTGAGGTACGAAGTCAACCAGCTGTACCTGATCGAACAGCTTCCCAAGGATCTTCTTCGACTTGTAGAACTTGTGTTCCGCTTGATGTTTCTTCCTCTGGAAATGTGGCTTCTTGCGTGGTTGGAGTTCGGGGTTCATTCTCGCTGGAATTCCACTCTTGGAGTAGTCCACCGCCTGTGAATGAAGCTTCGCCAGCTCAAGGCCTAGAGAAGTGGTTAGGTAATGCCATGAACCCCAAAGGAAACTCACATTTGGGATCTTTAACGCCTTTGTCACTGAAGTCCGCCTGGGCTAGATGGGCGGTCGCGATCCGACCGAGTGAGTCATTCTTGATATGGGTGACAAAGAAGTCAGTAATGTCTTTGACGGTGATTGATTCCTTGGACTCGGTTGGCTTCTCTGCTGTAAAATCCATGGGAGGCTCATTGATGATATCTGGCAGAAAGTCATTGTCCCAGAGCACAATATAATCATCGCCATCAAGATCGCCACCGGAGCACATGTTTGCAACGTCGCGATCTCCAGTCTGGGGGAGAACAACAACGTTCTTCAAATGATGCAGCGCTGATACGTCAACCGCTCGCACTACACGAACATCGCCAGCGTGCAGTGACGGATTGCGTGCTAGCACACATATTCCCGAGATGATCTTATAATGGCCTTTTCTGTCCGTTTTGGCGTCTTCTACCGTGTCTGTAATCTGCAGAAAAATTTCAGGTAGGGTAGCTAGCTTTTCCTCCCTGGTAGCGCCAATTCGACATTGCGGATTGTTGTAGTGGCCTCGCAGGATAGCTGTCTCATCAACACAACCCAGCACGTATGCGCCCTCCTCAATCATGATACGTGCCCGTTCCTTGAGGTATTTGATATGGTACGCGCGCCACAGCTGCAGTAGCGACATCATGAAAGGTTCTTGGCTCCGCATGAAGCCATCGATGACCATTCCAGCCATAGTGAGTGTTGTTTGATTCAAATCGATGTTCCGTTGGAGCTTTTGAATCGCAACATCTTCTTCCTTGGTCGCTCGCTCGAGATCATTGACCATTTCCTGTTGCTTTTCAATGAATACGGCATCTGGAACACCAAGCGTTGAGAGGATGATGATCAATTGTCGGTTGAAGGTCGCGACCGAGAGTGCAGAAGCTCGAATAACCTCCAAGCCCCCATTTTGTGCCTCGAACTTGTACTGGCTTGGGCGGATATGAACAACGTGCCCTGTGATGCTGGGGTCCAGAGCTAGTACACCCTTGCACCCAGCCAAGCGAAACTGGTACAACGATGGAGGATCATGGAAAGCGTGTGGTAGGCCTAGCTCTTTCGCGGCCATTTGGGCTAAAAAGGTCGATATCTTTCCAACTCCGTCTGTGAAACAATATTCGTTCCGCTTGACATCTTCGATCTCCTCGATCTTGACATTGACGCTCCTGATTGCACGTGTGGTCGAGAAGCATTGTCCGAGCCGGGCTCCATACTTCGCTGCTATCCTGATATGGTCGAACTCTCCCATCGACCGGCGGATATCATCGGCGGATTTTGACGGTGTAGGTGCATAGAAATAGGCACCACGCTCTCTGAATTGGGAGTTTCCAAATGCAAGAAATTCATAATAGCGTCCGGCAACCACGATACCGTTGGTCATGGCTCTGGTGATTCGATCGAAGATTGCATCCGATGAGCCATTATCTTGAGCGAACAGCTCACCTTCCGTCTTCTCGTCGGTGAATCTCACTCGAATGAAGCGATCGGCGTCCGCAAGGTGTTTCCGGATGATTCGATTAGATGTTTCGATTGCGAGCTGACCAACGTGGATCGATGTCGGCGTGATGTTCGCCGATCGCGAAAGGATGCAGTAGCTGGGAAGCTTCGTCAAACGGGCTGGCTTGCGAGGCTTGCCGAAGATCAGCATAGGGTCAAAGCATTCCTGTTTGTCTTTCACGACCTTATCGAGCATGTGGGTGGCTTCCACCGGGCTCATTGCCGCAAGACGCTCCAGAAACGCACGGGTGATTGTGTGCTCCTGGAGTAGTCCATTCGACACACAGACTTCCAAGTGGTAGCGAACATCGAAAGAGAGGTTGACTTGACCGGTGACAAGCTCGTGGAATGCAGACCCTTGTAAACCAGAACCCTGGAGGTGTGGATGAGTCCCAGAGATCTCGTCTTCCAACAGCGACCAGATGGCTGGAGCTGTGCCTTGAAGTATGCTATAGTCTTGGACGCTAGTGATATGAATACCATGGTCCGCGAGAGCGGTCTTTAGTCGCTTATATCTCGGATCCATGAACGTAGCGGCGATGAAGGTAATCCGGTAGGTCGTCCAATGACCGATGTCAATTATGGGGGTTTCCTTGCGATTCATTACCGGAGTTGTTCCCAGCACTTCCCGAGTTTTCCGGTCCACGATATCGGTTTGCCGACACCAGATACCTTGATACTGGCCTTGACCTTGACCTTGACTCTGACCTTTCTGCATCCAAAACTTCGGAGCCTGTGGTAGCGCGTCAGCATGCGCAGGCGACTTTGGTTGTTGCTCCACACCAGTGGGACACTTACTGATTTGAACGGTATAAGTAAAGAGTCTTCCACCTTGTATATAGTCTCAATGAGAGACAACGGCAGTGCGAACTTCACGTTCTCGCGCTTCCCGTCCATTATCAAAGGGACCTGGACTTCGATCTCCTTAAACTCCCCTGCTTTCAGCGTGACTCTCACATTCCGGACGGCGTCGACGGTTTGCATGATCTGCATCGTCCGTTCAGATATCGCGATCCCAAAGTCAATTGAATTGGCAAAGATGGTGGACATGTTCGCCGCTTGTCCACGGGGTGGGGATGGCGGTGGTGCCGCGAAACCGGCTTGTGGGTTTCGACGCATCGTGCGTGCTGCGGAATTTTGTGTATTGTCAAAGAGCAGGAAGAAAAGTCAGCAAGCCGGCCAAAGTTATCGGCTCATGAGTGCGTTTGCCCAGTAGCGTACAAGCGTTTGTTTGCTTCGTGTTACTGATCGGGAAAGAGCAACTGCACCCAGGCACTTGGGTACCCCGCAGAAACGGAATGCGCAGGTGAAGTAGAGTAAGAAAGGAGCTATGAGAACAGGTGAGCGCACCGGCCGGATGCGCGCATGAAAGCAATAGGCGGGAGGACACGCCTGACAATGTGATTGAAATTCAAACGTTGCCAGAGCGACTTACGGCGGGCGAAACGTAAACATCTATAGTAAGAGATTATGACCTCATGATAAAGAATCGATATTCGAAATTGATATGGTATCAAGAACTCCCCATAGGACGAGGCGCAATCCAAGTTTGTGTTTATGTTTGATCATGCGGTAGACTTTCTCACAGCACCGTAGTCGAACCATTCTCTTGAGGCCACGTCCCAGTTCCGGCAGCAAATTTTCCAGGGGTGAATGGTGTACTTGTCGCAAAGGCCATTTCGAAGTCTGCTTCTTGCCCTCCTTGCGAGCTAACCCGCCGCTTTCTCAAGGGTAGACTTTGTCTGCCCTCTTCATCACACTTCCGCTCGGATACCGAGACGCCCACGGTGGTGTGTCTCCGGTTTGGGGATATCGGTCGCAGAGCGGAACGTTGCGTTTTAGGCCTCTTTGACAAGGTCTTTGATATCGTAGAAGGGATGGGGTGTGACGTTCGCGTCGAAAGGTCCTTGACCGAAGGCCGCGGTTTCGATCGTTTTGGCGTTGAGCCGTCCCGCAAGACTTGAGAGCTTGACGAGTACGAAGCATCCGTTAAGTGGTCCATCGCCGTGTCGGTAATGCCCTGGTTCGCGTGCGCTGGTGCCGGTTCAGGCGGGGCCAATCCCATCGAGGTAAATACCCTTTTCTGCCAGGCTCTCAAACCTTCGAGCTCATTGTCTTTCGTGAGACATTCCTGTTCAAGCTCCCGGATTTGAATGCGAAGTGGTGGAATGGACGCTTGAGCTCGCTCGAAGTCTCGTCGGATGCCCTCGTAAGCTTCCTACAACGTAGGACGGCGATGTCAGTTTTACTCTCAAAAATTGGTAAGAGTGGTGAGAGTGCCTCAAATAGCTACTACAGCAATACATGCCACATTTGGAGGCCTGCATTGGCCGAAGATAGACATCACAAGACCGCCAGACAACGAATCCCGAACGGGTCGTCAATCCGTAAGATCGCTGGCCAGGAAGAAACTCATGGTGGGCAGCGTCACTTACATGTAGAAGATGGTACTCTTCAGCAGCTTTCGAAGCTGCGGCCTCAAGATCGCTTTCACATTGTGCCTCAACCTCTTGCAGAGCTTTGGTAGAAGACTGGGCGAGTTCATGGTGGCGAACTTGTAGATCTGAATGCACATGAAAGGTCATTGTGATGCCTAACAACCAATGGAGGAAGATACTTACCGTCTAGTCTTCCGGTGGTCGTCGCCAAGTCGGCTCTTGTCTGTTGCAGATCACTTTCCAGAGCAGCAGCTTCTCTCCCAATTCGAGCCATTTCCTCCTCTTTGTGGAGAGTAGATTGCTTTCCTTCATTCAATTTGCGCTCGGCTTCAAGTAGGCGATCTTGGAGGTCGTTGCAACGATCCTCCAGCCGGACATTCGTCTGCATTTGATTCTCCAAAGCGTCTTGTCCTTTCTCGAAACGAGTCTGAAGATCATTGTACTGATCAGCGAGCTCGTGCCTTTCCGCCTCCTGCTTACCAAGCTCATCCTCGAGTGAAGCGGCCTTCTCGCGCAAAGTTTCTTGCTCCTTCACATGGTTCCCGATATTCTCCTCATGTTGGAGGATGACGGACCTCAGACGCATCTCTCCGCAATGGTAAGCCTCCGCGGCTTCATGAAGCGCAGTGTCCGCCTGCGAATTCGACTTCTCCAGCTCCATCCGCAAGCTTTCAAGCCGAGCATGAAGATCCTCGTTATCTCTTTCCAGCCGACTCTTCTCCGCTTCGAGGGTTCCGAGAAACAGACTGTCGTCGACCCGTTTCTGTTCAAGAGACTCTACACATGCGTGGGATCGCGAAAGCTCGTCCTCGAGTGCTGTTGTTCTTTCCCGTTCCACCCGGAGCGGGCCTTCAATCGTGTCGCATCGGCTCTCCAGATCATGGCAGATCTGCCCAACTGCTCGAATGAGCGAGTCCCGTTGGTAGGAAGCCTGGTTCTCTAATTCATTTTTGAGGCGACCTCGCCAGTCTTGCAGAGGAAGGCCAGAGATAGGTGTACACTGTTGCTCGAAAAGAGAAACAGAGGGGAAAGAAGTGCGAGATCCTGAGATATGCGTGCAACGCTTCGCAGGCATTGACAGCTGACGTTGCTTCTCAACCAAAGCAATTCCTAGTGGGGACGGTATACGTTGAGACTGCTCCGGCCCAGCAGCGAGAATGATAGTGAGTAACATAGATATTGTTGCTGAGACACATCGTCGATGAATCATATTGTTATGATCTGGACAGAAGCTGGCTTGATCTTCTTCGTTGGCATGAGTACAGCAAGCGGAGAACGCCTCGATATCTGCTTGTATTTCTGGGTTCGACAATGCCGTCATGATGTGGGAGTGGAATGATTCACAATGTAAAGCCGTAGCGGCTACTTCGTTGGCTAGCGCTGTGGCATTCTGCACTTGCTCGACTGAAGTGGGAGAACAACTGGTTTTCAGTAATTGACAGAGGAGAGATTGCACCGAAGCTTGCTGCATGCGATTCTGCATATAGTTAGGACAAAGTGAGCACTTATGGTGTGGAGCTGTACGCTAGCACTTACTGCGAACAAAGGCAGCGAGAATGACAGCGATTTCTGTACATCTGTAGCACCCCAGCCATTCATGTTCACCAGGGCTGCCTCATACAATTCTACCATCGACGGAGACAGCTTACTCGCTCCGGCTACAACAGCGTAGAAGTACAGAACCTCGCACTGGATGGCGGGCTTGATGTCACATCGCTGGATCTTCTCCCAGAGCTTTGAGACCGTGTTCATCGCGTTCATGTCCGCATTAGCCCATTGTTCTAACAGTCTTGTGTCAACCAGTTGCAAGGCGCGGGTCGCTATCCCTATGGTGGAAGTACGATGTTAGCATGATTGATACACGGGGAAGATAATTCGAATGCTTCTCAGAGAGAAGTGTTTCTACTACGTGATATCTGAACACGTATTTGGAGGCTAGAAACAACTTACTGATGCCTTCTAAGGCTTCATCATCTGGGACATTAGAGCCATCTCTGATAGCCCAAATTACGCTCAAGCAGGCCAGATGAATAGTCTTCTTGCAAGCATTTGAAGATTCGAACAACTTCCGACCTGCGGCAGTGGTCCATTCCACGGTAGGTCCTACGTTCGCTACAGTGTCCTTGTCACGCTGGTGACCTCCCTGTGCACCGGCGATGAGCTCTGGACTAGACGCACGCGAACAATTAGCGAAAGTTGCCCAGAGCTTTTGGGTCTACTCACTGTTCTGCGAGAATTGCAACACCGAAACACCACAACAATAGCATGAAGTTTTCCGAAGCAACCTTCGCCTTGAGAATATGGCACAGCTGCTCATCAAAAAGCTTCCTTGCATCAGGTGGTAGGAGGGCAAGGAACCCACGACAAGCTCCAGTGAGCATGTAGTAGATAGGCTTCAAGTTCTGAACGTTCGGTTTGCGTGATGCCTGCTCAAACACTCGCAGGAAGAACGACCGAACGCTTGCGGGCAGCGGTACACCTTCAGGCAACGGATCTGCCAGGAGCTGGATGCAGAGCCCATGATACTTGGGAGTGATCAGCCTGATCGGCGTCAGAACAAAGTGTGGTGCTTACTTGGTCGAAATCTTGCTGTGATGTATTCGCCTTGGTGAGCACTGCATCTAATAGACCGGGGTTACGGGAGAGGAGTTCGTTCTTGAACTCAAGTGACTGGGCTGCGTAAAGGAGTCAGCTGGCAGAAGGGTAAGATTGGAGAAGCATCGGACGTACAAAGACACCGGAAGATAATCACGCAGCACTGCCACACCGGAAGGGCGTCGTAGAGACTCGAGGCGAGCTTGGCGATAGCACACGGGGGATGCTGTCGGATGCAGGCACGGACGGTGAGTGCGTCAGACTTTGTGCAGATTTCGGCCAATTTCTACGTCTCGGAAGTCAGCGTTGCTATTAAACGTAATCATTTGGGAGCGGTCTGTGGGTCATGTGCACATCGTGCAGATGCATTATCGTGGGCGCACTCACGGCTAGCGATACCGGATAGGGTGAAGTGATGATTGTAGAGAGCTCTCGTGCGAGCTCTGCGGTTGTAGCTGCCATGGCGGCGCGTTGGGTGACTTGTGGCGATGGATGATGCTGTGGGAGAGTTTGTTTGGGGCCGTCGCCCTAGCGACGAGCACCGTTCAGCGCACTGGGGACGACAGCAGTGTCGCTGTCCTCGCGGGCGAACGGGTTCGACAAAGTGACAATGGCTCACTGCAGCAGTGGCCTAGCTGCATGGATCGGTGCGCCCAAGGGTGTACTGTATGCTTTCGGAATCGGGTGTGCGTATGTGCGTGGTCTGAGTCGGCGGCACACCGATTTGTCCGCCGCCTGCCGTGCCAAACGCGCTCCACTCTGCCCGTCGTGTCGTGTGGGATGGCCAACCGTGCCCCCACACGTATCTAGGGAATTGCCCTCCAATGTTGGGCAAATCTAGGCGTGCATTACGAGAGCGTAACCCGCTGTCTTTTTCCAATTACATCCCAGGCCATCCAAAATCGCTCACCGCTCGCTCCGCTGGTCTGTCTGTGCCACTGCTCAGAGCCTCACGCAAGCGCAACGGTTGTGCGTGTCCGCCGTCCAGGCACCGTGCCTGGCCATGCGCCTCAGCAGCCGATGGCAAAAGCAATATGCCTCGAGCGTGCCCGAGGCCACTGGCTCGCCACCCAGCTTCCGCTACCTCGGGCTTTGCCTGTCGTAAATGCAATAAGAGTGCAGCTCGTTCCCCCGCAGTATCACCACGGCTGTTCGTCACGCGACAGCCTGTATGACATACATGGACAACCATGGACATACATGGCGTTACGGCTCGCTACAGCAACATTCCAACCCCATCTGGAAGGGCCGGTACGTTTGACGTCGCCAATGCTTCCCCACAATTGCTTTTACTTCTTCACCCCTGCAGGTGATCATGCAGCCTTCCTTGGGTGCTTCCAATCGAGCCTCGTCTCGAAAATTTTTGGTCCACAAATCGCTGTTTGGTCAGCCTGCCGCAGCGTCACTGGTCCAGGTCGACGATGTCACGGAGCAGAGCGACCGTCCCCTGTGCGTTGGCCTTCTATAGCATCCAAGCCATGCCTCGGAGAGAAAGGCGCGCCAACTGCGTGTAGTCACAAAATAGCGCTCCCCGCTTCGCTCATGCTCTACGCCTAATACATATACTACCACAGCTACCCGTCTGTAGCCCGTGTCTCGCGTGCCATGTTCTTCACTCCTGCTCTTCTCCAAAACTTGCTGCATTTCTAATGGCCCCGGGCATCTGCCATATATTCTTCCGACCCGATTTGAACTACCTTGCCTAGTCCTGCCATGTTCCGTCTACCGACATTGCGGCTCAGGCTGCTTGCTTCCCCGTCGTCATGTCTGAGGCGGGGTGCGTCCCGCCAGAGTGCCCGAGCTGAACAGATCTTCAAGTCCAAGAAGGACCTTCCGAAAACGTCCTGGACCTCGAGCCGGGTCTTCCTTCTCGCCTCTTTGATCGGAGCCACGGCTTACTTGGGCGGCGTCAACCATGATTTTACTCGCTTCCCGTTACCCTGGCGCAACTCTAAGACGCCGCGTTATGCATCGAAAACAGATATGGAGAAAGTATGAATTGAAAACATATACTTATTCACCGCCTGACTTGTCATCAGGCCATTGACGAGCTGAGGGCTAGCCTGGGTGAAGACACCATTAGCACCGACGATGAAGACCTTCTTCGACACGGTTACTCTGAATGGTCTTCCATCAATATTGATCAGCTACCCGTAGCTGTGGCGTACCCTCAATCTACAGAAGAGGTCTCGACGATAGCCAAAACTTGTCAGAAATATAAGATACCCATGAGTACGTGGTGCATTATCCCAGCTTGCCAGATGCTGATTAATTGAAGTCCCGTTTTCTGGAGGCTCGAGTTTAGAGGCAAACTTCTCTGCACCGTATGGTGGCATGAGCATCGATTTCACGCATATGGACAAGATTCTGTCTTTACATGCCGATGAGTAAGCCAGATCAACATGGCTGGATGCACAGCAGACTGACCAGAAATGTCCAGCATGGATGTCGTTGTGCAACCGTCAGTCTCGTGGATGAGTTTGAATGAGGAGATCAAGGACTCGGGTCTTTTCTTCCCAGTTGATCCTGGCCCATCTGTATGTGAGACCGGCTCAGCGACGCATTAACCTTTCTCATTGATCATGACACAGGCGAAAATTGGCGGCATGGTTGGAACCAGCTGCAGGTGCGTGATCACTCCCATGTCCCTATGCAGTGCTGAGAGCGGAATAGCGGTACAAATGCAGTGAGGTATGGGACCATGAAAGACTGGGTCATCAACCTCACCGTGGTCCTTGCCGACGGAAGCATTATCAAAACAAGGAAACGGCCGCGGTATGTTCTTGTGCAGGCAATTTTCACATACACTGACGAGTACCAGTAAATCTGCGGCTGGATACAATCTGACCAACCTATTCATCGGCTCCGAGGGCACTCTCGGCATAGTCACCGAGATCACTCTCAAACTGACGGTAATACCCCAGGAGACAAGCGTGGCTGTCGTAACATTTCCTACAATCCGCGATGCTGCAGCTGCGGCCTCGAAGGTCATGCGTGCAGGGATACCCGTGGCAGCGATGGAAATAATGGACGACGTGCAGATGGGCGTGGTCAATAAAGCAGGCTCTACTACCAAGAAGTGGAAGGAAATGCCTACTATGTTTTTCAAGTTAGTACAATCGGACCAATCGCACCTCATGGAGATCATGCATGCTAATCGGCAATCTAGGTTTTCTGGCACTAAAGCAGGGGTGAGTATAGCCTAGGATCTACAATTTCCCAGAACGGAGCTGACTGCGTGTGAACAGGTACAAGAGAACGTTAAACTAGTCAAGGCAATCGCCAAGACACACAAAAGTGGTGACTTTGAGTTCGCAGTAGACGCCCAAGAGCAGAAGACTTTGTGGTCGGCGAGGAAAGAGTCGCTCTGGAGTATGCTTGCGCTTCGCCGCGAAGGTGATGAGGTGTGGTCAACTGATGTCGCCGTACCTCTCTCACGCTTACCTGATATCATTGGTAAGTAATAAGACCATCTTCTTGAAAGGTTCCTAACGCGAGTGTAGAGGTTTCCAAGACTGAATTGGATTCCCTGGGCCTGTTCGCCAGCATTCTCGGACACATTGGAGACGGCAACTTCCACGAAAGCATCATGTACAACAGCAAGGACCCCAAGGAACGAGCCGCTGTCGAGAAGTGCGTCAAGGACATGGTTGATCGTGCTCTCGAAATGGAAGGCACGTGCACGGGAGAGCATGGTATTGGTCTGGGAAAGAAAGACTCGCTCTTGAAGGAGCTGGGTCTCGACACGGTTAATGTCATGAAGAGCATCAAGGGCGCATTGGATCCGCATTGGCTCATGAACCCGGGGAAGATCATGGATGTTCCGTCCTAAATGCTGCATCTGGGGGAATTTGCATGGGTGGTTGTCTCAACTTTTCTCACCAAAAGCACCTCCGAAAGCATTTGCTGGTTATGTATTGTCGATTTTGCATATAGAGGGGACGCTTGTGTCTTTGAACAATATGTATTGCGTTGCTTGTGAAAGCTGTTGAGGCTATTCCAAGGTTGTACCACGCACGCGTGCTCTCCGCCATCGGAGGAGGTCTTACTTTTCTCTGCTCCGATAGGCCCCCGCTAGCCCCCCGCCCTGCGTCACAGCAGCACACGAAAAGTAATGCCGGGGGACATGAGTCTGATGGTTCAGTCACACACCACAATGGACGCAGAGCATTTCACGTCAAAGACCAGCAATTTTCCCAAGAAGAAGTGTGGTACGTACATTCACAGTCCCACAATAATTCGTACTAATTCCTGGTCAACAGGCGTTCTCGGCGCCACAGGCTCGGTCGGTCAACGCTTCATCCTACTCCTCGCGCTTCACCCACACTTCGAGCTGCACGCCGTTGGAGCCTCAGAACGATCTGCCGGAAAGAAGTACGAGGATGCGGTAAAATGGAAGCAGGCGTTGCCGTTCAACGAGCGCATCGGCAACCTCGTCGTTAAGAAGTGTGTAGCAGAAGAGTTTAAAGAGTGCGACCTGGTGTTTTCAGGGCTGGACAGCGATGTTGCGGGTCAAGTTGGTTCGCTTTGTTCCACGGAGACACGGTCAAAAAACACTAGCTGATGTAACTCTACAGAGATGGACTTCTTGAAGGCCAACCTCGCCGTCTTCTCCAACGCAAAAAACTATCGTCGCGATCCCCTCGTCCCGCTCGTCGTTCCAACCGTCAACCTCCCACATCTCGATGTCATCCCGCATCAAAGAAACCACCATGGTTTGGAGAAGGGATTCTTGGTGTGCAATTCGAACTGTGCAGTCATTGGCATAGTCATCCCCTTCGCCGCGCTCCAAGCCAAGTTCGGGCCCGTTGATCAGGTCTCGGTCGTCACGATGCAAGCCGTGTCAGGTGCCGGATATCCTGGTGTCAGCAGCATGGACATCATTGACAACGTCGTGCCCTTCATTTCGGGCGAGGAGGACAAGCTTGAGACCGAGGCGCAAAAGATATTAGGTTCCGTCAACGGTGAGGTCACAGGTTTCGTGGACCAACCCATGAAGATATCCGCAGCATGCAATCGCGTGCCTGTCCTCGATGGACACACAGCTTGTGTATCGCTGCGCTTCCAGAGGAGACCTCCGCCGAGCGCCGAGCAGGTCAAGCAGGCTATGAGGGAGTATGTCTCCGATGTTCAGAAGCTGGGATGCCCGTCCGCACCCAACAGGGCTATTGCCGTGATGGATGAACCGGACCGCCCGCAGCCCAGGTTGGACCGGGAGACGGACAGAGGATATGCGGTCAGCGTGGGTCGTATACGAGAGGACGAGACAGGCATCTTTGACATCAAGTTCGTTGCTCTGAGCCACAACAGTAAGTTTTCAAATGCGGTCGGATCAACTGAATCCAATGAAATAGAGATACTGACATTCTGTAGCTGTTATCGGTGCGGCGGGCTCCTCGATATTGAACGCAGAAGCAGCGGTACTGAAAGGGTTCGCATAAACGCACAGAGTGGTCGCACGCCTGTCATCAATTTTTCAATTTCACTAAACTACCGCACGAGTCTTGTGGTCTTGCACCAATATATAGATCTACAATGTAGTTTGCTCAATGGTGATTGCAAATGTGTAGGCCATATCCGTTGTGAACCATGTATTGGTGTGAATAGTGCAGGGAAACCAACTTTTCTAGGGACGGAACCACTCCGGAGAACGATAGTGAATACGGTGACTTTTATCATCTTTCATATGTGTTCCGATTTTTGTTCTCAGTATGTGACGAGAGCTAGGCCAAGACTCGAAGTGGGCCGTGCGAAAACGCTAGTGGGTTAGCGAGAGGCACACTTCCAAAATCCACGGCAACGACCTCTCTTCAACTTTTCAGCATCCCCCACTAACCCTCGACAACACAGCAAACATGGGCCGTGGACCGTAAGTCGACTCTTTCGAAGCGCATCTCGTGCAATTGCTTTCGCGCTTTCTCGCGAGCTGTGTCGCACCTCGTCTCTTGAATTTTCGCTAATTTGCAACAACAGAAAGAAGCACCAGAAGCGTCTCAGTGCGCCCTCGCATTGGCTTCTCGACAAGCTCTCCGGTGCTTATGCTCCCAAGGCTTCCCCCGGTCCTCACAAACTCCGCGACTCGTTGCCCCTCGTTATCTTCCTGCGAAACCGCTTGAAGTACGCCCTCAATGCTCGTGAGGTCAAGTCGATCCTCATGCAGCGCCTTGTCAAGGTCGACGGCAAGGTCCGCACTGACTCCACCTTCCCCGCTGGATTGATGGACGTTATCACCCTCGACAAGACCGGCGAGAACTTCCGCCTTGTCTTCGACACCAAGGGCCGATACACCGTGCACAGGATAACTGGCGAGGAGGCCGCATACAAGCTGGGCAAGGTTAAGCGTGTTCAGCTCGGCCGTGGTGGAATTCCCTACTGTGTTACGCATGATGCGCGAACGTAAGTTTGTCGCCTCTATCAGCCGTTGGGCACAGTTTGGGCAAGGTGTCAAGGAGCAATCCTCGACATCAAGCACCAGACTAGACTCTGGCTGCGTCGAAAGAAATTTACTGAACGAAATAGGATCCGTTACCCCGACCCTGCCATCAAGGTCAACGACACCGTCAAGATCGACCTCGCCACTGGCAAGATCACCGACTTCATCAAGTTCGACACTGCTGTCATCGTCATGATCACTGGTGGACACAACATGGGTCGTGTCGGTGTTATCACTCACCGTGAGCGCCACGACGGAGGTTTCAACATTGTCCACGTCAAGGATGCTGTGGACAACGAATTCACCACCCGTGAGAGCAACGTCTTGTAAGTTCATCTAGAGATCTGATCTGAGCCGCCATCGCTAATCATGCTGCAGCGTCATTGGCCGTGAAAAGCCATGGATCTCTCTTCCCAAGGGCAAGGGTGTCAAGCTCTCCATCGCTGAGGAGCGTGACCGCCGCAGGGCCTATGCTCTTGCTGGTCACTAGATGGGGACCGATGTAGCAGTGATGCCGCACGAGGGCACGTGAGGATGATGAATGAGTTGTGTGCATGTCTGGGATACCCAGAATAGGCGTTTGGTCGCTCAATGGGATATGAACGGAACTGGGACACTGCAGAGTGCGCATAACGATGGTCCTTTAAAAAAGAATCAAACATTTCAACTTCAAGATGTGCCTGTGTCAAAATAATATGTGGAGCGCTGTAAGCAGACGGTGCGTGTTTTAGATTGGGCGGACAAGGGGTCAAACCGTCGCGGCTGTGTGGAGCAAGAGATTGGGGGCTTCACGCTACACCTGTATTGTCCAATAGGGGGAATGTGTACCCAGCATGCGGCTCTTTCTGATGCAGATGTTCCTTGAAGGTTGACGAGGCGTCTAGCCGCTAAGAAGCTGGCGAGGTTCATCTCCCGCCTCGCACCTGACCGTGTGTGAAGCTCGTGGATTGACCAAGCGCAGTCGAAGCACCGTGAGCGCACAGAAGTACGAAGGCACCTGTTGGCGAGCCGATGCATGGGGCGCTACTCCGGTCTGGTCTATCTAATCTCGTATCTCGTGCACTAGACGGGGCGCCGCGTGGTGGACCGTCTTTGAGCACGCCTTGGCTAGACGCCCGCCTCCCCCACAGATTCACAACGGCCGCTGCAAACAGCGCTCTTCACGTCGCTCGTCGTCCACCTCCCTCTCGCTGCGCAGGTACCGCAATCGGAATTGCAACCGGAATGCTGGCCCAGTTTTGCGCTCTTCTTCAGGCCCGGTCATTCGCTTGTCAGAGACGTCGCGCGTAGAGCGTACGGCCCATCTCCGTCTCATCTAGCCGTCTGAGCGCGATCGCCTATACCCACGTCGCGGTCCCATCTACTCCACCTCTGCACAGCAGCACGACCGGTCGCCTCTGCTGAGGCTGGACTTCGCCAACGCCCGACCCTCACCGTCAAGATGCTGCGACCGGCGACACCCCTATCGATACTCTTCTTCGCCGCCTTCGCGCTACTTCTCCTGTCCACCATCTCCACGCCTATAATCAAGGGCATTCCACTCGCTACCTTCCGCGGTGTCAAATTTGGCACCTTTGGCTACTGCGATGGCGACAATTGCAAGGGGCCAATGATTGGCTACGACACTGGTACGTTGGAGGAAGAACAATGAGACGGACGCGTTGAGTAAGAATGCTGTTGACCACCGCTGACGCTGAGCCGCCTTAGACAATCTATTCGCCGATGCACCCGATTCCGAATTCTCGCTGCCCTCAGCGACTCGTCACTCGCTCTCTTCGATTCTCATCGTGCATCCCGTGGCTGCGCTCATGACGCTCATATGCTTCTCTCTCGCCGTAGCTGCACACTTCCATTCGCCTGCCCATTCGCCGCGCTACTTACTTGCGCTCCTTATCTTCACGTTTCCCACGCTGCTAGTGTCGTTGCTCGCGTTTCTGGTGGATATCTTGCTGTTTGTCCCCCACCTGGCATGGGGAGGATGGATCGTCCTGGCAGCTACCATTATCATTGTCGCGAGCGGCGTGGTGACCTGCGCCATGCGGCGAACCTTGGTCAGTCGCAAGGCGAGAAAGAGAAGGATCGCGGAGAATGCAGACATGAACGGTCAGAATTACTACGCCAATCGTAACGTCGATGGCATTGCCACCACTACTGTCGAGACTTTACCAAAGGCTGAGTCTCCGCCTCCAATGTCCGGCGAAACAATGCTTTCCGACAATTCTAAGAAAGCTGGATTTGCATCGTATGAAGTCCAGAGGCCTGGTATGCAAGACGATACCATACCGCTCAACACTCGAAACCCCTCCCTCAAGACTACCAGCAGCGCTCGCTCCGATGACAGATCGATGCCACCTGGTCGTGCGCCCTCTGGCCGTGGACGACCACCGGTAGATCAATATGGAAACCCAATCCCGCCCATGCCCAACGACCCTTACGCTATGCAAAACGTACCCCGAATGGGGCCACCGCCTGGCAGAGGAGGAGCGTACACTCGTGGACGAGGTGGGCCTAGAGGAGGCTATGGACCAAGAGGAGGATACGGGCCACCCCCAAGAGGAGGTATGCGAGGGCCGCCACCACCAGGTTGGAATGGAGGAGCGCGTCCAGGGCCAGGGAACTTTGGGCGAGGTCCTCCCCCACCTGGTTACAACAATGATATTTACGGTCAAGGCCCACCCCCTGGACCATATAACGTACGTGGTCCGTCGCCCGCCACGCAACAGCGAATGCCAATTGGACAAGCCATCGAAATGGATTCGAGGAATGGTGCTAACCAGGGCTATGGTTTGCGAGAGAGCGACGGGGACGTTCAGGGAATGCTTGCTTTGCAACAAGGCGGATTTCCTGCCCAGGCTCCGCAGCGCCGCCCGTCTGGGCCAATGAGTCCTAGTTCAGAATACTCCACGCAGGAAGAGGCTCGTCCCATGGTGGCCACCGCAGGCTGGCACAACAACTCTGACCAGACGATACCAACGAACGGTAGCCATAGTCGCGGCCTGTCGCCTATTCAAGATTCTCCGGTCGAATTGCCCGCGCAGTTGTCGACGGTTGGAGCACCTGGTAACGAACGAACTTCGGACTACTACTACGAAGACGTGGACCCCAAATTTGCGGAACCTTTGCCTAATCCTGGCCCGCCAGGAGTCCTTCCTTCTGCGTTGGTTCCTGGCGGCCTCCCGAATGCGCCTTTCAGCAATCCTAACGCGCCTTTCAATAGTTCCAATCCCTCATTAAACATTAGTGACCCGAATCTTCTGCGACATTCATTTGAAGACGATGGTTCTCGGTCCCCAGCCGCATCGGAAACATCCCACTTCACTTCAGTCTCTCAACGCGGGGTCAATCCCAATTGGAAACCACCGCCTGGTAAGTCACTACGGAATTTACCGACTCCTCGCCAACATGCTAATGATGTTGATCTATAGGCCCTCCAATGCCTGCCGGTCCATATGGTCCGTATGGTCCACGGCGTCCGTTGAGACAAGAAGATGTGATATTAGAGGCCAACGCTGCCAACCCTGATTTCGCGATACCTGGAGCTGGCCCACCCGGGCGTGGTGGAGGTAGAGGACGGGGTAGAGGAGGCCGTGGTGGTGGTGTCATCAATCCTTTGGCGAACGCCGGGCTTGGTGCAGGACGGTTAGTTCTTACAGCGCCCGTAATCGGCTGAGGTTTATGCTAACTTAATGCCTGCACAGCTACCCCGGAGCTAGTGCAATGGAGTCTCTAACATAGCGACACGATCGCCGGCTCATATTCACATCGAGTCACTCCTGGGGTATCATGCCTTTTTTTTCGCATCGGCCCCACCTCAGGGACTCGTATTTCGCCGAAGGAAACGCTGCAGGAACCCATTGAGAGTTTAGGCCTGTGGACGCGCGTTAAGGTCAAGAATATGGCCTATTGCTCGCCGAGAACTCCACACGTTCGTTAAAAAAAGCCCCATTCCGCTCGATATATGGCTTCAGTTTTCCTTCCGGTCGCATTATCACGATAATCTGAACTGGATTCCTTGTACAAAGATTTAACTACTTCTTGACCGACATACAGTCCGGAGACGAATGTTTGGAGATCCTTGTTCTCCGCATTGCCTGCCCATGGGCAACATGGGCCTGCTATACCTCTCCTCTAGTCCTGTACGAGGCCTCTATTATCGTCGCGTCGTTACGACATTGCTTGAATGATGTCGACAAGCCTTATCCTTCGAATAATCTGCCGCTGGATCCTTCCGGCGTTTTATTTCTTCGCTTCGAGAACACGATGGCCATGAAGCAATTGCCATCTACAGACCTACTTTTGGTCCACGAACACGTTTTGGACCCGCACCTTTGGTTGGCTGCATTTGGACACGACGGAGTGTGGTTCTTGTTTACGCCATGTATCCTTTCCTTTGTGGTCGGACGCTTTTTGTCAAACGTTTGTCTTCAGCAGCCGCATTGTGAGCTGATGTTCGAAGTTATATCTAATTGGGTATGCGAAGACACTGTCGTTCGCGCACAAGCGTGCATAGCTATCTAGGTCAAGCGAAGATATACATCTACGCTTAAATCATTAGGCTCAATCGTGAGTATGGAAGGGTAGGGCGAATCAAGGTGTATCTGAGCTTGAAATGGTGGGTGTAGTACATACGTCAGCTTGCATTACGTAAATACTGAGTGCCTCACGACTACTCTTTGAAACACGTCTACGTAAATTAACAGGACCTCGATTTCGTGAAGCTGCGTGACTGCATGTTGGAGGACATTATGGATTAGTGTTGGTGCATGTGTAAGTGGTCACGCTCGGACCAGCTATGATGCACCTCCGCTCCGCAGTCCGACACCGACCACGTGGAACGCGTTGTGTACAACCTTGGAATCCTGCTGATGAACGCTTCTTCTGCCTGGAATCGACACCACCCCTCGACCCGCCCCCGCTATCAGAGTACCCTGGAACCGTCGTGACTCCATTCGCTATCTGTTGCTGCATGCGCACTGCTTTATCCCCGCCCAAACCCCGCCGCTTGCTTCGCTTGCGCATGCCAGTAAACACGTACCGGAAGAACGTACGGTGGACTCTTTCACCTAGCGACGTGGCAGGAAGAAGGGTCAACGAGTCAAGTGTGGAATGCGCTTGAAGGCTGGGGTTTTCGATCGCACAAGGTGTTCGAGGCGCGAGTCGATCACAAGAGTAGGCTGCTGCTCTAGTAGAGGATGGGCGGTCTGGGGCTGGGGTTGCTGATCGGATACATCATCGGTGGATTGACATTTTTGCCGCTGCTGGTATGGACACTGTGGACCTTGGGCACGCGCGATGCAAACCACTACCCAGAAGAGGCGATGCCAGGCTCGCCGGACAAGGAAGTTGGTGTAGAGCACAATGACTGGGAAGCTGGTCTGGGAGAAGATCTACTTCGCAAGTTGAAAGCCAAACATGCTCCAGATGCGGCATCTGGGTACTTCGCTGTGTCTCGGGAATATGTGCCAGGTGGTGTCAACGGAAAGCCGCCGGAGCGAACCACTCCAGCAACAGGCGCGGTGACAGCTATGGAAAGCCCAAGCGTCTACCAATCCATGTACCGGAGCATCTTTGATAGAAGCAAGACTACAAGCCCTACCTTCAGTCCAGCTCAAGGAAAGAGCAAGAAGACGCGGAACGTCTTCTATATTGTCCTGAGGTCTGCATTGCACTTATTCAACTACCGTGCTGTCCAAGCTAACATCAACAGACTTGGCCATCTCATGCTCTACGATGACTCCGAACAAGTCGAGGTCCGCCATGTGATATCACTCGCACACTATTCCGTATCTATATATGCCGGCGGCGAACGTATCCCGGAGGGCGAGCTATGGATCAAGCGTAACTGCATCCGTTTAGCATCAAGAGACCCGGCAAGCACCGTTGGCGATTCTAGATCATACTATCTATTCTCTGACAATTGCTCGGAGAAAGAAGACTTCTATCATGCCATGCTACGCAGTCAAGAGAGTCACGTAGAGTCATCGCCAGGCCCACCGCCGCCGCTGAAGTTCAACCCTGCAGATTTGATCAAACTAGTGCAGCAGCTCCATGCCTCTGAGGAGAACTTCAACACCCGTTGGATCAACGCTTTGATAGGAAGATTGTTCTTGGCTATGTACAAGACCAAGCATATCGAGAACTTTATCTGGACCAAGATCACGAAGAAGATAGACCGCGTGCAGAAGCCAAGCTTAATCAGCAGCGTAAAAGTGCAAAAGTTGGATATGGGAGACATGCCACCATTCATTACCAATCCAAAGCTGAAGGAACTGACTGTAGATGGTGACCTGACTGTTGAAGCTGACATCAGCTACAAGGGAAATTTTCGTATCGACATATCGGCAGTGGCACGAATCGAGCTTGGCTCTCGCTTCAAGCCTCGAGAGGTCACGATAATTCTTGCAACGATTTTGAAGAGTTTGGAGGGTCGTATATTGATCCGGGTGAAGCCTCCGCCAAGCAACCGATTGTGGGTCACTTTTGAAGTTCCCCCAAAGATGGAGCTGTCCGTCGAGCCCATCGTGAGCTCCCGACAGATTACGTATGGGGTTATCTTGCGCGCAATCGAAAGTCGCATTCGAGAAGTAGTGAATGAGACCCTGGTGTTACCGAATTGGGATGATATGCCCTTTTTTGCTACGGAATCGCGCCAATTCCGAGGCGGTATTTGGAAAGACGAAATTGCTCTGGGAATCGGATCCCACGTCGTCCCCGTGGAGCCCGCCCAAGCTCTTCCCGATGAGCTGCCCTCGGGAACAGCATCAACTTCGAGCGCTGTCTACAGCTCCGCATCAGATGCGGGAAAGAGTGTTTCTAGCTTGGGCCTGAACAATCTCCACAAAAGAAATACCACACAGCTAGAGACAACCGAAGACAGCTCAGAGATATCGCCTCTAGCTGATCGATCCCCCCGCATCAAGCCAAGACCAATGCGAGCCAGCTCTTACACGCATGCCGGTGCGGCGACTCCCACAGTCGATACGGACCCGGCTTTCTCGCAAAGCATTGAGCGTGGAGAGGAAGTCAATGCCGCTGCGCTGATGAAAGATACGGCTGCAAGATCGCCACCTTTATCGCCATCGAATCCTCCTCTCCCACCCCGAATTCGAACATCTACTGAGCGGCGCCACTCCTCTTCCCCTGACCGTGGTAAGGAAGTCAAACCTACTCACAGCTTCGACGACATATTAGCTACCATGCCAGCCCAGGAAACCTCAATTGGGATCAGGAGGAACACCAGCCCTGAAAAAGGAACGGAGCAGCCAAGTGAGGCTGCCTCGGCACAAAAACGTCTCACGCTCAATCAGTCCTTGAACACTGCAACGAATGCAGCCAAGAAGTGGCTTGCCGCTCGTCAGACTACAAACGCCAATGATCCTGCTAATACCTCTCCGAAAGGAAGCGAAGGAAAGGAGCTGAATGAGGCTACGCACTCACGCAGTAGTTCGAAGAACGGGCTTCAAATACCCCAGGGGCCAATTGGACGGGGCCAGCCTCTTCCACCTCCTGGCACTCCGCTTCCACATCCGGCTAAGGACAGAAGAGGGACATGGAGCGCTCAGACTGCTTCTGCTTTGGTGAATCTTGCGAAGAGAGTCCCCGTAGGTGCGAAGACTCCCACGGTACCGTCTGCTCCAGCGTCACCGCACGTCAGCGAGACCCCAATGGAGGCTGAGACTGATCACCTCGGACCTGATCGACCTCATGTGAATAAATCAGCTTCAGACGAGGCTGTACCGATCACACCGCCACCGCTACCCAAGCGACGCCAGCGGAAATCTATCGCGGAAACACCTAGTATACCAAAAAGAGAAGAGATGTTTGTAGTCGAAGCGCCCATGCAGGATTTAAGCGTCCCGACCAGCCCAGCAGCAGCAGCCGACGAGTTTTTGTTTCCTCAAACACGTCCAGAGAAAACTCTAACAGGCCTGAGCAGGAAGAACGAGTGAGGGTATATTCTCCAAAAGTCGACATAGTCGAGTATGTACGAGATATAAATATAGTACACAGCATGGTCGAATATACATTACGTGACTGCGCGGATCACAATAGTACGTGCACATTTCCCGAAAACTCAGCGCCTATATTACCCAGCCAGACTTCCAACGACACAGATCTGCCTCCCGGCTTCATGAGGCACCGGAATCAGGAGTAGTTGTCCTTCACCCGACGCTGTGACTCCGAATCCAAAAAGCTGCCTCTGCTCCGGTTAGACCGTGTTGACCTCTTACGCCTCACTCCCCGAGAACTTCCAGAGGACTCGCGGCCGACAGTTCCACCAATGCAGAACAAGAGCGAAGCCAGGAAGTAGCAAACGAAGGTAGTCCAGGCGAATGCCATCAGCTTGGTACCGACGTGCGAATCGAAGCCATTTCTGCGCCATGCGTTACGTCCTTGTACCACCCAGGCACTAGCGGGAGATCAGCATTTGCACTACGCTGCGCGGGCGCGTCGGCTCGGTGTGGGTACTTACGTCATTAGAGCTGCTCCAAGAACTTGGAAGAACAGAGCGACGAAGGTGGTGAGGGCGCTTAGATAGCCTCCCAGACGGCTGAAGAGCGCCAAAATACCGGTGAACAAGGCCATGTTGGCGAAAAAGAAGGAGATGAGGTAGAAGGCGAACATGAAACGAGACAGATAGTAGTACTGGTGGGTGCCGATGAAGCTGTCCGGAACATTTTGACGCGTGAAGAAGTTACGCGGGGGATCGAACGGCAGAGCAGGAACCACCGATCCGCAATTTGCGTTGTGCGAATTTCCATCGACGCCGCAGATGGACCAAAAAGTCCATCGCGACGGATTACGTGCGTTTGGGATGCCGTTTGTGGATGCCTCGAGGAAGTAGAACTGGTTCTCGGGCGAGCTGTTCACGCCGCCGGAGAGCACGAGGAACCAGTGCAGGAGGAGGCCGCCGGCCAGGAGGAATAGGGCTGCCAAGCCGAGAATAGGTCCTATACCAGTAAGCGTACACAGATGCAGATATGGGGCTGGGGCGCAACGTACGAGTAACCATGGCAGGCTCAATCAAGTGCAGATAGCAAATTTGCAAGGGCAATCCAATGCTGCTTGAGGCGTTGATATTTCAGGAAAGCCCGGATGAGGGCGGAAGAAAGCAGGCATGATGCAAATGGGGTCGCAGCCTGTTTAAAGAAAGTTGGGGTTCAGTGTGACGTATTGGGTAGATCTAGAGATGGCGTGGATGGGGTACAACGCAGACAGAAGCTCCGGCAGTGCCGCTTGCCGCGATGATATCATAGCAGCCATTCACGTGGAAAGCACCATCGTGGACCACTGTATGCGCAATTGACGATGGTCAGATCGGCGGTGTAGCAGTGCACCGTCAACTGTATGTGTTTAAAGTAGATAGGCATACGGATTACATGTACATCGATCTGCTACGGGGATTAACTCCATGCAAGCATGGGAGCAGCCGAGGCATGGACCATGTGCAAGGGTGATGTTGGCACGCAAGTTCAGCAACCGACGACGACACACTCTGCAAGCAGATCTCAGTAAAACATGTCTACCGCTGTCTGGCCGCCCACGGACAACGCCCAGCTGGCCCGCGAACAGGCCGCATCGCAGGTACGCAGGACGCTGTGTAGCCGCGCCATGAGGCCCTGTCGTTGACTTACTGTGCAGGCCCGCGAGCTCGAATGGCTGCTTGCGCAGCTGCGCGACACGTTGCAGTCCCTGAAGGCCGGTATTGAAGAATGCGCCGCCCTTCTTGCACCATCAGAAAGCGGCTCGACGTTGGTGCTATCATCGCTGCGCTCTGAGAGCCTGAAGGGTCTTGTGACGCGTGTGGGAACACGCATCGTCAAAGGCGTAAGCTCTCCTGCACACGCGGCATCATCAACTCAGCTTGCTAACGGAGTGCTCTAGAATGTCAAGCTTCGCCTGGCAAGCCTGCCACCGCCGCGCGGAGCATCATCGATAGATCTGGCTATATCGTCTGCACCGCAAGCTCCAACGCTTGTTGTCCCCCAGCTGACGGCTATACGCACCGCCATCAACACCTGTCTCGACGTGATCGACGTAACTACATGGACCGGCGATGCTACCGATGCCAACTTTGTCGCCGGGCAGCTGCGCCTACTGCACGATCACATCCAAGAAGCCCGCCAGGCGCTCAAAGGACATTCGGACACCCAGCGGCCATGGTGGGACAGCCCGCTCGACGAGCACACCTTTGACCCGCCGCTCCCTTCCAATGTCTCCTTCCACCTCTACGTCTTTGACGCCGCCTTGGTGCTTGAGATACGCACCCTCGAAGGACAGAACGCAGCTGTTGACGAGGGTTACACTGGCTTCAACCTGCGGGATAGGCTGTATGGGGCTCTAGGTGGAGCGCGTGCGCCAGCCCACGACGAAGCTGATGAAGTCTTCAAGTTCCGGAACCAGGACGTGCGTGTGAAAGAAAAGATCAGAGTTGAGAGCCAGGATCCGGCTCTTATCTCGGCCATGGCCAAGCTGAACGCGCTGGAACATAACGTCTTGCTAAGTCGCAAGGCCCTGCATATCGTCATGGGGCGTGAAGAGCAATCGGAATGAAAAGTCTACTCGCAATCTGAAGGACACCACGGTTCTCGTTACAACACGACAGAGAACTTCGTGACACAACCTGCAGAGAGGTTCATCATTCTACTAACGGAGCTATGTCCGGAAATCCTCGATGTTTACCATCTCCTCGGCGGGCTTGTTCTCGATGCGTCGCAGAGGTGTGACTTGCTGCAATTCTGGATCACTATCTCCGCGCTCGCCATTGGACTGCACCAGAGGGGTATTTCTCCTCGGCAAGCCGCTCGCCACCGAAAGTAGCTTAGCGCTATCGATATCGGACCAAAAAAGAACCCTGTAGGGCATCGCGTAATTGGGTTGCCTCCCGCAATGGCGCGATCGCGAGCTTGATAACTTTCGTCTGGTATTCTTTCTCTGGCTGACTCGCAACTTCCTCTTCAACTTCTCTAGTTGCCATACATGGCACCAGCACTTCTTACTGCCGTGGACTCAGCGTCACACATACACCTAATCATAGGGTCCAACCCACTCGCAGCTGCACGATGCACACGCTCTCTCGAAGTTGGCGCCAAACCGCTACTACTCGCACCCGAAGATGCGACCCTGCACTACGGCCTGGCTAAGCGCATCGAAGATGGGCAGGTGCAATGGTTGAAACGTAACTTTCGGAACGAGGATCTCACGACACTGGGCCGCGAGGAGGTGGATAATGTTGTAGACGCTGTGTTTGTGACTGCGGGCGGGAAAGGAAACCTAAGTGGGTCCGAAAACAACTGTGCCCTTCCTCTATACTGACACACGCATAGGCACACTCATCTCGAACTCGTGTCGACGCCTTCGAATTCCAGTCAACGTTACCGATGCTCCAAACCTCTCTTCGTTCACGCTTTTGTCTACCCACTCCGACGGTCCCTTACAAATTGGCGTTACGACATCCGGCAAAGGATGCAAACTCTCCGCGCGAATCCGTAGAGAGATAGCGTCGTCCCTTCCAGCACATCTCGGTGATGCAGTCGAGCGATTGGGTACAATGCGGCGGCGCATCTGGGAAGAAGACCATGCTGCTGAGCTATCTCAAGATCTGGAGGTAGAGGAGGAGGACGCTGGACAAACCGCCACATTCAACAAGCTTATAACTTCAGAAAGTGCCGATATCGCTCGTGGTCGCCGGATGCGCTGGCTTTCGCAAATTTGTGAATACTGGCCACTTCGTCGTCTTGCGACAATATCCGATGCCGACGTGGAAGCCGTGTTACACGACTATGCCAGCTCTCGATTAAAGCAAAAAGCTGACCCTGAACAATTCATCGAAGCCGCTGGACGGATTGCGTTGGTGGGCTCTGGTCCTGGGCACCCAGATCTACTCACGCAGGCAGCACATAAGGCAATACTCTCGGCCGACTTGGTACTGGCTGATAAGTTAGTTCCAAGTGCTATCTTGGACTTGGTACCCCGCCGTGCAACCGTTCACATTGCTAGAAAATTTCCCGGTAATGCCGACAAGGCGCAAGAAGAGCTACTGGAATGGGGGTTGGAAGGGCTGAAAGCCGGCAAAAGAGTGGTACGCATCAAACAGGGCGACCCATACATATATGGCCGCGGCGGAGAAGAGTTTCTGTTTTTCAGATCCCATGGATACATACCGACTGTCTTGCCCGGTATCACGAGTGCGCTCAGTGCACCACTTTTCGCCGATATTCCATTGACCCATCGTGGCGTGGCCGATCAGGTACTGGTGTGCACGGGCACCGGTCGGAAGGGTGCTCCCCTTGTGCCTCCGCCATATGTTCAGACACGTACGGTGGTCCTATTGATGTCACTGCATCGACTCTCTGCTTTGATTGAGTCATTACAACAACACGATTACCCAAAGGACACACCCTGTGCTGTGCTGGAACGGGCAAGCTGCCCAGATCAGAGGGTAATAAGAACGACACTAGAAAACGTATGTGCTGCTGTTGAAGAAGAAGGCAGTCGCCCGCCTGGCCTACTAGTTGTTGGACATGCATGCAACATCTTGAAACAGCATAGCCAGAGGTGGGTGGTAGAGGAAGGCTTCAAACGCTTAGATAGCATTGTTGATAGTGGCATTCCGCTCGCAGACAAAGTGAGTTGTTGAAGGCGCATATACGTATACCCAAATCTGTAGCGGAAATATAATGTTCATGAACACTCGCTCACATGCGCTGCGGGGCACAAGCCAGAGAAGCTACCCCACTAGTTCGGTCACGAATCTGCACCAAGCCCCCTCTTCCACTGACTCAACCTCAATACGGCAATTGTGTATGCAGTCTCCGTCAAGCACAGAAACACTCGCTATGGCGTCTTCGACTGTTGTGGAAGTGGACATCGGCGGCAAGCTGCCGAAAGTCGCTTCGGGCAAAGTTCGCGATCTCTTCGCTGTGGACGAGGAGACGCTCCTCTTCATCGCGAGCGACAGAATATCCGCATACGATGTGGTCATGGAAAACGTACGCCAGTTGAACCTCAAGGCTCTATATGAGCCTGGCCAAGCTGGAACGACCTGTCGTTGTACTGATGCATCTGCAGGGTATCCCAGGAAAGGGCGCACTACTTACACAAATGAGGTACAGAATGCACATAACAAACACCAACAATAATTGACTATTCCAGTGTCTACTGGTTTCAATACCTCAAGGACCACATTCCGACGCTCCAGACACATTTCATCTCTCGTTCTCTGCCAAAAGCTCTTGAGTCGCTCGACCGGCCACTTTACGAGGCACTTGGACCCCGAAGCATGCAAGTCAGGCGCCTGGAAATTGTCCCAATTGAGTCGATAGTGCGCGGCTACATCACTGGCTCTGCATGGTCCGAGTACAAGAAGTCTGGCACCGTTCACGGCATCACTCTCCCAAGCGGTCTCGTTGAGGGACAGAAGCTGCCTACCCCATTGTGGACACCAAGCACGAAGGCAGAAGCCGGCGCAAAAGATGAAAACATCAGTCCACAAAGAGCGAGGGCCCTTATCGGCGACGAAAAGGTTGCAGCAGACGTGGAGAGGCTGAGTCTTGAAATCTATCTGGTCGCAGCCGCTCGAGCTGAAGAGACTGGGATCGTCCTTGCCGACACGAAGTTTGAATTCGGCTTGGACAGGGCTAATGGAAATGCGGTTGTGCTAGTGGATGAAGTCTTGACTTCGGATAGCAGCAGGTTCTGGCCAAAGGATACCTGGGAGGCGCATCTCGGGAAGGCACAACCCAGTTTCGACAAGCAATTCCTGCGTGACTGGCTGACTTCGAATGGACTTAAGGGCAAGGAGGGGGTTAAGGTTCCGGACGACATTGTCGAGCAGACGGCACAAAAGTACAAGGAGGCTTGCGATATGTTGACGGGTAAGAACGCATAGAGGCTTGGGAGATGTACATATGGGCATGCAAGAAAATGTACTTTAGGTGCTGAAATGTCAAGCTCGAGCCCACAATAAGATGAGCAGGCTTTCCTGAGATGTAGGAACGGACATGCTTTTCATCACGTGCACACAATGAACCCGTGGATGGGCACCAGGATGCGGGAATAGCGGGCTTGGCTAGCGCCTACCTTCCAACGACCGCCCATATCTCGGCGTGCTAGGTCCATCATTCTATTACTTCTATGATACTTGGTTCTTATGCAAAATGTCCGGCATACAGTTCACTGCGCTAATCCGTCTACCTTTTGAGCGTGGAGCTTTTGTTGATCCGCAGCAGGCGAGTTTCTTTGCTCGCAGGCTACGCCGCACGCCTCCGCTTACACTTTCCTAGGCTACTTGGGATGCTACAAAAGATCGCGAGCTCTGGAGAATAGTTTCCAAATCGGCAAAGACGAAAGACTTGGATTGTAAGTCGCTCGACGATGATGGAATCATGCTTGACGTACTGATCCGACATAGGGGTCAAGCTGTACGTGGTCCAGCTAATCGCGATAACACAATTAATGTAAGCAGAGCAAGCGAATTCAATGTACCCCCTGCCTTCTTATTGCAGCAGGCGGCATGGTTGTACGAACGACATTTGGAGCATGTTCGCGCTCAGATGAAGAAGGTGGGTGGTCAGACAGCGCCGGCCATGTCTCGCACAGATAGCAGCCAAGCCAAAGCGAGTGTGGCGACGAACAGGCCCGGTAGCGGTCTATCAGGAGCCTCCAAACCTTCGTTTGTACCATCCGCGCGACAAAAGGAGGATCAAGCAGCGAGAGAAGATTCAAGTGCATTCGCGCCCCCAGGATCGAAACCATCATTGTCACGTACACCCTCTACTAATACCATCACACAGTCGAAGGCCTTGGGCCAACATGCTTCGGTGCGGAATTCAGGCTTTCGACCACCACAGAAAGAAGATAATCAGAAGACAAACTATCCAAGCTCGACACAGACTAGACCACAGGAACCTGTGCGAGTTTCCAGCCAGAGCTCACCCGCTGATTCTGCTTCTTCTTCCAGTAGCTCTTCTCTCTCAAACTCTGGTCATGACAATCTCGCCACACGCAGCCAGCTGTTCAAAAGACCCCCTCGCTTTCAGAGAGCTCAGCCTGCCAAAGAGTTGCTCACATATGATGAAGATGTGGAGGATCCCGATGATCGTTCCCAAGATGCTAGTACGGACTATCCGTTCGCGCGCGCGAGTAGACAAACGAGGACGATGGGTATTATCAACGAAAGAAGTCGCAATAGCGCAGCATCCGCGGGGCGAAAAGAGAAGATTTCTAGTATGCGCAGCGATAAACGCTTGACCAAGACCGACAAGAAAACGGTACAACCGGCACCAGGACCTGAGACAAGCTCATCAATGACCAGTTCTGTCAGCGAAGCTACAAACCCAGATGTTCGAAGTCCCGAGCCCTCGAGTGGCAATCATCGGGCGGCTATGGCGCAGCTCAGTCCAAGGAGTAGAGGAGCTAGGTCAAGGAAGGAGGGTAGTGAAGGTACACCAAGTATGGGGAGCAGCTTCAGCGATATTGATGGTACGTATCCGTAATTTTTTGCACGAGATGAGACTATTCCTGCTTCCGGTCACCAATTCTTTTATTCCGTCATTTGCGAATCCAGCTTTCCCAGTTCTGTTCGTCTCGCATCTTTGCGGACTCTATCTCGATATGGCTAACTCTTCGATTAGATACGAGTATCAGCCAGTCCGCTCTCGAAGAAGCGCTGCTGAGTAACATCCAGCACGGCCGCATGAGTACCTTGAGCCAGCTGAGATCGCGGTACCTGTAAAAGTGAAAGGAGGCGATATTTTCCTCGCTTAGATTTTCTGTCAATTGTTTACCTGGTCGCCCCTCCGCGTACTTGTCTTGGCGTCCGCGCCTGCCTTTCTAGTTCTCAAGCTCAGATCCCGCCTCGGCTGTCTTGAACCATTACATATTTAAACCTTTCTGCAACTCTTGTGCGCTTGTCAACGCAGCCGTGAGCGTATTTCGACAACCGCCTTTCAGCCGGAAGATCGCCTGCTAGACTTCATTAGCGGGCGCCAGCTATGAGTACGCCAGCCCCCCGTCCGGCAGCCCCGATGCGACCAGCCATGGAGCCACCAGAAGTGGATACGCCCGTTATCCTCGTCTCGGACTTCGAGGAGGACCCGCCAATTACCATGAAGTATGTGAAGGGAGACAATGAGATCGACTTTGAGACCGTGTACCGCAACATCAGGACCCTGTCTCATCATCCTGGCCGCGGCATCCTCAGTACGGACAATGAGTCAGATCCTGAACCAGGTATGCGTTGCCCGTTCATGTGAAAAGAAGATTATATACTCACCTGTACAGTGTTCCAGATGAAAGAATGTGAGCCAGAGTTCCTTGAAGCCTTCTGGAACTGCGCTAGCGATCTCTGCGATTATTTTGCCGACTTCCTCCCACTCGATACGGCGACTATGCAGAGTGTATGGTTCCATCTGCTGGATAAGTTGCAAGAAGCGGCAGTCCTTCCTCACCACTACTGGGTATCCGGCGTGCCATCTTGCAAACATGCAGAGGAGTTCGTCACAAACACTGAATTCCTTATGCAAGAGGTCATGGCATTCTTGATTTTTCCCTGGGATTTTCCGCGCCTGACGCCTATCATCAATTCTGACCACTTGAAACCGTATCCCGCTCGTGCTGGCAAAAACGGTCTCAGGGCGTGGCAACAATTCCTCTACAAGGATTCTCCAGGGTTCTTCGTACCCAAATCCAAGAGGGTGTACTTGCACGCTACTCAACCCGCCACAGACAACACCGATCCTGAGGTGCACATACCCCGTGGAGGGCTAGCACTCATTGACAGTCATACCAAAAGGCTGAGGGCGCTCACGGAGAAGGTTTCTCATGTAAGATATGCGTATAACCGTGTAGAATATTTTCTTATGGGCATAGGACGAATCAGACACCGACACGGACGCAGACGCACTGGCTGATTTCGATCGAAAGGTACTTCAACCTATCAACTCGCTTTTCTGCATTGCTCACTAAAAGTAGGCTCTGGACCTCGAACATGCTTCGACATACACCGCTATCGACGGGCGCCAGATCTTGCTCCAACCTGTAAGTATCAAATGCGATCGCGAGACTACGGCTGATTGTACGAGATGTACCCTGATCCTGAGTCTGAGCGCGTGCCTCGTCAACTCCCTGAATTGTTCGACCCGTCTCGTGTATTTCCACGGCCTAATCTACCACTTGTGAGCGAGTCTATTGGTAAGTAATGCTCCAGTCAAGGCTCGCTTGTTCTACTCTGACCCATCATAGGAGTATGCAAGGGCAAAGATGTGTATCGGCGCGCAGATGATGATGAGAAGTTCCACATGTTGAGTTTCCGCTGCCCCGAGGCTTTACAGAATCAAAATGTTCAGCCGAAGGTCGACCGTGCTGCATACTCGGATATGCACGAATATTAGACCCGCGGAGTGTGAGTTAGAGCCGGCGCCTCGATTGTGGAATTGCCATCGTGGGCTTTGAGTTGCTGGGTCAGTGTTTCGGTATTATAGATGCCTGCATGTCACCATTTCCGGTAAGGATGTGTCTTCAACGCCAGCTGGCGATTCGGCGCACTGCAATGTACGCATTATGGACCGGAACCCTATATCCGAAGGTCATTCGGAACCCGGATAATCGCCCTTCTCGACTTCATTTTGAAGGCGAAGCAGATTGTGCAGTGGGCCGTTACTGCGCATAGTGTACATCTGTAAGAGCTTCTGCATCCGAGTGTGCATCTTAACATAATGCATCATGTGCTATGTGGAGGCTATCATTCTCCCGTAGTATCCATCGGTTCTGTGTCCGTCTTCGTAGTAACGAGGTGTTCAACTTTTTCGTCACGTGGCGTAGCGCCAACTTGCTTTGTTTCCTCTTTGGGTGAGACAAAGAAGACAGCGCTCCGAGGAGCCCCTATACTGTCTTGGGGTGGGAAAGATATTTCCTTTCAACTGTGCCGCATACTCATAAAGAACGTTGGCATCTTTGCCTCTGATCAATCTCCTCTGCTTCTCGACGCGTTTCGAGTGGTACGATACCGTCCTTGACGGACTCAAAATCATTGCTGGCTACCACTGATAGTACAAGGAAAGGACATATCGCACCTTCTACGTCTTCTACGCTGCGTAGATAGGCAGTGGCACTCGGATCACAACGTTTTTGTTCTGAGTGTGGACTGATTCTCGTAAGATGCTCGCCTCCAAGACATGCTTAATCTAGTTGAAAGTCGAATAGTTCTATCGCAACAAGACCGAAACACGGGCTACATTCGCGGAGGTAGTCTTAGAGCTTGCGATTTCACCAAGATCCAAAGATAAACCCAGGTGATAGCCCGGTGAAAGGCGTCATCAGCAAGATAACGGGTGCAGTGCGCGCGATACGCATTGAGCCAAACTTGCGTGAAGGTGATAACCAGTCACCAAGAAACTGCGCTTTTTTGGCGGTTTGCTTCCGCCTGACCAGGCTGTGCAGGTAAGTGAGAGACGATTAGGCAACGGTGAATGCACGGACCCGCGGTGAATACCTCTGATTCCTCCTCTAGCTCCAGTTCTTGGCGGCCCCGCCGTCTCTAAAAGCCGCGCGCTCACTCCCGTTCTCTTCTGCTACATCTACTCCACTATCCTCACCGACGACTTCTTTTTCAAGTCTACCTCAAACACTTCTACTATCAAACCTACCACGCTCACAGCGATGAACCTAATCGTGCACTCTTCCGTTCCCAGCAGCATGCAGCTCTCTCACCTTACGCCTGGTCAAGAGGCCACCGTCACTGCCTTTGACGATAGCCTCGAGTACTGCAAAGTCCAGCTAGCGTCCGGCGGCTCAGTTGAGCTCCCTGGCAACGTCGAACAGCGCTTTGGCTGCGAAATGGCTGCGAACTACTTCGCTCACCTGCTCGGCCTCGAAATCGGTCACAAGGTCACTGTATACACCGGCGGCGACGGTCTTCATACGATTGTCCGATTTGTGCTAGAGCAGGAATTGCGCGGTCCCGATTTCTCAATGAGCGCAGAACCTTCGTCTTTCACCTCCACTTCCACCGAGCAACCTACAACCGCCACCAATACTGCTTCCAGTATCCGCAAGGGACCTCCGCGCCCAATGAACTGCTGGATGCTGTATCGCGACACGAGGCACAAGCAACTCAATTATCAATATCCGCACCTGACGGTCCAACAGATATGTAAGTAATTTTATCAGCTGCCACTGCTCGACCTGTCCGCCCATAGTTATCGCACAGATGCTAACTCTTCAAAGCGACTCTCTGTTCTGAGGATTGGAAGAACCTTCCCGCAGCCCAGAAGGACGAGTGGCGAGCGCGTGCCAAAGACGCGAAGGAAGAGCACCAGCGCATGTATCCGGACTACAAGTACAGCCCTCGCAAGCCAGGCCAGAAGAAGAAGCGCCAATCCCGAAAGGCTGCACGGGCTGCTATGACTGCAACTGCTCCAGCACACATTACCCCGTCAGGCGAGATTCACTCGGCTTCTCAATCAGACATATCCCCAGTATCAGTGGGGTTCGATGTTGACACCTTCGCCGCCTCCGAGAATATACTGGACAACATCAATGACACTCTGTTTGGTGGTTCAGTCCAAATGAGCGAGGTCGACGATGCACCGTCACAACAAGGACCGCTATTCCATGACAACGAGACCGCTAGGCATAATATGCTTGAAGTTGAACTCGATCCCGATTTCGACTTCGATCCTTATGATTTCCTCGGCGATGAAGGTTACGCCTTCCGAGATGGAGCCGATGCGAGCATCACTTTACCGTGTTTCACGTCAGAAATGTTCTAGAGACAGCACCTGGGTCTCTCAGCGTTTTATGGTCAGTGTTCTTTACGATTCCACCACTGTTACGACCTAAGCCGCACCAAAGCTTCCCGAGATTTCAAGACAGTGTCTGATGTCACTGAGTTAATTTCTCCGCCCACTGGTGCCTTACTGCCTGGATGTGCCCAATCGTACTGCATCTTGCGAGATGTACCTTCATCCCGGCCCCGTGGACTCTCGCCTTTCCTTGCTATCTACGATACGTCCCTCCCGCATTACTGGACGGCGCGCACGGGTCTCATGATTTTATACCCCAAAGATCCCCTTATACCTCGTTTCTGCCCTTCGGACTTTCCAACCCCGCTTCATCTCTCCACCACATCACCTCTTTGCTTGTCCGCACCAGGGCCCGACTAGCACACGCCTTGTTCCCCACTGCTATCCTTGGTTCGGGGTGAGCCGACATACACCTTGGACAGCAGACCTTCAGATCATCTTGAACTACGGATTACTCGGCTTTACTGGTACACTTGGTTGGAGGACGCAAGGCCTTAAAGGAAGGAAGGAACGCAACTATGTTTGCTAATAGACTAATATGGATGGAGTGTGGACGGAAATACCTTGCATGAGCATGGTCTACTTCTGTTTTCTTTTCAAGGATCCTAATACTTGTGGAAGGATCAATTAAGGTTTGCGAGTTTTGGAGTTTTATCATGGAGTTTTGTCGAGATGTTCATAGTAGTTTCGGTCAATAGTCAATCAAAATCCAAAAAAAGACCTTCTTTGCAATGTGATGACTGACTGTGAATGCCCTGAGATGTACGCAACCTTGATGGTCAGACTGCAAAGAGATGGCATGTGGAGAAATTAAAGACATGAAGTCGTGAAGTCGCACCGGTTACAGAAGGCTTGCATAGAGACAATGTCAGTTCAATCATGATGTATCCCTATCTATGTCGTCGTAGATCGCGCCCCTCCCTGACTATACGCGGGAGCCGATGCTAACAGCTACAGCGCATTTACTTCTGCGGACTGGGCGCATTCCAATCGCTTGCCCATATGAACGTGCCACACCGCCACTGTGTCCCACTCTCTTTCTGTCCGGAAGGTCCCAACGGTCTACACATCTAAGTTAGCAAACTTGAACCCAACGTGTGAATATGACGCAGACGCGGTTGCTGCTCACCTTGAACATATCCAGAACTGCCTCCCGCAGTTGACCCCCGGTTTCTTTGTTTGAAGGCTCTTGCAGGGCTCATCGTGGCCTTCGCATCGGGGAGGTGGCTTCTTGGAGAAGAGCTTGACCCATGACTCTTTCGAGGCTTCTGGGTCTCGGACGGGCGGCGGAGTGACAGGCGGAGGTAACGAGGAGAGAGCTCTGGCTCCTTTAGGGCTTGCGGGCACATCGACCGATGGCCTCTGGTTGAGGGCAATTGCGGTTGAGGGGTCTTCTGATTTGGATTTCGCGGGAAGGGACTTTGGTGCAAAGAAGCCTCGAAGCGATTGCTGTCCTTTCGACGAGGATGATCGGGCCAGGGAAGAAGTAGCGACGCTAGCCTTGCTCTTTTTGACGGGTTTCGACAGGGATGCGCCGGAGGCACGGCGCTTCTCGGGGGAGTTCAACGACATCTTCTGGCTGGCGCCGGAGCCATTGGCTGTGCGCGGCGATTCGGGGACGACGGTGGGGTTCGACTGACCTCTAGAGTCTCCCTGTATATCAGCAGGTGCTTGAAGCGGTGTCGATGGGACCTTAGCAGGTGCGCGAGCCTTGTTGAACATGTCCCTGATGCTGCGCCGTTTGTCGAACTCGGGCAGGAGCCGGCCTGACTGTGGAAGCAAGTCCTGAGTTAGACTGTACTCCCTCAACCTCACACCGTCTTTGAAGGTTCCTGGCGCATTCATGAGATCAACAATGTGCACTTGTCTTCCTTCATGCTCAACGACTTCCTTGGTAGATGCATATACAGGACAATGATCCGAGCCCATCAACCCTTCTTGTATGTTCGCATCCTGAAACCAGTCCTTCATTTCAATGCTGCAAAGTACGTAGTCGATGCGGGAGCCAAAGTTCCCGGGACGTGCGTTGATCTTTTGCTCCCAGTGGGTGAACATGCCCTCGCGCTTGGGGTGCATTTCTCGACAAAGGTCCCACAGCACAGGCTCCTCTCTTCCAGGATCGCGAGCCCCAGGGACTCTGCCATTGGCCACGAGTTGGTTGAAGACGCGCCGATTGGGGGCGTTTAGATAGTCTTCCCTTGTGATGCCTTCCGCACGCATGCTCTCTTCTGCTTTGGCTGTGTCTACTTCCTCCCGAGACACGTTCAGGTCTCCAGTAAGAATCACCCTCTTCCCCATCTTCTTGAGATTACGAATGCGCGTGTCGAGAGCAGTAAGGAAGCCATAGCGGAAATCGTCGCGGAGGCCGTTGCTGTTGGCCGGGCTGTAGACGCCAAAGATGACGAAGGCGGGGAACTCGAGCACGACGCAGCGACCTTCGGCATCTAGCATGGCGGGATCAACACCCAGCGCGGCGACCTGAGCGGGCGTGGGGTAGCCACCAATGGCAGCATCGTCGGGCAGCTCTCGGTATGGTGTCGAAGAGCCGGACGGGCACAGAACCCCCAGAAGGCCCTCCTCGGCGCGAGCCGGGGCACACACTGCGTTGCGGGTGTAGATTGCAACACCCGAGTAGCCTGGGACAGGTCAATGAGGTACGCTAACACTAAGGCAAGAAAGCTGTTACCCTTCTTATGTTTCGGCACGCTGAAGTAGCAGTCCCAGCCGGGGACCAACACCATGTCATCGGTCAGGTCTTTTCGCTGGATCTTCAGCTCTTGCATGACGACCATGTCGGCCTCGAGAAGATCGAACATGGCATCGAAAGTGCGCTTCTCGCGCCATGGCTGGTATCCAAACGGGTTGCGGATGCCGTTCACGTTCCAGGTGGTGATGCGGACCATGGTGCGTGAGACGAGCGGGCACGGCGCGAACGCCTCATGGCACCTATCTTCTTCGTGAAGCTTCGGACGACGCGCAGCAGAGCAACACGACCAGACGTCGGCGGCACGTCGTCACGTTGCTGCCCTTGGCCGAAGCAGGCTAGACTGGACTGCTGACAGTCAGGGCGCACGGCAGCCGCAAGGTCGGCCGGCAAACCAGTCAAATCCGCCAAGCTCGCCTGATCGTGCAGCTGCCGCAAGCTCTCGCTTTCGTCAGTCCAAACCTCACAACACCCCGACTCCAATTGCGCCCCAATTGCGAACACTCTCCACTCCACACCACCATGATTGCCCAGCGCACCCTCTTCCGCGCCAGCCAGCGCATGGCTCCCGTCGCCCGCGCGCCCCTCCGCCGCCGCATGTACAGCAGCGAGTCTCCCAAGCAGTTCGCCGGAGCCGAGGACAACGAGTTCAACCGCGAGCGTGCCCGCATCGCCGAGCACGCCGAGGAGAGCGGTAGTAAGTGCCTGCCGCCGGCCGCGTCGAGACATGTATGAACTGTGCTGACAATGGGCTGCAGTCTTCTGGTACAAGCTCACCCTCTAGTATGACCCACCCCCACTGCCTCCGTCCCGCACCGCTCTAACAGCTGTCAGCGTTGCCATGCCCTGCCTGCTCGTTGCTGCCATCAACGGCAAGATGAGGTGGGATGCTCACTGGGAGCACTTGGCTCACGCGCCCCCCAAGGAGGAGAAGCCCGAGTACTCCTACCAGAACATCCGCACTAAGAACTACTTCTGGGGTGATGGTGACAAGGTATGTCGTGCCCCTTGCAGGACAGTGTGGCTGGCTAATACTTGAACAGACCCTTTTCTGGAACGACAAGGTCAACTACCACAAGAAGGAAGAGTAAACGCTTCTCAACATCAACTACCACAAGAAGTACGAGTGAAAGCTCCTTAACATGTCGGAGTACGCTGCGGCACCCATGCGTCGATATTGTACATAAAATCCAGGAACTTAGATCGCTGGTCAATGCATTTCATTTGTCTCGTCCGAGCCCCCACATTGACGTATCGTTGCTTTCTATCACATCCACAATCGTTGCATTCATTCGTGAAAATCTCCCAGGACGTCTGCATGCTCAGGTGCAATATACCTTAGTGTACTTCAACGCTGTTGCTTGCGATGCGCTCCATGCCGTGGTCCCATACACGATTGTGATCATGGGCCCACTCTTCAGCTAGTCCCTCATCTCCCCTCAGTCTTGCGATGACCGCCTTCTTCATGAGTTGTTCGCATTCGCCTTCGACATCCTCGGCCTTCTTGAAACCTGGAGAATCATCAGCACTCCGACATGGAAAGATCTACTCAGTGGAAGGATTCGACCTACATTCGCGAGCTCTGTCAATGTATAGCTCAGCACGACTCACACAGATTGCTCGTGAGCGCATACTCGCAGGGCTCTGTGTGTCCTCCAGACCCGCGAGACCCATGTACGCATCCCCCATGTGCGAGTATAGCATTCCTGTGACATGAATGTCACCGATTTCAAGCGACTGCGCGCCAGTTAGCACTCGTGCAGCTCTGCAATTGCACGCGGCGAACATACCTGGGGTATGATGGAGCCCAGCAAGCGCGTTGCAGCATTGTAGTCTCCGTTGGAGTTCAATATATTTGCTATCAAGCCCACCGCTGTGAACAAGCACGTCTTCAAGTGCGCCTTGAAGGCCACACTAGCTGCTCTAAGAGCGACACTGAAACCTCGCTCAGGACAACCGAGTCTTCTGCATATATCTGCTTTGGTAATGAGTAGGGATATACGTTGCATAAAGTCTGCGCCTTCTTCCTTGAGCGTGATGGATAGCTTTTCTACGGCGTCCCATGCTTGCGAATATAGGCCACGTGCTACCAGATAGTCGATGCGAGATTCGGAGAGTAGGAAGGTAAGTTCGGGGTCCGTTGAGGGGTCGGGTTGGAGATAAGAGAAGAGGGCTTCGCATGCTGTCCAATCTTTGCTGTAGCGAATGATCAGTAGGTAGACCCAACAATGTCTGTCTGAGAAGCAGTACGTACTGACGTATAGCTCTCTTGAGCTTGACGAGCCCCGTGCAGAGATACACATACTGCTGGAACTTCAGCGAACGCTGCATGAAGTGTTCTGTCGACGCGAGTAGGCGAAGGGCTTCGTCGTAACGACATCTTTGCAGAACCTAGTGACAGTCAGCTTGGCTAGATTGAGAGGGAAACAAAGACCGCACCAGGAATGCGCGACGACCGAGTGCTCTAATTCGTTCGTCCAGGGGACATCCACTCTGGTAGCAATCGAGCAAGAGCTGGCAATTGACTTCAGACAAGTTCGGATTGCCTAGGCGAGAGTACAACGCGGATTGAAACAGCAGATGCGAGCCATAATTTCCTATGCTTTCCTTGAGGCTCAAGTGGGATGACTGATACAGAAGCTCGAAGGCCCGAAAAGCTACGTCGCCCTATCATACGTTAGTTGTGAAGCATCGGCGACTGGAGGGAAAGCTGCTAACCGAGAGCAAACTTAGCTTCGCTTCGTTCAACAATGTAGCACTCAGCAGGCTGTATGTCCTAGTTTCTCTGGCTTTGGCTTTCAGGAATGCTAGCCCTTCCCTTTCGGATCCCAGCACTCCAATGTATCCAGATCTTTTCATTTGTTTTGGGTAAGCCTTGCTCATGTGATTCAGCCAGTTCAGACTGAAGTTGAGACAGTGTATATCTTGGTTCTCCCTTGCTGTTGCCACGGTTTCGTTGATAGCAGCAATAGCTTCGCCAAAACACCCAAAGTCGGCTTGAAGTATCGCCATGTGCAACAAGGCATACTGGTAGTGTATCCTTTCGCGCGCTTGCATTGCATGGTCGAAGTAACGATGGAGGTTGTCGAAAGCCGAAGTATAATCACCTCTTTTCCAGGCATCAAAGAACAGGACCAGATGCGCTTGTCTAGGAGCGGTGTCGGATGATTCAACAAGTTGCCGTAGTGGAGCCTTCATTGCGTCCGGCACGCGGCAGCCAAGCCCTGCAGGTCGTCAGTAAGAGATAGATCGCCTGGAAATCTATACATGCGTTGGAGTTTGTCAAGCTGAAACTCGAGGACGCGTTCAAGATCATCATGACTGAGTGAAGTGGACGATGTGTCTCCCTCCAAAAGGTGACCGTAAGTGATTTCGAATAGGCTGTCTTCTTTGCTCAATCCCAAAGCTGTTGCCACAATGTCTACGCTAGACAAAGTCACTTCGCTCAGCCTCCTTGCCCGCTGCGCGGTGGGTGCGCGGTAGGCGATGAAGGCACACCAAAGGTGAACGATATCATCGAAGGGAAGGCGAGTAAATTCTAAGCGAGCTTGCCTAACGAGGGCGCCGAGGGGTGATGTTGGTGAAAGTTGTAGGCGTTTAGAGTTCGTAGGGGCGCCGAGTGGTGATACTGGTGATAGGCGTAGGCCTATAGAGTTCGTCTCTTGAGTTTGCTTTTCCTTGGACGGACCCAATAAGTCCCCCAGGTTGTTGAACAGTTCGAAAAGATGATCTATTGAATTTATGTCCCAGAGACATTTGAGGAAATCATCTAGGAGCGTCCTTCCCGGAATACTTGATGCTTGAGATTGGAGTATGTCTTCGAATGTTTGAACCGATAGTGGTCTGACATGTTGCTCTGCCGTATGAGGCTTGCGAGCAGCTGATGAAGTAGTTGGGAAGGTGTGAGAGAGAACGAAGGAAAGGACCGGAACGGTGGCGGAGGAAGGAAATTCCGATTTACAGTACAGCTGGACGAGGACTAAAAGACTAATCTTGGACGCGGTGAGATACCGCGGTTTCGACATGGCGACGGGGCACGCTGTTGCGAGGACGCTACTGCGGTGATCGATAAATCCGTTGGTTTGAATACACCTTAAATGCTGCGCGCACACTCATGACAAACCAGTGGCCGAATCCTTTCTTTTCAATGCTGCGGAAGATGAGTTGTGCAGCGGTGAGCTGTAGCTTGGGCGTGGAGGGACTGGAGGGACGTAGCCAATCTGAGAAGAACTCGAGAACGCGCTATCACGTGACTGGGCGCCTGCGGGTGCCCTTAGCAACCTTGGGTAAGTCAATTGGATGCGCACTTCGATAGTTTTAGAAGGTACGTATCGTTGGATTCAGAGCAAAGCATACTATGTACATACAGACTCTATACCCAGGCACCACACTGGTAGCTGGGTTACACTCAAGATCCTATTAATATCAAAGCAATCCGATCCTGACCTGCAGTAGTGTACATTCCCAGCTCCAATAATCCAAACTATGATATGTGGTCACCTGAAAGCACTGACTTTGGTTTCTCGACTTTGTCGAAGCTGCGCTGTGGTGCTGAAGATGCAGGGAGCCCCGAAATGGCACCCTTTACCGACGCCAAGATGTCGTCGTCCTTTCCAAGATTGGTCGCCCACACCTTGCTTATGCTTAGATCGTATGGTCCTGGTATACGGTCGATTAACGCCGTGCCTATTGTCCGAACTTTCTGCGTGAGCATCTCCCTCTGCGGCTCCACCACTTGGCCATGGTTTGTGCGCACAAATTCGTTCCATTTGATCAGGATAGTCTCCCATTCACCAGGCGTCTTTGAGTAGAGACGGTGTTGGTGGATGTCTGTCGGGACAATCGACTCAGTCTGGACATTGACAAAGTATTTGCGGCCATCAGACTTGAATTGAATCGCCAGATAGGCATATGAATCCACGTCCCACAGCGACTTCCCAAAGATGGTAAAGCCACGGTCCAGTGTGCGCCAGCCAGCGTAGCCAGTACGCTGCACATGCGGCTGATCTTTGGGAAGCTCGACAGATATTTTGCCGTGGAAGCGAGCGTGCGCAGGCTCGGTCGGCGTAGCAGCGTGGAAGTCGAGGTTGGCAGAAGAGAAGCCACCGATGTCTTTGTCGCTCATGCGTTTGCACCGCGTGATGGCGTTTTGCGAATCAAACAGTATCAAAGGAAACGGTTTCGTGGGCGACCGCAATCCCTCAAGCTTGAGCGCTGCTGGAGTCAGCTTTGTGGGAAGGGCAAAGCGAGGTGGAAGCATTCACCGATATTAGACAATCGCTTGAACTCATCGAGGCTGCGCCTGAAAAAGCCGGGCGTCAGGCATCGTGCTGTTGGCCGCATTATCACATACGCATGCGGCTATAGGTGTTGGGCGATGGTGGACATGCGGCGGAGGCTCAAGTGGAGACGCGCGACCTCGGGACGCCCATGTATGTGCATGACGCGGAGGACGCTTCATAGATCACTAACCGCTTCCGGCCCTAAATTTCTCCCAAAGTGCTTCGAGCATCCACGTCTCCCTCCTTTGCTAAACATTTGCAGTCTATCCTCACCGACATCACACAATCTCACCGGCGCCGCGCCCTCTATCCTCCTGGTCGCGCCTACCGCATCCGCCAGCGCCACTGCCGTTTCGATGACCCTCGATCATGCGCCGCGCCCTCGAAGCATCCACGACGACGGCACTCCATTTAGACAGACACTCCTCCCACAATCGCGCGAAACAGGCGAGGTCGTTCCCCCGAAGCAGCCAGATGGCACTCCGGTAGCAGCCGCAAAGTCACCCTTTGCAAAGTCATGGGCGCATCTCATCGCTGGCGGGTAAGACGTTCCCGCCTCCGCAACATGCACTCAACCAAGTTGCATACTCACATCTAGGAACAGGCTCGGCGGAATGGCATCTGCCACTCTGACCGCCCCGCTCGACGTATTGAAGACCCGCCTGCAGTCCACGTACTACCAGCAGCACCTCGCTGCAATGCGCACAGCTCGCGGCCTACCTCCTATCGAGACCATGTCCTTTACGCGCAGCTCTCTGCTACACATTCGCGAGACGGGAGAGATTCTCTGGCAGGTACCCAAGGCCGAGGGCTGGCGAGCACTATTCAAGGGTCTTGGTCCAAATTTGATCGGTGTTGTACCGGCGCGCGCGATCAATTTTTACACGTACGGTAATGGCAAGCGAATCATCAGTACCTACTTCAACGACGGGAAGGAATCGGCATGGGTACATCTCTGCGCAGCTGCTTTTGCTGGCGTCGTTACCGGCACGGCGACAAATCCTATCTGGCTCGTCAAAACTAGACTACAACTCGACAAGAACACGCACGCTGATGGGCGGGGTCGCCAGTACAAGAATGCGCTTGATTGCACGATGCAAACGATTCGAAAAGAAGGAATAAAGGGTCTGTACCGCGGCCTCACTGCAAGCTATTTGGGCGTCACAGAGAGCACTCTTCAGTGGATGATGTACGAGCAAATGAAGATGGCATTAGCGAGACGAGAAGAGAGGGTTGCTAATAGCGGTCGGCCACCTACTGCTTGGGATCAGACTGTGGCCTGGACGGGCAAGGTGTCCGCAGCTGGTGTGGCCAAGTTCGTTGCTGCTCTGGCGACGTATCCTCACGAGGTAGGCCAGATCCACATGCATCTGATGACATGTCGGATTCATACTAATTTTGTATTAATAGGTTGTACGAACGCGATTGCGACAAGCTCCTTTGGAGAACGGCCAGCTGAAGTACACAGGCTTGACTCAGTGTTTCAAATTAATATGGAAAGAGGAGGGTATGGCAGCGCTTTATGGTGGGCTAGTCCCTCATATGTTCCGAGTGGTACCGAGCGCTGCGATCATGTTCGGCACGTATGAAGCAGTGTTGAAGCTCCTCGGAACCAGCAGCAACCTCTAAGTGGACTGCACGCTAGCACATACTGATGGGGGTAATTTTATTTAGAAAACGGCGTTCAAAGAAGGGACAAGAAGGAAGAAAACGGGAATGAAGGCGCTGATACCCTCCCTTCTCTTCGATTCTGTATATACGATCTCAGCTTGGGCATTTTCAGGATCACTGTAAGTTATTGTACTACCACCATCAAACATACGACTCGGCGGACGAGTCCAAGTAGGAGAAGGACATAGGTCTGTGAGGCCTACATTGGGCACTTGCAGATAATATACTTATCGAGAAAGCTTACTTTGGTATCTGAACCTGTGAACCAACCGTAAAATTGCTGTCGCTGTTCGTGTCACGCCTTGAGATGCAGACGATTATCAATACATTCAGACCTATACTTAGCTACCTAGATTGCGCGTGTTAGAAATTACTACTGCGAAACATCGCAGTTGGAGCCATACAATTATGCAAAGATTTCGGAAACAGCGCTTGAATTCCTTGATGACAGACAAGCCGACCATCTTGGAGAACCCCGGAGCCCCGGAGCCCGGGAGCCCTGGAGATGATCGTTTCACGTGATCGGCTGCGCTTGACCGTTTATGGATTTTGCGGACCTCCGCGACTGCATCTTGATCTCTCCAGCAATTGCCCACTTTGCGCGGCTCACCACACCATGTCAACACACCTACCACTTCGGTCGCTGAGGCCATTGCATCGGCAGTGTCTGTCATTTCCACAATCGAATCGGTTTTTCTCCTCCACACCGACGCTAGAGAGAAATTCCCGCGATGGAAGAAGACGACCTGTCGATCCCGTCACGATCGGAGTAGCATCGCGACAACAGGGGGGCAAAGCCGCGAGCCAGATGCAAGAAGAGCAATTGAGCGATGAACGTAACGTGCCCGACGACATTGGCCTGGTTCCAGGTAAGTCTGTCGGACGGCTGTTGCCCGCGTGCCGCGGACTGACGCATAACAGGTACATTCGTTCACGCCCCGTTGCTCCCATTGACGCGTTTCTCGATCAAAGACCGATTGTGGTATGAATGGAAGTGGCTCAGGATGCGGTTCACAGCTTGGTACCAGTGCGTCTCGATCGATGCTCGCGAATTGTTCGACCACCAAATTGACACATGGTTAGGTTATGGCGCTTTAGACGAAGCTTCACTGAGAGCAAACCCGACATGGCCTGGCTCAGTCTCAGTAAACGCAAGTCGTTGAATCATGATGCCGTAGAGAAATACAAACATCTCTACGAGTCCTTTGCGAAGTAAGCCGCGTCACGTCCATACGGCTTCCGCTTGCCCCGCCATTGTGCTGAAACATGACTGACTTTAACAGGGCCGACCTTAACGCAATCTCGAAAGCTTGCGCTTCTGGTGTAGCGAATGAATTCAGAACGCGTGTAACATCTCGTCCATCAGGTGTACAGATGCGGTGGAACGTTCGAGGCGAACCGAGTTGCAGGATTGTGTCGAATGTTGCTAGTCCCCTTTCACTTCCTGGATACGAGGATACCGGAGTACACCAGATCGTTTTCCGCATTCAAAGCAAACAGGAGCTTACACTTGGTGGATCAAAAGACTCTCGCAAAAGTAAGGAGCAAGATAATACAACATCTTCCGATGTGGTTGAGTATTTCGTTTTGCAAAAGCAGTACATACGGGGTTCAGCGAAAGACTGGAAGGTCTGGGGTTTCACAGACTTTAGTACGCCGAAGTCGATCGAGGAAACCGAGGAGTATGCGAGGAACGTGAACGCATATCAAGCTGCCTAATAACGCGCCTTGAGCTTGAAGACACGAAGGATCATTGGTGGAAGACTGTTGGGCTCGTCGGGTATGGCTGGCGGCGGCAGACTGAAGCCATCTGGAGCACTGTTGTGTAATTCATCGCTTTCATGGCATGTAAAATAAACGCTCTGTAAGATAGCGTCAAACACAGATGTATGGTATATTAAGTAAATACTCATTCTGAGATGCAACGACCCATGAGCATTCGGTCCAACCCTTTTCGCAGGGCCGAACTACAAAATCCATGTGCTCCAACGTACAAAGACAGATACAGATCGTCGTTAATCCTTAGCACATCGAGGCCATTCTGAATCCCAGAGGATCAAGAGGAGGGAGCGGCAGCCGGCGCCTCTGTGCCAGAGCCTGTTCCAACTCGAGGGGCGACTGGGGGTAGAAACATCGGCATGTAGCCCTGTTTCTCTTAAGCCCAAGAAAATGATATTGGAAGGAAACAAAGTGAAACTTACGACAAGCAACGACATGACTGATTCCGTTAGCTATATCCGCTCCCTTTCGTTCATAAGGTAACTTACCACTCATGCCTACAGAGAAGTAGGCCGGGGTAGCAGCTGTCTTTCTTTGCTCAGCGGTCTCCGCGAGCCACGACTGCAGCGCAAAGACTACAGCAACCCATCCAATCATTCTAAAGCGCACACAGTGTTAGGACTGATCTCCCCTGAATCCAAGACTACCTTACTTGTTGCGAGTGAATATCTGAGAGGGTCGTTAGTAAAGGAAGATGCACGCTGGGCAGGGTACGGGCGGGATACTTACCGCAGCCATTGGCAACGTCGTTGCCATGGTGCTGGCCATATCGCCATCTGACTTGTCCTTGGCCGGTTCGGCATAGGGCACGACTGCAAACCAAAGTTAGCGCACGTGACATCAACTTGAGCTCCACTGAAAGTCGTGTGATTTAGGGGCTCAAGAAGCGTAGCAGCAAGTGGGAGCGTGTAGGGCGATAGCAGGAGCCTTACTCAGATCGGTCCGTCTCATGTCCTTCTTGTTGGACGCCATTGTGATGCAGCGAGCTCGGGATGCAAGGCGACGGTCTGTGGAGGTGGTGTTGCAGTGGTGGTCCCACGTTAGATCGCTCGCTGACTTCCGGAACCCTGCCGTGCCTGCCCGCGGGCTGGCCGACCTCATTGCCGCTCCGACTCCGCGACCATCGCCTCATTGTCCTCCAAGTTCCCCCAGCTCCACTCTCTTTGATCGTCTGCGGATTGTGGTCCATTCCTACATCGGCCGTTCCCGAGTTCCACAATCCCGCCCCTGCTGAGTTCGTTTCGCTCTTCCCAGTCCTATCCATCCACCCGCCGTCCGCTCGCCTTAATCACACCATGAATCCGCTCTCCGTGCGATGACTTCCCGTCCCGCCCAAGGCGCGCAAGACCCTGTGCAACACCGCGGGAATGCGCCTGCGTCGTCGGCGGCGCGGTGGGCGGCAGGCCATCATGGCCAGGACACGGCAGTAGAGCACGACCGCACCGCTGGAGAACCGCCGACCAAACCCAAACCCAAGGGCAAACCAGGCCCGCTCGATGGCCTACAGACCAATACCAGCGAGTATATGCGCGCCCCTCCCAAGGGCAAGCCTCAGCTCTTCTTCAGCGTAGCCGCCAACAGCGGTTTCGAGTCCTCGGAACCCAGTCCGACGACTTCAGCACTACCGGTCCCCCCACGACCAAGCTTGTCCATGCCCGCCGAGGCTCTCCATCAGCGTCGTATGGTCCCTGGAGGTAGTGGCGTAAAGGCTGATCCGTCTACGGTAAAGTCTGTAAACCAGGATACTTCAGCCTCGGCCGCCGTTCTCCCGGGGGGAAGTGAGTCTCAGACGATTGCACTGCGAGGGGTACAGACTAACAGCCTTGTAGAAGCCGCCGACCTGTTCCCGTGGACGGGCAGCCATCCCGAAGATGTGCTCTCCGAGGCACTTGTCAAGGGTGGGATTAGCAACAAGTCTCAGATCCACAACGAGACGAACACGGCGCGACCTTCACTATGGGCGAACTTGAAGAACAAATCTGGCACGTCGACGCTGTCAACATTGTTCATTGCTGTCCTTGAAAAGCGCCAATCATGCAGTCGTCTCGTTGCGCCCAACACCTTTAAACCGCCTCCGCGTTTGACTTTACGCGACTCCACTCGAGAGACATGGCTGCATGACTTGGCCAATCCCGCAGTTGGACTACGCCGATTGAGTCGTACTATCCCGCACGGCATCACCGGCAAGGTCCTCCTTGACCAATGTCTCAATAAGAACATTCCCATCCCTCGGGCTTTATGGCTAGCGAAGTGCGTGGGAATCAACGAGATGCGGGCTCATAAGCGGAAGGGCCAGGCAGGCACAATTACCTGGGTACGAGGATGGACAAGCTCGGTTGAACAGTTTCTGGATGGCGTAATAGCAACCATCGGGCAGCAAGACTGGAAGATTCGCATCACATATGCTCTGCAGCTTGCGGCACATTTGTTCAAAGAACACCTTATGGAAGAAGACCATTTCATGGACTGGATTCTTAACAGTCTTGACTCTTGCTCCTCGGAGCGGTTGTTCCTTTGGCTGCTAATAACCTGCATCCCCGACTTTTGGTCCAGTCTCATATCCTTCCGTCGTCGCGGCAAACGTTTGGCAGAATCACTACTGAGTCATGCTGAGAGTATTTATACCTCAGGCGATGAGACCCGAGAGACAACTGTTCTTGGCCTGCTTGAGAGCATCATAGCTCGGGTCGCTGTCCACAAGCCCGCATGCCTTCTGCTTCCTGATGATTGGGACAGGTGCAAGGAGGTGCTGCACATCTTTGAGCAGCGTCGAGCACACTCTAAATTTTCTCAACTTATAGCCGACTTGGACCACAGAAACAGGGATATCATGCACTCTAGAAGCCTCGGATCTTCGTCATCACAACAATCATTCCGCACATTGTACAGACTGTTGGACGGCTTGGACTATGAGGCGGATATCTCCGTAGACAATCTGGCTTACGATTGCATGGATTTGTTTTCTGATCAGAAGGTTCTTATCTCGGCCGTCCTGCAATGGGCATCAACACTTTATCGGCAAGGTCTGCACCGCGTATATCTCGTTACACGCTTACTACGCAAATGGAACCAAATCGGTATAGATGTTTCCGAAGGCATCCTGAGATATCTGCCGCAAGTGGCTTTAGATCGTAGCAAAGAGTGGGAACTTATCTTCAAAGTCGTGAGCGAATTGGTCCGCTCAAGAACGTTTTCGTTGGGGAAATATCTTCAATGGCTAATAGCGACTGGCTCGATGGATCCAGCTCAGGATCTCCACGCGGTAGGCAAACCTTGATTGCAAATACTTTGGTCAAGCTAACAAGGTGTAGGGAAATGCTTGGCAACTTCGTCTTCTGACTGAAGTTCCACTGAGTGGTCTTTCTGAGCAAGTGCTGAACCTAAGAAGCACAATGCTTCGTGGCACAGTTTACTCAGTCGATATAGAAGACGGTCTCATTCTCGGTGCGAAAGAGGCCATTTTGCAACAGCTGACAGACCTTACGTGTGCGAGCAACAAAAGCATGCGTAAAATGACCCTTGATATTGGGCGCCTCAGTCGAACAATGCATCTTGACATAGCCATCTGGTTACGACGACAAGTCGCGGCAACGGTTGAAGCCAGCGACAGGTGCGTACTGCCCGGCCTGTATTGTGGTCATTCTAATGTCGAGCAGTGCACCGACGAAAGAGAGCAGCATGTTCATGGCAGGTTCAATCTGCACGATCTCGTCTTCCTGTTTCGAGACTGTTCGATATTACCTTGAACAGTTTAAAGATTTGTCCATCCTAGCAGATGTTGTCGGCATTGCCGCTACCTCATTTGACTCACACGTTCTGAGCGCTTCTGCCGATACGCTTGATTATCACTTCAAGGCCTTCAAGGCCATTAGCGCCTTCAACCCGCTTTTCGAGAAAATAGTGTTGAGATACACCCAGATCCGAGCGATGCGCCTTCCTGAAAGAAAATTGCTACTCAGCATCAGTGCCCTGACTCATTTGACGCATGACGACTCACAACTCAGGCAGCTGTTGGACTATGATCTTAATCGTTACGATCAGCGGAACTCTCTCGCCGTGTGTTCACCAGTATCAGACACCATGATCGAAAACGTCACAGGTTCAGATCCAGAAGACGAAATAGAGCGCATTCTATCCAGCGGCAACAGCATGGACCAACATATGATGAGCCGAGTGTTCAAGAAAATCGTGTCCTACCTTCAACAGCGATCCTGTCAAGGTAACTATCCTTCGGACAATCTGTTGTCCTGGTTCTGCCGCCTGCAAAACCTTGAAGAAAACACTTTCCATGCCATAGTAGCCTCATGGCTGCACTCGACCTTAACGGATGATGAGCCGCACTTACTCGCCATCACTCTTCCTCCGCTTGTGATTTCTGGATGTCTGTCCTTATCTCGATTTGCGGAAACGATAAGAAGTTGTATACGACATTTGCTCCCAAACCACCCATCCGAATCTCTTCGCGTTGCGGTCGATGGCTTGATGACACTTCTACCTGAGAACGTATTGAGTGACCTTTTATCACACCAACAGGCATATCAATTTCGTACGAAACAAGCTGCCTTCTGTCAGAAACAAGACAGCGGTCTGCTGGATCTTATCAAAGAGGCATTCGAACTGAGTGTCATCAATTCGACATCCCAATCCGTAGGCTCGCTTCCTCATGTGCTGTCGGATGATCGGCTTGTGGGCGTATTGAGACACTTTGCAACCGTCGACTTGCAAAGCGTGTCATTCCTACTAGAGATCTCCGGACGTACCTCGGATGGAGCCTCGCAAGCTTGCATTAAGTCTTTACTTCATCGCATCACGCACTTTTCCAATCCTCTAGGTAAGCGGCGTGATCACCTCCAACAGCGGATATGCTCCTCGACGGTTGCTGACTGCTTCAGATATGTCAAAACTGGGCTACGAAGAGCAGGCCACTGCGATCTTCAGATACGCAGACCAACTTTCATTATCTTTTTGTCAGTTGCAGCTCCAAGAACTGTTCCTATCAATTTCAGCCGTGGGACAGTCCATTGAGAGTCTACCTGTGGCATTCATCAAATTTCTCAAGTCGAATCTCGAGCTCGATCACTCGTATATGCTAGAACTTGTGGCTGGGTTGGATGCGAACCTCAAGAACCTGGTAAGTAAGATCACCTTTACTTATCATCATCTACTCACATTCGCAGATGTGTGAACAAGCAGAACAAGAAGTCTTGACTTTCTCGGCTTTTCTGTGCGACGTCACATTGGACGATAAAGAAGGCAATTGCTTAGACGAGCTACCTTTCGTTCATCGACTGCTAGATGTTATCTGCGCCACCGGAACGAGCAACGCAAGAATAACGCAAGCTGCCCTTCTTGCCCCACTTATTGAGAGGTTCAGAGGCATCGCCGAACTGCTGCACCAGATGGACCACCGATTGATAAAACGTGATGAAGCAGTAACAAGTGACAACAATCTACTGCCTTCGGACTTATGCTCATGGTGGGTCCACCTCCCATTTCCATTTCTGACCTGTTGCTAATGCCAAGCAGGTTGAGTGCTTTACTTCGTCTTGTGGTTTGTCAAAGCCCAGACCTGATATTGAAAGCCAATCATCAACATCAAGCTGCGCTTATGTGGAATCTTCGAAATCTATTGACACATCCACAACTACAAGCTTTCCCATCGACGACGCAGTACATTTTCGACGTCTCGGTCTTACTGTCCGATCACATCTCTGAGGATGTCCGGAAAAGCCTCATCGGATCCTCAAACATAAAATGCTGCTCCGACAAGCGATGCGCATTCATGTATGGACTGGACCCTCAAGATGATGGTTGGCTGGGCCTCACAAGGTCATTGCAAAGAGCCGTCTCTCCTCAAAGACAGATGCAGGCCTCTGACCCCACCCAGCCACAGATGCAGAGTCAGCAACAGTCCAGCCCCGCGCAGTCGCGAAGACCGTCAATGCAACAACAGCAACATTCTCAATCGCAGGGACGATATCCGCAGCAACAGCAACCCCACAATCTACTTTCACAGCAACTTCAGCGGATGGGATCGAATGGGCAGAACAGTTCAGCTTCTCAGCTGCAGCAGATGCAACAGATGCAAGCAGCTATGGCGCAACAGCGCCAGAATACAATTAGTCCTCAACTACAAAGGACTCCATCCGCCCAAAGCCAACCAATGAAGGTAACGAAGAGCAGCGGTGCGAAACAGGAAAGAGTGGATGCGAAACCTGTGCCGTACAAGTTAAGCAGGTGGGAAATCCTCCCAGAAAGTGGAGGCAATGTGAGTGGGAACGAGACTGCGATCAGTCTCAGTTTATTTGGGGCCAGGAAGGCCTGAGTGCAGGCACTGAGTGTGACCGGGCATCTTTTCGACATCCGTTATATAGCATTTCTTCGAGGCGGTGGTCAGCATAGCGATGGAGTTAGGGCAAGGTCGAACGAGCCACGCGGATGCGTTGGCATGGCAGGCTGATTTAGCATTTACGATGTACACGCCTCGGTTTGGACGGGGCTACGAAGCATACCTTATACGTTACGGGCAACATGAAGGGATCGTTGGGAGAACAGAGCAGAGTGATTAAAATACAATGTAATTCATCAGACACTCGAATCCGAAGATGGCATGTTTTGCCGACACGACTTTCAACGAGTCCTACATACCCTCGCGTAAGCTCCCAAGCATGGATCAACCGCCGTTCACCAAATTCTCTCCCCCAGCGTCTCCAACGACCCAGTCTCTTACTTGACCCTTCCAATCGGCTGTTCTCCCATCTCGTATGCGCACGACGACCACTCTCACCTCCTCGCCTTCCACATAGCACCTTGAACCACCATCGCCTTCCACTGTATCGTTGTCCCGATGCTGCCGTTCCAGCCCACCGCCGCCCCATAATCCGCCGCCAACAGGGGAACTTGAGTAAGAATCCTCGCTCGGGCCAAAAGTGTTGTTCGCCAGATGTTCCGCCTTGTACCATGCTTCTTCGTCACTACCGCTGGGTATTATTTGCGCGAGTCCGTTGATGGTGGTGCTGATTCGAGAGAGCGAGGCGGTATTCATGCCCAGGAGGAGCTCGGCGAGGGAGCCAGGGCGGGGACCGCCGCGGGTCGGGGAGGGTGAGCGGGCGGTTGCGTCGAGGGTAGGTGGGCGGTGGGATACCCAGTCGTGGACTAAGGTGAGACTCAATCAGCGTACCACTCATAAATGGTTGGGGTAGATGTCAACGATTGCCTCAAGTACTCCACAATCCGTAACGATTCCAAACTTAGAAATAGGTTTGAAGAATTCAGGTGCAATAGCCGCGTTGTACCTCGGCCGCACTTACCTAGTAAGGAGACGAGTGGATTAGACTCTAGGTTGTGGGTTTTCTGCGATGAAGGTGGTGTGGTCATGATTATGGTAGGATGCGGGGAATAGGGCGTCGAGGGAAGGTAGGTGTAGTTCATGAGGGAGATGTGCGGGACATTGTTGGCGGAAGTCGCGAGATGGAGCTGTAACAGGTCAGTTGAAGCCGGAGAGTAATGGGTATGTTTCATACAAAACGGGCGTTCTGTAGGCAGACCGTGACCTCGTCTGGAAGGCCATTGGAGGACGCCATTACGGGTGGTGTGGTAGCTTAGTTGCGATGTTCAAAGTGTAGGCGTTCGCGCGGGCTGCAAGGCGGGGTGGATTAAGTGGAGTCGAAGCTTCCGCATACGTCAAGCAAGCAAGCGCTCCCGCGCGTCTGGTTGACGCTGCGCCACAACCTCGCACGTCTAGGAACCATCGCATCGCTGCTGCCCACCTTGACTAGACAACGTCCACTGCCATCATGGCCGCACCACCTTCGCTACCTCCAATGGAGAGCTCCGAGAGCTTCAATCCAGACTTCAACGCATCGTCCAACCTCCAGGACGCCAACGGCAATGCTGAAAATACACCCGTGTCGCCCATTGACAACCATCATGCTGCACCAGTCGCCCATGCGCACGAGCAGAAGCAGGACGCTCCAGATGCGCAGTTACAGCAGAAAGTGCACGATGTCTTGCAGTCTGACATCGGCGTTAATACACTGTTGAACCGCCTCAAGGCGAGCATCGCCAGTGCTCGAGTAGGTACTGCTGCCCAACATCCCCGCCCGTGTACTGACATGGCAGGATTTTGCGAGCTTCTTGAAGCGCCGCGGTGCTATGGAGGAGGAGCATGCCAACAGTCTGAAAAAACTCAGCCGTTCGACACTCGACAGCATACGCAAGCCTGACGGGCGCCACGAGAGCTATCAGACCCAGTTCGAGCTCGTCATGCACGCCAATGAGCGCATCGGCGACAACGGCACACAGTTTGGTCTCGCGCTCCACGCCATGCACGAGAACTTGCTGCAGCTGGCCAACAAGATGGACGCCAGCCGGAAGACGTGGAAGCAGCAGGGCCTGGCTGCCGAGGCAAAGGTCCAGGACGCCGAAAAGCTGGCTGAAAAGGCAAAGGCCAAGTACGACCAGCTTTCAGAAGATCTTGACCGCGTCAAGACAGGAGATACTGGCGCTGGCAGGAAGTTTGGGTTGAAAGGCCCCAAGTCAGCTGCTCAGCACGAGGAGGACCTGCAGCGCAAAGTTCAGGCTGCTGATCAAGACTATGCGAGCAAAATTCAGACAGCGCAGTCATACCGCAAGGAGCTGGTATCTACCACGCGTCCTCAAGCTGTCACTGCCATGGTCGATCTGATCAAGGAGATCGATGCTGCTCTGACTATGGAGATGCAGAAGTACGCTTCCTTCAATGAGAAGCTCGTTGTGAACAACGGCCAGGTTGTGAGCCCTCAGCCGCTCAAGGGCAGCACAAGCCAACCGTCCCCAAGCATCAATCAGCTCGTCTATCAAATCAACAACGAGCGAGACTTCGATGATTACATCTTAAAGCATGCCTCCAAGGTACCATCCGTGCGAACAGACTTGCAATACGTCAAGCACCCCACACAGGCTTCCAAAGTAGCTCAGCCCACTCCACCCCCTGCCGCCATTGGAGACCGCCGGACGTCGTTACAAAGTCAACCACCCCCCTCGTTTGGCCTACAGCAGAACGATTCCGCATCATCACCTGCACAGCATCAACCCCCATATCCTGCCGAGCCTGCTCAGCAACCAAGTTATCAGACGTACAATACGGGCTACCAGCAACCACCGCAGCCACTGCAGCAACCGCATCTACAAGCCTCTACTTCAGCCTACTCTCCTGTTGCGCAGAACCCCTATTCACAGTCCGACTATTCCAGAGGCCCTGCCGGTCAAGTGGCGGCACAGCAGTCGAGCGGAGTGTTGCACAGCCCTGTTGGTCCTCCATCAAACCCGGTATTTGGAGTCACTCTAGACCAGTTGTTTGCTAGAGACGGCTCGCCAGTACCTTTGGTGGTATATCAGTGCATTCAAGCCGTCGATTTATACGGTCTGGAAGTCGAAGGCATTTACCGCATTCCAGGCACTTCGTCCCACATTCAACACATGAAGGCCTTGTTTGACAGTGACGCGACCCAAGTCGATTTCCGTAACCCCGAGGCCTTTCAACACGACGTCAATAGTGTTGCTGGTCTGTTGAAACAGTTCTTCCGAGAGCTCCCGGACCCTCTCTTAACTCGGGATTTTTATACTAAATTCATTGATGCAGCACGCGTCGACGATGAGACGATGCGGCGGGATTCGATGCATGCGTTAATCAACGCACTCCCGGATCCCAACTATGCTACGCTTCGGGCGATAATGCTGCATCTACGAAGGGTGGAGCAATCATCAGAGGTTAACCGCATGAGCACTGCCAACCTCGGCATTTGTTGGGCGTAAGTTTATACTTGGCTGTCTTTGTGGTTCTGTCTAACGCTGCCAGACCGTCCATCATGGGCCCGCATCAAGGCAACAACATGGCAGACGCTGGGCTTCAAGCTCGCGTCATCATCACCATACTCGAAAACGTTCTTCAAATATTTGATGAGGATTAAGTTCAGCTCGATCTTCGTTGACAGTTTTGTTGGGAGGTCATACTCTTAGCTTCCGTTCAGGGAAACTTGGGAACACCAAAATTTACCGCTTGTGCTTCTATAGGCAAGACAGACACAGTCGCCGTTGGATTGTCCCATGAGCGCCGCGTCTCGTAGTTCTCAGGGTCAATTCCTCGAAGCGATATAAGCGTGGGAGAATGGTCTGCGCTTCTCATCACGGCTCAGTCAACGAATGCGGACCACAGTATCGAAACTCTCCTCTCAAACGTCGACGGCGCGAGCTTGGATAAGGTAGGACAGGGTTCGACACGTCCGGGTAGCCCAGTCGGCGCTGTCAGGTGCTGGAACATGTTGATCATTTCATCGTATCATGACGAAAATTTATTTATAAGACCAAGGGCTCTCAGGGGCTTTGGTGTAGTATATAATAAACATTATGAGTAGCACGTTCAAGTACGTCTATGCATAAATACCATATACTACCTTAGGTGGTGTTGTGGACATTGACGTGGTAGCCAAGGCGACTATGCTCGGTCCGAGCGGACCGCGGACAACGGCACGGCAGATCTTCGTGGGTGCCAACAGGGGGACGGTCAATCGGATGTGTTGGAATTGGGCCAAGGCGGTTCGCAACTTGGCAGCCTCTGCTTCTCGTCGTCTACGCCGAAAAGTAACTGAACACGTACAACTGGCTCTCACGAGATCAATCGCGAAGGACGCAAGTATCAGGTGGATCGATGTTGCATACCGTGCAACATGATCGAACAGGAACCACGTGAGAGGGACTCATGTTGGATGAAAAGTGCTTGCCCGCTCAACTCGCCAATAACGAGGGATTGCTGTTTCCGAAACACTGCATATGCTGCTTATCGTGCATGTCTCCCTCTACAGACGCTGTGACGTCAGGCTCAGGCGCTCCTCCAACAGCGATATTTACCCACGGCAGCAATCTCACGTCCCCACTGCATACGCAGACAGATACAGGCGTCTTTGCAATCAAATCACGCAACAGAGGCTTCTCTTATCGCAGGGATCCCGCCACGCAGTGCGGCGAAGCTTGTGCATGCTTGGTCAAAGCTTGATCCGCGGGTGTGGGGAACGGCACGGCTCGCCAATCACACCCGACCCTTGGCTATGCGCGCTCTGATGATTGCTCCTTCCGCTCGCAGCCTGCTGCACTTCCTTGATGAGGTAAGGCCCAATGTGAAGATGATCGACGAGCCCTCGTGCGCGTTCCCCGTCGGCTTGACGTACGGGGCGGAGTGCACTCGCCTTCCCAGCGGTCCGGAGAGCGAACCGCTCAGATGTGCGCTTATAAGAATAAGAATGGAGCCGTGGGCGAGCGTGGAGCGAGGTACTTCCTGCGAGCACGCTGTGTCCTTATCTCGGGGCGGTTGGCGCGTATACGCAAGCGGTCCACCCTGTGCGACTACCCGAAGCGTCTTATAACAATCCCGATTATTGTCGACGGATTTGCAAAACATTGTCTTGTCTCACCCTTCCCCTTATCCAATTACAATACTTACGTCGACTCGAATTGAGTCAAGATGGCAGACGTCGACGTGGAAACCGGGAAAGAGAAGGGCTATGTTTCGCCATCCGTCGGCTCCGGTCAGCACGGCTACGGCGAGACCGAGGTCTCGAAAGGGACCAGATGGGAGAACTTCAGGGATAGCTTCAAGAGAAATCCGAATGCACGCATGGCGACGGAGGCTGTCGATGAGGATGGGAGACCGCTAGAGGACCAGCCGCCTGCAGAGCCGGCCTTGAGTATGAAGCTCAAGGATAGGCATTTACAAATGATTGCTATCGGGGGGTCTATCGGTACGTTCTAACCCTCCGGAAGTGTAGAGGGTAAAATTGATTGAGTATCTGCAGGCACTGGGTTGTTTGTTGGGTCGGGTTCTGCGCTGGAAAGCGGTGGGCCTGCGTCTTTGATCTTGGCATATGGGCTCATCGGCATGATGCTGTTTTGCACAGTGCAGGCTCTAGGCGAACTGGCAGTTGCATTCCCAGTCGCGGGATCATTCGCAGTCTACGCTTCGCGTTTCTTGGACCCAGCGTGGGGTTTTGCAATGGCTTGGAAGTACGTTTTCTCACCCAGTGTCTACAGGTTCTGGCTAATGTTCTCCAGCTACGCACTTTCCTGGCTCGTGACGCTCCCGCTTGAAATCGTCGCTGCGTCCATCACACTCCGGTTCTGGAGCGGTGCAAGAGAGACGAACGCTGCTGCATGGGTCACCATCTTCCTCTTCGTCATCATCTCCATCAACTTGTTCGGTGTCAGGGGTTACGGGGAGGCAGAGTTCGTCTTCTCCATCATAAAGATTTTAGCTGTTATAGGCTTCATCATCCTTGGGATAATCATTGACACGGGTGGCATCCCCGGCGGTAATGGTTACCTCGGCGCGAAGTACTGGTGAGACAAAGTGAAGTGTCCTCCATTTGTGCGTCAGCTCACTCTTTCAGGTACACTCCCGGAGCTTTTAACAATGGCTTCAAGGGACTTTGTTCCGTGTTTGTGACTGCCGCGTTCTCATTCCAAGGAACGGAGTTGGTCGGATTATGCGCTGCTGAGACAGAGGATCCGCGCAAAACACTACCAAAGGCCGTAAAGCAGGTGTTCTGGAGAATCACGCTGGTATGAGAAACTCCGTGTAAAGACTCTCTAATTTGCAAATAGAAGCTCACCGCATCAGTTCTACATGGTCTCACTTACAATCGTTGGATGCTTGGTACCCTACGACGACCCGAAGCTCCTCGGTGCCAGCTCGACCGATGCAAATGCTTCACCTTTTGTGATCGCAGTGCGTAACGCCGGCGTCAACGTCGTCCCATCAATCATGAATGTGGTCATCCTCATCGCCGTCCTCTCAGTCGGTAACTCCTCGATCTACGGCTCCTCCCGCACAATCGCCGCCCTCGCGGACCGCGGCCAGGCCCCAAAGATCTTCGGCTACATCGATCGCTCCGGTCGGCCGCTCGTGGCCATACTCTTCTCTTCATTGTTCGGCTTCATCTCTTACATCGTGGCTGCTGGCTCCGACATCAGCGACCAAGCTTTCGCGTGGATGATGGCTATTTCCGGCCTTTCAGCCATCTTCAACTGGGGCTCCATCTGCCTCTGCCACATCCGCTTCCGCCAAGCGTGGAAACATAAAGGCCATACGCTCGACGAACTCGCCTTCCGCTCCCAGGCTACAGTCTACGGTTCCTGGGCGGGCCTCATCTTCAACGGGCTTGTTCTGATCGCGCAATTCTGGACGGGGTTTGCGCCCGTCGGCTACGCTGAGATGAGTACCACTGAGCTCGTCGAGAGCTGGTTCAAAGCCTATCTCGCATTCCCGATTGTGGCGTCTTGTTATATCGTCTTCAAGTTTGTGAAGAAGACAAAGTTTAAGAGGGTGCATGAGATTGATATTACGAGTGGGAGGAGGGAGATGGATTTGCCGGCTATTCTTGCGCAGGAGAGGGCGGAGGCGGCACAGTGGCCTAAATGGAAAAAGGTGTGGAATGTTATTTGCTGATGCGGGGAAGCTGGCTACTGCATGTCAGACATGACGTGGGTCCTTTTTCAGCAACTTCTTGTTTCGCTTTTGGGTGTAGATCAACGGTTTAGTAGAAAAATGTGAGAAGCTGAAATGGATTTACGAGGCTAACACATTACAAGTTTACACTGACCACGTTGTTGGCTGTATGCCGCATGTGATATGCAACGTGCATCTTAGCCAAGTTAGACACTTTGAATTAGCACAACCTATCCGTCAGCAAGGATGCATATATCAAAGCATGCAATCGTCCCTGCAATAGCTCCACACAATACCACTTCACCCACAGCCTCCCAAAATGCCAATCGACTTCCACCTCTCGCCCACCGAATCAGGCGTCCGCGCCTTGGCCCAATCTTTCGCCCGCGAAGTTCTCATCCCCTTTCGAACCTCTCCCTCCTCCTTGTCTCCCTCTCAGAAAGACCGCTTCGCCGGCACCCGGTCTCTCTACTCAGAAGCGGTGGCCCGCGGCCTCATCAAAGCCCAAATCGCGCCCCCGCTCGGCGGTACAGGCGGTTCTCTCGTCGAAGCAGCCTTGCTCGTGGAAGAGTGCTATGCGGCGGACCCAAGTGGGACTTCGTTGACTGTGTTTGGGACGGCACTAGGACTGTTGCCGTTGCAACTGGCTCCGGAGGCCGGCAAGTATGTTGAGTTCCTGAAGCCGTTTTTGGAAGCCGGAGAGGGAGATGCGCCACTCGCGAGCTTGGTGTTTAGTGAGCCTGGGGGAACGGCGAATTGGCTTGAGCGTGGGGCGCCGGGGATGAACACTACGGTGAGGAGGGAAGGGGAGGAGTGGGTGGTTGATGGGGAGAAGGTCTGGGGTACTAATTGCGCTGGGTGTAAGTATATCACCGGGTGCGAAGTGGATGCGATACGACAGAGGAACATTTCTTCTTCGCTTGCCTAAAACATGTACGAGCTATTCTGTTTGGGCTCAAACTGACTTTGTACCTGCGCCTTAGGGGACGACCGTGGAGCAGATCTTCAGGCTGTCGTGTGTCGCGACGTAACGACGCCTCCTCGCGAGGACGAAGATCCAAAGGCTAGGATCGTCATCGTCCTAGTAACCCGCGCAGATATCGCCCGCAACGGCGATGCCTCATTCCAGGTGGTGCAGCACATGTCTACGATGGGTCACAAATCCTACTCTGGCGCTCACGTCCGCTTTTCGAACCTACGCGTGCCGTCCAAGAACATTCTCTGTGGCCCCGGCCCTGAAGCAGTAGACGCCGTGCTATCCTCCTTTGACAACACAGGCGTACTCGTGGGCGCCATGGCGACAGGCGTCATGCGAGGGGCTTTCAATGCTGCCCTGGCGTTTGCAAAGTCAGATAGCCGCCGAGGCGCAACGCCGCTTCTTGAGCGCCAGGCTGTGGCAGACAAGCTGGGCGATATCAAGATGAAAGTTGAGGCTTGTAGAGCGCTCACTTGGAAAGCCGGGCATGCGCTGAGGAACGGACCGGGAGCGTATCAGGAGAGGAGGGAGTTGGCGCTTGCGACAAAGGTGTTCTGTAGCGAATCGGCGGTTAAGGCTGTTATTGATGCCATAGAAGTGGTGGGAGTGTAAGTGCCTTGACTGGACGTGTACATTGAGGCTCCGAAGTGGCTGCTGACAAGCTGTACAGAACTGCATACGACGATGCTCAGCCTTTCGCAGAACTCCTCAATACTGCGATGGCTTTACCCGTTTTCGATGGCGGGAATATCGCCATGAGACGAAGGCACATGCAAGAGATCATGCTGTCACCAGACTATGATCCGTGGGGCGCGACATTCGGTCAGCTTTGAGAGGACTCATAGTTAGGTGTTCTGTTCACGGCCCCCAGACGGAACGTGCCGGAAGCCTTTGCGGGAGCAGGTGGTGTTTGATAGGACCCGGTTTGCAGCCAAGTTGTCATCTTGAACGACGTCTTGGGAGGATACACGTGGGCGGACCGGATTCGGTCGACACTGCCTCCACTCTTTAGCTCATCCGGTTCTGCGGTTCAAGACGTTGGGTAGCAGTCACGACCCCAGTTGCCTCTATTAGCGAGGAGTAGTCTAGCGTTCTTTCCCTCGAGCTACCTACCTAATCTCAACATCATGCCCTCCTTTACCATTGTTGCGACTCCCTTTACTCTCCATCTCATGCGTCGCTGATCTCAAGACTTGCCGGTGAATATGCTCGGTCTAGTTTCGTGTTCCGGCCGAATTGCAAAATGGCTAGAGCCGCTTACCATTTACGTCAAGTCAGCCCGGTTCACAGCCCCCACTTGAGAAATGAAGGGGACGCGCCTTTGTAACAGAATGTCTACAACTCACAACCGTTAGCGTGCCTTATCGTGCCGCTTAGTCGATTTAACATTTAGGCCTACTCACACTTTAACATGCTGATCGAGGATCAATTTAGCGAGCATCTACCAGTCGCTTGAAGGTGGCACAACATCTTGTAGGCCCTATCCAATTCTTAAATGGGGACCTACGATCCAGAGTTACTTTTTCGTACGACAATCAATATATCAAAAGACCTGCTGTTCAACATTGAAAATTCAGCGATTACGGTATGCTCATCTCCACATCCTCTTCATACTCAGCCTCCGAAGCCAACTCACCACGGACTTCGAGGGCGCTAAACCCCGTCTAGCGAAAACGCTAAGGCATGCTTCGCACATTGAGCCCTCATCTTCAGCACGATTCCAAGACCTTGCGAATGGCCTTCGACTATTTGACGAACCATCGGCTGTGGTTGCGGGGCAAACAAGTCATGCCCACGAGAACTCGACTAGCGCCCACGAGGCGTACATTGTCGTATATCCAAGAATATGCGACCCGCAGCTGGCCTCAGTTCTAGGCAGCCCCAATGCGTCATATGCTCCTCTGAGTTGTTGGACGAATGGCTTGTTTGCTAGTTCTGGTAGGGCGCGCGAACGGTCAGGCCAGGAGCTGATCTCAAACGATGTGAGAGGCCCACGTTGGTTGTTAGGCTGAACGATGGTGTTGTTTAAAGAGTTGGAGGATCCCAGATCAAGAAGGTCTTGCTTGGGTGACCTCGAACCCGACAATCCGGACCACAGAGTAGATCAATATGTTCCTTCGCTGGTCAAAGCGCGAGCTCCCTCCTGCTTGTCCGCCTGTAGGCGAATGGAATGCGTGCGGCTCTGGCCCCAAGACCGACGAATGTTGCACAAAGGCAAATATCCCACCTGCCGCCTTCGAACTTCCTCTAGACGGAAACGACAGGCCTGCATACCTTTGGAGACGGAAACAAGAGCCAGAATTCTCCGTCACGAGCTTTTCGACACATCGAGCTGCATCCGCTACGAGAAACAATGTAGCTAGGAACACACCGAGCACGATAACGGACGAAACAACACCGTCTTCTTCTATGACCGCGACAGCTGCACCTTCCAACCGTCCCAGTGTCGCCGTCATAGCAGGAGCATCAGCCGGGGGCTTCGTCTTTCTCCTTCTCATCGGCATCGTAATCTTCTTCTGGCTCCACACGCAAAAGTCCCGCCGCCACCATCACCGCACTTTTGAGCGCCGGGTATCAGATCCCAGTGATGCCGGAGAGATGGCTCAGAAGCAACTTCTACGGGTCTCGATTGTAGCTGAGCGTAGGTCTCCTCGAATGAGTCTCTCTATAGCCCTGACCAATTCTGCAGCACAACCTCCACATGGAAGGCATCAACGCACAGCTTCACATATTTACATCTCACCAAGCACATCAACCGAACGCAGAGCTTCTCAGCACGCATCCCGAAGTATCGACGCTGATCCACAAACGTACCGCCACTACTCAGCTGAAGAGTTCCGCCTCCCCGAATCACCAATTACTTTTCTGGACGCTTGGAAGACGTCGCATCGCCCCAGTGTCACGCCTTCAGACCTCTGGCGCAAATCAATTGGTACCTTCGAGCTCGACAGTCCACTTACGCCAGAGCAGTACAGCGCGGCAACTTCGCGGAAAAGTTCCTCAGGGAATTCGTTAGAGGATGGGTCACGCAAAAGCTCACCGGAAAGTGCAGCGACACCACGAACAAGCTCGGTGGTGAGTTCTTTGGGGAGCGGGTCACGTAAAAGTTCTTTGGGAAGTGTATCTCCTGTCAGGCAGACGGTGCCTATACCTCCTCTTCCTCCACCAGCACCCGCGGCGGGGGTTTGGAATACGCATCGAAAGAGTCCGAGTTCCGGCGTTTTGTGATACCCGCGTGTTTATTCGCACCTTTTCCTTGTTAGATGATATGATGATTGTGAGAATAGCACCAAAGACCAAAATTTCACGATATCAACTTTCAGACACTGCAATAGTCTCTTGATCTTCGCATAAGCGGTTGATGACTTCCTACTTACAAGTCGTACACATCACTTCCTCAAACACTCCCGCCACTATGCCCCTGCCCCACCAAGCCCGCCATCTTTAACAACTCCCTATCCGCATCAACATCCCCCGTCCCTAGATTAATCCTCCGCCTCGCCTCCGCCTCTCTTTCCTGGAACGCCCACTCCTTCCTCTGCGCATCAGCCACCTCATCCCCTCCACAGCCCCAAACCTCCAAGCTATCAATCTCAAACCTATCCTGCCAATTCTTGCTCTTCCTCACGGGGAGCCGCGAAGGATGAAACGACCCACCACCCTCAGCCAGATGCGTAAACACGCCGAACTCGAGCGCGTCGTCGAGATGCAGACTCACCGGGCCAGGGCGGAAGATAGCGTGGCTGTGCGTGCTGGAGGAGGCGGATTGGCGTGGGACGGGCGTGCCTAGACCGAGACCCGAAGGGTGCGTCGGCGGGCGGTTGAAGTAGACGTAGTCTTCGCTGTAGCTAGACGCGTGGAAGACGTCGTGCACAGGAGAGAGTTGGAAGAGGACGGTGGAGGCGTCGCCGAAGCAGCCTTTGTGCGTGAGTTTCCACTGCGCGGGGATGTAGGCGCCGAATGTGATGATTTGATCCGATGAAGATGTGTCAGGGGTTACGGAGGAGGGGTATCGTTTTGGAGGCAGTGAGTCTGCGAATGCGCGTTCGCGCGTGCTGGAGGGCTCGGCGGGGAGGAGGCGGCCTGAGACGAGCAGGATGGTGGGGGCGCGCCAGTGGAAGGACTGCTTTTCGAAGGAGCCCATGCTAAAGCCGTGGGTGTTGCCGCTGTATAGTGGGCGCAGGCGGCGGAAGAGGTCACTGCCTCTGAGAAAGAAGGATAGCTGGCTTAGTGTTGTCAGGTCAAGGATTTCTCCCGGATCACGAAGGACAGGGTCAAGCACAGGCTTAGGTGCTGGTATTACTGGGTGCTTTTCGACGGTCGGGCTAGAGGAGCCGGGTTTCCGCTTGGAGAGATCGAAGTCTTTTGCGAAGAGAAAATGTTCGAAGAGGGGGTTCAGGCCGTTGAAGAGGTAGGGAAGGCACGAGGAGACGACAGTGTTGAAGGTTCGGTAAGTGATGCCGGGTTGTGTTGTCGAAACGCCGAAAGACGATAGGATGCCACTCGCTGTCCGTCTGAGGTTCTCCTTTCTCTCAGCCGTCAGCTCGCCCGTGAATGAAGACAGACTTTCTTGCGCGTCAATTGGCGCAATTAAAAGCAGAAGCTCGACGAGTTTCAGGAAGTTGTCCGTCGGAATGATAGAGTGACGCACGTCAGAGTGCTCGCCGTGCTTGAACACTTCGTCTGCGTCCATATAGTCCAAAGCTGCGAGGACAAGCTCGTCGTCCTCGTCATCCTCTCCGCCTTCCTCTGGGGCATCAATCGCGAAGCCTTGGCTCCCACCACCACCAGGCTGTGATTCTGGCTTCTCGTCTTGTCCAGTATCTCCATCATCCGGCCTCAGCCCCCTGTCATGCACTGCCAAACTTCGATACAGTTCCCTCAACCATAACTCCCTGTTTCTCTTCTTGATCACCGCGCCATATCTCTCCGTGAGTATTGTGACGACCTTCAGCAACGCTTCATACGTGAGTATCGCCGGGGCCTGGCTTGGGAACGGGAATGCGCCGAGGTAGCTGCTCATCTGAAATAGGATGGGTCCCACAGCTAGGGAATCGGGCAGCTCGAGGAAGCGACATAGCGTAGATTCGCTCCAGTACTTGACCCCAGATTCGGTATCGGCGAGCGACCGGAAGACCGAATTGAAGCAGTAGAGCTCAAGGGGCGTGTATGACTTTTGGGCGAAGCGTTGCGCGAGCTTGTGGTTGAGCTGCTCTGTCACGAGTTAGCTTGGCGCATGCAATGATGTTTGCCTGAAATGGTGGTAGATACAGATAGAGTGGAAAGAGAAGTGATAGGTGTACCGAGGGACAAGTGCGGAGCTTCTGCTGAGCCTCCCTGACCCATGTTGGCTAGACGTTAGCGATATGTGTGTTACAGAACTGTGTGTGATAAGTCGCGCTGGACGTTACTGGTGGGGTGAGTGTTGCTAAAAGTGACGCGCATCGGCATCCTGGGTGCCGATCCAAGCTTTGCCAACGCGCCATGGAGCATGCTGTACGACCCAAAAAGTTGCAAATAGAAAACAGGTCCAAACTTTTGATGAAGCCGTCAGTAGTTCGGAAATTGACCAATCGCTGGCCATGTGTCGAATGTAGTGGTTTATCATACATACTGTACATGCGGAGAGAGCGATCCCCCACAGGCTGTGCATACAAATACACGTCGAACGCCGCGACTTTCCTATGCTTTTCCAAACCAAGAAAACTGTTTAATACAGGGTGATCACTGCGATGCTTCCCACAGACATCCCCTCCCTTCTTTCCTGTTGGTCTCATCGTCTCTAGTATACCCTGCAGAGAGCCATACCACCCAATTTTCTCTCGACGCACTCTCGCGCCTCCAATATACCTCTGTCTGTAGTCAAAAACATGCACTCTCCCGGATGTGTCAATCCCTTCACGTATGCCGCCTCTCTTGTCCTCGTAATCCGGCCCAAGTCCTCGCTTGTCAACCATATCCTTCTTGTGGGCTTGCTAACCAGCTTCATATTCTTGAGCACGGGCTCGTTGTTCCAGAACTTCAATCCCAGCCACAGCCTTCGACGGGCCGGATTTTGTGGGACCTTCACATTGTACGATATTTCTCGACCACCTAGCAGATTGCCTGACTTTGCCTCCGCAGAGGGGTACGCAGCCCATGGCTCGGCGGCCAATTTCTGTGCCATGTCCGAGTGCTCCTCGGGGTCGATCTGATCCTGAAGCAGGAAAGGAGTAGGGGGTGTGGTGCCGCCGAGGGTCACGCTGGAGATGAAGCCTTCGCGCTGGAGACCGAGCATCAGGTTGACGTGCATCTTCGACACGGGTATCGACGTGAGCCCTAGGCGGGCTTTGGATGCATTCTGGAGGTGCGAGCACACGTGTGCAAGGTTGACGAGGGACATTGTGACGATGAAGTTTCGGTCGTAGAGTAGGGACGGAGACTGTGGCCCTCAAGGGGCAGTGGTGGAGGCGCGCTCGACGGAGTGGGAGGAAGGCGCGATAGAGCGGCGTGCGGCAAGCGATGCTGGGTCTTGGAGGCCGTCAATTCGCGGCGAGCTGGGTGGATGGCGTCGTGTGGTCGCTGGTCTGCTTGTCGCGGCCAAATTTCTCGGAGGTCCGCCAGCCTTGCAGTGGATCGGCAGAGAAAGCTTGGACCAGCCGCGTGGGAAAGCCCGAATGCACTGAAGCTCTGGGCACAGCGTTGGCGCTGACCCACGCATCGAGGGCGCGTAAAGCACGATCAAAATAGCATACAGCCTGGCCGTTGGCTGTCTGCGGGTATTGCGACTCAGCATCCTCTTGCTAGTATATATTGTGCCTCTGGCTTCGCTTCCTGTATACTCGTCTACTTCTCTTGCGTTCTATGTGATATAGTGACTTTGGTCGGGCACCTCTACCTATCCGAGGTCTGCAGACATCTTGACAGGGAAATGCCGCCACAACAAGGAGAAGTGTCTCTTTTGACACTGTGAGAGCTTTGCTCAGCCTCGAACACCCATAAGGACTAATGCCTATACAGCTTTGCAGATATACATTATTACTTCTCCCCTCCTACACACAGGACCCCGCACCATCGCTTCGACAAAGGCAGCTATGTCTACCTATATCACAACCCCATGCAGCAAAGCGGCCGGATAGAGGTCGCGAACCACGCCGGGACACCAGACCAGGATGCCTTTGCCGGAAGTAAGCGAAGCCATTGCACATTCCCAGGTGGGACAACAATGCTGACTACATGCAGACCTCGATACTGTTCGGATAGAGCAGACGTATAAGCATCCGTGCCTCTTCACCCTCACGGTAGATGCTTTCCGTAGCCAGAATGGAAGTGCAGCCTCCAGTCCTCAGCAAGATATATCGCAGTGGCATCTACCCACCCCTGACCCGCAGAACAATGGCAAATACATGTATCGTCTAACCGCTGTCGATATATACTTCTGGACGCCCGACGATGCATCACTGTTCCTGGATTCTGTTAGACGGGTCGTCCAGCCTCAGCAACTTCAGATCCTAGCCAACCCTCAAGCGTTGCCAGCGCAACCCGACTACAAAAGCGATCCCATGAATCCAGTGGTAGCAAAGCTCGAACGGGCAGCCATATCGCATTCAAGCCGCAGTCCCAGTCTTAATCTGAATACCCAGCAATCCTTCCCAGGTCCTCCTACAGCTCCAGCACCCACGTCAAGCCCGCCGGCGGCAGATGCAAATACCCACTACGCACCAATGGCTTACAATCCTGCCGCGCCAGCAGCCCCAGAACCCATCGCCCACCGCGAAAAGACACCTCCGCCTCCAGATGCCGCGGACGGCACCGGCCTAAATGCGGCAGCATATAACGAGCACCAACATGCGCAGCAGTATGGGAACCCATTGCAGGCATCTTTCGCACCACAACCGACGTCCGGACCATATGTACCTGGACCACCATCACGAACATCCACGTTCTCCGGCCCACCGCAGCATCCGGGAGTCCAGAGGACGAGCACTGTGGGATCTATTCCGCCTCCACCACAAAGTCCGCCGTCCTTCGCACCACCGCCCGCTGGTCCACCACCTGGCCAGGCTCCTACACAGCAATTCGCAAACTATTCCGGATCTCCTGGCCACGCACCCAGCGTGCAATCGCCCGGTGCACCTACACAGTCACCTCTACCATCGCCAGGCTATGCACCGCAACAATATCAGCCGATGGCGTCGCCACCACCTGGAGGGTACGCGCAGTACCAATATGGTAGCACGACACAGCAGCAACCGGGTGTCGATCCATATGCTTTGCACCAGCAACTATACAAACCCACCGAGCAGGAAGCGCAGATAAAGCATCATGCGCCGTCCGAACCGCAGGCGAAGAGCAATATGGGGAAGAGGGCAGAGAAATTGGAGAAGGGGATTGGTGGGTTTCTGAAGAAATTGGACAAGAAGTTCTAGGTGGCTCTATGTTCAGGGTTGAATATAAAGGAGATTTACCGTGTAAAGCGAGATTAACCAGCGGCGTGGTGTATTTCGTTGAAGGATCAACTACAACAAAGTACTTCGCCTCATGCGTACAGGAAGACGTGCAGGAAACGTGATGGCAGATGCATGTGATGGAGTCTTGATCGCAAACCGCGCGCCGTAGAATTAAGCGCCCAAAAATAGCCCCGTAGGCGCTGCGGCGGTTCCTTCGGTGACAGTCCCCAGAATTGGCTTGCTTCCGAGACTCGGCGCTAGGCGAGTACGCTTCGTTACGGCTGACAAGATACAACAGTCGACCTTGGGCCCTCGCAATCTCACTGTATCGGTGGCAAACCCGTCAATTGACTGCTTCTTTACGCTCTTCAGATCTAGAGCCGCTAGGGGGCCAACGAGCGCTACGAGTGACGATATCCAAACGGCAGTGCAGGGACAGGCCGGCCGCTGCGCATCAGCCACCGCCAACTTCCCTGTTTATGCTCAGATCCTAGTGCGTCCTGTGCCAGGCACACCTCAGCCCCAGCTTGCGGAGAAGACGCTCGACAATCTTTTGCTGCTTATTCTTTGCCTTTGTACATAGCTACTTGGCGAATGCGACTTCTCCGAGACAGCACCTGGCGAACTCGAGCGTCCTTGCACATTCCGTGCTACGAGCCCTACGACCGGTCCCACGCGCGCGGGCACGTTCCTAGTTCGACTGCGGATCCAGAAAACGGGGAGCCGCGGGAGTGACCTCACTCCGTTTCAAACTCCTACAGCAGAAAAGTCGGACGGAGAGCAAAAGCAGAGGGGAATTGTTCGTCGCATAGGACGACATTATGCGGATTCCAGCGCCAACGGCGCGGGAAGGCGCGATGGAGCGGCGATCGATGAGCAAGTCGCAGAGGAATCTCTGGGTGGTACGACGACCGATTCCATATCCCACCAGCCTTGTGTGCTCCCTCGCATACCATGTCTGCTCGCCGCACACACTATGAGATGCTAACAGCAACCCAGATTGCAATAATCGTCATCATAATCTTCGTCATCCTCCTCGTCACCTACCTTCTCACCCGCAAGCTCCGCCGCCAATCAGGTGTGCCTACCCGAAAACCCAAGGACAAACTCCCCTCGCTCTTTTCATGGAAGAACTTAAGAATACGGCCGCGCCGCAACGAGTATTCTACAAGCCTACAAGACCAGGATGCCGGGAGGAATAGCAATGCGGGGACAAATCGCGATCGCGAGATGACCGGGAGCGTGTCCGTTGCGAATGATCCGGAAAGACAGTCCTTGGCCCAGAACAGCAATACCAATGCGAACGCTGGCGTGGACCGCAATACCTCGGTCCGTAGCGTAATGACGCTCCCCCCATATGCCCCCGCTGCGCGAGAAAACGAGCAGGTCCTGGGAAGGGAAGGCGAGAGAGGAGGCATTGACACCGTCGTCGAATTCCCTGAAGACATCGACGAAGAAGAATCCCGTCGGGAAGGCGAAATGGAGTCCCTCTACCAGATCCGGCTTGCCCGCCGCCAAGAGGCGCGCGACCGCGAAGAGCGACGGCAAGCACGTAGGGAAGCACGACAACGCGGCGACTATGAGGCTCTTGCAGAGATCAGGAGGAGGGCGGAACAGGCAGCCGACGAATCCGTCAGCGCGCTGCTTATTGCGACCCATCAAACCTCCAACCGCGATCGTCGCGTTTCCTCCGTGCAGTACGGTGATCTAGGTGTTGCAAGGCATGACGGAACAAGGCTGAGAGCGAACTCGACGGACAGCGATAACCGACCTCTACTTGATAGCGCCGCGTCGTTTGGAAGCAGTGGACGGGCGAGGGGCATGTCAAGTACGACATTAAGTACGCATCAGCGAGGACTATCGGCGTCATCTTTACGATCTGTCTCGACAGGCCGCGCATCTGAAGAGTACGAATTCCCTCCTGAGGCCACGACCACTCACCGCTCCAACTCCGACGACTTCGAGGTTGTCTCGCTGTCGCACCCACAATCTAACTCTAACCCGCATTCGAGAAATCTGAGCAGAGTCACGACACCCAATCCAGCCCCTAGCATCGAAATACCAAACGAGGATGCGCCCGCGTACGAAGACCCGCCGATATACGAAAGCCCGATTGCGACGAGGGCGCCGCAATTACCTGGTGCGCCGCAACTGCCCACACTAGAGCGTTTACCAAGTATACATATTACACCCGAGCCGACACCCCTTGACGGCAGGGAGCCATTGAGGGACTATTCGCCGGCATCTAGGTAACACATTTCTAGATCAGATATTGTTTCATTTGACTGTACCTAATAGCGTTCCTTGATCTTTTGGCATATCCGCTTGGATAATGCCCAATGCGTTGGAGTTGTACATGCCATACACGACGTTATGCAGCCACCTTTCTGTCGCTAGCTCGCTATATGTTGGGAAAGAGGCGTCTTTTTGACTGAACATATTTGGCAGATGAGCAGGCAGCTTTGTCGTCATCTTTATTGTATATGTCATAATGCATCAATATATTCAAGGTAGCCGCCGAGGCGCCGACATCACCAAGTTACTCTCTTTGCACGACATGAATGATGAGCCAAATCAAAGTGATATAATTGTGCACGCCGGAGCTCGAAGCTACTCAACGCCAAAACGCTCGCTTCCGATAGAGCGAGCCGATTCCTGGAATACCCATGTGCCCGACCGCGAAGAAAAAAGGCGGCAATTTTACACGAAGCTTGAAAAAGGAGAAGAATCAGCGCAGAGGGGACCCAGAATGGGATTCCTCCACTCTCCGCACCTTCCCCAAGACTATGGGGCGTGCGAGCTTTGCTGCCAGACTCGAGAAGATATCTACCTCTTCCTCTTCTTCGCCTTCTCCTCCTCTTCTGCATGTCCGCTCTCGCGATCCTTCCTCGCCGCCTTCTTCTCGAGCTCATCCCAGTCCTCACCCTCCGAGAACTCATCTTCGCTTCCCTCATCACTCATCTCATCAGACGCATTCTCATCAAAATCGCTCTCATCTTCACTACTCTCATCGCTCTGCGCGAGTTCATCCTCGGACACCTCAAAGGCGCTCTCCTCTTCCTCCTCTTCTTCCTCGTCGTCAGATTCTGTGGAAAGGAACGACCAACCTCCGTCCACGAAGAACTGGTGCGGGTCGCTGGTCACGGTCTTCATGATGGTGGCCCAGTTGAGGTTGAGCGGGCCCTCTGAGAAGGGGATATCGACGCTGTCGAGCCAATCTTTAACGGGGTCGAGCGATTCCACCGGAATGGTATTAATGTGCACGGGCGTGCGATTGTAGTCCTTGAAAACGACGACCATGTCGAAGTTGCGCAGGCCGAACTGCACGCGCTCGAGATGCACGATTTCGATCTCGCTGAGCGTGATGCAGGTGAAGGGGGGCTCGGTCAACTGCACCAAGCAGTCGGTGGTGGGCTGAATCAGAACGGAGGATCGAGATGGCACACCGTTGAAGCCGAGCTCGCGGTAGGGGATGTCGACGCTGACGTTCTCGTTGCGCGCTGCGTCGGCGATCTTCTCTGCGAAGTTCTTGAACTCCTTGTCGAGGGCTGCACGCTGCCTTCGCTCTGCTTGCTCTTGCTCGAACTCCTCTTCATCGCCGTAGCCCTTGTGCTTGCGCTTTGCGCGCGCACCCGTCTCGTCGAATTGGATGTCTGTGGCGTCGCGAACGAATTGGACATCCTTGGTTTTCTTCTTGCCAACCATGATGGGATTCTTGAGGTGCACGTGGATGATCACGATGAGTTCGTGTTGCGAGGGCTGGAAAAAGAGATGTTTGACGTTGCTGAACAGAACATCGACTTTCACGCCGCCGGCACCGTGGGCATAGCGGAGACCATTTTGGTGAATCTCGACTGAACCTGGGATACGCTTGCCGTCGAGGGCAGGTCGAAGGAAGATCATGTCGAGAATGAAAGGTTTTCGGTCTATAGATGTTAGTCCAACGACTGAGGAAGGCAAAAGGATTCTTACTCTTGATAGGTACAAGCTTGTCCTGCTCAACCACGTCTTCCATCTGCTTCTTTTCCTGTTCTCGGCGGACAACATCCTTCTTGAGCTCGGTAATGTCCTTGGTAATCTGTTCAATACGATCGATGTCGTGCGAGCGGAAGGTCAGACTGCGGATGAAGTGTGCATTTGGATCTTCAAAAGGCTGATCGTCTTTCCGGCCAACACCTTGACCCGGCGATAAGAAGTTGACACGAAGGGAGGTAAAGTCAGCTTCCGGGGTGTGGGAAGCATTCTTAATGGTATGAATGTGAAAAGGAACTGGCCGACCCATGATGGGAAGGATGACCGTGAGGCTCTTCTTATCGACAACGATCTCCAGTCTGGCGACCGAAGTTGGCAGCTGATTGTCTCGCTTGTATGACTCGAATTTTTTGAATTTCTTCTCTTCGGTGCCGTTGAGAGCTTTAGCATCCTCGCCGTACTCTTCTAGACCAGCTTGCTGCTTTTTCTGGTGGAGCTCCTTTTGATGCTCTCGCCGCTGCGCCTCCTTCTCAGCATCGTTGTTGGTAGGTCGTTCATGTCGCGTTCGGGTCTTGGTGATATTTGTCTGCGCAATAGCTGGTCGTGACTCTTTCTTCACCTTTGGCTTCTTCTCTTCCTCTTCCTCGTCATTGAAAAAGAATGAGATGCTTTCAAGGTCGGATGCCGTGTCCTTGGTAAAAACGGCGCAGTCGGTAGGACCGACACGGACTGTGTCAACCAAGACCAACGAGTAAGTCTTGCTCTTCTTGTCCTGAGGTTTGGTGTTCTCCAGATCCTGCAAGCTAGTGCTGATGACCAAGGTCATACCGTCTTTGAGAACACGGGTGTTTTTGCCGCTCAAAAGAAGTGCCGTATCCTTGTTCTCGGTTCCGATGCCGTAGCCAACATTCTTTGGGAAATGCTTCTCGTACTCCGGCTTCTTTTTCTTCAAATGTTCCAAAGCCTTGCTGTACACGTCCTTTGCCACGACGCCATCCTTTATCGATTTGATAATCAAATCGTGCACCGAGAGAAGAATCTTGTAGGCTGTCTCCTGCTCGCGATTCGGATCCACCATGAACGTGCGCGCAATCAGGGCACCATATGTGTGGTAGCGGAGACCGAGCGCGGAAACGATGACACCGGCGTGCAGGTTGTTGTCGTCGGGTTCAGCATTGAACTTCAGGTCGTAGCCTCCGCCACTTTGCACGGTGGGTTGCAGGCACCAATCCAGCTGCATGTTGTCGAAATTCTTCGAGACCTTCTGCTTTTCGAAAAACTTCTGGTCGTCGATCTTGTTGGTGATCTTGTCGGAGAACGCCCTGTGCGATACTTTCTTCTCGGAATCGAGGATTTCGGACATTTCTTCGACGAAGTAGTTGCTCATAACGGCGCTCGATGCTCGCGACGCATCGCGGATAAGTCGCTGGGAAATCGTCAGTAGTTGTAGATCTCATCAGTATACTCGAAACGTACCAACTCCTTCGCATCTTTAATAGACATGGCTGCCTGCGAGAGGATAGGGCCGAGCTCGATCTGGTCCTCGTCTTTGATGCCAGATTCTCCAAACGCCGCTTTCCACTCATCCGCGAAGCCGCCGGTCGCGTTGTCCTTCTTGAGCACTGCGACCTTCTTGCCCGCCTTCTTCATGATGTCCAAGCATTTTTCGAACTGCTTCTTGTTCTCCTCCGCATCTTTGCCCCTAACGAGGATCTCGATGGGGATCTTGCCACCCTTCAGAGGCTCGAGATATGACGCTGGACGATATGTTAGCATTCCAAGCACGAGAATTGCTGCCCGTCCAGATCAAATATCCTGACGCCCAAACTTCTGATCCGACGCTTTACGTACCCTTCTTCTTGGTAGTGACGATCTGAAAGAGATCAGGTGTGATGACGAACAGGGTTGCGGGGAACTCGTAGCCTAACAGCCATAGCTATGCGACAGCTGTCAGTTCAAACCTAAACATTCCTCAGTTTGCGCAATCATACCTGAAAAGCAGCAGGCTTCAGGTAGCTGCCTGGATCGCTCGCCTTGCCCACGACCGTCGCGATCGAACCTGCGCCCTGGAAAATCTGATCACCACCGCGCTTGTCCGTCTTCCACTTGGAGATGAAGTTGCCCAAGCGCTCATGGAACAGGTCCTTGTCGATGACAATGTCGTCGGCCATGATGAAGGCGGGGACTGACAAAGCCTTCGCGGTTGACTGCGACGCTGAGTGTGGGGTGGGAGACAAGAACGCGCTGATGAGAAAGTCGCCGTCGCGAGGTCCAAGTTCAACGCGTGAGAGGTCTTGGCACCGCTCAAGCGCGCTTCGTGAACAGACGCCAGCTCCACTTCGAGTTCCGCATCCTGTTCCGAAGTTCAGCCTCTTCCGAAGTTCAGCCTCTTCCGAGCGAAGGTCATCCCGAATTCACCGGTGACGCGCCCGCGTGCAGCCGTTGCTTGCCTTTACTTTCGCAGCTGCCCTCGCTCTTAGATGAATCTGCAGCGCGCTCTTACTTATCGTGATATGCGATGACCACAGCCTCCACTCCTCGCGCCGGAGGAGTCGTTCCCCGCAATGATGGAACCAACAACGATGGCCAGGGTCCAAATAAAGCGCCCGCAACGGGTGCGCAAGCTGCTGGTATGAGGGTAATTGCGGCGCGCGTTGTGGCATTCTATTTTCGAGCGCCAGTAAAGGCCTTTTTCAGAGGCCGCATTGACTACATGGGCTATGCGCGAGCCATCAATCCGCATTTTCAAGAGACGGCCAAATGGACATGGCGGATGACTACTCCAGCAGTGCTTTGGCATGCAATACGGACAGAAGGATGGAGCTTCATACCGAATCAAGTCATGCCTCCCTTGATCGCAAATACCTTGTATGCCACCGTTCTAAGCAAGTGAGCGTCAGACGTACTGATCGGATGCAGCATTGGTGCGGTTCTGTACACAACCTACCTCCACAGCCTATCGAGCCTACATACACCGTCTTCATACCAAACAAAGCGAACATATCCCCCGCCCTCATTTCAGACCACCTTCACCGCTGGCTTGATCGCTGGCGGTGTTCAGTCCACCCTCGCAGCACCCTTTGACGCCCTTCAAGTCCGCTTCCGAACCTCGGACATTCTTGAAGGCAAATATAAGACAATGTGGCACTATTCTTGGCACAAGCTGCAATCTATTGGAATACGCGGCATCTTCGGCGGTTTTGGTCTCAGTTTGATCAAGGACTCCGTCGGCGCAGCCTTCTTCTTCGGCACTTTTGAGACGGTCAAGAGCCAGGCCTACTATGCCTACATAACCCACTACTACGGCAGCCGCACACGAGAGGCCCTTCTAGAATCTCGAGCCCTTTACATTGACGAAAATGACGGCCGCCCAGTCATTAAACCCCATTATGCACTCGAACCCAGTTTCCTCCTTCTAGCAGGCATCTCCGCATCCTTGACCTCGCAGGTCATTCAGCATCCACTGTCAGAACTTCAAGACGTGCACTATCGTCGCCTGGAAGCGCTTGACTTCCAAGCCCACCAAGAGTCGAAGCCTTCAGGAATCATGAGACGGTATTACCACGCGTACGAAGAGACATTCAGACAGTGCAAGAAGCTATCAGAGATGCATGGAGGCTGGCGGCGGTACCTCTATCGAGGCTTCTGGATGAGCACGATCAAGCAGATGCCGAGTACAAGCGCAGGGCTGATCGTGTTTGAGCTTGTACGGAGGAAATATGCGTTCGATACCGAAGAGGTCATAATAAGTCACGAAGGGGCGCATATCCTCTTGACGTAAGAAAGAGGAAGACACATTGTAACATTACTGTTGAAGATACCCAAGCCACATAGAGGCTTCCGGTCATGCACCGTCAGCGCGCATCGCATGGCATATACTATAGACTTAGACTCTTGCCCAGCAACACTTGCTGTAGAATACAGACACCTTGCTCCAACGCTAAGTCTCAGCGTCATGAAACGTTCCTCGCTACAACTTCATCGAACTTACTGGCCGGTCAAAGGAACTGCTCAAAAGCATGACTATAAACTCGGAAAGCCAAACCGCACCACCCCCAAATCCAAAGTGACACAGATCGCACCTTACAGATACCTCACCATGTTTCCACCAATCCACCTGCACATTCCATCCGTCCATCCCCATTCCCACTCTCCCCTCGCCTGCTGCCACCCCTCCCAATATGCCATCAACAAGTACCACGCCCCTGTACCCCAAAATATCGGCGAAGCAAACGGGTTCTTGGACCAATGTCGATGCGCACCGCTGGTTGGCTCGGTGGGTTGCGTGACGTTGCCAGGGCCTGTATGTGTCGCATTCCCGGGTATTGTGTCTGAGGGAATGGGGGAAGAGGGTGATGGAGAAGGTGGGTCTGTTGTGTCGCCTAACTCAGGGATTGAGCTGGGTTCTGTAGAAGTGCTGATAGGAGTTTTGGTGGTGTGGGGCGTGAATGATGGAAGCGGTTTGTCTTCTGTGAAAGGCGGACGTGGGTGTGGATGCGGATCGAATCCGAATGTTGGCTTGCCGTTTTCTGTGTCAGTGGTCGTCATCACGTCGCTGTTGGTAGACATTGGCTCCTCTTGCGCCATGAACTTGGACACGAAATCTTCTTTCTCGGTCAGGGGATTGTGCACGGAGAGGTAGGGATATTGCCGCTTGTTCTTGGAAGACTCCAAGTCGGACTTGTGAGAGAAGCCTTGCACCTGCTCTATCTCGGAGGAATTGTGAAGGTGGTATCCAGTAGATCTCCCCCATATAAACGGGGGCCGAATCCAACGGAGGATGTTCCGCATGTCAGCGGCTTGAGAGGCATGCTTTTGCTGGCGTATAGCTATCTCGCTCTCGGTTCTGGCTGGCTTGTCGACGTGAGTTGTCTGATCTTCTGTTGGTGTCGGCCCTTCAGTGCTTGTCGGTGTGTCTATCTGGTTGTTAGGCACTCGTTCACTTAAGCGCGAGTGAAGTCCATCGATGTACGAGTTATATGATGCCCATGCCTCCGAGCTCTCGGCCAGGACTTGCGACAGATCGTGGGACTTGCCTGTGTCGTCGCTTGAGAACATGGTGGTAATCGTTGAGGTGTCGTCAATAGTCGCGGTAGTAGCTCCAGGAGTGATTGTATACTTGTTGGAGATATTCGATTCAGAGGCAGGATCTGTGGTAGGAGGGTCTTCTGTGACAGTACTAAACGTACTTCTAGAAGCAGAAGTGCGGTCCAATGTAGGATTGTCATCCGTTCCTGTTGTCACGATCGAACTTGGCCCGTTCTTAGCAGATGAAGTCGATGTGTCTTCTGGAGAATTCTGTAAATCAGGAGTAGTGGTTTCGCTTGGTTTGCCTGTCGAGGTTATCTCCGGCCTATGTGACTTCGTGGATTTATTCGTTGGCTCCGTGATCGTCCTTGCAGTGTCTGTCGCAGTGTTGTTTGTATCCTCCGGCGTGGTCGTTTGCTGTGGCTCTCCGCCTTCGCTCGTATGTTTAATTTTACTCGTATGCGTATTGACCGGTGTTTCTGTAGGCTCATTTGCATCTGTGGAAGCTTGTAAGTGCGAGGCACTGCTCTCCAACTCGCTGCTAACAGTTTTGCAGAAGTCTGTCGCGTTATCCGTCAGGATCGGAACCGTAACGTCGTAGCCGTTGACTGAGAGGACCATGGTAAAGTATGAGAGTTCTTTTGGTAGGTCATCAGAATCGCGGCTGGCCCTTGGCTGATTTGACACAGGGCTATTTTTGGACGATCGCTTTACTACATCAGCGGCACTTGCTGCGATGGACTGAGCTTTGGAGAATCCGGGAGCGAGTACTTCGTTTTGTTCGATAGCATCATGTTTGAAAATGCGTGTGTAGGTTTTGGTGTCGACAATAGGCTGAGTTACACTTGAGGGCTTGAGACGTGTAGTGTATACGATTCCTATATCAGCGAGCCCGAGACTCCCTGAAGCCAGGTATAAGACAAGTGTGAGGCGCATCATTAACAGGAGGTGGTTTGCTCGAAGGAGAGTTTCTCATATTATGGTAAAGTATTCATTGATACCGAGATGGGCAAGCTCTTTTGTCTTCAAGGCTTGAATGCTAGAGACAAACAACATATGGTAGATGTGATTCATCTAGATTCCATGTTCAACTACGTGAAATATTTAGCTATCTATATACGCAATCCAAGAGATAAAAGAAATGGAAGTTCGTGAGTGACTGACGATGATGCGTTAAGTTCAAAAGTCTGGCAACTCAAGCAAACTTGGGAGGGGACGGCTGCGGGGACGCGTTCTAGTTATTGTGCCGATAACGTGTGCGACTGAGGTTATTCGAATGGTAGTCGTAGGCTCGGGTCTAAATCAGTGATTAGAGATGATGTTGGGTGCATGCTAGAGAATGCTCACCGAGGCGACTTATACTTTACGTATTTCGTGATGTATAGGGTAGATGTGCCCAGTTCGCTCGTCACCAATGGAACGCTTGTTTCCACCGTATCACTTGGTTCGTTCGGTCGCGTAACGAGCTTCTTCTTTTTACTCGTACTCTCCGTCTCAACACCAGTTTCCAGCAAAAGCGTTGTCGACAGGTCTATGGTTTCCACCGTGTCTGTTATGACCGCCGTCATTGTCTCAACTATAAGCGTACCAGGACCGGTAACAGTGGTAGTCAACTGCACGTTACGATGCGTTGTGAAAGTCTTTGTGACTACAACGACTTCCCACACTTCCTGGTAGTGAATACACTCCAAGCTCTCGTCTTCCTGGACTGTGCACACCTTGATGTCCACTTCAGATGGCGCTTCTCCCGCCGTCAAAGATTGCCACGGCGCAACCCAATATGTTGTCATTCTCTTTACCGTTGGAGCAGGCGTGATCAGTGATAAGTTCGATGTCACTGGTGAGGGGGTCTCCAATGTGAACCCACATTCGCTCGAGAAGGTGATTTCTTGATCACATTCTGACACTATGATCTTCGACGCGATTCCAGTGAGCGTCGTGGCGCAGACAGTGGCCTCGGTCGGTACGTAGACCGTCTCGCAGCGCCCTGTGCCTGCGGAGACGACTTCGTATTCAGTAGAGTGGTTGAGATACGGCGCTTTCGTCGTCACTGGCGCAAAGGCGACGGGTGGTCCGACGCACCATGTCATCTCTGGAAGATACGAGGTAACGACCTGGCTTTGACTTGTGATTTCAATCGCCGAAGCATCTGGTGAGGGATACAGCAAGCTGTATATCGAACGTGTTGGCACCGGACATTGCTCTGAGATGGTACGATCGAATATGAGGGGATCAAGTTTCTCGACTCGTTCGTAATGCTGATCTGACGCGTCTATTGCTTCGTGTCGAAAGCCGTTACCCCTTGCTGTTATACCTCGGAAACGGGCTATCGCGAGGAGTGTAGTGAGGATATGCGGGAACATCGGCATTGCGGTGGTTGATGCAAAGGATCAAGCAGCTCTTCGAAGAAGCAAAACTGCCACGCTCAAAAGCGCGTCATGCTCCTTGAGCCATGGGAAATGACTTCCACATGCCGTGCTCATGTTGCTGGTCGCTCCCGGAATGTTGGGGCTCGCTTCCAGATTTGGATATATGTTCCCTTACTTGGCTCCCAAGAGGTCGGATCGATACTTTTGACATCGTTCGACCCAGAATACTTTCTAGGGAACAGGTCGCGCATCAAGGGGGCATTGTCGTCATCTCTGTTACTGCGTATAGCAGAACCTGAGAATCTAGTCTGACTTCTGGAGTTGATTTCCCTGCAACAGATACGCTAGGATTAACTCCATAATGGAAGGTCGCCAGGAATCCATGTTGTTGATGGTTGGGAGCACGATCTCATGCGGCGCTAGCTTTTCCGCGCGATGTCGGCTTTTCCGCAGCCACGCCTTCCGAAGCGCTGACAACCGATCAATTCGAGCATGCTTGAAGCGGGAAGCAACCATGCGAGCAGCGTAAAATATCCAAATGTTACTTGAAGCTTCCCAGATCGCTTACAAATGGAGTTGTGATCACATCACCCCGCAGTCGCAATCCCTCCTATAAACAGCGGCCGCCTTATGTCTTTGCCGCGGACGATGGCCCGCAACCCAACATGTCTCTACGCGTTTTGCAACTCTCACGGATCATCACACCTCATACACGTGGCTCCAAACGTCTATTGATCCGTACAATGGCTTCTCAAACCCCTGCAAAACTTGCTATACTCGATGATTACCATAATATCGCAGCACAGCATTTCTCCACTATTGACTCTTCCAAGCTTGAGATCACCACTTTCAATGACACGCTACCCTCATATACGCATCCTAAAACCAACGATGCCGACCGCAAGCAACTCGAGAACCGTCTACGGCCCTTCTCGATTCTCTCGACCATGCGCGAACGAACCCCGCTCCCTGGCGACCTCCTTCGCAAGCTACCAAATTTGAAAGTCATATTTGCTACAGGAACACAGTTTGAAACATTCGACAAAGAAGCTATGAAGGAGCTAGGCATTCAATTGGTTGCTGCGCCAGGGAAGGGGAGAACCGACGGGAAAGGCAGTGGGCCATCGGCTCGAGCGAAGATGAATATCAAAAAGGGTGGAGGGCATCCTACCACACAGCATGCGTGGGCGATGATATTGGCTCTGGCACGCAATATTGCAGCGGATGATGCCGTAATCAAAGGTAAAGGAGTAGCTGCAGGGTGGCAAACCGATCTGGCTATCGGGCTACAGGGCAAAACTCTCGGTATGGTTGGATTTGGGAGGATAGGTGCGCTTGTGGCGAGAGTAGGGCTGCTAGCTTGGGGTATGAAGATTGTATGTTGGAGCGCCAATTTGACGCAAGAGAAGGCGGATCAATTGGCGGAAGACGTAGGACTACCGGCCGTGGGAGGAGGTATTGCCGCAGAAGACGAGCCTACATTCAATGTCGTCGGAAAAGAAGAGCTTTTTAAGAAATCTGATTGCATCAGCTTGCATTACGTTCTGAGCGCCCGATCGCGAGGTATTGTTGGTGCACAAGAGCTAGGGTGGATGAAACCGTCCGGGCTTTTGATCAACACATCGAGGGGGCCGCTCATTGACGAAACTGCTTTGCTGGACGTTCTTCGTAATGGTCGCATACGGGGCGTTGCTCTTGACGTATTCGATATCGAACCTCTTCCCTCAGATAGCCCGTGGAGGACTGAGAACTGGGATGAAGAGGGCAAGAGCAGGGTCCTTCTGACCCCGCATATGGGCTACGTCGAAGAAAGTACAATGCGAACATGGTACGAAGAGACAGCGGAGAATGTAGAGCGGTATGTCGACGGCAAGGATTTGCTACACCGCCTTATATAATCGTCCTCTATGGACCATAATGCGAAGACCAAGTCTCACCTGGTACCTAAATGATGTCTCCACATACATTGCAAAGCCTGAACAGTGAAATGGGAACATTAACAACAGTCAATTTAGACTCAGCCTTGCGCGGAATTTGATACGGAATTACAAACGGACTTTGTGGGGCGACGCTGTGTGTATCCATCGAAAGGATGATATCGAGAAAAGTATACACGTCCTGCTCACGAAGAGGATACACCAAGTTGCGAGTAGAGTACTCGTTTGGCTTGGAAACGACAAAGAAAGCGAACAGGTCATTTAAAACTTACGCAGTATTGCACGAATGTGTGTGATGACGTCTTACAATTCTGTCGCTGTTAATCACTTCACCTTCATTGTCAGCACATCCAGGAGCAATCCTTACGCCAGTCGAAGATGGATAATATATCAAACACCAACATAATGCTTTACTGTGGCAAGATAAAGATTTTGTGGACACGGCTCGTGTTCATCAGAACGCTAGAATGGTTTCTGCAAGCCCCCCTCCTCAGCACTCATTGTCCTCCAATGCTATTCCGCTGCCATCCACCTCTGGCAAATTCGAGCACACGGGGGTCCCATTCGCGGCAGCCACACATCTACACCCGAACCTGGCATCCTGGATCTACTCGTAGCATTCGACTATGCAGACTGCATTGATCCGCGAGTTCGCTTGTATGGGGAAAGTCGAAAACTGCTGCCCTATTCCCAAATTGTATCATGGGGAACTCAGGGCACGATGCGGTGTTCGAAATTCGGACTAAACCTATGTCTCGGTATGACATGGCAGTGGAATGTTCTATACAAGTTAGTTGATGGGACATAGCACGCTTTTCGATTGTAATGCATGTATCTCGAACACTAGTAGTCAAAAACAAAAGTCCTGTATGTACTCAATCAGTGTACGGAGGCACTACCTCCGGTGCCATATTGACTATAGCCGGAGGATCTACTCTAGCGACAGTCATGCGCGTAAGCCGCATACTGGGGCGTTCGGAATGTTTTTCAGCAAAAGCACATGGCAGATGATAACAGCTGATTATGGGCTATATACCGAACGTGGCTTCATCAATCTTCAAACATGGCTTCTGTCGAAGCGCAGTGAAAACGACACATATTGCGCATAGTGCTTTCCAGCTGCGCAGTTCAGGCAACGGGATCTACACCGTATTTGGTCATCTGCATAGAAGAGGTAAGGTCTTCAGCGCGAGATCCCTGGTAGAGGGTTTAGGTGCAATGTATACTTATCACTGCCCTAACCGGCGGGAGGGGCCATTCGCCAATGAAGGGGAGTTCTCCGCAGTCATAGAGCAGATCTTGACCGGCATCCTTGCCAATCGCGTCGGGAAGCACACCTTAATATAGCTCGCAAGAGCTCAACTCAAGTCAGAGGATGTCTGGACGCATGTGCAGAGTCCCCACGAATTTGAGGGGACTTTACCATCAATCATCAAGATTCCGAGAGTTCGGGGTTAGCAACTACAAGCGGTTTTGACTCAACCGGGGTCTCGGAACGTGAGTCCAGCCACGACTCATGGACCGAATCCTCGGTTGCCTTTTACTTCTAGAAGCTCTGTATAGCTTCCATGTGAACCCGCAAAACCGATGTGTTGAGTAAAGCCTTGAGCTACCGTGCCGCGTTCGTGATTGGATACCTCGGAAGTATTAATCGACACATAGCAGTCGAGGTCGAAACCGATCGGTATCACCGCTCCGAAGGAGACATTGCTTCGCATTCACACCTCTAATTGATGGAACTTCTCACGCAGGAAGGAAGCCACACCACCATGGTGCATGTAGGGAAGGCGTGTAGGGAAGGGAAACCTTCACGAGCTAGCCGTTTCAGGATGCGGAGCAGCATCCTCCGTTACATTGCACACTTCCAACACATGACTCGCATACTCCTCCAATTGAAACACCGCACTAAATGTATCCAGATCGCTCATTCTGCGACAGCGGGCGCTATCCCCACAGTGTTCGACCTCTCGAACACGCGCGGTGGCGCGACCGTTAAGACCTGCACTTGAAAGCTTGAGTAAAGCCTCACGCCGCTCCGTTCGCAACACGAAGACTCACGCTATCTATGTACCATCGTGGTACAGTAGCGACCTTGCAGGATAGCCGGCCCGTTGCTCCTTACTTCGCTCGAAATCTGCTCGAAGATGGTGGTTGTGTGATGGCCGAGCTTTCGATCGACAATACCGCCCGATAGTCCTCAGCGACGCTGTCAACCTGACGAAGCGAACAATTGACCCGGGATCCTACAGCTGGGCAGCCAATTTGGAGAATTGCATATGGGCATCAGTGATCAGATGGCAACACAAAAGCCGCGTGACTGCAGGAACTCGAACACGCCTTAGTCGCGGAACCCCAAAGCTTACTCCAGCTTTCCCCCAATCGTTCAAAGCACACCCATGTCTGGCGAGCTGTTGCTTCCCGGTATCCCTGCGCTTACGCGGATATTCGATCCTTGAGCCGGCAAGGGAGCACTAACCCTGGTTCTACCTGCAGCTCAGGCCCATGACTTTAGATGAATTTCCTGGTCGTGCTAGGTCGATGGGCACGGTGTCTAGTATTAAATACATGCGACGTCCCGGGTACTGACTTGCCAGAGGTTCGAGCTCAATTGTGAGTTTCGCGTTCGAGAACGACTCTGGAATATCTTTTTGTCTTGAGTGCTCATCTCTAATTGACAATGTCGGCAGAACCTAAGACTGAGGTTGGTGTTTCGCACGACGAGCGTCGGGAGAGTGCGACAGACATTCGACAAGTGCAAAATGTGGCTCTAGCAGATGCTACTGCGAAGGCTGGTGTTTCGCCATGGACACCTGCGATGTTCAGAGTATGTTCTTTCTACACACAAATGAATTGGCAGCATGCTCATCATTCATAGCTTTACGTGTGTCTGCTTGTGGCAACATTGAACTCCTGCATCAACGGTTACGATGGTTCCTTGATGGGTGCCATCAACTCATACCCCCAATACCGAGGTTACTTCGGCTTCAGTGTCGATGAGGGCACGCCTTCCACCGGTATCGTCTACGCCATCTACACCATCGGAAATCTGGTCGGTTCTTTCGCCGCGGGACCCGCCACTGATATCAAGGGCCGCAAATGGGGCATGTTCTTGGGATGCCTCATCATTATCATTGGTACCTGCATTCAGGCTAGCAGCACGAGCCTGGGAGGCTTCATGGGTGGCCGCTTTGTCCTCGGTTTTGGTGTCGCCATCACATCCACCGCAGGTCCCGCCTACGCCTCCGAGATGGCCCATCCTGCCTACCGTGGTGGTAAGTTACCCGGATACAAAGTGGATTTGTTTTCCCAGCAATGCGAAAGCAAGACCTTTTGTCTTCATATTTGGGGCATGAGAAAAGCGTCTCCCCTTCGCTTAGCTAAGACAAAGCAAATCCCCCCTCCTTTAAAACATGTACTAACTTTGTATCTTAAGTACTCACGGGAATTTTCAATACATTTTGGTTCGTAGGAGGAATTCCCGGCACTTTTGTTCCATATGGCACATCGACGATGGAAGGCACCATTTCGTGGCGCATCCCCATCTGGCTTCAAATGTTCTTCGCTGGTGTTGTCCTAGTTTGCTCGCCCTTCCTACCCGAAACGCCCCGTTGGTTGATCGCCAATGACCGCCACGAGGAAGCCCTGAACACGATGGCCAAGTACCACGGTGAAGGAAGCCGTGACTCACCCATCGTGCAGCTAGAATACAAGGAGATGGTAGAAGATATTTCCGTGACTGGTTCAGACAAACGCTGGTGGGATTACCGCGAGCTGTTCAACAGCCCTGAGCAACGCTACAGGACTATGATTGTCCTCACCATGGCATTTTTCGGACAATGGTCTGGTAACGGTCCGGTCTCCTATTACTACCCGACGATGCTTCAGGGTGCCGGGATCACCAGCAACCACCGCCGTCTCCTACTCAACGGTATGCAGAACGTCGTCTCCTTTGGCGGTGCCGTCTTCGGCGCTGTCTACACCGACAAGTGGGGTCGTCGACCGCAACTGCTCGTTTCCACGGGTATCTGTGTGGGTATCTTCTGCATTGTGTGCGCGCTCGTAGCTACCAACGTCGTCAACGGACCAGACGGCAAGCCGAAGGTCGATGACTCTGGAACACCCATGATCAAGAGTTCTGGACAGGCCAAAGCGGTTATTGCTTTCATCTTCATCTTCGGATTCATCTTCTCAGCCGGATACACGCCGCTGCAGCAGTTGTACCCCGTAGAGTGTCTCAGGTACGAATCACGCGCGAAGGGAATGGCCTTCTACAACTTTTGGGTCAACATTGCTGGGTTTTACAACACGTTCGTGACTGGCATTGCGTTCTCTGGAGCTGGATGGAAGGTAAGCCGTCAACGATACAAGCTGCAATCGTTTAGAGGCCTCGAAGCTGACCAATGTGCTAGTACTACTTCCTTTTCATCTTCTGGGACATATTTGAATTCGTATTCATTTACTTCTTCTACGTCGAGACGCGTCGCCGTACCCTCGAGGAGCTTTCTGAGATCTTCAGGGCGAAAAAGCCGGTCCAGGCTTCCCTCAGCAAGACGCAGATCGTTATGCACGGCAACCAAGGTGTCACCGAGGTGTTTGACAAGGAGACGGCAGCTTAAAATCAAAGTCTTTGATGATGGTACATGTTTATGTGTAGCATGGCTTCCAATCAATACCCTCGTTCATTGATAATTTTGTGCAATATTCGAGCCACTTCGCTCCCTGTGTTCATCAACTTTCCCCACTTACCACCTCACTGCTTCCTTGAAGATCGGTACCTTGTCGAAGTCATCGGTAGTCCACTTGACTTCGCCTTTCTCGTCAATCCAAGCTCCCTCATCACTAGCTTCAACCTGCTTCTCCTCCAAGCCCTGCAAGATATTCTTGCTAGTCTTGGCCTCATCTCTCGGTATCCATACCGCCGGCGTCTGGCTCGTGAAAGCGGGATCGAGGTATGCTTTTCGCAACTGCTCCTCGCTGTACTGCGGAACATCGTCTTCATCCCATTCGGTGTCTTCGCGGAGCCACGCCCGCATTGCACGGTGAGAAGCATATCTTTGAGGTTCAAAGAATCGCGCTAGCGGAGAGAGATACCTCGGTGGGATCGGAGTATGCTCAACAATTTGCTGAACGTGATGTGAAACCACCCCTTCTTCTGTCTCTCGGTCGCCTAGCAGCGCGGCACCCTCGCCTTCCTCTTCGGCACTCAGATCGGCAGGTAAAAACTTCTCCAAAGGATCGAAGTACTTATTCGTCATGGCGTTGAAGAGTATAGTCGCAAGGAACAAGACAGCGATCATGATTGACGGACCAGTAGCCTGTCGTAGACTGAAAAGACCCAACAGGCAGAGCTCAGCGATGTAAATGCCTCCGAGTATTTGCTGTAGAGCAAGCGTGTAGCAATGACCTTTGGTGTCGATCTTTGGCGAGACGGTGAAGAGAAGCATGTAGCGGTAGCTGAAGTAGAAGAAGGTAAGCCCGACAGCAGCGAAGCCGAGGACGAGCGGGGCGATGCAGGAGTATGCGATAGCTATAACAAGTGAGCACAAAAGAGTCAATACCGCGTTTCAGGGCCCACATACCAATAATCAAGAAGTTGCCATACTTTGGGAATACCTTACCCCACTGAATGCCCTTCAATTGCGTGAATCTCTTGTATTTCTGCCTCGGCGTCTTGTCGAAGAACTTATCAAAGAAGATGTAAGACGCAAGATCGGAGTAGTTCAGCATGTTGTTCGAGGCACTCGTCAAGCCTTGCACGATGAAGTACGTAAGATACGAATTGGCTGCGCTAGGCAGATTGGCTGCAAGTATGGTTGGGATTGATGAGGGGTTATTTGCGGCCTGGGACAGTACCGCAGCGGCACCGGAAGCTAATGTATTGATCAAGAAGACCTGGAAGACCTGGAAGACAAAGTACCACCGGAGTACTTTGAGCTCGACGGAAGTATTGGTAGGTTCACCGAACGCTTTGAAGATGGCTGCATTCGTCAGAATCTATCCTAAACCCTAGAAAGGTGACTTAGGCTCACCTCGAAAAATGTTCGGGACAAACGAAGCAAGAGCACTGAGCAGTGCAGCAGGTACCAGTCCGGCCAAGAGGCTGGTCACGGTCTCAGGAAGTTTGTTGAGCCAATTAAGCCATTTATAGGTGTTCGCAAGATATTGTACGTTTGACCATGCACCAACGAAGGAGATTGGGATCGACCTGTAGATCGTTAGCTTGGAGGTTTAGAATAACGTGGTTACGGCTTACCAGAACACAATGATAGCAACCACGAGAATCGTTGCAAGTCCTTGTTGGGAAATCCTCTTCGCGGGTGCTAATGTCAGATTGTTCCAGATGATTTCACCCGGCAACACCGAAGTGTACCTCGGATTGAGAGCTAGAATCTCCGCAGACGCAATTTGCTGGTACGCACGCTGTGCCGCAGCTTGTGTCCGAAATTCAACAAACACTGCTGCAGCACCGCCATGGCTTTCTGCATTCGCATTCGAATCGCGTGCCTTTCGAATCTCTTCTTCTTTCTCCTTGAGTTGCTCGCGATAGTAATCGATACTATCCACCTTTTTACCGATTGGCGGCGACTTGAGCGTGTGGGTTGGGCGTAACGACTTCTTCATATGATTCGGGAGATCATCGTAACTCTTGAAGACGCTGTTCCCCCTGTTTCCACTCTTTTCCAGCTTGCGCTTCACGTTCTGTATCAATTTGAGCTCGGCAGCTTCCAATTCTTCGATTGTGGTATCGCGGCTGGACACGAGAGAACGCAATTCATCAGCTTTGGTTGCAGGCCAAACCCTTATTGCGTCGTCCCCGAAGAACTTCTGCGCATTCTCTTGGTCGAGCGTAGCTGTAGGCGCTGAAACGAAAAGAACAGTCCTGGACGACAACTTTTTCGCCATTGGCTTTGACAGGTTCCATGCTTGCCTGAGTCCGATCAGCCAGAGTCTCTCCCTTGCTACGGTAAACATGACGAAGCCGAAGTAGATGTACGCAACAACGGCATGAGCATACAGCTTCTTCTTATCTGCGACATTGCCGATCGATATGCGGTCGAGCTGAGACGATGATCCGCCACCGGTCGCATTGATTGGAAAGAGAATAGGCCAGGTGATGCAGCACCCCACTACGCATAGGAAAATTAGGGTACGCAGAAAACGAAGGTACAGATACGAATCCAGATGTTCATGGTAAAGGACGAATTTGTCGGGAACAACACGAAGCGTATGGTACCAGGAGAAGTATGATCGGCTGGCTGAAGGTGTGCGGTCTCTGGACACAAGGTTAGTGGTGTCTCTATGGGCTTTGACGGCATATGCGCACTTCTCTGGGATGGTTCCGATGAAGGTCCTCGGAGAGTAAATTTTGGGATATCGGTTGCGAATGAGTACAAAAATGATGATGAAGAGGATTGCAGTAAACCACGTCGGTACAAAAGCCGACACTATCGCCGCAAGGTTATGAGCGGAGCCTTTTGGCTGTTCGTTTATGTTTATCAACAATGTGACACAATTTTGGAGTGTAAAGTGTTCTAACCTTTGGTTTCTCATCCCATACTCCCAACCGGCCGCCTGCAGTGTTCTTCACCAAAGCATTCAAGACTTGCTGTGCGTCCATGATGCCGAGAGGTAGAGACTGGAGTGCCGTGGGTCGAAAAAGACGGACTAGACGTGCGCAAGCCGCGCCCCACAGGAAGCCTTGAAACAAGCAGTGCAGGTCAACAAGACGTCATTCCAACAGCCTGACGTTCATATAGAAGACAATGAGCAGTGCAACACAGAATAGATAGTCTCGGTTTTACGAAGTGTAGCCGTAGAGATAGGTAGGCAAGATCATTCTATAGTACGTTGTTGGAGGCGCAGGCAGAAGGCAGGGATGACGTAGATCGTGGCTGGGCCCTGGGTCCTGGGGCCACGCACTCACGTGCAGAGATCTACGTGATGAGGAAATTTCACCTCTCTGGTCATGACGTGGGGGCCGAGAGACAGCGCCAAATATCTTGATCATGAGAATTGTCTCAAATGCCTGGCTTTCCCTCTATGAATGTGTAGCCGGGCTGCCTCCCGATGATGAGTCTGATCGAGAAGCTTTGTAGCTAGCAGAACAAGGATTCGGAAAGTAGTTGTCGACTTTAATCTCAATGCCACTCACTCGATAAATACGACATGAGAATCAACGAAAGCATACAATGAACCATAAGGTAGGGACACCTGGTGTTGTTCGGCGGCGGAGTGATAGACCCAACCGAGCGTAGCGCAATAGTGGAAGTCGCGCTAAAATTATTTCTTGCCAAGATTTCGGTCCTAACTTTCTCTGCTCACCTTCGAAAGTAAATTTCACAACCATGATAGCCTCTTTGACCGAGTGCTAGCGCAGGCACCCAGCTTTCCGAGGAACATCGTCAGGTCCACCCACGGCATACTTCGCCATGGACATTCACCGATCGCGCTTCGTGCCATTCCCACCTTCCGCGATTAATGCGCTCGCTTTCTCTCATACCGAACCCACTCTTGGAAACAAAGATCCTGAGGGTCTGAGACTTGCTGTCGGACGGGCGAATGGAAACATTGAAATCTGGAACCCAGCGAACGGCGCATGGCAACAGGAACAGGTGTTTTATGGAGGCAAGGATCGCAGCGTCGAAGGCCTGGCATGGACGCAAGAGCCGGACATAAAAGATAGCAAGGGCAGAACAACGCCAGGAAGGTTGCGCCTGTTCAGCATTGGGTATTCCAACAGTGTTACGGAATGGGACGTCGCCACGGGTCTGCCTGCCAGGCATTCAGATGGCAACAATAGTGAGGTGTGGTGTTTCGCAGCCCAGCCGAAGTTCTCCAAGTACGCCAAAGGACCCGAAGCAGAGGAGGATACGCCCCAGAAGCTAGTCGCAGGCTGCGCAGACGGAACTTTGGTGCTCCTCTCGACCGCAGACAACGATTTGAGGTTCGAAAAATTCGTCGCGCGGTCAATGGTCAAGAAAGCCCGAGTACTGAGTGTCACGTTTAAAGACCGGAGGACCGTCATCGCCGGCTTCGCCGATAGCACAATACGGGTCTATGACACAAGGAACGGCTTTGTGATCAGGAATATTTCACTCGGCAACAGAGGTCCTGGGGGCCCGCGCGAGACCCTGGTCTGGAAAGTGAGGACATTGCCAAATGGTGGCTTCGTATCCGGCGATTCCAATGGAGACATCTGCATTTATGACGGCAAGAACTACAGCCAAACACAACGCATATCGGCCCACGAAGCGGACGTACTCGACCTTGCAGTGTCTCGCGACGGAACCAAGATATTCAGCGGGGGTATGGATTGCCGGACGAGCTACTACACGTGCAATCAGCGCGGAAAGTGGCGCGAAGTATCTCACCAGAGATATCACGACCACGACGTAAAGGCAATGGCTGCATATGATGGGGCAGGTCTTAGTGTCGCAGTGTCCGGAGGTAAGTAAGTGTCTCGCTACTTTCGACTTTAGCTAACGATACAGGCATTGATACCCAGCCTATTGTTCTTCCCATCCGAAATTTTGGGAAGGAACTTAGCCGTGGTCTTCCTGCTCTACCCCAGTCACCATCATTGCTAAGTGCTCCCGATGCCCGCCTTATGGTCAGCTGGTGGAATTGTGAGATCCGTGTATGGAGGGTCAAGGCCCAGGATGACAATGTCGAAAAGCCAAAAGTTGTCGCCCGTTTGGCTTTGCAAGGCGACGAGAATATTTCATCAGTCAGCATTACGCGAGATGGTGGGCTTTTGGCAGTCTCCACGGTAAGAGAAGTCAAGCTTTTCCAATTGCTCGAAACAAACACAGAAGCAGGCTCAGGCCTCCGCATCAGGAAGCTTGAGCTACCTTCGTCCTTGGGTGCAAAACTTGTGAGATTTACACCAGACGGCAAGTGGCTAGCTATTATCAACGTGGCGAACGAGGTGTCTATGTTACGTATCGTTCGAACCGAAGACGAGCGACCGCGAGCTCTCCACAAACCCCTCCATCTATACCGACTAGATAGGGACGATGACCCATTAGATCCTCTCAGCAGCCCCTCCGGCTTGTACAGCAGGTCCATATCGCAGGCCGAATTTTCTCAGGATGGGTCGGTCTTTGCTGTAGCTGATATAGCAGGCTACGTAGACACATGGGTTACAGAAGGACACGAGGATGTTACTGCGCCTGAAGTTGACGTGTCTGAAAACGACGCTGCACCTGTTGACGATGATGATTCTGAGGATGAGGAAGGTCCGCAGGAGCGAATTACATTTCTCGGTCAGCGGTGGGTACGTAACCCATCTGCGCATCTGTTTCCACGTTTCAGATCCGCACCCGCTTTGCTATCATTCGAACCCACGTCGGTCAGTAATTCCCGGCCCGAGCCCCGAGGCAACCCAGCGGTGCATCCCACACGAGGCAATCCCCACCCGCATTCGCACGAGATACCAGATACAGAACATCGCCTCCTAGTGGTGTCTGCCGACCAGGAACTGTATCTTTTTGACGTTCTAGCCGGTCGCTTGTCAGAGTGGAGCAGACGAAACCCGCCATCCAGCTATCCAGCGCAGTACCGAATCCTAAAGTCTCCGGCCAAAGGGTGCATTTGGGATGCCATTCAGCGACGCGTATGGCTGTATGGGGAGGGGTGGTTATTTATGTTTGACTTGAACAAAGACCTCCCCATCCCGGAGTCTATCGAGACGCAAGATTCGATCAATGGGGAGGAGTCGGATAGCAAGGCGTCAAAGAAGCGTAAGAGGGAAGGCGCAAGTAGGGGTGTCAATGGTGCAGGTGATGCGGTGCCCGAGAAGGATGCGCCGGTAACGAAGATGCGGCGATTTGACAGCGCAGAGGACGACGAGTCGAAAACACTAACAGAGATCGGTTTACACGATGCACAGATGGGCGACTCTGACAACGAAATGGACGGTGAACAAGGAGCTTTGGTTAGTCTTCGAAGATCACGAGAAGAGGTTGACGCAACGAATGGAGCAAACGATGATGTGGCACAAGACACAGATGGCGCCCTGGAACAACAAAGACGCACACCGGAGCCTTGGTGGCACACGTTTCAGTACCGACCTATACTAGGAATAGTACCCATAGGGAAAGAAGGCCAACCGCTCGAAGTAGTCCTTGTGGAGAGGCCTTCGTGGGAACTGGACCTTCCCCCACGCTTCGTAGGCGCACACGAATAATGGATCCACGTTCACCTTTGTCGAAACATTCCATGCCACAGTGGCCACAGAGTCCCCAATTTTGATGTTCGCGTTTCGGGGAAAGGCGCTGGTGTTTGGGCTCCAACTGGCAGGGATACCTCGATGTTTTTGCAATACAGAGGTTTTCCAGCGTAGATGAGAAGTAGATCTTCGTCCCAAGCAAGCCTAACCCGTTTTGCGACATGGACTATGGAGACGATTTCGTAAGCTCGAACGACTTGTTGCAACCATGTGCGCAACGCGCGGGCGGCGAATCAAGGTGCTTCGTCAGCGGATGGAACCTACCGCGGCGGTCCGTGTGAGACGTTCTGATGATCGCCGTCGTTGCACGTGGCTTGGGCAGCACCTGGATCATTCCTGTGGCATTGCTCGTTCACCTCAGCAAGGCTCAACTCAGTGTTACATACAATAGTTGGAGAGATCTCATCAGCGCACAGAATCAAAAACCAAGCTCAACAACATAAATATTTCAATGTATTCGCAGCCGAACACCAATTACTGTTCAGTGCTCGCAAGTCCTACCAGTACGGATAGTCATACAATCGGCAATCTCTCGCACGTAGTATGTCTTGAACGGAGTGCAATGATGACGCGACGCGCCAAGGTGGCATCGAAAAGGCTTACTAAGTTACATACACACGAGTGGCCCGCCAAGTACGCCACCCGTTACGAAGCACGGGATGTGGATGAGGCTGTTGTGGGACCGCCTTGGGAGATTCGCGTCCGCACGCGATCACGACTCTTCCACTGCGGAGCGGGTAAAGCAGCAGGCACGATTGCGTGTTGAGCGAGGCCGTCGTCTTAACTTGTGCCAACAGTGGACGGATGAGGTCTTGGATAATTGGCGATGTATCAGTTTGAAGCGGTTGAGGGGAGTCCGAACAGGGGTGACGGATGCAGTAAGCGTAGTCGAAGTGGCCGCGCACTCACTGCACCAGCGTGAAGAGCCAATGAACGCGCTTACGCGGCCGTCTTCACCGCGTCTGGAGAGGTGCTGAGGGCGTGCAACGCCTGTTCTATTGATGTGGTCTGCGCGATAACGCATATTGAGGCCCCTGCGACGAATATCCTCAATCTCAAATCGTGGTATTGGGTTGCAGCTGGATACGGCGCAATTGGAGGCGAGTCTGCAGAGCATTCAACCGCCACCTGGTCGAGTACGAGCGCCTTTCCGCATTCGGGGCAGAGGGAAGAGGCGCAACGCACCGCAGCGGACAGCTCTGCGCGTGTCTCGACGAACAGCAGCAATACACGCGGTCTCGCGCACTCGGCCGCGATAATCATAGTATGAATCTCGCAAGGCGCGAGAACATCTGAGCGAAAGAAACTGCGTGAGAGGCTGCGAAGCGAGCGGCGCGCGATTGGCTCGTTCCGTGCTGCCACGCAAGCTGCAGCTGCCAGGCCGCGTATGCTCGAGTGTCAGTGAGCGCCGGCTTCCTCATCTTCGCCCGGGCCCCTACAAACCCACCCCGTCCCCTCGACGCACCAGAAAGATCCTCTTCGACATTGTTTTTGTGCGCTCTCTGCACGCTGCGCTGCCGTCGCTACAGTCGCATCGTCGCAGACGACGCTCCCAGAATACCTGCTGCCTCGGCCACAGTGCTGCGCCCTCCACCGCATCATCTAGGGCTGTGCACCGCGCCTAGCCAGGACCCGCTGCCTGCGACACTATAACGCCGCCGCTCCCCCATTCTGCGCACGCAGAACGCAACCACCACCACACTGTCGACACAACGCTTCTCGCGACCGCTGCGAGCACCACCGCATCCGACCATGGAGCACTCGCACGGCGCCTCACGGCCGTCCGCCGCCAATGTCGACGCCACCCAGCTGGCCACCGAACTGACAGAGCGCTTCCGCCAGGTCCTCAGCACAAAGCGCCTAAACGATCTCTCTTCGCGATCCGTACAGTCACGATCAGCATCGCCCGCACCGCGAGACTTTGGTACGCCGCAGCCGCCGCCCGTGCAAAACGCTCCCCCGTCCTATTCGTCACTCCGAAACATACCCCTCGTACCGGAACCGCCGCAGGACGCCCGCTCGCTCCGCTTCAAGAACATGCTTCACTCGCTCTCCAACATGCCATTACGGTGGGAGAACCCTGGTCTTCTCGACGAAGCCCTGCGGGTAGTACCGTTGGAGCAAATCTATAGTGAAGCCGAAGAAGAGAGCCAGATTCTCCAGGCCGAAGCCGAGAGCCTCGGCGCTGGAAAGAAGGCTGCCTGGGGCTACCAAGACTGTGTCGTTAGAGCGCTCATGCGCTGGTTCAAACGCTCCTTTTTCTCCTGGGTGAACAACCCGCCATGTGGCCGCTGTTACTCGCCGACAATTGGCGTCGGTATGGCCGCACCGCTCCCGGACGAGCAGGCGCGCGGCGCCAACCAAGTCGAGCTATACAAGTGTTCACTAGACCACTGCGGTACTTACGAGCGATACCCGCGATACAATGACGCCTTTGTGCTCCTCCAGACCCGCCGAGGTCGATGTGGCGAATGGGCCAACTGCTTCAGCATGCTCTGCCGAGCCGTCGGATCACGAGTCAGATGGGTTTGGAACGCTGAGGACCAGGTTTGGACCGAAGTCTACTCAGTTCACCGCAAGCGATGGGTACATGTAGACGTCTGTGAGGAGGCTTGGGATAAGCCTCTCTTGTACACTCAAGGTATGCATCTCCTCATTCCAAGCGCACTGTACATGTAATTGACTGTTCTCAAGGATGGGGCAAGAAGCTTTCATACTGCATTGCCTTCTCCGCAGATGGCGCCATGGACGTCACGCGAAGATACGTGCGAGACCCTACCAAGTACAGCGCTGAACGTAGCCGCGCACCCGAGGCAGTCCTCCACCACATCATGACGGAGATTCGCAACATGCGACGAAACAACATGGGCAAGCAAGAGAAGTTCCGCCTCGAAGGTGAAGACATGCGTGAAGACCGTGAGCTGCGCACCTACGTTATCACCTCGATCGCACAATCAGTCAGCAAGATCAACGCCGACGACATCATTAACGGACGGCTTTCTGCACGAGCAGACCCGGACGCACAGAAGGCACTCGAAGGCCGAACGAACGGCAATGCCCAGTGGATCCGTTCAAGAGGAGAACAGGGCCGTGGTACCCCGGGTCAGGATCCTCACAACCAGCACCCACGATGAAGACTTCGCTTGTCTGACGTTCGCTTCTACCCTATTCTTATGGATTCGACCCTCATCACACCGAACCCTCCATGGCCCTGCCACGCTTCTTTCGTTACCTGAGCGTTCGCTACCTAGCCTGGGTTAAGATGAGTTATCTCGATACCCACCACTTTGAAGCCGCGACATCGCTCGCGCTTGTAACAACATTATACCTTGACTAGCATCACATCGAACGTGGCTGCTACGGCGTTTTGGCGCACCGATCGCTTCCAGACATTAGTCCTAAAGCTTAATGTCTACACCATGATGGCGTTCCATTTCTTGGGAATCGGCAATCTGCAGCATTTTCACGACATTGGTGGGAGATTGACATGTCTACATTTTTCGCTTCTGTTCGACGTTCGTGCGCGATTTGGCGACACATTTTATACCATTTGCATTCTTGGTCATCTATATTCCATCTATCTGGAGATGAGATGTGTATTTTCATTTGTTACAGCCACAGACAGTTTCTTTGCATGTTAAGAGAGGGCAGCATTTGGTGCATTGGAAGCATGTGTAGGGGGTTATACCTAGAAGACTATCAGGGAAAGTCTTGGAAAAGTCACATGGACTATTTGGGTGTCGACGTGGTGGAGGGGGAGATGAGGGGATCCGAAGATCAGGATGAGCATGACGCGCGTCGCTTGACGCAGGGTAGGCCGAGGGCCACCATGCAGAAGAAGTGCATATAGAAATTCAAGAAGATCAGCATTTCAAAAGCGTATATTGGGTGATCCAGATTTTGCGTGATTGCGATGATAAGAAAAGGTGGGGTTTGAGGATTCTGCATGTGGGTATGTGGGCATGTAGAGTCACGTGTGTGATAGTGGCATGTTCCACTGTGCGGAATGATTTTCAGACGCCATCATTACTTCAATGGGCACGTGTACAACGGATAGACGTTACGCAGGAGCGTGCAATGTCTGAGTGTCAAGTTAGACGTCGGGCTTCATCCGTAGTAATCAGGAAGCATCAGCAAAGGAAGGCACGACTCGGTTGACATCTTACACACGTCCTAGCCTTGCACGCATTTACACTCGCTCGAAATCACATCAACGCAAGATGCACGCTTTCGACGCATCATCAACAGTGAACTTGTGGTTCTTCTAGCAGCATGGACAAGTCACCAAGCTTCTTAACTACGGAGTGCAGCACACTCTACAACTGAAGGCACTGTGCTGGACCTCTGTGCTGGTCATATCCGCATCAATCCATTGGGAAGGGTTAACGATAGCATCTTCTCCAAACCATCGCGAAGCTATCCGCAACATGCTACACACTCGCGGCGTAGCCTGCTCACCCTCCGGATGGTCTACCGAGCACTCTTTGCTACACGGAAAAGATTCTTCACTAACGGATGGCATGGCACTGTGCCACAAGGCAGAGCCATCACACGATCCACTCAATACGGTACAACGACATCGTGAGCTACACTCGTGGTGTTGAGCTTTCGCAATCTCGCTCTGCTGCGCAGAACTGCGCCGCCAACGGAGGCTTAGCACCAGCCACAAGAGGCAAGGCTCGCACTTGTCCGCCCCGCAAGCGAGTTCCGTCTAATTTTAACAGCGGGTTGCTTTGCTGGGGCACTGCTTACATGGGCTTGAGATGGAGCTAAGATTGGGCTTGGCTGGGCTGAGGAGTCTTGTGTTTGTGTGTAAGGCGGAAGAAGATGCTGCCGATGGGTGAGGCTGCATACAATGCACGTTGCACACTGCTTCATCTCTGATGGATACTGGTATTGTAGTACGCGAGGAAGACGAGGATTGTGTGCGAAGTACGAGCGTCTGTTTCGCGCGGATGGAGATCAACTTTCGCCCGGGCTGATTGTGGAGATTTGTCGCGTTGGGGCACGTCACCTAGCGTCGCCACGCCTTTTGAAGAACACTTGTGAACGAAGATCCAACGCAAGGCTGCTCATTGCCGATTCGAGTCAATTGGCGTCGGGTACACACGACATAGGACTTGCATGGCTCGCAGTGTTCAATCCCAATCAGGGAAATCAACAACAGAGCACAAACAGCGCTGACTGTCCAAGCCAGCGGTCAGTGACGCACAGCTGGACACCAAGCGGAGGCCCTGCGGTCCCAAACTTCGCGTAGAGATCAGCACCGCCATGCCAGACATTCCACGCGTTCCTACAGTAGGCTTAGGTCCGTCAGCTGCATGCGCGCCTCTTACTGGAACAGTCGAAGGTGCGTTGAGGCTGGTGCTGGGCCCTGGAGGATGGTGTGGCCGGCACAGACCCTGACCAGGCTCCAAGCCAAGGGGGCTGAGGGCACCCAAACGGCCGCGAGCTGAGGCGTCGCCCGTACAAAAGCTGGCTGCCATCCTACGCCGCTAACACTATCCTACCATCGTTCTCGTGTCGTACGCCTTTTCCTTATTTACGTTCATCGATATATCTTGGGTTACCGCACAGGTCCCTGGATACACGGTCGCTTTCTGCATACTACGTCACGAAGTTCGACCCCGGCACTGCTTCTGCGCGATTCGCGATTGTTGTTTGAAGACCAGACAAGATGGGCAAAGTAGGGCGTTTCGCGTGTATCTTCACGCCAATGGCGTTGACGATTGCGAGTCTTTTGTGTCTCGCCATCGTCTTGTCGGGCCAGGCGTACCAGAAGAGTGATCTGTCCAAGGAATTGTTTTTCTTCAGGGTGCGTTGTCCCAATTCAGCCTCGTGCCATCGCGCGCGACAACTCCTTACCTGCGAACTTCATACTGACTAGATTTGTATAGGCGGATACAACAGGCTTTAAGAATGATCCTGAAAACGTTATCGACAATCTACCCGAAGGTGTAACACCCGACAACAATCTCACCGAGGCGCTCCAGGTCGCCGCTTCGGCAGGCAACATGCGCGACATCTACCAAGTTGGGCTGTGGAACTACTGCGAGGCAGACCTGAAGGATGGCAAGGAGGAGAACTGGCACTGCACCGACCGCCAGAACTACTTCTGGTTCAACCCCTTCGAGGTCTGGAAGCTGGAGAACACTAGCATCCAGGCTGCTTTCCCCGATGACTTCAAGAACGGAATTGAGACCTACCACAAGGTGTCGCGGTGGATGTTCATCGCCTACATGATTGCGCTTGTACTCACGATCGCTGAGGTGCTTGTTGGCATTTCGGCCATCTTCTCGAGGTGGGGAAGTTTGATCACCACCATCGTTTCCACCGTACGTCTTCTCCAGGAATCTCCAATTCTTACTTTTATGTAGACTAACATCATATTCAGGCACAAACTGTCTTCATGATCGCCGCAGCCGCGACCTCGACCGCCCTCTACGGCACCCTCATCTCCGTCTTCCGCACCGTCCTCGAACCCTACAACATCAAGGCCTCCTGGTCTTCCAAGATGCTCTCCGTCCTCTGGATCGGCGTCGCCTTCTCCATCGCCAGCGGCTTCTTCTGGCTCATCAGCGTCTGCTGCTGCTCTGGCAAGAGCCCCCACAAGAAGGTCGTCGTCGAAAAGACCCCGTACACCTACGAGAGGGTTGCATCGCCTTACATGGGTGCCAGCGCAAACTCGCACCAGATGCACGACATGGGCGGTCACCACGGACAGTCGGGACACACGTACGAGCCATTCAGGCAGCAACATGTCTAAGCGTTGGGGGAGGATGCTACGGATGTACGCTGTGGATAGTAATCGCTAATGATTGCGGGCTGGAGCTGGGGACATGGCTGTGGGAGAGTGCCATGTCCATGATAATCATGATTTGATACTTTTACGCGGGTTGTTCGCTATACCACATAGGAGGCGTTTTCTGGATATATACTTTTGAGCTATATGTCGATGAGATCTTGTGGACTAGATCTTGTTAAAATGGATGAAGTGCATGATGTTATAATTGAGCCCCTCTTCAATCATCTCTATGGTCGCTTTCTACTATACCTATTGCCAACCTCGGCTGTGCTCTCTATATCACAAAAAAACACGTCCAATTGCTTAATATCACCAAGTCATGGAAGGCAATGCTTGACCTGACAAGTACACCGCAAAACTTTTCCCTACCCAGCTAGCTCCTCCGCGCTCCAGACGCGCGAACCGTCAGCAAAAACCCATGACCAAGCACGGTGCTTTTCTGGGAACGTTCTTAGAATGTGGGGGCTGAACCTCGGGGGAATGCTGACACGCGTGTGCGGGATGAAAAGGTGGATTTGCTGCTTTAGGGAATTCGGGACATGGGTCGGGATCTGGAGAAGGGCCGACATGGGGAAGCAGGGGGGAAGGAGGGTGGTGTGGCGGTGCGAACAGGGTGGTGAGGCACTGAGCGGTTGGTGTGGATGGGAGAGAGACTGGGGGTGATGTGATGTGGTGGTGGATTGGTGTTGTAGTTGGGAAGGAAGTGCCGTCTCGTTCTTCGCTTAGTATTAATATCTGGGCGTACGTTACTACGACCTAGGACAATTGGACGAGCACGAGTATTGGAGGATGATGCTTTCGAACCACTCCTTCTACACTCCTTCTGTAAACCTATACGTGACTGAACTTATGCCTCTTTTCCAACCGCAAATAACTCTTCCACAACGCTCACGACATCATCCGCATTCGAAATCGCAACCTCATGCCCCACCCCCTTCACAATCCTCACCTCCACATTTTCTTTCCCCAGCACAGCCGTAGCATCCTCCACCAGCTCCTCCGCAACAATAATCGGATCCGTCTCCCCTAGCACCAAATAAACCTTCTTCAACCCACCCAACCCTCTCTCAATGTTTCTCCTTAGAATTGCCCACCGCGTCTGCTGCCCATGGATGGGCGCATGCCTAATCGACGAAACAAAAGCCGGTATAAAGCCCCTGTGGTGCACAATCTGCCAGTCGACAACCTTGGCCGCGGTACTATTTGGGTAGTCTGGCAGGAGTCTATGATGACTTGTGGTGTATACTGCAGAAGACCGAAGTCCACCTTTCGGTTCATGCTCGTTCAACTCGGTAACGTCTTTCTCAGGCTCGGTCGCCACGTGTGGTCCCGTCCACAGCCTCCTCGTCACCAGTCTCTCGATCAGCCATTCTGGCAGGATTCCGCTCGTGGAGTACAATAGCTTGCTCTTCCAGGTGATGTGCGAGGTGCGGATGAGGCCGCCTGGTGCTATTAAAATCAAGCCTTGGACTGATGCGGGGATGCGGGACGCGATGTCTGCTGCTAGAGCGCCACCGAGAGAGTAGCCGATCAGGGTAAATGAGGTCCAGGGTATACTTGAGGAGCTGATGCAGCTGGATAGCTGTGCGAGGTAGAGGAGAGTAGTGTGGGGGTGAGTGCGTGGAGAGGCGGTGGACGAATAGCCCCGACCGAAGAGATCTATAGAATGTGAGTAGATTTGCAGGACCGAGAGTTCAGGGGATTGTGCAGAAGATAGTCTGGTTGTGACAAGTACATGTGATCTTGAAGAATCCGGTACCTCGTCAAAAGTTTGGGTGGCCTGCTCATCATGGGGCAACACGAGGTACCAAAACATTTGACGAGGCACCGCAGATTGATGTGGAGAGCTCGCTCGTGGCACCCCAAGATGGATACAAATCAAAAGCACGAACTGGTTTACTAGTAAGATGTGGCCTACCGAACAGCATCACTCGACACCCTCTGGCAACAAGCTTGTGGGCAAGGTTCGCAAGTGCTATGCTTGGTGTGGAAATGCCATGAATGAGTATTATTCTACGCCCATCTTCTGGACCCCACTCATATACGCGGGTACTACCTTTGAAAATAATTAAGCGTGAGTATACCCTTGTGCTTTTCATCCGAGGACACTCACCAAGTGCAGACTCTACATCTCTGCGTCCTGGCAGGGGATTCGGTGGATAAGGCAATTCATTCGCTTCTTCAGCGGTAAGGTGCGGTAATAGAGTATCTTTTGGCGAATGTATCAAAGTTGATTTACTTGTACTGGGTGGTCTGGTAATTGACCTTAGCAATATCCAAGTACCAAGAGTAGCTACGCCAGCGAAGAAGTAAAGTCGAGGCGGACGTTTGAAATGGCGAATAGAGTCCGGGAGGATGGTAGACATTGCGAGACAAATGTACGGTGACACGTAGAGCCCGCCTCACAATGCGTAACGCTCGCTATTGCACACTGATAGGACGCCAGGATGCTGGATGGTGAAAATAGGCAAGGGACCAGCCGCAGCCCGGAACGCTAGCCTTGGATGATCGCCAGAAGCGCCACGCCGAGGGCGGTAGACCTGCCCCAGCTGCAGCTCACGACGACGCTCCATCGCATCGCACGGGCGCCGACTCGAGTGGGACCGCGCATTTCGCTGCCGCGCTCATTTTTGCGAGGACCGCCCCGGGCGATGAGCGCCCCTGGCGTCTCGCGCCGAAGTGGGTATGATTCGCGCCGCCGAGCAGCCAAGTCGCCCAGCGACAGACTCCAACGCTAACTTGAGATGCTGCTGGCTGCGCTGCACCTGTCAGCAGTCTCAGCCACGCTGAATACAACTTTACACTGCCTAGCTCCTTTGTGGAGACGCTGATGAAGAGCAACCCTGGCCTGCAGTTGCAACGAGCTGCTATTTTACGTCCGTGGTCCCTCCGCTCCTTCTGTTCCTTTTCGCTCTCCCGCCCTTCTCCGCGAGAGTCGCCTGTTTGATACCCCGTTCTCTGCGCGAAACACCCACGCCGCCGACGTTTGCAGCAACCCTTTCATAGGGCAATCATATTCCGAGGGGCCCCAAGAACCAGTGCGAGCCTGAGGAAGTTTCGGAGGGTTTTGCTGCGCGGCTGGATGCGGTAGCTTGAACATGGATCAGTGGAATACGAACAAGCTCCCTGAGCGGTTGCCCTTCTCCAAGAAGCGCCTACCCAAGAGGGTTATATTTTCGTGCGTCGCTCTACTGGAGAGGATAGGAAGGAACATACCGCTAATTGATGCAGCTACATCCTCGACTATGTCGTTATCTTGTGAGCTTTTACCGCGCGTGTCGTCGCACACGACCTCCTTCCTAATTATCACAGCGTCCTCCTCGCCGTGTTTATGATCGTCGACAAGATCGAGCCGTTCCACCAGCCCTTCGCCATCGAAAATTGGACACTCCACTATCCGTATGCGAAGAAGGAGCGCGTCACCGTTACCATGGCGGCCATCTTTGCTGTCGGCTTCCCCATCGTAATCATTACGTTTTACACCATGATCATCGACGGGTTATTCTCGCATCAGACAGCTATGCCAACGGGCAGAGGAGGGGTGAAGCGCCTCACTGGCCGCTATAGGCTGAAGGATAGGCTCTGGGAGCTGAATTGCGGCATACTCGGGCTCATGCTCAGTGTGGGCGCTGCTTTCACAATCACTGGTATGTTGCGCAGCCCCGCGGCTTAGCTCTCGTTACTAATAAAGAGTGTAGGAGCCTTGAAGAATGCGATTGGAAAGCCCCGCCCGGATATCGTGGACAGGTATGCGCCCTTCAACGTAAAGCTCACAATGAACACTAACAGGGTCCAGATGCCAGTTGAAGGATGAAGTACTGAAGAGGTTCGCCGAGGACAAATCACGGATAATATTAGCCACCGTCGCGGATTGCATGCAAAAGGACAATTACATCTTGCAGGATGGCTTCAAGAGTTTCCCATCAGCGCATAGCAGTGGTATGGTTTCCGCACAGCCCGCAAGGCCCCAACGCTAACATTCGCAGTTTCGTTCGGAGGTCTTTTCTACCTCTCCATCTACCTTGCCGCAAAGCTCCACGTACTCGATTCAAAGGGTGAGGTTTGGAAGTCATTCATCGTCCTCGTACCGACGCTCGGGGCTGCGCTCATTGCTGGAAGCCGCATCATGGATGCCCGTCACCATCCGTTCGATGTTCTATCCGGCAGCTTGATGGGTATCCTGGTTGCATGGGGTTCTTACCGTCAGTACTTTCCTCCGGTCTCGGAAACTTGGCGCAAAGGTCGGGCATATCCCATTCGAGCGTGGGGTAAGGGTCCCGCCATGCCGCCTCCGACTGTGGATATTGCAGAAGATATACAACCGCTGCGACCTGTGCGGTCTGCTACAGATGAAGAGCGGGGAACATCATCAGCAATTCCGGAAGCCGATGAACACGGTGGCAACGTCTTCCGCCAGCAAATTTCACAATCGCAAAGGCGAAGGCAGGAAGAGTTTGGGGGCATACGACCGAGCGACACGATCAGTTCGACATACTCCTCCAAGGTCGCTGGATATCAGGGACAGCTTCCCGCCTCGAACCCATTTGCGAGTTCCAGTCTACGTCAGCATGATAATTACGAATACTCTTCTTCCGAAGACGACGAGAACATTGAGTTGCAACACCAATATTCTCTTTCAGGGCGCCCTTTGGCAGGTCAGCACGGGGCCTCTTACGACCCTGTAGCTGGTCAGCTCACAGACACGGGGTACCACCCTGCCCAGGCCGTTACACCTACCCCTACACCTCCTCCAACACAGCAGAGACCTACTGGAGATATATCAGAAGCTACGAGCGCGCCGCCGCCGCCACCTCACGCTATTGGGACCACGGCTCAACAAGTGTAGCAAGAGCTAGACTAACCTCAGAATTGTATGACATTGGGGCCTCTTGTGAGCGTGTCTATGTGCATCTCATACAGCGCGTTATATGACTATGCATAGCTGGAGCCATGGACCCAGGCGTTTGGATGTTTAGTTTCTTGAAGGACTTGTTGTAAGCAAACTGCTGATGATTATTTTCTTAGCGCCGGCGATGAGCTGGTCGTCTCTTTGTACATTGGTGTTGGCTGGATTCGAGCATACAATGGCGCCTTAGCATGGTAGCTTACTCTTCACGTAAAATCTGATATTATACTACTCTTCAGTACTCCGCGGGTTCCGGCTACCTTTCAAGTGCACAAGTGCTCACGGTGCGCCACTTGTCGTGCCCTGGACGCGTGGCTGGTGCTTCGTGGCGCATGCGGAGTTCTGAACGTTGACGTAGATCTGCAGGGATGCTGAAAGCGGTCCGACCCCCGTAAATCGTGGATTGAACATGGGCCGCGTTGCATCTCTCCACATCTGCCAGCAGTATCAGCCTCTGTCTGTCACTTCCCACGCGTTTGCACTCGCTATTCGATTGTTTGATGACCACCCTGCATGCCCCCGTTTGAGGCAGCAGACACCACCGTTGATCATGCGCGTTCCTCGCCGGCGACGGTAGCATAAGACCGGCCGTCACCGTCATGTCGGCCCCCTCCAGCGAGGGTCGACTCTCCACGTCGTCCATGCCCTCGATCACATCCTCACCCACGCTGAACTCGAGATACTCCGGAGCATACACAGACAATGGGGAGGGCAGCTCGTCGCAACCACCCAGCCTGGCAGGGTCGAGGCAGAACAGCCGAGGGAGGAGCAACGTCCATGAGGAGGAACCGCGAAACGCTGGGAGTCCTTTGCAAGAGGAGGCTGTTAGGGAACGCGACTTTGCGCAGCGCAAGCGGAATCGCAGGTCTGGAGGTTTCCTCTTAGACTCCGCTTTCTCTAGTGGACCGCGGAGCCGACTATCACAATTCGGAGGACATGACAAGGACGAAAAGGGCAAGCAATCTTCGCGTCATAGCCAGACGCACGGACGAAGCGAGCATGAAGAGAGACATGCAGCAAATGGCATCGCGAGTGGTTCGCCTTTGTCGAGGGAGGTCAGGATGGCTGATGCAGGGCCCGCCGACGCAAATCTGAGGGAAGAGTCTGTTAATACTGAAGACCATGCGTCGGATGGTGTATATGTCAGAAAGACAAGAGCAGGTGCACCTGCGATACCCTCGACTGCACACAACAGAGAACAGCACTCTGATGCTACGACAGCACGGGCTGCCTTCGATCCGAACCAAATTGTACACATGGCTCTGAGCTTGAATGAGAGTCGCCGGCGGAACCTGAGTGCTGGCCAACTACTCACTCCACAGGCACATGCCACATCCGGAGGTCGTCCGAACGAAAGTTTTAGTAGCCCGGGCACTGGAAGTAATCACTTGAGGCAATACCTAAACGAACAGCGAAGAGTGTCGCGAAACATCTCCCCATTTGGCGATAAATCGTCCGGACGCCACATATCCATGTCAGCACAACGCAGAGGGTCGGTGTTGATAAAGGGGCAGCTTGGCAAAGAGCCGAGCGAAGAAACATGGCAGCGAGTGGAGAAGGCTCGCGCGTTTATTGAGCTGAGGATAGAATACCTGAGGCTTCTCGAATTCCTGCCCCCGCTCAAGCCTGACTCTACTGCGCCTGGTAATTTCGTGGTCACGGCAAACAACGTTCCCGGCAGTCCACACGCGCAATTAACACGGGTGCCCTCTTACGCGAACAAACATCATGAACTTGGTCGGCCTTATAACCCTTTACAAGTGTTACGGAATCGCCGGAGCAGAGCAAGGGAAAGAAGAGGTTTCGAGCATCCGCCAGAAGAGTTTGCAGATGTGGAACAGGTTCACAAGTGGGTTGGCAGGGTAGAAGAAGCTGCAAAATCTGTTATGTACCGCCAACTCGATGGAGTAGCTTTGCCCAAGCTTCATGAGGACCATGGAACAGCAGCTGAACCTGCGAGGCCCGCTAGACCCAACAAAATTTGGATGTTCAGTGCCGAAGAGCTGCTTGCAGATGCGCACTGGCTCGAGCATGGCGACAATAAGACGATCGTGGAAGACCGCTACGGACGTAAAATTTTCCCACCGAAGGAACCTCAGAAGCAAGACCTCCTATCAGCCCGCGCCAGCAAAGAGTACCCCGAGAAACGGAGGAGAAGTTGGGTCGAAGGCATTGTAGCGGATAGCCACAACACAACTGGAGACGAAAGCGAAGCTTTGAGTGATCGTGGCCGCAAGCGCAGGCTCTTGCCCACCTTCAACCGTGCGGAGAGCCCGAAACACCGAAAACATAACTGGATCGGATCGAAGCAACAGGCTGGAAGTGACACGGACTCTACTGACTCTGACTCTGATCTGGAGAAACGTCGGTCGCGGAAGACTCAGCAAATGGTGGAAGGGGACAACGAGACCGGTGCATTGAAGCTCAGAATGAAACATCTCATGGAACGAGAGGCCGAAGAGACGCAGAGGACGGAACCCCCTCTATTGTTCACGCCGGACACCCCGAACAAATGGGGACAGGAGACTGCTGACGGTCATGATGAAAAGGGTGTCCGAAGTTCTTTCGAAGTGTCAGATTCGGCGAATGGGTCTGTCAGGGTGAGATTAGACGGGCTCAAGTTGCCTCCGAAACAGCGCAATGATCCTGAGTTGTCTAAAGATCCGTCAAAAGAGTACAGATCATCATTTGAGGAGTTCGATAGCACAGCACCAAGCACCCCGATTCACGCAAGACACTACCCGCATATCGATAGCGACGTGTCACCACCACCAAGTCGCGCTGGTTCGCAAAAGAAGCCAAAGAAGAGCAAGCTGGACTTCTTGCGCTCTGAAGAGAGCAAAGCGAAGCATGATCATGACTACCTCGTGCCAGATCCAGCTGGGTTAGACAAGAAGCGTAGCTCTCGCAATACCAGTGAAGAGGCTGAAGAGGGCACCGGTATTGGGTCTGCGATATGGGCAGCACCCGGCGCAGTCAAACACTTTCTGGGACATCGCAAGAATGACAGCACCAATAACCTAACAAGTCCCATCAAAGACAAAGACCGGAAAGAGCTGAAGGAGCCGCCATCTGCCGTCACAAGGTTCATCAAAGGCGTGAAGAATGAGAGCTCAAAAATGGGAGGGTTCATATTCCGCAAAGACGGACAGACAGACGAATCAGACACGGATGCAGCATCCGACCACCTCGTTGCCCTTGAATCCGAGACAGACGAAGAGAACGGCTCCCTCCGCCGTAGGAATCGACCCGACCTCGCGCGGAGCGAGACTGCCGAGACTGCAGGCAGCAGCACCTCCAAGACATCCAAGAAGGCCACCGGCTACCACCTCGAACTCCCCTCTTTCCGCTCCTCTTACCAGAACAAGATAGACGAGGACAGCGCCTCAGAGCTCTCCGACCACCATATCGCCCGCCAGGCCCGCGAAACAGCGAACAATCGCTCTCCGCGCTTCGACAAGCTTGCTCCCCCCGGCCTTGATCTCTCCCGCATATCATCCACGTCGTCCCCATCCCCATCCGCAAGCCAAGATCGGATCTCCCAGCTCCTTGCACGTCCCGGCGGCGTCGGCCACGCAGGCCTCCCTGTAACCTCCCTCGCCAAGGACAAATTGCCTCCGTCCAGCACCTCCATCAGCCCCAAGCGCAGACCGTCCCGGCCTACCCTCGAGGGCAAACGCCACTGGAGCATCACAGACAGCCGAACCGAGCTCGCCCGCGCTACCAGCACCACGACCATAGTGACCCCCAGCGACATCGCCCGCGTCCGCGCCCTCTTCCTCTGCTCCGGCATCAAAGCCAAGGAGATAAACCGCCGCGCTCTCGAGGTCCGCGAAAACCCCCCAGCCTTCCTCACAAGAGCTGCGAGGAGCGCAAACGCCGATCTCTACGGCGTGAGCAGAAAAGAAGAGCACGTGCTCGCAGCCCGCATCCTGACCACAGCCTTCGAAACGCGCATCGAAGAACTCCAAGCCGAGGCTCGCCGCTTCCGCGAGGAAACCGTCGTGCAATTGCAGAGCCGCATCACGGACATCAAGGCTACCGTGGAGACATCCCTCTTCGCGCGCGTCCGCGAAGGCGGCGACGAGGCGCTGCAGGTCTCGAGCAGAGTCAGCGCCGATGCGCCGCTCGCTGTCAAACAAATCACCGACGATATCGAGCACATGATGCGGATGCGGCGGCGGCGCTCGCGCTGGGTGCGCCGCGTTGGGTGGACGCTGCTCGAGTGGGCGCTGCTGGGCTTCATGTGGTGCGCGTGGCTCGTCGTCACTCTATCGCGCGTCGTCGGCCGCACAGTCTTCTTTTTCTGGAGTATCTTGAGATGGTTGCTTTGGTTGTAGGAGGGTATTCTCGTCGCTTCGCGGTATTTTGGAAAGTTTATTCCTTTGGCGCGGTTAGGGGTTTGGTTGTACGATGGCGTTTGATACCATTGCATGTTGTTCTGGATGGCTGATCTGACACATGTAGTACAAGGAGAGGCAGCGTAGCATTGCCTTTTTTCCCTTTGCTCATATACAAGATTGTAATGTGTAGTATACAACACGAATCGTATATTCTGCAGTCACCTTTTGATGTGGAGGAGGGCCTTGTGAATGTGCCCTCACCATGGTTTTAGAATGATTGCAAACTGCTCCTGGGAAAAGTGATATACAATTGGGGATTGCTTTATGTTCAGTGAGTTACGAAACAATCTCCCCGAGTCTAGAGGCCATTCTCACGTTGATCATGCCTGAAATGAAGACACAGATGTGAGCGCAGCGTTCTATTTGATACAGCGCGATGTCTAAACACCATCCCAGGACCAATGGCAACGCACCCCATCTTCACGCAATCACGCCCACTTTTCGAACAGTCTTCTTCGCAACCCTAGACCCATCCCCTGCCCCGCCGCAACATTCGCTCCAACCTTCTCCTTCTCCCCGTATCCCTTTCGCTGGCCTCCACCATCCTCCCCTGTCTGTCCAGTTCCACCAGTCGACCCATCTCGAGCATATCCTCGTGGCTCATCCCCAGCTCCTGCATTCTTCCTGTCTCGCGGCGGCGGCGACTCCGACTTATTTCTTCGTCCCCAAAAGCTCTTCTGTCTTGTTGGCGAATCTGTCCATGGGGCCGGGCTCGCTGCGAGGAAGATCTGTCTTCGCTTGGCGTCAGCACGCTGCTGCTCTGGGGGCTGTAGCCATGAATCATCCGCTGCTGCCGGCTCTGGTACGGGTAATGACCGGACTGATGATTGACTGCGCGGTACGTCTGCTCTGGAGGTCTCTCGCGAGAGAACGCTTGGTCCACGGTGCTGTTGTATTGGCGTTCGTGGGGAATCCATTACTGCCTCAGATATTGTTCGGATTTTCTGGACGTACTGTTCGGGACCTCCGTCTCGTGAGAACGACTTTGGGGTGACCCTTGCCGATGAAGCCTCACTGAGGGGGTTTCCCGGTCCTGACGGACCGCGCGTGGTACCACCGACGGAGGATCCTGAGAAACCCATTGCTCTCGTTGCATCACTTGCGCTTCGCCACCTGCTCTGTTGTGTTCTTGGTGATCTTGCGCCGTGCGCTGTTGACGGATGTCTACCTGTAATCTTTCGCGTCTTTCTCGCCTCTTCCCCGACCGCGGACGCTCTTCGCGAGACGTGTCCACCAATTGTCGCTCTCGAGAACTTTTCCGCTGTCGGCGCGACTGAACTTCCCTTCGATTGCCCTCGTAAAGTTCCCGTCCTAGGGGTTCCTGCCCTTGAGGTACCCGCTCGCACCGTTGTGGAGCCCGATCGAAAGCCCTCTGGGCTTCGACTTGATCGTGATTTGATGCGGTGTCCCGCTGCCGAGATCGTTCTTGCTGCCTCAACTGGTGAGAGCGGTTTGAGGAGCGCATCATCGGGGTTGAGCTTGAGGGCATGACCCGCTGCAGAGATTCGTCTCGCTGCATCGAGGGCTGAAAAGGTACTCGCGCGCGGGGGAGTGGTTCTGGCGGTAGCGTTTCGCTCTGTATAAGCTTTCTTCTTGATGGAGGGTCTACTGCTCTCTTCAGTGGTACCGTCCGTAATTTGTCTGAGTCCAAGATCACCGTCTCCTTCTCTGGGATCGAATTCGGAGACGGCAGGTCCGAAGTTTTCTTGCGAACACTCCTCTGCCTGCGGTGCCTGACTGCCTCGCGTTGCCGAGCTGGATGGCTGGCGCCCGATATTGCCGCTTTGCGTCGAAGGAGCTTTTTGAACCAACATTTCTAACGTCCTGCTCCTTGTCCGGCCACGTCGGGCGTCCTGGCGGACAGGCTCTGGCTTAGTCGCCTCTTGCGGAACTGATAGCGGGCGAGTGGGTTGTTTGTCAGTCGACGCCCGACGAACATGTGGAGGCGCTTCACGCCTAGAAGCGGCCTTCTCTTTGTCACGAAGGTGTTGTTGCGTTTGAGGTTGATAGCGAAGGAATTTCGGCGCTTGGCTACGAAGGGGTCGCGCATTAACTTCGTTGCGAGGGGCGTAGTCCTGCCGGGAAGGACGCTGCCTGTAAACTGGCGGAGGAGACTCGTGTCGGGGTGATGGAGGTTTTGCATAGCTCTTTCGTCTAACAAGCGCTGATGGAGAAGGTGGTTGGTAGAAGTCTCGTAGAACTGGTCCTGGAGGAGGTTGCGAGTAGACATGTCTTCTAGCTGGAGCGGGTGGAGGCTGAGAGCAGACATCTCCTCGAACATGCGCTGATCCTGGTCTAGAACAGGAGCCTCGTCGTGAAGGAAGCAGAGGTGGGAGTCTGAGGTAGTAGTCGTCCTTCCTAGCGGAGGTTGTTGTTTGTTGGGGAAGAAGATCGTCTCTTCGACGAGGAGGGGAGTAGACAGGGACGGGTGGAGCCACATTTCGGGCAGGGGAGATGGGATCTCGTTCAGGTGCGGTTTTATTCCCTTTTGGCCTTTGTAGCGTTCCCCCAGGATATCCTGGTGTCGATCCTGGTGCCGCGGATCGAAAGGGTTGGACTGGCTCACGGTCCCTTTGTGCTGGTGGTTCAGGTGAGTACTCACGCTGAACACGCGAAACCGGCCGAGGGTCAGCTTTGGGTTTGCTGCCGAACCTAAAAAAGCCTGGTTTTGACTTAGTCGGCGGCTCCTCTTTGGGCTTAGGAGGCGGTGTGTGCGTGTCTGGCTTGGTCCACGTTGGAGTATCTCGTACTGGATATTCAGGGGCTGGAGGTCGTTGTTGATCTGGTGGGAGGTTAACACCGTAGACGGGTATCTTGGACTTGCCTTTGCGAGCAGTGGGCGTCATCTTCTTCGGTGCATACTGAGTGGGAGGGGCAAAGATCCCTGGAGCCGCTGAACTAGGTTTCCTTTGCTTCTCTACAGACACAGCCAGCACACGAGGGATTGTGTTTCGCTGTTTTCTAGGCACAGCAGTTGCTACGCGTTCTAATGGAGGTTCAAATGACTGCGGATGTCGAGACAACTCGGCAGTAAGAGGCCTATCAAGCCTACCAGACTCCTGGTCTAGGATTTCTTCAGCAAGAACTGTGCGTCGTTCCGCAATGCGAATCACTGGTGCGGCTAGAGTCTCGTTCGGAGCGTGCTCAGCCTCATGTGGAGGTGCTGTTGGCTGCCGTTCGGGTGTGGAAATACTTGGCTGTCTTGAACAAATTGCAGGAGGTGTGTAGAATGCTGTAGGCTCATCTTGAATCCTCACTGTTTTCTCATCAAGCGGGACATCTCCAACGGTAAGCTGACGTCGAGAACGGATCCTTTCGTTGCGGGCTGGAGCGCGAATTGGTTCTTGAGGTGAGTCCAGAATTGATGGAGCCGGATGGCCGTGGTAGACATCTAAAACAGCCAACGGCTCATTGAGCACAGAGGATTGTGTGGAAGGAGAAGAGATTCGATCTGCTCCTAATTCCGGCTCCACGTTCTTTTGGATTAGGCCAGCAGGTGGTCGATCAGGCGGGCCCTTACATGATATGCCAGTCGCGAGTCGTTCAACAAGTTCCTCCTCTACCGGAGGTGCTCGCTCGCTGGGTACTCGTGTTGCCTTCCTTTCGACCTCAGTCGGTTGGTCATATGTGCTCTGCCGCGAGATGGCGGTTGAGGCTCGTCGTGATAATGGCTCCTCCTCCTCCTCCTCCTCCTCCTCCTCCGGTGGTGCTTGTTCCGTTTCCAATTCATTTGGTTGACGGGTTGCAACTCGTTCTTCCATTAGCTCTTCCGGCGACGGGGTCAGTTGCTGTTCCAGGATCCTTCTCGAAGTTGCAGCCCGTTGTGGTGAGGGGACTTCTTTGTTTTCAAGCGCCGTGGTTGGTATATAAGTTGCTTTTCTTTCCAGCCCAGCGGCCCGCCTCGTTATCAAAACTACTGGGACTCGAAAATCATCAACCTCCAATTCGGGCGTTGACTCAGTACATTGCTTTATTGTCACGTTGCGAACGATTCGTGCTTGGTAATCAATTTCCGGCTCGGGCTCTGGGCTTGGGTATTGCTCAATCGATCGCCTAGCCGTCATTTCGTGGACAACTGGAGGTTGGAAGTAATCAAGCTCCGGCTCAAGTTCCGGCGTCCCAAGTCCAGTCACGATGTCGAATGCATAGATCGGCTGTTCTTCAGCCTGAGCAGTTTCTTCAATCTCAGAGATATCTGGTTCTAGTGCAAGACTTATGGGAGATTCTGGTCGCTCTTCACGATACTCCACTTCCTCGCTCCTAAGCTCCGGTGAAAAGTCAACGGCATATTGCGACTGCTCTTCAACCTCCCGGAGATGATCGGTCTGACGTTGCGTAGCCACGTTAACCACAACTTCTGGTTGCTCTTCTGCGTCTCTAGAAGCTTCAACTGCCTCGGTCTCAAGTCTTGGCGCAAGGTCAACCACCGGTAAGGACTCCATGACGGCAGTGATACAGTCGATAGCAGCGGGCAGCTCGTTTTGTGCGCACTCAAGCCATGCTTGAATTTTTTCTAGCGGTATGGCTTCAACCTCTAGCCGGCCTTGTAAGATGATCGACATTCGCCGAGACTGCGTTGAGATGCGAGTAAGAACCTTGCTCAATCGCCTCTCGTTGACTCCCTGGTCGATCATCCTCGGTACTTTTTCGATAACGAAATCAACGGACTTGTTCCGAAGGCGAGTCGACTTTCTGAAAAGATTGTTATTCACTTTGCTAAGCGCACGCTCGACGGGGTCGATGAATGTCGAGGATCGACGACGATCATCAAGATGAATACCAAGATCGTCGGCGATTACATCGAGCTCATCCATGAGTTGACTCCGCGTTTCAGAAAGCTGGGTCAATTGTTTACGGGCCTTCTGTAGCCACGCGTCTTCGGTCTCTTGCGTTTTCTCCGACTCTAAAATAGTCGCCGTCCGCAAGTCCGGTGCATGAAACTCTTCTTCATCAAACTTTTCGACCACAGGCTCTACCACCGAGCTGTGCCTTGACATAGTGGAGGGTTCTGGTGAGCGTTCGGGTGAGCATTCGGGTGAGCACTCGACCGGCGCTGCCTCAAACTTGGCATCGTCTTCCGCAGTGTACTTTAGATCAAGATCTATACCCAGATCGTCGGCAGCAGAGTTGACTAGGTTTACAAGTTCTGGACCAGATTTTACGCTGTCAAGTAGCCATGGCAGCGCATCATTCATGTTAGGACCCAGCTGGCCCGGCGCTCCGACATTGAGCTTCTCAGCAGCCCTGGGCGATATTTGCGGGCAGGGCGGTTGCTAATCGCAGACCTGCTGAACTGGTTGACATACAGACCGGCAAGGGTGACAGACCTGGTTGCATACAGGACACTGGCAAATGATGTGGCAAGTTTCGGTACAAGGACCACCAGGATTGGAGCAGTTTACAGGGTCTTCCGAGACTTGTCGATGTTGTGCAAGGTTCGGTCGGCTAATCTTGATATTGTTGATGATTTTCTGCAGAGTATTCTGATGCTCTCCGAGGATAGAGTCGATGGCGTATCCCAAATCTTGAGTAAAGGTGTCTCCACGTTTGTCACCAGAGACGCACGCCGAATGATGCTGCCGACGGCACCTGCTGTCCTTCCTGAAGCTTTGTGCGCTGCCGGTAGAGGAGTCGCTTGCGGCTCGCCTCCTTGAGTGATGGTGCTTCGGCGTCATAGGTAGTGGGGGTGCTGCGGCACGACACTGGCTACACGGCTTTCTTGCAGCTTCTTCGCGAGGCTCGATTGCCGATATAGTCGAGAAGTGACCGCAAGCGCGCTTGATCCAATTATTACGGTCCTGAAGTGGTTTCTTGTAAGCCATGAATGTTGAGCCAGGCTTGATGCGCGCTCCGGGAAACCCGAAGTCCTGAGTCTTGCGTCGGCCGTATCCACCTCGCCAGTCAACGTGGTCGGGGACTTCAATGGAGTAGTAGCCCTCCTCTACACCGACATGTGCACTTGGATTAGCGGCCTGAGTAGTTGTTCGTTCTGTGAGGCTATGACCGGAGCTGGAACCGTCGTGGCTAAGACTTTTCGCAGCAATGTCCTCAAGCTTCTCGACCGTCGGTTGGGGTTCGCCAAAGTTGTGAACATATGTCTCGAAATCGTTGTCTAGATTCTCGAGTTCAGACATGTTCGATCCCCGCCTAGGTCGTCGCACGGACTCGTCAGCATCACTTTCCTGATCTATTGGGGCACTGCGAGATTCCTAACGCCTGCTCCTCTTGGTCCAGGTTGCGCTATGAGACTGTCGCTCAGTGAATGGGCTTTGTCGTGAGTCCCTTTGCTGGTCTTTGCCTGCGATTCCGCGGTCGAATTGGCTTGCAAACCTTCGAACAGCGTTACCAGTCCGTGACAGCTGGGCTTGTCCGGTCCTCTTTGGATCGGTTGATGGGCTAGCTTTTTGGGACTCAGCAGTGGACGACTTCCGGTTCGAACGGCGCCTCACTGTTTCATCAGAGGCGAGTGGGTGCTCTGGATATGCAGAACTTGCTCTTGTACTACGAGTACCCGCCGAGAGATCGTCAAACCGGTTTCGCTGTACAATTGAGCGCTGAACACCCCTCAGCGGCTTTGCCTGTGGTTTTGGTTCTGTGGACACACTTGTAGACCTCCTGCGAGCCGAGGCTGACGTTTCTGCGGCATAGAGAGATTTTGAATTGGACCACTCTGCGACTTTTGCAGAACGCTTAGGCGAACTTCGTCGACGAACTGGTCTTTCGCCATCGTCAAATCCAGTGGCGGTCCTCATGACGAGCCTTGGTCTGACTTCGTCCGCCTTCGCTCGAGTGAACGGATTGGTACGCTGAGCTGACTGTCTTCGCTCGGCAGCCTCTGTCTGTGGTCTTGGGATAGGCAAGGTAGCGCTAGAAATTTCCCGTCTTGTCGGCCTTTCCTTCGCAGGACGTGCTTCCTCACTGCTACCGGTAGACCGCATGACAGGGCCGGCCTTGTGCGGTTGCTGCTTGATCCCGGAGTCGGTGGAGGCGTCCTTGGCAATGGTGGCGGTTCTTGCAGACGGAAAAGGAGGAGCCTTTCGAGATTCCGAGGCTTTTGTCTCGAAAAGGCTCTTCGCATCCTTGACAGATACTGCCTTTTGTGGCGGTCGTGCTGGAGGGAGAGAAGATGGCCTTGGAGTGCCATCAACAGAGACTTTTCGCTCAGGCGCTGGCGGAGGGGTAGGGCGTGTGACGAATCTGAAAGAACCAGATGTTCTTGGGCGTCCGCCCATGTTGCTTCCGAGCTGTGAGGGTGGACCCGACTCTGGCGCTCTTCGCTCTCTGTAGGGATGCTCGACATTGTCCAAGATTCTGCCATAGGGGTTCTTGCCCGTCAAGTACAATGGCGACTTCGGCCTCGAAGGAGTCGTCTGAGGGGCGGAGAGATTGTTGGGTGGTGGAAGTGGCTGAGGCTGAGACTCCAAAGTCCGTTGAAGTGAGGGTTGTAATTGCTCGATAGTACCCCGTGGCGTCCGCGCAGACAGCTCGTCTACAGGACGCTTCTCTTGAGTCGCAGACTGGCTACGAAGCCCGGTATTTGTCGAAGGAGGAGCCGAGCTTGGTGCAGACAGGCCAGTGCCACGTCGCATGTGGTGCGGAGGATAGGATGGAAGACTTACACTGGACGCGTGAGATGCAAGTGAATGCAGCTGTAGCGTTGACGTCTTGTGATAGAAGAGCACGTAGGAATGTAGAATGACGGAAACAAGTAAAAGAAATTAGGAATAGAGGTAAGACGTGAACGGTTTGATTGAGTGCACTCAACCGGGTGTGTAAGAGGAAGCGAAGATGACCCAGGGAAGTGTTTTGCTATCTCGAGCACCTTCTATATTTTGGCCGCACGTGGAAAGCACTGTGGAAGGCACCTCCCGCGCCTGCTAGTGTACAACGTCACGCAATGAAATGCCGGAGGAAAGCACACTATTTACACAATTACTTCAGAGCCGCCTGCAGGCTCTCGAGGACCTAGCGTGACTGTTAGCAGTGCTTTCTGACGCATGGAATTATGCATCTGGTTTAGTGTATGCAGTAGAACTCACCTCGAGCTCAATCTTAGCCTCAGCAATGTCCTGCTCGCTGCCGCTTCCGCTGGCGATCTTCTGAGCCTCTGCAATCTGGTTTCGGACAGCCTGGCAACCTGTCAGTGTATCATCTACTACCAGCCGCGGACGCTGTGTACCTCTGCGCTGAAGTCCTCCAATGCGTATCCCTCGACGGCATTGATGCTGAGCTGCGAGTCGGGCTGGACGGTGGCGAACCCGCCAGAAAGGAAGAATTGCTTGCTGCCGCCGCTCTCCTCGATGATCTCAACAAGTCCGGGCTTCAATTGCTCGATCGAAGGGACGTGGTTGGCCAGGACACCCATCTCACCGGTCTCCGCGGGGAGGTTAACCTGGACGCTGCATTGTGAATCCGTTAGTATTCGCTTCGAGGTGAGGGTTCGGTCGGGCTGGCGGAGACGTACACATCCTGCGACTTGTAGATAGACTATTGCACATAGTTGTTAGCTTTCATCAAGTGGCTGTAGCGCCCAATTGCACAGAACACGGCGCCTCAATGGACGCGGTTGCTGGTCGTGCGTACCTGGTGCGGAAGAGCTAGGGAGAGCTTGATCTTGTCGGAGGCGACGTCGGCGTAGCCTCTGCGCATGACGGGGCGGGCAATGGCTTGGGGCCGCGCGCGAAGGGCGGCGCGAGCAATGCGGAGGGAGCTCATGATGGATGTCGGTGTGGGGGGGGGATACAATTGCTGATGCCGGCGCTGTGGTGTAGGAGGTCGACGCCGAAGTTCTTGTGCTTGGCAACCGCTACCGAGAATCCACCGCCGTTATGGTTAGCGCGCGTGTTCAATTCACTCTCCTCACGCTATATACCCATCGCGCACATCTTCCGGCCTAGCTCGTCACGCTTCATAAGGATATATGCACGAGGATATCTCGTCATTGTTTTGAAGGACGACATCAGTCGACATCCGTAAAGGTCACCAGGATCCCAGGCATCTGCACATTCAGCGTCTTACTTGTCTCTATCCTGTTCTGCACAACATACGTAGGTCCTCACATGTCTCAGTCAAGCCTACAGGATTCTCGCTCCCTTCAAAAAGGTGGACTCACGAATAAATTCGTCTCAGCATTAGTCACGCATCATTCGCACGAGAAGAAGATGTCCGATAATGTCCGGCTCACCGTGGAGCTCACGGATCGATTGATAAAATGACAAGCAATATAAGAGTAACTATATACACGAACTAAATACCTCCAGTTGCCAGCACCTTGGCCACCTCAACCACTCCTTATACAACGGGCCAACCACTCGAGAAGTCAATCTTGTTGATACCAAACTTCTTCTGTCCATCAGCGTACCCAATGCGGGTATCAACATAGTGGTAGTACAGCACCGGCCCAAGGCTAGGATCATAGTACACACCCTGTCCACCAGGCCCATACACCCATCCGTGAGACTCGAGCACAGTAGTTCCACCACCGTTTGTGCAAGAAACGCCAGCCTTGTCGACAAAGCCACCTGTAGCTGAGGTGGATCGGCACACCTGGATCTTGTACTCGCCTCCGGCGGCGGGCTTGCTCGTATCAAAGCCGCAGCACTGCCCGACCGAGAAAAAGAGGTAGTGGTAGTTTCCGTTCTTCGCGATGAAGGCGCCTTCCTGGGCGTGCGAACCGGATGGCTTGTACGCGATGCGGGTAGAACTAGCACCTGAGGCGACGGTCAAGGGAGGGTTGTTCATCTTGACGCTGTATATGTCGCCCCAGAAGGAGCCGAAGGACATGACCATGTTGGCGCCGTCATAGTAGGCGGCGCCGTCGATGGCGTTGTAGGCGGAGCCGGACTTTGAGCTGATGCCCGTGGCGCCGTGGTCAGTCCAGGTATCGAGGTCGCTGGAGCTGGCGACGCCGATGGCGGAGTTTTGCGAACCGAAGGAGGAGACGGAGTAGAAGAGGTAGTAGGTGTCGCCGAATTTGCTCACATCGGGGGCCTATCATGTCCTAATCAGTCTGGAATCCATGTGAAGAAGGTTGAACTGGGTTTAGAGGAGAAAACACATACCCAGAGGTCATCCTTCCCAGCCAAGTTGATCTTCGAGCCAGCGGGAATAGCAGCGTGAAGGTATGTCCACGGCCCATTGATCGTCTGCGCACTGTGGATGGCGATCTTGCCTCCGGTAGAGAAACGGTAGTACCTCCCATCGGAGTCACGACGGATGAGTGCAGGGTCATGAGCATTGTTGCAGACACCGCTGCACGCCATAGGATCAGCATAACCCTTCACCGTAGCAGCAAGTCCAAGGAGGGACGCAACGATATAAGACTTCATCTTGCCAGCAAGCAAATGCGAAAGAACTAGAAGGAGAACGAATGATCGAGGACCTGAAGATAGACTGAAGGAACAACAAGCTGTGGCGGGCAGACAGCCACTACATATAGTTGAACTCACGATGTCTACAGTCTCGCCCAGGTACACAATAGGGACCAGGTGGGTCGCCGTTTGTGGCTTGCCCCCCGAAATCTCGGTATTCATGGAGAAATGCTGTTAGCGTTGACCAATGTGAATGGTGGAAACACTATCACTTCGGGTGGTGCCAGCCTAAGACGGAGGATTTCGCCTTGGAACTACCACGTCCTAATTCCCATGTCGGCAGATATATTGCGGGGTACATATGAATGCACCCCAGATTGCTAAAGCCGTATGATGTTCCCAGCTACTGTCTACATACACGTAAGACAGCTTGAGCGCAGAGCCGTGGATGGCGGAATATAGAAAGCAGCTCCTGCGTCCTGGTGTGATGTGTGTACCCCTGCTTGTATCGTTTCACACGTGCTCACAATAGTGCGTTTCAGATAGGGCTGACGGCAATGAGATGGGCTTATGCATCCTGCTTCGGTACTCGCGGCTATCTAGTGCGCTTCAGTATAAGGCCACAATGTTTCCGCGATGGTGCAAGATTGGTGGATGGTACTTAGAGTCTAGACTAGACCTTGCGGGCATCGGCAAGACTGCGCGCCGAGCTTCAAACTCAATATGGACCTAGAGTGTCTGGATTATTCGCTCTCACATACCTATGGTATTTACAAAGACCTATGATATCGAAAGGAATACTTCGTTTGTACTTGTGAGATGTTGCCTAGCGCGCAGAATAGAGGATCTTGACTCCGGATGGCCCACGAACTCAATGCTAGAGAGAAGTTCCCGTTATGACATGACCTTGGAGCATCTCGGGCTATATCCGGTTGACAACACTATATGAACACCCTGCGCACCACCGTTCAACCCTGCACCCTGTAGCTGTGCCAAGGGGTAGTGTGTTTTCCATCAATGAAATGCTACGCCAACACAGCAAAACAGAATTTCATCCCTACGTGGTATACCAATATCCTTGCTAGCCCTTGCCTACTTTGCTAGATGACAAACGTGCGAAGGATATAATATAAAGGTTATAACAAGCATCTAGGACGGGGCGGCTGGCCAACGGAAAAAAAGTACTTCCGCAGAGTGCCGTCGGAAGATCTAGGACAGACCATCATGTATACACTTCGTTGTGCCGATAGCAGCAAATCCGCATGGCGCATCAAAAGAAAGTCATAGGCATGTGTATAGGCAATGGTATATTTTGTGATCGCGGACTACACGCACAACGGGTCCTCGAAGATCATATCGACGTTAAAACTTTTTTAATCACCGTATGAAATTAGACATGATGCTACAAAACCACACCTCTGCTCTGTCTAATAAAAGGAGAAGGATGCCTGTCTGATGCACATCATACTAAGAATTGGAAAAAGCGGGTCTCCTGAACCCAATTCCAACCGTCCGTCTGCCCCAGTGTTTGTCCGCCATCCTCCATATATTGCCCAAAGTACCTGCTGTACCAAACATCACGCACAGCAGATCGAAGTCATTACATAAGCTTGAACATTGCCGTCGTTGAATGCATCACAAACTTACTGTCCACCTCTCCTGAACGCACCGGGCCTGTACTTGCCGTCGCTGGCAGCCTGTGCTGGGGGAGGACGCGAGCTCTCGGGAGCATCTCCCGGAGTGCCACGTCGGCCTGGGGCCACATAACCGCCTCCAGATGCAGGAGATCCTGTCCTGTCAGAGTCTTCGCGAGGCTTGAAGCCACCTCGACGCTCAGGCGCCTCGTAACGACCGGAAGAAGCGGCAGGAGACTCGTTGCGGCCAGCCTGGGACCCACGTCCGCTGCCTTCACGTTCTCGCCATCCGCCAGCAGCAGGAGCATCACCGCCGTCGCGGTTACGGAGATGAGGGGGAACAAAAACGTTCCGCCTGGGTGCCTCTTCAGCTGCTGGTGCGGGAGCTGCAGGGGCAGGGGCAGGGATTCGGTGGGGGAAGTTGACCAGCGGCCTTCATGGCCTCACGCTCGCGCCATGTTGGCTTGCTGCCCGCAAGTGCAAGTCTAGGAGGACCACCAGCAGAAGATGTGGGTTCTTCGCGGGCCGGAGTATCGCGGGCCGGAACATCGCGTGCCGGAGCATCGCGGGCAAAAGGTGCGGCTCCAGACTTCTTCGCGGCGCGCCTTGCCTCGGCCTCCTCCTCTCGCTGTCGCTGAAGGCGTGCTTTCTCGGCGAGTTCGCTGAAAGTTTCGTTAGCAGCTGTAAGATAATAACAGAATTCCAGTACGTACGCTCTCTCCGCATCGCGGGCTGCCTTCTCCGCCAAAAGCTTCTCCCGCCTCTCTGCTTCCGCCTGTTCCTTGGCTTCCCGTTCGGCCTCCTCTCTCTCTTGCTCTTCCCTCTCTCGTCGCTCTGCCTCCTCTCGTTCGCGCTTCTCCTTGGCAATGCGTTCTTTGATCTCTTGAACACGCTTCGCCTTCTTCTGCTCGAGCTCCTTCTGTGCGATCTTGCTGCGCTTCTCGAACTCTGCTCTGCGTGACTGCTTGACTTCGTTGACGAAGTTCTGGTAGGTTGGTACCAGCCTGGACAGACGGTGCTTCAATGCAACATCTTCCTTGTGCTTTTGCTCAGCCTCCTTGAGCTCTTCCTCTCTAGCCTTCTCGTATGCGTCCTCATCCTCCTTCTGTTGTCGTTCGTAATCATTCTTGAGATGCTTGATCTCCTCTTTGCGGTATGCACGCTCAAGATGGTCGATACGCTTGCCAGCAATGCGTAGCTGCTCACCGAGTAGATTCTTCTCCTTCTCGAGAGCAGCCAGCTTCATAGCACGAATACGCGTGGAGTCGAGCTCAGTGATGTCCTCTGGAAGATCCAGGTCAACTTGCACAGAGTCTTTGAGCTCTTTGATCTGCTTCTCAAGCTCCTCACGCTGCACGCGCTCCTGTTCTGCCTTGATTCGTGCTTGAGCACGCTGGCGCTGCTCTTCAGCAAGACGGCGGCTCTCCTCCTCCTTGGCTTGCTGAACGCGGAGGGCTCGCTTGCTCTGCTCCTCGCTATCCTTCGCCTGCTGTGCCTTAAGAGCAGCCTCCTTCTTCTGTGAAATGATATCGCGGCGAGCAAGGGTCTCACGATGTTCTTTCTCGGCACCTTCCTTGGTGCGAAGCAGGGCAGCCTCCTTGGCCTTTTGCCTCTCAGCGTTGAAGCTCGGGTCAACATATTGGCAGGTGACAAAGAGAGATTTTGCCAGACGAGTGAGCTGGGATCGGACGATCTCAGCAGGTGTGCTCTGGAGTCGCTGAACCGATCGTGCTTCGCTCTCGGCGGAACCTGCGCCTGAGCCAGGGTGCATAGCCTTAGCAGAAGAGAAGACGTCAGAATCAAATGTAAGGACACCAGCGGCGTGGTCAATGCGGATGGCCAGGTCTCCCTTCTTGCAACCGTTCATGATGAACTTCTCGATAGTGCCGCTAGTGACCTTGAATGACTCAGGGAATTGGGCGAGGTTAAGTACGAAGCTGATGTCAACTGAGTCATAGACCTGGGACAGCTGCTGGAACAAGCGAGTCAAAATGACTTGCTGGAGAGGGCCGATGTAGATTTTCATGGCCTCGTCAGCACCAATCTGCTCGAGGATGGGCGAAATCTTCTGGCAGATGGAAAGAGGGTGGAAGTCGACTTCAAGGATATTGTACAGATCCCGGATCTCCGGACGAGCGCGCTTGAGGAGGCCCTTGCTGAGTGCATCCTTGAAAAGAATGGCACGGGTAGGAGCTTGGGACATGCCGAGAAGGTTAGTCAAACGGGAGTTCTTGTTCTTCCTGGCCTCGTCTACATCAACCAGGGCACCTCGCGATCGGGAAGTGCTGATCACGGGGATGGAAAGTGCGGACAAAAGGACAAAAGAGGCGGTGTTGACGATGTCGGCTTCAGTAACGGGAGGATTGTCTTTCTTGGACTGTCCAGCGCCAACGGCAGCAGCGGACTGTCGCAGGAGGTTGTAGTAACGGCTCCATGCAGCGGCGTGGAAAAGGTAGTTCTCGCTGCGAAGGAAGATCTCGGTAAGATGCTTGAAGTAGTTGGCCATCATGTTGTTCTTTGCGGGACGCTTGCTCAAAGTGAGTAGCGTGTGAATGTCTTCCACACTGCGGAAGGCCTCTTGCCAAAGCTCAAGCTTGACCGCAACGTCCAACTGCTGGAAGCGGGTATCAAGGTGGCGCTGAAGGGTGTCTGGGTCCGACAGATTGATTGCGTGCATCTGGGAGGAGAACTTGGCAGCATTCTGGAGATGGTTGCGCAGAAGCTCACACAAACGGCGGAACTCAGTCTTGCGGGTGTAGTTCTGGCAGAACTGGAACGCCTGGAGGGCTGTCGACTGGTACATGATCTCGAGACGCGCATTGTTCTTGAAGATATCTAGCACCGTGCGGTATGTCTCCCAGAGGAACTTCAGCCATGGTGTAACGATGGCCCGGTCGGTGCGGTCCTTGGATTGTTCGCCAGAAACCGTGGAGAGGAGGATGGATTCGGGGGTCTCGGAAGCCTCAAGGTCGTCAATAGCCTTAGCTGCTGCCTCCTCCTCTACACCATCAGAAGGGCCTTCGGTGGCCTTGTGCACCTCGGCGGCCTTTGCCTGAGCATCGGTAACCTTCTTCTCCGCAAGTTCGATGAAGCGCTTGAATACGACCTGCCCACTATTAGCCCAGATTTTAGTCTTGCCTCTTAGTTGTTTATACCTCAATGGTGCCAACGTTGGTATTCTGTGCGGTGTTCTTGTATTGGTAGAGGCCGTCCTTTGCCAGTTTGCCTTTCCTGAGGTCGACGCATAGTTCGACAAACAGGATCATCACCGGCTCGAGCGAGGCGATGGGGCTGTTTCGTGTGCGCTTGGATATGACATGTTCGTGAAGGAGCTGTAGGGCGGCCTGGGGTTGCTGCACTCCGATGAGTTCTTGTGCGCGTTTGCTGGAGGGCCGTTAGCAACGATGCAATCGTGAGTGTTGGGCATAAAGGCGACGGACAGAGTATTCTCAGGCTTGCTGTGCGGCGGCGGCGCCATGCTGGGCAGACTGGGGATCGCAGATCCGTCTACGGTGTCGCTTTGAGGCTTCGAAGCGGGCTCAGCGAGGGGTTGCGCAGAGGTTCACGCGGTTGCGGTGGGCTTGCCTTCGAAAATCAGCGTTTGGTGTGCGCTATCTCATTAGGTTTAGGCCTAAGCGGGGGCACCGTGGGCAGTAAAGTCACGTGCTCAATGTCGACCACCACAACGTTGACGGCAATGAGTCGAAGTTGTAGAACCGTTGCCTTCGCATTGCAACATGGCGCATCCAGTCAGTGGGTAGCATACTGAGCATTCCGTGGTGATTCGGGGAGCGCTGCTTCATCCGTTGCCGATGGACTGGAACAGCTCGCGGCTGGTGCGGGCCCACCTTCCAGAACAACAAGCACTACCTATGCACAGTCATCGCAGAGCCAGCGGTTTGCTGCCAGCGTAGACTGACCGCTGTTCAGTCGTCACGCTGCGCACTACCAGCTCATCACAGTATTGACAGTGTGCGCAGTGAGCAATCCAATCTTGCGCCTTGATCGTCGCTGGGCCACATGCGGCTAGGCTGGGCACCAAGCCAACATCCGAGCTCTCTCATTCCCTCCCCTATCCCGTCCGCGCCCACGCTCTCCCCAGCACAGCGTTGCCCTCGCCTCTGCTCTGCCCTCCGCAGCCGCCGCCTGTGAACGTTGCCGTGACGGTCGCTGGCCCGCAAGTCGAACTCGCTCTCACGACCCGCCGCTCCTTACCCGCCTCTCCGCTCTCCCGTCTCTGGCACGTCCTCTGCCGCAACGCAGGAACGTCGCACCATCTCGCGAGCACTCCACGCATCACCAGCGCACGCCGCTCCACTCACAAACGCTCCAACCCACGGCCCTACGCCTCTCCTTCGCCATTCTTAGCCCCTCACTCCCCGCAGCCGCACGTTGCCCACCATGATGGCCGCTGCACCCTACGAGATCCGCACTGGCGGCGATGGAAAGAGCAAGAAGCAGAGCATGGCCGAGCTGAAATTGCGTCGCCTCACCGAGCTGAACCAGCGTTTGCGCGAGGACCTCGAGCGCCGCCGGATACCGGTGTCGGAAGCTGCCATTGAGTAAGACGCCGCCAATTGGCATCGGAAACAGGCAGTGTGTGCTGATGATACGCGTAGTCTTATTGCATTCACGGACAAGGAGCCCAAGGACTGGATGGTACCATCGCGATGGGGAACGGTGCGTGGCTGCCATGGCGTCAACTGCTTTGAATACGGCTGACAGTTTGCAGATCGACAAGCGGGACGACCCCTACGCGCCTCAGCAGAGCAACGGCTGCTGCATAGTAATGTAAACGACTCGAGATGGCGGGTGTCATGTCCAGCAACGGCGTTCATGCGGAGCCTTTCACGGCACACTTTTCATATACCTTTTTGGGGATGGCGGTGGATAATACCCATGGTGGTCAAAACGCGGCCTTCCTGGACCGACCATGTACTTTCAGCAATGTGTAAATTACGGGAAAGCGTTACTGCCTGCCTTTGCAGCGCAGCGGGGATCAGCTTCTGGGTGTGTCTAGTCGATTCAGCCTTGCCAGGTATTTCAGTATGAAGCAAAAGCAAGAGTTCTAATTCAACACATCCTATGTCTGTTTAGACTGTTTTGTCTAGCGAGCACCGCGAAGACCTCGATACAGTGATGGGCGGGTCAGTGTACGTGTCGCACGAGAATGAGCGACAATATAACAGGGCAAAGGTGAAGCTGCTCAGCACCCTCGAGATGTTTGGCTCCATGCTTCTTTTATACATCCACTTCTGGAGCAATTCACCATGGGCAATATCTGTAGAGGTGACTTATTTCGGGCCCGCCTTTTGCTTGTTGCAGCGGAGGCGAAGGATTCGTCGTTCTGTGATGGTTCCAGACATGTTCTGGTGTGACCAGGAGAGGAAGGTCATGTACGCCTCGTCAACGGCAATTTGCCAGTTAGGCGAGATTGGCCCGGTGGCGCGTCACCTCACCTCATGCGTCCATCCGCGAACAACGGAGCAGACAGTTTAAACGCCTTCTCACAAGTAAGCGCGGAGATGGTAGTACGGGCTGACGAGATAGGGTGGTATGCGCTGCACCACTGAGCCCTCGAGGAGGCCTCGAAAAGGCCCCCGGTCGGCGTGCCTTGGCTTCGGCGTCGGCTCGCACAGGAACACAGGAGGCCTGGGCTGCTACGGGGGCGGAGATGACGCTGGTTGGTCCAGCCAACGACGCTCATGCAAGGGCTCGGCGACAGCAGCATCAAGTGCGGGATGTCGTGGAGGTTGCAGGACGATGTCTACAAAGTCGCCGATGCTTGTGCAAGACATGGTGAGCAGCACATGATCAACAGAGAAACACCGGCCATGGCAAAGTTGCAACGAGGTTCTGGCCGTTGGGTGTGACAGATGGCCCGTGACGGCCTGCAGATGTCAGTTTCAGTTGTTCTGTTGACGGATGCGAGTCAGCAGCGGGTTTGTCGTATTTTCGCGAACTGCATGTCGCGCTCTCGAGGATAGGCGATGCTTAATTCCAAGTCGCGACGATGCGCACTACATATACCTGAAGCGTGTGGAGTGGGAGATGATCTCTATAGGAGCCTCCCTAGTCCAACTGCTCGGAGCCATTCCGTCTCGTGATGCGAGGTCCGGCAATGGTGAACAGGTGGTTAGGGGGCCATCGTGGCAGAGGCAGCAGACGAATGAGACCGGCAAGCCGCATGCTACCCCAGAATGCTATTGACATACAACGGCAGGGCTCGTATTGATCGGCGAAAGAGCTCAGCCTGGCGCAGCCACGGCGTTGACCGCGGCGCGTGAGAGGGATGATTTCAGCACTCGAGCGGCGGTGCTGGCGTTCGGACGTGGGCGTCTTATCGTTTGTAAAGCGTGGGGTACAGCGGCGCAGGGGTCACGACGATGCTGGCCGTACGGGAGACGACGTCGGCTTGCCGTCGATTCCTCCCCTCTTCTCCCTCTCTCTCTCTCTCTCCAGCTAGAAGGCGGCCTATCGCGCTGCCTCGGACGACCAGCGCTATTGATGTCCCGCGTTCAGTTCGGGTTTTTGCGCGACGGCTCAACCTTGGATTCCGCTAACAGCAGCCGCCCCACCACCTCACCAGCACGCAGAAAATCCCCTCTGGGGTCTCCAACCTGAGCGCCCGTCTTCGCCCTGTCGCATAGATGAACGGCACCACCGGTGCCCCTCCAGCATGGTCTGGCGCCGAGCACTTCGACATGGCCGGCTCCGAGCACGATTTCAGCAATCTCCTCGACTTCGATCTCGACTTTTCCGAGTTCGCTAACGGTTCCTCCGTCGGCCACGGCGGCCAGCAGCTCGAGCAACTCGCCGACGAGCTCGACGTCCAGCACCTGCACAACCCCTTCAGCCCGCAGATCCAACAGCAGCAGCAGCAGCAGCAGTCGCAACTTCGCAATGGTGCTCGCACGCCCGGCGCGCCGCAGCCGCAAAGGCACCTGGACGGTCGCAACGGCGGCCACCCCCACAGCATGCCCCAGCAGAGCGGCTTCTTCGAGTTCAGCATGCCGTACCAGCAACACGGCGTGCCTGCCTTCACCCAGGCGCCCGACATGTACCGTCCGCACGCGCAAGTGCCTCCCACGCCAAATAGTATGGAATTGCACGGCGACCCGTCGCGCTACCTGCAACAGATGGATGCGCACCAGGCTATGTTCGACGGGCGATTCCAAATGCGCAAGGACGAGGTATGTGGAGTACGGAAGAAGAGAGACTATCATCACTAACCACTGCATAGTCCTTCACTCCACTGGTATCGCCCGCAGTCACGCCTCATGAGCCCCGCTTTCAAGTACACGATATGACCACGGTGCCGGGCGCATACTTCAGTCCACTAACCTCGCCCGCCCTGAATGCGCAAAACTACCCACATGCGCAAACCCACTCCAGCCACTATGGGACTACCTCCGGAAGTTCTACGGGAGCATCACCGGTGGATGTAGATATGGACATGTTGGAGGAGCCCGCCATGAGCCAGTCGAGCCAGGGCCGCAAACTCAGGAGCGCAACTAAGAGGAGCGCCCCTACGCGGTTCTCGGCTGCCCCCGCGCGCGTACGACAGTCTCCCATTGTAAAACCTGCGAGGCGAAAAGCTACCGTGTCATCACTCATCCCTCCCAAGGAAGTAACGGATCTGCTGGAGGAAGAACGCGTCCGTCGTCCTTCGTCCAGTGGAGCGGATCTACGTCTTAGCCGCGAGAGCTCAGAGTCTGATTCCATATCTCCAGGCCCTCTCTCGGAGATGGGACCTCCACCCAAGCCGACTTCGGTGCACCCGTCTCCCGCAATGAGTGCACAAACTTCTGCATCAGGGGTTGCACCTGCCACTCCAGCTTCTCTGATGCGCATTCACCCATCGCCTACTTTCGACGATGCAGATGCACCACCAGCATTGGACGACTTGACATTGCCGGAAGCCTCTTTGGACAGGCCGCAGCTATCACGGATAGACACTGCACTTCAAGAAGACCAGGATACACCAAGATTAGCGGCACGGAAAACACCTAAGCTGGGACCATTGTCTACCCCGTCTGGAGCTTCTGCGCAGTCAGGGAAGCCCAGTCCCAGTCCGATGCTCAGCGCCATTTCCTCTCCTACAAGTCCAGCATTCTTTCCGGGAACCAACAGAAAGGCAGATCCAAAGTCCGCTCGTCCGTCTAAGAAGCGGAACAGCGTCACTTCGACACTGGTGAGCCCTGCTCTGCGACCGAAAATATCTCCTAGCATCAAACCATTACTTCCTGACGGCTGTAAGTGTATAATGTCTTGAAAATCATTGACGACAAACTGACATCGAGTAGCCGTCTCTGGTGACACTCACGCGCTTCTGCTCGCCTCCAAGTCGAATTACCAGAATATTCTCGATGGCACAGTGGTTCCGGGCGTCTCCTATCCAACATCGCTCTCCACGAATTTGACCTCAAAACGAACCTCGCACAAGATTGCCGAGCAAGGCCGCCGAAATCGTATCAACACGGCACTGCAAGAGATGCAAGCGCTTCTACCATCCCCGCAGCTCGGTGCCAAAGAAAGCAAAAGCCCAGAGAGCATGACTGCTGCGCAATCGAACAACTCGAAAGCGGCAAAGGTCGAATCCGCCATCGATTACATCAAAGCCCTCCAGAAGCAGTGTGCAGAAAAGGACAGGGCACTCGATCAGAAAGACCAAGAAGTGGAAGCTCTACGCAGAGAGTTGGCTGCATTCAAACGATCGGACTCGACGGGAGCAGCATCAAGCGCCGACACAGCGCTGCAGTCCACCGAGGAGAACGGTACCTGAAGAGCCACGAAGCGCACAAAGACTTTGATATAGATTATGCCCGCAGCGTTTGTTGTTTCTAGCATGCATCCTACAACAATATCGGCATCCTGTACGGCGCATTGTGTCGGCTTCGGCTTTTGGTTCATGATTTACAGTATTATGAGCATCATGCAAGATCTATTTGCCAGTATCGTCATTTCCAGGTACCGTACCACCAACAGCTAGTCGGAGAGAGTCGGAACAAGGACCCTGTACTGATTCCCATGCATACCCGCGCTTGCTTCCGCGGGGTCGGGTCATGCGGGTGGAAATTGGAGCGACTGGACCGGCGCAAAATGGGTCAAGGGTTGCAAAATCTTTCACGCATGGGTGGAGTGGGGGCGTGGGTGAAGAGGTGAGCTTAGGGAAGGCGTGGTACCAATGGGCGGGTCTGATTGGTTGGTGGGAAGCCACAATACAGCGCGAGGAGGCCGCGCTTTTACGTGACGAAGGGAAGACGTCGGTGTGCGTCTGCTTGCGAGTTGACCAGCTGTTCTGGGAAGCCGGTATGAGCACATGATTTACAAAGAATGGCCATGTGGCGCGGACGTGGGATGCGCCTACGAGACATACGTAGCCGCACTCGAATAAGATTCTACAAGAAGGGAGATCCAGGTCGGACCCGTGTGAATCTGACGATGCCGGCGCTAGTAGGGGAACATCAAAGCGTGGTCGCGATCTCATGGTCAATTAGCGTAGACAAGCCCTTAAACTACCGTCTCTAACTACCATTTGACCGTTCTACCGCTTGATCTCACATAGCGATCCACATATAACATCATTCCTCCAACGTCATCATCTAATCTATCACACAGCATCACCTCCATCCCGAACGACCCCATCTTCTCAGCGGTTATATTCACTTCTTGCGAATGTGCGCCCCTCTGCGGCCATGTACTTTCAAAGCGGGACACAACCCAGCCTACGAAGTACTCGGTACACCTCCGTACACCACGTAGGCAGCCGCACGCGGAACTATACGTCGTCGTGACCGCTTCCTTGAACAGTAGTATATGCATTGGGCAGCTGCGCAATGGGGATGTGCTCGTGTACGAGGTCTTGGAACTGGCTTCCTTCGTGTTCAGAGTAGAAATACCACAATAATTAACATCTATTCACCTTAGCATGCAAGTTCGAATGTTATCGGAGAAGGTATTCACGTATGCCACCGGACACTAGCAGTATGCCGCCAGGATGAACTCATGGATCCAGCAGCATGGTTGCTGGGAGGGGATCGTAAAGCTTAGTGAGCTTGACCGGCAGAAGCTCTTCGAAGTGCGAGTGTTTCATCCGGCCGAATGGTGCGAATTTGCAGATCGTGATCAGATCATGTACTTGTCTGCGAAGTACAGCGCCAAAAAACTGTTGACGTCCATCAAGATTACGATTTTCGAGCCGGTAATGTGCACCCACATGCCAGCATGTAACTTACGACTCTGCATGTGAGACACGGAATTGAATATATCGGTATCTCTACACCACACTGCAGTCCGGCAAGGCAATACATTGAGCACACTTGGAAAAGGCTGAAGATATATTACTAGTCTCATAGACCCTGCACTGAGAAGGCTGATTGTTCTTCCCCGAACTAACCTCCCATCACGCGACGCAGCCCTCAATATCCCCCCTCAACTCCTCCAATCCTTCCCAGAATGCTTCCCCCACAGTCCAGCACCTCACATCGCCGTGGTACCTCTCAAACAGCGGGCTCGGATACCAGCCTCCAATCCCTTCATCGTAGTAGAAAGTATCTTCGAAGCTGAAGGGCCAATCAAAGCGCAAGTGGTTGGCATAGGCGTTGGAGAGTTTGCTATTGCGGAAGAGTGTGTGGTGGTGGTGGACGAGGCGGTTGCGAAGGGACGGCCAGGCGAACATGTCGATGGCTATGGGGTGGTGGGTCGAGGATTGTAAGGCGCTGGAGAAGCGAATTAGTGCGATGATAGGGAAATGCGAGGGTGGAAGTACCTAGGGCGCAACCACGTTGGTACTCTGTCGAGTTCTTCTTTGGTCGGGTTTAGGTAGTACTGCGAGCTTTTGTCAGTTCGTTGTCGACGTAGACACCTCTACTGCTACAGTACTAGATCATGATTGTGGGTGCCGTATTGCGCATCCCGGAGTGACACAGTGTACGCAGATTTTTGATGAGGCATTGTTAGCGACCCAAGACTTACCTTCAAAAGCTTGAAACTCTTATAGCTAGCCGCCAACCGTTCCATCTTGCCACTTTTTACAAATAGGAACTGGTCCACGGCTTTCAAGATCTGCAATACCGGGCTCTGTTTCCAGTCGTCAAAAGTTGTCCAGCCGTCTTTGATCCCTTTGAACAGTAATCCGGCTTCCATGCCCCAATCAAATGCACTGCCTGAAGAAAGGTTAGACACACCTGTTGATGAAGGTAGGCGGCTCGAATATATTTTGTTGAAGATTTCGTTTGATTTGCGCCATATGGGGCAGATGGGCATGTTGGCAGATGAAGCAGCACTGGCAGGCTCTGGAATGTGTAATATAATTGGAGATGGGCAGTTCCAAGCACGCCCAAACATTTCTATTTCTTGGATGAAGGGTGCAAAAGCAGCCGTTGCCGGGGAGTCTGGAGCTTGAATAAGAGTACCTTGGTGCGTTGGTCCATTTGTGATATCGTCGAGGCCCAGACTGAGATCTAGCGCACTGTCAGAGGCCGATGAGGTTGGCAGAGCGATCGGCATCATTGACATGCCATCCAGATCTACGGCGCGTGCTGTCGCTGGTATTTGAGGATTGAATTCGAATGAGTGCGAGGTGTACTGCGCTTCGGGCGGCGAATTCTCGGGTGATGGCAGTGAGGGCGCCGGTTTGGCATCGGTGGTCGCTTGTGAGTATGAGATAGAGTCTCTACGAAGTCGGGGAGAGGCTGGACCTACCAACGGTGTCAGTCATCTCATTGCCCCCAGTACATCGTGTAAGTGTGCATACCAGCACTCTCGTCCATCGGCATGCTCTCCTCAGGTGTCTCGTCAATTGCACCGGCCGTAGCTGAAGCGGTCGGCGCCATCCTTCCAAAGACTTCCCCTCCAATGACATTTCTCACTCCGTCAATTACATCTCTCAGCCTCTCGTTTTCTGCTCTCAGCCCTTCGATCTCGGTGAGAAGGCTCGCCGTCGCGCCATTTCTGTCTTGGTTTCTCAATATCTCAATTGTACGCTCCAACTCCGCGATGTGTGTCTTGGTCTTCTCCCTCAATGACCTCTGTGCCTCACGATCGATTGCTCTCTTCCTCTCCCGCCGTTCTTGTTCACCCAGACACGATGCCCGACGTTTGCGCTTGACAACGGGCGCAATGGCCTGTAACGGACTCGTGGCCGAGGCGTCACTGTTAGACCGTCGGTTCACCATGGCTCTTTCCAATCACGGGCAAGGTCCGTATGAAGCATGTACAAACAAGTCGATAGTGCTGAATCGCTATCACGAAGAGTCTCGAACAGTATCGAACAATGTCGCAAACATCGACTCGCTATCTAATCCGACACCGCGGAGCCCGTCCGACATTAATATCTATCCTAACTTCGTCTGTGTGTCGTTTGACCACCTGCCGAGGAACCTTCCCTTGCAATTCCCTCACACGCTGCGGGTCCGGTATCAAACGTTCCATTTCCCGAATGCGGGGAAATGGAGAGATAACCCCACCTTGATCGCCAGCGTGCATGCCAACCTCGCACTAAAACGCACGTGTGAGCAATACTAGAGGCTCGCACACGAGGCCAAGTCATGGTACCGAGGCGCGCCGGTCATGACAGGATGACGAAGGCTATTCAGGTCCCTTTTATGGTGCCGGATGGGGGTCACCGGTGAATATCGGCCACGGCGGTGTGGATGTCAGAGGATGGATGAGAATGGTTCAAGTTCCACAGGGTCCTCAACATGCCCACGTCTAGTCAAGGGCCGCTGCGGGAGCGTAGAAGTAGCCCCAGGAACGGGACTGAGTGGTTCGGAACTCTGAGCCTGGTATTGGAATTGTGCAACTGGCACGGAGACTTGTGCCACGGGGACAAGGTTTCATTAGAATTGCCCATCAGTCCGGTTGTCTGCGCGACTTGCATATAGCCTACTTCAAGTGTACGGGTTTACCTCGCATAGCTCTAGGCACAGCAAGGACTTGAGCTATCGCCGGTATGTGCACACGTGCTACGGTAACTACTATGTATGTAACCCTGGAAGGACCGACATGTCGGATTGCAGCACAAGGTCCTTACAGAGCTGCATACATGCAACAAGGGACCGAGACGATAGCTTCAGAAGATAGCGAGACGGTTGTTCAACATGCGTCATCATTGTATTGGGGTTTTTCACACAAGCAACGACCACTTTGATTGGTACGATTGTCAGGAATCCTTCGTTGTTGCATTCATCGAGTGTTGCAAGAGACAGCCTCGCATAACAAGGAGCGCAACCAGGTAAAGCTCGAACCAATCAGAACGTTGTTCTGCCTGGGCATATCCCTGAAGCTTTCGATAGAGGCGTACACCACAGCTTGATGCTCTCGCGAGTCTAATCTCTCGATGTATGCGGAAACGCCTAAGTCTCACAAATGATTGATGTCAACAATCATAATGAGACCTATTTACGCACGTGTCACCAACATTGTCAACATACTGCCTACAGCTTACTCGCTTTCCATTCAGGCTTCCGCTTCTCCGCAAAGGCCTTCAACCCTTCCAACGCATTCTCGCCCGTATTCAATTCCCGCTCGTATCTCTCAATAACCAATTGTGTCGCACGCTCCACACTTCCATTTTCCCAAGCCTCCTTCAACGCCGCCCTCGTCACAATCGCCGCGTCGGGACTGATGGCTGCGATCTCATTTGCTAGTTTGAGCGCTTCGTCTACGACTGTGTCGGCAGAGGGCGAGATACGGTTGACGAGGTTGAGCTCCTTCGCTCGTTGCGCAGTTATAGGGCGGCCGGTCATGGCCATCTCGGAAGCGAGTGGAAGTCCGATATTGCGGACGAGACGGGGTGGGCCGCCGGCGCCTGCGAAGATACCGCGGAGGGCTTCAGGGAGACCGAAGGTAGCGGAGGGCGAGGCGACGACCATGTCACTGTATGGTAGTGTTAGCATGTCCTTGATCTTGCAATATATTGGTCCATCCAGTCCCACGTCTGCCACCTGACTGTGCCAAACAAGTACGTAGTCGCACGGTCGTATGAATAACAGAACGGCTGTACTCACCAACCCAGTACAATCTCAAATCCACCTCCAAGCGCAAACCCATTCACCGCCGCAATTATCGGCTTCTTGCCTGCCCTCCTGCTAATCCCGCCAAAGCCGCTCAACGGATGCCTTTGCTTCGCAACATCCCTCTCAATCGTACCTTGCCTGATCTTTCCTAATTCAATCAAATCTTGCCCCGCGCAGAATGCCTTCTTGCCTGCACCCGTAATAATAGCTACGCGTAGGTTCGGCTCGCGGTCGTACCAATCAAACACTTGACCCATTTCGGTATGTCCGGCATAGGGTATACTGTTCATTTGGCGCTCGCGGTTTATCGTAACGAGAAGGACATGGGGGGCGGGATAGGTGAGGAGGACGTGCGATGTGGGAGGGGGCTGCGTTGCGGGTTTGAGCATCGTGGAGGCCATGGTTGATATGTGGGATGTATCTGTTGCAAAGGCTATGAATTGTGACTGATTCGATTTGTAGAGGTTTAGAATCTTTGGACCAGCCTGGCCGTGTATTGTTGAGTACTACATGGCGGCGTGGTGAGATGAGGATATGTAAACGCGGAGCTCCAGCTGTGGGGATTGGACCGAGGTCCATGTCTACCCCAGACGACTGCTCCGAACGGACGTGCCATCAAGTGGATAGGGAGCGGTCACACTCGTGACGACTCTCCACTACATGCTGCCTCGAAGTCTCCGTTACGAACGTTAGCGCATTGCAATGATGAACAAAGGCTTGCCTCGAAAACTACCCGTGAGAAGGTGAACGGTCGCGTGAGTTTCAGAGGTTGATTGTGTTTCATCGCGCAGAGGGAACGGCAATGACAATCATAGGTGCCTATGGTACATAGAGAGACGTACCTACTCTTTAGACCAGGGATTGTGTTCCAAGATTCTAGGATCTATTATGGCAGCCGCTGAGTTGACCAAAAAATATGGCTTCTACTAAAACTTTCCAGAGGCGTCATTCATTTGTGTGTTATTTGCCATGGTTTATCCGATTTCTGAGGCTATACAGGAGACACCACGAGGAGGCGCAAGGATCCGACTCTCTATTTCAAAAAGCCAATACTAGCCAATTGCTCCTTCCCACTCGTACTGCAACTTACCGCCTGCAATCCATCCAGCTCTTTCAACCCCTGCTCGAGCGCCATCTTCTGCATGCCCCAGCTGTCACTCCCCAGCGGCAATCTTAGCGGCATCTCCCCGCCCTCCTCAACATACTCGTACAACACCTGCGCCACCCTCTCCGGCTCAGCCCAGTTCCTCGTCGCCTCAAGGCTCTCTTTATACTTCAGCAACTGATTCGTCGGAGTGTTGGGATCTCTGTAAACGTCCAGCCTGGACGAGGTGTCGAACCCCGACGTACTCGTCTCCGCATACCTCGTCTTCACGCCGCCAGGCTCGACACACAGGACTTGTATCCCCCACTCCTCAGGCATCTCCTTCGCCAGACCCTCTGTGAACCCCTCTAGCGCGAATTTGCTTGCGTGGTAGAACGTGTTTCCTGCGAAGGCGAGGCGCCCGCCCATGCTAGTAATTTGCATAATGAGTCCGCCTCTGACTCCCGTCTTTGCATTGGATTCGCGGAGAATGGGGAGGGATAATTGTGTGACGCGGACGGCGCCCCAGAAGTTGGCTTCCATGACGCCCCGAGCGGCAGACATGTCCATAGTTTCCGTATCGCCCATGATGCCGTAGCCGGCGTTATTGACAACGACGTCAATGCGGGAAAACTGGGTGAGTGTAGCTGATAAGGCGGTTTGGATGGAGGCGTCGGATGTTACGTCGAGGGCGAGCTTGAGAATTCTTGGGCCATCGGGAAGGGAGGAGAGTGATGAGGGGTTGCGGGCTGTGGCGACGACGCGGGAGGTGGTGTTTTTGACAAGGTGCGAGCATAGGGCGTACCCAATTCCGGACGAGCAGCCTGTTACGAACCAGACGGCGTCTGTGGGAAGGGTGTAAGGCGCCATTGGGGATGTGGTGAAGGTTGAGTTGGAGAGATATTGGCTTTTGTAGATGCTCGTCAATGAAGGTTTCTTGAGACGGTTCGCATTGATGATGCTTTCCTGAGTTATATATTTCCATGATCATCCCTTAGTACGACTCCATTCTCTCAGACATATCCTTTTCTCACAAGAAGAGTGCCTTCATCCTAATTCCGAGCAGACGTCTATGGCCCCACTACCGTACTAAACTGGAACGGCGGAGGCCCAAATCAGCAATACCTAGATTGGGGAACTATCGCAAAATGCTGCCGTCGTAATGACATCTATATCTTGTATGGATGTACTCTGTGCAGAGCTCTAAGGCTGAATAAGCGGTAGGGGCGGGCCTATCGGAGTTGAGGCTGATAGTTAGGTACGTAGGTGATAGATTTTCGTCCGCGAATGAGTTGAGAGTGATGAGCGGACGAACGACGCACGCTCGAGCGGCGTTAACACAACAATACTGATGGAACACCGCTTCTTAACCCTGTTAAGCTCCACTGACACCTCTTCTATAATTTGAGTACCCGTGACTTCAAAATCTAATTATTACTGCTTTTCGTCATTCCACTTCAGGTGACCTTTTGACCAGCATTCTGGTTAGTAAGTTTATCCTGCCCCTTCTCCTCAATAGCCTTCTTTTCCACCTGATCGAAACCCTTCAGGGCCTCGCCGTACCTTTCCCACACACCCTTCCTGTACCCTTCACACACCTTCTTCACAAAATCCTTCTCGTTCCAACTCTTCTCCAAGAAATCCTCGAATTTCTCGTCCTTCTGTCTTTGCACACCCCACGCTGCCTTGTACGCCGCGCCCAGCGCACAAGCATTCCCACCAATATCGAGCTTGAATACGCCCTCTGAACCGCCAAGCACCTGTCCTGCAAGATCCGCAATGGCGGAATTGGCTGCTCCGCCACCGACCATGTAGATTCTGCGTGGCTGAGGAGGAAGATCGCCTTGTGGACTGACGAGGGACTCAGAGCGGAGGCGCAAGCTGAGGAACTGTGATTCTAGGATTGCTCTTGCATCCGCTGTGGGGATCGGCCACGTCTCGTCTTCAGTCTTGCCTTGAGCTCCTTGAGGTGGCACAGGGGAGACGGTGTCGTCCTTGTACAGGAAGCGCCATGTTCCCTCCTTGACATTGGGCACAATCTCTGGACGTGGGAAGTATAGTCCAAGGCGCATGGGATCGGCTTTCGGATCCTGTTGTCCGAGGACCGGGGTGTTGAGTGCAGTCTCGTTGAAGAGATCCCAGGACTTGGCGGTCCCGTTTGAGTGTTGGTTGATAGCGTCGCGGATGTGTTCACGTGCCAGACCACCGTTCTTGTAGCACAACATGAACATGTACAGACCGGCTGTTGTGGGGTGGTTCAGGAAGTGGTACGCAGGATCAGGTTTGTACTGCGGTGTGGACATGAGAAAGGTGGTTGAGGTGCCGAGGGAAACAATGGCGTCCGAGGAGCGGAGTGGTAATGCGAGGATGGTCGATGGGTTGTCGCCTGTGAAAGGGATGATCTGGGCGGTCTCTGGGAAGCCATGGCGTTTGACGAAGTAGGGCGAGATAGATCCAAAGCTGCCACCGCCATCTTCTGGCACATCGCCCAGCTTCGACCTCAGATTGTCGACGCCTTCTTGGCCGGCGGCGAGTGCGAGACATTCTTCGTTCCAGCGCCCGTTCTTGATGTCCCATAGATTTGCACCGCAGACGTCGCTTATGTCGATGGGAGCCACCTTGCCTAGGAAGACGGACGCGAGGAAGGACGATACGAGCGATATGCGAGCCGTCGCCTTGTACGCTTCGGGGTACTTCTGATGGAAGCGAAGAATCTGCGGTCCGCTGAAGCGCTGTACACAGTCAGTGGCGCTTCTTCCATGTCATCAGCTGCACGTACATGATGAGCCTTGCTACCTGTAGCCTCAGCCAATTTTTCTGGCGTCCCCAGCTTCTTATCGAACTCCTCGCACTGCTTCTGTGTACTAGCATCCTGCCAATTGGGGCTGAACGGATGGCTAAAAGCCCCTCTCCTCTCGCCCTTCGCACCCCCTTCCAGCTGTTCTAGCAGCGTCTTCCCTGGGTCCAGACTCCCTAGTATGCTCTCGGCATCCTTACTCCAGAACACTGTGCCATGTTGCATGCCCGCACCCGAGATGCCCTGTACCTTTGAGAAGTCCGCGCCCTGCTCCTTTAATCGCTGCAGCACGAGGTCGATGGCGTCGAGGAACAGTGCGACCGGCGCGAAAACCTCGCCCTCGCCCGGGTTGGTGAGTACACCCTTCTCGATGCCATACTTTGCGAAGTCGGCGTCGAAGTCAACCTTCGCTTCGTGGATGAGCTTCAGGTCAGACTTCACGATAATGCCTGGGACGGTACGTCAGTCGAAGCTATGGTGGGGTAGCTCTGGCGGGGCAGACGGACCTTTCAGTTGCTGCGTACTCAGGTCGAAACCCAGAAAGTGGTCAGCCATGATCGCGCGATATCAATGTCAGAGTGCGGAGGAAAGTGAAATGAATTGGAGGTAGATAACACATCGAACATGGGCCAAACACATCTTCAAGGGACCAGCTCTCCCGTCGCGCGTTCTCTCCGAGCCTATGCGACTAAGCTGCTAGCCCTACCGCGCCCCACGGTGACGCTCGAAGACGATCATTTTCACCGGTCGTCCCTGCAGATGCATCGATACGCCATTGGGTGCGGATAAATACCGGATTGACATCGTGAAAACATGTTCATAATTTTCCGTAGACGACGGTAGCAAATGGGCCGCATCACGCGCAAAAATCACAGGAAGCTTGCGGAGTATCAACTGAGGTAGCTGATGTATTTCAACTGGTTTACCTAACCGCCCTGGCCAAGTAAACGGGGGAATCGTTTGTATCCATAAAATGCAAAACGCCGTTATCCAACATCTGCTGCTCTTGTACACACCCATGATACATGCTCACTTGCTCTTCTTTGTGTCTCCGTTCTTTTTGTGTTCGTGTTCATGATCCGATTCGGACTCAGGAGACATGTTTGCGCTCTCGCCAGGCTTGATGAACTCATCCAAGAAGTCGGGTTGATCTGTTGTGTTGGAGACAAATCGTACCCTGACCTTCTTCACTCCGCGCACCTTGGCTCCTACACGTTCTCGAATCAGGTTCTCGATGCCTCGTGTCTGCTCGACGCTGCATGTGCCGGGTACGCCGAGCTCCACATCCATGAGGTAGTTCTGACCAGACTTGACACCTTGAACATGGCGTACGTTGACGTCGCTTGATGATCCAGTGTTGACATCAACAAGCGCTTTGGCGGCTGCTTTTCGCACTTTTTCGGTCATCTCCTCGTCGACGCCAACGTCTGCAAGCTCAAAAAGCGCGTCCTTGGTGTTGCCTACACCAGCTTGGATGACCATGAACGAGATGACCAGTCCGCCAACCGGGTCCAGCCAGGAGGCGTTGTTAAGCATGTTGGATCCAAAGATCATAAGGAGAGCGACGAAGGCAGTGAGGGAGTCCACCCGGTGGTGGTATGCGTTCGATGCGAGCACGGAAGATTTGCGCTCGTTGGCGATCTTGAGTGCTGCAAATTGGATTAGCTATGCTCGGATTCATGCGGTGCGATAATCTTACTTGCGCGGTATAGCCATTCCTTGATCAATATCGACCCTCCCGCTAGCCATGCTGCGTTGATGTTCGGTCCGAGAGAGTCAGCGCCGTGGATGTGCTCATGGCTGTGCGGGAGCAGACCCCACTCGGCCGCAAACTGAGCAGCATCGGGGAAGAACTGCTGGGCAAGAGCGACCAGGGCAGCCCATCCCATCATCATGCCTCCTCCGAGCAGAATGCCACTGACGCCAAGGGAACCCAAGCTCTCGATCTTTCCGTATCCGCTCGGAAAGCGTTCCGAAGGGGGCTTCAGCGACCACGAAACCGTCGCCAGCGTCATGATGTCACTGACGAGGTCGGTGAGACTGTGTATGGCGTCGGCAATGAGTGCTACCAATTGTTAGTAGTTGCAGTGCGCATCTGACCACTGCGGTACTTGCCCTGGCTGTGAAAGACGTAGCCACCGACGCCCTTGCCGACGGCCATGCCCAGGTTGACGTACAGGCCGATGCGCGTAATGCGCACGCCCGCATCGTTCTTGTTCTTGGAGACAAGATACGTGTTGTCATGATGGTGGTGGTGGTGGTGGTGCGAATGCCCGCCGTGGCTGCGCGTCTGAGTCTGGGTCGAGCTCATGGTGGTGGTGGGAGAAATGTGCTGCTTGCGATGGGCGGTCGAGGACCAATTGAGGACTGTCTTATTATTATAAGGAGTGCGTCGTGCAGTCTGTGTGCGGAGGACACGCAATTGCCGGGCTATGAGAGGGCCCCGGCGCAGGGTATGTGTAGGAGCGGCGCCAGCTGACGACGGGTGTTGGAAGGTGAAAGGTGGCCCCGACATGCACACGCGACGCAACTGGCTAATAACAGGCAAGCCATTTCTGCGGTGGTGCAGAAACATGGGCGGTACGGCGAGGCGAGCGTTGGGCGACGCGAATCCTTGAGCTGCAGAGTGCCTGGTCTTGCAGTTGACTCGACTTTTTGAGCCTCTTCGGCAGCTGCCGGCGCCGTAGCTAGCTACAGATCAAGCATCATCGTGCCCGTTTCCACGCGGCCATGGCTTGGCCAATTGCGAGATACCTAGTCAGGCACCGCACGCCGAAATGCACTCTTGCTTATTTGTTCGCTACATGCAGCTTGATTGCATCGTCTGCCCGTTGGCTCGACCTTCCTGTTCGCATCGAACTGGTGTTCTATTCGTCGTGTGTCAACCGTTTTCTCCGTCAATCGCACGTTTCACCACTGGCCAAGATTCATGGAAACGCGCGTACAGCGAAGAAACAAACGAATTAGTGCGCGTCTAACGTCACCCTTGACAGGTCTTCACAATGCTGCAGAGTCTGGTAGGCGATGGTCTCCGACGAGGCTGTGCCTGCAGACACGCAGATGTGCGAATAGCACTGCGCCCCATAGTTGCTGTTCCAGGTAGGCACTTTGCGATGCATATCTTTCTACGAATGTTCGACTATTCATCTCTCTTGGCGATGATTTGCTATTTCAGGTGGTATCTAACATCAGCACAAACTCACAGCTTGGGTCTGGTATCTTCCACCTGCACTGGATCCTCTGAGCGTGACAGTATCCAGTTGGCAACATCGTCTACAAACACGTCCTTGTCAGAACCCGGCTCGTCGTGCACTAGAACCAGTCAGCTGTCTACCGAGTTCGATATGTTCAGCAACTTACATCTATGGAAGTACCCCGGATACGTCTTGAACTCTTTGTCTTTGACTGGAAGACGCTCTGCGAGAGTTTTGGTTGCGTGGTAGTTCGTGATACCATCCTTGTCACCGTGGCCTATCCACACCCTCGTGACGCCGCCCTCGCCCGCATCGTCCTCAATCTTGACTTTGCCAGCCGCTAGTTCGGCGGTGCGGTCCAGCATCCCGGCAAGACCCTGGAGAGTGCCGGTGTCGTGGCACAGGTCATCCTCTGTGAATTGCTTTTGCACTGCTTCATTGCGCGAGATGAGCTTCACATCGAGCGGATTCGTTAGTTGACGATGCGGCAGCACTTTCCCAGCTAGGCGGCCGAGGAACACAGTGATTGAGGACGGCTTCGACTTTGGATCAAAGTCGATGAAGGGCGACTCCAAAAGGTAGCCACGGATGTGCTTGCGAATCTCAACCGGTCCGGTCGACATGTACAAGAGCACTTCACCGCCGCCCATAGAGTGTCCCATGAGAAATAGAGGAATCGGGCACGGGATGACCGTCCTGAGAAAGGACGTAATGTCGTCTAGCACTCGGGACGTTGGCCCGGTGTGGCCTCTCTCAGAAGGTTTTGCAACTGATCGGCCCCATCCTCTGCGCACTGTAAGCTGACATCTGCATCATGAAACTACAAAAGCTTGCCTCTGATCGAAAGCGTAGACTTCGATGCCTTTCGAGGCCAACGTGGGAAAGAACTCGTTGTAGGTATTACCTAGCACGTTTCAGCGGTACCTTCTCGGTCATGTTGAGTGCGTCTGCAACCTACAATGGTCGCTAAAACCATGTATGAATACAAGTCGAGCTTTGGCAGGACCGTTAGTCTAGAGAATGTATTAGCACGCCACTAGGATTAAGCTTATATCTTCCCCATACCTTCCACGTCTTTGTGTACAGCTTCTTGCCGTCTTCTACCGTGTGCCAGCCTTCTTCAGCAGACATTTTGAATTAATACCAAAGCAAGAGTTCAATGAGTATCAAGATTAGGGCATACGAGCAGGTATCCAAGATGACTTCAATGGGAGTGTCAGCACTCTCTGACCTGCAACCTGAAGTGAAAGCTCACGGAATGAGCCGAGGACCGGGTCCAAAGAAGGTTAGAACAACGGCCAAGAAGAGCGCGTCATCAGGGAAGCGGAAGCACCCACCCTCAAACCCCACCCACGCCGCAATCTCTTCACTAACATCCCTGCCGCGCTTGCCAGCTGTGATGCTCGCACGGTCATTTCGAACAATCTCACGCCATTGTAATCCTCTCCCTTCCACACTGCGAGCGCCATCACTGAGCAGCATGGTCCAGACGCGCTCCAAAGCCAAAGCAAGCCTCAGCCATGAAGAGAGAACAGCAACTGAACCTCGCGACGAGGGCCTCTACCCGGTCACCATTGAGACCGTTACGCCCGTCAATGACCGAATAAAAACGTTCAAGTTTGCTCTCCAGGAGCAAGACACAATCAACGTATCGTCCGCGAACCCCCCTGCTGTTCTCGACGGTCACTGATGGGCTAAGTTCCAACCAGGCCAATGGCTCGACGTCCACGTTCCCGGCATTGAGCAGGCGGGAGGCTTTACGTTGACATCTACTCCCAGCCAGGCTCAACCTAGACCGGACCCAGAGCACAAACCTTTCCTCGAGCTCGCTGTGAAGAAGAGCCCGGACAATCCGCCTGCGGCGTGGTTGTGGCAGTCGCCCGAAGAGATAATAGGGAAGGAGGTCAGGGTCAGAGTCGGGGGCAGTTTCGTCTGGCCACCGCCCAATATAGACTACGCGACCATCAAACGCGCCGTGTTCATCGCAGGCGGTGTGGGAATAAAGTAAGGATCTGTCGGAGCATATTGTGCTCAATCTTCGCAGTTGCACTGACTTTGAGGGCAGTCCACTTGTGTCGATGCTATCGCACATCAACGAGCAGGAAACGGAACCAGAGGTTCGCATATTGTACTCCTCTAAAGTCCCCTCAAGCGACACACAACCAGAAGAAGTTCTCTTCCTTACCAGACTACTTGATTTGTTCCGCAAACCGCGAACACACTCGACCAAGAATTGTATAGAGCTGTTCCTCACAGGGACTTGGGATGGCGCACCTTTGAATCGCCGGAACGACGAGCCTATTCATCCGTTGATGTCGCTCACGCTACCGCAAATACAGTCGGACACAGAAGTGCCCGTCACGGCTTGGACGCATCGTATTGATGATACTGCGTTGGCGAGTGCCGTAGGTAAACCGGAAGAAGCAGAAGGCACCGTATTTTATGTCTGCGGACCGGCCGAGATGACCGATACGATTGTGGACTATCTGCAAAAACAACAACATGTAAATCCAGAGCGCGTTCTCTGTGAGAAGTGGTGGTGATGCACCCACACGGCACAAATGGGAAAGCTGTACATGCAAATCCATGGCCACACACAAGTGGTCTTAATTTATAGGTAAAACATATTCTGGGGTAACTTGAACCCTAATCTAGCACCAAGTAGCAAGCCTAATACCTTATTCAAAACCTGTTTGCACTACCGGGAACTAGAACGGAACTTACGGCGCCCTGCTGCTACCACGTATTCCTTCCAATCGTAGTCTATGAGAAACCCTTCGAGTACTTTCTTGGCTAAATACCTACGATTTAACAAGGATCTTGGCTGCCATATCACCATCCGCTACCTGTTCAATCCAGAAAAAAATATGATGCTGTCGCTCTCCTCGCATTCATGCTGCCCGAGAATTTCAGTACGTCTTTCACTTGACAACGTGGATGCACCAAGGTATATATTGTCAAGTATCGTCGTGCAGTCTATTGTTGTTTCAAGGCTTGTTGTTTCTTCTTGCAGTAGCGATCGCGCCTTCCATTTATATCCTCCCAACAGCTTTCTCTTGCAAGACTTCCACGGTGTCCACGCCTTTGCTTCTAGGTTCCCATTCTTCTACCAAAAATCATCACTATGGCAGACTCAGAGGTTGCGCCAATCCTTATTCCCGCGCCCAACGGCCCGTATGCAAACCCCTTGGTATCAAATGGATGCATCTTGCTGCAAGCTGGAAGATCTATCTGTTTCCCGCTTACTGAAGGCATCGCAAGGTATCAGTCCACCCACCCTTGCCTCATACTGACTTGATACCCGCGCCTTAGGTATGCTGTCGGCTATGGCACAGCAAAGGTCCCAGGCTACCAACGACCGATCATGATCTCGCTATTTTATCCAATCGAGCGCACAGCTGCTACACCACCAACCGCAGTTCCGTACATGCCCCCCTTGACATCTAGCATTCTGGACCTCGGATTGTCTCGCGAAGGGCTACCAGAAGTGTTTAACAGGATGCGCCTTCAGTCGTCGGAGTACGCAGGAGCAATAAGTGATGATCTTAGAGAGTTCCCACTAGGTATGCAGTTACTGCAAAGGCAGGTCTGTTAAGTACAATTACTTACAAGAGGCAGTGCTCCTCTCACCAGGTCTGACACTCAGTCGACATCAGTATAATGCTATGGCGCAAAGTGTTGCTTCCGAAGGCTACGCCGTAGTTACGATGGATCACGCAAAGGAAGCCATGGTCGTCGAATGGCCCGATGGAACGCACACGAGAGGCAACATCTCGCTCAACGTTGCGACGGACAACGTCGTTAAGCACGCACGGTTGTTGGAGACTCGTGTCAGAGATGCCCGCTTCGTTCTGACACAGCTCGCATTTCTTGGGGTGGTCAAGCAGCTAATTCCCCATTTTCCCCATGCCAGAAGTCCGTTCGATAGACAACGTGCAGCCATCATCGGGCATTCCTTCGGAGGTGCAACGGCCGTCTGCACAATGATGCAAGACAGGCGGTTCATGGGTGCGATGAATATGGACGGATCACAGTACGGGATCTCGCGACCCGTTGAGCGACTCGTGGTCCTTTTCGGTCGTGGAGAACCTGACCCGCGCAACCGCCGCAACAATTCTACTTGGGCACGTCTGCTTCGGTATGCCAGGCGCCTCAGAGAAATCAGCTTGGCGGAGAGTGCGCACCACACATTCAGCGACTTGCCACTGATATTCAAGCTTGGCGGAATTGCGAACGAAGAGATGGCAAGAGAATTGGCGGGGACATTAGATGGCGAGCGGTCATTGAAAATTGTGACAGCTTACATCAAAGACTTCGCGGACAAGGTTTTGAAGGGTGAGAACGGGCAATTGTACACAGGGTCGAGCATTCTTTACCCCGAGATCGAGCTCATTAAGGGGCGTCGTCGGGCTTAGGTATGATGTCTAGCTTGGCACTGTACTGTAGTTCGTGAGATGCAAGCGCTATTGGTAGCATCTTCGGTGCATCACAACTTTTAAGCGCCCAGACTACTCGCACGATGGACATGTCTGCCGACCCTCATCCCATTCTCATCTTGCCGTGGTATAATTTGCTCCACTCTAGGCGCGGACGCGGGTGCGGCACGGCACGGGTAGCATCCTACTCCACTCCCTTTACAACAACTGAACCAACACTCTGTACGACGACCCCATAAATCTCACCATGGCCGCACCCAATGGCCATCGCAACACATATTGCCCTTCCTCTTCCGGACAAATGACCTTGGGTGCCATCTGCACGCGAGTACTGCGGTCAGCAGGGATGCTGCAGGAGGGATAAGCCCTCTGCGGGCCATGATTGGCTTGTTGACGCCACGCCGCGCTGTGATGGGCAGAATCGAACACCCACTCAGCGGCTGCAGGCGCGCTGTTGCTGGCTCGCCCCCGGCCTGTAGGCGCGACTGTGGAGTTCGGCTGAGCGCTGCTTAAAGGTGCCGTGGCCCTGTGAGCCTTGTGCTGCTGTGCGATTCCACTCTGGACAGTGTGACGAGAGCCTGTGCGACGCCCATTGACGACAACCGCGACGAGCTGCTGAACGAGCTTGATTGCATCCTACAGCGAGCGAACGGCGCTGCACGATATAGCCCCCATATTGATTGGCCCCAGTGCGGCGCATCCGCAGCTCCAACATCGCTCGCCCCGCGAGACCTTCGAGTTTCCAGCTCGACCTGCTTCGGATCCTTCCTCACCACCACACTCCTCGCAATGGGTCACTTTTTCCTCCCGCGCAGATGGCGCATGCCAAAGCTCGTCCTTGGACTCATCATATTCGAGTTCCCCTTCACAGTAGCGAATCTGGCCCTGTTCGGCATCGCCGCGCCTAACACGTACCGCACAATTCTATGGCGGGTAGGCGGGGAAATGGGATTCAACAGCGATCCGAACAAGGTCGCTTATGCGGCGTATAACTATCAAGAGATGAAGACACCAATAGTCTGGAGTAGCCTGTGAGTATCACATCTTATATCCTTACATGTCGGACGTACCGGATTCTCGGAGAGCAACACCCAAAAGTCTGCATCAACGATTCACCAGGCGCTAATCGAGCAACAGGAACACCAACTACAACATGTACATTGGCGTAGTATGCATGTTCTTCTACCTCATCAAGTTCACCCTCTGGCTCCTGCACGTCTTCTACCCCATCATCTCACTCATACTCCATGTCGTACTCGCCGGGCTCTGGGCTGGTTCGCTATACGTCCAAACTGCGCCCGACACCGTCGATCCCGCGCACCAGAACAAGGGTGCCCCATGGTACATCACCAAGAGCTGCAATATTGTGTCCGACAAAACCGAGCGCGGTTACTGCATGCAGGCCAAATCCGCCTTCGGCGTCTCGATCATCATGCTGTAAGTTCCTGCTTCCTCTCCTTCCAACTCCAGCACAACCGCGAGCTGACCTTCTATCCAGAGCAACCTACGTCATCTTCATCGCCCTCTCCATCTGGTCCCTCTTCCCCACCCCCGAAGCCCGCCTCGCCCACGAAACAAAGGTCGCCGAAAAGAAAGCCGAAAAAGAACTCTACGCCTCCTCGCCCTACGACCAGGAAATGACCGCCGAAGAGCAGTGGCAGCACATGTGGGAGTTGCAACAACTCCCTCGCACGCCGGGCACCGCTACGGGTAACGCGCCGTGGTCTAAAACGCCTGCTACGCCTAGGACGAGGGCGTTCAATGAGCTGGGCGGGACGCAGGAGTTCTATGCTCAACAGCCGATGACGCCGCAGTATCCTGTGGGACAGCAGCCAATGACGCCGCAGTATCCCGTGGGCCAGCAGACACAGACGTATTATCCGCCGCCGACCCAGGGACAGCATACCCTAGAGAGTGTAAGGCATTCTGGGGTCGCGCCGCAGGGACAGCAGGAGTTTGATGAGTATTTGTATGATCCGAAGGGCAAGGGGGCGGCGATGTAGAAAGCCGATTTCTGTTGGTTGGTTGTTTGCTGGCGGCGTATTAGCGTTTGTTTTCGAGATACCACTCATTTGGGAGGGAAGGCTGGGTATAGCACAGATTTACTGTCTCCTACGTACCGTAATGTCAGCGTGATTGATGACACTTGGCTGTGCCTTCCTGTCGTGTGTGAAGCATGCCAGATCTCTTTCCTGCGACTTCGCCGCTGTATCGCTTCACTGTTATGTAGCACGGGATTAGAGGGAAGGGTTTTCTAGTATGGTACAGTGTCACTTCGCATACGACTTCAGCTATCATTTATTGTTTGTCCATACCGACAAGCTCGGGTGGAATCGGGATCCTATCATGTTCAACCAGCGTCATTGCTTCCCTTTCCCAAACCATCTTCTTCGTAGTCAACACAAAGATGCCGACATAGTAATGGAGTATTCCCGAAGCAACACCAAGACCAAAACCAGTGCCCAAAGCAAGTCTATTCGAAGGTCCATTTGCAGCCACGGTGGGTGGCATAGATTCGACGATGTGCTGGACAGTAGCGACGAGGACGTCTGCGAGTTTCATGGTCCTATGTCTGAGTTCGTGGTTGTGGTTGGAAAGGTCACGACCATAATGATAGCACTCGATCACAGCTCTTCATACTCACTCAGGACACCATATAGCTGTCGTCCAGGCTAGTTACCATCCGGAAGACAAGGCCGTGTGACCATGAGGGGCAGTCGGCACTCATTACAACAATAAAAGCTGATGTTGGTTGGCAGCTGCTTAGTTTACCGCAGTCTTACGATAGAAATTAATGGTCGTTCATCATGCAAAAAGAGCGCATGCACGCTGTAGTGGGAACACAGTAATACTGATGCTTGCACAACATGGACAGCCGCCAGGTTTTAGAGAGATTATTACTGTACGTACAATGCGAACGATCTGTAGGGATGAACAAACAATGCTGGAAGATCGGGATGGGACACTACGACGTTCTAGGCAAGAAGCTAATTTACGCTTCCAGCACAAGCGCTACCTCCACAGCATCCTCTTCTTGGCAGCTCTATGCTTCTTACAACTTACACTTCCCTGTGAACCTAACTTGATGAAATGAGATGACACGCTTGTTCGTTCGAGACCATACGTTAGTGACGACCAGTCGTTGCAGCCGTGCAGTGTGACGTCGCCATGATGCCAGCTTCAACGCTATTACGACTACCATAGGTACTAAAACGGAGCTACCTGCCAAGAAACCGGGGAAGCAACACAGAGGGATATAAGAGCAGGAACATAAGCGAACAGGACTCCTCAACTATCTGACAATCAAAGACTGCCGTTTCAAATTTCAGTACTCCCCACATAAACACCAGTTCAAGTCAGATTACGCTATGGTCCACCAAGATAGAGTTGACGATGTGCCTCACGAGCACCGCGTGCATCGGTAAAGACAGCTCTAATTTTTCATCTATACGATGGCTGACTTCTCAGGCCAGGCCAATGGCTCCCAACGGACCACCGCATTCACAAAGACTGGATGAATAGTATCATTGAGAAGGTTGATGCAAACCCCAAAGAGTATCACCCGGTCATCAAAGAGTTCAAGGACATGATCGAAAACAACACTCGCATTCACCTCCTCGTCTGCTCTATGTTCGAGCAAATTCCTTCGAAAAAGCCGTACTCTCAGGACCCTGAAGGCCACAAGCAAGTCCGCGACTACGAGCATATGCTCATGCTCTTTAATCACATCCTAACTACAGCCCCCGAATGGAACGACCGTTCGTACGGCATCGGCATGGTTGGTACGCCATTGAACGCCATCCTAGATTGGCCAATGGGCACACCTTCCGGCTTCGCATTCTTCCTGGACCCTGAGGTGAACAAGATGATGAAAAAGGTGCTGAATGCCTGGGCAGAATTTCTCTCCAGTCCGCCATCGGCTTACGTCCTCGGCAACGACTCCATCGGCTGGTTCAGCGATCACGGAACGACTGATCTGGCCGCGACGGCCAATGTAGGCAAGACATCCTACAAGTTCGAAGAGTTGTTCAAATGCGACCCCAGTGCTAAGCACCATGGCTTCAAGTCCTGGGACGAGTTCTTCACGCGGCACTTCCACGAGGACAAGCGGCCCGTCGCCTCTCTGGATGATGATACCGTGATTGCTAACGCATGCGAGTCCAAGCCCTACAACGTAGCCCGGAGTGTCGCCCCGCGCGATCGCTTCTGGATCAAGGGCCAGCCGTACAGTCTGCTTGACATGCTAGACCACGACCCTCTGCACGAGCACTTCATCGGCGGCACAATATATCAGGCCTTCCTTTCCGCGTTGAGCTACCACCGCTGGCACGCTCCCGTGTCTGGTACTGTCAAGAAAGCATATGTCAAGGACGGGACATACTTCTCTGAGCCGCTGTTCGAAGGGCTGGGTGATCCGTCTGCTAAATCCAACGACATCAACAAAGGCGGCGAGACGAACGGGCAGGGCTACTTGACTGCGACTGCGACACGGGCAATTATCTACTTTGAAGCTGATAACAAAGATATCGGCTTGGTGGCCTTTTTAGGCATTGGCATGACGGAGGTGAGCACGTGCGACATTACGGTAAAGCAGGGTCAGCATGTTAAAAAGGGAGACGAGATTGGAATGTTCCATTACGGTGGCAGTACGCATTGCATTATATTCAAGAAGGGTCTTGAACTAGAGGAATTCCCCGAGATTGGTGGTGAGGAGAACGTGCCTGTGAGGTCGAAGCTGGCAGTTGTAAAGAAGAGCGGCTGAGCTGCTAAAGTTTTTTTTCTTGCTATTATAAAATTCTTGATAAGACATTTCAATAATCGATCCCGTATATCAATACTTCTTGAACCGAAAGGAGAATCCATAATTGAATGCGTACTCAACTCTTCTGGTTTAAGCCCACAGTTCGATGCCTTACGTCTTAGGCTCTCCGAGGACAATATCTACGGTTGAGGTGAGAAACCCGTGTTGTATCTTGCGTCTTTACTACTCAGGACAGTCCAGCTTTCGAGCTACACAGATAAACGTAGTCGTCAAAGTGTGAGCGCCTTGGGTGGAGATAAGTAGTTGTTGTGGCCCAGTCCTTTACTCAAGTCGCAAAGCCACAGCTGTGAGCGAGGGGCATTAGGTATGGTACCTACCTAGTACGTGATCGAAAATTGAGTGATGCAGATGATCTGTACGATGCATGATGAGAGAGACTTAGACATAGTCAAACATTTAGAGGGTGAACGAGCAGTGAACAAATCTTCCTTGCCCTGTGTGACGGTATGGATAAGATAACGCGTTACTACAAATCACCGCATCATCTGTTCAGGGAACACATGCCGCGCATGCACAATCATTATCGAAAATGACGATGTTCAAAATCCGCGAGCTGTGGTGTAAATACCTTATATATATTAGACTCGGGACATACCATATACACGCGACCAATACCCTAATCTTATAGAGAACTTTGACCACTAGTCTTCATCCAGACCCTAGCTGTGTTCAAATACCAGGTTCCCCAGCCCAACCGTCATTCCAGCGCATTAAATACGCGATCACCCCTATCCTCTAGGCTCAAGCCGATGTGTCATTCACAACTTGATCTATCCATCGCAGGAGCCTTGTTCCAAGAAACCAGGATGCCCCCTTCCCAACGCCATGTAATGTTGTTCATCATCTCGCCCAGGCAATAATTCTGGTAAGGGAGACAATCACTCCACATACCATACCTGGCGGCCTTCCCACCCGGGGCAATATCGATTTGTGCCTCATCTTGTCACGTTGATTCCACGGAACAAGGACCGACGCACTCCTGTCGCGTGCTGACAACTCACGATCCACGCCGAAGTCGAGTTCACATGACGCCTTCACAATATCCCGCTCCGTTGGAAGCCACGCACTTGGCCCATGACGGATCTTCGCACCGCTCATCCCCTCCTCGAGCTAGACATGTTTCTTTGATCTGTGAATGTTCGTGCCGGACAACGGCCCATCCGCCCACCGCGCAGCCTACTACGAAAAGCGTGAAGAGAAGCAGTATAGCGATGATGTGCGCTCTGTTCTTCTTCCATCTTCTGCGGAGCACTTCGTAGGCTCGCCGTCGCCCGTCCTGTGTGTCGTGTGATGTGTACCCCCGCCGCCACGCGATCGAATCTAGAACGTCGAAAGATTCGATCGAGGCGGGAGACGTAGGTGTGTCCGACACAATTGATTCGGCGTAGCGGGGTTGCAGTATGTTATTCGATAGAGCGGCCTCGTCCGAGTAGGGCGAGAACGGGAGCGGCGTGTAGCTCGCGGCCTTTAGCTTCGACGGCGTTAACGAGAGGGATATCTACATGCTCGTTCAGCGGTCCGCTTCCTCCATGTGTGTCTGAGTGATTGGGCGGCGACGACTCACAGGTGCCATGCTCGCTTGGTAGGAGGGTGTGAAGTGGGTGTACACGCGGGAGCCATTGCTTCACTATGCTTTTATGAGCGCTCACAGCGTGCGCGGCGGTGAGACGTCGCACGTCAGTACATACGCATCTGCGGCGCTCGCGGTAGGTTATGCCTACTCGCCGCTGGCGGTCCGCAAGACGCAAGCCTATGAAACACCACGCATATCAGCAGCCGGCGTCACTCTGAAACCACACGCCATCATGCACCGCGCGCGAACACGAACGTCGAGATGATTAGTATAGACTACCTGGAAGCAAACAATGCGAAGGCGACACAGAGATAGCGCTAGTGCAAGTGCAGCTGCATGAGGGATGTTTTTGATTGGGGGGTATTCTATAACTAATGCTCAATGTGCTTTTTGCTTCAGCCATTCCGCGGCGCTCGCCGCCCAAAACAAACTTGAAGGAGCCAGAGCCGTGCTATCTACGCAGGCCCAGTCCCTGAACCCGGCTCGCTATTGCCCGGGATGCCATAACCACCATGCGCATCCGTGTTTCCGTCGACGCCGAAGCAAAGAGGTAAAAAGGATGAAAAGTGAAAGTGTTTTAGTGTGTGCGTGTGTGAATGTGTTGGAGCGTATAGAAGGGGGTATCTCTTCTCGGCGAAGTAAGAAATGTGATAGGGTAATCGAGCTTTATTGTGCTTGTGGGTTGCTGCCTGAGGAATCGATGGAAAACTCCATACCACCATCCCCGTATTCAATTTCAGCCTGTCCATCCGTCCGACCACGCACCGCCTGGCACGCGCACCCAGCGACCCAAATTACGTGTCCACTATACACATGGTATGCGCATGGGGCCGTGCCGGTGATGCACCAAATTGTGCTGACCTGTTTTCTGCTTCCACCAAAGTAGAATTACGACCGTTATTTTTTTTTGTGGATGGTCGCAGGAACATAGGAAATCGCTAATAAACAATGAAGATTGAGTATCTCAGGGGCTGCAGGGGACAGAAACGAAAACGCAAACGCTTGCAATGCCGAGGAAATGAACCATGCTATGACGCTCATTCATACAAACGAGTTTTGATACAGCTGAAACGGGTGAACCAGGTCGGCCTGATGATTATAGGCCTGGTCAAGAGAGGAGACTTATTGATCTTGGATCGCTACAGCAGATTTCGCCGTAGGCCGTCAGTACTGCGGCTGAGGTTGTATGTAGGTGTTGTGATAGTACTGTGCTTGATGCATGTTTGCTGGATGCTCGGGTGTCGGAGTTGTTGGGTAGGTGGTGGGCGCCATTGGGAGTGACTTGGCCACGAACTGCTCGTTCTCCGGAGTAATTGGTGGTGTGAGGCAACCATGTTGCAGAACAGCAGCAGAGTAATGGTTCTTTTGAGGTGTCTGGGGTCCATAAGCATCCGACATGGACTTGGGCTCTTCCAATCCAACAGACGCAGGGGGTGTCGGCGGGGCTGCAGCTCGTCGAGCAATCTGCGCCTGGCGCTGAAGGAATTCGTCTACAGTAGTTGAGACATTCGAGAGGTGCATGGATGAATACTTGCGAGAAAGGACTTGCGAAGGCTGGTACAGGTGGTTGGACAAGCTCATAACGGTCTGGGGATCGTACGTGGCTGCCCACTCAGACACCTTGTGGTCATTGCGAGAGAGGATACACCTAGCAAGGGCGAGCGAGGATCTCGCGAGGATCGATGGCCTCGTGGACACAAACTCTTTATGGAACAGAGCGATCTCAGCAATGTACAAGGACATGTGCTCAACCTCCGGGTCAAAAGGTCCTTCGGCAAGAGCAACCTGGAGAAAGGCGTCAACCGTGGGGTGCCCAATGATCCAGTTTAGGGTCTGTAGCACATGCCACTCCATCTGGGTGAACATTTCATCGTCGTATAGCGAGCAGCACATCGACTTGAGCTCCCGTACCGTAGGCACACGGTCTTTCTTGTCACCGTACTTAGCAGCGATCAGCAAGGCAGCACAGCCAACTAATTGATAGTGACGCTTGTATACGACGCGGCGAGAGCAATAGCGGTCGAGGAGGTTTACGGCGAGAAAGAGGGTCTCGGGAAGCAGCTGGAAGGCAGCGTGAGCCTCAACGAGGAAGTCAAGAAGGTACGGACGCATGAACCATTGGATCTCGGTCTGAATGTCAATTGAGTTGACGTCAGGTAGAGTTTGTGACTACGTCTGGTCAGCAAGGGCGCAGTCCAGGGTAGTACGGAACACAAACCTCCATGTACTCCATGTGGTCCATGATGTCTTCTTGGTATTCTTCCGCAGTCATTCTTGACAGCTCCTCTGCGAGGGCTCGCTGCTGCATGCGTGCGATAGCCCGGGCACGTTCCCTCTCTTCTGCGCGAGCGGCGTATACGCCGTCATCTTGTGTCTCAACAAAGTATGAGTTGCATTGTCCATAGCGGGACAAGGGTTGTCGGAAAGCCATTACAGCGTTTGGGATTCGAAAGAGTGGACGTCAGGTCTCCTGGATAGACTATATACTGGATTGAATCTCGCTCGTGATGAGGGAGTAGTAGCTCGAAGAGCTGTATTAGAGAGCGGCAGCCGGGTAGGCAAAGGGTCGAAAAGACTGTAATTAGTTGGATAATTTTGATAATCCCCAGGTATTGAGAGGCGGGGAATTGATATAATGTAACCTAGAGTGACATGCTGTTAGGCGGATAGTATGCAAGGTAGAACGCGAGATCTCATACCTGAAGAATTAGACGATTACGCGAACAAGTGAAGGACAGGGACTGAGAAATCCGAAGGGACGAATACAAGACAGGTTCAAAGAATCGAGCCCCTTGTTAACTGCATTCAGGAGCAGGGTTGGAATGGGTGGCGGCTGCTATCCGCAGAGAGGGAGAACACGGATATGGGGCAGAGCACGAGTTAACGAGTCCGCCGGTTGGTTGTAGAGGTGAGTGGATCGCCAAGAGAGTGGGGAATGCGCGGATTCCAGATCTGGCAACCACAAACCTAATGAATCGGTTAGCCGGGGCGGGGTGGAGTGGTAGTTGAGGCTCTACGTACTGCTGGGAGCGGCCCTGAGGGGTAGGGTCGGTTGATGGCGGGTGGCAGCTAGTTGTGACTACGGTAGGGTACAGGACTGCGCAGTCGTTCAGTCAGTATGTGTGCAAAGAACTTTCGGCGACGAGAGGGAATCCAATTGCGGCGAAAGGTAGGGTCGTATCCAATAAGGTCGGGTGGTTGTGGGAGATTGTTGGAATGGAAGTGTCTCCTGATATGGAAAAAATGTAAAACAGCGCCCTGGGATCGAAACTCGTGGTGACGGCCGGCAGCAAGCCCGAGAAATTTCTTTTTTCACCATACACTGTATTGCGTTTGCAGCGACGTGGATTCAAGGAGGGTGTCCGTGCTCCCGAAGGGGACGAAAAGACGCGGCAGCCGTCATTGAGCTGTCTGCACAAGGTGCAGTCCGGAGATTGCAATGATCCAGTCGAGTAGACACGGCGGTCTAGCAAGACACGTCTCGAGCGCGCAAGAATCCGACGGGCGCTTGGTATGCAGCGTCCCTCGAGCACCCACACATCCAATTTCAGTTCTGCACGGAGCCGTCGACACGCACACCACACGACGCACACGAGCCGCCTGTCCACTGCCGCCTCTTTACCACGCGTCCGCTATTGCTGTCCATCTCGTTGCCATTGTAGGCCTCATTCCTCCTAGGAGAGACATCGAGTCGCGGCTTCCGTGCTTACGGGAAAGGAGGCAGGAGCGGCCCAGCGGTTGCCGAACGGGAAGGAGTGGGGCAGCATACGCCTACGGTCGAGTCCTCGGAACGTCACAGGGCACCGGCACAGAAGAAGAAAAGAGAAACATACCCTATACAACACAACAGATGGCACCGTCTGCACCGCTTGTCGAAGCACGAGGCTGTCGGAGGGTCGAGTGGGGGCTCTGGGAGGGCAGACGAGAGTGCAGCGTCTTGTGCAGCTCAGCGTCGCAGTGGCGGGAAAGAGGGAGAACAGTGAAGGCACAGAGGGTGTCTGTACGCTTCGTCTGGTCCTGTTTGGGAGAGAGTACGGTCGGGTTGGGGGAACCGAGGAGCAGGTGGCAGAGTTATAAGGAAAGACGGATGTGAAACGTTCAGCACTCCATCAGATCCTGTACTCGATGCTCCGACCGTGGTGAGAAAGGCGGATAGGGAGAGAGGGTGAGGGAGAGGTGAGAGGAGGAGGAGAAGTAGACGGGCCAAGGCTGGAATCACAGGCCAGCGGCGCCCAGGACCAGGCGGTGGAGCTCTTGTGGGTGCGTCGAGCTAAGCTGCATGCGCGCCCACGAGCAAGGAACCACCGGCGCCCCCTAACCAATCGACACCTAGTGCTCCGGTGTCGTGCGGCGTGCGGAGCAGGATGGCCTTTGTCTCTCTGTTGCATCTGGCAGAGAGCCAGGAACACGTTCCCTCTTCACGCGTCGCCCTGCCCACCTCCCGCGGCGCGCCTCGACGGGCCGTGGCTGCGTCTCTGTGCCCTTTGCAGCGTGGGACGGCGCACCAATACTGCGACCGCTGGCTGTGCTGCTGTCTGCATCGCGACCTGCGACACAGAGGGCGGCTACCACGGTGGATGAATCTCTGGAGAGATGGCTGGATCGCCGTACACGTATCTACACGTCCATGGATGGCGATTCCGGTCAGCCACTCATGCACCTACGCCAGCGCGAACACGCGACCCAGTCCTGGCCCTCCGGCGTTGAAACGAACTTGGAAGCCAGCTCGCCAAGCCCTGCTTTTGCCTTTAGGCACCGCCGCCGTCAGGCCTTCCCCAGCACATGCATGCAAACTGCGAGGTTCCCCTGGGCTCCTGAGCATCGTCATTTGTACGCTCTTTGTCGCCCGCCACTATCTACTGAGTCTACTCCTTTTAGCTGCGGCGGCGTATGGCCTTCCATCCCGCTCGACGCCGGCGCTGCACAGCAGTCGCATCAGAACGCGTCTACATCTTGTCATCTCGACATGTTTCCGTGGCTGGCTGGCCGGACTATCTGGTCCAGGCTGAGTGCAGGCCGCTCCCGTTGCTCCTGCATTGGAAATACTATAAAAGAAACCTGCTCGCTACCGACCTTTCAGCCGGGGTCATACAGTCACTCCTTACGCCGACCTTCCGCAGTTGCGTGAAGATCTTCCGATAGACGCCCTCAATTTCTCATTCTGTGGGACGGGCTGCGACTCTCTATGCTGACCATGCCTCACTCGCGTTGTATAATTGCTTTCCCACACGCAATCTCACACGTCGAGTCGCAGTCGCGTCCTTCTAGCTCGCTTCTCGAAATTGCCAATGCGAGCGATGGGCGACTCCGTGTGCATGGGGCGTCTCCTCTGTGCCGTTCCGGAAACACCATCCATGGCCGTCTCCCTTGCGGAGCCTCGCCACATGCGGGGGTTGGCATGTGTGATGAATTCACACTCATATCAAATACATATGCAGCAATTGTCCGTGGTTCATGTCACAATGGCCCGCGTCTGGCCTCCACAAATACACCTGTCATCGCCAGTACATATGCACATCACTGTGGTCCAAGGAAGGGACTCAGCCCTCGGTACTATAGTACGCGTCTTCAGCTGCATGCAGGACGCGGATCTTGGTTCTGAGGATAGGCGTCTTGCGATTTGATAGTTCTGCGGCGCTGATTCGGTGTCGGCCACGCATCGCCTGCGAATCCGAGAAATCGGTAAGCCTTAGCGCATCTCCCGCGCTCCCAACATGGCACCGAGCAAGCACTCCTCCAACGCTGCCGCCTCGTCCCCCTTCCTTGATTCGCCCCCGCGCATCAATAATGTCGTCTTGATGGCTGCTGCAGCTAGCCCGTAGCAGCCGGCGTCCGATGCGGCACTGCTTGCTAGCCACACCACTGCACCATCGACTGCAGCTCGTCTCGCCTGATCTCAGATTATGTCACAGTCGCGACCGCGAGCGCGTCTGCAAAGTCAAAGCACACGCGACACCGCGACGAAACTATGGACTCTTACTCTTTCCGACCCCGCCTCCGTGCATGCTGCCCGGTCCGAGGAGGAGCACGTCTCGTGTGCAGTGGACCCAATATGCGACCCGTCGGCGCTCCTTGCCTCGTCGTCGTCTTTTTGCACAGAAAATTTCGACGTCGTGCGGGGCCTTCAACAATGTCTGCCGTCGGTGTGACAGGACGTCAATTGTCTCCCAGAGCAACGAGGAAGGGTAGCGAGGTGTGGACAAGCGGGCGCCGTGACACGGGCGATTCGCACCGACGGCTTCCCTTCTGGTTCCTAGCGCTCCAGTCGCTTACGCTACAGGAGCGTGACACGGCCACGACATTGCTGCTCATCCTCACACAGCCGCAAGCAAACTGTTGACTGCATGATAATCACCGCTACGCCCGCTGCGAGGCTGCCGCTGCTGTCGCTGCACATTGAATGTCACCGCAGCTGCTGACGGGATCCTCCCAACACTGTGGCCTGCTGTCAGACGTCTACCTCCTTACCACACGCCCTGTCTAAATCAAGTAGTGAGCGTAGCAGACACGATAATCACTTGTTTCGAAGCATGTCGTGGCGGCTCCTGAGCGTCCGAGCTCCCCAGACCGGTGGCCCCACAGCGGTCCATGTATGATGGAGCCGGCGCCTTACGAATCATCACTCACACCCAAGTCAGTCTCCGCTTCATGTCTTGAAGCCTAACGAACGCGCGAGAAATGCGCGTTCCCGTCTCGCCGTTGGGATGCGCGTCAGGCAGAATGCATTTGCTGATGGCGTCGCAGCCCGGTGCGAGCCAATATCGAACCATTGAACCCCACAACGGCGGCATCAGCAGCCGTGGAAGGGCTAGCCGGCTTCCGTGGGCGTTTTCCAATCACGGATCTGTGACATCAACTCGGTCGCCGAAACTCTAAGCTGAATTGCTTGTGGCCTCATTCTTACATAGGAGGCTGCGATCTTACGGTCGCGGATCTAGGGTCATAATGCCACAGCAACCACCCGCCTATTTTCTTCTTTCATTTTTTACCTCATTGCGCGTTGCCGATCATCAGCGAACTGTTGAGGGGCCTTTAGTTTTTTCAGTGGATTCGTTTTACAAAACCCTTCATTGGCACAGCAACCGGGAGCCAGCAGGATGTCCCGCAGCAACCGCACCTCTAGTTCGAGGTCAATGCCCTCTATATAGCTATCGCTGCCTCGAAGAGTGCATGCACAAAGATGTGGATGCATGGATGGTTTCTCTCTGATTGAGATTTTCCCATCATATCCGATGCACAGTGCAGCCTGATGTCCCAACCGCCGCAACCCCCTTCGGCAGATTGCGTCAGAAGGACCCTTCGCCGGGCCTTCGGGACCCTCTCTGGATGTCCATCTACGACCCTGTTGCCATGGCTATACATGTGCCCCTCATAAGTCCCGATTTCTCAGCGGATTTGCCCGGTAGACAGCGCTTCGCACGCTACGGCCTCGTGTCGTCTCTGAGCGGTTCTCAGGGGCCGCGGGCGGCTTCTGCGGATGCCTAAACCTTGTCAATGCTTCATCGGAGATGCAAACTCATAGTACGAGTCAGATCGGGATGAATTGGACGATGGTGGTGGGTGTTGAGGAGGTGTCTGTGCTGTGAACCGAGGATGGCTGGGAGAGGTGCGGTTACGTGACGTTGGCGGGGCGGAAGAACAATTCTGCGACTCGCTTGCGGTGACGTTGATTGGTGCGTTCGGGGTGTCAGAGGATCAGGACTGCAACCAACCTGCACTCGAAGAGAATGTAGGCAAATAACATGCCGTCCAGCTTGCTTCCATGTTGATATATTCAGTGGCAGCAGAGTCGAACCTCTAGGCGTAGAGTTTCGCGAAGTGCCGCGATCACTGATGAAGCATGACCAGCCCATAACGTCCAGTGCGGCAAGTCACACGCAACAGATGTTGAGATATCTTCCGTCACTGGAACTTCGGGTCACTATCCCATCCAGAACTGTTTTCGCCCTCTCATTAGCGTTAAGACAGCAACGTACAGGGCGGTAGATGGTTTATAGTTCCATCTCACAATCTTCCACACCTTAACTTTTCCTCACACCCATTTCCAATCCCTTCTTCAGATATACATCCATCTCCATCACGTCTCGCCTCTTCCACACTCTTACATAACAGCGATTCAATATCATCCCCAGTCTGCCCCATCCCGAACAGCGTAATCCACAGTGTTGGAGGATCCCCGTTACTTCCATACTAAGCTCCGTTACTGGAGGTTGTTGATTATTTCAGCATTGCAGAGAATGAAACGCTTTCGATCCTCGAACAGAAGTGAGCATGACGATGGGGGAGTAATAGCAGCTAGCGGAAGAGCAGGCCACCAGGCACAGGTGGGTGTGCTAGGTAGGACCAAGCAGGGAAATGGTGAGAATTGAGATCATCAGAGCGAGGCGCAGGTCATTATTCTGTGTGGCGGAAAAGAAACGAGATGCAAATGATGTTCTGCGGTGTCTTTGATCTAAATATACACTGTGGATACATGGCGCACTCCTGATTCCTATGACAAAATCCCGCCTGTCGACGACCAGATGCCCTACCTATTGTTGCTACATCGTCATTTCGCAACACTAAAGCTCTACGTGAGCGGATATGCACGCGCTGCTCGGTGTCCTATTATTAGCCGCACTGTGGGCTTGGACAACCCTTCCAAGCGTAGGACATGGGTACCAGCGGTCGGTCATCGGTCTCCATATATTCCAAGCAAGACCAGCTGCGAAGTCCGTCTCACAGATTAAGATGGCTGAAGATGCTATACGATGTGCAGCAGCATCTTTGGAACAGTCCGCACTGAGGCTGTTCTCCACGCTCATCCTTGGACCTAGGCCGCTTCCTGTCCCGAAGCCTCGATGCGCATTCTTGCCATCTTCGATCTTCAAAAGCTCCACACGGTCAGTCAAAAGACCCGAACCAAATGTCGTCTTCCGGCCCCGCACCCTTCTCAATCCCTTGCGCCGCACACAAGCCCTTCACATCCTCCGGCAACGTCCACTTCGCAATCTCATCAGCCCTCGTGACGAACTGCATCAACAGACCAGCCTCATTATGCCAAGCAAGATGGCAGTGAAACGGCCACACCCCCGCATTGTCCGCAACGAATCTGATCAGCGTCCATCCAAAGGCTTCTACACTGGCCGTATCGCGACGCAGCGGATTCGCGAAGTCCAGCGTGTCGTACAGATCATCGGCGGGGTACCCGTGGCCGGAAGCCAACACAAAGAACTTGTACCCGTGGAGATGAAAAGGGTGATTTCCGTCGTCGAAGTTCTGGATGAGGATATCAATGGTGCGGATACCGGTTGTCTGGTACACGAGCGTATGCTTAGCATCGAAGCCAGTGTTGATGCCAAACGGATAAGAAAGGTAATACATGTGCGGCTCCTGCTTCCGTTCGTACGCATCGACAAGCGTGTTCAGCGTCGGATGGGACATGTTCGCGCGGTAGGAGCTGTCGTTGAGAAAGCCTCTGCTTAGGCGCCAATCTTTGATCTGAAAACTTGACCGCAGGTAGACTTGGTCGTCGGCTTTTTCGGGCGCGGCGATAGCGTCGACGGGTTTTAGGGCGCTGACGTTGAGGTCGCGGCATTCGAGCTCGATGATTTCGGGCCAGTCTTTGCTTTGGGGGGAGACGGCGAGGCTGGGTGTTTGGTATCTGATTATGGCGCGGACTTCTTCTTTCAGCTCGGGCTCTTCGTAGGCGAAACAGTGGGTGATCATGCGGGCTCTCATCCAGTATAGATCCTGCTGATCCTTGGGTGGGGGCACTACGATGCTGTAACGTTGCGCCGGGTTGATATTGAGACGGTGGATGGACTGTGGGTGTACGTCGGTGCCATCGACTTCTGTGAGGAAGAACTCATGTTCATCGATCTGGATTTGGAACTCGGCGAACGCTCCTACATTGATGAAGCGCAGTCGGGTATTATGCTCGGTCGACAGGTCAAAGAGGGTGTTCGACCTATCTACCGAAGAACAGTTGCGGTTCGGCAAGTCTGTGCAGTTGCGAGCGCCGCGTCCGTTGATCAATGCTGACTGCGGCACCGGCTCTTCGTTCTCGTTCCCGGGTTTAAGGTATTCCATGAGCAGATTCGAAGCCAAGTCGTAGTAGTGATCAGACACAAGGACCACTCGATCTTGCCCGTACGGTACTTTTTGCAGCCTCTGCTCCTCGCCTCCCTTTGCGTGAACGACAATAGGTCCTACGAGCCCATCCGAAGCTTGCATCGACATATGGCTATGGTACCAGTACGTGCCAGTTTGGCCAGTGATATTGAACCGATACGTGAATGACTGACCAGGGGCGATTGGGCACTGGGAGATGCCAACGGTTCCATCCATCCAGTTCGTTCCGTTTTGGAACATTCCGTGCCAGTGAACCGAGGTAGCGTTCGAGGCTTTGTTATGTACGTGAACTACAAGTTCATCGCCTTCGTTACATTCGATCAGTGGGCCAGGGAACATGCCGTTTATCAGCGTCATTGGTTTGTAGACGCCGTCCGGGTTTAGTTCATGCTCCGAGATTGTCCAGTCATACTCTCTAGTGACCGGTTCTGCTTCGAAGTTCCAATTGGAGTCGAGAATATAGTCTTCCTCGGGACGCAACTGAGCCTCAACAACCTCGTTTGAGGCACCATGGCTGCGAGACAGAAGTGAGTGTATTAGGAACCCAACTGTCCAAGCTGCAAGAATTGCGACGACGAGTATTCTGTGAAGTCAGAATCATCGATCACGATTGAACGTAAGCTACTCACCTCAACCAATGCTTCTTCACCCGTTGAGCAGTCGATTCCGAAGACCTGCCCTCAGATTCGCTCTTCGTTCCCAGCTCTTCAACGTCGGACACCTCGCTGTTCAGCTCTGAATCTTCTACACCTCCAAGGAGCCCTTCACGTTCTTCATCATGTTCTGCATCTTTCCTCTCGCTCAACTGGAACACCTCATGACGAGCCATGACACGTATAAGTCCTACAGTCCTTCTCTTAAGCAACCAAATCCGATCTTACGCCGCGGGATTCGCATCGGTTAGTAGCGTGTTCTAGCGCATATGCACAAGCTCCACCGCGATGTCGGATTGTGGTGGTGAGTACCGAACTGGACGGTTCTCACGAGAGCATGCTCCATTGATAGCCCTGGACGTTGCCACAGGCACTCGGCAATAGCGCACGTGCGGCGCAATCGAAGCTTTCTTGCCGGGGTGTCCGGAGGAGCGAAGGCTGAGAAAACATCCATGCCGAGACCCTTGGCAGCCATCCAATGAGGAATGGCGACCCAAACACGCCTTCCGCTACGAGAACCAAGCACGTACGACACCTTCCTACAAAAGCTTAACAGCCATGCACGCACCAGGGGCCCCCACCGCCTACAAGGTACATGTGCTATATACAATTGCCCTGATTCGCAGTTGCGCAAGGCATGCGCCGCCACAACGGAGATGATTGTCGGCATGCCATGACGCTCCTCGGAGGCGTAACCGGTCTGCTGGAAAACGTATAATAGGGTATACATTATTGGGGCTTGGCCCTGCACCTGCAGCGTAGGCATCGACTGCACTTCATTTATCAGTCGCGACTCGTGGTCTGTCCTTTCGTTCGTTCTGTGTTGGGCGAAACTGGTCAATATGGTTTCTTCGTTGCTCCTCTCGGTGTCGCTGCTCGCCAGCACTGCCGTTGCGGCCCCCAAGCAGCCATCCTACGGTGGTGGATACAAGACCTCGGACTGGGTGAAGGGCAAGGCTTTCGACCGTGTCGCCATCATCTGGCTCGAGAACACCGACTATGACCTCGCCATTGGAGACCCAAGCTTGAAGTGGTTGGCTAAGAAGGGTATTACCCTCTCCAACCACTTTGCGGTCACGCATCCTTCCATGCCAAACTATGCGGCCGCTATTTCCGGCGACTACTACGGAATCAACCACGATGATCTGACCGCGATCCCGTCCAACGTCTCGACCATCGTGGACCTTTTGGAGGCGAAGAAGATCTCGTGGGGAGCGTACCAGGAGGATATGCCTTACACTGGTTTCCAGGGCTTCGACTACAAGAACCAGCAGACAGGTGCCAACGACTACGTCCGCAAGCACAACCCTCCGGTCTTGTACGACTCTGTCGCCGACCAGACCAGCCGCTTGAACCAGATCAAGAACCTGACCCTCTTCCACGAGGAGCTCAAGGCGGATGCTCTGCCCCAGTGGATGTTCATCACTCCCAACATGACTTCAGATGGACACGACTCCACAGTAACCGTCGCTGGAACCTGGTCTAAGAACTTCCTCGAGCCGCTTTTGAACGACAAGAAGTTCATGAAGAACACTCTTGTCATCCTCACCTTCGACGAGAACCACACCTACACCCAGCAGAACCGCATTGTTGCCATTCTCCTTGGCGACGCTGTCCCCAAGAAGCTCGTCGGCACCACCGACAGCAACTTCTACAACCACTACAGCGAGATTGCTACCGTTCAGGCTAATTGGGGTCTCGACACCCTCGGCCGCTGGGACGTCGGTGCCAACGTGTTCGACTTCGTTGCCAAGAAGACTGGTGACAGCGTCAGGCAGTGGCACGGCCAGACTCCTCTTTCCCAAATGTACTGGAACGTCTCATACGCCGGCAAGCTCAACGACAAGAACACCTCCGTCCCATGGCCCGTGCCCGCTACCAAGTTGAACCACAACGGACGCAAGGTCGCTGATGTTGTCAAGAAGACCTGGGGCTCTCTGGAGAAGGAGTCCGCTTACACCACTGCTCTTGAGGTTCCAGACGGTCTCCACCCGGAGCCTGAGTTCACCCGCGCTCAGAAGACCAAGTGGTAGATGTGTACTTGATGACATATATGTAGATACGATCTTTTGAAACATAATTGTAGTTCGTAGTATATAATTGAGAATGCGTCCTAGCAATCTCATCCACCAAAATGCAGCTTGATGATGCTCTTGCAGTACTCTTTTTGACCTTGATGATATTGTTTCAAAGTCGTGCTTTTTTCGCATAATCGCCCTTGGGATTCGTGCTCATCTTAAATTAATAACAGATCAATTTCCACTTCCTTGTGCGCAAGATCAACAAATGTTCAACAGTGAAACACATTGAGTAGTGCCAATACCCGTGAACATTCACGCAACACCTGACCCACAGGTTGATTCAGACCATAGCCCTCCCATGTATGACATATTTCCCACATGGGAAGAGGAACCCACAGGGTGATCGCGTTGAGCGTCAACTCACCAAACTCACGACTCCATCAGTCACTAACAATGGCAAGCCCACACTTCCCAAGCAAAGACGCCTTCATCCGCCATGGTATCGTACCCGTAAACCTCGTCGCCACTTCGGACAACGAACACGCAGAATGAGCTATCTGTTCCCAACGCCTCCGCGCTTACAAAGAAGCAAAGTTGAGTACTTCAGTGACCGAGGCACCAGTCAGGCTTCCCTGCGGCCATGTCTTCGGATATCGATGTATCATATTGTGGACGGATTTGGAAGAGAAGAACACTTGCCCAGGGTGTCGGTGTGTGCTGTTTTCGTAGAGAAAACATGGATGGTCGAGGAGTCTGATTAAGATGTGTTTGATGAGCTTGATAATCTGGATGGTATACATGTCTCGCATGGCATCTCAATTGCGAAGATGTAAAGTTTAATGAGAAGAAGTTCGAATATGAGAGACGATAGACGTTAGTCCTTTGAAGGTGACGTATGAGATAGGCATGCCCTGCATATCATCCAGATGATCACCGCGCCTGTTTTGAAGCAAACCAATCTGTAGTGAGCGGCTGAAGCAGAACCCCCTTCCGGCCCTCACGTTCTGTCATCGAAATCATCCATATGATCATTGACCTCGTCCCGAATTCGAGTGAAGACCAGGCTTCGATATCGTGATGTTAAGGTGTTGTGGTCTTGTGAGGCTATGTTTTCCAAGGTAATGGGATCTTAGGGCGGCGCTTATAGACCGCACTGACCCTACAACGAGAACCTTATTTTGCACCTGGGCCCCAACCTCATTTCAGCCTTCTTTTCGTGCATAATGTCCCGGCCATCGGCAAACCCGACAGAACCGATGAGACAGTACCGAAGCTTACATGTATGGAGGCCTCATTTGCGTTCCGGCCTCTCGAAATTCGAAGATGCCACCGCGTTGAGCAGTACTTCCCAACCCCTTCGTCCAGCATTGCCCGCAACGGGACAAGGTTACCAATCGAGACAAGATAACCGAGGAGCGGCACGACCCAGTGGTTCCGCAAGCGTCTCTCCACACTCTACCGCACCTCATCCTCTTCTCGCTACTCCTTTGCGTGCCGGTGAGGAGAACTCGGACAACTGCACGTGGCTCAGATGCTCTCACGTAGACTAGGCGTTTCATCTCCCATGCAACCATCGTGGACCAGGCCTCTATCGCCGCGACAGTCCCGCATGCCAAGGAGGTGTTCACTGGCCCCCTCCACAACATCTAAGCCCCCGTCTACGCGATTGATTCGTCGAATCACACTCTTGCCAGTAACGCCAATCCCGGGAGGTTGAGCTACTTGGGCTCTGAATTTCAGATCTGCGCTACTCCTCTGCAGCGAAGAAGCCCTCATGGAGCAGCGCTATTCTTTTCCTCTCTCGAAGCATTTCCAAGGCGACCTCATTACCTCAGGAACATGGTCAATATGCATGAGCATGCGGTCAAGCTTGACCACCTCAGGCATTGACCGTGCCGCAGCCTCAGCCTCGACGACCGGGTATGAAGTTGTGTGATAACCCAGATGGGGGCGCCGCATGGGCGGTGCCCTTCCCGCGACCCAAACACTGCCTCCGCTTATGACATGGGTCCGCATACTGACCTTGAGATCAGGCCTAGGGGTGCTATTTTGGGGGCCGCAGGCCCCTTCCGTTGTTCTTCAAGTGCATGTCGCTTTCGCTCTTGAATTCTCTCACCTTGAGTGCCACTCGCTGCCTACGTTCGTTAATCCTTGCACGATGTTTAATCTTCTGCCCTTCGCGTTGTTGCTGGAAGTGTTTATGCATGTCGGCGCTTCACCTGTCAATGCAGCGTTCGAGGCGGCGCATCCAATGATCACACAGCGCGCTGAGTTGTTTATTCGAGAAGCACCAGCCTCTCTTGTGGGCTACTTTTACACTACGGATGGTGATGGCAATACCGTCAGTAAGTGAAAACATCACGAACGCATTAAGAAAGACGCTAAGGTACAATAGTCACTTCCTCTGATAAACCAGGCTCCGCTGCAACCTTCCGCGATAGCACTCTGGTAGATTGGTGCTCGGACGACTCATCATATATGTCGAATATATGTCCAACGGCATTTTGGACATCTTGCGATGGCTCTACACTCAAATCGGAGGGTGGTTCGACATCTTGCACTTCAATCTGCGATTATGATATCATATACACCGCAGGCACATCAGACTCCAGCTCGCTACGATGGTACCACTGCATGGACCGCTCCTACCTCCTTTTCTATCGCGAACAGCCCTCGGGCACTTTGATAGAAGACATGACCACCACCGACTCATCTTCGACTGAGACCTCCTCCTCCGAAACATCCTCCGAATCATCCTCGGATTCCTCATCTACCGAAACCACCACCAATACCGCAAGTCCCGCATCGTCAGGCTCATCGGTCGCATCGCGGACATCAGACCCCACAGAGTCGTCCACCCCCCACGGCCGAACCAGCAAAAGAGAAAGAAGCAAGCAAAGCCTGGATTGCAGGCGTGGTAATCGGCATAGTCGGCCTCCTTGCTGTCGCGGGCATGGGTTTTTACCTTTGGAGGCAGAGACAGCAGAAGCATGCGTATGGTCCTGCTCCGCAAGGCCCGTCGCAGGCACAGATGCAGCCCGAATACCCACCACAGCAGTCCGCATACTATCCTCCACCTCAACAGACATATGGGAATGGTCCGAGTCCGTATCTCCAGCCTGTGTCGCCAAATATGAGCGCATATGATGCGCAAGTGGCCAAGCCACAAGAGGGTACAGCGTATGGAGGGTACGCGCCACAGCAGTATGGCGGTCCGCCACCGGGGGTGGGAACGGTACAAATGCCACAGGCGAGTCCGCAGGTGCAGCCGCAAATGGCGGCTAATATGCATGAGCTGCCGGAGCTGGCGCCGTCATCAGGGCGGAGATGACGGGAAACGAAGAACTTGTTGAAGATACTGCAATTTTGCGAGCGTTCTGAATTAAACATGATACCATATTTATTCTTGTAGTTTGTTCTGGATACGCATTTGAAGTAAGAAGAAGCTAAACAACAATCCCGGTTTGGGCTCTTCGAGAATAGTACATGAGTGCTTAAACACTTTGCGACATTAAGCAGGGAAAGTGCATGGTGTAGGCAAAGGGACGGCTGCTTATCTGGTACCAGAAGAGTTCCACATCTTCAGCTTTTAGGCCATCTTTGTCCCCTGCATAGTTACTGGTCATACTTCCCAGACAAAACTATTGAGTATTCGTGATCGCGCAACATACTCAGGTCTGATTTTGCAAAACATGTGTACCTGCAAACACTCTCTGCGAGTTTCTCAAGTTGCTAGGTTGGGTCAGGTGACAGGGCGAGTGAGCGCACGGACCGTCGTGTGTTTGTTTACGATGCGCTTGCCGTCCGAAGCGAGCCTCGACTACACCAGCATCATCTTGACCCCACGTAACCGCACAACATGGCGAGCGACGACGCCAAAGAGAACATCGCAGACGGACTGGTCGCCGGCTTGACTTTCAAGGCGCCGTCCGATCCATCGCCGAAGAAGTCGCGCAAGAGCAAGACGCGTAGCAAGAGCATTGGGCCTAGTGGGCTCAGCGACCTCGAAGAGAAGCCGTCTATACTCAAGGAGAGCAATGGGAACAGGCGCAAGGTATGCCCAAATTTGCACGTGGCAATATCAAGTAGTGCTAACAGCGCGCAGTCTGCCTTCATTCCCGCAGTCAAGTCAATCCTGGTGTCGAACGACATCGACGAGAAGAAGCGGCGCGAAGCACGTCGCAAGTCGCTAGGTAAGTGCGCATATCGACGGAGCAAGAAAAGCGGTTGCTGACAGAATTGTAGCACGGCGACGCGTCTCTTTTAACCCGGAAGCAACACTGCACAGCTGGGACGTGGTAGCATATGCGCGCGATGAGACATCTTCCACCGTATCAGACGCGACGCGACGAGCGTCCTCTGTAGCGCAAGAGCCCGCGCACCCATCTTCAGACGCCGAAGAGCCTCCGTCTACGCCACCAGAGCGCGTCGAGGAACCAGAACCCGAAGTCGGATCGTCGCCTGCCAACCAGCGAGATGCGCACAAGAAGAAGAATCGCCGCAGCTCGGGCATCCCGCCAATGAACTTCAACAACCCGGATGACATCGACTCCTCCAGCCCTTTGATTGAAAACACATCTCCTGCAAAGGATACACCGCAAGACGATCTCGAAGAGGCGCCCGAGGACAACGATTCACAGAGCAGCGCACGCCTAGATGCTGCACTACGACAGGCTTCTCAACTTGCAGGCACCCAAAAGCTAGATCTGGACAGTGACGAAAACATGTCTATGGTTGGGGCGGATGATGAGATTACAGCGTCATTCAAGCCGTGGATCCAGAAGGACCAGCAGATGACTTTCAAGGACCAGGAAAATGACGACCCTTTTTCGAACTCTCCTACAGGCTCAGATGAGGGTGGAGAGGAGGATCTGAGCATGGACATTACACGCGCTGTTGGCAAGATTATTGCTCAGCCAGAGCCTGAGAGCCCCGGCTCGGATGACATGAGCATGGACCTTACAACAGCTATTGGCAGCATCAAGGAATCATCATCCAAGGATTTACCTAACCGCAGGAAGAGCCTCAAGCGCCGCGTGTCTATGCTTGAACCCTCGCGGGGTAGCCCAGCAAAGCGACCATCAAGCCGGAGGACTAGTCTTCGCTCCCAAACCATTGCAGAAGATATCTCAACGGACGACCAGACCATGGACTTCACTGTGGCTATTGGAGCCATCAAGAATGAGCCTATGCCGAATGTTCAACCACCTTCTAAGAGAACTCGTGCAAGCATAGACAGCTCACTTGGAGATCAAACCATGGATTTCACTGTTGCGGTAGGCAATATTAAAGACATGAAACCGGCTATGGAAGAAGGCGCTTTGGAAGAAAATGAACCAGACGAAGAGGACGAGGATATGGATATGTCGATGGAGTTCACAACAATAGTCGGCCCCGGCATTAAACGCCTCGGCAAAGTTCCGAAACAGACAGAGGATGAAGCTGTGACTAGCCCAACTCCGGTCAAGAGGAACGTTTCTACGCCCCAGAAGTCACCCAGGAAGTCGCCAGGCCGACTAAAGTACCCAGATCTGACCGCAGCGCTATCGGAGAGCGCACGGAAGGCGCCCAAGATAACGCCGTCCAAGTCGCCTCGTCAGCCCCGTCGTAGTCTCAATATTGCTACCCCGGAGATCAAGCCTGTAAAGCAGCGTATTGAGGACTTTGAGCCTTCGCCATTTGTACGAAGAACGCCGCAAAGTGCTGCAAAGCCCACAGACGTCGCTGTCACACCTACCTCACAGCCGCGAAATGCGCGTCTGGTCGTACCCGACGATCCTATCGAGGCCCCTATACTCAATGAACGACGCTCATCTTTATCTAACGTTCAATTTAGCCCCCTCGCTCAAGTAGCTGAAGAACCAACGCTCCGGAGCACCGCTATACTGTCGAACAACATCAAGCTCCTTTCGACACCCAGGAAGCAGACACTGACCTCTCCCGTCAAGCGAGGAATGACCCCTAAGAAGTCGCAGACCCCACAGAAGGAGGCAACACCGAAGCAGAAGACGCCGACCCCGAAGAAGCGAACTCCTAGAAAGAGCCTGAGCCCCAGGAAGAGGGTAGTATTCGGGACCGAGCCCGAAGTCGAAGACAAGGAAAACGTGCCCGAGCAAAATGTTGATGAAGATCTGGACGATGCTGAGCGGATCTCGTTGCAAGAATTCCTGGAACTGACGAGAATTCGGTTCATGGAGGTGAGCGCAACCAAGCGTCGACATACTACTGCACCTGCGGCATTCCACGATAAGGAGATCGAAGAGGAGGAACCGTCGCTCGATCAATACGTAGTCGCTGGCGCGTGCACGATTCCTGAGTTCGACTTGTATACGCACGCCTGTCACGAACTGAAGAAGTTCATCTCAAGTGGCCGAAGCTTCGTTCGGACTTTAGAAGAGAACGTGGAGGAAGAAAATCCCTTGCTCTTTTCCGAGTACCTTACAGCACCACCCGATCAACGTGCGATAATGGACAACCAGTTCAAGAACTTGAAGACCAATGCTCGTCTCGAGGCTCGTGGAGAGTGGTACACATGGAGGACTAATCTGCTTCGGGATCTCAAGTCTATGCTTGTGAATACTATGCATGGGTTCAAGCAGGACGAGTCCGTCATTGCAGGTCAAGAGCAGCTTCTGGGTGAAGCTTTGCCTCCTCTGCAGGAGATGCAGGAGCGGCTGGACAGAGAATGTCGACAGCTACAGCAGCGGCATGATGAGTTGAACAGCTGTAATCTTGAAGAGCTTGAACAGGCACGAGATCGACTGGTCATCGTAGACACCGAGTTGGAAGAGAAACGTCAGCTTGTTGCTGAGATGCAGCAAGAACTTGCCGATAAAGAAGCACGCATTGAGGCTGTAAAAGAACGCAAAGTCGAATGCATCGCAGAGACCAAAGCCGCCGAGCGTGTACGAGAGGAGTATCGTGGATGGTCAACTACTGAAGTGAATGGGCTCCATGGTAAGCGTCCCACACTGATCATCAGTTTCATCTTGCTGACTAGTCTCTAGCCAATGTCACTGCGCTCGAGCAGAAGCACGGATGGAGCATCACTGCCGCTTCTGGAAGCATGATCACTATGACTTATATGAACGACCTCGAACTCTACTTCCAGCCATCTGCTTTCGCCACCGGTGCCGAATCTCCCAACGCGTCCATCTCGTTAACATACGTTGGCGATTCGGCGACTCCACACCCGCGGCCACTGACCACTAGCAAGCGTTTCTTCCTCCAACTCATACGTGCCCATCTGCACTGCATCCCCCAGTCACAGACCCGCGTCAAGGATCTCCTCGACGTAATCAAGAATGGCTGGGCGACCGCATCAGCTGTCGTGGAGGGCGTACGTTGGCTGGATCACAGCTACATCACCGACGAGTCTATCTTGTCAGATGAACGCATGGCTGTCTCATCTAACATGCTTCTCCCTACACTGCAGACAAAGGTGAAAGTCACCTTCGAGATTGGCGTCAGTCTCTCGTCCGTTGGGGTAGATACAGAAGTTGTTGCCAAGGCAGAGGTCGTCTACGGTGAGAAGTTCAAGACGGAGAGAATGGGTGCGTATCTGGAGCATATTTGTGGGGCCAAGGTCAAGCAAGAGAAAGACATGTCGATCTGGGCCGATGCGTGCGTGGAGCTAGTAGAGAAGCTGAAGGCTACGGGAAGGAAGGGCGAGAGGGTGTAGGGTGCTGTCTCGTTCAATTTCATCGAGCCGTCCGACGACCTGGGCAGATTGGGACACGCTGTTGTTAATGAGTCATGATTTACGAATGCCTGACGGTTGGCGTTATTGTTCTTAGGACAGTCCATATTCTCGGCGCGGAATCACACTTGTATAATATATATGAGCAATTGTCACATAACAATCCTTGACCACTGTTCCATTTTGAGCGGCTATCTATTCTTCACCAGTGTCATATCGGTATCCTATCCCCGACCGAAAGCCAGAATGCGCACCTCTTTTCTAACTGATCCACATTGCCGTTGGCTATCTCGCCGCTGCGAACTACGAACTGCTTCCCGTCCTTTAGAGACGGCACTCCGACTACACTGCTATTTGTCACTTTATGCGCGTTCGGGTCTCCGGTTTGCACAAAGGATGCCATAGCCCCAGCGTAGGCGTCATACGTCAGCGGATCAGACGTCTGCACCGCATTCACCTGGTTCCAGTATATCGTGTCCGACGCGTGCTTCGCAGGCGAAATGGTATATTCCATCAGAGAGCCCTTGCGGGCGGAGACAGAGAGCCAGTATGCGGGACAAGCGAGTTGGAGGTCCCGGTAGATGAGGCCGGCGCGCGTGTACGATGTGTTCCAGGTAATTTCCTCAGCGGTCCCGTTCTCCGGATACAACATCTTCAGTTTCTGGATGTCAGCCCCGCGGAGACCGGGAAGATATCCGGCGAGCCAGGCATTGAAGCCGGCGGTGCTGGAGTTGAAACCTCCTGAGCCCGAGGCACTGTTCAGACCTGGAGGGATGAAGTTCTCGCCTTCGTGCAGGTTGTAGCTCGTCAGTAGGAGCTCTGCGTTAAGCGCTTTGTGCTTTATCGCGGTAGTGAGCGGGGTGGTGAGAAACGCGTCGTCGATTACGGGACCCCATGTGAAGCTGCTGGTCGTGTACTGGTGGCTTGTCGACAGGTTCAGACTCACGTCGCGGAGCGTCTGGACGTCTACGGTCTTGAGGCAGGAGATTTCGTCCTGGACGCCGGCGCAACCTACACCCTTCACTACGGCTGTGTAAAGCGCTTCGTTTTCGGAGCTGTCATAGCGGTATGTTTTGGGCCAATAGGGGGAGCTGCTCATTGCTTTTTGGAAGAGGTTCTTCCCGCGGTTGCCGGTTGCGATGGTTTGAGCGACGACGCTGCCTCCACCTGCGCTCTGTCCCCAGATCGTAACGTTTCTGGGATCGCCGCCGAAAGCCTTGATATTCTTTTGTATCCACTCCAGTGCTGCTCGCTGATCTAGTAAAGCGGTGTTTAGGTCTGTGTCTCTGTGCTGTGCGATTTTCTTGCCCGATAGGAAACCGAAGACGTTGGTGCGGTAGTTGCTGTACACGACTACGTAGTCGTTCTGCTGGGAGACGTTCAAGACTGGAAAGCCGGAGGGCGGGATGGAGAAAGACGCGCTGCCTTGGATGAAGCCGCCGCCGTAGAATGTCAGTAGCACTGGGCGGAGTCCTTGCCTGGATCCTTTGTTGGATGGCGTCCAGGGCCGCGAGTAGACGCCGAGGTACAAGCAATCCTCTGATCCATTGACGGTGCGCTGGGGACACATGTCAAACGCTTGATCTGTGTTGTAGGTGCCATTGGTGACTGTTGCTGGAGGCTGGGGCGCGCGGAAGCGGTTTTTGCCTGCTGTTGAGGCGGCGAAGGGGATCTTGCGGTAGTAGGTGAGGTTGTAGGTGGAGCTGTAGGCGCCGCTGAATGTACCGTATGGAAGTTTTACGGTGGGGGCTGTAACCGGCGTAGGGGATGCGATGATGAGAAGAATTGAGGACAGCAAGAGGAGGAGACGGGCGATGAGTGGGAGCGCCATTGTGACGGACTTTGGCAACCTACCACACACTGAGAATTCATGTTGTGAACGATATAAGGCATGTTATATAACAATCGGCGTTATGCGGGCGTAGAGCTGATTTAGCCTCTTTCTCCGCATGGTGACCTTCAGTCCGGGGTCGCGGGGCAGCAAAACCTGGAGAACGACAAGCCGTGACGATTGCGTTTCCTCGCTTCGGTATATTTTCTACCGAGCCACACGAAGCTAGCTAAGATGAAGGTCGACTAAGGAGGTGGCCTTCGGGCCATGGGAAGGTTAATTGAATTATTCCGGCGCCTGGAGATACGCGAGGAGCTAACTGGGTTAAGGCTGGAGCAAACCGAACGTGCCGTGAATGTCATGGACCAAGTTCTTAACGTACTCTTTAATACTTCTTCTCTTCAATTCTCGTCTTCTTCTTGAACCCCAGACCAACTAGAAACGCAATTCGAACAACTGTCACAAATCCCGTAATCGCAATCGTACCCCACTCCTCCCACCTAATCGCCCCAACGTCGAGTCTTCCTTGCGCACCCAAAGCACCGTATAGACTGCCGAAGAGCGTAAAATCCGTAACCAGAATGCCAAACTCAAACATCTTCCAAATCTTCACATCGCTAGTGTATCGCAACATGAAGACCATGAGAAACGCCATCATGATGAAGGCTCCGCTGGCTTGCGTCAGCAGAACGGTAATGGGCGGCGTAGGAGTCGCGTAGAGTGATGACCGTGGGAATGAAGACGCAAGTATGGTTTCAGGATCAAAGATGTCCATGTATGCGCCGCTCAGAGCAATCAGAGGGTCGATCGAAGTGAAAAAGATGCGGTAGAAGGTGGGTATCGGATCTTGATCTCCATGGTCTTGGAACATGCTGCTGCTTTGGGGTGCGTAGACAGTTGACGTTTCGAGCTTATAGATAAGGCTCTCGTTTATGGCGTAAGTTTCGAATGGCTGCGAATGGTCGTTAAAAATCGGAAATGTATAACGCGGGGAACGCTAGCACCTAAACGGGAAAGGGCAGATGTGCTGCTTAGGCCATCGCCCGCTGTGAGATCTCCCTCTTCAGTCAACTCGCGTTTCCTCGCTCTAGCACTACCTGGGCTCTCTATGGACTTGAGATACCAAGCACTGTGTACCCAAAGATCCCTCAGCTCTGCTGGTCGCCGTACACGGTAATGCCGCCAACACATCCGCCCAAAACCCTCTTGGCAATGGCTCGCTGCCTGCGCATCGGTTCAAGACATTCCAGGCAATCGCAGTGGAGACGTCAAACAATTAATTCTTGGATTCTTTCGAAAAGAACCCTAGTTGTAGGTATCCCATCGACGAATGAACCATATCATTTTATACGAGATTCCTGAGAATCAGTCAGTAACGATCCTACAATACTTATTATTATATCCAGAGCCTAGTGTTCTCCGAAGTGGACACCAGTAATTATCCTTGCTGCATCGATGTTCTCGCTAGCCCATATGTGCCTCTCGCGAGCATGATCCGCTCAGCACCTCTATTTCTTTTTGTAGTCTTGAGAAGTGCCTTTCTTCGGAGGTTTGGGATTTAAACCTTATCAGAGTTGACAGCAACAAGCGAAAGGTAAATTCCACATGCAGCAAATATATACGAACTCACGCCGAAAGCACCCTGAATGTCCTGCTTGTAGTACGCCCATAGAACCCCAAACAAGCTAACCAAGATGAATACCACGACCATAGTAAGCGTGATGAGTCTCCAGTTCAACCCTTCTTGATAGTATATCCCCCAACCTTCAGCAGGCTGACCAGCTTTCCCATGAAGTTCCCCACAGATGCGCCGAGGTAGCTGGTCCAGTATCCAGGTGTCATTCTCATTGACGCAGGAAGGATCATTGAAGAGATGGGCTAGGTATTGTGGATCGACTGGTGGCCATACTGAGGGCGGTCCGGGGATGCAGCGGTACTCAGCTTGCGTAGCAGGTTCGACCCGGTTTTTGGGCGGGATGCATTCGCATGTGGATGATTGCCAGCATGGATTATGATGTCGCACTTCTACACTGCCACCTGAGACACGGATATTATCAGCACGAATGCAGCATGCACATGAATTGGATGATTTACCCAATGGTAGCCGGAACTTGACGAAGAAGATCCCTCTTACTTCGTTGAGCGAAGGGACGAATCTAGTGCGACCCCAGCGTCGCGAATGCTTGTCACGCATGAAGGTGAACAGTGTGCGATCACAGGTGGCGCTTTCAATACGATCCTGAGAAAGCGACTTCCGGAAGCGATTGGCGTGCATACACGATAGAAGATGCAGCATTTGTTGCTGTGATGCATTGCCAGGCGCAAGAGAACATATTTTCGCCGCTGGACCATTGCTATGTTGAGGTAGTGAGCTTGGAGTTTGGTCTTTGAATCTTGATGCGAGCTTCAAGAGACCGCTAGTGATCAGGGACTTCAATTGCTGGTACATGACCTTTGCCTTACTTATGCTTTCCGGATCCGGAGCTTCGATTACTGTGACTCTGGATCCGACAGATCGTTGCATCCGGTCCACAAGATCCATGATACCCTTCTCCCGTACTTCGAATACGTCACTCATAAAGGGTTTGTTGCATCGCTGTCACACCTTAGCAAAATTCATCACTCATTTGGGTCCACTCACACATTTCCATCTCAACTGCACTTTGCGAACAACTGCAAGGGTTCTGAACGGCTGTGGAGAGCTTTCCAAGATGCCTTGTGTCTTCTGTAACTGACTCAGAGTTTCGTCATCGTGCAATAGCTTGAGGACATATTCGATTCGTTCATGATTCCCAGTAAAGATCCGGTCGAAACCACCTTCTTTGATATCAACCAGTAAAGGCTCTGGTGCAGATCCCTTTGCGGACATATGTACGAGCTGGTCATCCGGCCGTCTTGGATCTCCCGCCCTGAATCCGGTTTCAGGACCTTGGTTCCGTGCTGATAACACAAATCTCTCAAGACGCTCGTGAAACTTTCCAAGCGCTTCACTCTTTTTCAGAAAATCGATGAATGCGAGAAAATCCGCAAACACAGTCTCGCCAAACACCTCTATTAGTTCTTCGTCGTTAGGGCTCTCTTGTTTCGCATTATCAGTACTGGCGCTCTTTCCCTTCACATCGCCCGCACGCAGAGGTACAGGAAGAGATTCCCCAGATCTCAAGACAACGATCTCAGCCAGCACCTTGGCTTGATGCGAAACAAGACGAGCACCTAGGTGCTCTGTTTGATCTTTTGCTTCATTCTTGAGGTCCTCGGCACATTGTTTGAACAAGCGTTTCAAATGCCGTACCAATTTGGCAAGTCCTATGGCCGGGTGTCTCAGACCAAGCAGATATAACCCTTGCGACTCTTTGTGGAAAACCCGAGCCACCTTCTTGGTGGCTGTGGCTATCTCATCTGCCGTAAATCCGCTGTGTCTTGAAAAGTCCGTTACTGAGGAAGTAATAGATCGTACGGGGAAGACGGTACTGGCGTAGGAAGATACCACTGAAGGATTCTTTCGTGGGATAGTAAATAGGAATTTACCACTGTACAAGCATATCTTCCTTGCCCGGTGTTCCGCATCGTTCTAGCGCTGCACTGCAATTTCAAGGCTCCCAGAACTTCGAATTGACTGTATGAAATATTTCTGCTTCGAACTATTGTATGCTTCATTGTGGCCTGTCTTTTGGCCTGTCTTTTGGCCTGTCTCCTGGCCTGTCTCCAATTCTTCATATATAAACCTTAATTGCTTGTCTTCTTGAGCTGGAGTTGTGTATGACGGAGGGCTCCTCGACCTCCAATAACGCTGATCGAACGAAGAAGATCCTTCAGTGACGGCATGTGGCCGTGAAAAGACACGTCTAGACGAAGAGACTCCGTCAAAGAATGACCTTATAGCTGAAGCCTCGAGTTCTTCCCAGTTATCTGGATAAAATGAGTCGTCGATTGATGGAATTCGGTTACTAACGTCGTGAAATCGCGGATCGTACGGTTCATCATCCCAAGATATCAGATCCCGCCATTCCTCTTCCGACGAAGGCTTTGAAGAACGCGACACTGTCGTAGGCATGGCACGAAGGTGATAGAGAACACTCCGTATGTCAGGCAGCATCGACACGGCTGAAGTTGGTGTTCATCAATTCGCCTTGCAGGGTACCCTGCGCCCGTTCGCCTAATCTGCCAATGCCATCAGGATCTTGGTTGTCTATGTATGCACTGCACACTGTAGGATATAATTGTGAGAACTATCAAGAACTGCCTTCACTCGTCTTTGACCCTGGGATAAATGCATTCTTGGCAATAGCCATACAAATCTGCAACACATGCTGTGAGTCTCTCTGGAATTTTCCTAACTTATCCATCAAAAGTGGCCGAAGCTTAGCCCCATCGTCGTTCTGCCGCCTCCTCTTGTTGAGGTACGTTGCATCCCAAATCGTCGCGTAATTTTGACGGTTTCCCCGCCAATGCGCAGAACCACACGATGCAGAACCGAAGAGTTACGGCGCAAGTGTAGTAAAGCTTAGCTTCGCTGACAAGTGGTATTGACTTTGGAGTCACGCTCCCGTCTGTGAACAGTGGTGGACGTCCCGATCCTCATTAAGTCATCACGCAAAAGCCGGCGTCACATAACTCGTGATAGCTTTTAGAACGTTGCCGTCGTTGGCGCGTAGAAGTTCGGTCGCTTTGGGTTTGGGAAGCTCAAGCTCCGACATCTGGATTCATATCAGCACTCTTGCTCCTTTTGCTTCCTAGACTCGCACAACATGTGAGAACATACCAATAAGTTCACATCGCTCGCCTCAATCTTGACCGCCTTCTTCTGCGCCTCTCCACCCTTGCCGTCCTTCACACTCAAATTCTTCATCGCCTTCTCCACAGCCTTGGAGTCCACCTCTTTCTTTCCTGCTTCATCGTCTCCCTGCGCGTCCAAACTCGAAAGTGCAGCGGCAGCTTTGCGATCTTCGGCGCCGCCGGTGGGGGCAGGGGCGTCCGAGGCCCCTTCTTGGATGTTGGAAGGTTGCGGTTCTTCAGCCATGGTAGATTGAATTGGTTGAACGGGTGTTTTGGTGTAGGTGTGTGGTTCCGCGTGAATGCTCACGAGCAGGGTATGAGGTAGGTTGACATCAGTGGGGGACTGCCATGCCAAGGACTAGGGTGCAGTGGGGCAGGTGCAGGCGGCTCGGTTAGATTTGCTAGGATGTGTGGCCTTTTATTTGACAATTAGAGCCTCTTACCACATCCATTTGAACTCACGATTAAACATTGGCGGCGTCAATATCCCGCAATCATATTGGGACTTTGAAATTAGACCGGTACGTCTGTTATTTTCCTGTTGCCGTTTGTTATACCCATAGGCTGGTTCGATAGACGGGCGAAAGAGAATTGCATGCTCTTGAGTCATGACCTTGTACGCCGCTGAAAGAGCTATGCATATGCCAACATCTAGCATCTAAGGACACGCCGACTATCTTGGAATTCTGCTAATAAGCCCTACCGTAGATTGACGTAGCGGCGTCCTGTATTTGAGTCTAGAACATCCTTCATTTTCACCATTACTGTCCTGCCCAATATGGGCTCAGCAGCAGAATGGTCGCCATCTTGTGAGTCAGGTCTTCAAGAACGCACACAGATGCTAACCATCTTAGCTTGGCAATCGAAGCCCATCAAACAAGTAGTCACATACGATGATCAAACCGCTGTCTCAGCAGCGCTGTCAAAACTCTCAAGCTTGCCACCAATTGTCACTCCAACCGAAATCATCAAGCTGAAGTCCAGCCTCCGGGATGCCGCCCTTGGAAAATCGTTCTTGCTCCAGGGAGGCGACTGTGCAGAATTGTTTTCTTATTGTGCCGATGACCCGATCAACGCCAAGATCAAGCTTCTGCTACAGATGAGTTTGGTACTAATTTGGGGATCGAACAAGCCCATCATCCGCATAGGTCGCATGGCAGGCCAATACGCCAAACCTCGCTCAAGTCCCACAGAGATCGTGGATGGCAAGGAGATGCCGAGCTTCCGTGGAGACATTCTGAACGGTTTCGACCCAGCGCATCGGCATGTGGACCCCGACAGATTGGTCACTGCGTACTTCCACTCTGCTACGACACTAAATTACATCCGTGGACAATTATCGAGCGGCATCGCTGACTTGCACAACCCTCTTGACTGGGACCTAGGCCACGTTCAAGATGAGGGACTGCAGAAGAAATACTCCCAGATTGTATCGAACATCTCGGAATCACTACGTTTCATGAGGACAATCGGCGCAGACACATCGGGACAGCTTCAGACCGTTGACCTCTACACCAGTCACGAAGGCCTTGTACTGGAGTACGAGCAAAGTCTAACACGCAGGCTCAAGCATCCTGTCGGCTACCAGTCTTCGTTGTCAAACGATGGCCGGGGCTGGTACAACACGTCTGCGCACTTCATTTGGATCGGCGATCGCACACGCCAGATTGACGGCGGCCATGTGGAGTATTTCCGCGGTATCGAGAATCCTATCGGTATTAAGGTCGGGCCATCGATGAAGAATGATGAGCTGGTAGAATTGCTTGATATCGTGAACCCGAACAAGGAGATTGGCAAGGTCACACTGATCACACGTTACGGAAAGGACAAGGTCGAGTCTATGCTTGGGCCCCACATCGAAGCAGTGAAGAAAAGTGGTCACGTTGTCGTTTGGCAATGCGATCCGATGCACGGGTATGTCAAGCGTCTCTCTATGTTGCCATTAGTATGACCAGAGACTGATAAGCTCCGCAGCAACACGCACAGCACTCCGACTGGGATTAAGACACGGTCGTTCAACAGCATCTTCTCCGAGCTATCTTCTGCCCTAAAGGTCCACAAAGAGCATAGCTCATTCCTCGGCGGTATGCATCTCGAATTGACTGGTGATGCAGTAACAGAGTGCACCGGTGGCAGCGAAGGTCTGGCGGAAGAGGACCTCAGCTTGAATTACACGACGTACTGCGACCCCAGACTGAACGAGAAACAAGCGTTAGAACTAGCGTTCCTTGTTGCGGGTCACTATCGCGAGGATAACGCTCTATAAGCTGGAAGCGTGCACCATAGAGCTGCGATTCGGTATATCTCGGCAATATGATATCATCAAAAGTTTTTCAAGTTTGACATTCACCCGCGCAGGATGAATTCTGTCATCACTTCCGTTGTCTCGAATGTTGACCATTAATTGGCTGATCACTCACCACGTGATGCAACTTTATCGTGATGGTCCAAGCTCCCAGATTTCTAGCTCTGACGTTAATCGCCTTGCATCTCAACAACTCAACACACAGCCTATCATCCTCGTACGATATGGGCTCTTCAGCGTCTAAAGGTGCGCGCGCGGCAGGCGCGTCGACCGTTCGTAAATACCCATCTCGTCCTGCTCCTTCGACAACTCGTGCTCCCGCGCCAGCCCCTCCCACGCATTCCGGTCATGTTGGACCAACGGTGCACCCGCCACCGCAGGCGAGCGAGACGAAGACAGAGGGTAAGTGACCAATGCATTCGCATCTATTCCAGTACTGACATCTCAAAGCAATTGATCTCGACGCTCGCGATCCCCAGTTCGCCTCCCGCCTGAGTTCGATCGGCGCTGTGCAACCAAACCCGCACTTCTCACATTCATCCACATCGTCCTTCGACCCTCAGCGTAATACTTCATCTACACAACCATCAGATTCCTACGGAATGATGAACGAGCTGCCTCGGTCGGCATTCCCCGATCCGGGCAACAATCCAGCATTGCGAATACTGGCCGCTCGCCAAAGAATACAAGAAGAGGCAGAAGAAGAGCTCGAGAACGTAGGCAGGCAAAGCTTCCGGGGGAGAAAGTACGTAGATGCCAGCACCATAACACTAGCCTTGATGCGCCGGCAGCGCGGCGAGCCAGACTCACGCATCGAGGAGGCGCTCGGCATCAAGAAGGGGCGGTTGAGTGCACTTCGACAGGGGATGGTTACATCGGTGTAAACAGTTCGTGGAAATACATACAGAGCGAAATCGAAAGAATGGGGATACGATGCAACCAAAATGAAACCCGCTGGTTCGATAACGCTAGCGGTGACCGACTCCGCGGTTCGTTGATAAGTCAACCCCAAAAACACCGAAACGCACCCGGAAAAATACCCAATCCGACCATGTTCAACGGCAATGCTTCTGGCTTATGCAAATCCACCCATACCGTAACGCCCGTGTCTCATGAAAGTTCCGGCACTCGGCCTCTTCCCTAGGAATAGAATTCGTGGTGCTCGTAAATGAAGTTGTTCAGCGCTGTCAAGGCCGATATAAGGTTTTCCTGGTCGATCTCGAGGCCGTCGCCCGTCTCGCGGTCATCGCCGATCTTGATGAGGCCGTCCATTCTTGACTTCCCGGCGCGAGACCCGCGGAGGACTCGCCATCGATTCCGGCTCTGTTGAAAGGACGGGCATGAAGGGGACCACTGCTCCTTCTCGCGCAGCTTGGAGAGCTCTTCGACCATGTTGAGGAAGATGCTATGCAAAAGATCAGATGGGTTCGGGATGGAATGCGGGTCGGGTTGAGCTTACAGTTGGGTGAGCTTGACATCATGGTCCCAGTTGTAGGACGCCATCCGGAAACTGCTCCCTTGCGCTGCTATGTCCAGGAACACGAACATACACTCCTCCACGCTGATCTCCTTTGGGATGGGGTCTCTTCGGTCGGCGTGCTCCACGAGCCAGTCGGCGAGGTCGACAAAGGTGACCTGATCCATCTTGCAGAACTCTTGGAAGCGATCGGGAATCCCATTGAGCAGACCGCGTGCTCTGTCCGCGCCTGAGATGCCCGTTACCGCCATGACAATGTGTGTTGGTGTTTTCGTCTCAGCTCGTGTTTGGTGGAGTGATGGTACATGCAGTAGGAGGTCAGGCGACGCGATGTATATACCCGGGCTCAATTGCTATTCCCGCCAGACGATTGTTAGTTATCTTTGAGGCTCCGGGCCGCCGAAGTCAATAACCAGTATTGTGCGGTGGTGGAAGAAGTCAGAGACCGCGCAAGCTGCTAGCACAGGGCATGTGATGTGAGGCGTGCAAGACCCAGGCGGCGCGGTGGGGCCGGCGTCTTGTCTTTGTCCCCTAGCATGTGAAAGCGCACCGGGCAACGATGACGCTGAGGGTTAGCCAATTATAGTTTTCCGCCGGCGCCAAGTAGGGTGACCAAGCGTCGTCCGAAGCATCTCCAGCCTGGGATGTGCACACTGCAGTCAGACGAGTTGCGTTTGACCGTGACCCAGCTGAAAATCCCCGTCGTTCGGCCCGTGGCTGACAACGTGGCTGACAGCCATGTCCAAACGCCCTTCGAACGGAGCTACAGAGGGCCTGTCGTCGCCAAGGTCAAGGCGAGAGATGCTAAGTCCGTGAGAAGGAGTTTAAGCGATGACTGGTGCTGCAGCGAGGTGGAATTCCGCGCTGACTCAAGCCTTCGACGCGACGACGCGCTTCGCCTTCGACCTCAGTGCTAATACATTGATGCTGACATAGCCCTCCTCAGCCCATGCTTCAACAACGACCATGCTCGGATACATATCCTCCACGCGCAAGAAGTCCTGCAAGCAATGCGTGAAAGCGAAACGGAGATGTGATCTCGGGTACCCCTGCTGCAAGCGGTGCTTCTCCAAATCGCTCGACTGCGCATACCCCAATGCGTCGGTCCGTGAAGCGGAGGTCGTTATAAGGCAGCGAACTCCGGATCTCGCTCCGTTGACCCAAGTCGGCGACAACGACCTACTGGCTGATCTGCAGCCCGCGGGCCCTGAAATCGATCCCGCGATACTGCAAGTGTCGACGTCGGACTCAAACTCGTCGAGTAGTCCCGAGAGCTGGAGTGATGTTGTAGGAGACTGGGAGAAGGAGCAAGAGGGTAGGCAGAGGCAGGCGCTGTATTGGAAGAGAAGTCAAGAGCCTGCGATTAGCACACATATATTGCCGAAGATATGGGCACCGAGCTGGTTGAATGAAGAGCAGCTTTTGTTTATGGTGAGCAGGATGCGGAGTTTTGTGCCGACGCTGGCCTTCACAGGGAGCAATATGTTTATTCACTCTGCGCTTTACAAGTCGCATCAACCTACCGCTTTCCAGGACAGCATCAGCCTTTCCGCGCTGTACCTCGCGAAGACGAAACAAAACACACCGATCTTGGCGAGGTCTATTGAGGAGAAAATCAATGGGCTTATAGCAAATTCGAACGAGTGGTCATTGCAAGAGCATCTCGCCGCTGTCCAGGCTCTGATTGTATACCAGATCATCAGACTGTTTGACGGCGATTTGATTCAGGCGGGAATCGCGGCAAAACACAATCGATTACTGGAGCTCTGGACCGCACACCTCTGGAAACGCTCCTTCGCCGAACCGATACCCTTTTCCAAGCCTTGGGACGCGTGGGTATTTTACGAGTCCCTCCGCCGCACCGTCATGATGTCCGTGTTCATGCGCGGAGGCTGGAATGCACTCACGCAAGACGGACTGTGTGATCAGGTGCCAGTATTGGCGCGGTTGCCGCTATCGAAAGGCGACGGGTTCTGGAACATAGGGGAAGAGGAATTTGAGAAAAGGGTTGCTGGGGTAGACGGAAGAGATCAGTTGATTTCATACGGGGATTTCTCGTTGAATTGGATGCCGGGAGATGATATGGAGGGGTTGACGGAGTTTCACAGATTGTTGCTTGCACCTTGTAGGGGGCACCTCGACCCGAGGCTTTACCTGGATGGAATGTGAGGAAGAGGAGGAGATTTTGGGATTTTATGACAACACCACTCCAACGACGATAAAATCTACGATTTACGATTCCAACATACGACTCAGCACGACATCTTCAGCTACCCTCGAAGAAAAAACCGCAAGCAGTTTCAGCATACGTCGAACTAAAAAAAAAAATGTACAACACAACAGTACTTTACGCATTGGTCGGGAAAGAGTTGCAACACGTGTCGCACGTGGCCTGAGGAATGAGCCCGACATCATCCAGAAGGATTACTCCGTGGAAACACCGGAATGGTGGAGTAAGAGTTAGCGTGCAACGGAGAGGTATCCGACAGCACATTGTCGATCTACACCGCGTTCCAATGTCACCGCAACACGAAGAATCGGATAAAGACGACTGAAATGCCATCGGGTACTGAAGAAGCCTACATGGCCTTCTCACCGAAGCCAGGCACGGCATTAGCCCCGAGGCATGCCATACCGCCTCCATACGCTCATTCCAAGCGGAAAATATAACCGTAATACCACACTACAAACATCATGTACGCAACCTCAGCCCAAGGAGTCCAAATTGTAGGCTTCATCGACTTGGGGAATGCGGAGTTGGTTCCATCCAGTCGCCCTGCTCTCCTTTCATCAATAGTCGGCTCTTCTTCCCCGACTATTCACCAGCGGACTCTTCCGTATTGAAAAGCATGGGCCGCCGCATCTTCCACATGGGCCTTTTAAGTTCCGGTCGCGCCATGAAGACAATAAACAACTACGTTATGGCATCCGGTCTCTGCGCTTGTCGGACTCTCTCGTCGCGGGGTAGAAATGAGGTTTAGACCCAACCCTCAAACCGTCGTCGAGGTGTTAAACGTCGGCACGGCGGTCAATTCCTGCTCGCTTGATACGGTTCGTCGAGCCATACTTGCACGGGAGTTCAAGAGTGGGTTTGGATTAGGGTTATTGGTCAAGGATATGGGGATTACGCAGGAGTTTATGCGGAAGGTGGGGTTTAAGACGGAGTTGCTGGGGGTATTGAGGGGGTATCTTAAAGATGCTTTGGGGGAAGTGGTTCCGGCGGGGGATCATACGAAGGCGATTAGATGGTAGGAAAAGAGGGCTGTTGTGGAGTTGAACAGGACGGAGGAGGTGCAGAGAATCAAGGAGGACTTTAGGCATGGGCTTGATGGGTTGAATAGGGGGTTGTCTAAGTAATGTAAGATAGAAGAAGTAGATGTGCAATGCATGTGTTGATGGTTTGAATTGATTTGTTCTGGCTTCACTAATAATAGCACGGGTTGAGCGCATCAGTTGGGCACATCAGTCCGGCACATGAGTTAGGCACAGCACTGCAACCTTAGCGCAGATGAGGAGTGTTGTAAGCCTTAGGCATCCGACATAGGCGTCACCACCACACATGCCATACTACAGAAGTCATGATCTCACAAGAAATCCAATACCTATTGTATTGTATGGCAGTAATATCATACGCGACGTTCACGAATCGTTTGTGTATGTGTTCCAATTTGACAAAAGAAAAACATAGGAAGACATGAAAACTATGACTAATGCTCTTTCTATCGGTGCTTTGCAAAAGTTCCTCCACCTTTTCATTTGTATTGTACATCTATGATATCATTACTCTATTATTGGGTAGATCACTCTAGTACGCCTACTTCAGTAGTTCAGTGCCCTATTTGAACGTCTGCTATCATCAAATTAAGCTAATAGTTGAGTGGATTTTGCAGAGGAAATCTATAAGGGGATAAAACAGAAAATTGACCCAGAGCCTCGAAAAGGTGGGGAAAGCATTTTTGCAATCGACTAAATCCACAAGCCAAAGAGGACGTAGAGCGGAGATCAGATTGGAGATTGCCACAAGAAGGACAGTTCCAGCTAGAATCTCTGTTGCCTCCGCTTGCACCAGCCTCCGTTTGATCGTAGTCAGCTTACACGCTCCGGCCATTCTCATGGAGCAAAGGTGGGCGACACTAATATCCATATCGTTTCTGTAGACTTGAAGAAAACGACATTGACAGCCATTGAAAAGGCTATTTGCTTCTTGATCAGATATGAGATGGGTCGCATTGTGAAGGTCGTCTTAGTGGTGCATGTAACGGAAAGGGATGAATGACAGCCTCGAGATGATACAGATGAAAGGCCGCGACCTCATGAAGCATGCGCCGAAATCGCCCATGTTCGAGTCATATATTTTGGTATTACAGAAATTCGAGTCACGTAATTTAGAGTTACACAAATCCCAGTCACATAAGTTCGAGCCATATATGAATTAGAGCCACGTGGGTTCGAGTCAAATATGTTGGAGTCAAAAAGGTTCGAGTCACACATGACTTATATATACTCTCGAGGGATCAGAAGGCTTCTGTTTAACTTGTTCATCTTCCTCCTCCATACAATCATTCAGCACTTGATAAATCGATTTCAATCCTTACACTGCTACGTCGATTACTACCGAAAGCTTCGAATACATCTATATCGCATCATGAGCTACGAAGGCCAGAATAATGATGACCAGAAGTGGAAGCGTGAGGTGGAAAAAGAGCTGATCGACCTGAGAGCCCAGACGAATAGACTGCGTTTCTCCATGGAGAGGCAGTCACGCGTGCTTCATCATTTACTACATTCGATTGAAGGGGCGACACCAGGACATTTTCTCAACCAAGACTTTCTTCGGTATATGATGAATGCATACACCGTCGATTTAAACGATATTTCAGTCGTAGACAGCAAAAAAGCACAGCTTCCTTCCACAGAACGATCGAGGGCGGAGCAAATCATCAACAAATCGCTCTTCCAGGATTGGGTTACACCGCAGTCGTCTACAAAACTGCTTATTCACTGGGACACTCGGTTTCCAAAAATTATTGCTAATGTGTCGCCGTTGTCGGTATTCTGTAAGACGCTGGTGGGCGTCTTACGGACGAACGCTTCGAACACTTCGAACACTCGATTCATATCCGCGGTATGATTTTGTGGGCAGCATGGAGTAGGCGTACCCAATGCGGGCCTGGCAATGATCAAGAGTTTGGTCGAGCAGCTTCTGAGACAGTGGTCGTTCGACACGGAATCTCTGCACAACCAAGTGAACACCGAAAACCTCATGAGCGGAGACCTACGCGCAACGATTGATCTCTTCGTCTCTCTAGTACGGCAGCTTCCCCAAGGCATAGCGTTGTTCTTCGTCATCGATGGCGCAGTGGTGTACGAGGGAGAGGAGTTCCAGGATGCGGTCCCAGTAATCCTTAGCCTGATCCGACTGAGCAACGACACTGGTATGAGAGCTTCAATCAAGCTGTTGATCACGAGCGCGCCGGCGACTTACTATATACGGGAGTCATTTGAAAAAGAGGGTCTGATCTTGAATGTAGACAGCTCGTCAGTCTCAGCAGTAGCGAGTGAGGAACGTATGGTCAGGGAGCTACTGGTTCTCTTGAATTTGCGCGCACCGGACGACTTATGATATCGGTACCTTTCAATCCTATTCATGGCTCTGGTTAACCTATCTTGATTTTCAACAAATCAATATAATGTATTTACCTTATGATTAGTTTGTTTTCTTTAAAATGCCGATGATAATATCTTAGTACCATATTATCTACAACGAAAGAAGCCCAGAAGACTAGAAATCTACCAAGACCCTCTCAAGCAAACTTCCCTTTATTGCCTCACAGCAGTATTATCTCCATCGTGCCTACCCATGTGAGACTCTTAATGCAATTTTTCATTAGATTATCAAGGGAAACTTAGTACGCGCTAAGAGCCTACGTCTCCCGCTACCACAGACGCTATGCATCATCAGCGGAGTACGCGCTACTATGTCCAGTACGTGTTCACAATGCTCCGTCGAGTCCATCCGTAAATAATGATATCTAATTATTTGAAGGTAAAGGATAAGGGCATAAATTGGATCTAGCGCAAGTGGGAAGAACGACGAACTAAGCTTCTCTACTCGTTCGGCCGCCCCTCTCTCAACCATTAGAACAAATGCTTCAAACTCATACCTACGTAACAAACTCAACATCAACACTTCAGCCCGCACACCTCGTTCATGTAGCCACCATATTCTGCTGATTACTCCACCCGCCATCGCCCCAAACCTGCCCACCAGGAGCCGTATAAGGCTTATCAGCCGAAATCTTACGATAATCGAGGAAGATCTACTTCTAGTTTAGCATTCCAACATTCGACCTCACATCCTCCCGTCACTTACACTCGTGGTATCATCCGGCTGATACGCCCCCGGCAGCGCAATACCCACCGGAAGCGCCGTAGTCCCGCTCCCCGTTACGCTTATCTGGTTGCAGCTAGGGTAGAACTGCGCAAGGGAGCCGTTCGTATTTGTGCGTTGGAGACCGAGAATTTCGTGCCTGTGACACCAGGTCAGATTCGTCGCTTCAAGTTGACGTACGCAACGATCTTGGGAAGTCTATCGGATTGGGAGGAGCTTACCTGAGCAAATACTCTCCCGCTGCTAACTTCGCCGGCAACGTCACACTCCAAGTACTATTCTGCGTGGGCAGACGCTTCGACGCCCACGGCGGATCGAGCGTCGAATCGTAGCCAGCCTGATGGATCTTGACCCATACGTTGCCCGTTGAGCCGGAGAACGTCGTGCAGTCGCCGGCGCAGTTGGCGAGGTATGTCATGACTATCAATACCAGCTTCTCAGCCTTCGCCTTCTAGTGAAAACAGGGGGAAACGGAGGGAAAAACATACTCGGCCCCGGATGATCACTCGTCCACTCCGTCCAAAAGAACGACACCTTACTCCCCGCCGCGACCTCCACACTCACGTTAGCGGGAACATTATTCGCAGCGCCTTTTGCGCCGTAGTTGCACGTAATGGCATCCGTCAAAAACGCGTTGTCGGTAACGGGCCCATTGTCCAGGAACTTCCTCGTTACTTTGTTCACAGGAGGGTTCTTCTGCGGGTCTTTGTATGGGTTCCATGCTTCGACTAGGTTGGGCCCGAGAAGGAGCTGCTGGACGTAGCCGTGGGCTGAGACGCAGGGGTACAGGAAAGAAAGGAGGAAGGCGGAAGTAAGAAGCATTGTGGACAGGGTGAGGTGGTGCAAGATATCCTCGATGAGAAATTGACTAGGATTCGCAAAGTATTCTCAAATTGAGGAGAGTTCAAAAATCATAGTCATAGCAGACCCGAGTATTTGTACTTTGTGGTGGGTGAATAGTCGTCGGCAAGCCTCCCCACGATTGGTGGAATCAACCCACAACATCCCAACGCTGCAATCAACGCTGACAACCTAGATGAAGCAAACCTTCATATCTGATGCGGATGTGCTGGAACTACGATACGTTGACTCAAAGCAGAAAAACTCCAATGGTGGAAGAGTTCTGCATGCCCAACTGACGGGTGCATGATCGAATCGCAGCCGAGGAATTCTTGACCTCGAGACCTGGCCGTCTGTGGAAACTACTTCGCAGCGCTTACTCTTGACCAGTTCGATAGGGAAACCTTCATTCTGGTAAGCATGTTGTTTAAGAACGTCTGCTACTGGACGAGTGCTTAAGGATGTGGTTGGAACAAGGAAAATTGGTAGAAAGCTGTAGATGGAACTTCATCATGAGCTATGGTTAGCGGAGTTACACGGGAACAAGAAACTATACTTTCAGTCCAAGCTGATGTTGGGCAAGGTCCGGAATATGGTCTCCTATCACATTGGCACACATTCGGAAGCATGCATAAAACGCATTTCATTTCTCCTGTTCGGCACCCATGGTCCCCATCCCGTAGCGTACATCCCCAAGTGACCCGTCTCAGTTGCACGCAACACTCGACAAGGCGAAAAAAGCCGACACTAACACTAGAAAAGGAAACGGAAATGGAAAGATTAGGAAAAGTTGGTGGTTAAACGACTGACTTGAGAAGGCGCCCGTCAAACCCAGAAGTGCCATGGTCGCCACAAGAGATGAATCAAATAGCTCGCAGAAGCATCCGCCGCCGGCGCTTCAAATCGAGGGTTGCCCCATTGTCTTTCGCAGTCCCAGACCCCATCCGACCTTTTTATATGTCTATATGAGAGTCGTAAGGTGCCCGACCGTAATTCGTGTCTTTTGAAAAGCTCGGTAGAATACCTCCCGGAATAGAAGGCATTCTTGAACACCGTTGCAGCTGCCTCTTTTACTGACTTATAAGCGCAAGCGCTGCTCGAGCCATGATCAATGCCGTTATGCCAATGCAGTATGAGACAGCTAATCGTAGCATCCGTGCCGTAGTCGCGTAAACGTATTCGAAAGAGACTAAAAAGTCGTGATGGTCGGTGGGGGTTGGTGCCGCAAAAGGAAGGTGGGGAACGATATCGATGAATGCGGGGACGAATTTCGCAGAGTATGATTCGGCGTTGGACTCGGGGAGGGCGTAACAATATAGCATCGTTTATCGACGCCCAAACCTGCTGCATGGAAAGTTGGTATAGTTCTGTGATGTTTGGTGGACTACTTCTGGGATTTCTTGGTTCGAGGAGACATCGGTCTGCTGGCACCGAAACTTGAGGGTACGTACTTCTGTTTCTTCTCCGCGGGTTTTAGGATCTAACGGACGTTAGCAGTTGCTTTGCACACAGAAAATGATGAGCTCACCTGGAACGAGCAGAGCAGGCTCTCATCGACGCTCATCATGGCACCCGCGTTGTCGAATTCACCGCAGTAATTTGGCGCACTGAAGAGTGTGACAAGCTGGCGCTTCGAGAAGAACTCATAACCGTCTTCTACGACCTGATGGGCGCGGCAGATGAGGTCCATGTCGTGCTTTTGTAAAAAGCGTGATACCACGTCTGGACCGAACGTGAAACTGACACCTCTGTCGTTCTCGCTCCAGCCAGTGATATCCTTGTCGGGGTCGGACCACAAGAGATCACACAGGAGACCGCAGTCGGGGATCTACGCAAGTTAGTATGGACCATGCACAACGAAAGATTTCATCACGCAAGATTCTACTTACATCAGTTGGACGCATGACGCGCCTGATCTGCTCCATAGAGTTCAAGTCGGGGCTCAAACCACCGTGCATGGTGAAGATCTTCTCGTCGATGATAGCGGCAATTGGTAGGCAGTTGAAGCAGTCGGTGAATGTCTTCCATAGCTTGATATTGTATCTTCGTTTGCACTCGTCGTAGAAGCCGTAGATACGGTTGATGCTGGCGCACTCGTGGTTGCCACGAAGGACGAAGAAGTTCTCGGGGTACTTAATCTTGTATGCAAGGAGTAGGCAGATGGTTTCTAAGGACTGCTTGCCGCGGTCGACATAATCACCGAGGAAGAGGTAGTTTGCTTCCGGTGGGAAGCCGCCGTACTCGAACAGGCGCAGAAGATCGTAGTACTGTCCATGTATATCGCCGCAAATCTAGACATGTTGTCAGCGAACCAAGCTATTGGTGTTGCGCAGGAATCGGGCGTGCTGACCTTTATGGGCGCCTCGAGTTCGAGGAGGATGGGCTGCGAAATGAAAATCTCGCGAGCCTTGGTGCATAGGTATCTGATCTCCGTCTCCAACAACTGAACCTGCTTGCCGGGCCTGCTGCCACGGACCTCGAGCAGTCTATCTATGATAGAGTCCAAGTCCACCTCATTTTCTGCCATAGCTGTGACTTGCTACTGGCTCGGGTGCGGTGATGAAAAAGCTTGCGGGCCGAGGGCGTACCTCGCGCGGAGTGAGGGAGGGGGTTGACGCGGGAGATGGTTGTGTTGTGTTCCCTACGTGTGCGCGTCAGTGGGTTGTTATGAGAAAGAGGCGTTGGGTTACGGCGGAAAATCGTAGCCCGGCGACCGTTTAGGCACGGACGCACTCACGGCGAGTCGCGGGCAGTGACGTGCCAAGGCACTGCAGCGGTGAATGAAGTGAAAAACGTCTAAGACGTACCTCTAGACTAGACTCGCGGTTGAAACACTGGGGTTGAGGGGCGCTCGCGTGCAAAGAACAGCTCGAGGGCCGTCGAGGGTGACTGTGCGGTATCGCCGGAAGCACGCGACTTTGTCGGCAGCTGCGGGTCGAGGAGATCAATTGCAGAAGTCAACCAGAAAGATACCTAAGGCTGCCTAATTGCGGAGGGCGGGCGCGCGAGGGGGTGGGTGAAAGCGGCGTTGTTGTGGAGGGAGGAGCCTGTCGGGGTGGGCTGCTGTGACTTCACCGCCTTTGTAGACGCTGCGGAGGCTGCTCGCGACTGGGGACGCTGGAAAGTGCTTGGGCGGCTCGATGCTGCGACGCTGAGCTGGACGTGGAGGTACGGGCAGAATGGGGTCGCAAGTTTCGGGGGCGGATCGTGGGCGCTGTGGGCTCACTGAAGTTGGGCGAGGTTTGGTTTCGCGCTTCGGGCTTTGCTTGGCAGCTACGAACTAGGCTCTAAAGGCGGCGCTGGGACGTCAAAGAGAAAATGCTGCAAAACACCAAGCAAGTCTATGTCTGTATACACAATGATGGTACATCGCACGTGAGACAGTCAGCACAGCGGTCGCTCTCTTGCGCCGTTATCTTCGGTACTCCTCACGATGCGCTAGAATGCTGTCTTATCCAGACTTGCATTGCTCCTGCTCTCACCAACTCTCACGCAGGTCTATTGCAAGCCCACCTTACAATGCGATATTACACCAGCCCGCAGAAAACAGTGGAGCGATCAGCAACAGAACGCGTAAACCGCCCTTTCCCCCTTCCCCTGGACCCTTTGATCTTCTGTGAGACGATTCAGAAAATTGTTGTTGTTCTTCCAAAACACGCAGTTCTAGCCCTGCACAGCCGCTTATGCCCCGTTGCCAGCGCCGGCGCGTTCCATGGTTCTTTGCTTGGCTCCAATAGTCTCCCCTAAGACATGGCTGCATCCAGCTTCAGCTATCGTAAGCTGCTCGTCATAAACACCCTTCGATCATGCTTCTTAAAGCTGGGGATGAAAGAAGTGGTTCTGTGTACATTATGACGTCGCAAATCACGTGCGCGGCATTTCACATCTGCAAGCTATACATCCCTGTCGGTATTCGCATGCGGGACGAGTGAGCCGCCAATCAATGCATGCTTACGATCGACGCACCCTGCATCCGATCTTACATATTGAGCAATGGCACCCGCGCCCGTAACATGCCAAACCATCGCGTTCAACCGCAGACGTCACGTACATTCCTTTTTCTCATGTTTTCTAAGGAACCAGAATTCTTCTTATTGATGCAAAAGATCTACCCATCCACCACAACTCCAACTCCTCACTATGCACGAAACAAGATCCTCCGCAGCAAACAATGCCTGTCATCTCTTGTGTCTCGCACTGCTTCGCCGTCCGATGAGCATCTTCATCGCAGAGAGGCCGTTTAACATTGCATGAGAGACATGATAGGAAAGACCGCACATAAAAACGCCAGAGAATGATACAACCTTCGTGACCGCGGGAAGATGGAAAAGATAAGCAAGCACAATGCCTCAACGACGTACGAAAATGCGAGAAATGCTAGCAGAACAGTCCTTTTTTGGGAAGATTGCCGCCAACAAGGAAAGCGCGGAAGAGGAGATGATTATCGATACAACGAGCGTGGCCTCGCCGCTCGAGAGAGGAAACCTGTCCACCCAACACCATGCGAAAATGAAAGATCTAGATGACCAAAAAGCACTAAACGCAGAAACGTCATTCACATACGACAACTCCAAGGAGCCTCAAGAGCGCATACGACTTAAAAAAAGCAGACGGGGGTATCGCTAGGTTTCAAAATGGGCCACACATAGTGCAGCTAGGAAGCATGAAGCTTCTGGGGTATCTTGTGGGATGTGCAGCTACCCGAGTGTTCGGCCTCCAGAAACGATGCCTTGGCTAGGGGTGCGGGCCATGGCGGGCCTGATGATAGGCGACGTGAAACCGCTATGCGTAGAGGGAATGCTGGTCACGGATTTGGCATCCCAGGCTTCGTCGCCAAGTGCGCTCAGCCAGTTGTTGCCAAAATCTTGTCTGAGAGCTTCAATCTTCCTCTTGTACAGATCGCTAGTAACATCGAATTCTGGAGGGCTTGTGGCTTGCATCGTCGTCTCGCTGGGAGCTTTGACTCCAGTATCCAACTGCGGGAGTGTCTTCAAAGGGTCACCTGAAGTGCTCTCGTTCTTGGGCGCCTCGAGGCGCGGTACAATATCTGCGGATGCAGTCGCTTTGGGCTTCGGTAAGTTGTCATCCGTGCTGTAACTCGGCGGTGGAGTAACCTCAGCCGACTGTAGGGCGTCACTCTGAACGAGCTCTACAATTCTTCGCTTTGGCACCTTCTTCTTTCTATGGGAGCCTTTCCCGCTCTTTCCACTCTTCGATCGATGGAGGGAAGTGTGCGGAATCTCGGTCAGATCAGCAGCATCGAGAGCCTTCACGACTTTGGGTGGAGTGGGAGGTGGCGGTGTTTCATCCTCAGGTGGTGGCTTTACGACGGGAACACTAGGAAGCTCCGGTACTCTAACCACGAGCTGTTTTCGTTCGCCGCTGCTGGGGAGTGTGGAGTCGATCTTGATATCTTCGCTGTAGCCCGGAGTCTTGCGGAAGAGATTGAATATAGTGACCCTGTAGTTGCTGTAGGACTTGCAAAAGGGGTTCCTATGGACGAAGACCTCGGTGATGTACGGGACACAGGTGAGTCGAGCGACCTCAGTTGGGTCGGTCAGCTTATTATCCCGTAGATCTACGCGCTCTAATGACAATAGTCGCTCGATGCCCGCAAGCGATGTTAGCCGGTTGGAACGCAAGTTGAGAGTAGTGATCGCAGGCAGGGGGTTCCGTCCCAAAGAATGGAGGCTGCTAATCATACAGTTGGATAGATTGAGTGCACGCAGGCAGGACAGAGTCGCAAGGCTGTCTGGTATCTCCGCGAAAAGGTTAGCAGAGATATCGAGCGATTGTAAAGTATTGGCCAAAGGTGCAAGGCTAGTCGCTGGAATGCTGGTAAGCGCATTGTCAGCCAAACTCAAATGCCGAAGGAAACGCCACTTGGTTGAGGGAAACCAGCCTAGTGAAAGGAGGTTGGCAGAGCTTCCACGTGGAGTGGTCGATATCGCACTTGATCCTGAGCTACCAGATGAGCGGCGGATGTTAGGCGCACTATTCGCGCCATATACACGTGTCGACGAGTGGCGTGAACTCGCAGGTCTCGAGGGTGAAACGCTACGCTGGCGTTGTGCCGAAGTGCGCGAGCCGTCTCGCATTAAGGCCGAGTTCCGTGGACTTGTAGCTTGCTTGCTGGGGGCTGTAGGTGACGCTGGAGGTGAATCCGAACGTGCAAGCTGAGCGTGCTTGCTGGCGGGACTGCCTGCCTGCCATGGGACGGCAGGCGAAGAAGGTGTTTTGGCAGAGCGGCGGCGTCGCTTATCCATGTCGTCCAGCACGATGTTGATGAGAAGGTCGGCAGGATCGTCAACGCCAGCCCTCTTGACCGTCAGGCTGCGTAGATTGTCCGCGAGACGGTCCCATCCGTAGAATTGGCGGAAGTCGACATCGTAGATCTCGAGAGCGGTGACGTTTTTGAAAGCGTGCAAAGGTACTGCGCTGTCGAATGGAAACTCCTCATATCCCGCAATGAGGCGAGCTTTGTGGTCAGGTGCGAGTCTTAGGCACGGAATCTTGGTAAACGCAGAGTAGAGATATTTGATGTCCTCCTCGAGTTGCGCTTTTTGCTTTGCCTGCTTGGCGTCGCTGTTGGATGACAAGCGAAGAGATGACCACAATGAAGACATGCCAGACATCACGCTACGTATGCTGGAGACGGAGTGGATCGAGTCGCGGTCAGAGGGCCGTTGCTTGTTTCGCTGGGCATTGCTAAGAAACGACACATAGTTGGTCGGTGATACATCAGTGTGTATGTTCTCTAATCGAACATTCATTGGTCCCACAGATATGTTTAGGTCCTCGAACCGGGATAGGAGGTAGAAGAGGTGATGGGGCGTGAGTGTGAGCTTCGCTGGCTTAAGCGTCGGCGATGTGAAGGTCAGCGACGGGAGGGACAGGGCGGCTGCCCACACGCTCGACGTGGAGGATGAAGAACTGGTGCCTGTAGGCGAGGAGACGGAGTTGCTCTGGCCATGGCGGGGCGCTTGTCGTTGCAGCTGCAGGGCATTTGCGAGCGCTTTTTCGTGAGTCCGTACAAAGTACGCTAGATTCTATAGAATTGTCAGCAAAAGATTTGACGGAACCGCCACGTTGTTGTGTACTGTGTACAAGAATGGTATAGCATCACGCGGGGCTGCTCAACAGGGTGGTTCCACGAAGCTGGCGTGATCCCAGTCTCAGACTCATTGTCTTTTGTCGAGACAGTAGCCTGAATGCACCTGCTGTATGGACTAACATTTGTTGTTTCCAGTGTATGGATTCGTAGTGTGCAGTGCCCCGCGTTCAAAGTAAAACCTCATACCTTTATGAAAATCGTTCCATCTTCTGTGTCCATGGTTCTTCGCAAGCAGACAAAAACTGCATGTAGGGCCCAAGGCAATGCTGAGGGCAGAGGTCGTGATATGACCACGTTTGGCGATTGTGATTGGGGTCGAGGAAGCGCTCGAAGGTTCGAAGGAGGGGCGCGGCCGCGTTTGTTGTTCCCTGGCGGCGGGCCGATTTAGGGACACGGCTGTAGTCTGCAACCGCCTGCAAGACTGGAAACGTCAGTAAAATGCGCGCTGTGTGGCATGATATACGGTTGTCGGAGCTGTATCCCAAGCTGGCGGGGTTGAAGAAATGTAGTAGGAGAAGCGAGTCACTAGGACTACGTCAACCACGGAACTTGAGCCATAGTACGTACCGTCGAGAGCCTCCCGTGGCCTAGGTGACGGACCTAGGTGACGAGCAAGAAACGGCGGAGTGCCCAACTAATATGCAGCGGCGGCAGGGAGAGAAGCCCACTGGGCGGCAGGCGCTCGAAAACAGCAGCCCAAGCGAAGCGGCTGTGAGTGTCGACCAAAGAGAGGTGCAGCGATAGCGAGCCTCTAGGATACTGCAGCGGGCAAAGCCTCGCCGCACACACACAATCTGACGGCTGCAGGGGGGAAATGCCAGATGGTGGCAGGCGTCGAGGACGACGACAACAACAACAGAGGGCCGAGTCGCGCGGCGGGGAGTGGTCGTATCTAGAGAAATTAGATGGGCCCTTGTTCCGAGCAGCGGGCCGCTCACGCTCAGACGGTTCGGAGTGGATTCGCGTAGAGAGGAAGGCGCGACCCACGGCGCGAGTCTAGTGGAGTGAATGCACGCCAGAGAAGTGCAACGGAGCCGCGGCGACGAGCCAGGAAGATGCACGCAGCGCTGCCAGCCTCATCAGCGGCCTGGAGTCGTTCAGACAGCGACGCTGCAACCTTAGCCCGCCTAGTCATGCGCCAACCACAGTCGAGTGTCCTCATCCACGCCGCCGCAGGGCGCTAAGCAGGCCTCCTGCTTCCCTGTCACAAATCTCACGCCGTCCGCGCAAAAATCCATCGCACTACAGGTCGCCTGCTGCTATCGCGTCCCACTTTCGTTCAACGGGAAACACTGCTCCCTACACCATCGTCTCGCGCAGCAGCAGCGTCAATCAGTTCGAGGGTGCTCGTGGTCGTCGGGCACCCTGCGCCGGCAACGAAGGGCACAGACAGCAAGTCCGGCGCGGCGTGGCTCCCGTGCAGAGGTCGCGCAGCATGAGGTCGCCATGGGCCTCGCGTATGGTCAAGCTTCCCTGCGCGGCGAGCACTGGAGAAGGCTTGGCCACGCCGCTAGCCAGTATCAATCTCCAATGTGGGACGGCAGCAGACCTACAGGAGCAGGACGTGACGCCATTTTGCTGCGCAGAGGAACCGCAGAGAACCGTGAGCGCAGCCTAACCAGAGGGCCATTGCACTCTTCTTTGCAGCCAGCCATTTGCGCGAGTCGAGCCGCTGCCGTCGCACAAGCCGACGGTTCCTGTTCGTGGGAGCATCACATGCGCGCACCTCCCGTATCGGCTTTCGTTGTCGCCGCACACCCAGAGGACCCTGTCTTGAGGCTATCTGCGAGCACTTCAGGACATGCATCAGATGACCACAGGCAATCAAACGAAAAGATCACCACCACCACACGATGGGAAGCTTGGAGCACGTCTACGCGCTCGTGCGGCTACCGCGGTCATCAGGGTGCACCGAGCTTCGCGCTTTGGCGAAAAGACCCTGGAATCCTGAGGCAGGGGTCCTTTTCCTCCCGATTCGACCGCGCGGCCACGGCGGAGCGACACCCACGTCCTACAGGCCCTGCGCGGGCATCAACGCCTTCGTTTTCTGACATTAGGTTTGCTTTCTGGGCCACACAATCCGGCGATGCGTCGAGGCAACATGGCTTTGGTGGTACTGACCAGCCGCGGAACAACGGCACCACAAACTGCACATGTGTCGATATAAAAATCCAAGACCCCACTTGCCCGATTCGAAAAAGAAGGAAGGCGCTGCCTGCATAGCCGAACTCCACCAGCCGTCTAAACCCGCAACAGATGCCCCTCAACACCACGCCAGTATCTCGCCCTGTGCAACCTCACTACCACTTCCTAACTTGCAATTGCTCGACAGTTGGGTGGTTTGACTCTTCTTGATCGTGGCGATCTGGAGGATGGTCATTATCATGAACGCCATCGAGGCGGTGTATGCTATCGTCTTCCCTCTCGCGGTCTCGTCCAGCCCATTGCCACGCCCCAGCAATCCTCACGATAGCACTGCTTCGAGTCCTTCCTGCTGTGCAAGGTGAGATGCTTCGGCTTAACAGTCTGTCTCACCGCCATATTGACTTGCAGCAAATCGACCGGCGGGGTTCGCTCGCCTTTCCCACGCTTGTCATGTACGCGATTGTTTGCGAACCGTGCAACATCTTGTCAAGCTGCGCACGGGCTTGGCTATCCCTGCTTGGAGATCCTTACCCTGTCGTGGCGTCGGTAGCCGAATACGGTCTCACCACCACCACGATTCTCATCAGTCTGCTACCGCACGTTACACGACCGCTGCTCTACCGTGCTCCGGCGCTGGTCCATATGGTGCCTAGCTATCGTTTTCTGTCGCTTGCATCGGACTCTATCTGCTCTCTACATTGCGCTGAGTCTTCTCGGAGAAACATGACTGGCACTACAGATCCCAATTCAAGCGCATGTGCCGGACCAAGGATTTCAATAGCTCCTTCGCCGACGTACAAGCATGCGTTCACTGAGCGACCGACGGAGTCAACACTGTTCTCATCTTTGAAGACATTGTTCTGGCACATATCTCTCCTCAGAAGCGTTTAGACTCTACCTCCCACAAACTCAGGTGACCCCTGTGTTGGCGGAAGGCGTTCCGTACCAGCTGGCAGGTGCCGCCCTAGGCACTAGCCCTATATAGAGGCTCCGCCGAGCCTGACCAATTCATCACTCTTACACTCAACTTCATGTTTTCCTGTACGTTTTTGGCCTACCACTTCAACAGGTTATGAGCCCGGCGCTCCGCTGCCTATATTGAGCATTACTTTACGCTCTGCTCAGCTGCACGTCTGCGCGTCCGCAGGCATCGCTACGCTTACCGCCACTGGCGATTCTACTGCATTGCGTCGCTGCACTTAGCTGCCCAATCGATACCTGCAGCACACCCTAGCTGCAGATTAATTACTACACAACACACCTGCTACGATAGCGGCCAGAATGCGCAGTTTGAGGCTCACGCTCCAAAAGAGCTTTTTGATAACGTCTATTGCCACCACTATTGTTAAGGACCTTATCGACGCCTACCCGATTGATTCGAGTCACACGCTGACCCTAACGCACACTTACAATGTCAATATTCTCGTTCAAGCTCGATCCTGCATCGCTGCTAAAGCTTTCCGCCCGTGGCGACAACTTTACAGAATACCGTTTAGCATGGACAATCGCTTTCCGATACGCTGGCCTATGGCCAGTTATCTTAAAGAAGAAGCCGCGGCCTATATTAGCTGCGAACGCAGACGCGGCAACACTAACCGCTTACACTGAGGCAATTGATGCATGGGACGCTGATAACACTAAAGCTCTCGTTATAATACTCTTATTAGTTCACAACGACTTAACGCAACAAGTCGCTGACTGTGAGATATCACCAGCGGCATGGGATTACCTAACTAGTCGCTTTAACCGCGATACTGGTCAATCGTCGATCCTACTATTTCGCAGCCTCACAAACCTGCGATATCGCGATAGTGACGACCTTCGCCTCTACCTTAACAAATTTCACTAGCGCTAGACCCGTATATCCAAGCGCTCTACGTCGTTAACCTAGCCTGTGGCTGTCGCTATAAGAGCCATGTTCAACAATAACAATGTTAAGGGTTTATTCTTCTTAGCGACATTGCCTAACACGATAGACAACGTTATCGACAACCTAGCTACCCGCCAGCTTACTGCTTTTCAAGACATTAAGCCCAAGATACTCAACATTAGTGAAAAGTATTTGTTGGATACCACTAACTCCTTAACTGCGTATGCAGCGCGCCAAACCGCAGTGCGATCACGCCAGACCGCGCGGTCTGGCGAAAAATCCTTTTTACCTACTGCCGCCAACGCGAATGAGTGCACCTGGTGTCGAAAACACAACTTAACATTCATTGGCCACGTCTATAGTAACTGTAACGAGCTTCGCCGACATAAGGAGTAATAGAAGAAAGTTCCACTAAAGGATAAGAAAGTCGCTGGTAGGCAGCGCAGCAAGCGACAGAAGGGCAACTCTGCCAAAGTCGTTAACAGCGAGTTAGATAATAATGACGACAACTTAATTACTAAGGTAAATGGGTTCGTCGCTAGCGTTATTGATTTGGGCACACCGCCATCAACGCCCTCGCCAGGAATCAACGCCAACAGGAAACGCGCCCGCGAACATATAAGTGCCCACGCTGTCTCTCTTCATCAACTAAACGCAGTAGCCGCTTCCAACCCAACCGCTTTATGGCTATTTGATACCGGCGCTTCGCGCCACATAACTGGCTGTATCAATAACTTCACGTCGCTCTTACTAGGGCACGGGATAATCACGATAGCTGGTGGCATCAAACTACCCATCGAAGGCGTGGGAACGATACGCCTACGCTGTTAACTCCCTAACAGATCAACAAGCATCGCCAAACTAACCAATGCCCTCTACTCCAGTAAGCTTCATCGTACCCGCCTGTTCTCATAGGCGTACGTCCGAAATCGCTACAAACTCACCGCCGTCAAGAACGATTTATATCTTACACGGCAAGGGAAAACTGCTTTGTGGGCACGCCACCTCAACAGAACGATATAGATTCAGATAGACAACTCACCAAGTCACTCAAAATCAACCCTGGCGATCAAGGACGTTAAGCACGCTCACGCTTACTTCAGTTCCTTCGACGAGTTTTACCACGCAGTTAGACACCGTCTAATCAATAACCCGGAACGCGTCTATCGCGATGGCCACCTAGTGCCAGCAACACCCAAAGGTT